TTTAATTTGAAGTTCTAAAATTTAATTTTTGTGAGGAAAATACTTGATACTTAGAAATATTTTGATGATTTTTGAAGAATAATAATCCTTTGGATTTACTTCAAACTCTACAAAAACTATTTAAATAGTGTAATGTACTCATAAATATACTTATATTTTAGTATGGAGAACACTATAAAATTTTAAACTTGGCCCTGGCCCTGGTAGCAGCTTATAGAACCCTAACCCTAAACCCTAACCCTAACCCTAACCCTAACACATTGATTACAATCACCCCAATACACTAACACGTTGATGTATATATCAATGTATTATCTGGGAATCGAACTCCCGACCTGTTAGGATTGAACTATAAAAAGTTGAGTTATTATGAGACAGTCGTAACTATTGATACTTTTATCTAAGATAATTGTACTTTTAAGCATTAATTTGAGTGAAAGTAGTATAAATATGTATATATCTATCGTATACATCAGGAGTTAAGTTTTAATTTGAAGTTATAAAATACTAATTTTTGTGAGGAGAGTATTTGGTACTTAGAAAAATTTTGGTTTTTTTGATGAAAAATAATCCTTTGGATTTACTTCAAACTCTTTAAAAGTTATTTAATTGGTGTGATATACTCATAAATATACTTATATTTTAGTATGGAGAACACTATAAAATTTAAAATTAACCCTATCCCTGGTAGCAGCTTATAGAACCCTTGCCCGCCTAGGGTTCGTAATCAACACAGAAAAGTCTATAACAGTCCCCGTGCAAGCTCTGACTTTCTTGGGATTCGAGGTGAATACCAAGAGTATGATGTTGTCCGTTCCAAGTTCCAAGCGCCGTGCCCTCGCCAAGGACATCCGACATGTCCTCCGTTCCGCCGATTCCATCTCAATCCGGTGTCTTGCCGGTCTGAAAGGGAAGCTCGTAGCCGTCAAGGACGCTGTCATTCCTACTCGCCTATTCTCCAGAGAGATCAACCGATTTCTAGTGAGGTCCCTCAGTCTATCGAGTCAGTGCTGGGACAAGAAGGTACTTGTACCTATAGAGGTGAGAGAGGAGCTCAACCAGTGGTTGACTCTCCTCAAAAAGTGGAATGGCAAACAAATCACACCAATCATGTCCTACGATTACACCCTCCAGACCGACGCATCGGAATCAGGTGCCGGCGCCATCCTCCTGGACCGTTCGGAGTCGATTGTAGCCGAATGGTCCTGCCAGTGGTCCCCAGCAGAGTCTTCCCTTTCGTCCAACCAAAGGGAGTCTCTGGCCGTCCTTCGTTCGTTCCCCGTTCTATGCCGATCCATCAGACACCGAAAGGTTCTCATCAGGACGGACAACACCACCACCTGTTACTATATCCAAAAGCAGGGAGGTTCCATCGAGGGAATCTCCAGGTCAATAGAAACCTTTTGGAAGTGGTGTCTAAGAAGGAGGGTAGTATTGGCAGCGGAGCACATACCAGGTGTATACAACTCCCTACCAGACTATCTGTCGAGAAAGGCAGAGATAGACCATCTCAACTCGACAGTACCCTCTCTTCCTGTTCCGTCTCGAAGAGATCCTTACGGGTGGTCACTCAAGAGGGAGGTCTTCCAAGACCTCATGAACAAGTCAGGTCACAATCTCTCAATCGATTTGTTCGCCTCAAGAGTCAACCACAAGCTTCCGTTGTTCTCCACCTTTCGCCAGAATGCTCTAAACCTGGATTGGGCTCAGTGGGAGAAAGTTTACGCCTTTCCCCCGCCAAACTTGATTCCCAAGGTACTAGAGAAGGTGAGGACAACCCCATCGACGACTGTCGTGTTATTATTCCCTTTATGGATGACAGCACCATGGTACCCTCTCCTCCGTCAACTCCTTCCAAAGAATTTGAATCCTCAAGTGCTTGGAACGTTCGAGGAGACTATGGATCCAGATTCCATAGCCCACATTCCCCTACGTCAAAGGGAAAAGTGGAAAATAGGGTACCTAACAGTTTCGTCCAAGCTTTGGATCTGATAATATCTGTGTATGACCAGTCGACTCGCAACCTTATCAAGTCGTCATGGTCTAATAGTTCACTAGTTACATACAACAACTGTTGGAGTAATTGGGTGGACTATATAAGGTCAAGGAGAAAAAGAAACTGGGATGATTTCTCTTCCCTCAGTATTTCTTCTTTCTTAACTTTTCTTTTTGAGAAGGGTTATGCCTCCAAAACCATCGCAGTTATGAGATCTTGCATAGCACAAATTGCCAAGATCAGAGACAATCGCTCCGTCTCTGATGACTTTATGGTACAAAGGGTTATGTCTGGTATCGCTCACCAACGCCCTTCCAAACCCAAATAAAACAATATGTGGTGCCCATTACTAGTATTTGACCACATCCGTGATCAACATGCTGACTCAACCCAATTGAGTACAAAGCAATTACTAGCCAAGTCTGTTGTGCTCATTAAGCTCTTTTGTCTAGCTCGAGCATCGGATCTTGGAAAATGGTCATTCAGGTCTCTTGACCAGTCAATCACTAATTGTATTAGGGGTACCATTGTCAACGCAAAGGAACAACGTAATAGTGACTCCCCATCTGCTCTGGTAGTCAAAGGCATTAAGAAACCTTCTATATGCCCCCTTGCTACCCTCAGGGAGTACCTATCAAGGACAAAGGCCAAGCGTTCAAAGAAGTCAAAAGACGCCGTCTTCATTGACTCTTCCGGTCTCCCCCTTGTCGACAAGGATTTCTCGTCTATCACTTTATCGTTCCTGGATAAAGCCGGAGTAGATACCAATGTTTATAAAGCTCATTCAACTCGAGCGGCAATGGCCTCATGGTTATTGTTAAACGGTATTTCCCTTCATAGAGTGAAGAAATTAGGTCGCTGGAGATCAAACGCTGCGCTGGAGAAGTACTATGATATGGAAATTATAGATCAAGATTCAAAAAGGTCTAAAGATTTTGTGTCAAAGTATTTCTAACCACTTCATATATATATTATAAATATATATTTATTGATAATTAATATTTTTAGTTAAAAATATATTTATCTGTAATAAATATTATTTATAATATAGCACCCGTCCCGCCCAACCCAAAGTCGGAATTCCATAAAACTGAATTGCTAGTTCGGTCCCTCGTCCCTTTTATCCTTGCTGTCTCGCCTTGTTCCTCAAGTCAAACCCGCCAAGAAAGGTCCAAGAACCTTTTTTTCTGCAAATTTTCTTTAAAAATTTTCATTGTTGAACATTCCGAAAAATCTCTTCAATGAAATTTATCTCCATTTTTTGGGATTCTCAATAAATAAGACTATTCATTCATTTATATTATAAATATATATTTATTGATAAATATTTCCGACTTTGGTTTTAGAACAGGTAATGATTGTTTTCAACCGTTTAAATTGCATATATGCATAAAAAAGTATATTTAATTAGGATATGTCGATGATTTTTTACTAATCTCAAAATTTCATTCTATAAAACCCCATTTTAATTTTATAGTTTTTCTCATATTAATTTTTTTGGCCGAAGATCGCACCTAAATTTTGTCGAGATCTTTTACTCTTTTATATCTATTAAAATGATAATCTATAGGTTTATCTATTACTATACTCTTCAACTTGTGGTTATAGTCTCGTTTCTAGAAAATAGTATTTGTCATTTTTGTGACACCAACATTTTACCTATGATTTTTACTATGGGAAAAGTAAAAGTCCAAGTCCCCCCCATATTAATTTTCAAGTCCCATACTAATTTTTTTACATATTTTTTTTACTTTAAAAACATATATAAATTCAATTTCAACAAACCAAACTTTACATTATTATACTCTATTGAGCTGCTTATCTATTGATATACTTTTTGTTAAAAGTCGTTAAAACCATTCTTTTTTATTACAACTTTACCAAACTCGGAAATATAAAAAATTCAACCAAAGTCGGAAAATTGGAAAAAAAATCAACTTTAAGCAATTATCGATATGGTATTGATCATTTTAAACCGTTTAAAGTTTATACATAGTTAAAAAAATATACTTTATATAGTTTCCTTAAAGATTATTACTTCATCTCAAATTTTAATAGTATAGGTCCACATTTTATTTTAGCACTAGGACAGTATTGTAAAACAACATAAAACAACATATGTATAAAAAGAATGGATAACTAAAAAAAGTATTTGTCCAAGATAATTGCAAAATGATTTGACAGTTTAATTTTTTTAAAATTGTCAAAATCCAATTTCCAGAAACCAAAATGGCACCAAACGTCGTTAAATCATGAGTCATAGGTGTTCCATATAATATATATGACTCATGTCAGTGACTGACCCTTTAAAATTTTTTGAAAAAAAAACACCAAAAATAATTTGCCACTTTTTATGAACAAATATTAATGTCAACAAATTTCAACTATTCCAAAAGGTGTATCTAATGGTGCTACATCTACTACCACAAGAGTTTTTAAGTTTATTTTAAAATTAAAGGTAAAAAGTAGCAAAATAGTACTTTTTTTAAAAAACCAAAAAATTAATTTTCAAACTTTATTATCTTGACCATCCACCAATATTCACGCTGCTGTTATCTTCGTCTGGTTTCGAGCTATTTGAACAAAACTTTCGAGAATATACAACTACATCAATAAACTATCCTTTTATATTATACCTTGTATGCTACATTTTCTTGTTTACTATTGAATGGAATTAAATAAAATAAAGATAGAATAGAGAAGTGTATGGAATAGACAAAGATCTCGTTGTCTTGTCGGTTTGGACAAAAAAAAAGTGAACTTTTTTAAAATTTTTTTTACATCTCAGACGACCATCAATTCCCGTCCCTTCGACCTTTTGTAGTGACGAATAGCCATCCATAATACCAGATTGAATTCATATCCTCAATTATTATTGTCTGTTGTTTGTTTGTTTGTTTGTTTGTTTGTTTGTTTGTTTGTTTGTTTGTTTGTTTGTTTGTTTGTTTGTTTGTTTGTTTGTTTGTTTGTTTGTTTGTTTGTTTGTTTGTTTGTTTGTTTGTTTGGTGAACCAAATTATGCTACCATTTCTCTTATTAATAACTGATGGTGGAGAGTTGAATAAAGTTGTATTATTTAACTTTAATGGTTTAATTTAAATTGCATCCATTTCCATTTCCATTTCCATTTTCATCTCCAAATCCTTTGATTTCTTTTGTTGCAAGTAAACCAATTAAAATATCAGTATTGAGATTACGAGCTTCATCAATAATGATACAACTGTATTTATAGTTAGCAAGAAATCACCTTGAACCTCACGAAACAAGATCCCATCAATCATGAATTTAAAGTTGTTGGTTCAATATCGATTTGTAAACCCAACATTTACTAAACATCGCTTAGTTCTTTGACAACACGTTTGGCTATCGATACAGCTGCCACACGTCTCGGTTGCGCTGCACAACCTTAACCTTTTCAATAATATTATGTTCTTCCATCATAATTGGTAAAATATCTCTTACTTGATAACTTCATATGTTCTATTAACTTCATGGAATAAACAAATGTTAAATCTTGTACAATCTTTTGATAAGTATTATATGTTTGCAATCCTTTTTTTTTTTAATATTTACAATAAATTGATTGATTCAGCTATGATTGGTCCAAAATCTACCAAAATTTTATAGACTATTATATTTAAGATGAATATTGAAAATGATTCTTTATTTCGTTGATGGATGTTGTAATGTACTAATAAAAAGCTTTAAGAATAGTGAAGATGTCATGGCGGTTTTTTTTAATTTTTTTAATTTTTTTTTTTTTTTCGTTTGGCAAAGGGAGATCATCAAGCGAACACATTTAAATCATTAAAGTAGAAAAAGAACGCAACATACTTTTTGTTTTATCATTTTTATGAACTGTTATAAAGAAAGCACCATTTGATCATAAAGTAAATAGATAGATAGATAATTCTTATTCTCTTTACTCTTTTTCTTCTTCTTCTTCTTCTTCTTCTTCTTCTTTTTAATCTTTTTTTTTTACCATTCTAACTAAATTTTATCACTACATTAAAGTACATTACATTATAGTTGTAGAGAAGATGGATAACAGTGGATTTGGAGGATATAACCAACAACAACAACAATCGTACAACACTGGACAATCTGGTAGTAATTTTGGAGGATATAACCAACAACCCCAAAATATGATGATGAACCAGCCGCGTGGTGTTGTTTCTGGTGGATACCAACAACAACAAACGCCACAACAACCATTGAATACAAACGTAAGTATTTGGCACTATAATCAGAGAGTTTAAACATCAAACTAATACTGTACCATGTTCTTTTTTCAAGTTTTCAAATCAATCGTACCCCAACAACAACATGGGAGGAATGACTGGAGGTAACAACATGGGTAGTGGAAGTGCTGTCAATATGGGAGTAGGAATGCCTGGGGGTAATATGGGAGGAATGCCAAACATGAATTATCAACAAAGTGGTAGTTATGACCAAAGATCAGTTGCTAATTCATCTTCCCCCTATGGTGGACCATCTTCTACCATCAAACCAAATCAACCACCCCAACAACAACAACAACAATCCTATGGAAGTGTTGGCGGCCTTAATAGTAACACTCGAATGATGCCCCAACAACCAATCGGAGGTAATATGGGTTCTATAAACAACATGGGTAGTGCACCAAACATGGGTGTCAATACCATGGGCAGTGGATCCTCGGGAGGTAACATGGGAGGAATGCCTTCAGGTAACATGAGTGGTTATGGAATGTCTACAATGGGTGGTGGAAGTGGTGGTAATATGGGAGGAGGAATGCCAGGAGGAAACATTGGCGGAATATCTACAAGTAACATGGGTGGTATGTCTGGAAACACCATGGGTGGATATAGCAGCAATAACATGGGAGGAGGCATGTCTGGTCCAAGTATGAACATGGTAGGAGGAATGCCAAGTGGAAACAGCATGGGTAGTGGAATGTCTGGAGGCAACAATATGAACATGGGTGGTGGAATGTCTGGAGGATCAGGTATGAATATGGGAGGAAATATGTCAAGCAATATGGGAAATATGTCTGGTCAAAACAACATGGGTGGTGGAATGTCTGGAGGATCAGGTATGAATATGGGAGGAAATATGTCAAGCAACAGCAGCAACAGTAGTAACTTGAATAACATGGGAGGAAATATGTCTAGTGGCGGTGGTGGTGGTGGAAACGATTATCGATCCTCTTCTTCATCATCATCCTCTTCCTCAAGATATGGCCAAAATAGTAACAGTGGCATATCAGATTTCCCAAGAGCAACTGGACCGGGATCCTCTTGGAATAAACAACCATCTGGAAGCAGCGGTAGTAGTAGCGGCGGCAGCAGACAATCTTATAATAAATATGACAACAACAATAACTCTTCTGGTGGTGGAAAATATGATAATTATAAAAAGAAAGATTATGGTGGTGGAGGTGGAAAATCATACAACAAATATGATAATAATAATAATAATAATAATAATACAGGCAAATATGGTTATCACAAATCTTCATCATCCAACGCCACTTCTTCCTCTTCTTCCTCCTCTTCATCATTTGTATCTGACCATTCCCATTCGTCATCATCCTCCTCTATTACCTCTTCAAGAGATAAAAAGTACTCGAGTCACATACCTAGTAATACTTTTACAAGTGTAGACTATGACTATGGATTGGTAAAGAAAATTTTCCCAAAACTCTCAATCTCGCCAGATTTCACAAAGTTGACCTCTTGTTGGGTAGAACACACCAACCAATTGGAAACTGAGCAGTCAAAGCCACCTATTGTAAACCTCGACCAGTTTAACCCTTTTGTAATCGATTCAAAGGAAGTCAATACACCAAAGACCAAACTTGAAAACACTTCAATTGGCTCAAAACAATTTGAACAATTCAACGGAGTTAAATACAACGCCAAGGTAATGCTTTTCCAACAACTACCAGTAGACTCTACAACACCAACCAACCTCTGCAAACGTTTGAAATTCCTCGTTGCCAAAGAAAACAAGGACATTTGTTGTATTGGAGGAACTTGGAGTCCCTCTCTTGATGGACAAGACATTGATAACCCTCAAACATTAATTAATACTGCCATGTATGTTGAAAACAAATACAAATAATTTCAGGTAAATTATTAATCTTTTTTTATTTTTCTATTTTTTTCAAGTCGAACAACCAAAGAGTATACACAATTTGATTTATCAAAATGTGTCAAATGGATCAAATTTATGGAAGTACATTACTATCGTCCACCAACAGAAAAGAATCAACAATATCAAGAAGTCACTGTCATCTTTGTACCAGATATTTCCAATATCACTCCAAATGAAATTAATCATTCTCTACTACAACAAGATAAACCAAGTGAAAAAGAAGAAGGTGAAGACGATCATCATCAACAACAACAGCAGCAGCAGCAGCAACAACAACAGCAACAACAAGAAGAAGGAACAAATGAATATGATCCCGAGAACCAAGGAGAAGATAAACAAGATAGTAGCAATGACCCCGCCCAGACTGATGCCAAGATTTCCATAACTTCTGAAACGTCGAGTGAGAGAAAGACAACCAGTCCCAACCCTGCACCACTGGTGGCCTTGCCCAAAGAGTTGCAATCGTGCTTTATCATTACTACACCCTTGTCTGATACGTCCTCGATCAAGTACCGTGCCATGATGCTTTCCTTGGATGGTTTGTTAGATTATGAAGAGAGTGACAAATTTGAAGGAACCTTTGAAGCATCTCTTTTTGGTGAGTTGTTTTATCTCATGCTGGCCACCGAGATGGGAAATATTGTAATGCAAGCCTTGCTTGATTTTACTCCAATTGTATCCTCTGATGATCATAGTAGTAGCAGTGGTAGTAGTAACGCAACTGATACCGCCGATAGCAACAACCCGACAAATGTAGGAGAAAAAAGAAAACGTGAAGGAGAAGAGGGCAACAGCGACCAAGATCAATCAGCAGCAGCAGCAACTACATCTACTGAAGATGCCACTAAAAAACTAAAGCAAGAAACTACTTGTAGCAGTGATAATAAGGTAAATACTAAACCATCCGACGGCTCACCTTCTACCACCTCCACCACCACCACCACCAACAATGGCTCACCTTCTGCCACGACCACAGCACCCGCCACAAGTAAGACCGAAAGAACATTGGTACCAAGATACAAAGAGGCATTTGAATTTTTTGATCAAAACTTTGTGGAATATTTAAAATCAGACGATGTAGAATTAATTATCCATAATCTTGGTTTGTTCTTGTCACGATTCTATGTTCAACGTATAGTATCCAAAGTTACAACTGAATATTCTTCAAAACAAGGTAGAGTTTATTATGACAAGGTAATTTTTAAAAATATTCCAAAAAAACTATAAAACAAAAAAAAGTAAAAGTAAAAGTTTAATAAAGTAAAAAATACAATAATAATATTTAATAAATTTTTAAATATTTATTTGTTTATTTATATTTTGCCATAAACTTTGAATGGAAATCAGCAATTCTAGTGCAAACACCTTCGATAGCTTGTTCTGATGGAAGGAAAGTTGTACGGAAATGGAAGGTTCCATCCTTTTGACCAAAGCCGCTGCCTGGTACGACGCAAACACCAGTAGCTTCGAGCAAGTTGATGCAATAAAAGGCATCTGGGGCCTTTCCTAAACGCTTGGCCTCTTCGACAGCTCTGGCTGGGAGTCTGATTTGAGGGAAGGCATACATGGCACCTTCTGGTGGATTGCATGTGACACCTTCCAATGTATTAAGAGACTCGCACAAGAGATTGGCACGACGCTTCAAACTTTCATAGATGGTTTCGGTTTCCTTTTGATAGGTTTCATAGGATGGTTCTCCCTTGACTGGTGGCTTGACCATGAGATCGACAACAAGTTGACCGGTAACATTTGGGCAGAGACCGATGGAAGCCAACTTGTAAATCTCTGCCTTTACAGCAGTGTCAATGTTACAGAGCTCCATGTATCCACCACGCTTACCACACTCGCCAACAACACCCTTGGAGACGGAATGGAAAGAAACCAACTCTAGACCTTCTACTTCTTGACCGAGATCCTTGACGACCTTTTTGAAAGATACAAATGGCTTCTTTTCCTTGACGTAGACATTTTCTTGATAGACTTCATCGGCCAAGAGGACGAGTCTGTGTTGGTGACAAAAACGTACAATGTCTTCCATGTTTGCACGATCGAGTGACTGACCGGTTGGATTTCCTGGGTTGATGATAACAAGGGCACGTGGTTGAATTCCTGCGTCGATTGATTGCTTGAGAGAACGCTCTAGTTCTGGGATTTCGAGACCCCATCCCTTTTCTTCGTTCAATTCATAACCAACTTGTGATCCTCCATACAATTCAATGGTTGCGCTGTACAATGGATATTGTGGGATGGGAATGAGGATACCGTCGTTACGATCACGAATCAAGAGACGAAGAATACGTTGGACTGCAACAGAAGCACCATCGGTCAAAAAGATGTCACTTGGGTCTGATGGATGACCATCACGGCTCTCGATAAAGCTGGCAACATTTTTTGTTACATGTGCAATACCCTGTGAACCTGAATAGGCACCGGTTGTGAAATTAATCGATCCCAACAATTCACGAGCACGAGTAATGACATCTGATGGGAAGATTTTATCAATGTGAGCACTGTCGAGCATGCCTGGATACTCGCAAAGTGACAACACTTGACGGAAATAGGTAATAGGCTTTTGCTTTAATTGTTGAGGATTACCAATGTTGCAATAAACAATCTCATCAAATGGCAAAGACTTTTCAGTGTTATTTTTTTGTTGTTCTTGAAGCTTCTTGGCTAAACTTTCTGCAATGATAACTAATTCTCCTCTTACTGCATATTGTGCTGTCTTGACAGTTGGACAAATATTATCCATTGTCATTGATTTAGAGTCTAAAAAAAAAAAAAAAATAGAAAAAGTAAAAGTAAATTTAAAGTAAAGTAGATATAAGGTGTGTGTAAGTAAGAGAACATGATAGTTTTAAAAAGAAGATAGATAGGTATGTATATATATAATGTTTTAAATATTTACATGATTGATTGTTATTCATTTTGAGACTTGAACGATTAAATGATAGATTTAGATTGTTGGTGTTGCTGATTATTGGTTGTTGGGTTGCTCTTCCTACTGTTGAGGCTGTAGTATTTGAAAAAAGTGTACAAGCTCTTCTAAACATAATAGTGAAATGTAATTATTGATGAGTTTGAAAAGAAAGATACTAATGGAGAGTAAATTTGCGGGAGGTTTGATTTTTTTTAAAAATTAAATAAAAAAAAAAAAAAAAAAAAAAAAAGAAATGAAAAAAATGATTTTTTTTGTTAATATCTAGTTTGTTTATATGTTTAACCAGGGAAACTTACAATTTAGTTAAATAATATATATTGGTTTGATTAACAAAATCTAGAACTAGTTTGTCATGTTGGGAAAAACTTTTTTTTTTTTTTTTTTTTTTTAATTTTTTTATTTTTGCAGTTGCAAGATCAGTTGTTGTTTCGAAACTCCTCTTGGTTTAATTAACAATAATTCCATCAAGTATACTTTTCCTTCTTTTGTGTTCACAGCCTTTACTTTAGGTTTATGTCTCTTTTGGTGGTCTTTGGGTCAAACCAAAAATAGGATATAGACTGTGATGGGAGAGATGGGAGGATTAATCTGGGATGTGTGTGAAAGGGGGGGGTGGGGTTCGATAAAGACAATATTAAAATTTTTAAATGATTAAAAGCTGTACTAATTTTGTTTTTTTTTTTTTTTAAAATAGAGAGAAATAATTCAACAACATATAGATACCAGTAGTATATTAAATATAAAAACTATACAAATATAGAGTGTTTTATTTAGCAACAACAAAAAAAAAAACATTTTTTTTATTTTATTGGTCATCCACCTCAATCGACATCAACACCCACCAACAATTTAATATAATATATTATTTTCTATTTTTTTTTTCTCTCAAGTAATAATTTAATTGTTTCTACATCTACTAGTATCATTAAAAAAAAAACAAAAAAAAAAAATGACAGAGAGATCATTAAAACAGACTTGTTTAAGTTATTTGTTGCAAAGAAGAGAATCAATACCAAAGAATGTAAACATGATATGTGAGATACCAGAGATTAGAGAAGAATTTGTAAATTTATCAAAGAGAAAGAACTTGGTTGATGATCAATTCTTTTCAGTATTTGGTGACATCTTTATTGGAGGCAGTGGGAATAATAGTTTTAATCAACAACACCAACAATCACAGCAATCATTACATCAACAGCTACAACAACCACAATCACAACAAGCATTACATCAACCACAACAGCAACAACAACAACAACAACAACTTATTCCATCTCAAACACCCATACAGACAACTGCATCGGCATCTACCTCTTCATCTTCTTCATCTGCCCCATCATCAGGTCAATGTCAAGTTGGTAGTCAAAATGGTGGTCAAATCAATATTGGTCAATATTCAAATAGTAGTAGTAGTAGTAGTGGTGTTAATATGATATCTTCAAGTGCAAATCAAGGTGGAGGAACAAATTCTCAAACTCTATCTTCTGTTGTCCATTCCAACAGCAATATCAATACTTGTACACAACAACAACAACAAAAAATGGAAAACGGTCATTTTCCAATTGTTTCGAGTGACAATGACATAGAAATGATTCCCTCTTCAATTCAACAACAACAACAACAACAACAAAATCATTCAATAACTAATAATAATCATCAAAATAATAATTATAACAATACTATTAATAATCAAAATAATAATAATAATTTAATTGTTCAAGAGATAGATTTATCATTATTAGGAAGATTAACAGATATATCTATTCAATTCCTTACAAAGTACACCAATTTGGTTCATTTGAATGTATCATTTTGTACGGGACTTTCAAGTGAATTTGTTAAATTTTTAGCAGCAGTGCCAGAGATACAACTTCAATCATTGAATCTTTACAATACCAACACCACCGACACTACTCTTCAGTTAATCGTATCTACATACTCTCATTCCCTTCGATCGATTGTTTGGGTAATTGTCAAGGGATATCCGACTCTGGTATTAAGCTTCTACTCAAGTGTACCCAGCTTCAACACCTTGACATTTCTCATTGCCGTAAATTGACATCTGCCACAACCAAAAATCTAACGTTCCCAAACCTACTCCATCTGAACGCATCATGGATACCAACAACCGAGACCAAGGAATCCTCTTTCCATAAATGTGTCAAAGCTTGTCCCAAGCTCACAACACTCACAATTGCAGCAAGTGGTATTTCCGAAGCAGAACTCTTAAAGATATTGATCGAAGGTGGTAAAAGATTACTCAATTTAGATATTTCCTACAGTCCAAACTCAATCACATCGATTGATAGTAAAGTTTTTAAACACATGTCACAACTTCAATCACTGACATTGGCTGGTTGTAGTTTTAAAGAACCAATACTCCGTCGCATCATTGAATCTACACCAAATCTCAAAGAGTTGGATATTTCTCACCAAGATGGAGTATTACCTTGGAGCCTTCTCATGTACATTGTGAGTGACTCTAATATTCTCCAACACTTGCATATGATCAATCTCTCTCAATCAAAGTTTGATAAATTTGACATTGAAACTCTTTTACATTATCCCAATTTGAAAATTTACTTACCATCAGTTTAAAAAAAAAAAATATATATATATAAATATATAAAATTAATTAATTTAATTAAATTCATTCCACAGGTTGGATGAAATTATAGAAATTAAATAAAATATAATAATAATAATTTGTTTTGAATTTTTTTTATTTTTTTTTTGCCTTGTCATCATTTTTTTTTTGGGGCACTAGAAAAGAGAGTTTCCACGCCTTTTTTAAAGCCAATCAATATATTTGTATATTAAAATGAAGAGATGGATATTGTTCTTATTCATGGTTTTATTTACTGTGGCTTTGGCTATAAACAATGAACAACATAAAAAGAAAAAAGAGTTAAACAATAATAATCAACAACAACAACAAAAGAGAGAAATATTAAATAATTTAGATGAAGATACAAGTAGTTCAGATGTAACAGATGAAAAAGAAACCCAACAACAACAACAACAACAACAACTCAAGTATAACAAACAACTTATTCAAACTCTATTGAAATTACAACAACAACAACAATCTGAAAAAGATTTAAATGATGATCACAACAAAAAAAAGAAGGACTCTGAATCTTTACTACTTGAACTACAGCAAGATTCTTCTTCTTCAACAATGAATGAAGATGAAGATGAACAAGAATATGGGACCGACCAACTAGTAATAGAGATTTCATTAGAAGAATTGATCGATAGAGTACACGATTCCGAAGGAAGTGGGGATGTTTACGAAGAGTTAAAAAAAATGGTTGGTGAAGCTCAAAACAAGAAAACCTTGGACCAGTTATTGTCACAGTCAACACCCACAGCTGCCACCACCGCCGCCACCACCACAACTACCTCTCCCACTACAGCCTCACCTTTAACAGATCCAATACAAAAACAAAAGGAGAAACAAGAGTTGGATCAAACATTGCAATTCATGCACAACAAGATGTTTGGGTTTGAGGATAAAAGTTTTCTATTTTCACCAACCAACAGACAATCGGACAAGATACCTTCTCCAATAGAGAAAACACAATTTTCTCTATTACCAGGACACGAACAATTTATTCTTGGTCAACAGAAACGTGGATTCAATTTAATTGCACAATCTTCTGAAAAGGATACCTTTCAATATGTTGGTTCGGAAAATATTGATATTGAACAATCTATACAGCTTTTAACTGAATCTGCAAATCTTGGAAACCACAAGGCAATGTACATTCTTGGTACAATGGAAGAGGTAAATCAAAAAAAGAAAAAGATATCAAATAGACAGTATAAATGAAACTAAAACTTTCTTTATTTTTTTTAGATGGGAGAAATAGGATTTATTAATTTTACAAAAGCAGTAGAATGGTACCAAAAAAGTGCAGGTTTTGGGAATCCAGAGGCACAATACTCTCTTGCATTCCTATATTCAACTGGCAAAGGAGTTGAAATGAACGAGGCCAAGAGTATACTGTACTTGACATTTGCTGCCAGATCTGGACATATAGTTTCAAAACTTGTACTTGGCTATAGATATTTCTATGGTCACGGAGCCCCCAAATCCTGTCAAAAAGCAGCCCAACTTTATGAAGAGGTTGCCAAATATGTAGTTGATGAGCACGAGTCTAAGGGATTTCTTCACCAACTTGAAGTAGAAAGATTTTCAGACCGCCAACAACACATGAAATCCTCTCAACCAGAGGAAGAAAGTGTCGTTGACTTTTTCAAGTATTCAGCATTGTCTGGTGATGTACATTCTTTAGTGACAATGGCCAATCTTTATCTTCAAGGTGGATTTGGCGTAGCCCAAGATTTGCAAGTAGCTTTTAATTACTATCGTGAAGCTGCACAAAGACAATATCCACAGGGAATGGCAGGTCTTGGATTTATGTATTCCAAGGGCTATGGCATCGAACAAAGCAATGAAACCGCTGTATTTTATTATAAACGTGCTGCAGATTTGGGAAATGTTGGAGCAAAAACCAATTTGGGCGAAATGTATTTGAATGGTTGGGGCGTCTCTCAAAATGTAAAGATAGCACTGAACCTATTCACAGAAGCAGCCAACAGTGAAGACCCAGAGGCAGTTGGAGCTCAAATCCAACTTGGAAAAATGTATCTCTCTGGGCAATACATTGCAAAAGATCTTGGAAAAGCTTTGGGCCTATTTCAGGCTGCTGCTACTCAAGGAAACTTGGTAGCCATCTATTACTATGCATCATTAAGTCTTGCCCAACAACCAACACCAACATATTGCCAATCCGCCGTTCTTCACTTCAAACGTGTTGCCGAGCGTGGTCCATGGTCTCAAATCTTGACACAAGCCCAACAACTTTTCGATCAAGGTGATGATGAACGTGCTCTTTTATTCTTTGAAAAGGGTGCAGAAATGGGAATAGAAATCGCTCAAAATAATGCTGCTTGGATGTATGATCAAATGGCAAATGAAGATTATCATCACAATAATAATGAAAATAATGATAATAATGAAAATAATCAAAATAATAGTAATAGTAATAATAATATTCCAATCGATCAAGAAATAATAATGATTGATAAAATGGTATTTAGATATTATTCCCATTCTGCTGAACAAAACAATCCAATTGCACACTTGAAATTGGGTGACTATTACTACTATGGTCGTGGTGAAGAACCTATTGATCAAGAGCGAGCAGCAGATCTTTACCAACAAGCAGCACACTTACAAAATGCTCAAGCACTATTTAATCTTGGCTACATTCACCAATTTGGCCTTGGTAGACAACAAGATTTATTTCTCGCCAAAAGATATTACGATATGGCATTAATGTATGAGCCTAGTGCCTACATTCCAGTATATTTGGCCATGTCTAGTTTGTGGGCTCAATACTATTATCGTTTCATTGCCTCCTACCTTTATGGAGTACATGACCCACTTTTGGACCAAAACACAAATCATCAAACCATTTTGATCAATAATGACAAGGTCGTGGGAAATGACGATCGTAGCGTCAATTACGATCGACTAAAGAAACAATCGCAAACCATTGAAGAAGAAGACGACGAATCATTTGATTTTTTTTCAGTAGATTCTTATTTAATTTGCATTGTGGCAATTATATTTTGTTATTTGGTTGTTCGAAGACAAAGATTATTACTTAGACAAAATCAAAGACAACCACCTCCACAACAAAATTAAATTTTAAAAATAAAAATAAAAATTATTAAAAAAGACAGAGATGACTTGTTGTTGTTGCATATTTTATTTTATTGTATTTTATTTTACTTGTTTAATACAATTTTAAAAGGTAATTTTAGTTTGGGAATGTTAAAACTTTTTCTACTTTGTGTTCCATCTTCTCTTTCTTTTCTTTCTTTTTGTTTTCTTTCAATCGTGTTTTTGATGAGAGAGAATATGTCCAATTGTTTTGGTATACCTTTTAGATTAATATTTAACTTTTTGAGGGCACCAAGATCGGGTCTGAGGTTGGCAAGATTGATATTTTTTAATGCATTCTTGAGACCCAAAGGATCAAAGTTTCGAACGCCACTATTAATTGCTTCTCTATAGGCCATAATAATAATGATAAATCTTTCAGATTGTTTATCAATTGCCTTTTGAGTTAGGCCCTCGCCGTCAATATAGAAAAACTCTCCAAAACATTTAACCATTCCATCTATCATATCCAATTGATAACTTGATAACTCTAAATTCTTATTTTTTGGGAATATCATATCATCTAGAATCTATATAAAAAAAAAGAAATTAGAAAAAATCTGAAAATTTTTGATTATATTTCTTTCTTCTTCTTCTTACATTAATGATACCAGCCCAAAGTCTTTTTAGTAATTGTTTTGTCAAGGGGTAGTAAAGATGTTGAGAAAACAATTGCAGTTTGGAAGCAATGTACTGGAGAAGTGGGGTGAGTTGAACAGAAACTGGCATTTGATTGTTGGTATTTGATAGCTGGTCGATATTCTTTTCGATTTGTTTAAAAAATCCAACTACAAAATTTTTGGATTTATCCAAATCTATACCTACAATATTATAAATCTCTCCAATAATAACAGGTGATAACTAAAAAATATTAAAATTAATATATTTTAAATAATTTCTCTTGATTTCTTTCATACTCTATTATAAATTCGGTCAACCAAGGTTCTGACATTATCATTGATAGCTTTATATGTATGACGAGACATTTCATTTACAATGGATGGTGACAAACGATAAGATGCCATAATCCTCAAGAGGACAGAAATCAAATCCTCTGTATGTCCGAGACAAGCTTGAATATTATTAAATCGTAAAGAGACTGTTTGGATGGTTTGTACCAAATCTTGGCTGTAAGAGTCTGAAAGCAAAAAGATATCGTCAGCTGCCTCGTCCAAAGCCTTGAGAGAAAGGTCGCGAATAACAGTAGTATAGTAAATAATACTCTCTGAAATGACAACTGTAAAATTGGTAAAGATTTCAAACAATGAGTGCTCGCCATCTTTGTGGAATTTTTGAAAGTCCTCCCATCTAAGAGATTTGATGACATCCAATGCATGATAACATCCTAAAAATACCTCCCCAACAGATTTGCTGTGCAAAGTATCATCGGAAACTGGTGTCCACTCTTCATTTTGACATAACTTATCAATTAATTGTTGTAATTGATCGGCTGAATGAAGTGTCCACTGTAAAACACATTGTTTAAATAAAATTGGAATTGGTAAAAGTGCCAGTCTATAAAGAAGAAAAAAAAAAAAAAAATCAATAAGATTGAAATTAACAAGAAACTTAATTGTTTACATACTTTTGGTCAATATCTTTAAATTTAATCATAGTTTCTTTCAACTTGAAATACAATTCTAGAAATTCTGTCAACTCTTGAAGATTATTTGCCCCATGTTCTGTTAGTTTGTCAATTTCTTTTTCCAATAGATCATTATACACTTGAATGGAAACAGTTAAAATATTAACTTCACTTGTCGGAAAGTCTCTTGCAAAATATTTAACATCGATATCCAAGTTGGCCAATAAAATATCGCAAACCCTTATGATCGTGCTTGCCCTGCCCAGTTGAGTGCCTTTGGTCATGGTTTGGGCCATAATGATTGCTTGGTTAAATCTCTTTTCGTACATTTCTTTGATAATGTGCGGTAATGGTGTTAGTTGACATAGCTCGCTGCTACGTAGGAGGTAAAAAATATCTATGAGCATTCGTAATGAACCAGTTGGGGTGTTTAGTGGAAAGACAGTGTGGAAATGTGAAATCCAAGTGTTGCATGCAACTGATAACTTTTCTACCAGTTCCTTTAAAATCTTTTCCTCTATTATTGTTAAACCACAAAAATCACTAAACTTGATCTCCAAAATATATTTTAATATTCCTCTAACCTCTGGTATATATTCCAATGCCATGTCATCAATAATCAATTTAATTAAGTATTCTACCAAACTAAAAAAATAAATAAAAATAAAAATAAATTTTAACAATGATCTTATTTGTTTGTTTGTTTGTTTGTTTGTTTGTTTGTTTGTTTGTTTGTTTACTTACATTAATTTTGTTGTATGTTCCAATAAACCATATCTTTCTGCGTAATCCTTTAAAATTTGTGTCGATTGGTTTGAAAGTAAAGATATTGGTTTGGTAATGTCAATTGCTTTTCGACGAAAAGGTAAAACTCTATTGGCACCACTTAGATTATTTGGGCTACTACTATTGGGTGAACCCGATCCAATGTCACTACCCTGTTGTTGCTGTTGTTGCTGAATATCAATTGATAATAGTTTTTCCAATAATATTCTATAGTAATGGAAATGGTTTGGATAGGGTGACTTTGGATCGGGGTAATCGAGAAAATGAAACTGTAGTTTAAGATCACCACTGACTTTTGATCGAGAGGATCTCTTTTGCAAAGGAACCCAACTTACTTCACGCTTTACATAGTTCATTAATTCTCGAATGGTAAATTTACATTTGCCAAGGAATACTTTGGATGATTCGGTACCTTGACCATCCCAAACACTAAATTCAATTTCAAGGTTTTGATTTTGTTTTGTTATTTGACTAATAAATAAATATATTAGTATAAAAATTGGTTGTTGTAAATGTTTTCTTTCTTACAAATTAAAATGTTCTTTCCATACTGGATTTAAGCCATTCACTTTTCTGGTTCGTTTTTTTTCATTTTCAAATTCGATTTCAATATGAGGTTCTGGTTTGACTATACTACCTTCTTTGTTGATGAGGTCACGAGCTTGTACTACCTTGATTGCAATGACACCAATCGTATCCTTTTCCTTGTATTTAATTCCCCATACAGACTTTAAATATTCTTCCTTTGGTTGCAACTGTTGTGATAGTTTCTGTAAATTGTTTTCTTCAACCTTTTTCCATTGTAAAAATGATTTGTCTGAAGAAAAATTGGCTCTTCCATAAAATGGTCTTGAATCAATGTTCATCTTTCTATATTTTAAATGAAACAAGAAAAACTAGAAAATAAAAAAATAAAATAAATCAAAAAGGGATTCTTTTTGTGATTAATATTTGTTTTTTTTTTTTTTTGTTTTTTTCAAAACTTACCTCTTTGTTACTGAGAGACTTTGACTTTTGACGAGCAATTTTTTCATGATAGGTATCAAGTTTCATTGCTTTTGAAATGATTTTGCTTTTTTCGATAGACTCTACCATCTCTACCGATTGTGAAAGTATGTAATTAAATTTTTGGATGGCATCATTAAAAAGTGAAGAGTCTTGGTTGCCCATTTTCTTTAATTGCTCTGTTAGATGAGCATTGAATTGTTTTTGAAGATGAGAAAGTGAAAACTCGCTAGCATCACGAAGCCCATTTGATAGAGTCTCTTCAATAAATCTATCCAAAGCCAAAGACAATGCAGAGAATCTCTTGGCATCGTTTGCCTCTTCTGCCTTTGAAATCGAACGATAATAGGTAAAGATATCAAAGAGACATGTGAGAATCGATTTTACATTACTTGGATTGTCTTTGATTATATGTATGAAATAATTGTCCATCTGTTGAATGACATCTTTCTTCATTGATGATAACCCAAAAAAGATACAATGATGAATGTATTCAAATGCTGCCACTGCATCTTCTTCTTTGATACTAGTACCAGTTGTTGTTTGGTTGGCAGAAGCACTGTTTTTCATTAACATTGTCAATCCTTGACCAGATGACGATGATGAAGAAGCATTATTTAAAATACCAGCACCATTGACAATGGTACTAGAAGTAATGGATGTACTTGTACTATCTCCAAAAACTAATTGTGGTGGATCTATCTTGATTGTCTTTGAAAAGAGGTGTGATTGTTAATAATAATAATAATAATAATAAGAAAGAAACATTTGAAATCATCTTGGTCAACATACTAAATCTTTTGAGGCATAGTTCACTTTATTATCAGCACAAGATGTCCACATTGAGAATAAACCCTCTTTGATAGCCTTTGCAGAAAAGTCAATCTCTACACGATTCTTTACCAATGATGTCTTTACAAGATCGATATTGGGAACACCATTTGACATCAAAGTAGGTGATAATAGATTATTTTGTAGTTGTTGTTGTTGGTGTTGTTGTTTTACAGGTGTATTTAAATTATTATTATTATTATTATTATTACTATTATCTATAATATCTGCAGCTTCTAGAGAAGAAGGAGAAGTGTTTGCGTTGACACTTGTTTCTCCATCATCTCCTTCTCCTCTCTTTGTACTCATATGTGTTATGAGTGTACTCATATCTATCTTTCTCTCTCTCTTTCTTGATTTCTTTTTTTATTAATCGATTTCCCCAATCCCACAGCAGAGTGACAAAGGGGGTGAAACAAACGTTGCAAAAAAAAAAAAACCCAATTAAATTAAAAATTCCTAGAATACGGAAGTTCATGGAGAAAAACAGCAAATTTTCGTATTTGTTTGATTGTCATTTTCTTTCTTTAATTAACAATAACAAATATTATGTCTACAGTACCAACAACCCAATCATCGGGTCCACAGATCATTACAACCTCTCTCTTATCACCCAGACCAACAACTCTTCAAATAAAAAAACAGACAACTACGCGAAATACACAACAAATCAACCCATCAACTGTAAATATCCCCTCACATACATTGCCAGCAACTGCAACAACAACAACAACAACAACTGCAACAACAACACCTTCATCGTCATCGTCAACAACATCTTCATCTGTTGCCAAACCACCAGCCCCAGTCCAACTCAAGACGTCACCAACCAAAACCATTTCTCTAAAGCCTCCACAAAAACCATCATCGCCACCAACAACTCAACCCGCAGTTCCATCTCTCAATCAACCACCACCACTGAAACCTGCATCTAGTTCTCCATCAACTGTTGATGAACCTGCACCAGTATCTACTCCCGTTGGGAATTCACCAACCGAGTTGACGATTATAAAATCGATTCATCCTCTTGATAGTGGTGTTGCTACCGATAATGCAAATAATCAAATTGACACCCCCTCTCCGCCCTCCCCTTTTTATGATGTCGCTCAACTACAAACCACGACTGATGCAACTACCGCAACAACAACAACAACAACAGAGAATCCTGCCATGGCAATTGTTTCATATGACAACATTGAAAGCATAGATGCCAACTCTTCTAATAATAACGATAGTGTCATTGTCATAACCAATAATAATAATAATAATAGCAATAATACACCAAAACCCATTTCCGACTCTACTACTCTTGGAACAAAACACCTCTCTACCACAAAACAAACACAAGAAAAGAGAATTACAGAGTTGGAAAAAGATTTGGAAAGAGAAAGAAAAAAGGTACAAGCATTGTCTACCCAACTTAAAGCACCATCCAATTCAATTAAACCAAATTATAATAATCAAAATAATCAAAATAATAATAACAACAGTAATAATAATCAAACCAATAATGTACATACTAAAACTCCATTGTATAAACAACAAACTACAGCACCTCGAAACATTGTAAATTTTTTACCCAACCAACAACAACAACAATCAAATCATAGAATAGTTGGATCAAAAGATAAAAGTAGACCAACCAACAATAACAATACTACAGTCAGTAATGCCTTTGATAACTTGAAGAAGCAAAAGCTGACCCACGAATTGGAAGATGAAATTGATCCAATTGACTCACAATCAGATAACAGCTCTGACAATAGCACGATTTTGTATCATCAACCACAACAACAACAACAACCTCAACATCTAAACTCACTAATCCCCAAACAACCATCATCAACAAGCGTAACAACCATTACCACAACTACCACCCAAGAGAATGAAGACATCAAGAGAGTAAACGAAAAGCTTCGATTACGTTTAAAGAATGTAAAGAAGGCAATCAATGGAGAATTTGATTTACCAGAAACAAAATCCGACGAGCATATCAAATCCTATATTGGATCAACAATCAAATCAGAGTTTGAAAAACTTTTGCAACAAAACTCTAACAACAACAATAACAACAGAAACAACCAACAACAATTATTGGTTTTGGAAGAACAAATCAAGTTGCTCACTCAAGAAGTAGATTTTTGGAAATCTGAACAGGTAGCAGAGTCAATCAAGGTTGGAAAGCTGATGCAAGAATTGGGCGAAAGAAAGGCAAAAAATCGTCAACTATTTGAAAAGCTGGAAAGCACAGAAACGGCTCTTGACAAGAAAAACCAAGAAATCCTTTTAAACAAAGCAACCTCTGAAAAGGTAATGGAGGGATTATCAAAGGAAGTTGATATCAAATCACGTTCAATCGATCAACTCAAGGATATGTTGGAAAGAGAACGAGATAGTTTCCGTTGCAAAGAAACAGAATATGCCAATGAGTTGGCCATTTGGAAAGATGCTACCAAAAAAGCCTTTGACAAGTTAAATGAATATCAACAACTAGCTTTAGAACAAAAACAACAACAAACAAATCATTCACAGGCAAGTCAGAGTCAGAGTCAGACTGAACAAACACTAGATTTGGGTGCAAACAAAGAACAAGAGGCCGATAGCCATACATCATCATCGTCATCTCCCCAAGAAGAAGAAGAAGAAGAAGAAAACCAAAACAAAACACACAATGAAGATGATATTCTTGTTTCTCAATATCAACAACCAATTCAAGCAGCAGATGATCTCAGTATTACATTTGATTATGAATATGCCCCTTTGCCAAACCAACAACAAAACCAATCACAACAAGACCAACCCATGGAAGATTGTCAAGACAACACTTTATCAAAATATCAAGATCCACTGTTGCAATCAAATATGACGTTGACACAATTTATTGAATTAAATAAATAAATGCAGTTTAAAAAAAAAAAAAAAGAAGATAAGTAAAAAAATGTTTAAATCTTGAAAGAGATACATGTGTGCAGCTGATAAAGTGTCGAGAATTCTATTATTTTCGTTATTATTGTATTATTATTTGTGACTTGATTGTACATGATTATTGTTCTGTGATTATTTGTGTAAAACTTTGATTTGTTAATTTAAATTCCTCCATCTTCCATTGTTTGTCTTGTTAGAATATCCTTGACTGCATCAAATACAGCACTTATGTTTGTTGTATCTGTGGCAGTTGTGACATGTGTGTATATATCTAGAAAAAAAAAAAAAAAAAGGATAAATGATTAACAAAAGACTCTTTGATTCTTTTTTTTTTTTTTTAGTTCTTACTCTTTGGAGATTTGTTTGTTGCCAATAATTTCTTTTTAATAAAAGCAAGAGATTCTTCATAGTTTTGCTTTCCTCCATTGTAATCTGTAAAACAGACATTGATTGGGGTGCGTTTAATCTTTTCTTCAAATAGATCTCTTTTGTTGAGGAAGAGAATGATTGGGATGTCGACAAACCAACGAGCATTGATAATGGATTCAAAGACCTTGATAGTTTCAGACATACGATTAGTTGCATGATCTTCCTCGAGTACTTGATCATATTCACTCAAAGAGACGATAAATAGTATGGCAGTGACATCTGAAAAGTGGTGAATCCACTTGTCACGGTGTCCACGTTGACCACCAACATCAATCATACGGAAATTAATACCACGAACATTGAATTTGGTTTCAGATACTGCAGTGGTCATTACTCGAGTACATAAAATATCTTGATCTGTTGGTATATATTGATCAGCTATTAAACAAAATGTTAAAATAAAAATAAAAAATGAGTGATCAATAATGGATGGAGGGAGGAAGCATTTGTATACAAACATACTTGCAATTCTTGGGAGAGCATTGATGAAATACTCGGCAGAAGAGTGTATTTGGAATTTAGATCCACTATTTACAAGAGCACCCTTGATTGCATCATCCTTTGTCAATGCTTCTATATCCATAATGATTTGTAAATCTATATTGTTGAATGATTTTTCATCAACTTTATCAGCAATCTGGAAGAAATAAAAAAAAAGAAAAATAAAAAGAAACAATTAATATCCCAACTTTATCATCCTCTCTTTCTTTCTTTCTTTCTTTCTTTCTTTCTTTCTTTCTTTCTTCTCTTACAATTGAACAAATATTGTTATGCTTTGGATCGATTGAAAGTTGTAATATCTCGCAACCATTGATAAGAGAGTTCATAATCTCAAAGATATTTCTATAAATGACAGACTTGTGATTGATTCTATCTTCTTGTGTGTATCCTTTCATATGAATGATTTTCATCTGCTTTACAATGGTACTCTTACCAGAGTCACCTGTACCAAGCAACAAAAGCTTGAGTTCGCTGTCCATTAACTTTTTTTCATTCTTTAGTTGTCTTTCTATTTGTTTTGAAACCAACTTTTGCTCTTTCATTCTCAATAGTGGTGACTGAGGTGGAGTTGTTGTCGATGCTGTTGATGTGGTACTATTACTAGTAGTACTACCATTGTTGTTACCGTTCATCTTCTTTTGTGTTGTTGTTGGTGTTGTTGTTGTCTGTTGTTAACAATTGGTGATCACTCTTTTTTTTTCTATTTTTTGAAAATAACTTATTGTAATGATTCCTCCTTTTCTACTTTTTGTATTTCTCCTATATATAGGTTGGATTAAAGAGAAAGAGTACTGGATGGATGTAATTAGTTAATTATATATATATAAATATATAAAAAAATGAGAGCAAGTGTTGTAAAGGGTTGCTAGCAAAGATTGATTAAATAAATTATAAAAAAAAAAATTAAAACCCCTCACCAACAAAGGTGAAACGAAGAGGGTGGGTTTGATTAAATCCCCCTTCCCACTTTTTGATTTTTGTCTCTTGTCAAACTGTAATGGATCTTGGGATCTGGCCTGGAGAGAGAAGATGAATGAAAAAAAATATAAAAAAAAAGATTCAAAAATGAACTTGTAAGTCTCATTGAGAGAGAAAGAGAAAGAGAGAGAGAGAGAAAGAGAAAGAGAAGATGAATACTATAGTTTAAACAAGAGCTCTATAACTTATAGAGATCGAAATTGTTTGTCATCATCATTGATACTGTCGGGAGAAGGACTGTAGAATGAAAAAAAATATATGTTTTTGAATATTTCTTACCTTTAATTATTTTTGTGAAAGATAATATAAATATCTTTCATGGCTCAACCTTTGATGAGTTTTGAGAACATTTTCTTATTATTATTTTTATTATTTTTAAAAATATCTGTGTTTTTTTTTTTTTTGTGATTGCTCGATCAAAGGGAAAGCACAGGCCGATGCGCCGAGCTTGCGAACAAACGAGCGAAAATGTCATTTTTTTCGGATTGGTGACGGTTTTGTTGTGACAACTACTTTGAAGAGTGACCGTTGGACAAGTGAAAAGGTTTATTTATTTTTGTCTAAAAAAGAAATTAAATGCCAGCTTGGACATGAACATTTGGTCTGGATTGTTGGTAAGTGATCGAATTGAGGGTTCAATCAATTCTGGTGGTGCTTCTTCTTTGATTAATTCGGTGAGATAATCAACATTGAATTCAGGATGGCCCTGGAAAGTGAGAATATGGTATTTGGATGGATTCGATGGTGACTTTTTGACGAAACCTTGTGCCTGTGTTAGAGAAGTAGATCCAATAACAATAAAATCATTAGGTACAACTTGGACAATATCTTGGTGTATTTGTAATACTTGAATGCTATCAACATCTGTCAAGGTTGACAGGTCTGCACCATCTACAAGAAATGTTTGTTTATCTAAAGAAATCATTTCATTGATAAACTTTTTACCATCATTGTTGAGTTGAACTGTCACTTGTCCCAACTCCCATCCAAGTTTACTCTTTGTAACTTGACCACCAAGAGCATGTGCCAACGCTTGATGACCAAAACAGATACCGCATATCTTTTTGTCCGACTTGTCTAGATGTTGTAAATGAGTGCGCAGTTTAACGATCCAATTATCATTGTCATAACTATTTGCAGAGGAACCTGTCAACAGGTATCCATCAAATTCATTTTGCTCGTCTTCGTTTGGGAACTCTAAATTGACGGCATTATAGATTTTATAGTCAACCTCTGCAAACAAACCATAACCCTTGATAAAGTTTATGTACAATGAACTAAAATGATCTAGATCTTTAATATTTGGTTCTGTTATGACTATAGGGGGGTAATAAGAGTGTAGGTAAAAGGGGGAGATATATATATCAATGATCACAGAAAATACACCTTAATCAACATTTGATGGATGGTTTTGAAACATTTAAATCATACTTATGGCAATTTTCATTGTTGTAATATAATAATAATAATAATAATAATATTAAACAAACAAAACACCAACTGATCAAATGAAGTTTTTCACCACCCAACGTTTTTTTTTCTCTCTTACTTTTTTTTTAAAAAAAAAAGAAATCGAGATTTGAAAATCGAGAGAGGGTGAGAAACACCACTAATAACATAACAACAATTTTAAAATCTTTGGTTTTAATCTGTTTAAACATCCTTGTACACATAGATTTATTATTACTATTATTTATTAGATTGTAGTAGATAACAAAGAAAATAAAAAAGTATTCATTGTATGTAAGAATAGAGTAACAGCACAAACTATGTCAACAACGGTTGTTGTTGGTGGTGGTGGTAGTAGTAGTTGGGTGTGGTTTGTTGTTGGTTGGAGATCAATGATAGGTGTGGGTTATATTTATTACTATATACATAATCACGATATTATGTTACTGTTACTTTTAATTACATAATACGACCAATCATCAATAATCATCATCATCGTTGAGAAAGGAGCAGTTGATAATTAATACCCATATACCCCTCCCCCCCCCCCCCCCCCCCCCACATATATATGCAAACAATTAACTAATTTAAAAAAAAGTAAACTTTAAAGTTTAGGTTTAGGTTTAGGTTTTTCTATATCAACAATTATTATTATTATTGGTTACAACAATTGATTCAAAAAATGGAAGAGGACAACGCCATATTGGATAATGGAAAATTAAAAGATAGTAGCGAGGATTCAGAGATTGAAGAATCAGAGGATATCGAGTCTGAGGAGGAAGAATCATCATTGTCAGATGATGAAGAAGAATCATCAGAAGAGTCATCCTCTTTATCAGATGATGATGACGACGACGACGAAGATGACTTATCAGAGTTGGACATTAAAAAAGAAGACTCGTTGCAAGTCAAGAGACTAAAGATTCATTTATTAAAGGAAAAAGGCAAAGTGATGGATGCAAAAGATACTATTGGAAGTTTGGTAGAACAGATAACTGCCTATAAACAGTCAGTGGAAGAAGATAGATTGGATCTAGAGAACAAATTAAAACATGAAAAAAAGACAAAACTAGAGATATTTGGTATCTACAAGGACTTGGAAACTGAACGTGACAATCTAGAGAAACAACTAGAGTTGGTCGTTCAAGAGTGTGAACAATTGGAAAAGGAAAAACAAGGCATGTCAAAGGAAAATATAAACAATCTTCAAACTCTTATGAACGAGATTACAAACATTGAAGAGTCAAACCTTCAGTTGGAGAAAGAATTGGAAAAGGAACGTCAAGATAATCAACAACTTTTGATTAAATTAAATGAACAAACAAAATTGGTAGAGTCTTACAAGGAAAATGAATTAAACATTACTGCACCCAATGTTGGAGGAAATGATGCCATCGTAACGCAACTAAAGAAACAGCTGCTTGATGCACAGTCCTTGTTGAACAAGGAAAAGGAAAAATTGGCAAACCTCGATAGTCTAATGTTCCAAGCTCGTCGTGTCATTGGATTGACTACAGACAGTGGATTAAATTCTTCAAGTACTACTGCCGAACAAACAATCGAAATCAATAATCTTAGAAATGGCATCATGGAGGAAAAGACAAATCATCACAAAACATCTCTTTTATTGGAAGAGGAAAAGAGACGTTCAGATCTCAACAAAAAGACGGCTGATAGTCTTGTTGCTCGTATTAAAGAACTTATTTCTTCTCAATATGAAACAATTCAACAATTGGACGATGAAAAGGACAACTCTTCACTTCTTGGTCAAGAAATTGAAAAATTAAAAGATCAAATCAACATTTTACAACAACATCAACAACCAAAACAACATCATCAACAACAACATCAACAACAACAACAACAACTGTCACCACAACAACCACAAATACAACACACTACTGGATCTAGTGAAAATAGTACACCAACCATTGTACAATCACCAAGTTTAGAGTTTAGTGACTCGTCATCTTCAACAAGCAAGAATGGTGGCTCAGAAAGTAGTCAGCATGCTGCACAATTACAGGAAGAAACCATGACAGCTGTAACTGCATTGCCAGACCCACCAAATAGTGACCCTACATCAAGACCTTCGTCATCGAAAAACTCAACAATACAAGACCCATTTATCGCAAAGTCTGCCAACAATCATCGTGTATACAAAACTATAAGAAGAAATCAAACCATTAAATTCATCAATGAAATGGGAGGGGACTATCCTGTAATCGAAAAACAAACTCCTCCTCCTCTTGCCAACAACAACAATAACGCACAACCAATCACCACCATCACCACTACCACCACTATTCCTTCATATTCATCTTCGTCGACACTTCCAAACAATCAATCGTCAACCATTTCAAAAGAAGCCAACGTCGAGAATAGAAAAATTGGTGCCAATTTTAATTTTACTCCAAATAGCTTTGGTATTGCCACCAACGTATCAACAACATCTCATCAAGTGTTGGAGAGAAAATCTAGTATCATATCGAGTGGTACCAACTCTACCAAAGGCAAACGTGATAAAAAGTTGGAAAAAGAGATTAAAGAAATCACAAAGCGAATTGAAAAGGAGGAAAAGAAAAAGCAGGCTGCCAACAAAAAATTAAAAGAACAACCACCACCACCACAACAACAATCAACGGCAGCAGATAGTACTAATAATAGTCCATCAGCCGTATCACCAAGAGAAAGATCAGACTCTACCAAGGATCTATTGACCAACAACAACAACAACGCCACTTCTTCTTCTTCATCATCATCGTCATCATCTTCTTCCAACAACAACAATGACTCTATTAAAGATTTACCAACCTATTTACAAACTTCAGAGGCAACAATGGAAGGAGGAAGTGTTGGTAGTGGTTCATCAGGAAGACAATCCACCAAAGATAAAAGAAAATCGATTTGGTTTTTTAACTAATATTATTAGTTGAAATCATCGATTGAATGTATGAATAGATATAGATAGATAGATAGATAAATAAGCGACCAAATGAGGAACATCTCGAAAAAACCAATAAATTATGTATTTAAATCAAGACCAAATTTATTTATTGTTGTATGGTTGCACTACTACTACTGGGTTGATTAAAATGTTTCAATACAAAGGTAGAATAAAAGTTATCGGGTTTTGAAGCCAAGGTCTTGTGATTGCCTTGTTCGACCAATCTTGATTCATCAAATACCAACACATGTTCGGAACGTATTAGAGTCTCTATGCGATTGGCTTGTATAATGACGGTCCTGTATTGCATCAACTGTTCTAGTGGCTCCAATAATTCATTTCCAGAATCCAACATACATGAACTTTCATCAATCAAAAGAATGGTAGGGTCTCTGAGGAATGCTCTGGCAAGAGATATCTTTTGAATATGAACTGGTGCTAGTCTCTCACCCTTTCCAATCATACTGTCATATCCATGAGGCAATCCAATGATAAAGTCATGTAAATTGGCTCTTTTACATGCTTCTATTATATTTTGTGTAGATAAATGTGATAAACCATATCTTATATCTTTATAAAAAAGAGAAAAAGAAGGATTAATAAAAAATCACTATCTATCAACTAGATGTTTAAAAAATTTACATACTTTGTTCAACAGTGCCTTCAAAAATGACGGTATTGGCTGTTATTGAATAAAGCTTTGATCTGAAATGACCCAAGTCAACAGCTTTGGAATCCACACGTCCAATCAACACTGATCCTCTTGTTGGATAGTAAAGACCTTGGATGAGAGAAAAGATAATTTCCTTGGTGACAGACGTAGATGGGCCAACTATTGAAACAATAGTCTTTTTCTCGATTGTAAAAGATACGTTGTTGAGAAGAATAGATCCACTCTTGTGATGGAATGATACTGAATCAAATGTAATAGCATTCTTTGCGTCGCTTGAAGGTACAACCCCACCTTGGAATGATACTAATGGTCTACGATCAATCAACGAGAAAACACGTCGGCTGCTAGATATAATCTTTTGAAAATCTGCAACAACACCCAATACGCCACTGGATGATATTATCAACATTAAAGCATAAAGAATATATTGGAATATTTTCATGTCTCTAAATAGAGATTGATAAAGAATAAACAAATAGGTTGATACTAATAAAAATAATACAGAAAATCCTCCAATAGCCTAGATTAAAAGAAAAAAAAAAAAAACAATGAGTAAACAATGTCCCATCCATATTTGATATTTGTTGTACAACTTACAATCCAAAATCCATTGATAATTGTACTTGATTTTGAAGTACGATAAATAGTTTCCAACTCTGTTTCAAAAGCGCGCAATTCTTTACTCTCAGCATTTAATAATCTAATTTCCGTAATATTAGTGATGGCATTGTCAACCACTGATGAAGCTCTGCTGTACAACTCTTGAATGTATTTATACTTTGGATGTATAAAAGCCTTGAATACCAAATATCCCATGAAAAACAAACCTATAAACGATAAAACAAATATGGTTGTTCTCCATGACAAAAATAAAAGAATTAACAATCCTCCAGCCGATTGTAATAATCCTCTTGCCAATGTTGACAATGAAACTGTAACTATATTTTGTAAAACAAGCTAAAAAAAAAAAAAAAAAAAAAAAAAAAAAAAAAAAAAAAAAAAAAAAAAAAAAAAAAAAAAAAAAAAAAAAATTAATCAATTCAATTTCATTCATTATCATTTACTTACAGTATCAGATGATAGAGTAGCATTTAATTCAGATGATTTACTTTGATCAAAGTAGCCAATTTCTTGTGTCAATAGAGATTTGAATAGGTCTGCTTTGATTTTCGTTACAAAATTGAAACCGGCAATAGTGAAACAAACATAACGAATAAAAGTAAAAGGTATCTGTATAATGACAATAAATAAAAGATATTTTGATGATTCAAACCAATCAAATTCGCCACCATTATTGATTCCATATTGTTGTCTAATCTCTGTTTTGTTGATGTTTGGATAAGTTTCAAAAAATTGATCACTAAAAATCATCTTGTCAACAGTTTGTTCAATTTGTTGTGCTAGATATATTATAGGTAAGTAAGATGATGGATGGTGGGTTTAGAAAAGGGGTGGTCGGTCATTTGATTTGAACCATTTGATTCGAACCAGTTATATTTTAATCTTACCAAAATAATACGGCAATAACAATTGACATAGAGTGGTAACACCCAAAGAAATAAATGCAAACATGTAATACCAAAATTGTGGCCTGAGATATGAAAGTAAACGATAGAAACATCTTTTGGCAGAGTAATTACTATTAAATAACAGTTGTTCATCGTCATCTAAAAACATATTGGATGCTAAATCATCATCATCATCGTCGTCGTCGTATTGATCATCATGATAAAAACCTCGGTCATTGTAATTAGATCCTATTCTCGTTGTTGTAGTTGGATCTTCAATTTCAAACTGTACCATCTTTGTATTCTTTTTGTTACTGCGCATACTAGACATACCAGTGGTGGTGTTGGTGTTTGATACCATTTTAATACCATAATCTCCATTGTTTAATGATCCCTATTGAGAATAATAATAGGTTTAATTAATAACCACAGATATCTAATTGTTTCATAGTCATTTTTAATCCTACCAAAGATGATGCTAATATAGCTCCTGCTTTTCTACCATAGTTTTTTTGATTATATTTGTTGTTGATGTTGTTGTTGTTGTTGTTGTTGTTGTTGTTGTTGTTGTTGTTGTTGTTGTTGTTGTTGTTGTTGTTGTTGTTGTTGTTGTTGTTGTTGGTTAAATCTTCTTCTTCTTCTTCTTCTTCCTCCTCCTCTTCCTCTTGCAAGTAAGCATATGGACTGAGCTTATTTATATCTTTACTCATTTTTAGTGGAGTATAAGATGTTGACGAGTCTATTTCTCTCGATAATTTGTTATAACCGCCGGCGCTGCTAATTTTAAATGATTTTAATGATTACTTTTATATATACACATATATATATATATAGATAGATAGATATAGGTATATATATTACAAGCGTTTTTCATTGCAGTGTTTGTTGTGATGAAAAACTAGTTTAGTGGGTTGGGAGGGAAAAAAATAAAATAAAAAGCAAATTTTAAAAAATTAGATTTTTTGTATTTAAATTAATATTTATCACATGCCAACAGAATAAAAACATTTAATATTATTTAGGGCTCCTTATGTAGAGGAGTTCAGGAATTGGAATTCTGAATGATTTAATCAAATTTAATTTAATATTTCTTTTCAAAAAAAAAAACAAAAAAAAACAAATTCATTCAGACGACAAACCAACAAATTTTCGTTTATCTCATCTTCTTTATTTATTTCTATAACAAAAGTAGTACTTTACTTTTATACATCATGTCACGTCCAGAGCATGTAGCTCCACCAGAAATTGTAAGTACAGATGTTGTTGTTGTTGTTGTTGTTCTAATTCAAACCTTTTTTATATTATATTTAGTACTATGATGAAAGCGAGTCAAGAAAATATTCACAAAAGTAAGAATGATGATGATGATGATGATGATGATTGTAGTTGGTCAACAAACTATTAATATTTACCAACTAACTAACTATCATTCACTCACTACTATAATTAATATAGCTCACGTATTATAGATATTCAAAGTCAAATGGCAGAAAGAGCCTATGAATTATTATCATTGTCTGATGATAAAGAGGGATTACTTATATTGGATATAGGATGTGGTTCTGGAATTAGTGGTGATGTACTTAGTGATCATGGACATCAATGGATTGGATGTGATATCTCAAAGGATATGTTGAACGTTTCAGTGGAAAGAGAGGTGGTTGGTGATGTTATGCTCAGAGATATGGGTCAAGGTTTCCCTTTTAGAGCTGGTTCTTTTGATGCTGCCATAAGTATCTCTGCTATTCAATGGTTATGTAATGCAGAGAAATCACATCATAACCCAAGAAAGAGACTATTGGTATTCTTTCAATCATTGTTTCAAATTTTGACAAGAGGTGGAAAAGCTGTCTTACAATTCTATCCAGAGAGTTCTGCTCAAATCGAGATGATCACTGCTGCTGCACTTCGTTGTGGTTTCACTGGAGGTCTATTGGTTGATTATCCAAATTCTTCAAAAGCAAAAAAGTATTTATATATATATATATGGTTTGATATGGAATGATGATGATGATTATTTATTGACAATTTATTATTTAACCTATATATAGATATTTCTTGGTATTATTCACAGGTAGTACAGGAAGTCAATCAATGCCAAAAGCTAAAGGTGTTGATTCAAATTCAATTGAAGATGGTGGACAAACACAAGTGAAATATGTAAATAGAAAGAGAGAAGAAAAGGATAGAAAAAAGAACAAAGTGGCAATCAAAAGTAAAGAATGGATTTCATCAAAGAAAGAAAGACAAAGGAAGCAAGGAAAACAAGTCAAATCAGACTCTGTTTACTCTGGAAGATCAAGAGGTCCCAAATTTTAATGTTCACATTTATTATTTAATAAATATTTATATTCTTTATTAATCAATCCCTTAGATATATATCTAAAATTATATATTATATATCTTGTTCTTTAAAGATCACAATCTCAATTGTTAAACGACTATAGAGAGCTGCAGTGCAACTGTCGTTTTTCAATCTCCCCTCATTTTTGCATGCAACCACCAATATTAAAGGGGGTAGATCGAGATCGATAGCCTTTAATATTATTTTATTTTTGGCAACAATTCGGTTGATGTGAGTATATAAAAAAACAATGAGGATCCTCATTGCATTTAGCTTTTAAATACTAGTGTATAATAAATAAATAATTAGATAAATAATTAATTAAATAAATAAATATATAAAAGTCAAGGGTAAGAATAAATTAAACCAATAAGAAAACATCATTATCGATATGTTGTTCAACGTCATTAGTACCACCCTCCCCCTCCCCTCCCCCCCATTCACCATCCATCACTTAGTAGTAGTCGTAGTAATAGTAATTTAAATTGTGATAAGGCCAAAACTAGCTTATATGATACACATTGTATAGGGGCTATTGGTTTTTTTTTTTTAGTTAGTCAACAGCTAAACTATGCCAAAGATTTATCTCTTTCCTTCCCTTCGACACACTATTTTTTTTAACCGTTCTCTGAATAAAAATTTCAATCATTGCTCTCTCACTCAAAGCTGTAAAAAAAAAACCTCGCATCAAATGCTCTTCTTCTCATTCCCGCACACCTGCTTGTACAGTTAACGCACACACACACACATACAACACACATAACCCTAACCTAATACACCACCACCGTCTCTGCTGTTGAGCTCAAAGCAGAGAGAGAGAGAGAGTTTATACAATACTTTTCAAAATGTACTTACCAACCAAATCATTTTCAAACAATAGTAACAATAATAATAATAATAACAATAGTAGTAGTAATATCTCAAAGAATAATAATAATAGTAACAACATAGTAAATAGTAAATCACCATCTTCAAGCAATTTACTATCACCATCATCGTCATCAAGACCAGTTCCAGTTTTAGAAAGAAAGGCATCAAAAAGCTCATTGGTCGAAGAAATGAATAACGTATTGCAGAGATTAGATCTTAGAAGACCAAGTTTTGCTCACCCAAGTGTTGGACCAAATGGACTACCAATAATCGACGAGACCACATTGTCGTCGCCGTCATTGTCACCTAATGCCACTAGTATCCTATCTTCATCTTCCAGCAATTCCATAGTTGTTGATCTATCGTCATCTTCATCAATGACAACCGATCTCAACAACAATAGTAATGCTACTGGCAATATTCGTGTACACGATGACATTGACATTGTAGTGGTTGGTGACGAGGGTGTACACAAGGCCAAATTTATTTCAACCTTTTTGGGCAATGGCATCGAAAACGATCCAATGTCTGAGAATATGCAATCATGCAGGGCTGTCATGGTAAAGAATGGTACCTACAATGTAAATGTCCATAGTAATATTGGCATTGAAGATTTTTGGGGTATCAATGACCTTTACAATCGTCAAGGTCATGGCTTTATATTTGTATACAATGTCAATTCTCTAGAATCCTTTAATCTCTTTCAATCTTTGCGTGAAAAGATCCTCTATGACAAGGGTGTTGAAAATATCATAATGACATTGGTAGGAATCAACCAAGACGAGCAACTACAAAACTCTAGATTTATTTCATCAACACAACAACGCGATGATACATCAACGAGCAGCAGCAACAACAACAACATAAGAGAAGTTTCTTTTCAAGCTGCTAAAAAGTTGGCAGATATGTATAATTATTCCCTCATTGAAATCTCCACTTTTGACGATTCAGTTCAATCAGAGATAACTGGTTGTATGTCTGATCTCTTGAATCGTATCACCAATATTAGTAACAATAACAACAACAACAACAACAACAACAACGGTAACAATGGTGTTGGTCAAAACTCTTCCTCATCATCACCATCATCATCATCATCATCGCCTATTATTTCCTCTCAATCTCATCATCATGTTGTAACATTAAATCAATTAAATAGTAGTAACGGTATTAAATCAAATTCACCATCATCACCTTTATCAACATCAACCAATCCACAACTCATTAAAAGCAATAGTAATCTCAATATGAATAATCATATATCAATGTTGAATAGTAGTGGTGGTGGTGGTGGTGGTGGTAACAACAATAGCAACAACGCACAAAATGGATCATTATATAATAGTAAATCAACTTCATCATCCAATCTCCAAAAAGATAGTATGATAGAGGTGACAGTATTGGGTGATGTATTTGTTGGTAAATCACAATTCATTCAACGATGTCTTGGAAATCCATTTTCAAAGGTGTACCGAGAGACTTTGGAGTGGAACAAACATATCGTACAAAAAAAGTTGGATGATGTTCGTCATTTTATCAAAGTTACCGATACCCGTGGTCTAATGATAGAGGATTATCTCACAAGAGAGCGTCTAATGTCTAGCCAAGGATTTGTATTTGTATACAGTATTACATCTCGAAATAGTTTTAACATTCTCGAGTCACTACGTAAAAAGGTATTGGCCACCAAAGCAGCTGAAACCAAACTTCCATGTATTCTTATTGCAAACAAGTCTGATTGTCAGATGCTTGCTCGTCAGGTAAAGTCTGAAGAAGGTAGAGACCTTGCTCAACGTTGGGGATGTTCATTCTTTGAAATCTCGACACAAAACTGTGACGACGATGACATTCAAAAAATTGTCAAACATCTCTTGACAGACACTCAAAAGAGTTTCAATAGTCAATCAGACTTTGGCGGTGAATTTAAAAAAGAAGGATATCTTATGAAGGAAGGCAAAAAATTAAAGTCAATGTCTAGATACTATTTCAAGATTAAACGTGGTTGTCTCTACTTTTGCAAGAATCAGGCACACACCAAGAACATAAAATCGATGGAACTCTCAGATGCAGTGCAAGTACAGATACTCAACAATGGTACCAATGAAAAGAAAGATATCTGGCCATTCTCTATCGTCAGTACTGGTAAACATATGAATCTCATTGCTTCAAGTGAGGCTGATCGTGATGCTTGGGTTACCTCTATCAAAATCAACTGTTATGTCAATGAATTTATTAATAATATTATGGACGATGTGGTTGGTAATATGGTCAGTGAAGTTGCACAACAATCACAAATACAACAATCACAAATACATAAAAGATCAGATTCTCAACAGCAACAACAACAACCACCAAACTCTCCACAACCAACAACGTCCAAACCATCCCCCTCAAGTGTTGGAGGATTCTCTTATACTGCAGTTGCAGCAGCAGCAGCGGCAGCAGCAGCAGCTTCTCAAAATAATCAACATACACCTCTTTCGCTTTCACCGACCGACTCTTCTCCAACATCACCATACCTCACACCTTCACCACCATCATCTGATAGTTCATTGGGTGATTCTCCACCAAATGTATCTCAGTTATCAAATCAACAACAACAACATCATTTTACCAATCAGCTACCACCCTCTAGTCCACTAAAAAAGAATTCAAGTCTACTTCAACGTACAACGAGTTTTAAATCCAAATTTGGCCATTAACAGTTTCAATACATATACACACACACAAAAGGATCCCCTCAAAAATATTAAAATGGTATTAATAAAAACCAAAGATTTAAATCTAATATCTAGTCATCATTGCAATTATAAAATAGTTATTGTTTATCTTAACTCCTTTTTGGGGTTCTACCATCAGATTAGGTCATGACGTTTGCAGTCGATTTTTTTTCGCCAATCTTTGAACAAAAAAAAAACTGTTTTACTCACACAAATATTTGGTATAGTGGTAGGCACAATCGCATTAGTTTGTGTAACAGTAGTAATAATAATAATAACACACAAGTTCACTTTTTATTATTTATTATTAATAGTTTTGTTGTTTGACGACAAGCACATCAAGTCGCGACTACGACACTACAATCACAATCTACGACAATGTCTGTAACAGTAGAGGAACCTTGTAACAATACTCCAAAGTTTACTATTAGTAATAGTAGTAATAATAATAACAATAATGAAAAGAAACAACAAACAACAACAACAACAACGATGACTAATAATAAAAATAACCAAGATAGTTACAACAACAACAACTCAACAACAGACAAAGAGGCAGCATCTTTAGATGATCAACAATCATCTGTGCTAAAACAAAGATCCGATGACCTAAAATCTAGATACACATCAACCAAACGAAGACAAGAAATAATAAGTGTACTTTTATTCTTTGTCTTTCTTGCAATCTCTATTCAAAAGATGTTTAACGTCTTTTATGCTCAAAATATTTGGTTGTTCCTATCTGCTTCTGTATTGGCTATGGTTGCCGCCGACTTTTTCTCTGGAATTGTTCATTGTGAGTATAGACAAACTAGTAATGACAAAAGAGAGAGAGATAGAGAGAGATATATAGATATTGTTAAACACTAACACTACTACTACTACTATTTATTTCTAGGGGCTGCCGATACATGGGGATCATTAGATACACCTCTAGTTGGAAATAGTTTTATTAGATCTTTTAGAGAACATCATGTTGCACCAACAGCAATGACCAAACACGATTTCATTGAAACCAATGGTGACAATTGTATGTTGACCGTTCCAGTTTTGGCCTTTACTGCATTTGGTCCAATTATTGGTGACTCGACTTACAACTTATTCTTGTTGTCTTTTCTTGTCAAACTATCGTTTTGGGTCATGTTGACAAATCAAATTCACAAATGGAGTCACACCTACGATCTCCCATCCTATGTCAAGTTTATGCAAAGATATGGAATCATTCTTTCAAAGCCCGACCATGCTGTCCATCACAGAAATCCATTTGACAAATACTACTGTATCACCAATGGATGGTTGAATCCTTGGTTGGCTGGTATTGGATTTTGGAAGAGATTGGAAGAAATTATCACTTTGACTACTGGTGCCATCCCAAGAAAAGATGATCAAGCTTGGACTAATTAATAATTAATAATAATAATAACAAAACAACAACAACAACAACAACAACAACAACAACAACAACAACAACAACAACAACAACAACAACAACAACAACAACAACAACAACAACAAAGATCTTTACATTAAATTGTTAATCATATTTATTCTTACAAAGAATGACTAAACTTGTCTATAGTAATAGTGGTAGGTAGTAGTGGTTTTAGTCATTTATTTTATTTATTTATTATTATTGAGAAAAGTATTTGCAGTTTTGTTTGTTAGACCTATTGAACAATTTAAAGATTGCAAATGAAAATTAAACTTTTCACCTTGTCCTGCTGTTTGATTGTTGTTTTGGATGATACTGAGTCCAGAGAATGACATATAACTATGGAGTGCATCAGGAAAAGAGTCTGGTATCTTTGAGATACCACCAATGGCGGGGTGTTGGGCACCCAATATAAAAGATGATACCAAATTGGAATCTACCAAGTGGTAAGCACCCAACATATCGAGTGATGCACCTATCCAAAAGCTATAGCAAGTATCTGGATCTTTGTTGGTACGACCACTGAACCCAGATATTTGTTTCATTACCAACCACTGTACCAATTTTTCTCTCTTTACACTTTGTTTTGGAAACTCTTGATCAAGTAGTCCCAAAAGTGAAAGTGCTGCTATAGCACAGTAGGTTGATCCACCATGTGCCTCTTGTAAAGGTCCTTGTCCAAAGGCAAATTCATATCCAAAACTAGATCTAATATATTGGAGTGCCAAATCAATATCGATACCACTCCAATCTTCCAAGAGGAATGAGATTGCACAAGCAGTGTATAGATATCTCATGTCACTCTCACCACCACCAGATGCACCGACATAACTACCATCTGGTTGTTGAAGGTGTTTCATGGCATTGGTAATAGATTTCTTATTGACACGACCCAGATCATCTCTGAGTATTCTTAATATCATCAATGCACAATAACTATTGGCTAGAGTTGATTGATCACATGCCACTATTGGGTATGATTGACATAAACATAAAGATGATGAAGAAGGAGTAGAAGAGGATGTGGTAGACTGTTGTTGTTGTTGTACAGAATTATCAAATGGTTGTCCTATAAAGTTGGCACCTCTAAATCCACAATTGATAATATTATCATCTAGATGTAATCGTACGACAAATAAACAAACAAACAAACAAACAAACAACCAAAAACATATTAGTTAGTATACTAATATGATTTTAAGAGTATCAAATTGATTTACATACCTGGTTGTTGATAATAAGGTAATATTTGTCTAGAATATACAAACTCTTTAATTTGAGTAGATAGAGTATCATCAATCTCTTGATCCAATCTATCTAGGATATCCAAACCAGATAGCATAAAGTAAACTATAGATAAATGATTAGGTAGTGCAGAGGTATATGGTGATGGCAGTGCCATCAAATTTCTCTTTATATATTTAATATGTTTCTCTATTTCAAATGATTGTGACATTATTTGTGTGTGTTGTGTAGAATAAAGAACCAACTTCAAACAACCAACTTGAGGTTCTTCACCATGGCAACCAATAAATATATAATTAATTTTTTTTTAAATATTTTATTTTTTAAGGGGTTTTGAGAAGATCTTCTGCATGTTTATTGTTTTAACCTAGAGTATATAGATAGATAAGATAATCAGGTCAATGGATAGAATAAAAGAAATTTCAATCATAAGAGGTTTGTATATATATAAATAGTCATCACTAGACTTTTATAAATCTCTCCGCTAACCAACACTACTACTACTAATCATTCATTCATTCTATAGATGGTCTGCCATCAAAGGTATGGTATTTAGCTTGGAATCCCCAAGGAACTCTGTTGGCTAGTTGTGGTGATGATAAATCAATTCAAATATGGAAACAGGTTGACGTAGTTAACGATGTTGATGATCAACAACAACAACAATGGGTAATGGCAGCAAAGTTGGATGTACACGAAAAGACTGTAAGAAGAATCGCTTGGTCTCCTGATGGTAAATTGATTGCTGCTGCTAGTTTTGATGCATCTACATCTATATGGGAGTTGTCTGATGATATGAACGACAATGAAAACAACAACAATGACTCTTTAGAGTTTAATCATATATCAACTTTGGAAGGACACCAATATGAAGTTAAATCGGTGGCATGGGATCATACAGGAACTCTATTGGCTACTTGTAGTCGTGATAAATCAATATGGATATGGCAAAGTATGTTTTGTTTGATGATGTCGCGCGCTGCTCCCAAACAAACTATGATTTTAGTTACTAACAACCCTCTCCCCTATTTAAACAAATTTGTGTTTTAGTGGATGAAGAAAAAGAATTTGAATGTTTGTCAATCAGTCATGGACATGGACAAGATATAAAGTGTGTATTGTGGCATCCAACAGAAGAGATATTGGCATCTGCATCGTATGATGATACTATTAAAATGTGGCAAGATACCGATGGCGATTGGGAGAGTATAAACACTTTGGTGGGTCATGAATCAACGGTATGGGATATTTCATTTAATAGAGCTGGTGATAGATTGGTATCTTGTAGTGATGACAAGAGTGTCATATTATGGGCTCTTGTAAAAGGTGATCATTCAGATCCATCCCAATCATCATCATCATCATCATCATCGTATCAATGGAAACAGAGTCAAATATTTGAATCAAGTCACAGTCGAACAATTTATAGTGTTGATTGGTCAAAGGATCAATATGAAAGAATAGTATCTACTGGATCAGATGACAGTATAGTACTTTATGAAAAAGAGGTTGAATCAAATAATAATAATAATAATAATAATAACAATAATCCAGACACCACTACAAAGTACAAGAAATCATATCAAAAATTGAATGCACACAACAGTGATGTAAACTGTATAAGATGGTGCCCCACAAGAGCAGGTATCATGGCATCTTGTGGTGATGACTCTACCATTCGTATTTGGAAGATTATTTAAAAATACAAAAGCACATTACCTTTTTTTTTTTTTTTCCATAATTTTCTTGGTTTGTTGTAAATAATTTATTAAATTTGTTGGTTTAAAGTGACGTAGTACTACTAGTAGTAGGGGAAGAGACATTTTGTTTGGGTTTTGGTTGCAAGGCATATAATCGTACAGGTAATAAAGCTTTTGGAAAGTTTGGTTGTACGATTGACTTTACCAATTGACAGTTACTTTGTTCAAAGAGAAAGATTAGATGATCATGTGATCTCGTTACACTGTTGTCTTGTTTATCCATTATGAATGATTTCTTGGCAGTGACATTGTCTTTGATGAATATCATTCCTCCATCTGTCAATGAATCTGCACAATTATTGAGAAACTCTATGAAATCCTTGTCGTGCAAATGACCAATCACCCATTGTATCCATATGCAATCATACTTTATAGCATGTTTGTTAAAATCATGACTCTGCAATCCAACTGCAAAATAATTTTCTACTTTTTTTTCACTAAATGTTAGATATAGTTAATATTAATTCAAATACACTAATTCTCTCTCTTTCTCTCTCTCTCTCTCTCTTTGTAATACAAACTCTTTAAATATATTCTTTGCTTGATCGAGAAAGGTAGGATTTTGTTCGACTAGATCAACTTTATCAAAAAGAGGAACAAGTAGTTTTTCTGTTACTCTACCAATACCTGCACCACAATCCATGGCTCTACCACGATTCAATTTCATTGTATAAGGTCTTTGATTGGTTTGTCCATGTTTGTTTTGAAAAAATTCTTCAAGAAACAGATTACTTGTCGTTACGTCCTTATCAGAGACATATCCCAACCCTCCCAACATACCTTCTATCGTTGGTTCTACTGTCTTCCAATAATCATCTTTATATATATATACATATAGTATATATGTATGTAGTTAGTTAGTTTGATGGCTTTTATATCGAGAATTATACTACATACCTGCAAGAGTATACCATTTATTATCTTGTTTATCTTTATTTTGTTCTATCTCCTTTTCCCATAGTTCATCGATTGTTTTGTAAACTGTTGTTCCATCACTATCTGCACCTTTGGTTTGAATATTCTTTGGATATTGTAGTTGTTGTTGGTCCATTGTACGTAGATAAAAGATCAAACTTGCAATACAAACAATGAATAGACTTGATTTTGCTTATTTTCGAAGTAATCGTTAATTGTGGACAAAATTCAATTTATTGATCTATTTGATAGCTATTCTTATTTATTTATTTATCTAGATATGATACGATGATCAGACAACAACAACCTCAACAAAACCGATTAGTAGTAGGACAGCAACAAGGACAACAACAACAACAGCAGCAGCAGCAGCAGCAGCAGCAGCATCAGCATCAGCAACAACAACCTTCTTTGGCCCCTCCTACAAACAGACCTGTATCATTAAAGCCAACCTCATTGTCTCTTGTAAGTGTTTATTATGTTACAACGTTTATCATTGAACTCATTATTCTTACAACATCTCATTCTTCTCCTTCTTTCACCATGGTTGCGCTTTTTTGCAGAAAGGTAATACAACAAAAGGTTTGCAGCAAACATCTACAAAACCTCCTGCTCTTCACTATAATCATTCTTCTATTAATACTGGTCAACAGCAGCAACAACAACAACAACAACAACAACAACTAAACCAACATCTAAATTCAAACAACAACAACAACAACAACAACAACAACAACAACAACAATGGTAGAGGTGGTTTGGGTAACACCACTTCATTTGATAGTTATAATGCATCAAATGAACCAACCAATTTATCTCTTTTAAATCATCAACAACAACAACAAATCAATGTAAATAAGTCATCACCTCCAACAAACAACAATAGTAACAACAACAACAACAACAACAACTTTATTAGTAGTAGTATTGATAATACTTTTATGAATACTCCATCAGTGTTGGCACACCATCAACAACAACAACAACAACAACAACAACAACAACAACAACAACAACAACAACAACAACAACATCAACAACAACAACATCAACAACAACAACATCAACATCAACATCAACAAATACATCAACAGCAACCTCTACAACAAACAGATAACAATATGTTCATGTATAATTCTATCAACAAACCAGCCTCTCTTTCGACTGCTTCCAAAACTGCCACATTAAACTTGTCAAAACCTAGTTTTCATAGCAAACCAGTTATCAGTTTTACCAACCCAACCAATAATAATAATAATACACATAATAATAATAATAATAACTACAACAATAACCAAAAAAATGCAATTAATTTTAACCAAAACTATAATAATAATAATAATCATGTAAATAGGAGCTATAGTAATAACAATAATAATAATTATAATAATAATTATAATACTATCAACAACAACAACAACAATAATAATAATCAAAATAATAGAGGAACACATAACAATTTTAATAACCAGAATATTCAACCAATTCAACTGCCACCACCTTCACAATTACCAATAGTACATAATAATCAACAACATCAACAACAACAACAACAAATTGAACAATCATTAAATCAAATTGATGACATTAATTTTAATTTTGATGACGATACAGAGATTTTTCAAACAAATCAACCAATGGTCATTTTTAATCCTCCACCTGCACCTCCTCCCCCTCTTCCTCCTGTTTCATTGCCCAACAATCATTTGGTTCCACCATTGGTCATCACTGACCAACAGGATCACCAAGTAACACAATTACAGGATAAATTAAACAAAGCAGACCAAGACAAGGAAGAATTAAAACAACAACTGGAAGCATTAAAACAGCAATTACTTTTGGAAAAGGAAAAAAAACCAGAAATTAAAAGGCAGAGAGAGCAAACGACAAAAGAATTTGATGTAAAGACCGAGTTGGTTGGTGTATCTCCGATTAAAAAAACAAAAACGACAAATTGCGCACCTACCATATCTACCACCACCTCTACCAATAATCATCCAAAAGATTTTGTATCATTTAAACTTATGAACCTAGACAGCGCCGATCGTCAGGAACAACGTGATAGCCAACAATTAATGACAATTGCAATGTTGCTGGCTGTTACTCAAGAACAACCCCAACCAAGCATTAATTATCTGTTACCGATTGGATTGGGAAATAGCATTCAATTTGACACGTCTACTGAAAACACCAACGAACAGAAAACATCATCATCATCAATTCCATTGTCTTCAGCTGCTTGTGGTACTCCTACAACATCTACACAAAAAAAGAAACAAAAAAGAAGAAATCAACAACAATCTCTGTCTTCTCCTTCCTCTTGTTCTCTTGCCTCCTCAACCGTACAGTCCAATTCGCAACAAAAATATTCAAACTCTGTTCTCCTATATCCCCCACCAATCTACTTTCAACATCAATTGGAGCAACCACCACCACCACCACTACCACTACCAACAATCGTCCCGATTAATGGCGCACCAGAAAAGGAGATACATGTCATTGACATTGATTCACCCGTTCAGCCCCCTCTAGTCTCACAATCACAACTCTCTTTATCAAGTCCAACAACAAAAAGTGCAACCTCTTTGAAAACAAAACAGATGGACATTGATAAACAAGATGCAACAACCAAAACAGATGCCGAAGCAAAAGAAGAGGAAATCAACCAACAAAAACTACTTTTTGAGGAATATTCAAAAGAGTTGGGTTCTTCTTTTTCATTTGTTTGGACATCAGAACAACCACCTTTTATTTTATTGGTCAAACTCTACCCTTTCTTAACATTACCAAATGTATGAAACAAAACATTATAATCTATGGATAGATAGATAATTATTTTATTGTTACTAACTTTTCAGTTTAGATGCAAATAGTAGAAAAAACATTGGATGTAATATTGATTCTCTTACAAAGTAATGACCATTGCAAAAATGTTTTTTTTAGGAAATCTTTTTAAAAATGATATTAATTTGTCGACTAGATGGACCAAAGATGAAGCAATTCTCATAGGAGGGTCACTACCAAACCCAATTCCATCAATCAAAACTGTATATCCGATAGATAATAGAATATTTTCACTCAAACCTCTAAAAAAGTTTGATCAGCTGCAACAAAAAAGCCAATCCTCTTTTCCTCCTCCCCAAAACGTAGAGATTGTTGAATATCTTTTAAACAATCTAAATCGATTCTTGAAATTTCCAAATATTCTTTATCAAATCTTTCAGATACTTTTGATGGCGATGGATCAATATCATGACCTTGAATTTAAGCGTAAAAATGGAAATGATAGTATGGATGACCACAACAATGATTGCACGAGTGCAATGGATATTGAAATGGTCAACGATGACGATGGCATGGATAGTGATGAAGATGAATACCAATCACCCTCGTACTTAAACCTTCCTATCATTTTTCAGGTTCTCTACCAATTTGACTTGGTCGATTCAGTACTTCAAAGCAACAATCTCCAACTCAAAGAACTTTATTTGGATATTGTAGACACTAGTATTTTGGACAAACTATTTTATCAAAGATCGCTTGTGGACAGAATGAATGATGAATTACAAAATTCCTCAGTTCAAACAACAAAAAGTCAACATTCTTCATTGCTTCATAGAACTTGTCTCCTGTTATGTATCAAACGACATGGTCCTCATAATACTGTAAGACATGTACCAACTCTTTAATTCATTAATACCTATCTAACCTTTCCCCATTCTACCACTACTACTACTACTACTACTACTACAGGTTAGAGAATTAAGATATAAAACTTATAGGATTTTAAAAAAAGTTCATCATTTTTATGGTCATTCCTACTTGGAGATAAGGGAACTCTTTTTGAATTCAGCCATTTTGTTGTTTGGACAAGAACTTAAAGATTTAAAAAGGTCAAACACTAGGAATGACCCCTCTGTATGTCTAATCAGGGATATCCTCAAATTACTTGTAGATATATGGGCAAAATCTCTGGAACACGAACCAATTAGAATAGAAAAGCAGTCAATCAATCTTCTTTCTGCTACGGCAAACAAACTTTTGAAATACGCTCACAAGGCTCATATCAAAGAATTATTGGTTCTTTTTGAAAGATTAAAAGAAATGTTGGAATACGATTTTACACACTTGCAAGAAGATTCTTTTATGACCAACTCATCTGGAGGAGTGGCTAACAATCATGATAAAGTCGGAACCTCTCCGGACCATCCAACCATTGTCAACAATAATCACCATCCCCAAAATGTTGTAATAATATCTTCGCCACCTTAATAAAGAAAACGAAATCTTCATCTTCGTAATTCGGGCTTTTCTGGTCGGGGGAGCAACACCCCCCCTTTTTCGATTTCACAAAGATATTTATTTTTTTTTTTAAATTATTTTTTTCAACGACGAAAAACCAAGTTAAGAGATTTTTAGGTCAAAGTTGATAGAGAGAGAACCAGTTCTCACAACGTCAATCATCACCATCAACCAACACACACATTTTGTATTAACAAGAAGGCGATAACGATAGAAAGAAAATATGAACAAAGTTATTATCTTTTTATTAACGATCATTGCCACTATCTGTGTTGCACAAGACGCATCAGGTGATTTTGTATGTTACCCACATTGAACAACGACTCGAGCACCCATTTGTCTTTAAAAGTTATTAACCACAACCATCTTCATATTATATATACATATATATTATATCATTTTACATTTATTCTTTCTTTAGCAAAATCTAACCTATGTAGCCAAAGTTAAACCAGTTACAGATAGTGGTTCAATGTCAATCACCACCTATTTCTCACCAGATACTAGTATCCAAACTGAAACTAATCTTATCCAAGTAAGTAATAGTAGATATTTGATGAAATTTGAAAAAAAAAAACTAAAAAGAAAAGATATTAATATATTTTTATCTATCTATCTATCTATCTATTTCTTTATAGAATGCACAAGAATCAATTGATATTGCTATTCCAGGATTTGATTCATGGAATTATTGCACTGATACTTATGAAGGTGTATATGGATGTACTGTTGCCAATCAAAGAAGTCAAGAGACATTCCCAATCTTTCAAGCATTGTTGAATGCCATTCATAGAGGTGTTGCTGTTCGTATCATTAGCAACAACTTTTATAGTGTCAATGAAACATTGACCAGTGGATACATTGATCCACTCAGTTTCCTTGCCTTGACCGGTGCTCAAGTTCGTTATTTCACGACACTCACATTTTTGCACAGCAAGTACATGAATGTTGATGGCAAACAAACATCAATCTCATCGATCAACTTTAGTCAAACTTCATTTATGAAGAATCGTGAAGCTGGTGTCATTGTCCAAGGTTCATCTGCCATCTCTGATTTTACCACCTCTGTCTTTGAACTCGATTGGGATTTGGCTATCGATTGGCCAACCATCTCCTATTCTGCCAGTGATATGAGTATCATCACCGACAAGACACCAGTCACTGTCAACATTCCACAACCAACCAGTTTCCCAGGTAGCTATGTAACCAAGGCTACAACCACCACTGGCAACGTTGATGCAGAGGTATTCACATCTCCAGACAATGCATGGACCACTGTCAGTGATGATATCTCTTCCTCCAAGAGTCTCAAAGTCTACATCTACCAAATCACCGATCAAGATTGGTGTGACTTTGTTGGCAATTACACTGGTGAATTGACCATTCTCGTATCTAGCAAGATCTACTCTCACGCCGACTATGAAAGTGCCTATTTATGTTACTCTCATCTCTATGGCAAGGGTATCACCATTAGAAAGACTGCTAGCAACATGTACACCTACTCCCACCAAAAGTATTGGATCCTCGATGACAACCGTGTCTATGTAAGCACTGGTAATTGGGGTGATACTGATTATCCTACTGGCTCTAACGTATTCCCTGCCTACAATCAAAGTCCACAACTATGGAGAAAAACTAATCGTGACTTTACTATCAAGATGCAAAATAGTGATATCGTTGACATCTATAGTACTTTATTTGAAGAGGATTACTCTAGAGGTTATGATTGGTATCCATAAATAAATAAATAAATAAATAAATAAATAAATAAATAAATATTTTAATCCCCCAAAAAAAACAAAAAAAAAGAATGAAATTTAATGATCGACTTGTTTTGAACAACGATCATCATCATTGAACATTATAATATATATAGATATAATATAAATTAGAAAGATGCCTTTAGAAGTTTTATATTGCAAAGGTAACAATTATCTCGCTATTTATAGAGATACATAGTACATTATTATTGACACAACATCATACTTCCTCTTCCTCCTCCTCCTATTTTAAAGTTTGCGGATTACCATTTGAATATTGTGAGTTTGGACCATCACCTGCAAAGTGTGTCGAAGTTAATGGAAGTATAAGTGCATCAACTGTCAGTTCTGCTGCTACTGCTAATCCTGAAATTCAAGATACAACATCTGCTGTTACTGTCGATGAAACAAGCACCAGCACAACAACCCTACAAGATACGACAACAGATAAACTTTCAAAATTAAAGATGGTCGATGACTCTAAAGAGGAAGGTCATACAACAATTACAACTACAACCAACAGTGCAGCTGCCGAAGGAGAATCGGTTGCTGCTGCACCTCCAAAGAAAAAAAAGGAAAAATTACCAAACATTACAATCGAAGTAAACAACAGAAACAAGAGAAAGTATGTCACTACGGTATCTGGTTTGGAAGCATTTGGCATCAAATTGGCAGATGCTAAAAAGTTGATGGCAAAGAAATTTAGTTGTGGTTGCTCTGTCGTCAAGAATGCATCGGGCGGTGAAGAAATAGATATCCAAGGTGACTTTGCTGATGATCTCGTCGATTTGATATTGGATAACTGGCCAGAAGTACCAGAAACAAATATCCTTGTCATTACTGATAAAAAGAAAAAAAGATAAATAAATAATATAATAATGGAAATATAATAATAATATTATTAGATTTGATAGATATTATAATAACAGTTCTTTGGGGTTTTTTATTTTATAAATAATATGAAGTTGGTTGTAATAAAATAGATTGTTTAGATTTTATCATCAAACAATGTGTTGAGTTGTGATTGTTGTTTGTTGTTAATCATTCATTCTCCCCCTTTTTTAATATTATTATTATTACAATAATAACAAGAAGAAGAAGAATAATTGATGTTGGTTGTTGTTGTTGTTTTTGTTTATATATAATTTATAATATTGTTTTTGGATTGATCGATTACACAAAAAATAAATAATTTAGGCGTATACCTTTAAGTATTCAGAGGCAACGATACGAGCTCTGGCGTTGAGAGTAATCTTCAACTCGCTGACTTCCTTGTCGATATCTTCCATAAATTGAATGATAAAGTCAACAAGCTTGTGCTTAAACATTGATTCAGTGTGGAAGTTGGTTACCAAGAAAGAAATATCATATCCCTAAAAATAATTGGTGATGATAGTTATATTAGTTGTGAACCCAACAAAGTTTGTTTGTTTGTTTGTTTGTGGTGGTGGGCATCTGTTAGATTTTAATACAACATACCTCTACTGGCTTTCTTCTCAAGATGATAAAGTTTTCAGCTCTTTGGACAAGGAAACGAACAAACTTCTTGGCAAGGATGACTTCAATTTCATCAGACTTTTTGATTGAAACACTGATACGTACAGAGTTGATGGATGACTCGATCAATACCTTTTCTTGTTTGTTACGAGCAATAACGATTGGATTTAATAAAAGTTCCTTGCTTGTCCTGTAATAATAATAATAATATTGTATGTTAGAATATTTTATGGACCTAGATACATATATATGTGGTTGGGGAGGAGGGGTTGTTTCTACTCACTTTACTTCTACTTCTGGTTTGTTGTGTCTCTCTACGATTTGAGATGCAAAGTTTTCAAGACAAAGAGCAGCAGTCAGTGTAGTTCTGATGCAATTAAAATATGGTACTTGAGCAGAAGACTAGTAGTTGCAGTAGTAGTAGTAGTAGTAGTAGTAGTAGTAGGTAGTTTGAATGATGACCAATGTATACAAGTTAGTTCAAATGTCAATAAGCTATACCTGTTGATAGTTTTCTTGTGTTTCACATACCATTTTTAGTCAAGCAGTGAGTAATTAAATAATATATGATACAAGTATAGTTACAAAAAAAAAAAGATAGAGAGAAAGCCTCATCAAGATATTAATTTTTTTTGCATGATCATCAAAAAAAAAAGTTTTGAAAACAAAAAAAAATTTATTAAAAAAAATCCTCTGTTGGCTCCTTGAATTATCTTAATCAATTTTGGCTCTCAAAAAATATATATTGATATATTGTCCCCAAACAACAAATAAAATAAAAATTCAATTTTTAATATTGAATAATTAAATTAATATATTTATTTAATATAGGTTTGTTGGTCACAAATAATAATATAATAAATAATAATTTAGCATTTCCATCAAAAAAACATAAATAACCAAATCTTCAAGTCGATCAAAAGTTCCCCCACCTCCACACTTCGTTTTTATTTTTATTTTTTTTTCCCCTCTTGCACAGCGATTCTATGTGTTTCATTCACAGATGACCAAAAAAGATATTATAACAGCAAAGAGATAGATAGATAGATAGATAGAGAGAGAGAGAGAGAGAGAGAGAGAGAGAAAGAGAGAAGAGATGGAAGATGATGACAAAATCAATAAATTGATGGCATCTCCGACAGTCAACGCTCTATTATTAGATAACAGTGGCACAACATCAAATAATAATAATAATAATAATACAAATACACTCACAACTACTACTACTACTACTACTATTGTAGATAATGAATATCTTACAGTGCTACTTAACAATAACAACAACAACAACAATAATAACAATAATGATGAAGATCTAAGTGACACAAGTTCAACAAGTAGTCTTGGAAGTAGTTATTTATCAAATACAAATATAGTTATAAGCACAAATTCATCTTTGCCAACTGTTACTACCACTGCCACCATCGTAGAACAACAAAAATCAAAAACACAACAACAACAAAGAGCATCACCAACATCAATGTTAAATATCAGAGGTGGTGGTGGAGTAAAGGGCAGAGCAAATCATATAGCCCACTCTCGTTCAGCATCATTTGATGTATCATCAACATCATCGTCGTCGTCGTCATCAGTCTCACCACCAATAAGAACAGGAGGAGAACCACTAAAAGAAAGAAGCAAGTTGGAGAAAATGGAGGCTGCTGTCAACGCTGGAAACTTGGTGTTCCTAAGTAATTCACTCAAAGAGAAACCAATCATCCCTCTTACTCAAGAGTTGGCAAAGAAGAATACATTTCTTCATATTGCTTGTAAATCACTCAAGATAAAAACGGTAATGTTTATCTTGGATAAGGCTCCATCCCTCATCAACGCTCAAAACAACAAGGGAAGGACACCCTTACATGTTTCTTGTAACAAAGGTTTCTTACATGCTGCCAATACCCTAATCAATTTGGGTGCAAATACTACACTCACTGATTATAAAAAATGGACCGCACTTCATCACCTTGCGTCACATGATCTTATTAAAAGACAAAAAGAAAAACTGGCTTTACAACAACAACAACAACAACAACAACAACAACAACAACAACAACAACAACAACAACAACAACAAGCCAATAATAACCCAATAGTTACTGCTTCTGCTTCTACTACTACTACTACTACAGTTAATTTACCTATAGTTCCACCAGTTGTCAATGATATTACAATAGGATTTACCAATGAATTGATATTGGAAATTTCAACCAAACTTTTAATTGGAAAAGGAAATTTAATAGGTTTAAAGGTAATTAATTAATAGAAAAAAAAAAATCATTCCATAATTATTATTACTATGCTGACAATTGTTTTTTTTTTATCTTTTGACCAGACAATAGTAGGAAGAACAGCATTACATTTAGCCATTTTATCACATAACCATCAACTATGTAAATTATTACTAAGTCATTCGACACCCGAGATTCTTGTTACCAAGGACGATAGAGGAAATACACCATTACATCTTTCATGTTATATCAATCGTAATAAGATGTCATATGATATTGCACATACAATCCTTTCAATCTTGGCAGAGAATCTAAAGGGTGAGACGCTTCAAGCATTTATTGACGACGCAAACAATCTCATGGCATCTTCATTGCAGATTGCAATGAAGGTTGAGAACACACAGCTAACAAGACTTGTGATACAATTTAGATCTCTGTCAGAGGCTAAAATTCTTGAAGAATACTTTATAAGTCTAAATAGTGTCAATCCAAACGACACTACCCGTCTTCCCTTGGAACAGTTACAATACAACAACGCAATGTTTAGAAATTCATCTTTTGGTGTGCTATTTAGGAAAATGGTCACAATTCTAAAGGAACACTATACCATCAACATGACGCACCAAAATCCTCATCTCCTTTTGCGTCGAGCAAAAGACACAATATCTAAATTTTTTACATGGTTGGATCGAAACATTCATAATTATGACTATAATAGATCATATAAAGAAATGATATTTTCTCAGTCTTATGATACCATTATTCATCTCTACCATGAAACTGTAAGAATGTGTGATATTATAAAATATTTTGGAATTTTTATTAATATTGTTGTTTTATATTTTATATTTTAGAACAAATCAAAGGATATATTTTTTAGACAAAGAATATCAATGTTTAAAGATATAACGCACGGAGAACTTGATATCACAGAAGAAAGTTGGAAATTAAATGTGAGTACAAAAAAACAATTTAGTATCATTGTAATTATAATTATTCTTTACTAATTGGTTTTGTTATTATTTTGTTTTGTTTAGACTGAACAATTTCCCAAAGCATTATCATTATTTAAAACTTTATCAGACAAGAGGACACCAGCCGAAAAAATAGATACATTAAATGAAGCTACCAGTCAAATACGTAGAATGGATGCCAATGACCTTACTCCAATGTTTATGTTTTTGATTATCCAAGCTTCCAATGGTTATTTACAATCGGAATTTCAATATATGGATGATTTCAAAGATACACCAGAGCAAGAACAATATTTGTTGTTGCTTAGCGGATCACTCGACTATTTGGAAACGCTCAATGTTACACTTCGAAATAATCTCAACCAAGTAATGTCACTCTCTGGTATTGTTGACAGAACTATCGACAATGCTCTCTCATTGTGCGACGAGTTTCAAACAAAATCGTCACCAATTCCAACCTCTACCAACTCATCAATCCTTCATAGTCCGTCATCGATTCTTCAAAGCTTCAACGAACAGTTCCAACTTGATGATATGGAAGATGGGTTCAATATTCAAGATGAACTGGTCCTTTTGTTAATGATGTTGAGCAAGTTGGCCAACCGATTAAATGATGACCCAATCTATCTTCCAATGACTTGGTCAGATAAAATCATAAAGGCATATCACTTTAATGCAATCATAGAGCGTTTGGGATTGAAATTGGATTTATCGTTGGAATCTTTATTAACGAATAAAGATGAAATAGCAACAACAACAACAGAATCATCAGAGCCTACCCAACAATCCTTAAATCAAAAAAAAGGAGAGATTTGTATTATAGTCCAACACCCATACCCGCAAATGGTATACCAAGTAGTTGAAGAACAATTGCGAATAAAAGTTCTTCAAAAATAAATAAATATTATTAAAAGTAAAGGGATAGTATCTCTTGATTAAGCGCCACAAACCTTTTCAGTGAACCGAAAAAAATATCACCACCATAAAAAAAAAATCCAGATATGTTTAAGCTGTTCACTTTAAAACATCATCATCAATCTTAACAACATTTAAACTGTTTATACAGATAACAAAGTAATAAAATTATGAAGAGGTATATCTTGGTAATAGTAATTTTATTTAGTCTGGCATTATTGGCTCAAACAAGACCAACACCAGTTCCTGGCACTTTTAATGGACCACAGTATGCTTGGGGTATGTATATTTAAAGAGATTCCAATATCATTTTCATTTCTCTAATTTTTTTGTATAAAGGTATAAATCAAGGATACTATGGCCTAGATGCTGTTAAAATGAATCAATTATGTGGCAAGGTTGGTTTAATGAGTAATCGTCCTTCATATCCTCAAAGCTACTTTAAGAAATGGGGAATAGACATAAATTATGGAAATGGGGCTGTAGCATCAAGTTTAGAGGCAGGAATGACAAATCTTACAGCTTTTCTCACATTTGATCAAAATGAACCAAAGATTGTGCCTTCCTCTATCAATTTGGATATTTGGTTGAATGATAACACTGTCAATCCTCAAAATGAATGGGCTGTTTTTGTTTACAATGTGGTTAATGCTTACAAGAATATAACAAAGATTTATGAAGTTTGTAAGTATCTAGATAGCGTGCAGGTAACTAAAGACATATATATACCAACTTCTTATTATTCTTCTTCTTCTTCTTCTTTACCAATTTAGATAACGAGCCAGACTTTGTAGACAATTGGGAATATGTAAATACTTGGTGGAACAACCCTCCAACAGATGCTCAATTATCAAGATTTGATGGATCAATTTACAATTATATTAGATTGCTCAGAATCACTTGGGAAGTGGCCAAGTTTGTAGATCCATCGTATGTTTAGTTAACTAAAACAGCTCAAAAGTAATGCCATGTAGAAATGTTGTACTAATCTGTTGTTTTTAATATTCAATTGTTAGTTGTTTTGTCACTGTCGGAGGATTGGGATATCCTTCTTTTCTAGACGCAGTGTTTAGGTACACAGACCAACAGTCTGGTGGTTTAACGGGTAATAATTATATTGATGCCATTTCACTTCATTTTTATCCATATCTAGTCACCTCTAAAACAAACTCTGATTCTTATGTTCAATCATATGTTGCTCATATTAATTCGTTCAAGGTAAAAAAAAAAACCTAGAAAGAAAGGGAATAATAATATTAACATTAATATTAATAATTTTATATTAATAATTTTAAAGAATATTACAAACCATTATAATTTCCATAGTGATATGTGGGTAGTATCAGAGACTGGAGTTTCAACCGAATCTTTTGGAGATTACTATGGTTCTGAAAGATTACAAAGAAATTATTTTATGAAATTGCCAACCTATTCTATCATTTATGGTATAAGCCAAGTATGCAAAAATAATTTATATAAACTATTGTTGTACCAATATTGAATGACTAACAACCCATCATTACATTATAAATACAGAATCATATATTTGTATTGGGTGGCAGTGATTTTGGGTTATACAGTGATATTAATTCAGACACTGATCCATCAACTGCTAATCCAAAAGATTCTGCCAAATCCATCCAAACTTGGAAACAGCAAATGTCAAATAGAATGTATGTTGTTGGAATAATAATTATTTTGATTAATAAATTATTATTATTATTATTATCACAAACTAATATTTACTCTTTATATAATTATTTTAGACTAGATAGTGTCCAATCTAATCAACTCCAATCCCAATTAACATTGGGAACAGTAGGGCATGCATATTCAACAATTGGTAATTCCAGTGACATTGTTTATGTAATGTGGGCAAATTCTTCATCGTACCAATACGATCAAGATACACCAGAGATCAGTGTCACTCTTCCTGCATTGGGAGATTGGATGTTTTATGATTATAGTAACACCTACTTTAAGGTTGCTCGATTCAATAGTGACAACAAAACGGTTACCTTTACTTTGGACGGTGATGTTGTTATTGCCTTTGATACCAAACAAATTAATATTGATGCTCCAACTGTATCGAGCACTGTTGGCACATTGTCATTGATAATTTCACCCTTTATCATTTCTATTCTAACATTATTCCACCTCTTTTGATAATCTTAGAGTTTTATATATATGTATGTATATATGTATGTATATATGTATATGTATATACATATATCCCATTTGTACAACAAAAGAACTATTATGAAAAAAAATGTGATGAAACGATCATTGTTTCGAAGAATCCCTCATCAATAAACTTTGCAAAACGACGAGTTTTTTATTTGTTATTATTATTTTCATATTTAAAAATAGTAGTCGTAGTAGTAGTTAGTAGTAGTAGTAATAGTAGTTGTTAGTATAATTAATATAATTACTGGTTCACTGCTGCTGCTACTACTGTTGCTGTCGTTGCTCATGATTCGAATACGACCAAGCAATGGAATGTAACAAAGATGAAGCTACTAGAGCTTATAAGATGTCAAGGAGTTACTTTGCAGAGAACAATCTTCCAAAGGCTCTTTCACTTGCCAACAAGTCTCGAAAACTCTATCCTTTGGATAACATTGTCGATTATATACAAAGTTTAGAGAAATTAATTGAACAATCACAGCATTCCTCCTCTACAACAAATAACAATAATAATAATAGCCAACATAATCAAAATAACAACAACAACAACAACAACAATAATAATAATAATAATAATAACAACAACAACAACAACAATAGTGATCACAAAGAATCGACGGCTGCAACGACAAAGCAAAATAACTCTGGTGAAGATTCTCTACTAGTAACACGTTTATATACAAAAGAACATGTAGATATTATACAAAAGGTTTTGTTGGAATCATCACATTATGGTAAACTTGGACTGAGCAACACCTGCACAGAAATTGAAATCAAACAACAATATAGAAAGATTGCAAAGATACTTCACCCCGATAAGAATAAGGCACCTGAAGCAAACAGAGCTTTTCAAGGTATGTATATGATGGAAATATAATCAATGATCATTTCTCATCATCATCATCATCATCATCATTCAAATCAATATCAATCTAAAACCTTACTTTTAAAAAGAAATACAAACTAGTTTTGCCCTGCTATCTGATCCTACCAAGAGAAAAAATTATGATATCGATCAATTGAAAGCTAGCTATTCTCAAAAGAAAACGACTTTGTATCCTCCTAATAATAATAATAATAATAATAACAATCAAAATAATAGTCAAAATAATAATAATCAAAATAGACAACAGCCAACACCACAAAGATATAAAATATCTGTATGTTTTAAAGATATTATCCTCTTATAATAATCATGTATTAATACCAAAATTTTCAATTTACAACAGATTAGATGTCCCACTTGTGTGGCCATTATTTATTTCTCAAAGATGGAGGATCATCACAAATTTCAGGAGGGATTATTTTCTCTGGTGTGCTATGGTTGTAAACAATCTATGGCAAGTATTACATGTCCTCATTGTAACTCGAGATATGTTTTAGGATCACAATATGCACAGTATCATGGAATGAGTGTAAAGTGTAGCAATAATATGTGTAGTCAAAATTTGGTCATGAAATATCCATCCACATCGATTAGTCCTCTACCAAACAACGAATATGTCGTTCCTTCCTCATCCAATCTGAAACAGCAAGAAGAAAACAAAAGACAAGAGGAAATGATCAAAAGACAACGACAACAACAACAACAACAACAACAACAACAAGAGGAACTTCAAAGACACCAATTGGAAGAACAAAGAAAAAAACAAAAACAACAAGAAGAGGAAGAAAAACAAAGGTTGGAAGAGTTGAGGAAAAGGATGGAGGAAGAGGAAGAACGGAAAAGGCAATTAGAAATTTTAAAAAGACAACAGCAGCAAAAAGAAGAGGAACAACGACAATTGGAGGAGCAAAGAAAAAGACAACAAGAAAAAGAAAAATTGGAAGAATTAAAAAGACAACAACAGCAGCAAAAAGAAGAAGAGGAAAAACAAAGGCAAGAGGATTTGATAAAGGAACAAGCAAAAATACAATTGGATCATTCAAAGAGGAGGTCTATCATTTCTACTTCTACCAACAACGATGAAGATGACGATGACGGAGATTTTATTCCTGAAACTCCCCCTCCTCCAAATCAATCTAGTCAAGAAGACCTCAACATTCAAGAGAATGAGATGACCGAAAAAATGGACGAGGATGAGAAGGAAACATGGTCACAAGAGGAAACATCACCGACAATGAAATCAACTCAACTAAATAGTAGAGACAAGGTTGGTAGCAACCAAGCTGCAAACAATATCTCTTCTCAAAAACATCATCTGCGTGCAAGTCAACAGACATCTTGTCCACAGGATATAGATCTTGGCGATGATGATTTTGAATTTTCTTGTCAAGAAGAATTAAATAATAATGAAAAAAAGAATAGTAGTGATAATATAAACCGCGACCACCAACAAAAGAAACCAGATGTTACCAACCAGATGGACCAACCAGACGTAGAAGAGCTCAACGAATTGGAAATCCCTGGCGAACATGAAATATTCCCTCCATTACCAATTTTTTCAAACACTCATCCACCACAGCCAAAACCAAAACCTGCTCCATCCAAACAACAAACTATAGATACACTTATTTTCAAAAAAGCCACAACAAAAGATAAACCAAAACCATTTTGTCCTCCCCCCACAGTTTCACTTTCCATCAAGAATCAAAAGATCCCAAAAAAGACATCAACACCAATCAATAATTATACATCCAATGATGATAATGATGATGATGATGGTATTTGGTCCCAATCTCCTTTGGATACAAAAACCAACAATTCAGATCCATCACCAACAACAAATACAACTTGTGTTCAAGGTGACCAGGATCCCGATCAAATCGATTCAACCGAACATATCTATTGTGATTATACAGATTACTCAGATGCCCACTCCAATTATCAAGATCTTTATTTGCAGCACATGTACAAGCATTTGTTAAATCAAGACAATGAAAATCCTTCTTCAATTGGAGGTTCACAAATTTTCTTTCCTTCCCAAAATGAAAATGAAAATGAAAAGGAAAAGGAAAATGAAAAAGAAAAAGAGAATCAAACAGATAATGAACAAACAAAGTCCAAGAAAAGCGATAAAAAAAAAAGAAAAGGAAAAAGGAAACCCTTGGCGATGATGAAGCGACAGAACAAGACCTTTTGGATAAAAATCAAGGAAATGACATTACAATCGACAAGACAAAAAAGAAAGTGGAAGCTATTCCAAATACTAGTAAAACCAAGAAAAATTCACATACAACAACAACAACATTATCATCATCTTCATCATCGTCATCATCATCATCATTGTCAACAACTACAACTTTGACAACAAAAATAGACCAATCTTTGTCCATTAAATCTTTTGGTTCTAAAAAGAAAACGATCACGATGAGCAAAGTTCCCACTGTGACTGGACAATCAAAGATACAGGATTTTTTTTCGATTGGAAAAAAATAATATTTCGCTCGACCCATCCAAATATATTGGGATTGTAAATAAATATAATAATATATTAACAATATATATATATATATAATAAACGGCAGTCTGGAGGATGTTGTGGAAAAAAGGAGAGTTTTTTTTTTTTAATTATTTTTTTTTATGAAATTTCAAAAGGCTGTTGTGTTGCAAAGATTTTCAAGTGTTTCATTGTGTAGATTAGACATTACTCTACAACTTTAGAAGCAGCAACAGCAACAACAACATCATCAACCCGAAATAATCAATCAGAATCTGTTTGTTTAGAAGCAACAATAGTCGATAGTTTATTATTATTGTCTTGTCTGACATAACCACTTTAACAACAAAAAGACCTGTTGAGACGGCTACTATAAAATAAAACAGTAATAATAATAATAACAGTAAAGAGATATCATTTGTGGTGGAGGAGGTGGTGGGTCGACATTGAAGTCACGTAACAGTGGGTGGTCTACAAAGATATGGGTGGCTCATTTACAAAGACTGGGGGTTTGTTACCAGAGCTATCCTCGACATCATTGATCAAGATATCTATAATTGGTTTGGAGAATTCGGGAAAGGTACGTTATTATTACAAGCGACAGTAAACAACACTAACAATTGGTCAAATAACAACAACAACAACAACAAACAATCAATTGATTTATTAATTTGAACAAATCATTACACTATAGTCATCATTGCTATCAAAGTTTATTGACAATACTCACAGAAAAGCTGTTCAATCGGTACTGGTATCTCAAGGAGTGTATGCAGATATGGTCAATTATAAAGGATGGGACATTTTTGTTGGCAATCTACTCTATCCAAACTATATTAGAAAAGCATTCAAACCTTATTTACTTTTATCCGATATCATTATATTCATTGTCGACTCTTCTGATTATCAACAAATATCATCTGCCAAGGAACAAATAGATATTTTACTTGGTGAGAATTGTATCAATAGCACTGTATTCCTTGTATTGGCAAACAAACAAGATATTAAAAGAATAACAACTCCTCAATTGGAGAATTATTTAGAACTATCAAGGCTTGTATGTCGCTAACTACCAATAATCGTAGTAATAGATAGATAGATAGAATATATTAAACCAAATTAACATCATTTTGTTTTTTTAGAATTGTCCTTATAATATTATGCCTGTTTCAGTTTTGAAAGAAACAAATCTCGATGAAACTATAAAATGGATACTAAAACAATTGGATGGTCATATACAACTAAGAAATAATAATAATAATAATAATACTAACAGTAATAATAATCAAAATAATAATAATAATACCAGCTAATATTAAATTTTTACGCTCGAAATATATTTCTTATTTATTAAAAAAAGATAATGGTTATTATTATTTTGTGGGATCTTTATCAATATTAGCAATAGTAGCAGTAGTAGATTGAGGAGATGGAATAGAGAACCCTTCCCTTTGGACATTCAAATTCATCCTTTCTTCCAATGTTTTCATTGCCAATGCTCTTCTTCGATCATTATCAGCTGCTGTACTAGAATTTTGTTGCTGTTGTTGTTGCTGCTGCTGTTGCTGTTGTGGCAATGAATAGTATGTTGTTGATGAATTGTTTCCGGAACCCTCACTAGAGGTATAATGGGTTGGGAGATCATCACCCTCCATTCCCCTTCCAGCCATGTTGTTGCATATTTGAAGTTTGCATAGTATTTTGTATATAGTGTTTGAAATAGTTTTTATAAATGGCCTTTTATATATTCAGGGAGAGAGAATTAATCTTTGATTATTATTATTACTTATTACTTTAAAGTACATACTGTAATGGTTCAGGAAAGAAAGTGGCAAAAGAAAATGATTCATTTCTATCACCCCTAACATTTTCCCTTCCTTTTCGTTGGTAGAATCTTAGATAAATCCAAGATACAATGGTTCCAAATATGACAAAATGAGAAGATCTTGAATAGAGACCAATAACCATAAAAACCAATGTAATCAAAACATAGATTGATGGCAAATGCTAAATACATTATTTAAACAATGATTAATAAATCTAGATTGTGTGTTGTTGCCGTTGGTTAAATCCAAGTATAACTATACCTTTGCACGAATATTAACACCAAAAAAGATAGGAATTATTTGCTCTGGGAATAATTGTTTAAGAACAACAGTAAATCCAGCAATAACTCCACTAAATCCACAACTATTGGCTTCATATCTATAGTAAATTGGGGATCAATATTGAGTTAGCTTTTCGGTTATTTAAAATTAAAGTTTCTACAATCATATTTTTCCTCCCAAGGTACTTACAAAACACTAGATTGACCAGTAATAGAGTAATAAAAGATAAAATATAAAAATACACATAGTCCAGAGAATATATTTACAATCGATATGAATTTCATAAACTCTGTACTTCCCCAAATAGGTTCAAATTGTTTACCAAATATCATTAATAATATAATATTCAAAATACCCTAAAGTGTAACAACAATTTTTAGTGATTTGAAAATGTGTAGTACACTCTCTCTCTCTCTCTCTCTCTCTCTCTCTCTCTCTCTCTCTCTCTAAAAACATACACCAATGATTGAATAGTCATAGAATCCAGCAGTAAATAGAGTCCAAAGCTTAAATTCTGGTGGTCCAACTCTATTGGTGGTCAATATCAAACATATGGTTAGTAACAATAGTAACGATTAATAGATATATATATATCTTGCTTAATTTTTACCTAGCAGCATTTAATGCAAAGAATGGTGAAGTATATTGATAAAAGAATACACCCAAAAATAAGAATACACCTAATATAGCTCCTATAGTTTTAGATAATCTTGGTACATCTTTAATCCATCCTCCATCCTGTAGGTGTAGAGGAGGGGTAGTATTGCAATGAATAATAATAATAATGACTACATTAATATTATAAACAATGATGATATAGTACTTTTGTATGAATTGATTACTTACAATAGAAGGATAAGTTCTTGTTGACTGGGATGATTGTTCTGACATGTTGTAACACTTTAAACAATGAATTCTCTATCTATCTATTAATTTCTTCTCTCTCTGAAGTAATAAATTAAAATTAATTTAATTTCGGTGAGTCATTTTGCTTGTTCATTAAAAACAAAAGATCAATAATTATTCTATATACTTTATTATTCTTGTCAAATGTTACATTTAAATAAAAGATTACCTTTGTTGTCTAGATATTCTTCTAGTTTCTTCAAAGGTAGTAACAATAACAACAACGTTAATATCATTAGCAACAACAATCATTTCACTTTCAAACCAACATCATCATCAACATCTATTTCACTGGTCAACGCAATCAGTAGTAACAATATTGGATTATCATCAAATCAACATCTTTGTTATTTTTCTAGCAACAATAACAATAACAACAATAATAACAATAACAATAACAATAACAATAATAATAATAATAACAAAAAGAATGATAAGAAAATTGATGAAATAACATCATTAGATAATGAATCTGTAGAAGCATTAATTAAATTTGACAAGACAACAAAAAAAAGTAAGAGACTATTAAATGTAGTTAGTTATATTCATTGCAATGATTTTATAACTTTGCAAACTAATCAATTTTCTATTGTTATTATCTTATAGATCCATTATTTCCAGCAAATAGTGAAGTATTAATTTATCCAACTGTTGGAGTATATTTTACTGGAACTGTTGGTAGCATTTCATTATCAAACAAATTCATAGATAGATTGGTACCAAACACAAGTGGACACTTATTCATTGGTTTATTCTTGATAAAAGATGAATTCAAATCTCTCATCACTCCAGTGAGTGGGCCATTGACACAAGGCAACAGAAAATACGTTCACAATGTTGGTGTACTCGCTCAAATATCGATCACTTCTCAAATGGGTGCTCAATTTATCGTACGTCAAAGAATAGAAATTGATCAACAAGACCTGAAATCGGGAGCACCATTCTTTTTCAAGATTAAGGAATTTGGTGATCAAGAACCACTCCTCCTCTCAAATCATCAACTGTCACCATCTCATTTGCCACAAAAATTGGGTTCCCCATCATCGTCGTCATCGGCATCCATTTTCGATCAAATCACCTCTGATATTAAAGAAGAGGAGGAAGAAGAAGCTAATTCTACTGAAAAAGAGGCAAAGGAGACAGACGAAGATTCAGAGAAAAGAGTAGAAAAAGAAAAAAAAGTCTCTGAATTGATTAAACAAATCTCAAAGCAAGCTCAAAACTATACTAAAGACTATCCTGGTGTATTTACTAGCAATGGAATGGAGTATCCATCACTACAGGCATTGGAAAGTCAACCAGAACTCTTCCTCTCTTCAATAATCAACATGTTTGTCCTCAACTACCCAGATAAATGCCAAAGGATACTTGAAACACTCGGTATCGTTGACCGTTTGCAGTTGGTATTCGATCTTTTAATCGATGAGGAGGCTTTATTGTCCGAGCAAAGTAAAATCTATCAGAAATTTGAAGATGAAATGGTAAAGAATGAAGGAAAGCTTTTCCTCAACGAACAACTAAAATTAATTAAAAACAATTGGGCGTTGAATATGATGAAAAGGAACAGACTGTACAAAAATATTGGAAAAAGTTGGCTCTTTTAAAAATACCAGATGGTCCAAAAAAGATTATTGAAGATGAAATTGTATGTTTAAACATAAAATATAAAATATATAATATATATCTTCTAACAATCCTTTTTTTTTTTTTTAGAATAAATTATCAACAATTGATCCTTCATCATTAGAATATAACTCTTCACGAAATTACTTGGATTGGTTAACAAATTTACCATGGTTGACCTATACACCAGAGTTTTTTGATCTCCAATATTCAAAACAAGTACTCGATCAAGATCACTATGGTTTAACAGATATCAAACAAAGAATATTGGAATTTATTTCAATTGGTCATATTAAAGGATCGGTACAAGGAAAGATTATTTGTTTTGTTGGTCCACCAGGAACAGGTAAAACATCGATTGCCAAATCAATTGCCAATTGTTTAAAGAGAGAATTTTACAGATTCTCTGTTGGTGGTCTCTTTGATGAGGGAGAAATTAAAGGACACCGAAGAACCTACATAGGATCAATGCCAGGTAAATTGATTCAATGTATGAAGTTGGTCAAAAGTTCAAACCCTGTCATCCTTATCGATGAAATTGACAAGATTGGCAAGAGAAACTTGGGTGATCCATCATCGGCATTGTTGGAGGTATTGGATCCAGAACAAAACGTTTCATTTATCGACAACTATCTAGATGTACCATACGATCTATCTAGGGTTTTGTTTATCTGCACTGCCAACAGTGATCAAACAATCCCAGGTCCATTGTTTGATCGTATGGAAGTAATCTATCTTTCTGGTTATGTAGAAGAGGAACAAATTCAAATTGTCACCAATTTTATCATCCCAAAGACACTTGTAGAGTGTGGTATCAAACAGGAACAACTCAAGATCGATGCAGACGTTGTCAAGATGCTTGTCAAGTTTTATAGCAGAGAAGTTGGAATTCGTGAGCTCGAGCGATTGATTGAGCGTATTATGAGAAAGGCTGCACTCAAAATCGTCAATGGAGCTGAATCAATTCACGTCACAAATGACAACATCGAAGAGTATCTAGGTATTCCAACTTACTCATCGGATCGATACTATGATGTCACACCAGTAGGTGTAGTTAATGGTTTGGCTTGGTCTGCACGTGGTGGTTCAACTCTATACATTGAAACTATTGTAGAGAAATCAAAACAACAAGAAACTATTCAAGATGATGTGGAAGAGGCAACTATTATCGATAATAATAATAATAATAATAGTGGCGATAAACCAACTGTTGTACAACCATCCTCTCCGTCATCGCAACCATCTGGATTCGTACCAAGACTACGTACAACAGGTAAATTGGGAGATGTAATGACAGAGAGTACAAACATTGCCTACACTTTTGCCAAAAACTTTTTAGCCCAAATAGATCCGACCAATCAATTCTTTGAAAATCATTCTTTACATATGCATGCACCTCAAGGTGGTATTCCCAAGGATGGTCCATCAGCAGGTGTAACCATGGTAACATCACTCATATCTCTTGCATTGAATGAACCCGTACTCAATAATCTTGGAATGACAGGTGAGATTACAATCACAGGAAAGGTACTCACCATTGGTGGTGTCAAAGAGAAAACAATCGCTGCAAAGAGATCTGGTCTCACATCTATCGTTGTACCTTCAAATAACAAAATAGATTATGCAGAACTACCGGCTTATATTAAACAAGATATCAATGTTTTCTTTGCCTCTGATTATAGCGACGTTTTTGCAATCGCTTTCCCAAACAAGTTACATTTTTTAAATAAATAAAAAAACTCAAACTGCCTTCCTCGAGTCCATAAATCTTCAACAATCAATCTCATCTAATTTCAAAACGGGAGAAATTTCGATGAAAATAATTATAAAAAGGAATAGGACAAAACAAAACTATAGTGTGTGTTCATTTTTTCATTAATTTATAAACAAAAAAATTAACAAAAGAGATAAACAAAGAGAGAGAGAGATAATACTACAAGATAATATTTAACATCATGTCAGACAAGGATGAAAAAGTTATTACATTTTTAGAGTTGACAAACTCTTCAGACCCAGAGGAAGCATTGTTGTTGTTAGAGGTAACTAGATGTCCTTGTTGTTGTTATTGTTGTTATTGTTATTGTTGCATAAAGAGTCCTATCATCATATTCACATTCCCTTTTCTTTTTTATGATCATAATAGCAAAATGATTGGAACCTAGAGAATAGTGTAAACAATTACTTTTTGATTCATGAAGATGATAACAAGCAAGCAGCATCTTCTTCATCTCCATCGAAATCATCACCCATCAACAGTGGTGAGGGAGGAAACGTTTACTATGATGACCAAGATAATGTCAGAGCACCAATGACAGCATATACAGATACAATGATAGATTCCAACGATGTGTATGACCAATTTACAGGAAGAGCTATCCCTGCCAATAGAAGAAGACCACAACACCAACAAAGAAACAATCCTTTTGAAACCTTTAGAAACTTTCAAGCAGAGGTCAAAGTCCCATCTCCAACTGCCCCAACTCGCAAACAAACACAGTTGGCTGAATTGTTCAAGCCTCCTCTTGACATTCTGAGCTTTGGTTCTTTTGACACTGTCAAAAAGATGGCCGAGCAGAAAAAGGCGTTCCTATTGGTCAACATTCAAGACGTAACAGAATTTGACTGCCAAAAGTTAAACAGAGATACTTGGTCGCACACTGGTCTCAAATCTTACATTTCAAATCACTTTGTATTCTGGCAAGTCAGTAAAGACAGTAATGAAGGTGCCTACTTTGTAAAGATTTATCCTGTACAACAATACCCATACATTGGAATCATAGACCCAAGAACCGGAAGAAATATGATAAATACGCAAGGCAAATTTATCGACTCTGATCAAGCATACAGTTTTCTACAAAAGTTTGTCACCTCCAAGGAACAACCTTTAGATGAAACTGACTCAAAGGACGTAAAGAGACAAAAGAGACATACCACCGAAGAAGAAGAACTAGAAAAAGCTATTCAATTGTCTTTACAAGGCGCAACAAATCAAAACAAACAAGATGATCAAGATGAACAGGACGAACAAGATCAACAGGACGAACAAGATGAACAAGAAGAGCAAGAAGAGCAAGATGAACAGGAAGAACTACAAGAAGATGAGGATTTGTCAATGTATGAAAAAGAAATAGTAGTTCCACCACCTAATGCGACACCCATTGTCGATGAAACAATTGGAAAGGTTGGTGACTGTGTTATTCAGGTATGTAAAAAGAAAAGAAATGGAATGAATAGAATGAATGAATTTGAAAACTAATGTTTCTCGTCATTAATATTATAGGTGAGACTACCAAGTGGTGAAGTATTAAAAGGTAATTTCCAATCCACTGATACTGTCCAAAAGATTTATTACTTTGTCACTGTCAAGAGTGGAATCAAGAACTTTGTTCTAATGACACCATTCCCAAGGGTTGAACTAACAGGAGAATTAATTTCTAAAACTTTACAACAAAATGATCTTGTTCCTCGTGCAATTTTAACAGTAAAAGATACTCCATAACGCTAAAATAAAACATACAAAAAAGTTATACTACTACCACTAAACTGCTCAACAAGTGAACAAAATCGATTATTGTGTTTCCTCTAATAATTTCTTAACAAAAGAAATGCTATAGGGCAAAACATGGTTGTTTATTAAATTCTATTACTTATTATTATTATTATTATTATTATTACTATTATATCATTCATCAAATTAGTGTCATGGTATTGATGGATTGGTTGAAATTAAATTAAATTGATTGTTATTATTATTATTATTATTATTATTATTTATCTGGGTTGGAGGGGTATGGAGTTGTTGTTGTTGATTGTTGTTGTTTTGGTCCGATAATAGTTGTTGTTGTTGAAGTTGAAGTTGTTGTTGCAGTTGTTGTTGTTGTTGTTGTTGTAATTGTTGCTGTTGTTGAAAATGATATTGTTGTTGTTGTTGTTGTTGCTGTTGTTGTTGTTGTTGTAGTTGTTGCTTGTTGTTGTTGGAAATGATATTGTTGTTGTTGACCAGGAGGCAACGGCATTGGATTGTGAGGTACCAGTGGTTGATGTGCTGGATGATAAATATTTGGTTGTAATAGTTGAGGCTGTTGAGAGGGTGGACCTACATGAGGGGGGTTACCGCTTTTCTTTTCCACTTGAAACTCTGAAATCATGTGATCCAAGAGAGGGAGAATTTCTGGAAATGAAGGGCGATGAGATGGATCCGTATCCCAACACTTATTAATGAGAGAAGAATATGAAGCAGGACACCATTCTGGGATTGGCAATCGTTCTCCACGATCGATTGATCTAACAACCTGCATGGTGTTCTTTCCGGCGTATGGAATTTGGCGAGTGAGCAACTCCCAGAGGACGATGGCAAAAGAATAAACGTCTGCCTTTTCGGTATAACCTTCCTCTGCCAAAACTTCAGGAGCAACCCAACCGGTGGTACCGCACATTGTCTTGGCAAAAGTGTGCGACTTGACAGTGGCCAAACCAAAATCAGCAACCTTTACTTGCCAACTGTCATCGACTAGCAAGTTGTCGGTTTTGAGATCGCGGTGAATGATAACTGGATTACGAGAGTGCAAGTAGGTCATGCCACGAGCGCAATCGTATCCGAGTTGCAATCTGAGACCCCAATCCATTTGAACATTATCGTCTTGCAAGATGCTGCTGAGCGCTCCTTTTTGAAGATATTCTGTGACTATACAAGGTGAGCCAGGTTCTGTACATGCTCCCATAAAAAGGACAATGTTTGGGTGCCGAAGCTTGCACAAGAGATCTACTTCTTTTCTGAGATCGCTGAGCAATTTTTGATTGAGGTTGTCATTGAACAACATCTTGACAGCAACTTCGGTTCCTCTCCAGCTTCCCCTAAATACTTGACCATACCCTCCTCTACCTATTCTCATGCCCAATGTAATTTCTGAAAGTGGCACCTCCCATTCAAAGACTTCTTTGATGGGGGCAGGGGGTGGTGTAGAAAGAATCATCTGTCTCGGCGCAGAAGGCATGGCAAAGTTATGTTGTTGATTTTGTAACATTTGTTGTTGAATAGAGGATTGGATGATTTGTTCATTTAACCCTTGGAGGGTGGGTTGGTTGTTGGTCGGTGTTGAAGGTTGAGATGCGTTGTTATTGTTGTTGTGCGGTGATAAAAGGGTGATTTGTGATATTGCTTGTGTGACATTTTGACTGCTGCTTGTAATGGTGGGTGAGACATTCATTGGTGGCGTATTAATGTGAGGAGGTGAAGCCATTGGATTCTCCCAGAGCTGTGGTTGATTAGTTAAAAGTATTTGAGGCAAACTTGCAACTGTATGTTGTTGCAATTGTTGTTGTTGTTGATGATGCAGTTGATGAAGGACGGCAGCCTCTTCTTCAAACTTGGTTGCCTTTGCATTGGCAAGAACCAACTCTTCCTCGAGTTGTTTGAGCTTTGCTTCCGTCTCGAGATGTTGTTTTTTGATTTCGTTTAGGTTTTCCTTTTTCCTCTTTTTAATGTCAATCTCCTTTTGGGCAAAGGCTTGAGCTACAGCAATGGTCGAAGCCACATTGATTGATGGTGGCTGAGCGTGGTTTTGTCGGTCTGTTTGTTGTTGTTGTTGTTTGTTGTGTTTGGTGGCAGGTGGCTTGTATTGCTTGAGAAATGAAAGAATCTCAATGGGTGATTTTTTGAGCATACTCTTTTGGAGGGGCAATCGGTTACCCTCTAGCCATAGGACTTGAAGTTGTGTGCATTCGAGCATGTTGGAAGGAAGACTAGATAGTTGGTTGTATCTGAGTCTAAGCTCTACCAATGAAGACATTTGGTTAAAGTTGGTTGAAGATGGAATATCGGTGATTTGATTAAACGAGAGATCCAATACCTTTAAACTTGTTAGATTTCTAATATCCTTTGGTATCGCCTTGATGTTGTTGTTGTTGAGGTAGAGTGTGGTCAATTTTGTCAATGAATACAACTCTTTTGGTAAAACAGTCAATTGATTATGATTTAATCTTAATCTTTTTAAATGAATTAAAGTTCCAATCGATTTTGATACCTAACAAAAAAAATTAAAAAAAAGGAGGTTAATAAACAAATATATATATATAGAGAGAGAAGGATGAAATTATTCTATATCAAAATTACCTTTTTCAATTGGTTTGCTGATAAATCCAAATCTCTAATTTCCATGAGCGAATAGACATCGACCGGGATTGATTTTAACCAACAATTTGACAATGATAGCTTGAGTGATTTGTTGTTGGAAGCCGATTGAATTCTAATATTGATATCGTCCTCTTCATCTTCTTCGTCGTCGTCTGCGTGATGATAGGATGGCGTAGTAACAGTTTGATCACCACTGTTGGGCTTGGAAGGTGTGTCAACTGATTCACTTGGGTCCTTGGCTAGTGAATCATCTCTGTCGTCTGCAATGTCATCAAGATGTTTGGTTGGACTATTTGCACGAGAGTCGTCCAACATGTAACCACTGTCATCATCTGTGTTGTTGTGGCTATCACCTCCCAAATCATCATGATTGACATGTGATTGGTTGCCATGATCATCATGATCATTGTCGTTGTCGTGGTGTGTGTGAGAATCCATATCCTCTAATATCATGGAATCACCACCGTCGTGATTATTGTCAATGGTTGTTGTTGACGATCCAGCTGTTGATTGATCATCGTCGTCTACATGGCCACGACTATGAATACGGCTCTTTCTTTTAGATCCAATCATAATGTTTCCACTTGAATCCAAAGCTTGTTGTTGTTGTTGTGTGATTGTCTCACCTTCTTCTCCATCGCCGTACTTAAAGATGACCAATTGATCATAACTTTGGTCGTCATGCAACATTTTATCTCTCTCTAATCTCTCTCTTTGGATCTCTTCAATCTCTTCTATGCTGCTTTGTTGTTGATTTATTACATCGATACTGTTACTTGGATTATTATTATTATTTATATCATTAATAGTATTGATTTGTGATGGCGGTGGCAGTGATTGTTGACTATTAAAATTATTATTATTGTTATTATTATTATCATTGTTGTTATGATCAGTATTATTATTATTATTATTATGTTCATTATTATTGTTATTAAGAATACTAATTTTTCCTATTCTCCAATCTTTATAAAAGGTTGGTGATCTGTCTTTGCCTAAAAAAAAGTAGAAGTAAATGTTTGATAAGTCTTTTAGATTGATTAAAATATTATATATTATATTTTATATATATAACATACCATATGACGCCCTCTTTAAAGGATGAGGTGAAGATGCATCGTCATCATTGAGATAATTGTTATTGTTGTTGTTGTTGTTGTTGTTGTTGTTGTTGTTTTTGTCGTTACTGTTTTCATCATTTAAATTTTGTTCTTGTTGCTTTAATTGTTGGAGTTGTTGTTGTTGTTGTAGTTTTAATTGTTGTTGTTTTTGTAGTAGTTGTTGTAGTTGTTCTTGTTGTTGTTCTTGTTGATCTTCTATATCATGACCATTAAATTTTCTTTTGTTATCTTTTGTCACAGAAGTATCCATTTCTGTAGTTCTATTCCCATGCGCATCAGTATCATGAGAGAGGCTATTCCCATTTGTCTCTTCTTGATTGTTGATATGGTTATTATTGGTATTTGTGGTAGTTGTTGTTGTTGTTGTAGTTGTTGCCTGATGATTATTAATTAAAGTACCTTCCATCAAGGTATTAACAAATTTGTTTTGGGTTTCAAGATAACTAGTAAAAGATAGGATGAGACCTTCTTTTAAACTTGTTCACACTATACTACTATAACCTGTTGTTGCAACCTCAACTGCTACAATATGTGAGGTGAATAATTATGTTTGAAGGGGTGTACTAAAGAAGACGAAAAGAGTAAGTTTTTAACGAAATTGTAGAATAGTTATTATTATTATTATTATTATTATTTATGTAAAGCAATAAAGAAGAAGAACAACAAGTAGGAATGTGTTGTGATGTTTGTCCCTTTTTCTCTTGTGACGTTTTGTTGTATATATTATTATTATTACTATTATTTTATAATACTCGAGATATTCTTTTCTTCTCTTCGTTGTTGGTGATTCTTTTTTTTTTTTTTTAAAAAAGAGAAATAATAATAAACATCCTTTCAAACTGACTCTCTTTCTATTGTCTGAGCCAGTGTGGTGTGTGGTGTGTGTGGTTCGAAGGGTTGTAGTTTAGGGGTGGGGTATGATTTTTCTGCTAGGTTGGTGCTCAAAGAATCTAACAAACAAAATAATAAAAGGATGGTAGTATAAAACATGATACAAACATATATATATATATATATATATTGGTGTGCATCTACAATGAAATATGATGATGATGATGATGATGAGATGGAGGATAACAGATGAGGAGGGGAGGAACAGGATGAGGAGAGAGAGATGAGTTTACTTACTTGTTGTATCTGCGAGATCTCAAGCTCTAATCAAAATAATAACTATAGTAGTTGTAATAATATAAGGGAATCTAGTTAATGGATGGTGAATCTCTGAAAGAGCATCAACTTGTTCTCTTGTTTTATATTATGATTATAGGTAGACAGTATATTATAAATATAGACACTTTCGCTGAGAAGAAGAAAGGGAGAATTTGGGTTGAAAAAAAAAAAAAAAAAATTAAGGAACAAAAAAGCGGCACCCCTTTGTTCAACAATCATTTTTAATAAGATTTTTCTATTATTTATTGTTGATTAATATTTCCTTCATCTTGGTCGGCAACGGTGGCTATTGGTTGTTTATGTTTTTGTTTTTCCAACAAAGGAGCTAAAAATGAACCAAAAGATATATGCGATCGTGTGTTGCTCGAAGATGGTGGCACTGATGTGGAGGACGACAAAGATAATCCAACACTACCACTGGAGGAATGGCCCAATGGACTATTGGACTGTGTAGTATTGTTGGTGTTATTGTTGTTGTTGTTGTTGGAGACTGGGTGTTTATAGGTGGATCCGTCTGAATTGAGATGGGCATACATACAACTACTTCCAAACTTGCAGGCACCTTTACCGTGATTAAAGTACTTGCAGGGAATGGCTCCCAATTTGTTTTTATAAATCTCAATAATATCCTTTTTCTGTTGTCCTGCCACATAAATATCACTTGGAATGATAAAGAAACTGTTTACTTTGCAAACGGGACAGAGTCTAACCGATTGCTGTTGTTGCGATGTGCCAATGGCTGATTGTAAATTCCCTCTCCATTCTCTGATACAGTCCAAACAAAATACATGACTGCAGTGACTCAACAGTCCAAATCTTTGGTTCTTGTCAACAATCGAATCTCCACATATTCCACATTCCAAATGTCTAATCTCTTCACGTTTAATTCTTTTTTCTTTGGCAATGAAGCATTCTGTCATATGTTCGTGGTTTTGCAGAGCATGGTTAGGAATCAAGTAGGGTTTATCACAAACCTCACATACATTTCCATGGATATATTTACAACTATCACCATTTCTACATCCTCCTTGAATATAAAAATGACATAGTATCTAAAATGAAATGAAATGATTATTTTAGCAAATTTTGTTGGTTCTATTTAAATATATGTAGAGGATACATACATCTGATTTTTGGGAACTATTATTAGTATTGAGTGGTCCTGTTGTTGATGTTTGATATAAATAACTATTATTACCATTATTATTATTATTATTATTGTTATTATTATTTTGGTCATAGGAGATATAATAATCTGGAGGGATATTTGACTTTAATACTTCTAAATAGGACATTGGTTTTTTTTCTACGTCTTTTTGTTGGTTATCTTGTTGTTGTTGATTATATAATTGTTGTTGTTCTTGTTCCATTTTCAATTTATTATTTACAATATTAATTAAATTATTCTCGTCTATATTTATATTCTTTTTTATGTACATCTTGAGATTGTTATCGGTTGGGCTATTATGCATGTTTGGGGAGGATTTTTGTTGTTGTTGTTGTAAAACAACGATTTCATCGTAGCTATCATCAATAACAGCAGACAATGACGCAGAGGTTTCATTTTCAAAATCCATTTGAAAATCAAAGTCATCGTCTTCGTCGTCATCATCTTGGCCGATTTCTAAATCCTCAATATCCTCCACTGGTAAAAGGTGATGACTATTGTTTCCAGGAGCAATGAGTAATGGAAGAGATGAATTACGACCATTATTATTATTATTATTATTAGTTGATGTCGAGGTGGGGTTTAGTTGATTGTTGATGTGATGATGAATGAGATATTGGTCTTCAAAGGAAGATGGCGAAAATATATTGGCCATTGATACCCCATTGAGTGTTGTTGGCAAGAAGGAAGGAGATGATGAGTAGTGGTGGTTGGAATGGGAATTGAAACGTGGACTAAATGGCGGAACATTTCCAGAAGGAGAAGTACTCATCATTCCAATGATACTAGTTGAAGGAGAGGAACTGGGGTAGAAAGAGAGTGCGTTGGTATGTCTATTTGGCGAAAGAGACAACAATGGCGATTTTGGTAGACTACTAAATAAATTGTTGGATGGTATGACAGTATTGCTATTATGATTACCAGTAGAGCTGCTATTGGTTGTCACTGACATTAGATTAGAGGAGGAGGAGGAGGAGGAGGTTAATGGAGAGGCAGAAGGTTCGGTTGATTTAAATATATCGAAAAAGCTACCACCACCGCCACTAAAGAGATTTGGACTGAGCGTCGTCAAGGCGGAGTTGTCGACGGAGCCTACATGAGGAGAGATAGCAGCGGCAGCAGCGGCGGCAGCAGCAATCGAAGTACTTGTGCTACTGGTAGTTGTTGTGATCGAGGAAGATGACAATGAAGACACTTCAATGGTTGTTGTAGTTGTTGTAGTTGTTGTAGTTGTTGTTGTTTTATCGGTTGTTGGGTCAATTGGTGTACCAGTGGTTTTGGTAGATGGTGACAATGTTGTTGGATTGGAATGAAGGAATGTACATTTAGATCCACTCTTGCAATAACCAGCCATATGATATTTACAAAGCTGTTGTTGTTGTTGTTGTGATGGAATATTATTATTATTATTATTATTATTATTATTATTATTATTATTATTATTACTATTGTCATCCTCATAGTAATAATGATGATCATTTAAAGAAGAAGAAGAAGAAGAAGGATATTGGTGAGAGAATTTACAAGCTTTTCCTTGAAGACATCTTCCTCCTTTAAAGAATTTACAAATAATTGACTTTTGATATGTTGATGTTGATACTGCTGCTGCAGTACTCTGATAGTGATTTGATGATGCCATGATCACTACTATCTTGGTGTAGAGTGATTGATAAAGTGACAATTTGTATAAATTATATTAATCACTTTAATCCTCACTCTGTTAAGAACAATACAACTGAAAGCAGCACAAACAAACAAACAAACAAACAAACAAACAAACAAACAAACAAACAAACAAACAAACAGACAGTGGGGTAAAATAAATGAATAAATAGACAAATGTAATAAAGTAACTATAGATATATTTAATAAAGCAAATTTGAGGAAAAAAAGTTTATAATGAAGCAAATCGGATTTTTTTTAATTTAATTTAATTTCAAGAAGTGGGTGTATGGTCATTCTGCGCAGAATTTGGAGGTACTGCATAAAGTAGTATTAGAAGTAGTTGTAGTAGTAGTAAGGGATCAATGTTTATTTATTGTTTAATAGTAAGTATTTGAATAACCCAATAATAACCATCTTGTTTTACATTCTAAAGCAGTTCTTGGTATCTTTGTTTGTCTACCTCGGGCCATTCCTTTTGAAACTTCCATCCAATTAATCTCTTTTAAATCACCATTATTACCACTACTACTACTACTACTACTACTACCATTATTGTTTAAATTTGCAACTTGTTGATCTCCATTTGTTATTGCTTTGATTGTTGTGCTACCACCACCAGAATTGTTCAACATATTGGTTGGTTCCAATTCCATCACTCTTTTGTGTAACATTTCATCTTCTTTTTGTGACCATAATACTTCTCTTGACATGCAAGATTTAAAATATTGATATCTACATTGAATGTCGGTACGAGTTCTCAACTCTGATGCTACATTCTTCCAACTTTGACCATGTTTCTCTACGAGTGAAAACAATTTACTCTCTTCTTCTTCGTCCCAAGATCCCTTGCGGATGGCTGGACACAATACTCGTTTCCAATGTTGAGCACACTGTGCACCTGTCTTTCCTCCACCAATTTGATGTGCAATCTTTTTCCATTGTTTGTCACCGTGTTCGTGTACCAACTGTATCAGTTTCTGTGATTCTTCCTTTGTCCATTTATTTGGTGGATTTCTTAAACCTCTACTCACACTCTTTCTTACTCTTTCTCTCTTTTTCTTTGATAGTCCAATATTAAAGAGTGGATTACCATGGTGGTCTTGTTGCTGACTCTGGTGGTGTTGGTCTAGTAACGCCTTTTGAAGATCCATGTTGATTTCATTCTCTTCGACGCCATTGTCCTTTAGGAATGATACCATCTTTTGGCTTTGCTCAACATAGAGAAATAGATCGACTAGGTATTGAAAAATGGTTTTGTAGTTCATGTCCATGATGGGAATGACTCGAAGTTCAAGAAGAAAGTTTCTAAACGATAGCTCTTCATTCAAATAGTCGGTAATCGTGTTGAATAGATGGTCTCTAGAGTATTGATCCATCATTCCAAAGAGGACCGGTGTTAGATAATCTCGGAGTTGCTCATCGAAATCATCTTCCTCTAGGTCCATCTCTGGAGGTGACTCTATGTCTCCCCCCAATAATGATGGTGAAAGAATCGATAGAGCTGGTGGACTCATTAATACTTGGTCTTGGTGATTACCATTATACGAAGAAGAAGAGGAGGAGGAGGAGGAGGAGGAAGGATTTACGTTGGTTGTAGTTTGGGGTACTACAATGTCTGACGATGAAGAATTGGATGGGAAATATGGTGAATTGTTGGACAAGACAATAGGTGTTGTTGGCATTGCAATTGACATGCCAAATGGTCTCTTTTTAGGTGAAGGAGAACTAATACTCATATTTACCATTGAGGAAATATGTGGTGAAGTAAGAGAATTATGTAAAACCTTGGCAACTTCTACATTGTTGGAATTGGTTGAATAATTTTGGTATGTATTGGCACTGTATACTTGTTGATGTTGTTGTTTTAGTTGGGTGGATATTAAAGATTGTTGTTGTTCTATTGGATTATTATTATTGTTGTTGTTGGAAAAAGTTGAAGAATTAAAGGAAAGATTAGCCGATTGTTGTGGTGATCCATATGAAGAATATGTATTCATATTTTGTGGAGAAGTAGAGGAATATAATGATGGATTAATAATGGTCATCATTTTTTAAAAAAGAGATTGATTAAAAAAAAAACAAAAAAAAGGATTCTATTTTTAGATAATAATAAAAAAAAAAATGAAGGAATTAATTAAATTATTTTGTGCCAAGACTGTTGGTAATTAAATAGAAAACAAAAAGAAGAGAACAAGATTGGATTGAATTTAAATATTGAAAAGATGAGGCAAGAGGAGGAGGATAGATAAATGCGTATTTTCATAACACAATAAGAGTACAGACAACAACAACAACCATTAAATCCAATCAATTAATTAATCCAGTACCATGTATTTTAGATCAACAACGCTGCGTTCCACAAATTTTGATATCATCAAATTTTATACTTTAGAAAATATTGGTGGTGGTGTTGGATGGCACTACACACAGGTAACCTTTCTCTCTGTCTTTGTTGTTGGATATTGGTTTAAAGGACAAAAGGGTGGAGAGTAGGGGTGTAAAGAAATAGAATCGTAGGATCATCATATGGGATGGGATAAAGGATTATTTGTTTTCAATTTTGAACAGCATTATCGGGTGGTAAACAACAAGATTAATCGCATATTTTTATCTATCCCATCGTCTTTATTTTATTGTACATGATTATGGCAAACCAGTGAGAGAGATAGACAATCAAAAATTTTTATCAACTCCAACATGATTGGATCGGAGTTGTGTGTAAGTGTGGTAATGAGTGATGATAAACTTATATTATACGAATACTTGGGGTGGTCACTGTTTGATCATTGTTTTTTAACAGTTTAACCAATCAATCAACAACAGTTTTTGATTATATCTGATTGCAACCAAACGACTTTTTGTAATTTTAATTGGGGAATATATTAATTTATATTTTATAATCCACACGTATAGTATCATGTATGTTGATATCTTCTTTTTGGCAAAACAATTGTCTACCAACAACACACCAAGTCAATAATTTTCTACCCGATGATTGGTGGTAGATTTTTTAGAGGAGATATATCATTAATGATTCAACACACCACCACTATTTTTGAGTGGATTTTCGTATCGAAAATACTAATAATAATGCGAATGTGTAAATGGTAAATATTGAGGAGGATATGGGATTACCACACCACCACCACTTTCAAATAATAATATTCTATCTCTTCAAGATTTCTTTTCCGCCCACTTGAGAAAAAAAATAATATTATTAGTTGTAGTTTACAACAAGGCAGAATTTTTTGTTATATATGGTTAAATAGTTAGAATTGTTTAAAAAAGAATCCAAAGTTTTATTATACAGACTAATCAGCATGGTATATATATATAGTACTAAGATGACGTAGGATGGTATATGGGTCTCATTATTGGACCCAATCTTTGAAGTAATTGTAATAGTGCATTAAATGTTAATTTAGGACTCTATAATAAATTATTAATTAATAATAATTATCAATTGTTAAGTTTCTCTTTTTTTTTAAATACTTACATCTTCTTGAATTATATGACCACAAGATGGAAGAAGAATTAATTGAAACTTTCCTTGCATTTGGGCAATTGTCAATTCTTTATCTAATCTATCTGATCCAGCAAGAATTAACATTTTGACAGCTTTTGATGCCAAAAACTCTTTGGAAAGATTCGAAAACCAATCCTTCCAATATGGTTCTGTCAACATCAAGTCTGTGATCCAAGTGAATTTGTTGTTTTCTGTTGGTTTGATTTGAGATGGTACACTGACTTGAGCAGACTCTAGGTTTTGAAGAGTGTTGCTATCGACACTCCATTTGATTGCATCGCTGACACTGTTAAAGAATTTTGGTGTTTTGGCAATGATAGATCTCATCGATGATAGAGCAGACATGGCACTACCTTCTACCACATCAACAACCACCAATGCATTAATATTATTAATTCTATTTGCACTCTTTACAGCAATTGCTCCACCTAAACTATGTCCAACCAATATTACTTTGAATGATGATGATGATGATGACGACGTTGATTCAACCAATTGTTGTTGATAAGTGTTGGCTACATTGACAGTATCATTGACTAGAGTTTCTATTGAAAAGTCTTTATCATTGGTTGTTTTTGTTGATCCATGACCTCTTAGGTCATATGCCATCACTCTACAATTTCTATTTGTGATATTGGATGTTTTGATTTGTTGCTTTGGTAAAAAACATTATAGATTAGATTAGATTAAAGTGATCATTTGTTTAACAGTACTAGCAAGAGATATGAGATAAATTACATACAATTAATAATGACCATGTTAATGATGTATAACCTCCACCATGTAAGAGTACAAACAAGAATGGTTGATCATCATTATTTATCTTGTTACCAACAATCTTGTGATTATTGATTATATTTGTTTGTTGTTCCTCTTCAGCTTGATTCGTTGATGCTGTTGTTGGTATAACAAATGTATTTGCTTCATATAATTGGAATTGATTGTCTTGAATATTTAATGTTAACCTATTGTCCCAATATTGATTCCATTCAACTTGTTTAATGATTTCACCTTTATCAATATTACTTTCTTCTTCTTCCTCTCCTTCCTCTTCTTCATCACGATCCTGTTTTATTTTATTATCATTACTACTACTATTAAAAGGTGGAAGAGGGGGTTTAGTACCTTTATAAATCTCTCTAAACATGATGATCTTCAAAGGCAAAAGGTAAATAAATGAGGTTTTAAAAAATCAAAGTACTTGGTTGGAATCTTTGTCCAAGTAATTTACAATTTATATTTATATATCCTCTATCCTATGTCAATAGGTAGGGCAGGGTAGGTTGATTCGACTTTTATATTTTTTAAATATTTAAATAAATAATATTTACATTATGGTGGGGGGAGGGGAGGGGAGGTGTTTACATAATTATTATGGGTTGCATTCTATTTTCTTCTTTTTCTTGTTATTGTTCATATATTATTTTGATTATTATTATTATTATTATTATTATTAATTATTATTATTATTATTAATTATTCTCTCATTGAAGAGTATTTTGAAATAGTTTTAGACATGAACAATAAAGGTAATAAATCCAACATTTCAGATTTAGTGGCAGCTGTTGAAATAAATGGGTGGCACAAAAGTTCAGTGGCATTTGGTCTTTTCTTTGGATCCATTTGAAGACAACAATCGAGAAATTCAAACAATTCGTTGGACCAATGAGAAGAGTACTTTTTCTCTTTTGAGAACTTTAGTCCTCCAGAGGCATTTAAAAACATGGCTCTAATCTTTGATCGATGATGAGGAACAACTCCTTTCATCATCTCTGCAGTGATCATACCAACACTCCAAATATCAACTGAAGTATCATGAGGTTTTTCTTGAATTTGTTCTGGTGACATCCAAAATGGTGATCCACACATATGAATATCTGCTTTTAATAATGTTAAATCAATTGAGAATCCAAAGTCAACTATTAAATAAAATGTATTTGTCAATAACTCTTTTTGTTTCTTTCTCTTTCTCTCTCTCTTTTTTTTTTTTTACTTACTTAATTTTACTTCAGCTTTACTGTTTAACATAACATTTTCACTTTTTAAATCTCTATGAGCAATTGAATGGGAATGAATATACTCTAGAGCATGTAGAATATTCTTGATGATATAGGCAACATATTTTTCGGTAAAAGAAAAGTTTGATATTGCTTCCTTTATAGTACCACCATCCATAAACTCTGTCACCAACCAAATCTCTTCATCATTCTTTTCATAGGAATTGACAAATGTAACTATATTTGGATGCTTTAGATAACGCATCACAGATATTTCGTTTAGGTTATTTCTTCTGTTTCTCTCTGATTTGTGATCCATCTTTTTGAGTGCCAATTCATTGTGGTGATATTGATTGTTGCTATAGTATACTTGATAGACTGTTCCAAATGCTCCTTTGATCTCATTATTGTCGGCAACTCGGAATAGTTTGGTTGGATCTTCTTCCTCTGCCACTAATCTTGCCATTGCCAAACTCTCTTGCTCTGGATGTAAATAGTACTTTCCAGGTTCAATAAATACTCTGTTATAGTCTCCTCGGTGTCTTACAACGGGTGGAGGAGGTGGTGGTGTTGGTATATTTGATGATGATTGTGATGAAGATAATGATTTTGGGTGTAGTTGTAGATTTAATGAAATATTATTATTATTATTATTTGTTGTGGTGGTGGCAGCAGCGGCAGTGTTGTTTGTGTGTTCAGAAGAAATGATTGTTGGACTATTTGTAGTGTTATTGACAGGTGGAGATACAGATGTTGATATTTCAAAGGTAGCTGCAACAGTATTACTACCATCGGTTATTACTTTTAATAGCTCTTGCTCATCTGTTTGTTGTTGTAGTTGTTGTTGTTGTTGTTGTTGTTGTTGTTGTTGTTGTGATTGCTGTATAATTGTTGGTGATGTGATGTTAGTATTATTTGATGTTATTAGTTCATTATTATTATGAATATTATTATTATTATTATGTTCAATTGGTGTTGTAATAGTACTGGTACTTGTAGTAGTTAGTGGTGGTTGTTGTTCTTGTTGTTGATGATGATGATGATGATGATGATCAGAATTAGTTGAAGATGATGATATTGTCTCTGCAGTTGGAGCAGGCAACGACGATGTTGAAGATGATAACTTTGAAGATTTTGAAATAGATGCTTTACGATGAGACAATATCGATGTTTGTGGTGCCTGTGGAACTGCGTATCGATAGTAAACACCTTCCTTTCTCGACAAAAAGTTTAGGATATTCAAGAGTATGGGAAGATGTTGATCGATGAGTTCAGGTGAAAGATTTAAATTGGTAAGCCATTTCCTCTCTCCTTTGGTAAAATCTATTGTCTTTGATATAGTTCTAACCTCTTCTGGAATCATTTCATCAGAGTCATCATCGGAATCAAATTTAGGTGGTTGTTGTTTCTTTTTTTGCTTTTTGCTACTACCAGAATGATGATTACCATATGCTCCATCGTGATGATGGTGATGGTGATGGTGATGTTTATTCTTTCCATCATGATCCTCTCTATCTAAATATGCCCATGATGATGTTGTAGGATCTTTCTTTTTCTTTAAAAATGTGACTAATTTATGCATGATTATAAAATGACAGAGTTGTTATATATATATATTAATATAAACAACACTGACAATGTTAACTTTCTTTTGGTTGGTACTGTAGTATAATAATTATATATATATATATATTTATATTTATATGTAGTATGATAAATTGTGATGTGACTACAGTGTATCTATCTATCTTAAAATCTATCCTATCTATCTTTTTTGAATCATCCTTTAAAATATATAAAAAGTATACTTTGGTGGGTACTTACATCATTTTCTTTTTTTTTCTTTTTTTTTTTTTTTTTTAATTATTTTTTTTTTTCTCATCCCCAACACCATACAATGGGTAACAATAACTTTCCTTTTTAAGTCCTATCGACAGCTAACCTGACATATCCAATTTTATGTATGGGTGTCAGACCTCCTTCCTCCTTTACAAGATATTATATATGAGTGACGCCATGGCTTTACAAAAAAAAATATCTGATTTTTTATTCTTTGTTCTCACAAGAAGACTTTGAGCGCTCAACCAAAAAGTAATCGGATTGAAAGATGGGCTGCTCCAGTTCGATCTGCTTTTTGTTTTTTTTTTTTAATAAAATTTGTTTTTTTTCTCTTCACCATCACCTTTCCTTCCTCTCTTCACGCAAACCACCACAAAGATAATTTTTTAATCAAAACAAAAAGAGAGAAAGAGAAATAGAAAGAGCGTACATAGAGAGAGATAGAGAGATAGAGAGAGATAGACATCATAATCATCATTAAATACTACGCACATTCACATTCAAAATGACAGATATTTATAAACACTGTGAATGCAAGAACTCAAAGGAGCTCATTCAATTGATTAGATCAAATGGCATAGAAACCATTGAACTATCATGGCCAGATGATATGGGACTTTGGTATACTACTACTATCAAATCTCATGAAGTTAGTCTTCAAAACCTTGTCGAGGGTATCAAGTTTGCAACACAATCACTTTTAGTTGACTCCTCATCTGCTAGATTCGATACATCAAAGGCTTGTAAATCAATCGTTGTAAAGTGTTCAATTCAAACTACTATCAATAACAACAATAGTAATAATAATAATAATAATAATAATAGTACACCTACATCAAATAATAATAATAATAGTAAACAAAAAAAGACATCGTCAACAACAAGATTAAAAAAGAAATCAAAAAAGAATAATAATCATCATAATATAGAAGATATAGAAACATCAGTAGCAGTACCACCTGATCTTTTATTATCACCACTCACTCCATACTATAGTAGCAGTAGTTCAGATACCTCTGAAACTGATGAAATAGATAGTAGCAGTAATCATCATCATCATAAAAAGAATAAAAAGATTAAGAATCATAATAATAATAATAATCATAATAATCACCATCATCATTTAATAGTCGATGAGAGTCCATTATCATTTTTGATTGATCAAGTTGAAAATGAAAGATCAAGAGTAGGTACTCTTCTCCTTGTTCAACAACAACAACAACAACACGATCAATATTTATCAAGTGATGATGAAACCAATAGTTCCTCCCCTTCATCACCATCACCTCGAAATGACTATTGTAATGATCCAAACTCTCCACCTTTGCACCAACAATGCCCTGGTTCACCCTCAACTCCTTCATTGTCCTCATCAGCATCCTCTACACCAATAGTATCAGGACTTTCTTATCCCTCTGTCAACAATAACAAGAGAAAAGAAAGAGATCAAGATTGGTTAGAGCTACCAAAGAATAAAGTAGATTTGGTTCCGGATCTATCCAACGCCTTGGCAGTAGCAATACAAGTTGTAGCACCCTCTCTTGCTACCACTGCTGCTGCTGGTGAAGCTAGTGGAATGAGTGACTGTGTTGCATCATCCCCTTCTGTTGGAACTGTTCCCAATACAACAGAGTTCTCATTAGATAATACTGAAAGACTTATCATGTATGTATCATTCACACAAGTTTTAAAACAAACCTAAACACATTATTTAGATGATTAACAATTCTCTTTTTTTTTTTTTCTATCTCTCTAGTGAAGGACAAATACAACTTCCACCTTTACTTAGACCAAGACAATACCATGCATGCAAGGTAAACAAAGAAGAAAAGCTAAAGGACAAGGAATCAAAGAGAAAAAAGAATCACACGATGCTTTGTCGTCACTGTGGTACCAACTCGACACCAGAATGGAGACGGGGTCCAGATGGAAGAAAGTCATTATGCAATGCATGTGGCCTCCACTACTCGAAAACTATCAAACGTGAAACTATCAACAAACAACAAGAGAATAGAACATTCAATATCATTGATTTGCTCAATCCAGTTCTCTAACAACAACAACTACAACAACAAACTATTTCCAACACTTCACCCATACAACAACCATCGTTTTTATTACATAATTATCACCCAAAGGTTGTTTTGTTTTATCCCTGCCTACCCATCACCATCTATTTTATTCACCCATACATTAGTCTTTTGTGAAACTTTTACTATTTCCAAAGTTACTAATTAGTTTAAATATGGACAAGCATTTTACCAATTCATTTTAAATAAACACGTTTTTATTTTTCTCTCTCTATACTCTTTAGGACTTTCAGTAGCCTCGTATCCTTGTGCGTCTCTCTACACAATCTGGATTCTGGTTGTGTCCCAACTTTCCATTGAGTTTTACGACTCGAAACATTTTCGATATCGAGATATTTCTATTTTTTTTGTTTTTTGTTCAATTTTGAAAGGTTTTGGAGCTTGGTCTCACCTCTTTGCGAAAGAGATATGTACACAATTGTTCAAGATTGAATCTTTGTATAAAATGAAACTATTATTATTTGTTGCCTTGTGCTTGTATTTTGGTGCCGTCGCATCTCAAACAGACACACCATTAGATATATATGTAAATACTCCAGATCCAACGTATGTACAGAAAGAAAATACACAACTACTATTTTAGAACCACCACCACCACACACACACACACACACACACAGCTTTCACAAACAGAGTTTGAAAACTATTGTTATGATAATTATCAACAATCAAGATATTAATAACTTATTTTTATCATCACCACTACTTTAAATTAAATGTTTATTATAGATACCAATGGACTCTCAATGGTACAGTTCACGGTGAAACCTACACTGGTTATGTTTTGGAATTGAGTATGTTATTTGTCATACAAATATCCCCTCTCCTTTTATTTCAAACTGACATCTATTTCTTTTCTTTTCTTTTCTTTTCTTTTCTTTTCTTTTCTTTTCTTTTCTTTTCTTTTCTTTTCTTTTCTTTTCTTTTCTTTTCTTTTCTTTTCTTTTCTTTTCTTTTAGCATCACAAACATGGATGACAGAAGCCAATTCAAGTAGACCAGTATGGAAGCATTGGCTTTCAATGTATGTAAACCTCTTTAACACCAAACAACATTCAAAAAAAACATTTAATAATTAATATGTTGTTGTTTTGTTTTTTATTTAAATTTGTAGTTGCGTTCCAAATCAAGTAAATTCAGACAAAGCATTTATTTATATTGATGGTGGTAGCAATGAAAACTGGAAGACTCCATCTGAAATTGATTCAACCATTTTGATTGCATGTGTTTCTTCACAATCGATTACTGCCGGTTTGAACCAAATTCCAAATCAACCAATTATGTTTGCCGACGGTGTCAACAGAGTAGAAGATGCATTGATTGCCTACACATGGAGACATTTCATCAACAACACTGATGAACCAATCTGGTTGGCTCGTCTTCCAATGACCAAGGCCGTCGTCAGAGCTATGGATGCCATCCAAGAGTTTGGTAAGCAAGTACCATTCCAAGTCGATGGTTTTATTATTGCTGGTGCCTCAAAGAGAGGTTGGACCACTTGGACTACCGCAGCTGTTGACCCACGTGTCGTTGCCTGTGTACCAATCGTTATGCCAATTCTCAATATGATTCCAAACATGTTGAACCAATGGAGAGCCTATGGAAACTGGAGTTTTGCTCTCAATGATTACACCAACGAAGGTGTCATGTCATTTATTGACTCTCCACAAATGGAGGCACTCGCTGGTGTAGTCGATCCATACACCTACTTGGATCGTCTTACCATGCCAAAGTACTTGATCACCTCTGCTGGTGATGAGTTCTTCCTCCCAGACTCTCCACAATTCTTCTTTAACCAACTCAAGGGTGAGAAGCATCTCCGTATCGTTCCAAATGCCGAACACTCTCTCGTCGGTCATCAAACCGATATTATCCTCTCGATTGTCACCTTCCTCAAGATGTTTTCAAACAACCAAACTCGTCCAGACTTTTCATACCAAGTTGTCTACAACACCAACACCACTGCCACCATCACATTGACCCCAACTCCAGGTACACCATTACCAACCAAGGTCAAGGTATGGGATGCTAGAACCGAGTCAACCACTCGTCGTGACTTCCGTCTCATCACCTGTCAAGATCCAACCAAGTGTATCCAATTCGTCATCTGGGTGCCAACCGATGTCCAACCAAACTCTCAAGGTACCTACAGTGTCACATTGAGTGCACCACCAACTGGATGGAGAGGTTTCTTCTTGGAAGCATCCTATGAAACCCAAAATGGTATCGATGATGAATACACATTAAAGTTCACATCAGAAGTAGCTATTGTTCCAAATACCTTGCCATATCCATCATGTGCCCCTGATTGTCCAAATACTATCGGTCAATAGACATTCCGTTTTTCACTCCTTTATCTCTTTTTTTTTTTTAATAGTTACCCCCATATCTCTTTCCCAAGAAAGAAAAAGAAAAATAAATATAGCAACAAATAAATCATTTGAAACTTTATAGGGTTTGAATTTTAATTTTTGGTTCCTTGCTTGTCTCTGATCGATTTATTAATCAACGAGAGTATATTGATCGCTACAAAGTGAAAGAGAGTCACCCAGTGAACTTTTGGATTTTTTGTTTTTTTTTTTTGTGTCAGAAGTCCAACGACTAAACGGGTCGGTTGGTGCATGGAGGGAATGAGGGTTTCACACAGTGTAGGGTTTGGGAATTTGTCTTTGTTGTTGTTTGATCTTTACAAAGTTTCTATCTATCTATTTATTTATTTATTTTAATTTGGTTGTTGTTTTTTTTTTTAATCACTACACACCCACACATCTCCTCTTCATCACCATCGTGTTTTATTTATATATTTATATTTATTTTATTGTTGTATCACTACATTTACAGTATCACTATACACATTTTTGAAGAGATCATAATCATTTAGAGAGATTTTAGCTTGTTTATTAAACGAGTAAAGAGAGAGAGAGATATATATATATTTCAACTTTATTTTTTACTTTATATATTACAAATCATTCATTACATAAACATCAACAAAGATGTTGGCAGGTAATATAGCAGTATTGGTTATTGAACTAGCACTCATAGGAGTGGTAGTAGTATTTGGTATGAAACAATACATATCATTTAGAAAGACACCATTCTATGCATCTTCAACTGCATGGCTTGGTTGGTTCCTTTGTTTCTCGATTGTTTTCTTGGTACCTGTTGATATTTTAGCTGTATGTATTTTATTAATAATAATTATTTAATATTATTGGTCCTATACTAAACACTACCCGTTGCTCTTTATATTATTATTTAGACTGATCATAATCAATGTTTAGAAAAACATGTAAATCAAACAGGTGATTTCTGTCACGAACCAATTACATATGTACCAGAGAGTTTAATGTTGGCTCAATGGAAAGTATTGTATTGGGGTACATTTATATTTTCATGGGCAATATTTCCAGTACTTCAAACCTTTTCAGTGACTGGTGATTTTAGATTCCAAGAGAGATTGTGGCGTGCAATCAAAGACAATATCATTCTTTATATCTTTATGGGTATCGCTGGTCTTATTTTCGTAATCGTATTATTTGCCCTCAAAAATATGACATTGGATGGTCTGATATCGTTGGTCATGTCTCTGGCCAATGCTTATGGTCTGGTACTTGTTGTCATTACAATGGGCTTTGGTTTGGTCGATCTTCCTCGTAATCTATTGCGTCAGTCTGACAAGTACAAGACACTCAGACACTATCGTGTCGACGCCGTTGTCCTTAGAAATGACTTGGAGCAATCACAGTCTGCTCTCAACGATCACCTTCGTTTGATCAAAGCAACATCTGATGCTGCTGGTGAATACGATCCATACAGACCCTATCTCGATATTATCATCTCAAAATGTCCATTAGAGTTTGCAATGAATGACAATACACCATCGTCTGTTTCTGTCGATTCTGAACTGTCCTATGACAAGTTGGTATCAATGCATTCAACTCTTATGGATCTGGTTCACCAAAATCAAAGAGCAACCGTCATGTACGATCGTTTATTGGGCAAGGGTTTCGCCACTGAAGATATCATTGACACTATCGAGGTGCCTGCCAAGACTAGAGAGAAAAAAATTAAATGGAGTTTTAAACATTATTCTAAAAATCCAAACAAAGTTTTATTTGGTAAGTAATAGAATAGTCGGTTGAAACTGTTGGAATACTTACCTTTTATTTTTATTTTTAGAATACTATTGGATAGTTTATATTCACCCAGCATTATATAAATTCTTGGGAGTTGTTTGCTCAATCATGTCATTATTAATTGTATGGAGTGAACTTTCATTGGCATTCAAAGGAGAGACTAAAAACTATAGTCCCTTTGCTTTGGTCATTAATAATTCAGGTGATTCACTCAATGGTATTGGATTACAGATATTCTGTTTTATTCCTTTACTCTACATGACCATTTGTGCCTATACTACATTGTTTAAATTTAGAATATTCAATTACTATAGATTGGTACCTCAACAACAAACAAATGCTATGAGTATTATGTTTAGTGCAAAGTAGGTTAAATGTAAAAAAAAAAAAAAAAAACAAAAGATGATTAATTCTTATTTTAATCATCTTATTTTCTCCTATAGTTATTTATGTAGATTGGCAGCTCCATTATCATTCAATTTTATTCAAATTTGTGCATTGTCTGACGCATCATTCAATGCTGTAATGGGAGAGATGGACGCATTTTCGTTGGGCAAAAACTTTATATTCTTCTTTCCCATATTTGTTGCAGTCGTTTGCCTTGTATCACTATTCAATGTTCACAAACGTGTTGCCAGTTGTTGTTGTATTCCTCAACTGCGCATTGTCACAGATACTTCAGATGCTGCCGTCGAAAAGGGTATGAGAATTCTCAAAGAAGAACGTGAAGCACGAACTGGTGACGGTGGTGTCCTTCCTCCAAAGCCTAGAGTCATGATTCTCAAGGAATTTTTCACAGGCAAAAAGGATAAATCCAAAGATACTTCACCAACAACAAAGGATGGTGCAAATTCTAACCATGTCGCAAATCCATCGAGTTCATTCTACAAACCAGAACCAAAATCAACAAGAATCATTCAAGGTCTTTCAAGGGATTATAGTAGTAAATCAGGAAATACCTATAAATCAAGTGGAGCAAGTAGCACCAACAACAACAACAATATCAGTATTAATGGTGGCGGTGGAAATAATAATATAATTTTAAATAACGCAAATACCTCATCCTCTTCAAGTGGAAACGATAGAAAGAGCTTACTATCAAACTATTGGGATAAATTAAACAAAAATTCAAAACCATTCTACGAAGACGATGATGACGACGATTACGATGTGGAAATGGGATCACTAAAAAAATAGAATCTAATAAATCTTAAAACAAGAGTCATCTTGTGAATATACACTACTCAAACATAACTTGATTCAATATCATATACTAGAGTAACTACTCCATAGTCGTTCCCAACAATGACTAATCATACATATTTCTATTTGCTTACAAATGCGAAGGCCTGACTGGACATCACTCAATGGTTTGGGTGTAGATCAGGTTTGTTTTGCAGAATTTTTGATATAAATTTATTATATTCCTTATTACTGTTGGTATTTAAAACCATGATTTATTATTAGCTGCCAGCTGCTTAGTCATTGAGGCAAAATCTCTTGAGGCGGATTCCATCTGCTGAGTCTTTAGACTCAATTCGTCAATCTTTTCGCCTCTTTCATTGAGCTTTTGCATTGTTTCATTGAGACTTCCAGCAATATCTTCAACAAACACCTTTTGATTATTTGATTGTTGGGAACGACCATGGTTTGATTGTTGTTGGGGTAGTTTGATACCCTCTGAAAATACAGTATCTAAATTCACAGGTGCTTTGGCAAAAAAGAACGAACTAATACCACTTGATACAGCAGATTTTGGCTCTGGAGGAATATTTATACCATCAACAAAGAATTGGTATCTCGTTCTAAAGATGGCGGGTTGGAGACAGACAGAGAACATACTATTCTGTGATACAACCATAACACCACCAATGACAGACACAAGAGCTTGGAGACACTTGATGTTATGATTGGGTAATTGGTAATGTCCTCTCTTTTCCAATCCGTGCTTACTGTGATTGGCACAATCAAAGAGCGTCAATTGGCCAGATTGGTCAATCACTGAAAGATATTGCTTATCAGAGGAAGTGTCTCTTAGGAATGATGTTGAAATGACTTGATGATTCTTAAACTCCTCACATCTTTCCTTTGGGTGATTAAAATTATTATTATTTGTAGTGGTGGTGGTGGTAGTAGGAGTAGTTGGTGCTTCTGTGGTAGAGGGAGATTTTGGAGTTGGAGTGTATTGTGATAGCGATTGAGAGGGGATGGTATATTTGATTATTTGGTTACCAGAAGAAACTATTAAATGAATGTCATCCAATTTTATATTTAATTTTGATACAACATTGGTTAAAGGTGCTATTTCGGTTGTACTATTGTTGTTGTTATTATTTTCATCATTTGACTGTACAGGTGGTTGGATTGTATTTGGTAATGATGAAATAAAATTATCAAGCATATCGAGGAAAAGATATCTGAGTTGGTTTCCATTTTTATCAGCATAATGTACTGATTTAATGGGGTGGGATGATGCCTTGAATGAGGTAATGATAGACATTGATGGAACATCAATGACCAAGATGGATCCATTTTGAGTTCCTGCGTGTACCAAAGAAATGTCATCATTTTCACGTAGTGAATAGAAACATAATTCCATCGTAGTAATATCATTTCCTTGACTAGCACCCTCATAGGATGGTGCAGAGACTGATCCCCGATAATCAATGGCAGCTCTATATACAGTTCTAGATGTTGATACACCATCACACGAGTTGTCACTGACGACAATCATAAAGTGATGGACATTACCTTGTGATCCACCCATTACCAAGCGAGTTGTGGTCTTTTTTTTCCATGGATTAAGACATATTACATTCATATTACAATCCAATTTAATCTCTCCCATCAATTGAAGTCCCGACCAAGATGGATCTGGCAAGTTATTATTATTATTATCTTGTTGGGGTGGTGGTGAGGAAGAAGAGGGGGAGGATTGTTGCTCTGTTGGTTGAGGAGTAGGAGATGGTAGTTGTTCTGGTGCTTGTTCAACACTGGTTGGTGACTGTTGTTGTGGTGCTTGTTCAACACTGGTTGGTGATTGTTGTTTTGGTATCTCTGCTTCCTTTTGAATTTTGAAAAATGATTTTTCAATTCTTCTTGACCCGTTGTCCAATTGGTAGACGTGAACCAAACCTGCACTATAAGAGGCAGCCAGAATAAAGGTTGTGACGCAAAACGAAAAGGTGATGAGATTTGGGAGGATATCTGTTGATTTGCCCAAGAATTGATAATTTCTGGCATCGGTATAGTCCCAAAATCTTAATGATTGATCTTTGTGGTATGTAATCATTAATTGCATGGTGGATCTATTATCTTTGATCAAACCTCCAGAGACTGGGGATTCCAAGTATCCAATAGATGTTGTTGGTTTTTGATAGATCTTTAGTGCTTCTATAATCTTTTGTTTTGTTGATTGATCACATTCATATGTTTTCATTAATATTAAATCAATATTTGGATTATTATCACTATTATTGTTATTTTGATTATTATTATTATTTTCAATCCATTTTTTTAAACAAATATCATCAATTTGTTTTAATTGTTGTAATGGACTTGTATCAAGTTTACAATACAATAATTGATTGGTAGAAGTTAAAGCAATGACAGATGATAAGTCACGACTGCTTGGATATGGAGTGGTAGAGATGGAAGTAAAGTTGAAAACCGATGGGGCAAGAAGAGTGACACCAAGTTTAGATACATCCTTGTAGTTGTCTCCTCTAATGATAACCAAAGAATTTGATCCTTGATAATAACCTCTAAACATAATTATCTTTTTATCCTTGGTATATAACAACTCTAATTGATCAATTGATACTCTTTCCTGTTGTTGTTGTTGTTGTTGAAGGAATTGTGGTTTGAATACAAGAGAAGGAGATTGTTTTTGATAATCGACAAAGAGTATTTGTCCATCAAAAAAGCCACAAATGAATTTGTTGCCTTTTCTACTCCAACAAACCTTGGTAACATAGGTTTTAAAAGATAATTTCTTTTCCAAACGACGACTCTCCAAATTCCATGATACAAGTGTACCATTATTACATCCAATCAATAATAAATTATGATCAGATGGACAAATATCAATTGCACTTGAAAATATTTGTTGTTGATCATCTGTACTTGGTACATTAAATGCTTTAATAATTTCTCTATCATTATAGATTAATAGAGAGAGAGAGAGAGAGTGAGTGATGATATTTTTAAAAGGATAAGACATTAAACATACTCTTTAACAAATATTTTATAAGAAGATAAGAAATGAGAGAATACATTGTAGGTACTAATATAACCAGATTCATCACCAATGTACATAAAATTACAACCATAAAGAAAGGCAATAGAGGTAATTCTATTCTTATAGTTGAGTTGAGTGATTTGAACACCATCATTATAATCCCACTTTTCAATAGAATGAGGAGTGATAACCATAATATGTGGTGTATTGTACAAAAAGATTATCTTTAGAATAGGTGATGACTCTAATTGAAATTGTGTCTCCATTCCATCTTGTCCAAAGCTAAGATAAAAATAAATAGATAAAAGAGTAAGTAAAGTATTGATATATAGATAGATTGATCTATTTAATCAAACCAACATTTTAACTTGACCATTATTAAATGCTACAGCAACCAACTTTTGTATTGGATCATAGTGAATACAAGTAGAATGATTATATATTCCTGCATGATATGATTCTGTTGATAGTTTAGGCATATTGTTTGATGTAGTTGAAGTGGTAGAAGGAGAAGAAGAAGATGAAGAAGAAGGTGAGGAGGATGAGGGAGAATCCTCCTTCTTTCCCACCAATTTCTTCAAAGTATTAAACATGACTCTTTTTTAATTAACTATATATATAGGTAGGCAAAGATTACTATGAATCAGGAAGGGATGAAAGATCAATGATGGTGTGTATCTCATCAGTGAGTGAATTTAATTAAATTGATTTTTTTTTCTATTTTTGTGCGTCAAAGAGTGGTTCAAGCCCACTCACTCTATGGTTAATATTATTTATTATTTATTTATTTATTTATTATTTATTTTTGAATTTGAGTAAGGATAGTAGATTTTTGATCAACAGGAAGTTGAGAGATGATTTGTTCCATTTGAGGACCAAACTTTTCACCCAATTGTTTAATGAATCCAACGATCTTTTCACGAACATCGTCTTCTAACTTTTGAGCAAGGTCATGTGCAAAGATAGAGACGATTCTAGCGGTATGTGGTGATACAATATCAAAATGCTTTGAATAGAGTAGGAAGATGGCATCGAAAACAGATGATATCTCTTGTAAATCCTTTTGGATTGGTAGTTTGGCAAGGAACATTGGGAGTACTTCTACGAGTGGTACATTTTGTGATCCAGCATAGATCATACGTGCTACACAACCCATAACATTGTCAACTACCTCCTTTTCGTTGGATACTGTTGCACTTTGTAACATTGGAAGGATGGCTTGGAGCACTGAAACATAGTGTTCCTTGGTGGCACAAACACTACACTTGATCAAAATACCCAACATAAAGCATGATACTCTACGTACTTGTGGTGATTCATCTTTCAATGCCTTCATGCAAACTGTATATAATCTTTCAAAATAGGGACTACAATCAACTTCGATCACTCTTAATATTTCTGCCAATGTACCAATTACACATGCAACAATTGAATGATGATTTTTTGGATTCTAAATAAAAAAAATAAGTAAATTGATTATTATTATTAATTATATTTTTACTTCTTCTTTTACTTACAGTTAATTTTAATAAATGTTGAAGTGAATGTTCAAAATAAGTTTTAAAAGCATGACCAGATGCGGTGGCAATTTCAATCATACATTCAGATGCATAGTGTAATAGATTGTAATCTGATTCCTCTTCATCTTCATCTTCGGTTGGTTCATCTTGATCTTCTTCGTCGTCATCTTCGACTTCAGCGTCACGATTGACTGTTTGACAATAGGCATGTCCCTTGACTACGTTCATGACATGATTACCAATATCGTTCATGAATGGAGCTATGGCAGCTGGACCAACCTCCTTGACGGTATCTGCAATGGCCAAAAAGGCCTTTGATACAACACTCTTTTTAACCTCGAATGTGAGAATGTGATTGTAGATTTGGAAGGAGAATTGAAGGAGCACCTTAACTGGTTCTGGAACGGCAGTGGTAAAATCTCCCTTTTTGTATTCGATTGGATAGCATGCAACAACAGATGTGATGATAGATGAGAGACATCCCAAAGCTTCGAATCTAATGTCTTCGTGAAAGTATTGACAAAGTGACTCTAAAGCAGTGATGAGTTCTTGAACGTATGGGAAGAATGACTTGGGGAGACAATGTGCGAGTGTGGCAAGACAGTGAATGGCAGCACTCTTTTCGTCGAGGAAGTTGGTACGAACAGAGAGTCCAGAGTAATTTTCTTCTTCCTCTTCGTTGGCGCCAGATTCGCTTTCATCATTGTCGATACCTTGAATGTTGAATGCGCTTTGTGTTTGATTTTTGGTGAGACCGTCGTCAGAGAGTGCACTCTTGAGCAAGAGTTGGAAGACATCCTTGAGATAGGGTGCCATGTCTTCGCCAAAGTGCTCAAATATAATAGAGTAAAAGGAAAAGGTGAGTTCGGTCAACTCGGGTACACCAAGGTTGAGACCGGCCAGCGAGATGGACATCAAGTTTGGAATAAAGGGGATAATACGTTCCTTGGGGACAGTCTTGGCGATGGCACCCATACAATCCATAGCGTTGGCACGCAATGTAATATGCTTTTGATCGGTGATGGACAAGAGTCCATTCAAGAATGTAAAGACCTTGTCAAAGTATGGTGCAAAGTGTTCTTCGGCGCTCAAAGCAATAGCAGTGATGGCAGAGAGTGCAAACTCCTTGACTTGGACATTATCACGTTCCAAGAGTTGACCAACCTTTTCCATGATCGATGGGAGTACTGGCAACAACTCTTCAGTCTCCAAATTAGAGAGGAAAGCTTCCAAAGCATAACAACAACGGAGTACAAAAGCATTGTCTGGGTCATCCAACGATTTGAAGATGGCTGGGAAAATAATATTGCTGAAACGGTAGATTTCAGGTTCAATGTGTTCAGAGAGACGTGCAATGCAGATGAATGCGTTTTGACGAGCAGTCTTGTTTGGATCGGCCAAACCCTTCATGGTCATGTGGACGATGGCTTCGACTTGATCTCTCATCTCTTCAGCACAACCATATGACAATTGTTGAATGATCAATGGCAAAGAGATACGATGAGCAAGATCTTGTGATTCAGAGAATTGCTTCATCAAACCCAACAATGGATGGAATACCAACTTTGCAGAAAACTCTTCACCAATATGTTTCAACGATACACCAGCAGCAATAAATAATTCATTCTCTTCCAAATCCTCTTCAATTGCTCCTGTTGTAATTAATCCTAATATTAATTTTAATAAATCTTCTAATAAATTTGAATCTCTAATAATCTTTGGTTTGCTATAAAATTAAATAATAAATAAAATGTAAATATATAAGTCTATAAAAGAGAAAGAGCCATATATATAGATTTACATACTTTTGAATGACAACATCAATAAATTCAACAGCAGATATTCTAACAGATGGATCAAGATCTTGAGCAGCAGCAACTTGATATGAAAATTTAATAATCTCTGGTAATACTCTTACAATGGTTGGTAATTGCTAAAGGATCAATGAAAAAAGGGAAGGAAGGAAGGAAAAAAGGGAAGAAAGGTCAATTTAAATTCAATGGATTTAGAGGTATTTTGAGTTTTACAGAGTTTAGAACATACACTTTCAACCAATTCATCAAACATTACAAATGATGATTGTACTTCTTCATCTAAATGATTTTGAATACAAATCTTGATATTTTCAATGATGAGTGGCATCAATTCCAAAAACTTCTCAACAACCTTTTTGTCATGTGAAAAGGTTACGATGGCAGATCCAACAGCCTTTAGAGTGTTTGTACGAACTTTGAGTACTGGATCATTTAATCCATTCTTGAATAATTGAGCCAATTCTGTAGAGTGTTCAGCAACAACTGTAATATGTTCCAATAATATTTCAAACATATACATTTGTAACTAATAAATAAAATCAATCAAATTAATATATGATGATGATTTAATATATTTGTTATTTAACATTGTACAATATATATCACTTACTTCTCTGAAAACTGAATTTTGTTGTTGAGAGAGTTGGTACAAGAATGGGAGGAATTCATTCCAGTCACCAATTGGTAGAGAGATACGACAGATGATAATGATAACTTCTGCTACAGCTTTTTTGATTGCATTTTCTGGTTCTTGCATGAATTGTTGTAAAAGTGTTGACTTTAAACCAACCCTTTGTTCTTCTGTAATGTGTAACCAATGTACTGAAATCTTCTTTCTCATCAATACTGCTGATAATTGTCTAATCTATATTATTCATTTAATCAATCAATGATAAGTATACAATAGATCCACTACTACTACTACTACGACTACTTTGACTAATCTGTTGATGTATTACCTCTTTAAATTGAGAAGATTGAATTTGATTCATCAAGATGAGAGATGAAATAGGTCTCTTTAGGAGAGAGTTCAACTTTTGAGTGGCCTCTGTTACAGTCTCTGGCTGCAACATACCTCTGAGACATATTAAAATATCATCTATATCTTTTTGTTGAATTGACATGATTATCTATACCTTATATGTATATATATAGTAAAACTTCTCAAACAGAGACAAAGAGAGAAAAGAGAGAACTACATTAAACGAAAGACTCCCCTCCCCAACAATCCCTCGCAAAAAGAAAAAAAAAAACGACCGAAAATGAATCACTTTGAAAAAAAGGCAATCTAATAAATATAAATATAAATGTGTTGTTAACCTTAAGAACTCGACACATCATCATTCATCATCATCATCATCATCATCATCATCATCATGTTAACCTTTTTAATAGTTGACTTCCTTCCACTTTGGGGGTTAATAGGTTCTTTGGAACCAATATTTAATTTAATTTAATTTAATTTTTTTATTTTTTTTTATAATTTAATTTTTACGATAATGCAAAGCTTCTCATTTATTATTATTATTATTCAAACAAAGAAATGTCTCAAAACAAAGGTACTAATAGCCAAGGCAACGTATGTTTTATATAACCAACTTTATTGTTAGGAACTCCTATACTTACCCCTTTTCCTTTAAATTTGCTCTTTTTAGAGCTACAGTCACATGGGTGACTCTCCTTCAGATCGTGGAGGAAATTACCGTTATTCTAACAATGATGGTTCTTATTTCTACCAAAACTCAAATGGTTCTAGGTAAGTTTAGTCTATTACTATTTTATTTTATTGTTGATTAATCTAATAGCAAATTAATTTTAATAGATACTATAACGATGGAACTGGTAGTGGTGGATACTACAAAGGATCTGACTCTTCAAGCTACAGCTACAGAAAGTAGAAGAAGAGGAGGAGATAGATTCAAATTATTAATATCATGATGGATTTAATAAACAACCAAGTCAGTTTCCCAAAGCAATATTGCTATTGAAATTAAATGTATATTATTATTATCATTATTCACTCATTTGAATGTTGTGTATTTATTATTATTATAGCAGCTTAATTAATCAAGATTCAATGTAACGGTATTACCAATGACATCCATGTAATCATATGGAGCGTAATAAATACCATTCTTGTCATAGGTATCTGGGATGTTGCCTGTAATGATAAATTCAGCTGTTACATTGAATTGACCGGTACATCTCTCTGGGCACTCAATAACCCATTGCATCGTTCCCGATTGTCCTTGACTTTGTGGTCCCATACTGTATGCTTGTTGTCCATTATTCATGAATTTAGTTGGTTGTGGAGTTTCCAAACTAATAAGTGATGACAATACTGGTGGCATACTATAGTGATGGCAAATTATAAATAATATATTTTAATTAATATATAAGATATATTTGTTGGTCTGGTCTATTCTATTATACTTTTGTTGTTGGATTTATACATACGTCATAATACCTTGTAATTCTGGAATTGGTAAACCATATTGGAATTTAGCAGATACAGTTGTTTGGTTACCTGTGCTAATTGTGGTGGCATCCAAATAGATTGGCCAATAGATGGCACCATAGAATGGTGTACCACGTGGACTATCATTCTCTGTGTAATTCCAAAGGAATGTAAAGTTGCTGTATGACATTACAAATACATGAGGTTGATTATCTCTTCCCCATGGGTCAAGTGTTGTAAATGTTTCATTATTATCATTGTATCCAACAACCACTCTAAAGTGACCTCCCAAGTCATTTGGAAGATAATGTTGTAACACAATCACTGGGATATCGTTGGCAATGCAAGCTTTCAATTGTTCACTCCATTCAGTATCACTACTATATGCAGCAGCATTCATACCTAGTGGATATCCAGTGAATCCATTGACAGATTCTGCGTGTTTCTTTCTTGTTCCAATTGAATTGGAGAGAACAGAGAATTGTCCGGCTCTAACGATATCATATGATGAAGTACCTTCTGATTTACTGGTTCTTGCTACATCATCAAGTTCGCTTTGACTGATGTTCTTTCCCCAATAGCTAAAAAAAGGTGATTGATTGTATTAGATCTGATCTATCGGAACAACCACTAGTACAATACATACTTGAATACCATATGCATGGATGCATCACCACAATTATATTTTGTTCTATTAATAGTAACAGTAATATAACAATGTTAATATATATCTATCTATTGTACAGGCTTTATTGATCTTTTGATGTACATACGATTGTCTTTGATATACATCGAAAATATTTGGGATGACATATTGTGATGGTATAGAAGAGTATGCATAACTTCCCACCAATGCAAAGGTTGATATAATCAACAACGTTGAAATGTATTTAAACATTGTATTACTTTTCTTTTTAAATAAATAAATACTACAATTGTTTTCGAAAGGGTTTCATAAGATCGTCGAAACCCGAAGGTCCCAAAAATGGTTCAAATTCAATAAAACCCCCAGGGGCAATAGTTTTTAAAAATAAAAGAGTTGAAGGTTTAACCTGTACGGGATGTTTTATTTACATGGAATTTAGGGTGGAGGAGGAGGATGTTTAAAAATCGGATCGTTTTTCTTTGTGTTTTTTACAAAGATTTCTTTTCTGCATAGGTATCAAATTTATCGGTCATCAAATAGTTTCGAAGATAGGATATTACATTGAGATAGTCAAAGTAATAGGCATCATAAGAGGTCTCTGTGAGCGTCGCATCAGGAACAAATAATCTTGGGGAAGCTGATGTTGGTGTAGTGGTGGTGGTAGTGGTGGTTGGATTTGGTTCATCTTGTTTTTCTGTTGATTGAGTATCGTTATCAGTTGGTTTAATAGTTGCCTCTGTTGTTGTTGTTGTAGTGGTGGTAGTGATGGTGGGCGCTGGTGATAAAGGTGGTGTAGGATTTTTTGGATGATAAGGTTGAATTAGGATTGATTCCAAATGTTTTAAAAATGTCTTTGCGTCCTTTCTATGCTTTTTAATGTATTTGATAAGAGTTCTTTCAAATTCTTGTGGTTTCATCTTGTCTTGTGTAATGAATGTTTCCCTGAATATTTCATTGAAATCGTTATTGTCTGATGCTGTTCTTCCCTTTGCCAACTCATGGCAGTACCTAAAGATACCTCTTCTGATTTGTTTTGGTTCTACGGTAACAAGCAAATTATTTTCCAAGTCTGTCTTTGCCTTGTGGAAATTTCCATAAATACTAAATACTTGAATCAAAAAATCTCTTTGTCCTTTTTGGTTTGAATTATTATTTGTTTTCTTTGATAAATTATTATTATTATTATTATTTGAAGGTTTTTGATTGAGTGGATTATGTTGTGATGATGTCTTGCTTAGAACCAATGGATGATGGAAACTAGGTGGAAGAGGAAGAGGAGCTGGTGGTGAAGGGATTAGATGATTACTTTGTGTTAAAGAAGAAGAAGAAGAGTCTTCAACAACAGTTGAAATGATGCTTGGTGGAGGTGGGCTGTATTTTTCAATGATTGGATGATTCCATGAAGATGACAATGATTGTTTGTTGGGGCTGTCATCAACACCATTACTACTCTGCAGCTGTGGTGTGTCACTGCTAACAGTTTGAGGATTAAAAATCAAAGGTAAAGGAATAGAAGGTGTTGGAGAAATGATAAGAGGTCTTTCCTTTTGATGACAAGTTGAACTTGGTGGAATCAATGGAGTTAATAAAGGAGGGAATTCATCTCTAGGAACCTTCTTTTTGTTGTTGTTGTTGTTGTTGTAATTAGATCTATTCTTGTTGTTGCCGTTGGTAGTATGATCAACAGTCTCTGTCAAGGGAGGTGGTGATGGACTAGATGATGGTGTATCATTCTCATTGATAAGTAACAATGTTGGTGGGAATCCAATTGGGTTTGGTGAGGAGATGGACGACGGTTGTTGGATGTTGTTGGTCAGAGAAGAAGAAGAAGAATCCAAGAGGTTGGGTGAAAATTGGAAAAGTGCAGAGTTGGAAAACGATAGAGGTGACGATGACGATGATGAAGCACCCGAGCCAGAAGAAGCAATGGTTGTATAACTAGTTCCTGCCATTGACAATGCCTCTGAAGAAGTACTACTTAGGCCGCTGGTAATTGCTGAATTGGTAGAGGGAGAAAAGGTAATGGGTGATTCTAAAAAATATTGGTTGGATGAAGTGGTTGAAGGAGTTGATAAAAAGTTGGATTCATCTTCAATTATTTTGGCAGCTGTGGCATTATCAATGACATTGACCAAAGAAGGTGACGATGATGGTGATATGGTTGTCGTAGACGATGATGATGATGATGTTGTAGATGGTTGGTGATCATTATTATTTTCAGAATTCTTACAAGAAGTTGATAAAGACGTTAACGTTTCATTGCTGCTTGGTGGTGGTGGAGATGGTAAAAGAGGAAGTGGTATACCTATAGATCTATCTTGTGGCAATAAATCTTTATAATTTTCTACAATTGGATCGAGGATGATTTGAAAAGAGTCTATCGAAAAGGCATATGGACGATGAATTCTCTTTACAAATTTAATATCGATACTTCTAGAGTTCTCATGTCCCATCGATATAAGTGACCAATCATCACCTCCAGTACCATATTGTCCGTATGGAATATTTGAAAAGGAAGTAGAGGGTGATGGTGGAGTAGCCGTAGTCGATGGTGACGGCGACGAAGAGGAAGATGGAGATGGTGGAGTAACCGTGGTCGACAATGGTGGAGTTGGAGGTGGCTCTTCTCTCTTTGTAACTTTTACTCGCTCCCTAAAAAAGGTATCAAATACCTCTTTTTTAGAAATGATCTTGCCAGTTTGTCTTAATACCTCTCTGACAATAACAGTTTCTTCAACGTCCAACAACGCTGAAAATGATGTCTTGTTGAGAATATAAAATGACAAATCGATATCACTAAATTCTTGTGATTTTTCCTTTGGATTTGCAATGATCATCGATGCTGTACTTCCAACCAATCTAATACCAAACTTCGAAAGAGTTATATTTCTCTGTGACAGTTCATCCAAAATGAGTGCAAGTATTTCCTCGATTGACAATACAATAGTGATGGACTTGTCAATCGATGAGATTTGATTCTTTTCTCTTAGAATCTTTAACAACAATGTGATACGATCACGAGAAAGCATTCCAAATGCTAAATTCTTGCAACCAACTCCTTTTGCTTTTGTTTTTGGCTTTTTCTTTTTGGCATCAATATTACTATTATTATTATTATTATTATTATTTAAAGTATTGGGGATTAAAGTACTTGAATCAACTCCAAGTGGAGGTATCAATGGTGATAAAATTGGTAAAGGTGGTGGAATTGAATTGGTGCGTGGAGATGAATTCAATGAAAATGAACTTGGACTATTCATAATTGGTGAATTTGGAATATTATTATTATTATAGTTTCTATGATTATTATTATTATTATTATTATTATATATATTTTTGTTGTTATTATTATTATTATTATAGTTATTAAAATATTTTGGTGATAAAGATATATTATTATTATTATTATTGTTGCTAATGTTTGGACTATGACTCAGTCGATGATTAAAATGGTGTTGAGATGGTGAAAGGTTATTATTATTATTATTATGTTGATGATGATAATTGTTATGATTGTTATGATTATTATTATTATTATGATAATTAATTAATAATGGCGATGTGGTAGGTGAAGCTCTACCATTATTATTAATGTTGTTGTTGTTTAAATTTGTTTTTTTGTAATTTTGACCATAATGATTATGACCATTATTAACGTGATTATTATTAATACAACTATTATAGTTTACAACAATATTGTTTCCATTGGCATTGGTGGTGGTGGTGGTGGTGGAATTGTCCTTTGGCAAACAATTGGAATCATTGTTTAACGAGGATGATGGACGGTCATCATTATTGCATATTACAGTGGTTGAGGGATTATTATTATTACTATTGACAGTAGATATGGTTGTGGCAGTGTCAGAAGAAGATGTAATTATATTGTTGGGTGGAGTGACATTATTATGATTATTGTTATTATTATTATTATTATTATTATATTGACCAAGTTGCATGGCAATTGAACAGTCATCCACATCCATTATACAAAGTAGTATCTATTGAATCAATAATATATATATATTGTGGTATTGTTTCCAAATAGATAAATATAAATATATTTACTTTTTGAAATCACAAAAAATATATTTTAAAAAAAAAAAAAAAGATATTAGAATTATATTTATGTTTCAGCTGACATGTTTCTTCCAACTTACCAACAACAACAATTATAATAATAGCAAAAATATTAATCTCAGAGGAGAATATATATATATATAAATTGTGTAGCTATCTTTTGCTCTTCTCTACCACTTTTGTTTTTTGTTTGTCAATATCTATCTATATTATCTAATAAAATTAATCTTTTCAAAATATATTGCAATTGGTGTCAATAAATAAATAAATAAATAAATAATAAATAAATAAATAAATTAAACAAGTATTATTCTCGTGTGGTGGTATTGGATTGTATGTATGTTTGTTTGTTTGGACAAGAAGAAGAAAAAGAATGAATCTATTAATAAAGATGAAACAAAAATAAAAAAAGACTGGTTAGTTATTAATATACAATTGGAATATCAATGTTTGATTGGGAATTGAATTGAATTGTGAATTGAATGGGATCAATATTTCTCGTAAAACAGCAACAACAAGAAAGAAGAAAAAACAAGATGATTAATAATAGCTATTGGTGCAAAGTGGTACAACAACAACAACAACAACAACAACACTGTAGCAGTATTATTATTAATAGTAATAATAATAATAATAATAATAATTAATGATTTTCGAAATAATGATAATAATATTAAATTATAAATTTATCCTGCCTTGTCGTGGTGGTAATGGTGGTGGTGCTGCTGTGTTGTTGGGAAACAGGTAAGGCGGGTACGTAACGAAGCGAGTAATGAATAATAGATCCAGTTTGAGTTTGTTGTGTTTTGTTTTGTTTCTAACCCTTTGTATTACAATAACAAAATAAAACAAATATTATCAATATAAACAAGAAGAAGAGGAGGAGTGGGAGGAGGAAGAGTAGTAAGAAGCTAAAAAAAAGTACTTTCAACAACTATCTAATCTAAATTATTATGATAAATGACTACTATATATCTTTGTCACCATCAGGTTGTTTGTGATTGGTCACCAACATTTATAAGTGTAAACCCATCTATCAATCAATTGATAGGATGATTGTGGCGTTGTTGTTGTTGTGTTCTATTATAATAGGGTATCCACCAACCTTGAAGGATCTCTTAAATAATAATAATAATAATCACAATCAATTGATTGATAATCATAATGATCGTCAAGTATAATTTGGGATTGTGACACAAAACAAAAAAATCAGTCCATCTAAATGATGAAACAACTAGTCAGTCAAACACTGAACATGTGAGGTGGGTGTAGAGAATACAGCAAGAAGATGGAAAATGGGGTGATTATATTATGTCTGTCTTGACTGTCTACACTTCAATAGTTGGAACTATTACTATTACTATTACAATTCTCCGCAATCAGAGGATTGATCAATATTCTCTATCTCTGTAATATACTATTCAACATTTAAATAAATCCCAATAATATGTGGTTTTACAACAGTTGGCACTGTCACTACAATTAATTTAAACTACTACAAATTTGATTGGCCAATGGTTTGTTGTTGATTTGATTGATTAATTGATTGATAATTGATAATAGTTGGTACCTACCACTGATAAATAATAATAATAATAATAATAATAATCTAAAAGTTTCAATTGTTTAATTAGGTTCAAAAAAAAAGGTGTATATGATAATAGATCTAATAGAATTTAAAGATTAGTTTTAATTTCATAAGGGTTGTAATTATTATTATTATTCCAACGACAACAACAAATATAGAAAAAAAAAAAACTAATAAAATAATTATAAATTGATTGATTGATTGATTATTTGTGGAATGTGTGTTTGTGTGTAGTAAAGTAAAATAAAAAAGAAAGAGAGATGGAAGCAATTTAAAAGAAATATTTAAAATTGGAATATTTCTTTCTTTGCTTTGTTTTGCTTTAAGAAATATATATATATATATAAGTGGGTGGTCAGTCTTGCTCTTATATAATTCTTGAATTTCAATGTTGCTCAAAACGGATGTCGTCCAAGCCCAACCAAAACAAAACACACACCAAATCGACACCCACTACCTACATCCAATCCACCCCACCACCACCGATGTCAGCGTTTTATGGGAGCCCTGAAATCGATCGGTCGGGTGATGGTTGGTTGGGTAAGTTTTTGTCGACCGGTCACCACATATAATAATGGCAATATTAAATATTAATATTAAATATTATTGATCGATTATTATTCTTGGCAAATTTGAATTCATCATCATCATTAAAGTGTTAGACATGTTCTTTTTTGTACACTTTTGTCCATCGCCAATGTCGATCATTTAAATCCTCTTCCCATTTATTTGTCGCGTAGCGAACAAAAGAGAAGTGGAGTAATTAGAACTACCTATTGGATTGTTGTTGTTGTTGTTGTGGTGAATGATGTTTGTCGACCAGAAAAAAAAAACAACGAACCTGCTGACCAGTTTTGTTATGGTTGGATTGTGTGACACCTCTCTATCTATCTATCCAACAATAAATAAATACCCCCTCGCACCTCTCACTTCCCAATCAATCAAACTCGATCAAACTCGATGAAATGATGATGATTGTTGCTATAAATTTTAAAAAGGTTTGGATTGGTGGGATGTAGGGTTGGGGGGTTGTGTGATCTCGTCTCGATTCTGTTAAAGTCAATAGATATTTCGTCTCTTATATATATTTGTTTGTCCTTCTCTGTCTGTCTTCTATTGTTTAAGAATTGTCTATAGGTAGGTAGGTGGGAATGTAGTGTTTGTTTGTTTGTGTCCTCTTTGCGTGAACCTTGGTGGATGGATATATAAATGTGTGTAACAACAATAGTGTGAAGGTTTACACTATTTGATGACAACCATTCAATTGGAAAAGAGAAATGATGCCGATTGAATTGTTGATTGGTTTGATTGGTTTGATTGGTTTGATTGGTTTGATTGATTCTACAAGTGGTTCTCTACATATTTTGATCTTGATGTTTAATGTTTACCTGTGTCTAATGTTGTTCTTGTTCACTTTATTCGCTCTACTCTTTCTTTCTTTCTTTCTTTCTTTCTTTCTTTCTTTCTTTCTTTCTATGCTCTGATGATATTATTGTTAAAAGTTATATAAATTTGATTGTTAATGACACATTTCATATGCACTCTATCTTTGATGATGTATGTTGGTGGGTGTTAATATATATATTATCTCTGCTGCTGCTTGTTGATTATATGAATACTACGATTAGTTGAATGATAAATAAAGAGAGAGAGTGAGAGATAGATAGATAGAAGACACTAATGTGTAAAAAAAAGATATTCAGAAACGGGTGTGTGATTGGCAATGAACCTGCTGCTTTTTTTATTAAAGACATACATTAAATTGGGTCAGTCGACTTTGCACCTTCTTAAGATGCTTTTTCCCAAAAGCCAATTTGAACTTTCAGCTGAAGTTTTCAAGACCTTTGTTTTCGACCTTTACAAATGGCCCTCATTAATTAGGGGCAAAGTATAAGAGTACTCATCTCTCTCTCTTTGACCTCATTCAATACAATAAATAAATAAATTGAATATTTATTTTCTTTGGGGTTTTGAAAATTTTTGGTTGGGAGTGCCGCCTCAGAATCTATTTATTGGTAAAACTTATTTCTCTCTATGGTCTTCTTTATTTTTAATTATTCTTTTACCAATCGATAGATCTTTTCATTATCTATCAAATGGTTGCCAAAAAAATTTGCGAGAGGTTCACCCTGCTAAAAAGTACTTTCCGTAAGGTCGCCTTTAGCCATGGGCTAAGATGAGGTCTAGAAAGCATTGTTTGGAAAAATAAATGATATAAACAGAAAGAGCACAAAAAGTTGTATCTATTGGTGATATTGGATCGTCGTTTCAAAGATTATTCAAATAAAAAAAATGCTATTCTTCAAAGCCTATCTCATAGTACTATTGTGCGGGCTAACCATATAAAACTACGTGCTACATGGATCGATACCTTTTGGATCACGATTAATCAAATAAAAAGACAAGCACCAACACAAGAGGTGTAGGTGCCTTGAATCTTCAACATTATATGCACTGGTGTCGGCAGTGTTCAATGCATGCCACATCCAGCAACGCTAGACAAGATGGTTAGTATATTTGGAATGGATCAATAATCAAATAATTCAGAAGTGGTCAATCTCAAAACAATTGTGAACGCTCAAGAGTAATGGTAGCTTAATCTCATATATCGATATCATGGTTATTTATTTGGTACATACTAGTATTATTGTAATTGGCTCTTTTAAAACCCATCAAGGCTAGTGGTCATGGACAATTTCGCATTCGGTCTATCAAAACCATCCATTCTAAAAGATAATAAATAATAATTAGTAAACAGTATTTATGACAGTAATTTTACAAGATACATATCTTTACAGTTTTTAAAAATGGACCAACTCGTCTCTAATCAATTGATTCTATATTTAAAGTACCAATATATACAGACTTGTTATAGATTTAAAATAAAAAACCCATCATCAAGAAAGAAAACACATACAATCTTTATGAAAGAAGAAATTGACGACCAATCAACTTTGCCCTCACGCGGTAAACAAATGGCCTTGTTTGGAAACTTATGAATATACCTACCGAAACAAACCCTACAAGCAGAGGTTCTAAGAAGTTTGAGCATGTCTAAACATGGAAGAACCCACACATCACTATCATTACTCCTCTTTTACACCATTTCTTTTTGATTATCTTTTGTTTTCATTGGTTTACCAATCAATGCACCACCCATCTCTTTCCTTTTAACTACTCATTGTTGGCCAAGTTCATCTTTACATATCATTGACCTCTTGTGTTCACTCATAAATTATATAATCCTTTTTGATCCAAATCAAGTACCAATCTACACTACCACTCTTTATCGCTCTGCATCCTTTTTGTTGTTCGTTTGATCCACTCTCCTATCCGACAAACTTTCTTTACCACTTAACTTTCCATCAGATACTGCAATCAATCACTACCATTGCTCCTCTTTTACCCTTTCTTGTTTTGATTATATTTGTTTTTATTATCGAGATGCACCACCCATCTAACCACTCGCCTCATTGTTGGTCCCAGTCTATTTCATTCTCTTCCTAATTGTGCACCAACCAAACACATCGCCCAACTTTTATCATTTGTTTTGTTTGGTCAATGATAAGTGTAATCATCAACACCTTTTTCAAATACCATGCATGGTCTGTTCACCAAGCTATACACTACTTGGCCATCTCTTATTTTTTATTTGCTCTTTGTTCAAAATAACCACACCCTTTTGTTTGTTAGTTTGATTCACGGTAACTTTCTTTATCACTTATCTTTCCATCAGATCGATAATGCAAAACATCACAATCATTGCTTTTACACCATTTCTTTTTTGTTTTCATTATCCAATCAACGCATCCCTATCTCTTTTGCCTGCTCTCTCTATGCAGTGACAGACCTGTCAAACCTTTTTTTTTTAATTTTAAACCTCTCTAACATTTATTACATTTATCATTATAGATCATAATTTGGAATGTGAAAAGAAAAGGTTAAAATTAAAAGAGGAAAGAGAGGCCAAGCAAAATCAAGAGCCAGCCATTCCCAAGGAAAAAAAAAAGAAGAAACAGTTTTTGGGTGACAAAAGGCCTGAAAACTTTGATGAAATCAATTTTGATGGATCTGTTTATTCAATATCAAATTTGGCCACAGATTTAGAGATTGATAGCAAAAATGTAAAGAAATTAAAGGTTGAAGAACATATATCTGGTGATTATTTACAATCTGAACTCTCATCAAAGTTGGAAGCGTTGATCCAATCATCAACATCAATAAGTGCCTGGAGTGGGTTAAATACCCTCCAATTGAATAGATTGAAAATGCTAAATTTGGAAAATATAATTAATCCGTAACTATTATTATTATTATTTCTTTTGTTATTTTTTATTATTATTATCATTAAATTAACTAATCAAATGCTTTTTTTGTAATCTTATTTTTTTTTCTATAGAGAGGACAATTCAATCGATTTTTCAAAGTTGACAAAAGATCAATATCCATCTTTAATGGATTTTTGTGAATCAAATGGATACAAGTTTCCAAAAGGATATGACCCTACAGGATTGAAATCCCTCATGACGTCCGATTTGGAGACGATAAAAACTACTCCTTTCGCATTGAATAGCTTTGCACCACAAGCAAAGTATGTATAAAACAATTGACCAATATCTTTTTTTTTATATTTTTAAAACTAATCCTCTTTTTTATCTATAGATTCAACAGTACTTTTATCCCATTCTCGATAGAGTTGTTTGTCAGTATAATCGTCAACTCTGGAATAGATATGTCCCTTGGTTTGACCGACAAACACAAAATATTAAGGTATATTTCAAAAATATTACCTAATTTGGAAAAAGAAATTGGTCATCCATTGGAAAGTGGCTATCCATTGGATAGATTTAAGTTTTTCGACAAGGAAATTGAGATCCTCAAAGCTTCGCACTTGGCTTCTTTTCCTTCATCGTCAGATGTAACAATATCACCATCCTCTTCGTCTGATGTAACAACATCACCATCCTCTTTGTCTGATGTAACAATATCACCATCCTCTTCGTCTGATACAACAACATCACCATCCTCTTCGTCTGATACAACTACATCTCCATCCTCATCATCAAAAAAAAAAAGAGGTAGAACTCGTAGTGAGATTGTGGATATAAAGTTAGAAAAATTCCCTGATTTTAAAGATTTTAAATTGGAGGATCTTAATCGACAATTGGAACTTAGAGATATCGAATCCCCAAACATTGATACACAAGTCCAAGAAGAGGAAAATATTAAAAGATTGAAATTGGTTTTATGGCAAGACATGGTAAAACGCTTGCAAATAGATTTTATAGAAGACTTTGACTACAGCAAATCCAGTCAAGTTAGCATTTTAAAATGGTTATCTTTACCTACTAGCACTATTAAAATCGAATATGATTGGTACTGCTGTTCATTGCCAACACTGAAAGCAACTCTCAAGAAACTATTCAATGACAGCCCAAAGGTGAAGAGAAATGGGCCAAGGAAATGGATGCCAAAGTCTCTTGCTTCAACAAAAAAATCGTTTCTTTTTCGTTACTATACGATTGGATTTGTTGGAAAATCAGTCCTCTGCGATTATTTGCAATCACCGTATGTAAAAGACAACCCATTCGATTTCAACGGGTCAACAAAAACAATTCACCCCAACTTTAATGATTACGAAAGAGACAATATTGGTTACATTTATAACCAAAAAATGTCGGTCCTAATCAATCAAAGGGCGATGATGGTGACAACCAACGTTCCCAGCCATATCTGGTTCCAAACAAAAAGTAAATGTCATTGTTTTAAAGCATTATTATCTTTTACGACCCATTCATTTTACTAATATTTAATTTTAATCTTTATATAGGTGCAAATGAAAAAGTAGTTTCTGATGTGCAAATATCCATGAATTGCCGTCTCTTGCCATACCATTTGAAAAAGAGACAAAAACTAGAAGAATCTTTTCCAGAGCAAAGTTTGGTCTCTCAAAAAAACGGTCAAGATGGCACACCCATGGATGATTCCGATGATGATGATTATGAATCATGGAAATGTAAACAAGTAGAAGAAATGGAAAAGAACCATTCATATTCATACAACCATCCCCACTATGCTTGTTTTGTGGCAAAACAAGTTGGGTTGAAACCAAACATTCCCAAAGTCAAGGATAGAGATATTATCTGTGCCAATTGTTTGTCATCCCACTCACTTAAAGATTTGCCTATGGTGTGCGAACAATGTGATACGACCATTCCTATTCTATCGGAACATGAAAAAAGATTGGATTTATGTGGTGACCTGATGGATCTGTACTCGGTTGATATTCAACTAAAAAGGAATGCATTTGAAAAAATGCCACCCTTTGATTCAAAGGATGATCAATTCCCTCCACCAGTACCATTAATTGCCGAAATCAATCATCGACTCGTCAAATTTGACCAACCTGAGTCACCCCACGTGGAGATTTTTCTACACGAGGCTCTCAACACCACCTCGATAGCACTCAACAGTAACAGGTCAGGAATTGCACCCTCCATGCGGAACCTATTCAATCTTATTAAAACTACATCCGATCCCTCGATGCAATTTAGAATTCGTGATGCATATCCCTTTGTCCACGACTCGTCTACTGGCGGATTTGAAAATGAAATCAAACATGAAATCATGGTGAAGGAATTAATGAACCATTTTTCAATGACAACGTCCAAGCTCATTATTGTTTGTGGACAATTCCCTTGCAAGGCAGCCAAAGAGGCTTTTAATGCCAATCCTTTGGATTACGAAATGGTTGACTATAGTCAAGAATCTTATCACACCATTTTAGATAAAGCCAAAGGCACAACCGAGGACAAAGAGGTGGATGTAAGTAGGATAGTTCCTAAAAGGCTCATTGCTATCGCTCCGCATCCATCAGTCATGTTTGCGTTGCACATAACAGCAGCCTATATTTTGATTGCTCATGATATCTACAAAATGGCTCCAAAGGTATCTCAATTTGACCCAGTTCAAACATTTAAATCGAATTCCCCCTCGTCTGCCTCGTCCTCCTTCTCCTCCACGTCCTTATCATCCACGTCATCTTCATCATCTGCCTCGTCTTCCTCGTCTGCCTTGCCCCCGTCCTCCTCGTCCTCCTCCACGTCCTTATCATCCACGTCATCCTCATCATCTGCCTCGTCTTCCTCGTCGTCCTTATCATCCACCTCATCTTCATCATCCTCCTCTTCGTCCTCCAATCAAAAGACCACCAAACGCCCAAATCTAAGTAACAAAACAAAAGATTTTCCTTCACTTAAACAATGGACGTTGGAACATCTAGTTGAAGAGGCCACATCCCGCAAAATCGACGTAGAGAATATCAAAGAAGATCGTCTTCAAGTTGAATGTGTTTTGTTGAAATCGGTCCTTGGGTTTCAAATATGGTCAGAACAAAAAATTGAACAGTTTGATCTAGAGGAATCAAAATCGAAAAAAGATATACTGGCCTATGCGAGAGAAAAAAAAATCCCTTTGACAGACTATTGGTTCTTCATGACGTTGGAAACCCTCAAAAAAGCCGTGCAAAGGTGTCTCGCTTCCACCTCGTCCCCATCTCCGTCCTCCTACTTGCCCACCTCTTCCTCACCCTTGACCGATATCTCACTCCCCTCTTCCCCATCCTTGACCGATGCCCCACCCACTTCATCCTCATCCGATACCTCAACTCCACCCTCTTCCACCGATACCTCATCCTTGACCGATACCTCAACCACCCCGTCCTCATCCGATACCCCACCCTCTTCCACCGATACCTCATCCTTGACCTATACCTCACTCCCCTCACACTCATTCTCCTACTCCTCCTACTCTAAACCTTTTGTAAAAAATGAAAAGTGCGTTTACAAAGATGAAGAGAAACATATAAGAGCAAAGAGAGATTTTTATCACTCTGGAATGTGTAGAAGGCGCCGAAGCAAATGGAAAGTTATGAGGGAAAACAACCGTGGCAATTATCTTTATATCGGAATTGATCCTGGAAGGTCAAAATGCACGATTGTAGACTCTATGAATCGTGCTCGAGTGGTTTCAGTGGCATCTTATTACAACCTCATGGGCACTGACCGTCTTCTGGCAAGACAACAAAACTACAAAAAGAACCCGGTCCTGTCCAAATTTGAAAGTGGATTGCCAACCTATAATACCTTTGGTAAGTGTTATTTTAAATATTCATTGTCTATACCACCTATATATTATAATATTAATATTTATAAACTAACTTTTTTTTTAATTCCTAGATACTTTATTCAATGTAGAATCTGTATTGAGACGAATAGAGTATGAAAGAATTACCCATAGGGATCAATGTCGTCTTTATTCCCATGTAGTGACGTCCTATACGTTTCAGACCATGGACAAGAACAGGAACATTGACAAGAAGCGCGCCCAATATGCCTATGCAAAGAGCTTTGTACCACCAACAACAATCCCGAAAAATAGAATAGTGATTTGTATGTTTTTTTTATTTCTTCAAACCATTTATTATTATTTGTTATTAATCTTCTTTCTTTTTATAGATATTGGAGGGTCTGATTTTTTCCGTGGATCCCGAGGTGGTGGTAGAACTGGTTGTACATCAAAGACACTACTCAGACTGTTTTTGAATATGGGTTACAAGGCACGTCTTGTCAATGAATTTAATACCTCCAAAGTATGTGTGTTTTAATAATTGAATTTTTAGATCAACCCTCGAAATGGCCATTCATTAATATTTTTTTTTCCAAGATTCATAATGCATGTGCCTCCAAAATTCATTCTACCAACAACAACAAGTTCCTAGAAAAAGCTAAACACCAAAAGGTTAAAAATGTGTTGCCAGAATCTTTTGAAAAGACCCATGTTGTTGGTGCACCCATATCCTCCACGTTTTCAGACAATGGTGTTCGTTGGCAAGGAAAGGATTCCAAGTTATGTGATGGTTGCAAATTGACTGATTACAATTGTCAATGCTCCAAGGCTCAATTGGCGGACAAAGAGAATGATTCAACTCTGAAAGTGTCTCAATTGGCAGATGATATGAATGAAACTCTAAAAGTATTCATATCACTTGAAAATACTTCACCCTCTCCAACTATGCTATTGGAATCCCTTTTCTCTTTAAGCAAAAAGACTGTCAAGGAGTTGATAGAGTTTTGCAATCTAAACTCTATCAAATACTATCAACAAGAAGAGCCAACCAAAGGGAAAAACAAAAGAGGTTCTCACAAGGATAGTAAGGGTGGTGCTACCAACAGCAAAAAGGACCAACTTATCAACGCTATCATCAAGTTTAATTTTGAAAAACAAAAAAGGGATGCTAGCAAAAATAAGAAAAAGAGGTCAAAATCGTCATCAACTACTAATGATCGTTGTAAGGACCTAGATCAAAGCAATAGTCAAAAGGATGGGAACAAGTCTACAAGCAACTCTGTTTCGACCCACGATTATGGTTTTGGTAAGTCTCTTTGTGATAGTCAGATCAAAGATCTCTGGAAGTCAAAGAACCCAAATGCGACAGAAATGCCATTTAAAACTAAATGGCAATGGCTATATTGTCCAGTTTGTGATCATTTCTTCAACAGAGACTCGAGCGCTGCAAAGAATATTCTCTTATTGGGAATCTTACACCAAACCGCAGATTACAGGCCATGGATTTATCGTCCTTTACCTGCCGATATCGTGCATATTGGGAGGGTAGACACGACCTAGTTAACCTTAACAGGGCCTTCCTGCATAAATATGAAAGTCCCCCCCCCCCAGCTGTAAGTTATTAGATAGAAAATATAATGTTGATCTCAATTTACTGATTTTCCCCTTTTTTTCTGTACTTTGTCTTTTTTTTTTACTTTGTCTGTTTTTTTTTTCTTTCCTCAATTCAAAATAAAAGTTCAAATTTAGATCTTTCGTAACACACAATATATTGATGGGGTCAATCAAACGGCCTGCTGCTTTGCCCAGATCTCTTTTTAGATATTTATGTTTTTTTAGTAATATTATTATAATTATTTGGAAACACATGTACATGTACATACACCAAGCCGCCAATCGATTATTTTAATTATAATTGAGATTGTTGAGGTTGTTTATTATTTAGATAATAAGTTTGTAGTGATGGAGCCATGGAACTTATAGTAATGGGTGGAGAACATTTATCGCGATGACCATCGTGAAACCATGATTCTTTTTGACAAGCCTTGGAACAATAGACAACTGCTTTGCAACCAGAACACAACAGTGGTTTCATGAGTGTCTGTTTGCACTGATGACACCTGTACAATTGAAGACCTACATAACAATCTCCTTCACCTCTTCCTATCTTTTCACCTGATGGATTGTAATTGGATGGAGTCTTGTTGTTGTTGCCAGATAAATCATCCATGATCAATTTGTTGAGTAGTTCTTGTTGTTGTTTACTACTTTGTTGTGTATCTTTGATGGCATGGGGTATCTGTTGAACAGTCTTTAGATTGTTGATGTGATAGCCAATCATTTTCAATGATTTTGTGAATTGGGTCGATTGGTCCTTTTGGTCGAGTACTCGCTTCCAATCGATCGGTTCAGAGTTTTTAGGAGTCAGTGTGATGAGATAGATATTGTAGTGTCCAATCAACAGACGGTGGTATCTTCCCAATTGAATATAGTTGGAACATGTTGTCATGTCGTCCACACCACCATTTGTAAATATGACACCTGTCGACGATGATACAATCTCGTGTATTCCAACTCCTCGGTGTAAAATACTCGGAACAAATCCATTACCAAAAAACAGCGACTCTGTCCACTTTGCAACTAATCCTTCGAGTGATTCAAGTTGTTTGGTAGACATTAATTGACTCCATGGTAGTGTAGCTAGTTGTTGCTGTTGAGAAGAATCGGTGGCTGATGCTGTTGGTTGTTGTTGCTCTGTACTCGTTGCAATATACGATGATATCGTTTGTACACCTATACCATTCAACATTTGATTTTGTTGATCTGGAAACTCCTTCCTAACAACCGTCATGATACTATCACCCTTGGGAGAAAAGATCATATCAATAATCCAACTCTGTGGTGTACTCTCCCAATATATTTGAGTTGTACTTGTAGTCGTCACAGATCGATCATTTCCACCAGTATTGTGGTGATGGGAGGATGAAGAAGGATGTTTACTGATGGTCGTTGTAGTGGTAGTGGTTGTACTACCTCCATTGGAAGTTGTAGTAGTGGTTGTTGTAGTGGTTGTGGTAGTGGTGGATGGGTCACCAGAGAGGTAGCCATTGCTAGTAGTTTGTCTACTCTTGTTGTTGATTGATCTAGTCGACCATTCATACTTTAGCAGAGGATACTGTCTCTGTGGAGAACTCTCCTTTTGCAATCCCCAAAAACAATATTCACCCAATGCATCATCGTTCCAAGTCACATATTCAAAGCATTCAATACGGTCTGCTTTGTTTGGACATGGTTGAGGATTAGAAGCTATATGAGTATGATTATATGGTGCTCCAGTTAAACTCTTGGCAGGTCCAACAATTGCCAATGGTCCAAATTTTCTTGGTTCAAAACATACTAAACTATTATTATTATTACTATTATTATTTGAATGGTTCTTGTTTTTGTCAGTAGTAGAAGTAGAAGAGGTCGCAGTAGCAGGAGCAGGTGTTGTACTAGTAGCTGAAGGTGTAGTAGTAGTAGTAGTACTAGGAGAAGATGAAGTTGAAGGGGATGTAGCAGCAGTAGTAGTATTATCCGAAGTAGAAGAAGCACCAGCAAAATGAAAAGTATGATTCACATGATGATTAAAAGTCATCTGAGAAAGATAAGATCCCATCATTTGTTCTTGTTGTTGTTGCTGTTGTTGTCTTTGTTGTTGTTGTTGGAAATACTTTATAGCATCTTGTGATAGCTTTTTAGTTGGTGATAGGTATGGCAATTGCAACATAAAGAGATAATTGGAGAATCTTGACAAGATACATGCCAACATTTGTGAATCTGATGAAAAACAAGCATCTACAAATGCCAAACTAGCATCATAATAGATTAATTCAAAATAATCTGGTCCTTCATCTTTGATACGATATCTACAACAAAAAAAAAGAGAATAAACATTAATTTTATGACAAAATGAGTAGGATGATGAGATTTACATACACTGTTAGACATTTTAAACCTTTATGATAACAACCAATCAATAGTAATAGTCTCTTGTCATGACTTAGTAATACCTTTTTGGTCTTTTAAAATACTTTGGTTGTTGTTGTTGTTGTTGTTGTTGTTGTTGTTGTTGTTGATCATTACCATTAAAGTTGAAATGATATACTTTATGTTCATTTGTTAAACTTAATGAAATGTTGTACTTTGAGTACTTGTTTTTGGGATCACCTCCTGCTGTGGTAGCTGATGATGTTGACGATGGAGATGTTGGTGGAGGTGATTGTTGTTGTTGTTGTTGCTGTTGCTGTTGTTGTTGTTGTTGCTGCTGTTGATGTAGATGATCTCTTGCAGATAGTTTTGATGGCAACTGATTCAATTCATTTGAATCTATTGGATAGAATGATACATCACCGCTGAGCATCAATATCATTAATACACCCTTTGGTCTATCAGCTTGATTTCCTTCTTGATGATGATGATGGTGGTGATGATGATGATGATGTTGATGGTTTTGGTTATTATTACTATTGTTATTATTATTATTATTATTATGAGGAGACGTTGAATAATAGACATAGGGTAGATACTCGAATAGCAGTGTCTCTCGTTGAGGGTGATCATATTCCTCTTGTATCATTGCTTCTGTGTTGTTGTTTGTTGTAACTGATGGCATACTAGTTGTAGTTGTAGTATCATTTACTTTGGTTGTAGAGGATGGAGACGACTTTGATTTGTTGTTGTTGTTGTTGTTGTTGTTGTTACTATGATGATCATTCATTTCTTTGAGTCTCACACTCTGTGGGGGTTGTAGCTACGACTATATTGTAGATGAGACTAACCTATCTACAATGTGTTGTTGCAACAAACTCGAGTCGATCGATCTTTATATATATATTGTTCCCTCCTTGCTGTGATTGACTGATTGCGGCTGAAGGTTGGTTGTTTCATAAAACTTTAAAAAAAATCAAAAAAAATACATAAAACGAGGTTATGCAAATCACCTATTTAATAATACAATATAATATAATATAATAATTATTATTTAAAATAGGTTACTATATTTATTTATTTATTTATTTATTTATTATTACTAATATTAATATTTGTTTTATTCACTTTTAATAATATCTCTTTGGAGAAAATATATAAATTAAAAAAAGAATATTCTGGGAAAGAGAAGAAATAGATGACAATAAATATTTACCGAAGTTCAAACAAACAAAAATGAGTTGCCGGCTCTTGTCCTGCACCTCGTTCAATTTCACAAAGAATTTCGCGTGCTAACATGTTTTACATACCCCCTCACTGATTCATATAAATAATAATAATAATATTAGTAGTGATAATTATATCTTATTTATTTAAATATTTTGTTTGATTATGAATAGTAGTAGTAGTAGTAAAACAACATGTCAAATAGTAGAAAATATACTAGTCTAAGCGACAATGACGAGGACGACCCTTTACAGCAGCAAGTCGCAAATAATAATAATAATAATGAAAGTACTTTACAACAACAACAACAACAAACAGAAATACAAATAAATGATCAACCATCATCACCTAAACTACTTTATCAACAACAACAACAAGATAATGGATTTATTAGATTAGAAGAGGACGACATTCAAGATGAAATGGATGACGACGATTTAAAGAGTTCATTTACCAATTCAACTATTGGAGACGATGAACATTTACTTATACACACATCATCTGTCAATGATATAAGAGTTTCCTCCAAACTTTACTATGTTCCTCCAAATAGAAGTTCTCCATCTATCAAACCTGTCGTAGCTACGACACAACAACAACAACAACAACAACAAACATCGGCTTCTGTTGCAACTGCTAAAAAACAACAACAACAAGACCAACTATCAATTACTATACCTTCACCTACCATTTCTGGACTTGTGGGTAATAATAATAAAAATAATACACAAGTTAAAACACCAAATGGAGCGTCTATACCAACAACAGATGGTATCTTTCCAGAAAGTCCAACAAACAAGGCTATCTCATTTCCATCTCCATCAACCTTTTCAATACCAACTCCAACTAGCCTTTCACCAAATGCATCGGGTATTATTTTACCTCCACCTCTTAGTCTTGTTGACCAACCAGCGTCATCGTCATCTACATCGGCCACTACATCATCTCGAACGACCAACAATGCAAAAGGAGAAACAATTAATAATATTGGTGCCATTTTACATGCATCAAATGAAGAGGAACATCATCATAATAATATACTTCTTTCACCACTGTCATCTGATCATTCAAAACTATTAAAATCACCAAACATTAATGATGAATCATTTGGTAGCAAGGATCCACCAGTACAAGACTTTGTACACGGAAACAAGATTGAAGATGAGGACATTCTCCAACGAATCTTACAAATCAAAGATTTCAAGTTTCAAAAGAAACATAAAAAGAAAGCGATACATTACCTCTTGAATCTTGTACCTATTGTTTCTTGGATCAAGGGTTATAAATGGACAAGTGATATTAAAGGTGATTTGGTAGCTGGACTGACAGTCGGAGTAATGTTAATTCCCCAAGGTATGGCGTATGCCATGGTAGCTGGTTTACCACCCATTTACGGACTCTATTCATCTATAGCACCGGTTATTGCCTATTCTATATTTGGAACGAGTAGAGAATTGTCAGTTGGCCCATTTGCTATCATCTCTCTACTTTGTCTAGAGACTGTTAATGGAGAGGTGGGTGCAACCTCTACAAATATGCAACATCGTGTCTCTGTATCGATTCTACTGGCATTTGTATGTGGTATATTACAGCTTATACTGGGTCTGTTACGATTTGGGTTTGTTGCCAATTTCCTCTCGGATCCAGTAAAGACTGGTTTTATTAGTGGATGTGCACTCATTATTGGATCAAGTCAAATCAAACATATACTTGGATACAGTGTTGACAATACAAACTTTTTGCCACTCCTCATTGGACGATACTTGGCACACATTACAAAGACTAATTGGTGGGCAGTGTTTATTGGAGTACTTGGTATTGTAATGTTGGTTGGCATTAAAAAGATAAATGCTCGGTTCAAGATAAAGATACCAGGACCGTTGGTTGTAGTCATCCTCTTTACACTACTCTCTTTTCTCATTGATTTTGAAAACCGAGGACATATTCCAGTGGTAGGACACGTTCCCTCTGGTATCCCATCTCCTCGATTCCCAACCATTCAATCGGATCCTGGAATAGATGTAGATACCAATTGGTTTGGTGTCACTGCTCGTATTCTCCCAGGTGCATTGGTTCTCGTTTTGGTTGGATTCATTTCAAGTGTTAGTGTCAGTTCTAAATTTGCCGAAAAGAATAATTACACGATCGATGCCAATCAGGAACTCATTGCATTGGGTGCATCAGACTTTGTCGGATCATTCTTTTTGGCATTCCCAGTTGGTGCCAGTCTTTCTCGAACGGCGGTAAACGCACAGAGTGGTGCCGTCTCACAATTGGCAGGCATTGTATGTGCATTGATCATAGTCATCGCCATTCTCCTTCTCACACCGGTAGTCTATTTCCTACCAAAAGCCATTCTAGCATCGATTGTCGTCGTTGCCATTGTCGATCTCATCGAATACAAAATAGCATTCCAACTGTGGAAGGTACACAGAAAGGATCTTGTTCTCTACTGTGTCTCTCTCTTTTCAACCATCACCTTGGGTATCCTCCAAGGTATCTTGATTGGAATCGTCGCATCTCTACTTCTCATCATCTATCGTAGTGCTTATCCACCATTTGCCGTCCTGGGTAGACTCCCTGGTACCGAAATTTATAAAAATATTAAACGTGTTCCTCAAGCTGAAACTTTTAAAGTAACTAGAAATAGAAAAAATTAATTTGTTAGAATACTTTATAAACTAACATTATAAATTTATAGGGAATTCAAATTGTAAGAATTGATGGAAGTATTTATTTTGCAAATACACAATTTATTAAAAAGAAATTAAGAGGATACGAACCTTTTAGAAAAAGAGGTGTGGATTTGGATGACATGGATTCTAGTAGTGATCAGAGCGATGACTCTGACTATGACGATAGTTCTATTGTCGAGATGGCAACAGTAGATATCGATGGTAATCCAACCAAAGGTGCAATCATCATTGATTGTAGTAGTATGAATGATATCGATTCGACAGGTATTAGAATGCTTAAAGAGTTGGTTATGGAATTTAGAGCCAAACAATTAGTACTTTATTTTGCTTCTGTCAAGGGATATATTAGAGATTTGCTTAAAAAAGGAGGTGTAGTCGAACACTATGGTGCAGATCATTTCTTTTGGACTATCAATGATGCCGTAGAACACCATCTCTACCTTATTAAACATTCTAGAAGAAATCAATTAAAAAAGTCAAGAGCTTTAAACAATAATAATAATAATAATCAAAATAATAACACCAACACCACCAGTTCAAATACTTTTAGCAAGGATAATTCTCAAGAAGAATATAATAATGATCCCATGTACAAAGGAATGATTCCACTCCAAAATCTAGATCACACATTCCTTAAATAAACTTTTGGAGGAAAGGCTCTATAACCTTTCGTCTGCGCTCTATCATAGACGAAACCTAAAAACTGAGATCTCAGATCGCACTTCGCTGGGAATTTTCATCGTGATCAAACAGATTTTGTAAATCCCGATAAGTGTATGTCAGATGATGACGATTTCACCACATATATAAACATGATCACCGTTTCATACTACTGATATCATCATCATCACCACCATGTGGGGTTGTCAACGAACTCTGTGTTGTCGTGATCCATTAAGAAGTTATTGTCATAAATAGGAGCAATAAAGTCAAGGTTCTTCTCAGTCTTTGACCAGGTCAACAGAACTGGCTCTATAGTTGACAATAATAGATTAATTATATATGTAGTCAAGCACGAATATGTTTTGTATCCAAAGCATACAAGATTGAATGTATAAATAGATTGGATAGAATCAGATTAAAAAAAAGTAATAAACAAATTCAATAAATTAAAGATTCAATATTGTGTGTGGAAGCAAGGAAGAGACATAACCCAATCTATTCTATTCCTACGACCGGCGCCGCTTGTCTTTTGAGAAAAGAAGGAGATGATGTCGTGATGACAAAGAATCTTTGCATCATTGTACTTATTTTTATCCGTTTCATGTCCTAGATTATTTAATAGATGCTTCTGAGCCCGTTGACCCATTAATTTTTTCGAGCGATCTATACAACAGTTTGGGGCGGGTTGATACCAAGGTTGTCTTCGAAAGTTTTATTTGAAAGTGAGAGCACTAAACCATGCGAGTGCCCTATAAGACTTTGAAAAAGAGGTGTAACTCTGTTGGGGCATGATCAGCCAATGAAAATTGATCAAAGGCCAAAAACGAAAATATCCTCTGGCATGGTGGTTTGAGACTTAACGGTTTGGGGGGAGTTCGCAGCATACAGTGGCCCATTTTCACTCGTTATTTGCTTTTAAATGAAGGGTTTGTATCTGGCCACTCATCTCGACCACATCATTCCAATTATTCTTATTCCTTTCCTTTCGCGAATATAGAGACACACTAAAGCATTGAAAAGATATTATACCATCTGTCTTTTGTCATTGTTATTAGAAGGGATCCTCCAAAACATTTATTTAAAATAATATTTATTCAATCAAAAAAAAAAAGTTATCTCCTTGTTGCCCTATCGCGTAGTAGTTTGATCATCACCAACAACCTTTCAACAAAAGTTTCTTAATTAAACATCAATCAACTCACTCACTCTTAAATTTAGCAACATTAGAACAATCACAAAAACCAGTCTTCTGTTTTATTTTTACAACTTTACAACAATAGTGTACCACTACTTATCTCTCCACCAGATATATCTGTATATTAATAGTAATATTACTTTCCCTCCATAATATCAACAAACACCATTACTACCACCCAACCAACCATTTTTCATCATTGTAAAATCAACACAACAAATCTTATCATTCATCGCAACCAATAATAATAATAATATAATATATATTTATATTTATATACGTATAATAATAGTAATAATACAATCACAATGAATAATATTAAACTAGTAGTATTAGGTACAGGGTCAGTTGGTAAATCTTCTATCACCATCCGTTTTGTTCACAAGGAATTTGTTGACAAGGTAAATATATCACATGGTCACACCAAAAAAAGAGAACATCATATTTGGTTTGATTGATTAATTAATTATTTCTTTTTTTTTTTCTTTTTCTTTTTTATTTAAAGTATGATCCAACAATTGAAGATTTATATAGAACACCAATTGAATATAATGGACAAATATGGTGTCTAGAGATTATGGATACCTCTGGTACTGAAATTCTACGTATGAGAGATCTCTATATTCGTAATGGACTCGGTTTCCTCTTGGTCTATGGTATCAATAGCATGGGTAGTTTCCTAGAGTTGCAACAAATCAAAGAACAAATTGTCCGTGTCAAGGAAATGAAAGCATCCGACATGCCAATCCTAGTCATTGGAAACAAGGCCGATCTAGAAAGTGACCGTCAAGTATCATCTGACGAGGCTCAACAACTTTGTGCTAAATGGGGTGTCGAATTTATGGAGGCTTCCGCAAAGACTGGAATGAATATTGATTCCGTCTTTGAGAGTGTAGTCAAACAAGTTCAAGATAAACTATTGGCAAAGAAACCAAAGAAACAATCTATACTTAAAAAGTTGGATGCCAATTGTATTATTCTTTAAAGAAAGAATCACACATATATATGTGTCATGTGACAAATTTTAAAAAAGAGGCAAACAACCAAACAACCAAACAACCAAACAACAACAACAACCCTATTTATTTATATATATATATACATCACCAACCACAAAACAAAACCAACCGTACTAATCAAAGAATCAACATCATCATTCACCTAAATTTGAATGATATGAATCATTATGTAGAACCAATAATAATATTTTTCCCCACCCACCCAAACCAACCATAGGCAACACCAACAATAATTTAATTCACAAACATATTCTAATATCAATAGTAATAATAATATAATATAATAATAATAATATATATGTAAAATATATGTAATGCTACAATGCAGTAATAATAATAATTATCTATTTATCAAATCAAAATCAAATCTGTTTTTTTTTTTAGAACATTCACACCTCCAAACTAATTTTAATAAAGTTTAAAACTCCTACATCAAGTAGAAAAGGAGGAAATTTAACAATAATTCTATATCGGGCCTGAAACCTTGACTTGATTAAATTAAATCTTAAACCTTTTTATTTTATTTTTATAAAAAATATCTAGACAACTTTATGTTTAGACCCCTAAAACACCAATTATAGGTACTAATTTAATTATAATATTGACATATGAATATATTTATTTATTTATATATTATATCCTCCACAAGTATTACCCCAAGAAAACTAGATTTCCATATATCTTTTTTTTATTTTTTTTGAATTTTTTTTGAAAATCGCAAAGTAGTTCATCAAAAGAGAGCCAAATTTGACAGTTCACAGCATCGGTTTTATCTTGTTGTTGTCGTCGTCGATCTTTGTTATATTACCTATAACGATAAGTCCTTTTTCTGTCTATTTTACATATTTATATCTATATATATCTATATATCATATATATCCCTCTCTCTGTCTATCTATCTATCTATCTCAGTGGGTAGATGACAACCGAAAAGAACATCACAAATAGAACAGATGGATTTTGAACATTACAACACTATTGTAGAGTTACGTCCTCATCCTACAACTCCTTCAACAACTACACCAACAAAGTATAACACATCCGACAACAACAACAACAACAACACTCAACAACAACAACAACAATCAGTTGCTGATAAGAAACATTCAAAAATATCATCTACAATATCATCAGATGGAAAATGGTGTTGGTACCATCATGAGAACCAACTATTCTTATATGATTCAACTACAGGTCGTCGTCTAACAACTTGGTGTTTTGTTGAAAGTAACAAAGAGGTATATATATATAGAACATACATACATAGATAGATACATATATACATATGATATTGATTGGCAACCTTATTATTCTTATTATTTTGTAGTTAAATATACTTACAGTTACAGAATTAAATATATTTAATAGAATCTATTTACTATGTGCTGTTGGTGTAAGTCATAGTCAAAGTCATTTAAAGATATTGGATGTTCAACATGCGATGACTATTAGAACCATCACACTCCCATTTGCAGTGTCATTTATTAGACAATTGGTATCGGCTGACCCTATATCAAGCGATGATTGCATTGGAAGATTTAAATGCCCAGTTGTTATCGGTGCAAAGGGAGGTCAATCTTTGATCGTTGACATTGATTTCAATCCAAGAGACTTGTCATTGGCATCGATCAATCGTCAATACTCTATCAAGGCAGTAGATGTAAAGACCTACAATGGTAAAACATTTTGGGAAGGAAACAAATCATCTCTTTATCCATGTGTTTTAATTGGTTCTGGTGATGGTGGTGCTGCCAATAATAATAATAACAATCAAAGTCAATCAAATAACAATAACAACAATAATAATAATAATAATATTTCCTCATTGCCATCAACTGATAACCATAGATTTGATTATCCATACATTGTAGAGACAGACTATGTATTACACAATCGTCAAGATATAAAGTCTCAAATCAAGTATATTAAGCTTTCTGGCTCGGGTATCTATGTTACTGCCATTACCTATATTCCTTCTATTCAAGCATTGGCTATTGGTTACAATATGGGTTGTTTCCAACTCTTTTCAACTCACAATGGTACTCTTAATCTCGTCTATAGCTCCCCATACAAAGAGTTTGAACATCGTTTCCCAGTTACTCACTTTCTTTTCCAAGAGTTGGAAGATGATATGGATTCTTCAAGTTCATATCTTTGGGTTGGTAGAGGTAATTTGTATGTATCAACGGATTTAAATATATATTCTTAACGAAAGGGTGCCAACTAATACCTTCTTATTCTCTTTCATCTAGGATAAGTAATAATTGTCAAGTATCTATAATTTTGTATAAATTAGATTTTATTAAATCATCTACTTCATCAATGTCGGTCATAAAAAGTATTGATATTTTACAATCTATCGAGAATCAACAATTAAATATTACCTCTTCATTTATTGGTACTATTTTCAAGATGGATTACTTTTTTAAACAAAACGAATTGGGTAAATTTAATCAACAACAAAAATGTAACCTAAAAATGATGATGATGGTATTAAAAGATTTCATTTATTATTTTTTTTTTTAGTTGATAATACACCAAAATCAAAATCTATATTTATTTATCAAACTCAAGATCAACAGGGATATCAACGTTTAGAAGTAAAGATTTTTGATTTATCAAGGTTTGAAAAGTTTGGAAAGGAAACTGGTAATCCTTCAAAATGGCTTTACCAAGTTCAATTAAATAATAATATTCAAAATAATGTCATGGTAAAATATAAAATTAAGAAAAGTAGAAAATTATATTTATATTTACTAATAACTATTCTATTTGTCGATCTAGAATTGTTGGATTGATAAATATAGTATTTCAAGAAATATTTATAATCCATTTGAAGATGAAATGGATGCACCATTGTCACTTTCACATCCATCATTTGATTTATATTTATTACAAGAGGATTCAGTTAAAAAAGTTCATTATCTCAATCCTCAGGAACATGCAGTCGATGCAATGGCCAAAAATGGTACTTTGACATTTAGTAATCCACAACCACTCTTTTCAAAGTTTATCGAACACAAGATATTTAGTTTCCCACGATCAGAACCAGCTCTACAAACAAATGATTTCATTTTATTTGCTTTAGATAATAATATGTTTTCTTTAATTATTGATTGTATGTAAATGACAAGAGAAGTCCTAATTGACGCTTAGAGTATATAAATATTAATTTTAATTTATTATTTATTAGATATTACAAATAGTACAGTTACAATTGATTTTAATGGAAAAGAAAAGATTAATTACTTTTTAACAAATCCAAAGATGGTATTGGATATAACATGGGAATTTTTCGAAAATTTAGAATCAAGTATCAATGTTGCCGATATTTTCTCGGTTGGTCAAGGAGAAAAGGCCACGAGAGAAAAGTTACAAGATAGATTGGAAATGGTCTATGTCAAGATGATGGATACTTTTAGCATTGTCGATAGTCTATGTGAAAGATATAAAACCGAGAATAATACAAACGAAATTACATCGAATCTTGAAAGAATGTACAAAACCATCTTACAATCTACTCAACACCTCGAAGTATTAAAGTGGGCATTGACCAATGACCTTCTCACTGCACCAGTACAAGCTCAAATTGATAAGGTTTCGGCATTGGTATCTCTCAAACGTTCCAATAACAAACAACTCCTTTCAACTTTGGGTCAAGAACAAGAAAACAGTCCATTATTTATTGATATTCTATTCAAAAGAATTTCAAAACACGATACCTATCCTCCATCCTCAACCATTGAATTTAAAAAGTTTTTGGATCTTTTCAAATCTTCAAACAAGTTTACTAAATTGGTTCAAATAGTAAGAAACAAAAAAAAACACAAACTACAATCATGAAAGCAAAATATTTATCTTTCTCTCTCTCTCTATTATAGTTATTTTATTTATTATTAGATTTGGATACAATTGAAAGATTACCATCAAATTTATTATCATCACTTCAAAATACTTTTTGTATATCTCCAGATGATATTTCATTTATCCAAGGTATTTGGGGATTAGATTCTGCAAACTTGTATGAAGATATTCAATTATCAATGAATGTAAATTATCACACAAAAAAAAAGAGATACGAATTTGACTTTTATTCATTAATGTTATTTTCTTTTTCTTTTTCTTTTAGGATTCTTATCGTGAATTAAATTCTAGCACAAAATCAAAGAAATATGGATATGAAATATTATCAAGATTCTATGCAAATGGTTCACACATGAATGCATTGTTTTTTATGAAATCAATTGGATTTGATCCAAAGGATATCCAACAAGCTACTTTGGCAATGAAGATCCTTCTCTCAAATGATTCTTCGGCATCATTAATGGAAGCTATTATTTTTGAAAGAAACTTTAGAAAGAAATTTAATACCTTGGAGTTGGATTCAATTGAAAAGTTATTATATCTTTTATTTGATTTTTGTACTAAAAGTAAGTGACAATATAATTATTTAGATTGTGAAGAGATAGTATTGGTTTATTAATATTTCTTTTTATTTTTATTTTTTTTATTAGAAAAAAAATTAGATAAATTAATGGAGATGCCATTGGATGATATTGAAGATCAATGTTTTGTTCATTATTTGTATGGTATTAATGCATCTAAATTGGTTCCAATCTATATGATTCGTAGAGGTAGAATTGTTGAAGGTTGTAATGTTCAAAGAAAATTACAACGCACAGATATTTTACAATCAGCCACCTCTTCATCATCATCGTCATCTTCCCAATTGTCACCATCGGATCAACTTTATTCAATGTTTATGGATAATTTCTCTTCGTCTATTCCATCGTTGCAAAAGAATGCAATCACTCAAGAGGTTCCAAAATCTGACAACTTTTACGATTTTGATATTCCAGATGAACCATTGTCGATTCGCGGTGCCAATTCCAATACAAATGAATGCAACGTACCATCATTTGGATACCAACCATTCATTAGAGACCATCCAGTACCCAAGCTCTACAATGACAGCGACGATCTAAAGGCTCAAGGTGATGTTGGAAACTTTAAAGGATTCACAAAGATTGACAGAGCAGCTCACATTGAACCATTCAATGCAGAGGCATTTGCTCAACAACACGATGATGCTTTCCTCAAGGGTAAAGATATTATTCTAGACTCTTCGACAATGACCGACGACCATACTATGCATGATGACGATGATAGTGACAATGGTGATGATGATGATGATCAAGACTTTGAATTCTCACAATCACAAGAGACTCAAACACCAAAGCCAGTCTTGTTAAAGTCTGCCCTCAAGAATGCACAATCACCTTCGAGTAAACGTAGAGTCCAAATTCAAGAGTCTAAAAACATCATGTATCCTATCGAATCAAAGGAAGATGTTATTGCCTCAACAGACGAAGATACCGACGATGAAGATGACTACAATGATGACGATGACGAACGATTCGATGATGCCGATGAAGACCAAGACGAAAATCTAAATTATTATCAAACTCAACAACATGTTGATCATGATGATGATGATGACGATGAAATGGCAGAAGAAGATTCATTGTATGGAAAGAATAGTAGCAGTCTTTCCAATATTAAAAGTACCATTAGATCAATGATGAGAGATGTAAATCAACAACACCAAGACGATGATGATGAACTTCGTGATTCTCGAATCTATCAAGGTATGGAATTTGAACAAGATATTGGAATGGGTGAAGATGAATTTGAAGAAGTAGAAGAACTTGATGAAGATGGAGAGGAAGACAATTACCCATCAACACAGCAATATCTCACCAAGAATAGAAGTAGAATCAGAGAATTGGATGATAACGACCAAGAAGTTGAAGAGGAGGAAGAAGATGATGAAACTATTCTTGCAGGTATGAAGAAAACTGGTTACATTTATCAATCAGATGAAGAAGATTATGATTTTGGTGAAGATTCACTCGATGAATATGACCTCGACGATGGCTACCAAATTAGACAACATGTACCAATGCCAATGGATGGAGGCACTCAAGATGATCCTTTTGAAATTTTGAGCTCTGACGAAGAGCAAGAAAAGGAACAACCCCCACCCAAGCCAAAGGCATCTAAACACCAAGCCACCTCTAAATACTCTTATGACAACGATCAAGATGAAGACCTCTCATCTGATTACTCAACCAGCACTAGTTCAGGATCTCCAAAGCAACCATTCGTCTCTGAACTCCCATCTTCATCTCCTCGTCAAGCCCAACAACAAGATGATGAACAAGAACAAGAACAAGAAGAAGAAGAAGAAGAAGAGGAAAAAGAGTTCAACCCATTTGTACAAGAAATAATCGAGACCACCTCTAGCAAGGACAATCAATCATTTGACGAGTTTATGCAAGAGAATCAAATTTCCTTTGATGACATTGCAACAAAAGATTCTCCCATCTCCTCTCAACCAATCCAAAATATTTTAGAAACCCAAGCTTCTTCTAGTACTATAGATGAAGAAGAAGAAAAAGAAAAAGAGGAAGTAGAGGAAGTAGAGGATGAAATAATTGAAGAGGATGATGTTGATCAAGAAATTAAAGAGGAAATGGAACAAGAAAAACCTTTGGAAGAGATCATCGATGAAGAGATTATTGAAGAGGCAGCTCAAGAAGAAGACATGCAAGAAGAGGAACAAGATGAAATTGAAGCTGAGGAAGAACAAGAAATTTTAGATCGAATTGCTCAAGAGGAGCAGGAGGAGGAAGAAGAAGTACAAGAAACCAAAGAAGTAGAAGAACAAGAAGAAGAAGAGGAGGAGAAAAGTGAAGATGATGAAGTTACGAAACCATTGGCGAGAAGAGCAAGTAGAAAAGCTAGAGAACAACTAAGTACCATTTCTTCTGCAACCAAGAAAAAGAAATCAAAATCAGCAGCAAAACCATCAACTACGGACAAGAACAAAAAAAAGGATAAGAAAAAGAAAAAACTAGTGACAAATAATAATAATAATAATAATAAATAACAGATAATTAATTATATTAATATATACATATATAATACATATATTGATTTTTCTAAGAGTTTAATTGGACAATTAAAAATAGAATTTAAATATCTTGAGATAGTTTTGTCAATTTCATGAAACCCCCATAAACCCATCGTTTTATTTTTGTTCACCCCCCAACTACAACTATTTATTTTTGAATAGTAGTTCATTGCTGTCTCTTTCTTATTATTTGTTCGCCCTAGGGTTATCTCTTTTAATTCATTGTTTTATATTATATTGTAAATTTTTTAGTTTTTTATGGAAGATATAGTTTATGATTGTATAGTTATTGGAGGAGGTGTAGCAGGTTTAAGATGTGCAACATTACTACATCAACAAAAGAAATCAGTATTGGTTTTAGAAGCAAGAGATGTATGTAGTATTGTAGATTTACATCTTTGACATGTTTATCAATTTATTTACATTTTTTCTCATCATCATCAACATTAGAGAATTGGAGGTAGAACCTATGGTATTGAATATAATGATTATATGTGGGATGTTGGAGGACAATGGGTTGGTCCAACACAGGATAGATTGTATAGTTTAATTAAAGAATGTGGTCAACATACCTTTCCACAACAACAACAAGGTAAAAAGGTTATTGAAATAGATGGTAAAACATCTGTCTACTCTGGATTGATACCACCTGTCAGTTTAATTGGCCTTTTAGAACTTCAATTAATCCTTTATAGATTGGAAAGAATGACCTTACAAGTTGATCCTTTAGAGTATGTTTAAACTAAATACTTGACCACAAACTATATATTGACTTTTTATTTATTTATTTATTATCTTTTAGACCATGGAAATCTAAAAATGCAGATAAATGGGATTCAATAACAGTACAAGATTGGATAGATGAAAATACTTATTGTAGTGTGACAAAGAAATTAATACACGTTGCTTTTATTGCTGTATTTTCATGTGACCCAAAGGAAATGTCATTATTGTTTGTACTCAACTATTTTAGAGGAGCTGGAGGAGTAATGAAGACATTGGATGTTCCAAATGGTGCTCAACAAGATAGAATATTTGGTGGAAGTTATAAATTGTCACAAACAATGGCCAATAATCTGGGATTGGATACTATTGTCAAGCTCAATCATGAGGTGGTTGACATTCAACAATCGAGAAATTCAATCTTTTCAAACATTCGATGCTCCAATGGACGTAGTTATCACAGCAAGTTGATAGTCATTGCTGCACCACCAATCGTTGTTCAAAGTATCCAATTTACACCACCATTACCAACCCCAAGAGTTCATCTTCAACAACGTATGCCAATGGGACAGGTTATCAAATTTATAGTTTTCTATGATAAATGTTTTTGGAGAGACTTGGGATTTGCTGGTGAAATTCTTACAGACAGAGAGTCTGCATCTGTTCTCTACGATGGTAGCTTTGAAGATGGTAGTAAACCATCGATTGTTGGATTTTTTGAAGGATCTGCTGCAAGAATATGGGCCGATCGATCAAAGGAAGAAAGAAGAAAGGAGGTTTTGGATATCCTCTTCAAATCATTTAATGATAAAAGAGCATTGGCACCTTGCAACTATATCGATATGGATTGGATGTCTGAAAAATATTCGTTGGGTGGTTATGGTGGATATCTTGGTCCAGGGGTACTAACATCCGTTGGTAATGCTCTTCGTGAACCATATGGAAGAATTCATTTTGCTGGAACAGAAACTGCAACTGAATGGCCTGGTTACATTGAAGGTGCTTTACAATCAGCAGAAAGAGCTAGTGGAGAGGTTTTAAAACATCTCAAAACAGTTGAATCTGAGTTTGGACAACTCAATAATCCATCATACAGTTCAAAATCTTGTCAAAATGAATCTAGTCAACACTTTTCATACAAATATCTCGATACAACCATCACTAGAAATCATTCCAAATCAGGTATTCTCAATAGTACTACTGCCATGTTACTTTTATCAACAACAACTTTATTTTTAACAGTTTATCTTTTGGTTAATAGACAAAGTATTTCCATTTTAAAATGGTTTTTATAAATATAAGGATAGGACAAATAAATAGTTAACTAGACTCTATCTATCTAGTCTTTTAAACATTTGTTACAAATTGGATTCTTGTGTTTATCATTTCCAAATATGGAACCATGAGGAATGACGACAGAACAAACTGAGCACTTGAAACAGTGTGGATGGTAGGTAACACCAAGACAAAAGATGGATGCACCTCCAACAATGGCTCCGCTGCAACCTGGACAACGATCAACTTTTCCACTAATCAAACAATAAGAGCAACAATAATTGGACATGTTACTTGTAACTCTATCCTTTGAATAGTTTTGATCTTTGATTACACTCTTGCACGAACAACATTTGAAACAATCTTTATGATATTTCTCTGAATCTATTTGAACATATTCTAGAAAGAAAAAAGAAAATAATTGTTAGAAGACAAGAGAGTGTTTATGAAATAGATTGTTTAAAGACATACGTTCACCATTTCCAAATCTTTTATAACAAGTTGAACAGAATCCATTTGCTTTTCTGTTTGCATTATTTCTATCATTTAAAATGATTTGACATGGAGAACAGAGATAACCATTTTCATCGGTATGATATGCATTGTAGAGTTCTGTTCGACAGATATAACATGTAAAACAAGATGGATGGAATCTATCACCAATTGAATTGATAATCATTTTATCCCAAATCTCTTTTCTACATTTATGACATTGGATAGACTCTAGTTGGAATGATGTTGTTCCATTATCTTTTACATAACTAACAGTATAGCTTTGCATTCCATCACCACTTCCTCCACTTCCAATTGAATTTCCTTTTGACAATGAATATGGATGAATATGTTGTAATGACATTTCTCCAGTGGTCTTTGTAGAGGAAGATGATGATGACGATGACGAGTCCAATGGTTGGAAATTGTTGTGATTTGAAGTTTTAACAGACATTACATTTGATCCAACCATTAAACTTGCTGGTGATTTAGTAAGAGTAACTGCTTTTGGTTCTTCAACTATTGAAATATTTACATTGTACTCTTGAGCTTCACTTTTTTGTTCTTGTTGGCCATGTTGTTGGTTGTGTTGGTGGCTTTGGTGTTGTTGGTGTTGTTTTTGTTGGTGCTGATCATGTACCTTTAAATAATCTTGGATATTATTTAAACTATTGGCAGGAGTTTTATTGAAATTACTAGTAGTGTGAGATTTTTGAGAAGTAGCCGACACAGAAGCAACCGATGTCTTTGGTTGGTTGAGATAATATGGTGATGATATTGTATGTGACATTTCTTCCATTGAATCTAGAATTGATTCCAATGATTTATCAAATTGATTATCTGTACTTATTGATACAGAGTTTACAATTATTGGAACTTGTTGTTGTTGATAGTGATGATCAATATTAATTTTCTCAAAATCAGTATTTGATTTATTACTATTAATTTTGTTGGAATCTTGATTATATTCTTGTTGTTGTTTTTGTTGTTCCTTTTGATGATGATGGTGGTGATGATGTGATTGATTTGATAATTCTAGTGATGCTTTGTCTGGTTCCTCAATGACTGATATTTTAATAGTTGAAGATGGTGTAGGTGACAAGGTCGATGTTGATGTAGATGATGTTGAATAATTATGCTTTGTAAATTGTTTTTGGTTATTGGAGTTTTCTGATGGATTGGATAAACTTGGATCAGATGGTTTTGTTGTGGTTGTTGATATTGTTGGCTTTTTAACTAGGTTAGAAGAAGAAGAAGAAGTAGTGGTGGAAGCAGAACTTTTAAAAGAGGATGGTTTTGTTGGTTTATTGAATTTAATTGGTGTAACCGGTCCTCTTGGTTTTTTAAAATCTAATTCACAATATGGTAATCTATCTATTTCAAAATAGAATTCACCTAATGGAATATTACCTACGAGAAATTAATTAAAATAAAATTAATAATATTAGATCCATTCTTTAAAAAAGATTAATCAATCAATGCATCTGTCGATATATAAATAGATAGATAGATAGATAGATAGATAGATAGATAGATAGATAGATAGATAGATAGATAGATAGATAGATAGATATATTTTTAAGATAAAAAAAGACATACAATCAAAACAACAAAAACACTTGGGATGATAATGAAATCCAAATACTTTAATTGACTCCTCCTCCACTCGAGTTTGACACATTCTGCAAGTAACTAGCATGAATGAATGGATATTAAATTGATTATATTAAATTGATTATTAAGTTATTATTATAATTATTGTCTATAAAATAAATAAATAAGAAAAGAAATAATAATATTAATAATAAATATGATTGGGTTTGGGGATGGTCACAGTAGTACTGTTGTGTTTTATTTGATTGTGATTGATTTATTTGGATGGTGTTTAAATTTTATATATAATGCATTAACCGCCACTTCAAACACCACCCAATGAAATTAATCAATCAGGTTGAAGACAACCAACCACACACCCCAATTTAATAAATGTGGTAACTGATCAATGATGGGGGTCTACAATACATCAAAATCATGTGATTGATAGGTTTTTATAACACTTCACGCCACCAATGCATTGTTAATTAAGTTTTGTTTGTTTGTCTCTAAATTCCTACCCTATATGAGGTGGCTTATTTCGATTTAGATTCGAAACCACCTCATCGATCACAAAACAATTTTTTTGCGATCGCCATCGAAAACACAAAACTAACTCTTTGCTCTTTGGGTTTCTCTCTCGTCGTCCTTCATCGTAAACCTCCTCACTACTCCTCATTCCTCATTGCGTAGTACGCTTGTACAACTGTATTTATATATTAGTAACAGATATAGATATCGATAGATAGATAGATAGATAGATTACAAAAATGACACACAATCCTATGCCGTTGCCTCCTGGTCAACAACAACAACAACAACAACAACAACAACAACAACAACAACAACAACAACAACAACAACAACAACAACAACAACAACAACAACAACAACAACAACAATATCAATACCCTCCTCAACAGCAACAAGGTGTTGTTCCTTCTCAACAACAATACTATCAATATCCTCCTCAATATCCTCAACAACAGCAACAACCTGCTTCTGCTGCTGCTGGTTACCCCCCTCAATACCAACAACAACAATACTATGCTCCTCCACAACAACAACAAGCCTATCCAACAGTTCAACCAATTTCACCACCACCAAGTCAACAATTACCACAAAGACCTCCACAATACCCTCAACAACAACAATACTATGCTCCACCTCAATATCCTCAACAACAGCAACAACCTCCTGCTGGTGCCTATCCACCTCAATACCCTCAACAGCAACCAACTCAAAAGGTTGCTCCTCCACAATACCCACAACAGCAACAACCACCTGCTGCTGCTTCTGCTGTCGGTGCATATCCACCTCAACAATACCCTCAACCACAACAACCACCTGCTGCTGCTGCAGGTGCATATCCACCTCAATACCCTCCAACTCAACAACAACAAGCCAAACCAGACAGACCCCCACAATATCCACAACAGCAACAATATTATGCTCCTCAACAATACCCTCCAACTCAACAACCACAAACCCAACAATACCCTCCTACTAACCAACAACCACAACAACAACAACAACCACCACAAGCCTATCCAACAGTTCAACCAGTTACTCCACCTCAATACCCACAACAACAACAACAACAACCTACTGCAGCTGGGGCATATCCACCTCAATACCCTCCAACTCAAAAACCAGCCCCAACTCAATACTCTCCACCTCCCCAACAACAACAACCAACTCCACAATATCCATATCAATATCCTCAACAACCACAACAACCACAACAACCACAAGCCTATCCAACAGTACAACCAATTGCACCTCCACCATCGGTCAATCAACCTAGACCACCTCCATATCCACAACAAGGATCACAATATCCACAACAACAACCATATCAATATCAACAACAAGAACCAACCCAACAACAACAACAACAAGCCTATCCAACAGTACAACCAATTGCACCTCCACCATCGACAACATTAAAATCACCTGTTTTCCCACCACAACAACCACAAATGCCACCACCTACTACTGTATCACAACCACCAACGACCAACCTATCTATATCAACTGAATTACCACCACCAGTTGATTGGAAGACTACATTTGCAAGACAAGAAAGCTCCCCATCTATAGGAGCACTTAGTACAATGCATAGACAATCTGCCATGTTGGACAAACAAATGATTGAACTTTCATTCAACGAACAACAGCAACAACCGGATGAAGACACCAAAGATGAAAAGATGTTAAATTTCTTTTCACATTTGAATGGATCAAAATTCAGCAAGAGAAACTATACCATCATTGTTGACAAGAGTGGTAGTATGGCAGGTTCCAATTGGAAGGATGTTCAAAAAGCACTTCAAGTCATCATTCCATACATCTGTGAAAAGATTGTTGACTTGACAGGTGTCTCTGTCTACTTTTTCTCATCTCCCACCAAAAAGGGACATTCATTCTATGAAGCTGTCAGAACGATTGAACAAACCAATGAACTATTTACCACCGAGAAGCCATCTGGTACAACTGATTTGGCAGGTGTGCTAAAACAATGCTTCCATAGACACGTTGAAAAGAAATTACATCCAGAGTCTATACTCGTTGTGACCGATGGTATTCCAGACAGCAGAAACGACGTTAGATCTGAATTGATCAAAATGGCTAAACAAATGCAATCACCAACCGATTTGGATATTAGTATCGTTCAAGTAGGCGATGATATAAAAGCTGCCAAATTCCTCAAAGAAATTAAAACCTATCTTGAAGATACCGATCACTATTCAATGCTTGATACTCTATCACTACATGAAGTTCAAGGTTTGGCTCTTCATGAATTATTAATTAAATCAATTGAATAAAATTAAAAATAAAGACGGAAATGTTAAATTAAATTAACCATACAAACAAGATAGTTTAGATAAGAATAGACTTATTGATCTTTGATGCCATTATAATTATAATCTAAATCTATTTATTTTTAAAATTTTATATTTATACCTCTCAAACTAATTATATGTATTTACAAAGTATCTATATAGTTATTACATTCATCAAAAACTCTATTGATGATGTATCGTTTTGAAGCAGTTGTTGTTGGTGTTTTCTTATCATGACCAATTGTAAATTTAAAGGAAATTTGTGACTTTGTGATTGTTGTACAGATTCCAATGTCATCTCTGGCAAGTATAATTTACCAGAACAAATAAATTTAAGATTGGAATGACTCAAATCATCATTTTGATCAAATAACTCTATAAAAAATAAAGATAAATAAAAAAGAAAGATAAATTAATCAATAGTAATTGCTGTGAATTAATTATTTTAGGTATAATCTTCATCTATATGTACCTTTTGGTTTAGATAGTATTAAATGGTTGATTACATGACTAAGAGTATTGGTTCCATCAAAAGACAATAATAATTGTTTGGTTGATGATACTATAATCCTAATAGTTATTTTATTATCGTTCATTAAATAGAATAGAATAGATTCTAGAATATATATGGTTTGTTGGTCAGAATTATATTAATTTATGACATTTATCTCTTTCTTTCTCTGCTGTTGATAAAACACGATATTGACAATAGCCACCATCAATAATTATTTCATTCTCCTCACTCCCCCCCCAAATACCATCCATACCTATCACACACACACACTGGGCGAACTGATTGACTGACTGATTGTATAAATAGAGTTTTTTTGTCTTCTCACTTTTTACTATTTCTCTCTCTCTCCAGGATAGTGAGTACAAGATATAATATCTGTCATATGATCTCATCTAATTCGAAAGTCTTTATTATTAATTCCTCCAATAGTGATTATGCAGGGATGGTCAATCCTTGATTGCCTTATAAAAACAACCAACAAGATTAGTTTTATTGATTTGATAATCCAACAGTCGAATTATTCCTTGATCCCATTGTAAATTGATTTGGTGGATTTAAATGATTTAAATATAAATAAAGTAATAATTCTATTTGTTGACATGTTAAATTACCTCCAATATCTGAATTACTATTATTACTTGTACCGCTACTACTATTATTATTATTATTACTATAATTTTCATGAGATAATAAAGATTCAATTGGTTGTTGATTATTTATACCTTTAACCATTCTATAAAGTTGATTAAATTTAAATTCATCAAATATAGGTGATAGATGACTTGTGTTCAAATTTACATATTGTTTGGTTAATTCTTTTACTCTTTTTTAAAAAAATAAAAGAATGATTAAATTACATTAATTATTTTTGATTATCAAAAATATAAAAGCATCAAATGCTAGATGATAACATACTCTTGATAACTACCATGAGGACATTCTATATCTTGAGCATCACAAGTAAATAAATAAAAAACGATTCTAAATTGAATTAAATCTACCCTTTGTTCCAAGTTGCTAGAATCCATTCCAAATTGATCTGATAATATTTTACTAAATCTTTGAATTGGAAATCTTTCATCACTTCCAACTCCACCAACATTATCATTGGAGTTTTCAAAAGAAGAAGAAGAAGAAAATTGTTGTTGTTGTTGTTGTTGTTGTTGTTGTTGTTGATCTACTCCACCCCGTCTTTGTAACATAAATCTCCAAAAAGAATGTAAAAATCTTGATAGGAAATTTAAAGAGACTGTATAATTTGTATCTTGTTTTGATTGAAATATTGTGTTTATATGTCTTGCTTCATCTTGGTCATAGATACAACCATGAAAATGATTTAATTCCTCTATAGATAATTCATCAACAAGAGTATCTATTGACGTATCGGTTTGAGCTCTTTGTTGTTGTTGTTGTTGTGGTTGTCGCCTAGTCAACACCAATTGTAAATTTAAAGGTAATTTGTTACTTTGTGATTGTTGTACAGATTCCAATGTCATCTCTGGTAAATACAATTTACCAGAATAAATAAATTCAAGATTGGAATGATTCAAATCTTCATTTTGATCAAATAACTCTAATAATAAAAGATACATAGATTAATATTAATTGAAACAATTTCTCTTTATTCTTATTGTTGAAAATACTATACCTTTTGGTTTAGATTCTATTAAATGGTTGATTACATGACTAAGAGTATTTGATTTATCAAATGATAATAATAATTGTTTGGTTGATGATAGTATAATCCTAATTGTTATTTTATTATCATTCATTATAAATAGGTAGATAGATAGATAGATAGATAGATAGATAGTTAGGTCAGAATTATATTACATTCTTTTATCTCTCCTCATACACCAATAATTATTATTATTCACCCAAACCACCCACCACACCCATCCACACTGGTTGACTGAAAGTAGAGTACTTAATGATGATCACTCCCTCAATTCGAAATTCATTTTAATTCCTCCAAAAGCGATCATGGCATTGATCGAGTTGGGTAATTCTATAAGTGAATTCTTTGATCAAAAAAACCCTAAATAATAATAATATTGTATTTTAATATTATTAAAGTGGTATGTATCATTGTGGGTTGATCCTCCCTCCTTGTGGGTGCAACCTTTTTTGATGTGGGCAGGCGAGATTGAAATTTTGAACCAACGGTTTTAGCTATTTTAGGGAAACACATTTTATCCCAAATAACTGTGAAATGAGATGACATTGAGGATGTTGTTGGCTTTGAACATCACAATATAAAACAGTATTTGACCATCAACATTTTTATTTCATCACTTGTTAAATATTTGTTTTATTTAATAATTATAAATATAAATATATAAATATATAAATAGCTTTGCTGTATCATCAATAATATTATTTTTATTAAAAAGATGGGTTCCAAAATATTAACATTTTCTTCGATTGCCTTGTTTGTCATTTCACTTGTTTTGTTGACCGTTGGTTTTTCATGTATGATCATACCATCGATCATCGTTGTGATGAGTAATTTAGTAATATTGACCAACTACTAATCAATTCTAATTTCAATTTTAAATAGCCTATTGGTACAAGACCACATCATTTCAGAATAGTGACATCCAATTTTATATCAAATACAACAAGGAAAAAGTGGTAAATAATGAAGAAGACTATAGCTCCACTCAAGATTGGTACGACCAAGACAACAGAAAGAATGAAAAGAAAACCTACAATATTGCCCTCGCCTTTGATGTCTTGGCTTGGATCGTTACCATTCTAGTGATTGGTCTTTTACTCGTGTCACTCAAAGTTTCCAACAAATTGGTCAAATTCCTTACTATTGGTCTCAGTATCCTCTCTTTGATTTTCATCATCATCTCGTTTGGTTCTTTTACCCGATTACCAAATGCTCTCCTCCAAGATGTCAAGGACCAAGGTTTTTCTGGTTGCGCCGATAAAGATTATTGTTCAAAATTCCTTAATGGAAAACACAATGGGTATGTACATCCTAAACAAAAACTTTTTAATTTAATACCAACTTTTTTAATTTAATTCTTTTTTTTTTCTTTTTCTTTTTCATTATCTTTTTCTCTTTTGTAGCCCATCAGTTGGATGGAGTGTAGTTGTTGCATCTATGCTTTTTACCTTTGGAGGTATCATTTTATCAACTTTTACTCTACTCAAATATTAATATTAAATCATAATAATCATTTTAAATCAATCAACCAAATTTATTTTTTGATCGGATTGAAAAAACCAACAGTCGCAATTTTAGCTTTATTAGGAAAAAAAAACTTAATTCCAAAAAATCGAATGAGCTGACGTCGCCGAGGATGTTGAGTTTTCCCTTGTACAAAATTGGTGAGGGCCCTCATTCATCACATTGTTTATTTTTCATCACTGTTATTTTTATATATAGTTTTTATAAATATAGATTAGCTTAGCTGTATTACAAGATGGGTTCCAAAATATTAACATTTTCTTCGATTGCCTTGTTTGTCATTTCACTTGTTTTGTTGACCGTTGGTTTTTCATGTATGATCATACCATCGATCATCGTTTCAGTACAACTAACTAATCAATTTATTGATCAACTACTAACTTTCATCAATCTATTTTCCCTCCTCTTGACTTTTCATCTATTTATTTTATATATATAGCCTATTGGTACGTCTACGAATCAAGAATAGACAGTGACACCAAAATTTATATCAAATACAACAAGGAAAAGATTGTAGATGAAGATAGAGAGACTAGCTACACTCAAGACTGGAGCGACCAAGACGACAGAAAGAATGAAAAGAAAACCTACAATATTGCCCTCGCCTTTGATGTCTTGGCTTGGATCGTTACCATTCTAGTGATTGGTCTTTTACTCGTGTCACTCAAAGTTTCCAACAAATTGGTCAAATTCCTCACTATTGGTCTCAGTATCCTCTCTTTGATTTTCATCATCATCTCGTTTGGTTCTTTTACCAAATTACCAGATGCTATCGACCAAGATATCAAGGACAGAAACTTAATTTGTAATGATGATATATGTGAAAAATTCCTCAATGGAAGTTCTAATGGGTATGTACATAAATAATAATAATAATCCAACAATGCATCTCACAAAAAGCTCTGACCTATTTAATTCTTTTTTTTCTTTTTCTCTTCTTCTTTTTTTAGCCCATCAGTTGGATGGAGTGTAGTTGTTGCATCTATGCTTTTTACCTTTGGAGGTATCCTTATTTCAGCTTTTACTCTCCTCAAACACTAAATCAACATATAAATAAAACAACAATCAATAAACATAAACGAAATGATCTACCTATCTATTTATCATCATGTGACCCTTTTTTGTTTACTACTTTTCTAGTGATGCCCTCATCCCGCATTTTTTTTCTTCAAAAAAAAAAAAATCTTCGAAAAAAAAACTATATGTTTGTTTCGATATACAATGTGATCATCGTTTTTTTTTTTGTTTTTATTCCAGCCATCAAATATGTCAACCAAATTTAAAGCTATCTCTGTTGTTCTCTTTTCAGTTAGTTTTGTACTTTTAATTGTTGCCTTTTCACAATATTGGTATAGAACATCGTATGAGATCGATGGAACCAAAACGATCATCTACACAAAGTACAACAAAGAAAATGTGCACGTAGAGACTGGATCTTCAACTTCGACGCGCGCCAGAGATTGGAACAACCAGAAATATAGAACAAACGAAAAGAAGGCATACAATATTGCGTTGGCATTGGATGTACTAGCCTTTGTATTCATTACCTTTACTATGGGTCTTTTACTTTTCTCGTTTAGAGTTGCTGCCACCAAACTCATCAAAGTGATGACTATTATCCTCGCATTCGTCTCGCTAGCATTTACAATCATTGGCTTATCTGTCTTTGCACAGTTGCCAAGTTATATCAAACAAGATCGCGAAGACAACCGTTCTCTATGTGACGAGCAATGTGATGATTTCATTGGTAGTATGGATGCCAACGACACCCATTTTGCGTAAGAAAGAGGATAGAAAAAAAAAAGAAAAAGAAAAAGGTGATAAAACTTAAACTAACATTATTCTCTTCACTCTCTCTCTCTCTCTCTCTCCCTTTCTCTAGTCCATATGTAAGTTGGGCAATGATGGTAGTATCAATGTTGTTCACTGCTGGTGGTATAGTTGTTTCTATCATTGGTTATAACAAATAAATAAATAAATAAATAAATAATAATCACATGATACTAATACAACTATTAATAGTTTTAAAAAAATATATTGATCTTCAGATTCGGATTAATATCCTCTTCTTTTTCAAATTTAGGGGGGCATAACGGTCAAAAAAAAAAAATAATGAAATTTAAAAAAAAAAGGCGCCTGTTGCTACCCCCCCCATTTTGGTGAGGACGGTTAAATTTTTTTGTGGTGTTGGTTGTGCTGCTTGTTTTTTGCTCGCTCAAACTTTCTCTCACTCATAAAAAGTGCTGCTCATTAATTTTTTCCTCATTATTTTTACTAGCTATAACTCTCTCTCTCTAGTTTCTATGTATGTACTTACAGACTGTGTCTCTCATCAATACAATGCCTCTCAGTATTGTTGTTGAGAGGAAAAATTTAAAAATCCATGTTTTTCCAATTGTCTCTATTCTACTCTTGCTCTTGGCTTGTCTGATATGTCATCATCAACAAGTACAACCAAAAATATACAAACCTATACCTATAATTCTAAAAGCAATAGTTTTATTTGTTTATGTTATTATTAATATCACAAAAAAAAAAATCAACTAATTGTTAGAGCATTGGTTTGTTCTCCAACTTGTGACATTGTATCTCTAATTAATAGTTACAACTATCAATCATTTAATCACAATACATTTCTATATTTTCTACTACGACAAACAACAAATAACAACTTTTTACAACTATAGAGATTTGTTGTTGTGTTTGTAAAAAAAAAAAAAAAAAATAAGAAAATTTCACAAAACCAACTTTTACTTTTTTTTGATTGTTTAAAACTAAAAGGTATAACTATATCTTATCAAATGTGATTCCAAAAAGAAGTATATTTGTACTATCTATCCTTCTCTCTCTCTCTCTCTCTCTCTCAACGTGCTTTTATTTTTCTCATATCAACGAGCAGAGAGGAAAAAAAAAAAAAGTACGTCTCTTTAAATTTTTTTATTATTGTGACGTTTTGAAATTTTTTTGCTGCTGAACTTGTCTCTAACGAAAACTGTCTCCCCTCTTTTTTTTTTTCCTCCTCTCTCTACGTATAAATTTATATATATAATATTTATTTAGATATTTCAAGTAATGAGCTCAAGTGACGAATCATCATCGTCCTCGGAAGAGGAAAAGAAGGTCGTACCAAAGAAGGAGACCAAGGTAAAGAAGACCAAAAAGGACACCAAGACCAAGGCCAAGAAGGAAAGCAAGGACAAGAAGAAGAAGAAGAAGAAAGACCCAAATGCCCCACGTCGTTATCTCTCTCCATTCATTTTCTTCTCCAAGGAACACCGTCCAACCATCAAGATTGAAAATCCAACTGCCAATTTTGGTGAAATTGGTGCCCTCCTCGGCAAGAAGTGGGAAACCGTCACCCCAGAAGACAAGAAGAGATACGAAAAGTTGGCTGCTGAAGACAAGAAGCGTTGGGAAATGGAAAAGAAGCTCTATGATGAAACCAAAAAGGCCGTCGTCGAATCTGAATCTAGCTCAGACTCTGAATCTGATTAGACAATTCAGTCCATCCGCCCGCCAAACTCAATTCCATCCGTCCATTTGCTTTGATAGGTAAATCCCTTTTTTTTTCTTTTTGCCAAATTAAAAAATTCACAAACAATCTATTTTTTAATACAACATACAACAACAACAAACAAAACAACATATAATATTTCCAAAGAAAGAAATAATGTATATTTCCAACAATCCCCCTTTTAACAATAAATAAAATCAATAAATTAAAAACTTTTTTTTAAAACCAATCATTTTGTTTAAACATTCCTTGCTATAACTCTTCAATCCTTCATTGTTTTTCACGACTCTCTTACGTTTGTAAAATAGATTGCTTGATTGTTTGAGAAATGACCAGGTCAACAGATCTTTATTTAATCTTTAAATAGATTTTTTTTAAATTTTAGATTATTTTGAGTATGGAAATTTCACAATCCCGATGGTCCCCTAGTTACGATATGGATTTAAGGCATTGCATCAACGCCAATTTAATCATTCACACTTTTATCATTTATATTTATTTCTTTAAAAAAAAAAAAAATGTACAAACAAATCATATTATTTGTTGTTTTAGTATCAGCCATCTTTGGCCTTTCAAAAGCCACTTTGGCTGTTGATATCTCAAGTCAAACTAATACCTCTTCATTTGATTGTCTAAAGTCAAACGGTTATTCTTATGTAATCATTCGTGGTTTAGAAACTGGTCAACCAGATCCAAATGGCCCTGAATCCATTGAAAATGCTGTAAGTAAATAAATATAAATATAAATGTATTGTTTTTATACTCTTATATTAATATTTGTGTATACTTGATTTTTAATAATAATAGTGGGATGGTGGTATGACAAAGGTAGATGTTTATGCAGTTCCATGTCCTTTATGTGTAAGTAGTAGTGGTTATGGTCAGATATTAAGAATGATACAGTCGATCAAGGCTTACAATGTCAAGTTTGGCACTATCTGGCTCGTTGTCCAAGGTGCAGGCTACTGGTCAACCTACCGAGATGAAAACCAAGCATTCTTTAAAGATATGATTAACGGTGCCAATACTGATGATTACTCTGTCGGTGTCTACACCTCTGCCTCCCAATGGCAACAAATTATGGGTAGTTGGAATGGTGCTGCTTCATACCCACTATGGTATTCAAACTATGATAGCAATCCTTCATTCTCTGACTTTAAACCATTCGGTGGATGGACTAGTCCAACCATCAAACAATACAACAGTGATCAAATGGTTTGTGAATTGGCTGTTAATCAAAACTACTATTAAAATAGAGAAAACAAATTAGATGATGTCATGTGCACCACAATCTCCATCGAATAAAATAAAATCAATAAATTTGTTATCGAATCAATTTTGAACAAAAAACAAATATCTATCCTTCTGGAATGGAATCACCTTGGTATTGCAGATATTCATCTAGGTCATCATTTATTTTTACTTTATTTATTCCTTTTTCTAACAACAAATATGTATAAACAAATAACTTTATTTGTTGTAGTGCTATATGCCTTTTTTGGCCTCTCCATTGCAACTTTGGGTGTTGATATTTCAGGTCAAACTGATGTCTCTTCATTTTCTTGTCTAAAGTCAAACGGTTACTCTTTTGCCATCATTAGTTGTTGGCAGCTTCAAGGTCAACCTGATCCCAATTGTCCAAAATCTATTAGCAATGCTGTAAGTAATACAAACCATCTATCATAAGACATTTCTATCGATTGTTTGATGGTCATTTAACTTTGCCTTTTTTTTTTCTGTAAATATTTAGTGGGCTGGTGGTATGAGCAATGTTGATGTATACATAACTCCATGTATATCATGTGGTGATGGTTCTAATCAAGTTCAAACAATGATTAAATTCATCCAATCATACAATGCAACATTCAATGGTATGGTATGGTTTGATGTCGGATCGTATGCATTCTGGTCCAGAAACCAAGTTGCCAACGAAGCCTTCTTTAAAGATATGGTTAAAGGTGCCCAAGTTGCTGGTGTCAAGGTCGGTATATCCACATCTACTACCCAATGGGATGAGATTATGGGTGGATGGAATGGTGCTTCTTCATTCCCACTCTGGTATTCCGACTTGGATGATAGTCCTTCATTCACTGACTTTTCACCATTCAGTGGATGGACTACTCCAACCATCAAACAATACTATAGTGATGTCACTATCTGTGGTTTGGGTGATGTCAACCAAAACTACTATTAAAAGATAGAATCAATACAAACAACAAAACTATACACTAGTATATCGTATCTAATATGTAATAATAAATGTAAAAACAAATAAACAAAAAAGAATAAATTCAAAAAAGAATCCTTTTTCCCTTTTTCAATCATTGAACAATAATTAAATAATTAATTTTTTAATTATTGTTGTATTATAATTAATTAGAGAGAGAAGGAAGAGATAGAGACACGCAATGCCAAGAGTACAATTAAACTCATTAACTAAATACTTTCACCATTACACTAGAAAAGTAAATGTAAATGATCTAAACTATATGAATCATCTTGATCATGCATCAGTGTTGAATATTATTCATGGTATGTTGTCATCAAACAAACTGATCATCATCATCATCATCATCATCATCATCATCATCATCATCATCATCATCATCATCATCATCATCATCATCATCATCATCATCATCATCATCATCATCGTTTCAAATAGATTTACTAATGTATTGATTGAATTAATTTAATCAAATTTAAAGAGGCAAGAGTAGAAACATTGAAAACAGTTGGAATAACAGAAAGAAATCTAATACCATCGTTGACAGGTGATAAGCGAGTCAATATGTTTATAGCAGATATCAATGTTCAATTTCAAAACCAAGAGCCTCGCATGTTTGACGAGTTGGTGATTGAGAGTGGATTCACAGAGAGAACAAGAACTGGATTTAGAATGAACCATCGTATTAGACGTCTAGTACCAATTGGTAGCAACGATTTTCCACAAAACATCGAACAAACCGAACCATTGGATAAACCATCGTTCCATCACATCAAAGACCAACCAACAGGTACTACATTTCAACCTTTTGCATTGGTAGAGGTTGGTGTTGTCGCAGTCGATACACTTACCAAACAACCAGTTGAATTACCAAGCTCATTCTTTGATCGATTAGGTTTTGTTCATACCACCCCTACATCACCAACTACTGATCAAACAGTCAACAAAAATCATCTATTAGATAAACATAATTGTAAATAATATTAATAATAATTAAAATCAGTAAATAATAATGTAAAATAAAACAAAATAATAATAGCAGTAAGACAAAGGGTGGTGGGTTATTCTAAGATAGAAACAGGATACCCTTAATGGAATGGTGATTGGATTCTACTTGTTTGCAATCACCTTTTTTTATAAATAAACATTAATGAAAACAATAAACGACGAGGTGGTGGCTGAAACTCGATGGGCTGTATAGTCCTGCTTGTCCCAAAGGGAAGTGATCACCAAAAAAACAAACATAAGATGTGGTGCTGCAAAGGGGCCATGTCTGAGCGATGGGCCATCTCTCACTAACGACGTATCTTGTCAGTTTTTTTTTACCACAGTGCCACAAATCGATCTGAGATCACATCTCATGAAATCTGATATCTTTTTTTTTTTTTTTTGTTTGAAAAGAAGAACTTTTGGTCTTTTTTTATCACATCTCATAGTAGGACACAGCAGTAGCAGAGAGACCCAACAAACACATAATCATAGAGACACACACACAGACAGAGAGAGAGAGAAAGAAAGAGAAAGAGAACACATAAGAGAAAAAAAGTTATATTATTTATTGTGTCGTAGTAGTAGTAGTAATAGTAGCAACAGTCGGTCGATATAGATTAGATTAGATAGATATAGATAGATATAGATAGATAGATAGATAGAGGAATAATAAGAAAAAGAAAGAGATATATATTACATGTAATTGGATTGGATTGAATTGAATTGATTATTTTTATTTTAATAGATCCATTGAATTAAACAAAGCAAAAGCAAAACAAAACAAAACAAAACACATATTACAACTCGATAGTGATAACATTTATATATAATAATAATAATATTGGGTGTTACGAGGAGGAATAGCGATTCTTCTCCAATCAATCCACCTATCACCTTTCCTGTTTATTTCATTCAAATCTATAAAACAAAAAACAACCTTAACCCAACCACCCACAATAATTCACCATCATCATATCTATTTATAAATATTTATATATATCTATTTATTTATTATTTATTTATTTATTATAAGCATCATATATTTATATATATATATATAATCATATTTGTAATATATTAAAGAAAAGAGAGAGAGAGAGAGAGAGAGAGAGAGAGAGAGAGAAGTAGTATAGTAATAATAATAATAATAATAATGGATAGTTTTCAATCATTTGGATTATGTGAGAAAGCATTGGAATTCAATGTAGAAGTTGAGTTTCCTAATCACAGCAAAAAGATTTATCAATTTCATTCAAGATTCACTGTCGATAAAATAAAGGTAGGTTATTCATATGAATATCATCACATATCATATCATATGATCAAAGATTATCAATCATCAGGTCGGTGGCAGAAAAGGAAAGGATAGGATAGATGGATAAAAAGAGTAAATCAAGAGAGAGTGAGAGAGATGTGTATTGTCTTTGATGCATTGCAATGAATACATTAAAAATAGATCACCGAGTGGTTGGTCCAATTTTTGTGTTATGTGTGTTGTGTGTTGTTGGTAGATAGGTAGGGAGGGGGGGTTACGAAATTCACTGGTTTGGTTGATCCACCAATCAAATCAACACACAGACATAAAACGAACCACAACCACCACCACCACCACAATATATGCGTACATAACAAATAAACCATGATCTCTTTTGTTTTTGCATTGACACGAGATTAGATTCAAATCCAAATCCAAATCCAAAACCAAATCTACTTTACCCACCATCGAATCGATTGACGACGATGATAAACAAGATGATGAATAAGATTTATCAACAACAACAACAAACCCTATTTTTGATTCTAATTCTTTTTTTCCTTTCTACACCTCACCTTCTCATTTTTCCCTCAACAAACCAAAATTAGACTCTAATATTCCAGGATTCACCAACAGCATTAAGTAAGAATGACTATACTCTCCAAGTCGGTGATGAACAACTATCAGTTGATTTTGTTAGATTTATAGTTAGCTCCCCAAAAATAACAGAAGCATTGGCAATTGAACCAATTGTTAAAATTCAAGTTGCCCTCAAGGTTTCTTCATTTACAAATACTCAACGTGAAAAATTGTAAGATATAAATATAAATATATATATATATATAGTCCATACACATATTTATTTATTAATTATTATTATTTAGGATAATTGGAACAAATAATATGAATCAATTAAAATCGAATCTTGAAAAATCACCTATTGCAGCTAGATTGGCTGGTGGTGGTAGATTATCAATGACGATGGGTGCCGGTGGAATCTTGAATCAAGATGCTCAAAACACTTTAAAGTTGTTGAAAAAATATAAAGAAGAGAATGGAATTAAAGATGACTCGAATGATCATAAAAAGTCATCTTCAAAGGATTCACCTACCAAAGAGAGGAGTTCAAGTTCCAATAGTTTCTTTTCAGTCAGACAAGAACGTAGCAGTAGTAGTGGTAGTATCACCAGAGAGAGTAGTACTTCAAGTTTGAATGGTAGTGATGTAGATAGTGACACTGACTGTTATGCTGCTAGTACAGCCAACAAATATGCAACTATTACAGCTTCACATTTATCACCATCGAAAAAGACCGGTTCGGGTGGCGATGGTAGTGGAGGTGGATCACCATCAACACCAAAGTCAAAATTAAAATCCTTTTTATTCTCAGAGAAGAAAAAGAGTTCAACCAAATCGTCTCAATCATGTGACGATCTATCATTATCCATTTCGACATCACCAATACTATTGGTTTCAAATAGACCAAAAACACAAGACTATTCTACTTCTTCTTTGCAAAGCGGTCCAACTGAATTGGGTGGATCTGCCAACAGTCCTTTATCACATTCACCTTCACATTCACGGTCATCATCTTGCGATGCATTTTCATCGTCACCCAACAACAACAACAATAATAATGGTGCTGCAGGAACAATAAGTAATTACGAACAGATTAAAGATTTTAGTTTAATTGAAAATACCAAAGGATTCAATGTAGAGTCTTACCGAAAGGGCTATCAAGCAAGTCGTCATCTCCAACTTGACCCCCTCATCACCAATGAAAGTTGGTACGCCAAACATTTCCACAATCAACCAGACCACGTTAATTTTATTGGTCAAGATGAAAAGAATGGTACTTTTATAGTATCTTGTATTAAAAATATCGTCGTCTCTGAAGATAAAGAAAAAGATAAATCATCAAAAAATAATAGTTATAAAGTTTTATTAAGAACTAAATCTGTATGTATAGATAGACAGATAGGATATTTGATGATTAATATTAATATTCAATTTATTTATTTATTATTATTTTAGAATGATATTTATACAACTACCAATTTATCATCATCAAAAATACAAATTAAAGAAATCATTCAAAATATAGCACCAGACTTATCAACTAAAAATATAAAGAAATTCAAATCAACAACGGCAGTGGGATCATTGGAAAAGGAGTTATTGAATTTTGAAGAACGTCAGCGAATTAAAAGTTTTAAATTTGGTGTACTCTATTGTGGCGCAAATCAATCGACCGAAGAGGAGATGCTCTCCAATGCAAGTGGAAGTCAAGATTTTAATGAATTCCTAGATATTCTTGGTGGTCGTATAAAGTTGGAAGGATGGACCAATTATCGAGCTGGATTGGACGTTAAATCAAATACCACCGGTACCGAATCGATATATCAGCTGTACCAAGATTTTGAAATTATGTATCATGTCTCTACACTACTTCCTCACAGTATAGTAGATAGTCAACAGGTTGAAAAGAAAAGACATATTGGTAATGACATTGTTGTAATTATATTTAAAGAAAGTGATAAACCAATATCTCCAAATACTTTTCAATCTGATTTTAATCGTATGTCTTAAATCAAAAAAAAAAACAAATAATATTATTATTGATTCCAACAATATATTTATTAATCCTCAAAATAATTTATTTATCTATCTAGATGTATTTATTGTAGTATCAGTTGATAAACAACATACACAACAAAAGAGATACAAAGTTGCCATAACATACAAAGATGGAGTTCCTCAAAACCAACCATTCTTGGAATACCCATGTACTTTCCAAAATAATCAAGACTTTAAAAACTTTTTATTGTGTAAATGTATGTATATCAAATTCAAATCAATTCAAATCAATGATCATAGTAGTGTCTATGTATTTATATTAATCAAATTTTTAATTTAGTTATCAATACAGAATGTTCATCATATGAAGCTCCAAGTTTCAAGATAAAGATTCAAAGAACTAGAACAATGCTACTAAAAAATATTTGTGATACTTATACTACTAAATAATAATAATAATAAATAAAATAAATATAAATATATTATATTATATTTATATTTATAGATTATATACATTAATATATAAAATGTATATTATATTATAAAACAAATTAAATAATTATTTCTACAAAACCCTATTATTATTTATTTATTTCTTTTCATTTCTTTGGAACCAATTTAAAATACTCTGATAATACTTTTTGTTTTGTTATTTCTTTGTCACCCGTTGTATCAAATACAACGGTTGCATGTTGTTCACGTTCTTGATTACTTAATTGACTGTCTATACGTTTGATTGCTTCTTGTTCAGAGAGATTGTTACGTTGACATATACGTTTGATGGCTTCTTGTCTATCGATTTTGGTCACCCAGATAGTATCAACTAGCTCGGTGAATCCAGCCTCTACTAAAACAGCAGCTTCCAATACGACAGCTGGTTCATTGTCTTGTTGGTATTGATCGAATTGTTGTTGAATGATTGTCTTCATCTCTGGCCACACTATAGAGCATAGTTTAGTCATCTTGTCGGCACTAGAGAATACGATTGGTCCCAACTTTCTTCTATCTATTGATCCATCTTGTTCGTTTACAATGTCCAAACCAAACTCTCCAACAATCTTTTGATAGCTATCAGTATCCTTTTGGTATACATTGTGTGCCACCTTGTCTGCATCGATACACTTAACCCCTAATTCACTCAAGTATCCTAGTATTGTCGATTTACCAGATGCTATTCCTCCTGTTAATCCAATCTTTATCATCTTTGTCATTATCTATCTATCTATCTTGTTGTCATAATATACATACAACCTATCATCCAATATTATATTACTTTTTAAAAAAAAGGGGATATTTTTACAAAATAAAAATCAACCAACTATTAATATAAAGAAAGAGATATTTTAAGAAGAATAAAGGAAGGTTAGATATTTAAATGATTTAAGAAATCTAAATCCTATCTCATCATACATTCTGTTTTACCTTGACCACGAATGCATGATTGAATCTAATTAATAACGAGAAAACCGTTGAAACAATGACTTTTTTTTTTTTTTTTTTTTCCTGATCAAAAAAAACAAAAAAAAGACATAGACTACAAAATAAATATCGATGTCTAAAAGAAATATCAAACAGACAAACAGACAGACAGACAGATAGACTGATAGAGATATTAGAATGATATAATCTTCTTAACATCTTGACAAAAGAGACAGACAGACAGACAGACAGACAAACAAACAAAATTTGATTCACAAAAATCATGACGCAAATATCTAACCAACGCGTTGATCCCGACCATGGTCAACAACAACACAATCATTTTAGTAGTCATTGTAGTAGTAGTAGTAGTTCACCAGATGACAATGAATATGATCGTCACATTTACTACAATCATCATCATCATGATGGTCAACAAAAACAACAGTCATCATCGATTATGGGTTATATGATGACAGGTGAGAGATACCATCACTATAATCAACAACAACAAGACCAACAACGACCTCCTATACAATATTCATCATCATCATCACCACCACCAAGTACTGTACATTCCTATTCACCTGCTCGTTCCACCTCTTCTTTGCATACATCACAAACCGATACAAATGTATCGGCCATAATTCAAATCAATAACAACAACAACGATGGAAATAACAATGGTAATAATGACCATCAATATTCATATCAACAATCACCAATCTATGGAAATACGACGATTTATATTGGTGGTGATCGTTCACCAAGTGACACTGATCAAGACAATGAGTTTTCTTCTTCTTCTTCTTCTTCGAACAACCGACCGACTAAAAGAATGGCTATCAACAATGGCAATGGCAATGACCATTATAATCAAAATAATAATAATACAGCGGCGACACATTCACAATATCCTCAATATAACCGTAATAATCAGATACAACAACCCCTACAAGAACTAGAACAACATATCCACTACCAAAATCAACATATCCAACAACAACAACAACAACCTCAACAACCTCAACAACCTCAACCACAACAACAAACAATTATTTCAACTGATGGAAAACAACAACAACAACAAGCATTTGAATGTGATCACGTTGAATGTACATTTTCTATTGGATATGTTAGTGCACTTTATGCACATTATAATACCTTTCATACCAAAGAATGCGGTCAACAGTGTGAAAGATGTGAACGCGTCAAAAGAAAACAAGGAATCACAAAGATGAATTGCAGACATGAAGGATGCACTAAAAAAGTGGCACCAAAATCACTAGAGAACCATGAAAAGAATAGGAACATACACGACCATTGTAGTGACAAATGTGAGATTTGTATACAATTACAATCACAAGTCTACAATCAAATGAATAAGAAGCGATATAGATCAGAGTTGTTAAAATCATTACCACCTAGATATAATAATAATAATAGTAACAATAATAATATACAACTCACAATTGAAAATATAAATTACCAATACAATAACAATAATAATCAAAATAATAATAATAACTCAACACCACCAAGTCCAACACCTATTTCATCATCAGATCAAGAAGAATTAAATTTAAGTGATACTTCAACATCATCACCTTTTTCACAACGTCATACCACCAACAACATTATTATTTTGAATAATAATAATAGTCACCAAACTTTTAATAGCCAATCATCCCCAACTATTGAAACTAAAACATGTTTAGATCCAAATCATATTAAATGGTGGAACTCATCACCAGAAGGAATTCCATTAACAGAATTTTATAAAACCGATCTAAAAAACTACAAGACCAAATGTAAACAATGCTTTATGCGACATGGCATTGAAAGAAAAAGGGTGGTTCAAACCACTAAACAATCACATGACTATTCTAATGGTTTTGGTGTTGGTTTTGTTGATGAGGCCAACTTTAATTCTTGTAGTAGCAGTAGTAGTAGTGATGAACAGCAGCCGCAGCAGTTAGTAGATATGTCTCGTCAGTTACCACCTCTTACTTTTCACCAACACAACCCATCAAATCAAAGATCTTATTCGTACGACCAAAATAACCAACCAGAATTATTAAATGATCATCAGCCCCCAATCATTACGAACAAAGAAAATCAATTAATAACCAAATAATCAACGATGTTTACCGATATAATAATAATAATAATAATCAAAATAATAATCAAAATAATAATAATAATAGCTACAATGATCATCATCATTATAATCATAATAATAATAATAATCCCGATTTTAATAATAATAATGCACATTGAGATAATAACTAACCAAACTAAACTAAAATAATTGTATCTAAATTTGTAAATAAAATAATAATAATCAAAGATCTTTAAGATAAGTTGATCACTACTACTAACTACTAATTGGTGTGATAATGTTGATTATTTCAAAAAGTTGGATCTTTTTGTTTTAATGCCCAAGGGGCCAAGTAAATCTTGGTCGGGGAGGACAGCTCATGAAAATCATCAAAAAAGCAAAAGATCACTGAGCCAACATCGAGCTGACCTCACTTTCGTCTCTTGTTTCTTTTCGACGCAGAAAACTCTAGTGGCGTTCACCCAACAAATAATTTCGGAGAGAGAAATAGCAAAGGAGATAGACAGATACGCACGCGATACACACGATTCACAGTTTAGTAGTAGTAGTATTATACTATATATTTTAAGCATATAACAACCAAAGGTCGACAAAGCATGATAATATAGAAAACAATGACAATCAGTAGTAATAGTAGTAGTAGTTTTATATTTAGATTTGTAATACTTGCACTCTTGGTAGTAGCATTTTCACCAAACTTTATCGAATCTATCAATCAAGGTAAATAGTGAAGTCATTCAAACTATTCATGATGATGACGATGAACATCCTATTAACTCTTACTACTCTACTACTACCACCACTACTACTACTACATATAAATATATAGTTTCACTAAATGATTATTCAAGACCCGAACAAATAGTGTTTGAGTTTTCAATCATTCACCCTTTCAACGACTATATATTATTGTTGGCAATTAATCCATCGTCTGGAACCACTCTCACTGAATATATTATAGTGAAATTATATTTAACCAATTCATCATCAACTTTTAATACTTCTTCTTCTTCTTCTTCTTCTAATAATAATAATAATAATAATCAATTTAATAATAATCAATTTAAAATACCAGAGAATTTAGAGAATTTAATTAATACCAAAGTAAATTCTAAATACTCTGTTCATGTTTTCAAAAACTATCAACAACTAGCACCAATACTATCATTGAATCTAGATGTATCTGGTGAGAATCTATTTCTAACCACTACCATGATGCAATTGGTAAAGATCAACCTAGAGACAATGCAAATTGGTGCCATACAAAACAATAATTCACAATCCTCTTCACTCAATAGTGCATTCTTTTGCAATGGTTACATCTATCTAGTACCACAAACCTCAACGATACCTGGTATATTAATGAATCAATATAATGCCACTACATTGGAGTTGGTCAATTCGTTGCCGAGTCAAACGCAACCACAAATCACATCGAGTTTATTGGATTGTAGTGGAGGTTCTGCCTATATTATGATCAATAAGCTGACGACTGCCTATATCTACAAGGTCAATCTCTTGAATATATCGTCTGTTGTAGCCTCGCCACTCTATCCATCGTCGTTTGACACATGTTCCTACTTTTGGCAAGGTGATAAAGACTATTTGTATGCTTTTCTCACCAAGATGGCCTATCAACCATCAAAGTTTTTGGTGCAGATTGAAACCAAGGGTCTCACAATACAAAACGTATTTAGCTTTCCAACCAAGGTGAATAGTTTTAGTTGTGAAGCCAATCAAGTACACGACTATGTATTGGTGTACACCAACAAGTATGGTATTCAAATATTCTTCCCATCGCCACTACTAAACAATACTGTACTGGAGACGAATATGTTTTGGAACTCTCGTTCAAACAATGAAGTGATGACAATGGCCAGTAATGCAAAATATAATGACACTTCATTCTTATTATCTTGTACCTATGATCAAATTGATCTAACTCCCATCACCGACACCTCAACTTGTAATATTATATTATTAAAAGGTTCAAATAGTACTTTTAGTCTAATAGGTCAACAACATCAACAACAACAACAACAACATATTTTAACCTATTTACATCAACCAACAACAACAACATTACCAAGTAACCTTTCATTGGAATTATTTTTTTCATTTAATTCACCAACATACAATATGATTGATTTGGTATATACACAATCATCATCAAAGTTAAAACAATTCATTTCGTTTGCTTCTACATTTACTGGTGTATCTTATATCGATGTTATTCGTGTCAATGCTACTACAGATTCGACACAATATATTTCCAATGTAATGTGTGTTCAGGTTGGTTTGGTTCTACCATTCTCTTCGTTCCAAGTCAAAGAGAATTTGGTCTATGTCTTTTTTGGGTCACAACTTAGTTTAAATACCCAAGGTTCACTTCTCTCTGCCTTGATTGTAGATTTTTATGACTCTTCAATGGCACTATACACTAGTCGACTTCGAGTTAATTCTCTACAAGTCATACAAAATAATTATAATGGAAATCATAACTATAGTCGACGTTCTTTATCCACTTCTACTTCAACTTCCACATCCACTTCATCATATCCATCATTTTCATTTTTTGTTACAAGTATTACAAGTCAAAATTTTATTCATCGAGCAGTTGTATTGATAAGACATGGTTTTGTATTTCAAGAGAAGATTAAAGTGGCTGGTGGTCAAGCACAAGGATTATCGATTGCACTAGATTACACTTACAATGATTATGCAATCATATACAACAAGGCATCTACTCCAACAGGTTCGAACCTATTGTTTGTATCGGTCAATCAATCATCAACCAATACTCCATCGCTCTCTTACACTGTCAATTGTAATTGCACATTGATGGATGCTTTTCTTACAGAGGAATCAAATACAACGGTCATGGTAATGATGCTTAGAAGTATATCTGCTGTCGTCACGGCAACACCAGATTGTTGGTTCAAAAAGTTGGATATGCAAACTGGTAATATTCTATTTGAATCGGCACCAACACAATTCCCATTCTCCATTTTCCCTGCCGACGGTAGTGGAGCCTTTTTAGATAGTTATTCAGCATTTGCCTATTTCTATTTGACAACTGGTGTTGTTTTTTCAGTAGACTATACGACCTTTCAACAAGTTAGTTATATACCACTTCCAGAAAATGCTTTTACTCCATTGTCTAGGTTGGATGGTTCAATGAACAATGCCTTTGTTCTTCAACCTCAGGGTGTATTGGTACTCAATTTGGATTGTATTGCCGGTTACTATCGTCCCAATCCAAACAAAGGTTGTCAGAAATGTCACATTGGCAGTTTTTCACCAAACTCTGCTTTTGAATGTAGTATTTGTCAACTAGGTACTATTGCCCCTAAAAATGGTAGTGCTTCTTGTTCCCCTTGTCCAATAGGTACTAGTAGTAGTGATGGTCGATCGTGTGCACCATGTCTCGATTCAACGTATGCTCCCGACCCAAAAATGTCACAATGTTTACCATGTCCAAAGGATTCTGTCTCTTCATCAGACTATAGTACTTGTGTTTGTGCCTATGGATATTACGATAGTGCCACAAATTCAAGCTCTCAACAAGACTATGATGGAGTAGCAACACAATCGTCGTCTGTCAGTTTAGAATGTACTCCATGTCCTATAGGAGCCAACTGTACAAATGGTTTAATTTATCCATTGGAAAATTATTGGTCACCTCATCCAAACTCATCATTTGTCTTTCCATGTCCATTTACAGGTGCTTGCTTGGGTGGTCTGCATAGTAATTGCTCAGAAGGTTATTATGGAATAGCATGTGCAGGATGTACCGATGGTTACAGTTTCTATATCAACAGTTGTTCAAAGTGTCCTCCACACTTTTATCAGACCATCTTTTTGATCGTCCTATTCTTCTTGGCATTGTTGATACTCTTGTTGATTGCGTACAAGGCAGGTGTCAATGTAACCTTTTCTGCCCTCAAGATTCTCATTTCCTATGGTCAGGTTATCAGCTCCATCTCTGTCACCATCTCTACCAATCAAGAGGCACTCGAAAAGCTATTGACTCTGGTCACCCTATCCAATGTCGATATTTTACATGCCATCTCGTTGGACTGTCTTTTCGGTCGAGAGGTATCATTTTACGAAAGCTATTGGGTGTCTGTTGTCTCTCCACTCTTTATCATCTTTTTAATCGTTGTGGCTCATTATTCTACCAAATTTATAACACGTACCATCAAACACATTAGATTTGTAAATAATCAAGCAAACCAAATGATCGAAGAGATGGAAAGAGATCAACAACGAGACAAGAATTTACAATACAATTTGGAGGATTTTGCACCAAGATCAAATGATGAATCTGTCGGCTCATCGTTTATCCTAAACGACGATGAAATCGAAGAGATTAACAACAATATTAGAGAGCTGGAAAAGGTGCTAAAACTAGAATCAAGTGCCAAGAAAAAGGTTGAAGATGATGAAACAACAGAAGCATTGTTGGAAGATAATCTGCTCGATCCAACACGTACCACAAAGAGTATTTTGGCACTTAAACAACGACTCTTGTTTGAAAGAATCAGACGTAAAAAGTTACTAAAGCATCCAAATAGAGATGCTCTTTGGAGAGATATTCTTTTGGTATTCTTGTTGACATATTCGGCGGTATGTCAAACGGTACTGTCACTTTACAGTTGTGTAGAGATTAATGGTCAATACTACCTTCAATACGATCTAAATACTCTTTGCTCTGGGTTCGATTGGCAAATGCACGCGTACATTGGAGTCATTTTCGTTATTCTTTATCCAGTTGGTGTACCACTACTCTTTTGGATTCTTTTATATCTATGGCGTCGCCGTAGACTTATTAGCGAAGAAAAGGTAAAGGAAAGATTATCGTTGCTTTATGCAGGTTACAAGGATAATTGTTGGTATTGGGAATGCCTAGAGTTGGTTAGAAAGCTTCTCTTGACAAGTGCCGTCTCAATTACGATCCGTGGAGGTGTTATTGGCGTTTTCAACAAGAATTCAATCAATGCAGTTGTTTGTGTACTCGCCCTATTCCTCCAATACCATTTTAAGCCTTTCCTTGACAATGCCGATAACTGGCTCCAGTTCAACTCGTTGGCAATGATTTATTTTATCTATTTCTACTTGCTTGTCAGCAACAACGAACCCGCAGATTCCATCAGCATCCAAACCTTGGGTACCATCGACTCTATCATCCTTCTCATCCTCGCTGGCATTGTCGCAACACATGGTATTATTCTTGCAGTCATGTACGGCAAGAAGCTCATGCCCGAGATCAAATCATTCCTCCTCAACAATCCATTGGTTTTGCGATTCCTTCCACAAAACAAAAGAAACCAATGGATCAAACACCAAAAACTCCACTACAACAACCGTATCACTTCTATTATCGATCGTAAATTGCAACGACAAGAAGAGGAAAAACAAACTCAAAAACAACAACAACTTGGTCAAAGCTATAATAGTAACAGTAGCAAAGATGATACAAATTCAGGTGCCTTTTCAAGCTTTATTGTCGACAATAATAACAATAATAATATCGATGATACTTTTAATTTAACAATCACTCTTAGTTCACATAGGCAACAACAACAAAACAACCAAAACTCAACACATGAAGAATAAATAATGTAAATCACCTTATTATTTTCTATAATTTAAACATTATTATTTTTACTTTTTCTTTTGATCATACTTATTATTATCATATTCCATGTGGAACTTTTAGCGCTCATTAATATTTTCTTTAATTAAATTAAGGGTGGGGAGTCTACCTTTTTATTACCATGATAATAGTGCGATTCATGGTCGATAGAAGACTGTTTACAATGTGGACAACATAGTTGCCAAATATAAATAGTCATAGTACTCCAAAATAAATTAGGTTAATCATAACAGCCTCGCAACGTGTGGAGGCAGAAAGAGATTAAGCTTTCTAGAACAGATACTACACATAATCAGAGCAAAAACTCTGAGAGAAGATTGGTCAAATGGCTGTGAACCAAGTGACAATTCTTTTAGATCATAAAACCCTCCTATTTATATTTTTAGGTGCCACAAAAGAGTTTACTTTTGAAAAGTGGAAAATCAGGAAATAAGTTTTTGGATTCAAGAAAAAATTGGATCTATTTTTTATTGTTGGAAATATTTCAATGCATGGACAAATAGAAATATTTTATTTTTAATTGTTGGATCTAGTTCACCCTGTTGAAAAGTTAAATGAGAGGGATTTTTCAAATTATTATTTTGAAAAAAATGACCTTATTGATGTAATGTTTGAATAAATCAATAAAATTATTATATATTAGATCAGTAGGAGTACTAAAAGAAAAACAAAACAAATAAAAAAATCTTATAAAAAAAAAAACTGGTGGACTATAGCCTTGGAGGTTTGGAAGATCAAAAAAATGGAATGTCGCCTATTCTGTAAAATCAATGTCATCTTGAGTTAAATGTCCTTCTTTACCTACTTTTGAAGATGACCATTGGATAATTGAGTGACCATCCAAAAATATATTTAAATAGTACAAGGATATAATATTCTAGGCATAAATGGTTTTACTTTATGGCTATGAAATTTTACAATTGATTATTATTATTATTATTATTATTACTATTATTAAACTTTATACATATACTACACCTACTCTTTGGTGCATCATTCTAATATATCTTTCATGTGGATCCTCAAAGTCATCCGAATACTCTTCACTATCGTCATCGCTGTCGTCTGAGTCATTGTTGTGATAATCGCTATTATCGCCATAATCACTATCGTCACTATCATCGTCGTCATCAGAGTCATCATCATAAAAGATATCCCGATAATAATTATCCAATCTCTTGTCCACTGCGCAAAGTACGTGTTTTTCTCCTCCCTCTCTTTGGATCTCTTGGAAATCTGCTTTACAATTGGGACAAACAGTGGCAGTCTATATGAATAAAATAATTATAAATTAATAAATGAATTCATTATAAATAAAATAAATAAATAAAATAAATACCTTTGACCATCTATGTAAACATTCAAAACAAAATATATGTCTACATCCATCTGGTTTTGCTTTGTCATCGACGATATCAAGACAGATTCCACATTCAGGTTCTTCCTCGGCAGCATCTAGTGAATCTTCCAATGTACTCCAATAGAGGTGTGATGGACGACAACATTTTAACTGGTATTTTGGATGGTCTTGTTCCCGAAAAAGATCACAATCGTAGGAATGAACCATGTAATGACTGTCGGATGGCTTCTTTTTCTTCATGTCCATCATGAAATGATCAATAAAAGAGTTGCAATTGCCAACCAACCAACATCCACTTTTGGGATCTATCCATCCATTCTCTAAAACTTGGTCAACCATAAAGATATATTCTCTGTTTGATTGAGTTATTCTAATGCTATCTTGATCATAACAATAATAGCTTGCAAATTTGTTCTTTAATTGTACATTATATTTCTCTGCAATCAAAGTATTGCTATCATTTTCTTTTGGTTTTTTTTCTTTATTCTTTTTATCTGTATGAAATGGTGATGATGAAGATGATGTTATTGGTGATTTAAAATATCCCCTACTCATCATATATTTTTCTAACTCCTCTTCCATCCTTTTTCTTTCTTTCTTTCTTTATTAATATATAAATCTATTTACACTCTACTCCTACAAAAACTATATTTTACAAATTGTACTATAGTGTACACATTATCTATTTATCTCTCTCTTTGCTCAATAACTAATTGAATGAAATCTCACCCCAAATTGTTCCAAAATGGGCGGTCCTATTTTTCATTGTTCCAAAATGGGACAGTCTTATTTTTTTATTTTTTTTTATTTATTTTTTTTGTTCAAAGCGACTATTAATTATTACGCGACACATTTGATTAATCTCTTTATATTTCATTTAAATTATACATATATAATATATAATATAAAAGTATGATAAAGAGCAGAAGCAGCAGCAGCAGCAGCAGATAATATCAGAGATCATATATATTTACAACAACTTTTGTTTTCTATAGATGTCATCTCAAGATATCGACGATTTTGAAGAAGGTATTGTTTCTCGTGGGAGCAAGAAACAGCAACAACAACAACAACAATAGTGCCGACGACGAAATATACAAATATCAAGAACCATCTATCTGGACATACCTCAAAAACATGTTTAGTAATCGTGAAGCACGTAAAAATACCTTTGCTGTCATTAGAGACATCAGTGTTTTCGGTTTGGCTACTACTTTTTTCGCTACTCAAGGTCATTTGGTTTCAAAGATTGATGATCTTTTAAAGTTGATTTATGAAGATTAAATAGATTGGATAGCGAAAGGAATAAATAGTAAATAATAATATAAAACATGCATCAAAAACAAGTTAGTTGGTATCTTTAATGATCATATTTATTATCAAAACATTTGGAAATTGATGATGACGACGTTCATTTACTACGAGTTTAGATGGAATAGAATGATATCATACTAAACAAGTAAAGGAATGATGCTAATATGATAGCATTAATGTCATCAGATGCATCATTGTATTTACAACTACGGTGACTTGTCATCATTGTCAAACCGACAAACCAAAGCAGACGAATGGTTTGCAGTGTTTGATAGAGCAAACGATTTCGAAGTGGAACACGAAGAGCCATCGAAGACAACAATATAATGGGATAGATGACGAGTCCAGGTGAACAATGACTCACACAAAGCCACAAATGAAGCATCAACATTGTCATCCCAATTACCTGATGCGTTATATAACGTGTCTGTGTAATTGACATTCCAATCATATTTGATAATTTTATCAATACTGAAGATGATGATGATGATCCAGATGATATGGATGTTGTAGTTGGTGATAATTGTTGTTGTTGCTGTTGTTGTTGTTGTTGTTGTTGATGAGAAATGGCGGGTGGCGGAGGAGACGTTAATAATCGTCGATGTGAAGGAGAAGTGGATTGCGAAGATGACATCATCGACACTATATTCCTACTGATTACTGCCAATGTATCACTACCATCACTATTATTATTATTATTATTATTATTACTATGTACATTGTTGTTGGATTTTGTTGGACTTGTATTTACATGACTGGTGATTTGTTCTTTTTTTTCTTCAAAGTAAAATGATTTGTTGTTGGAGGAACTGATTTCTTTTTCCTCTACTTCTTCTACTTCCTCTTCCAAATGGATATGTTCTTTTGATCTTTTAACAATATTTTTTCTTCTTTTAATCTCTGCCTTTCTTTCATTTCTTTCAATCTCTACATTCTAAAATAAATATTAAATAATCAATTTCATTTGCACAACTTGTCATTTTCAGTTTAACATACAATTGGATGAAGTGATAATTGTTTTGTTTTCATTTGAACAAAAGGAGTTGATAGGATTTGGGCAATAGTTGGTCGATGAAGTGGATTACGACGAAGAAGGGCAACAATTAATTCCTTTAACTCTTTGGAGCGAGAGGGATCTGATGGAAGACCAAGTTTACTATCTGAGAATTGTTCAATTTCCTCGATCAGTTTATCGGTATCACGATTAGGGTCTTCGTCAAGGAATGGATTACCAGCATGCTTGAATGGCAAACGTCCATATGCCATTTCATAGAGCAAGATACCCAATGACCATATATCACACTTTTCATTACAAAAGGCTGTGTATTCTCCCATTTCATTACGTTCCAGTAGTTCAGGTGCAATATAATCCATTGTACCAGTATTACCTGTTCTTTTAATTCTTTGTTGTCCTCCAACATTTAAATGATCGCCTGCTATATCATCAATCGAATCACATGTTCCAAAATCACTAATCATTAAATGTGAAACTTGACTATCACATACTGGATCATAAGATTGATGTAATAATATATTCTGAGGTTTTAAATCACGATGAATAATATTACTATGATGAAGGTAACCAATACCATGACAAAGATCAATAAAAACTAGAAGAAAACATAATTGTTAGCTAGCTTTTTTAGATATCTTTTCTGTTCAAACCTGTCAACTTACAACTCCAAATTTCATTTTCAGGTAATACATCATTTTCAGCCATATAACCTTGTAAATTACCAGAGTTAGCATACTCCATTAAAATGTAGAGACAAGGAACACGCGGACCAAAATCAGCAGGTTGATCATACTCTAACCAACTATGTTTATAGTTTATGATATTTTTGTGTTTCTGAAGTGTTTCCAATGCTTTCACCTCTTTTAATACACGAAAGAGCCAAGGCAAGTTTTCACCAACCGGTACCTTTTTAATGGCATACTCTCCAAGATCGATACCATTAATCAAATGTCTACAATAATAAACAGCTCCAAATCCACCAGACCCAATCTTTATCACCTCTTTAAAGAATTTCTTATAATATCCAATGTTTAAAAATTCATCTGTAAATGCTGCCGCAGTTGTTGTATTATTACCAAATGATGTATTATTATTATTGTTGTTATTATTTTCAGAAGAAGAAGAAGAACCAAGTAAAAGGAAATAATCTTTTGACATATATGGTGATGGCATTCTCATTTTCTTTAAATTGTTTCGATTATCATCTTCATCGTCATCTCCCAATACATGTCCATGTCTTCTAGTAGATGTATTACTTTCGACAGTTGATTGTGTTGAATCATGATCACTAGAGTCACCAATAAAAGATCTTTTACACATTGGACATACTTGATGATGATGATGATGAATCGATGATGATGTATTTCTAATGATTAATCCTCCATGTGACGATGATGATGATGATGATGATGACGACGTAGAGGTTATGGATGAAGAAACATTTGATTGTTGTTGAGGAGGTGGTAGTTGTTGTACGGGTGGCGGAGATATGACTAAACTTCCAAAACTATTGCTACTGCTACTGCTGCTACTACTACTACCAGTATTAGTTGAAGCAGTAGTAGTGGTGGTTGTAGTAGTAGTGACAGTTGAGCCTGAACCTATACTAGATGGTGTGTTTCGAACGACCAATCTCTTATTATTAGCATCCCACAATACTATTTTATCAATATCTTCATTATGTCTATCATATGCAATATATAAGTAGATAAGTAGAGAGATGGTTAGTTTTCAAATACACACAAGATTACAATGAAATGAATCAATTAATCAATAAATAAACATACAATATGACTTGAAGATTATCATGATAAATAACTAGTTGTTGTTGATTATTATTAGTATTATTCGATGATGATGATGATGATGATGTTGTCGTGATTCCAAGATCAGGGTGTGTCATATCTGTTGTATTTATATCTATATCTATCTGTTGTTTGTTTGTTTGTTTGTTTGTTTGTTTGTTTGTTTGTTTGTTTGTTTGTTTGTTTGTTTGTTTGTTTGTTCTATCTATATTATGTTCAATCAACTCCAAAAAAAAAAAATGAAAAATCAGGAGGTTTGGTAGTTGATTAATTAATTTTTAGTTGAAGTCGAACTACCATGTAGTTTATTTTTATTTTTAATTTTTAATAAAACGAAAACAATGGTTTCTCCAATAATCTCCAAAGCGTAGTACTTTAAAATTTGATCAAACAAAATTATATGAGTTAAAAGTATTTTTCAAAAGAAAGTTTATTAAATTTTATATTTTTTTATTTTAATAAAGTTATCTAATAATAAATTGGTTGGCAACAGGAAAGAAAAGAAATGAGAGGAGTATTTCTCATAATACCATCATGATTAAACCAATTTTGTGTGTTTAAAAAATCTACTTTTGAAAAAACACACACATCATCAAGAAACTATTATTTTTTTGTCAGTCTATCAATCAAATCAATTACAATTATTGTTGTGTATAAAAGAAAGCAAGGAAGAAGAAGAATATTGACCAAATAATAATAGACACAATATTATTAGAAACAACATCAACAACAACAACAACAACAACAACAACAACAAAGATTGAATGATTGTATGTAATCAATCAGTGACCACGATTACAGATAGATAGAGAAGACCACTCCTCATTATCATTATCATTATCATCATCATCATTATCATTATAATTTAATAATCAATTTAGGAACAAGGTTTATAACTCTTGTTGTTTTTTGTAAATTAAAACCTACCTTCTTAACTTGTATCATATATATAGAGACAGAGAACAGCAGAGAGACTAACAACACAACATAGAGAAGAAACAAACAATAATAATGGCAGATAATCAAGCGATATTAAATTCAGTACGACAAGCATTGGCATTGGCTAGAATAGGTGTCAATGCTGATAATAGAGGTGATTATTCTGTTGCTATTACAAACTATAGAGAAGCTTCAAATCTATTGAATTCACCAGAGGATCTAACTGCTCTCAATGATGAGCATTATCAAGCAATGTTGGAAAAGGTGAGTTGATCGAAAAGAAGGGGAATACATAGTACCATCATTATCATCGGTTATCGATCACACTGACTCTCTATCTATCTATCAATCTATTTTAGTCAAGGCAATATCAAGCAAGAGCAGATGTACTTGAAGCTTTATTGTAACTATCTAATATCTATAAGCAATAACAACAACAAATATATATATGTATATATACTAACCATTATATATTATTCGTACAAAAAGAAATCAATCAAATGGAGTTGTAAATTCACCGGCCAAAGAGAATATAGTGTTTGTTGAAGAGACACCATCAGGATTACAATCAGATCCCATTCCAGCATTTGCATCATATAAACCATTTTGGTTGATGAGAGTATTATCAAAAACTATTACAGGTGGTGCTTATCTAACACCAAGATTATATATTCCAAAATCTGTATGGTATGTATCATTACTAGTAGTATTATTATTATTATTATCGGTCAGTAATTAATCTTTTTTTTTTTTGAAAAGGCAACAAACAGGATGTAAATTGGTAGCAGTACAAACAAAGATTCAAAGTTTGGCAGAAGTATCGGAATTGATTTCAAAATTAAGATCGATCGCATCTTCATCAGACTCTTCTAATCCAGTGATCGACAAAAAGAATATCGACAATGTATCAAAAGAGATTGAATATTTTTTGTTCACAATTGGATATTATTCAGAATTCATTACATTTCCATCTATCATTTATACCAGAAGTAAAGATTGAAAAGATCAACGAAAAGAGTTGGGCTGGAAAAATGAAAAAGTTTGGTAATAGTTTGGCAAAAGGTGCCGTTAGATTGGCTCCTTCTTCAAAAATGTATATATATCTATGATCTATGTTTCTTTCTTGTCGTACTAATATATCTTTTAAAAAGAGAGGGACAAGATTATGTAGGTCTATTAAATACAGTATTTGAGGAAAGTCAATTCCTTGAATCATGGATGAATAGTTGTGAAAGTCTAGGAAACCATAGTTTGGCAACAAGATTAAAACGTGTGGGAGAATTCTTTTCAAATGTTGTATGCGCCTTTGTCATGAAAGATTTTACCATCATGTTGGATAGATACATGAGAAAGAGTTTACAAAGTTATATGAAATTAAAAGATATAAAATAATAACCTATAGACAACAACAACAACAACAACAAAACAATCAAAATCAATCTTGTAGAACAATAATTAATAATAACAAATATTTTATATCAATGTCCCCCCCCCCCCCCCCCACCCGACTCAACAAAACTACTACCTCAACAATCATTATCATAGTCAGAAACATACTAACGTAGCATGCACACACACCTCCATAAAGACAATTACAATCACCAACAAAGCACCATCACCAAACTATTTATTTATTTTTGGACATTGGACCTCCTACCCATTTTTTGAAAAAGAGTTGGAGAACTCTTAATCTATCTATCTATCTAACCAACCAACATGAACAATTAACAAAACAAATAATAATAATTTATTTATTTAAATTATCTATAAATCAAATTAATAAATAACAATACACAAGTGTAAGATACAAAAGTATAACCCTTTAAATAATAAATGATTTATTTATTTATTTATTTTTTATTTTTGTTGAATGCACCAACTGATTGTAAATAATTAAAAGCTGAAGAGTTTGATCTTTCATGCTCTTCTTTGACACGATCTAAATTGATTGATTCTGGAAAGTGTTTGTGGACAAACTTGAGGATTGAGATCCAACCATTTTTGATGATACGATTATTCATTGATTTGTACTGTTTGACAAGACCATTTTCTACGAGGTACTTGGCAACTGACAAATGACCATTGGAGAGAGCTGCTTCGAGTGCCTTTTGAGTGCATCCTTCTTTACGGTTACGATGTAAAAATGATACGATAGAGAGATGACCATTTTTTGCGGCCAAGTCCATGGCATCGGTAGTTACAACGTCTGGATTACGAGAATGAATAAATTCGACACAGGCAAGGTGACCATTCTCTGCAGCAAGAGCCATACCATTGTGTGGATCGACTTGACGACAAAGTCTGAACCCCTCGCTATAAAAGAACTTTAAAATATCCAAATGACCATAGGCAGCGGCATCATCAACAGTCTTCCATGGAACATTATTTCCTATCAAAGTTGGATAGATTCTTTGGACCCATGACAAGTTTCCTTTGATAACTGCCATATGAATTTCCTCCATACCCAATTCCCATCCATGTTCAAGTAACAATTCTACGACTTGCCAATGTTCTCCTCTAAATGCTTCTTCCATTATCTTGGTATCTCTAACTTCACCTTTGCCAAGTTTGTTTTCAATAATGTATTTGACAATATCAATGTTACCTTTGGAAGCAGCCAACAATAGAGTCTTTTCAGTTGTCTTTTTTGTTAATTCTACCTCTCCTCCTTCTTCTTCTTGTTCTTTTAACAATCTTTTAAACTCTTCCAAGTTACCCTCCTTTTCATTTGCAATTCCAGTTAAAGAAGAAGATGAAGATGATTCTGTAGTAGTAGTAGTAATAGTAGTTTGTGATTCCTTCTTTGTTGTCATAATCTTACTAGCACCTTCAGTTCTATTCTCTTTTAAAAAGGTAATAATATCTTGATGATTATTCTCGATAGCTCTATCCATGGCTCTCTTTGTGCAACCTTCAAGTCTGTTGAAATGGAGGAACTTGACGACATCCAATTTGCCGGCCTGACAAGCTAGATCCATGGCATTGACTGAACAAACGATATCTGGATAACGGGTATGCAAGTATTGTAGAATATCAATATTACCAATAAAGGAAACATGATCCATCAATTCTGGGCTTGGTTCAAAATCTGGTGACCATACCAACAGTTCTTTCAATGTTGACAAGGTTGCATTAGGTAATGAACAATATTGGTTGATTGCTTTTGATCTTTTACTCTCATCAATTAATTCTAATTGACTAGTAGTAGTAGTAGTAGTAGTAGTAGTAGTAGGTAAATGTTGTTTGATTGTATCCCAATCTTGTCCACTTTCAATAAGTTGTAATACTTTTGTTGTTGTAGCCATTATTATTATTATTATTATTTACTATTGTTTATATCTAGAATATATAAAACTTATATGTATGTATGTTGTATGTTGTATTGATTTACATTGTAAACAAAGATCACTTGTATAAATAATGATAGTAAAACTGGTCCATTCTCATCTTTAGTGCTAGTTCCCCAGATAATGAGAATGAAAGACGACCTTCAACTTTGTAGATGACGGTGCTCTCTGAAACATTTTGAAAACTCGTCGAAAAAGAGATGAGAAATCCAAGTCAGAGAGATAGAAATACTGAGCTTCCCTCTTTTGAACTGGTAGTTACTATAAGTGAATATGGTTGGATCAACAATATAACACTTCTCTATTACTTGGGATTATTCATTCCTCATTTCTTCTTTAAAATTGAGTCATATTAAATTAATTAATAAAATAACTACTTTTGGTTTTGGAAACAAATAAAATATTTGTTTATCATCATGATTGGTTTATTCAATGAGTTGGATTGTTGCGTTTGTTGAGACTTCTTTCTAGATTTTCTTTAAACATTTGGCAACATTGTAAACACGACGAAGAGTAGAATAGGTACGGTCGTATTGTCTTCTACCAACATCATCGACACGCTTCAAGTAGAAGGAATTGGGGAAGAGACTATTGACAGAGTCGGATGGAGTGTAGTCCTTGAGGTTGTGACGTTGTTCACGGAGAGTAAGGGTGGAGGTGAATTCCTCTGGAGTGACACGGGTACGGGCATCAAGACGGTTCTTGAGATCTACCTTTTGGACCATCTCCTCGATCGATGAACGAACTTTGAAAGAGAAGGCCGAGGCTGATAAACCAGAACCGTACGAGAATGTGAGGACACGCTTACCAATCAAATCCTTGCTACGCTCGTTAAAGAGTGACAACAAGCCTGAATAGGTACTGCCACAGTAGGTGTTACCGAGTTGTTTGGCCAAGAGGGTCGATGGAGCTACCTTGGTGTTATAGTCTTCCTTGGAGAGACTGATCAATGCCTTTTCCAAGTCAGTGTTAAAGTAGGTCTCTTCAGGCTTCAATGAAGCATATTGTTGAAGTGACTTGAACTTTTCTTCATTTGGATTATTTAAAAAGTCATTGTATAACTAAGTAAGGGGAAATAAAAATAAATTTGAATCAATAAAAATTAGTCCAAGGATTTTCTTATACGGGGTGTTAAGGATTTTTTGGGATTTACATACCATTCTACCAAAAGATTTTTGAACCAATTTGTTGTATGGTGAATGGAAGATGGCATAGTCGACTTGAGAGAGATCGAATTTAGAGGGACTGTATTTACGCTCAAAGGTGTTACGGTAACGACCGTAGCAGTTATCGATGGCACGGAGGTAACAAGAGATGGAGAGCTTACCGTCGACACGTGGGTACTCGGATTCCATGTCAGGCTTGTAAAAGTCATAGACATTCTCCATGTGGACACCACGGAGACCAGACTCAAAGGTGATGGGTGCGTTTGGACCAATGAGCATGGCAACGACACCGGCACCACCGGTTGGACGGGCTGGACCCTTTTCATAAACGGCAATATCACCGGCGACGACAATGGCGTTACGACCATCCCAGTACGAGGACTCGATCCATTGGAGGGCATTGTGCAAGGCAGAGGTACCACCGTAGCAGGCGTTGATGGTGTCGATACCATCGATAGAGGTGTTGCCCGAGGCGGCAAAGAGATCCATCAAAACAGTCTTGATGGATTTGGCCTTGTCAATGACAGTCTCGGTACCGACTTCAAGACGACCGATCGAGTGTGGATCAACGTTGTACTTTTCCAAGAGATTCGAGACGGCATTGAGTGACAATGAGTAAATGTCCTCACGATCACCGCAAAAGGACATATTGGTTTGGCCAAGACCGACAGTGTATTTACCGGCAGAGACTCCATCAAACTTTTCCAAATCTTCTTGGGCTACATAGGTCTTTGGAAAATAGATTTCCATTCCTAAAATACCAACATTTTCTGGTCTTGTATTATTCATTTTTTTAAATTAAAGTATATATAAATAGAGTGATTTAAAGTTGTAGTAAAGGTTGTTGTGATTTTAAATAGAAAAGTAAATGATCAAAAATGAACAGTCAAATTAATTTGTTGTGTTAAATATTTTTTTAAAAGAAAAAAAATAGTGTCGTTTTGAAATGATTGGTCGAATGTGTGAAGATTGAAAATCAAACAAATGTGAGATTTATGATTGATGTGTTTGGTAGGTAATGTAGCAAAGGGGTGCGGTATTTGTGTTTAAAGAGTAGAGTGATTGGTTGATATTCGTTTATCTAGTTTATCTAGTTTAAAAATGTGTAATGTATTTATATAAATATATATTATAATAATAATTTAATTGTCGAGTAGGGGTAAGTTGAACAATTAAATATAGATATAGTATATAATAATAAAATAATTTTGATTATTAAAATAGTATAGTATGTGATATAGAATAGTGAAATATTAAAATACACAAATAAAAAGATAATGAATGATTATTATTTATTTATTTGTTTGGTTGGTTGTTGGAGAGTTATTGTAGCGTATGTGTGTGAACTGTGAGAGAGGAGATAAAAAGTGTTTTAGGTAAGAGTTAGTTGGGATGGGAAAATCTAACTCTCTCTCTTGAAAATGATAAAAAAATAAAATAAATTTAATTTAATGTTCATGGTTTCCCTCGTGAACACAAGAGAGAGATACCCTCACCCACATGAGCCGCCTCATTGCTGGTATCAAGCGAGGAGAGATGAACAAAAATATCTTACCCTATGCCCAATTTTTCATGAAAATTTATATTAATTGGTTTCTTTAGCACACAAGAACAGTAAGAACCTCACACCCATTGCAATTGCTCTGTCTAAAAGTTAAAAATAATTGTTATTGCTCAGGAATCTGCCACCTTTTTTGAAGCGGTCGAATCGTCTGATCATCACTATTTTGCGCATTTTTCGTTGACTCTCTGCCATAGGATAGGGGCAGTTTTCGTAAAAAAATCTCGTGCTTACCAGTGCTGCAAACCGACAAAAACGATCATCAACACATAATTATCCCAATACAGGGATGAAAGTGAATCTGTTCATTCTTGGAACCAACCATTCTCCCGACCTAATCCTATTCAAGGGGGTGGATTAAACCAAGTCATAAATTAATATTATTTTATTTAATAGAGGTTATAGATAGAATAGATAAAATTGGTTGTAGTTTATATTATTACATGCTTACTAATGAGTATTGGTAATACCATCTAAGCAAAGCTAGCAGATCCCCCCCACACGCTATTAATATTTACATAGTAATGTGGTGAAGATGAATGAAGTTGTGGGAATGGAGGGTTTGTTATTTAGGTAGATCCATTATTGCCCATACATTGGTAAACATTTTACATCATCGTCGTCGTCACCTTTTATGGAGAATAAAAAGTCATACCAACCCTGCACATCTTATCTGCTGCATGCTGTCAAGTATGAGATTGATCCTTATATATATATATACCCTACAAATAATACACACTTTATAAATATAAACTATATTCGTGAACGGGAAATACAAAGTTTGGTGGGTATGATTTCAAAAATATATAAAAAAATCATGTGATCAGATAGATGTATACCACTCAGATGAACTTCCGATCGCCAAAATTTGTCCGTTGAACAATCTGCAAGAAAATTTAAAAAAAATTGGTTTTTTTTGGGTTTCCCTCTCATGACTTTGCATCATCAGCAACAGCACAGCAGCTCTCCCTCTCTACACCCAACAAACCTTAAACATCATCAGTAGCACTTTAAAGAGAGAGAGAGAATCAAACTACTTTTATACGATTTATTATTATAATCAACAATAGTTGCTTGAGAGGTGCTTTTTACAAAAGTACTCGTCAAGCATTGTATAATCAACATCATCATCACGACTCAGATATAGTATCTATCCCTTTTTTTTGATGTAAGTGTCATTTATAGATTGGGACTTCCATGATCCTAATGGAAGTAGTCACCAAAAACACACCCACACATACACCATCAGCAAGCAGGCGGGCAGACAGCACTATAATAACCAAACTTAACCAATCAATCGATCAATCAATCAATCCATCAAATCATCTGATCGATTTAAATCTTTCTTTGCATTGGCACCAACTATGAATCTTTGCAATAGTCATACAACATTTTTCATTATATCATACACCAATCTCTGATCATACACTACTATTACACACACTCAACGGTTGGCGTGGGTGGGTACTAGTGTTTTTGCAACCACGATCGTGTATGGTGTAGTAGAGTAGAGAAACAATCAATGCATTTTTAACGACAAGAAAACAAGACAATAGTTTGTAATAATCCAGAGGAGAAGACTGTTGTTGTTCTTTTTAAACAAACATCTATTAACACATAAATTAAAATCATAAAACTTTTCAGTAGAAGAGAGAGTCTCTTATTTCTTCAAACTTTTTAAAAATATCAGCTCAAACTAAACTACCTATACTATACGGACTTTATTATTAACATACACTTTTATACTATATACAAATAGATATAAACAACTATACAACTACTATTACTATTACTATTACTACAATCAAACATTAGAATCATTATATTACGACTACTACTAATTTGAAACAACATATATGTATAATATTACAAATACAAAGAGATAGAAGGATAGAAGAGTAAACAAAAAAAGAAAACAAAAATGGTTCTTACAAATAAACAAAAAGAGGAATTGTAAGTTAGATAGAGAGAGAGAGAGAGAGAGAGAAGGGTAACGATGATGAATGATGATGATGAATTCAGTTACTTATATTTGTTTTTATTTAATTTAATGTTTGTAGGAATGGAGCAATATTAGATTATTTAGAAACTTCAGGATATAATACAAGTTTGGAAGAATTTAAAAAAGAAACCAATGTAGAGATTGATCCAAAGAAGAAAGGATTATTGGAAAAGAAATGGACGTCTGTCATTAGATTACAAAAAAAGGTGATGGATTTGGAGGCAAAGGTTGTACAGTTGGAAGAGGAATTGAACGCAGGCGGACGAGGAAGTGCCGCACGTCGAGGCAAGGAGGATGCATTGCCTCGTCCACCCGAGAAACACACACTCACAGGACATCGTAATTGTATCAATGCCGTCAGATTCCATCCATCGTTTTCACTGTTGGTGTCGGCATCTGAAGATGCCACCATGAAGGTATGGGACTTTGACAGCGGAGAGTTTGAACGCACAATGAAGGGTCACACCAATGCAGTGCAAGACATTGATTTTGACAAGACGGGTAACGTCATGGCTTCGTGTTCGGCCGACCTTACGATTAAGCTGTGGGATTTTCAGACTTACGACAATACCAAAACACTTCATGGCCACGACCACAATGTCAGTTGTGTCAAGTTTCTCCCAAGTGGCGACCAGTTGGTCAGCTCTTCGCGTGACAAGACCATCAAGGTGTGGGAGGTGGCTACGGGCTACTGTGTCAAGACGATGACCGGCCACGAGGACTGGGTTCGTCGCATCGTCGTCTCTGAGGACGGCACTTGTATAGCTAGTTGTAGTTCGGATCAAACTGCGCGTCTCTGGAATTTGGCCAAGGGCGAGTGTATAATGACTTTTAGAGAACACAGTCATGTCGTCGAATGTGTTGCCTTTTCACCGGCAAACATTGTAGAAATTCCAGGTTCTCTCCTCTCTACTGCAGAGGGAAGAACGAGGGCTAAAGTTGGTGCTGGTGGTACTTCATTTGGTCAATCAGGTTATTTGGCTACAGGTTCAAGAGATAAAACTATAAAGATTTGGGAAATTGCAACTGGTCGTTGTTTACAAACTTATGTAAGAAATAGATAAAACAAAAAGAATAATAGATGATTAATATTTTATTTATTTCTATTTATTTGTATTTATTTCTAGATTGGACATGATAATTGGGTAAGATCAGTTAGATTCCACCCATGCGGAAAGTATTTATTAAGTGTTGGGGATGATAAAACAATCAGAGTTTGGGATATTGCACAGGGAAGATGTATAAAAACTATAAACGATGCTCATAGTCATTTTGTATCATGTTTAGATTTTTGTTCACATAATCCTCATATTGCTACAGGAGGTGTAGATGATGTTATTAAAGTTTGGAAATTAGGTTAATAAATAATTAGATTAAAAAAATAAATTTAAATATTATAAAAATCAAAACAAACAACAAATCAAATACAATCATATATTTTGTGTAATTTAATTTAATTTATTTCAAATCCATTGGTTGATTTGTAGTATTATCAGTATTGTTATTATTAATATTAATATTTTCAATGATTGGTTGTTGAATTGGTTGAATATTTGGATTATTTAAAGTAATAGTTTGTTGTTGTTGTTTTTTATCTTGTCTTGATTGTTTAATGTTTGAATATAATTTATGATACATTAATTCATCCTTTTTAGAAACTGATGGTTTGGTCTTGGTGAGTGCATAGTCAAAATCGGCCATTGAAACGGGTGACATGACATGGTTGGCTGTGGCAGTCGATGTTTTGGGATTGCTTTGAAGAGCATCAAATCCTCTGTCCAAGGCAGACATACCGGCTTCTTTGACAAGGAGCGATAGATCGGCACCTGAAAAGGCCTCACAACGTTGGTCGTGGGCAACAGTCTCGAGATTAATGTCTTGGCCAAGTGGAATCTTGTTGGTGAGCGTACGGAGAATATCGACACGTTCTTGGGGTGTTGGTAGTGGAACGTAGAGGAGTTTGTCGAGACGTCCGGGACGGAGCATAGCCTGATCGATAATATCGGGTCTGTTGGTGGCAGCGACGATAAACACTTCACTACGTTTCTCGAGACCGTCCATTTCGGTGAGCAGTTGGTTGACGACACGCTCGGTGGCTTGGCTACCCTCGGACCCACGCTTGGGTGCAAGAGCATCAAACTCATCGAAAAAGATGACGCATGGTGCCGACGCAGAGGCACGTGAAAACACTTGACGCACAGCACGTTCAGACTCACCGACATACTTGTTGAGTAGTTCCGGTCCCTTGACAGAGATAAAGTTGGCTTGACATTCTGCAGCGACGGCCTTGGCGAGCAAGGTCTTACCACAACCTGGTGGGCCGTACATGAGTACACCGGCAGGTGAGTCAATACCCATCTTTTTGTAGATACCTGGGTATTTGATGGGACGGAGAATAGTCTTGGTCAACTCTTCTCTAATGCCAGTTAGAGCACCAATATCCTCCCAAGTAACGTTGGGAATAGTGGCAAAACCTTCACGTTTGGCAGAGGGTTGTACCTTTTTAGTTGCCTTTTTGAAATCGTCCATTTCAATGTACATGTTTTCCAACTGTTCCTTGCTCAGCGGTGTCTTCATGTCTTTGAGGAAATCAACGACCGACATGCCCGATGTTCCAGCACTGGCAATAGCAGCACCAAGAGCACTGGCGACACCATCTACACCCAAACCGGTACCAGACATTTGGTCAAACACACGGATAATGGAAAAGGTGGCAGCTTCTTGTGCAAGTAGATTGAGATCAGCACCGACATACCCTGGTGTAAGACTAGATATCTCTTCATAGTCAAATCCAGCAGCCAATCTCATCTTTCTAGTGATGACTTGTAGGATACGTGAACGTGCAGCTTGATCAGGTACACCCAATGTAATCTCCTTGTCGAATCTACCACCCATACGTAAAGCAGGATCCAATGATTCAGGTCTACTTGTTGCACCAATTACAACAATATGTCCTTTTTTAACGGGTACTGGTACAGATACATCTCCATTATTCTCATCGAAATCCAAATCATCTTCTTGTTTTGTTGGAGTATTACCTTTTGATTGTAGGGTAAGAGAATCCATACAAGTAAGGAGTTGAGCAACGATACGACGTTCCATTTCCTTTGAGGCATTTTCACGTTTTGGTGCAATTGCATCGATTTCATCGATGAATACTATACATGGTGATTGTTCGACGGCACTAGCAAACAATTGTCTAATCTTTGCTTCAGACTCTCCAGACATACCACTAGTAATTTCTGGGGCACTAATTGAAATGAGTGGTACCTTGAGTTCACCAGCAATACAGTTTGCCAACAATGTCTTTCCACATCCAGGTGGTCCATGCAACAAGATACCCCTTGGAGGTTCAACACCCAAATGAAGATAGATTTCAGGATGTGATAGTGGGAATTCAATTTGTTGTCTAATCTCTTTAATAACATGTTCCAATCCACCAATACAACTAAAATCAACATTTGGTACAACTCCAATTCTATTTAAATCATTATTATTACCATTTGATGATGAAGAAGATGATGATTGTGATATTGATTTTCTTGGTTTCTTTTTACCAAGTCCATTATTATCATTTTGATTATTATTATTATTATTTTGATTGTTATTATTATTTTGTTGATTATTATTTTTGTTATTATTATTATTATTATTGTTGTCTCTATTTCTTTTACCATTTTGATTTTGTGAAGTAGCAGTTGATAAAGGAATGAAATCTTCTTCTTTGTATTGTATGGTTGATGATACTTGTTTATATTTATCTGTTAATCTATTGTTAAGTGAGCTACCAGCAGCAGTGTTACCAGTGGTTGCTGATTTAACAGGAGTACTAGTATCCATTTTATCATCTTGTTGACTATTATTATTATTACTATTACTACTATTATCATCATCTTCAATAAGTACTACTTGTTGATCTTGTTGTTGTTGTTGTTGTTGTTGTTGATCTTGATCACCTTGATCACCACTTTCTACTTGGTCATCATCTTCTGCATCTTCATTATCAGCAGCTCTTGCCAACATTACCTCGACAGCTTTAGAATCAATCAATCAAACAAATATATTAGAGATAATGATCATTCATCACTTTATATTCTATATTCTACATACCTCTTTCAACAATAATTTGAAATGCTTTAGCAGGTTTTCTATTGTATTCACTATACTTTTGCCTAAGAGCATTGGAGATCTCGTCAACATCTACAAACTCTGAATTGTCGAAATCGAGCGCTTCAATTCTTTCAATTAATTTGTTATCTATGTTTTGTGATGGTCTCTTTTTAATAACCATTGTGTGTATTTGTATCTATCTATCTTTGTAATATTAAAATTGAGTTTAGAAAAAAACGACCGACAAACTTTCGTCTTTGTTCGTTTTTTTTTTTTTTTTTTTTTTGATTATAATCAAAGTACATGAAATAATTATTGATGGAATAATATTAATTACGTAATTAAAATTTGAATTAATTTATTTGTTTTCTAATATTTTGGAAAGTGGATTGTTGTTGTTGATTGTTGTTGTTATTATTATTATTTGATTATTGTTGAGAGACTTTTGGTAAACCAGTTTCAAGGTTAATTAAAGATTCAGAATCTGAAAGGATTCTTGGACCTGGACCAACACGGGTGTGGAGGATGTATTTGAGAGAGTTGGGGAAGGTGACTTCGGGAGTGTAGAGGGTGTGCATATTTTTGGGTGGTTGGTAGTCGTTGACCTTGGCAAAGACCTCGTCGGTGCCTCTGTAGTAGTTTTGGACACCTTCGCCGGCTGGGAAGTGCTTCAAAAAGAGGGAGAGCACTTCGGCGACACTCTCTTGTGGGAGGTAGATACAGGCGTTCGGTCCGGCGTCAAAAGTGTAGGCGCAACGAACAGAGCCGGCAAGCTTGTTGTAACGATGGATCAAATTCATAATGTAACGACTAGTGTCGTTGAGGTAGTAGATTGGGGGGTCGGTAGTAGCACAGACCTCGTGGAAGTCGTCCGAATCCTTCATGGTTATATCGCCAAATGTTTGGAAATCATGTTCTTGGATGGCACGCTCGATGGTGACCATACGTTCGGGGACGGTGGTGGCACAACGCTCCTTCATCATGGCCGAGGTTTGAGCCGAACGTTGCATACCGTCGGTCGAGCTGGTCTCCTTCTTCTTGTCGTTGACGACCAACACGATGATGTTCATGTCGGGCCAGTGTGACTCTGGTGCAACCTGCACGGCGATACTGTCGCTGCCGTCTGCCTTGGTACCCATCTCCCATTTGACGAATCCACCAAACATCGAACGACATGCACTACCACTGCCGAGACGAGCAATCGACGACACGTCACCCTCTACACCGTACAACTGTGCCAACACGTATACCAAACAAGCATAACCACTGGCTGAACTAGCCAAACCGGCAGCGGTTGGGAAGTTATTGATCGAGCAAATGTGAACAAAGTGTTTCTTGTCCATCAACTTTGTAGCTCTTGATCTAATTGTCTTTAATACATTTTGATATCTTACACTATTAACATCTTCTTTTCTATAAATACATATGATCAATCGAGTGTTAACACTATATAATATATCTCTCTATATACTACTAATCATCATCTGACTACTACTACAAACTACTATATATATATATCTATCATTACATACTTTCCATTTAACCAAAGAGCATCTTCTTCAAAAGATTCAGATGCAACAGCAGTAGTGGTAGTCTTTAAGTCGTCTTGATGTAAAGTACCAGAGAGTGAAGAGTTGAGAGGAAGGATCAAGTTTTCATCTCTCTTTCCCCAATATTTGATGGTTGCAATATTAACTGGAGCTGTACAAGTTACTGATGCCAACATACTGTTATTATTATTATTACTAGTAACTAACTATTTAGAAAACTATATAGAAATCAAACAACAACAATACTAATAAACTATAAAAAGAAAACTGTTTTTCAGCGTTGAACTCAAAAGGCAGAACAACGATTTTTTTATTTTTTTTGGAGATATAATCTTTAGAGTGGTCTCGAAAAGCAATAATAATAGAGCGAATGACTAGTATTGTCGATACTTTTAGTAACTTTAACAAAGTCACTAAAACATAGTTTGAATAAATGCATTCCGTTCGAGATTGACAGCTGATTTAAACGAACTGTATATTGTTGTACAACACATCATCAATTCGAACTTCAAAATTTTGTATTTTTTTTTTCTTCCTTTGTCGTGATCAATATATATATTTGAGGTGGTACACAACTTTATTAATTAATGTCCGTATAGAACACCAATAACGACGACAACAACAACAACATGCTAAGAATTGGTGTGGTGGGAAGCAGATGTCTTTTGCAACAGACAGTCGTCAGTTCAAACTTGCTATCCGTTCGTAACTCGACTAGTTTATTATCGTCGTTTACACAGCAACCGACCGTTGATGATGATCATCATCATTGCAACTACTACCACTCTTCATCATCATCATCGTCGTCATCGTCGTATTCAGGCAGGTCAAGTCGATCATCGAGTAGACCTCGTAATATCTCAAGACATTTTGATTCATCTTCATCGTCGTTATCAAAGAAGGGAGGGGGAGGAGGAGGAGGAGGGTCTAGAAAGAACTTTTCATTCAAGAATACCACCCCTTTGTCATATCAATCATCTACTACTACTACTACTACTACTGCTGCTGCTGCTGCTCACTCATCGATCGATACCAATCATGTAGATGAACAGGAAGGGAGACGTAACTATCCCAGTGATCCCTATAGAAAGCGAGCCAAAAAAGGGAGAAGAGAAAGAGCTATAGCTAGAAAAGAACGACAAGCCGAGCAAGAGGTACATACCTCATACTCATCACCATCATTGAACTTTGACACTGGTTCGACAACAAAAGAAACTACAATGACAACAAACCCAACCCCAGTCTTGGAATCTATTCCTCAACAAGATCTCTCCCCACCATCATCATCATCATCATCATCCTCATCATTGAACCTTGACATTGATTCGAACCGTTCGACAACAAAAGAACCTTCAACAACAGATACCAATCAAGAACAACAAGAGGAGGAAGAGGAAGAAGAAGGTCAACATAATGATCCCCATGGAAAGCGAGCCAGAAGAGGAAAACGAGCAGAAATTAAAGAAAGAAGAAGACAAAGGAGAGCGCAACGCCATGAGGAGGTACAAACCTCATCCCCATCCTCATCGTTGAACCCCGACACTGATTTGAACCAGTCAACAATAGAAACTACAACAACAACAAACTCAACCTCAGTCTTGGAATCTATTCCTCAACAAGATCTCTCCCCACCATCATTATCATCCTCTTTAAAAGTTGAAGAGTCTACTCCATCAAGTGTTATATCAATGGCAATAGCCAACAAAACACTTCTTATAAAGATCCCTCGAAGACATAGAACAACTGGTGTTGAATCAAACAAAAATATTATTTCGGACCCACCCATTCCTCCAATCCAACAACAATTTGTTCTTCCAGACTTATTTAATAATAATAATAATAATAATAATCATAATAATAGCAGTGATAATAATAATAATAATGATAATAATAATATTCAAATCAACAAATCAGAGCAACAAAAAGATAATATTAACATTGAAAACAACAACAAAACTGATAGTATTGATAATACAGATAGCATTCTCAAAAAAGAAAATGATGATCAAGTAATAGATGGTGATCATGATTCAAAGGAAAATGACAACCCTATCAATCATATTGAATTACCACGTTCATCATCTTTTGTCCCTACAAACAAACCCTCTATGCACCCAAGGGATGCATCAAATATAAGACTAGAGTTGTTGATTGGACAACTCAAACATAACGTTGACAGTCTTAGGGCTGAATCCAAAGGGATCTTCAACTATAAAGGAGAGATTGCACAGAGCGTCACATTGATGAAGTCTATTATTGGCCAATTAAATGAAAACAAGTCACAACAAGCCTTTGATATGTTGTTGGTCAATCAAAAATCCATTTTACAGCGACAAGATACAATTCAAAAGAAATTGGATAGTTTTGAGTCTTTCATCTATCTTCAATCACCACAACAACAACAACCAACAATAACACCAACAATAACGCCAACAATAACACCACCAATAACAACAATAGATACAATAGAAAATGTAAAAGAACAAATGAAATTCCCATACGAACTAGCATACCAACTTGCAATCAAAATTCAAGTAGAAATGAAAGATGGAGTCATTGATATTAAAAAACTGCTTGAATTGGGAGAGTTTATGTCTGTATCAATGGGCTACTGGGTAAGAGTCCAAAAGCAATTAGAGAGAGAGAAAGAAGTAACAGAATTAATCAGATGGTCGTCAAACAAGTGCCTCGAGAGCCTCATTGCTCTTATATCGACTTTTGGAAAGGACAGGTTCCTTCAACACATCCCACAACTTGAAAAGATGAAATATTTTGTCTCCAAAGATGATAGCGCCTACGTTTCTCTCAACTATGATGAAGCCAGAGGTCTATCAAAATCCATTCCTTTTGCGCGCAGCCTTTACAAGATGATTCATATCCATAAACGCCATTTTGAATCTACTGGAACAACAGCAACAAACAAATTACCACCAATAACTATTATTGAACCAACAACAACAACAACACCAACAACATCAACAACATCAACAACAACAACTAATATAACAACACCACCAACAACTACTGAAACAATCGCAGTCGAAGATGCAAATGAAGTAACATCCGCATCAGTTATCAAGCCACTACCAACAGCCATTGCAGTAGATTTATTGGGAACCAATCTATTTGAACTTTTAGCCGATAGAGATGATGTTGCACTTTCACAAGATGAATTTGAAATGGTGCAGTTGGCTTTGGGATGTCTTATAGTAATAGAAGGCTCATTTCCATCGGAACAACAAGCATATGCCAATTGTGTAGTAGATTTGGTGGAAAAATCTGGCAGATTCCCAAATCAAACCAAGCTCGTCAAAACCGAGGGAGAAACGGCCAAGGTCGATACCGTTTATTTGAAATGGAATTCGTTACAACCATCATTTATCAAATCAACCAGTCGCATTCGAAAACTCTTACAAGCAAACAACGCAGAATTCAAGGAACGATCATTTTTTGCTGCAAAGTTGTATGGCTTTGAAAGAGTAATGAGAGATGCTCTTCGATTCATCAAAAAGAAACAATGTCCACCATCTACTTTGGAACCATTCATTCAAGCCGCTATAAATACCAAGTATATCGTATCACTCATGCAAACCCAAGTACCCTTTTCTGATTTGGCTTGCTATTACAACAAAACGTTCTTTCTTGGTAAAAAAGCAATCCTTGCCCTCGAAGGTTTGCCCACCGGCGTCCGAGACCGTTTGGCTGAAATTTCATCATACAGCAGCTTCAGAGGTACAAGCTTTGGGTTTTCTCCCACTTTTTTTGATGCATTAAATGAAATCAGATCGATCGACCATACCTTGCCTCTAAAAACCATCCTTGGCAACCCAATTCAACAAAAGCATGGACTCTTTATAAAAGCATATGATTTATATCCAAAGGAATTGCTTGCAGAACTTGGAAACCAAAAGGAATCTTCATTACCTCAAGAATCATATCCCCATCAACAACATCAACAACAAAAACAACAACCTCAACAACAACAACAACCTCAACAACAACAAGAAATACAACCTTCTACTCAACAACAACAAAATGAATTAGAACCATTTGAACCAAATTCATATGATGAACGTGGTTTTCATCATCGAACAATTCAAAGAGAATTTTTTAGATTATCAAAGACTCAACCTATCTATCGATCCATTTCCCGTCTTGACAAGATCGTTTATGATCAAAAAAAGGGATTTTTCATTCCAACAGGTCACAAGCTACGAGCTCCATTCAGCGATATCTTTGGAGCCGTATATAAAGTTCCATTTGAAAGATCACAATCAAGAGAAACTGAAGAACAACAAGAAGAAGAAAACGAGGAGAAACCAACATCTAAATATTCATCAAACAAAAAAGAAAAAGAAACTTCTCAGCTTAAATTCATTTCTATACTTGGTTCAGTAGTGGCTGCTTTATCATTTGGTTTCTATCATGATGAAATTTTAAAGATTGTATTCAAATAAAATTTATTATCCACGTATTATATTATATTAAATTAAATTATAATTATTTCTTTAATTTATATTTCTTTAATTAACTTTCCTTTTAAATTATATGATGAGAGATCAATTTCAAGACAATTTTTTAAATTGAAAATAATCATATCATTATTTTGTTGAAGGACGGTTGAAGCCAATGACATGTATTTGATGGATGGTATGTAGTTTTTGATGAGGTCAACGATATAGTTAGGGTTGGTCAGAGACCTTCTAAAGTATAGTCTTTCCACCGATGAACTATTGGTAATTGCTGTCAATAAAGAGTCGATACCTTGATCAAAAGATGTTGTAAAGGAAACTGCATAAAAATCAATTACTCGAAGTGATTGACTGGCTTGAATAAATAAAATAAGCGGTGTGAGAATACATTCGAGTGGATCGGCAATAATAGTATGGAGGTTTGGTAATGGACCGCTTGACTTGAAAATACAATCTATTTGATCCGATAAATCAATGTATCTTTTAACTTCGAGTTTTAGAATCTCTAGTGATGCTGGAACCAATGGTTTTCCTGTGATTGAGAATGGTGTTTGTTCTTGGAGTGAAAGGTGTAGTCGTTTGATGGTAGACGATGGTGATGATAAAAAGTCAATCGATTGTTGGGTAGAGATACCTCTTTGGGAGATTGATGATATTGTTGTAGAGTTGGCTTGTACATGTTCAATGTATTCTCTGGTACATTGACTAGGATCCCAAATATAGAGGTGTTGAATAGACTTTGGTAATAGGTGGAATGGGAGAGGTTGAACATGAGAGATATACGGTGGTTTGTATTGTTGACTACCCCATCGTAGTTTGGTAATATTGCGAGGTATACTTGAAAACAACTTGACCATGTCTGCATCTTTGAGATCTTGACATTCAGTAACATCGATAGTAAGAGACAAGAGATTATGACAACTCTTTAATACACGACATATCTCTTTACATGGAGTCATTGCGAAATCTAGATACACCTTTGTCAAACCATGATACAATTCGAGTGGCACCGAATAGATATCATTAAATTTAGACATTTCTTTGAGAGACTGTGTGATCGTTTGACTTGAATTAAAGATATCTAACCACTCTGATGTCTCTTCTTTATCAATAGATAGAAGAGAAATTCTATTGACGATATGTTCTTTAAACCATTCGAGATGAGTATCTGCATATTCTTTGTTTCTCTTGGTGCGACCACTTGTTGGGTAAAAGATGGATACATTCACTGTATGACTGAGTCCCGACAATAGACTGAGAGGGTTCTCAGAGTGTAGTCGGTAGTCTTGGAGATAGTAAATATCCATGTTGACGTACCAACATATACTAGACGATGCTTTAGTTGCTTGTCTCCAAGCTCTCGATACACCAGCCACATCAAACAAATCACTTGGTTTGATTTGTTTATGATCTTGATTCTTTTTATAATTACATAGTACATAAATAATCTCTGATTGTATTACCCATGGTAGATTAGGTAAATTTAATAATGAATCAGTCATTACGGTTAGCAGTAAATAAAAAAATAATGTCACTGAAAGTTTCAAAAAGAAAAAAAGAAAAAATACTAGGTTTTAAAAAAGATTCAACAATGATATATATTATTAATGGGGAATCGTAATATTACAATAATATTTTTGATTATTAGTATTACTTTGTTTTTTTTTTTATTATTATTATTACAAAAATATATTTTTTAAATAAATAAATATGGATAGATGGATCGATGGTTGATCACCCTTGCATTTTGATTATAATTAATCAAATTCAAATTCATCATCATCGTCATCATCCAAATCTTCGATATCTGTTTGATTCATTGAAGCAAATCTCTTTTGTAAAGATATGAACAATAGATCTGCTACACCTGCAATAGTTGGTTCTCTTTGGATTGTTTGATGAACAACTGCTTTTAATCCACTACAAAATAATTAAATAAATAAATAAATTTCTATTCTTTTTTCTTTTTCTTTTTTTTTCATTTTCTTTTTCTTAATTCTTACGTTCTAACATCTCTTATTTCAGTTTCAGATGTTTTACCATTACCATTAAGTGGTTTTGGTTTATCAATCTTGTAAGTTGGCATGGGAGGTGGTTTTGGTTTCTTGAGTTCTTCAATTTCATAAAGGTAGTTGGCTTCTTTTTGTTTGAATTGAATTTCTTGTTGTAGCTTGGCTTGTTCCAATTCTTCAAGTTGTTTCTTTTGACGTGCTACATTGGATCTTTCAGCTTCGAGTTCTGCGAGTGTGTTGGTAAGATCGTTTTGGACGGCTCTGTGACGTCTCTCTTCTTCACGTAATTGTGTGGTGGTAGTATCGATAGTTTGTCGTTGCTTGAGTTCGACGGCTCTTAGTTGCTCCAATTGTCCTGTTTTTTGTTCAATCTCTAGTGCACGTTGAGCTGCCAGCAACTCTGCATCGCTGTATCGTTGTTCCAACAACTTGACCTTTTTCTCGAGTGCATCAATCTTTTTAGGATAAACAGTCTTGATAATAACATCACGTTCCTTGATTTCCATACTCATTCTTTCAATTGTCAGTCTTAGTTTTTCCATCTCTTCAGAGTTTTCTTGACTCATATGAGTCTCGATGTGTTCGAAATGTAATGTATCGGGACTGACAGCACTACTTATAACATCGGCCGACGTCAAACTTGAATTATAAATATCATTTAATCTCTTTTCCTCTTCTTGTCTTTGTTGATCGATATCACCAAGACGTGTTTCATAGTAGTGTCGCATCTCTGTCTTTTCACGTTCCTTTTGTTCTGATTGTTGTCTATGACTTGTCATCAACGACGATATCTTTGATTCATAATAATCTCTAGACTCTGTCATTTCCAATTGTTTTTGTTCCATTTCCTCGAGATGACTTTCTTCCTGCTCCTTGATAGCAATTTCCAATCGTTTGTTTTCCTGTCGTTGTTGTTCGAGTGCATGATTGAGTCGCAACGATGTTTCTTGGTGTTCTGATTTCTCTTTAAACAACGTCTTTTCAAATTCATCAGCATCTTGACGCATCTTTTCACCCAATCGATCCAATGTCTCTGTCAAAGTATTACGTTCATCTGTAAGATAACTAATCTCACGATTATACTTTTCCTTTTCACGCATAAACGTCTCTTTGAATTTAGTGAGTTGTTCAACAATCGTTGACATGACTGCATTGTGACTGACCTCCATTTGGTTGATTTGACTTGTCAACTGTGACTCTTTTTCCCTTGCATCCGATGATATTTGTTTAATATTTGATACCATCTCTTCATTTAATATCATTGATTCAAATAACTTATTCTCTAAATCTACTATTACTGCTTTTTGTTGTTTTGGATTAATATTTCCTACCTAATTAAAATAAACAAGGATTGGTTAGTTGGGAGACAACAAACATATTATATATATATATATATATATATATATATATTTTGTATTATTATTAGCATACTTGGAAAACACCATGAGATGGAATATATTTGTTACGAATGGAATAGGGAGGAATAAATTCATTAAATACAATTGATAATTCCATTGTCGATATTTTACTACCCAAACCATAATGACTTAGAGTAGCATCTAAATTTAAAACCAATGGGAACTCTTCATTTGTAATTAATGAAAATCTTTCTGGTTCTTCAACTTTATATTTGTTACATATTTTTTCTAGTATCTAAAAATATATATATATAATTGATTGTTAGTATAGTATAGTAGTTTATATATGATGATTAATATTTATGGTTTGCATACATTAAATATTGAAAGATTAGAATCAACTTTAATTCTTTTCTTTTTTAAACCACCAAATTGAGTTAGAGGAGGTAGAGTAAAATCTACTACAAAATCACCGGTTGCTAGTGACGGAGAATCAGTTTCAATTTGATCTAGGTATCTTTGTTTTGGTACTAGATTGAGTTCCCATGATTTAAAGAATGTTCCAAATCCATAGGTTGAAAGTAATATATCGTCATTCATTATACATCCCATGATCGTTGATAACCAGAACCGTCTTGGTTCTTTTATCTGTTGTCTACGGCAAATTAGATTGACTGTTTGTGCAACCGTCAATTTCTTTGCAATCTTGTAACTACGTTTCCTAACTTCACCAAATTCTGATTTCATATCTGTTGGGAAATTTACTGATAATACATGTCCTCCTTCTCCAGAATTGTTTCCACCGCCACCACCATTTAAATGAGCAGCAGCTGATGATAATGACATTGTAGAACTGCCAGATTGTATACCACCACCACCACCAACATTCATATTATCCAAGTTGTATTGACAAAAGACGGGGAAGATATCTGGATGACCTCCCCAAATATCAGTCTCTGTCAACTTTTGTTCTGCCAATAATTGGTATATTTCATTTGGTCCTCCAACCTTTTTTTGGTGTACTAATGCATTGGATGACCTTGATGTACTTGCTCCGATAGTAGCTACTCCTTTTAGTGATGGTGATGATGCTGTATGTTGATGTTGACTACTTGCTATAATATTTGGTGATGATTTTGATGGTTGTACACTTGATACTGGTACTGATTTATGTTGACTCATTGTTGTTGTTTGTTGACTATCACTGACGTCGACATTGACCAATTCCAATGTAGATATAGTTGCAACGGATGAAGATGATGATGATGTTGGTGATGATGCTAATTCTGTTGTCGATGAGACTACTGCAGCTGCAGCAACTGCAGTCTGCGTTGTATTGTTATCTTGTTCTTGTTCTTGTGGTTGATCTGGGTTGTTGTTATGTGAAAGAATAGGAGATGGTGGAGGACTCGGTAGTTTTATTCTATTGGCTCCTATTCTCATTTCAAATCTATTTGTATATTCTTCTTTTTCTTCTCTATATATATGACTACTATGAAACAAATGATGAAAGGGAATGAATGAATGTGTGGAATGTGCGGGATGTGGTGTTGTGTTTTGATATTTTAAAATATCTATCTTTATTGAAAGGTGAAATACAATAAAGTGATGATATTAGATTATATATATATAAATTATATATTATTATTATTATTATTATTTGATGTATATGGTGATCGATAGCTAGCTAACTAACTAACTATCTGTTCTTATTAAGATTTGTAAAAATACTTTATGCCCAACTTTTACAAAAGGACAAAACGCATCCGATCATGAGCACCATAACCGCTTTTTCAACAAAAAAAAAAAAAAAAACACAATCCATTTTCAGACAAGGGTCTCTTCTCTCCTTTGCACGTGACCAAACATGAGTAGGTATTACTTTACTTTTTCCAACCATACGATAGACTAGAAAGGTCAGGTGGATTTATTTATATTTATTATTATTATTATTATTTTCTTTTGATTTTTAAATTACAACAATTTTTTGGTTTAAATGGGTGGTTTGATTGATTGATGGATGGATGGATGGTGATTATTATTATATTATATTTGTGTCAAAATGTATGATGAATGATGATAAAGGTTGATTTTTAAATTAATTAATTGGATGGTTTTTTCTTTAATACACTACGGAAATCAACTTGTTCAGTTGGTTGTTCAGCAGCTGGTTTTTGTGGTGATTGTGAAGGAGAGGCTCCAGCTTGTTTCTTTAATTTGACGGCACCCAAATCAAATCCAGCTGGCATCATGGCTACACCACCATATTTATTGGCAACAGGTGGATGACCACCAGTTGGATTGAGGCCTGGTAATGGCATACCCATACCTGGTAATCTAACTGGTGATGATGATGATGATGATGTGGTAGAGGTCGATGTGGATGTTGCCGATTCGTCATCATCATTTCCAGCCTTGGAGTAACTGACTACTTCCTTGACAGCTGGATGTTGTGATAATCTCTTTAATGGTTTCTTTCTTCCCTTTTTGTTTGGTCTTTCAAGTGTAAGATGTACCAATCTCTTGTGATCTCTTTGGTCGTCATCCCCCTCTTGTTCTCTATTACGTTTTTCAATTGTCTTTTTCTTTTCTGCTGAATCCTCTGCTGATTGTTTCTTCTTTTCTGCTTCATCTGCCAATCTCTTCTTCTTCTCAGCTTCATCAGCTAATCTCTTCTTTTCTTGTTCGTCTGCCAATCTCTTCTTTTCAGCTTCATCGGCCAATCTCTTTCTTTCAGATTCTTCAGCTGCCAAACGTGTCTTTTCTTGCTCGTCTGCCAATCTCTTCTTCTCAGCTTCATCGGCCAATCTCTTTCTCTCGGCTTCCTCTTCTGCCAATCTCTTCTTTTCAGCTTCATCTGCCAATCTCTTTTTCTCGGCTTCATCAGCCAATCTCTTTCTTTCGGCTTCTTCAGCTTCAAGTCTTTGTCTCTCTGATTCCTCTGCCAATCTCTTTCTCTCGGCTTCTTCAGCTGCCAAACGAGTCTTTTCAGCTTCATCAGCCAATCTCTTTCTTTCGGCCTCTTCAGCTTCAAGTCTTTTCTTTTCTTGTTCATCGGCTAAACGCTTCTTTTCAGCTTCCTCTGCCAATCTCTTTCTTTCAGTTTCTTCAGCAGCCAAACGTACCTTTTCTTGTTCGTCTGCCAAACGTTTCTTCTCAGCTTCTTCTGCCAATCTCTTTCTTTCAGCTTCTTTTTGTCTCTCTGATTCATCAGCCAATCTCTTTCTCTCGGCTTCTTCAGCAGCCAAACGTGCCTTTTCCTGTTCATCGGCCAGTCTCTTTTTCTCAGCTTCATCGGCCAATCTCTTCTTTTCTTGCTCGTCTGCCAATCTCTTCTTCTCAGCTTCATCGGCCAATCTCTTCTTTTCTGTTCATCTGCCAATTTCTTCTTTTCTTGTTCATCAACCAATCTCTTTTTCTCAGCTTCATCGGCCAATCTCTTCTTTTCCTGTTCATCTGCCAATTTCTTCTTTTTCTTGTTCATCAGCCAATCTCTTCTTCTCGGCTTCATCAGCCAATCTCTTCTCAGCCTCATCAGCCAATTTCTTCTTTTCCTGTTCATCTGCCAATTTCTTCTTTTCATCGGCCAGTCTCTTTTTCTCAGCTTCATCTGCCAATCTCTTCTTTTCTTGCTCATCGGCCAATCTCTTCTTTTCTTGTTCGGCAACCAATCTCTTTCTTTCTACCTCTTCAGCATTACGCTTCTTTTCTTCTTCCTCTGCCAATTTCTTTTGTTCTTCAATTTGAATGGCATTATTATCAGTAGATGAAGTAGAAGTTAAATCAGGAGCTCTCTTTGAAGATGAACCAATTTCAAATAATTCACCTATACAATTAATTTCAAGAATTGGAATGGTTAGTTTTTTGATGTTATTATTATTATTATTGTAATGCAAAATAAAGTAATTAAATTAGATTAATAGTAATAAATATAACCAACCTACCATCAGCATATTTTACAGTAGAGTCATTGATTCTAATGAGTTGTTGACCGGCAGGAGTAATGTACAGAGTATTCAATGGTAAATCTTCCAAAGACAATAAAACCATTCCACTTAATTGTTGTTGACCTTCTTGATTCAATGATGTTGATGATGTTGATGTAGGTGGATAAGACAATGGTATTGGATCTTTTGATAATTCCGATGGATTTGAAAGTAGTCTCTTTTCAGTCTCTATAGCTTTGGTATCTCCTATGACAACTTTTTCTGAAAAGTAATAGGAAGATGTTTTGTTATTATTGTTACTACTATTTTGAATAATAGTAGGTTGTTGTTGAACACTATTATTTAATATTTCTATATTCAATTGATTATTACCATTATTGTCTTGTGACTGTTGTAATTGTTGTTTTTGAACAACAGATCCATTGCCATTGTTATTGTTATTATTATTATTGTTACTGTTATTGCTATTGTTACCAATTGGTGATGCACCAAACAACGATAGAATAAAGTTGATAATTATGTAAAACATCTTAAAGATCTTCTTTCTTTTTTGTTTAATTGTACGTTCTACTTGTTCTTCTTTTTAAATATCTATCTATTATAAATAAAATAAAAATAAAGAATATATGAGATATATCTCTCTCTATTTCTTTCTCTCTAAACTAAAACTAAAATGATGATTACGAGGGAGGAGATAAAAAGTAGGAGTAGTAGGGGTGACGTGAGAAAGTAGATAGACTTGAGTAACAATAAATTCAAATAATTTTAAAAAAAAAAGAAAATTAATTTACAATGGCAGACAACAAGCAATTTCATTGAAAAACTTTAAATAGAGGGGAAGATCGAGATCTTTCCATTTCATTTTTTTTAAAGTAATTTACTTTAAAGAAAAAAGGTTTAAGTATTTTTAATTAGTATTATTATTGATCCGATCAATATTATATTATAGTTTTCTTTTTTAAATATTATTATTTCAATGCAATCGACAAGCTCTTGAGTTTGTGGGGGGGAAGATCGAGATGGTGCTAGTTTTGTCGGTCTGATCAAAAGTCACGTGTGGGAGTTGCGATTGGGTTAGGTTTCACCCGTTGACTATTGATTGGCTTCATTCGTTCATTCATGCCACATTATATTGATGGGTGGGTTTGGTTGGTATTATGCTATGTGCCAATCGATTGTGTTTGGAATCACACGTGGGTGTCGATGATGAACCGATGAAATGGATTTGTGTTTATAAAAGATACTTTGAAACTTTATAAGTTCATTCATTCATTCGTTCTTAAAAAATAGATAGATAGATAAATATTGTATATATAAATAATAATGGCTATAAATAATATAATTAATAGTTTAATAGTATTTATACTTGTCACATTAATATTAAATGTTGATAATGTATTGGGTGCAAAGAGGTATTGGGCTAATTACCCAGGTGCAGGTGGAGGTTTATGGACTTGTGGTAGATTGCCAGACCAATTACCAACGTTTGCCGATGCCAATAAACCAGGTGTTTATCTGTTTTTCCAAGATGTACCTGTAAGCGTTTTAAATCCAGGTGGTGTCACTCCTGTTCCATTCCCACTGTCGTATGTTGGACATAGTGCTAGTAGTGTCTATTCAGAGATCTACGATCGTTGGTTCTTGGATGACTTTTGTACAGATTCTACCAAACCAGGAAAGCTCAGCTCGTGTGGCTGGTGTTACTACATACCCCCAACGGCTACCAATGGTAATCCTAATCCAGACATGATCCTCCTCAAATATCTCTTCCTCTCTACATTTTGTGCCACTGCTCAGCCACTTTACGATGGTGGAATACAAGGTGAAGCTACATGTATTCTCATGCCCGGACCTACTGGACAACAAATCCCCGTCAACCTATTGCTCTATCCATTCATCACCAATATGAATCTAGAAGGTCCTGTCTCTTTTGCTTTCTTGACTGGTTTAACTGCTGCCGGTCCTCCAGCTGCTGCTGGTGTGCTCAATGCTGCTTCTGCATCTCCTGTACCATCTGGTATAGAAACTACAAATGACCATATACATCAATAAATAAATACTTAAATAAATAAAATACATATAATAATAAAATAATATTGTTCCTACAATCTTGAGTCAAGGGTTGTTTCAACCAGTGTTTGTTCCTTCCTTTCTTTTCTTAATCTTTTTTCTCTACACTTTTTTGTTTTTCTTTAACCAGAGTTGTTTTATACAAAGTTTATCTATTTCTGTGTTTGTTGTATGTTCAACATTGCTTTGACGCTTCACACAGCAACCAGTGAAGTGGCATTGGATGACGAGTTTTAAACAATTGTCTCGGTTTTTAAAAAAAAGACCAGTCATGAGACACTTCCCGTTTAGAACATTCCAATTCCGTTTGCTGCAAAAATCTAAAAAAAAAAAAAAAGATTTTAATTCAATTTTAAACCCCCATTGGGATGGCATGGTGCACCATAAAGTGGTGGCATGTCAAGTTCCCTCCTCCCGTCAAACGAACTGCTTGCTTGCTGCTGTACCATCCTACTATTAATCGACGACAGTATCTTAAAGTGTCGATAAGCAACTTAGTTTTGAATTTATTTTTTTAATTGTAAGTTTATATCTATTATTTATTCCTCCCCTTTCAAAGTCGATCATTCTTTATTTATACTTTGTTCCCGACAAAAAATCAAACTATTTATATTGATATTTATATTTATATTTTTTTATAACATTACTACTAGTAACACTACCTGCCATAAGAAACAATTAAATTACATTTTTAAAAAGGTATAAACTATATTATATATGTATATTTAATGTTAAAGAAAAGTGTATTGTTTGTTGTTATATGTCTATATGTACAGAGAGCATAGATACAAAACAACAACAGCAACAGCATTGTTAGCTATAAAGCAAAAAGATTATAATGATCAATACTACTACTACTACTACTACTTGAATTGTTTGTTTTAAAACAACAAAACATATAAGATAAGATATACACAACAGCAGATGAGAGATAGATATTAAACAAACAAGAGATAGATACACAGATAGATAGATAGATACATACCACATATATTCCAATATCATGCCCTATACACTATACTATGACTATGACTATGACTACTACATTTTCATTCTACCCACATATGTACAATACCACACACACACACACACACAACAAAACAAACACAGACGTAGGGTAATTTTATTCCTCCTACTTTCAACACCAAAACAACAAACAAACAGTCAGCATCGTCACATTTGAATTTCCCATCAATCTTTAAATAATAGGATTTATTTTATTATATTGTCATTATTATTATATATATATTGAATGAATTCAGTTATGAAATATATAGTGGTATATATCACTATCATCATTAGTTTATTCTTTTTTATTATTTTATTGTTTAATTATTAATATTCCAATATTAGAAATAAAATATTATTATTTCAAAACCAAACCCCCTCTCTTCCCACTATTAATACGCTACACTATATTCCCGCCCACTCCCCACCTTTTCATTTAAATATCCTCATCAGCCAGTTAGTTCGTTAGTTAGTCAAATTGTTTTTTTGAGCGTCTCTCTAGTCGAGTCTAGTCATACCCCCCCGTTTATCATTTCATTTCTTTATTGAATACATCATATATTTATACATATATATACGAATATATATACTTATAGTACTTTCATTTAAATAGTAACTACAACAAACAAAGAAGAAGAACAAGCAAAGAGAAAATGATAAAATCAAAGGCATCATATGAAGTATTCCATTACACTGTTCAAAAGGACAACTTGGATAAAGGTCTCAAAGATATTGCTCGTCATTTTGTATCTGAATATCATGATTCAACTGATGATCAATTAACTATTACAAGATTAAATGGTGGTATTACTAATATATGTAAGTAAACAAAAGAGAAAGAAAAAGAGAAAGAAAAGTAGTTTATTAATCTTTATCTTTATCTTTTTTTGTTTATAGTATACTTGGTAGAAGATAAATCAATTGAACCAAAAGCAAAAGATTTACCAGTTGTAATTAGATTGTATGGATACAAGTCTGAAGATATTATCGATAGAAAGAATGAATTGGTCGTACAGACTGAAGCCGATTTCAATGGTTTGGGAGCCAAGTTTTATGGTTTGTTTGATAATGGATGTATCTATGGTTTCATTCCAGGTCGTCCACTCGAACACCCAGACCTATCAGAGGAAAAGAACCAAGTGTTGATTGCAAGCGAGATTGCTGAATGGCATCAAGCTGAAATGCCAACTCGTAAACAACCATCGGTATGGAACACCATTAAAAAATGGGCTGCTCTAGCACCACAAACCTACCCAGACGAGAAGCGTCAAGCAATGTATGCATCGTTGCGTGTCGATGAGATGAAGGAAGAGTATAAGCGTCTCGAACAACAACTTGCCACCCTTCAATCACCAATAGTCTTTTGTCACAATGATTTGCTCTCACGAAACATCATTGTCAACAAGGAGGGTGACCGCTCACCATTTATCGACTTTGAATATGCCAACTACAACTTTAGAGGTTTCGAGCTTGGCAACCACTTTAACGAGTATGCTGGCTTTGAACCAGACTACAAGCTCTACCCTACACGCGACCAACAACTCGTCTTTATCACTCAATACCTTCGTGTCATCTCGGCCGGCAGCATATCCAACTTCCAGTCGGGTGGCGGCGTCGAACCTACCCAAGACCAAATCGAGCGTCTCTACATTGAAGCCAACCAATATTCACTTGCCAGTAACATCTTTTGGGGTTTCTGGTCGATCGTTCAATCAATGAACTCGGAAATCGATTTTGATTATTTGGAATATGGAAAGGCTCGTTTTGATAGATATTGGACTACTAAAGAACAATTCTTATCTTTATCAAAATAGACAAAATATATAATCAAACAACAACAAAGTAATAATAATAATAATATTTATATATAGTATACTAACGAAACAATAATTAATAATTAATAATAATAATAATCCAAAAAGATATAGAATCGATTCAACAATATATCTATCAACAACATCCAAATAATAACCATATATATATATATATGATTCTCCGAGAGACTCATTTCCTTTTCTTTTTTTTTCCCCACCTATTCATTTTTGTAGTTTTAAACTTCAAGGTTAGACTACCTTGTATTAACTACATATAATAAACCACACACACACACACATACACATACACCCTATACCTACCAAATGTATTTGAAATAAATTATTAAATAAAAATAGTATTTAATTATTTGTAAACAAAGATATAAAGAAGAGATAATTATAATTGTTCAATTATTTGTTGTTGTTTTGTGTACATTGTAAATTAATTTACTTTTTTACTTTAATTATTATTGTTATTATTATTATTATTATTATATACACCTCTACCTCTACCTTCTACCTCTATCACCACCTCTATCACTTCCACCACCTCTTCCACCTCTTCCACCTCTGTAAGATCCTTGTTGGTCGCCGCCGCCACCGCCACGACCTCTACCCATATTTCCATCATTTTGATTTCCGCCACGTCCTCTTCCAACACCTGATCCTCTACCTCTACCCATTGGTTTATCTTGGTGATGGTGATGTTGTTGTTGTAATTGTTGTTGTTGCTGTTGTTGTTGTTTTTGTTCTTCTTCAGCAACAAGATCTATGATCTAAAAATAAATTGGATATATTAATATATTAATTATAACAAAAGGTATAATAGAAATCATTTGATTTGATTTGATTTCTTCTTTCTTTGACATTACCTCATCTGGAACGGTAATATATTTAATTGTATTTCCTCTAATATAACATCCTTGAAGTTTCCAAAATTTATCACTATCCTTTGATGTTCTAATGACAGTTCTCATATTTATATTCATCCAATTGTCGCAATTGACCAATATACCATTATATGTTTCTCCATTCTTTAATTCAACCATCTATATATAACAAGGCAAACTTAATAGTTAGAACAACTATATCATGTGTGTTGGTTGAATGATGATCACATCAACATTTTTAATATACTTACAATTTGGTGTCCTTGACCAGTTCTTAATAATGATAATGGTAACTATAATATATATATTGATTGCATGACACATGATAGATAGTCAGATGATAATGATTAAAGTTAGATTGATATGATTCTTCTTGATTGATGCGGTGAGTGATGAACTCGACTCGAGGTGATGATTTGATTTGATTTGATTTACCATTCTTTTTTATTTTGTTTCTTCTGTGATTTCTTCGGTCTGTCTATTTATAGGTCTATCGTGTGTTTATATATTCATCTATCTATTCTATCTACTAATCAGTAATCTTATTCGTTTAGATAATCATAAATAAGGGGTCTACTCACTGAGTTTCAAATAACTTGATGAAGTCATCAAAAAAGGAAAAGTTTTTTTTAATTTTTCTTTTTTTTTTTCAATTTTTTTTTAGTTCTATGGGTCGCCTCACTATCTCTATTATTATCAACTAGAGTAATATCTATCGTATCAACCAACTATCTATCTATCTATCTTGTCTTACTCGAGTTAATTTATATTTCTCTTCTTTTTAGAGTAGACTATTATTATAACTATTATAACAATAGTATTAGAGTATTAGAGAGAGATAGGAGTATTTTTAAATACCATTTTATATATAGTATACCTATTAGTAGAGTATGAAATTGGAGTGGAAAAGGTTAGGAACAGGTGCACCTGAAGCACGTTGGGGTCATGTTTGCGTCACGTTGAATAGTGGCAATCAATTCCTAGTGTTTGGTGGTAATGGCAACAAAGCATACAATGACATACACCTATACAATAGTTTGTCAAATGGATGGACAAAGGTAGAAGCATCAACACACGGTGGAGCATCTACCCCACAACCTAGATACGGTCACAGTGCAACTCTATTTGGAAACAACAGTGCATTGGCAAATCTTGCAGGTGGTGCAACCTCTAATAATCAATATATATTATTGTACGGTGGTAAACACAACAACAGTAAACCATTTTCAGATATTCAAATACTTCAGTTTGTAGTGAATACTGCTACTGGACTACCAGATCGTTTTAAATGGCTTAAAAGTATACATCAAAAGAGTCCTGATGGCGGTAGAGCTGGTCACACTGCTATATCATATCATGATAAACTATATGTATTTGGAGGTCATAATAGTTCAAAAAACAAATATTATAGTTCAATTGTTATATTTAATGTTGGTAAGTAATTCAAGATATCTAAATCTAATTAATAAGCACTACAAAAGATATTAATATTAATAATATTGATCTATCTTTCTTTTTTTAGAAACTTTAACATGGGATCAACCAACATGTGAAGGATCAATACCTCCGTCAAGAGGTTCACATTCAACTTTTCAATCAGGTAACCAAATGTATATATTTGGTGGATTTGATGGAAAAAAATATTATAATGATTTATATTGTTTAGATTTAGGTAATTATCTAAAAGAAATTAAAAAGATTTAATGGTTCAATAATAATAATAATAACTCTTTTTTCTTTAGATAAATTAATTTGGAAAAAATTAGAAGCAAAAGGAACACCACCTAAACCAAGAAGTGGACATTCTTCTACTTTATTGGGAGACAAGTTGATTGTATTTGGAGGATGTGGATCAGATAGTAATTTCTTAAATGATATACATTTGTTAAATTTGGAGGATCTTAGATGGGAACAACCAGTTATTACTGGCATGGAGAACCCATATCCTAGATTTAGACATACGGCCAATTCAATGGGTCACAACAAAGTATTTATTTATGCCGGTACTGGATCGGGTGCATTATTGAGTGATGCCCTTGCCATCGAGGCTTCTCATATATCATCATCCAATTTACAATTACCACAATCTTTACAACAACCACAACAACAATCATCACCATCACAACAACAACAAACACCACCATCACCACAGGCATCAAACTCATCAACATCATCATCATCACCACCATCTACTAACAACTCTATGAATAATATTGAAGAAACACCAACTACATCTACGACTACAACTACGACACAAACTACTACAACGACAACTTTAACAACTACAACAACAACTGCAAATAATAATAATGGTACAGGTACGACTGCACCAACATCGACATCATCACCGTCTCCACCAATGGGGCATTCACGTAACCCATCATCAAGTGGAAATACAATACTACCACCAATTATAATGGCAACACCAATACCAACAACATCAACACTAACACCACTAGAATCACATTCAATTAATTTATCACATACTAGTCCAAATGTAAATCAAATAGTAGATAATATAGTTGTTGTAACAAAGGAAAAGGAAAAAGAAAAAGAAAAGGAAAAAGAAAAGGATAAAAAGAGTAAATTGATTAAACCTGTTTTAAATAATTTAAAGATTGGTGGTGATAAAATCCTATCACTCTTTGACAAGGACAATGAAATCAAAACGTTAAAAGACAACTTGGCACAAGAGAATGCACAACGATTGTTGGCCGACATCAAGATGGAAAAGGAATTGATTGAAAAGAAAAAGACCGAAGATCAATTAAACAATGAAAGAAACAAACGAACTCATCTTGAAACTCAACTAAAGACCGAACAAAAGAGTAGACAGACTGTCGAGGAACGCATTCAAAAATTAACTGTACAAAACCAACAATTGACCGAGCAGGTTGCCCACCTAAAGCGAGAGCCAAAGGACGGCATCTGGAAGGTTAAATACAACAGGCTATCTGGCACCGAGATGACCGACGTTAAAACTCTGGAAGACTGTGACGAGTTGGAAGAGATCCATCTCGAGGCACTTGACAAACTCAGACTCAAACGAACTCACATTCGTAAAGAGATGGAAAAGGAGTGGCGTTTGGACATGGAGAGAAAGATTAGTGACTTGAACGAATTGGTTGGAAAGCAGATACCACCAGATCAACACAACACGGTCGTCATGCAATTGGAATCAACCAAAACTGAAATGAAACAAATCAACGAGAAATATCAACAACTACAAGGTAAACATCTTGAAGGTCTCGATATCAATCAATTGACGACACTCGAAGATGTCCATCACAACAGTTTGAAACAACTCTCATCCATGAAACAAGTTCAATGGATGAAGCAATTAGAGACACTCAAAAAGGAAAAAGAACAATTGCAAGACCAAAACAACTGTGTTGTTTGTACAGAAAATCCACCCAATGTAGTATTATTACCATGTAGACATAATAGTCTTTGTTCCAAATGTAGTAAAACTTTGACACGTTGTCCTATTTGTCGTGCAAATATTGATGATAAAATTGAAACTTATATTTAATCAAATAAAAAAAAAAAAAAAGAAGAGAAATAAAGAAATCTCTTTTTTTTTTTGATACCCCTTATTTATTTATCAAAACAATAATATAAATTAAATCAGAACCTATAGGTTCTTAAATCATTATTGTACAATTTTTTAGAAAAGATTAATTAATTTTCTATGTGTATCTTTTATTCATCATCATTTGATGATTCTTCTTCTTCCCATGATCCATCTTCTAAAGAGGAATGAGTCGAATAGGAATCTTCTTCTTCATCGTATTCTTCGTCATCATCTTCTCCATCATCTTCATCATCTTCTTCTTCTTGAGCAATCAAGAATTTATCACTAAATGTTGGGAGAATATCATATTCACTTTGGATAAAGTTGATATAGAGAATGTCATATTCAACAGTACCAACATTAAAATGATTAGGTAATTGTTTTTGTTTTATGATTCCTCCAAAGAGTGTTCCATTCTCGATTAATAGTACAGCTCGATTAAGAGTATCCAATCTTCTAATTGATATTGTGGTAGAGTAATTACTACTTGGGAATCTACAAAAGGTTATTGATTCTATACTAGTAGAATTGATAATTTGATCCAATCTAAAACTGAGCCCATCTCTGATAAATTCATTCTCTGACATTGGTAATCGACAAAAAATATTCTTTACATTGGGTGGTAAAATGGTATGATGGATCGTCCCATTATTATTGTTGTTGTTAAGGTTGTTGTAGTTACAATTATCAACGATTTTGATATTGGTTGGAATGGAATAAATTGGATCGGTGGGACTGACTTTGACTAGTTGACATGCAAATGATTCCAAAGATGTTGGAAGGTATTGAGTATGAGAATTACATTGGGCGAAATAAGTAATGTCTTTGGTAGTGGATGGGAAACAAGCAGGTAAAGATTCACGAGGAATGCTTTGTGAGAATTTGATGAGACCGGGTGGAAGGATCATATCTTTTTCATTGCTTACACGACAACCTAAAATACCTAGTCTAGTGACAGAATTGGGTACAATAGTTGGATTGATTGGACCTCTGTAATGAATTAGATCTAAACCTTCAAGACCATCGGGAAGAGCACCTTCTTCGATTGTTGGATATTGCGACAAATAGAAAAGTATGAGATCTTTGACAGTTGATGGAATCATACCACAAAATATGGGACTATCCAATGAAATGGCAAGTTTGACGAGATTTGGTGGAAGTGAGACAGTACCAAGATAATAAGTTGCACCAAGGTCAAGGTCAGTAATACTTTTTGGTAACCATCCTTCTTTTAAATCAGATATACCACGTTTGATTTCTAATTTCTTGAGAGATGTACTGCCAACAGGGAACCTAATACTTGATGCACTTGGATAGGGATCAGTATTCATCTCTAATGAAAAGCTACGTAGAGCAGTTAAGTTTTGGAGATTAATTTGACCATTCAACTGGCCTATTTTAATTTGGAGGCCTTGAAGCGATGAAGGGAATACCATGTTGGGAGGGAGTTCTTTGTAATAAAATACCAAACTTGTAATGGTAGATGGAAACCTTGTACAAACAAACGATGATTTACCATTGTTGTACCATTGGATACTAGTGAGAGATGGTGGAAGTGTACAATTGGGATCATTGTCACTATCTAAAAGAATAAGTTTCTCCGAGTTTGAGGGTATTATGTCTTGAAGTTTGTTTGCAATAGTACCAGTCAATGCCAAGGTTTTGGTCGAAAGAGGTAATATTCTTTTGATGAATGGTCTTTTTTTAAAGTCGTTTGCGTTTATATTGACTTCGTTGATGTTGATCTCTTCCTCTTCATTTCTTTCTCTATTATTTGCAGATATCCTGTCGTCAATGAATACAAGTGTCTTGCAACGACTGTAGATAGTGTCAAATGATTTCAAACAAATTGGATTCAATTCCTTGGTGAATTTGTCTAGTTTGAATCTGAGTGATTTACAGTACTTTGTTCTAAGAGTGACAAAGAATAGTTTACTAGTCATCAATAAACATATCAAATCTGTATTGTTGCCTACATTATTAATTATCTTTAATAAGATAAAGTGTGGTAATCCTAAGATTAGTTGTTCATTATTATTATTACTAATACTATTATTATTATTATTAAGGTTCATCTAATTATTTGTTTGATCTAATTGTTATGTTGATTAATCTAAGATTATTATGGCTAAAAAAAATGGTCACAAAAGTTTCTAGTTTTATATTTTTAGATATTAAAACTTTTAGATATTTATTATTAATAATAACAATAATAATTCAACTTTTTTAATATTAATCCAATAAAAATTCATCTTCAAATGATCCATCTTCTTCATAGGAATTTTCTCCAAATGACTCATCATCTACGTCATAGGAATAATCTTCTTCATGGTCATGGATATGTTCATCCTCTTCTTCTTCTTCCTCTTGAGCAACCAATGATTTATCACTAAATGAAAGGATAATGTTTTCTTCATCATCACTTTGCATAAAGTTGACAAAGAGAATGTCATTGTCAACAGTACCAACATTAAAATGATTTGGTAATTGTTTTTGTTTGATGATTCCTCCAAACAAAGTACCTTCCTGTATCAATAGTACCACTTGATTAAGAGTATCCAATCTTCTAATTGATATTGTAGAAGAATAATTTCCTCCTGGGAATCTACAGAAGGTTATAGATTCTATACTAGTAGAATTGATAATTTGATCCAATCTAAAACTGAACCCATCTCTTTCAAAATCTTGGGATGTCATTGGCAATCTACAATAAACATGTTTTACATTTGGAGGTAAAATGTTATTATGGATCGTCCCATTATTGTTGTTGTAGTTACAATTATCAACGATTTTGATATTGGTTGGAATGGAATAAATTGGATCAGTTTGACAGACTTTGACTAGTTGACATGCAAATAATTCCAAAGATGTTGGAAGATATAATGTTTTAGAGTTACAATCCAAGAAATAGGTAATGTCTTTGGTAGTGGATGGGAAACAAGCAGGTAAAGATTCACGAGGAATGCTTTGTGAGAATTTGATGAGACCGGGTGGAAAGATCATATCTTTTTCATTGCTGACACTACATCCCATAATACTTAGATTGGTTACAGAATTGGTTACAATCTTTGGATTGATTGGTCCCTTGTAGTGAATTAGTGTCAATTCTTCAAGACCATCGGGAAGAGCACCTTCATCGATAGTTGGGAATTCAGCCATAAAGAAAAGTACCAGATCTTTGACAGTTGATGGAATCATACCACGGAATATAGGACTCTCGGATGAAACGACAAACTTGACAAGATTAGGTGGAAGTGAGACAGTACCAAGATAATAAGTTGAACCAAGGTCAAGGTCTGTAATACTTTTAGGTAACCATCCTTCTTTTAAATCAGAGATACCACGTTTGATTTCTAATTTCTTGAGAGATGAACTACCAACAGGGAACCTAATACTTGATGCACTTGGATAAGGATTGGTATTAGATGACATCTTCAATTTAAAGCTATTTAGAGCAGTTAAGTTTTGGAGATTAATTTGGAGACCATTTAACTCTTGGATATCAATTTCCAATTCTTCAAGTGACAATGGGTAGACCATGTTGGGAGGGAGTGATTTAAAAGCTACCACCAATCTTGTAATGGTTGATGGAAACTTTGTGGAAGGTATTATTAGGTTATAGTTGTACCAATTGACACTTGTGAGAGATGGTGGGAATGTACAATTGGGATCATTGTCACTATTTAAAAGGACTAGTCTCTCCAAGTTGGGGGGTATGACTTTTTGAAGTTTGTTGGCGATAGTACCAGTCAATGCCAATGTTTTGGTAGATGGAGGTAATATTCTTTTGATGAGTGGTCTTTTGGTAAAGTAATCTGCACTAATATTGACTTCGTGGACATTGATCTCTTCCTCTTCATTTCTTGCATTGCTACTTGAACCTTCCTTGTCACGAATTAATATGAATGTCTTGCAATGACTGTAGATATCTTTGAAAGATTTCAAACAAATTGGATTCAACTCCCTGGTGAATCTGTCTAGTTTGAATCTTAAAGCTTTACAGTACTTTGTTCTAAGAGTCACAAAGAACAGTTTACTAGTCATCAATAGACATATCAAATCTGTATTGTTGTCTACATTATTAATGATCTTTAATAAGATAAAGTGTGGTAATCCTAAGATTAGTGGATCTTCACTATTATTACTACTACTATTATTATTATTAAGGTTCATCTAATTATTTGTTTGATCTAAAGAAGAATGAAAGGGAATAAGAAAAAAACCAACTCTTGTAAGAGCAAAAAAATAAAAAAATTTGAAGAGCAAATCCAAGTACAAACTCGCCAACTGGTCTCTAGATTAATTACCTTTTTTATTTATTTGATTTCTCAGTAACCCAATCTGAAATTTTGTTTTGTACTGGATTTAAATTATTTGATTTGATTTGGACACTAATGTTATTTTGTTGTGGTTGTTGTTGTTGTTTTGTTGGAGGTTTCGGAGGTAGAGATACCATTTGAATATCTTTTTGATTTAAATTTAAACCTTTGTTTAATTTTGATGTGAATTTCAATTGGACCTTTTTCTTTGTAACTATTATAATGACAAAGGTAATAGAGATTAAAATAATTGATACAAAAACTACAATGATTATGATTTTCCATTTTTCAAATTGAGTTAAATCTTCACAGTGACTATCATCACCTAAATTGATTTGATCTTTTTCATCAAGAATGAGTGCACTAAATGCTGGATCTAGTTCTACTGATTGACTGAATCTTGGTACATTGAATGCTGTCAACATATTATATTCTTGTTTCTCGACCATGTTTACTTGTTTTGATTGTGGGTCATCGTCTTGAAGAATGGTTACTCTTGATGGAATGATTGTGTCATTGTCGATGATCATTCTACTTGCTATTTTACAATTGAGTAGTGATCGACCAACTTGAACTCTAGTCCATACAATTTGATCACCAAATGATGCTTCAGTCTTTGATTGCTTTCTTCCACATTTGTCTATTTTTACTGAATCTGATTTTGACAAGAATATTACTTGAAGTGTGTTGATTGGTGATTTCCAAGTCCAATTGGTGATTTTAATATTATATTTGATTGAATTTGGTGATAGTTGTATATCCTCTCCTGCAAATCTAGTTGTATTTGATTGTTTGTATTGGTGTGCTTTGACTTGTATTTTCATTGAGTTGTCAAAAATAGTTCCAATAAATATTGATTCACCAGTAGTTGCAATGTTCTTTTGTATCCAAGTTATATTATCCATTGATATGGTTTGAATAATTAAATTATCTTGATCAATCTCTCGAATGAATTGAATTCCAGTTGTAAAATTGACAACAATTCCAACCTCTGTTTCATTCATTGATAAAGTTGATTTACCATCATCTTGAATAGTAGTATTTAATATTTGATCGGGGTTAACCAATAATGAACAATCCAACAATGATTCATAACCAATATCACATTTACAACTACCAAACATCGGATTACATATTCCATTATTTGAACAATTATTTAAACATTCTTTTGGAGGAGATATCACTTTTGATGTAACCTTTTCAGCAATTCTAATTGTTAGGATATTAAAGAAATCAGGATTACTTGCAGGGATTGAGCCATCGAATAAACAAGTTATTTGTTTAAAGTCATTTCCAATAAACATTGGTGATACACATTGACTTCCATGAATCGATACCAAAACATATGAATGGTCTTGTCCAAAATGATTACCATTGATTGAAACATGTGAACGGAGTCCATAATGAATATTGGTAACATTTTGAATAACTGGTGATTCAACTGGAGGAAATACAATAAGTGACGGAATAGAGGGTTTTCTATCATCTGCACTAACCGCACTTTTATCCAACCGATAATATACATTATTACCTGGATCCATATTGTAAGCCTCGACTGAATAAAGTGGGGATGGTGTCCCTTTTAGAGGACCATTATTTCTTGTAAAACTCATATTATTGTTATTATTGCCAAAAATAGAATGGTAATGATCCAACGACATACATTTCTTTTGTATCAAAAACACCAATATAGGGTGGATTTGGAGATGCACCCATCTTAATTTTATCGGGTACCAATTGTAAAGCCTTGTTAAAATTTGTTCCAAGCATTATAGTTGAACAGAATCTATTGTCACAGACTATAATGAAAAAGTTTGGTGTTGGAATATTAATCTCTTGATTTTTTAATAATATACATTTATAGATATACATACAAATATGAGGTTTAAATGTTTCAGTACAAATAGTATCAGCTCTAACTTCAATGGGAAGGAGTGTGACAAAACCAAGAGTTGATTCGAGTTGACAAATAATTTGAGTTGAGGATGCGTGCAAAATATTACATGGAATTCTGGATCTTGAAATTCTGACAGATACTTGATTGTCAGTGGTATCATCACCAAAGTTATCACCAATCAGTGTAACCAATCCATTAGCAGTGAATGATGGATATACAGCTTTAATAAATGGTGGATATGGTTGCCATGCATAGTGTGTTGAGTTGACTCCACTAGCATCTTGAACAATTACATTATGGAATCCAGATAGAGGTGGAACTATACAAGTGATTGATGTTCCTTGTTTTGATGTTATTTGACATGATTTTGATAGTTGTTTGCTTGGATTGAAAAATGTAATATTGATTGTTTGTATGTCGAATTGTGATAGATTGTTGATTGTTATTGATCCTCCATTTGTACCAATTGTTGGAATATATACCTCTTCAATCGGTTCTACTTCACATATTGTTCCATAGACTTTGTCATTATCATTATAATTTACTGCATTATTAAAAAAACAAATAAGGAACTTACACAAATAAATTCCTCTCCAACAGGAGTTTGTGATGGTTCATTAGTTTCAAAAGCACAAAATCCTAAATAATAAAGAGGAAAATAATAGAAGAGGTTAAAAATAACAATCCACTTTTCTTAAAGTGGAATATTTTACATACCAAAACATTGACCAGTATACGTATTAAATAGTGGTTGGTTTGTTCCTGGTCCAGTTGAATAGGTAAAGTTACCTGTCAATCCAACATCTCTACCAGATATCCAAATTTTTTGGTAATCTGTTGAAATCTCTTGACCAAAAACGCTTTTGATAAAACTAACCTCTTGCATTGAATCAAGTGTCACCATGTATGATTTAACAGTATTGTTACTCTTACTCGAGCAATTAATAGCTGCCTCTGTAGCTGATATTGGATTTATTGGTATCAAATAGTAGCCATGTCCATTTCCTCCTTCTGATATCGGCCAAACAATTACATTTGTGAGAATGATATTGACTTGTAGTAGTAGTAGTAGTAACAATATGATGGTGATGATTCTTGTTGTTACAGACTTGTTGTTGTTGTTTGATGTTTCTAAAAAACTAAAATACATATTATTAAACATTATTAGATTGTGAAGTATATTACATATAGAAGAAGACTAACTAATAGAACTATTACTAGTTTATTCTATTGATCACTCTAAAAGGATAATACATACATTACTTTCTATTATATCTCTTTTTTGTATGTTATCATATCATATCATATCGCATTAGTTATTATTTGGGGGCGATCGCCATCGCATTTAGGGAGGGTGAATAGGATAGGATAGGCATAGGTATCTATAAATGTGTGACACAAATCAACTGATCAGTTGAAGATCACAGCTCGATCGATCGAGCAATAAACTTAGAGATAATAACACCTCCTCTAAGTTATAACTCACACTCTTTCTTGCCTTTTACGTAAATGATCAGCTGTGTGGTTGTTTGAAATGTGGGATGGTCACGGTGATGTGGTTTTAGGGTAAAGGGTTTTTTTTTTACAAAAGCTTAAAATATTAAACCAACTCTTTTATTAGTATATCGATGACACCCCTATGATTTTAAAAATCTCTACACTTTTGATGACTATTCCTTTTTAAACTTATTGGTGTCAATTTACAGAACTAATGACAATGACAGTTGGCATCGATGTTCAGTGTGTGCATGTTTGCACATACTTTTAATTTTATAAAAAAGTATATTTAAGGTTTATTGAGTTTAGTTTAGATTATTGTCTTTGAGGAGTGGATCAGTTGGAATAGGAATAAGTCTTACATCCAAATATTGTTGTTGATGTTCAAACATTTGATGAATATTATCATTGTCCAATTCAAATATTTCCTCCATACTTTCCAATGGATATTCAACATGAACTGTATTATCTACTAATTCCAACTACATCGTTGTTGAATAATGTCTTTTCAATTTGATAAAATAAATGTGCATATTTTGATACTTGAACAAATGATATGACACTGACATCTTTTAAATCGATTGAGAATTCAATATCATTCCTTTTCCATGTTAATACATTGTTTTCTCTATAATCGGATAAAGATATTAGTACTAGTACTCTATGAGATTACAAAGGAGCAATTAAATTAAAACATACCTATTGATTTCACCGATTCCAAAACATTTTTCACCAATAGTCAATATGATTTTAGATTGCAAGTGGGTATTGCTAAATGAATTGAGAGTGGGTATTGAATTTTCATTTCCTCGGTTGCAATGATAAATGTTAAATCGTTTGAATTCTCGTTGGGCTTTATCAGAAAATACTATTGACAGCTTCTCTTGATTCCAAATATCTGTTGTAATATTGATAATGAAACTGTACTTGTATAAATATTCGAAAATTGGGATTGGTTGATTGAATGATCGACCAAATACAATCACTTTTAATTGTTGGGTTAGAACAGTTATATCAAAGGGACAATTAAATGATGGTCCAAAAAGTAAAGTTTCAATACTAGATGGAATTTCTTTCAAATCGATAGGTTGATTAAACTTGCCAAACAACTTTAATTTTAAAAGATTTTTGGGAATCAACTTTCCAAGAGGTGCGTTGAATTGGCCATCAAATATTAATACTTTGGTATCTGTATCAATCTTTCGATTGTCAATGAAAAATGGTGATGTGATTCTCTGTGTGTACGGTCCAACTGATTCAGATTGTTAAATTATCGAGTGAAAGACGATCTTGAGGTGTTACTGTTAAAAGGTACTTGACAAATTGAATCAAATATTCTGAATACCTGGACCATGATATTATGACTAGATCAGTATTAAAGTTGCCATTTTTATGATTCACAACAAATTTATCCCTTTTGTCGATGTCTTCTGGATGACTTTATGAATAGTTATTAATAAATGTAACCAAGTGATAGATTAAATATTTGTTCTTACCATGAAAGTAATTTGAGAAGAGTACATCCGACTGAATATACATCACTTTTAGAGTAATAAAATTTTTGGTTTGATTCCTATTTTATAAAAAAAATATATTTGTTCATTTAGTTCTTCAAATTTGGTACAAGACTGAAATGTGGACCGAGTTAAAACATACAGGCGAATAATATCCATCTGTTCCACGCAAAAATGAATTTGTGATAACACTACCCTCATCAGTAGGGTTTACATTGGTCTCAAATATTGTTTGAGTGGGTTCAGCAGAACTCTGGTTTTGGTTTGGTTCAACATTGAAATGGCTAGAACATCCAAAATCACCAAGCACAATTTGTCCATCGTCCCCAATAAACAGATTGAGTGGTTTAACGTCGAGATGTGCAATTCTGTGATGAGATAGTTTTTCAAGTACTATTCTTTCAACATAGACCCATATATCTCTCTGGGAAATAATTGAAATCTTGGTCTTCTTCGTATAGGAATTTTATCTTGTTATTTCTATACAGAAATTGTGTGAGAAAATGATTTTACACAATTTAAAGGCTACCTTACCTTTTAATTTTTGATTGGTATAATTGCTCGAGATCGCCACCTTGACAATACAGAGTCAATATACAAAACTTTTTGTCGCCAACCATGTCTTGATGGTCTTTGTATTGGACAAACATATCATCTCCCAAGAATAGTTTCATGCACTCGACTTCAAAATCAGCTCTTTTTGGTATTGTGTCAGAATAATTCATTTCTTTGTAAACATACTTGATGATAAGAAATTTTGGTTAGAGTTGATCAATAAATATTTGATATTTTGAATATACGTACCAATTCATTGTCAAACTCTGAAATAACTAAAAATACTTTGTTCTTGGTCAAGTGGGATGGATATGAATATAATATGAAATATTTGTTGCTGTTGACTGTAACATATTCTGTCAGGTTGATGGGGTACGGCATTAAATATTTTGGATTGTCGTTGATAGAATTGGGATTTCGTTGTAGATACGAACACTGAGTTGGTAGGCTGGAAAAGCATTTGACGATATCCAAGTCACTTGGTGATCCAGTGATTTTAAAGATTATGGTATCGATTTCCGATGGAAGCTTTACTACGCCTAACTGTCCGATTTTAATAAAGTATCTTAAAACCTGGATTGATTGGTTGAAATCACAGGAGACTGTTATTGGAGTTGTAGTTGAATGTTTCTCACATTTAAAGGTTAGGGATTGAATTGACCGAGGTACTACGGTGGTTAGCAACAGCTGATTATAGTTTCTACATAAGGTCAATGATTGTAATGATGATGGTAGTACTTTAGGTGATAGGCGTTGATTATATATCCATCACCAAAAGTCAATGATTGTAATGTTGATGGTAATACTCCATGAGATAGAGGTTGATTATAGTTATCACCAAATGTCAGCGAACATAATGATGATGGTAATACTCCCGCTGACAGTGGTTGATTATAGTCCATACCAAATGTCAATTCTTGTAATGATGATGGTAATACTCCAATAGATATTGGTTGATTATATCTATCGCTAAAGGTCAATGATTGCAGTGATGATGGTAATACCCCTGGTGATAGGGGTTGATTAAAACTACCACCAAGACTCAATATAATTGATTTAGAAGGTACAAATCCAGGACATAGTTGATAGAATCTATCACCAAATGTCAATGTTTGTAGTGTAGATGGTAACAATCCTTGGATTACTGGTTGATTATAGTCTCGACCAAATGTCAACGATTGCAATGATGATGGTAATACTCCAGGTTATAGGGGTTGATTATACAGCCAACCATACTCCAATGTTTGTAATGATGTTGGTAATACTCCTGGTGATAGGGGTTGGTTATAGTATCGACCAAATATCAGTGATTGTAATGATGATGGTAATACTCCAGGTGATATAGGTTGGTTATAACTACCAACAAACTCCAATGATTGTAATGATGCTGGTAATACATCTGGTGATATTGGTTGATTATAACGACTACAAAACTTCAACGATTGTAATGATGATGGTAATACTCCAACTGATATAGGTTGATTATAGTCAACACCAAACTTTAATGATAGTAATGTTGATGGTAATACTCCTTGAGAGAGGGGTTGATTATAACCATTACCAAATGTCAATGATTGTAATGATGACGGTACTACCCCAGGTGATATTGGTTGATTGTAAATATAACCAAATGTTAATTGATATAGGTTGATTATAGTCACCGCCAAACTTCAATGATTGCAATGTTGATGGTAATACTCCTTGAGAGAGGGGTTGATTATAACAATGACCAAATGTCAATGATTGTAATGATGACGGTACTACCCCAGGTGATATTGGTTGATTGTAAATATAACCAAATGTTAATGATCGTAATGATGAAGGTAATACTCCAGGTGATAGTGGTTGATGAACACTAGAACCGAATGTCAATGATTGGAATGATGGTGGCAGTAGCAGTATTGATATCAATTCATCATCAAACGTCAATGAATGAACTCTGATTTGATTAGGATATGTACTCATTCTTCTAAATATTTATCTGATCGACTCTCTAATGTACATTAACACTGTAGTAAAAACATTATTAATCTAATTTTTTTTTTTTTGGACTCTGGAGTGTATTAAAATTGAAGTTCACACACAATTGACCCAAGTTTGACCTTATCTGCGAGTTTGGCAGGGAGATACTTTAATTCAATATTTGACACTTGACCAAAATCTTTTTATTAAAATTTGTAAAGTTTCTTTGATGATTAATGTTTCCAACCATGGAAAATATCATTAAGTAAAACGGTTTTAGTGTTGAGAGCGACGATAATATTTTTAGTAAATTCTTCGGCAGCTTCGGCGTCTGTCAATTCGGGACCCAAAGCCTTGCGTAGGTAGTCGATATCCTCAGCACATTGAAGTTCAGGGATACCCGTACTAAGCATCAATTGGAAAAGGTTAATAAATAGGTCAGTGTTCTTTCTGAGGATGTTGTAGGCGAGACAACACGTGTTGACAAAGAACTTGAAGTTTTCGGAATCCTTGCCACCGACAATAGCCATGTACTGGTGAGTAAAGATAAATGGTGCACGTTCTCTCTTGAACCCATACTTTTTCTTATAGTTGCCTAAAAAGTGTCCAAAGTCGATGTGGAACAAATGACCGGCACGCGTCATCATGATATTGTCGGCATGACGATCTCCAATACCCATGACATAGGTAGCAACGACGTAACCGGCACAAGAAAGGATAAATGTTTCAACGGCCTTGTTGTACTCTTGTTCCGATGGATTATTCTCTTTGAGCCAATTGACCAATGTCTTTTCCTCCAACAATGCACCAGTGCCACCAGCATCCTTGTTAATATTGGCAATCGTGTTGGCATTTAAAACAACCTCCAACATACCAATACCATCACCAGTTGACACACACTTGTATGGTTGTAATCTAAGATCCAATCCTCCATTCTTCCAAAACTTGTCCATTGTTCTAAGTATTTGAAGTGTAAGAATATCTTGTCTCAAATCATCACCAACCTTAAATATTACTGTTAATGGTTTTGCATATTTTTCAACATTTTCAAAAACTAACCATAATGGTAACTAAATAGAAAAAAAGAAAAAGAAAAGAATTAATAAATATAATTATTTAAATAATACTTTTTGTTTTTGTATCTATTTACCTTTTTACTATCCATAAATCTACATTTATCAACAATTAAACCTTTAGCTTCCCAACGAGGATCTAAAGGTAATTGGAAAGTATCGGGGAATTTAATTTTAGAGAGACCATCTTGAAGTACTTTTTTACGCTCTGAAGTTCCATGAGTATTTTTGACGGCCATGGCAACTTGATACAAAGATTTTAAAACTTGGTTTTGCTTGATGAGTTCTTGTCTGTGTGAACCACAACTACGAAGATAACCTTCCAAGAGTAGACCATATCTTTCTTCAATTTCGGGTGTATGCATTTCAGCCTTTAGGAACCAAAAGAAAGAATGACCAATACGAGATCGATTAGAGAGAGCACGTTCAATCAACATACTAGACAATTCACTCTTGTGATATGGTTCGTATTTGAGTACTTGAGATAGTTGCAATAAAAAGTCTGAAAATTCAGAATCTGTAAATTGTTTTAGAGTTTGTATGGCAAACGACCGTACTTCACTATCTGCAAACTTGGCATCCATCAACTCTAATGCTTGTACTGGTTTGAGTTCTGCCCATTCCTTCATTAACCGGTATGCCTCCCATACTTGGTCTTGTTCAGCCCAATTAATACTAGTCAAAACTTTAGCCAATGCTTTTGGTTTCGAAGTGTAAATGTGTCGATAACTATAAATCAATCTTTTATCATCTGGTGTTAAAATGACCAATGGATCAGATTGCATTAATCCATTTAATCTTCTTGCTTCATTTGGTTCTAATTTTTTTGATGATGATATTTGTATTAATGGATTAATTTCTAAAAATAAAATTAAACAAAAAGTTAATATTTCTATTTCTTTTTTCTTTTTGTTTCGTTTTTGCTTCTATTTTTTTTTTTTACCTTTAGTAAAAACAATTGGTTTAACAAAAGTTTCAAATTCAATCATTAGGACTATTGGAGTTTTTGAGGCAAGATTTTCAATACAAGTACCGATTGGATTGGCACGATCATCTTCCCAAAGTTTAAAAGCTACTGGACCAGTACGAAGACAACCTTTGTGATCGATCAATTGACAGTTGACCCAACCCAATGGAATTGATTTGGTGTCTTGGACCACCTCAGAACTGGCAATGATGGTACCGTTGCTAGTGGTACTGTTACTCGTGACAAACAATGTAAAACAAGCTCTAGTTTCACGCGGTAAAGAGCGTATGGAAATATTAAAGGGTGTCCAAACGTCACGATCCCAATCCGGGAAATGTAAAGAATCCATATGGGTAATGGGAATGGTTGGTGTAAAGGTTGGGGTAGCGATCAACTGACCACCATGATAGAGTTCAGCCATGACATAGCAATAGGGTTGACGATCACCATCACCAAACTTGCTCTTGGCATCATCCGATACTGATATATTGATGTTTTTCAAACCAACAACCTTGACTCGGAACAGTCTGTTGACTTTGGTGATTGGCAGTCTTCCACCAACATTGATTGCACTATTATTTAGACTGTTGGTTGCAGATCCACCAGGATTGGTTGAAGAGTTTGATGGTGAACTATTGTCTAGTTGTTGTTGTTGTAATAGTTGTTCGTCGTGTTGAATGAGCGGTTGTTCGTCGTCGCTGTCAAAATCGGTCGTGTCTAGTAGTTTGTCGATAAAGGATGTTTGGTGCTTCTCGGTGGAACACTTTAAAATGTTGTTTTGTGTAAATGAGAGTTCGAGCATTTGCTGCTTACTAATACACTGTCGCACATAGTCATAGTCGATGAGTGCAAAGTCGCCGTCTTTGCCCGTTGGTTGGTAGCGGTCTAGACGCGACAACCCAGCCTCTCCCAGCTCTTTAATGCTGAGAATATACTCTCTAAATCCAGTCACCTTGATGACATAGTCGTTGGGTGTCTTGTCACCACGCGAGATGCTCTTGTCAACCAACGCAAACTTTTTGAATATCTGTGTCTTGAGTTCTTCGACTGTAAGTTGTGGCGACACATCCAATCGCTTGTTAATCTTGACATCATCTCCATATGTCGCTTGGACGGTAATTTTTGGTGGTGTGACGAGTGGCATGGGTTCGCCAAGCACATAGACATACTGAAGCAGCTCATTCTCGCGTTCATCATCAGTTCGTTGTAATCGCAAGTGCGCCAAGTCGCGACGAAAGCTGCTGACCTCTTGGCCGCCCGACTCGAGGATACGCGCAAACCCGTTGCCCGTCAGCTCAAAGATCTCGAGCTCGGTCTGGATGTGGCCCTTGAGGTCGACGATCTCTGTGTCGGGCAGCTTGAGCTCGTTGCCGTCTTTGAGGGTCAGCTGCATCTTGGGAAAGAGACGCGAGATGTTGCAGGCCTGCATGACGAGTTGACGACGCAGTGGCAGTGATTCGTTTGTAAATGTACAGTTTATAGAGAGAACCTTGAGCTCGAATTGATCGATCAATTGGAGAAACTCGGGTCCCACCTCTTCGAGCAGTTGCTTTTTAATTTCGAGAGGTGTCAGGTCGATCGACACCTTTTGCACGATACGGCGGCCGGGAATCTCATCAAAGCACACCTTGATGTGATCTTCCTTTCCCGCTCCGCTCAATGTCGACTTCCAAATCGAGTGGCTGCTCGACTCTCGATTGATCTTGACCACCAACGGTGCCTTGAACGTTGTCGACTGCGCTGAAAATATTTTACTGGCCGATGCAGCTGCTGCCTGTGCTGCTGCCGCATTTGAACTGTATGTCGAATGAATCACTGGACTACCAATGCGAGGTGAATATTCACCAGTTGATGAAGAGGATGATGAAGATGATGATGAACTCGTCGAAGATGAAATATTTTGATTCAAATGTGAAGGTATGAGGACACTGCCCTTATTGGCTTGTCTAAATCGATCAGGTGTAACTGCTCCACCTCCAATAGTACTACTATTACTACTACCACTACTACTACTGCTACTCGTACTACTAGTTGATTTGACCAAATTCAAACTACTATTACTGCTTGCCAAAATTGGTGAATTTGAGATTGATTTCAAACTATTACTACTTGCACTATGTGGAATAGATTGTGATGGCAATGATGATGAAGCAGTTGTCGATGTTGATTGTGGTTGTGGTTGTTGTTGTTGTTGTTGTTGAGAATAAAGTAATGGAGAATTAATGGTAGATTGGTCGGGTGAACTACTATTGAGATTGGTTTGTGATGTCGAAGGTGTAGTAGACGATAATCTAACTGGTTGTTGTAGTATTGGTGATGGTGGAATTGGTGACATTGATATAGATGATATAGTTGGAGATTGAATCAATGGTGATTGTATTGTCGCAGTCGTAGATGTATTATTATTATTATTATTATTATTGGGTGATGATGATACAGTTGTTGTAATGATTGTTGGAGGTGGAGGAGAAGGAGTACTAAACGACATACTACTTTGTAATGATAGATTTACAATTGAATCCAATAGATCGATTGTTTCATTATCTTGTTTTGACATTGACGTAGGTGATCTATTTCCATTTTCATCGGGTGCAACAAATAATATTGAAGATGATGAATCATTACTTTTACTCAAGTTTCCATTATTATTATTATTATTCTTATTGAATGAAGTCGATGATGACGACGACGATAAAGACGGCGACGATGAAGAGGATGATAAAGATTGACTGGTTAAATTAGTGAGAAATTCTAATGTTTTGGCAGTTGATGCTCTTGGTTTGGATGTTGTTTGACTAATATTACTATTACTATTATTTGGTTGATTAAATGTATTTAAAAGTGCTTTAAAGTTTACAGTTTCTCTATTATTATTATTATCCTCGGCAGATGACAATGTTGAAGTTGAATGTTGATCAACATTATTATTATTATTATTATTAGTATTGATGGGGTTGGATGGCGATGATTTACTATTGCCTCGTGTACGGTTGGTATTATTATTATTATTATTATTAGTATTTTCTGTAGATAGAGATAGTGGAGACACTATCCCAGAGGATTGTTGTGACATTGTGTGAGTGTATGTCAAGTGTAGAGATAGATACTATAGTACAAAATGGTTATTATTGATAAGTTGGTTGGTTATGACGATGGTGATTGATCATAGATTCGTTAATATCTAGTTTCTTTATATATATATATATGTATATAGTGTCGACGGGGAGGACTTGATCTAAGAGAGTTACATTTAGAAATTAGTAAGTTTGATAGCGACTAGTCATTTGCTAGGGATAGAGAGATTGATTGATTGATATTGATCTGATTGATATTGATCTGATTGATATTGATATGATTGATTGATTGTTGTTGTTGCTACTATATTCATTGGTCTACTATACTATTATTACTATTATCATTAATACCCTATCAACAATAATTATCTAATATACTATATACTATATCCACCAACAAAGAGAGGAATATATTCCTTATAGCTGCATTTGATGATTGTTATTGTTATTGTTATTGTTACTATTATATTGTTATGTAATATAATATTATATCTTCCCCTTTTTTCTCCTCTCGTCACAATTTATTTCTTGTGTGTTTAGGGTGTGTTGGAGTGTTTGTTGTGTGTTGTGATTGATTGATTGATTGATTGATTTGTTTGCAGCATTATTATTATTATTATTATTGGTGTAAAGCAAAACGAAGTAACCCTAAATTAAACATGTTTGTTTGGGTGTTTGGCTTGTTTGGACTGGACTGAGAATTGATTGTTTGCAGCGTTGTTGTTATTGCTATTCGATTTTATACGACTGACTGCTCTTTACTCTCTCAACCGCATCCACCCCACCCCCCTCTACCCTACCCTCTATTATCCTACCACCCATACCCCTCCCCCCTTTCATTCTAAATGAGTTTGATTGGGTTGTTTCAATGTTGTGGGTGGGTGAGTGAGTTGGTAGGTGGATGCGTGATCTGATTGATTTGCATCGATATTTCAATTTGATATGTATATTCTGATAGTAGTCGATAGTTACTTTGATTGTGTGATTTCCCCTTTTCCTCCTCCTCCCTCCTCCTCCTCCACTGCCGTCACTGTCATCTCTCTTATTATCTGCTATCTATCAATCATCATCATTATCATCATCAATCATCATCTTTCTATCTATGACGATGACACTTGTATCTACCCATTCTCTACTACTATTATTATTGGGGGTAGAGGGTAGGTTGGTTGTCTTTTGCAAAAGAATATAATATTATATTCTTTCTCCAATCATTCAATGATTATTATTATAATTATTATTATTATTATTATTTGTATTGTTGTTGTTGTTGTGTAATGACAAGTAGTGCAATGTAATAGTGTTTAGATTATATTATATTCTTACCTATATTAATATGTATGGTTGGTGTCGTATTGATCGTTGTTGTAAGACTCTCTGTTTCTCTCTATCTCTCACCCACAGTTAGTTTGATGAGGGGATGTTCAACACTCTACTCTTTTGATACTATAAAAACAAACAATGTCTCTTTGACTAAAATAGAGTAAATCAACACGTTGTTTATAGTAGTAAGTACTACTGTTGTTGTATTGATTGTTGAGTCCAACCAACCAAGCTCTACGAAAAAATCAACACACAAATATTTTTTTCTTTTTCGAAAACGCGTATCTCGAATTCGACAAACAGACCAACCTGGGTTGGAGAGGGGGTGGTACCCAAGAAAGTTGTTGAACAAACAATCATATTTGATGGTACCATTTATTTATTTATATATATATATATATATATTTTATTGTATGTATTGTATATATATATGCGATGATATTTATTTTAAAAAATAATAGTTGCAATGATAAATAATAGAATGGTAGTCAATGAAACTAGCGTGGAAGAAGCCGAACTGATATTGAATAAATTACAAATGATATTGTCGTTGCCGACAACACACGATTTGACTTGTTCGATTTGTGAGAGATATGGAGTACATTTGGTCAAACTATTGCATAGTTGTGATGAACATTTCTCAACTTGGCAACTGGATGGTTGATAGTTTTTGGTGTTTTGGTAGCACTGATGTTCGATATAACAATCGTACAATGATTTTTGTGCATCTCCACATTGCTCTACTTGATCAACTGTTGTTGGTTCACTAATAATACATTCTCCATTTCCCTCGGATGAACAAAAACATCCTGCATTGCAAACTGTCTCACTTGTTCCATTACAATTTCCTAAAAGTTTAGATAGATAGATAGATAGATAGATGAATTAATTAATTAATTAATGATTTGTTATGTTTCTATTTGTTTCTATTTTGTTTCTATCTATCTTACCATCATAGATAGTTGATTGTTTATAACCTGGTTGATATTGACAAGTATTAATTTGAGAACCAGGTTGACAAATTAAACCTTTGGAATAATCACAGTTATTATCGATATTGCATGGTGTGTTGAGTTGGCCAGTATATGCTTTTTGACAAATTGCAGTATTGTTGTTTATGTCGGTCGAAATACAATAATGATACATTGGACATTGTTGATCGGTTGTACAGACACTACCAACCGATGTTCTATCGGTGCAACTGGATACATTACAATATTGTGTGAATGAACATTCAATGTCACTAGAACAGACTGTTGTGCCAGTATTATTTGATACGCAAACCTTATTTGTACAAGCAAGTGGACTCAAACAATCTTGACTAGTCTCACATGACTGACCAAGTTGAGCATATTGTAATTGTCCACAAACAGAATTTGAGCAAACATAGCCACCATTACATTGAGTACTATTTTGACAATCTCCACCTTTTCCAATCAATACTTGACATTTACCATCACTATTACAAAATTGACCTCTTGTGCATGTACTTTCAATTCCCGTTGTTGAATTTATACCACTAAAAGTAAAATTAAGGAAGGAAAGACAAGATAAGAAAAAGATATTAATAAATGATTTAAAAATAGATTCTATTAATAATAAACAAACATACCATGATTGACCAACTTCAACACAAACAATATTGTCATATGTATCTAGGCATTGTTCAGATTGAACAATTAAAGTAAAAATGAGTAAAATAAAAATAATAAATAAGATTGTAATATATTTCATTATTATATTATATATGTATATGTATATCTTAAGATATGTATGTTAAGAGTTTGCAATGAATGAATGAATGAATGAATTGAATGAATGAATGGATCACAACACCAATTCATTCAATGTTTAAGCATTTGTTTGTTTCGTTGGTTCATTGTGGGTAGCGGGTTAGATGAATGCCAGGTGTTAGCTTTTTTACCCTTTACCCACAAACAGACTATAGTACCTGAAAACGAAAGATGAGAGATGTTATGGATGATAAACGATAACTATATTTCATAGAAAGCCAAGGGTTGGCAGATTATATCAAGAATGACTGATTTGGGTAGACAATGCGATAGACCATCGTTCGTCCTCCAACAGGACATAGAAAAAAAACCGAGCTGATCTGAGAAAAGCCTCGTCGTGGTCTAAAAAGCCTCAAACAGTCCAATCAACCAAGCTCGATAGGTCGATCGATAAAACGAAAAGGAGGTTTTTGCCATGACCATTGTGGGTTTTTCAGTGAAGAGGAGTGATTGGTTTTTATTTCTATTCTTTACATTGTTTATAGGGGTTTTTTGGGAGGATAATGGATCTATAATACTCTTTTAAGAGAGGTTTTAGATCTGTTTTGTTTGGTTTAGTGTTGGTGGTGATGGTGATGATGGTGGGGAAAATAAATAAATATGATTTGTTTTGTTAATTTGTTATTATTATTATTATTATTATTAATATTTAATCTCTGTCTTTATCTTTGTCTCGGTCCTTTTCTTTTTCACGATCTTTGTCATCTTTTTTACCAATGATAACACCATGATGAACTACGTTTGGGAAAAGTGACCTAGTTGATATTTGTTTCTCGCCGTGTACTTCTAGGACTGTACGAAGTTCATGTTTGATACGTAATAGTCTACTAAAGACTAGACCGGTAATAGGAACAATATTGGAAAGTGTAAACTTTTCGTTGGTGATGGGATGAGAGACCTCGAGGAGGATGTCATTGCTGTAAAAGTGTTCTTCGAGATTCTTCATCTCTCTAATATACATTATATCCTCTATCAGGTTATACCAAATACTAACTATTTGTAATTCTGGTGCCAACGTAGAGTCTGATTGCATCCTGCTCTTACTCAATGTCAATAGTTTTTTCAAATCAAAATAATCTTCCAATTCCTCTCGACTAATACTATCAATATCGGCAACTTTGACAGGTTGTGGTACCTTTCCTTGTTCTTTTTGTTGTTCATTACTACCATTTATAATTAATTCTTCTAATAATTTCTTATTTCTTTTTAACTACAAAATAAATAACAAAAAGTTAATAATTATACTTTGTCTTTTTTTTTTCTATTTCCATACTCTATCAAATAATAAGATTTCAGCAGATAATAAAAATTGATCAATACGATGATAAATTTTAACCTTTAGAGGTAGGGTAAGATAATTTAAACGATGTTCAATATCGTATTGAGTGGATGGTTTAAGGACAAGGTTGACTATACGCAAGTTTTCTTTGACCATTGAAAGACTTGCTGGACGTTCATCGATATAGTTGTCGGGTACTGCAGACGGATCAAAACCACGATCGGTTAGATAAGAGCTGACAGATCCACCAATGATTTGAAGCCACCAAGTAGTAAGTTCCTTTTTTTTACTTCCATCCAACAATCGTAGGTTATCAGTGTTGACAGTATCTATGGCCAAGTCACATTCACTAATCAGTCCTTGTAAACTATCTTTGGCACGAAGACACATAATTCTACCATTCTCCAAATCAGATACCAATGATCTAATAGTTGGCAAGAATGGTTTAAATTTCGTATACTGTTTCTTTATCATCGAAAAATATTTTGTTGTACAACTATTATCTTCTTTTCTATTATTATTATTGTTATTGTCCAAACATTCACCTTCTGTTGTTGTTGATGTTTGTTGTTGTTGTTGAAGTTGAATTTTGATAGCGTTATTTTGTTTAATAAATTCTTCTTCTGTAGTGGTAGCATTGATTTCTTTGTTGTTGTTGTTGTTTCCACCTCCAAATAGATTATTATATTCAATAATAGTTGATGATAGAGTATAATCTTTAAATGATTGATCTCTAGTAAAATAGAGTTGATGATTGCCACGAGACTCGTTTAAAAACACCTTTTTGAGATAGTTGGCAAAGAATTGTGAAAAGTACGAAGAGACACGATCAATCTCTTTGAGGAATGGTTCCTTTCCGTCAAATGCACACAACTGTGCTTTGAGTGTGGTGAGTTCGTCGAGACCGATACAACGCACGCCATTAAAGTTGAGACTTTGGTTGATAATATCGGGGTCGAGCCCGAGGTCGCTGAGCTTGTCACGGGTGGTGTCTTTGACGGCTTGACGCAACTCGGTTGAGAATGCGTCGAATGGGTTGGTGACCATACGCTCGAGCTTGGATCGGTCGGGCAGACTGATGCCAATGGTGGCGAGTGACACGACACGGCTGTGCGGCACACAGACAGCGTTGGTTTCATCGGGCATGAGATAGACGTAGCAGTTGATGCCGAGGACATCGGCCTCGCGACAATACCGTCCAAACAAAAAGGTGCCTTCGTCAAACTCGTGGTGGTTGGGGTCGATGATCGAGTCGGTCCGCATGGGGTTCCAGTTCTTGGGCACCTTGGCAATGACAATGTCTCCCTGTACCAACTTTTCCTTTTCAATCTCGTTGGCAAATTCTTTGACGACACGTGCCAGCATATCCTTGTCTTCGATCTGTGCCCACGACGTGATGTAGTCGACTAGTGTCAGACGACTGACACGCAGCTCTGTGCGCTTTGGCATGGCCATCGCACCGGTCATAAGCGAGCTGCTCGAAGCACCCACAGCACCCGTGCGCAACGCGTTGAGGTTAGAGTTGCTGGTAAACTGCGCGCTGCCGTTCATCGCCAAAAACGACATGCTGCTCGTCAGCGTGCTGCTGGTCGCCGACCCCGTGCTGCCGTTGGAGCTCGAGCTGCTCGACAGCATATTGTCGCGTTGCTGTTGCTGCTGCTGCTGGTGTTGTTGTTGCTGCTGGTGCTGTGTCTTGCTCTGATCGCTAATGTAAAAGTACTTTTTCACCCTTCTTTGTATATCCTTGCTTGGGTTCATTCCCAACAGCACATTCTCTGGATCCTTTTTGTGCGAGTTTAAAAAGCCGTAAAAGTTGAGTGCCAACCTTAGGATAAAGTCATTCTCCTCTTCCCACGATGTTGTCGAGTAGATCTGGAGAAACAAATCCGTGTGTCGACGGTACTGGTCAATCTGAGCCTGTGTACGCGACTTTCCATAATTCAACATGTCGTGGTGAAATATATGTGCGATCGATCTAAACTTGGGCGACGCCAACAAATCCTCGGTCACCACGCAATGGCTAAACACGCCACCACCAGTCGGACACGAGGCATTATTACCACCACCTTGTCGACACGGCGAAGACAGATCAAAGCTTGGATCCATCTTCATTGACAATCCAACAAAGAAACTCTTCATACGTTCAACAAACAATAATTTTTGGTTGGTTGTTGCAGCTGCCAAATTAAACGAAATTCCATCCAACTCTGATAATGTATCTTGAATCAATTGTTGTGATCCAGAATGACCACCACCCCCATTGGTTGGTTGAGGTAATAGAGTACTATGAGTAAGAGATATAGAACCACCCAAAGATATCTTGTTTAACGATGTCAATGATTGTGGGTCATATGATTTGGTCAATGATGTAGGTCTCAATGATGTAGGATTATCTGGAGGTGTCCATAAAATATTGGGATTATTATTATTTTGTTGTTGTTGTTGATTTTGATTATTACTAATTGAATTGGCAGATGTAGTTTTAGGAGAGAGGGGTGTGAAATGAGTTGGTGAGTTTAGTGTTGGTGAAGAGGTTGATGAATTTGGTGTACTATTTGGGTTACTACCGCTGCTGTTTTGATTATTTATACAATTATGATGACATATATGATCCTTTTGGTTACAATTACTATTGTTACTGTTATTATTACTGTTATTATTATTATTATTATTAATATCGTTATTTTTAAAGTTTAATTCCAATTGTTGTTTTTCCTTATTGTTTAAAGTGGCAACTTGAGATGCATTTAAACTAGTGTGACTACCACTACCACCAGCCGAAGCAATGCCACTTAGATTAGAAGATGATGAAGATGATGTAATGGCCGACGACGACATACTGGCCAAGTTGCCTAGATTGCCGAGTGTACCCAAACTCAGACTCGAATCAATCGATGATTTTACAATTGAAAATAATGATTTCGATACTGGTTCACATTTACTTGTTAGATTCCTACAATATTTGTGGCACTAAACAAAACAAACAAACAAACAAAACAAATAAATAAAAACATTAATATTACTTCTTCTTCTTCTTCTCTGTTAATTATTAAATTGTTTTGTGACTGTATACTATACTTTAAATAAACATTTTGTACAATTATAACCAGATGATTTATCTTTTGCAGAAACTATACTATTATTACAACCTGAACAAATGGGAGAATCGTTAAATCTCTCTCTTGACCAATCGTGTTTAACAATCACACAAAATCCAGGTATCGTTTTAAAGTTGGTATTACATTCAAAATGTGAAGTTAGATTACAATTTGAACAACCTATACACAAAAGAGAGAGAGAGAGATATGTTGAATTTAAAGTGTTAGAGTGATACTGATTGTACACAATCGCTTGTGTTTGTATACTTGTGTTTGTTTCTATCTACATACATAAAGCTAATTTACCGATATTACAAATAAGGTTATTACAAATAAAACAATAAGGAGGATGTGAGAAATGTTTCTTTGTCCAATTATGATATTTCTCTTGTTGTTGTTGTTGTTGCTGTTGTTGTTGCTGTTGTTGAAGAGACAGAGATGATGAGGAATTGGAAGGCGACGATGAAGATATCATTCTGTCTCTTTCTTTTTTACTTATTCCTCCTCCTCCTCCACCTCCTCCACTATTGTTGTTGTTGTCCTCTCCAGATGCAGAGTTGTTGTTGTTGTTGTTATTACCACCACTCGTACCTGAAGTAGATGTAGAGTTGGATCCTCCACCTCCTTTATCTTTCTCTTTCTTTTTATCCTTTTCTGTTATTTTCTGCCGCCCTATTGTTGATCAACTACCCAACTATCCAATGTTAGTTTAGTAGTCGTCTGCCTCTTTGTTATGTAAATAGATAACTAAATATATATCTATATATATCTATAATACTATTATAAATATATATCTTAAGATTGGTTGATTGATTTTTTCTTTTAATGTGTTAACCAACTATAACTAACTACTTTTGCTTTGCTTGCTACCTTTACTCTTATGTATGGTAGAAGAAATAAGACTTATGATGTATGAATGTATCTATGTAGTATGATGATTTCTGTTCTGTTATGTTCTATTATGTCCTCGATCGGGTTTAAATGTTGTACATTGAAATTGATGGTGAGCTGAGTTATATACAAGATTGATTGATTGACGACGATGATGATAAATATCCTATATAATACTAATGATTGACTATGATAATGATGACTGTGATGAATGATGAGTAATAACTTTAGGACAACAACGTAGAAGCAAGTTTCAACCTTTTTGCTTGAACCAAATATCTTTGCAAAATTTTCCTCCTCTCCAATCATCAAAATATAAAATATATTATGGCGGTTGCTCCTACTACTACTTCTACTGTCTCTTCTCTCTTTTTCCTGTCTATTGTTGTTGGTTGATCAAATGATCATTCATTTAATATTAATAATAATAATAATAGCAAATAATAATAATAATAATAATATTTGTTGTTACCCCCCCCTCTTTTGTATTCTGTTTATTATTGCTTATTATTAAAAAAAAATATCTCTTGTTAAGTGGTTGGTAATTTTTAAAGAGAGGTGGGATAAGGATGATGTGATAATAATAATATTATTGTTCCCACCCTTTAAAATTTGAATTAATAAATAGATAGATACATGATTGTTTATTTGATTTTTTATTATTATTATTATTATTATTATTATTTATGGATTGAACAATTTTCTTTCTTTAAAATTGATCGATATTATTGACTTTACCTCCGACAAACATTGGAACTGTCTTTAACTCTACTCTGGGTACTTCTTGTGAATCGTCGTCACCACGTGTCTTTAACTTTCTTCTTCTGGCAAAGAGTAATGCGACTAGGATGATTGCGGCAAGTGCAACAGCTCCTCCAATGGCAATACCTGCAATTGCTCCAGATGACAGTTTACCTTTATCATCATCGACAATAATAACACCTCCATCATCACTATTACTACTACTAGTACTATTACTATTACTATTACTATTACTATTACTATTACTATTACTATTACTATTACTATTACTATTACTACCGCTACCACTACTACTTTCATCAGAAGATGTATCTGGAATAGGGGCAATAGCATTTGGACATTGATTAAATGATGGGATATAAAACTCGATTGGATCAGCTGTAGAGTTGATAGGAGGTTCTGGTAGAGGATTGTAGGGGATGATTTCTCTATAGACAAGTGGGAATATATTGGATGTTTTAGTGATGATAACGCCTCCTCCAGGACTATAGGTATATGTGAGTTGGATGGTAAGAGAATCGGTGGGTTGGAAGAGATTGGTGCTGACACTGCCAATAATGACACTATGTGAATAAAAGAAAGGTGTGATGGTCGATACGAGTGCACCGTTGGCAGACAAGAGTATTTTGGTAAAGGTGAATGATTCGGTTGGGATAAGTCGTCTGCCACGGATGGTGATTGTTCTGGACACGTCTGGGACATCGGGAATACCACTGGTTGAGAGGACAATGGGATTGGTGTTTGTCATGACAATGTCAAACTTGGACAACAATCCCTTGGCTTCAAGGTCTTTGGAAGTGTGACCACCAAAATTACGGTTATTGTCAGAGTAGCCATAGATTGAGATGAGGGGACTGGTTTGGTACCCAAATCCATAGTCGAGAGTGACGTTGCATTGGTAGGTGACGCTGCCTGGGTTGGGATCAGACTCGTTGGTGTTGGATTGACTGATGATAACACCTACACAGCTAGCAAGATCGCTATAAAGTCCGGAAAGGTAGAGTGTTGGACGAGAGGTGAGTGATACACCCGACACACTATCAGATAGTGTAAATTGGAATGATAGTGTACGGTTATCGTAGGAACTGTCGATTGGCAGAGCATTGGATAGGGTAAGATCGAGGATTGTGGGTGGTTCGTCATCTTGGACTACTGGATAGTTGACAGTGATGAATCGACCAAGATTCTCGGTTGAACTAGCAATATTGAGGAATGGATCGATATTGATAGTGTTTGGTTCGACGATCGATGTAGCTACATTATTGAGTGTATCGGTCAATACCAAGTCGAGTTTGAATCGTTCGGTTGGTGGTCCAGACCGAGTCACATAGGTTACATTATAATTGCCGTTAAAGTCATCGCCACTAATACGAGTTAGTTGGACACGATGTTGGGTTGGATCCAAGTCACTAGAGATGACTGCATAGCTTTTAAGGAGATTGATACCACTTGGACGATCCTGGATATTGACCATCCATCTTAGTTGAACAGACTGGTCTTGTGAAGTAGCTGTGATGGTGTAGTTGTAATCGTCGGGTGCTGAAATACAACCTACGACCGGTCCCATCTCGTCGGCATTTTGACAGAGTACTTGAAGAGTAGCACTTTGTAATCCGATTCTTGGATTGGCACCAATCATCTCTCTTGTAATGTTGGCACTTGATGATGCCAAAAAGTACTCTACTGGACCGGGAAAGGTACCCTGTTTGATGGTCACCTCAATCTTTAACATACCACCTTCATATTTACCCATGAAATACTGTGACAAATCATAGACATCTGATTTGTGATTATTGTAGATGAGCACGGCGGGACCGTCACGGATATTGAGAAAGTTGATAAAGTAGGGATCGAGTCTTACATAAAGAGTTGATTTGGCTGGACCAAGAGTGACACCGACGGTTGGTGGCGACCAGTACAACTGCGCTATATCATTGGCGGTAAAGTTGACAAGACCCATGGTGGGGATACTGGCCACTACAGCAGGCTGATGGAAATACATGTGAATGGCATCACCCATTTGGTAGTTGGTCTGTTGGTTACCGGCAAGTGATGCCATTGTGAATCTCCATCCAACACCATTATCCGTCTGTGTAATGTTGATTTCATTTTCAAAGAAATTGGGCATAATGTAATCACAAGCCTTGAAAAAGTGACCGCGACCAGGTCCCAGCGGCATGAATCCACCTTGGTATCCTACACCGTCATTGCCAAAGTAGTAGACTAGAATAACTTGGTGAGAGGAGAACTTTCGAATACCACTGATTTGGGTGAGTGGAGTATTGGTTGGGAGAAGGGTGTTGGTCGAGTGGTTGGACAACCCACTTACAATGACTTGACCATGTGGATTGGTGACTGATATCTTGTTGGCTAGATAGGTTGATGGCAGTGGTTGGTCAAATGCATATTGGTAACCGTTAGAGTTGACACCACCAGACTTTAGACCAAATGGGAAGGGTCGAGTTGAAGTTGGCAGGTATCCATCCATCAAAGTATTGGGTGTGACCGTGATAAATGGTATAATACCAGTTGATGACTTCCAAGATGGTGTAACGACTGTACCATTGGTGACAACAGTTGCGTCAGTTGACTGTGTGTTACTCCATTTATACAAGTATGTGTATTGAGGGTCAATAGTATGATTGTTGAGTTGACTAATGATACTGTTTGTGAATGGACTTGGTGTACCACTGGTAGACTTGGCCAATGGTAATGCAAAGTGCAAGAGTGCATTATCTTGATTACCAAGCACTGGTTTGTAAGTGTTTGGGTATGTTTGTTTGCCAGATGATGGGACAGCGCCACCACCCTCTGATCTATAGACGATAAAGTCATTGTTGAGTAACGATGCATTAATGTATAGGTCAAAATGGTCAACTCCCGAGTATGCATTCACACTTGTTTTGTTCTTCCATTCAACAGTTGGTTTGGTGATAAGTGTTGTACTAGGTCCATTCAAAACATTGATAAATGAGACGGTTGTTGATACTGATGTAATATTGATTCTACCACTATCCGTAAATGTGACGATCACTGGACTATCCCAACCATTGAATTTGTTTGGTACAGGTGCTAGCGAGCATCTTACCATCAACCTAGATGCCGATGGAAATACAATGTACGCTCTATCATTTGCTGCACATATACAGTTGAATCTTGCATTCGACCCACCTCCATCAACTTGACACCCAATATTATCAATTGGCACTTGATCAAATTCTACCAAGAATACAGCAACTGATAATCCAGAATCCCAAGTAGCATTAACAGACAATGAATTACTTTTTAATTTTAAACTATTATCTTTGAATCCTAAAAAATAATCAAATAATAATAAATTAATAAATTAATTATTATCTTTTTGTTTTTTTTAAAACTTTTTAACATACGATTACAATAAATTCCTGGTACCATGACAGACCAATCTTCTTGGGTGACTGTATCAGACAATGTGACATACAATGTATTGTTTATAGTTGGGACAGTATTGGCAACTTTGACATAAAGGATTTGTTCTGGGTACCAATTATAGTTTACAAATGATTTTGATGACAATACAGGTACTCCACCTTGAATACTGAAATCCTTTGCAATCACTTTGTTGATTGTTTTATTGATCAAAATAAAACCTTCGGCATACTCTCCAAAAGCATCACTCGACTGATCATACTTGCAATATCTTTGTGTCAAAAATTTTGGTTCACCATGAAGAAATATAGGTGCTGGTGTTTGTGATTGAACAACATCTAAATAATAATAATGAAAATTAAAAAAATTAGTACACATGATCAATTGTGTTGGATGGTGGTCACACGATGAATGTTTTTTTTTTTTTTTCTATACATACTAAAGTTTATAATAATAAACAATAAAACAGTAGTTATAAAGAGTGATATGGTCACTTTAGATCTTACTGTTACTGTTGTCATTGATTGATTAATATTCTAAATGTTTTTACTTGTTCTACGTAAATCTATAGAATGATTCGTCGGGTTGTTGTTATTTATATGATTTGTTTGTCTCCTAGCTATCTACATAACAACGATGTTTTAAATAAATCAATGTATGTGATTGTGTTGTGTCGATGTTGTTTGGTGTTGTCTCCTCTCTCTTTGCATGGACTCGCACATGATCATGAGATAGTGGTCGGTTGGCACACAACCATGAGCGAAACATTAAAAACCCAATTATAACGAAGGGTTCTGCTTGATTTTTTAAAGGGCTGTGTCCTATGTCCGCCAACACTCGATTGTTTCTCTCGCGATAGGGCTGTAGTATTTTGTAACACGTGAGCTTAAAAAAACCCAAACCTTCAAAGAGGCCGATTGATTGACATCGGCGCACCCACTTTTAAAAAGTTGGCGGTTATGTGTTGTGTCGGTTGTACCAACCACGTTGTTTTGATCGACATGATCATCAATCAATCCAATTAATCTAAAGAGATAATAGTTGGTTAGGGTTAGTATTTACTATAATACAAAGAGGAAGAAAGAAGAAAGAGAAGATTAGTGAAGAGTAGATGTAGAGAAAAGATTGATCACACAAAACGAACTATTCATACCCTATATATTCATATCAAACCGATGATGAATAAATTAATGATTAGTTATAGTTATGTGATTGGTATGATGATAACAGTGCTGTTATTAATCAATCACATTACTATAGTTGATAGTATCAAATGTCTACAAGACCAAAGAATATTTACACAAACTGATGATGAAGGTGACGATGACCCAGTAGAAGTAGATTGGTGGTTTGCAATCAAGATACGTGGTACTTCAGATGCATATCTATACTATGATTCAACAATGGATGAAACTGAATTTAGTGTATGTACTCTCTCCTCTCATTTCTTTCAACAATGAATGAATGAATGAAAGTATATTTTTTTTTTTTTAATTTTCTCTCTAACTAACATCACACATGTGTGTCTACACATACTTCTTATTATTTATTTATTTAATTATTATGTAGACTGGATATTTCCTTCGAAGTGATAAGAGTGCATTGGGAGCAACGATGGATCAAATATCATCAACTCAACATTACTATGTAGCATTTAACGATCAACCTGCCAAAACAATGGGTGACGCATTCAAAATTAATACTCATGAAAAGGGTATCATTGCATGGGACAAAGAAGGTGGTGATGGTTTCTATTTAATGGTACGTATTATATCAATTATTATATCAATATCAATATTATATCAATATTATATTATTATTATATTGTATTGTATTTATTAAACTTTGTTTGTTTATTTTTTGATTGTTTATTTTTTGATTGTAGCATACAATGCCACAATTCCCAAATACCTACTTTTCACCGTTGGATGGTAATCCAAGTCATATGTATTGGCAAGATTCATTTAGTGAAGGTCCGAGAAAGAGTGATTCATACGCTAAATCATTCCCGTCGATGGGTTGGGAAAACAACTTCTTTCACAATAATCTCATGTCACTCACTGATTTGTACGAAGACTGTTATCGAGAGTACCATCAGACGGCCGCACAGAAAAAGGCGTCCGACAAGTACAACTATGGTGAAGACGATAGTGTCGAGGAGGATACATCCGACTCGGAGGATTCAGCCGATACACTTCGACACGAAAAGGAGAGAGCCAAGAAACAGCAGTTGTGCAAACTAGACATCTCGCCATTCCTCGTCGAAGGGTTCCCCAAAAAGAAACATTCACTCGACTTGTCGCATTTGATTGGTGGCGACACCAACCCATTTGCTAAACTGTTGGATGAGAATGTACCTGCACAACACATGTTTTGTTTGACACTGCCCGATGCCAACGAACTCGATCCCGAAGCATGGACATGTCTCGATGAGGGCGAAGACCCACCCAGCAGTGTCGATGACTCGGATTTAGACCCACCTTCAATGATCCAACTGTTCCTGCAGTCGCTTGCACGAGGCAGTACAAACGGACTATCGACAACACACAAAAATGTCGATGATGCAACCGAACAATACCTACTGCCACAAGCCAACCAACACGCTGCCGACTATTACAAACGGTGTATTCAACTAAACGACAAACACTATTACTTTGTAGTTTCCTCCAAGTCTAGACAAAGTGATGGGTCTCTTGGCTCCAAGTTTTCAGATATTTGGGGAGTGTTGGAAGAACCGGGTTGCGACCAAACCCAAATTGCAAACAGACCATGTCTCAATGACAATGAACAAATGTGGATAAGTACTTGGAGAGGATCAGGTGACGTTGATGCAACCGTCCCCGATCGTCCAGGCGACCATTTGAACATGGCAACTTTTAAAGCTGTCGTAGATATGGGTGGACACGAGCAATCCATCTATTGGGGTAGTACCGACGTATCTGTATCTGGTGTCAAAACAACAGGCGACTCTACCGGTGGATTCTCTGATCACTCCAAAATTGGCTATCTCCAAAATGAAGGTGAACATTGGGATATTTGTCTAAGTGGTGGTAATTTACATGTATATAACAAAAAAACAACAAAGTATACTGGTTCAAATGCTTTCTTGGTATGTTGTAAACATAAACAAACAAATATGCATATATACATAAGTTTATTAATTTATTTGTTTTACTTTTCCAAATTTAGGTATGCTTTAAATCAATTGAACTATCAGTTGCATTTGATAATTTAAATGTTGGTGCAAATAATAATGCAGTGACACGTACTAAACTGTGGGAACATTCACAATACTATGTACTGTGTTCAAAGAGTTTAAATGCCAATATTCAAGCCGTCCACGATTACTTGAGACGTGATGATAGAGCCTTACTCGACGATACACACTATGACAATAATCGATTAAAAGCCAACCCTCCAAAAAGAAACTTGGCTGCATTTGGAGACCGTGTCAATTTATTCATGCCAGTTACACTACTCAATATGATTTTAGAAGCTGATGATAAAAAGGTTGAAGTCATCTTACCAAGTAGTAGTAGTAGTAGTAGTAGTAGTGAAGATGGTGGTGGTGGTGGAGGTGGTGGAGATGACGATGAAATGGAAGAAGAAAAGAGTGACAGTGACAGTGAAGGAAAGAAAAAGAAAAAAAAGAGTAGTAGTAGTAGTAGTGGAAGTGGAAGTGGTAGCAGTGGAAGTAGCAGTGGAAGTGGAAGTGGAGATGAAGAATTTGAATCGGAAGATTCATCATCCTCATCAACTGATGGTACCATAATTTACTTTGGAGGTGGAGGTGGTGCAGCCAAAAGAAAACCTCCACCTACACTCCTTGATAAAAAGGAGCCCCCTAAAAAGAAACAAAAAAAGTAATTTTGTAATAATAATAATAAATACAAGTATTGTTTTTTCATGTTACTGTGGTTAACAAATAAAACAAAGTCTTTATTTTTAGAAGTCTCATTTCTTGGATCTTTGCAATCGCTAAAATAAATTAATTAAAAGTTAGTATAAACGATTCCAACCATTGTTGTTGTTCCCAATTGGGGGGTTATACTTGCCCATTGGAGTACGTGGACAAATAAAATAAAACGACAGAGTCTTTATTTTTTACTTTTAGAGATCACATTTCTTCCAATCTTTGCAATCACTAAAATAAATTAATTAAAAGGTTAGAATAAACGATTCCAATTGTTGTTCCCATTTGGGAGCTGGTTATAAGTTCCCATTTGGGGGCTGGTTATACGTACCCATTTGAGTATGTAGTCCACGCATCGAGTCCTTGTGACTTTAATACTTTTTCTGCACAACGTGCATTGATTGATGCATCATACAAATCACTTGGGGTCTTACAAAATGATGAACACATATCCTTGCACTAATAATATTCATGATAAATAATCAATTCAATAATAATAATAATCAAAATAAATAATAATAATAATCATCAAAATAATAATCAAAAAATTAATATTAGGTGGATAGTATATTAAATAGTTTGTGATTAAATAATAATATTATGACAACAATACATACGTGTTCACCTAAAAGCTGCCAGAGCCCTGTAGCCGAGCTAGGGTTATAGGCATGGGTATTCCAACTAGACTCATAGTAGGCAATACAGATCATAGTAGTTGCAAGACTCTTGTCAGATGTTATATATTTTTTTGTAAGATCTTTCATTTGATCGCAATTGTAAACTGACTAATAAATATATATATATATATATATATATAATACAATTGAACATTATTGTTTGCGTTAATATAATAATAATAATGAATCCGATGAGGGTTGTTTTTTGAAATACAAACTGCAAATGAGACTTGACACATCATTGCAAAGATAATAGCTAAAACGGTAATTAATTTATACATGATAATAAATAAAATAGATATAGATAGAAAGAGATAAAAAGAGACCTCGATTGATAAATAGGTGTTCATCTCCTCTCTCTCTCTCTCCGACTCATACGACTCGTGGCTCAACAAAAATATCTCGGGATGGGACTTTTAAAAATTCTTCCTGCATGTTTGGTCTAAAAAAGGAATACACCCCAGGATTAATTATTGAATAGATTAAGATTATTCAATCCCAAGTGGAATAATCCATCTAACAAAAAAAAAAGTAATTGTTGTAATAATAAACATACATAGAGTATTGTCCAAGTCCCAATACAAATGTATGTTTTGTATATCTATTTAATTTTTTTAACTGAATGTGATCGAAGATTGAGAGTTGGTTTTTTCAATGAAACTGATGGTTTTGTCTTGTCTTGCACGAAACTAACTAATCGGCGCATATGTTTTATCATAACCAGCAAAGAAGATGATGGTATCTTGTTCTTTGTTATTCAAGATATATAAACATTAAGTTACACACAAACTAACTCATCACCATTGCAAAAGTAATCTTTTGTTTAAACACACACACAACCACCACAATTGTATTATTTAATTTTTTTGTATTTATAAATCTAAAGAGGATCGATCGGTTGTACACTCTCAATTGAAAATGCCTAAATTATTTGGAACATTATCTTCTTCATCATCATCATCAAAAGAGTTGTCAATTGAAAGTAGAGTAGTTTGTCGAGATGATTATTACAAAATTGAATGTAGTATTTGTCTAAGTATATTAGAGAATCCAAGACAATGTTCATCAGGTAGGTTAAATAATAATTAGTTATGTTGTGAATGAATCTAATATTAATATTGTATTGGTCGTCTACAAAGGTCATCTATTTTGCTTAGATTGTATATCATTTATTGTTGCAAAGGATAATGCTGAATGTCCACTATGTAGAACTTCACTACAAGGATTATCAAGAAATTTATTGGCTGAATCAATGTTACGAGATTTAAAGGTATGATTGAAAAGTAGTAAACTATCTCTTTTTTGTTGTTCATGATTAAAAATCTCACCAAAAATATTTTTGTTATATTTAGATATATTGTATAAATCATTTTAGATTTAATAAAGGTAATATGGAATGGGAACATTGCCAAGACTCTGAAATGGCATGTCAAGAACATACGACGGTAGAAAAATCACAAGAACATTTACAACAATGTCAATTTACTCTGAGAAAATGTCCTCTACAAGAAAATGGTTGTGATGTAGAGTTGTTGGGTGTACCAATGCAAAATCATATAAAGGAGGAATGTAAATATCGTATAGTACCATGTACATACTGTCAAAGTACAATGAAAGCATCAGAGTTGGATACTCACATGTCAGAGACATGTTTAGAATATATATTAGAGTGTCCAGATAAATGTGGTTCTACATTTAAAAGAAATGAATCGGATGGACATCAAAGAGTTTGTCCAAATTTTATAATACCATGTATATTGGGTAATCAAATTTGTAATTTTATGGTATGAAAATAGAAATAATAATAATAATAATAATATTTAATAATATTATTAATATCAAATAATTGTTTATTTATTTTTAGGGAAAAAGAAAAGATATGAATCAACATGTAATGGAATCATTATCAATACATATGCAATCACTTGCCATATCAAATCAAAATGTAATAAAAGAAAATGAAAGAATGCGTCAAGAAATCAATCTATTAAATAAGAAAATAGATAATTTAGAAGATTATTGTGATAATCTACAAGTATGTATATAAAATATATATATATATTCTTATCCATTTGATTAATTAATTATTTATTTCTTTTTAATTTTTATTTAGGATAAATCATATTTTACATATGAATGGATTATAAAAGATTTTAATCATAATAATAGTGTTGTTGATACAACATCATTTGAATCAAAAGAATTTATGTTGGGACCTTTTAAATGGAGATTACAAATTAAACAAAATAATCGATACGATTATGGATTGTTGATTTATATTTTGGATGAAATCGATGCAAACATGGAAATTAATTTGGATTGTTGGTTTCAAATTGTAGTGGTCGATGGTGGTTGTAAACCTATCAATCTTTACAGCGGTAAAGATGCCAAATTCAACACCAACAATCGATTCTTTGGTTTTAAAAACTCGATTAGCAAGATGGATATTAAGAAAAAGGAATCGGTTTCAATTGTATTTAGAGGTCGTCTTATTTCTATTAAAGAAAAATCAAAGGGTCAAATAATTGTTGTTGAAAATTAACAAATAAATGAAATATTCTATTCAGATATATACATATTTGAACGATCCAACCACACACTATTACTTGTTTGAGTTTGAAAATATAATAATTTATTGAAAAATATATTTATTTGTTTACCCACCACCATTTTTTCGATTGACTACATATATATCTTTTTTGGGAATAGTGGTTAACTTCTAAAAATATAATGATGAACTTCAAAATACCAAGGTTATAAATAAATTAAAATATTATTATAATTATTATTATTATCCTCTTCAGCAACAACAATATTTAAAAGATATGAATAAAACAATTTTATTAGTTTTAGTTTCAGTATTATTAATTTTAACAATTAGTCATTCAACCACTGTAGTTTTTGCAATAGAGAATGATAAACAATATAGACCACCTAAAAATCAAACACATCATCACCCTGGTCATGGACATACCAAAGGCGACTCTGCATTCTCAAAGTGTGAAAGGGTAACTGAACATGGAATCATTGGGTGTCCAGCCTTCCAAATGCCATCTGGATGCACAGAAATTAGATTACCTCATCTTCCATACCCAAGATGTTGTCCACGTCCCAATTGCGGTAATGGTCAAAACAATGGTGGATGGCGTCATAACCAAACTCAAAAACCAAAATAAATATAAATAATAAATAAATAAATAAATAAAAATAAAAGGAAGTATAATACCTTTTTGTAAAATTAAAAAAAACAATGATCAACTTGTCGATTGTGAGTAATCTGATATCGATGGTGTTGTGGGGTCTCCTCCTTGCCTATCTATGTGTTTGTGTTGTGGTATGGTACGAAATTTCGACTACTTATGTGTTGAACACAATGAAACAAATCGTACAACGGATGAATTGTTTGTTTAATCTTGATTACAATCAAACAAGATTGCTTGTCATCGATGGTGATGGGGTTTCAGAAAAAATCTAGATGAAACATCAAATAGTTTATCTGAAAAGTTAGCAATAGAAAGGCAAAGAAATTAAGGATCTGTGAGGAGCCCCTCCCTCTCTTCTTGAGTCACTCGCAAAAAAAGAAATCTTCGAGCGCACCAATTTGGGATTCTTCCTGTCAAAAAGATATTTTTAAATAAAGCGGGTGCTGGTGGCTAAAGATGGGTGGGTAATCTTTGCTTTTGTTTGCAACCATCAGTAGGGATTGGCTAGAGTGTCACCAACAACAAAAGAGAAAAGAGAGTTCTATTGTTTCTTCACATCGCACACACAACACTATTTATTTATTTATTTATTTGTATCATAAATCTCTTTATCTCTTTCACACAACAACCATTCTTGTAAAATTATACCTTTTTTTAAAATCTTTTCCAATCACACAAACTTTAAAACCCTAGTCTCTAGAGATATTTATTCTTTAAATCAACAACAAATCACCAAAATTAATTAAACCTCACTATCACATCTATTTTTATCAAAAATGATGTTTAAGAAATATTTGGCATTATTTGTATGCCTATTAGGAGTTGTATTTGCTCAGGGTATGTATAAATAAACAATAAAATATTTATAACAATCGAAAATTTCGATCAACAAGATATTAATAGATTCTTTTTCTTTTTTTTTTTTTTTTTTTTTTTTTCTATTTTTTTTAGATACATTACCATTTACTGTAGCAATTTTTGATCAACATCCATCATTAAATGGTAATTTCCAACCACCTGATGGATCTGTAACAACAGGTTTAGTTGTATCAAACCTCAATCCAATTACCAAGGTTCCAGAGTTAGTCACTTTGGAAGACACTACCAAGAATTACGATGGTCGTATGTTGAAGCCATCATTGTTTAAATACTTTTTCTCTCCAGATGCCACCAACATTTTCCTCAATGTTACTTTGCCATTGACCAAAGAATCGTCGTCTGGTTTCTATGAATACTTTAACGACTTTTTCTTCCCAATCGATGGCAAGGGATGGGACGCTTATGCCAACATGACCAAATACTATCAAGGCCACAACTTCCATTTCTGTCTCAAGATGAATACCTATTTCAAGTACAAGTTGACCAACCCACCAATGCAATTCAATTTCAGAGGTGATGACGATGTTTGGGTGTTTATCAACAACAAGCTCGCTCTCGATCTCGGAGGTCTCCACTCGTATGAAGATGGTTCCATCATCTTTGACTCTACCACTTCCAACAATTTGGGCCTCGTCGACAATAAGATCTACTCGTTTGATTTCTACTATTGTGAACGTAAGACCGAAGGCAGTCACATGAGATTCCAAATCAACTTCCCATTGGATTGTACTACCAAGGATTACTGCGGTGTCTGTAACGGTGGTGGTGATTGTTGCAATGCCAAGGTAAACTGTAACACTCCACCATCTGGAAGCAAGTGTTACACTCCAACCTGTCCAGCATGGGACGCTCCAAACATCGACCCAAAGAACTTGGGCAAGAGCTGTGTCTACACCCCAATCACCTACAACAACTTGGACAACCAATGTTGGGATTTCTCTTGTGATGCCAACACTGGTGCCGCTGTCCCAACTGCCAAGCCATGTGTCTCCAAGCCATGTACCACCTCCAAGTGTACCAACTCTACCGGTTGTGCCTACACCAGTACCTGTACCGCCAAGGATGCCTGTTCCCTCGCAACCTGTGACGCCGATGGTAGAACCTGCAAGCAATCGGCCAAGAACTGTGACTTTGCTGACAAGTGCTACAACTATGGTTGTGATGCCGTCAAGGGTTGCAACAAGACCCTCAACTATAACCCAGTCGTCACTGGTGCCGGCGGTGCCATCAACAACTGTCAAATCCGTAAGTGTGACCCAGAAACTGGCGCCACCACCGTTGAAACCATTGCCAACTGTGACAAGTGTACCGGTACTCCAAACAAGTGTCAAATCATTGGTCAATGTAACGCAGCCACTGGTCAATATACCTTTATCGACAAGCCACAAATCAACGACGGCAATGCCTGTACCCAAGACAAGTGTGATCTCGCTACTGGAGCCATCACCCACACCCCACTCAGCTGTGCAGGTTGCACCTTCTGTGACCCAGAACTCGGAGAATACAAGTGTTCCAATCCACCAACCCTCTGTAACGATCAAAATCCATGTACCACCGACACTTGTGCCACCAATGGTAACTGTACCAACACCTTCTGTGCCGCCCCAACCAACAAGTGTCTCATCCCAGTCTGTACCGAAACTGGTTGTTCAACCGGCCCAATCGTTTGTCCAGAATCTGAAAACCCATGCGAGGAAGCCATCTGTAGTGAAACTACTGGCTGTGGATTCAAAGCTCGTGACTGTCTCTCTGGTATTGCCAACTGTACCGATGGTTTCTGTGATGCCCGTCTCGGTTGCGTCTCTATTGCCCGTCAATGTGTTGCCGACAAGCCCAACTGTCAATACGGTGTTTGCAACAATGAAACCAACGAATGTGAATACCACGACTATGATCCATATCCCTTTGCCTGTCAAACCGCTGCCGTCGTCTCTGTCGGTGTCGTTGCTGGTGTTGTAGTTGCTGGTGCCGTTGCTCTTGCCGCCGCCGTATTTGGTGGAAAGAAGGGTTACGACTACTGGAAGGAACACAAGGGCATGAAGATGAACATGTCAAATGCCAACCCACTCTATGAAACCAAACCAGGTACCGGTGAAAACCCTCTCTATCATCCAAGTGAACAATAACCTAAAATTAAATAATATGTAATAATAACAAATAATTAGTATATCACTTCAATCAACAAGTTTCACTCTCCCCAACCTCTATTTATTTATTTATTTATTTATTGGATACATCAAACCTATGATGATATCCTCCGATTATTTTTTTTTATCTCTTTTTTGAACAACATACCTAAGGAAAGAGATAGTAGTATAACACAACAAACAAACAAACAAACAAATACATATTCATAATAAACAAAAAATGGACACCCTTTCTATTTATTATAATCTAAAAACCTTTTCTTTTTAAAAAATAAACTTGGTGCTTGTTACTACTGATTGTCAGAATTACATACCCCTCTTGTAGTCAGAAACTATTATTCTCCAAGTTTAGTTATTGGACGAAAACTTTTATTAAATAAATAATAAATTAAAGTTGATGATAAAGTCGTGCTGCATCAAATAATTAATTATTTACATGTATTTAAAACTAACTACAGAGTAGTTGCTATGAACCACACTAACACCAAGAATACCCCCAATAGTGAATGAAAAATAATAATATTAATAATGACAATGATTATTACTTTTAAATTATCTACAGTTAATATATTATATTACTAGTGTTTAAAAAGAGATGATATTAAAATTGATTATAATTGGTATTATATTGACGATGGTATCATTTATCATTGTTGAATCAATACAATTAACTGACCAACTACAGCAACAACACCAACAAAGAGTACAAAAGAATATTTTGACAAGATTCTTTGGATCGACAACTGCTGCTGATGAAAGAATAGCCTATTTAGACACATGTGTATCAGAGATGGTCGTTGTCAACAATAATGATTGTTCATGGCTGTCTAGTCGATTATTACGTCAATTCTGTACTTCGTGGATAATGAACATCATCAAGAAACGTTGTGAACTTCGATACTCGATTTATACAAACATCAAGGGAATTTTATCAAAACCATGAAAGAGTAAAGTATCATGATTTCTCTTGGTAATTCATCTGTGCATCGGAATTGTTTAGCCCCAACAACAAGCCAATTACAACAAACATATCTACTCTTATCGAAATTAACTAAAAAACAACTTGCAAGCGAGATCATGCCCCTTTAATAAAATTTCAACCAAAACTATTCCCAAGCAATTTCATTTGGGCGTCGTTGCAGAAACCCAGCCATAAATATCTTTGGTATCCCCAAAACACAGAAAACTCCTCATAGTAATTTGCAAAAATTATCACAAATATCTACTGACCGCTTTTTACACTTTTTTTATAAAAAGGGGTTGAAGCCTTTGTCCTATCAGCTCTGATACACCTCACACTTTATTTATTTATTCTCATCTCTCTTTGTACAGATAAACCTATTTATTACACACATAATGAAATCATTATTTTTCATTTTATTAGCTCTTGTAGCTTCAATTGCTCTCGTCTCTGCTGCCACTTCTGACGGTCCAACCAATACTGCCGCTGGTGAGGAATGTGTTCTCTGTGAGTACATTGTTACCAAGATCGAAACATACTTGAACGTCAACGGTACCACCGAACCACAAGTCCTTGCCTTTTTGGAAAAGGATTGCGCCATTTTGGGTCCATTGAACGCCACCTGCATTAGCATTGTCAACGCCTATGGTCCAGCCATCATCAACACTGTATGTTGTAATACTATTCTTTTTTAAAAGTTTGATACTAATCATCAATGATGATTGTTATTATTATTATTATTTGTTTAGATCATTAATGACGGTAACCCCGAAGCTCTTTGTGGAGATTTTGGACTCTGCTCATCTTCATCTGAAGCTGTTGAAGAATCAAAGCCAATCATCAAGAAGGTTATTGGTGACGAAGTCTGTGATGTCTGTGACTTCCTCGTCAAGGAAATCCAAACTTTGATCCTCCTCAACAACACTGAAGCCGAAATTGTCGCCTATTTGGAAAAGGAATGTGCTTTCTTCCCACCATTGAACCAAACCTGCGTCCAAATTGTCCAACAATATGGTATCACTTTGATCCAAGACCTCATCAACAAGGTTCCACCTGCTCAAGTATGTGCTGCATTAGGACTCTGTGGTGGTAGCTCATCAACCTCTACCGGTACTGGTTCATCTAGCTCCAACTCTGGTTCATCTGCCACCAGCGGAACTGGTACTGGTTCTGGCTCAGGTACCTCTGGTAACACTGGCACTGGATCTGGTTCAGGTTCAGCTGGATTTGTCAAATTCCATTAAATTAATTTAATAAATAATTAAATTAAACATTCCCAAATCAAATCATGACGGTAGACAAAAAAACTAGTTTCCTTTGTTATTATCAAGTCTCTCTGTGGAGATTTTCTACACTCTTTCTTTATCACAAAATTTGTTGTAATTTTATAATTATTATATTATTTATTGTTTATTATATTATATTTATTTGTTATTTTTTAGTTTAAATTTCTTAATTTTTCTGTTGAACTCTTGTTTGAAGTTGAGTAATAAATTCATAGTAGGAACCACCTTCTTGAGATCTATCTTCGACGAGAAGAGATTGGAATTCGGGACCTTTTTGACGGTCGTTTGATTTGATGAGGACCATACGCATATATTCAGAGTAGGATTGCTTGGACATTTCAATGATCTTTCTGGCGTAGCGGTTGGCGTCATTGTCGAGAAGGGGGAGGTCTTGGAAGGTGAGTGGGTCGAGAGAGGCAAAGTCGCAGCCAAAGATTTCGTGGCAGATGCGTTGGTCGAGTTGCTCGCCGACATAGATAAAGATCGAGTAACCATTGATGACCGCAAAGACGCCGGCACGTGACAATTGGTCAGACGACAGCTTGAGGGTTGTTGGCACCGATTGAGCGGTTGGCTCGGTTGCAGGTGCGAGCAAGTTGTAAAACTGCGGGTAAAAGAAGTTGAGGCAACTGACCAAGTCAACAGTCTTCATACGCTGCATGTGGAATGAGCGGAGATCGGGGTGGGTTGGACGCGAGCTAAACACAATGTTCTTGACCATGGCAACTACGTAGAGTGGGAGATGCTTGAGTGACTCGGGTAGTAGCAGTTTGGGAACAGCGGGTGAGAGTGTGACCGAAGTAGATAGAGCGCTTTGATTGCCACCACCAGCTTGGTTGCTGTTGAGCATGGTCTTGTAGGCCGTGAGAATATCAACGCATTTATTGGCAATGGCTTCACGTGCATCGTTGAGAGTCGAGCTCAAAGCCTTGTCAATAGCCATCTTGGTGATGAGACTGGCAACGACACTAACATCGGCATAGCGGAACAAATCGGCATAGTTGGTGACAACAGGCACCGAAGTGGTCAACACACGCACACGACGTTCACCCGACGAGTGACTGTAGAGTAGAGCGGCTTGAATCGTCACATACTTGGTTGTAATGGCATCGTTGATGCTCATTTGCAACGTGTATGTCTTGTCTTGGTCAGTAGTGGCCAGAGACAAGAGATCACTCGACTTGAGGAAATAGTTGCCGTGGTAGACGTTGATGTTGAGTTGACGACTGGTACGCACACGCATAACGGCTTCCCAGCCAGTGACACGGGTCAAAGTGTGCATAAGGTTGGCAGCAAAAGTCTGTCCATCACGCGATGCAATAAACGAGGGGTAGTAAAACAGCTCACCACCAGTAATCTGTGCCATACAACCCAACGACGAAGTATCAACATAATCGGTACCAAACAAAAAGACATCGACCGATAATTGATGACTGACACAATTCAATCCAAATTCTTTATAGAATTCTCCCAAATCACTTGGTTGCAATAGTAATGCTTCCTTTTTAGTACCAAGTTGTTGTTGGTATTCTCTTACTTGTAATTTACCAAAATGTCCTCTTGGTAAATAACTTTGTAATACAACAATTTTACCTCCAACTCCTTGCTAAAAAATATAATAATAATAATTAATAAAAGAAGGATTCTTTTTCTTTTCTTTTCTTTTCTTTTTCTTTTTTTACATACACAAATTTGGAAAGCAGCCTTTAAAGCATTACCTAAACTTGAAATGACCTTTTGTTCCTTTTTTTGCATGTGGGTAGTTTTAATGATATCGAGTAATTTATCGACGATTGGTCTTGCTTCCTTGAGGTTGACTAAAAAGTCATCAAATGGTGGTACATATATATTATCCATCTCGGTCACCACATAAACTTGTGGCTTACCAGTATTTAATCTTAAATTATAAAAATGTAAACTATCATCAAATGTCATAAATCCAACTCTTGTTCTTGAATCTCCTGGCATATCTAAAAAGAAAAATAAATAAAGAAAAAAGATAATTAGAACTTTGTTAATGTACATTGATTGTGTTTTTGTTGTTGTTGTTGTTTTATACATACTATCTAAAGAAGCTTTAATAGATTCAATAGCGCAATTTAACATTCCAGATACAACAGATTCATAACAAACATCGATAACAAAGAAATAGGATGGTGGTTGTGGTGCACGAATTGTATATTCTCTTGATGCTAAAAATTCAACACATCCTCTTTGTAATTCTGGTCTTTGTGCAATATCTGCTCTCTTTCCAGTTGTTAAATCAATTGGACTAAAATAATCTTGTGTAACTAAAAAAATAAAAAATAAAAAAGAGTAGAGGTTAATAAATATTCATCATCCATATCAATTAATTGTCATTGTCATTGATACATACTATCATTTACTAAATCACAAACATTACATTTCCATCTACCTCCACCATCAACCCAAACAACAAATGGATTTATATAAGCTTTACATGAAACTCTTTTACATCTAACAATTTGTGTTGAAATTAATGGTACTTCAAACTAAATAAATAAATTAATAAATGGTATGATTAGTGTTTTTTCTTTAATCAACTTGTATTCTATATATTTTTCTTACATTTGGATCAAGAGCAAGTGGTTGAATACTACAACCAAGTGGGATATGAACTTTTCCAAGAGTAGCTGGTAAATTTGGAACTGCATTCATTGACATTCTCATAAAACTCTTTGGACAAAGATTTTCAGCTGTTGGTACAACATCTTGTTGTGGCATTTGTTGTTGTTGTTGATAATTTAATGCTTGTTGATGTGCGTGTTGTTGTTGACCTTGTTGTTGATTGTATGGTTGTTGTGGTTGATATCCTCCTTGTTGTTGTTGTTGTGGTTGTTGTTGTTGGTATCCTCCTTGTTGTGGTTGAACTTGATTATATTGTTGTTGTGGTTGTTGACCTTGGTATTGATTGTATGGAGCTGGAACTGGAGCTGGATTATATTGTTGTTGTGGTGGTTGTGGTTGGTATCCTCCTTGTTGTGGTTGACCTCCTTGTTGGTATGGTGGTTGTGCAACGGGAGAGGTGTTGTATGGAGCAGTTGGGTATCCATTGATATTGGTATTGGTAGCAGGTAATCCAGCTTGGTGGTTTGATAGATTGACTTGTGGTGGAATAACATTACCAACAACTGGTTGTGGTTGTGGTTGACCATATGGTTGTTGTTGTTGTTGTCCTTGTACGTTCAGATTTTGCATACCTGAAACGAGTGAATTGGCGTTGCTTGGGTCAACTGGATATGCTCTCTTTGATGCAGATGATGCAGATGCAGATGAAGGAGAGATGGTTTGGTTGGTTGTTGGTGGTTGTTGTTGTGGTGGAGATGGTTGGAATGGTGGTTGTGCTACACCAACAACTGGACCGCCTACCATAGGTGGTTGAGGTTGATATGGTACTCCTACTCCTCCTGCTACGGGTAGTGGAGGTTGTTGATAGTTATTTGTTGGTGGATAGAATGGTTGTTGTGGTGGCATTGGTTGTGGTTGTCCTCCTCCTACAACTGGTTGACCACCAATACCATTAAAGGGTTGTGGTGCAACTGGCATTGGTTGTTGTTGTTGACCGCCTTGTGGTCCACCTGCTTGTCCTGCCAAAACATTGGTTGGATCGGTTGGATAAGCTCTTCTTGACATTCTTCTTCTTCTTCCTCTTCTTTAATCTAAACTCTATCAATACTCTTGTATTCTATATTTGTAAACTGATTGATTGATTGATTGAATGTTAGTCTATATTATGTTGCATCAAAAAGTCAAGTCTACTACTACTACCACAAGTCATCATCATTTTAATCCTCTCTCATTAATGAGTCATACTATTATATTATTATCAATGACTATGCTAATAGGTAGTAGTTTACTTTCTTTCTTGTTGTTCTTTTTTTTTAATATTGATGACTCACCACTTTTCTTTCTACCCTAAGTCTGTCAATTTGTCTTTTGTATCGTCGTATTCTCTATCTCTTTTATCGGACTGACTTTTACTATAGTACGCTTCTACTCTTCGTCTCTCTTCTCCTCTTCTCTTGTCTTGATAGTGTTAGTTTAAAATTAAATAAAGAATGAGCACTTCACTGGCCCGCTGACTTTGGAGAGAAAAAAAAAAAAAAAGAAAAGAAAAAAATGTCTTTGTGAAAGTGATCATCAAGAATCATTGTTTTACTTTCGATTACTATTAGTATTAGTTACATCATGTGATGATGATAATGATCATCATCAGTATAGAATAGTTATTATCACTATTGAATACTTATATATGTATTGTTGGAAAATAGTAAAGTTATATGTACGATTTATTTAGTTTAGTTTATAGTTTGTTTTGCCTTTGTGATAATAGTTTCGTAGTTGTGAGGATATATATATATATAGATTTGTGTGTGGAAGGAGAGTATCTAATTAGATTCCACATATGTGATTAAAGGAAAAGAATAGAGGTTTGATTTTTAAAATAATACAAGGGTTGTTAATGATACAGTGAAAAGAATGGTAGTAGTCATCATCTTGATGAATGATGATGGCAATGTAATAGTAGCAGATGAATGGCTGTTGCTATTGTCAGATGGATGATTATAGTTGGATGAATTGTAACCAGTGTAACCGAGATCGAGACATAGTGCATTTTGTTGTGGGTAGAGGCCAGAGCATGGATTGATGGTCCCTGGTCCCTTGACATCGCACAATGAATATTTGTCACAGAATTGGGTCGAGCAATTGGTAATCATACACGATGATTTGCTTGGGTTGGCGGAATAGGTGCATCGGTGTGCTGAGGCACACGCGGTGAGCTTCTTCTTGGCCTGTCCGCACAATGAGAATGCTTCGGTGGATCGCAACTCGCTTTGCAGACACTGTCCAACTCCCTTTTGACCACACGAACATACTTCATAGTTGTCTCCACATACTCGTGTGTACGTCGAGTTACACATGAGTGTAGGCGATGTCAACTCACCGGTCGAGTTGACACATGTGCTCTTGTAGCATAGCAAACCAGCCTCGGTGTTGCAGTTATAGTCGACACCAAACTTGTCGGCGGCACACACACCCAACGACCCGGCTGAATATCTTGGTGCACATGTCATGATGGTCTTGTTGGATCGATTGAGAACAGTGCATGACGAATACTCTGAACATGTAAAGTAACCAGTGACATTGGTCGATGCACCAGTAGTTGCATTGGTGATCTTTGTAAAGTTTTGTGAGCACAGTTGACCATCCTCGATACGTGGAAGACACCAAGTAGCCTTGGAAACTGGATGAGTAAAGCAGAATTGGTCGTACCCACATTCATAGTTGCTAGTGCAATTGGCTTTATCCGATGAACATACATTGTTGGTGCAGACCAATGGTGAGACACATTGACTGTTACCAGAACAAGCATCTCCTAGAACTGCGTATCCAACCTCTTGACAAGTTCCATTGTTACATGCTAGTGGATATAGACATTGAGAATCAACACCAACCACATCACATGTCTCTCCAACTTTTTTAAAAGTTTGACAAGTATTTGTATTGGTACCACAATATGATCCATATTTACATGATCTTCCTGAATATGGATTTAATGGATCTGTTTGATCACTACGCAAAAATATAATATATTTTTAAAAAGAAAAAGATTAATATTTGATTTTGATTATTAATAGTATTTATTGTTTTTTTTTAAAAACATACCAAGGTTGAGAAATATCTGCACATTGAAGACCAGTACCCGAACATTGCTCAGCAAAAGATGTTGATGTGAAAAGAGATAAATGGACAAGTGCCAAAATGAGCACTGAAAGCAATGAGAATTTCATTGAAGAAAGGATTGATAGAAAGATTGATAGAAAGATAGATAGATCTCGTCAGCTGCTGGGAGATAAATAAATAATAACGTATAACTAGTATAAAGAATGAATTAAAAGATTATTGGGACAAAGGAAAACAATTTGGTTGGTTGTTGGGGTCGAGGGTGATCAGTGTCGAGAAACTTGAACAAAGGAGATTGGAATTAATTTGTCCTTCTCTCCTCTCCTCTCCTCTCCTCTCCTCTCCTTGTTCATTCAATTATGTGGGGGTTGATGCCATCGATCCATTCATCGTGGTGGTACCTAGAGCAGCTTTGTTTTGTTTCTTTCTTTCTTTGCTAGAGTGGAGCATTCCCCACAAAAACTAAATATCTACTTCCATAAAAATAGATGCCGTGGTTTAACTAGTACATCAAACCGCAGCGACCACTTAAAAATCAACTGCGTAGAATTGAAACGAAACGTGATCGATTATGTTTTTTGCGCACCAATCATAGGTCAAGCGGCTCGGGGCATCGACTTTTTGGGCCCATGGTTTGCAAAGAGGACTGAGAAAATCAAAAAGCTGCAAACCCAAACTGTTTTTCGTTCTCTCTTGCTTTTATCTACTTTTTTGAAGCCACGGTTGAGGGCTATGTAGGTGTGAAAGTGTCTTTGAAAAAAGGTCAAAGGTTTCCCTTGCGTGAACTGATTTGATAATTTAACGGTAACATTTTTTGAAATGATTCATTATTCGTTCCTGTTTTGGGTGTGAAATTCTATATGGCCAACTCGAAACCAACTTAAATAATCTATCGAGTTGGGTTGATGTGACCGTCAATCGACCAAAAAACGTTGATGTACAACTATTCCTACACTTTAAGCACATAATAGGGGCCGAGCCCTGCTAATCTAGATAAGAGAATGAATGGATGATGATAACACCATCACACCCACAAGTTGCACACAACCACCAACCACTCTTCCCTATCCTATCGATCATCGATGAAATAACGATCGATGATAAAGTGAAAGTGTGGTGGTATATACTATACTATAGGTGGTATATATCTCCACTCTATCTCGATTATATAAATAACTAAAGTAGAAGTACTTCTTCTTTTTTTATCTCTACACAAGGCAAAATATTAATATTGCATTATCATCGATTTGTGTGTTTCTTCATCTTCGCGGTTTGAACTTTTATAAAAAGTTTATTTTTTCTTTTTCTTCAAAATCATAAATACGTGTTTAAAAGCTATGAAATAACTATATTACTCTATCTATCTATCTATCTATTTTAAATATATAATGTGTCTCGAGTTAGATATAGATATATAGATATATAGATACAGACGACGGTCGACGATGCAAGAACCACCACCAGAATTTGTAGAGTTGTTATGTTCAGTTAAAGGAGAGAAAGACAAGACTATCAAAGAAAGGGTCAAATATGAATTAAAAGAATTAAAATTAACCAATCCATCTCAATCTATGAGTTGGCTGTTATACTTGATTATTAAATCATTACCAACTGTATGTAGTATACGATCATGTCAAGATAATATTAAAAGACTCTTATTAATGTTGATACATTATTATTTCTATTTAGGTAAAAGAGAATGCATTGATTCTATTGTATAGATTCTTGATACCAAATCATAAATCAGTTTGGAAAGATTTAGCCAATGATGTTAAACAATGTCTAAAGGAACAGTTGATTGTATTTATCAAAGATCCTGAGAATGTAATCAACACTGCACACAGGAATTCAGCTATTGCTATCATTGATTCTGTATCTCATTCAATTCATAGTGGTATGTAAAATAAATGAAAGAAAGAAAGAAACAAAAAAGAAAGAAAGAATAGGATATTAATATTTCTATCATTTGGTTGATGTTTTGTAGAAGGAGGAAATTGGAATAATTTAATAACATTTATAAAAAATGAAAAGACAATAACAACAACAAAGACAAAGACAAAGAAAGGATCAATGTCTAATACTACACCGACTACTATTACACCTACTACTACCGTATCACTATTAAATGAATCAGTATATTTAATATTAAAGGATATTTATTTAACATTGGGTAAACCAATTGTTTCAGATCCAATAGAATATACTAGATTGGTTGTAAATGGGTTAAAGGATCCTAGTTTACAAGTTCATCGAGAATTATTTAGTTTAATGGCTTTGATACCAAAGGAATATGGAAAAAACAATTTTAATTATCTCGACGGTGATAATTACCTATTGTTGGTCAATACTATAACTGCACTCTTTAAAGACGCTCCATCTAAACGTCTCAAACATGAAACAACACATATTGTCCAATCATGTACCATCACAAAAGAGTTGTTAAAGAAACACCCAAACAGCGTCTACCAAGTAATGCATGTAATACTTTTAGATCGTTGGGATGACAATGATTGTGATGAACGTGAAATATTAAAATTGGTTGTTATTTTTGAAAATATTTGTAAACTAGATCCAAATCTAATTCGAAAGGTAAATATTAACATAACATATATATATATATTAAAAAAAACATATAATCAATTTAATTTATTCTCTTGATTTCTTTTTTTTTCTTTCTTTATTTTAGGAATATAAAGGAATAATTAAAAAAATATTTTTAATGTTGGAAAAGAAAACAATCAACTCTACTATTATTGCATCTAAAGTGTTAAGATTCATTTTAGGAGGAATAGGTAAAAAGAGAGTTGGAAAAGATTTCTATAAGATTGTGACGGTACTCAGACCACCAATGGGTCGATTCATCCGAGATTCTCTTTTTTATTGTCAGCAAATAGGTATTGAACGCTATCTTGTTTATTTACCAATGACAATGCGGTTTATTAGGCAATTGGAACCGACTGGTGAAGCATATCAAAAGTATTGTCCAGCAATATTAGAACTTGCTTATTCTTCTTCTTCAATGATAGGACATTTCTACAGATATATTGGGCCACTGATGAATCTTGTCAAGAACTTTAAAGTACCTGAAAGTGATAATGGTTGGTACGACGCCAAAAAACTCTCACTCTGCTTTATATCTGTCATCCTCACTTCAATACTCGTCAATCTAGACAAGGAAAATGGGGCAACAGATTTATTTAACCAATACTGTCTAGAATTTATAGACTTGTTGTTTAAAGATATCATGTCTGACCCAAAAGACCCAAGTCCAATGAGTGTTAAAGCACTTGGAGAGATCATCACGACAGCTGGTTCTCGACTGACAGACAGTCACATCGATCTAATCATTGTATCAATGTGCAAAGTAATAGAGAGTTTGAAATATGCAATCGACTTTGAACAATGTATATCTGTTATACATTCAATTCTCGGCAAGACCAACGCATCAGTCATCATGTCATCAGGTCTAATAGAATCGGTTCTTGTCAAAATCACCAAAGTCAAAGACTCACATAAACATTTCTTTATTGATTTGTTGAGTACTTTAATCTCTCGATTCACAACAGATTTGATACCACATTTCACAAACATCACCAGCTCACTTGAGCATCTGTTAATGTGCCAAGACGAATTGGCATCAAGTTTTACTGCACAATGTCTATCAAATGTAGCCAAATATACACCTATTAAAACGACTTGTCTTGTCAGTGATGATGACCGAGAGACTCTTGTCAAACCATCATACATCAAACATCTATTACAATATTTATTTGGTAGCAAGTTGCATCGTGGTGATGTATGGTTAATATCAATTACACGTCTATTTAAATACCAAGCACCACTTTTCACTCAAAAGGAAAAACAACAAATGACACAATTGGTTTGGGAGTACCTACCAGAATCACAACTATCAACCACTTGGAAATACCCAGTTTTAATGGATCTTTATAGTCTTGTCAATGAAACACCTATACTCATCGTTGTTTCACGAGATTACCGTGCCATCTCATTCATCTGTCATTGGCTAGATCAAGTTGCAAGATTTCAAGGTTATAAAAGTGACCAAGAAAATATTCTGAAAGATTATTGGATCGATTTATTAAAAGATATAGTCAATTCACAATTGAATGAAATTCCTCAATCAGTCATTCAATTTCTTAAACCAAGGTGTCCAGAAATATTTTAAATAAAATGTAAAATAAATAAATTAATATTTATTTTAAATTAAAGGAAGAAATGATGGGTATTAACAAAAAAAAGAAATAAATAAATAATTTATTATCTATTTTTTATTTAATTTTTTAAATTTGTAATTTTGGTAAGTACAGATCTTATTTGATCATTTCTAATTGTAGTAATGTGTACAGGTGAATCTTTTAGATAGTATCGATGTATAATATAATGAATAAACTTCAGTATATCCAATGCCAAAGTGGTTGGTGTTTGTGAAATGGGATCAACAAGTTGATCATCTGATGTGCCAGTTGAAAAAAGAGGAATGAGGGATTGAGGAGTTAACTTAAATATTGATCCACCACGACTTTTAAAATAACCTGATACCTCTTCTAGTCCTTTGGTTAGTACGATTTGTACCATCTTAGAGACTGGTGGTGGATTGGTGAGAGCTTGTGGCACTTGTGATTGACAGACCAGTGATCTAACAGATGCAGCAAGCATACAGAGATGATTGGTAAATAGGTACAATAGCATTGGGAGGGGTGCCGACCAAATTGCACTATCAGAGAGTACAATTAAAGGATAATGTTTTAATACAACTTTGATTGTATCAACGTGTCCTCTACTACAAGATATTTTAATATCATTTAATAGTGATTCTACGGGATATTGTTTGTTGGCAGGCACAGACGATAATAGAGTCGATAATATTGCACTTCGATTGTATTTGATGGCATTGCCGATATTGGTGAGATTTACTTGTTGGAATTTCTCGACTTGACCATACAGCTGGTTGAATACTTGGTCGTCTCGCTTGTCATATGCACCACTACCACTATACATTGACCGATTGTCTTTGTCTTGACCATACGGACAAATTGAAAGAGCATAGGTATATTTTAATGTTTTTTTAGCTTGAGGTTTGTTTCCCAATACCACTGGAATGAGTTCTTGTTCAAGATAGGTAACCATCTCCAACGAGTGTGCTTGTATGAATATAGTGTCGGTGTATCTAGTAGTAATGGTGGCTGCCTTTTCATTATTAATAATCCATCGAATGATATCGACACGATCCATTATGACTGCCATCTGTACCTCTTCAAACAATTGTCTATGTTTTGGTGTGTCATCCTTTACAACAGACTGCAATTTGTTGGCTACCAAGTATAAAAGACAGTCGGAATGAGAGTTTCTTTTATAAACGAGTGTTTCCAAGAGTGACAAATACAATGGTTCATCTCGATGTTTTATCCAGAGTATAATAGACATTCCTTCATGACTACTACACTTGTTTTCCAATGCATGTGTCAATGCCAGACTAGAGTAGATTTGACCGGTATTAAATTGACAAACAAATTGAAAGGTTTCAAGAGAGTGTAGAGCTGCATTGTCTTTGGCACGAGTGGTACACGGTACTTTGACAGTCTCCAACAGATACTGAATAACCTTTAGGTTGCCATTTAGACAAGCAGCTTCGACAGCTTCTTTAGTGGTTCCTTCTTGTCTTGTTTCATGGAGGAATCGAACGACGTCATAGTTGTTGGTAGAACATGCTTGCTCCATGGTGGCTGGTGTAAAAGTCGGGCCGAGGAATCTATTCTGCGACATGTATCTGAGTATGTCGATACTGCATAACCCAAGGTTTGAAAGATCGACATTGATGTAGTGGTCGGGGTCACTCTCCAAATGTCTGATTTTAGGTGTACTCCCATTCCTTGCTTTTATCAGCTCTAAACAATGGATAATGACATGTTGGTTGATTGGTGTCAGTTTGGCAGTTGCACAATGAAACTTATTGTTGTTGACTTTGTACAAATCTTTGAACAACTCCAAGTGACCATACTGTATTGCACCCTTTTGAAGATAATACATGATTGATTGATCTTGACCAGTAGTAGTAGTGGTAGTAGTACCATACCTATTATAAATATAATCTATTATATTTCTATGATTATATTTACAAATGATATCAATTATCTTTTCAATATTTGGTATAAATATTAAACTATGATTATTATTAATATTATTAGAAGAGGATGATGAAGAGGATGATGAAGTAGAGGTAGAATTACAAAGTGAACCAGCATAACCAAAAGTATTAATACATTGTGATAACATTTTGTTTGTATTTTGATTGAATTGATCGTCACTGCCACGGTCTTGACCATCAATATTTAACAAGTTTAATCTTATCTCTTGTGACTCTAATACCGGTGACAATTCATTTAGATAACCTCTAGCAGCCAATTGATACACATTCTCTTTTAATTGGTTCCATCGATACAGGTGTAGTCGAGGAACAAACCGCGACGGTTCAGTTGCTCTAAATGCTACTTGATGTTCATTATCAATCTCTTCTTGATTGATTGTTTTGATCAATTCAAATATTAATCTTTGAATATATCTATTTCCTATTATTCTTTTAAATAATAAACTATTATTACAATAATTATTTATATTACTAGTATCTTGTTCATTCATTATTCATCTTTCTTTGTACTGAAAAAATTAATTAAAATTTTATTCTAACCCATCTCTCTCGCTCGTCTTTATTTTCATATTTTCATTCTCCCTTCTTTTCGATAGTTATTCATTTCATAGGTCAATTAGTAACTTTAGATTTTTAGTTATATATATAAATATTTAAACTCTCAGCAAGTTCACAAAGAGACTTTTTTTGGTAATGTTGGGTTTAAAGCTAACCTTAACACGTAGTCCGACCACCTCGGCTGTTGATTGGGTTTGCACTCGATCATTGTTTTAAAACAATCACGATCAAAGAAGCAAAGAGACCGATCCTACTTTTTTGTTTTCACGGGATGGGTTGTCTGTGACGGATTTAGCTTCGATCATTTTTGTGTAAACCCATGACATTAAGACCGACTGGCGTGCCCGATCATCTCTGCATTGACATGTATCCATCATGTGATCAACAACAACAACAACAGAATTAGCTTGGTCTAGTAGTTGATTCTACCAAAGGTCCGATCCCTCTCTCCTCTTCAACAATATCCATCCCCTCCATCCCTCCCTCATTCTTTATTTTCTCTTTTTCTTTTATCACTCTCATTTTATATTTAAATCTATCCAAAAGAGAGAAGGAATGAAACTTTATAATAGTTTATTACTTTATTTTATATTTTTAAATATTTGTATTAATAATGGATTAATCAATGGTTATTTGATTAATGGTTTTGAAGAAGGATCATGTGAATTGATTCAAAATAATTCAATATGTGCACCGTTTATATACTCTGATATCAACCAGCAACAACAACAACAACAACAATATGTTTATATACCACAAAATACAACTTTAACCAATTTAGAATCAGATTTAAAAGGTTATTTTAGTGTTTTTTCAATTTTAGATAATCCCTGTAAATTATATATCCAACAACTTCTTTGTTCAATTAATTTTCCACCATGTAATAATATAACAATTGTCGATCCAAACAATAATAATAACACCAATTATAATATTGTATTACCATCATATCCTTGTTTTAATGTTTGTGGTATGTTTAATAATACATCAAAAAAAAAAGAAATCTTATTAATATTAATTTATTTAATTTAATTTTAGATATTGCATATCAATCATGTGCTGGAATTCAAGAATATTTACCACAATGTAATGGAGCTGCACCTGGTGGTGGTGGTATTCCACAATTCCCTCAAACAACAAGTACATTTAATATTACAATCAATGGATCAACAAGTAGTAATATTTATCAAAATGAAACAACTCAATGTAATCATAATTATATTGGTCTTGGTGTATTTGGTAAATTATAATTAAATAATAATTAATTATTAAAAATTGGATTATAAATTAATTTATTAATTTAATTTTATTATTATTTAGGATGTCCATCACCATTGGTATATGCACCAAATAGAACAAAAGATCTTTATTTTGGAATAAGTGGAGATTGTGTATTACCATGTCCATTTGAACTATGGGAACATGATAAAGAATTATTGGTCAAGAATATTATCATCGTACTATCAATTATTAGTTTTATATGTTCTCTTTACTTGTATTCAATGGTTTTTTACCAAACAATATAACATCTACAAATGAAGCTATTTTATATGTTGCTATTGGTGCTTTTTTACTTGCTATTTCACAATTTCAAAATGTATGTCTAAACTCAAACAAACAAACTATTTATATTTATATCTTTTTTTATTTTTTTTGAAGCAATTTGAAAAAGATTTTCAATGTTCACAAGAAGATCCAGGAAGATATGTAGTTCAATCAGATGTTAAATGTGGTATTAATGGATTCTTGTTTCAATTGGGTGCAATGTTATCGGTACTTGGTTGGACACTATCTAGTTATGATTTCTATCGAGCTATTCATATGTTGCCAGTCAAGAAATCATTCTATTATATCCGTATTGCAGTGTATGTGGTCATTGTGCTATTGGTGTTTATCCCCTTTGCAGGACAAAAGTATGGTAGTACTCTTGTGAGCAGTGGTTGTTGGATCACTGGTGACAAGACAGACCCATGGCCATACATATTCTTTTATGCCATCGTACTTCCATGTATTGTATATATTGTATGGTGTACTGGATGGACTACTAAACGTATCTACGATGTTTATAATCATATCCAAGGAAAAGCTGTTTTATTTTATAATGTAAATATTAAAAAAAAAAAAGAAAAAGAAATAATAATAATTAACAAATTTATTTATTTTCTTTTATTTATTTAACCTTTAGATTAAATTATTAGTGGTAATGATATTATTTTTATTTAGTGCAGTATTTGCAATATCATATAAATTTTATATGGATCAACAAGCAGATGAAATTCAAGATGCCCTAGAGTTGTGGGTTAGATGTATATTGGAAAAGGGTGAGACTAATTGTCGGTTGAATATTCCTGATTTCAATCTCAGACTTTTAGAAGCTATTACAACAAACACTTGGGGTATACTTGGTTTTATAGCATTTGCACTGGATGCATCACTGATTACAGTTATCAAAAAATCAGACCGAGCCAACAAGATGTTGAAATATTTTGGATTCCAATTCCAAGTTGAAGACGATCTGGCCAAGAGAAAGGCATCAATGTCTACAGCTGGTACACGTCTTGCCAGAGTCAGAGCAGCAACTATTTTAAATACTACCTCTTCCACTTCTACATCTACATCTTCTTCTTCTACTACAACTAGTACTAGTACTGCCACTGATGATAATAATAGTGGTGTTTCTATTGTTTATAATAATTAATCACAACTCTTGATCTTCTTTCTTTCCACACACCCATTATAATCCAAAAATAATAAAAAATAATAATATAATAATGCCCACACCCAACCAAACCAAAGCCACCACCCCAACCTATCGAAAAAAGAAGTCAGAGGATACCAGTTACTCATTCGTTGTATGATGATATCTTTCGTACAACCCACCCACATGAACAACAGGCGCTACTCTTTCGTCATACGAAAGCCGAAAAGGTGAAGCCAAACGATCAACCGATTACTCTCAACCAAATATCGTCCAATATCTTTTTCTTTAGATATTTTTTTTTGAAATATCTAAATGAACATCATGGAAAATTCTCGATGGGTAACGATCAACAGTCAAAGCCGATCTGAACAACTAATCAGAAAAGTATTCTTCATAGCCTCCAGGGTGATCCATCCCTTTAAGTTCGGGGTAAGGTGGCCTAAAATATCCTACATTTTTGTAAACAATAATAGATCTAGATTTTTTGTAAAAAAAAAACACTGCAAATGATGTGAAAGAACACAACTATCATCCAAACAAAAAAAAAAAAAAGAAGATTATTCTTATTCTTATTCTCTAACATCTTCATTCTTATATTCATTCATTCATTCTTTTATTATCATACCCATTATTTATTTATTTATTTTATTTATTTATTTATTTATTTGTGTATTATTAGTTATTTATTTATTTATTCTAAAAAAAAATGGGAAGGTATTTCTCAATATCTTTTTTTTAATACTAGCATTAGTTTTTATTATCAATAATGTAAAGTATAGTAATGCTCAAACACCAGCTACTATTGTGTCCATTGAGCGAATTGGACAAGAATCCTACTCAAGGAGAGATGCTTATCCTCAATGTTTTATCAACTTGAAGGTTGTTTACGACAAAGAGTTACCAATTGATGGTTCCATCTCTTGCGCCAACTGCACTTCTGCAGCGGGAAGCTATATCATTCCCAGAGAAGCTGGCTTTGAGCCAAGTCCCAATGTAGCCTATGCCTATAGATTCCAAATTGCTCAACCCAGTGTTTGGATATCAGTCTCTGACGATTTGGGATTCAACTATTATTTAGGAACTTATTCTTGTGAGAGTATGTATAGAGAAATTAAAAAAAACAAAACAAAACAATCCAATCATACCTACTCTAATAATCTTATCATATTTTTACAAAAATGTATATTTAAATATAGTCATGCCACAAGGACCATATACAGTTGAAACATTTGATCAAAAAATGTTACCTTCTACAGATAATATTTATGCCGCCGTTTATTATTTCCGTATCAAGGAATTAGTCAAACCACTCTATGACGATCCTGGTATTTCCAAGGCTACTATTGCAGATCCCTACTCTATTTCTCTTTTCAATATTGTTTCGGTGGATCCTGTCACTGGCACATTGTTCAAGGTTGGCTTTTATTTTAACCCATCTCTCTATGCCAATTCTGCTTCAAGCTACCTATTGAACATTACCTCACTGTCGGCCTCTTTTCCCGATCTCATCTCCTTTGGCAACCCGATCACTTCGAATACTCCAATTGAAATATTGTTGGCGCCATTGGCCACTGTACCCAGTTCACCAACTGGCCAAGAGTTACTCAAAAATATCACACCCCTCGTCAACCCCCTCATCCAATTCCCATCGGTCGCATCAATGTTTGTCGAAAATGTCAACGTTGCAAACGGTGTACAAGTTGTTGCCTATCCATACATGACAATGATGCAGTACTATTACCAAAAGATGATCATCTATCCAATCTCTGGATCCCCTTCAAATGCCACCATCCTCACCCGATTCCCAATCACTTCGGATGAAGCCTATCCCAAATTTGATCTATACTATTTCGGTCAAAATTCTATTACAAAAGATCTCAATCAATTTTTAAGTTTTTCTTATCCAGGTAAGTAAATTAACTAAACCAATCACATCAATCATCATCATCATCACGTGTACTTATATCTTTATAATTTTTTCTTTTATTATTTTTTTTTATTTTAGATCAAATACAAAATGAAGCATTCCAACTCTATTCTTTAACATCAAACAATGCAACTAGAAACTATGAAGTTGATATTGGATTTAATAGTGAGACGCTAACTGTAAAGGCTGGTTCTAGACATTTGACACTACAATATCCATTTGGATTTGTAAGCGATAGTTCTTTTAGTCCTGGTATCTATAGAATCAATCTTCCTGCTCAAAACTTTGATTTATACGATTCCCTTCCAGCCATTCTTTTTGTTTATCAAGATCGAGTATTGGTAAATCAATCAGATTCTACCATGGGAGGTATTACTCCAGGTATGTATATAAAAAAAAACATTAAAATAATTATTATTTTGAATACTAACTGTCTTTTTCTTTTTCTTTTTCTTCTTCTTCTTCTTCTTCTTAGTATCTATTGGATTAAAATTGGGTGTGATTGATTATTTAATGTTACCAGGATCAAAGATGGTGATAACTGTTGGTGTTGAAGTATTAACCGTTCCACTGAAAAAGATATGTTTTAGTAATGCATATTCAGGTTGTTCCTATTCAATGGATGACACTAATTTAATCGATACAGCTTCCAATGGCTGGCCCATTTACCAAAAGGTTGTACCAGTTGATTTTACTCTTGATATGGTTAGAATCATTGATAAAAGTAATTTTGATTCTCAATACTATTTGTATGATACTGGTAATTCTTTAATCAAACCACCTCCCTTTTTCAGTAAGTCAAACAAATCAATATATATTTTTAATTCAACTTAACAATATATTAATACTTTTTATGTATTTATTATTATTTATAGAATATAATATTGAAGAGATTTCATTATTTAAATTTAATCAAACGATTGTTGATGTATCATCTGGTAGTGTTTCAAATTATTTAATTTTGAATTTTACAAGTGATGCCAATATTGATCATATGATTTATGAACCTACTCTTATCATTCTCAATGGTCAAACTACCAATGAATTACCAGATCCTAGAAATGTATTCAGAGGTAAATGGCAAGATGAAATCCAAGCCTATGTCATTCCATTTGTCGTTCCAATTGGTCTCTATCCAGGACCATTAAACTACCGTCTCCCAATTGACTTGGAACTTTCTTATGACTATCAATCTCTTTCATTGGTAATTGGTCAACAAGATGCTATTATTAATGTTGTAAATTCTAAAGGTATGAAAAAAGTCAAAAAAAAACAATAATATTATTGTTTTATTTATATATTTATTCTTTTTTCTATTTTCTTTTTAAAGGTGCCGATTTAATTCCACCACAAGTAGTATCAGTTATAAAATCACCAAATAATACTACATCATTTGGTTATGATATTGAAATTGAAGATCATGCTAATGGATTCAAGAATGGAACTTTAATTGTTATGAGAAAATCTGATCCTTTCTTTAACTTTTCTTATCCATTTGACCAATCTAATATTATTCAAGGTGGAAATGCCAATCATGGAGTTTATCGTATCTGGATCCTCGATTACAGTTCCTTTAGAACAGCAGATGTCATTGAAATCCGATCCATTGAAACTGAAGATTTTGGTTTTGTTTCAACCATTGGCAATAGAGATTCTTTTACATCTTTTACTATTTACCAACCAACTTTACCACCCCCTTATAACAAGGAAGCAAATAGTAAGTTAAAAAAGTTTTAAACCACCCTTGAAATTAATAATAATAATAATTAATTAATTCTTTTTTTTTTATTTTATTTTCTTCTTTATCAGCTTCATTACCATTTGATAGAGTACCACCAATTGTTATACCACCAAATATTCCAGCTACTTTTGTTTCAGATGGTGTGGATAGAGATATTATATTCAATGCAACCGTCACCGATGAACTGTCATTGATTTCAATGATACATATTCCAAAGGCATATGTAGTGGATGATTTCGAGGTGATTGCTATTGTCGATGGTGTCATGGTTGATTCAAACGCAAACAAGTCATCTGTAGTATTCCAATTCAAGTATACTGTGCCAATGAGAATGAGTAGAATGTTGGCATTCTATGTCTACAATTTTGCAGACAGTCTGTTTAATTACAACGGTAATACGGTTCCAGTCATGTGTGATGTTCAACCAATTAATCAACGTGTACCTATTATCTATTATGTCTCTGAACCATTCAATGTAAAGGATAGTAGTGTGTTGTATGTCTATGGTATCAATTTTGGTGATAGTAACTTTTTATTCAACTTTACTGGAACCTATGAACCATACTCTCCCACCTTTTCATCAGACACACTCCTCATATTCAACGTTGGAGCCATCCCGTTGATTCAAGGTCCAATCGGTGGGTACTGTGATGCTGGTACATTCCAATCTGACATTGTCGTCATCAACCCTAGAGGATCACATTCTGTCAACTTTACAATGTGTGCATCTGGGTGTCCCCAAAACATGCATTGCGGTTCCTATGGAGCATGCGTTTGTAACACTAATTTCTACGGTCCACTCTGTCAAGACTCTGTCATTCACATTAACCCATCACACGGTTCAAACTCTCCAGACACTACCTACAATGGTACTACCAATGGTGGAAATGGAACAAATAATGGTGGCAATGGTGGTGAAAAGTCAGTGGTCTATGGAAAGATATCAGTTGTTGAATTACGTGAACTTGATTTGGATGACAATGTATTACTTCGTCACCCATTCTCTACTTGGCAATTAGACAATAGTAGTCTCTCTTTGGTTGGAGCAGATTATCTTTTAAAGTATAATACAACAATTGCCAACAACCAAACCAATGTTTTGGTAGAAGTTCAATACTTTTCAAAGGGTAGTCAAGTACCATACCTTGACGGTACACTCGATATGGAACCATCAACAGTCAAATACGGTGTCTCTATGGACTATTATCCATTCTCTCAAGGTACCAATACTCTAGAGTTGGTCATGTCTGTCAGCTTGGAGAATCAAGATGCATCATGTAGTGTTGTTGAAAATGGAGACTTGGATGACGGTTTTAGTAAATACCAATACATTAAAACCAAAGTTGATGATATTACACTCTATGGTAAATTTATTAATCTAGCTTCGATCGACGATCACAAGACTGTCATTAAATCTCGTCTATTGGATGAATCAATGAATGAAATAGAATCAACCTCTACCAATTCAGTTGCATTTATCGCCATTTCAATTCCTCATTATTCAACTTCAATATTTATTGATCCTGGTAAGAATTCAAATTAATATCAACAGACATTAATTTAATAATACTTTTATTAATTTCTATTTCTTTTTTTTATTTAGATTTCTCATTATTATTTGATAAAGAAGAAGCATCAGAATCTGATCATTCAATTTGTGAGTCTAGTGATGATGGTCCAGACTACAAATTAATTGGAATTATTGTTGGATCTGTTGTTGGTGCCATAGCAATTGGTATTGCATCGGTCATGTCTTACAAGAAATGGAAGGTTGCCAAAGGTCATGAACGTGCAATGAAAATGAAATTAAATAGATTAAAAGTATAAATCAAACAATCAAACAAACAAACAAACAAATTATTTATTTATTTATTTATTTATTAATAATTAATTAATAATAAATCATATACCTCTCTAATTCAAATATAAAACATATCATTTTTTCTTGAATCATCACTACCAATATTTATTTATTTATTTATTTATTTATTACCAATCATTATCATTATTATTATATTTTGGCATTTCATATTGATCAATGATTCCAATTAAATAAGAATCAATATTTAATTTAGCTGTATCTGAAATAAATTCAATTCTTTTGATATCCTTTAATAGATAGTTGTTTTGTTTGACTGTTGTGAAATGGTAGCGTTCGGTTTCATCACATTGGGTATGTTCGATTAAGAATTGGAGAGTACTTCTTTTACCAGACTCGCTGGCTGCTTTTTGCATCCATATCATTTGCTTTTTGTCAACCTTGAATCTAGAAAGAACCTCTTTAATATGTTCGGATCTTCCATATGCCGATACTGTCGATGCTATATGCTCGAGGTTTAATCCTTGCTGCTGGTTAGGTTGCTTTGATTTCATTTCCATGTAATCAATCAATACTTTGAATAGGTAGAATTTATCCATGTCAAGAAGAACCACTCCAAACAACATTGAATGTAAATCGTCCCATAAGATATTGACATAGTCTCCATACAGACGATACACATCTCCACCCAATAATGATGCAATTGCCAGTTCAGTTTGTTGAATACTCTCCGAACCATATCCCAAACATTCAACCGTACCGATTCCATATGGATTTCTTTCTCTCTCTTTTCTGATATATTCTCGCAATATGTAATCACCTTTAAATGACATGGCACAATATAATGCCTCTTGACTTGGTAGATATGATAGACATTGCAAGATGTAATCGGTAAAGTATTCTGTTGGATGTTCGATTGTTGTTGGACCAAACTTGCGAGCAAAGTGACTATTTTCAAACAACAATTTTGACATGTCAATATAGTCTTGTCTAGTTGCCTTGGCATGAAGCGAGAATGCAATCTTGGCATCTTCAGCAAGTCGTATATTTGGGTTTGTTCTTGTACCAAACAACAGACCATTGTCTGCAATAAGTCGAACCATTGCAAAGTTGCATTGATGTATGGCCACATTGAATTGTCGTAAGGAAAAATCCATTCGAATCATGTCAGAGCTGAAATCCCAACCTTCCATATAGTTGAATGTCCCCAACGAGTCACCAACACATGTTGGAGTAATTCTTAACCTCTCGTAAACATGTCTGGCTTGCTTGATGGTTAATATACATTCCGATGTGAATAGAAATGAGCCGGGGTTGGCTAGTACATCGTTTTCTTCAAGTGCATATAGTATTGGATGGTCAGTCTTTACTAAATAGGCCATGACTGCCTGATGGTACCATTCACAATCCCAAATAGTCAAAATGGCCATTGGATAGTAGATTGGATCTGTGGTGTCTTCTTCTCCTTTGATTCTTTCTTGTAAAGCTGGAATGGGAGCGTCTAAAATTGGTGCAACTGTGTTACTCTCTAGGTCCATGTCAACGATTTGCTTGATTGACTGGTATATGGCTTTAAATGGCATCAAACTCTTTGACAGATGTTCGGCACATTCGATAGCATTGGTTGATTTAGTGACAGCCTTTTCAACCTCTTCTTGAATTTGTGCAAGTGTCCTACTAGACTTGCTACCCCAAATACACTTTTCCAAGTGATTTGCGAGTACCCAGTTGAGCAGATCCGTGTGACCTAGCAATGACTCTAGATTAAACTGAATCTTGGCAACCTTGTGTGTTGCTGCTTGTTTGTCTTCCTTGGCCAATACAAATTGTATCATTTCAAGATTGGTTGTTTTAAAGTTGATACAATTAAATGGTAGGTACCCTTCTTCTTCTTCTTCTTCTTCTTCTTCTTTTTGCCAAGTACCATGGACGAGATTACCAATCGATAGGGAGTTGTTTGAATGTTTGAATCTTCTTGCTCCGATAGTGACATGGTGGTCGTACAAGTAGTCGACCAATTCAAACGAGTTTGATTGGATTGCATAACTTAGTGCATTGTCTCCAATTGGCAATTCAAACGGTTTCACTTGATCGACCATCATCTTTACAATCTCTACGTCACCTCTGAGACAAGCATACTCGATGCTAGCACAATCACCACCACAAAAGAATAAAGGGTCACGATGATAGATGGATAGTAGCAGTTGACGATCCTTGATCTTTGTAAAGAACAGTTCGATGCCACTATCACATTCCCAGAGCGGTGCCAATTCACCCCGATCCGACAACAACTTTAGTAACTTTTCATAGCCATTCTCGAGTACCCAACGTGCATTTGGTAATTCATTATACCTATAACTCTTTTGTTGGTGTTGAAGTGTTTGACCAATTGATTGTACCAATCCAACAATCTTTCTAAACAAAAAACAATTATTGAATACTGGCTCGATTGCATTATTACTACTACTTTTGTTGTGGTTGTTGTTGTTGTTGAATACTAAACCATCATCTTGAGGATTTAATTTCATTCTTTTGGTTGGTGTTGTCATCATTGTGAAGTGAAGGGATAGAGAATAATGAATAAGGAAACAAATAGCCGATCGCGATGCGCAGACAAGAATGATGGTCGACCATCATCTGCATCGAAAAAAAATCAAAAAAAATCGATCTGTCTCGGCTTGGTCTTCTTTTTCAAACTCATATTTTTAAAAATAAATATTGCGGGAATGACTTAACAAAGTCTCCTCTCATTGTCTTTTGGTCAGATTGAAGAGACATGACTACTACGACTAATACGACGAGTATAACAACAATAAGTAATCAATTATCTGGAGTTGGATGGAAACACTTTATCATTGATTCAGAAAACTACTATATCAAATCAAAGTTTAGCAATGATAGCTACTCTATCATATTGACTGATCTAGTACTCGTTTGGTACAAATATTCATCTATTGATAACATTATAAAGGATAAATCGGTATGACATCAATGAATGGAAGAAAGAATATATATATCAGAGAGGACAAGAAGGAGTACTTACTACAAGTATATATTATATGTTTGTTGATGTTTGTTTTGTGTAGAGATTCAACAATCATTTGGATACCAAGATTGAAAAGGTATTGGATATACTCAACGAGAAACTTATCGATCAGAGAAGTGATACAACTTATTCTATTGAAATTAATAGTGTATGTATATTATGTAGTATTGATTGATGAATGAAACACTGAAAGTATTGACTCTTCTTCTTCTTTTAATTCATCATGATGCTAGCATTCATATGAAGCAAGTTTAAATATATCATCAAAATTATCATTCTATACATTTAAATGGTCATTTGAATGTGAACCAATGGAAAAAGAGACCATATTGAATGTCGAATCTAGAAGATTACATTCATTGTACATTAAATCAAATTTTATTAATCCTTTATTATATCTCTCTCAACATCAACAATCTGAAATTAAATCATTACAACATCAACAGCAACAACATCAACAACAATTACAACAACAACAACAACAACAAAATACTAATACTAATAATAATAAGTTAAACACAAATCATACTGTTGGAGATAAAAGGTCAAGACAATATAATTCAACATCAAGTTTAAACTATAGAACTCAAACAACCTCAACTTTAAATATTAATAATAATAATAATATAAATAATAATAGCAGTAATGTAGATATTAATATAGATTTCAAGAATCAACCAAAATTTGATCTATGTCAAGACTCTACCATTCAATTCTTTACAAAGTATCACAATTATTTGACCAATTTGAATAATAGTAATAATAATAATAATCAACACCAACAACATGATATATCTGATGATCCATATATGTTGAATAGTTCATTATCAGGTATTCATAATACCAATATGGTCGGCGGCGGCGGTAGTGGATATTTCTATGATTCATCACAAACATCAGGATTAAATTCTCAACATAGTTCATCACTGTCATCTTTAGATTTTGATGGTTCTCAATCATCATTACAATTATATTATGAAGAGGTATGTACAATTAATTGTATAATTAACAAATTAGAATAAGTTTATATATTGATTTATTTTTTTAATTTAGACACCAAAAAAGAAATATAATAATGTAAAATTAAAGGATCGTCATGGTAATCATAATAGTAATAATAATAGCAATATAAATTTACAATCAACACTTACAACACTTGCAAATTATAATTCATTGGATAGTAGTAGTTTAGATATCAATAATAATGGCAGTTTTAATAATAATTTGACATCTTCATTTGATGCTACAACAACTTCATCATCATTCTCCAACAACAACAACTCCTCTACAATAGGTGGTGGAAACAACTCTAATTCTAAAAGAGTAGTATTGAATCTTTCAACCAGCAGTAGTAATATTCAACAACCAAACAACCCACCACCTGATGACGCAAGTAATGAACAAGATGAACTAAGAAGAAGATTAGAGATTCAAGAGAAATTAGAGAGTGCAAAGAATAAAAAACAGAAAAAGAAGATCAAATTGATTTAATTTATTTATTATTTATAATAATAATAAGGACCATCGTATCGTATTGTAGTAGATTTAAATATTATTTCTTTTATCGATTGGTACAAATGGAGGATCAATAACAATCAACAATCTATCACAATTCAACATACAAACAATCAACATTACATTTTTCAATCCAACCAAACAACTTGAAAAATCATGTCAAATAACATCAAAACAAGGAACATCAGTCACTTGGTTCCACCTCTATCTGGATTTCATAATGTAATTGTATTGGTGATAACTTTGGTGATAACACAAATAATCAAGTATCTGTCAATGTTTCAACATCTGAGATTCCATGTAATATTATGTTTGCATCATCAACTCAGATTATTTGTAAACTAAAATCAACCCTTTTTGGAAATACCAAACTCCTACCCATTTCAATTTCAGTTGAACTGTTTATACTCGAACATTTAAACCTCATATTTGTATGTTATGTAAAAAATTCATTCCTACTCTTAATCTTTGATCATTTTTAAAATCTAACTCCATTTTCCCTTTTATAGTCTGTGACAATAGATTCCATTCAACCATTCTATTTGGAGGAGAATATTAAAGAGTAGAGCAATTAATGATTGACAATATAACAATGGGAGCAACACCAAATGCTCCATATATTGGTGCAATTGAATCTAAAGAAATGTTACAATGCTTTAATCAATCACTGAATTTACTTGGATATGAAACATATAGATTTTGGCAAGGTGTATCATACAACAGTAATAATTGTATATGGAACTCAATTACTTGTTTCAATCAGTGGTAATTTTGGAATGGATCAATCATATGTTTTGGTATCAATCAATGAAAAACAATGTAAATTACCAAGATTTATTGGAAATGGTTTAAACAATTTACTTGTTTATTGGATATTTGTTGAACCAAACTCTACTTTTAACCAAGATGAATCTTACAATAATGTAACTGTAATAATTAGAGTTGCTGAAATGGTTACAACCAAAGTTACTAAAATGATTACATCTATTGCTAAAGAGTGTCCCAACAATTGTTCCAACCATGGAGTATGTATTCCAATACTTGGTGCTTGTGAATGTTACATTGGTTATCAATCATTATCAGATTGTTCATTTTTATTGGTAAAACCCCACAATTCAACCGATGAACCCAACTCTTTTGATATCAATTTTAAATCTGGAATTCAACTCATTCGAGAAATTGATCAAAACAATTCAACTATCGGATCCATTTCAATGGATAATGTAACTTGGGTGCGATTGAAACGAACATCTATTGGTATAACAGAAATTATTGGAACAATCCTTTAATCAAACTACTCGTTTCCAAGCCAAGATTGATCAACTCCAAAAACCCAAATATTCTTTTAAAATTATCGATTGGCTAGCCATGGTCATCTGAATCACCAACCAACGCACTCCAAGTGATATTCTATTCGAAATCAAAAGAGTGTCGTGGCGATCAAAATGTATGGACAAGACTTAAAATTGGAGAATGGCCACTTCATGTTTAGCAAGTAGCATGATTATTGGCAATGACACTACAAAAATCATTCCATCAAGAGTTACCATTCTTCCAAATGATGGTGATTCATTCTTCCAACAACAAAATGAAAACCAAGGATACAACCTTTTAACAGTATTTGATATCCCTCGATTCAACCAATCAGTTGAACTCGACCCATTCAATGCATACAATATTCGTGATGAATGTAAAACTGATAATGAAAATAGTGACGAACCATTTCAACTATGGCTAACCATCGTCATTTTCGGATGTATCATTGGTACTATTAGTTTTTATAATGGTTGTTGTCTCGATTATCAAGCTCATAATAGTCATCAAGAATCTGCAGAACCAAAACCCAGTTGAACCTGCTGAATTAAAGACAGTTCCAACTTATGATATTTGTCTTGAAGCTGAAAGAAAGATAGAAGATATTGACCAATTTTAAATAACGTATTGTATTCATTCCAACTAATTAAAATAAATTTAAATAAATATTAGTTGAACAAAAACTTTGTTCAAATTTATTTTTTGCTTGGTTAACCATCTTGAATATTCCAACATGTTTGGTTTCTCCTCCACTGGATGACTCTCTTCCCTTTTTTGATCCAAATAGATACTTTCCTTGTAGTTGGAAATAACATTCAAATTAAATTGCGCTAAGGTGTTTTGTAAAAAAAAAACATTAAAATTATTTTTTTTAAATAAAATAATCTATTATTATTATCTCTTTTGTTTTGACGTTGATCCACGTGCTCTGGTTAGGACTAAATATTTTATTTATATACACCCCCCACTGTTATTTAGTTATTTTGTACAAAAAAAATGATAGTCAGTCTCATCTTTTAGTAAAATGATTTTCTAGATGACTATTAAAATCACTTTTCCAACCAATATATGTATGAGTACCTTGAGAAAAGTCTCGAATAAGAGTGATGGCACCTAAAAGATAGGGTGCTATACCGATCGATTCGGCATACCCATCTCTAATGGCTCTGTTGGTTTCAGAGTTGGGGTCCTTGGCATCGGGTCCTTTTGGTTGTTCGGTGTTTAGTGCCGCCGTTTGAATGCACGAGAGGAGGGAGCGTCCGTGCTCATTGTTTCTGATATATTTCGACCTTGCCATTACTACGAGGTCGTCCAGGCGATTGGGAACAGGTTTGGTACTGATGTCCACCAGCGACTCGTCGGAAATGACAAACTTGCGAAGGACGTTGAGGGTGGATGCGGTGCGGTCCCGCCACATGTGCACACTCTGTAGCACTGATAAATTAGTTTGTGCATTTGTAAGGGGAATGGCTCGGTGCCATAGATTCGACTTGTCAGGTGGCGTGGTACCCAATGCCACATCAATGTATACTCTAAGCTCTTGTTGCATCCACTCCATGCGATCGAGTTTTACGAGTCGTTGCATAAGTTCTTCGTACGCCGGCAACAAGTATCCCACGTCATCTTTGGCATAGTTGATCTGCTCTGACGTGAGGGGTCGCACCGACCAATCCGATCTCTGTTGTCGCTTGTCAATCTCCTTGTTGTACAGCTCCTTGACAAGGTCCTTGTATCCAATCTGTTTGTCTGTGAGTCTACACAGTCCCGCAGCAATCTGTGTGTCAAACATGTTGACGGGCATCACATTCAACGTGCGATACAATACTTCAATGTCCTTGCTTGCGTCGTGAAACACTTTGACAATGTCTTGACTCTTCAGTATTGCAATAAACGGTGTCATGTCTTTACACTGGATGGGGTCAATCACCGTCGCCTCTTTTGTCACATTGTCTATTACTTGTATCAGACATAGCTTTGCCCAGTAACTCTTTTGTGTGTCAAACTCTGTATCTATCCCTATTACCGTCACTCTAGATCCTATCAATCTATTACAATATATTATTAATTCTTTGTTATTTTCTATATACATAGTTTTATCTGTACAGATTATTATTATTACTGTTATTTAAAATGATGATGATGAATCTTTTTTGTTTTTTGAACAATCCAAAGATGCAGTTTTATAATTTATATTTTACAGTATTGGATTCAATAAAGAAACTGTAGTTAGATAGACATCGATCACTTCAATTATTAAATAATATATTATCAGGGCCATGATACTAAAACAGAGTACTCTTGTTGTGAACCAATATTAAAAAATAATTTAAATCTTTATCCTCTCGCTCCCTCTCTCTAACTAGTTTGTTTCTATTCTATTAGATAATTTGATATTGATAAATAAATAAAACTATCTTGTATACTCGAGAAATCAAAGCTGTCAATATTCATTGATCAATGGTTGAATGTGTGGCGCTACCCAAATTTGAGGCTTTTTGAAAAAATCTATCACCTACTTCTTTGAACTTGAACAACCAAAATATCTTCTACCGCGATAAGGTCAAGAATCGATATTTATATATAATAGGAGGGATGGAGACTTTCATAGCAAAAGCAACCATTTATTATTTTATTTATATCTATCATTTAAACCTTAAACAAATAAAGAAATGTCAATCTACGAAGATATTATTAGATCACAAGTATGAAATCATCATTCAGGAAGAAATCGGGTGATCATGTGAAACAACACCACTAACATTCAAAATTTCTTCAACTTTTTATAGGTTAAACAGGTAATTACTACAATACAAATAGAACAATACAACAACATTCATCAACAACAACAACTAACTTGGATCCACACAAGTTTATGGTGTTTGATTTTTAAGGACCTTTTTTTTTATTTTTTTAATTAAATAATCCTATACCAATATAAGATACAAATACTAATATATATATATATATCTACTACTACTTTCTAGGGTAATTTTGGAGGAAAAAAAGGACCCTTTGCCTACTTGGCTGACAAGAAAAAGAAGAAACCAACCAAGGAGATAAAGTTTGAAAATTGGCTTGCTTACAGTGTTACAGTGACGTCGGCAGAATTGTTCAAGGCCACAGACAGCAATGGTCTCTCTGATCCATACGTCAGAGTTGGAAAGGTTGGAAATGATGGTCTCTTTTCTAAAAAATGGGTACTCCAAACACCTGCCATACCTAAGATCCAAAGGACCACAAGATTGTAAACGCCAAGGTTACATTCTCATTTAGATGTACTGATAGTTGCACAAAAGATAAGTTTTTTTCTTTGTACAGTTCTTCTACTTCTATTTAAATAAAATAAAAGTACTATTTTTTATTAAATTAATGAATTGTACCAAAAGAGAGTCTGCTGATCACTTCTCTAAAATTGGCTCTGGTTTTCAAGAACAACATAATCACCGAAACCACTATCCAAAAAATATGTCTATATTATGAAAGGTTATGGATCTCGATACTCAATAGGATTATTTTTTTATTTATATACAATCAAACAAGTCTTGGCACAAAATGTTATTTATAATATTCATGATAGAACAGTTACAATATTGGATGAGACAAATATGGGAGATGTAAATAATTATGTACCATTGATTGCATTTTATTCAACCGATGCACCAATCATTGATAGTGTTACCAATATAATACCTGGAATGGCGTCGATGGTTACAATCAATGGAGATCATTTTGGAAAGGATAGTTCATATGTTTTAATATCGATGAATGGAAAACAATGTAAACCACCAAGATTTGTTGGAAATGGTTTAAACTAATGACTTGTTTATTGGATAATTCGTCTCCTGAATCAAGTAATAATTCAGATAATTATATTGTATCCATTAAACTTATTGGAATGGTTACAACAAAAGTGATATCCAATACACTTTCAAAAGAATGTCCTAATAATTGATCAGGACATGGTGTATGTAATCGACAATTTGGTAGTTGTCAATGTGACAGTGGTTACAACTCTTATTTAGATTGTTTAGCAGTAGTAACCCCAAACCAACAATACAACACAACAGTTGGAGATAATGGTACATCAACTCTATCAACAAATGATACTAGTCCAGGAATAGTTACCAATTTTACAACTAGAATTCAATTAAGAGAGATCAATCTTGATCATTCAATCATTCAAACTATATCAATGGATAATATAACGTTGGAACTATTGAATCATTCATCTACTGGAGAATCAATATTTATTGGAACAATGTATAATCAACCAACTAAAATACAAGTCAATGTTAATCAATACATTGATACCAACACCAGTTCATTTTTAGGTGAAGATATTCAAGTACCATCAAATTCAATCAAATATACAATTAAAATCATTGATTGGGTATGGTCATCACCTATCAACACACTTCAAGTTATATTCCATTCGAAATCAGATTCGGTTGTATATGATAAATGTGGAGTTGTGAGAGTTAAAAGTGAAGTATCACCAGGTGATCAAATTGTATGAACTAGAGTTCAAGTTGGACGATCACTACTAAACTGTAAAATAGCAAGTAGAATGATTATTGATAAAGATAAAATCATTCCATCAAAAGTGACTATTCTTCCAAATAATGATCCACTCTTCTCCTCTCAACAAATGGTCAACCAAGGATACAACCTTTTAACAGTATTTGATATTCCACAGTTCAAACAATCAGTTGAACTCGATCCATCATTCAATGCAATTATGGTTGGTGATGATGTAAATAGTTGGCCTGATGACAGTGAATGTGACACAGAACAAGAATTTTCACTTTGGAAAGTGATCATCATTGTTTTATGCGCAACATGTGTACTAGTATCTATTATTTTAATAGTGATTGGTGTAATGAAACAAGAAAAATTAAAAAAAGAACATAATCTTAGAATGGTGCGAATATTAAATATGAACCAAGCTGAACAGAACAACAACGAACAAAACATTAGAAATAAATAATAATACAGTAAATTAGGGTCAGTTTCTGGGTGGGAAATGGGGTTTCTTTTGTCTGATATCGCCTTTAATAGAGGAATGTCCATGTTGAGAGTTCTGGCGGCTTCAATTATTTTATACTCCAACGGGATGCTTCCGGTATCTTTGACAACATATTGAGGCTTTGGTGTTCTTTGTGCAAAGTTGATCAAATTTATTTGTTTGTTTGCAAATGGAACGACATGTTACTTTACAAAATATTGAATGGCAGGGGCCATGTATACGTAGGCCTCGTCTATCTCGTACTTTGCGTGAGATGGGACATTGTATGGAGCCAACTCCAGTTGGTTTATTCTCGTGGTCAACTCATCCAACTTGCGAAGGATGCTTCCTTCTGCAAAATATAATATTGAACTATATTTATTTATTTTTATGAAAACTCAAATTACTATTTGAGGTCACAACCCAAACCGTCACAAATCTATGAGGTTTAGTTCTCGTTAACTAAACAATGTGAAGGAATGCATTAGTCATTCTTCAGTTAGTCATTCTTATATATCTATATATATTTACACAATAAATTAGACAGTATATTCAGTGCCCACCAGAGGGCCATCCCACGGTATTATTGTATTCTGATACCATACTACACCAACCAACAGTATAACATGGTATACAAGAATAATACAACTATTAGTTAAATATTTAAGCAATAAGAATCAATTAAAGAATAATAATAACAGCAACAGTACATTATAGTAACTACAATTGTTAAATATGGACGTGAATAGTACACCTATAAGAACAATGTCGTCTTATCAAGAGTATGCCGATTTCGATGAACATTCAACAGCGAATCTAATCGACATGTTCAACAGTGTCTCTGAAAAGGATGTCGACGACATTATTCATCATCGTTTAACCTCAGAACAATTACTGGCCAGACTGCGCAAACCATCATTGTTATGGTCCGATGCAAACAACCTGGTGTTGATAGAGCTCGGAGTATTGTCGACTCCTGACATGGACAACAAGTCTCTCATCGATAGAATGTCCAGCTTTTTGGCTAAGTACAAACTCACCATCAAACATGGTGAGATGGCCTGGCAATAATTTCTCCACCAATGTCCCAACGATTGTGGTTTGAGTGTGTGCGAATCGATGACGAACTTTTCAATTGCGACGACCTTGGCACGATAGACTGGGTCACGTAATACGATCTTAAGAATAGGCGTATTCTTGTAGACGACGGCCATATTACCTTTGACCTGACTAATGGCCTATCGTGCCAAGGTCGTCGCAATTGAAAAGTTCGTCATCGATTCGCACACAATCAAACCACGTCAGCCAAGTGTGCCGTCAACCCCAGCAAGTACAAGGATGGTTATCCTTTGACAGGTTATGCCAAACGTAAATCTTCATCCGCGGCTAGAGGCCAAGGGAAGGGATCCAAATCTACCAGAGTCAAGTTGACCAAAGATCAAGATCTGGATGACAAATCGGTATGTACAGAGTTTACTGTCAAGAAGAGTGTCGACTCATCGTTATTTGTCAATGGTAAGATTGGCAATACGGATGTGTTCGTCGACATCGACACCGTTGCTTCTATAAATCTAATCCATTCTCATTTACTCTCTAGGATGATGACAAAATGGACGTGGAAGATTCCGGAAAGAAGAAAAAGTAAGGTGCAGATAGCTGGTATTGGTGATCAGCTAGTGGTACCTGTAGATGAAATAAATTTAAATCTAACGTTGCATACGTCTAAAAATAAATCTATCTCATTAAACTTACCTTTTCTTGTTATTGACACTGTGTCTAATACTGATTTATGTCTTGTTGGAATGAAATCATTAAAAGTACTATCATCTGTGATAGATATGAATCATGATTCGTTGTCTTGTTTCTTTTGTTACGTTTCGTAATTGACAGGCTAAATCTAGATAGTTCTTCTATTGCTTGAATTTTATCATCTTTTCTGATTCCATCATTCACAAGAAGAGTGAAGAGATCTTCTACTTTTGTGAGTCTGTTGTACGCTTGATGCTCGTCCTCCTCTCTTTCTTCATAGGATCGCTTTGCTGCTAGTAATCCGTCCCTCTCTGTTATCAACTCGTCTCGATGAGTTTCTATACTTTTCTTGTTTTCGTCTTCAACATCACAAAATGAGGACATCTATATAATTATATAGATGAGGACATTATATAATTATATATATAAATATGTACAACAATAATATTCAAAAAGAAGGGTACCAAATAAATAATATTTTTTCGTTAATGGGGATTTTAGTGTATCTTTTATTTTATTATTTTAAATTAAATTTAATTTAATCTTGCTTAATTTCCTTTTCAACAGCAGTAGTTGGTTGTTCAGAGGACTTGGCAACAACTGGTCTTGGCTTTGATGGTGAGAAGAAAACCCATCCAAGGAATAAACCTAAAGTGAAGAAAACTCCAAGGAATAACCAAACGTATACAATAATAGCATTCTAAAAAAAGAATTGAAAAATTAATATTAGATCCCTCATATAATAATATTAATTTGTAATTAACATACTTGAACTAAATCAAAGGTCTTGTTCCATGGTCTATTGTGAACAAAAGTACCAATGTTACCAGCACCCAAATAAAACTTAAGGTTTGCTTCGGTTGGTTCCATAGAGAAATCCTTCATTCCCTTACCTTCAAAGCTATATTAAAATATATATATATATATTTATATATTTAAATGGTTAATATAAACCATTTAATCAATCTTATCATACAGTACTATTTGGGATTTACATACAATTTAAAGGTTGGATAACCTGGGATTTGGTAGAGTTGACAGATTTCCTTTTCAACTTCACAGTTGATCTTTGCAAAATTGACAGTATTCTTGTAGTTGTTGGCCATCTTTTCAAAGGTTGGAACGTACTTTTTGCAGTATGAACACCATGGAGCGTAAAAGGCAACCATCCATTTACCATTGTAGGTTTGGTCAAAGTTGTCCTTGGTAAGTTCAACAATTGGAGCAGCAGCACCACCAGTAGATTCAACTGATCCACTAACAGCATTCTTGGTTCCAGTTGGCTTGGCAGCAAATGAATTAAATGATTCAATCTTTCTTTCACCTTGATATTCATAATATGATTTACCATTATCAGTAAAGCTAAAAATAACAACAATAGATAGATAGATAGATAAGAGTAAGAGAGGTTAGTTTCTTTTCTATAGTCTATTCTATATATCTATATAATCTAATTTCTACATACTACATAAGAGTTGGGTAACCTCTAACCTTGAATTGAGAACAGACAGACTTTTCTTGAGTACAATCAACCTTGGCATAGTTTGCAACGTCCTTGGCAGTCTTGGTAGCAAGTTCTTCCCAAAGAGGAGCAAGCTTCTTGCAATGTCCACACCATGGGGCGTAGAACTTGACGAACCAATTACCTCCACTAGCAAGGGTAGAATCAAAGTTCTTCTCTGTAAGGACTACAACCTCACTAGCTGGAAGATCTTGTGATGATACTACTGCAGCTGCAATAACTAAAAGAGTGACCAATGTAACAATAAACTTCATTCTTTCTATATATCTAATAATATAATCTTTATCAAACAAATGGGTAGAACTTCAAGTGAGAGAGGGTTGCCCGCTTCGTCAGCAAAATTCAAAAAAAAAAAAAAAAAAACCGATCTTCAGTTTGATCGTGTTGTAGTTTTGAATTGTTATTTACTTATTACTTTTTTTATTTATTAATATTTCTTTGACCAAAGAATTTAGTAAAAGAGGAAAGAGTTTTATCAACCTTGTTTATATATTTCTCGAGTAATTCAGTCTTGTCGCCAGCCTTGATACCTTTGAGTTCCATGATCTTTTGAAAGTCCTTGTCTGAACCTTCGGGGATGAGAGCATTGTATGTATCGACCAAAGCGTCGTTTGGACACCCAACCACCTTGAGGATAGCTTCGGCTTTACCAAACTCCTTGTTGACGAGGTTTGTGTAACGGGTATGTGAAGTGCCGTCTTTGAGTTTGCCTGGTAATTCGAGGAAACAAGTCTTGATAGTTGTGATATCGAGTAGAATACCTTGTGATCCAATCTCTGAAATCTTTTCGCACTTGTAGATGGATTGTGTGACTGAAAAGATAAAGCTAGCAGCAAATACATCACAGAAATATTTGTAGTGAGCGGTTGAGAGATGAGCAACAATCAAGTTGCTAGCGTCGTTGATGATCATCAAGATCTGGTCGACATAGGGTGAGTGATCACCAACGTATTGATGGTTAACCCAATCGATTCGTGTCATGGTCTGCATATGTGGTGCAAGACGTGCTTCAATACCACCAACCAACGATTTAATCGCCTTGGCAATGACACTAGAGAATTCATTTTGTTCAGGTTTCAAATCAATCTTTTCAACGTATGGTCCGTCAATCACTCTCTTGAATCTTTCTGTAATTTGATTAATCGTCTTGTTTACATATTCAGATGTATTAATAATAAAACATATTGTCTTGTCCTCTGATTGTTCATGAATTCTTCCAACATCCCTAAAATAGAAAATAGAAATTAATTAATAAATATTATTTGTTTCTTTATCTTTTTTTTCTTTTTTCTTTTCTTTTACATACATATGAATTTTGTTTGATAAAATGGTAGAATATTGAGAAAGATATTTTTTAAATAGAATAAATAGAGAATAAAAGGTTTGACCTCTGGAATAGGTAGAGCAACGATCCATGGCAGAACGGAAATACATGATGAGATCGGTGGCACTAGAGAGTACCTTGTTGATGGCATCTTCATCAACATACCATCTCTCTTCACTTTCGAGTTTACGAAGGGTTTCTTCAAATTCTTGATCCTCTTTTTTGATGTACAACTCCATGTATGGATCAAAGCATTGAGAGATGATACCCTTGAATCTTTCGTATGAACGCAATTCTACCACTGGTTTTGAAACCATCGTTGGTGATTTGCCAGCTGGATCCGATGACAATGAAGTACTACTCTCATTACGTTCCATCTCTTTCTTTTTGAGTCTTTGTTTATAACGTTCCGATACAGATTCAACAACTCCATTGGTAGTTGGTGATTGTTGATTATTCTCCATTTTCTCTCCCATAAAATCTTCATCTTCATCTTCATCTTCTTCTTCTTCCTCTTCTCCTCTAAAATCATTTTGATTATTATTATTTAAATCTTCTGATAATAACTAAAAAACAAATAAAAAGTACGGCGGTTGTTAGTATATTCATGTATGAGTATATATTTATATTTATATTTACTCTTGGTGATTCCTTTGAATTCTTTGCAAATAAAGCATAGATATGCTTTTCAAACTCTATAGTTATATTTAATACATTCAATAATACAGTAATATCAATATTTCTACTATTATTTTGTAAAATATCTGATAATGACCGTCTAAAAAATAAATATAATTAATTAATAAATTATTCTATACTACTTCTTTTTGTTTTCTTTTTTACCTTGTAGCAACACAAAAAGCAAAAGTAATTTCTTCTTCCATTTTCCATTCTGGAGGGAATACATTTGCATATTCTTCAGAGAATACCTTTAATTGACGTTTCAACCAACTGTATCTCTTTTTGGTATACTCTAGACTGTTTTGCTCAGAGCCTGGACCAAAGGCACTCTTGTAGTTGGCCAATTGAATGTCATAGAACCAATGAAGGAAATCATTTTTCATAGAGGCGCCAAGAGCATCGATCACGTAGCATGCACTCTTCCATCTATTCTCTTCACCAGGTCTGAGTTGATTGCTTGTGAATGGGATATAGTTTCTAAAGTCTTCATAGATTTGAGTCTTTACTTTATCTCTAATCGCCTCCAATTCACTATACAATGATGCAATCTTTGGTGAATCACGATAATCTTTAAATCCATCGGCAAATTGTGATGTTGCCTCTAACAAATTAGCAACTCTACCATATTGTTTTAAATCTACCATTTCTTTTAATTGTTTTGTACCAGTAACTTTAAAAAGAAAAAAGAAAATAAAAGAAAAAGTATTAATATATATACATATATCTATCTCTATTCAATTTAGTTTTACTTGTTTCTTACCCATCATATGTAATCTTTTTAAAGTTGTAATAGCAGTTGTTAAATTCTTTTTAGCACAATCCAATGATTTGATATCTTTACAAATCTCTGTGACCATTTGTTCAGATTTGATAGCCTTTGATTTAATGTCACCAATCTTTGTCAGTAGTTCATTGATTGATCGTTTTGCATTCTCTAGGTCTTCTTTACCCTTTGACCCAGTTGAACTCTGTAATCTAACCTCTTGAATAATCTCTTCATCAATCTTGTGAATCTTTATATGTAATTTATTCATAAATGAATCAATATGTACCAATGATTGTTCTAAATATATATTGATAGATATGATTGTGATTGATCGCGATTAGTAAAACCTAGGTTCATTCAATATCATCATCATGATCAAGTTCAAACTTCTACAATTCAATTCTATTCTATTCTATTCTGTGTTGATGACATACCAGAAGTAAAGTTATCGTTGATAAATGTAACAGGGTTAAAGTCATGACGATCGATTGGGTCTTGACTTGGGATGATGTCATTGATGGCTGCTTGCAATGAAGGACTAAACATGTCATTACTCCATTGAACACTTCCTTCAAGTGAAGGAGGTACTAATGTCTTGTCCATTGTGTGTGTGTGTATATATGTATGTGCTAACTATAGTACTACTACAAACTACTATGAAAACTCCTACTGCTACTATTAAAATCAAATTATTAAAATTTAATTCAAGTCGCTTGAAGAGAATCTTCATTTGTGTTTTTTGTTTAAATTTAATTCATGTATTTATTTTAACTTGAATAAAAATAAAGATCAATAGTCGACCTTCTAAAGGTGAATAAAATGGTTTGATCATGATGAGAGAATGGATGTGAGTAACAGTGTCTCAATGTCCAATGACTGACAAGATCCAATGTTAATTGTGAATTTGAAAGTGAACCCCTCTGGATGGCTCTGTGGGAACATGGAAAAGCACTTCTCCTGTATTGTTTGTGCTGAAATGGCCTTTGCATTCTCCAAAGTTTTGTCTGTATCATTGGATGGACTGATAAAAAAAAGGTGGTGCATTCCATTTTCGTGACTGTGAGATTTGAGTTGGTAAACATATGCATAGACATGGGCAAGCAGATTCTTGATGCTTTGTTTGGTTGATGATCGTTTGCATGATCCCCAATAGTAATGTCCATCTCCACTGCTTGCCATGACATCGATCTCTGCATTAATTGAAGCCCAGTGTCTATCGTCAACCTCAACGTCGCGCCCCTGTTTAGATCATATGTGTTAGTAAAAATAATATTTCCGCACACATATGCGGTAACATACAGTTGAGCGAGCAATATATTGTTTGAAATGACTTCTTGCAATTTCTTCCAAAACAAATCCTTCTAAAACGGTGTACTTTTCCAAAGTAGACTCCAATGACGCTCTGAATGGATTGTCAATAACAAATAAACGATTTGGATTGTTACTAAAGTAGCACTTCTTATCAACCACCAGTTTGCAATTGATCAGATCGTCGATATGCTTCTCTACAGTTGCAGAAAGGCAGTCAGTTTCCTTGCTAAAGGTTGTAATGATGTTTTTGCCATTTAATTTCCAAATTGCTCGTAAAAGTGAAACTTGGAAGTCACTGAGCTCGTTGACGTACTGAGTGGCCGAGTTGAATAATTTAGAAAGTCTATTTTGAATAGTCATTTCCATCTGATGTGGGGAGGGATGAACGATATCCTTTTTTGAGCGGGCAAAAATATGATATTAGAAACGAATTCAAACCTTGGTTTATATTTTATGTTTTGGCTTACCTCTATAAAAGTATCATAATATCCAATTACTCCATCTAGTGCAGCGTAGATTGTTAAAAATTGCTCTTTTGAAATTTGAGGATTGATCTGTTTTACGAGTTTGAAAGATTTGGTGGCAGAGAGAGGTTTAAACCAAATTGTTTCGAAAAATCTTCCGTGGATTGGATTGAGCTCCGCTCCGATTTGTGTGACGTGAGAGCCGACGAGGACAATAGCTCCCTTGAATGGACCAACGTCTAATACGCTCTAAATTGGAATGCTGGTTAATAAAGAAGAGAAGAGGATAATGTCCCAAATGCCAACTTACACGAAGACCATCAAAGAAATGACCCGGGAGGATTTGGAATTCATCCAATATGACAATAGCTCCACAGTCAAGATACCATCGAAGTAGTGGTTCAAATGTTGACATTCTTGTTGGTCGGACAGGTGGTGGTGGGACTACTGATCTGGTAGCTATTGTGTGGAACTTTTCGAAAAACGATTCAATGTCTCGAGAGCAGTCCACAAAGATTACTGCCCTGCCACTTTCTTGATATTGTCTTCCAACATACTTGAGGGTAAATGATTTCCCAATTCTTCGTCTTCCTTTGACAACCAGCCTACAATTTGGTACTCCAAGTAAGTCACCTATTTTTTGTTGAAAAGACAATTCCAAGACTGGCATGTTATCATGATTGGGTCTTGGCAATGATATTAACCCGTTATGATCCGAACTCGAATCTTGTACGATATAGTCGAAATAAAAGAAGAAGAAGAAGAATAACAAATAGTGATGATTAGTAGAAATGATTTGGGTAATGTGATTGTTCGTAAGCGTACCTTGTTGTTGTTGTTGTTGTTGTTGTTTGAGTTGGTGGTCATTTATTCGTTTCTGAAGGTTATCAAATAAATCAAAGCCAAAGCGAGGTGATTTATCTTTAAAGTTGTCCTTTGAAAGAGAAACAAGCAGAGAACCCTTTATCTCAAAAGAGCTTTTGAAATCAAATTCTGTGCCTGTTGGGTACTCGTCTTTAATGTTCTCTATCCATGCTTTTACATCATCAAAATCCCAATCCTTTGGTGCTGGTTTGTAAAGAATAATAATATATTAAGTTTGATTTTACACTTAAATGCGAACTGCATTAATCTGCTCTTACCTTTGTTATTATATGTAGCAACTGGTGTTGTCATTCGCGATGGTATGGTATTGTAAGCTGTGAAGAAGTCAGTTAATGACTGATTATTATTATTATAAGAAGAAGATCATGATGATTCCCACATGTACTAATATTATTATTATTCTTTTTTTTTTGTTTGGTTTATTTTAATACTAGTACAATCTATTCTTTAGGTTAGATATCAATGAAACTGCTTCCTATCTTGTTCATCTCAACTCTAGAGTTGAAAGTTAAGTTTATAATATTATAAGTCTTGAGGACCGATTTTATAACAATAAAAAAAAATAAGTGAACTTCAAAAACAAATATTATTAGAGAAGAGTTGAGAAAACTAATTAGAATAATAATTATTAAATCATACACTATTATTTGTTTATACACAATAGAGCAATAGATTATCCAATTTTTATTTATATATATATATTTATTTATCCATTCCCAACCAAAAGTAACCTCCATCTAGCTAGACCATTTATTAATATTATTGATATCATTTAGAAAACACAATTCCTTTCTATTAGACTCATTAACCATTTATCACTTGCTGGTGTTATCCAACAAGTAAAAAAGGAGTTAATGGATCTAACAAAAAAGAATTATTATAATACTTGTCAAAAGTAAGTACTTTTACTCTAAATGCAAAAAAAATATATTTCTGGTTTCTCTTCTTAAAATAGCCAAAACAATACGACAAAACCAACAGTCGCAACAGCTAGTATCATTGATCCAGATATTTTTGAACAGAGAAAGTCAGAATACTGTTAAAAAGAGGAAAGAAAAGAAGAAGAAGAAGAAGAAGAAGAACAAATAAATCAATTTGATGATTAGTAAAAATGGTTTTGATAATGTGATTGTTTGCTAGCTTACCTTGTATATCCTTGATGCGTCTGGATCCCTCACTGTTCGGTTGAGATTGTTACCGTGGTTATCACGGTACCACTTCCTTGCCATTCTAATGACGGCATAGGTAACAAATCCTAAAATAATAATTGTGGATACAACAATCATTATTATTTTCCATTTTGGATATGGATCAGTTTCACAGTAACTGTCATCTCCGACAGTTTGATCAGCACCAAGAAGAATTCCGTTGAATGCTGGGTCTAGTTCAACGGATTGGCTGAATTGTGGAATTCAACATTCGTACTGTTGAAAGAGTGAAGAAGAAGAAGAAGAATTGGATTGATGATTAGTTAAAATGTTTTTGATAATGTGATTGTTTGATAGCTTGCTTACCTTGTTGTTAACTCGAGTTGGACTATTCTAAAAAGAAATATGAATAAATAAAAGATTGGGTGACTCCCTTCACTTTAATGCCTTCCTCATGACATGTTTTTCATCCTCGGTAGGAGGAATTCTTTTGAGAACACTTGAGGCTTGAGGATATCAATGATCCTGTCTACCTTTGACAGGTGGTGTTGTCATTGAATTGATTGATTGTTCAACAACTCTAATATTATTATCTCTTGAGGGAACTGATTATTAAACAAAAAAAAACAATGAACTCACCAAAAACATGATGTTGGTATAATATTCATTTTTTATTACTAAAAAAAAAAAATAAACAAAAAATTTAATTTTTAAAATATTTTTATTATCCCTATTGGATTATAGGTAATAATCTTCTTTTCATAGTGATAAGATTATCCTTTTGACTGTTTTTTTTTAACCACTTTTTTTTTTTTTTTGCAGTTTTCTTTTTTTTTTTTTTGATCAAAATTATTCGATGAAAATTTGAACTGGAAGGGTTTGTTTGCTGCGGCAAAAATAGATTTTTTATCTTTTATAAATGGGCTATCCCGCTGGTCGATTTAAAGTTCATCATCCTCCTCTTTTCTTTTTTAATAAATAAACTAACACTTTATTTGTATTTGTATCATTATCTAATCTATCTATCCAACAACATAATCATCATCATCATCACACCTTTTAAAATACTATTTGTAAATATATACCAAAGTATCGTCAGTATTTTAATCATTCAACACAAACAAACAAACTAAAACAAAAGAAAAGAAAAGAAAAGAAAAATGGAGATTGGATCAGAACATATATTATTTCAAGGTGAACCACAACTAGAACACTTTGAAGAAAAGGAGTTAGAGTACAAGAATGTCAATGTCGGTACGATGGACATGTCCTCTATCTACTCTAAAACAAACCTTGATAGTTCTACTTGTCTATTAGACATTCTCGATACTGCCGGACAAGAGGAATACTCTTGCATGAGTATGTATACAATCAAAAGAAAGAAATATATATATGAATACTTACTTTACTTTTTGATTTGTAGGAGACCAATATGTCAGAACTGGAGACTGTTTTGTTATTGTGTATGATGTGACGAATAGAAGATCATTTGATGAGGTTGAACCTCTCAAAAGACATGTTGAACGTGTCAAGGATTGTAATGACACGCCTGTCATTATCGTTGGAAACAAGGTCGACAGAACATCGGAGCGTGCAGTGTCGACAGCCGAGGGAGAGAGCTTGGCTAGAAGTCTGGGCTGCTTGTTTATCGAGACGTCGGCCAAGACTGCCAAGAATGTGCAAGAGACATTCTTTGCGATTGTACGTTCCACCCCTCGTAGATCAATGGTCTACAAGATCGTTGTGATTGGAGACGGTGGTGTTGGCAAGTCAGCCATCATCATCCAGTTTATCCAAGGTCACTTTGTCGACGAGTATGATCCTACCATTGAAGACTCTTATCGTAAGCAATGTTGTATTCCAGGTCTCAAAGCACTAGAATCGGAAAGCAAGAGTAAGAGCAAGTCATCATCATCATCAAGTGGAGGAGGATTGTTAAGCAAGTTATTTGGTAGCAAGTCATCATCTACATCTACTTCATCAACTTCATCAACTTCATCAAAAAAGGAAGGTAATATTACAACACCTGCACTTGATAGTAATGTATTGTACAGTACAATGAGTTCATTGTCATCCAACTCTACTATTATGACTGGTGATCCATTCGCATGTAATGGATGTAATGTCATCCTCAACCGATTCTCTAATATTTATAAATCATCGGGTGATGGAGCATCGACAACCGATTGGAAATGCGAGTTTTGTTCGCAGGTAAACAAAGATATCAAGTTGGCAAGCGACGAAATTCCAGGCAAGAATGATGTAGAGTATATCTTGTCAACTCCAGCTACCGCTGCTGAAGCAAAGGGATCGCGTGAAGAATCAATCATTGTCTATTGTATTGATGTTTCGGGATCGATGGGTATTACAAGTGAAATCCCATCCCTACAAACTGAATGGAAGAATCTTCGTGCAAAGGGTCGTGGTGGTGCCGCTGCTGCTCCTTCATCCTCTTCATCAGCATCATTCATTTCAAGATTAGAATGTATCCAAACAAGTATTCCTACAATGTTGGACCGTTTGAATTTACAGTACCCAAACAAACGTGTTGTATTGGTCACCTTTTCCAACGACGTTGTTGTACATGGATTCAAGGAGAGTGATGACGGTACAACTGTGACGGGTGACAAGTTGGACGAGTACGATACATTGGTCGAGGTTGGCAAACAGTTTAGCTACGAGTCGTTGCCACGTGTCTGCGAAGGAAACGAGTTGCTCAAGAAGCGTGTCAAGGCACTCGAACCCATTCAATCGACTGCTCTCGGACCTGCTCTATTGGTGTCTGCCGCTATCGCCGGCCAGCGTCCCTTTGGTGAGATTGTCATTTGCACGGACGGTATGCCCAACATGGGTCTCGGCGCCATCGAAGACATGCCCCTCGCACCAGCCCGCGCCTTTTACGAACGCGTCACAGCCTTTGCCAACAAGAACAAGACCTCTGTGTCAATCCTCGGTATCAGCGGCTGCGAGATTGATCTCGGTGTGATTGGACGTGTCTCTGAAGACACCAAGGGCAAGGTCACAACCATCCACCCACTCGAAATGGCCCGTGAAATCCGTAAACTTACACAAAACCCAGTTATTGCCACCGACGTTGAAATGTCAGTCATCTTGCATCCCCATCTCGAATTTAACAAGTATGATTCCAAGCAAGGACTGAGTAGAGTAGTACGCGAGTTTAGCAATGTGACCAACGAGACTGATCTCTCCTTTTTGTTCCAACCACGTGCCAAGGTTGGTGCCAAGGACGTGTTGCGCGAATACCCATTCCAAGTGCAAATCAAGTACACCAAGCTTGATGGTATGAGATGCATGCGTGTTGTGTCGGCCAGCCTTCCATCGACCGCCAAGCGTGCCGTCTCTGACAAGTCTGCCAATGTCGGTCTCCTCGGCATTGCCTTTGCCCAACATGCTGCTCAAATGGCCACCGAGGGTGATCACATGACCGCACGTGTATTCCTCAAGTCGGCCAAGAGATACCTCGAACGTGTCAGAAGCTCCGACGAACAATACGAAGAGTACTACAACTACACCGTGCAAGCCACCTCACTCGAAGACAAACTTGTCGAATGTCTCATCAACAAGGATAAAAAGGTTGAAAAGATCTCTGACGATGCCAACAAGGTCTTCTTCTCAATGAAGAATATGCATAAAGCAGTTGTCATTAGTGGTGCCAAAAAGGATATCTCTAGAAGAAAAGGTGATGTTGAAATTAACAAACAATATTATGATATTACTTTTTAAATTTTAAATTTAAATAAATTACTTTCTTTTTTTCAATGTATATAGTATTTTATTTTATATATTTTTACTTTCAAATATTATTATTTATTTATCTCTATCTCTATCTATTATGGGCCGATCATTTAGTAAATACAAGCCAACTGGTGTGTATGTTAGGCAGGCAAAGTTTCATTTCAGGAGAGCTTCTTCCTGAATGGAATTATGCATTGTTTTGATAACTAAACAAAAAAAAAAGAAAAAATTGTGAATAAAAGATGATCATGTACCATTTGGGTTTCAGTGTATTAATATTTACATAAATCTGTATCATTCTAGAATATATATAAAGTAGCAAATCAAAATGTAACCTTGGTGAAAATACAATGACACAAAAGAACACAAGTTCCACGATTGAAAATCGAATCGACATGTTTCAGATATTTTGAAACAATGATTATAAATATGTCCTTCCTTATTTACGATATGTAATTACATTTCAACAAAGAAGAGATTCAAGAGATATATATTTGATTTGTTTATTTATTTAAGAAAATGAATAATAGAGGTATAATACTTCTAAACAATGCCTTTTTATTCTTTATAGCTATTCTGCTAGGAGTAGTACCTCTCGTTCAATCACAACTACTTATTGATGAATGTAAGTACTCATCGTCATCTCATCATCATCATCATCATTAATTGAAAGTAACATCAACCATTTTTATCTACTTTTAACAACATCATCATCACATGATTAGTAAACTCTGCCATATGGATCATCAAACAGTAAGTCATCATCAATCATCACATAACTATACTTTAAACAGTATTGAAATTAATCATCTTGTTTTGTTTGCACGCAGGTACAAGATGAATATCCCAGGAGATCTCTGTCTATCACCGTTCTTTACCTGCTCTGACCTTTATGTCACTGATATGTATGTATTTCTCTCTATTACTCTTCACAACAATTGGTAACTCAAATAATTGTTAATACATTTCTTTGTACTATAGTCGTATTATTCCTGGAAGTACAGACAATGGTTTGCCAGATGCCAATCTTCAACTTTTATTCGCCAAGCTTGATACCTTTCAATACAATGGCGATGGGCTACAATCGGTTGCTGATCCATCACAGTCTTTTTTTGAAAAAATATCCTCATGTTGTCAATCAATTCAACATTTATAGTAGGTGACTTGATAATGATAATGATGATATTGTGACAAAACTAACTATCACGTGATAATCCAATTTCTATTCTGTTAGTATCATAAAGGATCCAACAATGACACAGATTCCAAATGGTTTTTCGTTACTACCTAACCTAGAAGATGCCTATTTGTCCTTTTACTTTACTACAAGCCAATCGGTTACATTAAAGAGTAATCCCAATATTCAATACCTGACCGTCTACGGTAATGAAATGTTGACTGAAATTAATTTCGATGAGACCATCTCTTTTCCAAAGTTGACCACACTGTCACTAGGTGGTCATCAATTCTCTGGCCCTTCTTTATTGAAAACTGTTGGTAACTTTACTACTGCTACCTTTCCTCAAATGACTACATTGTATGTAAAAAAAAAAAAACAACGATTGATGACTAAACTTCTTTTTCTTTTCTTTTTTTTTATACCTTAGAGAATGTATTTTCCCAGAAGGATCTAATCAATTACAACTCTTTGTTAACCATTCAACACTTGTGGAAATAAAATTTCCTGAAACTCCTGTTGATCCCCCTCCAAATGCAATCGTAACTTTTGGTTCTGCCTCCCTTTCAGCTATTAAATCAATGCAATTATAATTATAAATATTATGCACTTTTTGTTTATACTAACAATATTTTATTTTATATTCTCTCTAGTGATTTTTATGGTGGTGGTTTAACTTTTCAACCTTCTCTTAATAATTTTATAAATCTTTCATCAATGTATGCAACATTATAAAAAAAAACAATTGTTTAGTATAAAAACAATTATAATATAAAGTATTAATAATTTTTTTTTTGTTTTTTTTTTTAGTTCATCTCTAAAATATACATCAATGTTTAATAATCAATATCCCTTTGTATCTTTTCCTCTTGTTTACCATTTGTCTTTTCCAAACTCATCATTTACTACCATTCCAAGTATTACACTTCCTTCATATCTAGAAAGTTTGTAAGTATATATAAGTTTTGTTTTTTTTCTTTTCAATAATATTAATATAATGATTTTTTATTTTATTTTTAGAGTATTTAAATATGGTGTGCTTCAAGGAGATATAGATTTTGATACAATTTTGGCAAATACAACTGGAAATTTGGCGCTTGATTTATCTGACAATCCTTTGCTTGCTGTTCCTCTAGAACTTGAAACTGCTTTATGTGGTCTAAAGTTTTTAGATTTACGTGAAACTTTGGCTACATCAATTCCCCCTTGTTATTGGTGCCATAACGATGGTTCTAAATTCTATCCTCCAACCGGTATGCTCCCTCCTGCCAATTTTCAATGTCCAATGACATTTGCCAGCACAAATTTGGTTACCATATTCAAAAAAACAATTATTTCTGGGACCAACCTGGGCTGGGGTTATGCCTCACTCGGAAACACGCTCGTACCCATAGTTCCAAACAAAATAATATCAGCCACTCTTCCATCAGTATCACCCAATGCTCCAACCCAAAACCTTGCCATTCAATTTAGTAGCACTACAAACACTCAAATTTTCCAAGTTATAGAGGCTGGGTTCAATGTATCATCTGTTATATTGATACAATCACCTAATCAACAAGCCACAATGACTATTGTATTTTCAATGATCAATACGAATATTCCCCATTCAACAAAACTTAATAATACTGGAGAGAATAGCTACGTCGATAATAATATGATTTTTACATTTTATTATAGTAACCTTGCTTTTGGTCAATATAATCTTTCAATCCTCAATGCTTACTACAATTATTCAACCACTGTACAATATAATCAAAGTAATTATCAATTAAATATCATTTTCAACCAAATATTAATTTGTCATTTTTTATTTTTTTAGGTTATCCTATTGTTGATAGTTTTATTCAACAAGGTCCTTATATTGGAAACGGATCATTGATCCAGTTGGTAGGATTTTTTGGAAACTATTTGACTAGTGCTCTTGTATCGGTTTCAAATAAGAATAATCTATACAATTATTCGGAATGCATAAACGTTAGTTTTACAAATACTACCATCAATTGTCAAATTGACCTCCCCCTTTCCTCGGGTCTTGCAACATTTAATATAACAGTAGATGGGTACTCCACATTCAAGCAAGTTGATATACAATCACCACAACAATATTGTACAATAACAACAAACAATTGCTATGGAAATGGTGAATGTAATTTGAGTGGGATTTGTGAATGTAATAGTAATCAAGGAGGAGGAGGTTATTATAATAATTGTTCTAAAAGTATGTATTATATATATATATTCAAACTAAATTAATTCCTTTATATTTGGATCATTTATTTACTAGTTTTTTTCTATTTATTTTATTTTAGCATACCCATTTATTACGAGTGCAAATGTAGAAAGTATTCAAGGTGAACAAAGATTTATCAGTCTATACGGTGATTTTGGACCATTTGGACAAGTTAATACTTTAATCATGATTAATAATACCATGAATTGCAATATCACATATAAATCGCAACACAACATCAATTGCACTTTGGAATCATCACCAACAACTTTTGGATTTGCATCTGTTCAAGTTAATAGTAGTGGATCGATTTATAGTAAAGCTCGTTGCTTGATATTTATCAATCCTTTGCCATCGGGTGGTGGTACAACAACTAGCAGCAGCAGCAGCAGCGGAGGAGGAGAAACTCCAACCCCAAAACAAACCTGTGAAACCACAACTCAAAATTGCTATGGACATGGTACTTGTGATAATAATGGAAAATGTCAATGTCAAGATAAATATAACCCTGTTGATAACTGTTCTACTAAATGTATGTAAAGTTTAATAATAATATTAAAATAAATAATTAACTATTCTTATTTATTTGTTTATATGATTAGTCACTGAAAATACAACATTTACGCCAAATAATACATCACCATCATCTACCATTCAAGTTGGTGGTGTTGAATTTGGATTTCAAATCATTGGAATTCAAGAAAGAGGATTAGATAATGAAATCTTAAAAGAGTTGTTGACAAGTAGTTGGGTACCAAATATTACATCAGATCAGAACTCTGATCTAACAAATGCAGTCTATGAATTGGTGGTTCCGAGTAACCATACACTTTCAAATACCAAAGTAACAGCCAACGTTTCATTTTCAACTCAACCAAGAAATATACCATTTGGTACACAAAACCTAACGATCAATCCAAACGCCATCAAGCTATCTGTGTCTATCGCCGGTTGGCAATACTCTTCAAATGTTGCAACTCTTTTGCTTTTATTGAAAACAACAATCAACAATGAGCAATCGATCGAATACGATTGCAAAACAACACCGGTGGATTCATTTTCCTTTGGTGATTTTGGAGACATTCAATACCTTAGAGTCATCAAGGATAACGTACAATTCAATGGAAGATTCATTGACTTTGCATTGGCAGATGGCAGATCAACCTATTCACAAACACTCCTCATTAATCAAACCCAATTATTGGATTCTTCTGATTCTTCTGAACAATCGGTTGTCGTCATTGGAATCACACTTCCACAATGCCAAGAATGTTTACTTGACCCAGACTTTACGCCATTGTTGGTTGCAAGCGATGGTGATGGCTGTTCAAAACAAGATGAAAAATGGAAAATGATAGTCGGTATTGTTGTTGGTGCCGTTGGTGCTGCCTGTCTTTCAGTTGGTGCCTACCATGCAGTAAAGAAAATAAGAAGACATATGATCCTTAATGGAAAGTCAATATTAATGCATAAAAGAAATTAATTAAATATAATATAATTTATAAATGAATTAATTTCATCAGTAGATATATATCTACAATTTTTTTACATATATATTAAATTTATATCAATCTACTATTAACTTTAATTTATTTAATAAATGAATTAATTCATCTTTCTTTCTTTCTTTCTTTTTTCAAAAGGGTTCTTACCCTTTTATAAAAAGCTTTATAATATTGTTAAAAAGTATTTATATTTTTTATAATTACAATATTTATTTATATCATCTATCAATCTATCTATCATGGGAATATTATTTAGTAAATTTAATCCATCAACTGGTTATTTAGAGAAAATGAATAAGTTATCTGCAACCAATCAAGATGAATCACGTGTAGGTGATGTCTATTTAGTAACCTATGAATTCCAACCAGATTCATATTCCACTCCATATTCTCCCCACTACACCATCGTAGTTGATTTATGTGGAGAGTCTACCGAGAAATTACCCAAGGGAATGGAAATACACATTAACCCTCTAAAAGACTTTTCTCTCCAACTCTGTATCGAGAGACTAGATAGACTGCCAAAATCAAAAGACCTATCATTTCAAAAACTCGGTAGAATCGAAAACCAATACCATCCTGGAAACCCTCGTGAATGGTGTGTTGCATTGGGTTCAGTTGTTGAGAATTCTTGGTTCCCAGAGTTTACAACATTAAAAGGAAAATTTTGGAATCGTACTTGTCACAGTGATCAATTCGCCAAGTTTTGACTCTAAAACTAGGGTTGGTATGGCCAGACCATATTTATGTATATGAAAAAGATAATAGTGATTTATAATGGAACCATATCATCATCTTAATAGATAGAGATACCCTATCTACTATTAATATATAAATAAATTAAATTTATTATAAATTAATTTCATTTTCAATAGTTTGCAAAGAGTGGGACTTAGACTTCTAATTTCATTTTTTTTTTTTTGTTAAGATTGTAAGAATAAGATAATATATTATTTATTTATATAAATATGGTTGTTCAAGTAAAAGATATACTTGATACTGCTGATTTATTGGTTAGAGTAAGATAAGATGATAGTAACAAACAACTTACCAAAGAATCTTAATTGTTTCTAACTCTATCTTTTTTTTTTTGATTGTTAAAGGAATTCAAAGATCTTCAAGATGTTGAGGAATTAGAGAGATCAACTAAAACAACAAGTTATTACGATGTAATTGAAAGATTAGTATTAGAAATAGATCAATTGTTAGAGACATCAAATCAAAGTGATTCTGATGATGTCGTATCACTAGTATTGAAACAACAAGATGGCACAATGAAAGAATTGGATGGTTTAGATTATAAAAATATCTATCATGCATTGATGCAATGTATACATTCACTAGATAAACATACAAGTACCAATTATTTAATCTATGGTGGTGCAAAAGCAATCATTAGAGTCATCTATATTATACTAAGTATTGATTATACTTTAATTCAACGAGGTGATGTTAAATTATTACGTTCAATTCAAAAAGATATTTTTGGTATCTTTTCATCTGTAAATATAAATATATATATATATATTCAAATTACTCTTTTAACTAATATATTATATAATTTACTATTTTAGGAAAAAGAAGAATTTAATAAACAATTAGAAATGGTTGGAATACCAAAAGAACAATCTGAAGAATATCCATCTATTCTTGGTTCATACTTTGATGAAATTAAAGAGATTCAATCAAATATTCGTGATGGTCGATATCTGTTATTGACAAACAATGCATTGTTTGATATGGTGTCATTGGATCTTAGTGATTCTTTTCATGGTGGTCAATTATTACTTTCAGCTCTTGACAAGGATACAATGGCCAACCTATTCCATTTGTATTGGTCAAGTGATTTGGTGCCGTTAAAGTCAGGATCACCGGCAGTATACAATAATTTGACAGTCGATCAATATGAGAATAGTATTAAATTCTCTGCATCTGGTATCTTGTCAGCTGCAATATTCTATTCGACATCGGAATTTCCTGAATTGTTGGACCCGATCAATGAAATCATTGAAGCGACAAACAAGGATATTTGGCAGGTCCTGTTAAATGATTTGTTGGCATGTCAAAAAAGGGGTCTATTAACCAATATATTCACAATGTTGAATAATATAGCACTCACCGAAGAAGCCACTCACCCATTATTGACACGACTCAACCAATTTATCGATTCTAGACCATCGATTCAACATTACATGTCTGACATTGTTCAACTCATTGTCGCCGTCAACCCACAGGTAACCGACCACACACTACCCATGTTTATCCAGATTGTCAACAAATTCTTTGTGGCCTTTTTAAAGTTGGACAGTTCAAACGCCAAAGGTTTACAAGATAGTTTTGACTCGACGTGCTATGCGCTACACAAACTATTTGACCGCGAAGAAATATCTAGACAGGCGTGTCAGCTCACAGGCGTGTTTGATATGCTCACTGAAAAGCTAATGACCCCTAACCCTACCAGTACAACCACCAGTACAACTACCAGTACAACCACCATCCACCAACAATTGTACATTCTCTTTGCATTGACATCGTTATGGAAAAAGGATCCACTCTATTGTTTTGCACAACAAACATTTAAAACATTCCACATTGCAATGATACAAAGCAACACGATACATGATATGGAATTACTGAATAGATATCTAAACTTGTTGGTTTGTGGTTACACTACCATCAATGATATTGCCAACTATCTCGCTCAGAATGGGTACCTCTTAGCAATACTCAATTGCTTTTTACAAGTATTCTCATCAGATGAAAAGCTTCGTGCCACCAATGTCATTCTTTTGAGATTGTTTGTAAATGCAATCTCTACATTGACCCAACAAAACTATATCTATGCAATTGACAATGGCCTCTTGTCACTGCTAATGCAAATTGCCAAATTCAACCTAAAGGACGCACCAGCAAAGAACGAGGATTTCAAAGTCGAGTGGGCAATGATCATAGCAAACATCGCCGTACAAAGAAGTCAACTTGAAAGATTCAAAACATATATCCATCTTCATGCCCTTGAATCTTATCCAATACTTCATGAATATAGAGCTTATCATCTAATTCATCAAATGGAAGATTTTGTTGATTTCCAAATTAATTAAATAAATTAATTAAATATTTAAATAAATATTCAAATAAATATTCATTATTAATATTATTTTATATAATTGTATCTAACCAATCTTGTAAACCATCTTTTGATTCATCTTGATTACTACTATCTTGTACTGAATTTGATTCCTTATTATTATTATTATTATTTTCTTTAGTAGTGAGTGTTGAAACTGGAATTGGAACTGGTTTTTGTGTATTTGTTGTTGATGACGGTGATGATGGTTTAGATACATTAATATTTTGTTGTTGTTGTGGTTGTTGTAAAGATGAACCAGCAGATCTTAAATGTCTATTTGATTTTCTTGAAAGTAATGTTACAGGTGTTGGTTTTTTATCTAAATTTAATCCATCCTATACATTGTTACAAATAAATAATTAGTAGGTAAGTAATTATTCTAAAAATAACTTTTTGTTGTTGTACGACATACGAAATAATCAATATCAATATCTAATCTCTTTGGCATTGGGATTGTTAGAATCATCTTTTCAATCTCTCCCATATTAATATTTAAGAATGTATCAATGTCTTTTGATAGTTCATCATCACCATCTTCATCATAATCTTGAACATATGATGTAGTATTGTCTTTTGATGATAAACTTGGAATGAAATCAACTATATCAAAATATTAGTTTTAAACTTGCTCTATCTATCTATCTATCTATCTTTCTGTTATGACCATTAAATGACATACCAGAAGAATCTAATAAATCTTGCATATTTAAACGTTCAGCTGTATGATTCATTCTATCTAGTTCTTCAATAGTAGAACGTGATTGTTGTTGAATGACTCTCTTGCTGTATTTCGATCTTGGTTGTACCATCTGATATTCCTCGGTCTGCTCCAACTCTGCCTGTTGCTTGACCTGTTGTTCTTTGACTAGACGTTCTTGCTTCTTGTATTTCCCTTTTGATGTATTCTTGTCGACATGTCTTGATGCTTTGTGCAACCCTCTTGCAAGCTGCTTTGAATTGATTGGTTCGTCTGACATTATCTATTGATTATATACAGTACAGAAACAAACTAATTTATATATATTAATTAAATTAAACAATGATTCGAAGTGTCGCGAATGTGGTGAATGATAATGCTTTTCGTTTCATCATAGTTTTTAATCATTCATTTATTCACATATACACAATTAATCATGAGTGTCATTGTATGTATATTACTATTTCTATTTAACATACTATTGATTGTTTGTTCTAATGCTGTTTTGATTATGTATATAGATTCCAGGTCGATTTAATCTTGTCAATTCTAAATTTGTAGAAGTTGATAAAGATACCTTATCAAAACATATAAATAAAGATGATGATTTGAATAAATACCATGTATGTATTGGGATACTATTAAGCAACTATAGTTAAATCTGATTTATTAATTAAATAATACTTTTGTTTGTTCACAGATATTTGATATCTCTGGTAATTTTATAACAAGCATTGCATCACCTTCGATTACAACCTACTTTCATAAACTCACTGAACTACATCTTATCAACAATGAATTACCAAACATTCCAGAAGAAATTAACAATATAATAACATTAAAGAAACTATACCTTTCAAAAAATAATATTCAACAAGTAAGTAAACTAATACAATATATATTATACTTATTATTATTAACAATTGTTTTTTTTGTGAAAATAGATAACAAATATAGATAAACTAGTTGATTTGGAGTTATTGGATTTAAGAGCAAACCAAATTAAAGAAATGTCAAACTTGGAAAATAATACAAAGATTAATAAGTATGTTGTTTAGCAGCCGATGATGTCTATTTTTGTATCAACTAATCTAATTTTTTAATTTATGATTTAGTTTATCATTATCAAGTAATCAAATTATAAGTTTAAATAATTTAAATATAAATATGGAACATTTGGAATCACTCTTTTTATTCTCCAACAAATTGGAAAACCTACAAGAGACTTTGGATATACTATCAAAGCATTGTCCTAAATTAACAAAGTTACTACTCACTGCCAACCCATGCACATCACTCAGTCGACCAAAAGAAGAACAACAAGTTTATGAAAATAATGTTAAAAAGGCATTACCAAACATAAGAATTTTAGATTGGAAACCATTATAAAAGTAAAGAAAGAATCATATTTTTTTTTTTTTGCATCATACACAACCTATTCAAGAAATTTCTTGAATCAACATAGATTAGAAAGTATTATTACTTTTATTGTTGTTGAAATATTGACAATATAAATTGGGATTGCAAGGTTTAATTGGAAAACTAGTATAAATACAAACATTACAATACACTTGAAAGATAACTTACCTGCCAATTTTCTAAATGCGATCAAGTAGGTATTTAGAAAACTAGAGGAATTCTCCTTCTTGCACATCTTTTGGAGAAATCCTCTTGTCCCAGAAGGGGTTGGCTAATTTCTGGCTGTTGAGGACATCGTGCGCATTGTCGCAGAGTCCTCTACCAATTCCTTTAAATTAAAAAACAAACATATTATTATTTATTAATTTATTTAAGTATTTGATTGAGATTCAAATTTTATAAACATTTTAAGGTATGTATGATGACCTTGTTTCTTGATTTGTTCGTGAAGGAATACTAAAGATCTTGTAGGTTTTGTTATTAACCTGTTTTTTAAGACTTGTTCCAACATGACTACATTGCCAAGTGTAGCAGAATAGATGTATACGCCAACATCGAGTGTGCACCTTGAAAGAACTGCTTGAGAGTATGTTTCCAACTCTCTGATGATTCCAATGTTGCCTGCACCAATGGCACCATTAAAACTAGTGTCACTAAAATATTTGGATGCGTCTAACTTTTTGGGAACTTTGGATAATAGGTATTGAACAATTTGCAGACTGTTGGCTGTAATGGCTTGTTGGAATACTTTGGCAGTCAGAGACAACCCCTTTCTCGACAAGAGTATACATCTCACCATATCCAAGTCACCACTCAATGCAGCCTCACTTAAAAGATCGGCATTGACCACATACAATGAGCTGTATTTGATGGAAAGAAGGTACTCGACCATAGCAAGGTACCCACCAACCACTAGTTGTTGGAAAAGTAATGGGTCGATTGGTTTGGTGGGGTGAATGAATTCTTCATTCTCGTAGAGGTATTTTGCAGTTGTTACTTGACCGGCCTTGGCTGCATCAACAAATAGTTGTTCCCTGTCTTTGGGTGTAAATGTGTGTCCTCTAGTTTGTACAAACAATGTCATGTAATGTTTGAGTAATTCCAAATTACCCTTTTTGGCAAGTACTGGTAATATTTCCAAGTTGACAGAGTCAGTGGCCGATTTGCCCATATCCAAGACACGAAATGCAAGTTGATTGTTGGAGGTGATTTCATTGATCACCAGACCAAGTGAAAAGGTCCGGCCTGCCACACCAGTCATTTGTAGTTCGAGTAGGTATTCAATTGTTGGTATATCATTGCGAATAAATGCATCTTTAATGTTTTGTTGGTCGAGGTAAAACTCGGCAGGCAACCATTCCAAACGATTGACAAGAGTATCTAGATTTTTGAAATGTATTCTCGGTGTCTTGTCCCATCTTGCCGGGTTGACCATTGCATCTTGATACAAAAAGCGAACCATGTCAACATTGTCTCCGAGGAATGGGTTAAAGAACATTTGATAGGTTGAAGGAAACATGCTAAACAATAGTTTGACAAGATCGATATTGCCCGTGTGGTGGGCAGTATTGACCCACTCTGAGAATGTGTATTCTCCAATTTCGTCCAATGTATGGTCAAAGTAGTTGTTCATGTTGGTCAAGAAGTGTTTGACCATCTCTACACTACCCGACTTGATAGCATACTGAATACACCGATACGACACTGCCAACGAGGTGATCCCAAGTTGATAGAAATGCAAGAATGCCTCCAAGTTGCCTCTTTCAACAAGCTTGGTTGTTTCCTTTTGTTTGATTGTATATTGGTACAAGTCTACATTACGAGCAGCCGAAGTTGACTTGGCATCACTACTTTCAACAAGTAAATTGTACAACTTGACATTGGCATGAGATATAGCTTGATACCTAGCCTGTTTAGTATACTTTATATCTTTTCTATTCTCCAACAAGTATAGTACAACGTGTTCATGACCATGTTGACACGCCAAGTCGATAGCAGACGACGCAGCATTCTTTTCAATGAATTGACATTCATCCAGGTACCGTAGTACTTCTAAATGTCCACCTTTTGCTGCATACTCGTAAGCATCGTGTGAAGGATACCAATACTCTTGAATATAGTCACATGTTAATAACGATTTAACGATTGACAAGTGACCACCACTAGATGCATCTTCAACTGCATGATTGGTGAATGGGTGTTGACGAGACACTAGATATTCAACGATATCAACACGTCCTTGCTTTGCAGCACTGTCAAGTATCGTGTGGTGTTGTTTGATACCATTTGCTTCAAAGTGTACATACACCCTTTCAAATAGGTCAAACTCCATCTCGGCCATCAACACCATAGCAGCTAGTGATGGGAATCTAATCCCTCCAATCCCCTTACATATCTTGTCTCGTAACAATGAAGGTAATGATTGTCTATGTCTAATCAACCATTCCAAAGAATCCATCTCTTTATAAACAATAGATCTTCCCCTACCATCGATCGATCTAGTTCGATTCAACCATCTAACATGATTAAATACCAACTTTTTAATAAACTTATTAAATAAAGTTATTCTAAATTGTTCAATTTCCATCTATATATTATATATTATATATATATACTACTAACATATACAACAAACAATAAATATTATATTCTACATTTTAAAAAGTATTTACTCTACAAAAAAATCTTTTTTTTTTTGTGTCTTGTTATTTTTTAAATTATTTCTATTTTTTTTCTTTATTTTTTTTAACAAAATTTATATATATATATAATTATAATAATAGTACTAAAGGGGGGATGGTGAATAATGGATTAAATGTGCTCATGACTTATTTTGATTTCTTTTTGTCCTTTTTGCTGCTGCTTTCCTTGCTTGACTCCTTTGATTCCTTTTTCTTATCCTTCTTGCTTTCCTTGTCCTTTGACGACTCCTTTTCCTTTTTCTTGTCCTTCTTTTCCTTCTTTTCGTCTACTTCCATCTTTTCCTCCTTTGATGATGATTCCTTCTTTGATGATTTCTTCTTTGGTTGTTCTTCCTCCTTTTCTTCCTTCTTTGATGATTCCTTCTTTGATTTCTTCTTTGGTTGTTCAACTTCTTCATTGTGTTCTTCTTCAAAGTCATCAGCAGTTCTCTTGTGATTGGCAAAATCTAGATTAGAAAAATATGGAAAATAAAATAATGGAAATATTAATATTTATAATTCTGGAAATAATTGTTTGTTTTGTTGTTATTTCTTACCTTGTTCAACTTCTTTAATAACTTCTCTCATAACATCAATATTTCTCTTTGGGGTAGCACCAGAGGTGAAGAAAGTGACACGATCGTCGACTTGCTTCTTGAGGGTGAGACCAAACTTGTCGGATGGATTCTCAGAGAAACAATCGATACGGGTGGCGATGGAGATCTTGTTGGCGAGACATCTAGAGATCTTACCCTTGTTCTTGGTGGCGACCTTGTCAGAGTTGATAAAGGACGAGTTGTAGATGATACCGTATTTGGGGGTCTTGCCACGAACCTTCATGGCACGGAAGAGAGCCTTCTCGGCACCGAGAATTTGGACGGTCGAAGCGGGGTACTTGGCGAGATTGGTGAGTGAACCGGCACGCGAGATGAGACGGGCACCGACACGGTCGCCAATCAAGGCTTGGAGGTTGGGTGCGCAATCACGCATCTTCTTGGTGAGGTACTGTTCGAGCGAACTACGGTACTCGAGCAAGTCGATGACACGGTTGGCAAAATGCATGATCGACTCGAGATCGATGACTGAGATTTCGGTACCCATGGAGGCACGGGCAGCCTGCAAGACGCTCTTGGCAACGGTCTCGTCGCCGACGATTGTCTCGATGTCGCCGAGCAGTGCGTCGCTGATGTTTGCCTTGTCCTCGATCAACTTGATCAATTTGGCATAGTGGATGGGGTCCTTGATGATCTTGGTGAGTTCGGGGAAATGCCACGAGTACCATTCTCTGATACGCATGACAAAGGTGTTCAAGTCCTTGTCGAGTTGTTCGAGTGTTGCAATCGATTGAATAATCATATTATCTACTTTATGTACATTGAACTTTACCTTGGAACGTGAGTAACTGTGACCCAAACCAAGTTGTGCCTTGGTCAAATCTTCTACCTCTACCTTTGCAAATGTTGGATAATGATATCTAACACAACGGAAGATTTCCTAATAAGATGTAAAATATACATATTAATACTATTACTTTCTATCTATTTCTATCTTCATTTGTTAACATACATGAGTAGCAGCATTAGCAATACAACTAATTGATAATTCTTCTTGAATGGTTGCAGCCAACTTGTTGTCGCTGACACCCAAGATGACACCGGTCGACTTTTTAAAGGTTTGTTTGAGGAATGCCTTCAAGTTGTCGGTGATCAAACCTTCAGAGATGGTGTTGATGGCTTCGAGAGCCTCTCCGGCAGACTTGAATGGGAGTGCACCGATTGGCTTGCAGACCGATGCAAACTTTTCATAGTTTTGTAATTGCTTTTGTACTTGAACGTTTTGTACTGATTCTGTGCCTGTAAGACTGAATACATTGAAACCGGTACTGGTTTCATACAACAAATGGGTTGCCATCTCTTCTGTATATCTCTAATTTGATTGATTCGATTGATGTGTATTTAAATGTGTGATTGATGGGGTAGTGAGTAATAACAACAATAAAATGATATTATTATTATTATCGACGACAGGTAGAAACAAACAAACAAACAACAATAAAAAGAGAAAAAAGAAGAATAAAGAAAAATAGCCAGCACAAAGTCAAGCGAGACGAGCGAAAAAAAAATAGTTGCACCTGAAAACCGAGTCTCAAAAAAAATTAAAATTAATTCACAAAAATCGACAAATACGTATTACAGCTGCAGTATCATATGATTTGATTCATGCCAAAAGATACAACTGCAGCAGCAGATACTATTACACATATAATATCTATATATATACTATATATTCTGAACCATCATTTTAAATTACTCCTCATCTCTTCAACAAAAAAAAAATAACAAACTTGTAACGTCTCACAACTTGATTTGATGATATCTGATACCCTATGATAATAATAATAATAATAATGTTCTCTTCATTACAAACTATACTGATTGGGTAGTACAAACAAATAGTACTAGTAATTACTATTAGTAATAATAATGGTGGTCCGTAAATAGGACGAAGATGTTGTAGTTTTTTCAAGTTTTTTTTTTTTTTTGTTTTTTTGATTTTTTTTTTTTGATGAACAGACCTTTGGTGGTGTTATTTTCAAAGACTATGAACTGATAATAGTACTCTTTTGTATCTTCTTCTTCTTTACTACTTTTATATATATACTTTTTTATATTCAAATTTAGTAGTCGATCTAAAAGTCACCAATCAACAGACAGTAACATAATGAGTTTAGTATTTGATGAATATGGACGTCCTTTTATTATCATTCGTGATCAAGGAGCAAAGGATCGTTTAAAGGGTATTGAAGCACAAAAGTCACATATTCTTGCAGCAAAGACTATTGCCAATATCATGAAATCATCACTCGGCCCAAAGGGTATGGACAAGATGATCGTTTCACCAGACGGCGATGTCACTGTCACCAACGACGGTGCCACCATTCTCCAAAATATGTCGGTCGACAATCAAATCGGCAAGCTCATGGTACAGCTAAGCAAGTCACAAGACGATGAAATCGGTGATGGTACTACCGGTGTCGTCGTACTCGCTGGTTCCTTACTCGAACAAGCCGAATCTCTCATCGAAAAGGGTATTCATCCAAGTCGTATCTCTGAAGGTTACGAAGTAGCTTGTCGTATCGCCGTCAAGCACCTTCAATCAATCTCTGATACTATCGAATTTGATAAGGAAAACATTGAACCATTAGTTCAAACTGCTATGACTTGTTTAGGTTCAAAGATGTAAGAGAGAAAAATAGAAAATAAGAGAAGAAAAGAAAAAGAAAATGTATTGTATATTTATTCATTTAATTTTCTATTTTTTAGTGTCAATCGTTATCATCGTCAAATGGCTGAAATTGCTGTCAAGGCTGTATTATCAGTTGCCACTTTGGAGAGAAAGGATGTAAACTTTGAAAATATTAAATTGGAAGGAAAGGAAGGTGGTAAATTGGAAGACACCCAACTCATCAACGGTATCATCATTGACAAGGGTATTTCACATCCACAAATGCCAACTGAAATTAAAGACGCTAAAATTTGTTTACTCACTTGTCCATTTGAACCACCCAAACCAAAGACCAAGGTAAATATTAACAGAATATAAATACAAATACAAATATATGATATGAATAGAATCTAATTTAATATTTAATTAATTAATTTATTTATTATTTAGAATACATTGGAAATTACAAACGCAGAGGATTTCAAAAAGTTGAGTGACCTTGAAAAACAATATTTCATCGATATGGTTAAAAAGGTAAAGGATACTGGTGCCAACTTGGTCATTTGTCAATGGGGTTTCGATGATGAAGCCAATCATTTATTACTTCAAAACAATTTGCCAGCCGTCAGATGGGTTGGTGGTCTCGACCTCGAAAAGATTGCCATGGCTACTGGTGGTCGTATCGTTGCTCGTTTCGAAGATGTCTCTGCCGACAAGTTGGGTCGTGCAGGTCTCGTCAAGGAAATCGGTTTTGGTACTACCAAGGATCGTTACTTGAGTATTGAACAATGTCCAAATACCAATGCTGTCACTATTTTCGTTCGTGGTGGTAACAAAATGGTAAATTGAAACAAAATAGAAAAGAATAGAAAAGAAATGATCAATCAATTAATTTAATTAATTTAATTATTTTTATTTTAGATTGTTGACGAAGCAAAGAGAAGTATTCATGACGCATTATGTGTTACACGTAATTTAATTAGAGATAATAGAGTTGTTTATGGTGGTGGTTCATCTGATATTTCATGTGGACTCAAGATTTCATCGATGGCAGACGAGATTGCAACCATTGAACAATACGCCGTCCGTGCTTTTGCCGATGCCCTCGACGCCATTCCATTGGCCTTGGCTGAAAACAGCGGTCTCCCACCCATTGAAACCTTGGCCACCGTCAAGTCTGAACAAATCAAACAAAAGTCAGCACTCTTGGGTATTGACTGCAACCGTAGAGACACCATCAATATGAAGGACCAACATGTATTCGACACACTCCCAGGAAAGAGCCAACAATATATTTTGGCATCACAAGTTGTTAAAATGATCCTCAAGATTGATGATATTATCACTTTGAACGCTCAAGAAGAATAAATAAATAAATAAAACAACAAAAAAAAAAAAACAAAAAGAAAATCTTTTATATAAATAATAATAATAATAATAATAATAATATATTTTAAAATCCAAGTTTAATTGTTTATTCCTTCCATACATATTGCATTGTATATAAACTGATAGAAAAAAAAAAAAAGGTTTTTTGGATCAAAGTGTTGAATTTGATGATCATTGATTGCTTGTATTACACATTTCATTTTACATCATATATATATTACATACATAGTAGTTAGAATAACAATCTAGACTAAAAGGATGATCGGTAGAACTATCTTATTAAAGGCAGCTGGTGTCAACACTAGATTAGCAGCAATCAATGCTGCCAAGTTGACCACTTCAATCAAGCCATCTTTCAACTCTTCTTCTTCTTCTTCATCCTCCTCTGTTCAACGTTACTACTCTTCATCTACTCAACAAGGATTCAAGATTGTTGAAACAAAGGCTGAAGACTTACCAAAGAACAATCGTCCAACCTCTCCACATCTCACCATCTACAAGCTTCCACAACCAGCTATCTTATCTATTACTCATCGTGCTACTGGTATTGCTATGGGTCTTGGTATGTGTAGTTAATAATAATAATAATAATAATAATAGTAGAGAGAGAGAGAAGAGAGAGAGAGTATTGTGCATAATAGATTGATCATTGTTGTAAATCTGCAATCATGATGAGATCGATATATCTCTCATATCTATATTACAACTCAACTCAAATCAAATGATACAACATTCATTCGATCGTCACACGTCTTGAGTATAAATATATTAATAATATGATGATTCATTTATATTTAGGTCTTTTCGGATTAGCAGGACTTGCAATCACTGGTACAGATATTCCATTATTCATTGAACAATTCAAGACACTTTATCCATCACTTGTCATTCCAACCAAGTTTTGCGTTGCTTTCCCAGTTGCTTTCCACTCTTTAAGTGGTGTCAGACATTTGGTATGTCATTGTCACCATGATCATAGTGATAATAATTGGTTTATTCAATTCCCAAACACTAACATTATTGTTATTATTTATTTATTTATATTTAGTTCTGGGATGCTACTCTTAAGGGTATCGAAGTCAAGAGTGCTGAAACTAGTGGATGGATTATTGTTGGTGTAGCTACTGCTATTTCATTGGTTTTATCATTCGTTACCATATCATCTGCCTAAGAACCCATAAGAATTAATAATAATAATACAACAAACATATATAACATATAGTTTTTTTTTTCCATCAAAAACTAAATATCTCTTCAAATTAGTTAACTTGATTCAATTTGATTGTTTTTATTATAGTAATACTATATGTACAAATTTATAATACTCGGTATGATTATTGTTAAAAAAAACCATAGTAGGTGCAAAAAAAACAATATCATTAAAACGGTGAAAACACTAATAATTATTGTGATGTTGGTCTTGGAGATGAACTCGGCAGAGGTTAACCACACAGTAAACACCCTTAATCTCGAGTTTGGCTCTGGGCTTGTAACTGATTAAGTGTTTGAGGAGTTATTGCTCAACCAGAGGCTGAGGAAATGTCCCCTAAAAAATTGAAAAAGGTTTAATAATATTGGAATAGTTTGTCTTAAGAATAAGATTGTAGATGGAATGATTTGGAATGCAGTGGATTCGATGATGGTTTTAAATAGAGAAAAAAGCAATCTGGGTCCAAACAAATATAAAACAAGAATAGAGTAGTAATTATAATAAAAATAATTATGTTAAATTAGAGAAAACAATCTATATCGATTATCTCTTACTAATAGAGAGAGAGCATCAACTATTAATCTTTTGATTTATTAATAATATATGTGGATGATGGCAAACTGCAAAAATTTGTTTTCAGGATTTCTTCTTCTTCTTCTGGATTTATATCTTTATCTTTTTTGATAATGTGGATTGGTTTGGTTTGATTTGATTTGAGATTCTGTTGGGTTTAGTTGTTGTTGTTGTTGTTGTTGTTGTTGGATGGAATAATTTAAGGTTGGGGAGGAGGGGAGGATTTGATTGGATAAATTATAAATTAATGATCTATTATATCTATCTATTTTACCCAATATGTTTTGTTTCTTTCTTCATCTATTATTATTATTATTATATGATATTTTTTGGTTTGGTTTAACTCTTTAACTTTGAGGAGTACCATTTGCAAGTGGAATTGGAGGTAAATGTAAATTATTCAAATTGGGGTGATAATTGGCATGGTCATTATTGGGTACCAAAGTATTTTGTAAATTATTACTACTAGTATTATTACTATTACCACTACCACTACTATTGTTATTATTATTATTATTTATATTATTATTATTATTTATATTATTATTATTATTTATATTATTATTATTATTTACGGTATTATTCAAGTTGTTATTTAAATTATTATTATTTAAATTATTTAAAACAATATGTTCTTCAGTTAGGGTAAAGTTTAGATTTTTCCAACCAAGGGAGAGTCTTCTTTCATGAACTTCCAACACACTACGCTTAGTGATGTTGTTTCTGGAAGAGTAGGGAAGGGCGACCTTTTGGAGGTCTTGGCAGTTGAGAAAGAGTGCCTCGACCGTCTCGAGGGTGATTTTCATTGGACCCTTGGTCTGGGCTGGACCAGGGTTGATAGATGGACCTTCACGAGAGAGATCGACACATACCAACTTTTTGCAATAGGTGGCGATCAGAGTCATGGACGAGTCGGTCACTTCGACACATGCACAGAGACGGAGGTTTTTAAGATTGCATGCGTATTCAGTGAGTTGACGGATATCGTCGTCATTAACGTCGGTAAACGAGAGGTCAATGTTGGTGAGGGTGTTGAGGAGACGGTATGGGTTCTTGGGGAAAGTGATGGGATGGATATTCTTAAAGTTGGAGAGGTTGAGGGTGGTGAGACAATGCAATTGTTGGAGAACGTGTTGGATAGAGGTACGAGTAACCTTGCTACACGATGCCAAGTTGAGATCCATCAATTGTGGACAATCATGAATCAATTCCAATACTCCATGATCTGTAATCAATTTGCAACTCTTTAATGATATAAATTTCAATTTCTTACATTGTCTTGTCAATGCCTTTAAATCATCATCACTTAAATTATTACTTGATCCTAAATCCATTGATGTAAAATGTGCTAAAAAAGTAAAATAAAAAATAAAATTAAAATAAAATAAAAAGAAAAGATTAATATATATTTAGATCTAAATAAGAGTTATTGTTGTTATTATTTTGCTTACCACAATAAGGTGCCAAAGTTCTAATATCCCATCCAGAAATTCCATTAAAATTTAAGAAACTAAGATTGGTATTCTTAATGATATGACAAATGCCTGTAGTTGTAATATTTTCAACTTTGTGAAGATTGATTGATTTGAGTTTGATGGCACCATTTGCCAACAACTCGAGGCACTCGTCTGATGTTTTTCCACCGTCCATAAAGACTTGTTCCAAGTTGGGGCATTTGGCAACGAGGAGCTTCGACGTCTTTTCGGTCAATTTCAGGTTGTGAAGTCGTATTTCCTTGAGTTGTGGGGTATGGGTAACTATATAATCGATGGTGGTTTGCTTGATGTTGGCATTGTTGAGGTTGATCATACGCACTGCCTGCAGTCTTGCTGTCGATTCCATGTTTTTGAGTGCAGAGATGATCTTTTTCCTTGGCATGTTGCTGCTCATTGCCAATGTTCGCCAAAGTGTAGAGTCGTAACAACACTCCTTGAAGCGTTTCGATAGTCTTGCCAAAATACACAATTCGTGAATGCTCATGAATTTCAATATATACAACAGTAGTTCGGTCGATAGAAAACTAAAGTAGTTGGGGTTCTTTTCTGCTTCTGACAATTCCAATTGTATTTGTTTCTCGGCCAACATTGTCTTTTTCTTACTTCTAACCCCAAAACAAGAAAATGCTTCCATCTTCATTTTCGTAAAGTCTTTTTTTAAAAATAAATAATTAATTAAATCTAAAATATATTAAAAGAAATTATTATTAATTATTTATATTCCTTAATTATTATTATTATTTGTTGTAATTAACTAAATTGACTGTTGTTGTAGTAGTAGTTTAAAGGAAATGGAACTATTATAAATGTATGGTGTGGTGGTTTTTAAAAGACAAGAAGATTAAATAAAATGGTCAACATAACACACAAAAAGGAAAAATAATAATATAATATATTATAATATATAATATTCGATTATTTGTATTAATTAAAACATCGAAAGAGAGTTATAATCAAAAACAAGAAGAACAAGAGGAATTAATGAAAGTTTGTGTTTTTTTTTTTGGTGTGTTGGGGGGGTGATATTAACTACTTTTTTTTGAACAAGATATAGATGAGTGAGGGGAGTGAGGAGGAGAAACAAAGTAAATGAATAAGGAGGAGGAGAACGATAAATCAAGGTTGAATCTCACAACAGCTTCTTCTTACTCTCTACCTGTCTGTCTGTCTGTGTGTGTGTACTAATATGATTATTCACCTACGGATGGATTTTCAAAAAAAATAAATATTGTTTATCCAAAATCCCAATGTTGTTCTTATATATGATATGATTAATCTTTCTCTGAGATTGTTGATGAACTCTCTTTAATTCTCTCTTACTCTCTTTATCTTTCTGTATGTCTCTGTCTCTATGAAATTATTATTATTATTATTATTATTTTCCTTGTCAAATTATTATTATTATATATATTATATAAAAAATAAAAATGGGAGATGTGTGTGTTGGTTGTTTGTTTGTTGTTGGATTTACACAATAACAAGCTAGAATAATAATATAATAATAATAATAATAAAATATATTGACTTTTAAAGGTGAGGAGGAGGAGAAGGAGGAGAATGAGTTCTATTGGATTAATTGTGTCTTCATCAACAACAACATAATAGAGATAAAAAAAAATAATAATGTAATTGGAAAATCATTCAGGACATACGATGCGATACAATATACACTTGCTTTACTCACTCTTTCTCTCTCTCTCTCTTTGTCTTTCTCGCTCTCGATCAAAAATTTAAATAAAGTAATAATAAAAATAGATTTGATGATATAATTATGTAATTGATGATGATTGATGAGGAGGAGGATGATGATGATGAGCTCCTGATGAAGATTAAAAAATATACTACTACATGTACGACGATTATTTGTGTGGTGACTGAAACCTACCCTATTGTTACTGTTGTCTGGAATATTCAAGTTTGTTTTTCGCTTGCTGGCTGGTTGGATGGATGGATGATGGATAGACTGACTGGGGGGTGTCTGTCTATGTATCGGTCTGGATAAAAGGAAGATATATATATGTGTGTGTGTGTGCTATATTTATATATATTATATATGTTGATAATGGTGGATGGTGGATGATATTAATAAATATTTATATTTATATATATAACTTGGCTTGATGATGTGATGGATGAATATCTTGGTTGGGTTGTCTTTTTGTTTGGATTTTTGGTACAACAGTGGTGGTGTGTTTTGTTTTGATCAAAATATTAATATATGATTCTTTCTTGTTGGTATCAATTAAATAAAATACAGTTGTGTTGTTGTTGGAGAAAAAACAGTGTGTGGGGGTTGGTAGAGATACAATTATTATTATTATCCGGGGATGGATGGATGTTATAAAAAACGAAAATAGAATAATAGTATTTTATAAAGTATTATTAATAGTTGTTTGTTGTTTGTTAAATGTAGTACATAAGAAATTGCAAACTAAACTGTTGAGGTTTGTTGGTTTGGGGATACTAGAGATTGTATGTATGGTTTATTATTATTATTGTTGTTGGGTGGTGGTGGTGTGGGAATTAAATTCTTAATGATTTCAATTGTGTTTGTGTGTGAGGGAGGGGGGTGTGGGTCCTAAAACCAACACATTCCATTCCGTTCATAGTTGGATGCCAGTCAAAGTCATGACATCGGGCTAGTCACCCATCCAAATCCATGCATCTGACATTCCCCAAACAATCAACCACTCATCTTCCAACCCCCCAACCCTATCCTTCTCACTACATTACCACTCTATATTCTTTTTATAGTACGAATGGATTTGTAGATAGAGGATGGGTGATATCACAACCAACAAACAAAGCAATAAACAAATAATAATAAATGAATAGAGTAGAACCCATTTAACTATTTTTCTTGTCTTCTTTACTTGTTTACACCACACCACCTCTTCCACTGCTGACACAAGTTGATTTAGACATGGAAACTTAGATGACTCTAGTCTGATATATTCTATTTTAAAATGTGCGTTGCATATGAATGAAATGAAAGGGAGAGGGGGGAATAGGGTATTTGAGATTGTTGGAATGATTTTTTAATGAAATGAAATCTGTCTTTTTTTTGGTTGATGGATGGACGGATTAAATTTACCAGATCCTGGAATGATATGGAATATTAAAATTAAATGTAAAACAACCAACCCATATTATATATATATATATATATATTCGTCGTTGTTGTTGTTATTGTATTTGTATTTGTTGAATCTGATTATTATTTAATAATATAAACTTTTAACGACATGTACATATAGATTTCTTACCTTTTATATTTTCTATTTACAATAATAATAATAATAATAATTGTGACAATGTAATTGAATTTAATTATCACAATCCACTTATGATAATATTAATCTATCTATATTTATATAATATATAATATTATTGTAAGTAAATGAACTATTATTGTCTGTTTGTCTGTCTGTCTGTCTGTCTGTCTGTTTGTATGTCTGTATAAATGTGAATGATTGGTAATTAATTGATTGTAGTTGTAATCTCTTATTTTAATATTTATATATTTAAGAATAGGAATGAAAAATATTTATATTATTGATGGATGGATGGAGGGATGGATGGATTGATCAATCTTTCCAGTGCTCTGTTGTTATTGCTTTTTTTCCTTTTATATATTATTTGTCCTAATTTCTAGAAATTATTATTATTATTATTATTATTATTATTTTTGGTGCTATACATTGATGAGTTGAGTAGTAGTAGTTGAATTCATGTATTATTTTTAAAACAAAAAGAGTATTGTTTGGATCTAAATTTAAAATACGTCGCCACAAAAGGGTTAGCACACAACACCCACACCCACACCCTCGAGCAATCACAACAGAGCACCCATCCAACTAAATAGGCAACACACACTCTGGGTTTGAAGCTCTCAGTTTGCCTAGTTTGCCTTTCTTTGGGAACTCTACACATTTCTTTTTTCCATTGTGTGTGTTTGTTGAGTAGTGAGTGATTGTCAAGATGGAGGAGTAATCCAAGTGTTGCAGGTATTTCCTTTCCGTCATGATGTCTTGATCCTCTTTCAATCAATCAATCAATTTATAACAACAACAACTAAACAAGATGGATGTCTTTCTTACCTTACATTCAAACAACCTAATCTTGATTCCAAAGTTGTCAAAATTGTCGTCTGTGTCTGTGTCTGGAAGATGATCTTGATCTTGATCTAGATTGATTGATTGCCAATGTGTGTCCAGCGGCTCAGTTCTATTTATAAAATAAATGTTGTTGGTTGTTATTGTTATTGTTGTAACTATCTATCTATCTCTCTTATAAATGTTATCCATTGACATGGTGATAAGTGATATTATTCTCTATCTATCTATATTATTTATCTGTCTGTGTTATTATTATTATTATTATTGTTATTTATTATTCTATTCTCAAGAACAACCATAACGGTGTTGTTGTTATTGTTGTTGATTCTTTCTGCTAACAACATTTTCAGGTTAAGAAGAAGGAAGAAGATACCGATGTGACGATAATAATGATGAGTAGTAATGTTGTTGTGTTTTGTGTATTATTGGGTGTGCATCCAATACACGCTGAGTATTATTGAGAACAAAGGGGGCACCGCAAAGAACTTTCAAACAACAAGTGCGCAGAGACACCCTTTTGGTGAGGCAAAGGGTGCTTGCAAGAGAAAGAAACCAATTTTCTTTAAAAGGAAATTTATAAAAACAAACAAAACTCATAATTGGTTGGTTGGGCATTTTGTGCTAATGGGTGATTCTATCAAGCATCGATGCTGCCAGATCAGCAACAACTATCTTGCTCTTTCTTCGAGACCCTATACAAACGCCAAGATATATTGAAGATTTATAAAATTTTATCCTTGCTTGCAGAGGTGAATGAATATCTTTTGTACAATAGGGGCTGTTCCCAAACAACTACAACAAGGATTAATTCCTTCTTGAGATATCTTGATTTATTTTTGAAGGACGTTGACGGCGACGGAGACGGTGACGGATACAATATTTAATATTTTGATTTAAATTTTAAATTTAAAGATTGTATTTGTTTTAAAATGACAACGGTCTTGTTTTAATAATTTGACAAGGATGTTGTATTGGTTTTCAGAGTTGATTTGTTTGGTGTTGGTAGCGTCGATGTTTTGGTACATATGGTAATTAAAGGATTCTTGGTCAAAGAGGAGGAGAGAGGTAGGGGACAGTCGACGGATATGGATGAGTTTGAATTCACCGCGATCTTCACCGTAGCATTTTAGGGTTTCGAGTTGCATCAACATGGACAATGATAGGCGTAGATGAGCATTGTTGTGACACCTCGTTACATTGGAGAGTGTCAAGTGTCGGACTGATGGCGGTACAATATCATGTATCCAAACATCTCTAAAGAATTGTCCCGATGTTGCCATCACCGTCAAACACGGAGACATAAAGTGTAGACATGACAAGAGATCGGTACGACCAAACACACCAAGTGAGGTAATGTTGACGGGTAACTCTTTGACAGAGTCTGGTACGTCGGTGTAGGTGAGTGATCTAAGTGTGGGAAGACTGGTCTTTGTGAGGTGGATATTGACACATACCAGTGTGACCAAATGTTGTGGTAGATGTTCAAGTTGGAATTTTCGACTAGCCATAATCGATAGAGATGTGATCGTGTCGGGTAGCTTGTACGCATTCCCGTAAATCTCACGTCCAATTGTTAGTGTTGTAATATTTGATGTGATTGACTCGATTTTAGGTACACCAAGTGAAAGTATAGATAGTGTTGTTGGAAACAGGTCTTTGGGACTAGTCATCACATCACCACCAAACGACAGATATCTTAGGTGTGGAGGGAGTGCACCCAATTTCTCAATCTCTGAAGAGACCGAACCTCCCATCTCTAAATACAATACTGAACTAGGTATATCTAATTGAACAGTCTCTAATTCTTTCTTTGGTTGTTCATTTGACGATGATGGTAGTTGTGGTGGCATAATGGTAATATGATTGTACAAGAGATATACAACCGACGATGGGATTGCTTTGAATAGTGGGATATGGGTACTAAGGTATAATGCTTTGACACCTCCATTGTACGGTTGTCCCAATTCCGTGTCTGGACAAAGACTGTCGAAAAACGAGCAGGATCTTGGTAATGCCATGATTGGCCATAGAGGTGTTGTCATGATAGCCGATTTTAAAGTGGGTTGACTGACCAGATGGTCCATGTCAAATAGTAGAGTGGTCGATGGAGGTTTATCAACACGAAAGTGTTGGAGTGGAGGAAGTAGACCTGTAAACTCGATTGTTATCGGATCTGAACCAAGTGCAGACCGTATGTCAAGTAGATACAGAGTGTCTGGGAAATAAGCAGTACTGACCTTGTCCGACGCATTGACCGTGACAGTCAAACTTTGCACCGTGTTTGGTAACTTGGCTTGATACATTGCAAAATGGAATGAACTCAATACCAAGTGTGTAATACTACTTGCCAGCGACACTACTCCAGGTGTTGTTGTAGAGATGGTCTTTAAAACTTTGAAATATTTACTTTCAATTGATAATTTGGAAATTGTATTTGGTAGTATTGGTAATGGTTCCAAAGACTTGATTTGTTTTGATGTCATTGTACTTGTTAAAGGGATGGGTGGGATGGTTGACGTACTAGGATTGCTGATAAACTTTAAAACCTCTTGACGTAGATGAATATCAGATACTGGGTAATAATATTCAATCGATAGACCAGAGACTGATGGAGGGATGGCGATCTTGGGATGTGGGTGCATTGATATATTGGTGAATGGGTATTCGTTGATCCAGGCGACATTGGTCATCTCGTAGTAGTAGAGGACGAGTGGTGACGGATTAAAGTTTCTCTCTCGATTACTCCTAACTATTTTACCGGTCTTGTTTGATACTGGTAGAAACAGAGATAGCTGCACACTATCGTTGCCTAGTTGATAGGTATCCTTGCCACGACCAATACCGACCGACCCAGGTATCTGTGAGATATGATCGTTTCTAAATGAATACAGCTGTTTTCTATGTTTATATATATCCTTGCAAGTGAGTAAAAGGCAAACTCTATCAATAAAATCCAAGTTACAAAGTATCAATGATGTCACCATCAAATTAAATTGTAACTTGACCGTCTTGTTATCGTCACCTTTACTATCATATGTATTCTTTTTGTTATGTATTGCATTATTCTTATCTTTTCTTCTCCACATTATTACTAAATAATACAATATATTATTATTATTATATATATCTACAAATACAATAATAATAATACAAAGTTTACAAAACTAATGGGAGTAGTTTGATCTTTGAGACCATCGACATTCTTTCTACTTTTTTTTCATTGTTTTTTTAAATATTTCTATTTTTTTTGTTTTAGAGATACTATTAATAATAATACTCATAATAATACTAAATTCATTATTAATATATATATATATTTTTTAATTTATGTCATTGAATTAATTTAGAGTTTGTTGGGGAATCTGCGAACTAGCGCAATGAGACCCCACTACCAGAAATTAGCTAATTCCCTCCCCTTACGGGTAAGGGATTTAAAGTGTCTCTAGCAGTGCAAAAAGAGACAGATACTTTAGTTTCTAGTCACCTATTTGATCGTGACTAGAAAATCAGCAGGTAAGTATGAATTGTAATAGTCTCGTATTGTAACTATTTATACTTTACTGTCTCTATTCAATTGTATATCCCATTGATATATTGATGGAAATTCATAAGTATGGTTATACTATTTAAAATATTTCCAGAATGAATGGATTTTGAAAAATTCATAAGTACTGGAAAAAAGTAAATAATAAAGATAGTGAGGAATAAAGATATTGTATCATTGTAATAACAAGTTACATAGATATATATATATATATATATATATATATACACACATATATAATTTATAAACTAATTAATTAAAAAATAAAATAAATGAAGTTTGAAAAAAAACAAAGGTGGGAGACTGAATGTATAACCTTTGAATTATTATTTATTTTTTGTTCTTTGTATCTATATTTATAGACATTTATATATATCTTTGTATCTTTATACATTAAACAAGACTCGATACTTTACAATGGATATGATTAGCTAAAGTTGGGGTGACAAGCTACACAACCTTGTTGTTACCAGACACAGCAATGATGGTGCAGTGTGTATGTGATGACGGACGATAAAATATAACGACCCCTCTCCAACCTAGCTAGAACAACGACGATTTAGAAATCAATAAACACAACAATCAATAGTGATGATGGTTTGTTGAAAGAAAGATATCTTCATCTTGGTTCAACGTCGACGAATAGTACAAAAAGCCATCACTACACTTTATGTTGTGTGCGTGCGGTATGGGTTCAAGAAAAAAAAGGGTTAGGGTTAGGGTTTCAAAATCACATGTTTGGTCAAACAATCATTGTAATAATAATTATAATATATTATTATTATTACGATATATATTAATAATGATAATAATAATTAAAATGATTAGTGGTGGTGGTTGGTGTATATGATGGATTAAAACCCAAACAAAAAAATCACATTACATTTGGTTTAGTTTTTAATATATACAAAAACAACAAACAATACAACAACAACAAACAATACAACAACAATCAATACAACAAATAATAATATTTAATAATTAATATTTAACTACAAAAAGAAACAAAGAATGGATATGGTAAAAATGGTATTAGAAAAAAGTTTAGGGAGAAATAGTGGTGGTGGTGGTCCCAACATATCATCTCCTTTTGATGTTGTCACTTCATCATTGGTTCCTCCTAATTTGTCTTCCCTCATTGACAATCTTCCCCTTCCTCCTCCTCAACAAATCCAACCTCAACAAATCCAACACCCACATAATTACAAGACAATTAGACATCAACCATCAATTTTACATGACAAAGGTTTAATTGGTGACACTTCATCGATAATGGTATTTAATGAAGTGTCTGATGTGATTACAGTCTATATTACACCCGATCAAAATACACTGTTTCGTAAAAAGATTGGTGGCGAGGTTGGTATTTCTACCAATGGCGTCAAACTCGGTGCACAGGTAGAGTTTGATAAAAACAATCATGATATAGATCAAATACAAAAGATACTCATATTGCCTGGTGAAAGCGGTACCTTTCACATTAGCAAGAATACCTTTGCCTACGTACAAGTATTTGTCTATGACAGGAACCACAACGGCGATATCGATGTCCTCACAAGACAACTGAAACATGGTGACATTTTCTCTATACTAAACAAACACATAGATGCTGTCAAATCAAAACCATACAAGGTTTATAATCAAGATTTTGAGGAAATTGCTACCATCATTCCTCAACCAATTCATTATTTTAGTTATAATCATCCAAATCAAAATCAAAATAACCAAAATAATAATTATCATCAAAATAATCATAATAATAATCATAATAATCAAAATAATAATAATAATAATAATAATAGTCATGTTAATACTCACAATAATAATAATAATAATAATCAAAATGATCATAATAGTCTCAAAACATTATTTAAAAAAGATAGTCAATTTAATGATAGACATCATCAAAATCAAAAAGATAATCATCATGAAGAACAAGTCCAACAACAACAACAACAACAACAACATCATCATAATCAACATGCCAATTTTGGTACTCACAAACATCGCTCAAATACTGACGGTAGTTATGATGGCTCCAATCATCCTAAACACCACTTATAATTAATTTATTACAAATACAACCCAACTTTCTTTTTTATTGAAATTATGCTATTACTTTACGATTAATTATTATTGATTATTAATCATTAATTATTAATGATTAAATATTAATTATTATTATTATTATTTATATTTATACATGTAGATAGAAGAGGATTGATTGATTGATAGGATGGGAGTAATGAATTTTTTTTTAAAAAGTAAAAGTTGGACCATCTTCAATTGGAAATACACCAACAACCTTGTCGGTAAGATCTTCCACTTGTTGTCTTGCAAAGTTTTGACAATCATTGACGATAAAAGTGTAGTCATCGTTTCCTGGAAGGTCCTTGAAATAAGAATCCCATGAACGTGGACAACATGGTGATCCATAGTCAGAGGTACGGACCTTTTTACCAACCTTTCCCCAAGTTTGTTTGCAGGCAGCTTCCATTGAATTTTCAATCTTGCAAGCTACAGTGTCATCGGTATTCTTTTGAATGCAGGCGTACTGTCCATTGCTGAGACTCAAAATGATTGACCAATGATTCCAGCTCCACCAACCCTCCAGTGCACGTAATCCAACCCATACATTTGTAATCATGATTCCAGTGTTTTGATCTTTGGTTGAGATGTTTTGTCTAACTCTTGGTGATCCATCTTTGTCTGAACCCATCGATGCTAATATTATTGATGCAATCATTGTTAATAATAATAATAATAATAAAAATATTTAAATATAATATATTGTTTAATTTTATGATTGTTGTAAATATTATATTGTTGATAATACTATCATAACAACAAGGAAGTGCATAGGAATATTTATACTTTTTTTTTTTAAACAATAAATATTATTATTATTAATTAACCAAGTCTAGCTATTTAGTTTTATTTTATAACCCATTTTAGATTAAAATATTGACTTCTAGATAGATAGATAGATGATGGGGGTTACGATATGATGGATTAACGAGTTTGACTGCTAACAGTTTAACTAGTTTACCACTAACTCAAAAATAGAGAAATATATTTATATTTTAATTTATGTCATTGAATTAATTTAGAGTTTGTTGGGGAATCTGCGAACTAGCGCAATGAAACCCCACTACCAGAAATTAGCTAATTCCCTCCCCTTACGGGTAAGGGATTTAAAGTGTCTCTAGCAGTGCAAAAAGAGACAGATACTTTAGTTTCTAGTCACCTATTTGATCGTGACTAGAAAATCAGCAGGTAAGTATGAATTGTAATAGTCTCGTATTGAAACTATTTATACTTTGCTGTCTCTATTCAATTGTATATCCCATTGATATATTGATGGAAATTCATAAATAAATAACTATACTATTTAAAATATTTCCAAAGACAACAACAATGGATTTTAAAAAATTCATAAATGGAAGGAAGGAAAATAAATAAAGGTCAATAATATAGGTGATATCTAAAAGCGAGCGTTAAACACTTGCCAAATCTGTCAAGAAGATAGAATATCCCTCATTCAATGACCATTAAATTTTGTCTTTTGACTTTTCAATATTGATGTTATACTTTTGTATTTCTTTGATTTTTTTATAATCAAGCAATATCAGTTGGAGTATTACCATCAACCTATATCAGTTGGAGTATTTGATCTATTGTAGTGATCTTTGTATTTCTTTAACGTTGAATGAGATAGATTTCTTTACAAGATCTATGCTGACTCTTGTATGCATGTATGAGGTAATAACTAGAACTAATTCTTAAAAATAATCATAAATTATAATAATATATGATGTGATTGATGTTGAAGTTCATTCTTTGCAAAGAGTTTGAGGAATGTTTGTTTGTTTGTCTGTCTAACTCTTCTAGATTGGTGACTATTTGAGATGTGAGCCCAAAGAATTATAAATAATTAAATAAAATTAGCCGTTGCTGCTTGGTGGTGATCATTGAAAAAAAAAAAAAACCAAGTTGGTAGTAGTTCTTTTAAAAGGACTATTAAGGAAAACCCTTAACCTTTTATTATTTATTATATTAATATAATCGCGATCAATTTTTATTAAATCATAACAACACACCCCTCTTTCTTTAGTAATAACACTACTCTCTTCGCTGAACTAGATTATTATCACTATTAATTTAAATTTAATTAATAATACAATAATCAAGACAAGACAGAAAGATATTGCAAATAAATAGTATTTAGATGTCATCTTTAAAAGATCAATCAACAACAACAAACAAACGAATACATATACATATACATATACATATAAAGACACAGCTATAGATAGAACAAAACATCATCATCATCATGACTACAGCAATAGAACAATCAATAGAACCAGGACCAATTGAATTCAAAGACTATGTGATCATTGCAAACAAGCTACCTCATCCAATAGTAGCATTTCTAAATACAGAGGGACCGCCTCTAGAGTTTGTCGATGGCGGTACTACACTACTGAACCCATCCTCTGATAAACAAGCAATCAAACAATTGGAACAAGGATATCTTCCACACTCTTCACGTTTCTACGTTGGCAAGGGGAAAGGATACACTCAAATATTTGTACCCACCGGTGAAGGTGCCACCAAAAACTATCTGCTCATTGCAAACAGAACAATCGATGCAGGCTACAAATTCACAGTTCTTCAAACACACTTGGACGTAATGCTACAAACAAATGATCGACGTTATGACAAGGATTTTCAACCAATAGCTCTTTTAAATTATAATACTGGTGGTGGTTCGACGCAGCCCAAAACAACAACAACAACTCCGTTCAACCCACAAGACTATAAAGAAATTCAACAAGTAATAAGAGAAGAACCAATTGAAGATAGAGAAGTTGATGATATACGATAGAAGTAGGTTATTAGTAAATACTATCATCAAAATAAATCAATTTCCTTGTAAATATATATTTATCCAATTTTTTGTTTTCTTTTATTTATTTTTTTTTGACAAATATCTTTTTTGCAATGAAGCCAATCCATTGTAACGATCATAGTACCTCAAATGTACAAAGTAGGGATTAATCCTTTAAGATCATTTCAAATGATCCAACCCCTACCCTTGCACGTACACCAGCATCCAGTGGACATCAATTAATATGTAATAATAATAATAATAATAATAATAATAATAATAATAATAATAGAGTTCCTATTAATTTGAGTAGAACTCAACAAACACAACACATAGAGATCTTTTCCTTTTTTTTTTTTTGTTATTTTTGATGGATAGTGCCAAGTGATCCCAACTTGGATAATCATTTGAACAGAGAAAAAGAAATATATTTACTTAAATAAAGAGAGAGAATGGAACCAGAAACATCAATATCAACAACAGGAATAGAAAAAAAATTAATAGTTCAAAACTATTTACCACATCCTATTAAAATCTTTGTCAGTACTGAGTGTGTTGGTGAGGAGATTTGGAATGATCTGAAAACTTGTGTTGTAAAGGTGGTAATTGAGGCTTTGCATGACAGCATTGAAATGCTTGCTAAGAACAGAGAATGTGATTCCAGCCTCTAATGTTCTTGTAAGCAAGTGTATGTAACCATTGTTGATTGCAACAAATACTTGCAAATAGGCAGGCTCTTTGAGAATAAGCATTTCAGCCGATGATGGTTGAGTGTTTGGAACTTTACTTTGGATGTATTGTGAATTTGTTTGAGCTTCATGAGCGTTGGAAACAACACATCTAAACGAATTTGTAAAGGCACATGATCACTCACCATTGCACCAGATGCTGATGAACCTTCTCAAGAACAATAATACTACTACTACCTACCATATATAATAATAATAATAAATAATGTGTAATATACTATACCTCTATTTTGGTATCTCTTTATTTTTGTTTAATTTAATTTTTTTTTTGATGGTTTGATGCGCCATCCCATTTGATCTTTAAGGGGCTCCTTTGCACTGCTAGTTACAAAAAATATTATAATAATATATAGAGATATATACAAAAGAGAGAGAGAGAGAGAATGGAACCAGAAACATCAATCACAACAGGAGGAAATTCTATTCCGAATAAATTGATAGTCAAAAACTATTTACCACATTCTGTACGTCTCTTTGTCTGTACTGAGCGGGTACCACTTAAAATCGCTCTCGATGGTACTATTTCCAATGATCAGGATACTACAACAGATTCACAAAACATCGCAAGCAGAGATCCAGATCCAACTATCAAACCAAGATCAGGAGAGTTCTTGATTGGTACGACCAAAGAGTATGCGCATTTGCAAGCATTTGTTTCATTCAACGGCGGCTACATTCACTTGCTTACGAGAAGATTAGAGTCTGGAATCACTTTCTCCATTCTTAGCAAGCATTTCAATGCCGTCATGCAGAGTCCTTACCACCTTTACAACAACATATTTCAGATCATTATACCAAATGTCACACCCTTGCTCACCAACACATTAACACCATATGTTGATGAACCTGATCAAGATCAACAAAAACATTAATAATAATCATAATTATTAATAATTAATAATAATAATAAATCACATCATGTAATATATATGTATTCATTTCAACAACTGTACCACTCCACCTCCACTCCTTATTTCAAGAGTTGCTTGACGATATTGACTCATATTTTTGAGAACCACCACAACTTGTAGATTAATCGACCATCTACTTTAAATTGCATTTGAGAACCAAAAACTTGTTCTTCTTATCATCGCAAAGAAAGAATGAGTTATAAAACAGAACAAGTAGTATCTGCAAGCTACGTAACAAGACCAAAGGAAGGTTTCATGCATATCGCCGATCACCATGGTGTAGTTGTCAAGACCAACCAAGGTAACAATTATCTAATACACAGTGTTCCATCGTCTGGTGTCGTTGTTACCGATGCCAAGTATATGACTGGTAATTGGAGGGTTGATCATCCGATCAATGTAAGAGGTGCCAAGACTGTTCATGGTGCACATCCGAGTGCATCGGGAAGATCTCTCAACCCAATGGTAAACTACGTCACAAGTGGTAGTTGTATCATGTCTGCTAAAAATGCTGAAAACTATCTTTTAAATTAAAACTATAATAATGTAAATAAATAAATAAATGTACAAATACAAATCAAGTATGAAGGGTGTCTCATAAAGCTTTATCTTCACAAAAAATGGTTCAAAAAAAATCAAAGCCAAAAAAGATCACCACTTTTGATTGCACTCACGATTGATACCTTTTTCCTTTTGTATATATCAAATATTGTATCAATAACAACAAACAAACAAACAAATTATTTATATTCATATATCAATCTATATTTTAAGTAATAATAGAAAGAAGAAGAAGAAGAAGAAGAAGAAGAAGAAGAAGAAGAAGAAGAAGAAGAAGAAGAAGAAGAAGAAGAAGAAGAAGAAGAAGAAGAAGAAGAAGAAGAAGAAGAAGAAGAAGAAGAAAAGAAATCAACAACATAAAGAATTATTTAAGATAAGAGATGATGACACAACCAGAGACATCAATAGTACCAAACCCCAATGAAAAGACTATTGTGATTGCAAACAATATACCATTGACGATTACAGCATATGTTTCAACCGACGAATATGTCTTGAATATCGATACGATCACCGGTCTCATCACAAACAACACCAATGCCAAAAACAAACAGTCTTCTATCATTCAACCGGTACAGACATCGACGCTACACATCAATTCAAAATTTGCCTACATACAAGTGTTTGCACATGACAATCATTCCGGTGGTATGATTCATTTATTCGATCGTCAACTAGAGTTTGGTCATACACTCAAGATCCTCAACAAACATTTGGCAGCCAAAAGAGATGTACCACATTACATCTACGATGGTCTATTTCAAAAAATAAGAATGGTCGATCCGTCACAGACCAATGTTCACAATGTCTTTTACCCTCCTCAACCCATTACACCAAAATATTATCAAGATCAAAGTGTGGATGCATATCAACTACCACCACAATAATAATAATAATAATAATAAATAATTACTAAAACATGTTACTAATATCCAATCATATTCCCGGTTGTTGTTGTTGTTGTTGTTGTGATCACACCAGGCAATAATAATAATATAATCAAAGGTCAAAGGTCGGTCAAATATCAACACCTCTTGTTCCCAAAAAAATAAGTGTTGATCAATCCCCTCCCTCCCTCTCACTCCAAACCAAATTCATTAGGGTTCACTCAAAAAAACAAAGTATAGTTTCATACATATATAAATATTTATATACATTATAAATAGCCTATTTATATTCATAATTCTATTATTCTATTTATTTATTTTTTATTTTTTTTATTTATTACAATTATTAAAAAAACAAACCTATCATGATGGACGTCATTGTTAATGTTGTTGAGGAACAAACATCGATTACACCAATTCCAATGGGAGATAATGAAATTCATAATCAAAGATTTCTAAGATCGATTCGAGTGGCCAATGGAACTGACGATGATGCCATTGTCTATACATCGAGTGAAGGATGTCCATTCAGAGTTGCTCAAGATGGAACCATAACCCAAAACGTTGATTGTCCAAGTGTAATCAATTTGGCCAGTCAGGCGACATCAGAGTTGCATTTTCTACCAACCACTACTCTGGTACACATCCAAACATTTATTACCAAAAAGGGACAAGGACGTATATATGTAGGACACAGAGAGGTAACACCAGGTGTCACCTATCGTATTTGTAAGAAACATCTTGACCCTATCCTATCGGCTCCCTACCGTGTCTATGATGAAAACTTTTCAATCATTGCAACCATGCGACCATTTGCACCCACTGCATTTATTAATCATCAATAGTAAATAAATCGCACAGTTACAATTTAATTAAAATATAGATTGTAATCTATCTCAATTGGTAGGTGATCAAAAAATCAAATATAGATAAATATAGAATCAATCTATATTTATTATTATATTTATTTAGTTTCTTTGTTTTTACTTCGACCCAAATTTCTGGGTGACCCGAGGGGTTTCAAGAACAGTGAGTAAATTTTACTTTAAAAATAACTCTCAAAGTGATTCACAAATAAAGTGATTTATAAAGTGAAAACACAAAAGATAGATAAGATAGAAAAGATAGATAGATAAGATAAAGATAAAGATATATATATATATATATAGATAGATAGATAGATAGATAGATAGATAAATATATATCAATAATGGACTATTCAGAACTACCATCAATCACACCAATTCCAATTGGAGAAAACGGACAAGCCCTCCGTTCGCTGCAATTGATAAATGAAACTGAATATGTAGTCATTGCATATGCATCTGGCCAAAGATACCCATTCTCAGTTGCTCAAGATGGAACTCTAACAAAAGACACTAGTCTCGATCCAAGTAATGTTACATTGGGTCGTCGTGGAACAACAGCAACCGGACACTTGTTGCAATTTGAATCAACAGTTGATTTGGTCTACGTAGTATTATTTATATCTTTACAAGATAAGAGACTTATACATTTGACCAACAGATCTTTTGCACCTGGAAGCAAGTTTTGTCTTTCCGACAAACATGTTGCCCCAGATGTTCTAAAGGAAAAATGCTATCATGTCTATGATGAGAACTATCAAAAAATAATACCAACTCCATTAATAGAAATATCATCAACTCAAACAACAACCCCTCCAACAGGACCATCAACAGAACCACCAGCAACAGAGCCACCATCAACACCACCACAGACACTCCTGGCTTATATTAATCATAACCCCATCGATGCTCAACAACCATAGACAAAAATCGACTAATCAATTGGTTATTAATAAACCAAACCAAACCAAACCAAACCAAACCAACAATTAAATTTATTCAGAAAATTGTATCCTATAATATCACTTCTTTTTTTAAATAAAACTAATCTAATCTATTATTATTATTATTATTATTATTATTATTATTATTATTATTATTATTATTATTATTATTATTATTATTATTATTATTATTATTATTATTATTATTATTATTATTATTATTATTATTATTATTATTAATATTCTTGTTTTGATCTCAATAAATCAAGTCCCTCTTGTGAATTGTGTTGACATTGGTAACCCTTGCATACTCACTGGCGAACATATTTGAATATTAGTTTTACATATAATATTTTATAAACTTATTTATTTATTTATACAAAAAAAAAAAAATGGACAATAGTGAAACTTCTATAACCCCAATTCCAATAGTTGAAGATATCGATCATTGTCAAAACCAACTATCTCAACGATCGGTTCGAGTATCTAATGGGACTGATAACATAGTGATTGTTTTTGCATCTAGAGAAGGATACACATTCACAATTGCTAAAGATGGAACTCTAACAAAACAAACTGCTCTCACTTCATGTGAACTTACATTGGGTCCTCGTTGCTCATCAGTGATACACTTTGAATCAACTGTTGAATTGGTTTACTTTCAAGTATTCATTTGCAAGAATGGTAAAGGACGTTTTTATTTGGGTAGCAGAGAGATAGAGCCTGGATTCACCTATAGAATCTTACAAAAACTAGTTGACAGTGTTGAATCGAGACCCCATCACATCTATGATGAGAACTTTGAAGAAATACACATTCAAAGTTTCTCCTTCTGACAAACACGATTAAATTGATGAACAATTAATTAATTCCGAGGCATCACCAATCACAATTAAAACAAAGAAGATTAAAAAATAATATCAAGATATTAATATTAATAAAATATTGATATAGTTTAACATTGTTGAGAAACGAACAATCAAGAACATTGTTTGATTAAAAGCACAATCAATTTTTACTATTTATTTTTTATTTTTTTATTACGACTCAAATTTCTAGCCCTTGCAACAACAGTGTTTTAGTTAAAATTAGCACTATAACTCTGAGTGATCTTTTATATAATATATTATAAAGTGCAAACAAACGAAAAAGATACATAAGATACAAAAGATACAAAAGATACGATAGAAAGATAAATAGATAGATAGATTATCATAGATAAAGAAAGGAGTACTTTAAAACAATGGACGGGCAAGAACCACCATCGATCACACCAAATGGTGACAACGGACAACATTCGCTTGTATTGTGTAATACAACTGAACATGTAGTCATTGTTTTTGCATCTAGCGAAGAATACACATTCAAAGTTGCTCAAGATGGAACTCTAACAAAACAGACTACTCTCAATCCGAGTTCAATTTCTTTGGCCCCGCTCGTCGGATCAGGAGTATTGCATTTCTCAACTACATTGGTCCACCTCGTTATATTTATTTCCGTACAAGGTATAGGACGTATACATTTGGCTAGCAGACCTATAGAAACAGGAAACAAGCTAAAGATTTCAAACAAACATGTTGTCCCGGTTCTAATGACAAACCCCCATGTCTATGATGAAAACTATCAAAAAATAATACCAACACCATCAATACCAACAGAAACAACAACGTCAACAGAAACAACATATATCCCCACACTCCCAGCTTTTATTAACACTGACGCACATGCAACAGCTCAACAATCGCGATGATTTGCTGTCAAAAAATAATAAATTATTAATAAACCTATTTGTATAATTACCCAATCAATATATATATATATTTATTCAAGAAATATTGGATACCCAAAATTTATAGCCATAGTTTTTGCATCTAGAGAAAGATACACATTCACAATTACACAAGATGGAACTCTAACAAAACAGACTACCCTCACTTCATGTGAACTTACATTAGGTTGTCCCTTGAAAATTTTAATGTGAAAAAAATTGTTAATAAAGTATTCTGATCTCAATAATTTAAGTTAGGTTCCCAACACAGCAAAGGAGTATGTATTGGTCTGTTGCAAAGGTTCAAATTTGCATAATTATTCAAAATCAGAAGATTAAAGACACACAAGATAGATAGAAAAGATAGAGAAAGATACAATAGAAAGATACAAAATGAACGCAGAACTGCCATCTATCGAAACAGCAATTATCGGCGATGATGGACTTACCCAACGATCGATTCAAGTGACCAATAAAACCAAATTTGCAGCTATTGTGTATGCATCTAATGAAGGATGTCCATTCACAGTAAATGTGCAAGATGGAACCATAACCCAAAACATTAATATTGATAATCCAATCGATTTGGAACCTGGACGTCAATCCCTCCTGAACTTTCCACCCAACTCTCAATTGATACATGTCCAAGTATTTATCAAAAAGGGTCAAGGAAGTATTTATATGGGCCACAGAACCATTAAGCCCGATATGAACTATCGCATCTTACCAAGACATATCGTTGACGTCGAGTCAGTTCCCCACATAGTATTTGAAGAAAACTTTCCAACACCCATTCAACAACCACCATTCTCTAATCCTTCTTCTTTTATCAATTTTCTTAACATTTATGAAGAAGAAGAAAATGAATGAAATTATAACAAAAAGATGAAGAAAAAGAGCAACAAAGAAAAGAACTTATTATTTATGAACAATGAACAAAGAATCAACGAGGAAAAAGTCAATAAAAATCAAACTATTTTATTTATTTGTTTTAATTTTGGCTCTGTCACGTGTGTCTTTTGGTGGTTGATGGGGTACTTCATCGAACATATTAGGGATTTTCCATTTTTTCATCGAATTTGACCTCGACACTACAAGGGCGAGATAGGGGCTCGCCCCACCCTCACAAAGATCACCAATAACCGTTAGTTTTTGATGGCTTTTTAACGTTGGTGCTGTTCTCAACACAGACAATAGACACTTATTTATTTTTAAACAGTTTATATCTTCATCCCATCTTTTTATTTATTCACTATTATTTATTTGTATCTATTAGTTAAAGATAGAAATGAGAATAGTAAACTATATTGTCATCTTGATGATGACATTGTTGTATTATAGTACAAGTATTCAACTATTTGTAAATGCAGTGGCTGACCCGTGTGCAGTAAAAAAAACAGTCGTATTTGAAAGCTTTATGAATAAGGGGTGTATGAATAGGCCCACAACATTAACAGCACCTGGAGCAAATTTTATAGACATTAATCTCAGTGGTTGGAACAATGAACCTGTTCAAGTTGGAAAGGCGCTTGCTCGTAACAATTTCTTGTTTTCGGTTTGGACCAATGGCACATACCGTGCATCGTGGTCGTACTATGGAACAGATGGCACTACTGTGTGTCAAGGTACCAATGACTATAGAGTCGAGGTTCAAAGATCTGTACTAAAGGTCGAGCATCCACAATGTCCATACGGAGCAACTGTCTACTCGGTCACCGAGCCAAGCTTATGGGTCTCGGTCGTAAACGCCCAAAATGTCAATGTATTGCTTCAGAACAATATGACTACTTATGCCTCCAACTTGACACTTGTCGGTGTGGACCTCGTTGACCAATGTAACTTGAACCTTGTTGCCAAGCCCAAACTCAACTCTTTGCCACAGTATGTCGTTACACCCGAGGCTGTTGGCAGTCCCGGTAAACTGCGTCTCACCAACTTGCAAGACTACCAGACCGCCAGCCTGTACGACGCCAGCAACCCATCGATCACGTTCCCCTTTGAATCGGAAACCTCGACATTTACGGGTATCAAGTTGGCTCTTATGGGTCAGGTCATTTTAGAGGTAAACTCTGCAACGTGTGGAGTGCAACGTGTTCCCATCACCATCGGATGGATTCAACCTAAAGTGTCACTTGACATTTACGCCTACTCTTGTGGTAGCGAACATGCTGTTGCCTTTCTCACCGTAGATGGTATCGAATCGCCCAAAATCATCTATCACGGCGATCTCGTCCCCGCCTCACCATTCCCAATCAATATCAATCCCACCTATGATATTTCATGGTATGATCCAGCCAGCTCTATCGGTGAAACCAACATTCCATACGAAATTCCAGTTTGGAGATACAACGTTCCATACTATACCGTCATTGAAAATCCAGCTGCAACACCAAATGCACTCACCAAGATCAAGTTCCAATACAATGGTAACTTTTCCAACCTCAGATTTGACTTTGCCGAAATAGGGTCAACTGGAATCGTATTTGAAAATGAAATCCAAACCATCACCTTACCATTTGTATCAGGTCCAGCTGATCTCATTGTTACTTCCATTTGCGAACCATTTACTATTGTCTATCCCTACACTTCAGTCACGCCATCCTATCATGTTGTATCAAAGACTTGCTTGGATCCAATGGATTTACGTATCACAAATGCACAATACTTTCAAACTATTAGTATAGAGACTGTCGATAGTGGCACTCCCTATACATTGCATTCCGTCGGTGGTGTATTCTCGAATATTCCACAATCCAGAGGTTGGATCCTGACTGCTACCTATGTCAATTCCTCTGAAACCTACAGTTATAGTACAATAGAACTCTACCCACAAATCGATATTCGTAACAACATCACTGTGGCATTAGAAAACATTACTGGACAAGACTGTGGAAATTTAGATGCTGATGCTGTTTTCACCTATGACAACAAGGTTGTTGCAACTAAAAATATAAATTTTGATTGGTCAACACAAATTTTAATTTCTCCAAATGATAATTGTTACTTCCAAGTTACTGCTCCTATTCCTCGTAAGTAAAAAAAACAATTAAATAATTAAAAATTAATATAAATATTTACGATTATTCTTTTTTTTTTATAGTACCAAAGGTAATTGCCAATATTGAAGAACCAGCAGTTTGTAAAGAATCATATGCAAAGATAACATTTAATTATACTACCTCCCCAATGCCATATGTCAGTATCAATACTACCGACGTACGTGTGGACGTATTTTATGTTCAACTTTTACCAGGAACCTATATTATTAATGCTGGTTTGAATCAAGATTGTTCAGTTCCATTAACAGTTGTCATTAAACCAACATCAAGTATGTAATCAAATATAATCAAAAATATAAATTATTAATTTCACTTTTTTTTTTTTTTTTTTTTTTCTTACTTTTAGGTTTTAGTCTTTTTGAAAAGAATGTTTTGGTTACACCACAAGATTCAAACAATTGTATTACTCCATCTGGTTCAATTAAATTGATAAATGCAACAGATACAGAACAATTTAGTAGATATGATATTATTGGGATGCCAGGTACTGACAATAATGGTGTATGGACTTTGAATAGTCGTGTCACCCCAGAAATCCTCGAGTTTGATCATTTCTACTGTGGAGCTGGTAAAATGCCAATTCAAGTCCCTACCACTCCCGATAATAATATCCAATACACCATTAAAGATGCTCACTGTTCCAGCGCACAGAGTTATCTAGGTGATGGAAAAGTAATCTTTTCAACACCCAACAACTTGTACAACTTTATCAATAATTTTGATGGATATTTCCACATTCCATCCAAAACTTGGACCGATCTTACAAATGGCACTCATACTATAGGTATTACAAAATCAAATGCTTGTGCTTGGGTTTTTAAACTAAATATTGGAAATAATGGTAAAAAATTAATTAATAATTAAATAATAATTAATATTAATAATTTTTTTTCTTTTTTTTTTAATTTAGATGAATATAAATTAGTACCAAATCCAATGAGATATGAAAAAATTTATGGATCAAGTCGATCACTTTTAAATATAACGACTCCACCACTTGGTTCAGTGTATGTTAATGATCTTAATGACCAACAATTTTTTGGTAGTAGTATGTGGCCAAGTGAACCAGCAAACATGTTTTATCTGAGGGAATGGAAGGGAAGAATCGCCCCAGGTATCAGTTACGGCCCCAATTGCAATGCATATGGTGAATTGGTGTATGACCTTACTCCACCAAATACACCAGAACCCTCGTTTACAATGTTGCCAAGTTGCAATGGAAGTTCGACAGTGGTATTGGCTGCAGGCGTTGCCAACAGTTACAATGTGTATACGCCAGGTGGATTTTTGGTGACCCCTACTACCAGTGTCCGTGACGGTGAACAACTCAACTTTTACACCAAGGGCTCTGAATATACAGGTCAATACCTCATGGGCTATGCTCCCGTTACCAACCAAGCATTCAATGTTAGAGTGGTCAATGCATCGTGTGAAGGTGCCAACGACGGTCAAATCATTGTCACAACCAACGCCACTGGATATACTTTTGCTTTACGTTCTGGTGAAGGTGATTTCATATACCCATTTGACAATGAGACTGGAACATTCTCTAACTTGCCATCATATGACTACAATGTCATCTTTATCTCGTCGTTTTGTTTGTTTGAAGAGACATTTAATGTTTATAATGCCGACGAGACCAATACCGCTCCATTAAAGGTGTTGGGTGCTGCTATATGCAACACCAAGGATTCCAAAGCCACCATCTCCTTTAGTGAAACGTATCCAGGCAACTCTATTGCCTATACACTCAACGGCGTCGTTTATAACGAGTCGTCTATTCAATTGCCAGTTGGTAGTTACTCGGGTCTATTGAATGCATCCACCGATAGCTGTCTTTCTGCCAACCAAGCATTCCAATTCCAAGTCACCAACAACCCAATCGTTGCAACACTTACTCCAGATAACTGTAGCGTCAGCGTCAGCATCACTGGTGGTAACTCCCAAACCTATACCATCTCACTCTTTGACTCTACCCAACAAATCTATGAGCGTGTCGATGGTATTTCAACATACAAATTCGATGAGGTTAGTTTAGGACAATACACAATTGTCGTAACCGATGACCAAGGTTGTCAATCCGACACCTTTAACATTCAAGTTGAAGAATGTGGTGTAATTAGTTCTTCAAACAAGATTCTCCTCTCTTCATTCACTATTATTGTACAATTTATATCTATAACTACTATTATCTCTTTGTTGTTTTAAAATAAGAACAAAAAAAAAAGTAAAACAAAAATGACAATAATAATAATGTATCTATATATATATAAATGTATCTATCTATATTCTAAACAAATAGTAAATAAAACAAATAGTAAATAAAATAAATAATAAATTAATTTGTTTCAAAACTTTCTCCTCAGAGCATGAATCATCGTTTGTTGTAGACTTTTAATTATTTTATTAATAAATATTTTATTATTAATTTTATATATATATAAAAGAGAATGAGACTATTCGCACCTTTATTCTCGGCAACTCTTTTAGGTGTAGTTAGTGGGTATTATATATTTCAACCAGGGTATGATTGATGAATGAATGAATGAGTAGACAGATAGATAAAGACAACACCCAATTCTCATTTCATATCTATCTTTTTCTATAGATTGGCTGAAATAAGTAATGAAATGAATAGAAAGAGAAGAGAAGAACTAGAATTACAGAAACAACAAGAAGAACAACAACATAATAATAATAATAATACTAATACTACGCAAAAAGAATAAATACACAAATGAATAGAAAAGGAAGAATCATATAATTCATCATAAATGGTGTATTATAATTTTGTATACAAGATCAACGAGTAGATGTGGATTAAATTTATTTGGTTTAAAGAGAAAGATATTTAAGAATATCACCTTGAGAGATACATCTCTTTGGTTTCATTTGATCATCGACAAGATAGATACGATGAACCTTTGACAATTGGAACTTGACAAGTACCTCTTCAAGTGTAGTACTGTCACGACAACAAATGACATTAAAGAATGGTGATTTGGTGTCTTTTGGTACCATGGCCATAAATGTATTGATGGGAAGGAACAATCTGCCCAATAGACTACCATCACTTCCAATCATTCTAAGATCACTAACACTAATGTTACCAACCAATATTTCATCCTTGTCAACTACAGATACTGCACTAACTCTCTATATTTAGTGGAAAAGGAAAAGGAGAAAGTTAATATAATTATATCATAAATGGTATGTATATATATATATATATATATATATTCTATTATACTTGCATTATCATAGATTAATTTAAAAGCTTCGATAGCCATTTTATCATCACCAATAGAGAGTACTGGAGATGTACCGATGAGTGGTAACTCATCTAATCTCTTGGATAGTTGATGCTCATTGTTCAATTCCATAGCATGGTTGTTGCAATATTCAATGACACGTGATTGAGTAAGGATCGAGATGAGATTACCTTCAGAGTCAATCACTGGGATTCTATGTACATTCCATTTGACCATCAATTCAATAGCTACATTTAATGGTGCTGAAGATTCAACTGGACAAAATGGATTTCTTTCAGATAAATCTAGAAATTAAGAAATTAATATATTATTTAAAAAAAAAGGTAATTATTATTATTATTATTATTTTTAATTATTAATTGCATACCACAAATATCACCAACTTTATGAGATTTAAAGATATCTTTTGTTTCAACGATAAAGTTTAGATCCATATCATTTAATTCCTTTGAAGTTAAATGTTTCATACAAAAGGTAACAATGTCAACCATATCGATAAACTTGTTAAATCTTCTATGAACCGTATCGAATATTGGTAATGATAATACCTTTTTCTCTACCATTTTCTAGAATAACAATGAATAATAGAATATTAATAATTTGTTCCAGACTTTTTAGAGTTCTAAATTCATCAATAATATTATTATATTTACTTTAAAAGCAGAGTTAACAGTATCATCAGAAGTTACACTAAATATCTCTACAGAGGTATTTGGAAAGATCTGACCTATTGGCTTTACAAATAAATAAGATGACATTTTTAAAAAAAGATATAATATTTTGTAGATATATATAATTGTGTGTGTGTGTGTGTTGTGTATAAGATTAATCTATCTAATAGCTTATTTATAACAAACTAATTGATCAGATGAGGATGAGAGAAGAGGAGGATACGATATTTAAATTTAAATAAAATTATATATTATAGAGCTGTGCAGCAATAAACACAGATAGGTACAATAGATAAGAGAGTCTGGTTGTATTTCTTCAGGAGGAGGAGGAGGAAGAGGATTGTCAAAAAATACTGTGTGTTTGTATTATAATATCTATGAGAGAGACAAACACAACAGGTGACTTCTAAAAAAGGAAGTAGATCTACTTTTTCAGAGAGACAGAGGAAGTTCAGAGAATATGAAAATGAAAATGATATTTTACTAAAGAGTAGTTTCATAGCATTATAAATCATCCCTGGGAGGAAAAGACAGAATAGACTTAGACTGTGTTTAGTCGTCACCAAACGAAATATTAATTGTGTGTGTGTTTTAAACAACAATGAACTTCGAATTTGTCCACTTGTTTGTTTATTAATCCAAATTTACCCACACTTTTCGTTGGTATCTTTGACTCCAAGAGAGGAAACAGTTTTATAACAAATCATTTGAAATTGAATGCACATAGAGAGAGAAGATGAAAAAGGAGAAGTTGAAATAGATAGAAACAGACACGAGGATATGCGCATGTGTATATCATTCATATTAAGTACTGTAGAGGTTATGTGTGAGCGTATACATGCTGACTGTGATCCCTGAAGCGTCATAGTATGAAGAAAGACGACTAGACCATCCTTCTTCACTTGGGATGTCATATCATACTATGTAGCAATCTTACCAATAACAGTTATAGTATAGTAGAAACAAAACCTCTATAGAAATATACATACATTAGGTTGTTTTCTTTAGTTTATATCTACTATCACCACCACGCAAGCAATTATTTATTTATTTATTTATTCATATATCTCTATCCTTCCTTCCTACACATAATGTAAGTTTTAAAATTAAATTAAACAACAACAAATAATTAATTATTCTAATTCTATTTATTCAAACAGTTATAATTATTTATTATTTTAGATTATTTATTATTTATTTATTTACATGTTAATTGTTGTTTCATCCACAATAATTAATTAATTTATTTATTTATTTACCATTTCGACCTTCCATAATGGATTCCTTATTACAAGATACTTCCTTGTTCATCAATGAGGAGGATAGTTTATCAAATGTACCAGATTCAGATGTAACTATTATTATTATTATTGCCAACAACAATACCATCTACCAATATTATCAATCCATTTATTAATATTTATTTATATTTCTTTCTTTTTAAAATTAGAATAATATCCGATCATCTTTGGTTTTCCAGCAACCACCAACTACCAATGATGTAGCTGCTTCCAAAAAACATTTAAAGGTTAAATTGGACCCTACTACTACTACCACCTCTACCTCTACCACTGGTAGTACCATGTCAACCGAGACACCTCAATTGACACCACAATTGACACCATTAATGTCCTCATCCTCAACCTTTTCCACAGACCCTAATAGTAATAATAGTATTTGTAACAACAACAACAATAGTTCTGCAGAAAATGAAGTATTTGTAGGAGGTATTGCAAGAAATACCACCGAAGAAGAACTACAAGACTTATTTTCAACCATTGGCAATGTAAAACAAGTTAGAATCATGAAGGATAGATCAAATGGAGAGAACAAAGGATATGGTTTTGTTTCATTTGCCAACAAGTCAAATTGTAAAGAGGCAGTCGTTCAATTCAACAACAAAGAATTTAAAGGAAAGAACCTGCGAGTCAAGTTTTCTGAAAACAAACGAAAGATATTCATTGGAAACCTTCCCAAAGAATTGAAAAAGGATCAATTACTTTTAATCTTGGCTGATCATAGTGATGGTATTACAAATGTTGACTTTTTAACTGTAAGAGAAATATCAATTAAATATTAAATCAAACCTAAATCAAAATGATGAATATTAATATTTTTTATTTTATTTTTTATTTTATTTTTTATTTATTATTTAGGATCCAGACAATTCAAGTAGAAATAGAGGATTTGCATTTATAGAATATACTGATTATTATCAAGCTGAAAAAGCAAGAAAAGAATTTAGTCAACCAAACTTTAAGATTGGAAATTGTAATGTGACGGTCAATTGGGCAGACCCTATCCAAGAACCAGATGAAACCATCATGAATCAAGTGCGAGTATTGTATATTCGTAACTTGCCAGATTCAAAGTCAGAGGAACAGGTTAGAAAGTTGTTTGAAGAATATGGTGTCATTGAAAAGGTTATCATCCCCAACAACCTTCCCGGTCAACAACGTCGTGATTTTGGGTTTGTTCATTTTGCCAACCGTGATGAAGCCGAAGCTACACTTGCTCGTCACCACGATACTCCAATCACCTATCAAGGACGTCCACTCTCACTTTCCTTTGCCAAACCAATCGACAAGAAACAACGTGCCGAATTGCGTGTGAGAAGACTCCAAAGAACCGTTTCACGTCATCATACAACTGGTCAACAAGCACATCATCTCATGTCTCTTCCACATCTTGTTCCAACTCTTCCACAAGGTATGAATATTTCCATTCCATCCAATGCATTTTCATTCCTTCAATTGCCAACCAATTCAACTTCCAACCCAAATAGCACGACCAACCCAGCATCCAACAAGTCTGCAGCTGCCTCTTATTACAGTGCTCTTGCAAACATGGGTGGATTATATATCGATCCATACACTGGTCAACCAACTCATTTGACCAATCCTCATCATCATAATCACCATGGTGGTCAATCAAGTAACTTGGGTTATCTGGCTAGATATAAACCATATTAAATAAATATAAAAATAATTATATTTATTTTTCAAAAAGATTATTTACGATTATTTATTTATTTGATTTATCAGATACCCAATCAGAAATTTTGTTTTGTACAGGATTTAAATTATTTGGGTTTGATTGTACATTGTTGTTTTGTTGTTGATTTGGTGGAATGTTTGGTCTAGGAATTACCATTTGAGTAACTCTTCTATTTAAATTTTGGAAACTTTTGTTTAATTTTGATGTGAATTTCATTTGAACTTTTTTCTTGGTTACAAATACAATGACGACTGTGATTGAGATTAAAACAAATGACGCACATACTACAATGACAATGATTTTCCATTTTTCAAAGGTAATGTCAGAGCATTGACTATCATCTCCTAAATTAATTTGATCTTTTTCACCAACAATGAGTGCACTAAATGCTGGGTCAAGTTCAACCGATCGACCAAATCTTGGTACATTGAATGCTGTCAACATATTGTATTCTTGTTTCTCGACCAAGTTTAATTGTTTTGAAAGAGGGTCATCGTCTTGAAGTATGGTTACTCTTGATGGAATGATAGTGTCATTGTCAATAATCATTCTACTTGCTATTTTACAGTTTAGAACTGATCGACCAACTTGTACTCTAGTCCATAATATTTGATCACCAAAAGATGCTTCAGTCTTTGATTGCTTTCTTCCACATTTGTCTACTTTGACTGAATCTGATTTGGACAAGAAAATAACTTGAAGTGTGTTGATTGGTGATTTCCAAGTCCAATCGGTGATTTTAATATTATATTTGATTGAATTTGGTGATAGTTGTATATCCTCTCCTGCAAATCTAGTTGTGTTTGATTCTTTGTATTGATGTACCTTGACTTGTAATTTCATTGAGCTTTCTAAAACGGTTCCAATAAATATTGATTCTCCAGTACTTGATGTAGTATTATCTTGTATCCAAGTTACATTATCCATTGATATGGTTTGAACAATTAGATTATCTTGATCAATTTCTCGAATGAATTGAATTCCAGTTGTAAAATTGACAACAATACCAGCTTTGGTTTCGTTCATTGATAAAGTTGATTTACCATCATCTTGAATTGTTGTATTAAATAATTGATCGGGTCTAACCAATACGGAGCAATCCGATGATGACTCGTAACCACTATCACATTTACAACTACCAAATATTCGATTACATATTCCATGACTGGAACAATTATTTGGACACTCCTTTACAAGAGAAACAATCTTTGATGTAACCTTTTCACCAACTCGGATAGTTATATTGAAATCTGGATTATTACTTGACACAGATTCATTTGAATCATCGAATAAACAAGTCATTTGTCTAAACCCATATCCAATAAACCGAGGTGATTTACAATGTTTTTCATTTACTGATACCAAAACATATGATTGATCTTGGCCAAAAAGATTACCATCGATTGTAACAAGTGAAGAGAGTCCAGATTGAATATTGGTTACATTTTGAATAACCGGCGATTCAACCAGAGGGAATACAATAAGAGATGCTTTAAGAGGAATGTTGGAGTCTCCATAAATCGTTCTACTATCCAACTGATAGTAGACAATATTTCCTGGAGCCATATTTCTAGACATGACTGAATAAATAGGAGATAGCGTTCCTTTGAGAGGACCATTATTCCTTGTAAAACTATTGTTACTATTGTATGAAACACCTTGCCACAAATAGTATGGTAAATATTCTTGTACATTGATTGACTGACTATAACATTGATACATTGTTTCTGTTTCAATTGCACCAATATATGGTGGATTTGAAGAAGCATACATCCCAATTTTATCATTTACATATTGCAAAGCTGTGCTAAAATTTGTACCAAGCATAATAGTTGAATAAAATCTATTGTCACAGACTATTATTTAAAAAAAAGAAAAGAAAAGATTAGTATTAAATAATTTTTAAATATTTATAATATATACATACAAATATGAGGTTTATAGGTTTGAGTATAAACATAGTCAACTGAAATTGAAATTGGAAGGAATTTGGTATCTCCAAGAGTTGATTGTAGTTGACAAATAATTTGAGTTGATGTTGCATGTAAAATATTACATTTAATATTTGATCTCGAAATATTTACAGCTACTATATTATTAGTGTTATCACCAAAGTTATCACCAATCAATGTAACCAATCCATTAGCAGTGAATGATGGATAGACAGCTTTAATAAATGGTGGATATGGTTGCCAAGCATAGTGTGTTGAGTTGACTCCACTAGCATCTTGAACAATTACATTATGGAATCCAGATAGAGGTGGAACCATACAAGTGACTGATGCTCCTAGTTTAGATGTTATTTGACATGATTTTGAGAGTTGTTTGGTTGGATTGAAAAATGTAATGTTGATTGTTTGTATGTTGAATTGTGATAGATTGTTGATTGTTATTGATCCTCCATTTGTACCAATTGATGGAATATACACTTCTTCAATAGGTTCAATTTCGCAAACTGTATTAAGGACTGGGTCGCCTACTGGATTATTATTTATTCCATTATTAAAATCCCATGAAGGTGCACCTCTTGTATAAACATATACTTCTCCTGAAGGATCTAAAGAAGGTTCACCAGATCCAAATGCACAATATCCTTAAAAAAAATAATAATTAATTTAATTAATTTTAAAAAGAAGAAGAGTTGATTCTATCGATTTAACATACCAAAACATTGACCAGTATACATATTAAATAATGGTTGATTTGTTTGTGGTCCACTTGAATAGATATAGTTGCCTGTTGAATCAAGATCAGAACCAGATGTCCAAACTCGATAGGAACTAATCCTTTTGGTAATATTGCCAATGATAAAGTCCCACTCTTGCTTTGATTCAAGTGTCATCAGGTATGATTTAAACTTGCTATTTGACATGTCTGAGCACAAGGCAGATGCATCTGTAGCTGATATAGCGCCAGTCGAAATATTCAAAAGGTAGCCGTGACCATTGCCACCTTTTGATTTGTCCCAAACAAATACATTTTTGTTGATCGATTCATAATCTTGTCCAACTATTGTATTGGCTTGTAGTATCAATATTATGATGATGTATGAGAACTTGATTGATGTTTCTAAAAAACTAAAATAAGATTTTAACATTGTTATTAATTAATTGATTGATTATATCATAATAGATAGATAGATAGATAGATAAACTGTGATACAAACTAGTATTATATCAAACTTTAATCACTTCATTTTATAACCCTACCTACGTATGTTTGTTATATATAGAGGTGTGTGGTGGGTTAAGGAAGATTAGTTTGAGTGGTCAAAGCATGGTTTTGAAAGTCTGCTGGGTTGATGTCAACATGTTAACATAACACTAATTCATCGATATGAAAGAACAACTTTTGTATTGAGAATAACGACAAGCTATAACTCACAGTTGAAACAATTAAAACAATTGTGTGAATTGTATATATATGAATCATGATCATAAAGAGGGGTTACTTGAAAATGGTCAAGGTATGGTTTTGCAAGGTGTTTATAATGTTAAAAATAGAATTAACTGAGTAAATATGTTTTTTTCATGAACATCACAAACAGATAATTAATTTATGTGTTTATCATATCTGTACCACTCTCACAAACAAACTAACTATTGATTCTTTTAAAATATCTATAAGTCTGGATGATGGTTATAATTGTAATATTATATAAATAGACATTGATTTTGTTTATTTGTTTTTTCGAGTATTTTTAAATAAAACTACAAACAAAGTTCAATCAAGTTAATTGAATGTCCTTGATTGCTCTCCGAACTGACTCTGAGCCCCTTACCGTTCTGTTGAGATTGTTACCGTGGTTCTCACGGTACCACTTCCTTGCCATTCTAATGACGGCATAGGAAACAAATCCTAAAATAATAATCGTAGTTACAACAATCATTATTATTTTCCATTTTGGGTACGGATCAGTTTCGCAATAACTGTCATCTCCGACAGTTTGATCTGCACCAAGAAGAATTCCGTTGAATGCAGGATCTAGTTCAACGGATTTGCAGAATTGTGGGATGTTAAATACTGTTAACAGGTTGTATACACGGTTGTCGATTTGTTTAAAGAGTGGATCATCATTTGGAAGAATAGTAACTCTTGATGGAATGATTGTGTCATTATCAATAATCATTCTACTTGCTATTTTACAGTTGAGAAGTGATCGACCAACTTGAACTCTAGTCCATACAATTTGATCACCTGGTGATACTTCACTTTTAACTGATTCCAAGTAACATTATCCATTGACATGGTTTGTATGATTGAATTATCTTGATCAATTTCTCTAATGAATTGAATTCCAATTGTAAAATTGACGACAGCAAGAGAACTAGTATCATTTGTTGATAGAATTGATGTTCCATTAACAACTGTGGAGTTGTAGATCTGATTTGGTGTGACCAATGATAAACAATCCAAGTATGATCCATAACCAGCATCACATTTACAGCTACCAAAGATTCGATTACATATTCCATGATTCGAGCAATTGTGGAGACATTCTTTTCCAAGAGGTCCTACTTTTGAAGTCACTTTTTCAGCAACTCTGATTGTAACATTATAAATCGAAGATGAAATACTTTCTAATAATAAACAAGTAATTCGTTTGAAACCATTTCCAATAAACGTTGGTGATTTACATTGTTTACCGTTTATCGATACCAAAACATATGATAGATCTTGACCAAAATGATTACCATTGATTGTAACAAGTGATTGAGTTTCAGGCATAATATTGGTTACACTATAAATAATTGGTGCATCACTTGTATAAAATGTAATCAATGGTGTGTAATATTGTACATTTTCAATGTTGGATGACAATGTTCTATCAAAAATATTATAAATAATATTATTTGATTGTGTCATATTTGGAGCAACAGTAGAATTATAATACAATGGAGATAGTGTTCTTTTGAATGGACCATTATTTCTTGTAAAACTACCATTGTTACTGTTGAATGATACGCCTTGCCAAAATCTAAATTTTTCAATGATATCCATTGATTTACCAAAACACTGATACATTTCTTGTGACTCAATGGCACCAATATATGGAGCATTGGGAGTTGCACCCATTGTTACATTGTCAATCATTAATTGCTTGACTCTTGAATATTCTCCACCAAATAGAATGGTTGAATGGAATCTATTGTCACAGACTATTAATGGAAAAGGAATTTACAAAAAAGATTAGCAAAGTTGGGCTATAATTCATTTTCTGTTCTCTTGAATAACATACAAATATGAGGTTTATAGGTTTGAGTATAAACAGAGTCAACTGAAATTGAAATCGGAAGGAACTTCGTATTTCCAATAAGAGTTGATTGTAATTGACAAATAATTTGAGTTGACGATACAAAAGTAATATTACATGGAATGTCAGATGTTGAGATATTTACAAATACTTGATTATTTGTATTATCACCAAAGTTATCACCAATCAATGTAATCGATCCATTAGCAGTGAATGATGGATAGACAGCTTTAATAAATGGTGGATATGGTTTCCATGCATAGTGTGTTGAGCTGACTCCACTAGCATCTTGTACAATTACATTATGGAATCCAGATAGAGGTGGAACCATACAAGTGACTGTTGTTCCTTGTTTTGATGTTATATGACATGATTTCGAGAGTTGTTTGGTTGGATTGAAAAATGTAATGTTGATAGTTGACATGTTGAATTGTGATAGATTGTTGATTGTTATTGATCCTCCATTTGTACCAATTGATGGAATATATCCTCTGAAATGAATTGGATTTCACACATTGAGTAGGTATAATCTTGTAAATTTCCTTTGGAATTTTTAAAATTCCAAGCAGGCTGTCTGGTGTTTAAATATTCCTCACCTGGAGCTAACGAGGGGTCACTTGCTTGGAATGGACAATATCCTTTAATAAAACAAATAGATTAATTAATTATAATGATTAACTTTACAATTTTAAAAAGAGTAAATATCGAACAATTTTACAAACCCCAACATTGACCAGTATACATATTAAATAGTGGTTGATTTATTTCTGGTCCACTTGAATATGAATAATTACCATTCCCTCCAAAGTCTCTACAAGATACCCATACTATTGACCAAAAACCGTTAACATAATCCCATTCTTGTTTTGAATCAAGTGTAATTAGATATGAGATAACAGTACTGCTTCCTATACTCAAATCTTCACAATCTTTCATGGTCGTTGAAATTGAAGTCCTTTCAGACATGACTGTGTATCCATGCCCGTTCCCTCCCTTTGAAGTTGGCCAAACATATGAATTTTGGATGGGATAGGATTGACAATGAATGGTACCAATATAAAACAATAAAAGTACTAAAACAGCTACTACTATTACTATTAATTGTGACATTGTTGAAAAAATATTGATGAACTATCTTTTAAACCTTTGAACCAGTGTATTATGTATCACTCTCTTGAAGTTGACTGAACCTAGAGTTTTATCACTTTGTCAAGAGTTGTCTTGTGTAATTAAAGCTTTTGAGTCATTCCCAATAATCTCGAAAAAATGCCAGTCCCAAAAAGAATATGAACAATAATTTTTCGCCTCCAATGGTTTGGCTTTCGTGATGTTGGTGAAAGTGCCGAAACCTCTTCAAATTCTAGAGGGCCGACGTTGTTCATTTGCTCTTACTTTGTGGAGCAATCATCTCCGTACATATCTCTTTCTTTATCTTGGTTGAAAGATAAGGTGATTTGATTTTGAGTTACTATTATTATTATTATTCTGAGTTTGATGGTTTGATTGTATGTTGCTTTACTTGTTGGGTTGTTTCGATATGACTTGTGTGATTCTTTGCTATGTGTTGTGTGTGTTGTGTGTGGTACAAAAGAAGATTTCTTAATGAAAGGGTTTGTGTGTGGTAGGGTTGAAAATCCTTTTCAAAAAAAAATTAAAATAAAACGAAAAAGCTTTTTTATTTTTAGTATTAATCGCATCACCTTGAATTTCAACACATAGTTCAACCATCTAAAGTTAGCTACAATCATCATTGTGCCTTTTTTTAATTTATTTGTCCGATTCCTATTCCTATATTTTGTTGTTTTAATAGCTGCTCCATTTTCATATTATTTTGTTTTTGTTTTTAATTGTTTTGAAACAATGATTGTAACCAATATAATAGATATTACTACAAATGATAGACATACTGTAATGGTGATGATCTTCCATTTTGAAAATGACTTTTCATCACTGTCACATTGACTATCTATAATATTAAAATCATCACCAACAATGAGTGCGTTGAATGATGGATCTAGTTCAACTGATCCACTGAATTGTGGGATATTGAATACTGTTAAAAGGTTGTATCCTTGGTTGTCGATTTGTTGAGAGGAGAAGAGTGTATCATCGTTTGGAAGAATAGTAACTCTTGATGAAATGATTGTGTTATTGTCAATAATCATTCTACTTGCTATTTTACAGTTGAGTAGTGATCTTCCAACTTGAACTCTAGTCCATACAATTTGATCACCTGGTGATACTTCACTTTTAACTTTCATCACTCCACAACTGTCATATTCAACAGAATCTGATTTCGAGTGGAATATGACTTGAAGTGTGTTGATTGGTGATGACCATACCCAATCAATGATTTTAACAGTGTACTTGATTGAATTTGGTGATACTTGAATATCTTCTCCCAAAAATGAAATGGTGTTGGTATCAATGTATTGATTAACTCTGATATGCAATTGAGTGTGTGGATTATGATATATTGTTCCAATAAATATTGATTCACCAACAGTTGATGTCTCATTCTTATTCCCTTGTATCCAAGTTACATTATCCATCGATATGGTCTTGGTGATTGAATTGTCTTGGTCAATTTCTCTTATGTATTGAATTCCAGTTGTAAAATTGACAACAATACCAGCATTAGTTTGATTGGTTGATAGAGTTGTTGTACCATTATTCCAAACAGTTGTGTTATAGAGTTGGTCGGGTGTGACTAATGAACAATCCAAATATGATTCATAACCAACATCACATTTACAACTACCAAAAATACGATTACATACTCCATGTCCTGAACAATTATGAAGACATTCCTTGGATGGTTGGGATACTACTACCATCTTTGATGTAACCATTTCAGCGACTCTGATTGTTACATTGTAATCCGCTCCAATACGTGATCCAGAAGTTGAATCATCTAATAAACAAGTAAATTGTCTAAAACCACTTCCAATAAACTGAGGTGATTTACATTGACTTCCATTGATCGACACCAAAACATATGATTGATCTTGACCAAAATGATTACCATTGATTGTAACAAGTGAACGGTATCCAGGTATAATATTGGTAACATTATCAATGATTGGTGCATCACTTGTATAAAATGTAATCAATGGTGTGTAATAGTTTACATTTTCAATATTGGATGACAATGTTCTATCAAAAATATTATAAATAATATTATTTGATTGTGTCATATTTGAAGTAACAGTAGTATTATAATACAATGGAGATATTGTTCCTTTGAATGGACCATTATTTCTTGTAAAACTACCATTGTTACTGTTGAATGATACACCTTGCCAAAATCTAAATGTTTCATATCCAGTTAAATTCAAAGATTGACTAAAACATTGATACATTTCTTGTGATTCAATTGCACCAATATATGGAGCATTGGGAGTTGCACCCATTGTTACATTGTCAATCATTAATTGTTCTACTCTTGAATATTCTCCTCCAAATAGAATGGTTGAATGGAATCTATTGTCACAGACTATTGAAAAAAGGGTTGGATTAGAATTGGGTTTAAATATATATTTTTTTAAATATACATACAAATATGAGGTTTATAGGTTTGAGTATAAACAGAGTCAACCGAAATTGAAATTGGAAGAAGTTTCGTGTCTCCAAGAGATGACTTGAGTTGACAAATAATTTGAGTTGATGATGCAAACATAATATTACATGGTATGTCAGATGTTGAAACATTTGCAGCTACTTGATTATTCGTGTTATCACCAAAGTTATCACCAATCAATGTAATCGATCCATTAGCAGTGAATGATGGATAGACAGCTTTAATAAATGGTGGATATGGTTGCCATGCATAGTGTGTTGAGTTGACTCCACTATCATCTTGAACAATTACATTATGAAATCCAGATAGAGGTGGAACCGTACAAGTGACTGATGTTGCTTGTTTTGATGTTATATGACATGATTTCGAGAGTTGTTTGGTTGGATTGAAAAATGTAATATTGATTGTTTGTATGTTGAATTGTGTTAGATTGTTGATTGTTATTGATCCTCCATTTGTACCAATTGATGGAATATATACCTCTGAAATTAATTCTAATTCACATATAAAGATTGGGACATCAAAACCATTATCATGATTGAAATTCCCTTTTGGTCCTCTAATGTAAATATATTGATCAACTCCAACGTTAACTAAAGATGGTTCACCTGCTTCAAATGGACAATATCCTTTAATAAAACAAAAGTTTGAACAATTAATTTTTTAAAGAGTAGATCTACCAATTTAACATACCCCAACATTGACCAGTATACATATTAAATAATGGTTGATTTGTTTGTGGGCCAGTTGAATAGGTATAGTTTCCACTGCCACCAATATCTCTACCAGATACCCTTACTATGGGCCAACTGGTTTTAATAAAATCCCATTCTTGATATGAATCAACTGAGACAAGATATGATTTAAATGTACTGCTTCCGAAACCCAACCCTTCACAATGAATTATGGCGTCTGTGACTGAATTAAGACCAAAATCTAATTGTATTATTCTGTATCCATTACCATTTCCTCCTTTTGAAGTTGGCCAAACTTTAACACCTGTGATAGGATCATATTGACCATGAATAGGATGAATATAAAACAATAAAAGTACTAACACAGCTACTACTATTACTATTAATTGTGACATTGTGAAATAATATTTATCTATTATCTTTTTTTTTTTTTGAAACCTTTTAATTAAACATAATATTATATTATAAACTCCTCAGTAGTGGTTAGCCTGAGTGAATGCACTGAGCTCGTGATGATCAGAGGTGGTTTAGTTCGAAACCACTACCAATTCGAGAGGATGTGATTGTTTTTAATTTGCCCCCTCTAATCATCTCTCTCTGGCATTCCTCTATATGTGTTGTTGTGGTGGTTGAGGATACAAATCTGTTATTATTGTTACTATTATTATTATTATTATTATTATTATCACTATTCTGGTTGATTGTATATTTTTGAATGCTAATTCTACAGGTATAATCACTACTCTATGAACATTGTGTATAGGTTAACATTTTACATTGGGTTGTTGTTAACAATTGAGCTAAATAATTCGTTGCTGATGATATCGATTAGTAATTAGTTGTTGTTTTATTATTAACAGTTATTATCTGTGAACTTTCTCTCTCTCTCTTTATCGAATGACCATAGTTTGATTTTTTTCCTTTGTCAAAGTTTTATTTTATTTTATTTTGTTGTTGGGTGTTGTTTGAAAAAAGCCAGTTTTAGATTATTAAAGCTCCTATTTAATCTCTTTGTACATTTCAATTGTATTGTTCTCTTTGAAACAATAATAGATCGTGATTACTACAAATGATAGACATACTGCAATGGTAATGATCTTCCATTATTCATATGACCTTTCACATTGACTATCTATAATATTAAAATCATCACCTGAACTAGAACTAGTATCATTTGTCAATAATGAACAATCCAAATATGATTCATAACCAGCATCACATTTACAACTACCAAATACTCGAATATTCGATTACATATTCCATGTCCTGAACAATTATTTGTACATTCTTTTGCAATAGATATTAATTTAGACCCAACCATTTCAGCAACTCTAATTGTAAAATTGTAATCTTGGTATTCTAGAGTTGAGAGTGTAGTTGAATCATGAATCAAACAAGTAATTTGTTTAAAACTATTTCCAAAAAACTGAGGCGATTTACATTGTTTTCAAAAATCGATAACTTCTATAATCAAGGGAAAGAAGGGTTGTATCAGAATTGTATAATATTATTTTAAATGACAATGTTTTTTTTAAATATATACATACAAATATGAGGTTTATAGGTTTGAGTATAAACAGAGTCAACTGAAATTGAAATCGGAAGGAGTTTGTTGGTATAGTTAGCCATATACGAATTTTCTGATAAAGATCGTCTTCAAAGGAGTTTAAAAGGAAATCCCATTCTTGCTTTGAATCAAATGTGACAAGATATGATTTAAATGTACTACTTGCATATCCTGCACATTGATTCATTACATTAGTGATGACTATCGAAGAGGAATTTGATATTAATTTGTATCCATGACCATTTCCTCCACTTAAAGTTGGCCAAATAACTACACCAGTGACAGGTTGATATTGACCTTGAAAGGTATAGATTTAACTTTTTGTAAATCTCCATCGAATAATATGGCTTTGATTGAAAACCTGTACAAGTTTGATTCATTTCAATCCTTGGAATAGACTAAATTACCTAGCCCCAGTCTGCCATGCAAAAAATGGGGTTGCTAAATTTAGTATGGGTGATACCCCCTGCCTTTTAGACAGGATTAGGGGTGAACCATTGACAAATAAAAGCTTTATTGTTAGGTTAGGGATTTTGTCGATTGGTTGATTTTAACCATCAAATACAACCAACCTCGATGATACCTATAGTATTTTTAAAAGTTGGCGAGGGTATGATGAATGGGAAGAAGGAAGGAAGGCATTGGTGGGTGGGATGACTTTTTAACAGAATTGGATCGATCACCCAATTACATTGATTGATTCCTTTATCCCTTTCCTTTACTTTATCTATCTTTTAAAAGATATTATTAAATAAAATAAATAATAAATTACAAATAGTTATATATACATGGGTGGGTTGATGAATTTCTACAAATTGTAATATGATTCATTGAACCATTTATTCTTTTTGTCTTGGATGAGATTGGCCAATTGCTTTGAGTTTCTCCAATTCAGCCAAGTGAACCAATTTAGCTGCTTGAGCGGCTTGAGCTTTCAATACTTGCTTTTCTGCTCTTTTTTGCTTTTGCTTTTCACTTTGATGACGATTATAACCTATAATAATAATTAAATAAATAATTATTAATTAATTAGTTATTCCTTGTTTTGGTATAATTTTGTAGAGACATACATTTTTTACATTTAGTACTTGCAAACTTTCCACTACTCCAATAAAATTCAACACCTTGTAGATCATTTGGATCAGACTTCCACCATTCCAAATGTTGTGGATCTGAACATGTCTTTTTAACATTGGGAGTTGGAGGAGGAGTATTTGAAGATGAAGGAGGTGTGCTTGATGTTGATGTTGTAGAAGTAATACTATCATTTCCATTTTCATTCATTTGTTGATCATTATTTTGATTATTATTATTAAAACTATCACTATCACTTTGAGTATCACTATCATCTTCAAAATCTTCATCATCATCATCTTCAATAATATTATCTTGATCTTGATCTTGATCTTGATCTTGATCTTGATCTTGATCTTGATCTTGATCTTGATCTTGATCTTGTTCTTGTTCATCTTCATCATCTGGATAATTAATCTCTTCGAGTAACTTTTTCTTGTAATGACAAGCTGTACATATGTCCAACATATTTCTACCATCTCTAAAGAGTAGGATGGAGATGTTTTCATGACTCTTTCCCCACCATTCAAAATGGTCAGGGTTGATACAATTCTTGACAGAGGTAACATCAATTTGATCCAACTCTATTCTTTTTCTTTTTTGTACAATTTCGTCGCCGTTTTCGTCGTCCTCTTGATCTTGCTCGGCATCTGCTGCAGCATTGGCAGCAGCAGCCCGTTTGGCAAGAGCCTTTTCCACAAGCACCCGCATTGCTTCTTTTCGACGAAGGTTTTTCGCCTTTTTTCGTTCGTTTTGTGCGCCACTATAGCAGACCTTGCATTTAAGCGAGTATCTTCCGTTACGCAAGTAATAGCTCGTCAGAGGAATAGCATCGTTATTTCCCACACGACTAAAGTGAGTCACGTCAATGCACACTCGCAGCTGTTTGGGATCGATCTGGTTGACGGGATGATCGGCATTATTGTCTGGGTTGTTGAGTTTGGCACGACGACAATAACACAACTTGCAAGAGTTGCGGTAGCAATTACCAATCAAATAAAACATCGAGATGGGGAGATTCTCTGCCTTGGTTCCCCACCACTCTTTGTGCAATGGAAATGTACATGTACGTATAGTACTAACCAGACCTGGTTGAGATGGTGGTATGCTCGATATTCCACCTATATTATTATTATTATTATTATTGTTGGCATGTCCCGTCTTTTGCTTTTTACGAATATTATTATTATCATTATTATCATTATCATTATTGTCATCCAATTGTTCTCCCATTTCGTAGTCACCTTCAATACCCTGTTCCTCCTCAATATCTATTTCATTTAATTTGATCCAATTGAGTGTTGCAGCTTCAGCAGCTGCTGCAGCAGCTTCAGCTTTTTGAATTCTTTTCGCTTTTTGTCTTCTTTTTTGTAATTCAGTATAACATTTTTTACATTTTCCAGATATCTAAAATAAATTAATTAATCAATATCTTATCTTCTTTTGAGTTTCTTCTTCTTCTTCTTCTTACCAATTTTTCATTTCTAATATAAAAGTCAGAGATTGGTAAATCCTTGTGACTAGTACCCCACCAAACATTGTGACGATCATTTATACAACTCTTGAATTTAATGTCGATTAAATTCATTATTTCCGGATTGACAGGGAGAGGTGGTCTTCCTGTACGTCGACTATCATGAGGTGGTATAGGTCCTTCTACCTCTAGTTGATATAGACCCTCTGACTGACGGACTGATACTACATCATCTTGATCTTGATCTTGATCATCATCATCATCATCAATATCTTCATCTTCATCTTCATCTTCTACTTCTTCTTCTTCTTGTTCCAATTTTAATTTCTCTTTCTCTTTCTTTTTCTCTTTCTCTTTCTTTTTCTCTATCTTTTTTCTTTCTTTTCCTCTTTTTCTCTCTCTTTCTTTTCTTTCTTTTCTTTTTTTATCGCTTGTTTTAACTCTTTTTCTTTCTTTTCTCTCTCCTTTTTTTCTTTTTCTCTCTCTTGTTTTTCTTTCTTTTCGGCTTCTGTTTTGGTCTTGTCTTTGGTGTTGTTGGTTTTGGTTTGTTCTTTTCTTTCCTTTCTTTCTCCTGTCAGCGGTGTTGCTAGTACCGTGAAATACCCCCTTTTCCTTTGGTTCTGTATTTCAATATAACATCGTTTGCAACGTTGCTTGGTATCATAAAACTCTGTCACTGATATCAGTGCAGATGATTTCCACCATTTTTCATGGTATGCTTCAGTACATCTTTTGGTAGGTCCAACAATATCAGTTGGAGGTGGATATATAGTAGAAGTTGATGTAGTTGATGTCGTAGAAGTAGTGGCTATCTCCAGAGTGCGAGTGGGAGCAGGAATAACTTGAACTTTGCTAACCCTTTTCTTTTCATGAACATGATCCTTTTCATCACTACTACTACTCTTGTTATGATGATGAGTAGTTCGTTTATCGGTAAGATTAACAAATTGATCAGTGTACAATTGATTCGGTTTGATTGTTCTAGTTGATGTTTTTCTTGTAGACATTGATGGAGGTGGAGGTGGTGGTAGTGCGAGCGCAGCTTGTTGATGATGGTGATGTTTCTTTTCTACTTTAGTTTCAATCACTTCTATAACTTCTGGTTCTTCTTCATAATCATCATCATAATCATCGTCTGTATCTTGACTATATTCATCATCTAGATCTCCCATGTCATCGTCTTCAAAGTCATAATCTTCGTAATAAATTTCACCGTCATCATCATCATCATCATCACTGTAATCATCGTCTCGATAAACATACTTGTTCTTCTTTACTTCTACTTGTTGTTGTTGTTGTTGTTGTTGTTGTTGTTGTTTCTTTTGAGGTGGAGGTGAAACAACCAATGATGGTTTGTTGTTGTTGTTGTTGTTGTTGTTGTTGATGTTGATTTGCAAATGATTATTTGTATTTGTTTTGGAAAATGACAATGAAGAAACATTATTTGCAGTGTCGTGTGAAAAGAGGTATGAAGATGTCGGTCTTGATAAATGTGAAGAAGGTGATGTCGATAAAGTCGATGATGATGTAGATGTTGTAGATGATAATGATGGTAATACATGTTGACGATTCGTAGTCGTACTACTAGCTGAAGAAGTAGTACCACTTTCATACGATGATGATGATGAAGATATAGTTGAAGAGGTAGTAGTTGGAGCAATAAACGTTGCAGCTGCTAATGGTGAAGATAATGTAGATGATGTAGATGGTGCAGACAATGTTGATGATGTTGATGATGACTGTCCGGACAAAAAAGGATTAGATAAACCAAATGGTCTTCTCATCATCATACTTCCACCACCAAAAGGGTCTCTTTTAAAAGGTGTATTTCCATTATTATTAATTGTATTATTATTTGTATTATTATTTGTATTATTATTAATATCACTACTATTATTATTATTATTACTATTATTATTATTACTATTAATAATATTTGTATTTGTATTTTTTATGAATTGCATTTCTCTAGAGTGATTGATGTTTTGTTTTGTTTTGTTTGGTTTGGTTTGATTTAAACACAACAACCACAACTAAAAACAACAATCTGGATAAAAGATATTGTTGTCTCTCCCTTTCTCTATCTCTCTATTTATTCTCTCTCTTTAATCCTTTACTTAATGGTTATGATGTTAATAGTTTGGGAAACAACGATTTCTTTGTTTTTTGTTGTGTGAGGAAAAAAAAAAAAAAAAGTGAAAATCCTCATCAAAAAAATGTTTTTTTCTTTGACCAAAAAAGAAAATTGTATTATTTACAAAATTATAATATATTTATTTGTTTGTACTGATTAAAATTATGAGATTTGAATCAGAGTTGTGTTGTGCGATGATCAATCATTAATTATTGTTTTGAAGAAACTGGTTCAGATTGATTTGATTGTTGTGGTTGTTGTGGGGTTGCTACTGGAGTGATTGGAGTAGCTGGAGCTGTAGTTGTTAGTGGAGTTGCTACTGGAGCTGTGGTTGTTATTGGAGTGGCTACTGGAGCTAATGGAGCTGGAATTGGTGGTGGGGTTGGAGCTGTTGTAGGTATTGTTGGAATTGTCATTACTATCGGAGCTGTAGTTACTACTGGAGCTGTAGTTGTTGGTGGAGTAGCTACTGGAGCTGGAGTTGTTGTTGGTGGAGTAGCTACTGGAGCTGGAGCTGTTGTAGGTGTTGTAATTGGAATTGTCATTACTATTGGAGCTGTTGTTGGTGGATTTGGTGTTGCTGGAGCGGTAGTTGTTGTTGTTGTTGTTGTTTGAGTAGCTACTGGTGTTGTAGGTGTTGTAATTGGAGTTGTCATTACTATTGGAATTGTCATTACTATTGGAGCTGTTGTTGGTGGATGTAGTGTGCTGGGAGCGTAGTTTGTTGCTGGAGTAGCTACTGGAGCTGGAGCTGTAGTTGTTGTTGAAGTAGCGACTGGAGCTGTTGTTGTTGGTGGAGTAGCTACTGGAGCTGTTGTAGGTGTTGTAATTGGAGTTGTCATTACTATCGGAGCTGTAGTTACTACTGGAGCTGTAGTCACTACTGGAGCTGTAGTTGGTGAAATTGCGACTGGAGTTGCTGGAGCCATTGCAGGTGTTGTAGTTGTTGGAGTAGCTACTGGAGCTGGAGCTGTAGGGGTTGCTGGAGTTGTAGGTGTTATTGGTGTTGCTGGAGCGGTAGTTGTTGGAGTAGCTACTGGAGCTGGAGCTGTAGTTGGTGAAGTAGCAACTGGAGCTGTTGTTGTTGGTGGAGTAGCTACTGGAGTTGCTGGAGCCATTGCAGGTGTTATTGGAGTGGCTGAAGCTGTTGTAGGTGTTGTTGTTGTTGGAGTTGCTTTTGAAGTTTTAGTCGTTTTACTTGATCGTGGAGTTTTAGTCGTTGTAGCTTGATTATTATTTACACTTGGATTGGAAGTAGAAGTGGAAGTGTTTTTTTTTTCTGTTTTTTCTGTTTTTTTGTTGGTGTTGTTGTTGGTGTCATCGGTGGCACTGCCATTTGGTTTGTAAAATGGGTTGTTTGGAGTATTGCTACTTTGCAATAGAAGAGTATTTTGTTGAATTTCACGTTTCTTTTTTCTTCTTTGTGTTTGCTCATCCAAATAGCAAACTTTGCAACGACTGGTTGGTGCCTTTCCAGTAAAAGTGTAAAACTCTGACAATGGCAGGTTGAGGGGACTGGTACCTGTGAGTTCAAGATGTGTCTCGTTACAACAAGTCTTGGTTCCATTCATAGGGTCGATCGTTGCCTTTGATATCAACCTAGGTTTAGGTGGATTCACAAAGTTTCTCTTTTTTCTATCCTTTTTAGGTGTATACTTTTGTTTTTTCTTTACTGGTGGTGTATATACTGGAACTCTATTATCTCCTGTAGATGTTGTAGAGGTTGTAGATGTAGGAGCAACAGAAGGTTGTAGAGGAGGAGTATTTGGAACTGAAAGTTGAGCAGGTGAAGAAGATGATGATTGTAGTTGGGGAGTAACTGAAGCTGAAGAAGAAGAATGTAGAGCAGGTGAAGAACCAAGAATGGTAGAAGCAGTGGAAACTGACCCATGAGGGGCAATTCCAGTGACACCTGATACTCTAGTATAAGAAGAAGAAGAAGAAAAAGATTCATCTTCAATATCAGTATCATCATCATCATCATCGTCATCTTCATCTTGATCAAGATCTGACAATTCATCATCATCAAAATCTTCATAATCATCTGGATAAAAATCATCTTCATCAAAACTATTCATGCTGTCCATATCCATATCCATGTCCATACCATCCATATCATTATCTAAATCCATATTATCTTGGGTATCATCACCACTATTACTATTAATACTATTACTATCACCATTGATCTTTTGATTTCTCAAAGTTTCTGATCTCTTTTTATATTTTTCATTTTGAGTTTTATGATAACAACGTGTACACTAAAAAAAGGTAATTGTTAAAAATACAAATAAATATTATTTGTTATTATTTTGAATTACATACTTTAGATGAAACATATTGACCTTTACGAGTATCAAAATCTGAAAGAGCCATATCTTTTGGAGATGTACCCCACCAATCTTGATGATTTGATTCCGAGCAAGACTTTGTAACCAAAAAATCGACATTTTTAAGAATCTTGCTGTCATTGTGGTCGCTGGCATTGGTGGCATCGATGGAATTGTCAACGTGAACCGAGTGATACTTTCTCTTGTGAAAGTAACATTTCTGACAGATGGTTCTGGATTTGGAGGAACCCCATGGGAACTCTGTGAGAGCAAGTCCATATGGTTTGGTTCCCCACCACTCTTCATGTTTAATATTGGTGCATACCTTTGTGTTTGGATTATGTGGATCAACATTGATTGGTGAACTAATATTATGTTTGTGTGTTGGATCATTAATATAACGTGGATACATTAATGTATCATCAGTAACATCTTGTTGTTGTTGTGGTGTAGTTGTTGATGATGTTGATGATGATGTTGTCTGTTGATCTTGATCCATCAATAATTCATTGTCGGTCGCACCAACCTCCTTTCTTGCAATTCTAGCCTTTTTTCTTTGGAATTGATAGAAAGAATAACATTTTCGACATGTTAGAGAGTACCGTCCATTTCGAAGATAAAACTGTTTCAATGGTAGATTGTCGGGACTGGTACCCCATCGTTCGCTATGTTTGGTATCTGTACATGATTTGGTAAGGTTTGGATCAATATGATTGATTGGATGATCCATATTATTATCTGGATTATTTAATTTATTTCTTCGACAGAAACACTAAAAATAAAAATAAAAAAGAAGAATAGAAACATTATTATTAATTATTATTATTATTCTTTTTTTTTTGTTTTTTTTATACCTTTTTACAAATCTTTCTAAAACAATTTCCAATTAAATAAAACTCTGTTAGGACGAGATCAGTTGGTTTGTAACCCCACCATTCTTGATGATTTGGATGATTACAATCCAATGTTTGACCTTTGATATTTTCGAGTTTACGTGAATCACTTTTAATCTTTTTCCTTTTCATCTCTGGTGTTGTAGACACTGAATCAGATGAAGAGAATGGTAATGGTGGAACAGATGAAACCAGAGGTGGACTAGTAGTAGTCGGACTAGTATTATTTGGAGTAGTCAATAAAGATGAATTGATTGTGGTAGTAGTAGTAGTTGGAGTGGTTGGAGAGGTTGGAGTGGTGGTGGTCACCACCGAACCATTTTGATTATTATCATCAAGATCATCAATCTTTCTTTTTCCAATGACTAGTGGATAGGAATTTGAAATTCTTTGACCTCCAATATGTTTTTCTCTTTCGATATAGTCATCGAAACACTTTATACACTTTTTCGAATAGCTGGTGCCAGAGTTATAAAACTCGGTCAGTGGAACTTGATCCGATGGAGTACCACAAATCTTGGTATGAATAGGACATGCACAACCCTTGATTTGTTTTTCCAAATTGATCGTTGTGGCAAAATGGTTCAGCGGATCATCCTTGTGTGATATAGTCTCGGTATTTATCTTTCTCTTTTGATTTTGATCATCAATATGACATATTTTACATTTTGATAATGGCTAAACAAATAAATAAAAAGGAAAAGGAAATTTAAATTAATATACATTAATTATTAAATATTATTATTAATTATATTATTTACATACTTTTCCTCTACTCATATAAAAATCAGACCAAGGTATACCATCTGGAGAAGTATTACATAACAATTGATGACGAGGATGTAAACATGTTTTAGTAGGGTTGACTGGATCTACAGATGCTGCAGTTGTTCTTGTTTTCTTTGGCTTTTTCTCTTTTTGTGCATAGGCTACAAATTCTACTGAACCTCCATCTGGAAAGGGTTGAAGTTGTTGAGGTTGTTGTTGTTGTTGTTGTTGTTGTTGAGGTTGTTGTTCTTGTTGAATTTGTTGAATAAGTTGTTGTTCAAGTGCTTCTAATTCTCTTATTTTGCGTTCTTGTTGCATCAACACTAAAGTTTGTAATTGTAATTCTTTTTGTTGTTGCTCGTGTAATTGTCTTTGTTGTTGTAATTTTAATTGTAATTGTTGATATTGTTCTTGTAGTGATGATCCTGTTGTTGTTGTTGTTGTTGTCGCTGTTGAGCCGACTATGCTAGCAGCTGAAGAAGAAGAAGAGGAAGAAGGTATATGACCATTCTGGGGGATATTCGTTGCAGTTGAATAAAATACAATTGGAGGAAGAGATGGAGATGGAAGTTGAGGAGGAGGAGAAAGAGGTGATGATTTTACTTTAGTTTGTATATGTGAAGGTTGAGGAGGTTGAGGAGGAGGAGATGATATCTTCGTTGATGTCGGTGAAGGTGAAGATGGAGATGTATGTACTGTTGCAGTAGTAGTAGTAGTCGTAGTAGTAGAAGATGCTGTTGAATAAAGTATAGTCGGAGGAGGAGATGATAATTTAGTTGATGTCGGTGCTGCAGCTGCAGCTTTCGGTGATGCTGTATTAGGTGTTGAATAAAGTATAATAGGTTGTGATGGAGATGAAGATACTGACGACGAAGGAGAAGGATGTTGTTTACCTTTATTTTGAAGTGCAGCTATATATTTTGCACCATACTCTCCATCAGAATCATCATCCGACGAGTAATATTCGTTTGTGTTGGTGGGACTATTGTCAAAATGCAAATCGTCTTTTCCAACCCCACCACCACCACCCCTTTTAGATATTCTACTACTGCTATTACTAGTTGTATCGTCGTTATTATTACTATTATTATTATTATTATTATTATTATCATATCTATTTAAAGATTGATTATTTGTGCTGTTTAAGTTATTTAAATGACTCTTTATTAAAGATGATGATGGTGATGAAGATGATAGATAGGGATTGCTTTTATTACCAATACCACTATTACTAATCATAAATCTACTAAAGAATGGTGAAATGATGGCTGAACCACTTCCACTACCACCACCACCAACAGCCGATGATGATGATGAAGATGGTAGTTTCCTTTTAATAGCATTATAATTATTATTGTTATTATTATTATTATTATTATTGGAGGAGGAGGAGGTGTGATGACGATCTTTATTTGTCATTGTATATAAATAAATATTCTTTACTCTGTCTTTTCTTTTTTTTTTTTTTTTTTTTCTGTGTGTTAATAATATCTTTTAATATGGTGGGTGTGACTAACTAACTAAACTAATAAACTAAACTTCTCTCTTTTTTTAGACTACCTTCAAAGATTGATCATGTTGTCCTATTGATATATACAAGTTAGAGAGTTTGAGAGAGAAAGAGTTATAGTGATATATATAGAATACAAATAACAAGAATAGAATAGACAAGTGAGTTAGTGAAAGTGAGTCGATCTGAGTGAGCTGACAAGGTTCTTGAGGGGGCGCAGTCAGACAAAAAAAAATTAAAAAAAATTTTCGGATTGGAAATGCAAATTATTTTGTTTTGCGTTTGCAAAATATCTCTAACTATTTGGATGGCTGGCTTGCCTCACACAAACAAGCTCCTTGCCATCAACCAGCTTTATTACATTACTTTATTTATTTATTGATAATTAAAATTGCTTTGAAAGTTGTAATTATTGTTGTTATTGATATTCATTAATCTTGATGATAATTGTTGAATTAATGGTGATGACCCATTGTGATGAGGATGGTTGTTGTTGTTGTTGGCAACATTATTATTATTATTATTGTTATTAAAATAAAAAGAAGAAGAAGAAGAAGATGATGATGATGAAGATGTTTGGGAAGAGGGGAATTGTGGCATATGAGAATATAAATGTACATATCCAGCAGCACTACTAGTATTAGTTGATCCCATGGGTATGGTAGAAGTAGTCTGTTGTTGTGGTTGTGGTTGTTGATGATGATGATGTTGATGTTGAATAGGATGGTGGTGATGATGATGATTCGGTTGTATCAAAGAAGAAGACTGTAAAGAAGGGGATGAATGAAAATAAGAATCAATCGAAATAAAAGATGGTAATGGGGATTGGTGTTGTTGTTGTTGTTGTTGTTGTTGTTGTTGTTGTTGCTGCAGAGTTGGCAATGGATTCAAAAAATTATGTTGTTGTTGGTGTTGATGTTGATTGGTTGTCGTCGTAGTGGAAGTAGTAGATGTATTTAAAGTATCAATCAAATTTGATGGAGATGGTTGGATATTATTATTTTGATTATTTTGATTATTTTCAATATTATTATTATTATTATTATCATTATTATCATTTTCCTTTTTCTTTTTTTTCTTTTTTTTCTTTTTCTTTTTTGAATCTCTAATCTTTCTTCTTTCAGATTGATAAATATTGAAACATACTCGACATCGACTCATCAAGTATCCATTGCATCGATGGAATTGTGTGAGTGGTAATTGGTCTGGATCAGATCCAGCATTCTTTCTATGATTAATATCTGAACATGATTTAGTTCCATTCAATACATTATTATTATTTTCATCAATATTATTATTATTATTATTTTGATTATTATTATTATTTACATTATTATTATTTTGATCACCAACTATAGCAAAAATAGTAGTAGGAGTAGTAAGAGTTGTATTCAACAAATGTTGTTGATTGATCAACATTGGATTTGATCTAGTTGATGATCTGGGTAAAAGGGAAGATGTTGCATCCCGAAGTTTTCTTCTTTGTGCTTGGTAGTGACTGGCACATCGTTTGCATTTAGCCATATACCCGCCTTTACATAGATAGAATTCAGTCAATGCGAGGTTATCTGGTTTCGTGCCATGAAATGCCTCATGTTCCGAGTGTAAACAATTCTTGGTGTTTGATGTTGTATCAATCACTGAATAATCCACTTCTACATCTTCTTCATCTTCATCAGTTTCAGTTTCATCTTCTCCTTGTTCATCTTCATCACCATCATTTGAGTCTTCTTGGTAGTCAAGGTCCAATGTATGGTAATCTTCATCAACATCATTGCCTCCAACTTGACAAAAATCAATAATATTATTATTATTATTATTGTTATTATTATTTGTTGATAAAAAGGTTGATGTGGTCGACGTCAAAGTTGTTGATGTCGTCGTTGATATCGATGGTGTATCACTACTACCTTTTGTTTTTCTTTTACTATTACTTATTGGAGCTGGTGATGATGATGATGAAGATGGAGATGTACTACTATTACTATTATTATTAAAGTTGGTGGAGTAACCTCGTGGAGACATTGCAGCTTTAGCAATGGATGGTGAGGATGAAGACGATGACGACGTCGCATTATTATTATTATTATCGGATGAAGAGCAAGGACGACTCTTTCTTCTCTCTGCTTGGTAGATATTAAAACATACTCTACATTTACTCTGATGATATCCATTGCATTGATGAAACAGTGATAATGGTAATAATTCAGGATTCGAACCAGTATTTTCCCTGTGTCTTGGGTCTGTGCATGTCTTTGTCTTTTCATTTATATTTACATTATTATTAACCTTATTATTATTATTATTATTATTATTATTGTTTGGTTTGGTAATTGTTGTTTGTCCATTATTATTATTATTATTATTATTCGTAGTAGGAAAATGATGATGATGATGATTATGATCAATAATGGTTTCAATATTATTATTACTACTCATTGTGACAGTGGTTGCATTACTACTGTTATTATAAGGTATCTTTGCTCTTTTCTTTAAAGGGAGTGGTGGAGGATGTGTACCAATTACAATCCCAATACTATTATTATTATTATTATTATTGTATCCATCTATAGTTGTTAGTGGTTGATGATTAATACCCCAAATATTCATTAAAGATGATTGTTGTTGTTGATGTTGATGATAAGAGTTTAATTGATGATGATGATGATTGTATTCGTTGTTATTGTTATTGTCTTGATTATCTACTCCTTCACTTTTTGTTCTCTTTTTGGTGTAGTTGCTATTGTTGTTGTTATCATTGCTCCCTTCATTCCTCATTCTCGATGTTGTTGTTGTATTGGTTAAAGTAATACTACTTTACTGCTTAATATTAATGGTTGTGTTTGTGAATAGTAGTTATTTGTTCTATTCTGTTAATCTTGTTTGTTTGTTAATCATTTACATATTAATATACTGTGATATCAATCAATCTAATCAAATCCAACATTTAATATAGTATTAAGCGATCAATCAATCAATACATTCATTGTTGGGTTGATAATAATAATGATAATGATAGTGATAATAATAATAAATAATAATAATAATAATAATAATCAAAACAGGTTAATTAATTAATATTAACAAAACACACTTTTTAAAAGAATCAATCTATGAGGTGGTTGAGGTGAGGTGTGATTGAGTGAGGGGGGGATTCAATAAAGAACAACATCAGGCTGCTTTTGGCGGTTCAACTCGAATTGGGAATGTCAATCACAAACTCAAAGCCAAACCCAAATTAAGTAATTTATTAAAGAATATAATATATATAAATATTTAATAAATTAAATGTACAACCATGTGGTTCTTATTTTTTCATCAAAATACTAATTAATTGTTGAATAAATGGTGATGTTGGATCTGCATTTTCAGGTATGATCGATTCTGGTGTCACCATTGGTGATACAAATGGTACTATCGATAGTGATGTTGATGTTGGCAATGAAGATGGTGATAGTGGAGATAAACAAGTTGATGATGATGATGATGATAAAGATGGAGTGGCTTCGGTTGTTGTAGTTGTAGTTGTTGTCGTTGTCATGGTTGTTGTCGTTGTTGTAGTCGTAGTTGTTGCCAATGAAGATGGTGATGATAATGATGATGTTGGTAAATCAATTTTCATTTCATCAAAATGATTATTTTGATCACGAATTTGATTTCCTCCATTCTTGTTTTTGTTGTTGAAATTATTATTATTATTATTATTATTCTTATTATTATTATTATTTACACTATTATCCATATTATTATTAATAGTTTGTTGAATTTTGATATTTATATTGACATTGTTATTATTGTTATTATTATTATTATTATCGGTGTATTGATTATCTTCATCTTCGTCGTCATAAGAGTCTGGTCCAATCTCTATATCACTATCAATCATTTGTTGTTGTTGTTGTTTTGTTGGTTGAAAAGAAAACTTTTCTGTTGACCGTTGTTGTTGATTTTGTTCATCATTTGAATCTTCTTGCTCGTCATCAGAATAAAGTGATGGTCGTTTTGCTTTAATTTTCTTTTTGCTAACAATCTTGCTAACAATATTCTTGCTAGCAATATTATTCTTGCTAACAACATTCTTGCTAACAGTATTCTTGGTTGCATTCTTGACCTTTTGTTTGGTGACTATTGTTGTGGTAGAGGCAGAGGTCGGACCTTTGATTTTTGTTCTTGGGGCATCAAGTGGTGGTACTGATGATAGGCCCTTTCTCTGTTTCAGTCGATGCATTCTGCCATACTCGTTAAAACAAGGCACACATTTCCCATGAAATCTTTTATCTATTCGATAAAAGTTGGATACTGGTATATCGTTTGGTGAAGTTCCCCACCACACTTGATGATATTCATTTGTACAATTCTTTGTTGTTTCTTGTTGTTGTCGTTGTTGATTCTTTGTTGTTGTTGTTGTTGTATTATTATTATTATTCTTTATAGTCGGTGTTGTTTTCGTTGGTGATGATTTAAGATTGAAAATAGGGATAGATGGTGTTGATGTTGCATTGTCATCCAACATGACCATATTGTCAGCTTGTTTCATCAATGACCCCAGGTCAAATAAATCATTCTTTTTGAAAAGAGATGAAGAGGATGAAGAAGAGGAAGAAGAGGCAGTAGGAGGTGGAAGAGTCACTGTCACCTCTTCTTCACTCGAACTGTTTGGTGAGATTGGACTATTACTACTACTACTACTACTAATACTAATACTACTATTATTAGCAATAAAAGAACTTTTAATTCTTTTCTTTAATGGTTGATGAGTGACGATTTCCTTGCCAGATACTTCTTTTTCCCTTTGTCGTCTCTTTTCCTCTTCTTCTTTTGCCTTTGCCAATCGTTTAATTTTTGCATTGTTTGTTCTCCAATTGTAACAACGTTTACAAAACCTAGAGTGTACTCTCAATCTTTTGGATCCGGGCACAAAGTAGAACTCGGACACTGGAAGTTCTGGTTTGGTGCTGCAGACGGTTTGATGAAGTGGATTGATACAAGATATGATTTCATCACGTCTCACTCTATTCTTTAATTTCTTTTCCTTTTCCTCTTCATCACTACTACTACTACTACTGTCTGAATCACTATCTGAATCACTACTATCACTACTATCACTTTCACTATCCTTGCTATTATTCTTTTTTCTTTTGTTGTTTCTATTATTATTATTATTTTGATTATTTGATTGTTGATTCTTTATCTTATTCTGATTATACAAGTTGATATTGATTGCTTTACAAGCCATACAAGAATTTACAGGACAAAAAGGATGTAGAATTCGATCGTTGACATGAGCAAAGAGACGATTACTAGTGATACGTCGACCACATACAATGTGTGGACAAGGTTTTGTAGGCATTCGAAGACAACCAGGACAAGATGCACTGTTTGGACATGGTTCCTTGTGCATCTTGTTATCGTGTTTAACTCTGATTCCCCTCGTTGAAAAGAGGAATCGGTCACCTCTTTTACCATTCGTAAACCATGTGTTCCTTCCAGTTTGACAACTATTATGAATACAAGTCTTTTGATATTTGATAGCTTCATCTTGATCTTCTTCATCTTGACCGTCACCATCTTCATCTTCATCTTCATCGTCGTCACTGTCACTAAGCACTTCAATAACAATCTTTATATTATCTATAAATAATGATTCTTCTATATATGGTACAATCTCTAATCCTCTACTACTATTATTGTTATTATTACTAGTAGTACTTGTACTCGTATCATCATCATTATTATTATTATTCTCCTCCATTATTATTTAATATTTCTTTACTTCTACCTTTTTTTTTATTTACATGTATATATATATATATATATAATAATTATAATAATACTTTTTATTTAATGATGATTCATTGTGTTCTCTAGATGATAATAATAATATTTAATCTATCTAACTCTTCTTTTGTTTTTTTTATAAATAAAATTTTAAAAACGAATTTGTTGTTATCAGAATTCCCTTGTCTCCAAAATTTATATAAATCATTTTTTATAATTATTTCTTTATTTGTTTTCTCATTATTATTTATTTGCATACAATAGATTGTTGTATAAATAAAGATGAAAATAATCGTAGAAACCAAGCCACCAAGTTATAGAGAGGTTACGACTGCAAGTCGTAAAACTTCAGAGTATGAACATCACAATCTAGATTGACAACAGATAGATATATAGAACAATAAATAGTGATCATTAGCAACAGTGTCTCTGTCAACACTTACAACTCACAATCATTCATTACTGCTTCCCACTCAACACTCAATCATCTCAATATGATCCAAAAGCGTTACTACTATAGCACCAGTAAATATCATCATCATCATCGGCGATATGTAATCATTGTAATCATTTTACTAACTTACTTTTATTTAGCTGAAGGGGTGAAGGAGCTATCATTTCATGGACAAGAGTATGTTCTCTCTCTCTCTCTCTCTCTCACTTATGCCACTTTTATCGAAGCTTCATGGGAAATACGTCCCGAATTTGGCAGGTTCCATAGACTGAAACAGAGAAAGGGTATCGTATCGTATCGTATAGTACATCAAGTAGATCCATTTAAAGCATTCTTTAAAAGGCTTTTTGTTTCTATCAGACCAACTACTCCCGAATCACAATCATAGTCATCGTCATCGTCATCGGTAAAGAAACCTCTTCACACAACTTGGTTGCCAACCGACTTTGTCACCAATCCAAAAGGAATAGACACTACTAGTCTTTCATACGTATCACATCTTTATCTGTCAATCGTTTATCGATGGGATGCAGCCTATCCATACATTTATGCGACCAACATTATAGATAGTGGATACCCATTGGTTCATCACAATTCTCATCAAATATGGAGATGAATAATATTGCATTCTCAAAATATTGGTAGGCTTTGTGTTGGTGATTTTGGATACTGGTTATGCAACCACCCAAGCTGGTACGACAATCAATTACACAAGTTGACACGAGTGTCGTGACGGGTGTCAAGCCAACTCCGCCAAGTTATACAACACATTTGTCAAATGTTGGCAACCTATTTCCACATACTACCTACTCTCATCTTCCCACTGACATGCTGTCTGTTGGTTGTGATAGACAGTGGCTCAATAGCTTTATGGAAGGGTTGTGACTTTGAGCTTTGACAAATAAATGCTCTGACAACAATCTCCTTGTCTATCGTTCCTCCTTGACAATATCGGCAAAGGAAGGTTGAGTGGTAGTGGAAACTATTTGTTGGATAGTTTCGACGATGGCATATAGTGGTACTGGTGATCGGAATTGGTATCGAAAAGAGAACGACGATGTTGTTGGGTGCTTGGAAGAGTACTTTGGTCAGAGTCACCACTAGAATCGATCAAATCGTATAAGAGATTTCAATCGAATCTATTGACACCATCATGCAGTACAATAACATCTTTTATGTGTGTCCTGTCACCCAGGGACCAGCCCCTCCCCCTTCCAAATGACTGAGAACCAACATTACAAGAGTTAGTTCTTATGTCAAAATTGGTGATGATAATAATCAAATCATGCGCGACTATTGGAACAAATAGAAATCATTTCATTGTGGGCCACAAGACAATGTCCACACCAATCACGAACAAGCTCCTGCAATATCTTTATTCCTCTGCGTTTAAATGGCTAATAAAAGTAACAATTGATGAAAACAGGGTTTATTTTTATTTATTATTATTATTATTATTTATATTAGGCTCCTACTATTATTCATTATTATTAATTATTATTAAATATTATCGATTATTATTTTTACGAATTATTATTAATTATTATTAATTATATCAGGAACATATTATTAATTATTATTATTATTATTATTATTATTATTATTTAGTTGTTGTTGGTGGGTGTTGATATCTTCGGTGCTCGATATTAGATCCATTTCTATTGGGCTTCTCTATTTGGTGGTCTGTTTGTTGGTCGCTTTTTAAATACTATGACTAACACTACTACTATAATAGAGAGCAGTGCAAATGATAAAGCAACAGTGACGATGATAAATGTCCATTGATAAGAAGACTCTTCTGTGCATTCATATTTCAAATTGGAGTCATCACCAAGGATGAGTGCATTGAAGACGGGATCCAGTTCAACCGATTGACTGAACCTTGGTATGTGGAACGTGGTCAACAGATTGAATCCTCGATTTTTCCAGATTTGTTGGGAGACTGGATCATCGTTTGTGAGAAGTGATACTTTGGGGAATGATTGTAATGTTATCAATAATCATTCTACTTGCTATTTTACAGTTCAAAAGGGTCCTTCCAACTTGAACTCTGGTCCATATAATCTGATCACCACGAGATATATCACTTCTGACTTTTAGCTTACCACATTTGTCAAATTCTACTGAATCTGATTGAGTGTGGAATATCACCTGTAATGTGTTGATTGGTGATGACCATACCCAATTAATGATATTGATTCGATATTTGACAGAATTTGGTGATACTTGAATATCTTCACCAAGAAATGAAGTGGTGTTGGTGTCTTGGTATTGATTTACTCTTACATGCAATTGAGTGCGTTGATTGTACATTGTTCCGATAAATATTGATTCACCGGCAGATGTCTTCTCCTCTTGCATCCAAATGATATTGTCAGTTGATAATGTTTTAATGATTGAATTATCTTTCTCGAATGAATTGTATGCCAGTCGTAAAATTGACAACAATACCACTAATCGTTTGGTGGGTTGATAAAAGTGACCTGCCGTTATCCCAAACGGTTGTGTTGAGAAGTTGACTACGATTGACCAATGATGAACAATCCAATAGGGGTTCATGACCACTATCACATTTGCATGACCTAAACGTGGTATTGCAAATGCCATGTGCCGAGCAATTGTTAAGACAGTCCTTCGCAAGAGATACGACTTTGGTTGTAAGCATTTCACCAACTCCAATTTTAACAGTATAATTTAGATCGGTTAAATAAGGTTCTACACTATCCAATGAACAAGTAATTTGTTGATAGTTGTTTTTAATAAACATTGGTGATTTACATTGACTTCCTTGAATGCTTATCAAAACATATGAACTATCTTTTCCAAAATGATTACCGTTGATTGTAACATGTGATTTTTGTCCAGGTATAATATTGGTAACATTATCAATGATGGGTGCATCACTAAAATGAAATGTAATCAATGGTGTGTAATAAATAATGTCTTCAATCTCTGATGGCACTACCATTGCATTATAAATATCAGATAGAATATTATTTGATGGTGTAACATTTGAAGTATTACAATGGAGATAGTGTCCCTTTGAAAGGGCCATTATTTCTTGTAAAACTACCATCTTTGTTGTTGTATGATACACCTTGCCAAAATCTAAATTTAGGGTAGTCTTTGATATTCAATGCTTGACTGAAACATTGATACATTTTTCCGTGTATTATGTTATCATTGAATTTGAATGGGGAATCTATCTATCTATCTATCTGTGATGAAGCCAATAAATAGATAATAATTTCCTCTCTCTCTTTTGCGCAATAGAATAACAAAAAACTTTGACCCCTCCATTATCAAAAGGAGAGAGAGGAAATTCAAAGGTTCCATCTAAATTTATTTATTTATTTATTTATTTAATAATTTGTTTAATACTAGTAATATATTAATATTTTTATTGAGAGTAATGAATGATGGTGATGAATATTATAAAAGTATTAATAAATGTATTATACAATAATAATAATGATGATGATGGATTGATAGACAAGGGTGATGAAGAGACTAATGCAGTGATATTACATAAAAGACCTTCATAACAATGATTACATTGACATCTACCACAGTTGAGACAAAACATTGGTTGTTGATCAATATAGTCTACTTTACAAATACCATTGCCAGAACAAAAGGTACCATTATTTATAGATTGATTGGTTCTACACATGCTTAGATTGATCTGGTTGGTTATAAGTGAAAGTGCTGGATATGTCAAACTGACATTCGGTGTAATATTGAATCGGTGTGTGTTACCTGTCAGATCGAATGTAGTTGTACATGTACGTTGTTCAATACCTTGACAAATACTCATAAATGATTGTTCGTAACTTGAAATCGATACATCCCAAGATATTAGAGGAGAAGGAGTAGTATTGTTTGTTCCATGATTATCCATACCCAATAGATCCCATTCAACTGTTAGCTTTCTATCAATACCAACTATTGCTGTAAGATTCTTAATAACTGGAGCTATATCAAATAATAATATTAAACAATTAATACTTGTGCTTTTTTTTGTGATTATTCTATTGTTTACAATTAATATTAATATTTCATACCTTTAACAGTTTGATATTGAATAGTTTGTTGATCTTTGAATCTGGTTTAGATACAACTATCAACTTAATATTATGTAATTGTGAGTCCAATGTATAAATTGATTGACTGTTGGTCAAAAATGGGATAATACGATATTGGGTTGGATTATCTTTACAATACACAGTATCATTTACCAAGACTGTATAGCGTGGTATACTATTACTATTACCTCCATTAGATGTATATTCAACAGCAAATGTAGAATCATTCAATTGAAATGCCATGATACTTGTAAAGTTGACATCGGTAAAAGTTGTAAAGTTGGTATCGACCGTTGTAAAGATGGTTGTTGATTGATTTGGATCTTGTTGCCTGCTACCATTTGCTTTGATTGTATAAAGTGTGTTCGATGATAAACCTTCAACAAAACACTTTGTAGCATTAAATGATGATTGTGCACCTGGTGAAATGAAATTACTTTGAATCTTTACTTGATTTAGATAATATGATATAACCGTATTTGTCTGTGTACCATCTCCATTTAATATAGGTAAATCAACCAATTCAAATAAAGCTGAATGTGATCCAATATCCCTTACATTAATATAAGTAGATTGTGATAATGTTAATCCAATCATCACAAATACTAATAAGAATATTATTTTCATTTTGTGGTTGTTTGTTATTCTGACTCTACTGTATATATATATATATAGAAAGAAAGGTAATGATTGTTCCCTCTCCCTATATATTGTTCTTCTTCTTGGGACTGGTACCCAACAAAAGCCTAAATATAGCGAGTGGATTGTTGGGATGGGTTTTTATAGTAGAGTACGGTCTCTTTGAGAGTCCCAGCCGATAACCTAAACCCAATTCAATCAACCCTTTCTTTTCATTTCCTTTGAGAGTTTCAAAACAAATAAAATTTAATTAAATTAAAGAAAACAATATTATATTTATTTTTATTTTATTTTTTTAGTAAAACATGTTGGAAAATAAACAAATTAATTAAAATAATAAAACAATGATTGAAGCAATGATAAATGTACAGGTGTAAGATGTAGAGGAGGTGATTAGATTAAAAGCCAAACCAAGTTGTGGTTCTTGGACAATTGGTTTGTTGGTTGGTGGGTCAGTGATCTTTTGGTCACAAACTGAACCTTCATAACCTTGATCACAAGTACATCCCAATGTACCATTACCACAGGTACCATGACCAAAACATAACAATCCAGTAGTAGTAATAGTAGTAGTAGTATTGGTAGTGTTTTGAGTTGTAGAACATAATGTAAAGTTGAGTGATGATTCAAATATAGTTGTTGAGGTGGTGAAATTTGAATTGATTGGAATCACTCTGACAGTGTGAATGGTGTCTGTTACATTGTTGATAGTACATGTTTGATTTTGAATATCTTGACAAATATCATTATTATTAATTGTTGTTGAATTATTATCAGCTGTGACAAGTGATACATTAAATGTAGTTGATACATTTGGATTACCATAGAGACTATTCCAATCCAACTTTAATTGACCATTTTGATTAACAGTTGCTGTTATATTTTCAATTACAGGTGCTATAAATATAAATATTTGTAAATAAATTAAAATAATTAATAAATACTCTGACAAATTATTAAAATGATTTTGTTAATATTAATAATAATAATATTAATACATACCTTTCCAAGTATTAAATGATGGAATGGTAAGTTGAGCAATTGAATCTGGAAGTGATCTAACTACCAAACGAATGGTATGTTGAGAGATCAATGTTTGATCAGTCAAACTAACATTACATAGTTTGAGATTTGTTTCATCTTTACAAATAAGTGTATCATTTACAAAGATGGTGTAGTTTGGTTGATTGTTGATTTGATTTGAAACTGAATCATATTCAACAGTGAATTGAGAATTATCATGTTGATATGCTGAGAGAGTTGTAATGTTGACATTATTGGGTGTTGTTGTAAAGTTGAGACGGGATGATGGATTTGATTTTTGATGTATATCAGCTATGGTACCGACTGCATAGACTTGATTCAATGTGTTGGGTTCGAATTGGTTCGATACAATACACGATTCATTTGAACGCAAACCTTCACATAAACGAGTTCCATTGTTAAGGTAATAATGAAAAACAGTTCCATTATCAGCTCCAGAAATATTAACCAATTTAAATGATGCTGATCTTGATCCAATATCATAAACAGTAACATTAATTGTTATATCTAAAAAAAGAAAAGAAAAAGAAAGAGAGAAGAGAAAAAGGTAAATAATTAATTAATTTCTTAAATATATATGTATGTATGTTGATACATACCTTGATATATATAAAAGGTTGCAGCACCAGTTGTAAGGTTTTGTTTCTCAGATTTGTAACCATCACAATTGGCAATAAAAGTAAAATTGTGAACACCATTGTAACTTGTCATTGTATGATTGATGAGTAGATGACTAATATTGGTATTTGAGAGATATACTTTATCATCAATATATAAATCATAGGTTGTCAATATTGGATTACCTATAACATGAAACAAGAATAATAATTTGTTATAATTTAGGATTTGAATGTAAATAATTGATTAGAATTAGAATGCAATTGATTAATAAATAGAACTACTTCTGCTACTACATACCTCCTATAATTGACCAAGTAGCATTGGCTGTTGAAGCATCACCTTGGAATTGGGATACATTTGCAACGGGTGTTTGAAAGATACCAAAAGTAGAGATTGGAAACCAATGGACCTTTTCCATTGTTTCCTCACCAACGGTACAATTGATTTTCAACTGATATTGTGATGTATTGGAGGGTGGAAGACCAGTACATCTAAGAGTGTCTGGTGTAGCCATGGGTGTGCAATTCATCATTACATGGTCTAAAAAAGCCAAAGGTACAATAGATCCCTGATCAATACAATCTATAAGGTTGTAGGTAATGTATGCGGAATCGATACCAGCCACTACTTTATCCACTTTGAGTTGTGGAAGTGCACAATTTGATTCAATCACAAACAATGATAGAATTACAAATACCACTGCTATTGTTATTACTTTATGATGATTATGATTATTTGTCATTATTACTTATTCTAATATTATTATTATTAGTTAATATGTTTTTGATAATCGATCACCAACCAACTCTACTCTCTTTTATAGTTATCAATCAACTATTATAATAATGAGGGAGGGGTGTTTGTACGTATTCGTACTAGTTCAAGACATATTTCATTATGTATATTATCTCTACATCCATTATATATCTCGTCGTCGTATACAAATAATAACCTGTATGTAGTACCTTCACTAAAAGAATACAATTTTTTAATTTTTTATCATTTAGTTGCTGGGTTGTGAACATATCATGATGGATTACGATGACAATTTTAAAGAGAATGCTTTCAAACATACATAATCAAATTTGGAGGTCTAGCAATGAAGACAAACAAACGCTCGCTGCCTGGCAATGAGATACAGTAGAGTAGTAATATAGATATATATTTTATAATAAATCTTGGTGTTGTCCGTTGAATATGAGCTTATGCATTCAAAGATCTAGAATAATAAAAGAATCATGAATAAATAAATAAATACTGGATTGCCAATAAATAAACAATTTGATTATGTGTATATATATATATATGGTTGGTTAAATATTTTTAATATTGTTATTTATTTTAAACTAATACTAGTTTTAATTTAATATTATAATTTAGAATGTGGAGAAAAATAACAAAAGTTTATAAATTTGTTTATTTATTTATTTTGGTTGATTTAATTTTTTAATTTTAGAATTAAAATAATAATATTAAACCAAAAATTAAAGTAATACAGTAATAGAACAAAGAGTTGAAAGTGTATGACGATGATGATCCATAGATAATAGAGAATGATGAACTAACCTCGCTTGATGATGATGGTTCAATTTTAGTTTGACATAATGTACCATTGTAATTTGAATTACAAGTACAACCCAAAGTACCATTACCACAAATACCATGACCTGAACAGAGTGGTCCTGTTGGTGTTTCAGTAGATGCACATAATGTAAAATCGAATTTAGCTTGGTTTTCAGTTTGATCGAAATTGTCATTGGCTGTTATAATGATAATATTTTGAATATTACCAGTCAAGTTGGATGTACATATCTTTTCATCGATCTTGTCACAAATAACATCATATGGTTCGTTAATATCATTTGTAAGTAATGCAGTATATTTGAATGGTTCATTTGGATTACCATAAACACTTTCCCATCCCAATACAATTTGACCTTTATCATTTACTACTCCTGTAATATTTAATATCTTTGGTGCTATAAAATATAAATAGATTAATTAATATTCATTGCACCAACCACCTTTGGATGAGCATTAACCATGTTGGCAACCATGGCGATGGATTCAGTTTCGAATTTTCTGATAGAGGGGAATACGTCTGGATGCAATGGATTGGTGAGTGAGAACATGCCATAGGTCTTGTTCAAAAGGTTCGAGTGTTCTTGTTCACCGAGATAGACACAACCACTGACCTTGCTGTCTTTCCACTTGCTCTCATCTATTTTCATCAACTCGTCCATAAATTCGAGAATGTCATCATGCTTGATACCATTCAATGGCAAAGTGTAGTGAGAGTGCTTTGGATTGGTTTGGAATTGTTCCTTTAGATGATCTTTGATTTTCTTTCTCTCTTCCTTTACTTTTTCCTTTACACCTGGTGCACTTCTTAATGTACTAAATACTTTATTTCTCATTTGTTTTCTAAAATCTATTAGAAAAAAATAAATAAATAGAAAAAACATAAAAAAAAAAGATTAGATTTGATCAATCAATCAAAATATACATCTATATATATATATTTATAAATGTTATAGATGTTATAATTTTATATTATATTACCTTGATCAGAAATACTGTTAAAAAGTAAAACAGAGGCAGCAGTAATACCTGCAGTAGCAGCTACAATTGTAGTTGGTTGATATGATTCTAAGCAATGATTTGCATATTCTAATAATTTACTCATTCTAGAATTGTTGATATATACGATAGTAATATATAGATATTACTTGATTTAAAGTAATAATTAAATAGTAATAATAATAATAATAATAACAAGAAGTAAGATTAATTAAAAAGTAAAGGGGACAACAATATCCTTGTTATTTTTTAATTACATACCTCTCCAAGTATTAAAAGTCAAAGTTTGATCATCTTTAGAGTCTGGTGATGAAGTTGCTTTTAATAGAATAGTGTGTTGAGAGATTAATGATTCTTCTGTGAGTGGAATTGTACAATAATCACCATAATCCTCTTCGCAATAGACAGTACCATTAACATAGACTGTAAAGAGTATTATGTCAGTACCACCAGTAGCAGCATAATCAAGAGTAAACTCTGAATTATCTGATTGGAATCCTTCAAGAGATGTAATTTCCAATGCAGGATCAGTTGTAAAGTTGAGATAGGTTGTATTGGAAATTAGATTACCATTTACACCGTATACCTTGAGTGTATGTTCCGTATCAGGTGCAAGATTTGTTAAATTACATTTTAGACTAAGAGTTAATCCTATACAACCCACAACGGCAACATCGTCGATATAGTATGTTATAACAGTTTGAGCATCATTTCCAGCAACATTGGCCAATTTAACATTTGCACTATTTGATCCCAAATTTCCAATTACAATATCATATGTTAAATCTAAAAAAAAAAAAGAAATAATTAAATTAATATATTGATTGATTTAATATATGTATATATATGTTTACCTTGTAATATAATAAAATTGTGAACAGCTGAAATTGGATTTCCATCACCAGAATAGAATGTGACTAACAACATGTGGTATCCAAGACCAACATTTATGTCAAGGTTGAAATCAGTATCTTGTGTACCTATTACAACTGGTATATTATCTAATTGAATGTCTACAACTGTCAATGCAGGATTTCCTAAAAAAAAAGTAAATAAAATAAAATAAAATAATTAACAATTTGATTTTAAAATAATATTTTAAAAGTATCTACTTACCACCAACAACTGACCACATAATATTGATTGATTTAGAGGTAATTTGTTTGACTTGTATTATTGGATTTGAAAATGTTGGAAAGGTTGAAATTTCAATTTGATTTGTGGTATTTACATTTACTTGACCGCATTGAAAGTAGAAATAGTATAGTCCATTTGTGTTTGGTGTGAGTCCAGGACATAGTACAGTGTTGGGAGAAACTGACGAACAAATGATTTCTTCGGTGAGCCAAATTCTGGGAAGGAGTACTGGCACTGTAAGACACACTGTTTCATAGGTTATGTTGACTGCAGTCATACCAGCTACGATATTGGTAACTGTAATTGACGGGGTTTGTGATTGTGAAGGTGAAACAAATAACCCTAACCCTAAAACTAAAAGTATTATTAAACTTTTTGTTACCATTTTTCTTTTTATTATTTATATATCTCTTTTTTTTAGTTATATATATATATTTATAAATTTGTCACACGATTAAATTGTCAATCGAAAAGGAGACAACTGTTTAAAAATTCAAAGGACAAATCAAAAAAAAAAAAAAATGGGTATTTATCGCAAGATATTTAGATTTTGATTCAATGAAATGGTCATACTTGGTTGAATTTATTTATCTCTCCCGTGTACATTTACAATCACATTTTATCTCTCTCTCTCTGTGATTAAAAGATAAAAATGGCAAATAATAATGATAGAGTAAGATATTTATTTATTTAATTTGATTTGTTTTGGTTGGCTCATTTTAGAATAATAATATTAAACCAAAAATAAAAGTAATAATACAATAAAAGAAAGAGGATGAAGATGATGATCCATAGATAATAGAGAATGATGAACTTACTGGAACTTCACTTGATGATGATCCAGTGGTAGATGGTCCAATTTTAGTTTGACATAATGTACCATTGTAATTTTGATTACAAGTACAACCCAAAGTACCATTACCACAAATACCATGACCTGAACAGAGTGGTCCTGTTGGTGTTTCAGTAGATGCACATAATGTAAAATTGAAGATAGCTTGATTTTCAGTTTGATCGAAATTGTCGTTGGATGTTATAATGATAATATTTTGAATATTACCAGTCGAGTTGGATGTACATATCTTTTCATCGATCTTGTCACAAATAACATCATATGGTTCGTTAATATCATTTGTAAGTAATGCAGTATATTTGAATGGTTCATTTGGATTACCATAAACACTTTCCCATTCCAATACAATTTGACCTTTATCATTTACTACTCCTGTAATATTTAATATCTTTGGTGCTATAAAATATAAATAGATTAAATTAATCCTTTTTTTTGTTAATTATATAATTATAATGTAGTACGTACATCTCCAAGTATTATAGGTAAATGTTTGATCATCTTTAGAGTCTGGTGATGAAGTTGCTTTTAATAGAATAGTGTGTTGAGAGATTAATGATTCTTCTGTGAGTGGAATATTACAATAATCACTATATTCCTCTTCGCAATAGACAGTACCATTTACATAGACTGTAAAGAGTGGTGTTTCAGTACCACCAGTAGCAGTATACTCTACGATAAACTGTGAATTATCCGTTTGATATCCTTCAAGAGTTATAATTTCCAATGCTGGATCAGTTGTAAAGTTGAGATGGGTTGTATTGGCAACATGGTTACCATTTACACCGTATACCTTGAGTGTATGCAATGTATCAGGTGTAAGATTTGTTAAATTACAATTAACACCAACCACTACCCCCGTACAATTTTGAATGGCATTATCATTGAGATAATATGTTATAGTAGTTTGAGAATCATTTCCAGATATATTATTTAAATAAGCAGTTGCACTATTTGATCCCAACTTGTTAATTTCAACATCAAATATTAAATCTAAAAAATAAATTAATATTACTTATTATATATTTGTATATTTGTTTGTTTGTTTATTTGTGTACATACCTTGATAAATAATAAAAGAAGAGGCAGCTGAAAAAGAGAATCCATCACATTCGGCAGTAAATAAAACTGGATGACTACCAAGCCCAATATCAGTTGGAAAGATGATATTAGTCATTTGTGTATGTGTTATCACTGGGACACCATTGATTTCAAAATCATAATATGTTAATGCAGGATTACCTAAATTAAATAAAAAAGATTAATTAATTAATTAACAAACAAATAATAATAATAATAATTCTATTTATGATACTTACCACCATCAACAGACATTGTAAGATTAAGTGTTCTAGAATTGATAGGGATGACAGTTGCTATTGGATTACCAAGCATAGCATAGGTTTTAATGGAAAGTTTATTTGGAGTATGTACAAATGCTATACCACACATAAACGAGAAATCGTATTGTGCTGTAGAGTTGGGTGACAGACCAATACATTGTAGAGTGTTGGGTGACACTGTATTGCATGGGATAGCATTTCCGTTTAGTGAAAGACCTGGAGTTCCAGGTGGTGAAGGACACTGTGCAACATAGGTGATACTAACCGATGTGATACCAACAACTATTTGAGTAACCGTCAATGATAGTTGTTGTGACTCTCCAATTGAAACAAATAACCCTAACCCTAAAACTAAAAGTATTATTAAACTATTAGTTATCTTTAAAGATATCATTTCTTCACTCTTGTTTTAATAGATAGATAGATAGATAGATAGATAGATAGATAGATAGATAGATAGATAAATAGATAGATAAACAGCACACGACGTCGATCAATAGTGGATCACCATCGATTGGTGAAAGCTCACGTGCAACAAAGATCTTTGTCTAAAAAAAAACCGTCTTTGACAAAGAGTTCCAAGAATACATTTGATCACAATGTCGGTAACATTCGTTGATGTTTGGTTCTTTACTTTGAAGATATAATACGATATTATCATGAAGGTGTCTATGATGTATCGATTGCTTGGGTTGATGATCGTGTCTGTAAACATCATCATTATGATTGTCAATGCTGCTCCGATTGTATACCCACCCCCTCCTTTAAAGATCAACTCTGATGAAGGTAAGTGTCAAAGATAAATAGATAAATATATAGATATTAATAGGTTGTTTGTTTATATAAATATATATATCTTTAGCACCATCACTAGTATTTCTACTCAAACAATATGGAATGAATTGGACATTTGTTGATAATGTTTTATCAAATTACTCGAGTAATTCAACAAAGGCTGTAAATGGCTCTTTTACTTCATTGTATGTATTGTTAGCAATCAATCTATCAATCTATCTATCAATCTATTAACTGTTACCTAATAATTTGTATTTCAGATACATGTCACCAACAAAAGGAATACCATTTAAAAACTCTGGAGTACCTGACAAGTCACTTGGTTCACTCTATTTCCCAAATTTGACTCTTTTACGAATTGAATCACTGTGTATGGATTGTAGTATTAATATTCTTGAAATGGTCAAAGATCTATCCAACCTCGATTCTCTGACCATTTTAACACCATCAGTACCATACATTCCAGATGGATTCCCATTCTCTCTAACTAAACTAACTCGTTTGTATGTATATATAAAGTATACAAGTTGTAAATAACATCAAAATATAATTACTCTGAATTGAATTAACCATCAATCATTACACACACAGATATTTCTTTGCACCTCAAACTTTACCAAAAAATCTAAATTCAATATATTATCCTAATTTATCCGTTTTGTATGTATAATATTTTAAATTGAATAATAAATAGTATTATTAATAATAGTACTATTTATTTTTAGGAGTATAATAGAGTTTAAAGAATCTATACCTGATGGATTTGGAGAGGATCTAATGTTGACTCTTCTTTTGAGTCATTATGACTCTGTTCCTGTGACCCCAAAGTTATATATCGATAGGATACCAGACTCTTTGTGTACCGGTCGTGGGATGAATCTAGCACCGTTGCCAGACTCGGCCTATCAGATGAATTATATGGCACAGTGTTTTAGTTGTTATAGTGGTCATTTCAACTCTTTGATGTTTTTAGATTATTTTGGTTTTGATTATCCTTGTGGTATGTAGTACAAATGGTTCATGAGTGGATATAGTTATTAATATTATATTTAGATTCAAAGGTTACATCACTTTATTATAGAAATCAAAGTAGTAATAATCTACTATTTGATATCGGTGGAAATAATCTATTAATGTCACTTTACAAGATAAAGTATGATATTGGAGAGACTACATTCAAGATACCCAACAAAATGATACAGTTTAATAGAACCGATGGTGATTTGGGATCTATAGAGGATCGAGTCATGTTGGGTAGTAATGAAATATATTCAGTCACTATTCCAGTATCATTTACTCGAATCAATCTTGGTAATATAATATCAATCGATCAACAACCTTTTGGTATCAACCTTTTAACGCAACTCAATTACAATATTTATATCAATCATACTATATCTTTAAATGGAGTGGTTTGTGAGAAAAATAATACAATTTATTTAAATGATACTTTGTCTTGTTATTTTCCACTTGTCATATCTTCACCCTCAACTATACTAAATTTAAATATTAGAAATATTAGAAATAGTGAAATCAATCAATTTAATTTTAAAAGACGTATGTGTATAAATCTAAAAAAAAACGAATACATAGAATTAAATGGTGAATTTGGAATGATCATTCCGACAATATCAATGGTTATGATTAATGAAAGTGATTGTTTTATTTTAAATATTAATTCAACCAACTTGGAATGTAATTTTACATTGTACAATACAAATAATAATATTAGAGGTGATGGTTATGATGAATATCTTGATATTTTTATCAAGGGGAGAACTGGACAAAGAAAAAGCTACAAAGGCAAACAAGCTTCAATTGGCCAGAGAAGAAAAGGAAGCACAAGAACGACGCGAAAAACGACAACGTGACATTGCCTCTGGTCTTATCCCACCCCCACCCGATGTGCCAGTGAGAACGGGAAATATCTGCAAAGTACTTGGTCAAATCAAGAAATCAGTACCAGTGCCAGTACCAAATGCGGGATTATTCAACTCATACTGCCACCACAGAGGTGCCAAACAACCGATAGACCCCAACGACTCTATGTGGGGAGGATTTGCTGATAGTTATTCACGTGCCTACAAGGATTACAAGAAATATCTCCTGTCGAATCCCAGAGGTGATATGACTGCGGATGACCACCGCACAATGTATTTTAATACCATATTCCTCCCATCCGACCAACAAACAGCAACCGCAGATCAAGATCCAACGGTCCACCACCCTGACACAGAGAACCCACCCGTCGCCAGTCCACCACCATCGGAATCATTTGGTGGCAACGACGACCAATTGTTTGGAGATAACTCTTGCCATCTCGAACCAACCCCACCTCTCGAGTATGGTGCAATGTGTGATTCTAGTTTTGATACCCCACCCATGGCTGAGAGGTTTGATACATCAGTCACCGATCGTATGGAGATTGAGTCACCATCATCACAACAAACAGAAGAGAAGAACAAAAGAAGCAACGAAAAAGATGGAGGCGACAAGAGAAAGGACCATCCCGTCACACCCGAGCAGGATGGGGATGATGAAGAGATCGTAGAGCAACCAAAAAAGAAAACGAAACCCAACACTCAGATATCAAAGGTGGCCATCACAACAAAGAAGAAACCATCGTCTGAAAAGAAGTCAGTGGTCAAAGAGTCATCATCAGACAGTGGAGAAGAGGAGGAGGACCATCCAAAGAAAAAGAAGAAGTCATTGGCAAAGAAACCGGTTGTAGAAGATTCGTCAGACTCCGAAGATGAAGAGAGTGATCAATCGGACTCTGATGATGACACGACAAAAGGTGCACCACATAAGGCAGTGAACAGAACCCCCATCAAACAGCGTAAGGGTAAATCAGGGGTTGGAACCCCAAAAAACAAATCACAAAAGAAAAATGCAAGCGCCCTTACTCGTTTAACATCTTTTTACAAGAATTCAAAAGAAGCAAGGCCCTTGTTGAAGCGCTTATTGGAACAAGGTTCACGTGGCTTCGTGGTCGATAAGGTGCATCGGCCAGCTGACCCAAAGGCAACATACTATTGTGATTTCTCCATTCATTTACCAGGACTCAAGGAAACTTCTGAAAGGATCCCGGGTATTGCCACGAGTATTTTTGGTGGAGGATTACGAAACAAGATCTTCGAGTGTGCCAAAAAGCAATATGGATCAATGATTGAAATGGCGAAAGCGCATGACCGCTTGGCAGAATATTTGCGCCGCAACCCACATGAGCAGGAAGCAATGGAAAAACTACTTGCTAAGAAAAAAAAGAAATCAAAAAAATAATTCATATTTCTCAAAACATCACAATAGTTTTATCCATTCTATGGTTCAGAGTGTAAGTTTGAACCAAAGACTTCTACCGGCTTCCCAGGGGGTGGTTTGGTATTGGGTGCGAATGAAAAGATCTTTAACAGTGATGGTTCTGTTTATAACTCAGGAGGAGGTGGCGGTACTACACCACTAGATACAAAGGGAGTAACCTTTCAAACCGATGGTATTCATCTTACTACGAATCAGAATGTCTACAACTCTGATGGCACCCCAATTAACAACTCCCCACCACCATTGAACACACAAGGAGTTACTTTCAACACAGATGGTGTTCATCTAGCACCAGGACAAAACGTATTCAAATCAGATGGTACACCAATTAGTAATGGTTCTCAACCTCTTGATACAAAGGGTTTGGTGTTTACTACTCAAGGTCCAACTCTAGCCACTGGTCAGAAGATCTACAATCAAGATGGTTCGGTTTATCAAGACACTAGAGGTGTTGTATTTGGTCAAGATGGTATTCATTTGTTGGCGGGTCAGAACGTCTACGACTCTGATGGGGTGCCACTTGATAATGCACCACTCCCTTTAGACACTGAAGGAGTAGTGTTTACACCACAAGGTCCAAAACTAGCAGCAGGTCAAAGTTATCTTCTCGCTGATGGTACCCCATTGCAACCAGTTGTGAACAATGTTACGAATGTTAATTTCGATACCAAGGGTGTGACATTCCAAGATGACGGTCTTCACATGTTAAGTGGACAGAATATTTACAAAAGTGACGGAACAACATATGGGGTTGATAGCCGACTTCAGTTTATGCCATTTCAACTCACAGAAACAATAGAAGTGACACCATTCCGATTTGGTGTTTCGAGTTCAAGCGGGTCTACAACCATCAACTACATTGATCCAATTAAAATAACCCTCTTCACCAATGGTTTACAAGAAGCTCGTTTCCACCAGTTAGAAACAATAAGATCTATGACTAAAATCGAAAAATATGTTGATGCTTATTTTAATCCCACAAAAATGATTGGCCAAGTTAAGATTCGGGTCGATCCTTCTGGTTGGGTTGGTATAGTTCCGTCTGACAATTACAGCTCTATCGCAGTCTATGATTTTGTAACTATCTATCCATTCTCAGTGTCCTTTATTGATTCATCTATAAACCCAGATATTAACCCACCACCGTTGATTGCTGCCTACCCAACCGATGGGAGTAAGTATAGTCAGCTCTCGCCATGGCTTGGGACGACCGATTTCTATGGAAACGGTATTAGGCTTATAAATTCGGCCCCCAGTTTGAATGGTTACATACCAAGTATCTTGAGTTGTTATGAAATTAAATCAATAGGTGTTTACATGCGTCATGCCTCAGGACAAACAACATTAGCATGGCTAAGATGTTTACGAATCGGGGGTTATTTCAAAGTAGGATTAGAGAGCTTTAGATTCACAGGGCCCTACAATGGAACAGCCGGATTGATATACGATTTACCTGCAGCAAATGGACATCGTGTTTTACCTCCACGTTTTCGACCCCCAACAACACAATCTGTTATAGGCGTATCCACAAAGGGGCACACACAAATACCAGTTATAGACCAGGTGACGGTGGGTGATGTGACAAGATGTACTCTCAGGGCGGATGGTATAAGTATCCAACATAAAGATTCCGTCAATATTTCTATGATACTATCAGATTCCGATTATTTTGAAGTAAGTGGAGTATTCTGGGAATGGATTGTAGATGATGCATATTGAATAAAATATTTTTTTTAAATTTTAAAAAGATGGTCTTATTCTTTTATTAATTATTTCTAAATAAAAATATTTTTGAATCCATCTGCTTCTTGATGAATCTTTGTACAATGAATACCAAAGTAGATTTAAAACATTTGAAATTAAATGCCTGTCTTTGAATCCACTTTTACCAATGACATTTGGAGAACGGATAATTTTTTTTGTGAATGAACAAATTGGTGATATTTTACCATTACCATTTAGGGGAAACCCTCTCTATGACGCCAACTGTGTCGTGATAACATTCGAAATCTGGATGATTCTTAATTTCTTTGATTCGATCTCGATACATTCTTGGAACCCTCACATCAGACGATGGGGAGAAAGGTCGATCGATTTGGTAGATAATATCCATATTTTCTTTGTAAATTCTATTACAACCCCATGTGACCGATGCTTATTTTGTAGTTTGGTGTTGATTCCAAGGCTCGGGCATTATTTCCAATTAAAATATTTGAATTTTTTTAAATTTAATTTCAGTCTCTCTGCTCACATTAAAATTCGGTATGTGAGTTAAAATTTTTATTTTTCAAAGTCATAATTATACAATGGTACTAGAAATCAGAGATTTGGAATGCATCCACCGAATTTATCACAATACCCCCAAGATACCAAAAGCGCTTAGAGGGGACCTTATGCGACACTGGGTGAAACAATATGACATCGGTCGATCCACCCTTTTCCGCAAACTCAACGAAGGCCCAACCAACACCAAGGTTATCCCAAGGACCCAAACATGCCTCTATTGTGAATTGCCGTCCCAACACACCACTCTGTGCACATTACACCTTAAGGAACAGATGCACCTCAAGGTCAAACAATCCACCATTATCGATGGGGGGCTTGGTCTGTTTGCTACTAGATGTGGGCGTCGCAATTGTAAAAGATGTGGTACCCGCGAAAAACCAACGGTTATCTTCCCAGCTCTCGAAGAGAATGTGACCCCAAAGTGTCCAACCATCAAAGATATCGTACCAAAGACACTGTCCGAAAAGCAAAAGAAGAAAAAGTTGAAAGAAAAGATCGCCGATTGGGAAAGTTCATTGGATCTAGGAGGAAGAAGTGATATTGGGGAATACTCTGGTGTGATTCGTGATGTACAGGACCCAACCCCCATCAATGGGTATGCCATGCAAACCCAATCCACTACAGCAGTTGTCGATTCTGGTAACAAGTTTTTATCAGGTGTCACTCGTTATGCCAACTGTCTATTGGGCCCCCGATTCGACAAATTCCATGAAGGGGAGACGATCGTCAGCGCCCCTAACGCACACTCCTTCCAGGTATCTCAAACTTCATTTGTTTTCAAGGCTATCGTAGATATTTACCCGGGTGATGAAATCTTTATCACTTATGGAAAAGAATTGGAAGACAAATTAAGAGCCGCAAAGAAAAAGAAAATGAAGGATGCCAAGGAAAGGGCAAAATTCTTGGCCGAAGATGCAGCCAGAGTGAAAGGGGAATCCGAACTTGCAGCCAAGAAAGCAGAAGCAGCAGCCAAGAAACCCGTAAAGAAGACCCCCTCAAAGGCCACTAAGAAATCAACAATAAAACACTTTTTGACATAACCAACACAACTCCAACAACAATTTCCTATTTTGTAAATCGTTTCGAGGAGTAGTTAATTATTTTATTAATTTCGTTGTCATCTATATTATGTTCCCCCTTTACCAATGGGAGGTAAATATATGAATTATCATATTGAGATGAATTAAAATCTTGTATTGATATTTTTCCATATTTAATTTCTGTTGGACCAATTAGAGCCAATGGAATTCTTGATAGAATCGCGATAGAGTCGACCAGTGCTTCCATATTATTTTTAGCGAAATTTCCAATGATATGACTTGGTACCACCGATGAATCACCCATTACAATTATTTGAAATGATAAACCAACTGTCTCAACTTTGATGTAACCAAGAGGATTGGGGTATGTAGCACTTGGATATTGGGGTGTATTACATCTCCAATAATCTACACACAAGTAAGAATAAAGGGTACCAATACAACCAACTTGGGTACTAATATTCAATACTTCTTTGTTTTTTAGTTGATCCATGTTTATGAATGGATCACGAGGGCCAACACTTCCTTTTAAAGGTTTGGTTCATCTCGATTTTCATTTTTTAATTTTTTTTTAATTTTGATTTTGGCATCTTGATCATCGCAAGATTCATTTCAATTTTATAAATTCATCTCTCCTCTCTACTACAACTACAACATAAATGCAATTCAACTATCTCATTTCAATCATCTTCTTATGCCTCTTGGCATATTCCCCATCCATGGGTGAGAATGACGGTTTACCCAAACTACCTTCACCGTTATTAGTACCACAACAAAATATCCAGCTGACATGTGAAGATATTTCGTTATTGTGCATCCAATCAACGCCGTTTACTATTCAAGATACCTTCGAAGGGGCCCGTGTTTGTTCATATGCATTCATGGATAAAAATGGAGTGCCATGCTCCCGTTCTCACACCGTAGTCGATGGCGTTGACCAAACATGTCCAATTTTGGTATCAGCAATCACAAAAGAATGTATTAGATCACATGACCTCTTCAATGTAGGTCCATATCCCGTGTCATTACAACGTTGTGTTTACATGGGTGCTTATCTTTTTGGATGCAACACAGAATAATAAATAAATAAATAAATAAATCAAATGGCATTCACCCCAACAATCATTTTTAACAATACCACACCAATCAATACACTTGGATTTCAATGAAAAGGAAGAGTACATCCCTAAAGGAGAATACATGATATTTCAACTCACCAAACCAAAAGATATTCTTTAAGTAAAGTTCCATGTTTTCGATCTCGATGAACCAACCCATTTCAGATGCTTTTATGAGGGTATCTACTCTGCTGGTGATGTAGTTCGCATCTCACCTGACATGTTGCTTAAAAAGAATGCCTGTCAATAATCAAACATCTAAAATAAAAGAAAATGCATTCATTTACAAAACTATTTCTTTAATTATTTTTATTTGAGTTTCTCTTTTCAACCTACTCCCCATGGGGATTGAGGGTAATGCTAAATTGTGAATGGAAAGTAAACAACAACAAATATGAAACTAGAAGTAAGTAGAAACAAAGTACCCAAAGTATTATTCAAACAAGTATTTGGAAATATTGTTATCAATCGTCAAATCAAATCCAATTTCCGTGACCCAAAGAGGAAATACCAAGCCTACAAAAGAGTTTTGGGTCAATTACTTGGAGCCAAGTCAATTCTCGTCAGCGAGTTTGCCAATCTCATGCGTTTGCCTGTAATTGGTCATCCACTTATCATCAATAGTATCAAACCAAAGGATAAATTGGCCGAAAGATTTTATTTTAAAGGACATCGCCCATCTCAACAACCAGATTCATTTTTCATGGTAGTTCCACTCCGAATGTCAATGGAACAATTTTTAAATTTCGATTTCAATGGCAATTCATTTGAAGATTTATTCTCGATGTATTTTATGGATGGATCCAATCTTAATGGCCGCCGATTCCATATCGTAACACCTAATTGTGTTTTACTTTCCGAGATACCACACAAGTATCTAGCCGAGAATAAGTTGGCAAACATTTTTTATGTTTTTGAATATGCAGGTAAAGAAGTAAGAAGAAATATTACCAGACAATCACCAAGTGACACACCATTAAGAGAAAAGCATAAAACCAAACTTAGTCTATTATACACAGAACTATTATAAATAATAAATGTATTCCTTTACAAATGTAATATTATTACAATCAAATTCATAAAGTTGGATATAATATATTAATTTTTTGTTTTCCAACTATCACAGGAATCCGGACATAATTTCTCAGTTTGCTTTGACTGTCTACCAGATGTAATCACCCCCCATGATGAGTGGTATGAGAATACCTTCTTTTGTTTCAACTGTGCGGTCCACCAATGTAGTGATTTGACTGATATATGCAAAGATATTGGACATATGACTTCAAACGGCCAATAAAAGTTAATAATATATTTATTCTAATTTATTCTTTTCTAACCATTCGATACAATATTCACAATCTTCGTCTTCCATTGGGCAATCAGGTTGATAGAAATCTGGTGCATCGTGATATTCCTTCATCTCGATTTCGAAATGCTTTTTACAAACGATTGTTCCCCATGCAGGGTAGTGGTATTGCCCATGACTGAGCCAATCATGACTGTACCAAGTATCCACATGATTTCGTCGCACCCGTCTTCATCGCATGGTGTAAATTGAAAATCGCAACGTTTGCAATGATAAGATTGATCTGGGGCAGGATGTCCTTCGATATGTCGTTTTGGATGTTTAACGAGAATAGATCCACACTCTTTACAATTAAGTTTTTTGTTTGCGCACGAGTAAAGTGATGAGCTAATATCTGTATCCATTTTATATATTTATATAATAGAAAAAGAATAGATAAAACTAAAATGGATATCCAATTTATTTTATGGTAGTTTACTAATCTTTGAAAATTGAATCGAGAGCTTTTCCAAATTCATTTCACACTTCAATTACTGTCTATGTATATTAATATAATAAATATACAATTCAATGGATAAACAACAATCACCAAACGATCCTTGCCTCTGTGGGGGAATATTGGTTTCAAACCAAAAGACACTGACCCATCCATATCCAAATGACGCACGCCAATGCTCAACTTGTTTAGATTTCTATACAGTCTGTCATGATTGTGGATACGCAATAAGCGACTGGTGGTGTATGCAAGAAATTAGTGAAAAGGTTTATGAACATGAAGACAACCTTTATTGCCAATCATGTTATTTCGATTCCTATTTTGAAGATAGCGATTACGACTCGGATGGTTTCTGGATTGAAACCTAGTCCAAATACCAAATAAATAAAACTTAAATAATTGTTTTTGAACCATTTCTTACAAAAACTACATTCATATTATTTATTTATTTTGTCTTGCATCTACATATCGTTTGTAGATGTCGATATACATTCGCACGTGATGTTTATCCTTTTCAAGTCCTTTACAGCTTTCAACAAATTCCCCATCATCTGGGTAGCATGGGACAGTATCACCAAATTGAGCACGAGTATCTTTATCCATTACATATTTAAAGTAATCTGAATTAACTAGGGCACGCAAATCCGAAAGCAATCTTATACGACTTCCCGTTTCCCATTCTATTTCATATTCCAACCCGCTGATTAGCTGTTTAATCTCTTCCACAAAGGCATCGACATCTTCTGGTATTTGTGGTGAGGGTAATGCCATTTTGAAAGGGTCCATTATTTGTTAAGATTATTTGTTGAGTTGAAAGATAAAATAAAAGTTTTTTTTAGTTGCCTTTTAATAGAAGTGAATGATATAGGCAAAAAATCATTCTAAAAAGATTTATTTTGGGATGATAAATAAAAGACAAAGTAATATTGATTATTCTTGTCGCTCTACTTTTTTTTCTTTGAGTCATGATGCCACAATCCTTTAAGTTTGTCAATAACAGAAAGCTCTCCGTCATCATGGTGATAGGGATCTTCAATAGGGAACCATGCATGATGTAAAGCATCTAAAATATCATTTTTGATATACTCCCATCTGGACAATGGATCTGGATTCTGGAGGAGTGGATCCAACATCGCACGTTGGAATTTTCCATCAAGGTAGATGTTTGACACTACTTTGAGGATATCCACTGGTTGGCCATCAGGACCTAATCTACATTGCTTGATAAAAGGTAAGAAACCTAAAAATTATTAAATTTAATGATTGCATATACATTGGATAATTGGGTTGGATGTACTCCCCCCATCTCTGGATCATTTAGCTGAGCACAAAACATAGAGAGCAATATTTGTTCCATGATGTACGTATCATTGTTTTTTGTTCCAGGGTTCCCCATTGGCAGATAACAATAATAACATGAATTTTTACTCCCATCACAATAATCGTAGTGTTTAGCAATCCTGTTATATAAATTACTAACCGAACTTCCAACATAGGTTACGATATTATTGTACTTAACTATTGTTGCTTGGTTTTGGCTATGTCTAAGATATCTTTCATCTTGGTCAAAAAAAACATAAACAGCAGGAATATAGTTATTGGGAGGAAGTTTGTACTTGGATGCTCCTTTATTGGGATCCCTATAGTCATTACAAACCCATTGACCAAATGGACCATAATACTTTCCGTAATATTTCATTGCTCCGAATGAAGAATCGAAGAATAGAATTGTAACAAATATGATTAGAATAATTTTAATCATTTGAAAAAAAATGATTTTATCTCATAGGTGGAATCCTGTTTATATACCATATGATACTCTCAAAAATTTTTAATGATCAACATTCACCCACAGTTCTTCTTTTTACCCTATATATAAATTAGTATGAGGTGGGATTTTAGTGTGTATGGTGTACATATTATCAAAATTCCCCAACCACACATCAACTTGTGAGAGGTGATTGTCTACTCTCATACTAAAATTTTTGTCGTAGATTCCCACTCACCATACTCGAAGCTAGTCTTTTAGTCAATCCTCTGTCCGTTGCACTACCTGTATTTGGAGACACAAACTATAGAATATACAATGTCGTTTGTAGTCTCCCATCAGAGACTATTGTCAGTACTCTCAGTACTCCCACCATTGCCAATCTTACCTTTAGTCCAACTATATTGTCATCGTTTACTTCAACACCAATCGCATTTAAATTGACACTGTCACTATCCAAACCAACCTATGGTCTATCACAACTCCACTTGCCATCCATCTACTTGACCAACATTAGAGGACAAGTTTTAGAGGTACCTCTTAATCTTGACGGCTCACCAACTGGAGATCAAATTGAATGCTCGGGTAATATTACTGTCCCCTACATGTATGGATTTGGAGGAGAATTCTTGGCCGTTGGAGTCTATGGTATCATTGATAATGCTTTGAACCCTCTTGGATATGATACTGCCGATTTATTGGTTGCCCTTCCAAACATTATCAATAATGGTGTTATTACAGCACCAAAAATGGATTGGACTCCAAAGATACTCCATATCGTCGACAAGATTACTCAATCTGGAGGAAACTCAATTACAGTAAATGGATGCAACTTTGGTTCATTGGATAAACCATTACCAGTAGTTGGATACTTTGACCTAATGGATGGATCAACACCCATTCAAGTTAAAAGCTTTGCCACCAAGCAATTGGGTGTCGAAAATCAATACCAAATTATATTTACCCAACCACAATTAAAATCAGATAGACTCTCACTCTATGTGTCGGATGGACTTGGATCGGTTAGCATCTCGACAAACTCTATTATTCTCGTCTCAAAAGATTTTATCTATCAAGAGTCTCTATTCCCTTGTCCAAAGGATTCCAACGACAAAATATGTGGTGGAAATGGTGTTTGTACAAAGACTGGTTGTCAATGTTCAACTGGTTATACTGGAAGTGGTTGTACAAGTGTCAAAATACCTCACGACTCTTTGAAAATGGAATTCAATCAAGATAAACCATCTTTAAATATGTTTATTAAAGATCAAGACAATAATAAGGAATCATCATCGTCAGAGGAAACTGCTAAAACAAAAACATTTATATCAATCATTGAACTAAGAGAGATTTCAATTGATGGTGATACATTAAAATCATATCCATTAAATGATTGGGATTATGTTGGTGGTTTTAATTCAAATAGATCAAGTACTCTATACAATTACACAACCGTTATTCGCCAAGGAGACAACACAACATCAACTATCAATGTGACCATTGAACATTTCAACACTACTAGTGATGTAATGATTGACTTTGCAGATGCCAACTTTACCGTTCAAGATTCAACCATCAAATATACTATTAGTATGTCCAACTATAGCTTTTCATCACGTCTCAATACACTTCAACTCATCATGGACTCGGTCATTACTAGAAACACTAGTTCCGACAGTTGTTCATCATCTGAATCTGGATCATTCAATGGCGCAGAAAATGATGTTGCTTGGATCCAACTCCGAGTTGATAGCGTGTCACTCTATGTCCAATGCATAAAGAATGCAGAGGCAGACGATCGTACAATCTATGTAACCAACAAGATATTAGAAGAATCTGTATCAAACGACACTACCATTACCGTGCAAGACCCATCCAAACAATCAGTGAAAAGATTAGCCATCAACATTCCATACTCACCCATATTAATTTTCCCCTCCCTTCCTTTCCCCCTCCTCTCCATTCCCCTCCCTTCCTTTCCCCTCTCCTCTCCATTCCCCTCCCTTCCTTTCCCCCTCCTCTCCATTCCCCTCCCTTCCTTTCCCCTCTCCTCTCCATTCCCCTCCCTTCCTTTCCCCCTCCTCTCCATTCCCCTCCCTTCCTTTCCCCTCTCCTCTCCATTCCCCTCCCTTCCTTTCCCCTCTCCTCTCCATTCCCCTCCCTTCCTTTCCCCTCTCCTCTCCATTCCCCTCCCTTCCTTTCCCCTCTCCTCTCCATTCCCCTCCCTTCCTTTCCCCCTCCTCTCCATTCCCCTCCCTTCCTTTCCCCCTCCTCTCCATTCCCCTCCCTTCCTTTCCCCTCCCTTCCTTTCCCCTCCTCCTCTCCATTCCTCCCCTCCCTTCCTTTCCCCCTCCTCTCCATTCCCCTCCCTTCCTTTCCCCTCTCCTCTCCATTCCCCTCCCTTCCTTTCCCCCTCCTCTCCATTCCCCTCCCTTCCTTTCCCCCAAGTGGGGTTAAATGAAGAGATGTTTCACGTGAAATCCCAACACCAATATTCAAACAAATGTAATGTTAATTTTTTACAGAAAGAAATTATTTATTTATTTTCTAGATCCTATTGAATGGATACATCTTTATTTATCCCATGCCCCCACCACTCGCATTTGCCAGAGATTATTTTCCCTCTAGACTTTAGGAGAGTAATGGTAACATTTGACTACTCTCTCTCAGAAAGGTGCAATCTGGCATGCAGGGAGATCCTAAAAAATTGCTATGAAAGGGTCATAAAAGAAGTTCAAGAAGAATTGGATCACCAAATGTCCAGAGCTCCTCTTGCAAATGGATACTTTATTAACGAGGACCTTCCTTAAATGGTTTATTCCAATAAAATGTTTTATTTAATAAACATCAATGGCTCTTATATAAGAGTTATTGAAACAAATTTGCGGCAGCGTCAAATGCGGCGATTTCTGTCAAATCTTCTTGAATTCGTTCTTGCAACTTCGTGGTCTTGAGAAGGACAAATCTTTTGATATAAGCCTTGGACGAGGTAAGATAGAACTGTTTTTCGAGCTCTTTGAAAAGAACTGGTTTATTTCCCCAAGGAATCTGGATACCACCAGCTACTACCGGCAACTTCTTTTCTGCAATAGCTGGCGACAATTGTTGCAAGAATATATTCAATTTCTTGAGGTCTTCATAAGCTCCAACAGCATCTACCCCCTGCATAGCCGATACGCTGGGGATTTGGTTCGCCATCATTTCAAAAAACGAAGAAGCTAGCTTAATATTATCGGCTGGATCTTTCTCAGTGTATGCAAATAACCTTTCAAAGTTATATGGAACTCCTCTAAATGTAATTTTATCTTTTTTGATGTTGTTAATATAAAAATCTTTGCTCGTGGGAGTGTAACATACAGTCAACCATTTTTAAATTCGGATTGTGAAAAATATATATAATTCAACAACCTTTTGAAGCTTTGGGTTGCCCATCCGGAATCATTCCTGAAGAAAAAATAAACAATTATTTCAAAAAGAAATATCCCTACAAAGCAACTAATGCATAACGAACTGTGAACATCTGGCTCCTGACCAATCATCGCATAGCATGGAAGCAATCTGAATCAAACCTCGTGAGTGACGGAGGGATGGTTACAAAATCATCAGCGATATTTATTTAAGAAAATTTTCATTGGTGGATCTGTGTCTGACAGAGGTTTCTTTATCTATCTTGATAAAAGGAGGGGAGGGAGAGGACATGAAAGGAGGGAGAGGGGAAAGGAGGGGAAAGGAGGGAAAGGGGAAAGGGAAAGGAGGGGAGGGAGAGGACATGAAAGGAGGGAAAGGGGAAAGGGGAAAGGGAAAGGAGGGGAGGGAGAGGACATGAAAGGAGGGGAGGGAGAGGACATGAAAGGAGGGGAGGGAGAGGACATGAAAGGAGGGAAAAATGGAAAAAAAAAAAAGATGTGATGATTCCTGTGGGATTTGAACCCACGCCCGCGGAGGATCAGTGCCTTAAACTGACGTCTTAGACCGCTCGACCAAAGAATCCGCTGCTGACCCCAATTCCGAAAAAACCTTCTTATTTTGGTCTTTTTTGCCTCTATTCTGTAAGAAATGTGTTTAAATTGACTTTCATAGCATAGATAATGACAAACATAAGTCTCTAAACTAATATATTGGTACGGAGGATCAGTGCCTTAAGCTGACATCTTAGACCGCTCGACCAAAGAATCCGCTGCTGACTCCAATTCCGAAAAAGCCAGCTTATTTTTTGATAAATGTTATTTCTATAATCCCAACAGTTTGTACATACAGGCAATCAATGCAGGCTGGCTTGAGAGATCCTTTTCTCGACCAAAGAAATTTGGGATCTAAAAGTTTTAAAAAAAAAAATCGAAAATTGAAATAACTATGTTTAATTGTAATGGTGTATTAAAACTCTTGTACATACCTACCTCTACTTTGATGTATTAAATATATAGATATACATTCGAATCTTGATTATGTATATATATCTCTTTATAGCAATTAATTGTAATAATGAAAATAAATTTTATCAACAAGATAAAAAGATGGTGAACAATCTTTGGACAGACAAAGGTAAAAATAAATAATAATGGGCTTGCTCCGCAGTGTGAGCTATGGAACAAAAGAATGTGTCGAAAAAGTTCATCGGAAAAAAACTCAAAAAAAAATTTAAATAAAAAAAAAGATTTTTTTTTTTCGGCCAACACTCCTTATGGGTGGTTTTTTGAGCAAGAGGAAGCAACTGCAGTGAGAGAGAACCAACCATACCAACACACACATTAATTATTATTATCTTCTTATTCTTATCTTCTTTTTGTATATTGTAATATAATTATTTATTTTTAAAACCAACACGACAACCAACATAAAATACAGAGATTAAAATATACATTTGTATTGTAACACTAAAAACAAACATACAAAAAAAGCATTCTAGTAGTATAGATAGATAGATAGATAGAACAAAAGATTGAGAGATCTCTTATAGATCGATCTTATACTAGTATACCACCAACCAAGTAATAAGTAGTAAAAGTTAGTTAGTTAGTCTGCTAACTTTATAAATCTAAAAAAAAAAACAAAATGGGTGATAAAGATCATCGTCATCATCATCATCATCAACACACCACTCATAGTAGTAGTAGTAGTAGTAGTAGTAATAGTAATAGTACTACTAGTAGTAATAGTAGTATTAGTAGTAGTAGTAATAATAATAATAATAATAATAATAATAATGGAACAAGTTTAAATCATTTTCTAAGTTCATATAAAGAAGGAATGACAACACAAGGAGTCGGAGGAGGAGTGATGAAAAGTTTCGGTACACATAGAACTCAACCTTCAATGACTACAACTAGTAGTAGTGGTATCTCTTCAACCACATCATCACCATCAGCATCATCAAGAACTCTTCCTCAATTGGGATCAGCTAGATCAAAGTTTAGATCTTATCCCGATCTCTATGTACCAGAAAACTTTGAAGAATTATCACCTGCTTGGAAAGCACAAAGTGATAGATTATGGACAGACTTTAAAAATAGTTTATGTTCATATCCTCAAGAAGAAGTAAATATCCAAATATATAAATAATATATTAAATACATAATATTAATATACCTTACTTGTTTACTTTTACATTGTAGAGAGAAAGTTCAGAGAAATTAAAATTATTAGTATTACATTATAATCAACAATATGATAAATGGAATATGGAATTACAACCAGAGATTTATGGAATGAAGATGATGGAAGCCAAGATACAGGCTACTCCACAACTAGATGGTGATTGTGTACAGTTTATTAGCAAACAGTTGTGTAGTTATATGTTGGCACTGTCCAAGGCACTGACCGACGACAATCTTGATATTCCCGACGGTCTCTATCTCATCTCACTCATAAATATCTTGTCGCGACTGCCATCCAATCTGTCGGCACTCAGTCAAATACTCACCCACCCATTTCAAGCTGCTCGTTTGGCCGGTCACAAACTCACATCATTCAAAGAGCAAGATTTACCAAGTTTCCAAAAATGGTGGCCCTACCTCAAAGTATTGCTAGGCAATTGTTGTCAAATCATTAATAATTGTTCAAATGATCGACATACTTGGCAAATGATAAGTAAAAATAGACATCGTGGTGAAACTATCAATAGTCAACAGGAAGATGGAGAATTATCAACATCACCAAAATCAAATCAACAATCTTGGAGTGATTATACACAATTTTCACCTTCAACTTCTCCTTCATCTGGATCGTCGGTTTCAAATTCCAATTCATTATCTTCTAGTTCCTTGGTCAATGGAGGTGGATCGCCTACATTGACGTCGGTACATAAAACACACCAATCATCTACACTTCAACGTCTACTTGGCTTGGGTGCTATAAGCATCCTAGTAGATTGTTTACAATTCTTTAACGATTGGTATAAAACAAAACAACCAAAGGATAGTTCATCAGCTTTTCGTTATCTATTAATTGATACTCTTGGTGTATTAATTTATTCAATTAATAATAATCAAACAAATCAAATCAATCAAAACTTTAGTATTGTTGGATCAATTGGTCATAGTATGATATCTCAATCACAACAACAACAATCACAGTCAACTCAAAAAACACAAATTTTAAAAGAATCAGATTTAAAGAGTATCATTAATTGTATAGGTAGAAAATCTTTTATCAAACCTTCTAAAAAGTTTTCTTCTCTATCTTCTGAATTTAATTTTCAACTTCATGTTTTACGTGTAATTAAAGAATTAATGTAAGATATTAAAAACAAATAGATAATTATTTTTATATTAATATTTATTTTTACTTTTATTTTTTTTAGTAATAATAATTTAAATTTAGCAAGATATTTTATACAATTTAAAGGAATTAAAATGATTGAAGATTTTATATTATGGACTACGGATTGTTTTCAACCACAAGATTATCATTTTCAAACTGATGAAGTTGCCAAAGATATGGATGGTTCGGGATCACCATTTTTAGATGCAACCAATAATACCACGTCAACTACTTATGATACATTACAATCGGTTCTGAGTAGTCTAAAATATACAACCTTTAGTTCTGAACGATCAGTCATCAAGGTACCAACGGCACTTCGTCGTAGCCGAGTATCACAATTGGTTCAATTATTCCAAGTGATTCAAAGCTTGACCTTTACCAACATCCCAATCAACAAGGTCAACATTACAACAAATAGTAGTAGTAGTGGATCATCACTCAACCTTGTATTACAACAACATCAACTTCAACATCAACAATCTATTGCAAGAGATTCTGGTAATATTGTAAATGATTATGTACTTAATCATAGTACTCCTCCAAGTTCACCAATTAGTAATGGAAATAATAATAATAATAATAATAATAATAATAATTCACCATCCAATAATAATATGAATCAATCACAAATATCTCCTTCAAATAGTAGTTTGAATATTTCAACAAATAGTTGGAATAATTTTCAAATTAATCAAAATAACAACAACAACAATACTAATAATAATCAGAATCAAAATACATTGTCAAATAGTAATAATATTAATTTTAATCAAATACAACCAATATCTTCTTCATTCTCTTCTGGAGGGTATAGTAAATTTTTCACAATGAACAAGAATGATGGTATCGGAGGTGACTCTTTATCATCATCTTCAATAATAGGCAATAACTATAATAATAATAATAATAATTTTAATAATAATCCAGATGTACAAACACTTTCAGATCAAAACCCAAAAAAACATATCAATGTATTCCTAATTGAAATGTTATTGGAACATTTATTTAAAAACAACAATCAACTACCAAACTTTTCATCATCCTCTTCATCTTTATCATCTCCAACTTTATCACCAACCAATTCATCTACTACATTGTACATGATAAAGAATAATTATCCAGAATTACAATTAATCGTTTTGGAATACCTTGTCAAAATTGTCATAGAGAGTAATGAAACTTTGGATCTACTTAGAAAATACTTTATTTGGAATTTAATCTTGTCTGATTATTTCTATGATGGTAATTTTCAAAGATTACAACAATTACAACAATCGCAATCACCGTCACAATCTCCAGCTTTATCACCAGATAGTGCACAATCACAATTAAGAACCAATTATTTATTTAATGGATTAAGAACTAGTTCATTGTCATTGATACAATTCTTTGCAACTTATAATCATATTGACAATTATGAAGAAATCATGGTATTGATTGAATATATGAAAAAGAATCTTAATCATCCAGCCAAGATTATCGATATCACTCAACTATTGATAAACATTACCAAACAAAATCCAAAATCAATCCGTTCACTCGTTTCAATGCACATTTTTACCCATCTTTCAGATATCATTCAACAATTGATTCTAATCATGGAAAAGGATACTAGTGGTACATGTGATTCTATTTGGAAAAAGGCTAGAAATATCATTCTAACCTATCTTGGTCAATTAATTTCAAATGAAGAACTATCCATTCATGCATTGGTAGATACTCATTTAATTAGAGGTCTCTTTTTCCTAATTCTACGTCCCGAATTAAAACAATATGCTCAATCTCAAATATTTCATCTAATGAAATTAAATCCAGATAATGAATCAAATTTATCTGAATTATTTAATATTTATATTAGTAGTTTAACAAAGTAAGTAAAAAATAGAAAGGATAAAAAATGTATATTTTATTTATTAATTTTTTTTATTTTAAATTTTTAGGATAAGAGAAGAAACAACATTAGAATATGGATATGAATTAATATTATCATTATTGGATGGTATTAGACAAGTTGTAAAAAGTAATCCAAAAAAACAACAATTATTTAAAAAGTTTGGTGTATTTATAAAGATTGTAACATTGATCAATGTTGAAGATACACGTGAAAGATTATCAACCGTTTGTCATTCAGTACTACGTACAATCATCATCCTCATCTCAAATAGTCCAAAAATCAAAAAACATTTTAGAAATCATATTGGTTATGATACTCTTAGAGATTTAATTGTACAAGCTGAAAATCAAGTTTCAGAAACTACTATGAATTTATTATTTGATATGGTAAATAGAAATGAAACAAAAAAAAGTATACATAATATTAATTAATATTTTTATTTTTATTTTTATTTAAATTTTAGATGGTTGATGATGAATTTGATGGAGAATATAGTTATGTAATTCAAAATAGTGATGCAGCATTATTATTATTTAGTTTATTGAAATATTTTTCAGAACCTTTGCAACACAAGATATTGGATACATTTACACCGATTGTACTTAAATGTACTACGAATCAATCGGTTTGTTGTAATTGTCATTTAATTTATCATCTTTTGGAAACCATCAACGAAAAGAATAATCAAACAATGGGAGTGACAACCAAGATTTTAGTGTTGGTTCAGAATTTGGGTGATCATTCAGTGTCGGTTAGAGAGTTGAAAAAATTATTCACTCTTTTAAAGACAGAGCAAGGTGATATTTATCGTCCACCAACCACCTCTGCTTTACTCTCGACACTCCAAACTATTGCGGTCAGTCGTAATCCAGGACCTTCAGTCTACTTTGATTTCGATGGACATGACAGTTTGATTCGTTTGCCCACATTTGACCAATGGCCCTTCAACAAGGGGTTCTCGTTTTGTGCATGGATGCGTATAGAGTCGTTTATCGATCCAACGGGTACACCAGACTATAAACCACGTGTCTTTTCATTCCTTTCAGATAGTGGACATGGTATCGAGACACTCTTTATCTATCAACAGATCCAAGTACAAACGGTGCATGGTGCCAGTCACGGACAACCCAAACTCGTCTTTTCAAACAATATTGGTAGCAAGGACAGCAAAGACAAGGAGAATAACGTGTCACCAACATTTGAAGAGCGAAAGTGGTATTTTGTGACCATTGTCTACTCGGCCAACCGTTTCTCTGCCGATGAAATCAAGATTTTCATCGATGGACAACAACGTGCCAAAGCTTCGATCAAGAGTCTAAAGTTGGAGGGTGCAATGACCAACTTTTGTATTGGAAATAATGCCATTGTCGGCCCGATCGATCGACACAGTCCTCTGTATGGACAGATGGGTGCATTCAACATTTTTGACGATGCACTCTCTCCCAGTCAGATCCAGGCCATCTACAAATTGGGTCCAAACTTTAACACTGCCTTTCAAGATGTCGAAGGGTTGGGTACGGGTTCCAAGAACCTACATACATTTGACTCGTCCCTTACGAGTAGATTGTTTTTAAACTATAATTGTCGTGCGATTGAAGGTGACATTTGTCTCGACAACTCGTTGGCCAGCGGTGGAGACCACAATAAAGACGCCACACTCGTCTCGATCAACCCGTGCGTGTCGCGTGATATCAAAGACATTATCTATTGTCTCGGTGGTATCAAGGTGCTGCTCCCTCTCATCCCTCAAATCAACATGACACTTGCCGACCCGTCTCGCGAGCTCACTAGCAACAGCGAGCTTACCATCCAGGTGCTCGGACTGTTCAAAGACATGTTGCGTGGGTCTGAAGCCAACCAAGAAGAGATGTTGCGTGTACATGGGTTGTCGGTACTCTCATACCTCTTGCAACAAGTGCCACCCGAGAATTTGACACTTGACGCACTCAAAATCTTCAAGGAAATGTCGGCTCAAATCACCGAGCCCTCTCTAGTGGATGAGGTATACACCATGTTATTACTCGACTTTAGGTTATGGATTCGTACAAGATACGAGGTACAACGTAACCTACTCGAAACCATCAAAAACCTTATTCGAAACAAATATGATCTTGTCAAGGAGATTATAACCATTCAAGCAATCATTGATATCATGTCCAACTTTTACTGGTATGAATGGCGCGATGTTGGAGAGTCAATCTACATGACCAAGGATATTGTCAAGGGACGTCCATCTGATGAAGACATTAAAGAGTTGCGTCAATCTCTCTTTGACATGTTACATCGTTTGTTACGTAATCCAGTGTCGGGTGATGTTGCGGCAGTCTGTCGTTTCTTGACTGCTTCTCACGACTCTCGTCAACTCATTGAAATGATGGAATTTATCATTGATCTATTGTGTAATCCCCAGTACCAACATTTCTATGATGAACTCATTCAGTATGGTGGCACAGACATCTTCCTCTCGCTGTTGAGAAATGCCGATGAAAATGTACGTGTATCAGCTCTGCAAGTGCTCACCAAGCTACATTGCATCTACACGCTCAGTAGTGTACACCATCACGGTCAAGCTTCACCAGCCACCTCTTCACCCATTTCAGCAGCTGCTCAATCCTCTTCGACCACTGCAACACTCTCCAACAAACTACTCAAACGAAAACCAAAGATATTCCAAGACAGTATCATCATTGCTCGTACTCTTCACATGTTCCCTTTTACATCATTGACCTATCGTTATTTGATGGCATTTACGCTTGGATTCAATATTACCAAGAGTACTTTCAATTCGTGTCCATCTTTGGAAGATCTTACAGCAGATGGGTGTACTGAAATCGCTTATCCAGAGGTACTTGGTATCATCCTCAAATTACTTCTCGGTGCAGATACGATTATCCTTCGTCAAATGATCCTTCAAGAAATTAAATTACTCATAAGTATTAATGCTCAAAATAGAACAAGTGCTCTCCTAATCGATCGTTGGCCAGAACATTTATTTTCTATTATTAATGATACTGAAATTAAAAATGATACTCAATGTAAGAAATGGAAAAAAAAAAAGAAAAAAGAAACAAAAATATATATATTAATATTAATCTATTTTATTTATTTCTAAATTTAGATTCAAATGTAACAGATTTAATTATTGATATTATGAAGATTTTATCAATTCATAATTTTAATGATGCAAAAGGATATAAAACATTGGAAAATATTTTAGCAACTTTGAAACCATTTGCTGAAAGAGGTGTTTTAGATTATCACTTTTTAAATAGAACTTTATTCCTAAATATTGTCTATTCAATCAAATCTGAAGCTCATACTTTAATTAATGATCATTCTTCTCCTCTTGTATGTAAAAAAAAAGATAAAACAAAAACAAATTAAGATTATTATTCTAATTTATTTATTTATTCTTTTTCTTTTTTATTTTTAGATTAAATCATTTAAAAAAGCATCAATATTTTTTGATAATTTAATTAGATTTTTATTAATTGTTGAAGAATTTATCTTTTATTCACCAAAAGATGATATATCACCATTGGCAAATTCATTTGTATTTATTGAATTGGATGATAATTCAGGTACTAGTCCAGGTTCAAGTAGTCCACCATCTATTCCTTCTACTTCTTCTTCTTCTAATCAATCAAAATTACATTTAAATGATAAAGGAGAATGGGAAGATTTTGTATTGGTAAAGGAATTGTTGGATTTGACAGATTCTATTAAATTGGTACAATATAGTTCAAATGAATCATCATACAATTCATTGCAAACTGGAAAGGTGGCATCTATATTCAACAATCATCAACAACGTGTTATTTTGAGATTGACATTAGAGTCGGTCAAAGAAGCATGTAAAAAGACAGATTGTATCAATTTGCTGATTTCAAATACCATTAGATTGAAATCGATTTTGGAAAAGGATATAACATCAAAATCTGAAGAAAGTTATTTGCGTTGTCTCTACAGTCTTTCACATCTCATCAAGGCAACCAAAAACACATTGGAAAATAATCTAACATCCTATCAGAAACTACTCTTCCCACACATCAAAGATATGATTAGAAAGTTTAGACATGGTCTCACCAATTACATTGTCTATCGTACTATCAATCCCAACTTTGATCCATCAATCTATAACAATAGTAATAATAATAATAATGGTAATTTTGGTACGAGTGCTGGTACAAGTCCACCAGGAGGTGTTGGTACGCAGTCATCTTTGATTCCACCACCTTTACTTGGTAGTAATAGTGGAGCACAGTCTACACCATCTCGTTTCTCCATCATGATGGGTAAAAACACCAGTTCCACTCCCAACAATGAGATTGAACACGAGGTGTCGGGCTGGGTAGCCGAGTTGTCAGACAGTACGAGAGCAGTTGATTTTTGCACGATTGCCATGATGTCGGTGCGTTGGCAATACGTGTGCGAGTACATTGAAGAGAGTGTGCTGGCGCAGTTTGCCATCGAGGAAAAGGGTATCGTCATGTTGGTCGAACGTCGCAAAAAGAAGCGTAACAAATACGCTCAAATGCTCGACGACAAGGAAGCAGAGACATTCACAGTGGCAGAGCGTAAAGGAGATGCTGACCTCAAGATCATCGAGCGTAATCTCCGTCAACCAGAGATTGACCGTCGTCTGCTCTTGGTGCGTCAGTTGGAACATGAAACGTTTGAAACGCAGTCAAATTGGCGTCGTGTGCTTCGTTCACTGACCAACGAACGTGGTCCGTGGGGTAATACTTCGGATGCTGCCAATGTGCACTGGAAGCTGGACAAGACCGAGAACAACAGTCGTATGCGATTCAAACTCAAGCGAAACTACAAGTTTGATGAACATGCAAATTGTGCCATCGACGATGGAACCACGGGTGGCCCATCGCACAAACAAGCCATGGAAGAAGTGGCAGCTTTAGAGACATTGTCGAGTGGTAGTGGAAGTGTCAAGGATTCATCATTTTCAGATATCAAGGTCAAACCAATATTGAATAATGCAAATGGTAGTGATTCGGTTGATACAGCAGACTGGATCAATCAATATGAAAAGTTGTTGGATGATAATCTTACTACAACTAGTTCAAGTACTGTTGCGGGCAGTGCAGTTGGTAGCAACGTCAACACACCCACCTCCTCTTCCAAGGGTGATCCTACCCTATCCTCTTCTTCAACAACTGTCAAGGAAAAGATGATTTATTCAACTAGATGTGATTGGGTCACTCCACTCAATGTTAAAAAGGGTAAATTGGAAATTACAACTACTCATCTTACATTTTATGAAGAAAAGGAAAAAGAGACAGTATCTTCATTGTCTACGACCGAACTCCCATCACTTATCAGTGCCACTAGCAACAACAATAATGGTGCAGACGAGGAAATGGTAGACAAGGATAACTTTGTAATCACTAAATCATGGCCATGTGAAATGATTAAAGAAATTCATCTACGTCGTTATCTACTTCGTGGTAGTGCTTTGGAAATATTCATGAAGGATCAAACCAACTGTTTCTTTAACTTTCGTGTACAAGATCGCAACAAGGTGTTTTCAAAGATCAATTCGGTGCGAAGAAACTACACCAAGGAAACAGCCTCTTTTAATCCATCGGAAACGTTGAAAAAGGCAACCATCGAGTGGCAACAACGTCGTATGTGTAACTTTGACTATCTCATGACACTCAATACTATTGCCGGTCGTACTTATAACGATCTGACACAGTACCCAGTATTCCCATGGGTCATTGCCGACTACACCTCCAAGACACTCGATTTCACCAATACTGCCACCTTTAGAGACTTGACCAAACCCATTGGTGCACTCAACGAGCGTCGTCTAGAAGTGTTCAAGGAGCGTTTCGAATGTTTTGACGATCCCGTCATTCCAAAGTTCTTTTACGGATCTCATTACTCTAGTGCCGGTATTGTACTGCACTATCTCATCCGTATGGAACCATTTACAACTCATTTCTTGCAGATGCAGGGTAGTCGCTTTGACCACGCCGATCGTATGTTTGACTCGGTGCAAGGTGCCTGGCAAAACACACTCACATCATCGACAGATGTAAAGGAGCTGATCCCCGAGTTCTTTTACATGCCCGAGTTCCTCACCAACCACAATGGATTCAACTTTGGTGTCAAGCAGAATGGCGTGCCTATCGGTGATGTTGTCCTTCCTCCTTGGGCAGCCACTCCCAACGACTTTGTTCGTATCAATCGTGAAGCTCTTGAAAGCGAGTATGTGTCGGCTCACCTCCACGAATGGATCGAGTTGATTTTCGGTACTAAACAACGTGGTCGTAATGCTATTGACGCATTCAACGTGTTTTACTATCTCACCTATGAAGGTGCCGTAGACATTGACGCTATTGAAGATGAGGTCACTAGACGTGCCACAGAGTCACAAATCAACAATTTTGGACAGACACCAACCCAACTCTTTTCAAAACGTGCACATCCCCCAAGAGACGCGTTCAACGAGTGTCACCAATCCATCTTTAAGAGTCCCCAGAATCTCCAAGCTTATTGCCTCAAGATTTCGTTCAAGTCACTTGTATTTATCTTTATCCCCGAGGTTGTTCAGCCAATGTCCTATCTCTTGTCGGACAAGGTCACAGTGATTGATCGTAGTCGTACTGCATCTAGTCACAAGTGGTTCCCCAATTCTCAAAATGACAAGTCTCCCTTTACACTAGAGTTGGAGCCCAGTAGCAGTAACAAACGTCGTATTGGTCTACCATTTGCCAATGACGTGACCATTTCACAAAGTTGTTTTGCTGTTACATCTGACGGTCGTTATGTTATTAGTTGTGGACATTGGGATAATAGTTTTAAGCTATCCTATGTTGACAGTGCCAAATTGATCCAGTCGGTTGTCAAACACAAGGATATCGTCACTTGTTTGGCATGGGCTAGTAACAGTCAGACCTTGATCACTGGCTCACGTGACACTACTTTGATGGTTTGGAATTTACAAACACACAAGAGTGGATCACCACGATTTGGTGATGTACCAGCTCACATTCTCTATGGTCACGATGATGAAATTACCTGTGTTGATGTCAATGTCGAGCTGGATATTTGTCTTTCCGGTTCAAAGGATGGTACTTGTATCATCCACAATCTTCGTCACGGTGAATATGTTCGATCCATTATCCTCCCCAAACAAGCTCCCGTCACCATTTGTGCCATTTCCAATCATGGTCACATTGTCATTTACAGTCAAGCCGATTTTGTCATTTATCTATACAGTATCAACGGTCAATTCCTTCAATCCGTTGAAACTCATGAACGTCTAAATAGTATCATCATTACAAAAGATTCTGAATATTTAATTACTGGTGGTGACAAGGGTACAGTTATCCTTAGAACTTTATACAAGTATGTAATGGAAAAAGAAATTAAAAAGAAATATTAAATATTAACCTTTTTTTTTTAGTCTTAAATTTGCTCATAAATTAAGTTTTGATCAACCAATTCATTCTTTGGCAATGGGATCAGATCAAAAACATTTAATGGTTGGTTTAGAAGATGGTAGATTAATCATTATAGCTTCACAAAATCAATTACCAAATCAAAAGAAATAGACAAAGCAAAACCAATCCAATGAAAATGATTATTTAATTATTTAAATATATATAATCTTTATTCAATTAAAAATAATTATTTTAAAAAATATTTTTAGAGCAAGGTTGATTGATGGTTATTATTATTTAATTCTTTTATTTATCTTTTAATTTAGAAATATATTTTTGAGTTGTTTTAGTAGTACAAGATTCGAGGAGATATTTTTTGATAACGTGGAGTTTGGTAGAGTTGTGAAATAAATAATTGGAATTATAAAGATACTCTATTATATGGAGATGGTGACAGTAAGCTGCCACTTGAATCGTGGTTTGTACTTGGATTTCACCATCTAGAATCGATTGATGAGCAGATCGGTGCATTTGATAATTTGATTTATTTGTACCATGGGTGTATCGAACAAACCCAGCTGGATCCAACTCTGTTTGTTCAATTAGGAATATAAAATTTTCAAGGTTACCTTTTGAACATGCTGTTTTTTGCATTGATGTAAGTTGAATTCTTCCAAGTCTATATCGGCATATGATATATTGAATGAATTCTACTGTACCAAATTCTGCAACCATTGAAGCAACAGTGTCAATTGGATCTTCAATAAACTTTTGATTACGAATCAAATCGAGTAGGTATTTTAATAGATCCAAGTTTCTAAACATACATATGCTCTTTAACAGCATATGAATACCATTCCAACCAATAGAAATACGTTCACCATGTTTTTCATGAATTTCACCAGTTAGAACAGACTTTAAATTATCAGGTCTGTATCTAATAATGAAATCTGATAACTCTGCGTTTAGAATGCTATCCAATGTAACAGATTCCTTTGTTTGATCGAATATAGCTTTTAAAAGATAATCATTTTGACAATAAAATAGTACTGGTAGAGCTAATGATATTGTTGTTGTTGAAAGACTCTTTAAAATGTATTCGGTGAGATGAAGAGTTGGATGCGATATATTTGATATCACCGTTTGAGAAAATGAATTTGCAAAGTGTCCAGTATCGGTCAACAATTTAGACATATCGATTATATCTTGAATGGTTGCATCCTCTCGACTGATATTAAAACTCCATTTAATGGAAGCCGTTTCAGGTAGTTTTTGTGACAAGTATTGTACAAGAGCATGATTGCATTGGTTGATGGCGTTGTCAAAGACTTGTACCACCCACATGACCCTTTTTTCTTCGGTCATTTTCAAAATGAGATTGTCATAGACAAAGTCAAACAGACCTACACTGTCAATACAATTGATTGGAGGTAATGCCAACTCGAAATAAAAGAGTTTGGCTTGACCGGTGGTGACAGAGTGAATGTCATCTGGAAAGGATAGTTTGGTAGGGCATAATACAAAGTCTATATTTTCTCCTGCCAAACTGTACAAGAATGGGTGATCAGTCTTTACCAAGTATCGTAAGAACCGTCCAATCACTTGATGAGAATCATCAAATGCCAAGACAATCGCCATTGGATAATAAATGGGATCGTTGTCTTTGTCAATCTTGATCATTCTCTGTTCTAGATCCACAAGAGGTATCTTTGGTTGTTCTTTTTTTCGATCGATGATTTCACGGACGGCATTGTAAATATCTTTGAATGGTATTTTACTATTGGCGAGGTATTGTTTCGGATCGGTTGCTTGACAAGCATTGTAAACTTCTTTGATGATTTGAGGCATGATTGTACTCGATTTGTACGACCACACACATTCAGTTGGATAGCTTGTGATGGCCCAATTAAACAAAGTTGGTTGGTTAATTAACAAATCTACATTGATTAGCTTCCTACGGTTTCTTCCACCATTGACTTGATCAAATACATATTCAATCATCTCTTTGTTACTAGTATTGCATACGATTGCAATCTTGATTGTTTTTGATTGTAACGGTGCTATGTACTTGACCAACTCTATCGAATTTGATTGAATGGCAGCATACAGTGAAAGGTCACCTAATTGCAATGCTAAAGGTTTGGTTTGTTTGACCAACATCTTTACAATCTCTACATCACCTCTTGAACATGCCCACTTGATTGTATCATCTCTGCAAAAGAGAAGAGGGTGTTGATTATAGATTGACAGTAGCAATTGACGATCTTTGACCCGAGTAAAGAACAATTCGACAGCTTTGGTTGATACACTTAATCTTTGTTCCAATTCACCTTTATCAAAGATCATCTTTAACAATCCTTCATAACCATTCTCTAGTATCCACTCCAAGTTGTTTAGTTCATTGTATCGATATGATTGTATTTGTTGTCGACGATTATTTTGTTGTACTAATTTTAATAGAATTTTTAACAAGTATCTATTCTTTAATACTTTTTCGTGTGCTGTATTATTTATCATCTTTTAAACAAATAAATATCGATAGATACTAATAATATTATAGGCGAGGTTGACCCATGAGAACTTTAATTTAAATTAATTTTGTTTAATTTTTTTTCATAATATAGAAAGAATGAAGAAGAGGACTTCTTCTTTTATTTTTTTCAATAAATATAATTATTTATCTTTATCTTTAACAGAGGAAATTATCAAAATACCAAAAAAAAACATCTGTCTCAACAAAGAGAAGAGAAGATCATCAACCAATCATGTACATATTCTCATCACTTACCTTTCTTGATTATAAGACGAATGTTTGAGTATTATTTGAAGACCAAACAACCAAGATCAACCAAAACTAATCAAGATGGTACGACATACACTTTTGTTGTCTCCCAGATCTTTCTCAAGACCATTGGTTAAAAGAAGAAGAAGAATCTTGAAGACAAAAGTGGCTATCTCCCTCCTACTTAAGGTATAGTATACTACTTTAATATAATATTATTTTCCTTTTTTTTTTTCTTTTCTTCATGCCAAACGAATGTTTCATAATATTATTTGTAATAAAGATAATATATTTTACCAATAGTAATAGCAAGAGAATTAAAAGAATTGAACTAGGATTGTATGCAGATGAAATCGATTTTGATTGTGCAATTAGATCGATTCAACATCCTATTGACCATCTTACCAACTATCAATTGACTTGCTTCTCGAGAGCTTCAATTGATTATTCACTCTATTTTGCATCGACACTTACAATACTGCCAAGACCGATTTAGCATTCATGCAAAGCAAAGAAGGTCAATGGAAACATATTCAATTATTTTTAAGAGATCAAACTAAATTTGATTCAAATGGTAGACTTGAAATCATTTACTAAAAAAATTAATAATCAACCAATATATAAAAAAATTGTCTTTACTTTTTTTTTTTTTTGAACTCACAAAAAATACTTAGTTGTTGATACAAAGCTTTACAAATAAATGAATAAACAAATAAATAGTAATAATAATAATAATGATAGTATCAATCAAGTATTCAAGAATAGATATTTGTTACAAAGGATATTAAGATTAGTACAACATAATCATCGTAGACAACTAGTAAGATCATATAGATACAATGAACTAAACTACTTGTTATGGATACTAGAGAATGATCATCAAGGATTGTTAAAGATGATCTTTGATAGAGGTGAATTTGAACAAAGATTAAAAGTACAAAGTGATGGTATAGAGTTGTTCTTTACTAAAGTAAAAGATCGTCAATTGCTGCTGTCTATCTATAATCAATACCCTCACCTCTTTTATAATACCAATACAATCAAATGGGCATGTCTAAGAGGTGATGTAGAGATTGTAAAGATGTTAATCAATCAAACCGAACCTTCTAAATTATCCTTTCGCCCAAATGACATGTTGGATTGTGCAGTCCAATCAGGCTCGGTAGAAATGGTACAATTCATTGTAGACTTTATATCAAGTATAAAGACAAGAGAGAGAAAGGCTATCACCCTCATCGTTAAAACAGCCAATTTAGAGATCATAAATATAGTTGTTACAAGCAAACAACTTGCCGGAATAAATGAACACATCCTAATCGATGTTGACCTTCTTCTTGGTATGGATGGTCCATGGCCCGTTTATTTTAACAGAGATATATGTAGATGGAGACCAGAAATTAGTGATACATTGGTACTTATCGCCAAAGAACTCCTTGCAGCAGCTGATAGTTCAACTAACCCATCCGAGTGCTCAAAACATCTTTCAAAGAGTTCAATACCATTTAAAACGATTTACAAATCAATCAAAAGTTACCATCAATTTGTTGGATTGGCAAAAATGAAAAAACAAATGGAAACAATTCGAGACACTGATCCAGTATACTATCCAATGCTGATTATCAAATCTTTTGGCAATGAAGAGGCCAAGGATGCATTGGTTACCTATCTGATCAAGAGCGACCATTTTTTTTTAAAATTATCACTTTGTGATGAAGATAGAGAATTTTGGGGACACACCCTTGGAATTCCACCCAATCTATGTGATATAACAGTGGATCATGCTGAAATATTTTATGTTTATCCTTGGATTGTCCCAACTAGTCGTGTCGATAATATCGAATTATTTGACTACATTGACAACTCGTGCATTGCAGAAGGAAGGAGGATGGAATGGGTGTCAAGAGTATTGGAGTATGCAATCTTGAAATTAAATTATAATCTCATTAGACATATATCAACAACAATTAAAGATCTAGATAAACAACTACCGAAATGGTCATTTGGACTTGGAAAAGGATCATTCATATCTGATTACATTGAAATGGCAAAATTACTCACTGAACTTAACTTGTATGCAAATGAAATCAATTTTGATTGTGCAATTAGATCGATTCAACATCCTATTGACCATTTAACCAACTATCAATTGACTTGTCTATCACTGGCTCCATATAATTATTCGCTCTATTTTGCATTCTTTTGCAATGGTGATTATATGATTAAAGCATTAATCAATCAAAATAAGGATGGTCGGATTAAAATGTCTAGTATTATAAGAGACAGTTCAATATCTGGTCACATTGTTAGATACCAAGAAGATGTAATCAGGTCAATTTTAAATGGCGAGTATGGAGACAATATAGATTGGAATTGGGATGGTTTGTCAAACTTGTTTGAAAGTTCTTGCATCGTTGGAAAATTGGAACTATTTGAATACTTTCTAGTCATTGTGGAGAAGATGTTTGGAAAAAAGAAAACCTCTCAAATCTGTAGTATGGTAGTAGAAAGCGGAAGAATACCATTTATAAAATACATCATAAAGACATACAATACTACCATTATGGATTTATTGACTGCAATAGGTCAATCCAAACATATACAATCATTTTTAAAGGATCAAACTCAAGTGGATTCAAATGGAATCGTTACATTAAAATTACAATAAATAATTGTCTTTATGATTTTTAATAAGTTTTCTCAATTTATTTTAAACTTGATGGGGTTAACTTTTTTATAATCAGATGATCTTTTTAAATACCTCGAGGTATATAGCTTTGCAAATAATAATAATAATGAATAAACCAAGCAACAATAATAATAGTAATAGTATAATTAGTAGTCAAGCGTTCAATTACGTATTTAAGAATAGATACTTGTTCAATATTATATTAAGATTAGTACAACAAAATAATCGTCAACAACTAGTACGATCATATCGATACAATGAACTAAACGACTTGGAGTGGATACTAGAGAATGGTCATCAAGGATTGTTAAAGATGATCTTTGATAGAGGTGAATTTGAACAAAGATTAAGTGTATCAACCCTTCGCTTTAAAGCTGTTAGATTATTCTTTACTCAAGTCAAAGATCGTCAATTGCTACTGTCAGTCTATAATCAATACACTCACATCTTTTGCAAAGATGATACAATCATATGGGCATGTCAAAGAGGTGATGTAGAGATTGTAAAGATGTTAATCAATCAAACCGAACCTTCTAAATTATACTATCACCCAAATGACATGTTGAAAGGTGCAGTCGAATCAGGGTCTGTCGAAATGGTAAAATTCATTGTAGACTTTATATCAAGTATAAAGACAAGAGAGACTATAAGCATTACTATCAAAACAGCCAATTTAGAGATCATAAATATCATTTTTACAAGCCAACTTGTAAAAGAATCGATCAAACTCGATGTTGACCTTCTTCTTGGTATGGATGGTCCATGGCCAGTTTATTTTAACAGAGATATATGTAGATGGAGACCAGAAATTAGTGATGCATTAGAACTTATCGCCAACGAACTACTTTCAGCAACTGATGGTTCAACCAACCCATCAGAGTGTTCAAAATACCTTTCAAAGAGTTCAATACCATTTAAAACGATTTACAAATCAATCAAAAGGGTCTATCACTATGATCGGACAAGGTTGTCACAAACAAAAAACCAAATGACAACCATTTCCCGTGACTCTGATCCAATATACTATCCAATGTTGATTCTCAGATCTTTTGGCAATGATAATAAGAATTCTGAAGTGCTTCAATACTTGGTCAAGACCAACCATCCATTTTTGTGCCATGAATATAAAATAGTTTGGGGACGTGGTTTTCAAACTCCTATCAATCTCTATCATGTGACTGTCGATCAAGCCAAACTATTTTATATTGACCTTTCCCTCACACCAACTACAAAGGTAGATAATATCGAATTGTTTAATCTAATCTACAAAATTTGCAAACCAGACAAAATGATGGAATGGGTGTCAAGAGTATTGGAGTATGCAATCTCTGAATTAAATTATAAACTCATTATGCATATATACGATACAATACAAGATCTAGATAAACAACTACCCCAATGGTCATTTGGACTTGGAAAAGGATCATTCATATCTGATTACATTGAAATGGCAAAATTACTCACTGAACTTAACTTGTATGCAAATGAAATCAATTTTGATTGTGCAATTAGATCGATTCAACATCCTATTGACCATTTAACCAACTATCAATTGACTTGTCTATCACTGGCTCCAATCGAGTATTCACTATCTTTTGCATTCTACTGCAATGGTGATTTTATGATCAAAGCACTCGTTACAATGATCAATGACCATCAGAGAACAATGCCTGGCATTTTATGTAGCGGTTCACTATGTCGTCACATTGTTAGATACCGAGAAGATGTCATCCGGTCAATTTTAAATGGCGAGTATGGAGACAATATATGGAATTGGGATGATTTGTCAAACTTGTTTGAAAGTTCTTGCATCGTTGGAAAATTGGAACTATTTGAATACTTGCTAGTCATTGTGGATAAAATGTTTGGAGAAAAGAAACTCTCTCAAATCTATTGTATTGTAGTAGAATGTGGAAGTCGAACAGAATTTCTAAAATACCTCATAGATAGATACAATACTACCATTGTCGATTTAGAACTCTTGAAATCAAAAGAAATTATCAAGTCGATAGGAAAATATTCAATCAAATTACACCATATGTGAATTCATTTTATCCATACAACCCTGTGAATAAATAATGGTTTTCACTCACAGGGTTAAATTGGATTCACTCATATATAAACTGAATCGATCGATTAAAAATAGGACTCCAAGAATATATGATCATTTATTTTGTTTTTATTTCAATTGGTTTTTATTATTATAATTATTATTATTATTATTATGTAGGTAAGGAATTAATATAAACTTTCATTGTCTGAGAGTAGGCAGACTCTGCCAGAAATGTTTTAGTACATTGTTGATTTGAAAATAGACGTCCAATTGATGAAAGATATGATACAACTACAAAGTAACCCTCTCTGACTGCTGTTTTAACCACTCTGTATTCCTGTTTGTCTCCATGGTTTTTAGAGGTTGAAGAGTAATTGAGTAGGTAGTTTGATTGTTTGGTTGGAGTGATTCGAGCGATACCTTTGGCATCCAATTCAGTGTGTTCTATCAAATACTCTAGGTTTAGTTTTGATCCTTCCAAACAAGCTTCTCTTTGCATGTTGGCCAATTGTTGCTTGTCAATCTTGAATTGGTTCATCACGACCTTTATGTTTTCCACACCTCCACACGTCGATACAGTCTCGGCAATGTGAAAATTAGTATCAACGATGCCAAGTTGACGTATGGTGTTTAGAAGCCATTTAAACAGATCCATATCTCGATAAAGACACGCCTCTCTAATTGTATCGAGTAAACTTTTAAAAGTAAACGATATCTTGTCTCGAAACTGTAAATGTATCTCTCCACCAGGTGAAATCATTGATTTTAAAGTTTCTTGTTTATATTTTACAATGTGATTGGCAAGTTCTTGGTTATCCAAAATTAGATCCAAATCAATCACGTTTCCTTTTGCTAACCATGTTCTGAGTAGATAATCTTCATTTGCATAGAAAAAAAGATGTCCTGCTTTGTCGGCTTGCATTCTCGATTGACATTGCAAGACATAATCGGTTACATGTTCAATTGGATGTGACATTGATTTCATGGCTACAATTGAAAACTCTTTGGCATAGAATCCATTCTTAGCGAGTATATTTGCCATGTCTATATGGTCTTGTACAGATGCTCCATTTTCTCCAAGATGAAAAGTAAACTCTAATTGAGTTTTTACTCTTTCAGTTATACACTGAACGAGACCAAAGTTACATTTATTGATTGCATCTGACAATAGACGAGAATAACATTGTTCCTTTAATCTCTGACTAAACGTACTATTAAAGTAAGAATGATCAAAGATATATTTAAATGTTTCTGCATCGCTGACAATGAAATCCAAATTTTCGTTACGCATTTGATGATAGATTAAATCAAATTGACTAGCGTTGATTGTGATTAAAGGGTCATTGTTTGGATATTGTGCCAAAAAGTTTGGTAAAAAAGGATGATCTGTCTTTATATAGTATTGTAGTAACGATGTAGTGGCACTTTCAGAGTGACCCCAAGACATTAGAATTTTGATTGCATAGTAGATTGGATCTTCTAATAATAGACCAATCGATAAGAGAACCAAATCAACTTCTTTAAAACTGGTAGTAGGTCGTTTTATTTTTCGATTGTCAATTTCTAAAGTTGCATTGTAAATTGATTGGAATGGTATCTTGCTCGATACAAGATATTGTTTGCATTCCAATTCATTTCTAATATCACTGACTGCCAACTGCAACTCTTTTACTATTTTTTCGATTACTTTACTCTCTTTGTATGCCCATACGCACTTATTTTGATGATTGGCTACCACCCAATCAAACAATACACGGTCCTCAAGTAAAGGATCAAGACTGATTAAATGGTCTTGAAGATCTCCAAGTTCCAATACATAATGTATCATTTGATGATTGCTTGTACGGATGGTAATGGGAGGGACCGATGATCTTAGAGTTGCAGGTAGTACTTGACACATGTACTTTGCAAGTGGTAACGAGTTTGATTGAGTCGCACTCTCGAAACAAGTTTCGTTGATTGGCATATTAGGTTGTATTTGTTCTACCACCATCTTTACAATCTCCAAATCACCTCTCTGACATGCATACTCGATAGTTCTATCTGAACAAAAGTATAGTGGGTACTGATTATAGATTGAAAGTAGCAATTGACGATCTTTTACTTTGGTAAAGAATAGTTTAATGAGATCACCACCACCTGATTCAAACATTTGTTCAAATTCGCCTCTATCAAAGATCATCTTTAATAATCCTTCATGACCATGTTTTAATACCCAATCTAAAGAATCAAGTTCTCTATACCTAAATGATTCTAATTGTTCTTTATAACAATTCAATTGAACTAATCTTAATATCTTTCGAATTAAATATTGATTCTTGAATACTTTGTTATAAACATTATTATAATTATTATTTGTATTATTATTATTACTTATTTGTTGATTGTTATACATAATTACTTTGTGAAAAGATCATGTACTTTTATGAATAAACCAGCTGACCACATGGCATGAAAAATGAACCCTACTGAGGAAAAATAAAAGATAAAGAAAATGGATAAGAATAATAATAATAATATAATTAAAAAAAATATTAAATTAGATCATATGAATGATAGTAGTAATAGTAATAGTAATAATAATGTATTATATAAAAGTGTATTTGGGAATAAATATTTATTATATAGAATATTAAAATCAGTACAACTTAATCATCAAAGACTACAATTAGTATCGTATCAATTACATCAGATTGATTTGGAGTGGATTCTAAAACATGGATATGAAGGATTGTTAAGATGTTATTTAAAAGAGATGAATTGGATCAATTCAAAGTATCACCCAAAGCTGTTGAATTATTCTTTACCAAACTAAAAAGATCGTCAATTGTTATTGTCAATCTATAATCAACACGCTCATCTCGATTTGGAGCTTGTAAAGATGTTAGTCAAACAACCAATACAAGTACAACCAACAACACAATTACAACCAATACAAATACAACAAAAAAAGTGCAAATGGGATATGAAATCGAGTAAGATCTCGATACTAGTCCAGAAAGAGTTGGAGCGAGTCGCAAAACAGTCAACAACTGCAGTAGAATGTGCAAAAAATCTCTCAAAAAGCACCTTTCCATTTAAAGCTGTAGCCACGTCATTGATTGCTATTGCTCAGGCCGGCATTGGTCCAAACATATCACTGTCGAGATGGAACATCAGTGACATGCGGGAAGTATTGATATGCATAAACGAGGTAAAGGATCCAATCTATTATCCATTGGCCATTCTCTCTATTTTGGGATCGGATACTCCATTGGATTTCTTTAAAATGACAAATCGATATGAATATTTGAGAACACTGCCCGAAAAAAGATCATGAAAGGCAGCACGTGATCATATCAAAAGATTGTGATGTGACTGTCTGACAAGCCAAACTATTATTTCAAGCAAGGGGTTCAACTCAATCTGCCGTGATGACACTATTGAACTGTTCAATTATATGTACAATAACTGCAATTTGCATAAACGAAAGTGGATATCAAGTGTATGAATGCAACTTTCCACTCGTACAACATTTGACAAACGAACTAACTGGTCAGGAACCAATCAACTGGTGCTTCCACATGAATAATCATGCAACGACCAACGTCTTTACCAAAATGGTCAAACTACTAGACGTATCTGGTGTCTATGCCAATGGATTCAAATCATCGTTGGAAATTTGGGCATTCCATGTGCAATGAAATTAATTATACACCCAACCGACTACATTACCAATTATCTATTGAAATGTCTATTACGATCATCCATTCTATACTCTCTACCAGTATCATTTTACTTTGATGGTGATTAAATGGTCAGAGAATTACTCCAACAAAACAAGAGTACCCCTATTCAATTGGACCATATTATTAGAGATATTACACTATCAAATTATATTGTCCATCAAAAGACTGATATTCTATTGTCAATTCTTACAGGTGAGATTCATTCTCAAAGAGTTGTACCCATTTCAATTGGCTGGGATTCCTTATCCCTTCTTTAAACAAGTTCATGTTTCTATAGAAACTTTGAATTATTTAAAATATTGCTTGGTCTTATTCAAACTCATGTCAAGGATGATCGAACCAATGAAATTGCGTGTATTGTAGCCAGAAGCAAAGTAAGCGATCTATTTATCAAACAGGTGATTGGTCAATTCAAGATTGATAAACAAATATTAACAAAAATGCAAAATTGTGCCTCAAAGAATAATCTTCAATTCCTAAATCAACATACAAAAGTTGATTCAAATGGAATTGTTAGAATCACTCAACAACAATAAATTAAATAAATAAATAAATAATTATTGTTTTTTTTTTTTAGCAAAGACTCTCTAAAACTTTTGAAAGATCTCTGTTGTTCATTTCAAATTTAAAGTTGAAGAGATACAACAAATAAGTTGTATTAAATTAAATAATAGTAAAAATGAAAGATCATGATGTTGATAAAGTAGTATTCAGTAAAGTACTAAAGAATAGATACTTGTTACAAAAGATATTAAGATTAGTACAACAAAATAATCATAGACAACAATTAAAATCATTAAGATACAATGAAATAAGCTTCAACTTGCAATGGGTACTAGAGAATGGGTATTATAGAGACGGTCAACTATTACAGATGATCATTGATCGAGACGAGTTCAAATATATGTGTCATCATGTAAAACCTAAAACAATGAAATGGTTCTTTACAAAGATCAAAGATCGACAATTGCTACTGTCAATCTATCGTCAACACCCTCTTCTCTTTTGTATGGATAATACTATATCTAGTGCATGTCAAAGAGGTGATTTGGAGATTGTAAAGATGTTGCTCAAACAAACACAACCAATCAAACTACCACCAATCAATGCAAAGGATATATCATGTGCAACTAAATCAAATTCTCTTGTATTGGTAAAATACATGTTTGGACAAATCAAAGATCCGTCTACTCTGAAAATGATTACATGTAAAACAAATAATCGAGAAATACTAGAGTACATATTAGAGAAACATAAACAAGGAGGTTATTTAATTTCAATCAATGTAGATCCTCTACTTGGATTTGATCATGTAGAGTTTACTCGGTCAAACAACCAACAACAATTATTACTAGATTGGGTCATACAAAGTGGAATGAAATGTATTTGGAATTACAACAAAAAAATTAACAACAAATTATTCTCCAAGATAACCAAAGAGATTAATCAAGCTGCCAACAACAACAACAACAACAACAACAACAACAACAACAACAACAACAACAACAACAACAACAACAACAACAACAACAACAACAACAACAACAACTCAACAAGTGCAATAGTGGAATACTTGGGGAATAGTAAAATACCATTTAAATATATTTGGACAACGATTGAAAAGCTGTTCAATGCAAAAATAATCGCAGTTGGAGAGTCTGATCATCAGAGGTTTGAAAAGATTGCAAGTCAACTCAACCAATCGATCAATCATTTAAATGACCCACTCTACTATCCAATGCGTATTCTATTGACGTTTGATAGATCGTCAGTAGGATTGGCGGCATTGTTAGGGTACATGGTTAAAATAGATCATCCCTATCTACCAACATTAAAATATGAAAACTATGACATTATCTGGAGTCATGCTATAGCCGAAACAGCTCCTCAAACTATCGAACAACTCAAACTGTTTGAAACGATTGGTGACATTAGAAAAATAGATAATATTCAAGTATGCGACTATCACTATATCTATGGTGCTTTTAGAAAGTCACGGTTGGATACAATGTCAAAAATCCTATTCGATGCAATCACTCAATGCAACTATGACCTTGTAAAACATTTAACAAAGAAATTGCAAGGTCAAGCACAAAGTCTTGGTAATTGGTCATTTAGTTTAAATAACAAAGCAACATTAAAAGATTATATGGATATGACTAAACTATTAGATGGAGCTGGTTACTATGCAACTAGTTTTACACTAGAGTGTATGAAAACAATGCCTCTTCATCCAATCGAACATCTTACAGACTATGTATTAAAATGTCTGTCTAAAATACCAATAGAAGATGCAATTCCTCTTACCTTTTATTCTGATGGTGATTACTTGGTTAAATCATTACTGTCACAAAACAATATTAATAATATAAAGATAAATTTGGATATGGTACTTAGACTTCAACCATCAATCGACTATCTTGTAAGATACAATGAACCAGTTTTAAGATCACTATTAAATGGTGAATTAAATGAAATATATGGTGATGGTATCATCATCATTGGTTCAAAAGGTCTAATTAAAACAATGGAAAGTTCAGTTGTATTCAAAAAGATTGGTCTATTTAAATACTTGTTGGACATTTTATTCCAGAGATCATTACAAGATGAAAATACTAGTCAAAAGGTATTGGACATGATTTCTCATTATGGTGCAGTTGAATTCATGAAAGAGTATATTATTCGATTCAAAATTGACCAACAAGAACTATCAGATAATCAAAGGAATCTAACTAGTGAATACAGTCTATCGCTGCTTAGATTCTTGATTGAACACACTGAAATTGGAAAACAAGATGGTATTGTCCGATACAGCGAAACTAAACAATGTAACTATCAATTAGACTATTCAAAAAAGGGTGATGGACTACACCTAGAATCTACAACACTATCATTCATGGCAGGATCATCTCAAGCACAATTACATCTGATCACCTATCTATTTGAAATTGGTCGGTTATTTAATAATCCAACTTGTTCACCCTATCTAACCTTGTTTGCTGATGGTAAAACAAAACAATATCTAGAGTATTTGAAATATAAATTAAAAAAATAAATAAAGTAAAGTATGTTTTTTTGCACAAGACTTTTCATCGTGACATGTGATCTGCAGTTCATTATTCAAAAATGATAGTAAAAAATAATAATAATAATAATGTTTACAGTCAAGTATTAAAGAATAGATATTTATTAAATAGGATATTAAAATCAGTACAATTAAATAATCGTAGACAACAATTAAAATCATATAGATTAGGTGCAATCATTACTCTCGAGTGGATACTAAAGAATGGTTATGAAGGACTGTTAAAGATGATCTTTGATAGAGATGAATTTGAACAAAGACTGCATGTATCAAATGATGCTATTAGATTATTCTTTACAGAGATGAAAGATCGACAATTGCTACTGTCAATCTATAATCAAAATACTCTCTATTTTTGTACTGATCGTACAATTGAATGGGCATGTCAGAGAGGTGATTTGGAGATTGTAAAGATGTTGCTCAAACAAACAGAACCAATCAAACTAAACATTGGAGATGCGTTACCATGTTCATCAATTGAATTGGTTACATTCTTATTGGACGATCATGGTGTACCTGCAAGCAAGATTCAATGTCATTCAGATAGTCTAGAAATGATCAACTTTGTCATGGAAAAGGGATTGTCAATATCAATCAATCTAGATCCATTGTTTGGCAAACAAGAGTTATTCGATCGAGTAACTAGTCGTCATCCTACACTCAATGTAAATGCAAGTCAAACATTGTCTCTAATTACTGCAGAGATTCAAAATGCAATAGAAAACTCATCAAGTGGTTTGGAATGTTCAGAATACCTTGCCAAGAGTACAATACCATTTAAAACAATCTATGAATCTGCAAAAAGAGTAATGGGAACTGACAATTATAGTATAAAGACATTGGAAGTATTAAAGCACATGGACAATGAAAATGACCCTTTTTACTATCCATTTGCAATTACTTCTTCTTGGAGTACCAAGATGGATATTGCACTTACGATCTTGCAATATGTTGTAAAGACTGATCATCACATTTTACAATATATTTGCAAAGATCCTATTCAGCTAGGATTTATGTATGCTGGTACAACTATTGCTCCTCAGACTATTGAACAAGCCAACCACTTTATGCAACTATGTAATATACAAACCATCGACAAGGTTGAAGTGTTTGACTATGTCCTTGAAAACATGGACAGTGATTCACAAAATATGGCCCAAATATTTTCAACAGCCGTTGCAACATGTAACTTTGACTTGGTACACCACATGACAAACAAATTCAAAGATGAAAGTAGACATGAATGGACATTTGAAGAGTTTAAAGGTACATTACAACAATTCAAGGATATGGTTAAACTACTCGACGGAACTGGTTTCTATGCAACTAGTTTTACACCAGATTCAATGAAAACAATGCCTCTTCATCCAACTGAACTTCTTACAGACTATGTATTAAAATGTTTCTATCAAATGGAAGATTTTGAAGATGCCATTTCTGCTTCATTATTCTCACAAGATGATTATCTAATCTTAAAACTACTAGAGCATCAACAGAAAATAGAAAAAGAAGAATTTCAACTCCGACTTGACCTAGTTATAAAATTTGATTTGGCCGATCATCTTGGAAGATATGGTGATTACATAATAGAGTCATTACTAAATGGAGAGATTCATCAAAAATATGGAAATTATTTTAGATTGGGTGATTGTTTGGAAGCAATGATAGAAACCACTTGTATCTATTCAAATATGAATCTTTATAGATTCTTGCTTGAAAAACAGTTGGTATTGGGCAATGTCGATATCAAATCAATCGCCCAAACTATAACACAACATGGTAATGTGGAATGTATAAAAATACTATTGACACTATTCGATATTGATAGAAATACACTTGCATTGATGCAACAAAAAGCTGCTACAAGACAAAAAAGAGCTAATCTTGTATTTTTAATTGAACAAACTGAATTGGATTTAAATGGTATCACTAGAATCACTCAAAATAGTACGATCAAACAATGCAACTATTTACTAAATTACAGTGAAATAGAAGATGGTAATTTGACAGAATCTAAAATATTTTCAATCATTTTACGCAAATCTTCATTGGATATTATCGACTTCATTTTCAAAAAGATGGGTAGATTCTCTACTCCATTACTTACCAAACCTGAATTATGTACAACAGATTCTACAACTAAAACCTTTTCTTTAAAATAAATAGGGAGGGATCTTTAATAATAATAATAATAATTTGGTCTTTCCAACATTCTTTTTCATTGTTTTATTAAAAGATTATATATTCGAGGTATTTTTCTGATAATCATCCAAATCAATAAGATTGCCATGCAAAAAACCAAAGGAATTAAAAATATACAAGTCAAAATCTTACTTGCCAATCCTGCAAATAAAAACCTATGAATCAATAATACAACAGTCATTGCATTAATTGCAACAATAAACATTGCTATTAATATTGTTATAATTGTAACCTAAAATAGAAAATATAAAATAGAAAAAAAAGTTAACTTAAATATTTGTTTAAATAAAAAAAAACATTATTATTATTATCTATATATTTACCCATAAAGGATTCTTATAAAAAGGTGACATGATTGATTCACTACTTGTAAATTGAATCAATGGTATTACTGCAAATGGTAGAGCAATCGATAAGATGACTTGAGAAAATATAAGTAGTTGGTAGGTTGCTTGATCACCCGAAACGATAATGATGATGGCAGCTGGAATGATAGCGAGTAATCGTGTGCTGAGTCGTCTTAGCCAAGGTGCAATTTTGAGGTCCAAGAACCCCTCCATTATAATTTGTCCTGTCATTGTACCAGTGATAGTCGACGATTGACCAGCACATAAAAGGCCAATACCAAATAGAATACTACTAGTCTTGCTATCCATCAAATCTCCCAACAAATTATACGCCTCTTTTAAATCAGTCACAACATAATTATTCTTATAAAAGATGCTTGCCGATAATATCAAAATCGAAACATTGACAAAGAATGCACCATTCAATGCTAATATAGTATCTAATAAATTATATTTTAGTGCTTGATAAACTCTTGATCTTTCATTACCAACCTTTCTTGATCTAAACAAATAAATTTAAAATTAAATATTAATATTCTTTTTTGTTTTTTGTTTAGTTACTCACTTTACAACACCAGAATGAAGGAATAAATTATGAGGCATTACAGTTGCACCAATGATACCACTTGCTACAACTACACTCTCTGTTGTGAGTGATGGTATAAACCCGGCGAATACATCCTTGGCATCTGGTTTTGCATAAACCAATTCTACGACAAAACAAGATGTGATGACTGCCAACATTAAAATGATGATTAATTCCAACTTTCTAATACCCCATCTCTGAATGGCTAGGAATAAAAGAGTGTCAACTGAAGTCATAACCACACCAGCAATCAATGGAATACCAAACAGTATTTGTAATCCAATCGCCGTTCCAATCACCTCTGCCATATCCGTAGCTGCTATAGTGATCTCAAATATAATCCACATTAAAATTCTCATTGGTTTATGTGTAAATTCCTCTTTACATAATTGTGCAAGATCCTTTTCTAAAATATTTTAAAATAAATTAATTTAAATTAAATAAATAAATAAATGATTATTTAATAATTAACATACTTGTAACAATGGCAACTCTAAATGATAAAGTTTGAAGAAATAAAGCCATTATATTACTTAATAATAATACCCAAATTAAAGCAAACCCAAATCTTGATCCACCTTCTAAATCAGTTGCCCAATTACCTGGGTCCATATAACCAACACTTACAAAGAAGCATGGTCCTAAATATGCTTTTAATTTTTTAAAACTAAATCCTTCCCTACAAACAAACAAACACAAATAAATAAATAGAATTAATGAACGAACAATAATATTTTGTTTTTTTTTTTTATTCTTTATTGTTGTTACATACTCGTGTGGAATATCAACAGTATTTTCAGTATCACCTTCATCAATACCAGTTGAATTGGCTCCATCTTGACTTTTACATAACCTCGATGGTGACAATAGTGATTGTTTTGATTCATCTTCAATGTCTACTATTTGTTGTGGTTGATGATCCATTGATGATTGATGAATATTTAAATCGATCATTTCAAACTCTTTTTGATGGTGACGATGACAATCATCATCATTATTACTATGATTGATAGACTTTGAAAATATTTTTCCATCCTCTTGTTCTTCTATATCATCGTCATCATCTTGTCCATTTTCATTTAATCTCTCTTGTTGGTGTTGTTGTATTTGTTGATCTGTTGTCATACTACTACTATTATCTATCATAATATATTATGCTAATAGTTTAGTTTAATGATTGATGGATGAAAAGATGAAAAGATGGAAAATGGAATGAGTAATGAGAGAATCAGATGGTTGTCTGTCTGTCTTTACACTCTCCCAAAAAGAAAAGATATAATAATAATATTATTATTATTATTATTTTAAAAGTGGGTGTGAGAGGAGGGGGTATGGTATGTTGATCTTGATCCATGGTAAGTGGGATGTGAGAGGGGGGTGGGGGATTGTATGATTTGATTGAATGTTAATTTTTTAAAATTGAAATGGAGTGGTGCATTGAAGAATTTGGTGAAGATTGGTCCAATAATTGATCATCTTCCTTTTTACATGACGGTTGGACAAGTTGTAATTGTAGTTGTTGTTGTTGTTGTATCTTTGATTCATAACCAATTTGACTGTACCAAATGACACCGATAACTGCTACGGCACAGCCAATGGCATTGAGGAACCCAACTTCATTGCGAAAGACGACAATGGAGATGGAGATGGAGAGGATGACCTTGAGGTTCCCAGACACGGTATAGGTGAGTGCCGACGTGTACTTGATGACAAAGAATGTGCAAATGTTGAGTAGAAAGGCGATTGAACCAGACACCAAGAGCACGCACACTAGGGATACGAGAGACTGCTCGTAACGGTAGGCTAACCACTCGACCATATCCTGCATTTCGAATGCAATACTGCACGGCACGAGAAAGACTGCACTCCATGGGGTCATGTGGTAGAGCAAGTTGATAGGGTTGATTAGACGCTGTTGGAGGGTGATCCCCGACACGATGGCAAACAGAGCGGTGACTACCGACGACAAAAGAGCTGCGTAAAACCCGATATGGTTGTAATTGGCCTCGCTGAGACTAGCCAAGGCCACACCACCGACAATCGGACCCATTGAGAGGTATGTTGATTTGGAAAACTGCTTGCGATAGTAACAAGCCTGGATAGCCACTGTAAAGAGTGGTACACTCGCTTTGATAGTTTGCATAAATGAGACGGGTACGAATCTCAACGACACATTACCCAATGCAATATTAGCAGCAAATAACAGTGCCAGTGGAAGTATCTTGTTGAGTTGTTCGTTAAACTCGATCCTGTCAAATGATGCTCGAGATGCTGCATCGCTCGTATCAATCAAATAATGACTGAAATGTTTCAATACTGTACGTGCACCCAACCAACACACAAACATGTGTATGGCAGTAAGTGTGAACGGATAGGTAAAGTTGTATGTTGCAAAGATGTATTTGTTGAGTATCAATGTACTAATATTCATTATGAACCATAGTACCAATGATATCATTGATAACTTTTTAATACTATATGATGATGTCATCCTCCTCTCTATCTATCTCTTTCTCTATCTATCTATATCTCTATATATGCATGTTTATGTTTTCAATCTACACAATGATTCAATTTCAACCAAGTTGATTATATTAGTCGCGAAAGGCCAGCCACGGGTTAGGGTAAGCTCGCAACGAAAAGAAAAACGAACTTTTCAACAACAGTGCCGACTCGAACTCTGGTTGTGGGGGTTGTTTGATCAACAGATTTTTCGATAATATCTTTTTTTTCGAAACACTGGTTGTGTGATCTATCTTTTACAAAAGTTGATAACTTGAGAGGATGAAAACAACACTGTAACAGAAAGATCGGGATAAGTATCACTGTCTGTATCTTTTATAACTTTGGGTGGTATCCCATTTTGAGTTCTCTGCCTCTTTGTTCAGAGACTTTGCGGACTCATACCACTCACACATCCCTTCGTTGTCAGGAACGAGTGGCGGGGCTTTTGATAATTTATATTTTTTTTATAATTAGTTGTTGTGCAATTGGAGGAGAACGAACAGACAACAGTGTCGGAGGTAGCGTAAATTTGCTTTTTATCATTACCATTACATCATCATCATCAGATAGATAGATAGGTAGAAAGATAGAGATATTAGTAATAATAATAATAATGTCTTTTAAAAGAATCAACTTTGTTTTCGTTTTGGTTGTCTTGGTCGTCATCATGATGACAACTGTTCAAGCAACTAATACTCCTACTGTGACTACTTTTGTGAAAGCATCTACATCACACCAACTCAGCAGATCAATGAACAACATTATCGAGAAACAACCAAACGTACAATGTCAAGACGGTAGTTTTTGTCCGGCTGGCAACACATGTTGTCCATCTGCCAATGCAGGTTACTCTTGTTGTCCAGCAAACAATGCCGTTTGTTGTAAAGATCTCCAACATTGCTGTCCACAAAACTTTTCTTGTTGTAAGTTATATATATAACTTGATAATAATATTAATAATAATTATATAAATATATTCCGACTTATTACTAATCTATATTTTTTTTTGGTTATTATTAACAAAAGCGAGTGGAGGTAAAATATGTATTCCAAATAGTAGATGGATTACATCTGAAAATTAAATCACCAAAATAACTACAACTATAACAACTACAACAAATAATAATAATAATGATTGCCATTTAAACTATTTTAACGATATCACAAAGTCTTGGCGGCAATCCAATCCAATCCAATTACCCTTCCTCCTCCACCTCTTCCTCTTCCTTCTTCCAACCTATTTATAACGACAATGATAATATACATGGTATATTTATAGATATACCATGGTAAATATTGATTATCGTGGGTTACCTACCTACAACCGATCGCAAATTATGTATATATATGATTTGTTTATATGTAATAAACATAAAGTATATACTCCTTTTGCAAGAGTGTGTTTTTCTTCCCAACAAATAATAATAATAATAATATAGATTCCAATTGATTGACTGATTGATGATTTTTGATTGTTCGTTTCGAATCCATCTATCTATCTACCAATCTACTGATCCATCTAATCCTTTTTTTTTTTTGGGTTTTATAAAGGTTATATGAGAGTTTATGTATTGTACTTTACTTATTATTGGTTATTCGTTATAAGTTATTGTTGTTGTCGAGGGTTGAGGAGGGTTAATGTGCATGTTGATTGTTGTTTAAATAATAATACTATATTGTTATCCTAAATCGTTTATTCAGAGATACCCTTGGCTTGTCTTTGAGCATAGACATCCTTCCAGATTTTCTGTTACGATGTTAATATGATTGTTAGATGAATGGTCGTTAGTTTCAAGTTTCGCGTTGTTTTGTCATGACTATTGTTGCTGCTCTGTTGTTGTCTGTGCTGTTTTCTGTTGCTACTGTTATGTTGTTATGTCATATAGTCTAATATATTATACATACACCGCTGTTGGCACTGGCAAAGGCAACATCGACTACACCATGAACAGATTGTTCGAAAACAAAACCGGTAATGATGGCGGCAGTGATAAAGGTAGAGTTTCTAGAAAAGACAGTCTTGTATAAGAATCCGGTAAAGTTGCTCATCTCTTGTTGTTGTTGTTGTTGTTGTGTATATATGCAATATAATATAAATTAGTGCTATCTCATGATGATACTTTTGCGTCTCATAGTTGCTGATCAGCAACACGAAAAAAAAATTTAAAAAAAATTAAAAAAAAAAACAAATTAAATTTAATATGAGGGACAGCTTGCAAATTCTCTGTGTTTGTATTAATTATATTATTACATTGCTACAAATAGAATAGAATAGTTAATCACAATAAATAAATAATAGAAAATGGTGAGTGTATTATTACTACTTATACTCAGAGATTACTACATGATTCACATCACTTACACTTTCAATACATTTATTATAATAGGCAGCACGGTTAATGAAAGAGTACAAAGTATTACAGAATGAAACATTTGAAGATATATTATTATTCCCAAAGGATGAATCAGACTTGTATCAATGGTGTGCTGTTATAAAGGGTCCACCAGATACACCATATGAAGGTGGTAACTTTGAACTCTCTATTCAAGTACCTTCAAACTATCCTCTTCAACCTCCAACCGTTAAATTTATCACTAAAGTATTCCATCCAAATATTCATTTCAAGGTAAGTGATATAATATAATATTACTCATAAAGAGAACTTAAACATGAACATAACACACTAACTAATCACTCACTCTCTTTCTTTTCCATTAACCGTGAATTTATCTACTTTTTGATTTGGAATTTAATTGGTATTATTTAATCGGTATTATAATATTGATTGAATGGATCATATATATTATATATAATATTATATATATTTAGACAGGAGAAATTTGTTTGGATTTATTAAAAACTTCATGGTCAGCTGTTTATACATTACAGTCTGTTTGTAGATCTATTATTGCACTTTTGGCACATCCAGAGGCTGACAGTCCACTTAATTGCGATGCTGGTAATTTAATTAGAAATGGAGATCAAAAAGGACATGATTCTCTTGCAAAAATGTACACTAGAATTTATTCTTAAACAACAACAACAAATCAAATAATAATCACAATAATACTTCACCTACCCTTTTTTTTTTTTTTTTTGGATGTACGCAACAACCCATATTTGTAAATAAACAGGCCCTCTAACGAGAAGAAAAATAATAATATAAAACCAAAATATCCATATGTATGTATGTATGGACAACGTTGATTAAAACATAGCAATCAAAGTCGAATATATTTTTTTTCTGTAAAATTATTTATAAAAAGAGAGAGAGAGGAATAAAACTTAAAAAATCAATCTAAAACCATGTTGGGTGATTGTATTTTTAATCCCATCTTGGTTGTAATTTGGAAACCATAAGCCAGGAATTGATTTTTTAGTTTGAACAAAAAAAAAAAAGAAAAAAGTATCCCCAAAAAAATTGAACAAAACACATAAATTACTTCATCCTTTTCATTCTTATTATTATATTACTTTACTTACTGTTTTATCTTTGTACATAGATTATATACATCTTTCTCTCCCATTTATTCAACAATACATTACTTGCAATTATTCAATTGCTTTATATATATATATACATAATATTATAACTTATCGATTCATCACTCATACAATTCAATTGAGAATTAATCTATCCATCCATCACCAACCTATTCACACACAATAATACAACTGTATTGTTTGTACATATATCTATCATCATATCATATCATATCATATACCCTTTTAACATACAGAAGCATAACAACAACATACTTGTTTGACAGTACTACGACTCTCTAGACCAATAACTTATTACTATCACTCATTCATTCAATTCATTCATTTGTTCCCCTTTTTTTTTCTACTATTAAATAATAGTTATTTATTATTCAAAGAGATGGATTCAATACAATTAATTGTTTCACCTCATCCCTTACTTTTATTAAGATTGTTGGGACAGGCAGGAATCCTGGGCGAAGATCAAGACAACACACATTACCTCCCGTTTGTCGAACAGATGAAGGCATGCAAGTCAAAGCTAGAGAGTTTCAACAAGGACATGACCAAGTACAGAAAGACGGGTGAACTGCTTGGCGAGATGAACAGAGAGTTGCAGTACATGGAGCACGACACCAACATTACCGACTCACTTGGCCACATTACAACACTCAACCAAAAGTTGGCACAGCAAATCGAGCTGCTCGAGCCATTGATCAAGTCACAAATCGAACGTATCAACTCACTCTCTCATTATATATGTCCTCCTACCGAAGAATTGTTTAGAAAGCGTGTACTCGATATATTAGAGAAATCACCCAAGGAAAAGTTGGCAGCCAATGCAACTAGAAACACTTGCGTTATCTGTCTAGAGAATCCCGCCAATGTTTTGATCAAGAGAACTTGTACAGTATCTTCTCATAATCATCATAGTGAAGCGGCTAGAGAGAATTCTTCTACATCCTCTACTACTTCGACCACCTCTACTAGATCCTCTTCTAGATCTTCCAGAGGATCGTCGTCATCATCATCGTCGTCATCATCATCGTCGTCGTCATCTTCATCGTCGTCATCAAGAAAGAGAATTGTATGTGATAGTGAAACATGTCGTTGTGGGTCTACCATGTGTGTAGATTGTATTATAAAACATTATTGGATATCCAGTAAACAAGCAACCAAATCATTCTGTAAATGTTGTTGTTGTAGAGCAGAGTTTTGTTTAAAGGATATATTCTATGTAGAGTATGAAGATGATGGAAGTAATAGTAATAGTAATAGTACTAGTACTTCCTCTACCTCTACAACCACTACCACTTCCAACAACAAAAAGAGAAAGGAAACTGAAGATCCTGAACCACTCGAATCAAAACCACATAGAGACCATAAAGCACTTAAACCAACACCACCGACTAGTCAATCAAATACATCCTCCTCCTCGACCAATTCAAGAAGATCAAATACCCATCATCAAACCATTACTCCAAACACAACAACTACAACCATAACAACAACTCGATCATCACCAAATGTAAATAGAAATAACAATACTACCACAACTACCACTACCGTCGCAAATAATGGTAATGTTGGTATTAATATTAGAGATTTGTTAAGAATTGGACTACTTCATCGTAACAGTAGACAAGGAAGACCAAATAGTGAAGAGATTGATGAAAGAGATATTATCGATGTTGACAAGGAAGATGATGAAGCACAAGAGGAAAGACAAGAAGAAGAAGAAGAGGAAGAGGAGGAGGAAGAAGAGGAGGAACAAGAGGAAGAAGAAGAAGAAGAAGAAGAACAAGAGGACTCAGAGGAAGAGGTTAGTGCCTGTCCTCGCCACACTAAAAAGAAGAAAAAGGCAAGTCGTCGTAGAAACCAAGATCGTTATCATCATCATCATCATCACCATGAAGATCAAGACGACGATGATGATAGTGATGGTGGAGACAACAACAACGATGCTACCTTTAACTGGCAACTATTCCCACGTTTCATTTTTGGATCAAGATAACCCAAACAATAACAATAACAACAACAATAATATAATATAATATTATTCACCAAGTTTGCCACATACATCCAGAGTAATTATTAATAATAATAATAAAAAAGGAAGAGGCTCTTTTTCTTCTTTTAGTTGTATAAATATGTGTTTTGTTGTAATATTCAAGATCTTTATTTTTGGGGGAATTCAAGAAAAAATGGATGAACATTAAATTCTGATAATTATTTGGGGGGTGACGATATTTTCTTCACAAACAAAAACTTCAAGAAGAAGAATAAACATACCTATTTTGTTTATTTGTATTTTGTGTGTGTGTGTGTGTGTGTTGGTAGATGTAATAATAATGTCAAAGAAGAATGGATCAAGAAAAAGAAGAAGAAGAACAACAAAAATGTTCACTCTATAGCGATAATAATAGTATTATTAGTAGTACAAGTACAAATCAATCAACTCAAACAGATAGTAGTAGTAATAATAATAATAATACACTAGATACATTTAACGAATTATATAAAAAAGATTTATTTGAGATCTGTCAAATTAATTCTATTATGACAACAGGAAGAGAAACTAAAAATATATTGTTGGACAAGATAAAGTCATCACCAAAAAAGATATCAAGAGAGAATAGTAGAGTTGGATCATTTATATCAATTACTGCAAAAGATGTTGGTGTAAAGGATGGAAATGAAGCATCGTTACCTTGGCCTATAGTATTCAAGATTATTGGAATGGCATGGTACTCTATTGAAATTTGTACTTGTATTCATAGACAAGATAATCATGGGAAATTAATATTAGTATCAGAATCGATATGTCCATTACACAAATACATGGAAGAAAATGATTGTTTGCAATCTTTTAATTTCGATTCATTTATGGATACTAGAAAGTTTAATGGTGTGGATTCATACATTTGGCGGTTAGAGTTGGCATTGGTATCTAAAAAAGTATTCTATTTGGTTTCAACATCGCTCCTAAACAACATATCAATGAAACCAGAGGATAGTTATTGGAGACATATTCAAAAAGACTCTTGTCTGATTAAAAATATATCGACTCTTGTGGTACTACAAAGTCTATCTCAAAAGAAACTATTTAATCGTGACATAGACTTGACATGTCGAACCTTTGGTCAAGTTGAAAAGATTTACATTAAAGGATTGTATTTGGTGGAGAATCCATCAAACATTTATCAATTGTCTTTGGCAATGCCAAATCTTTCTAAAATAGTTTGTTATAGCCCTTTGAATGGTAACACTATCAAGTCAATACTATCAAATTTTAAAAATATAACATCGATCAACTTTGCATGGTCACCATCTGATTTGTCAGTAGGAGATGCATCATCTTTGCTCACATCAATTGGATTTACAAAGTTGTTTGATCCAAACAATAACCAACAACTCATCAAGATCATGACACCCATCATGGATATAAGTTATCACAGACTACACCAAAATATTAAATCGAATCTTCAAGTAATCAAAGCAGATTATTATTATAGTGATAAACGAGGAGACGATGGAGAATTAATACCAATTTATGAAGAATTTAAAATAGAAGAGTTTCCAAAACTAAGACATATTCATCTTTCAATACCTCGTATTCGACCATTTACATTTATCGTACCAAAGACGGTAACCAAAATAACATTGTACACTGTACCAAGTACCGAACAATTATCATCATTGTTTTTAGATAATCCATCAATCAATACAATCAGATTTAGGGATATTGCCAATTATCGGTGTGTATTACCATCACTTTACAATAGCGAAAAAAAGGCTATCCAACTATCTGAAATTTTAAAATTGGATTGGCGATCTTGTAAATCCATTTCAACCATTATAATAGATTCTTTGGTTGATATTGTAGATGTTATAGTTGATCAATTCCATGAAAAAGGTTTTTATTATCGTGGATGTACAATTTCAAATATTTCTGGATTAAAACAATTAATCTTTACCAAATCAAATTTAAATTAACCATGGATCGACCTACATACCTAAAAATTAAATAAAATAAAATAAAATAAAATAATTTTAATATCAAAGATACAATATATATATATAGTTTTGTAGAGTATATTTGGATTGTTAAAACTTTTATTAAAACTAACTATTTTGTTTTGTTTTTAAATTTTAACGACCTCCAACAGGTGCACTATACTGACCTCTCTTTTTAGCAGAAGCATCTTTTTGATTATGCTTTTTGTGAGCTTGTTGGTATGCTTTGGTACCTGGTCTGGCACCTGGTTTGGCACCTCCTTGTTTTGGTTGTTTGACAATGAGTGATTCATTGTTTTTACTATATTCTTCTTCGTCACTGCTACTGTCATGCAATGCTTCTCCATCTTGAACAGATACTCCCAAAAATACTTCCAATGAATCGTCATATTCATCTTCATACATCATATTTTCATAGTTTTTGATAAAGTTTTTGTTGGTTTGAATATTGGCTTGATCGTTACTATATGATTTCTTTCCAACATGCATTTCATAAACTTGTTTGGTCAAATTATCAACTTGTTGATTTGTAGAAGTGGTTGATGATGATGATGATGGAGCTGATCTAGTTGTACTCGTAGAAGTTGTAGAAGTGGTTGATGTGAGTACAGGGGAAGGAGCTGGTCTAGTTGGACTAGTTGTAGTTGATTGAATAGTAGAAAGTGATCTATCAATTAAATTTAGATTTGAAGGTAAATTATCTTCAAGTAGTGAATTGATGGTAGTTTCAACATTTCCTCCAAAATGTTTTAAACAAGCATAAACAAATCCATCTCCATATGATGAAAAAATATCCTTGATTGATTGAATATCCTGTTTTTCCTTTTCTGAAAGTGTTTGTTGTTGTTGTGGAACTCTTTGTTGTGGTTGTTCTACTTGTAATTTTGGTTTAATCAATTCTTTACCCATTGATTTTAATATTAATGATAATCTATTTGTATCACTACAATATATATATATAATAAATAATATTGTTAGTTTCTTTCTTTCTTTTTTTTGTTTTTTCTATTACATTTTAGAATTTAATTTAAATAAATAATTAAGTTTAGTAGAGATATTAAACTTTTTATCTAAATCTAATAAAATATGAACGGTTGCTAGAGTATCAAATTGATCGACGATTGATTTTGATTGTTTTTCCTTGTTGAGGACGTGTTGAAGGTTTAGAGATTCGTAAAACTCTAGAGTATCGTTGGATAGTTGTTCAATGGTGGGACGCTTTTTACAAATGTTACAAGGTTCACTGACGAGCATGTTGTACTGGTCAATCTTGACGAGATGGAGATGCTTGGTGATCGAGAATATAATACCGAGGATGTGTTGGTTGATGGTGGCAATTGCCTCTTGGGCATGGGTACCAACCAACCCCGGTACATTGTTGTACATCAATGGTAGGAACATTTGGTAGAAATACACAAGAGTGTAATGGGCTCTGTTTTGGAAAAAGGCGTGTGTGCCATATGGATGGATTCTGAGGAAACTGTCAATTGAAAAGACAACATCCAGCACAAAACGTAGACTGTCTTCAACCTTGATAAGGTCAATATGGTTGTGTTGGATGACCGATAGATTGAGATCAGTCAGTGACTGGAGGATAGCAGGGACAGCCTCGAGTTGGAGATGGCTGTAGAGCTTGGGTTGAATGTCAAACACTCGGTTGACAAGATCGACCACCTCTGTCTTGCACGATGGTCCAAATACGGCACAAATGTCAAACAATTTGGCTACATCAAATATTCTATACTTTGCAATCAAATCGGCAAAGTAGTATTTGCCAATATAATCACCAGATGTCTTTTCCTGTTGTGTAGACAACCGTACAATCACAGAGAATGCACGTTTCAATAACATTCTTTTAGATTCCATGAAATCTTTTGATGGTACACCAAGAGTGCTTGGGGATGAGGATATTTTTGAACAAAGATCTATTTTTGGATAGGATCGATTGATGTATCGAAGAAACGAGTCTACAAACTCTAGCAATGATGGATTATATACAACGTGTGACCAAAATACATGATACTTTGTCTTTAGCAATTGCGACAAATCATTGTTGTGAAATAACAAGACTTCATCACCCTGAACATTGTCGACGTTGCTATTGTCCAATGGTAGAAATGGCATAAATTTGATTGAATGCTTTGTCAACCAATATTCATTGAGATCTGCCTTCTTTTCATAATGTCCCAAACTATTCTTTACCAAAGAGTATGATTCTTCTATTCCCTTGTTTTCAATCGATTTCTTTTGTTCAAAATCTTGATACTCTTTTTCTTTTTCATTTACTATTACTCCTTGTGATTTATCATTTTTTGTAGAAGTAGATGATGATGATGATGTATTACTACTATTATTCTTTCTTTGATTTGGTTGTTGTTGTTGATTTCTATTTTGTTGTTGTTTCTGTTGTTGTTGACTCATTGCTACTACTATCTTCTATCTATGTTGTTGTTTCTGTTTGTTATCTTCTTCTTCTTCTTCTTATCTACTTGTTATCTGTTATCTGTTATCTACTTTGTTATTTATTTATTTGTTATTGTTGTTGTTAATGGGTAGTCCAAAGAATGAAAGAACCAAATGAAAAAACTAAAGTAGGTAAGATCATGCATCTGAGTGAGCTCACATTTTGGTAAAAACCAAAGAATAGTATGAAATATCAAAAAATATTAAAGACAAGTACTTGATCCTTGGATTATTAACTGTACATTATACATTATATATAAATTTATTATTATTATTTTAATAAACTTTTTTCTACTTCTTTTATACCACCATACTACTTTATCAATTTATAAGATGGATTAGTATCACCTCTGATTAAATTTGAATTTTCATCACCATTATTAATATTATTAATATTATTATTATTATTGGAATGGTGATTATTATTATGATGATTATTTGATGAAATTGATCTTAACAATTTCTTTGGTGATAAACTCCAGCCGTGAGATGATGATTTTGTATTGGTATTGTTATTTTGATGTTGTTGTTGTTGTTGTTGTTGTTGGTGTAGTCCTCCAGAGATGGTCGGTGTTGTAAAAGTTGAAGATGTTGAAGTTGTAGAAGTTGATTTCCAATATTCATATTGTCTAATATCTTCTAATATTTCTTGATCTGTTATATTATCATTTTGTTTGGTAGTTTTAGAATGATTATTGAAATATCTTCCTGAAGAAGAAGAAGAAGTGGGTGGTTTCAATTTTAATGATTCTTTGAGTGGATTAGTAGTATTATTATTATTGGTGTTGGTGTTGTTACCAATACTATTATTTGATTTCGACAAAGATGAGTTTGACGAATAAGGTGAACCCAATGGTGTAGATGAAATGTCAGGTGAACTAGACACCTTTTCCGCATAGGCTGCAGCTGCAGAAGAAGAGTCTGGTGAAATACCAAGTTTTTGGTAACCTTTGGGTGACTTTAAATTCTCTTGGAAAGAAATGGATTTTTGAAGAATCTTATTACTCATTGATATTTTTTTGGTGCCTGTCGATGATGATGATGTTGTAGTTGGAGGAGGGGGTGTTGTCATACTCGATGAAGATAATTTACTCATATAATTAGAGGATGAGTTGGATTTAATGTTTGAATTTGAATTTGAATAACTGCTACAACTGCTACTGCTAATATTGCTTGTAGTGGTTGTAGTTGACGATAGTGAAGAGGATGATATGGATGATGAAATGGAAGATGATGAACTTTGCTTACTAAATTGTTTAAATCCAATATCAGATTGACTATTTTTAAATGAGATGTTTGATGATGATGATGTTGTTGTTGGATGAGTATGAGTGTCGGACACGGCAGAAGAAGATGTCTCCTCGATAATATGATTAGTTGGTGTATGTGATGATTTTCTCAATGCAGATTTTGGCAAAGTCATAGACATCTCTTTAGTGTCGGATGGAGGTGAATAGGAACGTACCAATCCTCTCTTTTTAAATGGTGTATGACTACTGCTGCTACTGCTACTGCTACCGCTGCTGCTACCAGCATCACTCATCGTTGTCGTGCTACCACTACTATTATTTTTAAAGTTGAAATTATTGGAGCATGTTGGTGTTGGTGGTAATTGAACAGACAAGTCTTGATTAAACTCCATAAATTCCTTGGGTGGCATCGATTTTGATTTCCATAATTTCTTTTTTTGAATTTTTGGTTGTGTTGGTAAATTGGATTGTGATAGTCTAATAAATAAATCAATACATAATTAGTATCATACATAATCGAATTAATTTAATATATATATATGTATTCATACCTCTTTTTTAATTGTTTTTTTGGATTTACTCTATACTCGCTACTTTCTTGAATATCATTTTTAGCATTTTTTGGAGTATTTGGATTCGATGATTTTTTGTTATAATAGTTGGGAGTGGCAGTATCTATATTGTTATCTTCATCATAAATACTATTATTATTTTGATTATTATTATTTCGATTATTGTATTTTTGTAAATCCTCTTTTGTAAATGGTTGGATCACTATCCATAATCTATAGAGATTAGAAATTATAATATATATAACATAATATTAATAATAATAATAATAATAATAATAATAATAATAATAAATAATAATAATAATAATAATAATGATAAGAATTAATTCTTTTTTTTTTTTTTTTGGTTGGTTGGTTGTTATTGATTGTTTACTTACCCAAGTCTCTTGATAAAAATACATCTGTTTGGAAATGTTTTTGGTGTGTATATGACCAACGCTCGCATTTCATTTATGTTGATCTTTCGTTTCGAAAATATAAAAATAGATTGATTGATTGAATTGAATGAATGATTAGTATTAAATATTTAAAATTACGATCGTCATGGAAATGAATGATTGATGTCCAAAAAATATTGAGATAAATAAATAGATAGATAGATTATTAATGATCCTGGATGGATGGATGGGTGTCGGGTGGATGGGTGTGTATAGTACTATAAATAAATAAATTAAAAGATAGATGGATGGATGGAAATAGATTGTGGGATGAATCTAGATAAATATATATATATAGGATAATTTATATATATATTTGGACAATCGATTGTTTGACAACAAGAAGATAATTTAACAAAAATAACCAAACAAATGAAAAAACAACAACGAAATTAATTATGGCTATTGTTGTTGTTGTTGTTGTTGGATCACACACACACTTGGACAAAACAAACAATAATGAATGAAGAAGAAAGGATATTATGAAGAAATTAAATTATTATGTGTAACAAAAATATTACGAACATGTATATACTGAATTGTATTATTTTTAATATCACATCACATCACATCGCATCGTATTGTATGCGTGCGTACTTACTGGTTTGTTTTTTCCTTCATTCATTCAATTTTTTTTTAACACTCTTGTTGTTGTCCATGGAGACACTTGTTGTTTTAAAACAACAATTGCGATATGCATATAACTACTATACGCTATTGATGTGTGGTGAGTGGTCAATGTGAATGAAGGGAGGATTGATGGTTGATTTGTGTGACAGACACTCATGTAGGATAAGCATGGGAAGGGATGGTGGTGCGAGTTAACAAGATCTAGATCACTAGATTAAAACAACAACATCAACCCCTTTATCCTCCTCATCCTACAGTTGATACTGACAAATAGTAGTACTAGGAGTAGAACAATAATATAATATAATATACTCCATCTCTCTCATCTCATCTGCTACTTTGTTCGCGCGCGCGCCGGTTAGGGTTATTCTAGTGATTCCTAATTTTGAGAGAGTTGAAAAAACAAATAAATGATGTCCATCAATCAACTTTACCCCATCCATCCATCATTGATAGGGGTAGGTGATGATCCGATCGATAGATATATAAATATATTTTGGTGTATATGTGTGTGTGTGTGAATAATAATGAGAGAGAGAGTCATGACAGGAAGTATTGACAAGGAAGGTAAAGGTTATAACCTTACCTTGCATTCCTGTCTTGTCTGTCACACACTAAAAAATAAATATTTATGAATGTGGAGTATGATTTGATTTGATGACTTGACGACGACGACGACGAAGACAATTGAATGATTGAATGACTGGATGATAGATTTGTCGATGACGAAAATAACAATAACAAATACAATTGTGTGTGTATAAGTGGAAGTGGTGTTTGTGGAGGATGTGGGTTGTGTGTCACAGTGACAATGAAATTGGATGGATTAAATTACAATAAAAAGATAGAGATGGAGGGGAGTGTATGTGTATGTGTATGTGGAGGGGGATGAAAGTGAGTGTATAACATTAATATGGAACAAACAACAATTTAATTTTGACAGACAGAGTTAACTTTATACATGTAATTATGAAGAATAATTATCCATCCATCCAAAACTACTACCTCTAAGTGATTTCCAAGTCAGTCCATCCTATACTTTGTGTTTGTTCAAAAGTAGAATAAAAGTAAATTCCTACTCTTTACCCAAAATTGTAAAATAACATAACAAAAAGATGGAATGGAATGAATGGAATGTAAATTCCATAGTCACATACAAATGCACTGAACAAGAACGAGGAGGAGAGGATGGATAATAATTTTCAAAGATAATATAAATCTTTAAAAATTTATAAATTATAATTTATAAACCGATATTTGTACAATAAATGAATGAATGAGGGTGTGGAAAGGAATGGAATGTATAATCTATAAATAAATATTTAATATCTTACCAAAAAGAGTGATACTATAGTGAAGTTCCTGTTTTGAGGAGGAGGCGAGGGAACAAACAAATATTATTATCTGTTCGAGTGATACTACTATCTCTTTATCTCTAGTTTAGAACAATATGACTATCCACAAACAAACACACTGTTTCATTTCATTCGACTCGAGTCACAAGAGAAGAGTGTGTGAAAGTGAAAGGTGGGTAAGTGGGGGGAAATCTATATATCTTGATATAGTTGTTTTGAATGTATGTCATTGCATTTCTATGGCGATTGTAACCAATGTATAATGTATAATACACATAAACAGCTATATTGGTGTATACGTACACCTGATGTAAAGAGTAAAACATCATCCAACTAATAGATAGAGACATACTAGTACAAGTAGTACTACTACATTCTATCTATATCCATTAATCTCTCTCTCTATCTATCCACACATCCATCCATCCGTACTATAGTATAGCTATACTATAGTATTATAGTCTACAAAGAGAAAGAATAGAATAGAATAGAATACTCTATAGTTGTAGTAATAGTATACTACTAGTTGTTGTAACCACCAATATATATGATTTCTATTTTGGTTTCATTCAATGTTCCTATCTAAGCTGTTTGAATGAAAGAAAGATCCAAGAGATGAACATAGATGAATAGATAGATAGATATACGGATTGTGATTGAATGGTCGCACTGTTTCAATTGGGAGCGAGGGTTAGATCTGATTTTAAAATTAAATTAAACTTTCGTCGGGTTCCCAAATCTGCAGACGAACGATCACACCTTTTGAGGCACCAACAGAGTGCGAATAGGGATTCATTCATGTAATCCCCTTTCACTATCTATCTGTTTGTTTATCTATATCTATTCATCAAGGGATGGTTGTCAATACTACTATTGTTAATCATTCATTCGAATACACCTATTATTCATATAATTGTAAAGTTACTATTACTACTACCAGCAAAGATGATAAATCATTTGTAACAGGGTATACAATTGAAACACCAAGATTGATCATTAGAAACATTCAAAATGATCTAAATGACAGATCACTTCACAATGCTCTATTCAAGGACAGTGAATCAATTAAAATGTTTGGTACTGGATATTTCAGTCAAGAACAAATAGATAATATGTTGGATCTTTGGTACAAGAGATTGGATTCTGGTATTCCTTATTTAGGTTTAATGGTTTTTGAAAAATGTGACCAAGAAACAACAACAAATCTGGACAGCGACTATAATAAATATGTTGGACATACTGGAATACCATTAAAAGTTGATACATCGGCATCGGATGGTGAATCAATTTTAACATTACCAATGGCTCAACTAGAATATACAATCTTGTTGAATAAAAAGTTTTGGGGCAAGGGTTATGGATCAGAGATATTCGTTGCAGTGGTTCATTGTTTGGGTCGTGCATTCATATCAATGGGATTAGATATAAAGACATCAATCTATGCATCTGCAAGAGTTGATAATCCAGCAAGCTACAAGATCTTGGAAAAGTTTGGAATGAAATTATTTGGCACTAAACATTTACATGGATTTACACGTAATCAATATTTATTAGAATTGTCAAATGATGATAGAATAGAATAGAATAGAATAGAATAATCCAAATAATAATAAACCGCTCTCTCTAATATTTATATATGTTACATTACATTAATTATTTACTTTACTTTACTTTAGTTTACTTTACTTTTTAGTTGGGTTTACCATAACCACCTCCACCAGGAGTTTGAATTCTAAATCGATCACCACTTTCAACGTTGATTGAATTTTTGGCACCGAGGTTAATGATTCTTCCTTGATTTCCACCTTTGATAATAAGGTTGATACCACGTTGAGCATTCTCTCCACCGAATAATCCACGTGGTTGGAATGAACGGCGTTCAGAGAGAATGCTGACTGAGAATGGCTTGAGGAATTCAATTTCTCTGGTGACTCCGTTACCTCCGCGATGGTGACCTTGTCCTCCGGATCCTTGACGGATAGAGAATTCTCGGACAATGACGGGATACCGTTTCTCCATTACTTCAATGTCGGTGGCTCTGGTGTTGGTCATGTGACATTGGACACTATCGCATCCCTGCCATGTGGGACCTGCGCCAGCACCACCTGCAATCGTTTCATAGTATCCAAGCTTTTCATCGCCAAATGTGAGGTTATTCATACATCCTTGTGAATTGGCACAGGCGCCAAACGCCGACAAGATAATATCGGTGATACGCTGTGACGTGAGTACATTGCCACCGACAACACCTACATGCTCGTCAGGGGATAATAGAGAGTTGTCGGGGATAATGATAGTGATGGGATCTAGACACCCCTGGTTGAGTGGAATGTCTCGTTTGACAAGACACCGCAGTGCATAGATAATGGCCGACTTGGTGATAGATTGAGGTGTGTTGGTGTTGCCGTGTACTTGTACGCCTGTGCCTGTAAAGTCAAAGATGGCAGTTCTTTCGGCACGGTCAATTGTCAGTGCGAGACGAATGGGTGATCCGTCATCCATATAGTCCTCGGCGACAAGTGTATCTTTGGATGCCATTCCACGCGACACTGATATCTCGGTCAACATGTCACGTACCGCCAACTCGGCATTCTTTTGTACATGTTTCATGTAGGCATGTACAACGTCCAGTCCATAACTGTTGATCAGCTCTTGCATCAATCTAATACCTTTGTTGTTGGCAGCGACCTGTGCCTTGAGATCTGATATATTGTCAGCCAGGTTTCTCGACTTGGCAAACAACTCTCTTATCTTGTCTTCTCTAAACTCACCTGCTTCGACTACTTTAAACGACTTTATCGCCACACCCTCCTCTTCGAGTGTCTTTGAAAAGGGCGGCATTGATCCAGGAGTGATGCCACCAATATCGGCATGATGACCTCTGCTAGCGACATAAAACACTGGACGTTCAGTATGGTTGGGTGCATAGACGGGCGTGATGACTGTCATGTCGGGGAGATGACTACCGCCAGCCTGTGGATGGTTGGTGAGGATGACGTCACCCTGCTTCCAGGCATCGCCAAGTGTCTCGATCTGGTAGGTGACAGCTGACCCGACCGACCCCAAATGCACAGGAATGTGCGGTGCGTTGGCAACCAGCTCGCCAAGCGGACTGAATATCGCACACGAGAAATCGAGACGTTCCTTGATATTGGTCGATGTTGAAGTACGTTGCAACGTCCTTCCCATCTGCTCTGCAATACTCATAAATCGATGTGAAAACACCGACAATGAGATGGGATCGAGTTCAGTGCCAATTTGACGTCCCTTGCCACCACCAATTTCAATCTCTACATTTCCATTGCCAGGTTGAATGGTTGCATTGCAATTTGGTTCGACTACAATCGTGCTAGTATTGTCTATAATGATGGCGGGACCTGTTATCTTGTCTCCACCCAACAATCGATCGAGGTGATAGACTGGAGTACGTGTACGTCCCAGACCTGTGAAATAGGCCATAGTCCAAGTAGACGGCTCTACCTTGTCATTATCAGTACCCAATCGCACTGAAATAGGTTTAAGAGTTGACCCAGTTGCCGACGCTCTAATTCTTACATCATCAACTATTAAATCACGACCTGTCAACAAGAATCCATACTCTCTCTTGTAATTCTCTTTAAATGTGTCTTCGTATGATTTGTCGGTGTTATTTGCAGCTACCATCATGGCAGTGTCAGTACCTGTGAATCTAAGGTTGAGATAACGTTCGATGGTGATTGTTTCTTTGGTATGTCCCTTTTCCGTTAGATCGGCGATAGCTTGTGCTTGGAGTACGTCCAATCGCTCGGCAAATGTTGGGAGGTTGGAAGAGGTGTATACGAGTGCGCTGGGTTCCTGCTTTTCAATGACAACGCTGGCCAGTCCAAGTCCGTACGCACTGAGAATACCCGAGAATCGGTGGATGAAGACTTTGGGCATACCAAGGTTGAGTGCGATGGCACAGGCGTGTTGTCCACCAGCACCGCCAAAGCAGGCAAGCACGTGGTTGGCGCAGTCGAATCCCTTGGCCTCTGTAATGTTTCGGATGGGACGACACATGGCTTCATTGGCAACACGGATGAATCCGTGTGCGACCTGATCCACCGACATGGGATCCAACCCATTCTCGCGTTGAAAGAGGTTGACTTGCTCGGACAACTGCTCAAACGCATGTTGTGACGCGGACAAGTCGAGTGGTTGGTCTTGTGTCTTGCCAAAGATCTTTGGGAAGAACTCGGGTAGCAGACGACCGAGCACGAGGTTGGCGTCGGTGATGGCCAGCTCGCCACCCTTGCGGTAGCATACTGGGCCGGGGTGCGCGCCGACTGACTCGGGACCGACGCTAAACAGCCCGCTCTTGAATGTCAGCTTGCTGCCTCCGCCGGCGGCCACCGTGGTGATGTCGAGTTGAGGTGCTTGGATTGCCAACCCCGAGATTTCAGTCTCAAACACGTGTTCGAGGTGTCCGTCATAACGACTGACATCTGTGCTCGTTCCACCCATATCAAACCCAATCACTGGGTGTGTGCCTGTATACGTGGTGCTGCCATACCCAACTACTCCGCCTGCCGGTCCAGAGAGAATCGATCTAAACCCACGGAACTGGTCAACTGGACACAAGCCGCCGTCCGACATCATAAACGACACTTCGACATCCCCAATACCGCTATCAAACCCACGCAGAAATTGTTTAATGTACTCTTCAATCTTTGGGGTGAGGTAGGCGTCGATGCAGGTGGTAATGCCACGCGGCACGACTTTGACCATTGGCATGAGTCGACTTGATATCGATACTTGTTGGAATCCAACCTCTCGACACACCTCTCCAACCATCTCTTCGTGACGTGGGAATATATATGAATGTACAAATACAATGGCGACACTGTTGATTCCCTTGTTTCGGTATACCTCCAAATCAGCTCGAATCTTTTCTCTATCCGGTGCTCTAATCACTTTAACCACATCGTTTGTTTGTCCAGACGTTGTCTCGATTGGGTCAATTGCCAGCTCCGATATAGATATACGTTCATCAACCTCCAACACATCTTCATAAATCAAAGATGGTTTCTTTATCTCCAAATCAAATATATTTGGTCTACTTTGATTTCCTAAACACATAAACACAATATTAATATTAATAAATATAATCCTCATCACCATATATATATATATATATAATCATACCAATTTGTAATAAATCTTTAAAACCTTTTGTAATGATCAATAATACTCTTTCACCTTTTCGTTCGAGTAATGCATTTGTACCTATTGTAGTACCCATTCTACAAAAAAGATTGAGAGATATAGAGAGTAAGTACTTTAGTCAAGATTTGTATTATTACTTTAATTTACATACCTAATTGATTTAATATACTTTGTTGATACATTATCTTTTGGTATTGATTCACCAGATAGACGTTCTATGATTCTACGTATACCCTCTCTTGGAGCATCATTGTAGTTTGATGGATCGACAGACAATAGCTTTTCAATCACATGGTATGGTGCAGTTGGCAACTCTGCATAAATATCTGTAAATGTTCCTCCTCTATCTATATTGAATTGTATAGAATGTTCTTGTAATGTTGTCATCCTATTTATATATTATATATATATATATATCTCTCTCTCTCTCTCTCTAATTTATTTATCTAATCTGAGGGAGTGCTATGATGTACAATTAATCATACAAGCAAAGAGGCAAGTTCATTTTGCTTGATTTTAATTAAAATTAATTAAAAATCTTCTAAATGAATGAGAAAAGTGTTGATCCTTGTTCGGTTTACTTTTTTGTTTAAACCAAACAAAATACTATAAATATATATATATATATATATTTATTTATATATACATTGATTAACAATATATTAACTCTTCAGTTTAGTTTTTAGTTTTGATCAATCAAACATACAGATACAAGAAGATGAGAAGTACGTACCTCAAATCTATCAATCTATCCTATATATTGTAGAAAGAAAAGAGAGAAACTCTTTGTTAACAAGTAAGCAAATAATATATGATTGATTCTTTATTTTAATATTGATGATTGATTTGTTAAAGTTGATCATTCAATTTAAATTCTCTCTTTTTTTTTTAGTATTCCTTTCATAAAGGATTCACAATCAAGAATATATGAGACATCTCCAATTCTCAAAAAAAGAATAAACTTCATTTGTAGTTAAAGCCATCGATCGAAGATATTTACCTGATGACGAGATCTTCATTTAATATGGGAAAGAATTTGAAGAAAACTGTAAAGAAGATTATCCAATCAATATCTTGATCACCAACAAACAAAATCAAGTCAGTGGTGTTCCAATCTACGTTGTAAGCATGTACCAACAAAAAGATAAATCGATCATTGATGAATCAACAGGCCTGATTTATCTTTTTGTTGGTCCAGGTTGGCTCCTCACCAGTACGATTATTTTTGTTCAAAAGGTATGTCCATATTCTTCTTCTTCTTCTTCTTCTTCTTCTATTCTATTTCATTATTAACTTCCTCGTCTTCCTCTTCAAAAGAATTTATTGTTTAAATAGCAAAGCCCTGTTGGACCAACTAAGCAACCACCACCACCACCACCAACACGTTTACAAAAATCCCTCATTTTAATTTCAATCGAATGGTATATATGTATATATATAATGTCAACCACCACAACAACAACATCAACAAAAGAAACAGAAGAGTTCAACTCCAACTAGTATCGGAATTGACACTCTCCAATGGCATATCATATCAAAGAGTCAGGCTTTGGAAAGATTGGATGAGCAAAAATGTTACAGGATATGCACTTATAGAGTGGACGTGCATGATAGATTTGATCGTCAAATAAAAGATGGTACCAACATTCTACTTGGAAATCTTTATGATGACCTCCAACAAAGTATCGGTCTTTGCAAATAGACAAATTAGACATTGATCGTCCGTCATCTATCATTCACCTTGAGGTGTATATTTGTTATCTCTAACCATCTATTTATTTTTTTCTTTTTCTTTTTCTTCTAGCACTAAACTTTAGTTGAAGAGAATTAATTAACAACTAGATACAAAGGAAAGACAGACGGAGAGACATTTTAACAAATCGATCAATGTATAGAATTATTTATTTATTTGTTAAATTAAATATTACAACTCGAGTTGACTCTACATGAAAACAGAACCGGCAAGGTTGCCCATTGGACGTGGATTTAAAGTGCTAATCATCCCAATGATTCTGTCAAGCTTTTCTAAAATCTTTTCTAAAAAGAATGAAATTGGCATTATTAAAATTATTAGTTTGAAGAGATATATAATTACACATCGTGTATCGGATAGTACTATCATTCTTACCTTGATTGCTAGCTTTTTGGAGATCTTGGGCAAATTCTCTTAGAACACCAGCAGCGTTTTGAAAAATAATATTTTGAGCTTCATCGGCATAACCATCTGTGATAAATTTGACACATGTCACCTTTTCTGTAGCGGTAAGATCGGAATCCCTATAACTATATCTACAGCTTCTTGTTGTTTGTCCAAGTCTATAGAAAGAAAAAAAAGAAAAGATGTATAACAGAGAGCAGTGGGTAGTGTGTCTTGGTTAATTATTTATTTATATTTAAGGCCTCTCTCGAGCTATCAATGTTTGATTTAACAACTTACATTTACTTTTTAATGTCATGTTGTATTTTGTTGTTGTAAAATAAATATTATTGTTCAAATAAATAAACTAATAAAAAGAAAGAAATATACTGATTAAAGAGGCCGAGGAGGAAGAACCCTAGAACACAAGCGTGTATTTTAATATCGATTTTTTAGGTGAACAGGACAAAAATCTTAAAAATACACGTGCATATGCCACTATTTTTTAATGCTAGGCAAAAATTATTTTTATTGTATTTGGGTCCTCTCAAAGCTCCATGGATGTCTGTCAACTCTATAAAGCACATCAATTGATTAGAACCATTTACATTTAAAGTTTCATTACATACATACAGATAGAACGTTTAGTTTATAAATTTATTTAGAACTCTATATCAATCGATCTAGTAAAGAAACCAAACAACAATGACAAGTATGTAATTGATTATAATCAATTTTAGATTTATATTTAAATTTGGATTCTGTATTTATTATATATATTTTTAAATTTTATAGAAAGTGAACAAGCTATCGAAATCATTAAAGAATCCAATCTTACCGCTAGAGAAAAGGTGGCATGTGTCAATTTTATCGGTCGAGACCAGTTTACTATTGAAAACAGTGCCCAGGTTGTTCTTAATCAAAACGCTGCTGGTGTACTTCGAGAATTTGCCCAAGATCTCGATAACTTTTTACTCCAAGGTAAGATTGACCCTCCTATTTCTTTCCTCTTCAATACATCTTGACTTTCAATACCCAAACCTCTTTTTTTTATATTCTTTAGAAAGACTATGTCAAATGGGTAAAACCTTTGAGGAGATACACAAATCCTATGCCAATCCAAATAGATCCGGGAATGATTATTTTATGTGTGGATAAAAGAAATTGTACATCAACCAATCAGTATATATATATATAATTTATTGTTATTATTACTATTGTAGAAAGGGAGAACCTTTTTATTAACAAGTAAACAAAAAATAAATGATTGATCTTCTCATTTTTTTAAAATTAGGACACTTTTGTTTTATTTTTTTATTTATTTTCTTTGGTCCTCTCAAAGCTCCATGACCTCTATAAAGCCCATCATGACTCACACAACGATTAGAATCATTTACATTTAAATTTTATTATATTTAGAACTCTGTATCAAACTAGTAAAGCAAAACAAACAGTAGTGATCACTTTGTTTGTTTGTTTGTTTGTTTGTTTTTTCTATATTACTTTTTTATATATTTATTTTTGAAAAAAGTGGATGTAAGATTATCTTATCTGTCTGTGATCGATCGACAACAACAACAACACATATTACAATTATTGTATAATATTATTTATATAATTTCTATCAAGTTGTTTTTTTTTTGATAAATGATTAATCACATCACTTGTTCGCGGCTGTCGTGGTGGTGGTAGCACTAGTACTAGTAGTAGAAGTAGAAGTAGTATTTGTATTTGGTTCTTTAGATACATTGTTATTATTATTATTTTCCAGAGTTGTTGAAGTTGGTTTAGTAGTGTTGGTGGCGGTAGAGGTAGAAGTTGTAGAAGTTGTTGTATTTTCATTTCCAGTTGCTGCTGCTGCAGCGGATGGGTTTTTACTGTTATCAATCTCCAATAATGACTTTTGACCTTCAATCTCGCGTAATACGCTATTGAAATCAAAGTTTTGTGGATTGTATGTGAATCTTTGCATGATATTAAACTTTCTATCATCCATTAAAAAGATTTGTGTTTGACTGTATAAATATTGTGCTTGAATTGTATTTAAAACTTCCCTATAAATTAAATAAATATTAATCAATCATGATTGATCGATCATCAATCATTATTTAGACATACAAATTTGGATCGGCTCTCATTAAAACAATTCCTTTGGAAGCCATTAAATCTGTGTAATGTGCAGCTGACAACCATGGGACAGCGTCAACATGATGTTTCTTGAATTGGTCCAAATAGGTATACATAAAATAGTCCTCTTGGTATTGATAAAGAATCGAAATGTATCCCTTGTCACCTGGCAATGGGAAAACAAACAATGGACTATATAATATAAAGATTGAAATAAAAGATTGTTATTATGATGTGAGATGTGATTATGATCGTACGATCACTATGTATCGTGCTTGTGTGGAGTGCCATACCATGCTTGAGCTCTCTTTTTTAAATTTAAATAGACATCGGCTGGAATGATGGCACAGATAGAATCCTTGTTTTCGTGATATTTGATCCATATTTCCTTGATTGTCTCGGGTGACTCCTTTTGCAAGAGGTCCAACTTGACAATCTCGTTTAGGGTGGGTGGGGGACCGACATATGGCTCAGGTTTGATACCAGGCTTGGTTGTGTAGAACTTGCAATCCTTTAGTGCAAGTGCACATTGTGATAAACGTGTTGTGCTCGATCCTCCTCCTTGTTGTTGTTGCTGCTGTTGTTGCTGACCTCCTTTACTGCCTGCATTTGTAATCTTTCTTCTTGACATTGATGATAATAACAAAGATGATTGATTGATACTATTGTTATTGTTGTTGATGTTGATGTTGTTACTCTTGATGTTGCTAATTAAACTGTTGTATAGGTTAATGTGGCTCTTTTTGGGTGTTGTTGCTGCTGTTGAAGCTACTACTATTCTATTGACCACACCAAATGATCTTGTTGCAAACATTACGAATGATGATGATTATCCTTGATGAGATTAGATTGCAGGATGATGATTGTAACAATATGATATATATATACAGAGTGGGTTAGGGTTCTGTCTGCCTGCCTCCTCTATCTATATCACACACACAACGATCAAACCAACCACACAAACTACTTTACAACCAAATACTAACTATCTAACTATCTTGAAGAAGATGAAGATGATATATATTGATAATGGGTATGCTGCTGCTCAACTTTCGCTTGATCAGATTCATCAGAAACAAACACCCACTCTCAGTCATGAATGAAAAAAATAAAAAAAACTTAAAAAAACTCCCTTCCCTCGCACCTCGCTCACCATCTCATTATTATCAAGAGAGCAGAGTAATAACAACAAACAAATAACAAATACAAATACAAATAATACTCATCATACTATTTACAAACAAGTTGATTAGTACTATACTACAGTACAGTACTATATCTACGTAGTTGAGATAGATGAGATGATAGATATAATGGACAGATTATTATGAGTCGATCTCGGGAAATAAATTTGTAGTTGGTGTATACATCAACTACTAACTAAGTTAGTTAGCCTGTGTGCCAAGGACAAGTGGGAGCCCCAATCTTTCTTTGATAGGTTTGATGGTGCATCATCAATAAACGAAACGAATAATTAACCGACCGAAAGAGGCATCTACAAAGGGTCGCGGCCCCAAGAGCTTTGAAAAACCGAACGTCAGTTTAATTTATTTAATTTATTTTTTTTTGACGCGAAAGTGTAACTTCCATCTCCTCACTTTGGCTCGCCCGAGCTGTATAACAACGATATCGCCGTCGATTCTCATTTTCTTCAACCCTTCCTCTTATTATTATTATTTTACTCTTTTTATTTAGCAAAAGCAAGAGATACATATTTAAAGGTATCTTTTCTCTAGTTTAAGCCTCTCTCTTTATTTATTATTTTTCATATCATAATTATAATAATCATCACAAAATATACTTTTCAAGGTAAGATCACATCACATCACATGATCATCTTATTATCACTATTTATTATTATCACAAACAACTATTAAACTCTATAGTTTCTACAACTTTTCTTTTTTAAATTAACAACAACCGACCACATTTGGGAATTTATTTTTTATTTTTTTTTGTCTATCTATATTTATAATAATGATTATTATTTAAAATAATAGCAGCGAGGTGGTGTCTAATTCAAGATCCTATAATCCTCTCTTTCTCTCTACCTACACTCTTGTTACACTTTATACACCCCACAAAATATGAAAACTACTCAGATTCCAATCAAAATAATCCGATGATTCATTCACTCTTTCATTCATTCATACAATGGAGTGTATGTAGTGAGAGCACACTTTTGAAATTAAATTATTTACCACACAACACGACGACTCTATTTATATGATGAGGGGTCTCCACCAATCATTCATTGAGATAATAACATACATACATATTTTACAAACACACAAACAAACAAACAAACAAACAATTATTTGTAGTAATATAGCATCAAGTAATAATAACAACAACAACAACAGATATATATATAACATATATAACATATTTATAATAATAATAATAATATCAATAGTATTCCATTGATATTTGTGATAACAACAAACAAACAATCTTCGCATTCATTATTTATTTTTAGACAAACCTTGGCAAGAATTTTCATTTTGTCATTAGCATCATCATACTTAATTATTAATATATTTTTGAAAAGTAGTAAACTATACATATATATTTAGAGTAATATAATATAATAATATTAGAATGGCACAAACTAGAAGATCAAAAATGATTGATGAGATTGATTCTCGTGCACCAGTAGCAGCAACGGTTGCTGATAGTGCCGATCAACTCACCACCATATACGACAGTGATACCTATGGTCTCAATGCCATGCGTGAGACATTGCCATCGCATTGCTACAAAAAGATCCGTGAGGTTATTTCAACGGGTCAAGCACTCGACCCGGCCATTGCAGACATGGTAGCCAACGGTATGAAGGAGTGGGCCATCAAGAAGGGTGCCACCCATTATACCCATTGGTTCCAACCACTCAACGGATTGGCCGCCGAGAAACACGACGCCTTTATCAGTATCTTCCCAGGAGACGACCGTCTCTTGCTCGAATTCTCTGGTATGCAATTGATCAAGGGTGAGCCCGATGCCTCATCGTTCCCATCAGGTGGTCTACGTAGCACCTGGGAAGCCCGTGGTTACACAGTGTGGGATCCAACCAGTCCCCCATTCATCAAGCGTGAAGTCAACGGTAGCATCCTCTGCATTCCAACCGCCTTTTGTTCATGGACTGGAGAAGCCCTCGATCAAAAGACCCCACTCCTTCGTAGTATGGACTATGTCTCTGACGCTGCCCTCGCCGTCCTCTCTTCCATCTTTGGTGAAAAACATAAAAAGGTTTTCCCAACCCTCGGTATTGAACAAGTATGCGAATCCTCAGTCAAAGACAAACAAACAAACATGTATATCTAACCTTTGTTATTTAATTTAGGAATTCTTTTTAATTGATAGACATTTCTATCTTTCAAGACCAGATTTAATTAATTGTGGTAGAACTTTGGTAGGAGCCAAGCCACCAAAGGGACAAGAGATGGAGGACCATTATTTCGGCTCTATGAATGCTAGAATTGTAGCTTGCATTCAAGAGGTAGAGTGGAGATGCTGGAAGTTGGGCATGCCGTTAAAGACGAGACATAATGAGGTTGCCCCAGGCCAATACGAGGTGGCACCCATTTTTGAGCGTGCCAACGTTGCCTCGGACCACAACATGTTGTTGATGGATATCCTAAAGTCGGTGGCTATCAAGCACGACTTGATCTGTTTGTTGCACGAGAAGCCATTCGCCGGTGTCAATGGGTCGGGCAAGCACAACAACTACTCGCTCGCCACTGATGGCGGTGTCAACCTTTTGGACCCGGGACTCACCCCATCGCAAAACGCACGTTTCATCTTGTTCTTGTCGGCCATTATCCGTGCCGTCGATTTACACGCTGATCTGTTGCGTGCATCCGTTGCCAACCCAGGCAATGAGCATAGACTCGGTGCCAACGAGGCGCCACCAGCCATCATCTCGATCTACCTCGGTCAAGAGTTGGACAAGGTTGTGCGTGATATTATCTCGTCCAACAAGACCACTTTGACCAGTCCACCCCAAAAGAGCGTCAACACGACCGCATCGACCACATCGACTACCGCCAACAACGAGGTCAACAACATGTGGTTGGGTGTCGACCAATTCCCACCACTCCCACGTGACTCGACCGATCGTAACCGTACCTCCCCATTCGCATTCACCGGTAACAAGTTTGAGTTCCGTGCAGTCGGTTCGTCGCAAGTCACCTCGTTCCCATGTATCATTCTCAACACCATTGTTGCCGAATCGCTCATTTATATCCGCAAGGAGATCGAAGCAGCCATTGCAGCCGGCACACCCGCCTCTGCATCCTACAACCAAGTCATCAAAAAGGTGTTGCAAACCCACGAGCGTATCATCTTTAACGGCGACGGTTACGGTCAAGAGTGGCGTGACATTGCCGCCAAGCGCGGCCTTCTCAACCTGCGTTCCACCCCCGAGGCCCTCAGCCTGCTCAACTCGGACAAGAACATCAAGCTCTTTGAGCAATCCAACAACATCTTGTCGCCTGTCGAGTTGGCATCGCGTCAACACATCCTCTACGAGTTTTACAGCAAGTCGATTGCCATCGAAGCCAAGTCCATGTACGACCTCGTCGCCACCTCGGTCCTGCCAGCCTGCTACAAGCACCAACGCAACGTCGCCGAGTCGCTCAACTCGATCATGCCATTCATCCAATCGCAACCCAACTTTAAGCAACCAACCGCCCAAATCAACAATCTCGGCGAGCTCATCGAGAGCATCAACCTCCTCTCGGAGCAAAACATCAAGCTCAACAACGCCATCAAGCACGCCACCTCGATCGAAAGCGACTGTGACCGTGCCACCCATCTCAACCAATCCGTCATCCCCATCATGAACGAAGTTCGTCGTTACAGTGATCACCTCGAAACCATCGTTGAAGATAGTCTTTGGCCACTTCCAAAGTATTCAGAAATTCTTTTCCTTCGTTAAACTAAGAATACATTATCAAATAATAATAATAATAATAATAGTAATAATAATTAATAATAATACGATGCACAGCCAAATACCATTTTTCCCCAACCAAAACCAAAACCAAAACCCCCTCCAAAAACAAAAATGCAGTAGTAATAATAATAATTACCAATTTATTTATTATTTATATAATATTATCCAAATCCTTCCAAAAACACAACAAACATTAATAAATCTAATTATTAGATAAATTTTAGATAAAAAAAAAATATAAAGATAGTTAGTGATCGTTGAGTCTAGATAGAGATAGATAGATCGATCGATAGTTATTTATATTGAGTCATAATGATGGTTAGCGGGATGTGATCACAACACAACATAACATTACCAATTTTGGGCATTACAAAAATCCGACGTTGAAAATCGGCAAACGTGGTCAAATGGATGATGCAATGAGAGCTGAGCTCCTCCAATTTGGATTTTTTGGCCCAAAAAACAGACCTGCACAACCGAATACACCTTATAGAAAATTAAAAGTAAAGAGCCTTTTCCGAACCTCGCCCATCTTCACATGGATTACATTCATTATTGTTCATTCATACATCATATTACTACACAATAGTTAATTAACTTTTAACTATCCCTACAAAACAACTACAACAACACGTACTTTTAAGTTTTGTTGTTGTCTTTACCATTTTTATTGGTGTGTATAAGTTTTCGGGAGAAAACGCCTAACGAGCAAAGAGAAAGAAAGTTTAAATTAAACAACCACCACCTTTCTCCTTCAACTCCCTCTTCCTTAGTTAGCTCAGTTCAATTTCAAAAAGACACAACTTTGTAGGAATAGGACTAAACATATATATATAATCTATATTTGTACAATTATAAACTATTATTAATATTAGTAGTAAAAAGTATTAGTAATAGTAACAACAACAATAGTAATAGTAATAATACACAAGTAATAGTAGTAGTAGTACAATACTTAACAGTTTACAATGTCATTACAATACTCAAAAGATGACATTGAAAGAGTCAATAATGGGGCATCATATAATCGATATACTCTAAATGATGAAGACGATGACTTGTTACCAAAACCAGCACATGGTTCACAAGTACACCCAGTTCAACCGAGCAACAAATATGCAATGTATATAAATCTGATGGTCCTGACCGTCTTTCTTCAAAGTATAGGTTTCACTGTGATGATGCCATCAATGTTTGATTATCTTAAATATGTATGTCAAAACCATAGATTATTAATGTACACTACTCATTCATTGTGTATACACAAGTATTAGCTTTTATACTTATTTCTATTTTGATTTTCAATTTTGTAGATAGATCCATCATTTGGACAATATAATGGATGGATTATAGCATGTTATAGTGCAGGACAATTCATAGCATCACCGTTGTTTGGATGGTGGTCTAATCGTAGACCGACACGTGAACCATTGGTCATTTCAATTGTCATTTCAATGATTGGTAATATTTTGTACGCTGTGTGCTATCTCTTTGGATCAAAGGCCGTCTTTATTATGGCTGTTGCCCGTTTTATCGTCGGGTTTGGTGCAGGTAACGTGTCGGTGTGTAGAGCATTTGCATCGGAAAAGTCTGATATCTCCAACAAGACAACTACGATGGGCAAGATGTCGGGTGCACAAGGTGTCGGTTTTGTACTCGGTCCAGGTATTGGGTTCTTGATGGCATACCTTCATGCTCAAAAGGGACAGTTCCTATTCAACCAATACACAGCACCCGCCTATTTATCGGTGGTTACTGCTGCATTTAACATTCTCATACTACTCATTAAATTTGATCCACCTCGTGAAGACAAGAAGAGTGCCGGCGAGGAAACCAAACCATTACTCGGAGGTGACGTTGAAGAGGACGGAGCATCGGTTGGCACACCCATTAAAAAGGCACATAACGAGACACTCCCCATCTTTGTATCAATCTATTTGTTTGCAGTGGTCATTTCAATCTTTGCAGTGTTTGAAACGATCCTCACCGAGATGACGGCCAAAGACTATAATTGGCAAGTCAAAGCAAACGGATTTATTTTGGGCGGTACTGGTATCTTGTCGGTGGCCGTCTTTATCATCATCGCTATGCCATTTATCAAAAAGATCGATGATCGAAAGACTGCCCTCTTTGGATTCTTGAGTCTTTTCATTGCACTCTTGTTGCTCGCCAACTATGGTGCACCCTTCCATTGGGAGAATTCACTTCCCAAGTGGCAGTTCTTCCTCGGCTCGGTGTTTGTCTCGATTGGCTACCCCATCGCCTCGTCACTCATCTATGCCATCTTTTCAAAGGTTCTCAACCCCAAGTTGCAAGGTACCAAGATGGGCTGGCTCACTGCCGGTGGCTCCTTGGCCCGTATGCTCGGACCCATCTGGGCACAATCCATTTGGAACTATAAAGCAGACACAAGCCCTACTCTTGGTGGAGAGGTCCTATTCTTTACCACTGCAGGTATTGCCCTATCTGGTTTCGTCGTCCTCTTGGCATTCTATCGAAAACTTTCACCTCATCCAGATTATGTTGTTCCCATCTTACAACAGAAACCACCAACCTCGACCCCAACAACTCCAACAACAACAGCTACCGAAACTTCTCATTAAAGACTATATCATTTATCACTTTTTTTCCCAATATACAATATATATATAATATATATAGAATACTTTTGTAAATTAGATGGAACATACTTGTTTAGGATTTTATGTGTCGTTGTCTTTAAATTTCCCTCTTTTTTTTTTTTTTTTAAAGTTGAAGATGACAATGATGATTCATTATTTGGTTGATTATTAAATAAGTTTTATATATATATAAATATAGAAGTATAGAATATAGAGTCGATTACACATATGTTAAGTTTGTTTGTTCATATAGGAATAGACAAATGAGTAATAGACAACGTGGTGGTAGTGTGATTACACCTCCGTCAAGAGGTGGAGGAGGTACAAGTACACCAAACACAGCAACACCAACCATCAACAAATACCAACAATATGGCTTTTTAGAGGATGACAATGATGTAGAGGACGATAGTTTCTTTCATCAAGACGAATCATTTGATACCAACCCAGACCCAAATACAACTGCAATCTATCAACAAACACCTGTCAAAAAGTTGAATGGTATTACTTCTCCTACTCCATTTAAACAAAGTACTACTGCTACTCCAAAACAACAACAACAACAACATCAACAACAACCATCATCATTATACTCTTCATCTTCATCTGCTGCTGCTGCTGCTGCTTCAGCTGTCAAAAAACAATCAACGACAACGACATCATCATCATCATCATTGTCATCATCAAGTGTAAATAGAAATGAACAACAACAACAACAACAACAACAACAACAACAACAACAACAACAACAACAACAACAACAACAGAAAGAAAAGACTACAAATCAAGTTGTAAATATTGTAAATGATAAATTGGGATATACAGATAACAAGTATAATGGATCTGATCATAATAATCATAGTCATAGTTATGATAGTAGTGCTGCAACGAGTAGTGGTAGTAGTAATAGAAGTAATAATGGATCAATGAATGGAACAACAACATCACTTGATGATTTGGACCAAATGACACCTACTTTGAAAGAGTTGCATGAAGCTGTAGAGAGTTACAAAAAGGAGAATATATCACTCAAGTTGCAATTGTACCATTTCATTGGAGAGGGTAGGGAACCTGACGAAGACAGCGAGTTGGCGCAAGAGATGAGCCTCAAAACTGCCGAGATTGAAGAGTTGCAGAGACTTATTATGAAACTAAAGCAGATGTTGGTGGCCAACGCCGACCAAATGAGTCAATGCATATGTGACTTTGGAAACAAGGTGCCACAACCACAGCAGGTGTTTGTGCCAGCGACATCGGGATCATCAGACCACTTGTTGGTACAACAACTGCGAGATGAAAAGGCAAGGTTAGAAGGCGAGATGAAACGTCTTCAAGATCAATTGGCAACCCTAAGATTGGACTTGGATCAAGAGAGATTGCAAAACCAACAACTGCGACAAAAGTTGATGATGCAGTCGAGTGTAGTACAGCAGCAGCCAATTGTGCAGCCGGGAAATGACAGACTGTACGAGTCGATGTTGGCCGACCACAAACTGCGCTATGAAGTGTTGCAACAGGCCAAGTCGGACGAGACCAAGTTGCTGGGCGACCGAAACCAGCAGTTGGAGCGTATCATTGACCAGTTGAAAAAGGATAATGACGAGCTGTGGCGCAAGAACCAGCAGCAGCAAATGTCCGCGAGTCGCGTGACTGTTGACTCGGAGGGAGAGGTGAAACGGTTGGCTGCGCAGGTGGGCGATCTCCGCGCCAAGCTGGAAGAGGCCAAGTTCCACAACGACGAGTACAAGAGACTGTTGGACGACCTCAAAGGCAAGAGTGACGACATGCGTGCGCGACACGAGTCGGTGCGTCGCGAGAACGACGACTTTAAGCGTATCTATGACGAGACGAGCCAGCGTTACGAGGACCTGCGAAAGATGAACGACGACATGCGCCGCCAAATTGACGAGCGTGACTATATCATCCAGAATCTCGAGCGGTCGCTGCAGCAGCGTGACGCAGACATCAACTCGCTCAACATGACCATATCGATGCTCAGGGACGAGCTTGACCACGCACATGACCAAGACGCGAGATTGCGTGCCGAAGAAATCACTGCTCTGCGTGCACAGATCAAGCGACTCAAAGACAAGGCTGAAGAGTTTACTTTGCACGACACTGACCTCACCATTAAAAACAACCAACTGCAAACCGAGACACAACAAGCCAAGACAGAATGTAATCAACTCAGGGTGGATAATCAACAACTTAAAATGGACGTTCAACAAACAAAAAGTGAAAATGGTCAACTCAAGATGGACCAACAACAAGCACAATTGGAAATCAAACAACTTAAATCAGACGTTCAAAAGGTTAGATTAGACTATCAACATATTCGTAGCGAGTATGATCATTTGGATCAAGAGATTATACAGGTCAAAGATGAGAATCATCAGATTAAACTTGATGCTCAACAGGCCAAATCTCAAGTCACCACACTTGGCAATGAAAACAACAAGATGAAACTTGAAAACCAACAGTTGCGTCTGGATTTAAATGGAGTTGGTAATTTGGTCAATCTGATGAAAGGCGAGAGACAACAATTAGAGGGACAACTTGAAAAGTTTAGAATTGAAAACTTTGAAGCTAACCGTGCACTTGATAAGATGGAAACGTCGTATCGCGAACTACAGAGCAAGGCTAGCGAGTTTATGAAAAAGAAACAACAGGCAACAAGTTCGACCTTTTTAGAGAGTGAAGCGATCATGGAAGGATACAGAAATCAAATAGACAGTCTCAATAGAAACCTTGGAGATAGAAATAAGCAGTTGGATGATAGCGTCGAGAGATACAGAAAGCTAGAGGAAAATGTTAGAAAGCAAATGACAGAAAGTAAAGAAAAGAGACAACAATTGGAGGAGACTATAGAACATTATCGTGCCTACTCTAGACAATGTCTTGAACAAGTGATTGAAAAGATTGATCTAGAGTTGGGTGTTGATGACAATCACAAGGAAATCGAGTCACGTGGAATGAATAATGTAAAGGTTGAAGAATTGCAGTCACGAGTACTCGACAAGATCGATCTCTTGCAAATGACAACTAGACAATTATTAGAGCAAACTATTCAAGAATGTGATACAAAGATTCAAGAGAAATTGAAAATCATCAATGAAATTGTAAATGTGAGAACCAATCATTTATTAGATTTGGAAAATAGTTTAAATAGTATTCAAATTCAACAAGATCAACATGAACGTCAAAGTCAACAACAACATAAGATTAATGGTCAACAACAAAATAATAATAATAATAATATTGAATTAAATCAAAAGATTATTGGATTGGAAAGATCATTACAATTAAAATCAAAGGAATTAATGGATCAAGAGGAATTACAGAGACAAGATATTAATCGTATAGAATCAGAACATAATAGTAAGATTCAACAATTAAAGTATCATTATGAAATTCAATTACAATCAAATCAAAAACAATTTGAAGAACAACATAAACAACTTTTAAAACAAACTCAACAACAACAACTACAACAGGGCAAGGTACAATCACCTCATACATTGGCACTTGATACTATTGATTTACAACCAAGAAATACTACACCATCTTTATACTCTTCTCTTTATTCATCGCAAATGCAATTACCGTCCACTCCAACCACTGCAGCATCGACTCAATCACCCATCACTGTTGGTTCATTGATTGTTCCAACCACCCCTTCTCCTACCAACTACAATTTCACATTTGATGATAAAGATGCAATCAATCGTTTATTACAAGGAAACCCTTCACAAAATCAACAATTAATTCAATACCTCCTAACTCAACATCAACAATTATTAAATGGTAATATATATATGAATAATAATAATATAATAATAATTATTAATTCTATATATTTTTATATTTTAGAAAATCAATCATTAAAACAAGATATTGAAAAAGTAGATGAAAAGATTAAAGAAGTAAAATCAAATATACCTAAACCATCAATCAAGATCCCTTCACCATCCAAAGATTTGGCACTTCGTACCTCTAAATCTGTAGATTTACAATCATCTGCATTGATCAAGGAACATTTTAACTTTTTAAATCAATTGGTTAAATCAGAGTATGTATATATAATAGAGTGAGAGAGAATATTAAAGATGGTTGGTTGGTTATTAATTATTTAATTTAATTATTTATTTAGATCGGCAGTATCACTCGAGAAACAAATACCAAACTTTAAAATTGGTATGAAGAATTTGATGAGAGATATGAAAAATATGGATACAAAGAAACAATTGTTGGTAATGGAATTAAGAAATAGATCCGATAAATTGGATGATGTTATGGATAGTTATAATGATTTACAAAAGAAATATGCAAATAGTAAAGGATCAATGTCCTCTTCATCGTCAACAACCGGGTCATCTTCTTCAACATCATCATCAAATAATAATAGACAACAACAACCATTTGACCATTCAATACAAACCTATCCATTGGGATCAACAACAACAACCACTTCAACTACAAGTACTACACCAAAATTCAATTATTTAACTTCAACTGCTTCCTCGATGAATAAGTTTAATTCAAATACTACTGGACAACAACAACAACAACAACCATCACAACAACCTTCTTCTTCTTCTTTTTTGACAATGAACAATAACAAAGTACATTTCCAAGATAATATTGTAACTACACCACTTTCTTCAACCAACAACAATTCATCCAGACCTAAAACAACTTCATCATCATCTTCCACCACCTCTTTTAGCGGCATTCCAAACAGCAGACAAACAACCAATAATTTAATGAATCATACTACTACCACCAATACTAATAATCAACAACATCAACAACAACAAAATAACCAACAAGCATTGATAAATGCTCATCGAGAGGCACAAAAAAGTATATCTAGGATAAATAACAAGATTGATATGATTGATAAGAAATAATAAATAAATATAAATATAATTACGTACATTTTAGATACTTGATTTAACTTGATTGGTTCATGGAACAGTTGACATTAATCTTTTTGTTTTGATTACAATATGAAAGAGATTGATGCAAACTGTTCCATGAACCATTATGAATGATGAGAGTCACCAAAGAGATGAATGATTGATCCTACAATTTACAAGAAGAGAATGTTTTTTAATTGATTTGGACCTTTAGCCAAACTTTGGACGACACCACTATCTTTAGAAATATTGAAGTGGTGCTTTGATCCTTTATGGGGATCAGCGATCCAATAACATTGGCCTTCGGAGCTATGATGACGACCTCATACTTGAAGCCATGGCACTTGTGCTTTCCACTGTAGAGCTTTCTCTTTTTGATGTAACAGATCGGGCGACTTAAAGGGCAGAGTGGAATCAATAATCCCAACAATCATCTATGGTTTGGTTTTGATTGGACAATTGAATGTATGAATGAAGATTCATTACCCTTTAATAACTCTAAAAAGATTATTGATTAAAATAAGAAAACAAAAGAAAAAGAAAGTATCTTTTAACATACTATGTAAAAAGTATTGATACATTTTTATCGGAGAGTTACCAACCTGTTGCTTTCAGTTGGAAATAGGTAACTGACAACTCCGAGGACCACAAGAGCCAACCTTTTAAAAAAAAAAAATTTCTCCCCACCATCCAAACTCCCGCAAAGGAGCCTTTGCCAACATGTGTTGGAATAGATTTTTATTATTTGGATCATCTTTGGAGTCTACTTTTTAAAAATTCATTCAGTTGGGTGATCTCTTCCTTCTGCATATAATCGTCGTCGTCATCATCATAGGGATCATCAGAATAATCTTGTTGGTTGTCATCATCATCATCATCATCTTGGTCGTCGTCGTAGTCGTCTTCTTTTTCTTCTCCACCTCGGTATTGGATTTCGTTTCTGAGGGTAGCCAATTCTTTAAGGGTATCACAGACTTGACTGAGACGAACATTAAAGTTTGGGTTATGGTAAGAGACAAGCTCCAATAGACTGGAGTGGAAATTACCCATCACACCGTCGTCGACCGAGTATCCCATGATGTGGTTGGTGGTGTGTCGTGAGAGAAGCCCTATGACCTCTGGGTAGAGCGTATGAATGTTGATGATAAAAGTCAGCGAATGGCCATGGACAATGAAATCATCGTACAGACGCTGGTGATCAGGATCTTGCTTGAGCATCTCTTGCGACAAGCTCGCACTTTCTAGTGATTCGTAATACGAGCGGAAAATATCGACCAAAATGGTAAATGCACGAGGATCGAATGTATATCCTGTCTGATGACCCTCGCGGATCAATCCTACGATCGCCTGAGCCAGTGCCAACTCTTGTTCGTGACCGCGCTTTAGGCAGTACCCGATCAGCGCCTCTCTCGTCTTGATCGTATTGATTCTGCTGGCCGGTCTCTCGGTGGTGCCTTGCTTTTCAATCTCTTGATCTGTCCAAGGTATGATTACATTATAGTCGAGCGACTCTTCAGACAAGAGTACAAGCCTGTTGATCATGCAAACAACCAAGAACCAATTTTGGTCAATGTTGGGAATGATATCGTTTTGGTTGACACCCATATCGGTTTGGTTGACATTGATGGTATCTTGTCGAACATAGTTGCGAATGTCGGTCTCTAGATTGGTAAAGTCGTATCCTACAAAGGCTCCCCAATTCTTCAAATAGGCAATTGCCAATCGCAAGTTTAGACCAACCTCCAACCGCACCATCGTGTTTGTGCTGTACATTACCTCGTCCTTGACGAAAGTGATCGTTTTGATGACATCGTCCCATGCTGGCAGAGGAGGGCGTTGGCTTGTCAAATTGCGATGTGCCAAATACCGGTAAACCTCCAAGCAAATGACAATCATTCGTGATATTGTCGAGGAGAGTGTCTCTGCATTGGATGTCAGTTTTTGCTTTGACAACTCTTTCTTGAGACAATGTTTGCACTATCTTTTCTACCAAATCTAGTTGATTCAAATCTTCTCCTTGTCGATATATCTTCTTGCCAAATCTCTCAATTGATTATATATTCTTTCCCAGCTCTGATTTAGATTATTATTATTATTATTATTGATAGTTGTATTTGATAATAATGATTGAACTGATTGAAATACTACTTGTATATTTGATGATTGTTGTTGATTAACATTATTATTATTATTGTTGTTATTGTAGTTGTTGTTATTGTTGTTATTATTATTGTTGTTCATTTAAAGGGTGTCATGTGAATAATAATCAACTAATTGTGAGAAGATCAGCCTGACCTCGGCCGACTCACGTCCTTAAAAATATTTATTTTAATTAATTATATATGATTTAAATACCTTGAGTTATAGAAATGCATAATAAGATCAACCTATAAATAAATATATAAATAAATAAATAATATATATATATCTCTATCTCTAATTCATTATAGTTACTATGATGTGATGAATGATTAACTTGTTGTTTGAATGAATCACCAATGTTCTTGTCTTGTTTGATTCACGGAACAGTTGACATCAATCTATTGTTGTTGTTTTGATTACAGTATGAAAGAGATATGATGCAAACTGTTCCATGAACCAAAGTGGATTGTCATTGTCGTTGAATAACCTATAGAATATTACCATTTTCGATAGTCTGTCAATCATTAGTGAATCTATAATTGGGATATGAATCGTAGAGCAGTGCCTCTGTATTGAACCTCATCAAAATTATATTTAATATAATTACTAATAATCTGTATTGCTGTTCTAGTGCTGTAATCTCTTTAGTTCGTCAAGTTCATGTACATATATAGTTATATTTATCTCTATTGCTTATTCTTCTATCTCTTTATCAGATGATAATGGAGTGGACAAACAAGAAGTGAACGAGATTCAACCTTTGAAAATAAATGAAAGAAGTAGAGCGAACTCAACACCAAAATCATTTTGAAAGAACTACTTATTGTATTTTATTCCCAATATATATATTACCCATTCAAATAGAAAGAGATAGAGTAGAATAAGAAGAGAGAGAGAGAGAGGGAGAGAGAGAGGATAGAGAGATGTTTCTATTCAACTTTAATAATGGTGATCCGAATAGACCATCATTCTTTGAGATGTTTGCTCAGTATCAGATGATGCCGTCATTCAAACCTGCTCTAAAATATATCTTTACTGTATGTTGTTGTTGTTGTCGTTCAAGTAGACAGATACTCAGATAGAAAGAATAATACTAATTGAAAAGTATAACTATAACAAACAGGTACTATCACAAAGGCATCCAAAGTTTGAATACGTTGTCAAATACAATGATGAATTCTTTTACTCTTTACTCTTGTTGTTGGAGTTTCATTATCTTAAATATTATGGTTTGTATTAGTAACTATCTATAACTATCTATAACAAATACTAATGTTATTTGCTTGATATGTAGATGGATCATTCTCTGAAAACTTTTACAACTTAAAGAGAGTACAATCAGAGATGACAGGGAAACCTAGAAGAGCTATCCCTTTACTCACTAGATTATTCCCATCATCCTCTTCATTCATTGCTCAAGCATTTGCAAAGTATTTGGCAGCTATAAAGAGACTAAGTATTCTAAATAATAATAATAATAATAATAATGCTGGTGTACCAAGAAATAATATATCAAATGAAACAACAGGTTCATCTGGGTCTACTTCCAGTACTGGTTCGAATTCATCATCTTCTACAACAAGTGGTAGTAATGGTAGTGGAGGGGGATCAAATAGACATTCATCAATGATGATGATGATGATGCAATCAAATAATGATCAACCGGTCTCAAACAAACAAAAAAGATTGGCTATTTTATATTTGGTATTGATACCTTATATTAAATCAAAATTGGATGAATGGTATAAAAGAGAATCTGATCCAATTAATATGTTGGGTTTAAATGAAGATGATGTAGATGAAGATGATGGTGTATGTATATCCAACCATTATCATCACTAATATTGTATTTATATTAATATTTAACATTATTCTATAGTCAATTAGAAAACCATTGAAAAAATCAATTAGAAGGTTATTTGTAAAAGTGTATCCATATATCAATGCATTTTACGAGGCTACCTTTTTCCTTTACCAAATACTCTATCTATACGAATACACAAGTTATTACACTCCCTTTTTACATATCCAAAGAATTGTATTAAAACGTTTAACAAGACAAGATATTGTAATTATCAGAATACTCCTCCTTTTCATCCATCAATCAACTATTAATTATTTAATTATAAATATTTATTTATTTATTTAATTTAATTTATATTTATAGGAAACACATAATACAACAATTGCAAATCGTAGAAATGAAAGATTGGCAGTTGTTAGAAATTGGCCACTACCAGGATTATTTATTCCAATTGTCAGTGTATTGGATAGTGTTTTGGATTATTCTAAATTTATATTGCCAGCATCGGTATTTCTATTTAAATCGTTGGAGTGGTGGTACTCTGAGAATAGAATATCATCGCCATCGGTACCAGTCCCACCACCTCCAGCTCCACCCAAACCAGCTGTCGGAGGATTGGCAGTGCCACAAGACAAACAACAATGTCCACTCTGTCTCCAGCCCCGTACCAACCCAGCCATCTGTGGAAGTGGCTTTGTATTTTGTTATCCTTGTATATTCAACTATGTCCAACAACACTCTAAATGTCCAATCACTTATATCCCAACTACCACAGATCAACTTCGTAAAATATATGAAACCATGTAGATAGATAGATCCTCATCCTTTCTTCTTGAATGAATAGGATTGATCTGCCTATTAATATTATTTTCTTAAACTTTTTTTATTTTTACTACTTTTATTTTTATTTGTTTATAAACTTTTTTAAACCATTTTCTACTCAGATATTTTATCTCTAAATTTAGATAAATCTTTTTCAATACACATCGTGTGCATTACAGAATTACTATATTATTAACTTTGCACTTGAACAACAACATCAATAATGATGGGTACCGATAATCATGATCATTCGTTGGCTACTGGTGTACAATCATTGTCGTTTGGTGATGGTTATAATCAAGAAATATCAGTTGGAGTATTACCATCATCATTACAATCATTGTCGTTTGGTGATGGTTATAATATCAGTTGGAGTATTACCATCATCATTACAATCATTGACTGTTTAGCAGGGACTATAATCAACCACTATTAGCCGGAGTAATACCATCATCATTACAATCGTTTACATTTAGTAAACTAGATTCGAAATATTCTAATTACTCTTTTCACAAACGCACGTGGAACCCATGGGTATTACTCACCGGTATGTTAGCAAGAACTAGTTTAATGCCTTGATTTGACCTTATGAAACTTTAAAATAATTGTGTATACATCTTTTTAGGAATCAAAACAAAAACAATATTACTCTAAAAGTGATGTTTATTCGGTTGGATGTACTCTTCTCACATTACTTTCATGGTAAATATAATAGCCACTCATCCAAGTATAAACATCTATTTTATCAAATCGAAAAGACATTATTCAAAGAGAGAAATCAATTAGATCCAACAGACAACAAAAAGGCCATGCATATTGAATATCCATTAAAAGATATGGATGAATTATTTAAATTGGACAATGACAATATTCATCAAATGTTTGAACATGATCATCAATATTTGAATATAAGATTTATTCCTGTTCCAACTGAACAAGACATTGGACAAAATGACCTAAACAGTTCAGATTGTAGCATTTTATAAGGATACCTCGAGTACTTTCTTTTGTGCAAAATTTAAATATAATTATAATTATTCTCATTGATGATGAGAGCCCCAATAAACATAAATGTGTACACTATTAAAAATAAATAATAAATAAATAAATAAAAGATTATTTATATTTATCCAAATAAGTTTCCTTTGCAGATTTTGGTTTGTTTGATTGTTCTTGTTCGAGTTGTTGGTTTGCCAATTTTAGAGATGACCGATCTTGATATTTTTCTTTTTGTTCTTGTTTCCATTGTTCTACAGCCTCTTCTATTAATTTCTTTTCTACATCTGCTTCCATCTCTACCAATACACCATCTTCTTCATCACGATATCCATAATAATCTGCATCTACACATTTGTTGAGATCGTATTTACTCTTTTTAGATGCAGAGTCGGGCAGATGAGGTTTCTCCAACAACTCTTTAACACCAGGCAAATTCTTTGCCTCACCATAGTATTTATAATGACCTGAACCCAAAGGTTCTCTCCCATTTGCATCTACCAACCTAGGTGCAGTTGCTATATAATTTGGTCCACCCAACTCTATGATTCTTCTCTCCCAATGATGTTTCTCTCTAACCAATTTATTAATCTCATCATTTAAATCTCTAGTTTTATATTCTCCAAGTGTTTCTATATTGATCATCAATTATTAATAATCAAAATAAGTTAATTAATAATCAAACGAATCGATTGTATATCTCCTTTACAAACATATAACATACCATTTTGAATATCAGTAATCTTTTTTGATATTTCTCTAACTATTTGTAATCTCCATTGTTCAGCTTCTCTTAGATTATCACATAGTGATGATAGATATGGTCTCTTTTTTTGTACTTTATCTTCGTCGTCTTTCATACGCAAGAATCTATTCAACATAGATTGTGCTTTTTCTTCATTTCTTGCCATCTCTCTTTTGCTCTTCTCTTCTAAAGTAGTCTCTACACAACTCTAATACGTTTGACTTTTATATATATATATATATATGTAATATAACAATATAACCGATTGTTATAATTTATGAATTTAATAATGATCTTTTTTTTTGAAAAGAATGAACTAAAATAGTCAATGAGTTCACATTCATTATTTATTTTAATATTTTCTACAATACTCTCAAATAAATAGTATCATGTATCATGTATATCATATACTCTTTGGAATAAGAATAAAGAAAGTGAATATCAATAGAAAAGATAAAGAAAGAAAGAGAGAATAAATATCATATGATCGTCATCATGTGATCTCGTCACTTTTATGATTCATCAATAACTATAACACGTGTATAATAATACTATACTATACTGTACTATACAATGATGAGGTAATGTATTATGATTCATAATCTAATACCAAACATTGGTTCTAGATCTTTTTACAAAGTTGTTCCCGAATGGGGAACTTCACTTGATTTTAAATTAAATTAAAAATAATGATAACCACAAACCTTTTATGTGTTGTTCATCATTCTCTGTTATATCAATCATTCATTCATTATTTATTTATTTATTTATTTATTATATTTTCTCTTCTTTATAGTATCAAACTACTTCAATCATCATCATTATAAATATATTATACCTATTCTTTGTACAGTTAATAAATATAGTTAATAATAATAATGGATAATAGATTTTCAAAATTAAAAGAATATTATGAAAGTAAAGGAAAGGATCTTAATATGAGAGAGTTATTCTCTAAAGATTCGAGTAGATTCAACAAGTTCTCGGTCGATGTAAAGATTAGTGAAAAGGTTGGTAACATTTTGTTGGACTACTCAAAGAACCGTATCGATGAGACTGCACTTGCACTGTTGGTCGAGTTGGCTGAACAATCAGGTGTGGCAGAGATGCGTGACCGTATGTTCAAGGGTGACAAGATCAACATTACTGAACAACGTGCTGTTTTACACACTGCCCTTCGTAACCGTGACCCATCAGCCAAGATTGTGGTCGATGGTGAAGACGTGATGGTTGGAGTACGTCAAGTGTTGGCCAAGATGCGTTCATTTGTTGGACGTGTGCGATCGGGTGAATGGCGTGGATACAGTGGCAAGGCAATCACCGATGTTGTCAATATCGGTATTGGAGGGTCTGACCTCGGTCCAGTAATGGTCACCAACGCCCTTAAATCCTACGCCGACGACACTAAACTACGTGCACACTTTGTATCAAACATTGACGGTACTCATTTGGTCGAGACTGTCAAACACCTCAATCCCGAGACAACCCTCTTTATCGTCGCTTCCAAGACATTCACTACGCAAGAAACCATTACCAACGCCACAAGTGCACGTGCATGGTTGTTGGAACGTGTATCAGATGCTAGTCTACACACCAAAGCTGTCGCACAGCACTTTGTAGCATTGTCAACCAATGGAGAGGCAGTTAGCAAGTTTGGTATTCTTGTTGACAACATGTTTGAGTTTTGGGATTGGGTAGGTGGACGTTACTCGTTGTGGAGTGCTATCGGACTCTCTATTGCTCTGTATGTCGGTATGGATGTCTTTGAGAGCCTGTTGGAGGGTGCTTACGAGATGGACAGACATTTCACCAGTGCTCCACTCGCCCACAACCTGCCTGTCCTTCTCGCACTCATCGGTGTATGGTACAACAACTTTTTCAACGCACAGTCGGTCGCCATCCTCCCGTACGACCAGTACTTGTCACGTTTTGCCGCCTATTTCCAACAAGGTGATATGGAGAGCAACGGCAAAGGTGTCACACGCGACGGCACACCAGTCTCTAGCCAGACCGGACCAGTTATCTGGGGTGAACCAGGTACCAACGGCCAACACGCCTTTTACCAACTCATTCATCAGGGTACCAAGATCATCCCATGCGACTTTATCGCACCGATCGAGTCACAAAACAATATTGGTCAACACCACCGTATCCTCTTGTCCAACTTTTTCGCACAAACCGAAGCACTCATGAAGGGCAAGAGTGAAAGTGAAGCACGTGCTGAACTCGTCAAAGAGGGTCTCTCGGGTGACCGTCTCGAGAACCTCTTACCACACAAGGTCTTTTCAGGTAATCGTCCAACCAACTCGATCATGATCCAAAAGCTCACTCCACACTCTCTCGGTGCTCTCATTGCTCTCTACGAACACAAAATCTTTGTGCAAGGTGTTATCTGGAACATCAATAGTTTCGATCAATGGGGTGTCGAGTTGGGTAAACAATTGGCCAAATCCATCCTTCCAGAACTTTACACCAAGGAGGATATTACCTCTCACGATAGTTCTACCAATGGATTAATTAATTATTATAAGAAGAATTCAAAACTCTAACTAATTATATGTAACATACATATGATTCCCTCTCACTTGTAATAAAATAAATTAATTAATATATACCTTCCCTCCATTTAATGTGATAAATAATACATATTACAATATTTAATTATTTATTTAATTGTTTATTTATTTAACTATTTAATTATTTGTTGTGATATTAATCTACATAGGTATATTTAGAATGGATTGATGTTTCGTAAATGCACCCAATTTGCTATAGATATTGTTGCATAGATCTTTGAACTATTCTTGGAGCCACCCAATTTTGTGTTGTTTAGGTGTTTATATCTTTCTTCATTTGCCATCTCTTCACCCAATTTAATAATATAGCATTTGTTGGCTTGGTCGATTTCTGGAATCCATTTGCCAGCATCCAAAAGTCGATGAAGGTCGACCGTTAACAACAATCCATTAGACACTAAATTCATACCACCTTTTGAATATGGATAGATGTGACATGCTTCTATGATACATGCGAGTGAAGAACCTGTTGCCATACATGATAAACCATAATGACTTGAAAGATCTCTTTTGAACTTTTCTTGTCCCTCTCTAGATGGACCCACCACAACTTCTTTGGTATTTTTGTCCCAATCATCTCTTGTTGATAGAAGTTGATTTTGATTGATTTCTAATTGTTTGGTTATTGAAATAATATTCTCAAAGTCATTATTGGATTTAGTTGTAGTCGTAGTGGTTGTTTGTAGGTTACCGGTATCATGAATGCCCTCAACAGTGGACTCTCCATTTTGATTTAGTGTCGAGTCTTGTGGCAATACTTGATCCTGAACACTCCAATAATCCTCTCTTTGATATTACTATGAATTAGAACCACTATTTCTAGCAATGAAATTTGATGATACTTACCCAGCCAATAGTTTATGAAAAGGGTCACAATCAACAAACCTGACTTCATTGGTATCAAAGGGATTGTGATAAAAAGAAATATTTAATGGGTGAAGGGCTAGAGACTGGTTGATTCTTGGCAATGATTTCTTTACCGTTAACAAAGAACAAAGTTTTTTGCTAAGATTTCCTTTGATATCACGTACAATAGAACCGCCAATCGGGCTACAATTAACAATAGTGGCTTTTAACTCGACAACTTCAACACACAAACCATTACGACGCAAAACTATTGTTTTGTTTGAATTATTACACGAAACATATTCAATGCTTGATAATGCCCCTTGAACCAACATTGAGTATCTATCTACGTATCGCATCCTTTGAAATCTGGCACCTTGATATACCTCATTTAAACGGGTCCAAACCCAGTGGTCTGTATCAACTGCAGGTGCAATCCACTCTTGATGATCACCTCCCAATGAAACTTTGACCTTTACAAAATCCTAAATATATTTAAAAGTTGGGTCACTAGTAGATTAGATAAAGCGACAAACTTACAAAGATAGTAGTAACTAATGTACAAACCTTTAACATGTATGTACGATCCTTTTTTGGTCCTTTTGATGGTAGTGTAGTAAACTCGGTAACATTGCTGGGAAAAGTGAATGCACGAGATAGATTATACTTGTCACAAAAGAGTTTGTGTATGTCTTGATTGAGAGTTTGGATATTATACCGACCCCCTAATTGATATTCAAATGCAATAAGCTCGCTCAATATTTTAAAATATAAAAGAGGCATATAGAAAGAAATAATATTTATATCTGCTACAAATTCTAATACTTGAAATGAGAGGTCAATATAAATTTTGAAAGGGAAGCCAAACTATTTTAATTAATCTATTTTTTTAATTAACTTTTTTGGTAATGCTTGGAGACATTCCTCTTTTTTATTTAATAGTTTTATTTCTTAATTGTTTAATTATTCAATTATTTAATTATTTGTTGTGAGATTAATCTATGCATTGAGTAGTCTATATAATATTTAGAATGGATTGATATTTCTAAATGCACCCAATTGGCTTGATCTATTGTTGCATAGATCTTTGATGAGTTTATGGAGCCACCCAATATTGTGTTGTTTAGGTGTTTATATCTTTCTTCATTGGCCATTTCGGGTCCCAATTTAATAATATAACATTTGTTGGAATGGTCGATTTCTGGAATCCATTTACCAGCATCCAATGGTCGATGTAGGTCAACTGTCAACAACAGTCCATTAGACACTAAATTCACACCTCCTTTTGAATATGGATAGATGTGACATGCTTCTTGATACATGCGAGCGATGAACCTGTTGCCATACATGATAAACCATAATGACTTGAAAGCTCTTTTTTGAACTTATCTTGTCCCTCTCTAGATTGACCGACGACACTGTTTTGGTCTTCTTGTCCCAACCGTCTCTGGTTAATGGAGTTTGGTTTTGATTGATTTCTAATTGTTTGGTTCCAATAGTAATACTCTCAACGCCAATTTCATCATTTGCTTTAGTTGTAGTTAGGTTGGTTGTTGGCTTGACTTGTTTTGGTGGTGGGACTTGTGGTGAAAAGGCTTGGGGTGATATGAATTGTTGTTGTTGTTGTTGTTGTTGATGTTGATCCTCACTTTAAATATGTATTAGTACCAGTGTATGACTTGAAGATTTGATATTTATATTACATACCCCTTTAATAGTTTATAAAAAGGACCACTATCATCGAGACAAATTCCGTCGCCACCAAGGCCATCTCGATAAAACCAAACCTTTAATGAATTAGTGGATAGGGATTGACAGATTCTTTTAAACGATGATACCTCTATCATCGCTAAAGAAAGTTTTGTTAAATCAGGGAAATCTCAAGGTTCTTCCAGATTTCACCTTGTATAGAGTAGCCCTTCATGGATGGGATATACTAATGTTGGCTATCAAGCTATTAACATATCTCGTTGGATGTTCACTCGTAACACTGTAAATACTTGATATGTCTCCGTGGATCAACATCGAGTATCTTCCATTTTCCGCTCTTTTAAAGCGGGCGTTTTTGTATAACTCTATTAAACGGCACCCAATCCAGTGATCTGTTTCGGTTGCAGGTGCAATCCACTGTTCATATTCACCTCCCAATGAAACCTCTACCATTAAAAATTCCTATAAATAAATTTAAAAGTATGATGCTTTTGATTAGGCAACTAGCAATATATATATATATTGTTATGTATCTACAAACATCAAGCTGGAATGTAAGACCACTTTGGTTTGCGTTTGATGGTATATTAGTCAGCACGGGAAAAGTGAACCAGCGATATAGATCATGATTTTCATAAAATAATTTGTGTATTCTTTGGTTGAGGGTTTTGACATGATTCCAATACACATACAAATTTGATATTGCTTACTCTTCCTCTATCTTCTTTATGTTTTATTTCAAAATAGAAATAAACCATAATGTATAAATATATAAATATATATAAATAATATATATAAATAAATATAATAGTTACTATTAGTATATATAATAAATCTGTTCAAATAGCCTAATAGGTGAAGCAATCATTCATCGATGACCACAACCAAATCAGGTTCAAATTTTTCAAAATAGATAGAAAAAAAGGAAAATGATTGAAATTTCATTCTTATTATTATTTATCATAGATATAGATATATATTTATTTATTTATTTATTTAATAAACTGCGCTACTATCATCATTATGCTGTGTTCTAATCTCTTTTCAAAAAGAATATGAATGAATGAATGAACGTTGATGTTATACTTTGTATACTCTATACTCTTACTCTTGGTTGTTGATGTGATGTGATGTTCACAACATCATCGTCGTCATCATAATCATCATCAACATTATTTCAGTACTACCTAGGCAGGTGTGATTTATAAATAAATCATAAAAATAGATTAAGATATTGATAGTCGCAAAGATAAAATAATATATAAATAAGTAACTTATTTAAAGAGGTGATGCAACTGATCACCACAGCCAATGACGACAAAATCGTTATCGACGAAACACACCCAAAACAGGCAAGTAAAACATGAAAAACCATGGTGTCAACATGCCGTCACCCTACCTTTCTTCTCAAGTTTTCAAGCAAACAACGCGGTTCATAGCCGACTGAAAGTTATAATTATACAGGTGCGCGCATCAGATAATGACAGTAATTTCGATGCGATGTAATGTTTAATCGGTAATGGTTACATCTAGGTAGAGAGGAGAGTGGGTCGTTGGTGGTAGAGGTGGTGTGGTGAATAATATGATGAGTTACTTTGGTGTAACCTGTGTGTTAGGTTCTGTCTCTTGTTTCTGTGTTGTGTTGACCTTACGACGAATATCTCTCTCCCTATTACCCAACAGCGTTGTTTTAAAATAAATATTAATATAATAAATAATAATAATAGAGCGTTGATTATTAATAACAACAACAAAAACAGTTGGGTTGGGTACTCTCATCTCATCTCTTGTATCATCATAATCATCATCAACATCGTTCCTGAAAACAACGGAATAACCCTTTTTTATATTATACCTATTAATAATAATATTATAGAGAGCAGAGAGCGGTTAGTTAAGTTTTAACGCTTTCTACCCACCCCCTTTACTAGTAGCCCCCCTTTAATTGTAAGTAATCGATCAAACCTATCGTTTGCACCTCGCCCCACATATCACCACACTTTCACGCTCGGGTGCATGTACCTACCCCACTCACACCTATGATACTATACAGTTGGTAGTTCAGGTAGTTGTGTTTAGAGGATGATGTGATGGCGTGTATCTCGTAATCTATTGTATGCAATCATAATTGATGTGCTCTCTCTCTCTCGTCTATATCTTTCAAGCAAGTTTCTTCAAGGAATATGAAAGACTTATTCTTCAAGACACCATCTAACCTAGTATTAAAAAAAAAAAAATAACTTCTCTCCTCAGTGTCAGTGTGTGTTGCTAATAACCAAGGGTTATATACGATCTTTATTTATTTAATTATAAATACACTTCTTTAACAATCTTCCACTTCATCATTCATTCGTTCAATTCATTCAGTCATCATTCACACTTCCATCCATTTTATTTTTATTTACAAAGAGTAGAAATACAATATATATATTTATAATATAATATAAATTATTAATAACCTTTTTTCATATTATATTATTATTATTATTATTATTATTAATTTAGTTTTTCAACAACAGAAGGACAAAGACAAGTAGTCAGTTCAACGTCGTTTTTTTAGAATAGTTTTTTTTTTTTTTTTTTTTAGTCTCTATTTTTGTATCACACACCCCTATCCTATCATCGCAAACCAACCCTGTTGTGTAACTACGACTATCGGTATTAGTAGTTTAGTATTTAGTATTTAGTATTATTTGTTGTATCATTACTACACACCCTCCCCATCACGTGACATATTTATATATAGAGATACATATACTTATTTTATAGAGAGACATGTCAGAAACAGTAACTCAATTTAAAGTATTGGCTCGAAAGAATTTACTCATAAAGAGTAAATCAAAATGCGGTATATGTTGTGAAATTGTATTTCCAATCATTTTAGTTGCATTATTATTTGTTTTATTAGGTATGTTCAAACAAAACAAAAAAATACAAAACAACTTGATCCAGATTTTTAAAAGAAATAATCTAATATATATCTCTTTTTTTTTTTTTGTTATTTTTAATTTTTAATTTGCCTCTATATATAGGTATTATACAAGCATTTAAACCAGATTTTGATGTTAAACCAATTAGACCAATGGGTCAATTTATGGGTGGACAACGGTCTTTATTGTATGGACCAACACCATTGACAGCCGAACAAGATGCCATTTTACAAATAGTGATTGGTAATACGGCCGCTCAATTTAATATGCAAGCCAACGAAACGGCTGCATTCTTTTTACCATTTGATAGTGTAGAAGCTATGGACACTCACTTTGCCAACAACTCTGACTCGACTTTTGCAGGTGTTTGGTTTAATTCATCGACACCATCCTCTCCAACCACTCCATTTGCCTATTCGTTGCGTTTCGATTCCGACGATCTCCCACCAAACGATGAGAGTTATACTCGTAATGAAGACGGTAAGGATTACACGACCACTGGTTTCCTATCGGCTCAATTAGCATTTGATAGTGCCATTCATCAACACTTTGGTTTAAATTTCAGTCAATCGTCACCAGTCAACACACAAAGATTTACCGATCCATTTGACACTAATTGGCAACGTTGGAATACCGGTCGTGACGCTATCTACAAGGATGCCGGTTCCGTATTTTACACTGCTGCATTGTTTATGTTTGCATTCAAGATTATCACTGAACTCGTCTCTGAAAAGGAAATGAAAATTAGAGAAGGTATGCGTATGATGGGTATGAATGAAACTGCCTATTTTACAAGTTGGATTGCCACCTCTCTCATCATTGCCCTTCCCATCACTATCCTCATCATTATCGTCGTCAAAGGTTCTGCCATTGTATATCATACTGGTTGGGGTTCCGTCTTACTCTTATTCATCTTTTATCTATTTACATTATTATTACTTGGTTTTATTGCTAGGTATGAAAAAAAAAAAAAAATAAGAAAGACAATCCAAAAAAAAAAAATATATATATTTATTAATTTATTTATTTTCCTTTTATTTTATAGTTTATTCTTTGATAGTTCAAGATTTGCAGGTTTGATTTCATATGGTATTGCAATTGGTATTAATATTGCAGGTATCTTTATTGCAAAGGCTGAAGTATCGAAATATGTCAAGTTCCTACTCTCCCTCTTGTCTCCCATCGGTATGGCTTGTGCTCATTATTCAATGGCCGTTAAAGATTTGGTTGATGTTATGAATCCACCACCTGAATATACAAATACTGATGTTGAGTATGTATAGACACAAACAAAAAAATAGTATACTTTTTAATTAATTTTTATTTTTCTATTTCATTTAGTGAAATAATTGGTATGATGATATTAGATATTGTATTATATGGTATAATTTATTGGTATTTAAGTAATGTAGTACCAGGTGAATTTGGTACATCCAAACCATTACTTTTCTTTTTAAAGAAATCTTATTGGTTTACACCAGACAAATCAAAGAAATCATTTGATCTAGAGAACGACACTTTTGGTGCAGACCAAGATGTTGAACTCATTCCAATGGATCTTCGTAACAAGGTAACCGTTTCCATTCGTGGTCTCAAAAAAGATTTTAATACTGGTAATGGTATTAGAACTGCTGTCGATGGTCTCAACCTTGAAATGTATCAAGATCAAATTCATGCATTTTTAGGTCACAATGGAGCCGGAAAGTCAACTACTATTGGTATGTTGACTGGTTTGATTCCATGTACTGACGGTGACGCATTGGTCAATGGATACAGTATCCAAACACAAATGGATCACGTTAGAAGAACTTTGGGTGTTTGTCCACAACATGATATCATTTGGAAACAATTGACAGTCTATGAACATCTCTGTATCTATGCTGGTTTGAAGGGTATCTCGGGCAAGGAAATTGAAAAACAAGCTATTTTCATGGCCAAGGAAGTTGGTCTTGAAGAAAAGATGCACGCTCCATCTGGTTCACTTTCAGGTGGCCAAAAGAGAAAATTATGTCTTGGTATTGCTTTTATTGGTCGTTCTGAAGTTATCTTCCTGTATGTCTATTAAACTCAAAACAAACAAATAATATTTAATATTATATTTTTTTTTTGGAAAATATTTTCTAACTATTCATTTTTTTTTTTTTAATACTTTTCTAATTAGTGATGAAGTAACATCAGGTATGGATCCATTATCAAGACGAGGAGTATGGGATTTCTTGTTACGTAATAAGCAATCAAGAACCATTGTATTGACAACTCATTTTATGGATGAAGCTGATTTCCTTGGTGACCGTATTGCAATCATTTCACATGGTAAACTTAGATGTGACGGTTCCCCACTCTACTTGAAAAAGAAGTTTGGTGTTGGTTATTTGTTGACAATGTCCAAGATTGAAGGATGTCAATCACAATCGGTCATTGACTTTGTACACCGTTTTATCCCCGAAGCTGTCGTCTTGTCCGACGCAGGTACTGAACTCAGTGTACGTCTCCCTACATCATCGGTCAACCAATTTGTCCCATTGTTCCGTGAAATGGATCAGCAAAAGGGGTACTTGGGAATCGGTCATTACGGTATCTCTATTACAACCATGGAAGAAGTATTCCTTAGAATCGGTCAAGAGTCTACTGAAAATGGACGTCAATTCAACCTCAACTCTAATGAAAATAACAATGAAGAAGCTGTTCGTCGTGCCATCTCTATTTCCTCTGTAGGTGTTAGTTCTAAACAACAATTACGTGGTTTGTTGATCAAGCGTCTCCAAGTTACATTCAAAGACATCAAGTATTTCTTCTTGTCTGTTGTATTACCAATTTTAGTTATTGCAGGTTCAATTGCACTTTACAAGGGTGTCAATACTGAAAGTTTCTTTAATGATGTGGTTACTCCAATGACCTACTCTATGACTGCTTTTGGTGCCGACAATATTGTCCCAATTCAAACTGTCAACAACAACATTGCATCACTTGACGCATCACCATTCTTTGCTCAATTCAACCAACTCCCAAGCGGTGAGTCATTCGACGACTACTTGATCGACACTTATCAACAAGCTGCTGGTGCACTCAACTTCTCCGCACCCATTGTCTTGTCCACCACCGATGCCGTCCCACTCGCCTACACATTGTACTATAACCGCGGTTATCTCCACTCTTCGCCAACCCATATGAATCTTGTCAACGACGCTATACTCCGCAAGCAAACTGGCGGCACTGGTATCACACTCGGATCAATGCCATTCCGTCACGTCCGTACAGCCTTTGAATTGGCCATGGAAAACGTCAATATGAGTGCAATCATCTACTTTTCCATTGTATTTATGGCCGGGTACTCTTTAATGTCTGCTTCGTTTGGTGCACAAATGTGTGTTGAGCGTGTGTCCAACGTCAAACGTCTCCTCTACATTTCCGGCTGCAAGAAGCATATCTACTGGATCTCTAGTATTGTCTGGGACTATTCCATCGCTATCCTCGTCGTCATCATCGTGTCTGGTGTGTTGGCCGGCATCGAACCAAAGTTTAAGGAACAGTTTGGTATCATCTTCCTCGCACAACTCTTGTACTCGTTGTCTGGTACTCCATTGGCCTACCTCTTGTCGTACAAGTTCCAAACAAGCGGTCGTGCCATCGGAGGTATTTTCGGTCTCAACATCATCGTCGGTTTCATCTTCCTCATTGCCAGTCTCAACGTGCGTATCCAAGCACTCGTCAACACGGACGAAACCATTGATTTGGCTGCCGATATCGTCGACTATATCTTCTTTGCCTTCTCGCCCATCTACTGTCTCGGCAAGATCATGACCATCATCCTCGAGTTCCCAGGCTCGCTCCCACTCGGCGTCTACATGGTCGACAACTTTTGGACCATCAAGTTGGTCGGCATCCCATTCATCTTCCTCGCCTTCCACACCATTCTCTGGACCACTCTGATCATCGTCGTCGACTACATCCCCGAGATCAAGGGTAAGTTCCGTAACCCCAAGGACGTCGCCTCGCCACCCCCACCAGCCGACGAAGACTCTGACGTCACTTCCGAAAGACAACGTCTCCTTGCCCCCAAGTCTGATGAAATCCTCCAACTCCGCGACCTCCACAGAAAGTTCCCAGCCGTTGGCAAGAACCCGGAAAAACTCGCCGTCTACAACACCACCCTCGGTATTCCACGTGGTCAAACATTCGGTCTCCTAGGTATGACATTTATTTTAAATTCTTACATTTATATTTTATTTATTAACTCTTTATTTATTTTAAAACCCTAAAAAGGAATGAATGGCGCAGGAAAAACTAGTACCTTGTCTATGCTATCTGGTGATATCTACCCTACCTCTGGCTCTGCCTCGATCAATGGCTTTGACCTTGTCACTGAGCGTGCCAGTGCACTCAAATCAATTGGTAGTTGTCCACAATTTGACGCTCTCCTCCCACTCTTGAACGCACGTCAACAACTCTCCCTCTACTGTCGTATCAAGGGTATTCCAGAACACCAAATTGAAGAGACCGTCGAAGCATTCATCTCCATGATGGATGTCACCGGTATTGCCAACAGCAATGTCGGTGGATACAGTGGTGGTAACAAGAGAAAGATCTCCCTCTCTATTGCTATGCTTGGTAATCCTTCAGTTGTTTTCCTTGATGAAGTAAGTATCATAACCATAAATTAACTAATAATAATAATAATTATATACAATTATTGATACTAACTATTTATTTTTTTTCATTCTTTTTTTTTCATTTTTTTTTTTCAGGCAAGTACAGGATGTGATCCACAAGTTAGAAGATTCATGTGGAATGTAATTTCAGAACTTGGAAAGAACAAGGTTATCATTATTACAACTCATTCAATGGAAGAATGTGAAGCACTTTGTCAACGTGTATCTATTATGAAGGACGGTAAATTGATGTGTTTGGGTTCGAACCAACATATCAAGAGCAAGTTTGGTTCTGGTTACTCGATCGATATTAAATTCAAAAAGGAATATGTCGATACTGGTGTTGATCTTGTTCGTCAAGCTATCCCATCCATCTCCCTCCTCGATCGTCACGACCTTATTGCCAACTTTGAATTACCATCACCCAACCAACAAGTATGGCAATTATTCGATATCATCCAACAACAACTCTCTCATATTGTCGATGATTACTCGGTCTCTCAAACTTCACTCGAACAAGTATTCTTGAAACTTACTGCTTCCACTTATGAACAAAGATTAAATCAATTGTCAGAGAGTGCTGGTCCATCAAACATGCAAACTCCAATGCATTCTTAAAAAAAAAAAACATTAATCAAATAAATAAATAATTGTAAAATCAAAAAAACAAAATATAATATTAATATTAAATTGATGAAATGGGGGAAACTCTTCACACTTTACTATTTTTACAAAAAGATAGAGATAAATTAAATACTAACAAAGAATCTTATTTATTCTTATTATTCTTATTTATTCTTATATATTATAAAACAACAACTTTGACAACAGTAGGGTGTTGGTCAACTATTTGAAAGACTATAGGAATGTGAATTTAGGCTTTGAATTCTTGTAGGTCTCATCAATTTTCAAACAGTACTTGGTTCTTCCCCAGAAACTCGTTCACTCAAGGTCTATAGCAAAGAGGGAATCAATCTTTCTATCAAAATTAAGTTCGAATGAGTGCGTTCTTATGTTGATCAAAATTGGAAACCTCGATGATCCTCACCACAATCTTCTCAACCTAATCTATTGAGATTGGTTTGATGATCATCGAGGTTTACTTTTTGTATTATTCATTTAAATTGTCATTCAACCTCAAGATACTGGTCCCTCAGATCAATCAATAAATATATTTTAAAAAAGTATTGTAATTTACCTATAGTTTTGTTTTGGTAATAATACATAATAATATTATTGATATTATTATTAAAACAGTAAAAAGAATATAATTGGTAGTTTTATTTTTTTTGTTGGGATTGAAAGATTTAAAAATGGTCAATCATTTTGATCTTGTTCCCAACACGTCGATGCATCTTAAAACAACCCTAAAGACAAGGTCAAGATGTCGTGGCATCATGAAAACAAGATGGGAGTCTTAGGCATATAGAGGCTAAATAGATATCTTGGTCCATAATGACTAACGTGATGTTGGCCTCTAGATTGTAGCCGATTTGCTAGTGGAGATTGCATTGTCGTTACAGCAACAGTGACAAGTGTGTACACTGAACACTAAATAGATGCAATAGAGGTGCCACTACTAGAGATCAAATTTAAGGTTTCTCCTCAATAGGACATATTTATATGTACAACTTTTCATCCACCAGGCCACACTCCAAAGCATCACTGGCTCCAACCATCTGGACTCTTGTCTATCTCTGTAGTCGGCTCTAGGACTGAATGTTCAGTGTATATACATGGGTATTTTGGTTGATAGATGTCTTCTCTTGAGTACAATTATTGTTGATTTGGTGTTGGCTCTCTAGATATTCTTCTCCACTCTTTCGATTCGTGTTGCCGACCTAATCCTTTCCATTTTGATCTATCATTTCAATGGTTTTAATGATTGCAATTATTTTACTGATCGGAATGTGTATTATTGAAATCATTTAATCATTTAAAATACTAACAGAACAGAAGGAGTATCAGTTTGTAATTTTACCTAAGGAACATCTGTCCAATTAAAGTTCTGTTTTCGAAACTTGAGCATTCTTTCATTCAGTCTCATAGGTATAACATTAATAAAATATAAATGTATAACATTAAATTCTTACATTTATATTTTATTTATTAACTCTTTATTTATTTTAAAACCCTAAAAAGGAATGAATGGCGCAGTCAAGGGAAAAAAAAAGTTGTCTATGCTATCTGGTGATATCTACCCTACCTCTGGTTCTGCCTCGATCAATGGCTTTGACCTTGTCACTGAGCGTGCCAGTGCACTCAAATCAATTGGTAGTTGTCCACAATTCGATGCCCTCAACACACATCAACAACTCTCACCCTGCTCTCGTATCAAGGGTATTCCAGAACACCAAATTGATGAAACTGTTTAAGCTTTAATCTTCATATTTACAAAAAGATAGTTATTTAAATTCAATATTGTGAAGGAAAATCAATAAATATATTTTAAATATAGGGTTGTATTTTGGTATAGTTTTATATTGGTTACTAAAAAGAACATAAATGGTAGTTTTATTTTATTTATTATTTATTTGGGATTGAGTGAGCGAATTATTATTATTATTAATATTATTCATTATTATTAATATTCATTATTATTTTGTTGTTGTTGGTGGGTGTTGATATCTTCAGTACTTGTAATTATATCCATTTCTATTGGGGGTTCTCTATTTGGTGGTCTGTTTGTTGGTGGTCGCTTTATGAATACAATGACTAACACTACTATTATAATCGAGAGTAGTGCAGCCGATAAGACAACAGCGACTATGATAAATGTCCATTGATCAGTAGTCTCTTCAGTACACTCATATGGCAAGTGGGAGTTGTCTCCAAGAATGAGTGCATTGAAGACGGGGTCGAGTTCAACCGATTGAGAGAATCTAGGTATGTGGAATGTGGTTAAAATATTGAATCCTCCACTTTTCCAGATTTGTTGAGAGACTGGATCATCGTTTGTGAGAAGTGTTACTTTGGATGGAATGATTGTCGAGTCGTCTATAACCATTCTACTTGCTATTTTACAGTTCAAAACTGTCCTTCCAACTTGAACTCTGGTCCATATAATCTGATCACCACGTGATACTTCACTTCTGACTTTTAGCTTACCGAATTCGATTGTGTATGGAACATCACCTGTAGTGTGTTGATTGGTGATGACCATACCCAATTAATGATTTTGATTCGATATTTGACTGAATTTGGTGATACTTGAATATCTTCACCAAGAAATGAAGTGGTATTGGTGTCTTGGTATTGACCAACTGTGACTTGTAATAGTGTGCGTTGATTGAACATTCTTGCATTAAATACCGATTCGCCAGCAGATGTCTTGCGTCCACACGAGATTATCTATCGATATTGTTTTAATGATCGATTTCTCGTGATTGATTTCTCGAATGAATTGTATACCAGTTGTGAAATTGACAATCACACCACTAATAGTTTGATCTGTTGATAAAAGTGACCTGCCGTTATCCCAAATGGTTGTGTTGAGCAATTGACTGCGATTGACCAATGATGAACAATCCAATAGGGGTTCATGACCACTGTTACATTTGCATGACCCAAACGTGGTATTGCAAATGCCATGTGCCGAGCAATTGTTAAGACACTCCTTCGCAAGAGATACAACTTTGGTTGTAAGCATTCCACCAACTTCCAATTTTAACAGTATAATTTAGATCGGTTGAATAAGGTTCAACACTACCCAACGAACAACTAATTTGTTGATAGTTGTTTTCAATAAACATTGGTGATTTACATTGACTTCCTTGAATGCTTATCAAAACATATGAACTATCTTTTCCAAAATGATTACCGTTGATCGTAACCTGTGATGCTTGTCCAGGTATAATACTAGTAATATTGTCGATCATCGGTGCATCAGTTATATTAAATGCGATCAATGGTTTATAATATCTAACATCTTCAATCTTGGATGAAATCGTCCCACCATAAATGTCATAGAGAATATTATTTGATGGTGTCATATTTGAAGAATTACGAGAATAAACAATGAAGTTGGTGTTGTTCCTTTGAGTGGACCATTATTTCTTGTAAAGATATTATTATTACTGTTGCATGATACACCTTGCCAAAATCTAAAGTCGGGAAGTCTTTGATATTCAATGATTGATTAAAACATTGATATATTTCTTCAGATTCTATTGCACCAATATATGGAGCATTTGGAGTTGCTCCCATTGTTACTTTGTCAATCATTAATCGATTAACCTTTTCATTCTCCACCAAATAGAATGGTTGAATATATTCGAATTGTTTGTCACATACTATTGAAAAAAGAGTATTGCATTAGAATTAAATCACGTTAAAACTTAACTATAAAATAATATTATTATTTTAATATTTATACATACGAATATAAGGTTTAAAGGTTTGAGTATAAACATCATCAACTGAAATTGAAATCGGAAGTAGTTTGTTGTGTCCAACACGAGATGATTCGAGTTTACAAAAAATCTGATTTGATGATACAAAAGTGATATGACATGGTATATTAGATGTTGAGACACTGACAGCTACCGTATTGTTGGTGTTATCACCAAAGTTATCACCAATCAGTGTAACCAATCCATTGGCAGTGAATGATGGATAGACAGCTTTGATAAATGGTGGATATGGTTGCCATGCATAGTGTGTTGAGCTGACTCCACTATCATCTTGAACAGTGACATTACGTAGTCCAGATAGAGGTGGAACTGTACAAGTGACCGATGTTCCTTGTTTTGATGTTATTTGACATGATTTTTCAAGTTGTTTGGTTGGATTGGAAAATGTAATGTTGATTGTTTGTATGTTGAATTGTGATAGATTGTTGATTGTTATTGATCCTCCATTTGTACCGATTGATGGAATGTATACTTCTGAAATCGGTTGTAATTCACATATAGAGGATGCGACATCAAGAACATCTGCAGTATTGAAATTCGAGGTCGGTCCTCGGATGTAAATATTATCCTCAGCAGGAGTCAAAGATGGTTCACCTGCTTCGAATGGACAATATCCTATTAATTAAAATAGAAAATAATTAATACATTTAATTAAGAGTTGATACTATTAAATAGACTTACCCCAACATTGACCAGAATACATATTAAATAATGGTTGATTTGTTGCTGGTCCACTTGAATAGGTGTAATTCCCATTGCCTCTTATGTCTTTACCAGATACCCATACAGGTGGATTCCAATAATAGGTTCTAATAAAATCACATTCTTGTTTTGAATCCAATGCCACAAGATATGATCTAAAAGTACTGTTTCTACTGCTTCCGTAGGCCAAACATTCGTTTTCCGCGTTTTTGATTGTGAGAGTGGAAAGTAATCCAATGTATCCGTGGCCATTCCCTCCTTCTGAAGTTTCCCAAACACGTGCACCTTGAGGATAATTTTCACAATGAATAGGAGAAATATAAAACAATAAAAGCATTAAAACAGCTACTACTATTACTATTAAATGTGACATTGTGATGTATTATTTATCTATTATTATTATTATTATTATTATCTCTCTCTATTTTAATTTATGAATGTCAAAGTATACACTTTATCACACCTTTTAAATGATGTCACTTTGGCGACAGTTGGTTGACTAAACATCATTTTGAGTGATTCCCATCGCATGCATTGTCCGATCGATGCCAACAATCAATCAAAGCCAATTTCTTTGGGTCAAAAAATGGCAGTCAGCACCACGCCATAGTTATGCATCGACAGACACAAACCACCGATCGATATAAATCACTATATTATTTCGGTTGCTTGTTGATTTTGCTTTGGTTTATGTTGTTTGGCTTTGGTATATGTGTCGTGTGGTGATTAGACAGTTGAACTACCAATTCGAGAGAATGTGATGGTAAAGTTGTTCTTTTGTTTGTTGTGATGATAATCTCGCATACATCCTATCCTCTCTCTCTCTCTCAGTCGTTATCTTTATATTACTTGTTTTGGGTATATGTTGTTGTGGTTGTTGAAGGGAAGGTGTGGCTTGAACTTCTATCTAGGGTTGACTTTAACCATATCAAACAAACTAAAGAGTATAGATAGATAGATAGATAGATAATAAATATCAGTAACAATAATATTATTGTACCTTATTCTTTAGAGATCTAGATTCATAATATGTGTGGTTATGAACGAGATTCGATTATTAATAAACCATAGAATGATTGTCAGATGGCCATTTAAAATCATAAATATCTTTCCATGTGAGACGAGCGTTGAAGATATTATTTCAATCTTGAAAATATCATAACTTTTGATTTAACTTACTATTGTTGATAGGTAAAATAACAGGGGTGGCCCACTGTTATTGCCTCCGGACCTATAGATATGATTCAGAGAAAGATATCAAAGTTTTAATCAAGATCTTCTTTCCTGATATGTCTGATTATTGTTGTCTTCTGTCTGAGGGAATTGAGTGTTCTCCTACGCGTCTTTCACTCTCTACACTTTTCCACTGATCAGTAATGGTCTCTTTAAAGATAAACTCATATATCTCTATCTAGTACTATTTATCTATATTTATATATATATATACACAAATATATGATGATGATATCAAATAAATTAATATTATATTATATATTTGTATTGGTATCACTATCATTTTCGTTTACAAGTTCGCAAGTAATACCTGATGATGAACGTATGTTTGATCGATTAGTTAAAAATGAGAGAGATAAAGGTTAACTTTTGTTTTTTATTAATTTTTTATTATTTTGTACATTATCTCATCATTCAATAAAACTAGTTGCATCTGCTATATTTTTAATTAGGTAAGTATCTGTATATATTTAGAGATAGAGATAGAGATAGAGATATCACCTGCATGCAGTTCAAGCAACTAATAAATTACTATTTAATCATTGCAAAATAAAGACAATATGGACGAACCATAGCACAGGATCAAACATTATGTACGACAACAACAGAAATAACATGTGGTACTGATACTTTTGATGGACAATACCGTATTACTGCAATGTAACTATAAATATTTATAAAATCATATGCATATTCGTGGAGATAAGATCGAAGAAGCACATAAGAATAATACTAAGATTTATTATTAATATTAATTAAATTTAGAGTATTTTTAGTTGGTTCTTTTACAGATGTTGGTATACCAGAACCTACTACAGTACTTAGTTTACCAGCCCTGGTGATATTCAGAGTTGACGTTACAGTGCCAGGAACACCTGTATCCAATCCATCGTTGAATGTCTTGGAACAAATTAAACATTTAAAAAATTTGACATCGATTGTTATCAATTCTGATCCAACGTGTACTGCTATTCCTGCTGATTTTATCAATTTTGACAAACTAAACACCATTGTTCTTGGTGGAAATGGTCTGACAGTAATACCTCCTTCCTTTTTAGACGGTGCCAATTCAGAGCTAGTATCGATCACCATCGATGAGCCCATTTCACAAGTTTCGATCATCGAGAATAGAAGCTTTCCAAAGTTATATTATTTAACACTTACTACTAATTGTATTCTTGGTGGTCCATGTATTATTAATGTAACATCCACATACTATCCTAATTTAAGTAGATTGTAAGTTTATCTATCGTTTGTTATCTCTTCATATAACATTCATTTAATTTAATTAACAACAAACTATATAATAATCTTTTATTACTATTTTTATTTTTATTATTATTATTATTATTATTATTATTATTATTATTATTATTATTATTATTATTATTATTATTATTATTATTATTAGAGAGATACAAATGCTTCAAAATTCATATATAAATGTTGGTTATTATATTAATATAAATACTGGATCAAATGCATTGTAAGTACTCGATAGAATACATTGACATTCATGTGTATCCATGCATCATGATCTAACCTGCTTATTAATTTATTATTATTATTATTAGAGTTTGTAATGATGTTTCTAATGGTGCTCAATGTCACTTGACGATAGGATATCCTTCTTATTTATCCATTTTGTATGATTATAATATCATTTAATTATGATATGTTTCAACCTTAACCTAATATTCTAATATTATTATTATAATTTAGACAAATTTCAGGTCAGGGATCTACTTATAGTCCTCCTATTGACGCAAGTTCATATTCCATGCTTTATGATTTAAGATTAGAAAGAATGGGGTTGACAACATTTCCTTTAGCATCCTACCCTCCTTTATCCCTTTTGTATGCATGATTATTTAAATAGATTAGTTATATAATTAATGGAATCAATTGATCTAAACTAACCTTTTATTTTTAATGATTAGGAATTTGATTGGTAACTCAATTTCAACTATTCCAAGTTTACCAGTACCAGCATCTTTACAAACTTTGAGATTAAAAAATAATTTACTTACCACTTTGGATTTTAGCATGTTCTCCAATAATAATGGACTCGACCTTTTAGAACTCAGTGGTAATACAAACTTTGCAACTATCACAAATCAGTATTGTAAACATAAAATATCTATCCTATCGACAGCAGTTACCACGGTGCCAGATTGTTTCTGGTGTTATTCAGGTCTTACTGGTGTTTTAATCTCCGATTTACAACGTCCAGCGAATTTTAATTGTGTTGGTAAGTTGGTGATAAACTAACTTATTAAATTAATTAATTAACATTAATATTGATATTAATATTTATTCGTCTTATATTATACTTAGTTAAAATTAATGCAGCTTCTAATTTACTTGCAACAAATATGGGATCTGTCATTATTACAGGAGAAAATTTGGGATATGGTCACCAAGATTTTGGTTATAGAATTATAAAAATGATTCCAAACGCTCAAATGCATTTATCTGTGGACACAATACCGATGAATCCAACAAACTATACATTGAAACTCTCTTCATTCGTAAACCCACCTACACTCAATGTAACTGTGGTTGAGGGTATTGTCAGCATCCAATCGGTCAGTGCACAAGAGACGGGTAACAGCACCATTATCAAATTTCATATGATCTCCTACAACCCGTATTTTAGTCACACCGTTCTTATTGGCACCACTCTATGCGCCAACATTACCGACATTGCTCCGTTGCGATTCGATTGTACTGTACCTCCACTCGCGACAGGTGTATACACGGTTAGAATATACAACTCGTTCTACGAGCAAGCCATGCCAATCAACTTTACATTCTCGTACCCCGTTGTCAATGCGATCACTCCACTCCCTGCTCTAATGGGCTCCAACATCACATTGGCTGGTTATTTCGGACTCAACTTTATCAATCCATCCATATCGTTCATGGACCAGTCTGGTGGTGCTTCGATTGCCGAGTGTGACATTAAAGTAATGGAGGAAAATAGAATTATTTGTCAGTCAAACATAGCTATATCCAATAATGCCCGAGTACTTGTCGAGATTAATTCAATCAACACTACATTTATCATTACTCCTCAGTATATTTGTCAACAAAGAACAAATAATTGTTCAGGTAATGGTCAATGCGATGCAATTCAAGGTGTTTGTATTTGTAAAAGTAATGCATTTTATAATGATTGTTCAAAACGTATGTAAATTAAAATTATAAGAGTAGATTTCTAATTATTTAAATAATAATAATTTATTTTACTTTACTTTTAATTTAGCATATCCAATTATTAGTTCAGCAAGTTATGATTCAACAAATACAAAAAATGTTATATTGAATGGTGATTTTGGACCTTATACAATAACAAATTCGATAATCAAGATTAATAATACTTTGGATTGTGCAGTTAGTTTTGTTTTACAGCAATTAATTAATTGTACTTTAGGTCAATCACCAAATTATGGACTGTCATCTGTTCATCTAGAAATTTATTCTGCTACCAATAGCATAGATACAACTGTAAGAAATATATTATATTTACGTCCCCCTACAAATAATAATGGAGGAACAACCACTACTACCACCACATCAACAACAGGAGGATCACTCACTCCACAGGAACAATGTGAAAAAGATACATTCAATTGTTATGGACATGGTAAATGTGATATTAATGGAATATGTCAATGTGATGATAATTATAATCCTGTTGATAATTGTTTTACAAAGTGTATGTATCATTAAAATTATTTAAATAATTTTTTGTATTTGTTAACAAAAATATTCTTACTTTATTTTAAATAATACAGTTTCCAATACAACAATCAAACCAAATACAACATCACCAACAGTATCATTTGATATTGATGGAATTGATTTCCAATTTGAAATTGTATCAATTCAAGAATTGGATTTGGATGCAGTGGTATTGAAAGAATTATTTATTTCAAATTATTCATGGAATGTAAATGTATCAAGCAATAATATCATAACCATTGTCAACTATCAATTAAATACAACTACAAATTCCTCTTCATCCTCTCCATCCTCTTCATTCCAATCAGTATTGGTATCATCAACCATTTCATTTTCAACACAATCAAGAGATATTCAATTTGGTGATCAAACACTTCACATCAATCCCAATTCTATTAAATTGGCAGTCAACATCACCAACTGGCAATATTCATCCAATTTGGCAACACTCAGAGTTGTATTTAGAACAATCATCAACAACAATCAAACTGTAGAATATGATTGTGAAGATAAAAACGTGGAACCGTTGACATACGACTCGGTATCATCATTACAATATCTTAGGGTTGTCAAAGATAATGTACAATTCAATGGTAGATTTATTGATTTTGCATTATCAGATGGTAGACCAACCTATTCACAAACACAACTCATATCATTGTCTCAACATCCCAACAATGATGAACAATCGATTGCAATGATTGGTATTAATTTCCCACAATGCAAGTCGTGTGTTCTCGATCCTGATTTCACACCATTACTCATCGACAAAGAGAATGATAGTGGTTGTGGTGATGACTCCAAATCAAACACATGGCGTATTATTGTTGGTGCAGTTGTTGGTGGTGTTGGTGCTGTAGCTATTGTTACTGCATCAATAATCACTATTAAAAAGATACAAAAAAGAAACAAATTTAATGCTCATGTTCAAAGTAAATTAAAACAAATCAACTAAATAAATAAATAAATAAATGACCTTATTAATAACACACAAAGTAATAAAATGTGAGTGAGATTAGATTCTTTTAGTAGTTATTAAAAGTCAAATTATCATAAACCAAGGTGGGTCGTCGTCGATTTGGTTTGGATCATAATACCGATACTCGATCCAATATTTTATCCGCTGCAAATATCTAGTTATTTTAAAAAATATCCAACTAGCGACTTGATTCAGGGATGTGGAGATTTATTTGATCTTTTCCCCAATCTTCATTTTGCAACCATCTTCGTCGCGCGATATGATATTCAAAGTTTGTAGATACGAAATTATTCTACACCCAATATTTATATTTATCTGTATCAATATTAATAAGTAATAATGAAAGGTACTTGTTGTATTTTTAATTTTTTGCTGCTTTTTTTGATGTTCACGAGTGTGGTGTACACACAAGCAAACTTGCCACCTAGTGAAAGTAAGTTAGAAGATTATTATCACATTATCATTCATTACTTTGTTGTATTAATATATTAATTAATTATAAACTATACACTACAGTCGCATCAGCAGTTTTTATTATTAGGTTTGTATTTTATAGAGAGGAAGGGAGATATTCATATATATGAATTGAATTAATATTAATATTCTGTTTACTTACTCTATATTTCTATGTATTGATATTTTAGACAATATGGTCTTACTACATTTCAAGATAATAGATTATGTTCATTAGTTTTCTTTTGTGAGAATTTACCTGATGGTTTTACTCATATCACTCAAATGTAAGATATCTTAGAAAGATGATTAATCACGCTTGGTGTGTTCTTGTGAGATTCAATTTCATTAATGTTATTTCATGTTTACTACTATTTAGTTCAATCATAGTCAACACTTTTACAAATGTTGGAATACCAGACCCTAATACTGTATTGGATCTGCCTTACTTGCGACTCTTTAACTTACTTTACAAGGATCCTTCAAAACAGGTTGCCAATCAGACCATCAATTTATTAGAGTACATGAGACCATTGACGAATCTGACCTCTATCAATATCGTTTCCGACCCTTCCTTGACGTATTTACCAACAACAGGATTTGATTCACGTGCTAAACTTGAAATGTTTACTGTGGATTCTATTAACATACGTGCCGTTCCAGAGGGTTTCTTAAACAACTCGATCAAACTGAATTTCCTCCAATTCCTGGCGCCCATCGAATCGATAGTCATTGACGATTCATACAATTTCCCATCTTTAAAGACACTACAAATACATTCAAATCGTACCACTGCTAGTCTTGGATTACATTTCCTCAACATTACAACAAAATCATTTCCAATTTTGGAAAATTGGTAAGTAGATAAGTATATATATATTTCAATTATATAATATATATTAACAACATTTGTTGTTTTGTTGTTGAATATAGTAATATTGTTAGTTTACCAGGATCAAATACAACGGTTTATCATTCAATTTCGAATCTCAACTCATTGTATTGCGGTGCTCTAGATGAAAATGGAGGGGATTGCCATTTGGTAATTGGTAATCCTCAAAGTTCACAATTTGTGTATGTATTGTATAAAGAAAGAAATACAAACAGTCAAACTGTATGATCATTTTACTCAATTTACTTTTTTTTCTAGAACGGTTAGAGGACATCAGTCTACCTTATCACCCTTTCCTATTGTAGGATCGGATTTCCCAGAGTTAAAGTTTCTTACACTAGGTTATATGGATTTAGTTAGCTGGCCAGTTCAGAGTTACCCTCCAAAATTAGTTGTTTTGTATGTATTTTTAAAAAATAATATTTTATATAGTAATAATATAATATAATAATAATAATCATTAATTAATTAATACTTTTCATTTATATTTTAATAATAGGAATTTATCAAATAATAAATTCACAACAGTTTCACCTTTACCAGTACCAAAGAGTGTAAGCAACTTTATGGTTGCAGATAATGAATTGACAGGTGTCATTGACATAGACTCGATCTTTTCAAATAATAATGGTGGAGTATTATCATTTGAAAACAACCTCGGCCTGGACCAACCCCTTTCCAATAACAACTATTGTAAACATCAACTGTATATTCGTAACACGTCAATTCCATCGGTACCACCATGCTTTTGGTGTTATAAAGAATATCGAACAACAGGCTTTGTTGTTTTTGAAACTGATTTGTCACTTCCATCAGGTTTTACTTGTCCTTGTATGTAATCAATCGAGATATAAACAATAATAATAATAATTATGAATAATAATATTTTTAAAAGAATTTCTTTCTAACTGTTGTTTTTTATTTCTTTTTTTTGATTTTCTTTCAAAAGATAATCTTAATGTACCAATGTTGGTGACAAGTAATAAGACTGTTAATTTTACAGGTAGCAATGTTGGATGGGGTAGAGTACAAACACCCAATTATACTCTGACCAGTATTATACCCAATAATCAGATGGTTGCAGTATTTGATCAAGCTTACCAATATCCAACCCTCTTTCCTTTCAAACTTGCTCCGTTTGTCAGTCCACCACTAGTCAACATCAACGTGATTGAAGGTGGTGTCAAAATTGGCAACATCACAACCCAACAAACACCAAATGTAACCACTATCATTGTAACAATGAGCGAATACAACTCGTATTTCTCACATTTCTTTGTCGTCGATGCTTCCACCACATGCACTAATATATCCAACCCCCAATCGAATAAGTTTGTGTGCCAAGTGCCACCACTCACAAGTGGAATCCACCAATTGTCTGTCTGGAATGATTATTACAGTCAAGCTTTGTCATTCTCCTTTGACGCTACGTATCCAAACATCATAGAAGTCACCGGTCTACCTTCTCCTCTGGGATCAAACATTACATTGACTGGTAATTTTGGTACGTTGGTTAGTGGCTTGCAAGTCTCTATCCTTAATGGCCGTATGGATACTGCACAATGCGTCGTCAAATCGGTAACAACGACGACCATTATATGCGAGACTGGTATGTCAATAGTAAACACGCAAGTAGATATCATAGTTGATGTCGATGGCTATCAGGCATCATACCTCGTTACCCTATTTGAACTCTGTACATTAACAACAAATAATTGTCATGGTAATGGTGTTTGTGATCATTCAGGAGATTGTATATGTAATAGAACTGGATTTTATAATGATTGTTTTAAACGTATGTCATTGTTGAAAAAAATTATATATTAGACCTATTAATTATTAAAATCAATAATATTAATTATTTACTATAATTAGCATATCCAATTATTAGTTCAGCAAGTTATGATTCAACAAATAACAAGTTGGTTACATTAAATGGTGATTTTGGTCCATATCCTATAACAAATGTAATGATAAAGATTAATAATACTTTGAATTGTACTGGAAATGATAAATCACAATTCCAAATTAATTGTACTTTAGAACAATCACCACCTTTTGGTTTGTCATCTGTTTATTTACAATTAAATAATCAAGTAGACGGATTAAATACAACTGCAAGAAATATATTGATTTTACGTCCGACCGGTAATGGAGGTGGATCAACTACTACAACAACCACCACTACCACCACATCAACAACATCAGGAGGATCATCAAATACACCACAACAACAATGTGAAAAAGATACATTCAATTGTTATGGACATGGCAAATGTGATAATAATGGAATATGTCAATGTGATGACAATTATAATCCTGTTGATAATTGTTTTACAAAGTGTATGTATCATTAAAATTATTAAATTATTTAATTGTTTATTTAATTAATTTAACTGTTTACTAATTAAATTAATTATTTTTAAATATTAATATAGTCACAAATACAACTATCAAACCAAATACAACGGACCCAACAGTATCATTTGATATTGATGGAATTGATTTCCAATTTGAAATTGTATCAATACAGGAATTAGATTTGGATGGTAATACAATCCTCAAAGAATTATTTATTTCAAATTATTCATGGAATGTAAATGTATCAAGCAATAATATCATAACCATTGTCAACTATCAATTAAATACAACTACAAATTCCTCTTCATCCTCTCCATCCTCTTCATCCTCATTCCAATCAGTATTGGTATTATCAACCATTTCATTTTCAACACAATCAAGAGATATTCAATTCGGTGATCAAACACTTCACATCAATCCCAATTCTATTAAATTGGCAGTCAACATCACCAACTGGCAATATTCATCCAATTTGGCAACACTCAGAGTTGTATTTAGAACAATCATTAATAACAACCAATCAGTTGAATATGAATGCGAAGATAAACAAATTGAATCATTAACATATGACTCGTTATCATCATTACAGTACCTCAGAGTTGTCAAGGATAACGTACAATTCAATGGTAGATTTATTGATTTTGCATTATCAGATGGTAGACCAACTTATTCCCAAACACAACTCATATCATTAACACAATCGGATGGTGGAGATGATGAACAATCAATTGTAATGATTGGTGTTGGTTTGCCACAATGTAATGAATGTGTTCTCGATCCTGATTTCACACCATTACTCATCGACAAGAGTGAATGTGGTCACTCTGATAGTTGGAGAATCATTGTTGGTGCTGTCGTCGGTGGTGTTGGTGGAGCTGCTATAATTGTCGCGTCAGTCTTAACCTATTTGAAAATACGAAAGGGTAAGATATTTGACCAACGTTTATCCGTCAAGATGAAAGGGATGGGTCAATAAAATAAATAAAATAATCATCATACTGGTACCAGTATTTTATGGTGGTTAAACAAATAAAATAATATCTCAGAGTAGAGTATACTCTTTAAGGTGAATAGGATATTTCATCGGCTCGTAGTTACACGATTTACTATTGATGATCCATAAAATTTATAAAAGTATAGATATTTAAAAGATCAGAAATCTACTCCACCCCGATAACATCACACCAGTTTTATCCACCATGTTCGATGGTCTCGGATAAAAAATGTATAAATTAAAGGTCGATAAATATCTCGATCGTGTTCAATCCTAACCTCCTTTCAGCTGTACTTCAATTAATTATGTTACAATTGAATCACTCTCTAATTTATCTACAAATAAACACACTCATAAAAATGAAATGTATTTTTAATAATTTTCTCATTGTATTTTATATCTTTTTTGTAATTGTATCATTATTATTATTATCTAGTTTCCCATTAGTAGTTCATTCACAGCAACAAATACCAGAAGAAGAACGCAAGTATTTCAATTTAACAATTTAAATAGTACAGTATAGTATTAATACCTAAAATCGATCTCAATATTTATTATTATAGTTGAATCAGCAATATGGCTTATTAGGTGTGTATTCATTATGATCATATGATCAATCACTCACTCTAGTTATGTGCTTTATACGACGTACTTACTCATTCACATCTCTTTCATTTATAAAGACAATATGGACAAAACATACCACAGAGTCAAGCATTATGTGCAGTAACTTCAACTTTTCAATGCGGTAATCAAACTTTTGATGGACAATACCGTATCGTTAATATGTATGTTATGATTAGTTATGAGGTGATAATATATTAATCATGATGATATAATATGATTGTACTTATATATATATATATTTCATTTGTATTTATTTTTTATTTACTCATGAGTATAGAAGTATGACAGTATCAACAATTAATAATACTGTTGGTATGCCAAACCCAGCTATCGCATCACTAAAGCTACCTGCACTGATGTCATTTTACTTGGGCGTTTATGACGGATCTGGTAAAACCGTGGCCAATAAGTCCATGTCTCTTTTAGAGTATATCAAACCGTTAAAGAATATAACGATGATTCATATTAGGACCGATCCAACTATAGCAGTGATTCCAACAGACTTTACCGATTTTCCCTACCTTACATCGGTCACTTTAAATGGAAATCCTGGTTTAACAGCCATTCCACCAAACTTTTTAAACAACTCTGTTAGGCTACAAACAATAGCGCTCTATCAACCAATCGAATCGATAACTATCGACACTTTGTCGTATTTCCCATCTCTCATTGCTTATTCAGTCACTTCCAATTGTACTGGTGGTCCACAATGTAAATTTCATCTCACTACACAATCATTTCCCGTTTTAACAGGTTTGTAAGTATTACAGTCCAACAGACATGCCACAGCAAATGTTTGAAACAATTCAAGATAAATATGTGTGTTGACTAATCTAATCTAAAACACAACTCTTATTTTTATTTAACAATTAGCCAAGTTCATTCTATTGCTGGATCAGTTTCCAATGTAAATTTTGATATTTGTTACAGCCCTGCCAACACCACTTCAATGTACGTATATTATAACTATTAATGTTAACATATCATATTCGAAACAAATTGTTTGATCTCTAACATAATAATAATAATATTATTTTAATTCTAGATATTGTGGAATCCAAACCGCAACTTGTAACTTTGTATTTGGATGTCCATCTTATTTAAATTATTTGTAAGTTTAATTAAACATTCATTACACACCATTATAATTAAAATGAATACTAATTTAAATTTCATTCCTTGTGTTTATATTCCTTTTTTTTTTTAGAACTATTCTTGGACCTTCGTCAACCATTTCACCCCCTGTAAGTGCATCTGTGTATTCCGGACTCCGATATTTCAAATTTGCCTATTCCGGTCTAACTTCTGTCCCAGTCTCCACTTACCCCCCGCTAATACAATATTTGTATGTTAATTGCAATTTATATAATAACGATCTCTTATTCAATTTTGTTTATTTATGTATTAATTTTTACTGTTATCAACAACAAAAGGGATTTTCCAAACAATGCTTTGACAGTCTATCCCAACACTTATAGTGTACCTCCAAGTCTGTTACTTCTCAATTTACCCTATAATAACCTGGTTAATTTTGATGTTGATACAATCCTTGCCAACAATAATGGACTCAACAGACTAGATTTTACCAACAACCTTAACTTTGTTGGTCCCATCACAAACTCTTATTGTAAACACCGTTTATATATCAAAAACACTGCTGTTACAACCCTACCAGACTGCATCTGGTGCTGGTATAACACCTCCAAATTAGGAATGGATTATGTAACCATCGAGACCAATTTGTTGCCACCACCTGACTTTGTTTGTAATTGTATGTTCATTTTAAAAAAAAAAAAAAAAAAAAAAAAGATTATTAATACTTTTTATTTTTATATTTTATAGTTTCTATTTTAAATTCGAATTTAATAGTAACAAATGCTGGTAAAGTAACTATTTATGGAAATAATATTGGGTTTGGTCAAGTATCAACTCCACAATACAAGATAACTGCTATTATTCCCAACATTCAACTATTAATCGATTTTAAGCAACCCGTACCATTTTATCCAACACCAACCAACATTTCTTTGGGTATGTTTATCAATGCCCCCATATCGCAAATATCAATTGTTGAAGGTGGTGTAGATATTGGTCAAATCATAGCGGAGCAGAGTTGCCCACACACAATATTATTCATGTCGATGAAAATATACAATTCATTCTTTGTACATGACGTGACGATTAATGCTGTGCCATGTGTCACTCTAACCAATGGCACAGTTGCCGATGAACTAATATGTACTCTCCCTCCACTCACTGCCGGAACACATACGCTCTACATGACCAATGGCCATTTCTCGGAATCTGTAGAGTTTGATTTCGAGACTACTTATCCAGTCGTCAATGCTGTTACTCGTCTGCCAGCACCTCAGGGAACCAATATTACATTGACTGGAAACTTTGGTGCCAATTTAAACGGTCCTTATGTTAACTTGACAACAATCTCTAGTTCCACAGCCTGTACCGTCCTTTCAATCACTCTGTCGACCATTGTATGCGAGACTAGTATCCCAATCGCCCATGAGCTGGTGACAGTATATGTGACCGTCGATGGATACACCTCTCCCGCCTTTTACATCACCCTCAACAATATTTGCCAGCAATCAACAAATAATTGTACGGGTAATGGTCTATGTGATATGAATGGACAATGTATATGTACAAGTAATGCATTTTATAATAATTGTTCTAAACGTATGTAAATTTAAATTAAAATTAAATATTATTTAAATTATTAATTATTTTTTATTTATGATATAGCATATCCAATTATTAGTTCAGCAAGTTATGATTCAACAAATAACAAGTTGGTTTCATTGAATGGTGATTTTGGTCCATTTGGACAAGTAAATCCAACAATCAAGATTAATAATACTTTGGATTGTACTGTTAATTATAAATCTCAATGGGTATTGAATTGTACTCTTGATCAATCACCAAATTATGGGTTGTCATCGGTTTATTTACAAGTAGATAGCTTAAATACAACTGCGAGAAATATATTGGTATTACGTCCTCCTAATAATGGAGGTGGATCAACTACTACAACAACCACCACCACAACATCAGGAGGACCATCACTCACTCCACAGGAACAATGCGAAAAAGATACGTTCAATTGTTATGGACATGGTAAATGTGATATTAATGGAATATGTCAATGTGATGATAATTATAATCCTGATGATAATTGTTTTACAAAGTGTATGTATCATTAATGACGTATAGTATATTTAATAATTATATCAATCAAATGAAGAAAATTAATTAAACTAATTTTATTTTATTTTTAAATATAGTCACAAATACAACAATCAAACCAAATACAACAGACCCAACAGTATCATTTGATATTGATGGAATTGATTTCCAATTTGAAATTGTATCAATTCAAGAATTGGATTTGGATGGTAATACAATCCTCAAAGAATTATTTATTTCAAATTATTCATGGAATGTAAATGTATCAAGCAATAATATCATAACCATTGTCAACTATCAATTAAATACAACTACAAATTCCTCTTCCTCTCCACCGTCTTCATTCCAATCAGTATTGGTATCATCAACCATTTCATTTTCAACACAATCAAGAGATATTCAATTCGGTGATCAAACACTTCACATCAATCGCAATTCAATTAAATTGGCAGTCAACATCACCAACTGGCAATATTCATCCAATTTGGCAACACTCAGAGTTGTATTTAGAACAATCATTAATAACAACCAATCAGTTGAATATGATTGCCAAGATAAAAACGTGGAACCATTGACATACGACTCGTTATCATCATTACAATACCTCAGAGTTGTCAAAGATGATGTACAATTCAATGGTAGATTTATTGATTTTGCATTATCAGATGGTAGACCAACTTATTCACAAACACAACTCATATCATTAACACAATTATTGGATGGTGGAGATGATGAACAATCGATTGCAATGATTGGTATTAATTTCCCACAATGTAATGAATGTGTTCTCGATCCTGATTTCTCACCATTACTCATCGACAAGAGTGAATGTGGGGAAGGACAATCAAACACATGGCGTATTATTGTTGGTGCAGTTGTTGGAGGTGTTGGTGCTGTCGCTATTGCCGTTGCTTCATTCCTCACCTACAAAAAGTTAATGAAAGCTAAAAATTATGACCAAAGCATATCTCATAAGTTAAAGAATATCGAGAACAATTAATAAACAGCATTGCTCCACTTCTGAATGAAATTTATCTCGAGATAACAATTAATCTCGAAATCTAGATATTTCAAATTAACAAGATCACGTGATCTTCGTATGACGAGTTTTATTCCTCGTTTTGATAGATTTTTATTTAATAAATATCACCAAGGCGCACACATCCATCAATATGGATCATATCATGATCTGTAATAATTATTTGGGTTTGGTAATGTTGTGGTGATCGTGGTATGATCATCCACTGGTTGTTTTAAAACTATTGTTTGTAACCACTAAAAGCACGATCATGGCAAACATCAACAGTAAATTTGTATTATATGTATTTATCTTTTTCTTTTCAACAGTTTTACTTGGTTCTACAAATGTAGTTTCGCAACCTCTCCTTCCCGCTCTTGAGCGTAAGTGCTTTAACTATACTAATAATAATTCGAGATTTTCAAAACTAATTGTATACTCTTTATTTATTTATTACAATTTTAGTTGAATCAGCTGTTTTTGTTATAAGAGTTTATGGTCTAACAACACAGCAAGATCAAACATTATGTGGAGCTGTGTTTACGTGTTCGGCATTCCCGGATGGATATTTACATGTTATTAGAATGTAAGAACATTATCAGGTTAACCCCTTTAAATATTATTATTATTATTACTGCCTAGCTCTGTTTTTTAATCAATATTTATTAATATTATACTTTTTATTTTATGTTAGACAGATAATGTTATCTACTTTTACAGGTGCTGGTCAACCGAATTCTAGTTTAACGACACTTTATTTTCCAAAGTTGACAGTGTTTGAAGTATCGGCATCTTCTTTGCCACCATTCAATATTATGGATAGAATGACATCACTAAAAACTTTGAGAGATATTAACATTGTTGATGCATCTTTAACCTACTTGCCATCTGACTTTACAGGCTTTCCGGAACTTGCCACCTTTTCAATCTCTGGTACCCAGGCCAAAAGTATTCCATCAAACTTTTTAAACAACTCTACCCCATGGTCGATAAAATTTGAAGGACCATTCGAGTTAATATCCTTTGACGATACATTGTATCTCCCAGAGTTGACGCATATGTATATTAAAAATTCGAATTTTAGTAACTCTATCATAGATTTAACCCCTCAGAGTTTCCCCAAACTTTCAACCTTGTAAGTACATTTATAAATTTATTTATAATACATACATTTTTTAATTACCATTCTATATATATATATTAAACTCTAGAGAGGTAAATTTCATGAATGCTGGATCCTCTTTGACAATCAACCACCAGATACCTATTTTACCATTTTATTTGTATGTATAAATCATTTAAATATTGAATTTATTGGGATACAAATAACTAACAAACTGACTAATCATCCCCATTAGAACTTGTACTTCAATGGGATCTATTACTGATAATAAATGTCAAATTAATCTCGATCATCCTGAAACGTTGCAAGTTTTGTAAGTTAACGTAATTTAAATTCAAACAAAGTAGTATATAAATAGTTAACCATCTATTTTATTTTAGGTTAGTCACAGGACCTCAATCAACCATTTCACCACCAATTGGTTCGGCATATCTAACATTGGGTTCCCTTTCTTTGCAATCGATGGCATTAACCAACTTTCCACTCTCCTCTTATCCTCCTACCTTGAAAAGTTTGTAAGGTGTTGCTCCCCTTTTCCACTTTGTAATTTAGTTTATTTATTCATCTTTTTTTTTCTATAGAAATTTAGGATACAATCAGTTAACAACAATTCCTGCAATTGATGTTCCACCTTCTTTAGTTTCATTGGGTTTACAAAACAACCAATTGTTAGAACCAATACCCATGACTATCTTTAACAATAATCTTGGATTGACTAAATTTGATTTACAAAACAATCCAACATTTACAGGTCCTATCACCGAAGACTATTGTATCCATCAGCTGTATATCATGAACACTGGTATTATAACACTACCTGATTGCATTTGGTGTTGGAAAAATGTAACAAATCTAGTTACCGTATCAACCAGCCTTCCCTATCCAACATCAGGTGTTAACTGTAATGATTGTATGTGTAAAAAAAAAAAAGAATTTAATTGTTCAAATACTAATTCAATCTAACTATAGATAAAATTGACAATTCTAGTAGGATTCTAGTAAAGAATAATACCGTAGAAATTACTGGAACTAATATTGGATGGGGATTTGTTTCGGCGGCAAACTACACGACAAGAAGAATAATTGCCAATACCATGATTCAAATAGTATTCAATTACCAAGTACCAAACAATCTTACACCAGTTATTTTGGATTTAGGAACATTTGAAGGGGCACCACACGCTCAATTTCAAATCATCCAAGGTGGTATTTTCATCAATTCAGTGATTGCTCAACAACAACCAACAGGTACATCTGTAACTGTTAAAATGGACTTGTACAATCCTTTCCTTGTCTATACACTCCGTATCGATGGTACAATAGATTGCAACACTACTATACTTTCGCAAACAGAATTTATAGCCATGTGTCCTCCTATCTCTTCAGGTGAACACTTTGCCTACGTCCTAAATGAAAAATATGCCCAATATAAAGATTTTGACTTTACGTTGGAGTATCCAATTGTAACCACGGTAACACCTGTTCCATCACCCCAAGGATCGCTTATCACTTTGACTGGTAATTATGGAAATACATTTTCATCTCCATCTGTCAAATTTATGGCTGAAAATACCGAGATTGCACAATGTCCTATACAATCGATTAATTCAACAGTCATTACATGTCTAGCTGGTTTGGCAATCGAAAATCAACAAGTAGAGTTGTTAATTACCGTTGATGGATTCTCCACCTCTTATATAATTTCCATGAAAGATATTTGCCAACAATCAACAAATAATTGCAATGGAAATGGTGGTTGTAATAATAATGGTATCTGTGTTTGTTCCAGTCCTTCTTTTTATAATAATTGTTCTAAACGTATGTAAATTAAAAAATGGTTTAATCTTTTTTTTTTAATTCCTTTTCCTAATTAATATAAAAATAATTCTTTTTAATACACATTAGCATATCCAATTATTAGTTCAGCAAGTTATGATTCAACAAATAACAAGTTGGTTTCATTGAATGGTGATTTTGGTCCATTTGGACAAGTAAATCCAACAATCAAGATTAATAATACTTTGGATTGTACTGTTAATTATAAATCTCAATGGGTATTGAATTGTACTCTTGATCAATCACCAAATTATGGGTTGTCATCTGTTCAACTACAAGTAGATAGCTTAGATACAACTGCCAGGAATATATTGATATTACGTCCGACTGGTAATGGAGGTGGATCAACTACTACAACAACAACCACCACTACTACATCTTCCACATCAGGAGGATCACCAGGTACTCAACAAGAAAAATGTGAAAAAGATACATTCAATTGTTATGGCCATGGTAAATGTGATATTTATGGAATATGTCAATGTGATGATAATTATAATCCTGATGATAATTGTTTTACAAAGTGTATGTATAATTAACAAAAATTATTGTTAACTAATTATTAACTTTTTATTATTTATTTTAAATAATACAGTTTCCAATACAACAATCAAACCAAATACAACGGACCCAACAATATCATTTGATATTGATGGAATTGATTTCCAATTTGAAATTGTATCAATCCAAGAATTAGATTTGGATGGTAATACAATCCTCAAAGAATTATTTATTTCAAATTATTCATGGAATGTAAATGTATCAAGCAATAATATCATAACCATTGTCAACTATCAATTAAATACAACTACAAATTCATCATCCTCTCCATCCTCTTCATCCTCATTCCAATCAGTATTGGTATCATCAACCATTTCCTTTTCAACACAATCAAGAGATATTCAATTTGGTGATCAAACACTTCATATCAATCCCAATTCTATTAAATTGGCAGTCAACATCACCAACTGGCAATATTCATCCAATTTGGCAACACTCAGAGTTGTATTTAGAACAATAATTAATAACAATCAAACTGTAGAATATGATTGTCAAGATAAAAACGTGGAACCATTAACATACGACTCGTTATCATCATTACAATACCTCAGAGTTGTCAAGGATAACGTACAATTCAATGGTAGATTTATTGATTTTGCATTATCAGATGGTAGACCAACCTATTCACAAACACAACTCATATCATCAACACAATTGGATGGTGGAGATGATGAACAATCAATTGCAATGATAGGTATTAATTTCCCACAATGTCATGAATGTGTTCTCGATCCTGATTTCACTCCATTACTCATCGATAAGGGAAATGACAGTGGTTGTGGCAATGACAAACAATCAGATACATGGCGTATTATTGTTGGTGCAGTTGTTGGAGGTGTTGGAGCTATAGCTATTGCCGTTGCTTCATTCCTCACCTACAAAATGATACAAAAGAAAAGAGCCTTTAACAAACATATTACAAACAAGCTGAAAACATTTGACAATATAAATCTTAAAAGATATAAGACCCGGATTGAACTTGAGAGGTGGTGAACAGTTAAACACCACCCATGACAACAGTACAGTCCCTTCGTCAACTTTGTTTTGAGTCGAATGAAATCAAGATTTTAAAAATATCAAAGTTCTATAACACAATCCTCACTAGGTTTTACACATGGATCGTCACAAAATAAGGTGTCATCGTCGGGAAACCCATCGTTCATCACCCTCGATTCCACCTAGATATTTATGGTTTTAAGTAAAAATCTTATACTCGTTACCGACGACGCATTGGGTTTATCAACCGATTTTTGGATGATCAGCCTTGAAGGAGTGTCAATATATGTCTGTTTGGTTGGCACCCAAAGTTCATTCATTCTTTTAACGAGCTAGAGATACAATACGGATTGTTAACATCGCATCCACACACTAAGGTTCTTTGAACTTTTCTTCTTTGTTTTTTTAAGTAAAGTTAACAGCTGACAGACATTATTATAATAATGAATGTATTATTATATCTACTTATCTTTGTAGTGTTGTTTCAATGTAAACCTGCAGTATCACAATTACAACTTCCAACCCTAGAATGTATGTACACAAAGAGGAAAGAGAATGATTGTAAAGACATGTGTGTTGGAAAAAAAAAAAAAAAGAAAATATTTTTTGTTTAATTGTGCATCAAACGCACGCCCTCTGATGATCATGAAACTTATTTGATTGTATTTATGTATATTATAATATAATAATAATATAATATAATATAGTTGAATCAGCAGTATGGATCATTAGACAATATGGTTTAACAATACCTCAACAACAAGCATCTATATGTGGATCGATATTCATTTGTTTTGATTATCCTGATGGCTTCAAACATATTTTAAATATGTAAGATATCTACCTACAGTTCAACACACACCTGTTGGTTATTAGTACTAATCTTTTATTTCTTTTTTTGTGTTTAGTGATATTGACCATTCTACTTTTACAGATGTTGGAGCACCAGATACCAATTTATTATCCTTGTATTTGCCACAGCTCAATACATTGATATTAAAAGCTGACGATGTTGCAGATCCAACACTCAATATTATGGATCGTATCAAATCACTAAAGACCACCACAACCATGGATTTGGGTGACACATCGATCAATAGTCTGCCAGCAGACTTTACAGACTTTCCATCTCTTCAAGTGTTCACCTGCAAGTGTTCTCTTGTGACGACTATCCCCAAAAACTTTTTAAACAACTCTGCTTATTTGCAACATTTCACATTCGATTCAGCGGGTGTCGGTCTGTTAACTTCAGTCACTGTCGATGACACATTGTATTTCCCAAGACTTAATTACTATACAATAATTTATTCAAAACTTGACCCTGCTTCTCATTTGTTTAATATTACCTCTAAATCATTTCCTTCTTTAGAAAGCTTGTAAGTAACACATTTATTCATTGATCATTTATTCCTCTCTATAGACTTACTAACCAACAATATCGTCGTTATTTTAAAGTGATTTAATCTACATGATGGTAGGATCTCAAGTCACCATTAATTATGATATCTCAAGGACGGATATCCTCTCTGCAGTGTATGTTTAAAAACATGCAGGTCAATTGATAATTATTTACATAAATATTTATATTAACTATTTTCTTCTTTATTAGACAATGTACTGGTAGTGGTGGTTCTCAATGTCACCTAACAGTATCACATCCTGAAGTAGTTAGCTATATGCATGTGTCCCAGCATTCAACATGATGAACCTTTTTAATTAATATTTTTTTTTATTTATATTAGTGGTGTTTCCGGTCCACAATCATCTATTACACCACCTGTTGGTCCAACCTATGTAAATTTAGAAACAGCTGTGTTAGAGTACATGCAATACACTAGTTTTCCTTTCACTGTTTATCCTCCCAAACTAAGAGAATTGTATGTTTAAAAGGGATCCCAATATTCAATTTTGTCAAATATAATTAAACCATTAATCTATTTTATTTCTAATTAGAAATTTACGACAAAATCAAATAACTGCCGTTCCCAACGCAGTTGTTCCATCTACATTGAAAATTTTAATTTTGGGATACAACCAATTAACAGGATCAGCAATACCCGACGGTATATTTGCAAATAATAATGGATTGGATATCTTTGATTTACAAAACAATCCAACATTTACTGGTCCAATCACAACAGACTATTGCAAACACGAGATGAATATTATAAACACTAATGTTCAAGACATACCAGACTGCTTCTGGTGCTATATTAATAGTCCTGGAATTATGCAAACCAATCTTAATATTCCAGGTGGATTTACTTGTAATGATTGTATGTACCCATAATACATTTATTTAAAGATCTTTTTTACCATTTAGGTATTAATATAATTATTTGTTTATTATCAATCAACAACATTAGATTATATTGATAATTCTACAATGATTGTAACCAATAATAGTATTGTTGAAATCACAGGATTTAAAATAGGATGGGGTAACTATTACCAGAATGGTCAGTGCCAAGTAGATAAAGTGGTTGCCAACTCCAAGCTTAAATTAACTTTTGATAACCCCGTTTCCAATACCTTGTCTCCATTCACTGTCGTTTTGGCAAGCTTTTCGAGTGCACCACAAGTACAACTATCAATCATCGAAGGTGGTATTACCATTGGTCAGGTTTCATACCAACCACTGCCACCATTGGTGGTTGTAAATGTTGAAATGATCAAGTACAATCCCTATTTTGATCACACACTAACCATCGATGGTAGTATAACTTGTGCAGTGGGACCAAATGATACAGCTGCCAATTGCCCTCCACTCGAGAGAGGTGTTCGTACTGTTACGATTTCAAATGGACATTACTCTGCCAGTGCCACATTTAATTTTGAAATGGAGTATCCCATTGTAAACAAGGTGACACCCGTTCCAGCTCTACAAGGATCGCTTATAACATTGACTGGTAATTATGGACTTACCTTTTCAACACCATCTGTATCGTTTATGGAAGGAACAGTCGAGATTGCTCAATGTGCAATACAATCGATCAATTCAACAACCATTGTATGTCAAGCTGGTGCACCCATATATGACAAACAAGTAGAGTTGTTAGTGTTGGTCGATGGAGGGTTCTCTACCACTTACATCATTACGGGTATGGAGCTATGTCAATTAACAACCAAAAATTGTTCAGGTAATGGTCAATGTGATGCAATTCAAGGTGTTTGTATTTGTACAAGTAATGCATTTTATAATAATTGTTCAAAACGTATGTAAATTAAAATTATAAGAGTAGATTTCTAATTATTTAAATAATAATATACATTTAATCTAAATATAAATATAAACATTTAAATGTAAAAAAAACAAATATTTATTTATTAATTTAAATATATACACATTAGCATATCCAATTATTAGTTCAGGAAGTTATGATTCAACAAATACAAAGATTGTAACTTTGGAAGGTGATTTTGGACCATTTGGACAAGTAAATCCAATAATCAAGATTAATAATACTTTACAATGCACAGTTGCTGCTAAATCACAATTCAAAATTAATTGTACTCTTGATCAATCACCAACTTTTGGATTGTCATCTGTACAACTTCAAGTAGACACTTTAAATACAACTGCAAGAAATATATTGGTATTACGTCCTCTTCCCAACAATGGAGGTGGAACTACTACTACAACAACAACCACCACCGCCACAGCATCAACAACATCAGGAGGGCCATCCCTAACACCTAAACAACAGTGTGAAAAAGATACATTCAATTGTTATGGACATGGTTATTGTGATGAAAATGGAATATGTCAATGTGAATCTAATTATAATCCTGTTGATAATTGTTTTACAAAGTGTATGTATCGATTAATTATTTAATTATTGATTAAATATTAATTATTTAAAATATTAATACTAATTAATTTATTTTTAACTCCTGTATAGTTATCAATACAACCATTAAACCAAATACAACGGACCCAACAGTATCATTTGATATTGATGGAATTGATTTCCAATTTGAAATTGTATCAATTCAAGAATTGGATTTGGATGCAGTGGTATTGAAAGAATTATTTATTTCAAATTATTCATGGAATGTAAATGTATCAAGCAATAATATCATAACCATTGTCAACTATCAATTAAATACAACTACAAATTCCTCTTCCTCTCCACCCTCCTCATTCCAATCAGTATTGGTATCATCAACGATCTCATTTTCAACACAATCAAGAGATATTCAATTCGGTGATCAAACACTTCACATCAATCCCAATTCAATTAAATTGGCAGTCAATATCACCAACTGGCAATATTCATCCAATTTGGCAACACTCAGAGTTGTATTTAGAACAATTATTGTTAATAATCAATCTATTGAATACGGTTGTGATGATGAAAAAGAGGTGGATCCTTTTGCATATGACTCGTTATCATCATTACAATACCTCAGAGTGATAAAAGATGACGTACAATTCAATGGTAGATTTATTGATTTTGCACTGTCAGATGGTAGACCAACCTATTCACAAACACAACTCATATCATTAACACAATTGAATGGTGGAGAACAATCGATTGCAATGATTGGTGTTGGCTTACCGCAATGTCATGAATGTGTTCTCGATCCTGATTTCACACCATTACTCATCGACAAGAGCGAATGCAGTGAGAGTCAATCAGACACGTGGAAAATCATTGTTGGTGTTGTTGTTGGTGGTGTAACACTCGTGGCTATTATTATCGCTGCTGTAATGGGATACAAAAAGGCAATGAAGATTCGAAAGCATAATGAACATATTTCGAGAAGATTAAAGAGAATGAACATGGAAGTCGATTCTTAAACAGGAATTGAGACACCAATCAAAAAAAAAATAAAAAAATATCACAAGTTAATGTCGCAGTTGATTATTTTATTTATTTTGTTGAATGGACTGATGAAATGATTAATTAATTAGTTTAAAATTTGTCAATATTTTTGGTCTTGTTACCAACATAAATTGGGACAGTATTTAACTTGACTGCTTGTTTGGTGCCTCTTCTTCTTCTCTTTAATACAACCACCAACACAATAATAGATAGTAGTACAAATGATCCACATACTACAATAGCAATTATCTTCCATGTTTCAAATGACGAATGATATGATGATGAATCAACTTCACATCATTGCATGAATATGATGATGATGATGGTTCTTTAGGTTCACATTCTGGAAGGATATATTCATCACCAAGTAAGACTCCGTTGAATATTGGATCGAGTTCAATTGATTGTTTGAACGGTGGGATATTGAATGCTGTTAAAAGGTTGAATTGTTGATGATTGATTTGTTGAGAAAAGAGTGGATCATCATTTGGAATAATAGTGACTGTTGATGGAGTGATGGTGACATTGTCGATAATCATCCGACTAGCTATTCTAGTGATGAAAACGGATCGACCAACTTGAACTTGAACCCAGTTAATTTGATCATAAGGTGGTACTTCTATTCTAACTTTCATATTACCACATTCATCAAATTCAACCGAATCTGATCGAGAATGGAATATCACTTGAAGCTTACTGATTGGTGACGCCCATACCCAATCAATTATTTTAACAGTATATTTAATTGATTTTCTTGGTGCTTGCATATCTTCATCTGCAAATACAATCATTTGAGTGTCAATGAATCGATCGATTTTCAATTGTAGTTTGGTATGTTGATTATTCTTTATCGTTCCAATATAGACTGATTGTTCACCAATGTCTGTTGATGTTTGATTCAGTAGTGTCCAAGCTATATTATCCATCGACACGGTTTGAAGGATTGATTCGTCTCGATAAATCTCTCGAATTTGTTGAATTGCCATTGTAAAGTTGACGGCAATACCAGCCACTGATTCATTGGTTGTTAAAGTCGATGTTAAATCATCCAAAACCGTTGTATTGTATAGTCGATGAGGTCTAACTTGTTGGATTGAACAATCCACAGGTGGATCTTCTAAAGAATCATTTTGATTTGTTGTTGTTGTTGCTAATTTATCGTGATAAATGTTTGGTGAGTCAACAAAGAAGAATGATGAACAATCCAGCAAGTGATCATAACCACTATCACATTGACAACTACCAAATGTTGGATTACATATTCCATGTCCTGAACAATTATTTGGACATTCTACCACATTTGATGTAACTGGTACTATAGTATCATCACCATCATCATCATCATATTGACGACATTGAATAATATCAATATTAAACAATAAAAGCATTAAACCAACTACCACTACTATTACTATTAACCGTGACATTGTGAAGAAATAATAATAATTATCTATTATCTCTATCTCTATCTTTTTAAATGCTTTTTTAACAGTGTACAGGTTGTTCCTATCTATCTATCCATCACTTACTGTCAAACTTTACATCATATCTATCATTCCTCGACAAACGAAAGAATAACCATAGATATGTGTATGTTGAGTAGGAGGGAGTAGTGGAGGTTGGTTCGGTGACATGTCATATGCTATCGAAGTGCGCGAGAAGGTGACTGTTGTTGTTCATTGCCTTTTTCTTTGCTCTTCATTTATAGTAATCTCTTGAATATACATTTGTCATTGTCTTGTAAGATGATGAAGATAATAATACACAAAAAATTACACCTTTATGTTTGTTAAAAAAAAATTTCGATCATTTAAATTATTATAATATAAAATATAATATATAATATTATTATTATTAAAATTTTTATTATTCTTTTTAAAAATATATCTAATATTAATTTGATCAAAAATCAAAGAAGTTTGAATAGGAGTGTAAGTAGAATTTAACTAGTTCATTGAAAAAATGGGATTAGATTTTTGCTAAAAATGGAAAACTTTGATTTGGACAATAGATATGATTCTTTCAACTACTCTTTCGAATAAAATAGTGATAGTGTATCAGTACACGATATTCGAATTATGTATCCTCGAATGAATACCAAAACAACTATAGAATACGAACTAGTAGGTAGTACTGTGACCATGACTCACCCCCCCTACACCCAAGTTGATAAAAAAGTTGGATACTCTTCTTCTACTCTATCCCACAAATTTGGGTTTTTAGAGGGAAAAGCTGCAAAGTAGGTGAATAATTTTTATTTTTTCGTGCAACTCATTTTCATTCATTTATTAATTTATTTCATTATTTACTTAAGTTCGAGACATAGACAGAACCAATCAACATCCTCATACTATATCCTTTAATTCATCTTAGATACATTCAAAAACAACGACACTAGTAGCAATAACAACACCTTTATTTATACTTTATACATTATTATATACACTACTCTTTTCTCCTTTAATAGCAATTTACATAGATTATTATTATTATATTTGTATCATATCCTCTCTTATATCACAAACAACTTGTAATTTTCCTCATATTAGAAAGAATCATTATAGACTTAGATAGATAGACACCAACAAAGACATTATATTATATATCATCTTTATTTATAAATAGACAAAACATACATAACAATGGGTAATGTTTTTAGTTCATGTTGTGATCAGAGAAAGTCACATACTCCATACGATCCATTTATATATGATGAAGAATATGAAGAATATCATAGTCCGAATAGTATGTAGTAAAAATAGAAATAGTAGGAGTAGTAGTAGAAATGCTTGCATTTGCAGACTGTAAAGAAGAAAGTAAAAGACGGTGCTGCAAATATACTACCAAAACCACCACTCTCTCTCTTTTTTTCAAAAAGTGGGTGTGAATGAATAAATGAATGAAACTAACATTCTATTGTTTTTTTGAATTCTTTCTTTTCTTTGTAGTATTAAACCCTCATGTAACAAATACATATCAACCTCCAGCACCAATCTTATTGGAACAAACAAATTATAGAAACTCTGATCTATACAGTAGTAATAATTCAAGTAGTCATAATCAACAACAGCAACAACAACAATACCATCAACAACAACAAAGTTATTATGAAAACTATACCTCTTCACAACAATACAATGATTATCATCAAGACAATAACAATGACCATAACCAATCGTATCAACCTTTTCCAGAGGTAGAAGATGATCAAAATGAAGATGTTACATTTGATACCAATTATCAAGAAAATTACCAACAACAACAGAGAGAATCGTCATCAACATCAACATTACCAACCATTATTGAGACTTCTACTACATCCACTACTTCAACGCAACCAATAACAACTTGGCAACAACCTCAACAAACTCAACCTCAACAACAATCACCAGTTAATAGAAACTTGACCAATTTAAATAGTAGTAATGGTAGTGGTAATGGTAGTGGTAGTAGAAACTTTAATAATAGTTCACAGGATAAATTCTATCCACGATATATGAACTTTACCGAATCTGTATATATGGCGCAACCACCTTCATCTGAACTAGGCATTACCGATTCTGTTGTAGATTCTTTGGTTTTTGGTCTTGAAAACAAGAATAAAACAACAATCGATAATAATAATATTAATAACAATAGTAATCAATTCCAACCATCATCATCACCTCAACCATTAACATCATTATCATCTACTACTACTAGTACAACAACAACCTCTACTACTACCACTTTTAGACCAACAGTAACACAAATAACATCACCAACTTTAAATGATAGCATTAGTAATACTAGTAGTTTGGCAAATTCTCAGTACCAAGACTCAACTCTTTTGAGTGACGAATCACTTTACTATGACGCACAAGATTAAACCAACGACAATGATATGATAGATCAAAAAGTATAGTGATTGATCTATTTTTTCCAAAAAAAACACATACAAATGATGATTTCCAACACATACACACCTATAAATAATAATCAATCAACATCAAACAATGTATCTCAAGGAATATTCTTCTTTTAATAAATGTTATTTTCAATCCTGCTTTTCCCTCTCTTCTCCTTTAGAATTCAGAGATCAAACCCAAACCCAAATCAAAAAACAAAAACTACCATAAACTTATTTCTTTCTCTTTTGGTGTAGGATTTGTATATATATTAAAAAAAATGATTAATAAATATTATTATTTATTTTTAAATTAATAATAATAATTTGTTATATTATTAGTGGTGTGTGATTATTATATTATTATATTATTTTGTCTTTCTCTTTCTCTTTTGTTTTTTTGTTTTTTTGTTTTTTTATCTTCTTTTTAAATGACTTTGAGCATTGTGATAAAGTTCACGATAAAGATGGGCAGTTGAAAATAGATCTTCAATGTCTCGGTCCTGCCAATTTTGAGTGGGTGGTTTTTGGAGAAAGATCATAATGTCTGGGAAATCCTTTTGTTTGAGTTCATCAGACCACAGTACTAGGAATGCAGCACAAACATAGACGTGGAAGATGGAGAAACCTTCACGCTCGCATAGGTACGTGTCCCACATACGAATGACCAAGAGGAATGGTATTTCACGCATCAAAAAACAATTCATCCAACGGAATGCAAATTCGATAAACTGACAATCCTGCTCTGCCAAGTGACAACACAACGACGAGTTGATAGTCTCGAGCAGACCTCTGAGTTGAGCAATCATCCGTTGGATACCCGGTTGTGCAAAAGTGTAGTGGTCTTGAATACCGTCAAGTAGTTTGGTGAGACACCAATAAGAGTCGGCCTCGACCATTGCCAAAACACTAGATTCGAGCGTATTAACTGTACATTGCTCGACATTTTCTACAAACTCTGATAAAAACACATAGATAAATGGAGTGGCCAAATCGTTGATTCCTTGAACATAACCCGTTGATGGATGTCTAATTGCCCATATATATAAAATTCTTTCTAATATTTCTTGTATAATTGGTTGTTGGAATAATGGTACCGATGGATTTGTTCTTGGTACATCCATTTGAATCTAAATAGTAAAAAGTAATTAAATAATTAATAAATGTCCAAAAAAATTATTATTAACCTATTTATATTTACTTGTTTTAAAGTTTTCTTGTCTGGATCAGTTCTTTTTTCTTCTGAAATATAATATTGGGGTAAACAATCTCGATATTCTTTTCTTTTTCTTTCTAAAATCTCTTCTCTTCTTTCACCATTTGATGGTAGATAACCTAATAATATTTTCCATGCCATCGATCTTTTTTTCTCTGGAATTCCCCTCCATCCAATTTTTTTTAATATATCTATAAAAAACAAATAAAATATTAGATTATCATATGAGGATAGGATTATTTTATCTATTATATTATTTATAGTTTACCTAAATCTACATTTGATTCCCCTAAAAACTTTTCAAATTTCTTTAACTTTGAAGCCTTTTCGTTATAAATTGCATTCTGCTTATTGATTGAAATATCACCACCACTCGATGATAGAGATGAGGTGGATGATGATGAAAGTGAAAGATGATTCTCTGATGTTACATTGGTTGACATGTGGTGGTGTCCGTGTCCGTTTGTCTTTGGTGATGTATAATCTGGTGAATTTAAATTGTCTAAACTACCACCGCCGCCATGACTGATGGTCACATCTGTATGTTCTGTCGATGATGAAATGACACCATTCTCTACTACTATTTTATGTGTTGTTGTTGTATATGCATTATGATTAAATATTGCACTACTATCTATATCTTTTTTTGATTTTGGTATCAAATTTCTAAAATAGAATTGAATTATAAATAAATAAAGATAAAAAGAAATGTAAATAATTAGATATAATGTAGTTTCTTTTGTTTCTTTCATTTCACTGCATTGCATACCCATTAAACTTTTCAAATTTATGTGGAAGATGATTATTGATTGGCTTGGCAACACCGGGAGTCTTCCTCGACGACCCAAATCTCCAAAAACTATCTCTTACAGGACTATTAGTGTCACTCTGTAGGTTTGGTGAGCTGTTACTCATTTATGTAAATATGTAAAGATGAAACAAATATCTGTTTGTGAAGATTATGAATATATATATATATATATATAATATGTAACTATCTTGTTTGTTTGTTTGCTGATAAATGCTACTTCGACTAACTACTCTCTCTACTAACTGTTATATAAATCTCTCTCTCTAGGTCTTGTCGTTTACGATACACCTTATATCTACTCTCTTTTACTATGATGATGATGATGATGATGATTCAGCAGTAGTCTCTACAAAACAAACAAGCCAACCGCACTGCAAATAACTAAAAATAAGTCACCTCTGAGGGAGGAGAGACAGAAAAGAAAAAAAAATTAAAATGAAAAATTGGGAATGGATGGAATGATAAATAAATAAATAAATATTAATAATCCTGTTGATTAGTATCTATGACTATTGACAATAGAATAATAATAATATGGTATAGTAATATGGAATAGTAATACGGATTTAATCTAATGATATTATTGAAAGAAACAATCCTTATTACAAAAATATGGACTGATGGAAAATTGATTAATTAAAAAAATAATGATGATATGAAAATGAAATGATGATTTTGATCGTCGCAGTAATATGTATCAAGTTGATGATCAGGAGGAGGAGGAGGAAGAGAGAGAAAAGATGGATAAAAAATTATAATTATTTATTTGATTTATTTGATTTATTTATTTATTCTATTCGTCTTGAGCATGTCACTAAATTCCAAACACCAAAAAATCACTATCTACCCCAACCCATCATCATTCACCACCATATTAGTAGTAATCACCCCTCTTTCTTCCTCCATACCAATAATATCGCAGAGAGTGTCATGCCAAAAACGATCGATAGTACCACACTTACAAACAAACCGACAGACAGTTTATTTGATTGACATAGATGTCATGTCACCATAGGTATAGGTCAGAAAGGTAAGGTAGGAATGAGTATTACCATTCATTCATTATTTTCAATGGAACAAACAATCGGAACGGAATCAGTGTATTGATTGATCTTTTGATTGACTCATTTTTGATTGGTTTGAAAAAGTTGAGAAGATGAAGGAAATAAAATATCTAATATTAGGATATTAATGATTGCGAACAACTCTCAAGCTATTTTAAAATAACTTTAGTGTGTTGTGTTCGTTAATAACTTATCTGTCGATTACTTTGAGGATGAGCAACAACAAACGCCGAACTCTATGGATGATGACATCCATCGTCATTTTATCTAAAAGTCAAGAGTTCTCCACATAAAAAGATAGATAAGATATCTTGTGTCTACTACAGTATGATGCAGTGTCTTTTTGAACCGATGTGTGTAGATGAAAAAGAGAATGAAACTGTCTGCTGCAACAGAATTTCCCGACATGGTTCATTATCCGAAGATATTTTGAAAGTGGCATGTTTTTTAAATTAAATTGAATGAAATTGCTGCTGCGGTTAGGGGGTAGATTAAAAGGGTAGTAATCAGAGAGTAGTTTTTAGTTTTATTTTATATTTTTTAAAGGTAAATATAAACATATATAATACACACACATACATATAATATAACAGATAGAAAGAGATAGAGATAGAACAACAACAAACAACCTTTGAGAAAACAACTCGAACATTTCCAATCATAACCCACACACCAACCAACCCACTAACACTCGCACCAAATCAATTCAATTCAAATCAAATCAAATCAAATAAATTTTACTTGTTTCTGTTGGTGGTTGCTACCTACTCTGCTGTTCCTCTTCCTCTGTTGTTGTTGCTATTGACCATATGTAATTGACATCAATTAACCATCTTTATCTTCATCAACTATCAATTTTTATATATATATTTATACTCTCTAATCTTAAATTACTCTCTATATTCTATTCTATATTCTATTCTATATATTCTTCTATTCATTTTATAGATGATGAGATCTATAGTAGTTTTAATATTCATTGCCTTTTTGGCAATTACATCTGCTGTCAAGATTAAGATTGATGGCACACATCAACCAAAGAATGGAGGTGTTACTGCAGCCACCGCTTTTCAAATTGGTACTGGTATCTATGATATCACAGGTCCCGCCGCTGAAAGTATGTACATACAAACTACAAATATAATATACATATATTAATTGTGTCTTTTTATTAATAATTAATAATGAATAATCACATCTATCTAGCTGGTATGATGGGCTATGCTATGCCAGGTCAAGTTACTGGTGGAATTCATTTCCGTTTACGTGCACGTGCTTTTGTATTCATTGATGCCAATGGAAACAGAGCTGTTTATGTTAGTACCGATTCTTGCATGATTTTCCAAGTATGTTTGATAGAGATAGATTTTGATTGATGGAAAATTAAATATTAATCTTTTTTTTTTAATTTCTTTTTTTTTTTTTTAATTTCCCAAAGGCAGTAAAATTAGAAGTAATTCAATTATTACAAGCACAATTTGGAGAAGATATGTATAGTGCTGATAATGTATTGTTGAGTGGAACACATACACATTCTGGACCGGGAGGATACTCGATGTATGCGTTGTACGGTATTACGACGTTGGGTTTCTACAAGGAACACTTTAATGCTATTTGCAATGGTATTGTACAGGCTATTGTACAGGCACATAATAGTGTGCAACCAGCCAACATGTTTGCTCAACAGGATGAGTTGTGGAACACCAATATCAATCGTTCGCCAACCGCCTATCTCAACAATCCAGCATCGGAACGTGCACAGTACGACGCCGACGTCGACAAGAACATCACTGTCATTCGTTTCGAGGATCAGTCGGGTAATCCATTTGCCGCACTCTCTTTCTTTGCCGTGCATTGCACGTCGATGAACAACACCAACCATTTGATCAGTGGAGACAACAAGGGTTATGCATCGTACATTTGGGAAAAGTCGGTCAATGGTAACTCGACCCTGCCAGGCAAGGGTCCATTCATTGCCGCCTTTGGCCAGTCCAACGAAGGTGACGTGTCGCCAAATACAATGGGTGCCAAGTGTCCAGACGGCACACCATGCGACGCACCAGACTCTACTTGCAACGGCAAAAATGAAGGATGTATTGCCCACGGTCCCGGAAAGAACATGTTTGAGTCGACTCAAATCATCGGTACCAACCAATACGAAAAGGCATCGGCTATGTTTGAGACGGCCAGTATCCCCATCACAGGTGCCGTCCAGTACCGTCACACCTACCTCCCCATGACCAATGTCACTGTCAACCCCCCATTCTCGTCGAGCAACACCTCAGCCACCACCTGTCGTGCTGCCATGGGCTACTCTTTTGCCGCCGGTACCACTGACGGACCGGGTGCATTCGACTTTACCCAAGGTGACAACAACACCAACGGCAACCCATTCTGGAACTTTATCTCGCGTTTCATCGCCGTCCCCACCGAAGAGCAAAAGCAGTGTCAGTCGCCCAAACCCATCCTCATCGACGTCGGCATGACCCAGCCATTGCCATGGACACCCGATGTCATCCCCATCCAAATCGTCGCCATTGGCAACCTCATCCTCTGCGCCGTGCCAGGCGAGTTCACCACCATGTCTGGCCGTCGTCTGCGTAACGCTGTCCGTGACACGATCGCCGCCGGCATTGAAAACCCAATCGTCTTGGTCGCCGGTCTCGCCAACACCTATTCCGGCTACATTGCCACTTTCGAAGAGTTTGAAGTCCAACGTTATGAAGGTGCATCCACCATCTTTGGCCCACACACCCTCGGTGCCTATATCCAAGGCTTTGTCGAAATGGCCCAATCCATCGTTGACAAGACCGAGTTCCCCGCCGGTCCAACTCCACGTAACATGACCGGTCACACATTCTTTTTGTTGCCACCCGTCGTCTATGACGAAGCTCCAGGCAGCAAGTTTGGTGCCGTCTACAGAGACGTCCAATCGTCCTACTCGATCGGTGAAGTTGTCTCTGTCATCTTTTACGGTGGCAACCCACGTAACAACTACATGACCGAAAGCACCTTCCTCACAGTCGACCTTAAAAACTCGGACGGCTCATGGACCACCATCCTCGTCGATGGTGACTGGGACACTAGAATGTACTGGAACATGCACGACCTCGCCCAATCACTCTTTACCATCGAGTGGAATGTCGAAGCCAACTATCTACCAGGTACCTACCGTATCACCCATTCTGGTTATGCCAAGGAATCTGTATTCTCTGATAAATTAACTCCATACTCTGGTCAATCAAGTGAATTTACCATTACTGCTTAAAACCATAAAAAAACTAAAAAGATTTATACAAAATCACAAAAAAAACAAACATAAATCCTTAGGATAAATAATAATATTATTAGTAATCTTCGAAGTAAATTAAACAACTTGTTTAATTAATTAATCCCCCCAAAAAAAAATAAATAAATAAATAAATTTTGTTACATAGTCAAATAAATATAATTATTAATATTATTATTCTTTCATTTTATCTACATCTTGTTCTTGATTTTCTTTTTCTTTTTCCATTTCTTTTTCTTTTTCTTCTGGAATATTATTTTTAGTTGGATTTGTTGCTAGGTCATTGATCATTTTCCATTTTTCTAATTCTTGTAGTTTGGAATGAGGGAATGAATCTATAATACCCAAATGAGTTAGTCTAGTTAGACCCTTGAGAATGACTGATTTGGCATGTTTGGTATGAGCTGATCTTGCATGTTCAGTTGACATTCCCAACAATGAAACCATATTTTCAATGTCATATGGTGATCTCATTAATCTAGTTTTATCACATCCACTACTAATAATAACATTTTTCCCTTTTGAACTTCTAATTAATTCTGTTGTATTTGCCATAAATGATCCATCCACTAAAAAAATAGAAAATAGAAAATAGAAAATAAATTAATAAATATAATAAATAGTGTATATTTCTTTTTCTTTTACTTACTTTTAAAAATATCATTATAATTAATTTCATAATGAATTCCTTTATCATAACCTTTTCTTAAAACTTCAGTTCTAATTCTTGATTTAACGTTGCCTTGAAAATTGATGATATCTACCCAAGGTAGAATAGAGATGGCTTCCATTACCATACGATCGGCTGTTGTAATCGAAATCAAATGATATTGTTGAAACTTTTTTTGAAATGATCTCTCCAAGTCTTTTAACTCTTCAACCTTTTCAATGACGATATTAAGTCTTTTGTATATTTCCATTGTATGATTATTTGTATTTGGTTTCATCCATCCAGATGATGTAAATTGTTTTGAATATACTGGTTGATCTAATACATTCTATATATAGAAAGAGAAAGAAGAAAAAGAGTAGGTTTCATTGTTAGAGAGAAATGATGATCATTGCTTTTGATCTATAGATGATATATACTTCAGCATTTGCTTCTTTTGGTCTGAGTGTTTGAGTAATTGCAACTACACCATATCCAACTATACAAAAGACAATAAGGAATGATCATCAATGATAATTATGATCATAGTCATCAAATGATAAGGTTCTTTCATTAGCATTAAATACATTTAAGGGAGGACTTTGACTTATTTACTATAACATACGTTGAGATAGATAATCTATTGTATCACTTGTAGTTCTCACATCTTTAAAAGGTACATTTAAATCACAAAAGCTCATGATTTTCTTTAAGGAGATTATCTATTTAGTGTATATGTATATGAGAATGATTTGCTGAAGATTAATCTAAGATGTTGAATATTTTTTTAATTTTAATATTCGATTCGTTCACATTGACACAAGTATCATTGACTAGTCAAAGCTTTAAAGAAAGAAAGAGTATTTTGCATACAGGTAACAACATCTTCTTTAGCAAACAACACCTAAATTAATAGAAGTACAATACACAGAGAATCATGCAAGAACTCTTACTCTTACTCTTACTATAGAATAATCAACTCTAATAATAATATAGAAGGATGGCTAACCACTCTGTTGGCATTGTGTGATTATTAAAAGTTGTTGAATTGGTTGTATAATTAAATCAATAGTTTATTTCTTTCATTTAAAGCAATGGTCTTGAATTAATTTCATGGAGTACAAGAGGATTATACTAGTAATCACATCTGCCACAATAACTGAGTCACATGCAGTAAAGTCTTGAGGTTCCTCTTGGTAATCGTTATAGTCTTGAATCATATCCTCGAGATCGTCATCATAAATATGAAAGCTCCTTGGAAACTTCTTCTTTAATTCGTTATGAATTGTTTTGAATTGAATAGGATTATCATAATCACATCTTCCATGGATATCATCGACGGGGGTGTTGATGGAGGGGTCCCATCTTAGAAACCATTGTCCATGATCAGGTGATTTCCAATGTTCATGACGTCTACATTGGAAGTGAAACCGTGCGAATACATTGTCAGATGGATTAGGGTCTTTTCCTTGAACAAATAGATCATCTCCGACGACAGATGATGAATATTTCTCCCTTATTCCAATGAGAAACTTCTGATAGGCTTTTAAATCCCAGTCTTTCGAGTCCATAAAGTCGAATTCGTATTCTCCTCCCATTATTATTATTTTTATTTGTTAGGAGAAATACCAATAATACCTAATCTGATTTGATTCAATGACCAAAAGTTAAAAAAAAAAAATTGATTGAATTTAATTTAATTTAATTGGATCTGATAGTGTTGATCATGGGCGGCTAAATAGAAAATGATTGGTTGGTTCGCACATCAATCTGTTTTTCCCAGCTCATTCACTCTATTTTATGAGAGGAATAACCACCCTTTTGCAAATTAACTTGCACAAATATTGATGAACCATAGCTCAATGGTTGTTGATTGATACATCTACCATTCTCATGCATATTTATTTATTAATTTATTTTAATTATTTATCAATACAGTCTTTGTTGGCTCTGTTTTAAATTAATTTTTTTGGATAATATAAAATTGAGGATGATTGATAAATTCTTTGTATTGATCTGGGTTCTTCAATTTTTGTTGATTGTTTCTTTGTTGAATCAGTTCCATCAATCCAAGATTTTTTTATAAAGGTAAATGTATATTTCCTTTAGCTTTTAAAAAAAAGAATTAAATAAATATATTTGTATCATAGAGATGATTCAGATTTATTCATCTGGTGTTGATTCCATCTTTACATTTTCAATCATTAAATTGCTCGACTTTTTTCGTAATAAAATAGTTGAATAGAATCTATTGTCACAATATTATATAATCCAACTCTTTTATTTATTTTAATATAATAGAGAATTATTAATCTATAGACCATCACAATGTAGGTGCATTCAAGAATGGGTTGATCAAATCACTTTGAACAAAATTGGCAAACCAAATATGATGATCTGCTTGATATATCAAATTTATATTTGCTATTTGCTCTGCTGAGGCACCAGCCATGTGTCCAACGGTAATCAATACTGCCTCTGAGAACTCTCCCCATGTTATAGGTTGAGTCTCGTACCACCTGGCCAATTTTAAAATTAAATCTCGAGTAACTTGAACTTCTCTGAATTGTTCGAATGTGGCACCATTGGCAAGGACATCATGTGCATGTCGCATTGATTCGTGACCCATTTTGTATTCGTAAAGATTGAAATCGGTTGGGAGTGTTGGTGTACCACGAGAGGGAGGGGTCAAGAATCGGACAAAGTAGCGGTCTGCAAATGGGTGGTCCAATAATCTAGATGCCGACCTGTCAACAAACCTTTTGAGGTTACCTAGTTTTGTAGAGAACTCCCAATATTCTTCTTGATCTATACGATCTTTGAATGGGAGGCGAAGAACAGAGTAGTTTTTCATATCTTGTCGACCCAAGCAAACATAATATTCTTCAACCCTCATTTCATGCCAAGTATCATCGTCGTCGGTAAAGATGACCCACGAATCTTTAGTGACAGTTGAACAAGTCTTAAGTCTTTGGACAAGATTTTGATAGTGTTTGAATTGGGACATTTTCGGGTTTAAGTATACAGTAAGTGTAGGATAGGCTGACTTCCAAGTTACTAATCTCTTTTCGGCCTCACTCACTAGCTCTGTCGATGTACTCATAGACAAGTAGAGAGGAATCTTGAATGTTTGGTTTCCCCATGACTTTAACATCTTTTCCATCATACTAAACCTTTCACTACTGGAAATATGAGAAGCACACAAGGCTATCACTATGTATTATCAAAAAAAATAAATAAATAAGGGTTTGTTACATAATCAAGTAAGATATGTATAGATAAATATATATATATATATAAATATGTTTGGTATATTACATGATTCGAAAGAAGACATAATTTAATTTGTTTGAATAGTCTATTACTTATGAAAATAAAAAATGAAGCAAGATATCAATAGTGAAAAGGGCCAAGGTTTTTTAATTTAAATTTAATTCAATCCATTAACGACAAAGGAAGTTAATTCAAGAATTATTCGAACATTTAAATCCGAAGAGCGGATCGTAGGAGTTGTATTCCCGCCCTACCCTCCCTTTTTCTTTTCCTACTCAGTATATTGACTTTTTTGGTGGTTTCACACTCCCTCATATATTGCTTGATTTCAGATAATGTCTTATTAAAATAAAAATTAAAAAGGTTACACCCCCCCCCCCCCACGATCTACAGATACAACTCTGGAGAGTAGCGATGAGGATTTATAGTAGCGAAGAATAATTAGAATTTAATTTAGTTTGACTGCTGCGCAAGTTGCTCTTCGTACAAAAAAAATAAAACAACCCCTTTGAAGATCCTTTCAAATAGGGTATACGACAATCTTGGAAAGGCTTCTACTGTATAGACCTCCATACTATTTTCTAGAGTCTACATCCACATTGGAAGCCTTTCCAAAAATAACTCTATTACATTAATTCTATTTGAATTTACCAAATTGAACATGACCCCATGGCTCCCAATCTACTCTGGACTTGACCATTTTCACCTTTCCAAAAGATTGAATAGGGTGGATGATCGAGTATCCCTTTGATATCTTCAGAATTGAAACGAACCAGTTGGGGTGTTTGTTTGTTGAGAAGGACTCTAAATGCATGATTAGTCCAATTGGATTTAGTTGGTCTTTGGTTTCACCCGTTATGTCCAAAACCAAAGCTTAGTGCAACAATGTATGACCAGAGAATGATGGAAAAGAGTATTCTAATAGATATACAACATTTGAAATACAACTATTTACAATTGATTGTGGAACCTTTAAAGGTTTAAAAAAATAATTACCCATTATTATCGATTACAGTCAACTATTTAATATAAATTAGAAAATAGAATTGAATCTATTTAGCTTTTTAAAAAAAAAAAGAATAAATAATATTATATTTGTGTCATCATAGAGACAGATCAGATTTATTCATCTTGCTCTATATATTAATATATTAATTATTTTGTTGTTGTGGTTGTTGGGGAGGATCACTTTGGTCAATAACAGTTCTATTTAATTTCTTTGCCATGCGTAATTGAATTCTTTTCTTTAAAACAACTCCACCAACAAAAATAATAGAGAATGATACAATCGATACACATACTACAATGATAATAATCTTCCATTGTTTGGATGTCGATTCACAATCGTTGTTGAGACATTCTTCTTTTGGAAGAACCATTACTTTTGATACAACCACTTTTGATGCAACCATTTCAGCAACTCTAATTGTTACATTATACTCTTCTGTATCATTACTTGATCCAGGAGTTGATTCAACACCACCATACAATAAACAAGTAAATTGTTTATAACCATCTCCAATAAACTGAGGTGATTTACATTGTTTACCTTGAATCGATACCAAAACATATGATTGATCTTTTCCAAAATGATTACCATTGATTGTAACAAGTGATTGAGTTGTATTTTGAATATTGGTAATATTATCAATGATTGGTGCATCACTTGTATAAAATGTAATCAATGGTGTGTGATATGTTTTTGGGGTGTTTATAGGACATGATGTCTCTACCATTCTAGAGAAAAAATCATAAACAATATTATTATTTCCTCCCGAGTTTACAGTTTGATTAATAATAGAATAATACAATTTAGATAGAGTTCCTTTGAATGGACCATTATTTCTTGTAAAACTATTATCACTACTGTTGTATGATACACCTTGCCAAAATCTAAATGCTTCATATCCAATTAAATTTAATGATTGACTAAAACATTGATGCATTTCAGTTGATTCAATTGCACCAATATATGGAGCATTTGGAGTTGATTCCATCTTTACATTGTCAATCATTAATTGCTCAACTTTTTCGTATTCTCCTCCAAATAGAATGGTTGAATAGAATCTATTGTCACAAACTAAAGAGTTGGATTAGAATTGAATACATATTATAATATTATTATTAAAATATTTATACATACAAATATGAGGTTTATAGGTTTGAGTATAAATATTATCAACTGAAATTGAAATGGGAAGGAGTTTGACGAAAGATGGACGGGGCTTACAAATAATCTGAGTTGATGATGCAAATGTAATATTACAAGGGGTATGACTCGAAACATTAACAAATACTAAACTGTTGTTGTTGATCCCATTACCAAAGTTATCACCAATCAGTGTAATCGATCCATTAGCAGTGAATGATGGATAGACAGCTTTAATAAATGGTGGATATGGTTGCCATGCATAGTGTGTTGACTTGACTCCACTAGCATCTTGTACAATTACATTATGAAATCCAGATAGAGGTGGAACTATACAAGTGACTGATGTTCCTTGTTTTGATGTTATTTGACATGATTTTTCAAGTTGTTTGGTTGGATTGAAAAATGTAATGTTGATTGTTTGTGTGTTGAATTGTGATAGATTGTTGATTGTTATTGATCCTCCATTTGTACCAATTGATGGAACATATACCTCTGAAATAGGTTGTAATTCACAAATAGAGAATGTGACCTGATAATCAAAAGCATTGGTATTTGTATAATCCCAAGTCGGTCCTCTAATATAAATAAATCGTTTTCCAGCAGGAGTTAAAGATGGTTCACCTGCTTCGAATGGACAATATCCTTTAATAAAACAAAAATTATTAATACAATTAATTTTATAAAGAGTTGATACTATTAAATATACATACCCCAACATTGACCAGTATACATATTAAATAATGTTTGATTTGTTTGTGGTCCACTTGAATAAGAATAGGTACCATTCCCTCCAATGTCTCTACCAGATACCCATATGTTGGGTTGATAAATATTAATCTTTGAATTAAATGGTTTTAGAATAAAATCCCATTCTTGTTTTGAATCTAGTGTAACAAGGTATGATTTAAATTTTCCTTTCACACCCAAACCTTCACATTGATTCGTTGCATTGGTGATTAGAAGAATCGGGTTTGATATTAATTTGTATTCGTGACCATTCCCTCCAATTTCAGTTGGCCAAATAACATTTGGGAGGGGATGACAGTGAACGAGACTAGTGTTTAACAATAAAACAGTAGCTACTACTATTATTATTATTACTATAGTTGAATGTTTAAAATACATTATTATTATTATTATTATTACTATTATTATTATTTAATATCTTGCTTGTTTGTTGGACAAATATAGTTGTTGAATAGACTGATCAGTTGTTGTTGATTGAACTAAAAATCTTATTTTGAAGAAATTTAATATTCATTTCATTGATGTAATAAATATATTTATATACATATATACAGTAATCTTTAGCCAAGATACCCCATTAAGGGTGTCATCCGCGATAGATGGGTACCCAAGCAATTAACATTATAATAATAGTATTAATCATTCCTTGCCGCGCCGAAAAGATGGTGGCCAGTCTTCCCTGGAGCAAAAGAAATGATATAAACCAACCAACCATAGATATTTTTCGTGTGGTTCTTGATGGTTCGTGTCGGTGATCACCAACCCATCATCACCTTTCTTTCATTGTTTGTTGATTGGTTTACATGTCGTAGTAGTAGTAGTTGTTGTTCGTTGATAACAATTGATCAACCAGAGCAATGTAAGAATGTTATGTTGTATGATCATCCACTTTCAAAAATCTAGACTAATATCAACAATGTTAATGTTTACAAGGAGCATAGTGAGAGCTACAATCAATATATACTACATACAAAGATAGAAGTATACATAAATACATATATATCTTAACCTTGATTCCTTCAATTATGCATACTATTAAAACAATAACAAAGAAGAGACCTAACAAACTACCGCCAAATTTGTTTTTTTTTTTTTTGTAAACTTCATAAGCAGTAACAACTGTTGAACTTCATTCATTCATCATCACTCAAACAACCAACAATAATGAATAGTAACTTTAATGATCAATAGATAGATCATGCATATTTATCAACAAGGTCTAGAAACAGTGATACATAGTTGTTTGTTGGGTTTGGCAATAATCATAATCATCAATGTCTTCAAACAACAAACTAAACTCATCTAATAGGTTACACCATACAATAACCTACACAATGAAGAGAACTACTTGATCAATTCTGATTTATAAAACAACACTACACCTATCCTCATTCCGCCGTCTCCTTCGTCAATATTGAGACATCAAACATTCACTTCGGTGATGTATTCATGACCATTGAATCAAAAAGACAACAAGGCAGAATAAATAATATTAATAATTAAAATGGTCTATCACCTTCCTTCAATTGCAACCACAGCTACCTATATATCTCCAAAACAAGTAATAATATAAAGATAGCAACAAAAGAGAGAGGATAGGATGTATGCGAGATAATGAGCTCAACAAACAAGAAGAAGAGTCATGAGCAACAATAATCACCTTGCAGAATTGGTAGTAGTAGTGGTTTGACGTCAAAGCCAACCAAAAATCACTATACTTTCTCGGATCGTTTATTGGGATGGCAATCACACAAATATTTACTCAACCAACACATGCCAAAGTGATGTCACAAGATCAAAAGGATTTAAAGGTGTAAAGTTTGACAGCTAGTGATAGGAATATTTTGCAGAAATATTATTTATTATTACTACAATGTCATTTAATAGTAAGAATTGTATCTGTTTTATTGTTTTATATTCATTCCATCCAATGTCAATATCCCAACCCACTTGTTTGGTCAACCTCGGTCGGAGGAAATGGTCACACATACAAAATATTACGGACAAACACAAAGGCAAAGGATCAATGTTGGGTCTATGGAGACAGTAATTTTACATCATATCTTGTCACCCTTGACTCAAAACAAGAATCGGATATTATTAAACCCTATTTGTATGAATACTCAAAGACGATATCTGAAGTATTGGTATCTGGTAGAGACATTGGGAATGGGAATTATTCCTATTCCAGTGGACCACAAACAAATAAAACATTATTTAATATGTTTACTGGTCAATGTTGGGGTATGTAAAATAATTAACAACATAAAAAATTATAATAATAATATTTAATAATAAATAATAATAAAGTACTTATATTAATTTGTTTTTTGTTTTGTTGTAGGATATTGCCCATTCAAAAACAACAACAAAAACCAATTGTAAATAATTTATCAATGGTTTCTTTAAACATCATGGTCCACATTAGAAATCATTTACCCAGACCCTTTTCCTACCAAGGTTTCAACACGTTCCATAGTCTCATTCGCGTCATTATAACTGACCCCACCACTAGTAGTGTTTTCCCTTACAATACATGGGGAGACATCAGCATGTACTATATGTCTCCTGCTGATAGAAATTTATTGCCACCACTGGGACAACTCGAAAAACAACCTCGATGCTCTCACCCAAATGCAAGACCCCGACAAGGAACAAATTTATGATCTCCAAGAGTCAATTCAAAACGAACAACCGATCAATCCTATTAATGTTAGAATTTTTTTCCAAGGAAAGGAACATCTGTATAATTCCGGAGTAACTATCTATTCAATAGAGAATCATTTGGGACTTTCTAAAGCCCGTGGTGACCCCATCGTATTGTTATCACATCGCCATTCCAATCGATGCTGGTGATTATGAATTGAATGTTTTTAAAATACTCAGTATCAGAATACTGTAGAGGAGGAACCCAAGAAACAAAATGTTAGACTTTGTAACTTTCTTTAATTAAATCATTTTATTCAAACTTTGTCATTTGCTTCTCAGAATGTAACATTCTTTAAGAATAAACCGCTATGCATAGTTTATAACATTTTCTTTTTATTTTTATTGTTTCAATTATTATTATTCATATTCAAAACCGCGTAGGTGACCTGAATAAGCCTTATTAATTCTTTTAAGTACGGCACTGTGAAGAGAATCGAGTGTCTCCAAGAGGCTGTGTGGATTGACTTCTACACTTTGGAATGGTGGTACACCTTGACATAGATATTCTTGGATGGTTTGGAGATTCTTGACGATTCCACGACACTGTTGAGCGGGGTCATCGCCAAATGCCTCTCTTGCGTATCGCAACGCAATCGGATTGCAAGACAACCAATTCTCTACCAAAAACATGTGGTCTCTTTCATTGACCGAAAGTACAAATGGGATAATGATACCCTTGATCTTTGGTTTCTTGAGTTTCTCCAATGCACTCTGAGTCGATGGTGATGATGGTACTGCTCCCTCTTTGAATGATGATGGTGATGATGGAATAGTAGTAGTAGCAGTAGCAGTAGCAGTAATAGAAGAGGGTGGTGTGGAACTTTGTACAGATGGTGATTGTTGAGATGATTGAGTTGGTGATGATTTTGATGCTATATCAATTGATTGTGATTTTTGATGTGTATTATTATTATTATTATTATTATGGTTTCATTATTATTATTATTATTATCTACAATATTATTATTATTATTAGTTTGATGATTATTATTATTAATTGATTTATCTTTATCTTGTAATAGAGAATCATCTAAATTGAATTGAGTTGGAGCAAACATGTTTCTTTCGGCAATGAGCTCGGTAAAGAGTGATGGGTCAATATGTGGCCCTTCAATGATGATTGCTTTACCCTCTTCGAAACACTTTTCAATGTCAGTGTCTACACCATGTCGGATCATGACACACTCCTTTTTAAACTCTGATAATAGTTCCTCCTTGCTAGCATACTTTTTGAATATGTAGGGTGGGTCGGACGGCATACCAAACATCGTCGGTCCCTTTGACGATGTATTATTATCTTTGTTACCACTATTGCTTGTACTAGTGATACCTCCAGCAGTGTTGGTACTTGCCAACTCGGTGATGATGGCGTGCATTAGGTCTTGTACGAGTGTGGTTTGGAGGACGGTCGAGAGGTTCAATCTCTCGGCCAGCTGAGTTGCCAAATAACTCTTTCCAATGCACTTGGGACCGCTGATGAGAATGATTAGGGGTACACGCTGGTGATGGAACTGCGTAGTCATGCGGTACCGTTCAATGTACTCGTTTCCATATCCATACGCCTGCAGCAGCGTAAACAGCTCGCTCTCGAGGTCGGCCTGGCTGATCTGCAGACGTCCCTGGTCAACCAATCGCTTCTTGAGCTCGAGTGAGATCTTTACAGAATCGGCTGCATCCACCTTGGTGACATTGAGTACACGCGAGATGAGGAATCGCGACAACACATAGTAATGGTCTTCTAGACGTACTTTGACCTTGACGAAATCATACTTTGAACTGGGTGCTGGATGGTCGGCAATCTCTCCAAACTTGATCAGATCCATCTTGTCGAGTAGATTAGCATTGTTACTTGCCACTGCGTTGACTGGTAGTGCACCCGTATTAATACCAATGCTATTACTAGCTATCCCATTGGTCTCTCTTGATGAAGGCAAGTTCTGCAATGAACTAGCTCTTACTAGTTTTGGCTTTAAATGATTCTGTTGTGAAAGTAAATGTTGGTGTCCTCCTCCTCCATCTTGTAAATATTGTGTTATTCTTTCTAATTGTGTACCATTAATATTATTATTATTACTATTTTGTTGTTGTTGTTGCTCATCAACATTTGTAGTAGAGGTTGGTGGTTGGTTACTCATATCTCTCCTTTCTCCTTTCTCTCTCTATCTTCCTCTTCTTATCAATCAGACTTGCTACTACACTCACTACTTTGAGATACTATACTATACTATATACTATATCTAAAATGATAAGATTGTGAAGAGGTATGTAAAGATGATGATGTGTATAGATACTTTCAAAAAAAGTTAATTAATTTGAGCTGACCAAAAACTTTTAATCTAAAAAAAAAACAAAAGAATAAAGTTTTGGTGCAAGGAATACACAAATTCTATTAATGCGACAATTAGGCCAAAGACGGAATTATAATTCAAAAGAAAAGCGATCACCATTCGAATGATGATCCATATGTTTGTCATTTTCTTATTCAATCAATCAACGAACGAACGAATTTAATGTCTATACATATCGTATTCATGAATGTGTTTGTTTGTTTTTGCGCTTGATAAATATTAACAAATGTTTAAAAATTCTATTTTATATAAATAAATTGATTGCTGTTGTGTTTGTTGTTGTAATAGAAAGAAAGAAAGAAAGAAAGAGAGATGAGAATCTCCATTCATTCATTCATTCATTCATTTCATTTCATTTCCTATCGTGAGTTTGTTGATTTAAACTGAAAATCCTGGACCTTCAGCTTGAGAGGAGAGTGAACTCTTTTTGGCACCCTTGACCTCTGTTGTTTGTTGTTTGTTTAATGGCATCTCTGCCTTTTCACCCTTCAAATATCCAAGTGCACAATAACATCCTCCTGTAAATATACATCCCAAAGCAGGGGCAATTGTGAAAATAGTAAAGAACATTGGAACACAAAATCTACAATATTTATAAATGAATATTAATATTAGGATTTCCTATTACGTAGTCATCCATCCATCCGTCCTCTATTTATCTATCTACTTACACAATATATATGGGACCTCTAATTTTATAATCGAAAACCATAGCAATAAACTCTACATTTAATACAAATGGCAATGAAAACTCTAATAATAACATAAATCCTCCAAATGCACTATAATGATTTATAAACAAGTTGTTAATGATATGCCATATCTATCTATCACCTATTCTTCATCAACAACAACAACAACATACATTGAAATAGGACCAATAATCCAATGTGAGAAGAAAATAATCATAATACCTAAACCAACAGCCACTTGTTATTGAAAGAAAGAGAGTTTGAGTTAGGTATAACTATTCAGCAGTCAATTACAAATTGAGTAAATGTACTCATCTATCTATACATACAACCACCAGTTATCATTCCTCCAAATCTAGCAGCTGTCTTTATTTTAGATGACTCTGGTAAGAATCCTCCAGCTACCTTTGTACCTGCGCCACTACCTGCTACTTTTGATGCTACTGACCACATTCTATATTCTATATTCTATATTCTATATTCTATATTCTATATTCTATATTCTATATTCTATATTCTATATGTTCTATTCTATATTACTATTACTATTACTATTTAATATCTATCTATCTCTATTAATCTATGATGGTGAGTGATAAAGATAAGACTTTGAATTACTTTTGTTTGTTTGTTATATCTTTTAAACAAGTCTGTGTGTTTGTTATTGTTATTACTGCGTTATACGTATTTGTTTAATTAAAATTGTATTACAAAAAAAAAAATTAAATGTGCTGAAGGTGGGGTGGGTGGTAGGTGTGAAAAAGGGGTGTCTTTCGATTAATTAAAATTGAATTATTTCCCTCCTGAAAGGTTGAGAAGTGGACGTCTTCTAACAATGATGTAACTACTCAGTGAGACAACGACCGAAAGAATAAAATATTTTATTTTATTTAATTTATGGTTCAAAACAAAATGGATAGAGTATAAGGATAATTTAGAGTGATATTAATATTTAATTAATATTTCTATTATTATTATTATTATTATTACTATTATTGATGTTAATAATATTATTATTATTCATTGTAACATCCCAAATGGTTTGGTACAAGGTTCTAATTTCATTCTTGAATAATTGAATTTTTTGTCTTTGAAGGTTGTTTTCTTGCATCTTTTCTCTAATTCTGTCAGTACCATTCTTCATACTTGATATTGCCTTTTGATAATCATCATCAAGATGTGACAATGTTTCACCAACTAAACTATCAATAGCTATTTTAAATTCTTAAAGAAAGTAAATTTAAATATTCCAATCTCTATTAATTTACTATCTATTTGGTGGTATTTACGTTTTAAAAAATGTTCATAAGCATTTGAATAGTTGGTAATATTCAATTCCAAATATTCTAAATATTCCATTTCTTCTTTTGATAATTGTACTTGTTCTTCTTCATGAGATTGTGAAAGTGGATTTTGATGGTCACCATCATTGTTGTTTGGTAATGAAAAGATTTGAGATGGCGAAAGTTGATTTTCAAAAAATGTATCAAATGTTTGTTGTTGTTGTTGTGGTTGAGAAATAATTTGTGATTGTTGAGAAATAAGTTGTGATTGTTGTTGTTGTTGTGGTTGTTGAGTTGGATCTAAAAATGATTGTTGTGTAATAAATTCAAAAGAATCTTCAAAATGTGAAGTATTCATTTTTTAAATAAATAAATAAATAAATAATTAATACAGATAAATAAAACAAAAAATAATAAATCTAAGATTTTAAATCATTCCAACCCAAGAAACCCCTATTCTATTCTTTTTTAAATTTCATTTCTTTTTTTACCAAGAACCAATACATTTTAAAGATAAAATGATAAATTTAAATTTAACACTAATAGTTTTTTAGTTTTAATTTTAGTTTTAGTTTTTAGTTAATTATAATTTAAATTATTTATTTTAATGGAATACAAAAGGGAGGAGGTGAGGGGAGGGGTTTGTTTGGGTGTTTGTTTGTTTGAAATCATTTTGATTGTTATGTTGAATTTGTTTGTTATTTGTTATTGTTATTATTTGTATGATATGTTGTTATTTCTTTTTTGAAATATTTTCAGCAACCCAATTTGGCCATTGATCTTGATCGAGTACATGTTCAGATTGAGCTTGTTCATACATTTCATAAGCATCTACGTTACAGATATCACCCATCATAGAGTGTTGGAGTTTGGCAGCGACCACCAAACTGACAAAATACTTCTTTTTGAGGTTTTCAAAGGTGGCTGTGACTTCTTGCAACTTGAGGACGACTTCATCGCCAGCTTGTTGTTTCATAAAGGCAATGTTTTGTTGGTTACGTTGTTGGAGGTCTCTCTTGATACGTTGGATCGTTTCAGAGTACACCTTTTCTTGTTGTCTCATTTCGTTTTCAAGACGTTGGAGTTGTAAGTTGAGGAAGGCATTGTGGGTTTGATGAGCAATCGAACTCTCACGCATGTTTTCAAACTGTTCTTCGGCCGACAAGGCTTTGGATTTACGGTTAAGTTTCTTGTTGCTAGCAGCGTTGGTTGGGTTGGTAAGCTCACGAGAAAAGGCCATTCCATTTTCATACTCTGCTCTAACCTCTTTGACATTGGTCTCGAGTAGTCCAAGCTTGGCATCCTTGATCTTGATCTCCTCTTCCCACATTTTGAGTTTGTCTTGAAGTAGTGTATTTTCGCATTCACGATCAATCAATTGATTCTCACTATTGATCAATCTATCCTTCATCATTGATATTTGTTGATTCAATTGTGATTGTTCTTCCTTGTATTTTTTACTTTCTTCCAACTCTTTTCTTAATGTATTATTTTGATTTGATTGTTCCTAAAATAGAAAATAAAAAAAGAATAAGTATTATTATTTTCTTCTAATCTTTTCCTTATTTTTCTATTTCTTACTGTAATAGTTTGAGAAGCTTTGTTTAGACCATTTTCCAAATCTTGAAGTAATAATAATAATTTCTTTTGTTCAGTACTACTTAGATCCTTTTGAAGATTTTGACTTGTTTCAAATGCCTTCATTTGTGAACGAAGAAGTGAAGATAATGAATTTAATTGTACAGTTTGATCCTTTAATTTTGCAGATTCACCTTGGTATGCACTATTGACTTGTGACAATTCAGCAGTCTTGTTTTGAATCTCTCCTTTTTGTTGTTCTGACAATTGATTTTGTTGTTCCGTAATATTTTGAATTGTTTTTGTTGATTGTTCAATTGTATTTGATAATGCCTAAAAATCAAATAAATAAAAGTAAATTAATAAATATTATTCTTTTTCTTTTTTTTCTTTTTCTTTTCTATTTCTTACATCAATTTGAGATTGTTTTGAATTTTGATCTTGTTTAAGATTTTGAAGATTTTTATGTTGAATTTCAACAACCAAATTATTACTTTCAACCGATTGTTTATAATATTGAATCTTGTCTTCTTTTTCACGATTTGAACTTTGTAGTGCTTGAATGGCAGTTTTACAATCACGAAGTTGGTCACCAGCCTTGCCATGGGTGTCGCGGAGTTCGAGCAACTCTTTTCTGAGTGCATCCATTTCCATCTCGGTGACATCTCTGTAGGTCTTGGATTGTTCAGTGAGCATGTCCATGATACGACCAGTATTCTCGAGTGTGTCTGATAGGTTGACAATTTGAGTCTCCTTGTTCTCGCTTATATACTCTAAATTCTTGACTTGACCTGACAAACCCTCTTGTTGGAGCTTGAGTTTACGGTTCTCTTCTTGCACATTGTTCTTTTCCTTTTCCAACTCGCTACCTCTTTCCTTGGCAGTCTCGAGCTGGGTCTTGAGCGACTCTATTTGCACCGAGCTCTTTTCATACTGTTGCTTGACATTGCGCAATTCGGCGTCTTTGGACTCTGAGATCTTGCGAGTAGGGTCGAGTATTTGCAACCACTTTTCTCTCTGCTCGTTACTCGAAGCCTGTAACAACCACACTCTACGCAATTGGATAATGGCAAATCCAAACTGGATACCTTCTTCATTGGGTACAATGGCGATGGATGCGTTGGTCAAATCAATCTTTTTCTGCTTCAAGTCCTTTTCACCGTGCGAGTAGTAGAGACATGGCTTTTTGAGCACAAAGTAGCGTTCCTTCCACTCGTCCTTGTACGTTGACTTCTTTTTCAAGTAGCCGCGCATCTCATCCTCTTTGACGAGTGCACTCGAGCCAACTTCGTTGACTTTGACCTCTACGACGACCGATGCCGATCGCTTCTTGTTGGTGATGAGTGTCGACTTTTTGCTGTGGCTGATCGAGCTGTTGGCATTGATCTGCGACATCTTTCGGATAATATCTTCGGTGATTTGCTGGTTGTTGGTCGATGTTGGAGCAAATGCGCTGTGGTCGTCGTCTCCACGCAGCTTGGTGAGACGTTCACGAAGGTCGAGTTCCTGTCTCAACTTTTCCATCTTCATGGCGTAGCCAAGCTTGAAAAAGTTCTCTTGGTGTACATCGATCATGTCACCGATACGGTTCTGGTGTTCTAGTTGACGCGACTTTGTCAATTGCACATTAAACACACTACCCGAGTGAAGAATACTAGACTCTGTGATAATACTCTCTCCCTTGAAATGAGTCTTGAAACGATCCAAAAGGTTGCTCATCGACGTGTTGGCACCCTCTGGTGCACCCTGCAAATTGTCAGACAACACCTTGACAGAGATGTCCTTGGTAATAAACGCCTCTTCTGTGAATCCATCAAACAAAATGCCAAAGGTAATCTTGAACAATAGTTTGTTACCCTTGCGTGTCTTTTGTGCCAATATATTGGTTGGATCAGTTGTCCATTCTGCAATAATCGTGTCTTTGGACATTGAAACAACTGGTAATATTGTAGTCGTAGATGTGCCATGTGAAAAATGACTATTGTTATTACTTGTTGCAGTATTACTTGACGATTCTGCACCAGCACCATTTAAAAGTGTTGAAAGACTGTCCTTGCTAGCACTATTACTGATAAAACTGCTGTTTCCACGCTCATTAGAGTTGGGTGTCGACATGGACGTGTTGTTGAGTGCCGAAAAGAGGTTGTTGGAGCTTGCATTGTATGGTGTCTGTGGTGTTTGTGGTTGACCTGGTCCATTCTGACGATTGGCAGGTGTCGATGGTGTCGAGGGGGTGTTGTTGGCCGACAATATGGCACCAGCAACTCCACCAACCATTGGTTTACCAACGACACGTGTGTTTGTAATCTTGACAGACTTGCAGTCCTTGACAGAAACACCTGGCGACATCTTTATAAACTTGAGTACAACCTGTCTTGTAGCAACCTCTTTTCTCAGTCTAAATGTAACTGTCGAGCTTGTTGAGCTATCGGCATCTTCCAAGATATGTACTGGCTTGAATCCAGGTGACAAGTCACCCTCTCCATCAGCCTGTGGTTCAAGAATATTAACCGATGCCAAAAAGTCAAACGACTCTGAAATGGGTTGTTTCAATGCATTCTCAGAGAATGGTGATGTCTCCTTTTTCATCGATATCTTGTTACCCCAAATTTCAAATGCAAGATATTGAGATTCCAAATATTGAATATCATCAATTGTCAATGATTCAATTATAATTGTCTTTTCATCTTTAAATGTTATTAATGAATTTGATTCCTAAATAAAATAAATAATATAAACAAAAGTAAATATTACAACTTATTTTTTCTTTTACTATTTCTTTTACAACTTACATTAGTTTGATAAGAATCATTAATAAATTTATACTTTGAGAAAATATGATCATAATTATAATTTTCATCTTTGAAATCAGAGATACCATTGAATTGGATGGTGATTGAAAGTTGTTTTCCAATGAGACCGTGTAACTTGTGTTGGTGGTGTTCACCAGAAGAAGTTAGTACTTCTTGATCGTCTTCTGAATCCCAAATCGATGATTTCTCCTCCTCGGTGATATTTGATTTGGGTGATACTACGACATTGAGGTAACCCTTGAGTGTACCGTTATTGTCAAGTACTGGAATGGCACGTTTAATATCAATAAGGTATAAAAGATTCTTGAGATAAACATGTGATACACCAATCAAACTGGCTCCATCAAATTGAATCTTGAATGGATCTTCAAAATCATCTTCCAATTTACCATCATTTTGATACAATTCTCTCATTGAATAGAATCTATCCATAAATTCTTCACTTGAAATCATTGTTGTTGCTCCTGTATCTTTTGTAAATACTTTAATTCCAATTTGTGTCTAAAATGAAAAATTAAATATTAATAAATATTGTTTGTTTTTCTTTCTTTTTTGAATGTTTCATACCATTCTCCAATCAATTTCAATTTCATCAGAATCTGAAATTTGATCTGGTTGTGGGAATATTGAATATAAATATAAAGAAAGATCGATATTTTTCGATAATGTATCTGAAATTGCATTTGCTTCATTCAATTGTAAAATGAGATGAGAAATTCTATTCAACAATCTCTTTCTATAAACTTTTGATCTCCATCTTCTAACTGCTATAATTGCAATCTAAAAGAAAATAAAAACATAAATTATTAGTATTAATTAAATGGATGAATGACTTTTGATATATTTACTCTTTCTCTTCTTTCTTTTGTTTCTTGATCAAAATCAAATTCCATCGATTTCATTTGTTCATATAAAACCTTCATTTGTCTTTGGAATTCTTTTTTATCTCCAATATGTTTTGACATTGCCCTAAATTAATAATTAAATTAATAATTAGTTAGATTAAAACTATAGTTCTTTTTCTTTCTCCATCTTTTATCTATTTTCTATTTATATTACATACAAAGTACCTTGAGCAGAAGCCAATTCATTTAAAGCAAAATCATAATCAACGATTTGATCAGATGTATCGGTTGGACTACCGACAACTCCAGCCATACCACTATTACGTTCTCTTGCGATTTTAGCGGCTTCTTCTGGATGATTGAATCTAAAAATATGGTTATTACCAAGAATAACACGATTACCGGTATTTAAAACGGTTGGTGAAGTGATTTCATTTCCATTTACATAGATTGAAGTGTGAGTTCTATTGTCCTTGTCCTCGTCGTATGGGATGATGGTGACGACACCATCCTTGTTTTGAATGACACAGTGTTCCTGTGCGATACTAAGTCCATTAAGAATAATATCTTGTGGCGTGTCTGCATCTGATCGACCAATACGAGTGTATCCCTCCTTGAGATAGTAAATGAGTGACTCTGACATTTGCGGATCTTCATTGAGATTGACTAAATGTGGGATGGATGATACCACCTTGATCGCTACACCCATATCTTTTAATGCTGCCATTCTCTCTTCTCGAATTCTTTCAGATTCTGTCAATTTCTCTTCCCACGATTTATTCAATTCAGCCATCAATTTTTCATAAGATTCAATCTTTTCATTTAATGAAAGTACTAATCCATCATCTAAAAATAAAACAAAAGAAATTAAATTAATATACTTTCTTTTTCTTTTTCTTTTTTCTTTTCTATTTTTTCTTTTCTTTTACCATCACCACCAGTACCAGAAGTACCACCATCCTTTAAAATTTGTTGTTTTAATCTTTCAACTTCAGTTTGAAGTTCTCTGATGACTTTGGATTGAGCGTCTTCATTGACAGTGGCAGTGGTTTTGATCTTTTTGGCGCTGTCGGCATAACGCAGCGTCGAGAGAGTTTCGTCATAGTTGATGTCGGCCGGCGAGATGGCGGCAATCATGATGGTCTTGCTGTTGCCACCCAAACTTTCCTTGAGCAGGTAGGTGAGCACCGAGTCACGGTACGGCACAAACACCTGCTTCTTTTGCGTCGAGTTTTCGGCGAGCGCGCTGATGACCTTGCCGAGTGTCGAGAGCGACTTGTTGATGTTGGCACCCTCCTTGAGACGCATGCCTGTGGCACCGGTACTGTTGGCACGCTCACTGCCGGCAAGATCGACGAGCGACACCTTGGAGACACGGTCGACTGCGACACCACGCTTCTTGTCAATCTTGCTCTGCGTAAAGATGATGGTAAAGACGGCGTGCGAACGCGACGACGTGGCATTCATGTTGGTGCTGGCGACTGTACGCGCTTTGCTGCCTTCGTCCATCAACATTTCAATCTCGGGGAATGACTTGACGGCCAGCTTGGACAAGTCCTCGACGTAGGGGCCTGTGGTCGGGTGATTACGCACTTTGAGACCGCCGGGCTTGTTGTTCTTGGGGTTGAGCAGATCCTTGACACGCTCGTTGTAAATCTCCATAAACGACACTTCCACCTTGAACACAATCTGTTCGTTCTCGTTGGACACTGTATTGTTGATGCGGTTAAACATCTCTTCGCAGACGAGTGGGATGATACCCTTCTCCTCGCCGTACCCAAGCATCGAGTAGGACTTGCCCGAACCCGTCTGACCATAGGCAAAAATCGAGCAGTTGAAGCCCTCCCATGCATTCTGTAGCACCTCTCTTCCGAGGTCGTCAAAGACCGTCGTCTGCGATGCAAAGTTGGAGTCGTCCGAGTCAAACGACCAATAACTGTGATCAAATGTAAACGACTTTTCATCGTCTTGTGATACCGGTGCAAGTGGGTTGGCTCGAAGTGCTGTTGGTCGAACCAAACTCGTACTATTACCCGACATCTTTACTATACATTCTGCATTTCTTTCCTTTTCCCTACACAATCATAAATCAAATTTAAAAGTGTTAGAAAGAAAGGAAAGTTTAAAATTATAAGTTATATATATCTTACCTAGAGTTAAATGGTCTAACTCTGACCGCTACTTTAACTCCTGAAGACATGATGAATCTCTTTTAAAATGTCTTCTGAATATATATGTATGTATGTATGTATGTAAGTTTTATATATATGTGTGTTTTGATAGAATATCTCCACTACTACTAGGTCTACTAATAAATTGATTGACTATCCTATCTATATATATATATATTTTATCTATCTATCTATCTATCTATTTATCTATCTATCTCTAAAAAAAGACTATATTCTATATGTTATGTTATTGTTGTCTTTTTTAAAAGAAGAAGAATTTAAAATAAGGATTGATATTAGTTAGTTGATGATCAGATGAATGATGATAAAGTATACTTTATGCTAATGTGATCTACCTACTCATATATGATGATTATTATTATGATTGGTGAAGAAGAAGAATATTAAGAAGAATAGTAGGTAGGGGTGGTTTGTCTGTCTCTGTTAGTTTGTCTGTCGATTGGTTAATTCAATTGCAGATTAACTTTTTTGATTCTACTTTTCTTTCACCCTCTCACTCTCTTGATTCTAACTTGTCTCCTTGTTGTGTCGTCTTTCTTCTTTAAACAAACAAATAAATAAATAAGAAATAAATAAAAAGATAACAAACACAATAATAAATATTTATATTAATATTAATAAAAAGGCTGTGAAAAAAGAGAAATATCTATTTTTTTTGCAAAGGGGTGTGGTTGGCAAGAAAATTCTTTCTCTACCTTGCGAGATCCGAATGTCGTATTATTATTAATCCCATTATTATTAATTTATTTGAGATAGATAGATACTTTGAAGAAAAAAAAATATATATGGTATAATTCATTTCATTCATCCAATCAAAAATCATTCTTTAAATCATTCATGAGTATTGTACAATATAATATTATCTATCTCTCTATCACTCTTCAAAAATACTCGAAGTTCCCAGGGAACTCCAAAAAAATCTTTTCCATTCGCAGAATGAAACTCTTTCGTTTGCATCGATTCGTTTTATTTCGTTGGCATTGGCAGTGGTCGACAACGATGATGATGGGTGAGTGCAACGTGAGGAAGAGATCCCTAACTTATGAGGAGATGTGTTTGTTGTTAGTTTGTTCTTGTCTTTATCTCATCCCAGTGCTGCAGAAGATCAACCAACAACAACAACAAACATGAACAAGCAAGAATTGAATTAATTGTGTGAGTTTGGAAATGGAGACGATTGGCCAGTAACTTGTCCTTGTCCCTGGGACCAATCAACAAGTATGATGAGGAGATGTGTTACGAATTCGTAAAGCGCAACGACGACGTATCAAAACGGAGACAATACAGTAATGGCAATGGCACGCCCCAATCCCACATTAAACCATTCCACTGAGTTTTCGGTACGCACGGAGCTACCCAAATCTCAGATTCGAAAACCAAAAAAATCAACAACCAAGATTGTTTAAACTCAAACACACAACACGCAATTCTCTCTATTTTAAATCATCTCATCATTCTCTCTATCTATTAGATATATATATATATATATTATACATTCAAGAAGGTTGTGAGAGAGAGTAGAGAGAAGTCACTCAATATTTATTCAAGATAAGCATTGATTTGATTTGATTTGATTGATGGCCGAACAACAAATCCAAGAGGAGACGAGGGGTGGCGGTGGAGATGATTGTGGGGCTGCTACTACAAACACTTGTCATCGTCTCGACAACCCCAATAATAACAATAACAACAACAATAACAATAATGTATTCGACATGTTGAATTCGAGTAAGAGTAGTAGTGATGGAATTGCATCACCATCGTCACCAATCCTATCGTTTTCAACGATAAGTATAGTAGATAATAATAATAATAATAATAATCATTGTAATAATAGTAATAGTAATAGTAATAGTAGTAGTTTTACAAGTCTTATTACAAGTAGCACTGAATCAATGGTACTTGATAGTAATAATATTGCACCAACACCAATGTTACCTGTGAGAGGACATCTCCTTTACAAAGCTAATAGAATCAGACGAATGACTTCAACATTACCATCGGGGCATCGATCGAGTACATGGAATGGATTCAATCATCTAAAGACACAACCAACACCTAAACCCAATCACAAGGAAAAGCGTACCAATATCCTCAAAGAAATATTGTCTACCGAACAAGCCTATGTATCATTTCTCACTGTACTTTTAGATGTAAGTTATTCAATCATCTCGATCAGTCAGTCTTATGTTGATTCTAATCATTCTTTTAAATTCCAGGTTTATCTTGCCAAAATGAGGGAAAAGGAAGTATTGGCACCGGATGACATCACAACCATCTTTTCAAATATCGATGCCATCAAATCTGCAAATGATGAAATACTTGCAAGATTAAAAGAAAGAATTGAAGTATTAAATAATCCATCACTAAATAATAATAATAATAACATTCAGAAAAATCAAGATCTTGAAGAGGTGGAACAACAACAACAAGAAGAAGGGGAAAACAAAAATAATCAAAATAATAATAATAATAATAATGTACAGCAAACAACTACTACAACAACAACAACAACAACAAAAGAAAAAGGGGAAGAAGAAGAGGAATTAGAACAAGTAGTACAAATATCAGATATATTTATAGAATTGGGACCATTTTTAAAGATTTATTCTATATTTGTTCACAATTATTATAAAAATGCAATGAAGATGATTAAAGATGCATCTAAAAGTAAAAAGTTTAAAGCTTATCATAATGTATGTATAAATCAAATTAAAATTAATTGAAATTAGATTGGAATCATTAATTAATTAAGTAATTTAATTATTTTTTGTTTAGGAATGTAAATATACACCTTTTGCAAGAAAATTGGAATTAAATGATTTGATGATTATGCCAATTCAAAGATTACCAAGATATATTTTATTGTTGGAAGAGTTGATTCAATACACACCGATTAAAACGTTGAATAATGAAAAAGAAAAACTTCAAGAGGCAAAGAGTATAATGAAAGAAGTAGTATCCTATGTCAACCAATCTACTCATCAAGACACTCAAGATCCACAACAACTACTGGCTATCATTCAACAACAACTTGGTCCAAAAGCAGGCCACCTCATTCAACCACACAGAAGATTGGTCAAATTTGGTGAATTGGATAGACTTGTGATCAACGCAGATGGTGCTCCTAAAAAGAGAAAGATTGGTGTTTATCTATTCAATGATATTGTCATTTATGCATTAAACAAAAAGTTTTGGAGACAATTATCTTTATCTGAAGTTTGGATTAGATCAAGAAATATTGAAGGTAAAAATAGAATAGATAAGATATATATTATATTTGATTCTATTAAATATTAATATTAATATGTTGTTTTTTGTAGAATGTGAAACATTTGAAATTTATAGTCAAGATTTAAGTTGTATTTTCTTAAATACTGATACCGATTCTTTGGATTGGCCATTATTAATTCAAGATACTATTAATTCATTTTTAGAAAATGATAATGATGCAATGGGTATGTTCATTATCATTTCCAACAACTTCTTTTTTAAGCAACTAACCATTCCATTTACTTTTACTTTTACTTTTAGAAAAAAGAAAAAAGATTTTAGAAGATTTACAAGATAGATCAGATATTACATTTGAAGAGAAACAATTCTTTTTTGAATCAGTTTCAAATATTAATAGTAATGGTAAAGGAGGAGATGATAAAAATTCAAATAGTATCATTGAAAAGGGTATTGTCAGTGATAGAAAGAAGAAATTGGAACATTTGTTATTAGAGAGAAGAAATATATTGTCAGATAATGAAGATATGATGATGATGGAAGATCACTCTTCTCTATCAGATATTGATAATAGACCATCATCACCATTATCATCACCAACTATGGGTGGCAGCCCAATCCCAAAGAAAAGTGGTGAATCTAAAAAATCAAAAAAGAAACGTGAAAAGCAAAGTATTAATAATAATAATAATAATAATAATGGAGACAGTGGTTCATCATCAAGTCCTAAAACATCAAGAAAACATCCATCTACCAGTTATTTAATTCGAACGACATCTACTAAAATGTTGTTTACCGCTCCAAGTAATTCAAAACGTTTGTTACATATTGTATTGATGAAAAATAATATTACAAAAGAAGGTTATCTTACCAAAGTTGGTGGTGTAGTTAAAAATTGGAAACGTAGATGGTTCATTATGGAAAATGGTTATCTATTTTATTTAAAGGATAGAAACGTAAGAAAAAGAAATATTTAAATATTTAAATATTAAATATTATTATTATTTTACTTACTCTTTTTTTTTTTTTTTAGGATTCACAACAACTTGGTACAATTGCATTGATTGGATCAACTATTGAAAGTATTTCGATAGAAGGTAAATCATTTAGTATTGTAACAAAACATAGAACATTTATGTTGATGGGAGATACAGAGGAAGAGATTAGAGAGTGGACAAGTGTTATACAACAATTCTACAGTGAACGACAATCAACTATACTAAGATATGCCAATCAATTGACAACATCGGTAAAGGATATTGTTACTGGTACTAGTCCTGGACAAGACGGATGGCGATCGGCTAGTCCACTTTCAAGATCCACTTCAGCCATCTCGCTGCACAGTTCAATGGATGAACAGGTACAGAGACGGTTGGCTAGTTTCAGATCATCTAAAAATTCAAATAGCGATATCAACCGATCAACAGACAGCTTTGGATCGGAAATGAGTACTTCTCCACCATCACCAAAGTGGAGAATGACAACTGGTCACATTCTATCAAACCGTAAAGAGTTTATTGGTAATCATCATATCGATGAAGAAACTGATGATGATGATGAAGATGACGAAGATGACTCTTATGACGACGAACTTTATCATCAAAATCTTGGAGATGATGATGATGATGAGGATGATGATGAAGATGAAGACGATGAGGAATTTAGTGATTCATCAGATGATTCAGATTTTTAAGAGTAAAAATACATACCAACAAATATATAAATAATAATATAAATAATATAATACAAATAATATATTCCAACAAACCATATATGACATTTTGCGGCTCACTCACTCACTCCACACTCTTTATAATTCTCGAAACTCACCAATGAATTTAAATAAATAAAATCATTTATTAATATCCGATAGTAAGTGTTATGAATCATTTTATATTATTTATATTTATATTTATATTTTAATATTAAAGAAATAAAAAGATTAGAAGTAGAAATAGAAAGAATGAACAAGATTAATATTTTTAAAGAGAAATTAAATAATGAAAACAAAAATACTAATATTAATAATAATAATAATAATCAAGATCCAACCACCTCCTCTAAAAGACCATCACTATTAATATATCCAACAATCAAGAAAATACAACCAAAACAAGCACCTCTATTACCAATACTACAAAACAATGATAATAAAGAAAATAAAAGAAATCAACCTTTATCTCAACCATCCACTACTTCAACATCAACTTTGCCATCATCACAACATCAACTGACATCTTCATCATCATCCCAACAAAATGTTTATGGATTATTTAGTAAAGGTAGAAGATCAAAATCAATAGGTACATTTAAACCAAATTATCAAACTAATAGTAATATTAATAATAATAATAGTGGTATGTATTAAGTACTATTTTAGAATTCTTAAATACTTTTTTTAAAACCTGTCTCACCCCCCCTCTTTCTTTTTTTTTTTTTGGATCTTAATAAAATCATTATACTTTAATATTTTGAAATGAATAATAATGATAAATAATATAGTAAAGTTATTTAATGAAGCTGCTTTCTTTAGTGATGATGATGATATTGATGGTAGTGGAGGTGGAGATTTGGAAATGAATGATGTTGTTGTTCAAAAGCAACAACAACAGCAGCATCATCAGAATAAAACATCCACTTCAAATACAAATGTTGCTTATATTCCACAACAACAACAACAACCAAGCAATACAAAACCAAAGCCTGTATCTCTTCGATTGAATCAAAAGGTGAATACTTCAACCAATATCAATACTTCATCAAACAAACCATCTCAACAATTTCACCAACAACTACAACAACAAATTCAACCACCACCATCATCATTTACATCACCACAAAGAAACAAGAATAATACACCATACCATATACTTCAATTAGAACAATTAAAATTAAAGTCTGCCAATGAACCAAACAACATGAAAAAGGATTTGGAAACATTCTTTACAATGGAAAAGAAACAACCATCAGATACCAAGATTTTAAAGTTTATCGAAACCGAAAAAGATATCATCAAATCATTAGATGATTACCAATCAGTAATGGAAAGTCAATTTGAAATTTTAAAAGAAACTTGTAATTATTCTGATCAACTTGTCAAAGTATGTAAATTATTATTATGTTGATGATACTATCAAAAATACAAATTTTATTTGATAATATATTAATTAATTAATTATTAACCTATATGTATATATATATATATGTATCGATTACTATATAGATTGTTACTGGATGGTTACATGATCAATGTCAATGATAATAATGTAATTATTATTATTATTATTTGTAAATATATAAATATATTAAATATTTAATGAGTTAATTGAATCACCATAAAATTCAAAGTACTACCAATTGTTAGACCTATAATCAATGATGTTGTCTAAATAAATAATAGATAGATGGGTTAATAAATAAACAAATACTAGGTATATAGTTTTAAATTTAAATTTGCATACCATAAATATACCAGATAATTCCTTTAAATCACGTTTTACTAATCTTGGACCTTCAGACATGACAATAGAACAAACATAACCATTTGAGAACCCGAAAATGATAAGGAATACAATTGGCCATGCATCACTTGTAAATGTTTTAGTGTAGACACAAATGAAAAAGAGTGCAACAAATATGGATCGACCCAATGTGATTGCCCAAAGAACTGGGTATGATGGAATCTTTCCATCTCGATGTACAAATCCTGGTACTGTCTTTCCAATAAAATCAAATACATTATGAACAGTCTAAACAAAAATAAATTAAATTAATTAATTAATAAATGTCATTCATTGTTTAAAATTATATTTATATTTATACTTACCAATAAGATGATAACAAACCAATCTGGACGAATAGTGTATGATTGAATTTCTAGAACAATACCTGGGAATAAAAACATTGAAATGACAAATATATAGAAATTCATCATTGCCAATTGAAGATTCTTTCTAAAGATAAATCTAAGAGCACCAGATTCACGTTTTGATTTTTCTTGTTTGGTTGATGGTGATGATACGGCTGGTTTCTTGAGTTGACTGTTTCTAATATTAATGCCAACCGGTAATTTCAATAGATAGAGGAATGACCCCAATGCAACCAAAATGACAAATGCACTAATCAAGAAGAATAACAATGATCCTTGTTTCATTCCTTCAGCAGTTTGTGCAAATGATACTTTTGATATAATTCTAGTAACTGATACTATTATACCTGCTAATCCAACTCTATAATTAATAAAATAAATTAAAAAGGTTAGTTAATTTAAATAATAATATAATTTGTTTTGTTTTTGACTTACCCAACTTGAGTATATTGAGTGTATTGTGGACCCATTAAACCAGCAATGGCATAAACAGTACCTTGAACAAAACCATCAATGACACCTGTTAGGATCATTAGGACAAGAGTAATAATGTAGGATGTGAATGATCCACCGGCCGAAGTCAAGTTGATGATGGGGACGGCAATCATGATCAAAATGTAAAATCCAAATCCAAACACCATTCGCTTGGTGTGCGATGAAAAGTTTGGAAACTTGAGGAAAAAGAGAAAGGTAATGGCAATGGCACCCATATAAACAAATGGAAACGTTGAATAAATCTTGTACTCTGGATAAAGAACTGTGAAATAGTCCAATGACATTAGGAAACTTTCAAAAGGGAATAAATATCCTGTTCCAAGTATAATCATTATGATTGCTACTCTTATATCCTAAATAGATAAATATAAATATAAATATAATAGATTTGTTGTTAAGTCATAGTTTAATACTACATACCTTTTGATTGCTCATCATTGGCAAATACTCGTCTTGAGATCCTTCATCCTCGCGGTCATCCTCCAACTCGATTTTTGCTACAGAGAAATTAGCGTGTTGCGTTGGCTTTTTTAAATCGTCCTCTTGTTGAGTTGAATTATTACTATTAGTGTCATTCATGATGGTATGACCAAATAAAATAGAATTGATTGCATTTGTTGCCATGCTAAATATTTCTTTCTTTTTTAAAAATTCTATTTATATCCTCCTTGTACTCCACATCCACAAACTTGTATTAGATATTGACTGTTGATAGTTGACAGTTGACAGTTGACTGACTTTATCTGTTCAAATTGAATTTGAAATTTAATTGGTGATGATTGTGAAGATAAAGATAGGGGTCGGTCAGTATTTATAAATAATTGATAATTCTCTCTAATATAAATAAACATTATTATTAATATGAGTTGACCGGCAAAAGAGGGACAAGAGTACAGGGTGGGAATTCCACTCGTTTAAAGAAGGTGGTGTTTGACAATAGATCACTAGATATTAAATAGGGGGGAGTGGAGAGAAAGAGAAGATAGGATGCAATGAGTTTTAGTTTTGTCATATGACACCCCCACTCTACTCTGTTACGGTTAACCTTGAGTGTTAGATACCTCACTCTATCTCCTTTGCATTCCGTGTTTGTATGACAAAATTGTGTGTTTTTGCAAAGTGGGTGATGTAATTGGCGTGTGTGTATTTTTGTTGTTCCGGTCTTCGGAATTAAAAGCACAAGGAAGCAAGCATCAGATGTTGCTTTTAATAGATGGTTGTTCTGTTGTTCTGTTGTTCTGTTGTTCTGTTGTTCTGTTATTCTATCTCTCTTTAGATATCTAATTATTACCGCGACCGATTATGTTTATGATCGACTAGTAACTAAATTAATAATAATAGAACTAATTAAATTAGTTCTTTTCTACCTACACTTTAAGGGGTTGAATATTTGTTTAAATGAACCTAATATTCATTGCATTATGTATATATAAATTAAAAGGAGTTCTTCTTCTTCTTCATTCATATTGCAATCAATTCAATGACAATGTCTCTGTCATTTCGGTTGGGGGTTCGTGAAACAAAAAGGTCAAAAGAATGAAAAGTAATACTTTCTCGAACACCTTTACTAAAAAAAAGTACTAGTACTTTTAGTCGGTTGATCTAGAATGAGAAATGTTATCTCTCTCTCTCTCTCTCTCTCTCTAGAGTATACTCATTATTATTTGATAGTGCTTGTAAATCTGATTTTATAAAGAATGAAAAATAAATAAGATGGGTGGTGTCAGATGATGTTTCATTTAAAATTAATGAACATACACGTTGCGCTATATTAACAATATAGAAAAGAAAAAGAGAGATATAAATATATATGTATTCATCTAACAACAGTCGTTACAACTCTCGATATTATGATGATGATTATAATGATGATGACGATCAAGACTATGGAAGAATAGATGCAGATCAATACAAAATGATGAAATCTCTTGCTGGAAGTACTGTATATTGCTAGACAACAACATAGAGTCGTGAGTCATCCTACGCATACTAACTCATTCCTCATATAATCTTAATCTTATTCATAATATAATAGCTATAGGACTTTTAGCAGGCAGATATGCAGTGATGTTATGTATGTTTACTTTAATTTAGTTTAGTTTAGAGTTTAACTTGGTTTGTATATATAAATCATTTATTAATATAAATATTGCAAATCATCATGTGATATCTATCTATCTATCTATCTATCTATTATAGTTGTTAAACATATTCTTGGTGTAGCTCCGATAAATAGCACCGATTATCTATAAACCATCCAACAATCACTTCTACTATATAGTATTTTTTTTTAATTGATAGCAAGAAGTATTTTAAACTACTTGAAAGTTAGATTCATCATTATTATTATTATCTTATCCATAAGCCAAGTAAAAAGGGTGATGGATTATTATTATCATTATTATTATTTAATATTTATTAAATATTAAATCACCGACCGATCCTCTCTTCATCCCCAACAACAACAACTCATTATTACCATATTTGTAGGAACAAAAACAACAACAACAACCATCTCAAAGAATAAACAACCTCAGGTGCACAGTTACTAGGTCACTAGTTACCAAGATAGGAAATTCCTTTTTAAATCAAATTTACAAGATTGGGGGCAGACCTATCCCAAACCTCGACAACAACCAACAACAAAGATTGCATTGTTTTTTTTTATTATCATGATTCAATTGACACGCTGTACAGATAGTATTACTTAAAACTTATTTGTCTCTTTCCTCTTCCTTTTGTACTATATAGCTCATCTATCTACTTTATCTCTTTCTTTAGTTTTAAATCAATTATCAATTACAAAAGTAGTAGAATAGAAACAGAACAGACAGATAACAATAATAAATAATTTAGAATCATGAATAATGATAAAAGGATAACAGATGATGAATTTCCTCCAATGTATATACCTCCTCCTCCTCCTCCTACTACTTCATCATCATCATCATCATTATCTCCTTCATCCTCAACAAACAATGACAATAATAATGAAGATGATGACCTTGACAATGGTCAATTAATAGAACAAGAACAAGAAGAAGAATCATTTCTAAAAGGTGTAATGAATGTATTTATAACATTTGGTCATTGTTTTGGATTGTTGTGTTGCTTTTGTTGTGAGGAACCAGAGACTGAACAAGAGAAACGAGATCGAAGAAGAAGGAGAAGACGTGAAAAACGAAGAGCACATAGACGTGATAGTAGCAACACGACCGATCAAATCATAGTTGGATCTAATATTAGTGATGGTGTTGGTGCACCCAATATTAGGTATTCTAAACTTGGAGACCCTTTGATACGATTCAAGGTCGGTCTAAATGGCAAGGACATGTGGATGGGTGCAAAAGGTGTTAATTTCTATCACACCTTTGGCAAGTATGCAGTGTTGGTCGATAGCTTTGATAATCGTGTCATTGCATTTACAAAGGATGGGTTGCCTTGCGAGGATCTAGATCCTGACCACGTTTTTATCATCGATGTAAATAGATTTGGTGAGACTGAAGATAGATGGAAACGTTTAAAAGATTATCATCAACAACAACAACAACAACAACAAATCAATCAATCAAACAATCAAACCCAAAATCAATTTAAATCAATTGAAATGGATACTTTATATGAAAATCAATTAATGAATAATAACAATAATAATAACAATCAAAATACTAATACTAATAATAATAATACTAACAATATAAAAAATAATAATAAGAATAATAATAATTCATCACCACCCATGACAGGAGGTTATTCACCAAAATCAAATAGAAAAGTGGAGTTGGATTGGGATACTTTGGATAACTTTAGATAGGTAGGTCTATCATATAATATTAATAATAAATAAAAATTAAGTTTGTTTATTTATTTGGTTTGTAATAATTTACCAGCCATTCCAATGATTTAAACATACGGATTCCGATGAGCTTCACTCGTTCGAACACTGATGTCGAGCAAAGGACGAGGGTTTGGTAATAACATGTTATTTGGGCCAAGTATTGTTTATTGCCGGCTATTTGAATATTGACATTGTCCAATTCAAGTAATTCATCCATATCTTTTAATGGATATTTAATATGCTTGGGATTCCAATTGAGCATAGTTATTTTAAAGTAATTTTATTTATTTATTTATTTGGGTTGTTGTTCAATGTCTTGTTCAGTTGGAACAGGAATAAATCTTATATTCAAATATTGATGATCATGTTCAAACATTTGATGAATATTATCATTGTCCAATTTAAATAACTTATCCATTTTCACCAATGGATATTTTACGTGCAGAGTATAGTTTTGTTTGAGTTGTTTTTTTAGAAAAGACTTTTCGATTTGATAAAATAGATGTTCATATTTAGATGCTTGAACAAATGATATGACGCTGACATCTTTTAAATCTATTTTGAATAAAATGCCAAGGTAATTTCTTTTCCAAGATAACACATTATTTTCTCTAAATAGATATAGAAAGATCTATTAGTACCTTTAGATTCCAGATAGCAGTTAATAAAACATACGTATTGATTTCACCGATTCCAAAACATTTTTCACCAATTGTCAATATGATTTTAGAATGCATGTGAATATTGGTAAATGAATTGAGAGTGCTGATCGAATGAACATTTCCTCTACCTGTGTGGTAAATATTAATGTGTTTGATGTCAATTTCGTTATCGATAACTTTTGCAAAGATATCAAATTCGTGATTGATAACTTTTGGAAAGATATTATACTGTTTCTCTTTATTCCAAATATCTGTGGTAATGTTGATAATGGGCATTTGGACATCCGATTGTTTTGATTTGAGTCTGAAATAATATGGAGGATTCTTCAATTGGGAAAGATTGATTCGTTGATTGAATGATCGACCAAAAACAATCGCTTTTAAACTTCCTCCTAAAGTAGTGCTATCCAATGGACTATTAAATGATGGTCCAAATATTAAAGTTTCAACACTAACAGGGATGTCAAGATAACCGATAGGTTGATTAAACTTTCCAAACAACTTTAACTTTAAAAGTGTTGGTGGAAGCAATGCTCTAAGAGGACTGTTGAACTCTCCATCGAATATTAATTCTATGGCATCTGGGTCGATCTTTCTGTTGTCAATTAAGAATGGCGCTGTAATTTTCTGTGTGTATGGGCCGACATCTTCAACAGTCAAATCATCATTGGGTGAAAGACGATCTTGATGAGTTGCAATTAATAGTTCCTTGACAAATCGAATCAAAGCATCTGAATACCGGAGTGATGATATTTTAACCAGATCAACATTAAAGTTACCATTTTTATGATTCTCTACAAATTCATTCCTGTTTGCAATGTCGTCTGGATGACTATAATATAGGATGGAATAGTACTATTGTTAATAAATGGGACAAAGGAGATGTATGACTATTATTTTTACCATGAAAGTAATTTGAGAAGAGTACATCCAAGAGAATAGACATCGCTTTTAGAGTAATATTGTTTTTGTTTTGATTCCTAAAAAGATTTATAAACAATTATTATAGTTTCAATTTTTATAGGGTCTAGAGGTTTAACATACAGGTGAGTAATATCCTCGTGTTCCACGTGCATTTGTGAGAAGCGTAATTGGGGAAACACTACTCTCATTTATAGAGTGATTTTCGTTATTAACTATCATGATTGTTTGAGCATTCTGGTTCTGGGGCTGATTTGCATCAACAATGAAATGGCTAGAACATCCAAAATCACCAAGTACAATTTTACCATCTTCCCCAATAAAAAGATTGAGTGGTTTGATATCGAGATGTGCAATCTTGTGATGTGATAGTTTTTCGAGTATTAGGGTCAATCTTTCAATATAATTCCATATATGCCTCTCTTTAATATATTTGAAATCTTGTTGAACCTTTCTATGATTTTTTTTGATTTTTATCGTGTTATTCCTTTAATTATACAGAATTGGGATATTAATTCATTAAAATAGAGCAACTAAATTGACTTACCTTTTGATTTTGTATTGACATAATTGGTCGAGATCACCACCTTGATAATAAAGAGTCAATATACAATATTTGAGTTCGTCTGTCTTGTCCTCATGGTCTTTGTATTGGACAAACATATCATCGTTCAAGAATAGCTTCATGCACTTGACTTCAAATTGAGCTCTATCATGTATTGATTTACTTTTAGAGTAATCCATTTCTTTGTAAACATACTACATAAAATATTGAATTTGGTTAGAATGAGTTGATTCATTTTTCTTTAATTTACATACCAATACTCTGGAAGACTCTGATAAAACTAGAAATACTTTGTTGGCTGTATATGGATATGGATATAATTTGAAATATTTGTTGTTGTTGACTGTAACATATTCTGTCTGACTGATGGGGTATGTCAAAACATATTTTGGATCGCGATTGATAGAGTTGGGATTTGATTGTAAATTCGTATTTGATTGGGTTGTTTGATTGGAAAAACATTTAGCTATATCGATATCACTAGGTGACGAGCGAGTGGTTGTAAAGATGATCGACCCTATTTTCGATGGAAGCTTTACAAGGCCATTGAGTCCTATCCTAATATAGTTTTTCGAAACTTGGATTGATTGCTTGAAATCACACAAGATTGTGGTGGAATCTCCACCTCGAATGTTAAATGTCAATGACTGCATTGATTGTGGCAATACTCCAAAAGATATGGGTTGATCATAGTGTCGATTTAAAGTTAACGATTGTAATGATGATGGTAATACTCCAATGGATATTGCTTGATTATATCTATCACCAAATGTCAATGATTGTAATGATGTTGGTAATACTCCAGGTGATAGGGGTTGAATAAAGTAATTGCCAAACACCAATGATTGTAATGATGATGGTAATACTCCTCGAGATAAGGGCTTATTGTAATAATAAAACTCCAATGATTGTAATGATGATGGTAATTCTCCAACTGATAGAGGTTGATCATTTCTATAACGAAGTTTCAGTGATTGTAATGATGATGGTAATACTCCAACTGATAGAGGTTGATCATTACTATAACTAAGTTTCAGTGATTGTAATGATGATGGTAGTACTCCAGTTGAAAGGAATCGTTTTTGGTCAAGTTCCAATGATTGTAATGATGATGGTAATACTCCAATTGATATTTCTTGGTTAAAGCCATAACCAAAAGTCAATGATTGTAATGTTGATGGCAATACTCCAATTGATGGTTGATTGAATTCACTACCAAACGTCAATGATTGTAATGTTGATGGAAGTACTCCAATGGATATTGGTTGATTAAATCTATCACCAAACGTCAATGATTGTAATGATGTTGGTAATGCTCCAACTGATATTGGTTGGTTGTACTCCCGACCAAATGTCAATGATTGCAATGATGACGGAAATACTCCAATTGGTATTGGGTGATTATATTCCCAAAAAAATGATTGTAACGATGATGGTAATACTCCAATTGATAGAGGTTGCTCATAGAATCTTCCCAGTGTCAATGATTTTAATGATGATGGTAATACTCCAACTGATAATGGTTGACGATAACCATCACCAAATACCAGTGATTGTAATGTTGATGGTAATACTCCAACTGAAATTGGTTGATCATAGTGCCATCCAAATGTCAATGATAGTAATGACGATGGTAATACTCCAACTGATAATGGTTGACGATAACCATCACCAAATACCAGTGATTGTAATGTTGATGGTAATACTCCAACTGAAATTGGTTGATTATAGTGCCATCCAAATGTCAATGATAGTAATGACGATGGTAATACTCCAACTGATAGAGGTTGGTTATAGTTATCTCCTAATGTCAATGATTGTAATGATGATGGTAATACACCAACTGATATTGCTTGATTATAACTAACTGATATTGCTTGATTATAACGATCATCAAATGTCAATGATTGTAATGATGATGGTAATACTCCAACTGATATTGCTTGATTATATTCATTACCAAACACCAATGATTGTAATGATGATGGTAATACTCCAACTGGTATTTCTTGATTATAACTATCACCAAATGTCAATGATTGTAATGACGATGGTAATACTCCATCTGATATTGCTTGATTATAACTATCACCAAACGTCAATGATTGTAATGTTGATGGCAGTGTTCCAACTGATATTGCTTGATTATAACTATCACCAAATGTCAGCGATTGTAATGATTCTGGTAGTACTCCAACTGATATTGGTTGATTATAACCATCACCAAATGTCAATGATTGTAATGTTGGTGGTAATACACCAACTGATATTGGTTGATTATAGCTATCACCAAACGTCAGCGATTGTATTGTTGATGGTAGTGCTCCAGGCAATAGCAACATATCATAAATAATCAATGAATGAGCTTCTATTTGATTATTATCTGTATCCATTATTTTTTTAACATTTAAATACTAAGTAGGCTTGTGTTCGAAGCTAATGATAAATGTCCTCACACAAAAGATGATGAGGTGTCATCACCTTTAAAAAATCTCACTCATTTTTTTAATTTTTTTTTTGAAGTTCGAATACGAAAAAATGCCAACCGTTTTTTATTTTTGTATTTATTTAATTTATTGTCCAATGTCTTGTTCAGTTTGCAATGGGAATAAATCTTATATTCAAATATTGATGACCATGTTCAAACATTTGATGAATATTGTCATTGTCCAATTTAAATAATTCATCCATATCTTTTAATGGATATTTAATATGCATGGTGTTGTCTGTTGGATCTAATTGATTTCTCTCTTTGAATAATGTATTGATAAAATAGATGTGGGTATTTAGATACTTGAACAAATGATATGACACTGACATCTTTTAAATCTATCCTAAATCTAATACCATCATTATACTTACCTTTTCCAATATAACACATTATTTTCTCTATAGACAGATGGATAGATAAGATATTTAGTTCTATTATCTTTCAAAAGGAACAATCCAACAAAATATTTTGTTCACAAAATTTTAAAAAATATGAAATAAATTTTTGGTAACGGCTTTTTTTTTTTTTCAAACCCAAACAAAGTTAGGAAGTTCGAAGGCCAATTGAATTTTTTTATTTTTTTTTGATTTTCTTCTCCTCTCTGTGAATTATTATTATTATTATTATTGCAAAGAGAGTCGCTACGATTAGAGAGAGAGTTTGATATTTATATAGATATAGATATATAGCAATACAGAGTATACATCGATCATCCACTGCCCAAACAGATAATATCAGTTACCTCATTCGAGCGTCACATTAAGGTAAAAAGTGAATTTTTATATCAGCAACAAACAAAACAAACCAAAACGGCAAAAGAGGAGGATGAAGAGAGAGAAAAAAAAAGTCTTTTCAATTTATTCATCACAATCATCACATGTGACGATTTACAACTACTACTTTGTTGTTGTCAAGATATATATACCTACAGAGTCAGAGAGAGAGAGATAGATGTATTACTCAAGGAGGAGAGGAGGGGAAGAGAGTGCGCTATGAGAAGTGTAGTAGCAACTCAATTTTAATTTTTTTTAATTTTTTTTTAATTTTTTTTTTTTAAATTAAAAATGAACTCTTAGCTAGTTCTCATATCCCAACAGACAACAGATAACAGATCTTAACCATTGTAAAAATAATTTAGAGATCAAGTACAGACGGTGCTGTGAACTCAATAATTGAATCTGTTGTTGTTGTTGTTGTTGTTGAATGTCGTTGGAGTGGAGTAGAGTTGTTTTCTAGATTAGATTGAAAGTATCTAAGAAGAAGAAGAAAAGATAAGATAAAGTATATACTATAGTGTTTGTTTTCAAAAGGTGAATATATAGCATAGTGTAAAATATTTTGTGTTTTATTGTCATAATATATTATATATCACATCTTTTATATTTTGTTTCCATCCAATAGTATCTATAAACAACCTCGCGAAAAGCTTGAGAGAGCAACTATGGAATAGAATAGAATTAGAATCACAAAACCATTTTCATTATTATTATTATTTTAAAGAAAGAAAGAAAAGAATATTAATTTTCTCATTATTTATTATTTATTATTTAAATCAACTTTATATAAATTTATATAATGTAATAAACAGTTATCAATCAATCAATCAATATCAACTACTACGTCAACACAACATAAAATAGATAATAAAAAAGCAAACTTGGACAACCATAATAATATTATTATTTCCAGCAACAAAATATTTATTAGTTTCCAGGTGTATCAAAAATCAAAAATTTGAACATGGATGTTAAAAACGAAGACATTCAAACATCCCCCACGCCAACTACAACGACTACTGCTTCTGCTGCTGTGGTGACACCCACACCACAACCACCACCAACTACAACTACTACTGCTGGTATCATATCTCCCTCTTCAGTAGCTCCATTGGAAAAAGTAGTGTAAGTAACTTACATACTGACAAACAAACAAAGAGATGGAAGGATAGATCTATCTGCCAACCACCGTGCGTGATGCCAACAAAAAAAAAAATATCATTTTATTTTTTTTGTCCACACACAACCCATCCATCCATCCATCCATCCATCCATCCATCCATCCATCTCTAAATACACTCACTTTATAATTATTTATTAATATTAATATTTATTTATTTATTTATTTTATTTGACTCTTTAAAGGATGACTGCATATAATACAACATTGCCACCATTGACTTCCAATGGAAATGCAAATGGAAATGGAAATGGAGTAAATACAACAAACGGATCTGTTGGTATGGGACTGCATTTGAATGGAACTACATCGTTGCCACAACAACAACAACAACAACAAAATGATTATCACAATACTATCTTGTCAACCAATCCAAGTCCAACTATCCAACCAATAGCCAGCACCACATCATCTAATACCACTTCGCCAGCCACGTCTACTGCACCCTCGCCTTCATATGTCAACCATCAACACGCACCTCCTCCAACCACTCTTAGTAACTTGAACTTGGGAGTCGCCCAAATTAGCCAACAACAACCACAACAACAACCTCAACAACCTCAACAACAACAACAACCACCTATTATGGGGTTAGGTATAAACACCAATTTTACACAGACATCTATGCAAAGCCACCATTTGCCACAACCAACAACTACAACTACATCTACCACCAACACTAACTTTCACCATCAACAACAACAACAACAACAATATCCCAATATAATTGCACCAACTAGCATTGGCGTTGGTATTACTCCAATGAACCAGATATCGGGTCTTGCCATCTTGGCAACGACCAGTACGACATCGACGATGCTTGCCAATCCAATGATGGGCGGCGCCGAAAATAAGAGAAATAGAGGCCGTCCTCGTAAAAATCCACCCGCCGAACCACGCGATCCCAACCTTCCAAAGCGCAAGCGTGGCAGACCACCCAAATTGGATGACAATGGACAACCACTTCGCAATAACCTACAAACTCCCAACGCCAAAAAGAGAGGACGCCCAAAGAAGCAAAAAGACGACGGCATCACCCTTGACGATGTCCTCCAACCAGACACTGACGAAAAATCAATCATCCGCAATTTCAAGGCACAACGTTCAGATGACAACCAATCACCACAACAATCACCCAGCAGTCCATCATCCTCTGCCACCAACACACCCATCCACCAAGCTACCAATTCATTTTCTTTGGGTCGTGGTGCCAACAGCCAAAATAACAGTTTTAGTGAATCAGAGTCGACCGCTGCCGATTTCTCAATCGTAGTTGATGAATCATTTACTTTACCATCTCAATAAAATTAACAAACCACAACATCAAATTGTAGAAATCTATCTATTTTTTTTTTGTATTTTCCTTTTGAAAAAATAAATAAATTAAAAAAAAAATACCTTTAAAAAAAATGATTTTCTACAACCACAACCAATTCGTTCGAAGACGTTTGCGTATTGTGACGACGAATAGACTTTGGTTTATTTGAAACAGAATTTAAAAATAGCATAAAACTATCAATGGGCATTGATTTATGGCATTTGATTTTTAATTATTTTGATTTTTTTTTTTTTTTTTAGCATCACGTGACGAAATCTTTTTGTTGATGGTTTTGTTTGACAAGAATCTGAAGTGTGTTCAACTAAAAAAAAATCAACAACATTAATTAATGTAAGTTTATAATTTTTTTGTATTATTATTATTACTTACTTACTTTCTTTAGTATTATCTTACTTGCGCTACCCCACTTGCATTGTTTAATTGTACACCCACGAAAAATGGGGGGAGCTCACTCCATGAGAGCGTTCAAAAGGATACAAAGAAAAAAATAAAGAAAGAGATCAATTGTAATCGACAAAGGTCATCTCTCAAACAATTTTTTTTTTTAGATTTTTTTTTTTTGAAATTATTTTTTATTACAAATTCTTTGATCATCAAGCCAAAGTGAAGTTCAAGCCAGGCTAAATTAATTTTTTTCTTGTATAATTTTATTTTACCAATATTGGACAGAGAGACATCTTTGTATTGAATGAGATATTACTTACTATTATCAACAATAACGTACAATTTATCAACAACAACAATCAGCACATATACACAATGACATAACTATCAATTCAGATAAGATATGACAGTTAAGTGTTTATAATATAAATAATAATAAGACTGATGACACCTATCCTCATTCAACCTCTTCTCATCAATATATCGAGACATCGAACCTTCAATGTGACCGATGAAGAATCATTGAGCCCCCTTAAAAGAGACAACAACAAAGATATCAATCAATGATATCATTAAACACCTACAAATAGAAATCATGCTTGGGATATCATCAACATAGACACCATCAAACTGCCAACAACCTACAATAATAATAATAATAGCCTATCATACCTTCCCTTCAACAACCACAACATATATATATATATATATATATACCAAAGCCAAACAACATAAAACAAAGCAACATCAACAAGCAACCGAAATAATATAGTGATTTATATCGGTATCAGTCGGAGGTGTCGATGCATAGCTATGGCGTGGTGCTGACTGCCATTATTTTGGACTCAAAGAAATTGGCTTTGATTGATTGATTGATTGTTGGCATCGATCGGTCAATAGATGGGATGGGAATCACTCAAAATGATGTTTAGTCAACCAACTGTCGCTAAAAGTGACATCATTTAAAAGGTGTGATAAAGTGTATAGTTTGACATTCATAAAGTAAAAGAGAGAGATAATAATAATAGATAAATAATACATCACAATGTCACATTTAATAGTTAGAGTATCAGCAGTTTTAATGCTTTTATTGTTGATTATTGGTCAAATTCAATGTCAATATGAACCTATCACAGATGTACAAGTTTGGCCAACTTCAGAAGGAGGGAATGGCCACGGATACATAGGATTATATTCTAATATTCACTCAATCAAAGATGCGGAGAAAAAATGTGAGAGTACAGGTAATCGAAATGGTACATTTAAATCATATCTTGTCACACTCGATTCAAAACAAGAATGGGATTTTATTAGAACCAATTTGAGTACAACAGCATGGGTATCTGGTAAAGACATCGAAGGGAATGGCATTTATTCCTATTCAACTGGACCACAAACTAATCAACCACTATTTAATATGTATACTGGTCAAAGTTGGGGTATGTCTATATTTAATAGTACCAACGATTTATAAAATTAATTGTATTTATTATTTTTGTTTTATTAAAGGATATTGTCCATTCCAAGCAGGTTCCCCATCTTTAGCTCCTGCTGCTGAAGATCAATATATTTACATCACAGGAGGACCAACCTCGAATTTCAAAAATGCTTATGCTAATTATTTTCTTCAAACTGCAATATGTGAAATACAACCAATTTCAGAGGTATCCATTCCATCAATTGGTACAAATGGAGGATCAATAACAATCACAATTCAACATACAAACAATCAACATTACATTTTCCAATCCATCCAAACAACTTGAGAAATCATGTCATATAACTCAAACAGATAAAACATCAGTCACTTGTATAGTTCCACCTCTATCTGGATTTCACAATGTAATTGTACAAGATGCTAGCGGAGTCAAGTCAACACACTATGCATGGCAACCATTTCCACCATTTATTAAAGCTGTCTATCCATCATTCACTGCTAATGGATTGGTCACACTGATTGGTGATAACTTTGGTGATAACACTAATAATATAGTATTTGTTAATGTTTCAACATCTAATATTACCTGTAATATTATGTTTGTATCATCAAATCAGATTTTTTGTAGACTCGAATCATCACTTGTTGGAGATACCAAATTGCTTCCCATTTCAATTTCAGTTGGTGGTGTTTATACTCAAACCTATAAACCTTATGTTTGTATGTATATATAAATGATTAAATAATAATATTTATAGTTTGATTTAATTCTAATGCAATACTCTTTTTTCAATAGTATGTGACAAACAATTCTATTCAACCATTCTATTTGGTGGAGAATATCAAACAGTCAATCAAGTAATGATTGACAAAGTATCAATGGGAGCAACACCAAATGCTCCATATATTGGTGCAATAGAATCTGAAGAAATGTATAAATGTTTTAGTCAATCATTGAATATCATTGACTACCCTAAATTTAGATTTTGGCAAGGTGTCTCATACAACGGTAATAATAATCGTTTTACAAGAAATAATGGTCCACTCAAAGGGACACCTTCTCAATTGTATTATTCTGGTAATACTTCAAATATGGATCAGTTAAATAATATTCTATTTAATATTAATGATAGAATGGTAGTGCCATCAGAAGTTGAAAATATTAGTTATTATACACCATTAATTGCATTTAATATAACAGATGCACCGATCATCGACAATATTACACGAATTATACCTGGACAAGCATCACAGGTTACAATCAATGGTAATCATTTTGGAAAAGATAGTTCATATGTTTTGATTTCGATTCAAGGAAGTCAATGTAAATCACCTCAGTTTATTGAAAACAACTATCAACAAATTACTTGCTCATTGGATAGTGTTGAACCTTATTCAACCGATCTAAATTATACTATTACAATTGGAGTTGGTGGAATGCTTACAACCAAAGTTGTATCTCTTGCGAAAGATTGTCTTAACAATTGCTCTTCACATGGCATTTGCAACCAAACATTTGGGACATGCAAATGTAACAGTGGTCATGAACCCCTATTGGATTGTTCATCGTTGGTTAATCGTAGTCAACTACTCAACACAACCGTTTGGGATAACGGAGTGTCTCTTTTATCGACCCATCAAACGATAAGTGGTATTGTTGTCAATTTCACAACCGGTATACAATTCATTCGAGAAATCAATCAAGATAATTCAATCATTAAAACGTTATCAATGAACAATATCATTTGGACGCAAGAGGAGGAGAAGACATCTGCCGGTGAATCAATATTTATTCAATCAACCCACTCAATTGCATGTTAGAGTAAATCAATACCAAGACACCAACACCACTTCATTTCTTGGTGAGGATATTCAAGTATCACCAAATTCAGTCAAATATCGAATCAAAATCATTAATTGGGTATGGTCATCACCAATCAACACGCTGCAGGTGATATTCCATACACAATCAGATTCGGTAGAATTTGACAAGTGTGGCAAGCTAAAAGTCAGAAGTGATATATCTAGTGGTGACCAAATTATATGGACCAGAGTTCAAGTTGGAAGGACACTTTTAAACTGCAAGATAGCAAGTAGAATGGTTATAGACAACTCGACAATCATTCCATCCAAAGTAACACTTCTCACCAACGATGATCCAGTCTCTCAACAAATCTGGAAAAATGGAGGATTCAATATTTTAACGACGTTCCACATACCCAGATTCTCTCATTCGGTTGAACTCGATCCCGTCTTCAACGCACTCATTCTTGTCGACGACTCCAACTTGCCATATGAGTGTACTGAAGAGACTACTGATCAATGGACATTTATCATAGTCGCTGTTGTCTTATCGGCTGCACTACTCTCTATTATAATAGTAGTGTTAGTCATTGTATTCATAAAGCGACCACCAACAAACAGACCACCACATGGAGAAGCCCCAATTGAAATGGATATAATTACAAGTAATGAAGAAATCAACACCCACCAACAACAACAACAACAAAATAATAATAATTAATATTAATAATCAATAATATCAATAATAATGTGTGCCTAATATAATAAATTATATTGTCAAAAAATAATAATAATAGATAACCGTTTGATCAAAATATTATTATATGATAAATATTAATATTTATTTATGAATTGAAATTGTTGAGGGGTTTTACATACATTTTAATAATTTAGGTATTGTGTGTTTAAAAGATAACTGAATATTTAGTTGATCATTGAGATTGACAACACCATCCTGTTTAACCATCAGGATCAATGTTGTTGTCAATCAGTATAGTGACAATCTAGAAATAAGAAATCATTTATATTGATGATGGCCATTGAAATATAATATTATGAAAATCGTTGATTTATTTAATTTGATATATATATGTTAAAGAATGAATTGGAGTCATTATATTTGATGGATCAGCAACACACTCTCTGACAATTGATTTAATCACTCAATGACAGATTAAACTTTAAATAATATTATTTATATTGGACAACCCTAAACCCCATACTTTGTACCAAAGATCTCAAACTATGAAAGTGAAGTTCAAGCCAGGCTAAATTAATTTTTTTCTTGTATAATTTTATTTTACCAATATTGAACAGAGAGAGACATCTTTGTATTGAATGAGATATTACTTACTATTATCAACAATAACGTACAATTTATCAACAACAACAATCAGCACATATACACAATGACATAACTATCAATTCAGATAAAATATGACAGTTAAGTGTTTATAATATAAATAATAATAAGACTGATAAGCCCCCAACAACCTATAATAATAATAATAATAATAATAATAACAATAGCCGATCATACCTTCCCTTCAACAACCACAACAACATATATAACCAAAACAAGTAATAATATAAAGATAACGACTGAGAGAGAGAGGATAGGATGTATGCGAGATTATGATGTCAACCAACAAAAGAACAACTTGACCATCACATTCTCTCGAATTGGTAGTTCAACTGTCTAATCATCTCCACCACAAACATATATATATCTACCAAAGCCAAACAACATAAAGCAACATCAACAAGCAACCGAAATAATATAGTGATTTATATCGATCGGTCGGTGGTTTGTGTCTGTCGATGCATAGCTATGGTGTGGTGCTGACTGCCATGTTTTTGACTCAAAGAAATTGGCTTTGATTGATTGATTGATTGTTGGCATCGATCGGTCAATAGATGGGATGGGAATCACTCAAAATGATGTTTAGTCAACCAACTGTCTCTAAAAGTGACATCATTTAAAAGGAGTGACAAAGTGTATAGTTTGACATTCATAAAATTAAAAGAGAGAGATAATAATAATAGATAAATAATACATCACAATGTCACATTTAATAGTAATAGTAACAGCTGTTTTAATGCTTTTATTGTTGAATATTAGTTACATTCATTGTGAAAATGATCCCGACACATATGTTTGGCCAACTTCAGAAGGAGGGAATGGTCACATATACAAAGGATTATTTTTGGCTACTCCTTCAATCAAAGAGGCGATTCGCCGATGTGAAAGTTCCAAAAGCAGTACTTTTAATTCATATCTTGTCACAATTGAATCAAAACAAGAATGGGATTTTATTAAAACTCATTGGTCACAACCTATGATATGGGTCTCCGGTCAAGACATCAGAGGCAATGGGAATTATTCCTATTCAACTGGACTAGGAACCAATCAACCACTATTTAATATGTATACTGGTCAAAGTTGGGGTATGTATATTTAAAAGTATCAACTCTTTATAAAATTAATTGTATTAATCATTTTTGTTTTATTAAAGGATATTGTCCATTCAATGCAGGTGAACCATCTTTAACTCTTGCTGCTAAAGATCAATATATTTACATCAGAAGACCGACTTGGAATTTTAATAATGATAATGGTTATAATGATCTAGTTTATACAGCAATATGTGAATTACAACCGATTTCAGAGGTATATGTCCCATCAATTGGTACAAATGGAGGATCAATAACAATCAACAATCTAACGCAATTCAACACACAAACAATCAACATTACATTTTTCAATCCATCCAAACAACTCTCGAAATCATGTCAAATAACTAAAACAAATGAAACATCAGCCACTTGTACAGTCCCACGTCTATCTGGATTTCATAATGTCACTGTTCAAGATGATAGTGGAGTCAACTCAACACACTATGCATGGCAACCATATCCACCATTTATTAAAGCTGTCTATCCATCATTCACTGCTAATGGATTGGTTACACTGATTGGTGATAACTTTGGTGATAACACCAATAATACGGTATCTGTCAGAGTCTCAACATCAGATATTCCATGTCATATTACTTTTGTTTCGTCAAATCAGATTTTTTGTAAACTCGAATCATCTCTTGTTGGAGATACCAAACTACTTCCGATTTCAATTTCAGTTGATAATGTTTATACTCAAACCTATAAACCTTATATTTGTATGTATAAATAACATTTAAATAATAATAATATTATTTATAATTCTAATACTCTTTTCTCAATAGTATGTGACAAACAATTCTATTCAACCATTCTATTTGGTGGAGAATATGAAACAGTCAATCAAGTAATGATTGACAAAGTAACAATGGGAGCAACTCCAAATGCTCCGTATATTGGTGCAATAGAATCTGAAGAAATCCACAAATGTTTTAGTCAATCATTGAATATCAAAGACTACCCTAAATTTAGATTTTGGCAGGGTGTCTCATACAACAGTAATAGTAACAGTTTTACAAGAAATAATGGTCCATTCAAAGGGACACCATCTCGATTATATTCTCGTAATTCTGCGAATATGTATCAATCAAATAATATTCTATATGATATTTATGATGCAATGGTAGTGCCATCAGAGATTGAAGATGTTAGTTATTACACACCATTGATCGCATTTAATATAACCGATGCACCGATGATTGACAATATTACTAGTATTATACCTGGACATCCATCACAGATTACGATCAATGGTAATCGTTTTGGAAAAGATAGTTCATATGTTTTGATTTCGATTCAAGGAAGTCAATGTAAATCACCAATGTTTATTGAAAACAACTATCAACAAATTACTTGCTCATTGGATAGTGTTGAACCTTATTCAACCGATCTAAATTATACTATTACAATTGGAGTTGGTGGAATGCTTACAACCAAAGTTGTATCTCTTGCGAAAGATTGTCTTAACAATTGCTCGGCACATGGCATTTGCAATACCACGTTTGGGACATGCAAATGTAACAGTGGTCATGAACCCCTATTGGATTGTTCATCATTCGTTAATCGTAGTCAGTTACTAAACACAACCGTTTGGGATAACGGCAGGTCACTTTTATCAACAGACCAAACGATTAGTGGTGTGATTGTCAATTTCACAACTGGTATACAATTCATTCGTGAAATCAATCACGAGAAATTGGTCATTAAAACCATATCAATTGACAATCTCGTGTGGACGAAAGAGGAGGAGAAGACATCTGCTGGTGAATCAGTATTTACTACAAGAATGTTCAATCAACGCACACTATTACAGGTCATGGTTGGTCAATACCAAGACACCAACACCACTTCATTTTTAGGTGAGGATATTCAAGTATCACCAAATTCAGTCAAATATCGAATCAAAATCATTAATTGGGTATGGTCATCACCAATCAACACACTGCAGGTGATATTCCACACTCAATCAGATTCGGTAGAATTTGACAAGTGTGGCAAGCTAAAAGTCAGAAGTGATATATCTAGTGGTGACCAAATTATATGGACCAGAGTTCAAGTTGGAAGAACACTTTTAAACTGTAAAATAGCAAGTAGAATGGTTATAGACAACTCGACAATCATTCCATCCAAAGTAACACTTCTCACAAACGATGATCCAGTCTCTCAACAAATCTGGAAAAGTGGAGGATTCAATATTTTAACGACGTTCCACATACCCAGATTCTCTCAATCGGTTGAACTCGACCCCGTCTTCAACGCACTCATTCTTGTCGATGACTCCAACTTGCCATATGAGTGTACAGAAGAGACATCTGATCAATGGACAGTCATCATGATCTCTGTTGTCTTATCGGTTGCAGTGTTCTCTATAGTAGTAGTGTTAGTCATTGTATTCATAAAACGACCACCAACAAACAGACCACCAATTAGAGAAGCCCCAATAGAAATGGATATAATTACAAGTACAGAAGATATCAACACCCACCAACAACAAAATAATAATAATTAATATTAATAATCAATAATATTAATAATAATGTGTGCCTAATATAATATTATAATCATAATCTAAATTATATTCAAAAATAATAATAAAAAATAGAAGACTGTTTGATCAATATATTAATATTAATATATTATAAATGTTTAATTTATTAATGACAATGATGGATCGGTATGAAAATAGTTGGTTTATTTATTAAAAAATATATAAAAGTTTAAGAATGAATTGGAGTCATTATATTTGATGGATCAGCAACACCACTCTCTGACAATTGATTTAATCTTTGTTCATAAGTGGAAGCAGTAAGTTTCAAGAATACTTGTTCGAGTGAAGTTTGAGAGACCGAGTAATCATCGACAATGTGTGAGAGTTGTTGTTGGATGACATCGAATAATTGCCATACTTGTTGGTTGGGTGATGGCAATTCAAAGTTGGCAATAAGGTCGTGACGATCGAGGAGTGATGATCCTGGGAATGCACGGAGAATGGTATCAACACCAGTGTCGACATATTCCTTTTTAAGTTTGATATCAATCGAGTAACCAGAACCAAACTTGCTCTTGATATGTTGGTTCGAACCCAAACACATCAATTTACCATCCTTCATAATAGAAATACGTTGACAAAGTGCTTCACATTCTTCCATTGAATGAGTTGTAATAATGATAACCTTGTTCTTTCCAAGTTCTGTAATAATATTCCACATGAAACGTCTTACTTGTGGATCACATCCTGTACTTGCCTAAAAAGAAAAAATAAATGAAAATAAAAAAAGAAATAATTAATATCAATAATTATTATTTGTTATGATTATTATTTTATGGGGTTTATACTTACTTCATCAAGGAAAACAACTGAAGGATTACCAAGCATAGCAATAGAGAGCGAAACCTTTCTCTTGTTACCACCACTGTATCCACCAACATTGCTGTCAGAGATACCGCCAAGATCCATCATGGAAACAAATGCATCGACAGTGCCTGGGATTTGGTGTTCAGGGATACCCTTGATACGACAGTAGAGGGTGAGTTGCTCGCGACCGCTGAGGAGTGGGACAAGGGCATCAAATTGTGGACAACTGCCAATGGAAGAGAGGGCGTTGGAACGCTCAGTGATGAGGTCGTAGCCATTTATCGAGGCAGCACCAGAGGTTGGATGAGTGTCACCGGATAGCATAGACAAGGTAGTTGTTTTACCGGCGCCATTGAGACCTTTTTTTGGGGTTTTAAATAAATAAAGAGTTAATAAATAATATATAAATGTTATGTATTTAATGTCATACCTAGGAGACCAAAGGTTTGACCACGTGGAATGGCGAGACAGGTGTTGTGGACGGCTGTCTTGGCGGGATTCTTTTTGTGGCCTGGGAAGAGCTTGTGGATGTTTTTAATGACAACTACATCGTCTTGACCAGCACCTCCGTACGATGGCTTGGATGGGTCAAAGAGACGGGCGCTTGAGCTGTTGGAGCCGGTTGAGTCGCGGTCTTGGACGTTAGTGGGGACATTTCCACGGGAACGGCTGAGATTGTTGGTTTGGTTGACACGGGTACGCTCGGCAGTGACGTCAGAGTCTTCGTCCTCGGGTGGGGCTGGTGAGCTGGCGTTCTTTGGGTTACGGAACTTACCCTTGATCTCGGGCATGTAGTCGAGCACCAGGATCCAAGTGGTCCAGAGGACAGCGTGGGCAAGCATGTAGATCATGGGTGTGCCGACATAGTCCATGGTCCAAAGATTGTCAATGGGGCCAAAGGTGCCAATACGTTGGGTGCCTGGGAACTGGAGTGTGATCATCATGACTCTGGCGAGACAGTAGACGGGCGAGAATGCGTAAAAGATATAGTCCATAATATCGGCACCCAACTGGATACCCTCGGACTGATTGACGATGGCTTGGATACGGACGTTCATGCCGGCAACCATCATGATGAATGCGACACCGATAAAGATACCAAAGATACCACCGATGGCACGTCCATTGGTTTGGAAACGGTGAGAGAGCAAGTAGGCAAGTGGGACAGACGAGAGGATGTAGAGACACTGGCCGAGGAAGATAATGCCAAAGCCAGTCTTGAAAGCTGACTCTATGCCAGCCAAAGCACCGCTGACAACAAGGATGACGACCAAACTGATGGAATAGTCCCAGAGCATATTGGAGAGCCAGTAGATAGCCTTTTTACAACCAGAGATGTAAAGGAGACGTTTGATGTTGGTGACACGTTCAACACACATGTTGGCGCCAAACGAAGCACTCATCATCGAGTAGCCGGCAGCAAAGATGAGAGCAAAGTAGATGATAGCGTTGATATTTGAGTTGCTAAAGGCAGCTTCAAAAGTATTCATGACATGGGTGAATGGCATGTTACCAAATTGAATGCCGACTCCGTTGGTGTGGTTTCTGAGGATGGCATCGTTGACAAGGTTCATGTGAGTTGGCGAAGAGTGGAGATACCCACGGTTATAGTAGATAGTGTAGGCGAGTGGAGCTGTATCGGCGGCGAGCGTTGGAATAAGGATGGGCTCGGAAAAGTTGAGTGCACCGGCCGAGTTTTCAAAGTTGGATTCCAAGTAGTCGCCAATATTGACTGTACCGCTTGGGAGGAGTGTCAAGTTGCTAAAGTATGGAGACCAAGCAAGTGCTGAGATGTCGTTGTTGACAGTCTGCACAGGGACCGTGTTGAGGGGACCAAACGAGGACATTGAGTATGTCATGGGGACAGTCACATCGTTGAAAAAGGATTGGTTGGGCATACCACGCAAGATACCAATCGAACCACCAATCACAGCCAATGGAATAACAATCGACAAGAAAAAGGCCTTTAAATCCTTTTTAGTGGTCAAGATACGTTTGATTAAAAGACCGCGTAGTTGTTGGACCGATGATAGTATACCAGCGTTGGCAGAGAGTGCACGACGAACAGCTTCTTCATTTCTATTTTGGTTGGTGGTAATATCAAATTGTCGACCTCCATCACCAGACTCTTGACCGATTCTAAGGAACACTTCTTCCATTGTTGTGATGGAGATACCGTAATGATCGATTGCCAGGGTACTGTCTTTTTGGTGATCCATGTCACGGAACAATGGGACAAACTGGGCAGCCGATGAAGTTGGGAGACGAAGACTGAGTTCAGTACCGACATCGGACAAGACGACAGCTTCAGGAATATACTTTTTGATGAAATCAATGACCGCCGAACTCTGACAATTGGCATGTTTGGAAATAGTCAATAAATAACCAACACCAAATCTCTTCTTTAAGAATAGCGATGAACCGTCACATCTAAGTTTACCATGTGTAATAATAGCAATACGGTCACCAAGGAAATCAGCTTCATCCATAAAATGTGTTGTCAATACAATAGTTCTTGATTGTTTGTTACGTAACAAGAAATCCCATACTCCACGTCTTGATAATGGATCCATTCCAGATGTTACTTCATCACTAAATCAGAGTAGATGAGAGAGAGAGAAGGTTAGATAATGATATATTTGTTTGTTTGTTTGTTTGTTTGTTTGTTTCGACATACAGGAAAATAACACTTGAACGACCAATAAAAGCAATACCAAGACACAACTTTCTCTTTTGACCACCTGACAAGGTATCGGATGGAGCATTCATCTTTTCTTCCAAACCAACATCTTTGGTCATTCTAATAGCTTCTTTGGCAATATCTCTTGATGGAACACCCTTTAAACCAGCATAGATACAGAGATGTTCATAGACTGTTAATTGCTTCCAAATGATATCATGTTGTGGACAGACACCCAATGTTCGTCTAACAGAATCCATTTGATTTTGAATACTATATCCATTAACCATAGCATCACCTCCAGTTGCTGGAATCAAACCAGTCAACATACCAATAGTAGTTGACTTTCCGGCTCCATTGTGACCTAAAAATGCATGAATTTGATTTGGATACATTTCAAGATGTAAACCATCAACAGCTGTTCTAATACCATTACCAGTTTGGAATTCTTTTCTAAGATTACGAATTGATACAGTTGCATTGGTACGTAGACCAACAGGGATAGATTCAATATCTTGATTATCGTTATGATAACTTTCAATATCAAAACCAGAGTTCTTGTCAGTCGATGAAACCCAATAAGATTTCTTTAAAAAGAATAAAAGTGGCTTGGATGTACCAAATTCACCACTAATCACATTTCTTAAATACCAATATAATAAAGTATATAATACAATATCTAATATTAACATTCCAATAATTTCACTAATAAAAGAAAATAAATAAGTATATAATCATTTGAAAATTATTATTATTAATATTTTTTGTTTGAACATACTCAACATCAGTTAAATAAATTCCAGGTGGAAGTTGCATGACATCGACTAAATCCTTTACAGCCATTGAGTAACTAGCACTTGCCATTGCAATGGGTGGGAAAAGACATAATAACAACTTTGCATATTTTGAGAAATCAGCCTTTGCAACAAATATACCAATAATACTAAATATAAGTACAATACAATATGTAATTAATCCTGCAAATCTAGAACTATCAAAAAATATACTAAAATATAGAAAGAAGAAATAGAATTGAAAATATGGTTAATAATTATTATTTGTTTGTTTGTGTTTGTTTTTATATCATACCTAGCAACAAAACCAACCATCATTAAAGATAGGATATAAAGCATGAATAAGAGCATAACGGAACCCCAACCAGTATGATAGATGATTTGGGAACCACGTAGAATAGCTGCGATGGCAACGGTCACTGGAAGAGCAATGATGAGTGATGTAACGAGCCAACTGAGACAATAGGGTAATTCCTTCATACCCATCATAGCCATACCCTCTCTAATTTTAATTTCCTTTTCTGAGACTAATTCAGTGACTAGACGAAAAGCAAATAAAAATAATGAGGCTGTGATGAATACTGAACCGGCATTCTTGTAGATTGCGTCACGTCCAGTATTCCACGATTGCCAACCGCTGTTGTATGGATCGGTGAAACGTTGTGTGCTAACTGTCGACGATATGTTTTCAAAGACACCGAAATACTGTAAAATGGCTTGATCAAAGGCTGCTTGCACTGAAAGGAATCCACTGGTAGTGTATTGTTTGGCATCTGAATTTCTGTCATATGATGAATCGGTGGCTGGTAAATTATCGGAATCCATTCTCAACGAGTATGAAAAGGGAGAGGTTGGAGTGGATGGACCGGTCGAATTAAACCATACACCAGACAAGACAGCATCGGAATTATTGGCAAAAAATACATTCATCGAGTCGATGTCTGGGAATGCAATGAATTGTGCCGATGTTTGATTGATGGTTGATTGGCCATTCTCGGCTGCCAAATTACTAATAACTAATTGTAAAACACCTTCTTGTTCAGTGCCAAGTGGTGATGGTCCATAAATAATAAGTCGTCTTGTTCCAAGTTGTTCTGATAAAGGTTGTATTTGAATATTATCAAAATCACTTTTTAATGATTGAATTATACCTAAAATAAAAGAAATAAAAGTAAATAAAAGTAAAAAAAAAAAGATTAATGCTATTATTTCTTTCAAAAAAAAAAAATATAGATATATTATTTATTTTTTTAATTATTTTAAACATACCTAAAATGGCAAATAATAAACCAATAATAACTAATGGAAATACTATTTCACAACATATTCCACATTTTGATTTACTTTTTAATAGTAAATTCTTTTTTGCTAAAACTTTAAATTGTATGATTGATTCCATCTTTTTTTAATGTTCCGGAAACAACTCAATTGTATAAATAAATATATAAATAGAATAGATAGAATAGATAGATAGTTTTGTATTATATGTATGTATGTGTATTGAATGGATAAAATATGTATGTATGTATGTATGTATGTATGTATGTATGGATGGTTCTTGAATATAATATTTCTTTCCTTTAATATTTATATTTCTTTATTTCTTTATTTCTTTGTATGAATGATGATTGATGATGTGATAACCAATGGCTATTTATAATTTATGTAATTTAGGCTCTAACCATAAAATATAAACAATAATAAATAATTATTTTGTTGAATTCGGCGAATCACATAGAGTTATATATAAAGGTTTCATTCATCCAATTTACTCGTTGATATTCAACGGGTATCATCCCCTTTTACATCCGATATCATCATTCTTTCAATTCCAGGACTGCGACTATGTTGACATACATGATGGAGAGAAATGTGTGGCTTGTTGTTGGTATAAGATTCGAGTGGAGCAATTGGGTGGGTGACACATACAACAGGCATACTAAACAGCATGCATTAACTTTGCTGTTTCGAGTCCGCAAAACCAAAGAATAGATACAACACGCGTGTTGAAATAGAAAAGTCACTTTTTAAGGAAGTTGAGTTGCGGGATGGCAAACAAACAAAAAAAAAAAAAGAATCACGATTAGAAGGTTGGGTCAGGGCCGTGGTCAAGTCAAGATGGATGGATGGTTGATTGATAGATAGATAGATGAAAGGAATGAAAGATTGGAAGGAATGGAAGTACGGATTATTCTCACACTACCTCTACCACCTTTGGATACTACTATATTATCTTAAAGTATAATACAATAATCCGATTGTTCACATGTGACCTCTAACGAATCTTCTTTAAAAATAATTCGATGAATAGTCGTTGCGATCAGTGCTGAGATATCCATGGATAAAAAAAAACTATCCAACTTTCCATCTATGCATTTCTTGCGTTGCCAAGACAATGTAAAAAAAAAAAAAAAAAAAACTCTTGTGTTTAAAGATCATCAGAATTCATTGCAATGACAATAGTAAGATGGACAGATAGATGTTGTGTTTACAGGAACAGGAGCAAAATACAGATACAATACATATATTCATATATATTTATATATATTGAATGGCAGCATCATCATTATGTTGTTGATTGGTGCATCACTCTCATGACTAGACTGCAGTTTGAATATGTATGCATTGTTGCTTGTTTGTGTTTGTTTGTTTGTTTTGTGATTCTTCTGTCTGTCTGTGAGTGCCCAAAAAGTAAAAGTAAAAGGATGAACTATAAAGGGATTATTATGTCTAGATTTGTGGTATCATATGATGTGTCTCTGTCACTAAAAACACTGGTTGCGGAAGCTTTTTTTTTTATAGAGGGAGATTTAATGTTTTTTTTTTGTTTAAATTTTTTTGTCAGTTTGACCCACCAAGCTTGATGTGTGAAGCACCAGTGAAATGTTATTATTATTATTACTTTTTTGAATAATTCTTTATTAGATTCTACTATTAGAGAGCTCTAACAGAACATTCAACACCAGTACAACTACACCACAGTACATTAAAAACCTTTTCTTCTCATTACGATCTTTCTTTCCTTGCTTGCGTCACTTTCAAAGTAAAAGGTATATAAATATTTTAATAACAACAACAACAACAACAAACAACATCTACTACAAAAGAGAGAGAGAGAGAGAGAGATACTATAGTCAAACAACAAGTCAAGAAAGAGAGGAGAGATATAAATACGATATGATATGATATGATGGCACTCTATAGGAAAAAGAGGAGGAAGAGGATATTCATTCACACAAACCACAAAAATCAAATATTGTATTTTTTTACCCTTTTTCCTTGCTTTTTTTTATTTTTTTTTATTTTTTACTTTTGTCCCCAACATACTACTACTGCTATACTCTACTTTCATTTCTTTATTATTTGTTCATTCATTCATTTTCACTTGCACTTTTGTCATTCTAAAGTAGAACCCAATAATCCGATTATTATTATTATTATTTTTCATTATTGTATTTACCAAATTTCATTTCATTTATTCTTATAACATATATTATATTTACTTTAATATTCGATAGGAAATTTAAGAACAGTTATCAGATTTGTATATATTGCCTGGTTTTTAAAATACAAATAACAAACAACAACAAAAAAAGATACGATTTGAATCCTTTGTCTAGTCGTAACAACACAGTAGTAGTAATAGTGAATAATAATCAACATTGTCAGTTTGTGTAATAACCCCTTAGTACAACAAAACAACAACAACCAAAATAATGTCAGTTCCTTCATCAGCTGCATCTACCACCTCGAGAGCCATCCCATTCAATGTGTCTCGACAGGACATGATCAACTTCTCGACATCGTTGGGCGGCACTTTATACGGCACCACCCCAGGTGGCACCAAGCTTGTCTATGACAAGAACACTCTCTTGCAATACCGTAACTCTCCTCTTGCAAAGACTCCACCACCACCTGAAATGGCCAACATGCTCAACATGATCAACAAGTCCCAATCCTCCCCACACCCACATTCAAAACCAATTCACTCTAACAAGCAACCCGCAGCAGCATCGACCAGCGCTGAAGCCAAAAACACCACGAAACAAAATGAAGATGGTAAGAGAGAAAACAGAAATAGAAATACAAAAAACAAAACAAAACAAGGAGGAAAAGATAGTTGGATTATGTTTTGTTTGTTATTTGTTGGATATAAAAAAGGAAAATGGATGGATTGATGGATAGACATTATAGACAATCCATTTAGACATTACAATCCTTTATTTATTTAATTGGAAAATATTTTATATTAACATTTAATTCTTTTATTATTTTTAGATATTTTCGAAATGGATTAATATAATATTATAATACTATTATAATATACATATACACTTAAAAATATAAAAAAAAATATAAAAATACTTTAAAAAGACATACCCAAAAAAACAAACAAAAGATATATATACTTATTCGTTTTGGTGTAGGTGAATAATCATTAGTAACACGATTATTACCAACCAAAATAAGAGAAGAGTATTAATATAATAACAATCGTAATCATCGTCATTTAAAATAGATAATTGTAAAAATACATAATGTGGATCCGTAATCATAATCATAACCATCATCGTTTTGATTGGTGGGCAGTGGGAACTGAGTTTAATGTTGTAAATAAATAATAATTAAGAATCCTTTTAAATATTTTATTCATATTTATTCTTTAGTCAGGTGATCATAGAAATAGAAATAGAAATAGAATAACGCATTTAACTAATGTGTCACATGATATAATAAATGTTTGTGGAATAATTTAATCCTTTTGAATCATCATAATTATTTATTTGTTGTTTTTTACTTGTGAGTTGATTTCTTTGTATCTTTTGCATTGTTATTGTTATTATTGTTGGAATGATGGTTATGATTATGATGATGATAGGTAGCAGGAGCTTGTTGTAAAATCGATTTTTCTTTAGTTACAGAACTACCACCATGATGTCCATTATTATTATTATTATCTACATGTTTAACATCCTTTTCTTTGTTATTGTTTACAGGTGCATTTTTTTGTTGTTGTTGTTCTTGTTGTTGTTGATTGGCCAATGCGGTTTCCAATCTTTCTTGTTTTTCCCTTTCCTTTGATGCAAATTTAGGATGTGGGATGGCATTTCCATTGTCCCTTTCAGGCAGGTATGGAATCAATTGGGTGACTCTACCAATACCCTTGGCACGACCTTCTCTAAAAATCAGTCGGTTGTTGACAGTGAGGAACTCTGGTCTTGCCGTATACCTAAATCTGACCTTTGCCTTGTCACCCGTTCGAATGACATCCTTTTCCATCCAAACGATACGAGCACATTGTTGACTGGCTCCACAATGTACTACTGCCTCGTAGTTTAGAGAGATGGTGGTGCTGTGATACAAGATAACCACCTCTGCCTCAAACTCTCGCACTGCCACTGGTTTTGCAGAGGGATGTGTGAGAATCATACCTTTGCGAATCGACTTTTTCACCTTCATCTTGATGGCAACCGATGCCGTCTGACCTGCTCTCACCTGCTTCACCGGCAGTCTCTTTGAATGAATGCTCTTGACCTGTACGCTTGTAAACTGTCCATGTTCGTCTGGTCCCAGCAAGAGATTCTCTCCTACCGTAATCGAACCTTTCATCAAAGTACCTGAAACTACTGTTCCTACACCTGTTACATTCCAAATTGAATCAATGTCCAATTGAGAAGGTTTCTCCAAGAGACTATCCCATCCTTTTTGGCGGGCAAGAGGTTAAGGAAAGTACGAAGAAGATCGAGGTTTTCACCTGTGACATTGGAGACACAAAAGATGGGGGCGATACGATCAGAGACAAAGCTACGGGCGGCTACAACTACATCGTCGTGGTTGTGGATGACGACGGGGAGTTTACGCGATCCGGGAGACTTGAGGATCTTTTTAATGTCATTCATCGTCTCGGTCATGACATTCTCGGGACACCTGTCAATCTTGGTGACGACGACAAATACTGGTACACGAAGGGCCAGAGCGATACCCAAGTGTTCTTTGGTCATACCAACACATCCATTGTTGGCGCTGACCATCAGCATGCTGAAATCAGGTGCATGACTAGTCATACCAAACAGCGTAGTCTTTATGTATTTACAGTGACCAGCTGTATCGACAAACGTGATGATCTTGGATGACAGTTCGGCAATCTCAGACGGACTGATGCATCCATGCAACGATCCACCATTCGCACTACCTCCATGACCCGCATCATAATTGACAATCTTTCCACGCGAATCAAATCCTACAATCTCTTGTGACAGACTGCTTGTACGACCAGTCTCAATCTCGTGTTTGTGACGAAATACATTGAGTCTTGCCAATCCTCTACCATTGTCCAATTGTCCTCTTGTCAATACTCCCAATAGAGTTGATTTTCCTGCGTCTAAATTAAAATAATAATTAGTATATTATAATATCTCTATCTGAGTCACTTTTGACTTTTCTTTTACTTACCAACATTTCCAGTGACACAAATTCTAACTTCAGAAAAATCATCAGATGCAAACTTTCTAATCAATACTTCATAGACCTCTCCCTTTGTACCATTACGAGTTCTTATAATCGTAAGGTCGGCAGAGAGACGAGAAGCCATTGTACGCAGGGTTGTCAAACTGGCCTGCATCTCGGTTTCGCCCAATCCTACGGCAGTGCCATCGTCGTCGACACCAATCTCATAGATTGCTTCACCCATGCCTTCACCCAGTCTCCACTTTAACTGTGTCACCAAATGCTCCAATCGTTCGGCAGTGGGACTGATCAGTTGTAGTTTGTACTCGATATTGCCAAATTCAACCTCGGGTTGCAAATGAATGATTCCATTACTGTCTGCTTTTCCTCCCATTGTTGGTGTTGTTGCTGGAATACCAATACCAAAACTCAATCCATCAATCGTGTCACTTGAACTTGACAGATCAGTTGATGTTGTGGTAGTAGAAGTGGTCGATGTCGTGGTTGTCGTCATAGTCGAGTTACTTGAAATGGTTGTGGCAGCCATACTAGAAGAAATTATTTTGGTAGTGTCCATAATAACTGTTGTAGCAGTTGCTGATTGTAGCGACGTTGCTGTTGTTACTAATGCTTCAGATTCATCGCTTGTATCTGAATTAGTATTCATTGTTTTCTATTATTAATAATAAAAGGATAAATTTAAATATAAATATAATATATAATTTATTTCCTGCCTCGAAAAAAGACACAAATAGAAAAAAAAAAAACTGTCTTTTTAAAAAACTATAAAGTTAACAAATTTAAATAAATATATACAAATAAATAGTCAATTATAATCGTTATATATATGGAATCATAATAATGATGTTTCTATATATATATGTTGCTTGTTGTTGTTCTTGCTGATTTCTTGTTGATGATTGTTGTTGATGTGTTAATCAATTTAAAGTTTGATTTTGATTGGATGAATGGTTGGTTGGTTGATTCTGACTTATTTTTAAATATACACAATATATAACATAGATAAAAGAATAATAAAATACAGATAATATATATATATAAATATATATAAATAAATATAAACAAATAATAAGAAAATGAGAATATGAATACAATAGACAGAGTTTTTACAAACAGCAAATTATAAAATTACTGCTGGTGGCCTTTTTTAAAAAATACTGCTGCTTCTTTTTTTTAAATTATTCTAAATTTTTTTTTTTTGATAGGTGTCTGTCTGTGTCTCCTTTTGCATTTCCTCATCCTTTCCTATCTTTGCATCACAGCGATCATCATATGTGAATGTTTGCACATTAGGTTCATTGTCGATCTTTCAATTTATCGACAATGAAACAAGATAGATTCGAGGTGAACAGATGTTTATTGTCATGTGATTATTACCTTTTGATTATATATAGTTCTATATTAGAGATAGAGAGTATATAGAATGGATAGAATGGTTGGTTGATTATAGATGCTAAACAAACATGAAAGATTCAAATTTAATTGATTAAAGTAAATACTAGATAATTGAATCTTTCATATAAAAAAAACAAAAAATAGATATATAGATATAGATAAATATTTATTATTTATTATTGGAAGAAGGATCTATGGAAGAGGACAATATTTCTGTTGGGTATGGTCGTAGTGGATTGGATTATTTTTGAAAAAAAAGGAATAAAAGTAGAATTGGTAAAAGTTTTGCGAATTGACTGAGATATAGTATTATCTATTGATGACGCTCCTAGTTTTTGATGTTCAATCAACTAAATTTCATGTTTCAATCAACAAGAAATAAGGATAAGGAATATGGATTTGAATTTCTTTGGTACATTTATTAATTAATTATTTCTCAAGATGGTGGTGGTTCTGGTCAAATACATCAACTTTGACAGAATCTATTATATCTTGTAGTGGTTGATAAAAAGTATATATATATATATTTTATTCATCATCCATCCCCCACTCTTTCTGATGATCACCAAACTTATCATTCTCAGGGTAGTGGAGTGATGTTGGTCAATGGTTTTTGGTCAGACTTGTCATGAACGATGAATTCAACAAACAATACTCTTTCTTCATAGAATTTTTCGATGTTGAGGTCGCAGCCACTGAAATCAAGGTCTACCCAGTCAGTGTGCATCAGCTGACTCATCGCAAATCCGCTATGTTTGTATGTATCATCGACGACACGAATTTCTTCACAAATAGTTCTGTTCATTGTTGCTCGACTACTAGCTGACTGACAGTAAATTCTTGGGAGACTGCATTGCATAGTGGTTTTGGTCAATGGACTGGCAGTCAAAACACGAACTTGCAGCTTTCTCTTGCCACCCTTGATAGCGACTGGAAGATTGGAACCTGGTGTTGGATAGAGACCATAGCATCCAGATACTGGTTCAATACTCTCTGGGAAATCACGGTATCCTTCCATGAAATCTTGGCTCTGAGCGGGGTAGAAATAGGCAGCATCTACACGATAGGCGTGGTCAAGGTCTGGAAGCTCGAGTGGGTTGCAAGGAAAGGAACTATTCTGATACGATGTGTCAACAGGTCTCTTTTGTTCTGGATGAATTAAAAGTTTGACTGGATACCACCACGAATCACTCTTTAACAATAGGTGACCGTTTTTATAGAATTCCTTGATGTCGTCTGCTTTAGCTTTCAATGCACCCGTTGCAATATTATTAATCCCTTTTTTGTAAGTAATATGTAGTCTTTCTCTCAATGATTTAACTTCACCTGCATTAGCATTGGCTTTCTTTCCACTGATAAAGTATGGATCAACTTCTAATTGATACCACCATGTCTACAAAAATAAATAAATAATTAATGAATGAATTAAATGTTAACGTCAAACAACAAACAAGACCATACATTTAATACATTCATAACAGAGATGTACAAGAACACAATTAAAAAAGAATGTTACTTTTTCAATAGGGGGACGTCACTACTTATAGTTTTCAAACCATCCAAAGAAATGAAAGAAAATACCAAAAAAAATAAAAAACTTTGAGAATTATAATTATAGGTATGGTTGGTAAGATTTCCTTTTATATCCAGTTCATTTTTACATTTTTTGTAGATCTTTGTATTATTTCAATTGGAGTAATCTATACCTCCTCTCCTCTACAATAATAAAATATAATGTAAATAATAATAATTATCAAGTGACCTAGAGTATTTATTTATTTATTATTATCATTCATTGTTAACTTCTAAAATGATTTAGAGAGAAAGACTACACTGCACTACATTACATATTACATACCATTCACACATACGAATACTCATTATCATTATTATTTATTTTGTTGAATCTACAATCTAAAATTAATTTTACCTACCTCTATCTATCTATCTATTTTGAACTCTTATAATAATACATATATAGTCAAAACACTCACACATACTATTAATATTTAAACCAAATAATTTCAAAATTTAATTAAAAAAAAAAAAGAAATATTTTTGATGATATAAAAATATGTTTAACATTGAATTTTTAATATGTGGAACTTTATTTCTATTTATTTGTGGTAGAATCTTAAAGGTTTGTATTAGTGCATACTCAATCAATTGAGAACATGTCACAACAACATGCAGTCATCTAATAATCTATTTATCTATATGTAGGGTATACTACTTAGAAATGTTAGTCAGTTTGTACATCCGATCAAGGGTGTGATGAATGGAGAGGATCCATTGTTGGGTCCGTTTGCATCGTTGTTGACTAGCAACGATATTGATATTGATAAATCACCACTCGACGAACACGATAGAGAATGGGTACAAGAACTCGAAGATGCTCTGGTTGCAAGTCAACAACAAGAGAAACGAGTTGTATGTTTATACGATGAATGTCATCCTTCACCAATTCAAACACCAAAGAAAAAGAAAAGAAGATTAAGAAAAAGAAATCAACTTGAACAACAAATTAAACAACAACAATATGAATATAAACAACAACAACAACAAGTCAAACAAGTTGAATTAAAAGAATCATCATCTTTGTTTAAAAGTAGTGGAGTTGGACCAAGATTTCTAATGGATTTGGATCTTGGTCAACAACATCATCAAGATGTTGAAGCTAGTTTATCTAGTACTGCAGACACTGATAATAGTTTTTATGATGATGATACAATTTCAGAAGTAGATGATGATGATGAAGATGAAGAAGAAGAAGTAGAAGAGTCAGATGAATTGACATCATCATCAATCGATAAATTACAGCAACAACAAGAGGATGAGGATGAATACGAAGAAATAACACCAGAAGAAGAATTAATAGAAAACTATAAAAAGTTTTTGGAAGAGGATAGAATGGCAATTTACTATTCATGGCATTTGGGTAAACCAATCGTCAACATTACTTCAATCGATGCCATCAAATATGTGTTGAGGGATCAAAGTACACATTTTGAACGGTTTTGGGTGTCTGGCTACTGTCCACTGCGTCACTCTGCAGAGGATTTCAATCGAATCTTTAGAATCTATAGCAAAGTGGCAGGATCAAAAGAAAGTTTAAATAGAATGTTTCCAATTGTTAAAAAGGAGGCATCCATGTTGATGGAATGGATAAACGAGAAACAATCATTAGTATTTGATACTAATAAATTAATTCCAGATGTATGTAAAAGTAAAAATGTTGAAAGACAAGAAAATAATAGTATTATTCATTATTAATTAAATATTTAATTTAGTTTTGCATGTCAATGTTGGCAAGATTATTTATGGGTGGTGCAGAGGATGCATATTTATGTGTAAAGGCAAACTATTTCTTTTACAACAAAACATTTACAGATTATCTATATCATATTTTACCAATACTAAGGAGACTACCAACTCAATATTCTAAAGATTATCGTGTAAGGAATAAGGAATAATTAAATACCAAATATTGTTATGATTATTTATTTAATTTTTCTTTTATTTTTTTTTTAAATATTTTAGAAAAATTCAAAATATAGAAATATTTATCAATTGTATGCAATGAAAGCATACTTTAAATATTTAAACAAGGATGGAAATGGTCACCAAAAGAGTGGTAGTACAAGTAGTAGTGGTAGTGATAATTTAGAACAAGAGGATAGTATTATAAATATATTGGCAGATGCAAGTTACCATGATCGTGAAGGATTGTCTTTGGAAGAGATTCAGATGAGCAACTACATTTTAAACACATCGACAATTTGTGGGTTGATTAGTCTCTTGTCGAGTATATTCTACATGTTTATGCAATTCCCAGAGGTACAACAAAAACTACGTCGCGAAATCAACACTATCCTATCAAAGAATGGACAGACTGCCAAAACATTCACCTTTGACGTTCTCTCTGAAATGCCCTATCTCGATGCAGTCATCATGGAAACGGCTCGTTTATTACCACCTTATCCAAAATTAATTCCAAGATATGCCAATTGTAATGAACGTGTACTTGGTTATAGAATTCCTATTGGTGTATGTATATTTATTAATTAAAAAACAAATTAAATATTAATTAATTATTATTTTTTAATCTAATATTTATTATTTATTATTTTTTTAGACATTAATTAATTGTCCAATAGTAACAACACTTAGAAATCCAAATATATTCCGTGAACCAAATAAATTTATTCCAGAGAGATTCTATGATATGGAGCATGACGTTCAAATGATTGCAGAGTTGGGATGGGGATACGGTACTACTAAGTGTATCGGTGTCAATATGAGCAAGCTACTCATCAAGACTACCCTCATCACTCTATTGTCACAAAGCAAATTTGTGTCATCCAACATTGACCAAGTCAAGATGACAAAAACCTTTTCATCTCTCTACCCTTCCCCATCTATAGAATTTAATGTTTTTCCAATAGTTCAAAGAGCTGAAGAATAAATAATTAAATAATAAAATAATAATATAATATAATTTAATTATTTATTTTCAATATTTTATTTTAATTGGATCGTCAGCTGATTGTTAATAATTACCATAGATGGATTGATTGACCCATTGTCAACTATCATCCGACTTGTTATTTTACAGTTGAGTAGTATTAAACATTAATTAACCTACGAATGATCCAGATATTTTTGTGAAACAAAAGTCACTAAAGAGATCCAATTCGTCAGAAAAACATTAATTAATTCATCATCAGAATTTGAATTATTTGTAACAAATATTTGTGGCACTACATTATCACAAATAGTATATATATATTGACACACATAATAATCGACTATTTCTTTTTATTGATCTTCTTTTTCTTTGTTTTTAAAAAAAAATTGAATAATATTATTTATTGAAATGATTACATGTGGTTTGTTTGGGTACTTTAGTAGTATGTATGTATGTCCAAATATTTGAAGAAAATATATAAATAAAAATAGAAAATAATAAATTATAATTCGAAAATTAATTAATTATTGTTGGGTGTTGGTTGTTGGTTGTTGTTTTGGTATTGGATACATTTCCATTTCATTGGTGTCTTTTTTGGCTTCCTTATTTTTATTCTTGAACATCTTTGAGAAGATCTTGGTGACTTGGACTTTCTTCTTCTTTAATGCCAAGACAACCAACAATATAATAGCCAATGGTATTATTATAAGACCTATTAGAATGACAATGTCAAGGATTCTCGCTTTTACAAATGACTTGTATGAATGAGATTCTGAATCGGATTCTGGTTCTGCTACCACTGCAATTGATACTACTACCATCTTTGATGTAACCATTTCAGCAACTCTTATCGTTACATTGTAATCTAAAAGAATTGAAGATGGTTCAACACTATCCAATAATAAACAAGTAAAATGTTTAAAATCGGGTCCAATAAACTGAGGTGATCTACATTGTTTGCCTTGAATCGTTACCAATACATATGAACTGTCTTTTCCAAAATGATTACCATTGATCGTAACAAGTGATTGCGTTCCATTTGTAATATTGCAAATACTATAAATGAATGGTGCATCACTTGTATAAAATGTAATCAATGGTGTATAATAGTTTACATCTTCAATCTCTGATGAAATAGTTGCATCATTAATATTATATAGAATATTATTTGATGATTGTGTCACACCTGGATCAATAGTTTTAGTATAATACAATGGAGATATTGTTCCTTTGAATGGACCATTATTTCTTGTAAAACTGTTATTATTACTGTTGTATGATACACCCTGCCAAAATCTAAAGTTAGGGTAGTCTTTGATATTCAATGATTGATTAAAACATTGATACATTTCAGCTGATTCTATTGCACCAATATATGGAGCATTTGGTGTTGATTCCATTGTTACTTTGTCAACCATTAATTGCCTGACTCTTTCATATTCTCCACCAAATAGAATGGTTGAATGGAATCTATTGTCACAGACTATAATAATAGATGAAGAAAAATATATAAGGTTAGAATTAATTTAATAATTATTTTCAATTAATTATTTTTTATATACATACAAATATGAGGTTTAAAGGTTTGAGTATAAACATCATCAACTGAAATTGAAATCGGAAGTAGTTTGGTATCTCCAACAAGAGATGATTCGAGTTTACAAATAATCTGTGTTGATGATGCAATTATAATATTACATGGAATATTAGATGTTGAAACATTAACAAATACTAGATTGTTTGTGTTATCACCAAAGTTATCACCAATCAGTGTAATCGATCCATTAGCAGTGAATGATGGATAGACAGCTTTAATAAATGGTGGATATGGTTGCCATGCATAGTGTGTTGACTTGACTCCACTAGCATCTTGAACAGTGACATTGTAAAGTCCAGATAGAGGTGGAACTATACAAGTGATTGATGTTTCTTGTTTTGATGTTATATTACATGATTTCGAGAGTTGTTTGGTTGGATTGGAAAATGTAATGTTGATTGTTGAAATGTTGAATTGTGATAGATTGTTGATTGTTATTGATCCTCCATTTGTACCAATTGATGGAACATATACCTCTTTAATAGGTTGTATTTCACAATATGCTGTATAAACTAGATCATTAGAACCTTTGGCAGTATTAAAATTCCAGTTTGGTCCTTTGATGTAAATATAATCCTCTCCTGCAGCAAGAGTTAAAGATGGTTCACCTGCATTGAATGGACAATATCCTTTAATAAAATAAAAATGATTAATACAATTAATTTTATAAAGAGTTGATACTTTTAATAGACATACCCCAACATTGACCAGTATACATATTAAATAATGGTTGATTGGTTTGTGGTCCACTTGAATAGGTGTAATTCCCATTCCCTTCGATGTCTCTACCAGAGACCCAAACAGTCTTAAAATCGTAGATGTTTTTAATAAAATCCCATTCTTGTTTTGCATCAACTGTGACAAGATATGATTTAAAAGTACTGTTCTTTTCCAAATTGCATTGTTTCATCACCTCTGTCATGTTAGAAGCAAATAAAAAAATGTATCCATGATCATTCCCTCCAATTGAAGTCGGCCAAACAACTGCATCTTGACATTGAATAGGACCAATATTCAACAAAAAAAGCATTAAAACTACTGCCACCTCTACTACCATTACTTTTAAATATTGTAACATTGTGGATAAATAATATTTATATTATTTTATCTTTCTTTTAAATAGTTAATGTTGTCTACTTTGGTAGAGTACCGATTTTGAGCCATTCCCATCATCCAACCCAACAATCCCAATTTAATTTCAGTCTATAATTCTAGGAGGTGATTGGTTGGTGTTCATTGAGATCGTCATCTCTCGCATACATCCTATCCTATCATCTCTCTATTGATAGAACGACGCTATCTTTAAATAAATTACTCTTTTTGGATAATATATGTGTTGTTGTTGTAGTCGAAGAGGAGCAGGAGATATGATAATATTATTATTATTATTATTCTGTCTTGTTGGTTTGGTGAATGATTTCTATTAATAGGTTACATTATCCATTGTCAATAGGTGGTGGAGAGTTGAAATCTGCTTTGTTTGGTTGATTCATCACTTGCCTCTTCTTTCAAGTCTCTCAGCGGACCATATGTACATTATTCAAAAAGCATTATTATTTTTAATTATAATTATCATTGATAATGATCAATTTGCTAGACTATATCTATATGTATACAGGTTGTTGTTGTTGTTTGATTGAATGATATAACTATAACTACGACATGTATCTGTGATGGACCATTCAAAGTACCGTGAAAAATTGATGAGACAGCGACTTTTACAAACACTTTTCTTTGATTATCGCATTTTACGTCACACACGCTGTTTAACCACGTAGTGGGCTTGTCGTCACTCATTTAACCAATCACTGTTGTCTATCTATCTTATCTGTAGTTTTAAGATATTTATTATATACATTATTATTTATACATATACATATATTAAACAAAGAATGAGATGATAATAACAAAGAAGAAGACATTATACTCGAGTGGTGGTGGGACACCATCATTGCTCTCTTTTAAAACACACCACCACTATTACACTTTTACGAAATTAAATTTAATACTATTACTTTTATGCATCATTACAACTCTATTTGTAAATACTACAAATTGTACATATCATCAACAACAACAACAACAGAATAATAAGAATATTAATAAGATAAACATCAATAATAATAATAATAATGTAACAACAATCGAAAATATAAAGATCGAAGATTATAATCATCGTGATAAAGATATAGATGATTTGATTAAATCATTTAAACCAAAGTACTATACTAATAATGTAAAGAAATATGATTCACTAAATACACAATGTACAGGTATGTCAATAATTACAAACAAACAACTTTTGATGGGGTATACATCTAACTTTGCTAACTTGTGTGTATTTTTTTTCAATAGAATATGAACAACCAATAGTTGGAGATTTTGGGTTTAGTAACCTTGCCAATGGATTAACGACGAGTTGGATATTTGATATGAGTAACAATCTAATGAAAAAGGCAATGTTTAGGTTGTGTACAGACGATGAATGCGGTTCACCTAGATATACTTTGCAAGGAGACTATTATGCAGAGATGAACTATAGTCCGCTGTTGTTGGGTGTGGAACAGACCATGTCACTCATACAACCTGTTGTACTCAACCCGCTACCCGACTTGACGCAGACATACTACCTCGAGTTTTCACTAACCAGTTGTCTGTTTCCAGAGACATTGCGACCACAGTTTTGGGTGGATGTTGGCGGTAGTGGCAACCTGATGTTTCAGTCGACCGGCACTATCCTGTATGGCGGTCTGCAAAAGATCGATATGTTGCAGGTGATGGACAGAGAGTCGTTGGATGGCACTCCAAAGAACCTGACGTTTATCGCGTCGTACAGGACAAACGACGAGACGGACGTGCGGGCGGTATCGTGCGGCTACATGTTGTCGGGCGTATCGATTCGACGTGGGCCGGCGACTCAGGCGGCGTTGGTCGAGGGTGACGTGTATGTGAGCGTCGGTGGCGGGTCGGATCTACGGGGAAACGGGTCGCAGGGAAACCCGTTTTCGACTATTGGCACGGCGCTGATGTGGGCGGCACCCAACACGACGCTGTGGCTGGGTGATGGCGTGTACTGCGGGTATGCGATGGCCATGACGATCGAGCAGAGTCGCGCGATTCGCTCAGTCAGTGGAAACCCGCAGGCGGCGATTATCAGCGGGTCGACGCGTAACAGCGCGATCAAAATCAGCTCCAATATAAGGAAAGTCATTTTTACAATGGATGGCGTGGGCATCACGCAGGCATACTCGTCGTCCATGTCGCCGGGCGGGGCGGCGCTCTTCCTCGAGGGTCAGGTGCAAGCGATCGTAAGCAACTGCATGTTTGAAAACAACCACGACAATTCGGACCGTGGGTCCATCTCGCTGCGCGGGGCAGCTAGCTTGCAGCTGACGGGGTGTGTCGTCATCAACTCGTCGAGCGCCGCGGGCGGGGAGCTGTACGGGCCGGCGCTCAGCGCGATCGGCTTTACCGACCAGACGCTCAACCCGTCCGTGTCGGTCGTCGGCAGCACGTTCATCGGCAACCAACACGCGCTGTTTGCGGACCAGGCCGACTCGCTGCTGCTGCACAACTCGACGTTTGTGGGCACGGGCCTGCCGACGCCGCAGTTGTGCTCAATCATGGTCAGTCGGTCGCCCCAGGCGCTCATCAACACGACCGTCATGAGCAACAGCTCCAACGGCGCGCTCTGCGTCATTCGCTCGAGCCTCCAGGTCTACGACAGCGTGCTCGCCAACAACCTGCTGGGCGACGGGCCCGGCGCCAACATTTACATCTCGCAAGCATCTCTTGTCAACCTTTTCAACACGCGCATCGTCGACGGGGTTGCTTCGAGTGGGGCCGCGCTCTTTTTGATGGAGCAGTCGGTCGTCGTCGCGTTTAACTGCTTTTTCGGCAACGTGCTGTCGCAGGGTGCGATCATCTCCAATTCCGAGAGCACTGTCACGATGGAAGACTCGACGATCGTGGACTGCCACGGCGCGTACAGCATCTACCAGTTCTTTGGCAAGATCACCGTCTACAACTCGACGATGACCAACGTGACGGGCGGTGTGTGGGCCAACAATGCGTTCGTGTCGTTTACTGCGTGCGAGCTGACCAACGTGTCGTCCGTCGCGACCGACGACGACATTAACAAGTTCCAAGAGTGCGAGGTCGTGTGGGAGCTGACCAGCTTTACGCAGATCAGCGGCACGACCAACCTGATCCTGTCGACACTCGGCATTATCAACAGCACCGTGCAGTACTCTGGCACGTTTGTCTATGTGCGCGCGCTGTCCACCATGGTCGTGCGCTACAGCAATTTCACCCAAAACAAAGAGAGTCTGTTTGTGCAACAGGCCAACTCGGCGCTCACTATCATCGGCTCGTCTTTTTACGCCAACCAGGCCAATCGGTGGGGCTCGGTGTTGTACCAGTTTGAAAACTCGCGTAACGCCGTTATTTCCAACTGCACATTTGAACACAACTGGGCGACGTTTGGCGGCGCCATCTACTCGCTCAGCAAGTCGTGCATTGTGCTTACCGATATCCAGGCGAGCAACAATAACGCTGTGATGGGAGGGTTTATCGCGACCGATGCCGATGTCGAGCTCTACATCAACGGCTCGAGCAACTTTCACGACAACCGTGCTACGATGGGTGGCGGTGTCGTCTACTTTCAGACGCTGCCACCCGTGTTTGGCGACGATGTTGTCTTTGCCAACAACACGGCTGGGTACGGGCCGAGCAAGGCCACGCCACCCGCGTCGCTGCAGATCCAGGATCCGGAATGCGTGCCGCGTATAGTCACGTCGGGACAGACCCGTGTCACCTGCGCCGTCGTCATCATGGACAGTCTCGGACAGATGGTGTTGAGCTCCGACCTGCTCTACATCAAGGTGTACATGCAGATCAACTTTGCGACAATCGACTTGATGCACTTTGAAGCGGGTGTCGCGCAGTTTACCGACGTGCTGATCCTCGGCATCGTCGGCACACCCATTTCCATCCGATTTGTTGCCAACGACCCTACGCTCAGCTCGGTCTCGCTCGACTACCAGCCGCTGGTCGAGCCGTGTCCGGCCGGCACCATCCCGTCCTTGTCCAACACCCAGTGTGCACCCTGCTCACCGGGCTCGTATGGATTCGACGGCAAGACATGTATCGAGTGTCCCGTTGACGCGTACTGCGCCGGCGGTGCCAGCATCCAGTCCAAGCCGGGATACTGGTACGACCAAGACCAGTATCCTCGCGTGCTCTACGAATGTCCCAACTCGAATTGTGAGGGAAACAACACCTGCGCCGCCCATACTGAGGGTCTGATGTGTTCCTCGTGTTCGGACGGCTACTACAATTGGGGTGGCTCGTGTATCTATTGCGAGCGTATGAACGGCCTCTTTTACTTTGTCGTCCCCCTCTTTGTCGTCCTCATGATTCTTTGGGTGCAGCGATCCGACACCGAGTCGGGTATGATGTCTGTCATCATCTACTTTATCCAAACCTTCCTTGTCATATCCAGCGGCATCTCCTTTTATATCCTCGCACTCATCAACCTCCAGTTTGACAGCGGTGCCACCGCCGGCAGCAACACGAGTGGCAGCGCACCCATCTTTTCCACATTCTGTCCTGGTCCATTTGATTTCTACGATCGTCACTATATCACCATTGGCTCAGCTCCCCTTCTCATCTACGTCCTCCTCTTATCAACAGGAGCAACAGTAATTCTTTCAAAATGTTGGAACGCTCAAAAAAATAGAAAATATCGTTCCCTCAACGATCAACAAGAAATCAATCAAAATGATCAAAATGAATTGGAAAAACAACTAGAACAAGAAAATTTAGATAGAATCAAAAGAGAAAAGGAAATTAATAATTCAAAAGAACAACAACAATTAATTGACCAAGATGAAGATGTTGATTATTATAATGAAGAATTGGAAAAAGAAAAGAAAGAAAAGGAAAATGACAAAAACAAAGAGACTACAAATTTAATGGGAGAAGGATTACCAACTGAAGTACACATTAAATCAACGTACATGTCTCAACAATTTGGTTCATTGGTCAAGTTATTATTAAACATTTACTCGCCGATTGCTACATCGGCATTCACCATGTTCTTTTGCGAGACTATTGGTGCACATTTTCCAGTGTTGGCAACCAACCCAGCCATCACCTGCGACGGCGAGCGATATGGAAAGGCGTTGATCGTCTCTTACACGCTCTTTACCGTTATCATTGGATTCCCCATCATCATTTTTGTACTGTTATTTAGAAATAGAGATCGTCGTCATGAACCACGTGTCATTCGAATCTATGGCGTCTTCTTTTTAAAGTATAAAGACCCCTACTACTTTTGGGATGTTATCCTATTACTTAGAAGACTTGGTATTGTACTCATGTCGATGATGCCACCCACCTCTTCAACCCGGTCACTCCTTCTTGTGGTGGTGACACTTGTCAGTGTACTATTACAAATTCACTTTAAACCATTCAAGCATCCACAAGACAACCAACTCGAGTTTACATCACTGTCACTTCTATTTATATGCGCTGTCTTTTTGGATAACCCTATCTACCAATCGATCGAGCAGTGGGTAGTCATTGGAAGTGCGTCTGTCTTTGCAATCCATGTATTCATCATCATCTACCTGTATTACCGTGCAGCCGTCAAGGACCGATTCCTACACTACCTCTATATCGTATCACGTACCAAGTTTGGTAGACCCATGTCCCTTGTCACCATTAACAGCAACAATAGTAGTAGTAGTAGCTCTGCGGCCGCTCAAGCAGCTGCCAACAAACTCGAAAAGAAACCATTGATTTCAATGCATCTAACTGACTACGGGTCAATGTACAACGAAGATGAATATATTGAAGGTGAAATGGATTCCGATGACGAAAGTCAAGATGGTAGAGTTGATCATGACAATGATCAATTTGATTCTTTACTTTATATTAAATAAATAAAAAGAAAAGGAGAGAAAGAAATCCAACCATTTGTTTTAAATCTTGATATTACTTTTACTTTTAGTTGTAATTATTCTTTTGTTATTATTGAGCCTTTTCTTTTGCTGGAGGTTCTTTCTTTTTGAATGGATCTGAATAAATAAATGTACCAAGTAATACGAGTGCAGTACATGTCCATAAAGTCGATGTAAATGGATTGTTGAAATAAATGACTGAAAAGATAATACTAATAAACTTTCGAATACTAATTACCAATGTACATGTAAGTGTACTAGTTTTACCTGTTAATATAAATACACCTTGAATACAAATATATCTAAAAAAAATAATAATAATTATAAATTAAATTAATCTTTCATGCATATCTGTCACTCTCTTTGTTTTGGTTTTCAACATACTGTGTTACAACATTAATTAATAAATAAATCCACATTGATGGTACTGATATTCCAAGTAATGGGAAATCCATTGGAATTGAATGATTATTTGCCAATATATTGTCTTGAAGTTCACTATAAAATATCATAAAGAATGGTAATGCCAAAATATGCTAAATATATTAAATAAATAAAAGGTTAATAATAATAATATTAATTATTAAATATATATGTATTGCATACCGAATAGAATATAGTTTCTTTATGACATTGTTTACCATATAATCTATAGGTATGTTCTTGAATAAGACCCAATACAGATGACATAAACATTGCCACTGTCAACATGGTAATACCAATCAAAAAGTTGAAAAATGATTCCTGTTGTTCCAAAAGAGACATGTTTTGTTTTTTCTATAGAAAGAAATATAAAGTATCAATTAGTTATCCATCATGGATTATTGTAAAGGGGTAGGGTTAGGGACATAATTATATAGATTCATACACTTTCAGGAACAGAGTTTAAAGTTGCAATAGTAATACCAAGGGTAACCATTAACAATGATACTACCTGTTTCATTGTATATTGTTTCTTAAAGAATATAGATCCAATCACAACGGTAGAGATGAGTGAACTAGATCTAAACACCATATGGAATGGCAATCCAATGTTAAATGACAATGCCCAATTATTTAGGATCGATACCAAAAAGAAGATGAATACCATCAATGCATAGCTGGAGAGTGGAATCTTTCTAGGTTGCAATCCAATAGGTACATAAAGCAAAGGTACAATCTTTTTCCATCTAAGATTAAAGAATAGACTTATGAATGCTACAAAAGCAAACTGTGCAAATGTAATTAAATTTGATTGTTTTGTATCTTGTCTTAAAGTGTGTAAAAGATTGATATTAATGATTAGTTTCAATAGTATAGTATAGTGTCTACTACCACTACTACTAATGCTACAACTACATACTTTATAATTAATTCTAATGATATTACATTACTACAACATCCACCAAAGATCATAGCAAATGGGATGAATGCTGTAAACCCGTCGACCAACATCTCTCCTCCGTCTCTCTTCCTCGTATTAGTATTACAACAATGACAATGATCGTGATCGGAACTTGAACTTGAAATGAAATGAAATGAAATGATTCGCTGTTCAACTTCAACTACAAAAATGACACATATCTTGGTGGTTTTTCATAGTTGCGATCATTGTATTTACGTTGTCTACATTTAATTAAATCAAATATGATAACAAGTCAATTATTTAAAAGAGTAGCATTATCATGCGGTACTCAACATGCTATCAAGAATGTTGTTGTAGCCGGAAGTATGTCATCATTCACCAGCGGATCATTAAGAGTCAATAGAATCAACAACACTCCACTGCTCACCTTTGATCATGGTCTTATCGGCAACAACAAATACGTATCATACTCGCAGTTCTCAATGTCAACCGATCAACAACCACCCAAACCAGAACCAGTCATTGAAAAGCGTAGCAAGGGAGGTATGATCCTCAGACTCTTAGCACTACTACTCGTCGGCAAGATGAGTTATGATACAGTACAATCAGTCAAAGCATATAGAAAGGGTTCAAAACCATTAGAAATATTCCTTAGTGAAGCTTGGAATGATGCTCTATACCCCTTATTTACAATGGTAAGTTTGAATAAAAGATTAAAAGAGAGATTAGTATTAATACTAAATTATAATTATAATTTATTTATATATTTAGGTTAAAGAATCACCAGAAGTTGTCAGAGAATTGGGATATCCAGTTAATATTGGAGCACCACCAACTGGGTCTACATCACCCATTACAGAATTATCACGTGAATGTATGATTGGTGTCAATTTCCCAAAACCATCTAAAGATGTTGGAACTTGGTTCTTGAAACCAGTCCCTCAACTTTCACAAAGTGGTGGTCAACAATCTTCGTCATCACAACAACAACAACAACAAAGACCATACAGTACCTCTGCAGGTAAACCATTAGTTGTACCACAACCAAACTCATTCCCATCATTCCCATACTGTGAAGTTACAAGTGAAGTTGTTTTACCATTGATTGGTGGTAAACCAGGTAGTGGAAATGAAAAGGTTGGTGTATTACACGCATTTATCTATACCAATGAGAGTGATTGGAATGTACTCAGCGCAAAGGTTATCTATCCAAATGGTAAATCAACTATTGTAGTCGAACCAGATATCAAAGGTTATCAACACCCAAATCAATTTGGTCAACAACAATAAATCAATCAATCCAATATATTGTGTTGGGAAAAAAGAATAGTTTTATATTATATTATTATTATTTGTATTTGGTATGCCTCTGAGAAATATCACCTCTTTAATTAATTATTTAGAGGTGATTTAAATTGTAATAGTGAATTTGATAGACGAGCATTCACCATATCCTTTGTAACATTTATAATATGGGTGTATCTTGCACCTCCTAAAAGTATTCCACCAAACCATCTAGTAACAACTACCAATACATCTTCACAATGATTTGCTTTCAATGTGAATAACATCTTGTCTCCTGCACCATCCTCACCATCGTCATTATATAATTCGTCCTATCAATATAATAATTGAATAAAATAGGTTAAATAGATAATAAATAATAGTAATATGTCATTATTATTTGTTACATACAATTTGACCATTTGGTAATTTAATTCTATATGCATACATGTTATGAGTTGCTTCTGCAATTTTCTTGGTTTCCATTAATTTATCTAAAACTGTTTGTACATCCTCTTCAGAATGAACTATTGCCAAATGAGCTTGGAATTTACTTGAGAATCAAATATTAATATAAACATTTCTAAATAGTATTGTAGTATTTGTATATACCTTTTTTTATCAGTTACAGCAATACCAGTATAAATAGTTGGACATTGCTTCTTCTTTTGTTGTTGTGATTGAGATGATTCTAATGTTGGACTAATTGAATTTCGTGGAGAGGTATTATTGGACGATTCATTTTGAAGTTGTGCTTGTAATTTAATGTTGGTTGCAATATTGAGGTATACTTGTGGAACCATTTCAGAGAGATAGGTTATACTAGAGTCTATCAACCAATTGATCATTGAGAATATCGATGGTTCATTAAGAGACCACAGTGATGCAAGGTAATCGACCAACAACGATGAATGTTCAATGTGAAGCCAACTACCCTTGACCTGTAGCAACGGTGCATTCTTTGATGGATAGCCATTACAATATTTAAATTTAAAGTGTAATTTATAATCATCGTCGCCATCTTCATCAATTCCAATATCATTGATATCATTAAACTCTTGTGGAGTGATCATAATAGTATAGTAGTCTTGATGATCACTATCATTATCCTTATCAATGAATGAAGTTTGATAGATTGACGATAATGCTAGTATCTCTCCATTTTGAAGTTCTATATCTTCTTTACTTGTGCTTGTGTTATCTCCCATCTCTCTCTTTTCTCTCTCTTTAATTTTATGAATAAAAAAATGTAATCTGATGTCAGAAGGGTTCATTAATTTTCAAAACCCCCAAAGAAAATAAATATTCATTTTAAAATATTCTAGTCATTCTCACTATTACCTCTCGTCTCCATCTACCTTTACTCATTTGTTAAAGTACATCATATAATATTTATTAGATAGAGATAAAATGAATACTGGTTTGTTTTAATTATTTTTATTTATTTTTGACAAATTTACATCTTGTCACTCACCGTTCACTTTGATCATCTTATTTCTTAATCTTCTTTTTTTATTTATAGCATATAATCAACTCGCTAAAGAACAAAAATTCTGGGAGGAACTTGTAAATCTTAATCTCAAAGATGAAGGAGGAGTCATTCAACTACCACCTAATGTACACTTTTTAGGAAATTCTACAAAACCCTCATCACTTTATATTAGAAAGTGTTATATAGAACTTAAAGATATAATCTTTAAAGATTTTGAAGAATATGAAACAAGTATTTCATCTCGTTCAAAGTCTCGAGTTGATTGCAATAGCGCGTATGTAGTTACTGGAAACCCTGGTATTGGCAAGTCTCTATTCATTTATTATTTAATGTGGGTAATCGCTAAAATGAAGGGTAGTATAGTTTTATACTCTACCAATTCCCATTGTGGAAAAGACTTACACTACCCTACCTTTACTGGGGATGGGGTACCGCACAGGAACAACAGATACATTTTTACCCTATCTTCAAAACCATAAAACCTTTTACTTGGTCGATGGTATATGTGTATCCAATTATGCAGCAAAGACAGTCTTGGTTTCTTATACAGATCAAAGCAAGTATAAACAATTCCTAAAGGATGCAAGTACCACAAAAAGATATCTACCACCTTGGGATAAAATGGAACTTGATCGAGCCAGACCATTATTATATCCATATGTATCACAGGTAAACTTTGGTGCAAGTGGGGAGGAATACCAAGATTTGTGCTAGAGAGAGCACATGATATAGTATTTCAAATGTCACTCGAAAATACCACACCTACATTATTTGATGATTATGTTTTAAGAGTATTGATCTAGAAGATCCAGAGATAGACACTCACAACTCTCTTCAAATATTTCCGATAGAAGTGGCAGGTTTGGCAAAATATTCTCAGATGGAATTAAGGTTCTCATCGAAATACGTCGCTCAAATTATAGTACATCAAGCAGTATTATGGAATACGAATAGTATCTATAGTCTATTAAATGTTCCTAGATACCTTCATTCTCCAATTGGAGAATCATTTTTTGAAAATGTATTGTTCATCAAAAACTTCCTCTTGGTGGAGAATATCAAATAAGATGTCTCAATACTGGTGAAAAGGGTGTTTTAAAAGTTGACAAACTTCCTTTCATCAATTTAAATTCCTCCAAATCAAACTTTGCAACATGTCCCTATCAATCTTATTTTCTCCCAAAAACCTATTCAAACTTTTCAGTTATCGATAGTATGAGCAATCCTAATAATTTGATAAAAGTAACAACCTCTTATTCCAATCCCATATTGATGGAAGAGATTTTAGAAATGATCTACCAACTTGGAACGACCCCACCACAAACCAATCTTTATTTTGTTGTTCCTGATGACATGTTTAATGATTTCAAAGTACAAGAATACTCTCTTTCAACAAAAAACTACTCTGACAATATTATTAAATCAATTACCCAATATGTTCTTTGTTTCTCATTGGTCAGTCAATAAACTCACTCTTTATATTATAATATTCTGCTTGGGCCACTAAAATAATTATAATAAAAATAAAAAAACCCTTCTTTACAAAAAATTCGATGATTTTTGATCATCTTTGTTTATTATTGTATTACTACTGCTACTACTATCGATAAGAAGAAAGATAAAAAGAGAGAGAAAGATGAGTTCAGATGCGAATAGTGCTACTGGAGGTAGCACAAACAGCAATAACAATAATAACAATGTAGATATCTTTGAAACTAGATGTCAAAGTCAATTCTTGCAATCAAAGATTGGTACAACCTATGAATCGATAAGAAACTCTTTTAGAGAGGCTGTAGAAAAGAGAAACTCATCAAAGATACAAACATGTCTACAAAACTTAACATATTACAAGATTGAAAAGGATCTATTAGATTCATTACTATCAGGTAACTAGCACAGAGAAAGGTAGAGAAAGACTTCATACAAAGAAGAAGACTAACTTATTCATTCAATCAATCTATTAGTTGTATCAATTACTGATGATAAGAAAGTACTTAGATTAGCATATTATTTCCTTGTTGAGTTGTCACAATACAAGAATCAGATTAACAGTTCGGCTGTATGTATTTTTGTTTAGGCGACATTGATCTATTTAATGATCAAAGATCAAACAACTAATCATTCATTCCCCTTTTTTGTATCTCTTTTAGGATATTAAAAATATTACAACCATCTTTTCAAAAGAAATGACTAATAAGGATATATCAAGAAAAGTAGTATCATTAAAAACTACTGCTATTCTTGCTCCAAATGATCCATTGGTTGATGGTAATTATCAAATCAAAACAATAATAGAGTATTAGTGATATATTATTTATTTATTAATATTTATTATTCTAATGTTTTAGCAAACATGTTGGAAGTGATTAGTGGAATATTAAGAAAAGCAGGTGAAGATCCTGACAAGACTCAAAAGAAGAAAGGTTTCTTTTCAAAACCATCAGACTTGGGAAGAGAACGTGCATTGTTACAATATGCATGTTTTGTAGCATGTAGAAATAGATTTAAAAACAATCCATCATTGTTTATTCCAATTGTTGAAGGTATTAAATGTGCCGACCCAGTTGGTGCAAGACATGCAGTAGCATTAACTTATGATTATGCACATGAGGTAAATAAGCATAAATTTAAAAAACAAAACTATAGACCCTTTAAATTAATTATTTATTTATTATTTCTTTTTTATTTTAGAATCTATCAACTGTAACAGATACAACAAAAAGATTTTTACCATTATTAAAAGCCAACAAAGGAAAGGAAGCTGTTAGTTTAACAGATCCATTTGCAAGAAGAAGTTTTATTTCATTGTGTGGATACATTGCATTGACAGGTACCAATCAAGCACAAACCAAAGATTTCTTTCAAAATATTTGTCAGAGTGTCATGGACAATCATTTGTCTGTATCCATGTGGGCCATTACAACACTTTGTAAATTCACTTGGAAAACATTGGAATCTTCTATTATCGAATCAATTATTATTGACAATGATACTCCAAATCATTATGATGTATGTAATATAAATTTAAAAAAAGATATCTATCAAATTATTTAATTTAATAATTCTTTTTTCTTTTTTCTTTTCTAGACATTACCAAATCAAACAGCATTGATTGCAGGAATTTGTAACAAATTAAAATTAGGATTTAATATTCATGGAGATCGATCAACTCAACAATCATTCCCATATATCAACATGTCTTGTAAATTAATATCGGCATTGTCTCGATCCTATGTCAAACATAGTTACCCAACCACCACTACTAGTGGAGACGGAGGTAACGCACCAGCTGTTGGAAATTGGCAAGAACAGGAAAAGAGTGTAACGGGTAGTATCAACCATCCATTCTCTGTCCTCACCTCGTTTGTCATGTCGCAACTTCCTTCACCATCGATATCGATTAGAATCCAAGCATTACGTGCACTTATTTGGTTGTGTCCATCGACACTCTGTCCAGCATCACGTGTCTTCCAAGACACGTTCCGTGCCCAGTTGCGTGACTCTACACATCCCCCACATCTCCTCAAGGAGCTTTATGTCGAGTTGTATCGTCGTGTGATTGCCACTCCAGTCCTCTCGCCAATGGTCTTGTCATTGATCTATGACTGGATCGACATTGTCCCACACAAGGTTGACACGAGCCTCGTCGCAATGATTTGGAAGACCATCATCCACTTTGGTCGCGAGGGTAGAGAAAGAGTTTTACAATCCATCTTTAATATCCTCGATCGCTCCATTCACCCAGATTTTAGAGTTGTCTCCATGGAGATTCAAAAGGATATTGTCCAATTCTTGGGCGACCACGCCAACACCATCACCTATGAGACCGTCGCCTCCACAACCCCCAGTAAACCACTCAATGCCATCATTCTACGTCTCGAACAATACGCAACCTTCCAACCATGGCAAATTAGAATGACCAGCATCGATTCTCTTGCTAAAATTGCCTTTCTCTCTTCAACCAGAGTTAAAATTCATATTTATAATTTCCTAACAACAGTTCCAAATGGTATGTAAACTCAAACCAACCAACCTCGCATATATATATTTATTTATTAATTTTTTATTTATTTTTTCTAGATTCACATGGATGGACATCAGTTAAATCAAACAATTCAATTATCATTAGTATTTTGGATCAATTATTAACACTTAGAGGAAAATGGTTACCTCTTCTCACGCAACTCTCTGGTACGCAAAAGACAGAGTTGGTTCAAGACCACAAAAAGCTTACAACTCAAGTTGGAATGTTTATCGATAATGCGTCATTGATTGATTATTTACCATTGGGAATTGAAACAAAAGCTTTGGTTAAATAGATCTATTGATATAAACAAAACAAAAACGAAAAGAAAACACTTTCTTCCCCATCAACAATGTAATAATAAATAAATAAATATTAAAAATAATTAAAAGTTTCGAAACATTCTTTTTTTTAATTTTTTTTTTTGATCATCAACGACTTATGTTCAAGTTAAAAGTTATTGTTCGACGTTCGCCTCAAAGAGTAATAGTAAGATGTATCATATGTTTTATATAGTATTATATTTGATCTTATCCAACTACGAAGGTTTTTGGGAATGATGTCCTTTTATCAGAGATTTATCAAAGGATTCACAGAACCAGAGGAAACGGTTCAACTAAATACTTTATTCTGTGGGGAGTTAATTGGACTTTGTATAGGGGATTCTTCTTCTTCTTCTTCTTTAATGATCTTGGAAAGGCTTCTATTGTGAATGGAGACCTCCCTCCCATTTCGAATCTGCCTTGTATAATGGCTCTACTTTTGTTTGTAAAATGTAAATTACAATTGGTGGTGGATATTTTTGAAAAGGAAAAAAGGTTGTTGTCACTAATCAATGAAGTTCTAATTGTGTACACATCCCCAATATGAAGTGTTCCATCCAAACTATAGAGTTTTAATGTAATAAGATCTGGAACAAAATCTAAATTAATTTGAACCATCAACCTTGCATGACCACCAGGAATGATACCACTAATTGGGATTGTTTTAATAATTGTCTGTTTGTTGAATTTCATTTTCCTATATTATTTAATAATGAATAAATAATATTTACATTAATATCAATCCATTTGAAGTAATAACTAATCTTCTTTTACATACCACAGTTGATTGATGAGTAAGATTGGTTGCAACACTTAAAAATGCAATAAAATCCCATTTAACCTCTCCTAGATTTAAATCAATACCAGAAACAATATTTTCATCTAACAAACCAAATGATCCATCATCAAATCTATCCAACCAACACCAATTATAGTTGTGAATATTTGGTGTTTGAATTGTTGAATCTATCAATTTGTCTCGCAATGCTTTATAATCATCATTTACAATTGGATAATAATCGTATTGCATTCGCCTTGTATTATTAATATTGGTGTAAAAATGTTCCAAATTTGTCGCAGCCACATTGTTGTTGTAGATGGCAGAGTTTGCAACTGAAGCAGTAACAAATAAACTATGATAAATTCTTTCCAAAGTAATACCATTTAGTCTATTTAATCTTAATGATACCGGCTGATTTGTACATGTAAGTGATGCTGTTGTAGTATAACAATAAGGAATAAGTAAAGAGAAACCTTCTGAGCTTGCAATCTTTTGTTGTAAATTTTGAATAATATCAAATCTCTTTTCAACTGCTAAATGTATTTCCATACCTTGTACATTGGGTCCAGCAGGAGCAGTTAAAGCAACTGGGTTTGTTTGAGGAGTAAGAGAGGCATCTGCACCAAAACCAATATTTGGTAATTCTGACCAAACAAATCTAACCAATAATGTTTCATTCAACATAATATCCTTATCCAATGATATAATGGATTCATATAATTCGTTGAATGGAATGGTTACATTTAAATTAACTGCTGTATTGGCCGCAAAGCCTGAAGATAAATAGTCTGGTTCAGTAAATGCTCTATCACATGAAGTGCCATCATATCTTGGATTCATATTTACCAAAGTGTTACAAGAATAACAAGGAATATAAGATTGATTTGCTGTATTTACTGCAGAGTGAAAGTGTTGAGTGTATTATTTAATTTTTTGTTGATCTTGGTCACCATTTTAGAATGTAAATGAAAGTTGGTATGATCCATTAAATATGTACCACCTCTTGTAAATACCTGTATCTGTCTAAAGAATGGTAAATACAAATCCAAACTTTCCATTGGTTGCTGGTAATGTAAATGTAAATTGAAACCATGACCTACTTAAATTAAATGCTTTGGTTGGTGGTATTTCAAATATAGTGTCATTTCCTCCTTGATAAACTGTTGTTTGAGTTGCACCAGCTTGAGGATATACTCGAGTGTATTCATATTGTGGTCCTGATCCAACCATTTGTCTGTAATCAAATTGATTTGAAATTGCTTGTTCCATTTTTTTAATTCTATATATTCTATATGTCTAAAATTAAATTTCATCAACAACTGTTAATGATTCTTTTTCTTTAACCAATAAATAATTTATATATTCTCTTACCAATTGTGAGATGTCATTATGTTTGAATAAAATCAATGTCAGATTGATATTTACACCATTTAAATTTACTTCATTTCCATCTTGATCTGTCAAATAAATGGTAAAGCTTGTCTTTGTATTTGATACCAATTGTTTACTATATGATTCAACATCATAGTTTTGCCAATGTATATTTGAAAAATCTGCATTACCAGCTGCAGAATAAACCTCTTGTAATATATCATCATCTCCATTGCTACATAAATCTGAATGAATAAACAATACATTATCAGATTGTAAATTAATTACATTGGTTGATTCCAAAATATTATTATTGAATTTATTTGTTGAATCTTTATTAAAACCTAAATGACGAAATAATTGATTAGTAAAAGAAAAGATTGGTTGAATATCTCTTGTTGATGCACAAGTAAAAATATATTTACCAGTATTTGGTTGTTGTGATGTTGGCCAACCGATTGCATACTTTACATTGTTTGGTGACAATGCATTCAATTGCTTTTCCAATGTGTCTTGTAATGATTTTCTTGAATAATTACCAACAGGAATAGAAATAATAGTTGATTGATCATCTTCTATCAATTCAAAAGTATTTAATCCTCTTCCAACTGTATAAAATGATTTTGGTATTGTCGCTTGTAACAATGCCACTCTGTCAAATCTGTCTTGAGGATAATATATAATATTATATTTAAATTTAGAATTAGTACCACTGATTCTATTGTGTGAATTTATATAGAATATTTTTTTATGTGTAATCAACATACTTTATATATAATTAGTAAAACATTATTATAAAATTACTATAATTTACTATTACTCTAAAAGTGATTTGCTGTAGCTATTTTGTCTCTCAATAAAGTAGTGTAAAAGTATTATAAAAGTAGTGTAAAAATAGTAATATAATAAATTACTCTATATATATATAATAAAGAGAATGGATCAAGATATAAAAAAAGATAAAAGATCAATTACATCTGCTCTAAATCTAAAAAAAGCACGTGATGCGAGAAAAAATCAATTTATAATCTATGATAGTGATTCTGATTCTGATAATGATTCTGATAATGATAATACAAAGAAAAGAACAAAAAACAAAGCTCCTGTAAAAAAGAAAAGAATAGTAATAGATAATAATAAAAAAGACTTTGAATAAATGAATAAAAAAATGGAATCTCTCATTGAAATGTACTTGTCACCAACAAAAAAATAATTTCATTGTTAATGGTAGAAAAAGAGATAAAACAACAACCTATAGGTATTAAAGAATCAGATATTATAAAGAACAAAATGGTAATGAAGTTTTAAATATATAATTATATTGTATAATAATACAAGATGATGATTGGAGGTAAGAAGCAAAAACAGAGACCATTAAGATTAAAAAAAGATAAAAGAGGACGATACATACAACATGGAGTAGATAGAGTTTACATTAGATCAAAAAAGAATGATAAAAAGTTGATTAGAAAGTTGATTAGAGAAGCATTAGATGATGAGAGGAATAAAACAACAGCAACTCTCTAAAGAAAGCAGCCCTGTATTGGCTTGGTCAAATCCAAATGAAGTTGCAATGATCAAATCAATACAGGATGCCAACTTTAGAGAGTCTGAACTCAAGAATCAACAAGAATTGGATAAAGAAACAAAGAAAAAGATTATTGATCTAACAAAAGATGATATTCAAGTAAAACAAGAGATACCAATAGTAAAAAAAGAAAATGATAGATTCGATCAATTGGAAAAGAGGTTGTCAATGTTGTTTGGAGCAAAGGAAGAGAAATTAAAGAGAAGACAAGAAAAAGATGATAGATCAATGGAAATACTTTACAACAACAACAAGTAGGATTCAAAAGTTGACAGAAAAGAGAATACAAGAATTGGAAGGCAAGTATGAAAATACAAGACAAATAGATGAACAATTACAATCAATTATAGATATGAACAATGAAATGAAAGAAAAGAATCTTTTGGAATTGGAAAGAACAATTCAAGCAAATCAAGTAAATCAAGCAAATCAAACAGAACAGCAACAACAAATAATGGTTGATCAAATTTTACCAAATGATTTAATAGAAATGGTCCCAAGAAACAATCTAACAGCTACAAATGATTTTGTAAAAGAGTATTTAAATTCAACAATGACCTCTACTAAACTATCTACAAATTTAGGAAATGAATTAAAAGACATGGTAAAGAATCAAAGAATTAGTGTCATTGATTTAATTGTATCATTTGCTCAAGATTTGAAAAAAAAACAAAAGATTGGTAGTGGAAGATCAAACAAAGGTCTTTATGATAGCGAAATTGAAAGAATAATGAAACCATATCATAGAAAGGGATTTGAAAGAGTAATAGCAAGTGATCAATTAAATTTATTGGAACCAAAAGACTAGATGTCATTTATTATGAATTTGGATCCACACAACAAACCAGGAAGTCATTGGGTTGCAGTATACATTGATGCAGATAAAGATAAATCAGTAGAGTATTATGATTCATTTGGCCAAGAACCAACAGATGACCTTATGAAACAATTAAAAGATTTAATTGATGAAATCAATTCAGATTATTATTTAAAATTCAAAGTAAATAAAAATCATTGATCAAGCATCAAATAGTACAACATGTGGATATCATGCAATTAAATTTTAATAAAATTGGGAATTTATTAATAGAAAAAACAATGGTTCTTCTGAGTCCAAAATCTAATTGATGAACATGGCTGATGTGGTTGATGTGGTTGATGTGATTGATGGGGTTGATGCGGTTGATAAAGAAGTGTTTGTGAGAGGACCTTGAACCATAAGGTAACTAGTGGGGCCACTACACAGCTTTTCGTACAATGGGAAGCCTAACAGAAGTTTTAATCCATCGTCATTCAGAATAACCAGATCGATATTATCTGGGACATGAGGAAGTGGAGATTCGTCGCTTTGTTTTCTCTTTTTTTTGCTGGGATTACTTTGTTCTTTTGATGCATCTTCTTTTTTACCAGCAAGAAGTTTTTTTGGAAAGGGTGTTGATGGAGAAATAAACGTTGCAATTTCCTTGGAATCAAATATTATTTCTTTACCTTTAAAGGATTTGATATCTTTTGTTCTGTTAATTGCAACAATCACACACGTCAATTTAAAGTCAGTCAAGCCAACAGGAACAGCTTTGATGAGCTCTTCACAAAGATCTTGAATTCCGAATGCATCATGTTGATTCAAATGCTTGACAACAAAAGAAATGCCTAAAGTCCATATAATATTATTTAATTAGTCATTCATGAATTAAAATGAGAACGTATCCATTAATTACCTTTTGTTTGAGACAATTTGATATAAAAATCAGAAGATTCGGACTTTGAGCCACATTTATACAATGTATTCACTTTGGCCTGTCCCCAAACATCTTTAAATGAATTTGTGTGGACCATAATTCCCTTGTCTCCTTCTAATGGTTGTTCCATAAGGTGGTTCACCATTTTCATGTCAAAACTGCCAAAATCTTTTCTGTTGGTAAAAATAGGGAAGAATCTAAACACATGTTCAGCATATTTGTTATGTATCTTTATACCCTTGGAAAATAATTAAAGAGATTAATATAATTGCTAAACAAGAAAAATATCAAATTACATACTTGAAGAAAGGGGAAATTTAATTCTGATTCGTCTAAAATTCTTTGGCAGACTGAACTTGCTAAAGATTTCTCCAATGCTTCACCGGTGATCCTGATAGATTTGGAGAATAACGAGTCTTCTGCAATCATCAGCCTACTCTTTTCTTTTGGGTCAGTGATTGTGCCTAGTAGGTGATCGATGGTGATTCTAGGAAAGTTGAGGAAAGCTATATTTAGATCTGTTGGATGTGGTTTTATATATATGTGATAAAACTGAATTACATCGGCAAAAACATACTCGATTGGTTGTTCTGACTCCTCTGAAGTTATAAACCATTGGCGTGGATCAATTTTTTGAGTACAAGAAATTGGAATCTTTATCTATTTGGTTAGAAAATTGGTTGGTTCTGAGTGAGGGTTGTTACTTACATTCAAGATAAAAAGTCTAACCAATTCAAGATACATCAATCGTTGATCTGTTGTAGATTTGGCGTTGAGTAATGGGATGAATTGGTTGCTTTTTCCTCGTTCATTGATATGTTTGATTAATTCCTTGCTTTCAAGAGTGTTTACTGTGTTTGAATGGACATATTCCAATGCATAACAAATTAATCTGGGTACACCACCTGTCAACTATTGAAATAAATTAGATACCATATATATATATTTAATTAAATAGTGCTACATACATCATAAATTTTCTCGATCAGCTTGGCATTTTTGAAAATAATGGGATAATTTTGCTTGCATATTTCTTCAATGTGTTTTTTCTCTAGAATATCCAGCTGGATCCAGTCCACAAGAGAACCCGTTGGGGAATATATTTCCATATTAGAAAATAAACCACGACCCATTGAGTAGAGAAGAGACGACTTTCCTGAGATGTACACAGGGTTTCCAGAGGAAATCGGACCTGAAATACGTTGTTCCAGAGATGATACAAAATAGTGATTGTTTTCGATGGATTCATTTGATAATCAGAATGATATGTCGCCTCCAGCTCGTCGATGTGAAAAAAGAAACCTCGTGCCTCTCTTTTACAAAAGTCATGGAAATCGGTTGACTCTGGTACCACAATCTTTGACAATTGGGAGACGGCTTGCATAATAGCCTTTTGGAAGGATCCAACCCACACTGATTCGTCATAGTTGGTTGTGAATTTAGAGAACTGGGACGAGTCGATGAGCAGGTACTTCAAATTTCGAAACTCGTCAGAGCACTCGATTTTGTTTTGGAGAGCTGCTTTCAAAAAATTGATGCCAAGGTAAGATTTACCACTTCCCCACATCTGACATGAAATCATGAGAGGAAATGTTCCATTGCTTCTAGTTGTTCCAAAATCTCCATCCCTCATTTTCAACACTCTTTCTGTCGTCTTGTGCATTTGTGTTATTTCTTTGATTCTATTAACAAATGGAAGATTGTTTGGAGGGTAATTGTGGTTAAGCGGGTAGCTCAATGTTCCTATGAAATAATGAAGAAAAAAATGATTAGAGATTTTTGAGCTAATTGGTGTTTCAACCAATCACCACGCACCAATTAGGTATGTTTGGCAAAAGTAGAGGATAAGATGGAAAAGAGATGGGTGATAAAAGGATGTAGAGTGACAAAGAGTTGTAGTGTAGCTTGGTGAATGGACCATGGTATTTGATTTATCAAAGGATTATAAATATATCAATGAACAAAAGGTCGATGATATAAAATATGAACAAACAAACAAAATGGCAAATGTTTGGTTGGTTCGACAATGGTTAGAATTAGACCGTCCAACAATGAAGCAAGTGGTTAAAAGGAAAGAGATGGCTGGTGCATTGAAAACAAAAGATAATCAAAAGAAATGGTGTAAAAAGAGGAGCAATGATAGTGATTTTTAATTATCTGATGGATAAAGGAAGTGTAGTTAACCGGATAGGTGGGCGAACCAAACTAATAAAAGGTAGAGGTTTTGAGTGTCCAGTGATATTAATGGTGATTGGTTGATATGATATTAGGAAGGGTTGGAAATGGATTGACCAACAACAATGAGGCAAGTAAAGGGCCTGTAATATGAGAACAAACAAAGCAAAACAAAATGACTAGATTTGAATGATAGTGATCGGTTGATGTAGCAATTAGGTATGTTTGACAAAAGTAGTGATTAAGAGGAAAAAGAGATGGGTCTTAAAAATAAAAGGATGTAGAGTGATAAAGAGTGGTAGTGTAGCTTGGTGAATGGATTTGATTTGTATAAAAAGGATTATAAATATATGAAAGAGGTAATGATATGTAAAGATGAACAAGCAAAACAAAATGACAAATGTTTAGTGTTGGTACGACAATGAAAACAAAAAGATAATCAAAAGAAATGGTGTAAAAAGAGGAGCAATGATAGTGATTTTTAATTATCTGATGGATAAAGGAAGTGTAGTTAACTGGATAGGTGAGTGAACCAAACTAACAAAAGGTAGAGGTTTTGAGTGTCCAGTGATATTAATGGTGATTGGTTGATATAATATTTGGAATAGTTGGAAGATGGATTGACCAACAACAATGAGGCAAGTGAAGGCCTGTAATATGAGAACGAGCAAACAAAACAAAATGACTAGATTTGAATGATGGTGATTGGTTGATGTAGCAATTTGGTATCTTTGACAAAAGTAGTGGAGAGATGGGTGATAAAAATAAAAGGATGTAGAGTGATAAAGAGTGGTGTAGCTTGGTGAATGGACAATGGTATTCATTTGGATTATTGGGAAAAGGATTATGAATGAACACAAGAGGTCCATGATAGTGAGCAAGGTATGTTTAAGGAAATGGGATGGGTGATGAATTGAATGGATAATGAAGGGATGTTGTTTTGCTAAAAAAAGGAGTGACATAGTTGAGGGTGTCTTACCTGCGGTAGGAGAAACTATAGATAGATATATTTCAGTCAGTATTTGTAAATATTAATTAAATGTTGTCTAATAACTTACTATTAGTCTGAGGTGGGTCGAGAGAACCGAGTTCTTTGAAAAGCACATCAAGGAGAGCCTTGCTTTGCTCTGATTTGAGATCTGTTTCGGTACCATTGGGAACACAGAACAAGCCATCAAATAAAAATCTTGAATCATGCAACAACCAAAGATCTCGACCTGTAACCGGAGGGTCGTCTTGGAGGGAAAGGCCATTTGGACGACGTGCGGCTTTGAGAGTGTCAGTCACCCAATCATTAGCCAATTGGGCAGTCCATTCCTTGACTGGAGTGTTGGACCATGTTGTTGTTGATGGGGGAGGCTGGTCTGTCATCATACAAATTAAAATACAAATTAGAAAATGATAATGTAAAGTAACTCTTGTGTTGTAAATAAATAAGGTGATGGAGAATAAATGAACAAGACTATGTCTTATGGATAACTGATGTATATGAAATATGTGTAATAATAAATGACAAAAAAGAACAAATAAAATGTATCAGAAAGAATACACAGTGAACTGCTGCGGAAGGGTGCTTTTATCATCAGTCTCCAAGAAAAAAATATATATAATTATTAACAAAAAATAAAGTGATTTTATTTTAAATAATAAAATCATTGGAAGATGGGTGAGCGCGATGATGTCATAAGACATGACTTTAATATTAGGGTTGATGGGTGTGATTAATAGATGACTTGAACCACAAGACAGAGTGACTAAACGATAATGATGGGTGGTGGTAGTGGAGGGGAATCTGACATATGACAATCATGTGCGAACAACAAGACGAATATGAGTGGTTAAATAGAAGATAGATGTATCATTACTTACCTCTACTGCTGCTGCTGTGTTGATGCGATAGCGATTGTTGTTGTTTAATTAAAAGTTGTTGAGCAGCCAGATAGAGCTTCTTTGCAGGTGCGACGACTATGCCACATTTACCAAAATCAGCCTCTGTAAACACCGCGATACTCTCTCCATCTACATCATTATCAAGAAGCATCTGGGCATATTCTTCTCTTACTTGAACTTCTTTTGTAGCCCATTCTTTTACTTGTTTTGCTGACCATCGTTTGAAATCGCTTTGTGATGCAATTTCTGTTATTGTCAAAGCATTATACATGTTATGATTAAAAGTGATGTCGTAAGATAATAGAAAACATGGCTCTCTATATATATTCTCCTTTTAATGTTGTTGTTGTTGTTGTTGTTGTTATTGAAATTCTTTGTTTGAAACACTTTTACTCCTTCCTTTTTTTTTTTTTTTTTTTTCATTCTTGTCTCCACCCCCTCTCTTCTTGAAAACAACAAGACTGATTCTTTGTCTTATGTGAACAAAGATTAGTACTACTAAAGAAGGTAGTCTTCTATTATAGATATAGAGGTCCTATAGATTCAGATCAACTTTGAACGATAACAGCAATTTATATTTAATATAACCAACATTCTATGATGACAGTAACATTCAACCTATTACATACAACAGGCAGTCAATGTTTTGTCTATTGTAATTGCTAGAACCACTCTCACTAAAGCATTCTCGTTTATCATCCAATCCATGTTATATTTCAACTATGTATCATATGTCTATTCATACAACCAAATCCATTTTGTAAGAATTGGTAAACTGGTTACGCTCTGTGTTGATTCACCTCCAACCTTGACAATGCAAACTACAGCTTCAGAAGTATATACTGATGTTTTTATTCCTGAAAGATTTAGACCTCCCAATGTTCAAATAGTCACAGTGTCAACATACCAATAACATTCTCCAACTTTATTTATTCATCCATGTAGAATCTGTTGTTTGTTGAGTGGACAATTGATAAAATAGTGATGGAAGTGGAATACCTTGTGATTCCAACCAATCTTTTTCTATCGATCCATTTTCCATGAGTTATGTTGCCAATGATATTGTTTGGTGAACTATATCCAATTTATTTTGGTTAAAATTATGATTCTAAAATCCAAAATCTAAAATCAATCCAATATTTTTTTATTTTTCCAAAATAATCCTAACTTTTTTAACCTTTATCATATCTATCCAAAATATTAAAAGTTAATAACTAATATCTCAAAAATAATAAAATAAAATAAAAATATATATTTCTAAAAATAAATTAACTATTTTAACCTAATTAATATATAATGAGCCCTGCAAGGGCGAATGGATTGTATACTTTTTGGGAGCTCAGCGATCCAACGCCCAAACCACACACCATCCAGGATCAGTCATACTTCAGTACAAGTCTACAACAATCCAGTACCAGAGCAAGTATAGGAGATATCATTTTTAGATCGATGCAAATCGATTCTTCAAAAACTGTGGGATCAATTAAAGGCAATTGGAAACCATCTTTTGAAAGGTCTCATGTCAATTGTCAAGTGGGTCATAAAACACATGGACTTTTTGGAACGATTATTCCTCATTTTATTAGCACTTTGAAAATATTTACAAAGTTATTGGACAATCACAACATACCATTTATTATTTTATTCAATGTACATAATATTTTTTTTATTTTACATAAAATGGATGTTTCCAATCTCTCTCTCTCTATATATATATTTTGTAATAATGTAATAAATATAAAAAATCAATATTATTAATGTATAATGTGTATGGTGGATTTGTTTTAAGGTATAGAGATTCCTTTTAATCATTAATAGGTATTGTTTTTGTAAAGTGTTATGATTGCAAGATATTTGGGGATCTACATATCCATTTTAATCAATTTACATTTATTTATTTATTTATTTATTTATTTATTTATTTATTTATTTTATCCACAATAGAAGCCTTTCCGATGTAGAATTCATTTTAGGCTTAAATTTAATTTAATTGTATGTATTCATTATTAAACAATATTGTTTCTTTTTAATTTTCTTTTATTTCCTTTTTCCTTAATGTTGCAATTTACTTAGTCTAAATAAAACTATACTAGTATTTGATTTATTTTTTAATTACCAAATTAATTGTAAAATTATTAGTTTTTGTTGTAGCAAAGAAGGTTTTCATGATGGTTTGACCATCCAAACGACTACCAAGATGTTTCTTGGCAATTTGTTCCAATTCAGTTTGGTCATCTGTCGAAACATCAACGACGGCACGTGTCTTTCCATTGGTCATAATCACCAATTGCTTGACACGTTGTTCGAGACATTCACGTGATGGTTGTGGCCAACCTTGACGACGAACCTCGAAAATGGCAGAATCACCACTTGCATGACTAGTGTACGATGGACCATGTTCACACAACATCTTCCAATAATCTTGAGCGGTATTTGGTGCAAACGTAGCCAATAGGATGACCAGCGTACGAACAGATTCATAAAATTCAAGACTGTTTCTTTGTGATGGTTCAACCTTGGCCAATGTATTTGAAAGTGTCATCAAAAAGGCAATACCAGTATTAAAAGTATACTTTTCAATCGATTGTGTAACATTGTCAATAGTTGAATGAGTCTCGTATCTCAGTGGCTTGACACCTTCAACCTTTCCAAATTCACCAATAAATGATTGTTTGTTGGCACTATATTCATCGACAAATGATTTAACCAAAGTCTCTACTCTCTTTAACCATTTACGACATCCTTCTATACCTTCAGTATCCCATTCCAATGATTTCTCTGGTGGTGCTTTAAATAATATATAAAGTTTTAATATATCTGATCCATATTGTGATATCATTTCCTAAAAAAAGTATATTAATAATCTTTTCTATTACTTTTGTTTTTTAAACATACAGATGGTTCCATTCCATTTAATTTTGATTTTGACATTTTTTCAATTGTAATATTGACTGGATTACCATTTGAAGCATTGATTGGTTGTGATTTATCAAAATTGACACTTGATGGATGTAATGGTTTGTTGGTAATAGCATCACGATAGGTTTTTGCTTTTACCAATCCTTGAATCAATAATACTTTAAATGGTTCTTCATGATCAATCAATCCATCATCCTTGAGGAATTTAGTGATAAATCTTGAATATAATAAATGAAGAATAGCATGTTCAATACCTCCAACATAAATATCAACTGGCATTAATCGATTTGCAATTTCTTTTTTAAATATTCTAAATAGAAATAATAGTTAATAAAAGATATTTAAATATATTTAATATTTAATATCTTTTTTATATTTACTCTTTTTGATTATGACTATCTAAAAATCTAAAATAATACCAAGATGAATCAACAAAAGTATCCATTGTATCTGTTTCTCTTTGAGCATTTCCACCACATTTGGGACATTTACAGTTCTTCCAATCGTCCAAACTATTCAATAGAGAACCTTTACCAGTAAAGCTAATGTCGGTTGGAAGGACGACTGGTAGTTGATCGGATGGAACTGGAACTTCACCACAACTGTTGCAGTGAATGATTGGGATGGGAGTACCCCAATATCTTTGACGTGAGAGTAACCAATCACGAATACGATAGGATGTATGTTTTTTAATTTGGTTGCTGTCAACCATTGATTCGATGGCTTTATCAACTCGCATTCCATTAAATTGACCACTATTCTGGAGAAGAGAGGATTGGTCCAATTGATCATAACAGACGACTGATTCTTCAATGCCTGCAGGTCTGGGTAATACATATAGATGTGGAAGACCGAGTTCAGTAGCAACTTGGTGGTCTACTGTATTGTGTGCTGGAACACCCATAACACATCCTGTGCCATAGTCGGCGTGTACGGCCGATGAAACAACTAGTCGTACAGTCGATCCATACGGTGAAGTTACAGTTGTCTTTGTATCAAATGCAATGATTGGATCTTCGTCTTTAAGTGTCGAGCAACGTTGAATAAAGTCGTCCAACTTGACCAATTCCTCGCGAGACATTTGTTTGCGAACCAACTCCATGACGGGATGTTTACCGTGCACCGAGAGAAACGTGACACCGTATATAGTCTCTGGTCTAGTTGTGAATGCAGTCAGTGTCGCTGCGTCACCATTCGTCTGGTTGTACTTGAAATCCAATAGGTAGCCATGTGACCGACCAATCCACTCTCTTTGCATATTCTTGACTTCGTCGGGCCACCCATCAAGCTTTTGGAGGTCGTCGGCCAATCGATCAGCATATTTTGTAATGTGAAAGTACCATTGCTTCATTTCACGTCTCTCGACAATTGCATTTGATCTCCACGACCGTCCAGTAGCATCTACCTGCTCGTTGGCAAGTACAGTATTGTCGACGGGATCCCAATTGACAATAGCGATCTTTCGAGTTGCCAAGCCAGCTCTATACAACCTTAGGAATATCTCTTGTGTCCATCGATAGTAGGATGGATCGCATGTTGAAAGTTCTCGGTTCCAATCAAACTCGAGATCGAGTAGTTTAAACTGTCTACGCATTTCGTCAATGTTTGAATTGGTCCATTTAGAGGGAGACACGTTCTTTTCAATAGCAGCATTCTCTGCAGGCAAACCAAAGGCATCCCAACCCATTGGATGAACTACATCATACCCTTGCATACGTTTGAGTCTTGCTACGCAATCACTCATTGTGTAAACTCTAACATGACCCATATGCAAGTTTCCCGATGGGTATGGAAACTGTGACAATGAATAGTATTTACCATTATTATTTAATGTTGAATAGAATGAATATGATGATGTTGATAATGGTGGTACTCTAAATGATGAAGTTGAAGAAGAAGAAGAAGATAAAGAGAATGATGATGATGTCAAAGTAGTTGATGATACTGACGATGAAGATAGTACTCTACCAAGTATACAACTACTACTCTTATTGAGTAGATTAGTTGTTCTTGATATATACATCCTCCTTTTATCTCTCTATGTATATCTATCTCTATCTGTCTCTTGTGCCCGAAACATCCGATCATCACATGAGCACCCTTCATACACATTTTTAAAATCTTTTTTTTTTTTGTTTTAGTTTGGCGATACTAATATTAATAATATTACTTTTATTTATTTATTGATTTAAACAATGATAATAGGTAGGATCAATTTGTTGAAAGATATGATTACTAACATAAGGACGATGAGAATCTTGAATTTCTTGAATCTTTTCAGATACTTGGGCAAAAGATGGACAATAGAATTGTGGGAATTTGTCTTGTTGATTGGTCAAGTATTTGAATACTTCAAACGATCCATTTGTTTTCGTTAACATATCTTGAAAGTCAAGAGTATCAACTTTAAATACTTTTTCTTGATCCAAAAACTTGATCAACTCTAGGTTGTGCCAACTCATAGCTCTAAAAGTACCACTTGAAAATACTGGTTGATTCTGCATCAACACTCTAAATCTTTCACGATGATCTAAATCTGGATCTAGTTCATCAAGAATTTGATCTGGAATGACTACATCAGTGTTTGATTGATTATTGTTGTTGTTATTTAAATCAATGATAAATTGATAAATAAATTGAATAGTTTCAAAATGGTTTGAATGGATTGCATAATGTAACAGTGTGATCTTGTCTTTTGAACTTGACAAATGAATGGATGGATCTTTTTGACAAAGACTGATTAAATATTTGGTGATATTTAAGTATCCACGTCTTGCAGCTTGTCCGAGTAGTGATGCAAAATGGATGTTTATAATCTCTAGAGGTGGTAGTTTATCGACCATTCTTTCATCTGGGATGAGTTTGGTAGAGTCGGTTGGCGATGTCTTCATAAACTTTTCACGAACCTGTACTTTTGACTTGAACACCTCCAAGAATAGTTGGAGAAGTGCTAGCTTTTGGTTTTCAGTTGTTGGTTGTATTGGGACGATTCGGTCAAATGCAGTCATGTTGGGTTCGATCACATCATGCAGCGTCTGCACAGTCACATAGAATGGGTGGTCAGGGGGTTGGCACTCTTTGAGAAGCTCGCTCGTGAGGATATGACGTGTGATGTTGTAGTGACCGTGTCGCACAGACAGGCTGATTGCCCCGTTGGTGCATGAATCGGGCATTTGGTCCTCCAAATACTGCACCATCTCCATTCGACCGTACCGCGCAGCCAGATCGATCCAGTTAAAGGCATTGGTGCCACGATTGGAACTGTCTTGACAAAACTGCCCCATATACTTGTACGGGCAGAGAATGTCTCGTTTAAAAGTCGACAAGAACACATTCTCGCAGAGGAATTGGACCATGTACATGTGGTCGGATTTAATAGCGCTCGCCAAAAACTCTCGGCAAACTAGTTCGCTGTGGGGGAGCATGAGACGACGTCCGGCCATACTCGGGAACTCCTTTAATGCGCAGACTGACTGATACGTGCTCGACTGTCCCCCAAAGAAATCCGAGCTTGCGTGGGGGGCAAAGGTGAACAGCCCGTATGTGGTCGGACCTTGGGTAGTCTGCACAGTGTGTTCTTCCAACCGGCCCTTGGAGAGTATGTAGCGCTCCTGGAATGCAGCCAGTGACGGACGCTCATCTCCCGCTCTGTACCAATCGATCAGGTCTGATAACCCACTCGACACCTTTTTCCACGTGTCGTCGAGATGGTCGAATAAGAAAATGGCCCATCTAAAGTGGTGCATATTAAGGGCCCGTATAATCTCCTCGCGTATTGTCGCACCGTTAAACTTGAGACCGAGCTTACACACCAGTTCAAAGTGGTGTGTCATGCCGAGTCGCAGCACCAGGCTCTCGACCTTGGCCAGCCCGATATAGTAGAGATTGTTGAGCTGCAGCATCGTCGGGTACTTGTCGGCCAGCCACTGCAGCACATTTGGGTATCCCTTAGACACACTCGGTTCGAGCATCACATCCAACGTCTTTTGATCCATGGAAGACTCTTCCCCTTGCATATCAAGCAAAATGATCTTGTCGAGAATATACTGTATCATCTCGAATAGACCACGTTTGGATGCACGGGCCAATGCATTCATTCTTTGCTTTGCTTTAAATGTAAATGTTGGTGTATCAAACAAATACTTTAACACGGCCATATTATTTCGGTCGATTGCGTATAGATACGGTTCATGATAGTTGAAGTGACGTTCATGCAAGAATTTGACAATCTCTAGTGACGCTCCACAACACACATCCAAGACATAGTACGATCTATACATAACCGTGAAAAAGTACAGTCTCTCTTGTTCATCCTTTAAGATGGTGTTGTAAAAGTATAGAAACAATGGTAATGAATGATTGTTCATAAAAAAGCTTTGATCAAAGTCTTTTAAACACCATAGTTGTTTACTTTGTTTGTATGATTTAAATATCAATGATGAAGATGAAGAAGATGAAGTAGATGAAGAGTCAGGTTGTACTAGAGTAGTATACCCCAACTTTAAAGGAATCAAGTTTTTACATTGATGAGTAAGCAAATAGCCTACAGAAAGATGTTTCAAATGATCGGCTTGAAATGTGTAAAGCTCCGAATGAGTGTGTATATCTCTAACGTATCCAAATATTAATTTCCTTATATAATGTGATTGTAGTATTTGTTGAAATGACATAAAAGGTGTTGATATTGATGTTGATTAATATTATTTGTTTGTTTGAGATGAGATGTATATGATGATTAGTTAATGAATGAATCAATGATTATTGCACCATATGATATTTTGTTTTTTTTGGGATTTACCTTATTCAAGAATTTAAAAGGAAAGAAAGATAATTTCTTTTGGAATGCACATTCCAATGATTCGATAATGTAACATTAAAGATCATTGGATTGGATTGGATTGGATTTGATTTGATATTTAATTATTTATTAACTAATATTTGTTGAGTGGTTAAAGGAAGAGAGGTATCCCCTCAATAATAATTTGGATGTGCACAATTTAGTCGTTAAAAACAAAAAAAAACAAAAAAGCACAGATCATCAATTTTCAATAGATTTACTTATTATTAGTATATTAATAACTATAACTTGTCATTTCATAAGAGAGAGATAAGAATAGAGAGATGTCAAAAAAGTCAAGTTCAGATAAGAAGAAGAAGAGTAAATCAAGCTCTAGTTCATCATCTTCATCGTCATCGTCAACATCACAAAACGCATCATCTAGTGTCATCAATACAAATGGCTATCAACCATTACCAACTACTATGACTTTACCAGTCGAACAACTATTATCTTTTGCTCCAGGTAGATATAGATAAATATAGATGTACACCACTATACATACAGTATATTAACAACATATATTTCTCTATAGAATGTATATTGTTTTCACAATTATTAGAGTTTGAAAAGAAATTAGATTCATCGATTACAAAGAGATTGATTGATATGCAAGAAGCACAAAAGACAAGATCAAACAAGACATTTAGAACACTGAGATTGTCAATCTACAACACATGTGCCAATCAAACTGCATTCTATCATCTAGACAACAAGGCAATGTTGTCGGTGCAAGACAAGCCATCATGGACTCTTCGTGTAGAAGGTAAACTATTGGAAGACACTCAATTGTATCAAAGTGGAAAGAGTAGTTCTCGTTCATCTGGTATGGGTGGTCTACAAACACAAAAGAGAAAGTTCTCTTCATTCTTTAAAAAGATTTTCTTTCAATTGGGTCATAGAGATAGTTGTGAGGTAAATACATAAATATAAATATATAATATAACATACTAATTGTTTATTCACTTATTTATTTATAGTGGGATAAATCACAATCACCATCAGATACAGATGGATTTGAAATAAAGAGAAATGGAAATCAAGAAATTGATATAAAGGTAAATTTAGATATCATGATTTGAAAGAAGGAAGAATATATGTACAAAAGAGACTAATATTTATATTTATATTTATATTTATTTCTTTAGATATTAATGTATTTAGATCATACACCACAAAAGAATAAGGTATTGGGACCATTATCAACATTACTTCATATACATACAGACACTAAACCAAAGATTATTTCAGCATTATGGAATTATATAAAAGTGAATAGATTATTGGATTTGGAAAGTAAAAAGGTTCTTTGTGATGATCAATTAAAGAATGTAAGAAGAAGTTGACAAATATTTGATTCGATTTAATTTAGACATTAATGTTTTATTTATATTTTTAGATATTCGGAGTTGATAGTATGCAATTTAATCAAATACCACAATTATTAAGAGAACATTTGGGACCAGCAGATCCATTAGAATTTAGTTATCAATTAAAATTAACAGGCGATCCAAGAGATTTTGAACAGGCTTATGATATTTCAGTAGAGGTTGATGATCAAATGTTTGGACAACCAACTTCATTGCCAAGAAAAGAGATTGCACCATTGGACGAGGAAATCAACCAAACCATCGTCAAAATACACAACCACAAACGAAAGAGAGAGTTTATGGACCAATTATCAGAGGATCCCATTTCTTTCCTCTCTGACGTCTGTATCCACCAACTCAAAGATTACCAAATCTCAAAGTCACTACCATCCACTGGCTTTGAAGAAGAGAGACATTCTTCATTCTACTATCAACCAATGATGGATGACATCGTCACTAAATATCTTTCAAAACATAACAATGAAACCCCAACTCCTCAAACTGTAATCCCATCAACTCCTCAAGCCGATAGTAGTTAAATTTAAAAAACAAAAAAAGATAAAAGAAATAAATATAAATTTAATAATAATAATCACATTTCTAAATAAAATACCTATATCTATTCTAAAAAGATTGAGATTGTTTATTGACCTTGACCTTGTTGTTGTTGTTGTTGTTGTTCTTGATGTTGTTGAATAAAATCAAAGATGGCTTGAGCTTGTAATTGAACACGTCCTTTCATTTCTCTAGATGCCCATCCAATATATTGTACTCCTCTTGGGTCTTGAACAACCTCTCTCCAAGTCTTGCCAGCATATTTTTTAAGTTGTGGTGGAACAATTGAATCAATATCAATCTCTTCAGAATTGACATAATCATTGGTAGAACTATTATTTGAAGAGGCTTGAGAGGAGGGAGATGGACCAACTGGTAAAGTATCATCCATTTGTAAAGATTGTTGATGATTAAGTGAAGCTTGATTTGGATTAAATTGGGTTGGTTTTTCTACTACTAATTGTCTTTCTTCTGATGTAATTGGTTGAGAAATAGATGATGATGAAGAATATTGTTGTTGTGATTGTTGTTGTTGTTGTGGTTGTTGTGGTTGTCTAGATGAAAATGATTGTTGTGGTTGTTGTTGATTATCAAAACTATTAGCTTCTTTCCATGGATAACCCATTGGATTTGAACCATCCTTTAGAGTCCATAATTTCTTTTTATCATTTGTCTTTACATGAACGTAGAATTTCTCTTCGGCATTGTTTTGTTTCCATTCTCTGATAAAGGTTGGATCCCATAGACTAGAACCGATACCCAAATCTTTGCAGCATCTAACAAGAGCATTTGACTTTGCGGCCTCGTTGGCAGTTGCAAATGACAAATGTCCTCCTTCGACGTATGGTTGTTCTCCAAGACTCTCACTAACATAACGTCCCATACAATACAATGCATATGGTCTAATAAGACTACCATCAATTACTACTGGTGGTCCAAATGGTTTTAATGCCCATCCTCTAAATACAATAGAGAAAAAAACGAACAATTGATTAGTGTTTCATGAATTACAATAGTTGTGTTTATATTAACATACCCAGGTCCGAAAGCTTGATTTAAAATTCTACGATATTTAATCTCTGGAAGATAAATGATACCATCTGGTTTAATTTCGATATCTTGACTATCTAATTCACCCATCAAGATATTATTAATCTCTTTTGCAAATGGTTCCTTTGCAATCCCAATAAACTTTTCTTCACTATAGAATCTTTCATCATTTAATAATGATTGTTGTTGTTTGTTTGCGTTACTAGTACTACTATTGTTGTTATTGTTATTGAATGATGATGGTGTAGCAGCAGTCTTGTTGCTGTAGTTTGGTTGAAACGATGCATTACCAGTCGAGTAATTCAAGCAACTTGTAACAGAAGAAGCAGTAGATCGTTGACCATAACCCAACAATAAACTTCTAGTTACTTTATTTGATAGTATCTTATTTGTTAACATTTTGAATATATAAATATAAATAAATAACTCGACTTTATCTCTTTCTATTTTCAAGATAATAAAATGATTTTTACAAAACTAACGAAGACACCTCCGCAAAATACCACGGAATTTCAACGTATGACTTCTAGGAAAAAAGGTCTAGTACTACAATACCAATCATTTTTTATTATTTAGTTTTATAAATTATATTTAAATTTATAGTAATGCCGAAAAAGATAATAAAATAAAAATTAAAATGAATGATGTAAAAGTTGAAGTTGAAGATGCAGAGCCAGTTGTATTACCTGTAGTTGTTGGGTCAGACGATGAAGATGTATTTGCAGCTGGATCATAGGTTGGGAAATACACATCAATGACACTAGTGTACGATGCTGAAGTGAACGATAAGACATAGGTACCCGTTGGAATGGAAGATGGTAGTGTACAGACAATAGTCTTGGTCGTGTTGGACTTGATACTGCATACTTTATCGGTACCACCAATATTAACTGTAATACTCTTCGAGTAATTACCAAACATACCATTTAATACTACTTGTTGACTACTAGATACATTTACACTATTTAATTTAATATTTAATGCTTTGAAATAGTAAATTTGGATATTAATTATTTGTATTTTTGTTTGTATATATTAAATTATTTATAGTTTTGGTAACATACGATCTAAATCAGCAATGATATCAGTTATTAATTCATAGGAATAATATAATCCTTTGATTGAAATAGGGTAGTTTTCACCATTTGGCAAGAATGGGAAAATAGTTGAACGACATGTAATTATCGATGAGTGGTACATTGTAATATTACAGGCGGTACCATTGATAGTGATTATACTTGGATTAATTTGACCATAGAATCCATTCAATTGGATTGTATCATCAGTAACAGTATAATTATTAATTCTATAAGGTGCTTTAGAGAGAAAAAAAAAAAGAAAAAAGAAAATAATTAATATATACTTTTTATAATATCCTGGTAGAGTATACTGTATACAATACTACATACTAGAAGTTGGAATATTAAAGACAGTTTTATATTCAACTGGACCGCCAATTCTGAATAAAATGTTTATACTGCCAAGTTGATAGTTGGCCGTTGGAATATAACATTCAACAATAAGATCAGTGTATCTAATAATGGGACATACGATACCATTTGATTGCTCGGTAGAGTTGAGTGCTACGTATGGGGCAAGACCATTATAGTTAAATGATCCTGTAAATGTAAGAACATTTCCAATCAGTTGAACACTATTAACCGTTCCACTAAATAAGAGAGAGAAAGAGAGAGAGAAACAATGATAGTTAATTAATAATTGAGAATATAAAGTAGAGAGAGAGATATATATATACTTACGTTTGAGCATTACAAGATGTAAAGAATTGACAAAAGAGTACAATCGATGAAATGAATAACAAAGATTTATTCATGGTTGATGTATTTTATAAAAGTGAATGATTGCAATGAATGAATGAATAGACGAGAAGAGAGGGACCATGGTAACCATACCTCCAGGTCAAGGTCACGCGTTGTTGAGCTTGTAAACATATTATAAATTAAATAAAAGAACATAAAATAATATCTTCCTCCAAGTGTACCTTTCACTCATCCTTTGACAAAAAAGTGTAGTGATTCTCTGCACATCTTTTTTTCGACCTCTTCATCTGAACGCAAATTGATATTTAAATATCAAAAATATTATCTGTCTTATTATCCTGGACCGACTTTAAGTCTTTAGATTAATATTCTGGAGGTGTTGAGAAAATACTACAATAATAAATAAATAAATAAATAATAATAATTGTCCGTTCCACCCACTTTTGATGAGTATGTAGTTCCCTCTTTTTTTTTTTTTATCATTAAATTTGTACGCAAACCATAATCTCATCATCGATCTTCTACAAAGAGAGAGACAGGATGTATGCGAGAGATGACAACCTCAACAATCAAGAAGAGCAATGAACATCAATCACCTTCTCGATTCGGTAGTAGTGGTTTCGACAGTCTCGTCTCCGTGAGAACATGCATCGAAGCCAACCACCACTACTCAACATAGATATCTCTTCTCATTATATCTTTTGTTTGGCCCAAGGGATGTATGTCAGGCAAAAGGTTCCAACATTAAAAAGGAGTGATAAAGTTTAAAGTTTGACAGTGATATATTGTAGATAGAATACACTGTTAAAAAGATAATGCATGTAATAGTAAAAGTAGCAGCTGCTTTAATGCTTTTATTGTTGAATATTGGTACTATTCACTGTCAATATGATACTATCCCAGATGTACATGTTTGGCCAACTTCAGAAGGAGGGAATGGTCATGGATATAAAATATTCTCTTTGCAACATTTGACAATCACATCGGCGATGGAGAAGTGTTTGGATTAGAAGGAGATAATACATATAAATCATATCTTGTCACGCTTGATTCAAAACAAGAATGGGATTTTATTGGAACCAATTTGAGTACAACTGCATGGGTATCTGGTAGAGACTTTGAAGGGAATGGGAATTACACCTATTCAAGTGGACCACAATCAAATCAACCATTATTTAATATGTTTACTGGTCAATGTTGGGGTATGTAAATTAGAAAATGAAACAAATAATAATAATATTATTATTAATAAGAAAATTTATTAATTGATTTTTGTTTTGTTTTAGGGTATTGTCGATGCAGCTGAACCATCTTTAACTCCTGTTGGAGAGGATTTTATTTATATTAGAGGACCAACTTGGAATTTCATTCATAAAACTAATCTTCTGTATGCTAGTGTAATATGTGAAATAGAACCTATCGAAGAGGTATACATTCCATCAATTGGTACAAATGGAGGATCAATAACAATCAACAATCTATCACAATTCAACACACAAACAATCAACATTACATTTTCCAATCCAACCAAACAACTAGAAAAATCATGTAATATAACATCAAAACAAGAAACATCAGTCACTTGTATAGTTCCACCTCTATCTGGATTTCATAATGTCACTGTTCAAGATGCTAGTGGAGTCAACTCAACACACTATGCATGGCAACCATATCCACCATTTATTAAAGCTGTCTATCCATCATTCACTGCCAATGGATTGATTACACTGATTGGTGATAACTTTGGTGATAACACAAATAATATAGTATTTGTTAATGTTTCAACATCTAATATTACTTGTAATATTACATTTGCAACATCAACTCAAATCATTTGTCAACTTGAATCATCTCTTGCTGAAGGTACCAAACTACTTCCGATTTCAATTTCAGTTGACGATGTTTATACTCGAACCTATAAACCTCATATTTGTATGTATATATATTAACTTTTATTTAAATATTTTGAACTACTTTATTCCAATTCTAATCCAACATTTTCTTTTTTCAATAGTCTGTGACAATAGATTCCATTCAACTGTTATATTTGGTGGAGACTATAAAACAATGAGCCAATTAATGATTGATAATGTAAAGATGTAACAATGGGAGCAACACCAAATGCTCCATATATTGGTGCAATAGAATCAGCTGAAATGTATCAATGTTTTAGTCAATCATTAAATATAATTGGATACGAGTCATATAGATTTTGGCAGGGCGTATCATACAACAGTAACAACAATAGTTTTACAAGAAATAATGGTCCATTCAAAGGAACAATATCTCCATTGAATTATACCTCTATTACTTCAAAAATGAAAGAAGGAAAGAATATTCTATATAATATTAATGATGGAACTATTTCATCAAAGATTGAAGATGTTAGATATTACACACCATTGATTACATTTTATACAGGTGATACACCAATCATTGATAATATTACCAGCACCAATATTCAAAATACAACTCAATCACTTGTTACAATCAATGGTAATCATTTTGGAAAAGATCAATCATATGTTTTAATATCCATTGAAGGACAACAATGTAAATCACCTCAGTTTATTGGAACCGATTTTAAACAATTTACTTGTTTATTATTGGATATTGTTGAACCATTATCAGAGTATAATGTAACGATAAGAGTTGCTGAAATGGTTACATCAAAGATGGTAGTATCAAAAGCAGTGGTAGGACCAGAATCTCAATATGATGATGAATATCCTGACAAGTCATTTGCAACATGGAAAATCATTGTCATTGTATGTCTATCATTTTTGATCATACTCGTCGCCATTATATTGTTGGTTGTCTTTGTATTTAAGAATAGAAGAGGAAGTAGAAGAGCACCCAAAAGGAAGCAATCAGTCGTTGTCTTAAAGACAGTACCAATTTATTATGGTGGCAAGGTCAATAATATCGACGGCCATTAATTCATTCATTCTCAACCAACCAAACAAACAAATACAATAAATTTATAATCCATACATTTCCTTTTTTGAACAACGATGATATCATCATGGGAAACAAATAAAAAATTAAAAAAATAAAAAAGATGGTTTGCCTCCCATTGCCCAAAGAGGGGCGGATGATCAATCGAAACCCCTCTGATATCACACTTTTTTGTTGTATTTTGTAGTTTGATAAGAGATATACAATAAGAGAGAATGAAGATCACTATAGTATCAGGTGGCGCCTCAAAGAGAACTATTTGCGAGTTGGAACTTAGCACTAGTACAACTATCAAGGAGTTGAAGAAGAGCTTTGCTCAAAAGAGTATGAATGAAATGAGTTATAGAGACAGAGAGAGAGAGAAGAGAGATACAGATATATATATAGATATAGATTATTAATAATCATCTCATCATTGTTTAATAGACCCAAAGTATTATGTAGATAGACAAAGATTTGTAACATCACAATTGGGACCTGACAACAAGCCAATCGTCTTGTCTGATGACAACAAGACATTGTCACACTACAAGATCACCAGTGACAACACCTTGGTCTTTAAAGATCTCGGACCACAAGTGTCATGGACCACTGTCTTTTTGACAGAGTATGCAGGTCCACTCTTGATCTACCCAATCTTTTACTTCTTTGGTCAACAAATCTATGGTCAAGAATATACTCATGGTTACACTCAACAGTATGTAAAAAAGAGGAATAACATAACATAACATATCAGATGATTGATTGTATCATTATTCTAACTCTTATATTCTTTTATTTTTTTGATCGAATTCTCTAGATATGCATTATTATGTTACTCACTTCATTACATTAAGAGATTGTTAGAGACTATTTTCGTTCACAGATTCTCTCATGCCACCATGCCAATTTCCAATATCTTTAAGAACAGTATCTACTATTGGGGTAATACCATCCTCGTCTCTTACTTTGTCAATCATCCATTGTTCACTTCTCCACCACCTGCTCGTGTTCTCATTGGTTTATGCCTTTGGGTTGTATGTATACAGTTAAACAAAAAACAAATCATCGAATATCATAATATAATTTAATCATTTTATTTATTTTCAATTCTCTTTTAGGTTGGTGAATTATTCAACTTAATTAGTCACATTCAACTCCGTAATTTAAGACCAGCAGGTTCAACTGTTCGTCAAATTCCAAAGGGATTGTTGTTTGAATACGTGTCATGTCCAAACTACACCATGGAGATCTTGGCCTGGATTGGTTTCTCTATCATGACCCAAACCCTCACCGCCTATGTCTTTACTGTTTTAGGTGCCGTTCAAATGTACGTCTGGGCTGTTGCCAAACACAGACGTTATCGTAAGGAATTCGATGGTAAGAATGGTGAACTCCAATACCCACGTAACAGAAAGATTATTGTTCCATTCCTCCTCTAAAAAAAACAAAATAATAATAAAATAAAACTATTAATTAATAATAAATAAATAAACAATATTATTTTAAAGATTAGAGATTGAGGAGAGAGAATTTTTGAACTTCAAAAAAAAATAATATATATTTGTTTTTTACAAATATTTCCAAAATAATCCAAATACTAAACCCGAGTTACTTTTTGTTTTTTCTAAATTAATATTTCCAACCTTATTATTAATAATATAAATTATTAAATCCTAAATAAATAAATAGATAATATTATTTATTTTTAAAAGTAGAAAAAATGCATGTTCAATGTAGTGGATACGATGACAATGAATTGTCACAAAAATGTGATAAACTTGGAAACTGCAATCTAATAATGGATGGAAAATGTTTCTGTAGTGCAACACATATGATTGGTTATTGTCAAAAAGTTAATCTCCATTCATTTAATCAAATAGTAAAACAACCAGTTTTAAATATAATCGATTTATAAAATAAATAAACATAATTATTTTTACAAAAATTAAAAAATATATTAATTATATTTGTTTCGTTAACCATAAAATAAATTTGAAAGGGTAGATGCATAACTACTATTTTGTTGGACTGGAGACTTGAATTGTTTTTCATTCAATGATTCTTCAGTTTGATAGAATAACAAATAACCACATTCATTTCTACCAACCAATTCTTGTTGTGATCCAAATATTTCAAATATATCACTTTCTGGTATAATCTAAAATAATATTGTTAATAATAGTCCAAATGTGTTTGTGATTAATAATAGTTTACATACACCCATATTTTCATCATCAAAACCAATCCAATGACCATTACTTTTAACCATACTAGTGTAATGTCCATGATTTGGTCCATTACCAGCATGAATAACAACTGCAAATAAATGATATTTCTTGTCTGGTTCTTCAATTGTATTTGTCTAAATAATAATAATAAAAAATATATTAATTTCTTATCTCTCTATTTCTTTTTTCTTTTTTCTTTTCTATTTCTTTTGTCTTACAGTATTTTGAATAATAATTTCAAATGGAAATACAACACGATAATTTAATTTTTGAAATTGTTGATATTGTTCTACAAATTTGAATCTCTTTAGATGAATGATGAGAGTATTTGGTAATTTTTTAATCTTCATTCTCTTTTGAGCCTCTTGAAGTGATATACATTTGTCACAAAAGAATTTATCATTCTTGGAGAGTGTTTCAACTGAACTAAAGTTTGACAGACAACTAGTAATCGATGTGTTTTGTTGAATGTCAATTGATAAATCCAAAAATGATTCATCTTTACTCGTTATCGATTCACATGTTAAACATTTAGTTTCATTTGTTAAAATTCCTTCAAATATTTCTTGAATAAATGTTTTTACTGGTAGAGAGAGTAAAATAATTAATAATTAATTAATATTCATATCTTTTTAAAATTGATTCCATTTTTTCTTTAAAATTTACCTTCTTCTTTCTTTTCTTCATTTTTTGTAGATTGTTGTTGTTGTTGTTGTTGATTTGATGAATTAAATGATTTACTATTTGTTGCTTTTGAATTTTCCATTTTTTTCTTTTCCATCTTTCCCAAGTGTTCTGATATCGAGTTCATCAAGAAATTAAGGAATTCATGTGCATCTTGATGCATATGACCTCTAAATAATTCTAATCAATTGTATGTTTGTTTTGTTAATCAACCATAATCTAATGATGTCAAATAATAACATATATAATACAATACCATTTTCAAATTTTAATCTTTCTACAAACTTTCTAGGAGGTACTACACCAGTTCTTTTTTTCTGTTGTGATATATTTACAAAGAGATCGGCCAATGCCAAGAAGAGATTATCTGTTGATTTTCTGTTCTGTGGCAAATGAAGTCCATTTTTATAGTAATACTCTAATATACTGTTTCGGAATGGTATACAATGATATAATGCTTGAAGTACTGAATTACAATAACAAGTATTACCAAACTAAAAAAGTAAAAGTAAATCAATTAAGTAAGTAAGTTCAAACCACGTTTGTTTGAATTTCTATTTAAATGAACAACCTACATTCTCTAAACCATAGAATCGTTCACTCTCAGGAATAGATGTTGATAAAAGGTCCTTTTCAAACCTTGATGCTCCTATTCCCATTCTATTCTATTCTATTATTATCAATCTATTCTTGTCAAGATTCAATATATAAAGTAGCAGTTCAATTCAGTTACAATATTTGTATCTCCTACCCTTCTACCTATCTATCTATACTATCTTTATCTATCTATATTTAACTTTTTATCGTTGTGTAATGTATGTGTTTGTGTATGTATATATTTATATATATTTAGATATCAGAATCAATCAATGAATGAATATTGTGTTCTTCAATGTTAAAAGTGATTCACCATTAAAAATTTAATTTAATTTTTGGAATTTAATTTATTTCACTATCACTGACTATAACTATCTATTCCCGACAGACATGTCAAAGTCTACAAGTAGAAGTAGAGTATTTATTTATTTATTTATTTTTAAATCTTAAATATTGTTTCTTCAAGTTCACATATACATGTATGTGGGTTTGGGTTTAATCTGATGGTAGATTTACGAAAAATAACCATTTATATTATTTGTTTGGATGTGTATGTATGTTTGTGGGTGTGGTAGACTGGGAATGAACGAAATAATTAAACCACAATAATTACAAGCAAATCATCCTGAAAACAACGGAATCGAACAAAAATAGAAATGAATAAAAATAATCAACAAATTCACTGGAATTTATGTACTATTTTATTTGTGTCACAAAAATGCATTCATCTTCGTATCTGTATCGATGGAATGGTATAAACAGCAACCCATGTCATTATTAATATTATTTTATTTAATGATATTTTATTAAAATGAATAATAACAAGGTATGGAATAATAATAAAGATCATAGTTTTAGTAGGGAAAGGAATAAAATTAAATTGACAAGACTATTCTATTTTTTAACTGATTTGTATCTAGTATTTCCCTCCAGTTTTTGGAAACCAAGATTTAATCAATTACTTTTTGTCAATTGATCCATGCAATAGTGGAAGAAAGACAACCATCTATGATGACCCTTCAACTTTATTTGCTAGATTTGGACAAATGAATTTAACTTCAAAGATCCCTGAGACCAATACTCGTGTGGATCTTACTCCAAAGGATTTTATTGGTGCCCATCAACAAGAAGATGAATCTGACGATGATTCCAATGAAGATGATGGTGACGATGATCTTTCAGGACACTACAACTCTAAATTAATGGAAAAGTTCAAGGACCAATACATTGACGATGACTGGTTGAATGTGACCAATCATAATAGAGGTGTTGTTGACAAGATACTCATGAATGCTGTCAAGGCAAATAATGGGTGTTGGGTATACACCAAATCAACAAAAATACATCGTGATGTCATCAAAATGAAAGACAGTGAAGACTATGGTAGTAATAACAACAACAACAATCTAAATGTCCTTCATTCACTCAAATGTGAGTCAAATAGAGACCCAAACAATCCGAAGGACCATGTAAACTGTTGTCGTCCAAGTCATCTAAGATGGGGTACCCAAAAAGAGAATAATATAGATCGAGTGGCCAGAACACAAATGGAAAAAAGTCAAGAATATAAAGATCTAGAAGATCAATATTGGAGGGATCTAACAGGTATACATGAACAATTTAAAAAGAAAGTATCAATTGGTGATAATAAACAAACAACCAAGACAACAAAAACAACAACAACTACTCCAACTTCATCGTCATCAAGATCAAACAACAACAGCAACCAATACAATGATATTAAAAATAATAAGAATTGTCAACCAGAACCAGCAATATCAATTAAATCAGGGTATATCAATTCCAATGGTAACCATAATAACCATAATAATTATAATAATAATTATAATAATAATTATAATAATAATTATCAACCTGAACCAAGATACTTAAATTATAATAGTTATGAATCTGGAATTAATTTCAAACAAGTCAATAATTATAATAATAATAGTAATAATTATAAACAAAATCAATTAAGTTATGGCCAACCAGCATATTGTAATGCCACACAATTCCAAAAATTATCTTTCCAACAAGAAGAAGAAGATGATTCAGATGATGATGATTCCGATTATGATTCCGATGATTCAGATGATGATGATTCAGATGATGATGATAAATATTATAAACCCTCCTCAAAAACAAGAACATCATTAAAATCAACTACAGCTAAATATGTCCAACAAGAAAAGAAATCCACCACATCTTCATCATCAAGATCAACAGTAAAAACAGTAACTCAAAAGAATACAACTAGTAAAAAATTATCCATATTTAATGAAACTGAAGCAAATTGGTTTAATTCAATAAAAGGAAAAAGAAGATAACCTTTATTCTACCATTTAATAATTTCTTTTATGTCCACAATTATTTAGTTATTTAAATGTTTGATAATTCCTTGATTAAATCTAAATTGAAAACTGATTCTATTGCGATATTATTATTATCATTATTATTATTGTCGGATTGGTGTTGTTGTAGTTGTTGTTGTAAATTAGTTGATTGTTGTTTAATAAAATAAAGTAATTCTGTGAGATGTTTGGGTTGGGTAGTAGAACGATCGATAAAATTATGTTCTTTTTTCAATTCGAATAAATAGATGACTTGATTGGTACCCTTGCCCAATAAAGACTTTGGAGGTTTATAATCCTTCTCATCTGTTATAACCAATGATACGGGTTGATTCTTTTTGTTAACAACCAAAGAATAATAAAGTGGTAATGTCAAATCACTCGGTGATGATATGTGTTGATGAATTGATAGTTGACTATTAAATAATTGTCTATAAAGTAACATTTCTGCTGTAGTACCACTGTCATTATCGTTGTCTTTGCCAAATCTTAACTTTATATATCTTAATACTCCATAACGATTAGACATACTTTGATCGAGAATCAAAAAGATTGATTCAAATGCCTTTCTATCCTCTTGTCTAATGAATCTGTTTATCAATCCAGGTCTAAGATCCAAATGTTCAAACATTGAATAAAATATGAAAAGTTTACTTGTTTGTTGTTGTTGTTGTTGATGTTGATTATTTTCCACTATTTGATTATTTTCTACTTGTATTATTTCTTGATAATTTGAATTTAAATATTTATCACCCAATGATAAACATAATGTATCACACATTTTTTGACTATAATATAAAAGATCGGTTGATTTTAGACCAAGTCGAAGATAATCCCAATCCTTTTCAGGATAGACTGCACTGAGCATGACAGCCACTGGGAGTGGGAAGGTATAACCAATGTCTTTGGCAGCTGGTAGATTATAGAAATCATCCAATGACTTGAATCCAAGTCTGTCTCCGATGTATTGGAAATATTTCTTTGCTCTCTCCAAAGACCAATCCTCTTCTTCTTCTTGTTCCTTTTGTTCCTTTTTAATTGTTTTTTTACTCTTTTTTACAGCTGTTTTGTTTTGTTGGAGTTCCAACAATCGTTGTTCTTGTTCGTAAAGTTTATACTCGCTCAAAAACTTTGATCTTTCCAATCCCAATAAATCGGGGTATATACCCTTGATCATAACCACCGTGGTATGATAGATGGTTTTAAATTGTTTTCTAAGTTTTTCTGCATGTGGATTGGAAGAGATACAGAAATTATACCAATCGGTAGGTTTTTGTATCGTCTTTTTACCATCTTCACTTTGTAAAAACTCTTCCAATACACGTTTATCATGTTCTCTATCTTGATTAACTTGTTCTTGATTTGAAAATTGATTTGAGAATTTTGATATATCCCATGCGATCGTAGTCGTCGTCGTATCACCACCCTCTTGTTCTTTTGATGGTACATTTGGTAGATTGTCAATGATGTATTGGGGAATACGGGATGGATCAGACTTGCAAAAGAGTCTATTGAAATGACGTGGAGCGACGGTTGCGTACCAATCTTCTTTGGTCTTGAGATGAAGACTGTCTGCTAAATAGGCCAAGTATGGCTTGGTGTAGTGTACACGCCACCTGTTTTCAAACTTGAACAGCCATGGCACCAAAGTGACATAGTGATGTGTCTTGTAGTATTTACAAACAGCCTCGATGAGTTCACCACGCGACCTGAAATAGTATCTTAGCGTGTCGAGTCGCGCATCGGTCCATTTGACAGTGTACCATTCATCGCCTTTAACCTCGCATGTAGCTAATGCCCACTCGATAGCGTGTACGATAAACCCGGGGTAAAATCGAATCGATGGATGGAACTTTTGAGGGTTCCATTGGATCGTTGGGTGTGTCTCTCGTAACACCCTTAACAGATTCTCGTTGACATAGTCTGCTGTCTCTTTTAGCATTGGTAATCCATCGACAATCTCTCTTTTGGTAATATGGTACCATAGTTCCTCGGTCATTGCATCATCCAACACTGCATTTAATGCCAGTTTTCCAGAGGAAGACGACAGCGACCGAGAAACGATACGATCACTCACACCAATCGTTCTAGAGTGATTTGACAGTGTGTCATCTCTTGACTCTTCAACCAACCGATTATACTTGTGAATCAACATCTCCTTGACAGCGACAGCTCGATGAGTGGCTGTTTTCCAAATCCTCCAACTCGCTTCCTTGTCTTTATGTTGGTAGTCCCAAATCGATGCCATTGGATCTTCCATTTGATCATGTGCCAAATAAGCCAACGGAACAGTCTCATAATAATCCAATAACCCAATGCCACCCAACCTTGTCAAATCTGTTTTATTATCTGATCCAATATCTTTTCCAAGTACTCTATTATATCTAAAAAAATAAACAACAAATAATTAAGATATAATTGTATACTTTTTTTTTCTTTCTTTCTTTGTTTGTTTATACATACAATGTTAAGAATCTTAAATATCGTGCTTGTTCATTTACATTACTCCAATTTGATATTTCAGGTTGTTTTGATTTGATTACTTCCAATAATACTTTCTTTTTCTTTCGTAGTACTGAACGTCTTTGATGTACCAAATGAATCATATCATCAGTCTTTGACATGATACCAGAGAATTTAATGTTGTGACGACTCTGTTCATTGTCAAACGTCATGTTTAGTTGATTCAACGTGTCACTGATAAAGTGATCAATCTCTTCTGAAGTATATTTTTTTTTTGATGATGCTGATGAACTACCCAATTTTACTTGATTTATTTTATCTCCTTCTTCTCCATTGAAATAATCCAAATTCTCGAATAATTTCTTATCTTTTGATAAAGGATAATCATCTAGATCATCATCATCATCATCATCCTCTTCATTATCCAAATCTCTTTCATCTTCTTGAAAAAAATCTAATCTATAATCTTCTTCTTCTTCTTCCTCCTCTTCCTCTTTCTCTTTCTCATCTTCAACAACTACTTTCTTTTGATTCTTTGTTGGTTGATATATTGGTGTTGCAGGAGGAGAAGAAGAATAAGTCATATAGAGACGTCTGTTGTTGAAACCTTGGTATATTCCATAATTGACCAATGTTTGAGTAGGAGGTGTGTTTCTAAAAAGTACTTCATTTCTTGTACAAGATTGAAGAGTTGATGATGATGAATAGTAAAGTGGTTGATATGACAATGATGAAGATTGTTGTTTCAAGTAAGGGTGTTTGATTAATAATGGAAACCCCTTGTTTCTAGTCCACATCCTCTCTCTCTCTTTCTCTATCTTTATCTCTCTCAAACAAACAAACAATCAATGATGATCATGATTTTCGTCGTCAACATCTTGAATCATAATTTTTGTAAAAAAAATAAACCAACTCACCTCTTCCCTTCTCCCAACTATTATTATTGAATTGGGTATTAGAATTATTTATTATTATTATTATTATTATTATTTTAGTATTTTTATTATCATCTTTTATTCCCAATACTTTTTAGTATGAGGTATAGCGTGCTTATACAAGCCAGTCGGACGATTCTTGTTTTTTTTTTAATTTTATTTTTTTTCTCAGCAGCGGTCGATCATCACACCACTCCCTGAGAGGGGTGTGTTCTTTTAAGAAGGGGAAGTTTTAATTTCGTTACTTTTTTATTTATATATATAAATATTATATTATTATTTGTAGTATTAAATAGAATTAGAAGAAATAGTGAAAGGATGTCAGAACAAACATCACCAACATTAAAATCAGCCAACAAGAGAGAACAACCACAATGGCACCAACCACAAGGCAAGCCAAGCGGATTGTTTATCAACAACAGTTTGACCATGTCAAAGAACGAGTTTGTGCCATCATCGGGCACCAAGGACGTCAGCTGGTACATTTGTGGTCCAACCGTCTACGACGCATCGCATATGGGTCATGCACGTAGTTACATCTCTTTCGATGTGATTCGTCGTATCATGCGTGACTATATGGGTTTCAACATCATGTACGTCATGAATATCACCGACATTGACGACAAGATCATCATCAGAGCGCGTGAACGTGGTATCACCCACACCGAGTTGTCACGTGCCTGCGAAGCCTCCTTTTTCGAGGACATGAAGGCACTCAATGTGTTGCCACCCGACGCATTGACACGTGTCACTGAATACATCACCGAGATTGTCACCTTTGTCGAAAAGATCATAGAAAATGGTTTTGCATACGAGTCTAACGGCTCGGTCTACTTTGACACTGTCGCCTACTCCAAGCAACACGATTATGGAAAGTTGGATCCAAACGCCGTCGGAAACGAGAAGCTCAACAGCGAGGGTGAAGGTGCTCTCTCTGCCGCCGTCTCTGAAAAGCGTAACAACAACGACTTTGCACTCTGGAAAAAGTCAAAAGAGTTGGAACCAAAGTGGAACAGCCCATGGGGTGAGGGTCGTCCAGGATGGCACATTGAATGTTCCGCCATGGCATCGGATATCCTCGGACCAAACATTGACATTCATAGCGGTGGCGAGGATCTCAAATTCCCACATCACGACAATGAAATTGCTCAATCAGAAGCTCATTACAAGTGCAAACAATGGATTAATTATTTCATCCACTCCGGTCATTTATTAATTGATGGTTCTAAAATGTCAAAATCTCTTAAAAACTTTATTACTATTCAAGTATGAAAACATAGAAAAGAAAATAGAAAAGAAAGAAAAGAAAATGTATTTATTAATTATTTTATTTTGTTTATTTTTGTAGGAAGCATTAAAAAAATATACAGCACGTCAAATGAGAATGTTATTTTTAATTCATAAATATGACAAGCCAATGAATTATTCTGTAGAGTCAATGACCAATGCGATCGAGATTGAAAAGATCTTTACCGAGTTTTTCCATTTGGTCAAGGGTATTATCCGTAGCACCTCGATTGCTGGCGAGCAAAACTGGGAAAAGGCCGACAAGGAACTCAACGCCGAGTTGCAACAGGCCAAGCGCGACGTCGACAAGTTTATCATGGACAACTTTAACACGGTCGACGTCATCCACCGTCTCAAGGAGCTCATCTCCAAGAGCAACATCTACATCAACGACAAGTCGCGTGCACCACGTGTCGCCATCATCCAAGGTGTTGCAGACTATGTCACCTACATTTTACGTGTCTTTGGTTTGACCGAGGCTGGTGGCGTCGGTTTTGGCGTCGCCGGAGAAGGCAACGTCGAAGAGACCATGACACCCATGTTTGACGCCATCGTCGATTTCCGTAACCAAATGCGTTCACTCGCCATTGCCAAGGACACCACCAAGATCCTACAAGCTTGTGACTCGTTTAGAGACGATGTCCTCCCATTGCACGGTGTCAAGATTGACGATCGTGCAACTGGCAGCACTTGGAAGTTTGAAAACAAGGAGGTCTTGAGAAAAGAGATGGAGTTGAAAAAGGAGATTGAAAAGAAAAAGCAACAAGACAAGTTGGACAAGCTCAAAAAGGAACAGGAAAAGTTGGAACGCTCCAAGATCCTCCCAGACCAACTCTTTAAGAGCGAAACTGACAAGTACTCACAATTTGACCAACGTGGTGTTCCAACTCACGACAATACCGGCAAGGAAATCACCAAATCTCAACTCAAAAAATTAAACTCTACCTATGATGAACACGTTAAAAATCATACCAAATATTTAGAGTCTATCAAGAATTAAATTAAAAGAATAATAATAATAAAACATTTCCATTTCAATTGGGGCTTCTCTATTTGGTGGTCTGTTTGTTGGTGGTCGTTTTATGAATACAATGACTAACACTACTACTATGATAGAGAGTAGTGCAGCCGATAAGACAACAGCGACTATGATAAATGTCCATTGTTCAGTAGTCTCTTCAGTGCACTCATATGGCAAGTTGGAGTCGTCGCCAAGAATGAGTGCGTTGAAGACGGGGTCGAGTTCAACCGAATGAGAGAATCTGGGTATGTGGAACGTGGTTAAAAGGTTGAATTTTCGACTTTTCCAGATTTGTTGAGAGACTGGATCATCGTTGGTGAGAAGTGTTACTTTGGATGGAATGATTGTCGAGTTGTCGATAACCATTCTACTTGCTATCTTACAGTTTAAAAGTGTTCTTCCAACTTGAACTCTGGTCCATATAATCTGATCACCACGAGATATATCACTTCTGACTTTTAGCTTACCACACTTGTCAAATTCTACTGAATCTGATTGTGTATGGAATATCACCTGCAGTGTGTTGATTGGTGATGACCATACCCAATTAATGATTTTGATTCGATATTTGACTGAATTTGGTGATACTTGAATATCTTCACCAAGAAATGAAGTGGTGTTGGTGTCTTGGAATTGACCAACTGTGACTTGTAATTGTGTGCGTTGATTGAACATTCTTGCATTAAATACTGATTCACCGGAAGATGTCTTCTCCTCTTCTTGCGTCCAAGCGAGATTATCTATCGATAATGTTTTAATTATTGATTTGTCTTGATTAATATCACGAATGAATTGTATACCAGTTGTGAAATTGACAATCACACCAGTGATAGTTTGATCGGTTGATAGTAGTGACGCTCCGTTATCCCAAATGGTTGTGTTTAGGAGTTGACTACGATTATCCAATGATGAACAATCCAATAGGGGTTCATGACCACTATCACATTTGCATGTCCCAAATGTTTGGTTGCAAATGCCATGTGCCGAGCAATCGTTAAGACACTCTTTAGCAAGAGATACAACTTTGGTTGTAAGCATTCCACCAACTCCAATTTTAACAGTATAATTTAGATCGGTTGAATAAGGTTCAACACTACCCAATGAACAAGTAATTTGTTGATAGTTGTTTTCAATAAACATTGGTGATTTACATTGACTTCCTTGAATCGAAATCAAAACATATGAACTGTCTCTTCCAAAATGATTCCCATTGATCGTAACCTGTGATGCTTGTCCAGGTATAATACTAGTAATATTGTCAATCGCCGGTGCATCTGTTATATTAAATGCTATCAATGGTGCTTAATAATTAACTTTTTCAATGTTGGATGAAATAGTCTAACCATAAATATCATATGGAATATTATTTGATGGTGTCAAATTTGAAGTATTATTATTATAATAGAATTGAGATGGTGTCCCTTTGAATGGACCATTATTTCTTGTAAAGCTGTTATCACTACTGTTGTACGAGACACCCTGCCAAAATCTAAAGTCAGGGTAGTCTTTGATATTCAATGATCGATTCAAACAATCATACATTTCTTCGGATTCTATTGCACCAATATATGGAGCATTTGGAGTTGCACCAATTTTGATGTTGTCAATCATCAATCGATTGTCTTTTTGATATTCTCCACCAAATAGAATGGTTGAATAGAATTGGTTGCCCCATCCTATTGAAAATAGAGTATTGCATTAGAATTAAATAAAACTATAAATAATATTATTTAATCATTTATATACATACAAATATAAGGTTATAGGTTTGAGTATAAACATCATCAACTGAAATTGAAATCGGAAGCAATTTGGTAGTTGCATCGAGAGATGTTTCGAGTTTACAAAAAATCTGATTTGGTGATGCAAACATAATATTACAAGTAATATTAGATGTTGAAACATTAACAAATACTAGATTATCGGTGCTATCACCAAAGTTATCACCAATCAGTGTAACCAATCCATTGGCAGTGAATGATGGATAGACAGCTTTGATAAATGGTGGATATGGCTGCCATGCATAGTGTGTTGACTTGACTCCACTGGCATCTTGAACAGTGACACTATGAAATCCAGATAGAGGTGGAACTATACAAGTGGAATAGGAATACTCCTATTTCATATTGACTTGGAATGATGGTGAACGAATATTGCAATCTTTGAATCGACCACACATTCCAAAGCATACCAACCACCATAAAGCAAATAAAATGTAAAATTATTTATTCTATCAGTCAGTTCTTGGGAACATGTCCTGCATTTATAATGGAGCCAAAGAGAAATTAATTGATTTGTTTGGATTTTAAAAAATGATATAAATAAGTTGACCAATCAAATCAATCTATCTAATGAGTCCCAACTATAGATAATGACTTTAAAACCATAATCATTCCAATGATTTAATGATCCTTGGTTCTCACGTAACCCTCCTATTACTCCTCAACTGTCTCATCAAATGTTAAATTTATATTAAAAAGCCGATTATAAATCTTACTTGTATTTTTTTTTTATCAAATATTAATAAAAGTATGATGGTTCATCAGTCAGTCAGTATGTGTGAGACTAGTGTTGATCAATGATCTCATATGATGATGATGAAGATAGACTCATAGAGATATTTAATGGGTGGTTGGGTGGTTGGATTCATAAGGTTTACCTTCATCTTCTAGAAGAGGCAGAGAATTTTAAATACAATCTTGGAATCGACCATACCAAAGCATATCAATCACTATTAAGCAAAGGAAATGTAAAATTATATATCCTATCAATCAATCAATCCAACCAGAACCAATGAGTTATTTAAAAAATGTCTCTAATCTAAATATCCTTTTCCAATATTATTTATTCTACATTTGGGGATTAATATATATATTATGATTGTTTATCCCTTCACCCCAAACCACTTTCCACTTCTCGTCCACCACTACAACCACCACAATTTTTCATCAATTTCCCTAACCATTTCCATCATTTTACAAAAGTAGAATTGAAAATATCAAAAAAAATATAAATCAGTGGTCGACCTGTGACCAGTCAGTCAGTCATGGTAGTAGTATTTAAATAATTCTATTTACCATTAATCCTATTTACTAATTTGTTTCACTACTACTTACTTAACAATTTACCATTCCCAATAATCATTTCATTTACACTCATACACTACACTTGTTGATTTAGCAATCACCATCTATCTGCTAGTACATTCATTCATTCATTCATCTATCCATCCATCAATCAATCAATCAATATAATTTCATATTTTCTATATTATTGACAATAATAATAATAATAAATTACGAAAAATCGATATCTTCTTTCCTCTCTCCTTACCTTCTTGTTTATTTTGTCCAAAACCAAAAACAAAAAAAGAAAAAGAAAAGTTCTGACTCAAAAGCAAAGGAAAAGTCTAAATTAATTGTAGTTCAACCACAACGCTTAATTAAAAATAGATAGACAAATAGAATAGACAAATAGATAGACAATTAGATAGATAGATACTAATAATAATAATAATTGTAGTAATAATAATAAGATTATTATAATAATCATATTCATCTCATTCATTTAGTAGTCCCATCTATTACTACCTCACCCTCGTCTCTCGTCTCTCTCGGTTATAGATAGATATATATAACCTTTTTCAAACTCAAGAGCACAATGGTACCAAATAATAATTCGCAAGAAAAGGAATTGAGTATTAGTATAGATAGTGGATCAAGTCTAAATAATAGTATTGGTTTAAACAACAACAACAACAACAATGTAAAAGAGAAAGAGATTGTATCGATATATGATATTATCGACAAGAACAAAGGATTCCTCGTCGCTCTCGGTTACGGTGTAACCTCTGTATCAATCACCTTTTTCAACAAGGCAGTACTCAACTATTATGGATTCAACTATTCAAACGCACTCACTCTTGGTCAAATGGTCTTTTCACTCTTTTTCCTTCACTTTTTGAAATTATTTAAATATATTAACTATCCAGATTTAGATTATAATCTATGTAAAAAGGTAATTTAAAATATATATATATAATATATATATATATACTTGTCAAGACTATTATATTGTATACTAATATATATATATCTTTTCTTTATTTATTTTTAGTTATTTTCATTATCAACATTATTTATATTAATGGTTGTATCTGGATTGGCAGCACTGGCAAAAACCAATGTACCATTATTCAGTGCTCTTAGACGTTTATCAACATTGATTGTAATCGCTGGAGAGAAAGTGCTTCTTGGAAAGGTTACACCTGCTAATGAAATTCAATCGGTCGTTTTAATGGTAGTCGGTGCAATGATTGCAGGTTGGGGTGATGTCACCTTTGATTTTGTTGGTTCCCTTTATATTTTATTTAATTGTTTTGTTACTGCTGGCTATTTAATTTATATTGGTAAATATATAAATGATAAATGATACAAATACAAATATAATAGACGAACAACTAACTAATATTTTGTTTTGATTTATTTTTGGTTTAGCCAAAAAATCACAAGAAACTGGATTAAATACATTTGGATTAATGTTTTATTGTAATATTTTGTCGCTTCCAGCAACCATTCTTTTAACTCTTTTAACAGAGGGTAAAGGATTATTGACATTTGAAGGTTATAGTAATCTTGGATTCCAAGTATGTAAAAACAACAAACAAACAAATATATTATTCTTGTACCTAAACAATAATATTAACTTTTATTTCTACTAGTTTTGTTTTTTAATGTCATCAGTACAAGCATTTTTGTTAAACTATTTCATCTTTTTGTGTAGTACCTATAATTCACCTTTGACAACTAGTATTACTGGTCAAATCAAATCGGTTCTTCAAACTGTCATTGGATTGTTTATGTTTAATGACGTTGTCTTGTCACTTTTATTAATCTATGGTTTGTTACTTAGCACGGCTGCCAGTTTCTGGTATACTTTTATTAAATATTCTCAAACTTTAAACAAACAAAGATCTCAAAATAAATAAATAAATAAATCAAACATTAATTAATTATATATCTATTATTTTTTTTTGTTTATTGGATTAAAATGTTTGGGGAAAATTAAAACACCAATTATTATTATTATTATTATTATTAATATTTTTGATTATTATTGAAAAGTACTGGATGATTTTTGTTTTGATTATTTGAAAGGTAGATAAAGATAAGATATTAAACAAAAGAATATTTAATCAAAAACTCCCTCTTGAAAAATCAGCCACTTTAGATAATAATTATAATTATTTTTGGTTGAGTTTAAGTTGTTGTTTTGTTTGTGTTTGTTTGTTGAAATCCAATTATGTGAATGTGAGTGAACCTTTTTGTTATACTTTTTTTTTTGTTGTTATAGATATATTATTTGTTTGATTGCGATTTCAATTGGGATTAATCGGAATGTGGTAAATTATGACTCATTGAAATCTTGTCAACTTGAGGTGGTTTTTGTTCGGTCTTTCTGTTGTGCTTTAAGTGACTTCTGACCAAGTGACCGGCGGCGAGGGCGGACATTAGGGAGAGTTCACCGGCCATGACAGCACCGGCGACGACACGGGCAAGTTGCTCAGAGTTGGCACCTGGCTTTTCGAGGTTGGCGCCACGGATCTTGAGGAGGTCGAGACAGGCAGCTTGGGCGGGGAGATGGGTGCCACCGCCGACAGTTCCGACTTCGATCGATGGCATGGTGACAGAGATGTAGAGATCCTTGCCGTCGTTGATTTGCTCCATCAAAGTGATACAGTTGGACGACTCGACGTTTTGGGCGGGATCTTGACCGGTGGCAATGTAGAGAGCAGTGACAATGTTGGAGGCGTGGGCGTTGAAACCTCCGACCGAACCGGCCATGGCCGACCCAATGAGATTCTTGTCAATGTTGAGCGAGACGAGCGAGTCGACCGAGGTCTTGAGGACGTCGCGGACAATGTCGCCCGAGATGATGGCCTCGCAGACGACCGACTTGCCACGACCCTCGAGCCAGTTGATGGCCGATGGCTTCTTGTCGGTACACACGTTGCCCGAGAGCGAGAGCACGTCAATCTCTGGGAAGTACTCGGTGATGACCTCGAGAGCCTTCTCGACACCCTTGCTGACCATGTTCATGCCCATGGCATCGCCCGTCGAGCTCTTGAAACGAAGGTATACAAGACGGCCGGCGACGACGACCTTGATCGACTTGAGACGGGCAAAACGCGAGGTGCTGTTGAATGCCGACGCGATTTGGTAAAAGTTTTCTTGTGTCTCGATCCAGCTCTTGAGCTCGGATGCACGGACGGCGCTGGGGAAACGCACAACGGGGGCACGGGTCATGCCGTTTTGGAGGACGACCGACTTGGCGCCGCCGCTCTTTGTGATGGCCTTGCAGCCACGGTGGGTCGAGGCGACCAAGCAGCCCTCGGTCGTGGCCATTGGGATGCTCACCAACTTGCCGTCCAACAACAATGGACCGGCGACACCGACGGGGATGGGGATATAGCCAATAATGTTTTCACAGCAGCTTCCCAATACATTGGTGTAGTCGTAGTGGTCGAGTGGCAAGTTCTCCATCGACTTTTGGAAATCAACCTTGGATTCGGGTGGCACGACCGTTGGAATAGAGGCGGGGTCCTCGCCAGAGGTGGCAGCCTTTTCGGCGGCAGCTACCACGGCGGCAGCGTGCAAGGCACGTTGGTGTTCTCTCGAAAGGTCACGAGCCAACAATTGACGACGAATGTTGACGGCACGTGTATAGTTTTCGGGCAAACGTGTCTCCAAGTTGTGTGGTTGGATCTCTCCTTTGTCTACCATATCAATAATCTCCTTGTCACTATACTGTTCAACATTTACACTCTTTGTTTTTGGTGTTTCCTCTTTTACACATGATGGTGGTTTATAATTCTAAAATTAAAAATTCAAATATCAAAAGGTGAGTCAAAATGATCATGGGATGATGTTGGTTTCAATGTTTGGTTTGTTTGTACTTACATCGGTCGAATAGGAACGAACAAAACTATAGTTGGAGATTAAACGGCTTTGGTTGGTTCTTAAAGATGAAAATACACTTCTAATCATTTTTCTTTTTCTTTTTTCTTTTTAATTAATACTACAAAATTGTGTTGGGAAAATAAGGGAAATATTAATATTAATATTATTTCCAAACAAAAAAAATGAAATGAACAACAACAAAGAACAACAACTTTTAAAAAAATGAAACGAAAACTAAGTAAAGTTGAAGCAAGCTATTATTATTATTAATTATTAATTATTATTATTTGTGTTGGGTAATTGTTTAATTAAACAAAAAAAAAACAGATCTATTAGATTAATTTACAAAGGATGAATGAAGGGGGAGGTGACAGGTGGTGGTAGATTATATAATTTATACAACAAGATAGATAGATATGTATTGGAATGTTTGTATGTATATGTTTTAAAGAGTTAAATGATGTTGGATTGTTCGTCGTTGTTGTTGTTGTTGTTTAAAAATGACACTACACATTCATATGATGATGATGATGATGATCAAGAGAGAATCGATCATTTTAATCGAGCTCTATGTCTGCTGTATTGCAAGAGGAGCCTCACCCTCGGAGGTTTGACATCAACAACATCAAACCCTTTCCTTCAACCTTTTGACTTCAAACTAAATGTTTCAAAATCATAAGATTTTTGCAAACATGTGTGTTGCCCGCTCTCTTGGCTGCATGTCAAAGATGAATGTGGGTGGTTTAAACGAATACCATCTCGGGTGTGACGAGGGTGTTGGGGTTGTGTGTGATGAATGGGGTCGTTTTGGTTGTTGTTGTATGACATGAAGTTCCTGTACATTCTATATAGATCGATCGTTTTTTATATAGTTGTTGGGTTTGGTTTGGTTTCCAAATTGGATTGCTATCTTGATGATATAACTATCGCTATGGTTGGTTGGATGTTGTTGTTGTTGTTGTTGTCTGACCTGCCCGACGTCGTAGTCGTGAATGGGATGATGGTGTGATCATCATCATCATTCTATTCTATTCCATGACTACTACCACTGAGTTTGATTGATTGACTGTCTACTTTTTTACCAAACTATTTTGTTTGTTGTTGTTGTTGTTGTTGTTGTTGTTGTTGTTGTGTTGTTGATGAATCAAAAACGAAAGATTTATTATATATAAATATAAATATAATTGTTAACCTACCAACAAAAATGGATAATAAAATAAAGGGTAGTCGTCGTCTGTGTTTTTTAAATATAATGATGAAAAGATGAGGGAGGAGGAGATGGATGATGATTCGGGAATGATGGGATTGGTAGTTCCTTTCTGTTTATCTAATCTATCTATCTTTTTATCTTTAATCTGATTGCGCAACACACAGAGAAACACGAGGATCAAAAGGGGAAGTATGATCATCGTCTGATAAAAAAAAAAAAAAAACAAAAACAAAATTCTCTTGGTTTGAAAAGATATTTTCCTTTTGAGAGCTCATCTCTCTTCTTGGCTCACCAGATGATAGATATCGAACGATCTATCTATATCTATCTATCCATTAGTTAAAGAAGAAAGTACAAACAAACAGATAATGAATGATACAGTTAAATAAAAAAATATGAAACTAATACTAATACTAGTACATCCATCACCCATACGGGATGATCATCATCGTCACACTATTATGATAATTTTTAATCCAAAGACAGCAGAAAAAAAAAATTTCATTTTAATCAAGAATTGACCAAGCCACTAAACTAGTTTTGATGAAAAGGACAACATTGTAGTTAGTGTAGTTTGTTGTATTTGTATTGGTTACGTCCACACCTATTTATTTATTTATTTATTTATCATTGTTGTTGTATTATATAAAACCCTCCTAAAAGAGAGAAAGAAAGAAAGAAAGAGAAATGACAGAAGAAGACTATTTCGAAGATGAAATCATCTTTGCTGCTGCTAAAAAGTAAAGATAGAAATAGAAAGAGATATGATGATGAATGATGATGTAGAGATACAAGTGATGTAGAGATATTAACCTTTCATTCATTCATTTGGTGTTTGTTTTCCTATTATTACTCCTATAGGAATCATATTTCGATGTTACAAGAGTTTCATGAACAAAGAGTCAAGAAGAATGCTTTCAATGCCAGTTTGACAGATGCACTTGGCAATACGCCACTTCACTATAGTGCCACGTTTGGACACTATGATATCAGCAAGTATTTATTAGAGTTGGGTGCCAACCCAAACATACAAAACAAGGCTGGCGAGACAGCCCTCCACAAGGCAGTATGGTACAATCAAATTGAAATTGCCACCTTGCTCATTGAGAAGGGTGCCGATCCAAACATAACCAACAATGCCAAACAAAAGGTGATTGGACTCACAAAGTCTACCGATATGCATGCACTCCTCAATCAAGCAGTTTTGGCACACGCATTTAGCAAGAGTGATTATGCCGATGAAGATGAAGATGATAATGATGAAGAGGCTGCTGGAAGTGGAAGTGGCAGCGATCAAGGAGGTGTCAAAAAGCCAAAACCAGCAGCTCCACCAAGAAAATCAAATAACTCAAATTTCCATAGTGATATGATTGCCAATGATAGTGATGATGAATAAATCAATCACATAATTAATTAAATAATAATATTAAATAATAATAATAATAACATGTAATAAATCTCCAAATATATGTACCTAGTTTGAGTAGTAGCACCCCCAACACAACAATAATTCATTCAAAAAAAAACAACTCTCCTCTCCTCCGAACCATCCCCCCCAAATCATCCTTTAAAAAATTATTCTTTTAAAATGTCTAATCTAAATTTGCTCATCTCTCTCTCTGTGATCAAAAGACTGTATAGGATAGAAAAAAGTTTTAAGGTAATGTCTGTCTTTGTCTTGTCTGGTTTCTTGTGTCTTAATGTTTAGGTTATTATCACCGTGTGATTATAATGTACGTCCGCGCTTCAAGCGAAAGTGTCGATTATCAGAATTGATGTTTTTCTTTCAACAAGAGGTGATGTCTAAAAAAAAAATGGGTGGGGAAATTTTCAAATAATTTTTTTTAGTGCAGTTGCCCGCTGACCTCTCATCAACATCATCACAGACAGACTCTCTTATCACTTTATTTTTATTTATTTATTTTACATACTTTTATATATATATTTATTTATTTACAGAGACATAGACATTAGACATTAGAGAGAATATAATGGCAGGCAAAGATTGGGAAATAGTACAAGAAAAGGCTTTCACCGCCTGGGTCAACTCAGTATTGGATAGAAGAGGTGAAAAGATTGCAGATGTAGCCAAAGACCTTAGCGATGGTGTCAAGCTCATCTTTTTCCTCGAGTTGGTATCGGCCAAGAAGTTCAACAAGAAGTTTGATTACGAGCCAAAGGCCCGTATTAATATGATTCAAAATATTGCTTTGGCTCTTAAATTCCTCGATGAAGATTTAAAGATTAAAGTTCAAGGTATTGGTGCTGAAGGTATGTAATCAATCAATCAAATAGAATCAATCAGAGATAGAGATAGATAGATTATATACTCTATCTATATCTATCTCTTCATCCATCACTTTATTCATATACTTGGCTTATTAACTTTTTTTTTGTTTATTTTTTTTTTTGTTAGACTTTGTTGATCATAATAAAAAGATGATTCTTGGATTTTTATGGACATTGTATCGTAAATATCGTATTGCAGTCATTTCAGAAGGAGACAAGTCATCAGAGGAAGGTTTGTTGCTCTGGACCAAGAACACTACCAACGGGTACAACGGTGTCAACGTGACAACCTTTGGCAAGTCGTTTAGAGACGGTCTTGCCTATTTGGCATTGGCCCACAAGTTTGAGCCATCTCAATTCAGTTATGCCGAGCTTGAGAAGCTCGACCCAGTCGCCCGTCTCAACGCCGCCTTTGACTATGCCGAAAAGAACTTGGGTGTGCCCAAGTTACTCGAGGCCGAAGAGGTCATGCGTGGCACCACCGACGAGCGTTCACTCGTCCTCTACACCTCGCTTTTCTTCCACGCCTACCGTGCCAAGGAAGAAAAGGAGCGTCTCGAAGAGAGCAAGTCGGCCATTGCCTCGCGTCTCGCCGGTCTCCAATCATCACTCGAAAATGAAAAGATGTCTCGTGAATTGCTCATCAAGCAAAAGGAAGAGCTCAAGAGCTTGCTCGCCTCGCTCGAAGGTGAAGCCGCCTCACGTGAACACCATCTCCGTGAACTGGAAGCCAAACTCGACGAAGTTCTCAAGAATTTGGAATTGGAAAAATTGGCCCGTCTCGAGCTTGAAAACCGTCTCGCCAAGACTGAAAAGGACAAAGCTTTGCTCGAACTCGCCTTGGCCGAAGCCACCGACGCCAAGAACCGTCTCGAGGCCCAAGTCGAGGCCGACCGTCAACGCGCTGCTGCCGAAGCCCAAGGTCTCGGTTTGTTGCGTAAGCATCTCGACCAACACGTCCAAGGTCTCCTCAAGTGGCAAAAGCTCGCCATCGAGAGCTCTGCCTCTGGCTCCACACTCGACGACCAAATCATCGACGAAGTCTCTGGTTTACCATTTGGCGAACAAGTCAAACACTTGGCCAGCAAGTTGGATGATGAAAATAAGGCTATCCAAAAGTTACTCGTTCAAAAGGAAGATGACTTGAAGATTTCTCAAAAGAAAAATTCTTCAAAGGCCAAGTAAAAAAAAACGTTTAAATTAAAAAATAATAATATTTATATAAATGGTAATAGTTGTGTGTAGAATAATTTAAATTAATTACTATTGTAAAAGAAAATAAAAAAAAAAACTATTTTTGTATAATTTCTAAAAAAAAAAGAAAATAATTTATTATTACTACAATTTTATTATTTATTTATTTTTTTAGTGTCGAATACCAGAAATATCTTGATGTTTCATAATAGCACGATTAAGTGAATCTTGAACAGGAGATATAAGACTGACTTGATTGGTTTTGTTTTCATCTGTTAATTTTTTCTTTCTTTCTTGTAGACGATCGAAAAGAATGACAATTTCATTTGCCAATCTATTATTCTTTTCAATTTGTTGTTTGGTTGGTGGTCTTCCAATGCCAGGTGTATAAGATGATGCCCAAAAATGTCGTAGCAATTCATTTGCTTTTCTAAAATTCAAAAGGAAATCTGTTTTAAATTTGGATTCTGGTAATGAATATTCTGTTTGTCTTTCTGTACTACTTGATACTTGTGCTATATCATCCAATACTGGTTGACATGAATTTAATAACTAAATTAAAAATAAAGGTTATAAATAATTACTCCTTTTTTTTCTATTTCTAAAATTTATAAATTTTTTTACTTACTTCAGAATTAAAATGATTTAAATTAAAATTTGAAATATTTGATTGAAATATTTTTAAAAGATGATTCTTTTCTTGAGAATCTTTAAATTGTTCATTTTGTTGGAAACCTTCAAAATAACGTCTTTGATCTTGAATTTTTAACTTTTTAGTTAGGTTACTCTTGTCTATAGGTTCTTCTAAATCTTCAAACAAGGCATGTTCTTTGATGATTTGTTGTTTATCTTTAATTTGTTTTTCTTTTTCTTCAATGGTTGTGGTTGCTTGTGCATTGGCACTATTATTAATATCATTTGAATTGTACAATATATCTTTTGATCCCAAAACCAATGAACTATGTCTATTGAAACGTCTCAACAATGGTAGACATTGTTTTAATTTTTCTGGATTTTGACTTGCATCCAATAATACTCCATATCCATCTGATACTTGTTCTTCATCTCCATCATTTGATATATCAACCAATGGATTAATATCAACTAATTTTTTTTTTAATAATTTTGTAACTAAATTAAAAGAAAATAGAAAAAGACTAAGTATATTTCCAACTCTTTCTTTCTTTCTTTCTTTCTTTGTTGTTCTTACCAGAATCATCATTTGTATCATATTTTGAAAATAAATCATCACTACTTGGAACAGGATTACGATCACGATGAAAATGTTTAGAGTGAACATATTTTTTCCAAAATTCTTGTTCAGTGTATTTGTGTGGTACATTGTCTCTGTAGGCACGTTCAACCGATGGATGTTGGATAAAGATTTGTTTGATGATGGTGGGAGTCAATTTATAGGTGACTGCATTACTAGAGTGTGTTGTAGGTCTGACATCGGCCAACAACATGCTAGGCATACCAACTTGTTGCTTTTCCGAACGAATAGAGTCGTTTTTAAGCATTGTCTTTCTAGTCTCCCAAAAGTCTGCTTCACTAATCACTCCACCACCTACCAATTGGTCAAACAGTTGTTTCAACTCTTGATTGGCCGATAACAGCAATACACGTTGTTTAATCTCGTCTTCAGTGATGGTTCCACCACGATAAGTCTCTAGTTTTTTCTTTGATTCTGCAAGAGCAGCAGCAGCGGCCGCGGCAGCAGCAGCAGCAGCAGTAGAATTGTTGGAAGCAGCTGTAGATTTGATAGAGTTGGGAGATGTAGTAGAAGGTGTTGTCGATTTGGCAGTTGCAGGTGTTGCAGGTGGTGTCACCAATCTAACCACCTGTGCTATACGATCTCTAAACGTATTTAAATCCTTTCTTGCGTCTTGTCCATGAATAAATTCAAACAAAAAGTCTTTGGTCTGTATAGAATCTCTTTGTTCTTTTACACTTAATCTAAGTAATGCTTTTACTGATTGTTCTGTACTTATAAATTGTGCTAGAAAAAAGAGAGAGAATAGAAACAATAGTCAATACTATATACTAAATACTAAACAATCATACCATATAGCTATGGTTTACATACGTACTCTTAATATCAGATAGATGAAAATGTAAACTAGCAGAATTCTTTCCCAATTGAACCCAAACAATACGCAAGTTGGTACAATACAAAGTGCCTTGTTCTTTATTAAACTTTGTTGATGCTTTCAAATGAACTATTTCACCAGGTTCTTTTGTAAATCTATCCATTCTAAATACAAGTATGCAAAGTATTAATATAGAATTGAAATGAATGTGAGGATGAAGTTGTGAATATTAACTTAATTTTTTTTGATGAATTGTTATTAAATATTCAAAAACGTGCAGAGAGAGAGATTAGAGTATCTGGTCATTTCATTGTTTGTTGAAGAGATAGATAGATAGAAAGAAAGAAAATGATGATGTTAAACCATACAATTAAATATGGGTATACATCAGCCATCAACAATATTGCTAGATATGGTGTAAACCGTATTGGTCAATTCAAGACTACTACGAGTACACCAACATCAATACTAGACAATACATCATCAATCTCAAACATTAGATATTATTCAACAACAACAACAACAACAACAAAAACAACAACAACAACAACAGCAGAACCTCTCTTGAATATTAGTAATGTTAATAAGAATAATAATAAGAAAAAGACAACTACTACAAATACTCCTCCTCCGACTACTTCTGATACAACTACCATTTCATCAAAAATTCAAGATTATGAAAATAATTATAGCAAGATTGAACAATTATTAAAGAATGGAAAGATTGTGATGAAGTTGGTAAAGAGTTTAGAGTATCATGCAAGATTGGATCTATTGGTAAAGATCTTTTCATACTCTACATTGGTGGTTTCAACGAGGTTGATTGATCAGATCATTTATGACTGTGAAAATTCAAAAACATCTTTGGGTGAAATCGAAACATTCTTGGATTCTTATAATGACAGTGCTGAAGGTGCTACTTCTGTCGCTGCTAGTTTGGTCGGAGCAGAATTCAAAAGAGGTACCAAAGTAAAGGTATCACATCACCATACATTCAACACTAAATTGTTGGGTGATGCATTTGTAGTATTGGATGACAATGTATCGGCCGATCTGATGAAAGGTCTGTTTGAAATTGCCAACAGCAATGACAGTGTTGGAGGATTACACAAGTTTATCTGGAGAGATAATATCTGTCAACATATTGTCCGTACCCTTTTAAACCTCAATCGTTACAATGTCGCCCTACGTTGGTTTGCACATACCAGTGAACTTGAAAATGCTTGGGAGTTAAGATTATCATTACTTCATCTTTTCCAAACTTATCATACAATTAAATCAACTCCAAAAGAAAAAGAACAAGATGAAGGAAAAGAAAAAGAAGAAAAACAAGATAATAATTTAATATTAGTACATCAACAATTGGCAACTAATTATGGACAAATTGTTGTAAGACAAGTTGATGCAGCTGCTATAAATGGTTATAAAAAATCAAAACAATCATCGATGAATAGAATTGAATCAAGTATTAGAAATTCTAGAACTCTTCCACCTACCCATCCACACCAAGAACAACTAAGTAATCTTGTTCAAAAGTACAACGATTGTTTGTTGGCATTGAATACACCGGGGCCACGAGACTCTGGAAAGATTATTGGCGAGTTGAAATTGGCTAGTTCCAAGATCAAAGACTTGTTGCTCAATAGTCCACAGTTTTATTCAACACCGCGTCAATCAAAGCTGCCATCGGGGACGGTGTTTTTAGAGGCTGTCAACATTATCACCGATTCAAGAGCCAAATATTTTGAATTGATGAAACCCAGTACTCCATCGATCGTCAGAACACTTGCATTCAAACCAAGTTACTATCAAAACTATCTATTCAAAGGAGATGGAGATGTACCAGATTTACTCGAGATACTCGAGCACAGTCAATCAAACACTGTCGTCTTGTCGAGTATGGTGCCAAGAATGCTGTTCCGTGGACTCACCAAGGCCAGATACGTCCAAGATGCTGTTGCACTCATGGAGTCGACCCCTGTCCGTCTAAACTACCACGATTTTGCCCGAATCGCTGAATTGATTGCCAGTCACGAGGCTGAGACCTTTATCCGTACCGAGACGCTCAAATTGCTCGAAAAAATGATGGAAGCAACACCCAAGACCAAGGTACAAGAGGATATTGAACAACAACAAGAGGAAATGGAGAGCAAAACAAAACATCAACTACACCCAGCACACCAACCAAAAGTCTTGCTCAACAATTCCACCTACAATCAAATCAATATCAAGATTGCTCAAATCATGGCTGGATTACAAAGATATGATTCACAAACCTACAATGATTTACAATACTTGCTCAATTTCTATAATGATATGACTACACGTCTATTAGAATCAAGAGATGGTGTATGGTATATCAAACCAACAAAAGACGAGTCAAAAGAAACAGCAGATCTAATCCCTCTGCCAAAGAGACAATTACAAAGATTGTATAATCTAGCAATTAGATTATGGTTGGCTAATCGTTACCCCAACAACAACAACAACAAGGTGGCTATTGATGATGAAGTAGTGATTCAAGAGTTGATTGGTGCCGAAATTCAACATTATGCCAAGATTACTCTAGACACTGAAGCTTCGATGAGAGAGTGGATCGGTCCAGTCTGCAGCGTCCTAGTCAAACGTAAACAAGCACATTTGGTCGATCTATTTTTGGATTCTGTCGAACCAATTGCCAACATCAAAACAGCAAATGGATCCATTCATTCAGATACACTCTTTAGAATCTTTAATCGTTATGGCAATCAAGATGAAAAGGTTAGACTCATGGAAACCTATGGTAAAGGAAAACGTTTGATTGGTTGGAGTGAACCACTCTACAGATACCTAAAGAAATTCATCAGAAAGGATACAAGAGACGATAAAAAGGACAATATTGCTCAACACTTGATGAGTCAATTAACTAGAAGGGACAAAGATTTAACTGATCAAAATAGAATTTATCTTTCTAATTTAAAAAGAAATAAATAAATTAATAATAATATTCAAAAGTACTTTTACTTTTGTTCAGAGATATAGATAGATATGAAAAATATTTTACATGTTTTATTTATTTGTTTGTTTAGGAATGAGATTTTTGACAAGATGGATGAGGTATGGAATTTGAAAATTGTGATGGATTTCTGGTACTAATATAGATACGACCCTTGCCAGTAAAATGAGTTACAATTCCTTCTCCTACTCTTACACCAAGTAATCCACCTCCACTTTTAATTGTATATTCTAAACTTGATTCCCATGCTACTACATGTTTTTTATCAACTATTAATTCTTTTAAATAAGAATTCTTCTTTTTTGGTTCTTCTTTTTCTTCTTTTGTTTCTTCATTTCCTAGAGTTTGTTGTTGATTGTTTCTATTTGTCAATGTTGATGAATTTAATAATTGTACGGAATATTTTTTACTTGTTCTTTTTTTATCAGGTGTATTGTTGTATAATTCTTCTTGATCATCTGAATCTTCTTGATCATCATTATTATTATTATTATATCTATCATTTTCTTCATCATCATCATCATCATCTCTACCAAGATCAACAGCAGCGATATCACCAAATGAATGAGCCAAGATTGTACCATTTCTTTGAGCAATAGTTTTCATTACCCACCAACCTCCAACACCAAACAATGAATTGGAGATTGATTGTTTGATCATTTTGTAATTGACGTGAGTGTCACTTGCAAGGTAGGCACCATCATTGATAAACCATGATGTTGATTCTACAGGTTCTCCATCTTGGTCGTGATCTACTTGTATGGGAAGTTCAAATACACGTCCAAAGGTGGGTGGTGCAATGACAATGGATCCTCCACCCATCGACGATGTGACTCTAGTCACCCAGAAACTCTCACCACTCGAAAAACTTCTTCCAATTGCATTAAAGAATCGTCTAAAGAAGCCAGCATTTTGGTCGCCACCATTCATCACTGCTTGCAATGTGATGCCTCCAGAATGATAAACCATCGATTGTGGTTCAATATCTATTGTTTCTCCTTTCTATATAAAAGAAATTAGAACAATCATTGTTTACAATTGTAATCATAATAATAATACAAACCTCTAGAAAGATTTCAACCATAGAGAATGGACAATTTTCTTTTGTAAATTTATATTTCATTCTATTTTTGTTTGTATTATAATTAATTATATAGTAGTTGTAGTAATAATAATAATTTAATGTATTGATTGATGAATGAATAAATTTCAATATCAAGTTGGGTATTATTAATAATAATATATGCTTTGTGGTCAACTGATTGCCTCGTCACACATTGTGAACCCTTTATAAATTACGTGTATTATTATATTTTATGCTCTTGAAAATTTGGGGGTATTAAACTATTAAATTTTCATGTCTCGTCACCACCTTTTGTTTATGAAATTTAAGTAATTAAAAATAATTAAATGAATTTTTATAGCTCTCTATCAAATAATCAAAATGAACATTTCTCGCTACCAAAACAACACTATTTTTAAGAGCATCGTGGTTGGTGTTGGGTGTTCATCTATTAAAAAGATTGAAACATCAACAACACCAACAACACCAACAACAGCATATACAATAAATATTGTATTTAACATAACAAAAATTGTTTATTTAGATCGATGATGTCATCATCAATATATACATCACTATCACTATCACCATCGCCATCACCGCCACCACTAATTAGATATCATACTAAAACGATTAGAGGAAATGTTGAACAATATACAAAACAGTACCGTTGTTTCTCTGAAAGATTCCCACCCGATCTAGGTCGACTCTTGAGTGAACAAGAGTATGTCACCATCATAAGATCTTACAATCAGACTCTAGGCTTACGGATGGACCCAAATCACTTTGTCAGAGTAGGGCTAGCCATTCTGATTGTGTCTGCCGTCTTGTTCGCCCTCTTTCCATCTCTCAATTCTGACGTTGTCATTGCTTATGGAGGAGCCGTTTTAGTATTTTTTATGGTTTATATGATGGCTTGCATGTTTGTTCATGAAGCCAAAGTATGTACAATCCCGATTGATCAAACTGTACTGTTTTCTAATAGTTATTATTTATATATTTATTGTATATATTTATTTTATATATAGAGGAAAAGAGGGATCCGTGAGTTGAATGAAGAATACACGATGATGTTTGCACATCGATGTGTATCATTTCAACTAGAAATTGATCGTTTTGGGGGTCTATACCTACTTGCAATTCGGTATCCTTTAGAATCATCATCATCGTCATACTCTGACGTGAATGAAAGTAATAATAATAATAATAATTACAATAATCAAGATATCATTATTGAAATTTCAAACCAAAGATTAATGGAGTAATTTAAATTTAGATTAAATAATTATAAATAATAATTATAGATTTTATTTTAAATATGGGGTTTTTAAATAAATAACGCTCGGTTTAATGATTTCTTCGGTCAGTCAGTCGGATGGTCAGATGGATTGTGTTTACAATTGTACAATTAAAATTATATCATTGATCAAATTCACCATTTGCACCAATATGGACGAGAGAATGCAGATGTTTGATTGCTATTCATCATTGATTGATGTGATCCATTATTACTATTATCATATGAATTCATTGATTGTGATTGTTGTTGACCTATCGATGATGAGAATTGATTGATCGATGAAATATTGGATAATGTTTCTAGAAAATTAATAAATAAATTAATATTAGAATAAATGTTTAAATTAATGACAATGATTATTATAGGTTATACATACTGAAAAGCATTTTAATAATTAAAGTATTTGGTGTGTTTAAAAGATAACTTGAATATTTAGTTGATTGTTGTTGTTGTTGTTGATTTGATGATATTAAATAATAATGAATTGTAATTGTATTTATAGTCGTCTATCATTTGTGATTATCATCAGTCACTGAGGGGGTTGACAACACCTGTTTAACCAACATTGATAGAATGTTGTTGTCATCAGTAGAGTGACAATCTGGAAAATGATAGTGTCATGTGTTTAAACATTGAATTCCATGCCCGATATTCATTTGATTGGAATGCGTTATGTGTGTGTTGTGAGTTGTGTGTGATGATGTATTAATCTACACAATATTAGTTGTGTGTTGTGTTGATGTGCTTGACAAAAACTTAAATTCGATAGTATCTATTATCAACTCATTCTATCACTACTATTTTTTAACAAACTATAGACACTAGTATTCCAAAAGACAGGTCATCTGTTATTATCATTAGCATTCCATCATCATATCATTCCAAAGGAGTATTTCCATTTCCAAATGACACCATTCGAATGATGATGATGACAGCACTTAAACGTTGGTGCGTAATGTTATAGATTAAGATTATTATAAACTTTTAAAATACTCTATCCACTATCTATTCACATCATCGTCATCTGATGCAAACATTAAGAGAGGAGAGTCCCAGAAGATGAAAGTAAAAATCATCAATCCAAATTTTATTGATATGAAATATTCGGTTTTGGTGTTTCGAGTTGGAGTAGTATCGTTGATGGTATATTAATTTGGATGATGAATCATCAAACTTTGATACCCAAGAAATCAAATTGAGCCAACCTTTTGTTGGCTACATTCATGGGCGATGGTGGACCAAACAACACTAAAAAAACGCATCGTGCGGGTGTTGTCAAGTATTAAGATTTAACGACATATATAATATAAACAAAATTATTTAGATTAATGTCATAAATTTATGTATCACCATCACCGCCACCACTAATTAGATATCAAACTAAAACGATTAGAGGAAATGTTGAACAATATACAAAACAGTATCGTTGTTTCTCTGAGAAATTCCCACCCTACCTATGTAATGCCTTGAGTGAACAAGAGTATGCCACAATCATAAACTCTTATAATCAAACTCTCACTCTAAGGTTGGAGTTTGGTCGCTTTATCAGCATGCTAGCCATTATGGTGGTATCTGCCATCGTGCTCTTCATCTCACTGGACAATTCTTACATTGCCTATGCCAGTGCTGGGGTCTTTATCTTTAGTTCATTTTATATGCTTGCTTACATTCTCATTCTAAATGCCAAAGTATGTACACTCGATCCATCAAATTGTTTCTAATCAACCCTGGTTCTTGGCAAAGTATTAATGAATTATCGCAATATATATATCTTTGATATACATGTATTTATTATAGAGGAAAAGGGGGATCGATCAGTTGAATGACGAATACACTATCATGTTTGCACATAGAGGTGTCTCATTTAAACTGGACCATGACCATCTTACAGGTCAATTCAGTATCCTTTGGCATCTCCACAATACTCTGTCATGAATAATAATAATAATAATAATTACAATCAACAACACGATTGAAAGATGGCAATCCCTGAAAAATTAAATAAATTAAATAATTATTTATTTATTATAACACTTCCCCAAAAGATACGATATGATGGTGAAGTTCACTCCACCCATTTTTTATTAGAGAGATACCTTTGTATTAAATGAGATTACGTACTATTATCAACAATAACGTATAGCAACACACATCTTATCAACAACAACAAAGACATCAATCAATGATATCATTAAACACCTACAAATAGAAATCATGCTTGGAATATCATCAACAACATATACACCATCAAACCCCCCAACAACCTACAATAATAATAGCCGATCATACCTTCCCTTCAACAACAACAACCAAAACAAGTAATAATATAAAGACGAGATAGAGAGAGAGGATAGGATGTATCTGAGATTATGATGCCAACAAACAAAAGAACAACTTGACCATCACATTCTCTCTCGTTGGTAGTTCAACTGTCTAATCACCACCACCACCAACACACAAACATATATATATACCAAAGCCAAACAACATAAGCCAACAAGCAACCGAAATAATATAGTGATTTATATCGATCGGTGGTTTGTGTCTGTCAATGCATAGCTATGGTGTGGTGCTAACTGCCATTTTTTGGACTCAAAGAAATTGGGTTTGGTTGATTGATTGATTGTTGGCATCGATCGGTCAATGAATGCGATGGGAATCACTCAAAATGATGTTTAGTCAACCAACTGTCGCCAAAAGTGACATCATTTAAAAGGAGTGATAAAGTGTATAGTTTGGCACTCATAAAAGTAAAAGAGAGAGAGATAATAATAACAATAATAGATAAATAATACATCACAATGTCACATTTAATAGTAATAGTAACAGCTGTTTTAATGCTTTTATTGTTGAATATTGCACCTATTCATTGTGAAAATGACCCTATCCAGGGTGAAGGATACGTTTGGTCAACCTCAGAAGTAGGGAATGGTCACAGATACAAAGGATTACTTTTGACCACTCCTACAATCAAAGAGGCGATGAGTAAATGTTTAGGCTATGGAAACAATACATTTAAATCATATCTTGTCACAAGTTGAATCAAAACAAGAATGGGATTTTATTAGAACCAAGTGGTGGCCACCTACGATATGGGTCTCTGGTAAAGACATCAGAGGTATTGGGAATTACACCTATTCAAGTGGACCAGGAACCAATCAACCACTATTTAATATGTATACTGGTCAATGTTGGGGTATGTCTATTAAAAGTATCAACTCTTTATAAAATTAATTGTATTAATCATTTTTGTTTTTATTAAAGGATATTGTACATTCAATGCAGGCCAGCCATCCTTAACTCTTGCTGCTGAAGATCAATATATTTACATCAGAGGACCGACTTGGAATTTTAATAATGATAATGGTTCTAATGATCAAGTTCATACAGCAATATGTGAATTACAGCCCATTTCAGAAGAATATATTCCATCAATCGGTACAAATGGAGGATCAATAACAATCAACAATCTATCACAATTCAACATACAAACAATCAACATTACGTTTTCCAATCCAACCAAACAACTTGAAAAATCATGTCAAATAACTTCAAAACAAGGAACATCAATCACTTGTACTGTTCCACCTCTATCTGGACTTCATGATGTCACTGTTCAAGATGCTAGTGGAGTCAGCTCAGCACACTATGCATGGCAACCATATCCACCATTTATCAAAGCTGTCTATCCATCATTCACTGCTAATGGATTGGTTACACTGATTGGTGATAACTTTGGTGATAACACCAATAATACGGTAGCTGTCAGTGTCTCAACATCTATAACAGATGCACCGGCGATTGACAATATTACTAGTATTATACCTGGACAAGCATCACAGGTTACAATCAATGGGAATCATTTTGGAAGAGACAGTTCATATGTTTTGATTTCGATTCAAGGAAGTCAATGTAAATCACCAATGTTTATTGAAAACAACTATCAACAAATTACTTGTTCATTGGGTAGTGTTGAACCTTATTCAACCGATCTAAATTATACTGTTAAAATTGGAGTTGGTGGAATGCTTACAACCAAAGTTGTATCTCTTGCGAAAGAGTGTCTTAACAATTGCTCGTCACATGGCATTTGCAATACCACGTTTGGGTCATGCAAATGTAACAGTGGTCATGAACCCCTATTGGATTGTTCAGAGTTGGTTAATCGTAGTCAATTGCTCAACACAACGATTTGGGATAACGGCATGTCACTTTTATCAACAGACCAAACGATTAGTGGTGTGATTGTCAATTTCACAACTGGTATACAATTCATTCGTGAAATCAATCATGACCAATCAATAATTAAAACAATATCAATGGATAGTGCCGTGTGGACGCAAGAAGAGGAGAAGACATCTGCTGGTGAATTAGTATTTAATGCAAGAATGTTCAATCAACGCACACAATTACAAGTCATGGTTGGCCAATACCAAGACACCAACACCACTTCATTTCTTGGTGAGGATATTCAAGTATCACCAAATTCAGTCAAATATCGAATCAAAATCATTAATTGGGTATGGTCATCACCAATCAACACACTGCAGGTGATATTCCATACACAATCAGATTCAGTAGAATTTGACAAGTGTGGTAAGCTAAAAGTCAGAAGTGACATATCACGTGGTGATCAAATTATATGGACCAGAGTTCAAGTTGGAAGGACACTATTAAACTGTAAAATAGCAAGTAGAATGGTTATAGACAACTCGACAATCATTCCATCCAAAGTAACACTTCTCACCAACGATGATCCAGTCTCTCAACAAATCTGGAAAAGTCGAAAATTCAACCTTTTAACCACATTCCACAAACCTAGATTCTCTCAATCGGTTGAACTCGATCACGTCTTCAACGCACTCATTCTTGGCGACGACTCCAACTTGCCATATGAGTGTACTGAAGAGACATCTGATCAATGGACATTTATCATAGTCGCTGTTGTCTTATCGGCTGCACTACTCTCTAAGTGTTTTGATCAATATATTTGCAGATCGAAGATCTCTTCAAACAACATATTGTTGTATTAAAGATTTTCAACGACATATAATATATAATAACACAAACCTGTTGTTTAGATCGATGACATCAATATATATATCAATATCACCAACACCACCACCACTACTTACATATCACACTAAAATAATTATAGGAGACCCTAATAAATTTACAAAAGAGCACCGTTGTTTCTCTGAGAAGTTCCCACCCGATCTATGTAATGTCTTTAGTACACAAGAGTATGCCACCATCATAAGCTCTTACAATCATGCGACAAAGGTGGATTTAAGTCGCATTACTGGCATACTAGCCGTTATAATGGTGGCTTCCTTTGCGATCATGCTCTTTCAAAACGATACAGTCACATACGCTGGTGCTGGAGTCGCTATCGTTGGTTCATTTTATATGATTGCTTACCTTCTCTTTATCAATTCAAAAGTATGTACCAATCAATCATAGAACTGCTGTTTATACACACTATGTATATTTACGTCAACATATATTTATAGAGGAAAAGAAGCATCCATGAGTTGAATGAAGAATACAATATGATGTTTGCGCAAAGAGGTGTATCATTTGGACTAGAATATATAGCTTCTCTATACAGGCTTTCAATTCGGTATCCTTTAGGACCACCACAATCACCACCAACATACTCTGACATGAATCATAATCAAAATAATTATATTATTAATAATAATTACAACAATCAAGATACCATCATTGAAAATCCTTGGAATGGAGTAATGTTAAATAATATTAGTTAATAATTAAAATTCAATCGGAGGGTCCCAAGCACAATTAATATTGTATTATTATTAATCATCTAAATATCATCTAATCAGGTGATGCATCTTCATCATCATCAGCACCCAAGAATTAATTAATTAAAAGATTAGATATACTATATTACAATATAATTATTATTATTATTATTATTATTGTACATTTTATTTTAAATTAAATAAATAAATAAAGTTTTGTTCATTCGTCGGTCAGTCGGTCGGATTGTGTTTGTATAGAATTAAAATACAATTATAAATTAAATTAGATCATTGATCAAATTTACCATTTGCACCAATATGGACGAGAGAATGCTGATGTTTGATTGATATTCATCATTGATTGATGTGAACTATTATTACTATTATTGATCATTGTATTTGAATTAAATGATTGACCAATTGATGATGAGAATTGGTTGATCGATGAAATATTGGATAATGTTTCTAGAAAATTAAATGAAATAATATTAATATAAATATTCAATCGAAATGACATCATTGGGCTATAGTTATACATACTGAAAAGCATTTTAATAATTAAAGTATTTGGTGTGTTTAAAAGATAACTTGAATATTTAGTTGATTGTTGTTGTTGTTGTTGATTTGATGATATTAAATAATAATGAATTACAATTGTATTTATAGTCGTCTATCATTTGTGATTATCATCAGTCACTGAGGGGGTTGACAACACCTGTTTAACCAACATTGATAGAATGTTGTTGTCATCAGTAGAGTGACAATCTGGAAAATGATAGTGTCATGTGTTTAAACATTGAATTCCATGCCCGATATTAATTTGATTGGAATGCGTTATGTGTGTGTGTGTTGTGAGTTGTGTGTGATGATGTATTAATCTACACAATATTAGTTGTGTGTTGTGTTGATGTGCTTGACAAAAACTTAAATTCGATAGTATCCAGAATCAAATCATTCTATCACTACTATTTTTTGCTGTATCTATCCATCCATATACATCATCATCATTCCAAGTCAATATGAAAAAGGAGTATTCCTATTCCAATTAAGATGACGAAATCAATCAAGCCAGTCGACACTTGATATTAGCATTCCCATTTCCAAATGACAACATTCGATTGATGATGATGATGATGATGATGATGATGATAGCGCTTAACGTGTGTGCGTAATGTTATAGATTAAGATTATTATAAGCTTTTAAAATATTCTATCTTTCTATCATCAACACCACGCAAGTGAGTAGATACAACAATGTAAGAGTATAAATAGAGAGTGTCCAAGAAGATGAAAGTTATAATCATCAATCCAACCAACCATCCAATTAATTAAATAACGATACCCAAATTAATTAAATTCCAAAGCAAACTCTTATCTCTCCATTCTAGAAAAAATGATATTTAGTAAGTATTAATAATAATAAGGTGATACAACTTTTATCAAATATACTAACCAATCTATTCTATTCCCATAGCAACTCTTTCAAAGATCTCTATCTCTATGAAGCAATCTGTATCATCATCATCAAAGCAATTGATCAGCTCTAATGACCAACTTGAACAACTCCAACAACAATCAACCAATTCATTATGTAGATTCAGTCGTCCATCATGGGCATTTGGATACTGTTAGCTGTTTATTGATTAGATATATACACTACGACTTGTTGATATATATATATATACAAACATAGACTGACCGACCTATTTATTACTATTTTCATTCATCGATATTTCGAATGATTAAAACAATAAAAAAAAACAAAGAAGTAATGATTGTACATCGATTTTTTTTGTTATTATTTTATAATGATCATCAAATGCATTGATATAATAGATAGATTTAGTTGAATGTTTACTCCCAGATACTTATAAGAGTCGCAAGTTCAGAGAAAAGGAAGAGGAAGAGGAAGAGCACCAATTTTAATAACTTTCGAGACCTTTAGTTTTAGATCTTCTAGTGTTGATTGACATGTAATGGTATGACATAAAAGCATTGACACAGTTTACAAGTTCTTGTAATGATTCTTGCTTAGCAACATAGTTTAGATTACTACATTTAGTGCTAGCAGGTAGATTGTTGATGTGGACCTGGCGACATACCATTTTTAAGACTAAAATGGCAGCAACGTGTTCTGCCGATTAGATCTCATTTGTCAAGAGTTGGGCATTGGGATTAACGACTTGTGTCATGTTGTTCAACCATGTTGGAGATGGATGAGCTTTCTCTTTTGATGGAAGCTTGATCATTGGTTAATGAAAGAAGGTCAACTTTGCTGGAGAAGGGTGGATGTAAAGGAAAGTGTTTAGCCAATTTGAACAAAACAGATTCCCAACTTGCTAGAGTTGGCGACAATTAGTATGGCGAAGTGCACACAGATGGTTAAGTAAAGGTACTCTGTTTTTAACGGACCAATTTGCATACCATGATAATATACTATCTCATTTTGCAATCGATATCTATTTTTAGGGAGCTACACATCAGTATTCTGAAAAAAACCAAGGTTTAATTATTGTTGGAAGCCGGTCTTTATTGGAGATGTTTGTTGAATTGGGATTCATTGGAATAATATTGATTGTAGTTCAAATATTCTCAATTCAACAAACAAATCCACCGGTCCATCTTTACACAACTAAAGGTAGGTAGCAATTATAATTTATGTATGTATAAAATAAAATAAAATATGGATTGGATTGATAGAATAAATAATTTTACATTTTATTGTTTTAATTATTAGTGATTTGGTATGGTCGATTCCAAGATTGCATTTAAATTCGTCTCGGTGAATTTTAAATTGCTTTAATAAATAGAATAGAATAGGATTGATCGATTGGTACGATTATTGATCAATCAAATTTACCACTTGCACCAATATGGACGAGAGAATGCTGATGTTTGATTGATATTCATCATTGATTGATGTGATCCATTATTATTATTATTATTATCATATGAATTCATTGATTGTGATTGTTGTTGACCAATCGATGATGAGAATTGGTTGATCGATGACATATTGGATAATGTTTCTAGAAAATTAATAAATAAATAATATTAATATCAATGTTTAATAGGTTAATGACAACGTTGATAGTTATAGGTTATACATACTGAAAAGCATTTTAATAATTAAAGTATTTGGTGTGTTTAAAAGATAACTTGAATATTTAGTTGATTGTTGTTGTTGTTGTTGTTGTTGTTGATTTGATGATATTAAATAATAATGAATTGCAATTGTATTTATAGTCATCCAAAAGGTGTGTGGAATAAATGAATGGTGTTGTTTATAATAAACCAACACTGATAAAATGTTGTTGTCATCAGTAGAGTGACAATCTAGAAAATGATAGTGTCATGTATTTATAAACATGGAATTATTCGGATATTCCAAAATTCCAATTTAAATTGATTGGAAATGTGGTGCGTGTGGAGTGATGATGTATTAATCTACACAATATATTATTGTGTGTTGGTGTTGTGGTTGAAAAAAAATATCTCTAATCAAAATGATTCTATCACTATAGAACACGTGAATGATAAGGATGATCGTTTTCACATGGAATGTACGTCAAACGAACGGTATTAGCATTCCAGCATCATCATCGCTGCGCTGTTATATATATATTCCAATAGGAAGAATTCCAAGATGAATGACGACAAATCAATCAATTTGAAAAGAGACGACATTTGTTGACACTTGATATTAGCATTGTTGCCATATATCGAAATGACAACATGCGAGTTGTGATTGTTCGAACACATGGTGGTAATTGGCAAATGATGACATGACCACAACTCGCGTGCGATACATCCTGATTCGTCGTCAAGTTTACATCTGTAAAGATTATCAACACCGTCATGATCCAGTATAAATAGCTCTTTTGAATATCTAGTTTATCATCAAGACAATCCAAATAAACTATATTAATTAATTAATTAATAATTAAACCAACCTCTATATTCTAAAAATGATATTTAGTAAGTATTAATAATAATAACAGGTCAGATTATCTCTATTTGAATACTAACCATATTCTTTCTATCTATAGCAACTCTTTCAAAGATCTCCATCTCTATATCTATGAAGCAATCTTCATCATCCTATTCTGTATCATCATCATCATCATTGAACCAATTGACCGATCATCATACCGTCCAACTCCAACAACAATCTACCAATTCAATGTGTAGATTTAACCGTCCATCATGGGCATTTGGATACTGTTAATAGCACTACTACTTGTTGATATACACTGACATAAACATAGACCGACCAACCTATTTAAATATCATTCATCGATAAAGAATGATTAAACCAAACTACATAGTTTACAATAAACTTTTTCTTGTACATTTTATCTAACTATAAGTGTTTTGGTTCTTCTACTTCTTTCATTTTAATTATTAATTGTAACACTGATCTCGAACTTCTTCTTGTGCTACGAACCAATGAAAAGAGAAAGCCAATGGGACTCAAACTATGAGGGTCACCCCACCAAAAAGTTGCCTCATTAATATTTTGTATGGTAGGAAATAAATAATTTAGTTTATTTTAGTTTATTTTAGTTGTTAGATATTCATTCTATAGTCGACCATGAATGAATATCTCTCTTTATTATAATCGATAGGTAGAGTAAAGTTTAGAATATTATATTATATATTATTTGTTGAATTAACAGTATCCAAATGCCCATGATGGACGATTAAATCTACACATTGAATTGGTTGATTGTTGTTGGAGTTGGACGGTATGATGATCGGTCAATTGGTTCGATGATGATGATGATGATACAGAATAGGATGATGAAGATTGCTTCATAGAGATCTTTGAAAGAGTAGCTATAGGAATAAAATAGATTGGTTAGTATATTTGATAAATAATGTCGATTCTTTTTAGTGTTATAATACTTACTAAATATCATTTTTAGAATAGTTAATTTAATTAAATTGGTTGCTTGGGTTGATTTGATTGTGATGATGATTATAAACTTATTGTCTTGGACACTCTCTATTTATACTCTTGCATGTTGTCATCACACGACTATGTTTAAAGTAGGATCAATCAATCAATCAATCAATCTTGCAAGTTGATCAACATGTATATCGCATTATCCATTAAATACAAATTGTATGGAGTGTTGTCATCATTTATGTCATTTGGAAATGGGGAATGCTAATATTACTTGATTGATTTCGTCATCCATCTTGGGTTTGAACACTCACACAATATTATTATTGATGATGGAATGCTAATATCATACATCGGTTCGTATTGTTTTATTGGACAATTGTAAGAGCTTAAAACATATTTTTGCCTTTAATATTAACCTTTGGTATTTAGAAAAAGTAGTGATAGAATCATTTTGATCATAGATACTATCGAATTTAAGTTTTTGTCAAGCACATCAACACAACCCACAACTAATATTGTGTAGATTAATACATCATCACACACAACTCACAACACACACATAACGCATTCCAATCAATTTGAATTGGAATTATGGAATATCCGAATAATTCCATGTTTAAACATGACACTATCATTTTCCAGATTGTCACTCTACTGATGACAACAACATTCTATCAGTGTTGGTTTATTATAAACAACACCATTCATTTATTCCACACACCTTTTGGACGACTATAAATACAATTGCAATTCATTATTATTTAATATCATCAAATCAACAACAACAACAACAATCAACTAAATATTCAAGTTATCTTTTAAACACACCAAATACTTTAATTATTAAAATGCTTTTCAGTATGTATAACCTATAATTATAATAATCATTGTCATTAATTTAAACATTTATGCTAATATTTTTTCTTTTATTAATTTAGAAACATTATCCAATATGTCATCGATCAACCAATTCTCATCATCGATTGGTCAATCAAATACAATGATCAACAACAATAATAATAATAGTTCACATCAATCAATGATGAATATCAATCAAACATCAGCATTCTCACGTCCATATTGGTGCAAATGGTAAATTGATTGATCAATGATCAAATCGATCGATCATACTATTGTACTATTTAATTAATTAATATTTTGGCCGACTTTTATTTATTTTAACCTATTTATTTAATAAATGCATATTTAATTTAATATCCATGTTCAACAACATGGATACTATACACCCCTACCCAATTCAAATCATCGTTAGAAGAGTATAGTTATCATCTGAAGAAGTTTATTTCTTTTGCTACTTTTGGAGATCGATCCTTTGAGTGGACCCAAAACCTTGTGTTTTTCTTGTGGTCTGGAAAAAAAAAAAGTGTGACTTCTTGTTCGACTTACTTGCTACTGGTGTCAATAAACTTAAGACTGAGATATCAATGAAATGAAGGGTTTTAACGTTAGTTTACATGGTTTAGAGCGTAGCTCTATTGAGCGTAAAATCATGAGAAAAAAATTTAAATCTAGAAAATAAAATTATTTATTTGAATCCCAGGACTTGTGACGGTGATGAAAAAGTAAAGGTCACGGATACAACTCAAACAGATAATAATAAATTATAGATAGATATAAAGTCACTAAAACATTCAAAGCATTTGTAAGATAACAAATGTTCAATATGTGATAGAGCAGCACTCAATCATCACTAGTTCAATCACTAATTGATCAAATTGATGTCAACCACTGAAAAGAAGAATTTAAATTAAATATCTAGAGTTGCGCTATGTGAACAACTTACAAGTGCGCCATGGCATTGTCGATGTCGGTTTTTAGTGTTTCATATTCTACCTACCCTTTCGCAAAACCACGTGTAGCGTCAACGTCATTTGCAAAGGTAAAAGGACCTTATTCAATATCTGTTTGACTTTGAACATATTCTCAATTATACACGTGTTTATGTTTGTCACGTGTGTACACTCCGCACATATCTAAATTAGGAAGAAGGAAACCTATAAATATGAATGTGAAACAACGCTGACCCTTCAAGTCATTTAGTTTCTTTGTAGATAGAGCTCTATACTAGAGTAATTCAAATCATGGCAGTCGACACAATGACAGTAAGAAATGGTATTTATTTATCACTTTACAAACATTATAATAATAATAATCAATCACTAGCTAATATTCTTTTTCTTAAAGCTTGCCCATTTCCAGTTGTATTTTATGCAATTGCAGGACCAAAGTTTGTATTGAAACCTTTAGAAACTCAAAGTGCTAAAGCTTGTGCTATCTGGTTTTCAACAAGAGTACTGTGTTTTGATAAATATTATCTATCTATCCATCATTATAGATTGCAATACAAAAGGAATACTTTAATACTTATACTTATTCTTATTCATATTCACATTTATTTTTAGGTCTATGGTAAAATTTAATATGATTAAAAAAAGGTTTATATTAGTTGTAATAATTATTCCCTATTTTCTATTATTATTATTGTAGCTCAATTCTCTGAGATGAATGAAAACAAATTCAAGGATATGAAAGATGACTACACCACTGATCTCAAGAATGGAGGATACAAACCAGATGACTGGGAAGGTGGTAAGTAACTAATAAGCATATATATATAACCAAAATTAGTAACCTTTCTTTCTTTTTATTTTATTTTTAGGAGGTTCTGGTGCAACTGCTGGTTCACTCCTTGGAGTTTTGGTTGGAGATTTAACAGAGGTTTTCCAAGTTACAAACACGATTGATACATCAAACAACACTTGCTACTATGGTGCAAAGAGAGAGGGTGTTTATGGACATTGTAATCTTGTTATTACTGCTACCCCAGATCCAGGTAAATATATATATACATATATATATATACATATATATATATACATATATATCAAGACAATATATCATTCAAAATTACTTATATATTTTATTTTTTAAATGATCTATTTTAGCCTACAAACTTACCCTTTCTCCACGTATGTGTTTATATTTTTATAAATATATAATATATTGTACATTTACTTACCATTTAAATAACTATTTTTTTTATTATTAGCTCATCCAGCATGGTGGAGACTCAAGATTGGTATGTTATATATATATAATGTTATTAAATAATGTTATTATTTATTTATTTTAATTTAATATTTATTTTATTTTATAGAAAAGGAACAAGGACAAACAGTACCAGATTTTAAAGACTTTTTAGATAACAATTTACCTCCAGCCTATGTCTATTCGGTTCCCAATCTCGACGCTTACAAATCCACCTATTTTGTTAGAATGAGAAACAAATCTTCTGGATTCTATTTGTCAGCCCCCAATGATGTAACCGACATGGGAGCACCTCACATGATCGGTCCAGGTTCTCCATACAGCCCTTTGGAGGTTCGTCAATATTTTACTGCCAGACCACTCGGCACCTCTGGCGGATACGACATCAACTTGTTAAACATTGCCAAAAACTCTGATGGCTCTGTAACCAACCGAGTTCTTTACAGTAGAAACGAAGACAATGGTTTAGGCTTTGCTTCCGATGTTGATGACCAATCAAGTGCCAGAGTTTGGACCATCAAGCAAATTCAACAAAACCCGACTGTTATCAATCTGTTACGTGGCGTTAACTATAAAGCATTGTCTCTTGTTCCTGGGGGAGTTGGTGTTAATCTTGTAGATGGTCAAGATGATCAAAATGTAAGAAAAAAAAAGGAAGAGTAATCGATCACTCTGATTTCATTTGGTATTAATATTTTTCTTCTTCTTCCTCTTCTTTTTCTTTTTCACTATAGTGGGAAGTTGAGACCTTTACATGTGATATTCAAAACTATCCATCTGACAAGGGCTTCAATTTGGTATTTTGCCAGAGTGGATATCCATTGGGCACAAACATGTACTCTCAACCGATAATCATACAAAGACATGATGACATTCAAAATTGGTACTTGGAACCTGTTGATGATGCTCGTACCCAATTCCGTATCAAGAATGCCCAAAATTTCTATCTTACCTATGTTGAAGATAACAATACTCTCACCGTTTCCACTGCAAAGGATGGTGTCCATGAAGTCTTTAGCTTCAAAACCATTGACCATTATGCTGGATTCATCATCACCAATACCAGAGCCAGCCAGAATCATGGATGGGACAACGGATCATTCCGCCAAGTCAGACTTTGCTATTCCGGTGGTTCCTTTGGTTTCCACAACGACATTTCTCAACCAGATTCAAATGCTTTATGGATTTCCTATTTCTAAATCAAGAATATTCTAAATTAGACTAAATAAAATATAAAGTCACTAAAACATTACAAATGTCCATTATATGGTAGTCAACAATAACCGCAGCTGTCTGACAGAGTGTTCAATCTATATCCTTGTCAGTCCTAGTCAGTCGGCCACTCATTGTTGGATGTGTGTTTTATATAACTGTCTTCGATGATTTAAAAAAAAATGGTTTATGATGTGGGCTTGCAAGAGAATACCTTTTTTCTTTTTTTTAGATCTTCAAACTCAACCCAAATACATAGCTCTTAAGAGCTTCTAATAATTGTATACACAACAAGGTAGATTAACATTAGATCTATCAACGAGTTACCAACCAAAAGTAAGTGAGTAATCTTTAAAAAAAAAAAAAAACGACTTTCGTTCGTTTTTTTTTTTTTTAGTTCCCATGATCAAAGTATGGTTCTTTGTTTACTATTAGTAGCATAATCAAAGTTGACAAAGTTTTGTGACACTTGATGAATAGAAATATTTATCATTTTTCATCCTATGTGTCGCACTTAAGACCAAAGGACTTGCTCCCACGTCTTTGATCGGGTCATTGCAGCACTAGAAAGATGAACCCTTTGAACCTACCACCTTGAGTACTAGTTTTTAGTATGAAAATCGGATGTGTTTATTTATCCAATAGAAACAATATTTGTTTTTTGGGTTACACTTTGTCTAAATATATTAAGTAACAATAATAATAATGTTAAAAATAAATAGAGTATCAAGTTGACTTTTTCTCTATACTTTTTTACTTTACAATTTGTTTTATTTAATTTTAAATTTCTTTCTTTTTTTTATTTTAATACTCTAATAATTTATAAACCAGAAACATAACCTGGATTTGTTTTAGCCTTTTCACGTTCTTGAATTCTTTTACTATAGTAGGAAGCAAATGCAGTGTCCTTGGGAACAGGTTTTAACGTTTTGAGTGGTGGGTCTAGAGTGTAGAGGACTTGGAATTGATAGCGTTCACGTAAATAGTCTGGCAGTGTTTTGTTGGCACCAATTTCCTCTGGTTTGACTAGGAAATGTTTGACACGTTCCTGTTCATCATTGGTGACATAGGCCACTGCAAATGAACCTGGTAAACTATCACTATATCTAATTAAAAATGATCCTTCTGGTGAATTGTACAATATACTATTACATTCATTTTTACTAATTAATCCATATATTAATCTAAAATGAAAAAAAAAAAAAAATTAATAAATATTTATGTTTTTGTTTTTTTAATCTTTTTTCTATTTTACTGACCCTTCAAACCAAAGTGAAGAAATATGTCTTTTAAAATGAATAGTTTGTAATATTGGACCAAATTTAACCCAAAATTCCTTTACTTCTTGTCTAGTGACACGAGGTTTCATTGCGAAATGAGTTTGTTGAATATAATCAAATTCCCAAGTATGTAATTTTCTTTTTGGATCGTATGGTGTTTGACTAGTGGCAACAAATAGAGTACCAAGCAACATGTTTGCAAACAACTCCCAACTAATTTCATCCTTGTCTTCAAAGGCTTCACCAATCAATAGTTTACCTGCTGCCTCTGCCCATTGACTTTCATTGGTAATGACTAGAATTGGATTGGTTGGTACACTTTCAATTGGTTTTCCTTGTCTATTTGATTTATCTCTAATCGTTGCTGAAAATTTTAATGGTGTTGGTGTCATTCTTGTTGATGCATTTATCCTAAAAAGAAAAAAGAAAATTAATAAATATAAATAAATATAAATAATAAATTTATATATATACTTTAAATTTGTAAAAGTAGCCTTATTTTTTTCAAATGGGATTTCATAATTTTCAATTGGTAGAGCAGACTTTTCCTTTTTTGAATTTGATTCTGCCTTGTCAAGTTTGGCAGTTACTGGACTAACATGTTCAGGTGATAATACACCAGTTACCAATTCAACCTTGTATGCATCTGGTATCACCTTTTTAATAAAAAGTACTTGTGATGGTGGTTGTGATAATAATATAATTGCACAACAACTATGAAAAATAGATGGTTAATAAATGATTATGATTTAAATGAAATGATTATTCTTTTCTTTACCTTTCAGGTTTCTTTTTGTTTAAAATATATTGTAATTCAGTATAAAGTACATCTACAATACGATGATGAGATTTTAAACCTTCAATGGTAACACGAATTTGATGAAGATCAGGTGGTTGAAGAATGGTTTTTGATAAAAGATTCTTTAATTCCATCTTTTCCTCTTCAATATGTTTTTTCATATCTGTATAAACTACTTGTAATTCTCTTGCCAAATTTATATCATTATTATGAATTACTTTAATTTGATTTTCTTTTGCCTAAAGAGAAAGAGAATAGTATTAATATTTGTTGTTGATTCTTTTTTTTTTTTTTCTATTTTCTTTTTTTTACCTTTAAAAACCTTTCATTTCTTTCATGATAACGATTTAAAAGACTATTATAAAATTCTTGAGAGATTTTTTCTGTATTTGTGCCAGTATATTCTTGATTTTGAAGAAAAGAATGAGATGAAAGATTTGAATTGCTTGAATGTTTGAGTCGTTCAACATCACCCTCTATACGTTCAGTATGAGACCTAAGTAAACTAATTTGAAGATCCAAATTGGTTTCAACAGGTAATTTGTTAATTTGTGCTTCATAGGTTTGAGTATTTGTTCTTTGCATTTTAGTTAGTGATTCATATTCATTGATTTGAAATTCTCCACTTCTACCAGTATTTTGTTGTCCGTTGTTATTATTATTATTATTATTATTATTATTATTATTATTATTTCCACCAAATTGGAAAATATTTGACATTGTTTGTTGACCCATTAAACCAACTACACTAGATGACATTAAATTCATATCACCAGCTTGAAGAAAACTATTTCCATAGCTAATTGGTGGTGTAGAGTGGTGAATTGGTGGTGTATGAATAGGTGGTGTAGGTGGCGTAGCTGGTTGATCTTCATAATCATCTTCTTTCATTGGTGAACTTTGTTGTGATGATGACATTGTTACTGATGTATTTAAACCATTATTTGTAGAGGTTGTAGAGGTGGTAGAAGTAAGATGATGTAAAGGATTATGTGTTGATAAATCACCCATATGAATATTATTATTATTATTATTTGTAGATGTATTATTAATATATGGATTAAATATTTGTTGTTGTAAAGGTTGATTATGAGTATTAATGATAGAAGTAGTAGTATCGTTTGACATTATATTTGAAGTACGTAGAAAAGAGAATGAAGAGAAACTGTTTGTACGACCACTAGCCCAATCCAAACTATTGTTTGGTGCATCACCTCCATTTGGTAATAAAGATGTAGTACCTGCTCCAGTCAACCCAGCATTCAACATGTTACTAATAGTATCTTGTTTTGTCAATGGTGTTATCATTGTATTATTATTATTATTACTATCAAAATAATTTAATACATCTGAACTTGTTGACATCCAATTACCATTGTTTTGTTGTTGTTGTTGTTGACCTCCTTGTTGAAGCTGTTGTTGCTGTTGTTGAAGTTGTTCTTGAAGTTGTTTATTTAATTGATCCATTTTCTTCTTTTTCTTTGAACAACAAAAGAAATGAATTTGATCAAGTGTAGTGTGATCTATACTATATCTCTATATCTCTATATTGTCGCTTGTTCTAAATTGAAGAGATGAATATCGAATATCTCTATCTAACAATATTCCTAAACCAACTAAAACAAATAGAAGAAAATTGAGGTTTTTAGTCAAGAATTCACTTTTCCTCTAATTAAATTTTAAAAACATCCTTCATTCAATTAACCCCAAAGCTATGAAGAGATGAGATGATCGATCAAAGAATATGAATATGTTTTATTTATCGTATACATAATAATAATAATAATAATATTATACCCCATTACTCAACTCTATCACAAATGTAGTAGTAACACATGATCATTGATCGTTGTTGTTGTTGGTAACAGGGTTACTAGTAAAGTCATTGAAAGTATTAATAATAATAATCAAGTGACAGACAATCACGACGATCGTTGACTTTTTAATTTAATGTTTTTAAAAGAGATCTAGACAAGAATAGAAAGAAAACAAAGAATAAGAAATAATTTATCAAAGTTATGAGTTTCTCTGTTATCTTTTTTTTTTCCTCGTCTTGACACGAAAGCGCGTGAACCAGCCCTTATCGCTCTCTATGATGTATCTCTCGCAACCGTTACAATGACAGGCAAATTTTTAAACCAAGTCAAGTGACGATGAAAAATTAATTTTTTTTCGTTTTTTTTTTTTTGGCCCTCTGTTCTCGCGGAACGATCAAACTCATACAAAACAAGGCCAGATAAAGTTTTTTTCTAGTTTATCCTCTTCAAAGCATCTACAATGTCTCACAGAAAGTTCGAAGGTACTTATAAATTATAATTTAATATTCTATTTAATTTCTATACTCTCTCTACTCTCTATTACTATTCCTAATCTACTCTTTAAACTACTACTACTACAATATATTTATATAAAAAGAAAATATATATTATAATTATTATTCTACAGCAACAGCAAAACAAGTAACACTCAAAAAATGATTTCAAAAGGCTTCAGGTGATAAATTAAATGGTTCTTTCTAAATTATCATTTTCCTTCATTTAATACCTCACTTTCATACATACGGCTACCGATGATGGTAATTGCTGGCTGTGCTTGAGTGGTTTTTGCTAGGCATAAATGAATACCCTCTCTCTATCTTCTTTTCCAAATATCTTTCTATCTCTTACACACTACAAACAACAACGTATCCGTGACAATCATTTAACAAATATATCAATCTTTGTTCTTAGCTCCACGTCATGGTTCCCTTGGTTTCCTCCCAAGAAAGAAGGCCAACAGACTTTTAGGTCACGTCAAGTCCTTCCCAAAGGATGACCGTTCCAAGCCAGTCCATTTGACTGCCTTCATTGGTTACAAGGCCGGTATGACCCATATTGTCCGTGACCTCGAGAAGCTCGGCTCCAAGATGCACAAGAAGGAGATCGTCGAAGCCGTCACCATCATCGAAACCCCACCAATGGTCGTTGTCGGTTTGGTCGGTTACACCGAAACCCTCAAGGGTCTCCGTGCCTACAAGACTGTCTGGGCCCAACATTTGAGCAACGAGTTCCGTCGTCACTTCTACAAGTCCTGGTGCAAGTCCAAGAACAAACTCGCCTTCACCAAGTACTCTAAGAAGTTTGAGGAAGGTACCATCAAGATCTCCAACGCTGTCGAAGCCATCAAGAGAAAGTGTGCCATCATCCGTGTCATTGCTCACTCTCAACCAGCCAAGGTTGCCGCTCTCCACCAAAAGAAGGCCCACATGCTCGAAATCCAATTGAACGGTGGTTCCATCGCTGACAAGCTCAAGTGGGCCGTCGACATGTTTGAAAAGACCATCTCTATCGAATCTGTCTTTGCCGAGAACGAAATGCTCGACGTCATCTCTGTCACCAAGGGTAAGGGTTTCCAAGGTGTCGTCAAGAGATGGGGTGTCAAGAAGCTCCCAAGAAAGACTCACAAGGGTCTCAGAAAGGTTGCCTGTATTGGAGCTTGGCATCCAAGTCGTGTCAGCACCACCGTCCCACGTGCTGGTCAAATGGGTTTCTTCCACCGTGTCGAAACCAACAAGAAGATCTACCGTATCGGAAAGGCTCAACCAACTACCGGTCCAAAGATCCCAACTGGTGCCACTGAATTCGATATCACCGCCAAGACCATTACCCCAATGGGTGGTTTCCTCAACTACGGTGTCGTTCGTAACGAATTCATCATGGTCAAGGGTTGCGTTGGTGGTCCAGCCAAGCGTGTCATCACTCTCAGAAAGTCTATTCGTCCAAACGTCACCCGTGCTGGTCTCGAAAAGATCAAGTAAGTACACAAATAATAGAAGAAACAAAGGAATTGGGTCAAATTTACAACTTTGTACCTCTTTTTCTCATTATTTACGCTCTAAACCATGTAAACTAACGTTAAAACCCTTCATTTCATTGATATCTCAGTCTTAAGTTTATTGACACCAGTAGCAAGTCTGGTCACGGCCGTTATCAAACCTCACAAGAAAAACACAAGGTTTTGGGTCCATTGAAGGGTTCCCTCCAAAAGAAGCAAAAGAAATAAACTTCTTCAGCATTAATGCACTTCTATTAATCTAATATACATATACACAACATTGTCTTGCTCTGCTGCTCTTCTATTCTTTCTTATTACTATCTAAACTATTTGTATACTTTTTATCTCTAAGTATTTTTTTTTTTTCTCTAAGTATCAATTTTTTTCCCTCACAAATTTCATTTTTTCCCACCAAGTCGCTTTGTTGTTTAATCACGACGATCGTCTATTCACTACACAACATTATAATACAGATTAAATATAACTTTAAAGTAATAGCTACTACTACTACTACTCTACTTTCCCAATATCTATATCTAGGTTCATCCCATATCATATGATCATTTTTTATGTACGATTCCAAATACATTTATAATAGGTTTACTAAGGTAAGTAGTGACATTTGTATAGTAACTTTCATTATATTAATTATTATGCTAACTATCTTTTTTTATCATAGGTTTGAAAGAATAGTTCAAAGGGCTGTTTCAATCAATGGTTTCGAGACATATGTAAATGTGTGACCATGTCATGTTGTTGGTCAAGACACCATGGCGATGAATGATTTTAATAATAATAATAATCACAATAACAATCTACCTACCATGCAATGGTCTAATAATCGTTTCCAACTTCATGAATAAGAAAGTACCCATCGACACAGCTGGAAATCGATCAACTTACAGATAAAAGCGATCAAATTCAAAAAGGAAGTGATCAAATTATAATTAGACAAGAACATGCATCTGTTGTGAATATCGATAGATTGATTATACATTGTATCAACACTAGACCATCACATTGGTTAAACACAAATGGTAGTACTTTTATTGTTTGGAAGGGAAGATTGGTTTATAGGGAAGATATTAGAATAGATTAATCTAGAATTGGTAAGTTTGGTTGATCACTGATTTGCACTATTATAATACTTACCAAAAGTCATTTTAAAAGATCAATGGTTGCTTTGGAATGTAATAACTCACCTATCATCTCGAATGGTTACATCATGAAATCCAGATAGAGTGGAACAATACAAGTGACTCTATGACATGACTTTGAAAGTTGTTGTTTGGATGCATTTGAAATTGTTGATTGTTTATGTTGAATAACCATGTTGATCATTGACATTTATATTAGTATTTAATTAATTTATTAATTTTAGAAACATTATCCAATTCTCATCATCAATTAAACAACAACAACAACAACAACAACAACCAACAATCAACAATGATTAACAATAGTAATAATAATAATGTTTCAAACATGAATCATGATGAATAGCAATCAATATTCTATCATACCCTTATTTATTTAAATTATTTATTTAATTTATTTATTTAATAAATGTATATTTAATATCAATGTCTTTATTACTATTTACATTTATCTCTATAGTACTATTCTATTTAAACTTGTAGTTACTTGGTGAACGAGAGAGTCGAGCAATCAAAAGATTCGGACTATCTCTTGGTGATGAACTTGACCTATGAAGTTCATCACCGAGCCGACGATAAAAAGAGAGTCCAAATCCTTCAAGTCTTTCAAGGTCTTGATCCCATCGATACCTTGTAACTAACCATCATTGACCTTTGGAGTGTGTTTAAATGAGGAGACACGAATCTCATTCGACGTTGAAAAGTTTGTGTTGGATCCATTAGCATTTGGAAGAGGTTGACGATCCAATCATTTGTTCGCAATCTCTTCCTTTTTGTGAAGCAACCCGGACATACAGAGAAAAGAAAAAGAATTAGAGTTAAAAAATGAAAAAAAGGTAATAAATTATGTACTACTACTATTAACTATCTATCTCTTATTACTATCTATCTGTCTATTATTATTTATTAAAGCAAAGTAATATAATAAAACAAAAAGTGTGCCACTCTCTTTTAGAGATCAGGGAAAGAATTTGATTTGATGTGCAAACTCAAATTCAAAAATGATTTTGAAAAATAATAATAATAATAAAAATAATAAAAATAGGAAAGTCGATCAATCAAAAAATGAAGGCGATCAACTAAAAGTGGTGAGATCAACTAATAGTTACAACTCTGAGATAAAAATGATCAAATAAGAGTTAAGTGACAGAATAAAGAAAAGAGAGAATAATATAAAATGGAGACAAAACAACTACAAGACACAATTGCACTGCTCCAACTTCATTGGTTCTATTGAAAAGAAAACAAAAGCTTGGAAAAAGTGATTTACAACATGGAGATCTATAATAATAATAATAATAATAATAATAATAATAATAATAATGATGGGCATTGTCCCAAAAAGATCTCAACCAACTAGTTCAATTAATTATTAATAAATTATCCTCAGAGATTATATTTCTCTTATTTTTTTTTTTATTGTTTCAATTGCAGATAAATATAAATTTGGTAAATAAATGGTGCTGGTGTTTGTAAAAGTCATAGATTGAATATCACTATCACATTTTGGGGAACATCATTATCATTTTAGATTATGTACAAAAACTATTATTATTACTTTATTTAATTAAACAAACGATGTTGGAGGTAAACTACTACTAGTATTTAATACATTATTGGTAGTACTATTATTATTATTATTATTATTTTCATCTTCAACAGTATTATTATTATTATTACATTTTGAAGAATCTGGAGAAAAAGAGGTATGACGACGAGAGGTAAGAGAACTAGTACTTGTGGTACTAGTAGAATTATTATGATGATTAGAGATTGAAAAGGAAGCATACTTTTCACCATTGGTGAGACTGTCATTACTAACAGTTTGATGCAATAGATCTGGTGTTTCAACGTTGGTGGTTGGTTCTGAAGATGATTGAACTGAATTGGTATCTGTAATGGTTGATTCGGTCAATAGAATTTGAGGATGGTGGACATGACGAGGAGTCTTTTCGCCAATCTTTTCTTGTTCTCTCATTCCACTAATAACCGACATTTCTACAACTGGTACGGCTCTTGCACTACTATTCTCATCTGGATGTTCGATTTGATAGACTGTAAAATCAGTCTCAAATTCCGATGTTGAACGATTGGTAGTCTTTTCAGAGGATCTTGTTGAATCATTGGATTGTCCAACCCCAAGCTTTGAACATATCTTTGATTTCAATCTACGAGCAAGGATCACTGGTTTGGTTCCTCTAATCAAATCCCACCAATCGAAATAGACAATCAACTGTACCTCTAGAATGACGACACATTGAAGAAACGATATTCCAAATTTTGTAGAATCTATATAAAATTCAACATGTGGTAATTGAAAGATACATAATATAATATATGTTGTTGATACTAATATTCCTCTTGCAATCATTAATACCTAATAGAAAATAGAAAATTAAATAAATAAATAAATAAATTATTATTTGTTTTTTTTAGATTTGATTTCAAATCTTTTCTTACCATTTTTTTACTTGGAGAATGAACTCTTTTCTCAAAGAATAAAACATATAAACTATAACCAATAAATATAACACATAGTAAAATGATTGATAGATTACTATACATGTAAAGAATATACTTTACATAGGTATTGAATTTGAGTGTAACTTGAAAGGTAAGACTACCAATAAAATGAATGACACTCAACACCAAGATGGGAACCAATAATGAAAAATATAATATTTTGGTACGTCTAGTAAGTAAATTACCTTTTGAAATGGTAAATATATCTTGATACATTCCAATCCTAAAAATTAAATATATAAATAAATAAATCAGTATTTCCATTTTTGTTTTCCTTTTTTCATTCTTTTCTTTTCTTTACCAATAAGTTAATAATAACATAAAAACAAATGAAAATAATGTATATGATATAGAGGTAAAACAACCCTTTGCAATGTACCATTTTGGTAAACTAAGAGGAAAGTATTGTCCTTTCCAAGCTTCATTTGCATAAACAGTTGGAACTTGGGTAATTGCCAAAACTAAAAAAAAAACAAGAGAGAGAGATAATAGATTATATGATTTAGGGGGTTAACAAATTGTTAAAGTAATGTGGGAGTGATAAAAGATCAATCACATGATAGATCATCTCATTTTTTTTTATCTATACTTACAAAATGAATGAATAGTTGTAATAACATGAATAGCTTCTTTTAATCTATTAAAAGATCTATTTCTTTTTGTTTTAAATAAATGAATTGTTTTGATGAGACATATAATCGAAGTAACACCTGCAAATACTAAAATTCCAGTTTCTAATTGTCTTCCTTCAATTGCCATTTTTTAAAAAGATTGATGAATTTAAAATTTCGTACTATTAAAATTTTAATCTAATCTTTGTATCTCTTCTCTCTCTCTATGAATTTAAAAAAAAAAAAACAGATAAAACAAAAATAAATAAAATGGAAATTGGAAAAGGTGTCTGGGTCCATATTCATATTACCTATCATTCAATATTTTTAAAAAAAAAGGGAGACACTCTATAGATTGATTGATTGGCAAGGGTAGGGTAGGGGGTTCAAGTGGGTGGGGGGAGATGGTTTGCAGAGTCGGGTTGTGTTTATGGTCGCCCTAATCAGGTGGTGTTGAAAAAAAACTTAAATCAATGTGGTGCCGCGAGATTGAAATTCAATATTATTATTATTATTATGTTTTTTTTTTTTATTGATTGATCGATGGAATGTGTGATCCTAACACAAAACTTAATATAATCTCAATGGGATGGAGTGGTGGTGAGTGTGTGTCAGTGTTTGTGTGTGTGTGACGGTGAAAGTTAAAGTGTGTTAAGATGTTGTTGGTTTTTCAATCCACAACCCACCTTTTTCCACTTCTCCCTCATCTTTTTTCTCTCTCTCTCTTCTGACGTTTGGTTGGTGTATGTTGGCGCCAATTTATATATATATATATATATATATAAACAAACGTCTTTCTTAAACCTTCTATTTATAAATTGATTCGTTCGTTCGTTCGTTCATTCGTTCGTTCTTTTACTCTTCGTTTGATATTGTAATGTTCATTTTTATCTATCCATCTGTTCTTAAAATAGTAGTTTTTAAAAACTGCAGCTGTTTCCAGAGTAATCCGTGTGTTGTGGGGGTGAGGTGAATGATTCATTCATTTCTTGTTTATGAATCAATATCCATGGCAGCTGGTGGTGTTGATGGTGACAATGGTTTACTACCTTTTGTCATTGTTGTTGTTGTTGTCGTTGTTGATATAGTTGGTGGTGTCATTACAGAGGATGTGGTGGTAATATTACTATTATTATTATTATTATCGGAAATAGGACTGGTTACCATCTGATTGTTTTCGTCATCATCTTTCATATAGTATCTTTCATAAATATATTCTTCACGTCGTTTTTTTTCAATTTGTTTACGGATTGCACTTGTTATTATATCCTTTGGTTCTGAATAAAGAATCATTGCCATTGATTTACTAAATGTGATAAAAATAGATAGACAAAAAGGTTGGTTAGTAAAGGTTAGGGTTTTACATTTTGTGTGTTCATATATATATATATATATATATTTGTAACTTACTTTCCGGGAACATCAATAGAATGAGGTGAAAGAGAAGGAATTTTACCAGATAGGATCGATTGAATTTGTTGTTGATTCGGCGACGACGACGACGATGATGGTAGGTTATCCAATACTTTAATTTCCTTTATATTATTATAGTCGATTGGCAATAAAGTCTGAGAGGCAGTAGATGAATGGGCGAGTAATAGAGGTGATGCTTTCTTGTCACCAGCTTCTTCTTCCTTGGCTCTAGAAAGAGGTGATGGTGATAGTCTTGCACGAGGAGACATTTGTTGTTGAAACAATAAATTCAACGTCGGTGAAGAAGATGATGATGATCCATTTGTATTTGGATCAACAGGTATAATTGATAATGATCTATTATTATTATTATTATTATGAATATTTGAATCAAGTTCAATTTGATTCAATGCAATAGAATTAATTGGTTGAAGTTGAGATTGTTGATTAAAAAATGTTAAACTATTATTATTATTATTATTATTATTATTATTATTATTATTATTATTATTATTGTTATTTGTAAAAGGATTTAAATTACCTAAATAACTATTGGTTGGGTTGATAATAGGAGTAGTTGTGGTGGTCGGTGTAATGACAGATGGAGTGAGAAGGGTTGCTTCGTTGTCACCACCCATGACAATCGGATCGTTTAGTGACAAGACACCAATGCTTTCAGCCATTGCCTGTGAAAGGAATCTCTTGTTGTTTCGAATACTGTCAAATGTATCTTCGGCTTCACTCGTCACACCACCAGAGTTTTCGATAGCTCTTCGTTTCAACTTTCCATAATACGATGATGAGGGAGGGTATATACTATCATGACTATTACTTCTACTATGCATGCTCCCATTAGGTCCTCCAAACTTGTTCAAATTCATCCTTTTAATCTAATTTGTTGTTTAAATAAACATATATATAAATATATAGTCTCCCTAACAGATAAACATAGGGGGGGTATTAATATGTATCTATCTTTGTATTTTTTGTTAACAACATTAATATCATACAACAAGCAACAACTCCTACTCTCGAAATTGCATTCTCATTTTAATTAAATTGCAATAAAAATTAAATTAAATTTAAACTGAATTTCGATAATTATTTCAGGTGTGGGATGGTGATTCCCCGTTTTACACATCTTTTGTTTGCTTGAATAAAAAAATAATCAATCACAATGAAGATTATATTATTCTTGAAAAATGATATATACTATTGATTTTTTGATACTTTTTTTTTTATGACTATGTTTATTATTATTATTATTATTAATATTATTCATTTTGATTAATATTCATTATTATTTTGTTGTTGTTGTTGTTGTTGTTGTTGGTAGGTGTTGATATCTTCTGTACTTGTTATTATATCCATTTCTATTGGGGCTTCTCTATTTGGTGGTCTGTTTGTTGGTGGTCGTTTTATGAATACAATGACTAACACTACTACTATAATAGAGAGTAGTGCAGCCGATAAGACAACAGCGACTATGATAAATGTCCATTGGTCAGATGTCTCTTCAGTACACTCATATGGCAGATTGGAGTCATCTCCAAGAATGAGTGCGTTGAAGACGGGATCGAGTTCAACCGATTGAGAGAATCTAGGTATGTGGAATGTGGTTAAAAGGTTGAATTTTCGACTTTTCCAGATTTGTTGAGCGACTGGATCATCGTTTGTGAGAAGTGTTACTTTGGATGGAATGATTGTCGAGTTGTCGATAACCATTCTACTTGCTATTTTACAGTTTAATAGTGTTCTTCCAACTTGAACTCTGGTCCATATAATCTGATCACCACGAGATATATCACTTCTGACTTTTAGCTTACCACACTTGTCAAATTCTACTGAATCTGATTGTGTATGGAATATCACCTGTAATGTATTGATCGGTGATGACCATACCCAATTAATGATTTTAACAGTGCACTTGATTGAATTTGGTGATACTTGAATATCCTCACCTAAAAATGAACTCGTGTTGGTGTCATGGAATTGATTTACACTGACTTGTTATAGTGTGCGTTGATTGAACATTCTTGCATTAAATACCAATTCACCAGAAGATGTCTTCTCCTCCTCTTGCGTCCACACGAGATTGTCAATTGATAACGTTTTAATAACCGATTTATCGTGATTGATTTCACGAATGAATTGTATACCAGTTGTGAAATTGACAATCACACCACTAATCGTTTGGTCTGTTGATAAAAGTGACATGCCGTTATCCCAAACGGTTGTGTTTAGTAACTGACTACGATTGACCAACTCTGAACAATCCAATAGGGGTTCATGACCACTGTTACATTTGCATGACCCAAACGTGGTATGCAAAATGCCATGTGACGAGCAATTGTTAAGACACTCTTTCGCAAGAGATACAACTTTGGTTGTAAGCATTCCACCAACTCCAATTTTAACAGTATAATTTAGATCGGTTGAATAAGGTTCAACTCTACCCAATGAACAACTAATTTGTTGATAGTTGTTTTCAATAAACATTGGTGATTTACATTGACTTCCTTGAATCGAAATCAAAACATATGAACTATCTTTTCCAAAATGATTACCATTGATTGTAACCTGTGATGCTTGTCCAGGTATAATACTAGTAATATTGTCAATCATCGGTGCATCACTAAAATGAAATGTAATCAATGGTGCGCAATAATTAACATTTTCAATCTTGGATGACACGGTTCTATCATTAATATTATATAGAATATTATTTGATGGTGTAACATTTGAAGTATCATCATTATAATACAATGGAGATGGTGTCCCTTTGAGTGGACCATTATTTCTTGTAAAACTATTATCACTACTGTTGTATGAGACACCCTGCCAAAATCTAAATTCATGGTAGTCTTTGATATTCAATGATTGACTAAAACATTGATACATTTCTTCAGATTCTATTGCACCAATATATGGAGCATTTGGTGTTGCTCCCATTTTTACCTTGTCAATCATTACTTGATTGACTGTTTCATATTCTCCACCAAATAGAATGGTTGAATGGAATTGTTTGTCACATACTATTGAAAAAAGACTATTGCATTAGAAATCAAACTATAAAATAATAATATTATTCAATCATTTATATATACATACAAATATAAGGTTTATAGGTTTGAGTATAAACATCATCAACTGATATTGAAATGGGAAGCAATTTGGTAGTTGTATTAAGAGATGTTTCGAGTTGACAAAAAAATCTGATTTGATGATGCAAACATAATATTACATGGAATATTAGATGTTGAAACATTAACAGATACTATATTATTACTGTGTTATCACCAAAGTTATCACCAATCAGTGTAATCAATCCATTAGCAGTGAATGATGGATAGACAGCTTTGATAAATGGTGGATATGGTTGCCATGCATAGTGTGTTGAGCTGACTCCACTAGCATCTTGAACAGTGACATTATGAAATCCATATAGACGTGGAACAGTACAAGTGACTGATGTTTCATTTGTTTGAGTTATTTGACATGATTTTTCAAGTTGTTTGGATGGATTGGAAAAATGTAATGTTGATTGTTTGTATGTTGAATTGTGTTAGATTGTTGATTGTTATTGATCCTCCATTTGTACCGATTGATGGAATATATACCTCTGAAATTGGTTGTATTTCACATAATGCTGCATAAACTTGATCATTATAACCATTATCATTATTAAAATTCCAAGTCGGTCTTCTGATGTAAATATATTGATCTTTAGCAGCAAGAGTTAAAGATGGTTCACCTGCATCGAATGGACAATATCCTTTAATAAAACAAAAATAATTAATACAATTAATTTTATAAAGAGTTGATACTATTAAACAGGCATACCCCAACATTGACCAGTATACATATTAAATAGTGGTTGATTGGTTCCTGGTCCACTTGAATAGGTGTAATTCCCAATACCTCTGATGTCTTTACCAGAGACCCATGCTGTTGTACTCAAATTGGTTTTAATAAAATCCCATTCTTGTTTTGATTCAATTGTGACAAGATATGATTTAAATGTACTGCTTTTGGAACCCTCACATAGGCGAATCGCCTCTGTGATTGAAGGAGTAGCCAAAAATAATCCTTTGTATGTGTGACCATTCCCTCCTTCTGAAGTTGGCCAATCAAATGTATTCGGGTCTTTTTCACAATGAATGTAACTAATATTCAACAATAAAAGCATTAAAACAGCTACTACTATTACTATTATATGTGACATTGTGATGTATTATTTTTATCTATTATTATTATTATTATTATCTCTCTCTCTCTTTTACTTTTATGAGTGCCAAACTATACACTTTATCACTCCTTTTAAATGATGTCACTTTTGGCGACAGTTGGTTGACTAAACATCATTTTGAGTGATTCCCATCCCATCTATTGACCGATCGATGCCAACAATCAATCAATCAAACCCAATTTCTTTGAGTCCAAAAAAAATGGCAGTCAGCACCACGCCATAGCTGTGCATCGACAGACACAAACCACCGGTCGATATAAACCATTATATTATTTCGGTTGCTTTGGTTTATGTTGTTTGGCTTTGGGTGTATATATATATATATGTTTGTGTGTGGCGGTGATGATTAGACAGTTGAACTTCCAACGAGAGAGAATGTATGGTCAAGTTGTTCTTTTGTTTGTTGACATCATAATCTCGCATACATCCTGTCTTCTCTCTTTCTATATGTTGTTGTTGAAGGGAAGGTAGGATCGGCTATTATTATTAGAATATTATTATTATTGTTGGGGGGTTACGTGTCTTTGATGTTGATATTCCAAGCAAGATTTCTACTTGCAGGTGTTTAATGATATCATTGATTGATCAGTCACATTGAAGGTTTGTTGTTAAAGACAATGATGGTGATCATTTGATGATATATGATAAACTCAACAACATGTTTGTATCTGTAGATTGTTGTACAACATGTTACTATTATCTATCACATCATTGAATTGAATGAGAAATATCTATCTATCTATCTATCTATCTGTCTGTGATGAAACGTTCATAAATAAGATAATTATCTGATTGTTCGATTGATAAACAAAATCGAGATAGAGTATTAAAATTTTTTTGAAAAGTATTAATTAAATTAAATTAATACTTTGCACTTTGCCATGATCAAAATAAATAGAATAAAATAATAATAATAATGATATTGATATTGATATCAATCAAATGATTTATTAAATATACACTGGTTGGTTTGGTTGGTTAGGAAACAATATGTTCAACAACACCTTCAGTAATTAAATTGGCAACATCTGAACGCTTCAAAAAATGGCTAGTATTTACTTTGAGATTGACAGTGGCACCGGAATTTAAGATGACTTCGCCAAACTCTTTGATGACACGTACCTCTATCAACAGGTCTTTGGGCGGTTGGTTGATATCTACTGTTAGATCCATACCAATATTTTGATGATACTCTGCCAACAACTTGTCGTGATTGGTAAAGAATTGTATTTCATTGACAGACATGTGTTCTTTAAAGTGGCTATCCAAGACACCACTTCCACTATTCCATCTAAATTCTTTAATTCTTTCTAATCTTTCATTTCTACAAATTCATACATATATATCTAATTAGTAATCGGATTGAATCTGAATATTATTATGTACATAACATACAAATAAGCCAATATACATCTTTTATTCCTATCAACACTAGTCTTTAAAACTATATTATAAGGACTCTTTGATTTATCATAGTGATGACTACTATAATTATCATTGTCATCATCACCATCATCATCATTATATTCATTAAATTCTCTTTCCAATGCTCTTATTTCATCTATTGTTTTCTTGATTGCTGCTTCCTACAAAGAACACATTTTTTGATTATTAGTATTACTATAATAATAATAATCCAACCAACCTATATAGTCAGTCTCATACATTATATAAAGGTAAACTTTCTGATCTTCGAAGTTCTCGTAATATCTCTATTGCCTTTTCTGTGTACATCTCTTTCTCTCTCTCTCTCTCTTTCTTTCTTTATATAAGTAATAATCTGATTGATCAGATATGATATTGAAAACACTCATAAACGAACCTAACCAAAGCTAAGATTGCTTGAATTTTGGAGGGAAATTTTAATTTAAATCATCGTACATCAAAATTGAGTTTTTCGAGTGCATGTATAGTAGTAGTAGTAGTTAATCAGTATATATATATATATATATATTGGTTGATTGACTAATACCAAAGTATTTATTTGTTATATTTGTACAAGTACGAATAATAATTAGTATGAAAAAACCCAAACCATCTTTAGATTCTATCGCAAAGATTTTTTGGGAGCGCCCCTTCCCTTGTTTTTGTTTTTTATTTTTTTGTACACACTCAGCTCACTTCAAAAAATAGCATACACACCTTTTTTTCATGTTCTTTGCTGTGTCGTAAAAGTTAGTTGTAGAAGTAGTAGAAGTAGTAGTAGGAGTACATCAAAGAGTTTGATTATATAGATCACATCATTGTAATATAGAGATCATCATCAATCATAATAGATAGATAGATATAGATAAATCTATAGAATTCATACCCAAGGTCATACATACCCCTCATCAAACCAAATCCAAAGGAGATATTTAGCTAGAAACTTTGAAATCAATCAAAATCTAGATTATCATCACACAACCCAACCTCCTTTTTTTTTGATACTCAATCCTCCATTATCATCAACAACATCTTCTTCTTCTTCGATCAGTCACACAAACAACAACAACAACAACAACACCGAATACACAATACATACACACATCTCTCCAACTTGCCTACTTACATACATACAATACAAAAGTAGATATTTTTTCAAATAATAATAATAGTAAGAGAGATCTCTCTGATCTGTTCTGATCACCTCCATCCATCCATCCATTTCATTGTATAATAATAATTAATAATAATAATTTGTAATAACAAAAGATTCAAGCCATGTCGTATAGCGAAAAGACAGGCACTCAACGTAGAACTGGTGGCGCCAACACCAGAGCCAAATCCTCTTTATTCCAAGTTCAATTTGAGGGTGGTAAACAATTAAAGACTGCTCGTAAGTTAATAATAATAATAGATCAACTCTCTCTTTCACACATTCTAACAAACATTTATCTTTCTATTTTTGTTTTTAGAACAAAAATCATATAGTATACCAAATAGAGCAATTGAAGATTTAGCAAACAAATTAAAAGATCCAAAGGCAACGACAGGAGAACCAATATTCATGTCACCTGATGGAACCTTTTACGATATCAACTATCTTCCCGTCTTTAAACACAAAGTACCTGACCGTGCCACACTAAACAACTATGCATCGGTCAATTTTGACGAAGATGAAGAGGAGTCGTTGCAAGAGCAACTATTCCATCTCTACAACACCATTCCACAGATCGACGAGTTTGACAACTTTTTCGACTATGAACAAGCCTTTTTGGCGTGGAAGTTTGCCGTAGAGACCATCTTTCAAGACATCCGACTTCCATACGCTGGAGGTCGTGCCTACTACCGTCCCCGTGTCTCAGACTATCAACGCGGACGTGACAATAGCACTTTTGACTATCGTCCATCAGTGTCGTCGTTTTCACACGAAGGCGACAGCGACGAAAAGAGCGATCCCCTCAACAGCAGCGAGATAATGGACGACGAGGTCGGTGGCCTCGCCGACAGCTCCGAGCCGTTTGACGTGTCAATGTTGCGTCAGGATCTCATTGACAGCGAGCCGTGGGATTCGCATTTGTACCCAGTCGAGCCACAGCCAGCCGACTACAACACCTACGAAGAGTACGAAGAAGCACTCACTCGTTGGGCTTCCGTCTCTGCACAGTTGCCATTCCTCCCACCACATGCCTCCCAACTCAAGGATCTCATTCCCATCCAAGCCATCTCTCGTGGTGACAATGACTCGTTTATCTCGATTGTCTCTTCCGAGTCCAAGGCTGAGCAGTTGGCCAAGCAGACGGCATGTATCCGATCGGGTATCCACGAGGTCTTGTTCTTTGACAATGACGTCGGTGTCAACTACACCCAAGTCATGACCTCGCTCGCTGCCAACAATCCAACTGTCCTCCCCGATGATGTTGCATCATCGACCACGTCGTCACCTTCCCCCTCATTATTATCTGTACACTTTTCCAAAGATGCCATCTTTTCCAGTGCATCTCAACCCATCAAACAAAACATTCGTGGTATCGTCAACAATTTGCTCCAAAAGAGACAACAAAACCTTACCACCCACAAGTCCTATGTCCTACCACTCCTCCCTCGTATTCATGGTACTCTTTCACCTTCAATGCCTTCACTTACAAAACCAAATAATAGTTTAAAAAATACTCACCTTAGTATGTTAAAAAAATAGAAACAACAAATGATATATATAATATTAATATTATTTATTTAATTTTTTAATTTTTTATAGGAAGAACAGATTTAACACCAGAACAATTAAAAGGATGTCTTGATTGTCCAGCAAAGGTTGGAGGACAAAATGTAAACTTTAAGATTCCAATTCATGATATTATATTTGATTTTAATAGATTAAAGACTGATCCATCGTATGCACCTGTCATTATCAATCAATTCCGTACATTGAATACCGCCGATAGACATAATCCACACTTTTCATGGTACAATCCATTGGTGACATCGTCGACCCACCAAAAACACCGTGATGACATTGACCAAATCATCACCTCGCAACACCGTATCACCAAAGACTCGCTCGACTATTCCAACATTTCTGAGATTCTCTATGGCAACATGTACTTGGACAAGTTTTCCGATTTGCTAGACACCTCGTTTTCCGAGGATTTCGATGGTGGAAAGAGTTATGCCACTGTCATTACCAAGTGTATCAAACCAGAAAACATTGATGAACTACTCAGTCTCGTTCAATGCTCCAAGAGCCCAATGTTTCATGCCAAAATGTCGTTCCTCGTGATGAATTTGTTCTCTGGTAACCAGGGTAGTCCAATCATTGAGCGATTGATTCAAAACAAGGATGTCAAGAACCTCTCACTCCTCACCTACTCGTTTGACTATCTTTCCGATCTCCCAATCGATCTTTATCCATGGTCTGATGAAACCTACACCCTTGTCAAACAAGTTCTCGGTGACTCTATGGAAAATCTTATCAAACTTACTTTTTGTTATTATTATCTTACTGTCATTGCAAGAGTATTGGATATTCATGTACATTTATATTATAGTAAATCTGTTGTAAATAATTCTAAAGTTGTAAGTAGAAAAAAATAGAAAAAAAAATAGAAAAGAAAAAAAAAGAAATATTTATTTATTTATTTATTTATCTTTTATTTTCTATTTCTAGTCATTAGCACATAGTATGGCAACTTTATTACAACAAAATACACCAGATATTTTGGATAAATTATTTACAGGTATTAAACATAGAAGTTCGACAGTATCATCATTTTGTTTGTTTGTATTGTTGCAATTTATGCATAATCAGGAAGGTATGGCCATCCACAATTGTTTGCGTGCCGATAGTTCATTCCTCTTTGAACGTGTCAAGGGTGTGTGTGACAGCAAGATGAAGCATGTCCAGTTTGCTGCCCGTCGTCTCTTTTCAGTGTTGGCCAAGGCTCCATGGATCGATTTCATCTACAAGGAATACACCAAGGATCCAGAGTCGGCAGTCCGCGACTTTTTGGGCGACGATGATAAAAAGCCATCGAATTTGTTGCTCGAAATGACAATGGACTTTTTCAATGTTGCTCTTGACCGCACCATGGAAGTTGTCAATGCATCCAACCCCATTTCCAACACGACTATCAATACCACCCCCCCTCTTACACCGGTCGGCTCACCTCCACCTGCTCCAGGCGGCACTCTCACACCAACCATCACGATTGGTATCAAGAACAAGTTTTTGTTTGTCTTGGACGGTATGTTGTTCCACACGCTGCTCCAGTTTGTCTTTAAGAACCCCAAGAACGTGTCGTACCAGATGAGTATTGCCACGCAGATGCTCGCCAAGCTGGCCACCACCCACTGCAAGCTCGGCACGATCAATGCCACGCAAGACGTCAAGACATCGCAAAAGAAGTGGGGCAACTGCCTCTTGTCGCTGTCGCCAACCGACGTGCGTAGCATTTCCACCCGTATATCGGATACCAGCAACTCGACCGGTGTCAATGCACAAATGTCGTACACGATCCGTCGCAACTTGCTCGCTTGTATGCGTCACCTCTTCAAGTACTACCCAGTGTTTGAGATTATCAAAAAGGAGGAGGATTTCTATTCTCGTTTGCTCTCGTTTTGTCGTGAAGGTTTCTCGCAAGAGTTTAACCGCGAGGCCTGGTGTCTGTTGTACCAGATCATGAAGAACCACGGTGGCACACTCGAGCAGTTGGCCAAAGACAACCTCACCTCGTTTATGGAGTTGGTCGGTACGAGCTCGCACACCACCGTCATTACCAACGGTCTGCACTACATCACCAAGATGTTTACCATCTCGACCACCAGCACTGACAATTCGAAAAAGATCAAGAACGACAAGGTTCTCGAAAAGGATCTCAAGGCACTCAACTCTCTTTTCATCAACAAACGTCTCTTTATCAAGATTCACATGATCTACAAGAGATACATCAATACCCAGCCAGGTCTTGCTTTTATCGAATTGGCCAAGTTCTACAACATCATGTACACCTCTGAAAACTGTTCCAAACTCTTTAAAGACACCATCAAAAAGACAGAGTACAAGGAAGGTCTCGAAAAGATCGGCACCATGTACGACCCATCCAGAGAAATTCAACCAGAACCCGAAAAGCCCTCCTCCTCTTCACCTTCTACCGCTTCTCCCAATCAATCTCCTGCTCCATCTCCTCAAATCGTACCTAAACCATCAAGTAGTGGTTTCTCTAACTTTTTGGGTAGATTTGGTAAAGATAAAAAATAATATTAAAAATAAATTAAAAAAAATATATATATTTCTCAAAGATCCCAAATATTTTTATTATTATGTGTCTCTAATTCCACCTAATTAATTAACCACCTCAACTTGAAACATGTAAATCAATGTCAATGGCACCATCTTGTTCGTTGCCACATGTAGAATTGTATGGCCAGTCGCATATCTTTTGGTTATCATTCCACTCTAATCCAGAAGGGCAAGGCATTACAACAGGTGTGCCAGTTTTTTCACCAGGATCAACTGTGCATTGAATGAATGTGTTACAATTGCCAGGGTTCTGATACAGGCAATCCTTTGGTCCTAAGCACTTGGTAGCCCAATTCATTATCCAATTGGAACTATTTAAAGGTTTTGATTTAATCAAAACCATCACTGTTTATTTTAAAATAATTAATTAATTTAATTAACAGTGTTCAGCATAATTCAAACTATCCTTTTTTAAACAGCAGATTAGATTGGATTTTAATAGTATCTGGGGGTAGGTTTGGATTGGGTGATAAATTTTTTAGGGTTGTCATCTTTTTGTGCACAATGCATATTGGTATGTTTGCAAATTTCAGTTATTAATATATATTTTCATCAAAACCAAAGATAAAAAGATTTGTGGACAGGTTACATTTAGGTCGAAATTTAAAAGAAGAGATAAAATGGTGATAATCTGATAGACTTATTTTTTTTAAAGTTGTAAGTTACATTTTAAACCCCTCTTTAGTTGATCAGCTAGTCCTTTCGATTGGGTGTGTTGGGTCAAACATGACCTCTCTTCCACCCACCTATTGGTCTATATATTTATATATTTTTAAATTTGTATTCAGTTTTGAATCAATCAAATAAAGTGTACCGATAAATAATTGATACCCAAATAATTGTTAAAAGAAAGATTATCCAATTAAAATACCAATATTACTATTATTTTTTATTATTGTTACTACCATTTTGGTGAGTCTGATATTAGCATTTTCCAACTTCCAATTACATTGTGATCGTCTGTTCTGTCAGAGTTGCCACCATTTAAAACGAACGACGAAAGTTGAGAGAACCAATTTCGCCAAAAATAAATATTATTTCGATTTTCGTAAACCATGTATGTGTTCTCTTTTCTTTTTTCTTTTTCATTCATCAAGATAGTTTATCCTTTTTATTTATTCATAATTGAACACTAAACTATCTATGATGGAGGAAGATGATTCCAAGTATCTATACGAGTACTTGTAGAACAGATATCTGATCCAACCAATCTAGATTCGATGAAATGTCATAGTCGAAAACAAACAACAAGTAAGAATGATCAACACACTTTGTTGCCAATGACAAGAGAGATAGAGAGAACTCTTTTGTCATTTTTCACAAAGGATCATGATTGCTTTTTGTGTTGTCTAGACAACAAGATTCAAATCGATTGGGAATGATTATAACTCGTTCAAATGATTCCTCTCTACCTATTCATTCTCTTGTCGTATTGGTATACCAATAGAAATACTTTTCTTTCAATGGTGTACCAATACTACAAGAGGAACTGACTGAACAGTGGTTCATATATATATATTCAAAAGAAATAAGAAAGCCTTTCTCTACTACAAGAACAACATTGTATGTATAAGCTGTGCATAAGAAGAAGAAAAAGGGTTGTTTGTTTCAAACACTAATTTTCGATGAAATTAAATCAATAAAACTTTTTTGGTTGGTTTGGTCACTCAAAGTCTATTTTATGGTGATCTAAAAATATCTTTATCTTTTATCAACAAACAACAATAATGTTTAAATAGCAACAAGATCAATGATGGATTATTATTATTATTATTATTTATTCTTCTTATCTTCTATATATTTAAATAAACCAATATGTTAATATTAGTTAAAGCAACAACCAATACATTCTCATTAGATGTAGATGCCAATGATACCATTAGTGTATTGATTACCAAGGTGGCTGATAGAGCATCATTAGAACCATATCAATTCCAATTATTGTTTGCTGGTGAACCTATGGAACCTACTGCAACGGTATCATCACATGGCATTAAAAGAGAGTCTACTGTACACTTGAACATCATCAAATATCTTTCATTCGATGTCCAATACGATGGTGAAATCTATGAAAATATTCAAATTGCTAATAATGCAGGTGTAACCGTTCGTCAATATAAATCGTATGTTTAGAGTACCAAAAGATTAATCTTTAAAAAGAGACTCAACCAACTAATCCATAATCATTATCATTTCTAGTCAAGTAATTGCTCATATTAAAGAAATAAAACCAGAGATTAAATCAAAATATCAATTGGAATTGAAACAAGGTAATAGTGTTTTACTAGATTCTTCATTGTTACACAAGGTTACAGACAAGAGTACATTGATCCAAGTGATTTACCAAGATACTCCTACACCACCACCCATAGCTGCCAACCAACAAGCCCAACAACAACCAACTGAGCCAGAGATTGATAATAGTGAATTTGTTGCTCACTTTATCGAGAATTCAATCTCAAATGATGTTGAAAGTATGTCATCAATATATATACAAACAAAGACTTTATTTATTAATTATTATTTATTTTTAGTTGTATTTGTATTTGATACAACTGGATCAATGAGTTCAGTATTAAAAGAAGTACGTACCAAAGTAGTAGAGACTATTACAAGATTGATGAAAGAGATTCCATCGATTAGAATTGGTATTATGGGTCTTGGAGACTATTGTGATGGTCTTAATGTACTCAATACTTGTGACTTGACATCTGATATATCAAAGTTGGTTAATTTTGTAAACAAGACTCCATCGACTGGAGGAGGTGATGAACCAGAAGCTTACGAATATGCATTACTAAAGGCAAAGGAACTCAGTTGGTCAAAACACACCTCTAAAGCATTGGTTATGATTGGTGACTCTCCCCCACATTCTCCTCAATTTACATCACTCAAGATTGATTGGGTTGCCGAGACTGACAACCTCGAAGCCATGGGAGTTAAAATTTATGGTGTAGTTTGTATGCATGAAAGACATAGATTCTTTTATCAAACTATCTCTGAACGTACTGGTGGTCTATGTCTTAGTTTTAATAGATTCAATGTAAATATTAATTATATAATAGATATTTAATTAATTATATTCTATTTATTAATAATATTATTTATTTCCATATTTAGTTAATTACTGAAATGTTTTTAGCAGTTTGTTTTAGAGAATCATCTGGTAACAAATTAAAGGAATTTAGAAAGGAGGCAGAGGTTAATGGTGATGCTGAAATGTCAAGAATGTTTGATCAATTGGAAAGACCCAATTATGTAGTGTCAACTAAAATGTATGATGATGAGGGTGACCAAGCCAGTAGTTCAACTGCTGCTACTCCAGCAGAAGAAACATCAGGTGCAACTACACCAGAACAAAAGGAACAAGAACCACCAAAACAAGTCATCAAAAAGAGATTTGGTGTGTTGACCAGCCCTCAATACTTTAGTCATGACTATGGAGGTTCATTCATCAATGTCAAGGGTAACCTCTTTGTAAATAGTAGCAATCAAAGATATAAATACCTTCAACCAGTTGTTGCCATGGCCATTGGCAATCTCCATATTGGTTTTACTACACTTTCCAAGGCTGTCATCAAAAGTCATATTCATGGCAGAGCCAAAATATACTTTCACGACTATAGAATGGAACCAGTTGCCACTGCTCCCCAACAACGTTCTATCTATATCGCTTGTTATGCCACCAATAATATAGAGTCATTTAACCAATTGGAAAACAGTATTAGAGAAATCAAGAAAATGCATCCAGAGTGCAATATGGTTTTAGTTGGAATTAAACCAAACACTAAAAAGAAAAATTCTACTACTGATGATATTACATCTAGTACATCTAGTACATCTACAACAACTACTAGTACCACTACTACAAGAAGTAGATCAAAATCATTTTTATCATTTGGAAGCAACAAGGATAAATCAAGTTCGGGTTCAGAAGGCACCATTACAAAGGAAATGAGACAAATGTTGGTTAGAAATTCAGGATTACAAGGTGATATTGAATACTCTATCGATGACTATTCATCTATGGAAACCCAATTGGCAAAGATTTGTAAAAAACTTGGTCACAAGTTTGAAAAATAAATAAATATAATACTAGGTATACCTTTTTTTTTGTACATTTATTAAACCAATGAACGAATTATTATCAAATCAATGGAATATTTTATATCTATAATATTTAAAAGGTTAAAAGAGATTGATTGACCTGAGGGATAAAAAAAAACAAAAAGGTTAGAAAGGAAAGTCGCAAGTGTTATAATATGTTTTTATTTGTCATTATTGTTTTTATTTATTTAAATTGTTTTGTTATTCGGTGGTTTAAACAGGGATTTGGAAATTAGAAGGTAGGAAAAGATTTCTTTTGAAAGCATGTACAATTGCAATGATAAATATTAAAACATAGATAAAATTTGCAATCGATACAATGATGATCGAAACAATCTTGCATGATACATATGGTGTGTATTGGTAGTACAGTAAGCTTGCTGTACCAAAAGCCAACAATGGAAAAGAGAATCCAAAGTATCCCAAATGGAAATAGGTTTGTCGTGATCGTTGAAGATGTTTAAGCATCATACCACACAACACGACACAGAGAATGAGGTCGACATAGATGAATCCATAGATGAGACGTGCTACAATTGGTAGACTCGACAGGATCCTAACCAACCCACTAAAACACAACGATGGAAAGGCTATAAAGATGGTCTGCGATGGAATATTCTCTGCAGTCAATAGACCCTTTCGATGGTATCCTATGATGATGCATGTATAGATGTATACACAATGAATAGTGCCTACTCCCCACAACACCCATCCAAAATTACTATACTGTTGATAAAATGTTGGTGATGCAATCAGGAATCCTGTACCACTGAAAAAATAACTTGGTGTAAATCTAATTGGTTGTTTGTTTCTCCATTTTTTATAAACTCTATAAATCAATGCTGAAAATGAAAATACTTGAATTGCAAATGACTAAAGAATAAAAAAAGAAAGAAAGTTAAATATTAATAAATTGTAGTAATCATTATATTCTATTTATATTTGTATTCTATTCAACTTACAATCCAATTTAAAGTTTTTGATAAACCTGAAGACCAATTATTTGCAAGATCGGCAAGTTGAAATAAAGACATTGAAGCAATTGGTAAAAAGGAAATTTTACTTAGATCCTTGAAATCATTTAGTTTGGTATGATGGTATTTCAAGATACTATAGACTACAATACCAAATGATATGATCCATAGACCTGCACCAAACCCAGCCAATATTTTATAGATGAGTGCAGGTGTACCCAAGAGTCGATGCATTGATCGCCAACATATCGCAGCTCCAGTTGTAGAGAGTACCACTGAAAACACGACAAATGGGACGAATCGAGACCAAGACAAATCTCCCACATTGACCTTGACACATTGATAATGTTTTGCAATTCGTTCATAGTAGTTGCCATCCAACATGTCTTGGTTCATCTCTACCTTGTTGGGTACGATCCCAACCGTATTGCCCGGGCCTAATTCATAGGCTATTTTATCGATAATGACAACACGTTCCGTCTTTCTCTTTAAAAACTTTCTGTACTTTCTTCCAGCCAAATGAGGTCTCTGGTCCATTGCAGGATCACCAAAATCAAACCTCTTTCTAAATACTACAGTTTCGCGACCATCCTCATCAGACATTGGAAACGATACCACGCTGTCATCGATAAATGAAGGCAGTGAACTGTTGGAATTAGATAGATCCGTTTGGGCAGTATGGAATTGGAAACGATGAATATGTCTGCAATCAAAATAAGATGGAGGTAGTGGAGCAGTGAGAGACATGTTGGTATTATCTTGAAAGATAAAGTTTATCAGGTTTTCAATACACGGGAAATACCTGTATTGTGTAAATCTAACCTTTAAAAAGTCATTATACAATCGGTAGTCGTCTATAATATCCTCGGGGATAAACGAATATTTGGTAGAGTTGTCTTTAAAGTTTAAATGTCTCACCTTGACATGATGCGACGTTTCAAACTTGTCTTGGTCATACCAATCTGCATTGATAAAGATATGTAATTTACCAATACATTCTGCTATATCCATTGCATAGTGTCTTGTAATCAAATTTTGTTTTGATATTAATAAGAATTCAATTAATTCATATCCTAAACAAATAAAAACAAAACAGTTAATACATATTTGTTACAAATAACATTTGTTTAATTTCATACCACAAAAGAAAGTTTTAATAGTATCACTATTACTATTGTCACCTTTGTATTTGTGACTATGGTGAGTTTCAGGGACACAATGTTTAAGGAATCGATAGAGAGTAGTGATGAGAGCATGTTGTGGTTTTGTAACGAGTAGGTCTAGACTGTATATTTCAACATCTTCAATGTCAGACTTTTTAGTTGGCTCCAATACCGAAGGTAATGAAGAGAATGATGAATCATTATAACTTGTATCTTGTCTCCATTCATCCAATTCAGCCTCTTCATCCTCTGATAATCCTCCACTAATTACACTATAAACTTGTAGTTCTTTTTGTATTCCTGGTGAATTTGGTTGTGGTTGTAATATTTTTTGTTGTTGATGGTTCCTTATCTCATTTAAAATGTGTAGAGTTGTTGCATCACTAATCTTTGGTGATGATGATTGTTGTTGTTGATCACCTTCTAATATTCTTTGATAATTACTATTCCTTGGTGACAATGATAACTGATAGATTAATGAACCATTCTTTTGAACTCTTTCAAGAGGATTATTTTTTGATGCTACACTTTTTCTTCTTCCTCCTCCTCTACCTCCTCTTTTAGGTGATGATGATCTATTATTTGTTGTTGTTGATGATAAAGGTGAAGATGAAGATACATTATTATTATTATTTAATAAAGAAAGATTAGATTGAGCAATAGTCTTTCTAAAACCAATCGAATTTTGTTGTTCATTATTATTATTATTATTATTATTACTATTACTATTATTATTATCTCTTGAATACTTTCTTGGACTGCTCATTCAATGAATCTATCTATGTATCAATCCTTTCTATATATCTATATATATCTATAGTTAGAAATAACCAACCAATGTAGCCCAATATAAATATATACAACAACCATTCATTATTACTTGGGTGTATGTAAGCACGCACTCGTTTCAAATATTTGTATACCACCAAACCATTATTTGTTTTTCATTCATTGATACAACCCATCATCTTTCTTTCTTATCTGTCTTGCCCATTATATGATTGTTTTCGGATGATTAAAAAGAAAGAAAGAGACTATTCTCATAGCAAAGGTCACCACTTTGTTTGTGTGTCCCAATGAGGTTATGATAAAAAAAACAAGATTTTTGACACCACCGATGACATCACATGCGCCACAAGGTGGCACTACTCTCACATTTACGATGAATGTTACCTTTGCTGTATCATTATTTTAGGTATAGATAGATAACAAACAAACAACAACAGATAGTTTAGTTGGTTAGTAGTTAGTTAGTTATAGAATGTCATCAGACCAAGTACTTGCATATCAAAATGAGATTTCACAACTAAAATTAGGTATGCTGCGAAACACACAACTGCAACGACAACTACAACGAATATCATCGAATTAATTCAATACTCACACTCTTTATTTATCTGTTTCTCTACACAAACAAATAGATATTGAAATATTGAATCAAGATCGTAGATTACTATATACTGAAAATGCACAATTAAAAGAAGAGAATACTAGAATACAAGCTACTGTCACGAGAGTACGTACAATACTACTCTATTATTGGTGTCTATTATTATTATATATTAATCTTCTTTATTATTATAGTTGGAATTAGCAATTGATAAATATAGATCATTGGTACAGAAATCAAATGATGCAATGCAACAAAAATCAAATGATCAAATGGCCGCTGTTCAAAATATAAGGTAAATATATAGATGATAATAATTATTAATATATATTAATATTAATGTATTTATTATATTTTTAGATCAATGACATCAGGTGATGAAGATAAAGCATTTTGTGAAAAGTTTGGTCTTCCAAAAGGAGAGTTTTCTATTATTTCATATAGTTGTACCAATGATGTATTCCAAGCTGGATCATTACATATTACACCATATTATTTATGTTTTGAATTACATCTTGGTCTATTGAAAACAGTCGAAAATACAATTACAATGCCAATCAAGGATATAGTTGCATTGAACAAGGTCAAGATGTTTAAATTCTTGCCAGGCAAGGGTGCATGTGCAGAGGTAAAGATGAAGGACAATAGTATTAAATTATTCAAAGGTTTCCTCAGACGTAAGGAATGTCTACGTAATATTTATAATCAAGCTCTTACTATTGGACATACCATCAATATGTTGAGAGAAGGTAATCCTGATCATGAACATCTTAGTCCTGACAATTAAATATAAATATAAAATATATATGGAATCATTTAAATAAAATGGAACATAGTCCATCCCTACTACCTTTGTACTACTATTAATTAATTTAAAATATAAATATATCTAGCTACATACTTATTTGATTTATTTCTTTAATTTCTTTAAAGCTGAAACTGCAATCTTTTTCTTTGGTGCAGGTGAAGTGGTAGAAGTGGAAGTAGTAGTAGTGGTAGTTGGAGCCTTGGCAGCAGGTTTAGATTTTGGTGCTGCTGCTGCTGGAGATGGAGATTTTGGTGTTGCTGCAGTTGTTGATGTTGATGGTTTCTTTTTATCTTGTGTATTTTTCTTATTATTCTTATTATTATTCTTTTTGTTGATATTTTTAGGTTCTGGAGCTATGTATCCAGGTGGTAACTTTGAATTTTTATCTAAACTCTTCCATAGGTTGGCAGCTTCATTGTCTCCAACTTGGGTATCGGGAATATCCAAATCTTGACTTTCAACAAAATAGGCGTTGACCATACGCTCGCCCTTTTCATCTTCATCCAATTCATCTGAATCAATGAGATCTTCATCATCACTATCTTCCTTGATTTCACCATTATTGAAAAAGTCTACTTCTCCTTGTTCCTCTTCATCCTCTTCTTCATCTTCATCTTCTTCGTCTTCTTCATCATCATCACGATCTTCTCTCTTTGTCTTTTCAACTCTCTTTCTCTTTACATCTTTAGATGATACAGATGATTTTGGTCTTGGAGGTTCTTCTGAAGAGAATAATACACTTGTAATTTTTTGTTTCATATACAACTAAAAATAATCAATAAATCAATCAATATTGTTAGTAAATATGCATTTGACAGTTATTTATATATATATATAATATAATATATATATATTTATATTTTACCTTATTAATTAAAGTTCTATTCTTTAAATTATAAATTCTAACGTGTCTATCTAAACCTGCAACAGCGACCAATGGTAAAGTTGGATGGATATCAATCGATCTAATTCCACCAGTAGCACCTGCATATTTTCCAGAGAGTCTACCTGTTCTCAAATCGTATTCTCCAACTTGACCAGACCCATCTCCAGCAATCAATATACTAAAAAATAAGAAGATAAGATAATATTATAAGTATGTTGATACAGAGTATGTGATGTAATGTAATGTATTATTTGATTTGTTTATGACATACTGTTCATTTAATGTAGTAGTTTTAATTGCATAGATTGGACTCTTGCCCAAGACAGTGTTAAATGATGTTTGAGATTTATGTGTACGACAATCATATAGTCTTACTTGAGCTTGACCGGTACCAACAGCCAATTTATCACGACTATGGAAATCCATAGAAGTGGTCCAGATGGGAACACGGAGACCCAAAAAGTCGTTTTTCAAGTTACGTGCATTCCATACTCTTTGTTGTGTCTCTACGTTGTACAGAGACACTTCCATCTCTTTCATACCCACTGCAACGTTGGTTTCGATCAATGGGTCTGAACGCATACAGTAGAGGTTGTTTTGACTAGTGTTGAAGGTGACCAATTCTTCAGCGGCACCCGTTTCAATATCAAACTTTCTGACATCGATTCTACCTCTGATATTACCAACTGCTAATCTACCGTTGATCATTGGACACACACCTTTGATTTGTTCGGCATAGTTGAGTGTTCTAACTACACTACCCGTACAAATATCTTGTTCTTCTTGTCCTTCTTCCTCTGCTTTAATCGTTCCTCTTTCAAATGACCAATAATCTAATTGTCCTGATTTAAATCCTTGAAGTATCTATAAAAATAGAAACAAATTAAATTTAAATATATGTATATACATTTCATCGATCGTATCATGCTTACATGTTTTTGATCCCATGCAAATGAAGCAGTTACAACTTCCTCTGGTGCTTGTTTCATTTTACCAAATAATGCAATTGGTTTCTTTTTGTGTAAATTGTAGACTAAATATAGATAGATTACAATACATTGATTGATAGTTATATAGATAGATAAGATATGTAGTTAGTATATCTATATAAAATGAAATGAACTTTGCAAACAAACTTACCCTTTAAAAGGCCGTTATCTGTAATGACTGATATATCCATTTTCTATCTCTATTTATCTCTCTCTCTTTTTAAACAATAAAAATAGATAAAAGAATGTTGTGTGTAATGTAATAAAAGTAATGTACAAGACGAAAAAAGGTATATTGGAGGAAGAAAACGACCGACTCGGTTTTTTTTTTTTTTTTCTCCAAGACACATTATCATTTTTAATTAATTTTCTACAATGACTCCATTTCATACTTGATGGATTGATTGAATATGATTTTAATCTGATGAGATTAAATATGATCACCACTCCACCCAGTCCAAATCAATCAAAATGGTCACCCTAATTAATTCAAAGTAAATAATTTAATAATATCTTTCACCCTTAAATCTACACCTAACCAAAACACACAAATATCCAAAAAAGGGTGTAACCTATTTTTAATTATTGACTATGACAAAGATGGAATATTCTTGATTGGTTGGCAGTACTGTTACTATTTTTTTTTCTGTATTCAACGAATTTGTCATTGTTGTTGTGGCAGATAATAGATGAAGCAGTGGTGGGGTGTAGCAGTCTTGAGGATAGCTTGAATACAATGAATAAAAAAGAGGTTTTGGTTCCATCTCACTCAATATCGAGAGTAGTAATTAAAAGTATTGGAAGGCTATCCAGATCAGTGCGAGGATCGGATATACACACACGTGAACGATTACCAAAAAACCAGAAATTGTGAAATATCTAGACCCTTTTTTTACCTGATTTAGAGCGGCGCATGGGTGCTTTTTTTTGGGCGAGGCGACGCATAAATCAAAACAACTCCTTCCCCATCTAATTACAAAAAAAAAGTTTCTTGTGAACTGTTCGGTTTTGTTTGATTACGGTCATCCTCCTCTGATTCTTTTTCTCATCATCCTCCCTTTGACCCTTTTTTGTTGTTGTTGCAATTTTATCTTACCGCATCTTATCTTATTTTTATTTATTTGTAGCACTACTACCATACCATCATCTTTGCTGGTCATCGTTCGATCGAGCCACTCATTACTCATCGCTCACACTCAACAACTTACTCTGACACACCAACCCCCCACATTAACATAACATAGCACATGTGTGTTTATTCAAAGAATAATAAGAGACTCGTGTAGTAGTGTAGATAGATATATATATTATTAGATATATATATTAGATATATTAGATAGATCTATAGACCGTACCATCACCATCATATTCAAAACACTTTCCCCTCTTCCATCTTCACCACACCCACCAAGGCAACATTTTCAAAAATAATCAGGCAAATCATCATCATCATCAACAAAAAAATAAAATAAATAATAATGACAACAACTATACAACAAATCCTATTAATACCATTATTGGTTGTATTTATATTATATAGCAGCACATCAGTGTTGTCTCCTCTAACAGTAGTCAATGGATTAGATATATCTGACACGGTACAGGTAATCAACGATCCATTTGTATTGGGAAACAATGAGAATCTCAATCTGGTCAATGCCACCATCATCCTAAACACCACCAACATTTACATTTCACCAACCTCTAGCATCACCACCCGATACGATTGTGCCATCAAATCGACATCCAATCTCAACATCACCATTGCATCTCTCATTGGTTCTTTTAACGGTTCCTTTGAAATTTCAACTATTTATCTTGAAAAGTAAGATAGAAAATCAAATTAATTAATTATTTAAATAATAATTGTATTTACATTTTTAATTTAATTTTATTAGTATAACAATAGAAATGACAGCCAATTCAACATTATATGATACAATTATTGAAATGAATAATTCAAGTGGATTGATCGTTAATTCGGTGAATTTAATTGGCTTGTACAATTATTTGGGTGATGGAGAGTCGATTTTCAAGGGCGGACGTATCACTACTCAAAGTTATAATCCTCAATTTTGCGGTGTTTTTATTCACCCTGGTAATGTGCTCAAGGCATCGGGTATGCCGTTGCCGACATGGGTGCTCCGTACAACCGTCTATAACAGCAGAGTCTTTTCGACGGTGCTGCCTATTTTAGTGCCATCAACCGAGTATCTAAGGGGAACAATGACAGGGAAATACAACTTTTTTGGTAAACTCACCACTAGTCCTCGTACGACACTACTTTTTACCGACTTTGGTCTGACCATTTATGACATGGATCTACAGGGTGGTGCTATCAATGTGACCAACTCTGTTTGGGATTTGTCGTACAATGTGACACGTGTTGTCAACTCGACCATCAATTTTAGAACCAACAGCACGTTTGTCATTAACCAGATCGCTCCAGACTTGGGTGTATCGCCTTTTGGTGTGTTGCAATTGGACAATGTGTCCAAGGTCTACTTTGACGACCCGCTCACAACAACGTTGGCATTCAACATTTACTATGCGCTCATCAAGTCGAGCAATGCCTACGAGACCATCCAAATCTCTTCAATCGTGTCGGACGACGGCGCCATCCAGTGCAATGGGATCACCAGCACGCTCTACCAGCCCATTCCCACACAACGTTATAAGCTCAACCTGATCGGTCAGTTCCTCAGCGGCACAAGCCAGCGTTTCATGGGCGGCCTCAGCTTCTGCGGCAGCCAGACTTTGGCTCTCCGACTCTGGGACGACACCTACAACAAGCAAGCCAACCCCATCACCAACATATGTGACGGCGACAATGTCTTTTGCTTTGCCATCCGTGCTTGCATGTCGCTCGAACAATGCAACCACTATGGTGGCCTAGCTTGTTCCCCTTTCGACAACCAAATCTACTCAACTGCTGCCCAGTTGGGCATAGCCGGTCTACTCGACTCGAGTCAAGCCGAAAACAAGACACTATTTTGTTGGGACGGCAAGTGCGTTGAAGATATCAACGAGTGCGACCCATACCCCGCGTGTCCGCCCAACCTCCCCTTACGTTGTTCTGGGTACTGCGCCCCCATCGGTGCCGTGTGCGAGGCTTGTACCCTCATAACACAAGAGTGTCCTCAATCATGTCTCAACGCCACCACCCTCTGTTCGCCATACTATGGCTGCAATGTTGGCCAGATCCAATGTCTTGGCAGTCAGGCATGTGTCGACACGCTCGACCAATGTGACCTCTACGGCTCCGTTCCCCTCCCCTTCTCGACACGTTTCATAAAGTCTAACTCGGACGTTTATGCTGAACACCGATCCAATGCTGCCATTTGGTCACAAGCCAACTCTGAACTAGAAATCAAGAGTAATTCCCATTTGGTCATTCCAAGCGGCCTACTCCCCTCCACAATCCAATTGGTCCAATACAGTTCCATGGCCGACTCTCTTGCACTCCAAGTAAATGGTTCAAAAATTAGATCAGATTTTAGTTATTTTAATCATATCATTTCCCCTCCTTTAAAATTACAACTTTATAATGGTAAACAAAATCCAAAACAAATGTTTCCCCTCAAATTATTAACTATTTGTTTTTTTGTTTTTCTCTATCTCTATTTTAATTTAGCAACAACTAAAACCTTCTTTAAACATTGGAATTTCCAAAATAATACTGTATCTTTGTATTATAATTTAGGTGCAGATTTCAAACATGTAAGTTCAAACAAAAAAAAACCAATTCATGCACTGCGCGCCGAGTTTCCTTTTTGAAAATACGTTTTATACAACTTAAACTTATACCTTTTTATCTTTCTTTAGGACTTGGATGCTATATGTTTGGCATTTATCAATTCTAATAATGAATGGGAATGTACACCATTTACAATTACACCTCGACTCAACGGTATTCTTGAGACCAAGACAACACACTTTTCAAGTTTTGCTCTTTTGTTAAAGTATGACAAAAATGGCGAGCAAGAAGAGAGCAAAGAAGGTACAGTCTCCAAGCAAAAGATGATCATCATTGCGACATCAGTTGTTGGTGGCATCGTGTTGTCTGCTATTGGTGTAGCGTTGGTTGTCAACTTTAAGATCAAAAATCATTCCTTTAGACGTTGGAGTGTACGTGTCAGCAAAGAAGACATTTCTGATTTAGACAGATACAAACAAAAGAATTTTAGAGCCACTTAGTGATAGATATATATAGATATATAAAAAGCAAGCATTAATAATTATTTAGGCATATCCAAGGTTTGGTTTTGGCTTAATTGGGTAATCGACAATAACAACAACAAATAACAACAAATAACAACAACAAAAAGATGATTTCATCATTCATTCATTCATTCATCCACTCATATCAATTCAATCAACGAGCCAACCAATGACCAATACCAAAAAAACATTCATCAATTTCATTCATTCATTTGATCACGACGACCAACCCTAACCCGTCAGAACAAAAAGAATGCAAGCTTGCCATATTAATAGAGACAATAAACCCTTTTTTCTTTTCCCAACTTACACGCACAGGTCCCTCCTCCCCTCTCTTTGCATAAAACCTAAAATCTTAAACCATGGTCTTCACGAGCTTGACAAATCAAGTGCGTTTAGAAATATCCTATGATTGGCGTTTTGCGAGTCATTAGATTTTGTGTTCAAAAACGCTTGACACTAAAATAATTTGTTTTTTGGCGTGATGACGGATTTTTTATGGTGCTGTGGTGGTTCACGGGTGCCAAGCACTTGGGCTACGTCAAGCATAGGGGTTGGTTGCTTGATATTATCGCTCACAGCCCGCTCGACACACCCCCTCCTTTCGCTCCTCTCTATCTTTAATGATTGATTCCTTGATTGTCTCCCCCATTCGCAAAGATTCTTCATGTCATAGACAAAACAAACTACTTGTGTTTTATTGTTGTCTGTTCATACTCGCTGGTTCTTGGTTTCAAGTGGTGAGGGAGCCCATTAATCTATAAGTGTGTCTTGTGTTCGATGCAACCAATCACATAACTCATCGCATCCTATAGGTTGCTCGATATTGTCCTGGTTTTGTGACAGAGGAGGGGGTTGCAAACCCAACCCACCTGAATTTCCAGTTCAGATTTCGAATCACCAAGTTATCCACCCCCCGATCTATCATAATGCATCCCTATAGCCCCATCATCATCTCTCAACTTGTTTCTTTGATACATACGCTCTGTTGTTGGTTGGGATGAACGACGATGTAGTGGATACAGATGAAGGAGGAGTGTACAATTTTTGGTTGGAACCTTGAAAATGATTCTTTGCACTGCTGCTGTCAGGAGAGTAGGTAACTAGTTTCAGTTATCCCCCCCTGTGCGCAATCAACAAATCAATCAAATAGTAACCAATCCCGACACTACCATAGTTTTTCACTCATTGCGATTGCGATTTAGGGCATCAGAAAACTCACTCTTCGATCAAACTACCTTCCCGTTTTAAAAACAGACAACACCCACCTGCAAAGATTGGCTCCTTCTGTGAGCGAAGAGGCCGCGCGCAGTACCAAATTGACTTTTTTGCAAATCTCTCGTTGGTAGAGAGGGAGCAACATCCCGATTTGGTAATTCCTTTAAAAATCACAATTTCGAATTATTCTTTTTTGCGCGTGGGGGAAAGGGCCGCCCTTTAGCCTCTTCAACACCTTTAAAAGCAATGAGCGGGTCATTCTCATTTCCATCATCAAAAACAAAGTATTAAATATATATATATATCCAAGAGATTTATCTCAATCAAACAAACACACAAACACACAACAATCCACATATCTTTTAATCTAATTAATCCCCCATATAACAATGTCCATCCCAACTCCAACTGGTTTCGGTGTCCTCACCACGTATGTATAATACAGATAAACCCTCAGATATATTACTCCATCTTACTAACTAGTACATGCGTTCTCTACACTTTTTTGAAAATTTTTTAATTTTTTCTAAATTTCACTAGATATGCTCAAGTCCAAACTTTATTGGTCAATGCTAATCCGACCCAATTGATTGTATTCTACCTTACTGGTTACCCATGTCCAGCCTGTGCCATCATTGCACCACATGTCAACAAGTGGGTTGCAAAGTTCCCAACTGTTCAATTCTACCACATTGATTTCAACACTGATGCCGGTCAAAACCATGAAGCCTGTCAAATGCCATCGATCCCAATCGCCAGATGTTTCAAGGACTACACCAACACTGAAATCATGATTGCCGAATCTGGAGGTACCAACTATGGTTACATGGAGACCATGATCAACAACAACAAGTAAACTATAGTTACCAGTTAGTTTATTCATCCATCAACATCTACAGTCTTGACAATGTTTAACCTTTGTACAAATAACCCCATCACCTCACCCACCCACCTACCCATCACCTTATATCATCCATATCATATATTCATATTCACAACTCCTCTGTTTGCTTGCAAGAGCCAACCACAACCAATTAATTAATAAAATTAAGAACAAAGCTGTACACTATAATAGTTTATATACTATTCATTACAATACACAAAACAAACAAACAAACAAATAGTCTTTCTTTATTTCTTTTCTTTTTTTTTTTACTAGGCCTAGAGAGGTATCTATCTTAACCCAATAAGTTAAAGTTTACTGAGTTACTTGATTGTTCAGGGTACTCTTGTCGTTCCCTTTGCACACCTTTGGGATAATTATAAAAAAAAAAGATATTTTTTCCACGACCTGAGTGAAGTTCACACATTTTTTGGGAAACCCTCATTGGATGGTTGTTGTCTAATCACACGCCGAAAAAGGAATAAAAATGAAATTTTTTAATATTTTAATTTCTTTTTTTTTTGAAACCTTCCCCTCACTGTAATCAAATAATAGTAATTGATTGAAGGTGATTGTTATCTTGTCTTTTCTTTTTTTACAATTAGCACAGAGTTAACAATACAATGACAAAAGGTAAATAACAACAAGATTAAACATCATCGTCACATTAATACTAACTTGTTTGTTGTTCATTGCTATGATGATCTATAGATTTTAGTAAAGCAACTGATGGTACTAAAGTCATATCAGACGACCCATGGTTAGAACCATATGCACAGACACTTCAAAGAAGACACTCACATATCGATTACATGGTCAACCAATTTAAAGAAAAGGAAGGTGGATTAAAGGCATTTGCAGAAGGTTACAAATTCTTTGGTTTCAATATCACAAATGAAGGTGTACATTATCGTGAATGGTTACCATCTGCTCATGGTGTAACTTTGGTTGGTGATTTTAGTATGTATACAAAAAAAAAGATAAAGAAAGATAAGACAAGATAACGAAGATTAAAAAGAAGAAGTTTTACTTTTACAATACAAATACTTATTTATTTATTTTTTTAAATTATTTTTTAATTTTTTAATTTTTAGATGGATGGAATAAAGAAAGTCATCCACTTGAAAGAGATGAATATGGTAGATGGTATATATTTTTAAAGAATACAGAGGATGGTAAATGTGCCATTCCACACGGCTCCAAGATAAAGATATATGTAAAGTTGCAAAACGGTAATTGGGACTACCGTATTCCAGCCTGGATCCATAGAGTCGAGCAAACCAAAGACAATCCAGTGTTTGACGGTGTATTTTGGAACCCAGCTCAAAAGTATACATTCAAGCACAAGTCACCTGCCCCTCCAGCCGCCGGCTTGCGTATCTATGAGGCTCATGTTGGCATGTCGAGTGAGAACCCAGAGATCTCATCCTACAAAAAGTTTAGAGAGACCGTGTTACCACAGATCAAAGAGTTGGGTTACAACTGCGTCCAGTTGATGGCTATCATGGAGCACGCCTACTATGCATCGTTTGGTTACCAAGTCACCAACTTTTTCGCCATTAGCAGTCGTTTTGGTACACCTGAAGAGTTGATGGAGATGATTGATGCTGCCCACGAAATGGGTCTGCTCGTGTTTTTGGACGTTGTTCACAGTCACGCTTCAAAGAATGTTCTCGACGGTCTCAACCAATTGGATGGTTCCGATCACCACTACTTTCACTCGGGAGGACGTGGCAACCACGATGTTTGGGATAGCAGACTATTCAATTACTCCAATTGGGAAGTACTTCGTTTCCTCCTTTCCAATCTCCGTTTCTTTGTAGATAAATATCATTTCGATGGTTTCAGATTCGATGGTGTCACCTCTATGATTTATTATCATCACGGTTTAGCTCCTGCTTGTTCCTATGATGATTATTTTGGTCCTGCTGTTGATGAAGATGGTTTATATTATTTATCTCTTGTAAGTAGTAAAACAAATATATATATTTATTTATTTATTATTAATTAATTTATTAATTTATTTTCTATTTTTATTTTTTAGGCAAATACATTATTAAAAGAATTAAATCCAAATATTATAACAATTGCAGAAGAGGTAACTGGTATGGCATGTCTTTGTCGTCCAATTGCAGAGGGAGGATATGGATTTGATTATAGATTGGGTATGGGTATTCCAGACAAATGGATTGAATTGGTAAAGACAAAGGATGAGGAGTGGAGTATGGCAACCATTTCCCATATGCTTTCAAATCGTCGTTACAAGGAAAGAAACATCTCTTATGCAGAGTCACATGATCAGTCGTTGGTCGGTGACAAGACACTTGCCTTTTGGTTGATGGACAAGGAGATGTATGATCAAATGTCGACCACCAGTCCCATCACACCCATCATTTCTCGTGGCATGTCACTACACAAGATGATTAGATTGATCACATCTGCTCTTGGTGGTGATGGTTATCTCAACTTTATGGGAAATGAATTTGGTCATCCTGAATGGGTTGATTTCCCAAGAGCTGGCAACAATGAATCCTATCATCACGCCAGACGTCGTTGGGATTTACACCGTGATAAATTACTTCGTTATCACCAACTTCGTAATTTCGATATTGCAATGAATCAATTGGAAGATAAAACTAAATGGTTAATTGATTCTCAAGTATGAAAAAAAAAAAGAAAAAAAATATATTTTAAATGATAAATGTATTAATTTATTATTTATTTTCATTTATTTATTTTTTTAGGCATTTATATCATGTAAACATGAAGATGACAAGGTGATTGTATTTGAAAGAGCAGGACTTATTTTTGTATTCAATTTCCATCCATTCAAGAGTTTCTCAGATTATCGTGTTGGTAGTGGCTCGAGTGGCAAGTATGCCAATGTTTTGGATTCAGACAGAGAAGAGTTTGGAGGTTTTTGTCGTATCGGAACCACTCCCCATTTCACTGAAGCTGTTCCATGGCATGATCGCACCCATTCACTCAAGGTTTACATTCCATCAAGAACTTGCCTAGTTTTACAAAAAGTTGATTAATATTATCAATCCAAATCATCATCATCATCTATCAAACCCCCTCCCCAACCCGTTCAACCATATTAATTTAATAATTTAATTGGTAAAAAAAAATATAATTATATAAATCTAAAAAAAAAAAACAATAAATAAAAAAACAGCCACATCCTTGGATGAAAACTGATTATAATGTACATTATAAATTCCTTTTGTCCACAACCTCTTTTCGTCTCATCTCTCTTTTGTATGATATTTACATAAACCTAATGAAAAGAGTACTTTATCAGTGATAACTTCTACATCAGTATCAACTTCTTCTTTTGCCAACATAAAAACTTGATATAATTAACATATCATATCTTTGTGTGATGTATGATTCATCATCATTAGGGTAGTTTACTTCCTCCTCTTCTTCATCTACGTCCATCTCTGCAGATTCAGCTATTTCATTTGAGGATTGTTCCTCTACAACATCATTGACTGATTCGTATCCAACTTTGTTCTTTCGCTAACTAAGCGTATCCAATCACCAAGTTTCGGTAATCGTGACATACTCTCCAATCTCCATTCGCTTTTGGTGTAACAATTGGTTTGTCCAAATCACATGGCATTGACTTGGATACATTAACACTATATGATGTTAATACGTTGAAAGGTAGCAGTATTGAATAATAACCAACACGTATGTTATGGATCAACAACAACAACAAGATCTTATTAATTACTTTTACAATTACAAAAAAAATTAATTTATTAATGTGTTGTGTGATTATGATCGATTGTGGATTGAATTTATCTTGGCGATTGTCGTGGAGAGAATCTATTATTATTATTTGCTTGTTCCTCAATGATTGAAATCATTCTACCGATACGCTCAATCTTGGACATGATTGGTGACAGTTCAGCCATATTGTTTACCTTTTGAATATTGCTAGACAATTCTTGGAGTTTGGAAATGACAGTGTTGTCACGTTTGCCTGCTGCTGTTGGTAGTTGTTTGCCATCGAGAATTAATTCATAAAGTACAGTTACTAATTTAATATCTACATCGATTACTCCACTGCCTCTTAATGGAATATTAATTCCATTATTATTATTATTATTATTATTTGGTTGTTGTTGATTTAATTGTACATGGTTATTGTTGTTGTGGTTGGTGTCATTGTTGTGTAATTTTGTAGTCACAGTATTGATAAAATATATGACTGTAGATTCCAATGTTTCTTTGACACTTGAGAGTGGGTCATATAGGGAGTCATGGTCACGAAGACTGTTGGAGATTTGGTCAGATACGTCAGCCAACAACTCGGAAATATCATTGCTCTGAGAGAATGAAGCAATGTCCATAAAGTCTAAAAACTTAATAGTCTCTTTTTCAATGGATAGGGTGAGTGCGTACAACTCTTGGAAGGTTGGGGCATAACCAGACAAAGAGGTTGGCGTCAAGCAGTGCACTTGGTGGTTGCTAAAGAGCTGCACTTGTGGCTTGATGGCGAGTGATGGCTTGTCTTGTGCACCAGATCCACCCGACATGGTGGCCGACTTTTGCCACTCATTGAATGACAATTGTCTGGTAGCACGCTTCAAGATAGCCAACACACCAGACACGTATTTAATGTCAATCGACTCTGCAATACGCTTGACAACGTCGTTCAAACTAGAGAGGATGGATTTGGTCGAAGACTGAGCACTCATACGTAACGAGTTGATAAGTGTCAATGCTGTAGAATCCTTTTTAACGGTTGGTGCCAAACGGTTTCCATGTGTTAAACTACGGCTCTTACGACGGTTGACTCTATCACGATCAAATGCAGAGTTTGATGACAATTTCATCATTGGAACTACTTGAGTGGTGGTAGAGGTAGGGTTGGCCGTGACGACTGGAGATGCAGATGGTGAAGGTTGTACCACTTGGCTGTTGGGAACGGTCAATGGTGATGATAATGGAGTTGTTTGAGTTGAATCCATTGATGGTGATACAGTTGCAGCAACATTTGTAGTAGTTGGTGACAAAGATGGAGATGTTTCAACTTTGACTTCCTCTGTACGTGGGGTGTTTGGTGAACTAGTAGAACCACCACCACCATTTACTTCTGCTGCTGCTTGTATAGTTATAGCAGATGGTTCTAAAATAGTAACAACTCTTGGTGTTTGGGGAAGTGAAGAAAAGTGTGGAGACGAGTTGGCAGACGATGATGATTCATTGTTTACAAGATCGGGTGAAAGTTGGAGAGCGAGTGGAACAACCAGTTGGTCTGAAATACCATAATTTGTTTGATGTTCGAGGGATGGAGACTTGGAGAGAGAGTCCAGGATAAACTTGGTCTTGTAGGTGACTGGATTCCAACTTTCGGAACGGTACAAACAAATGTAGGATGGTTTCTCGAGTAGATCGAGCAACTCGGTACGCTTGGTGTGAGTGAGGAATTGGAATAGCCATTTTAGCATTTCGGAACGACTCTTTCCAAAGTCTGTACCAAACTGGGAGAATAGCTTGGGCAATGAGATTTCCTTCTTTTTCAAACAAATGTCAACCTTGCTTGAACAGAATTCCTCGCCAGCGCGATGGAGATCTTCGACCAACATCTCGGCGAGCATGATACGCAGACATGGGAGAGTGACGTTGACGGCAAACAAGACAAAGTGGTAGCGGGGGTCGAGTGGGATGACAAACTGTCTACGCTTGTCGCCACTACGGATCTGACGCACACGCGATAAACTATTCTTGGGGTTGTTACGGAGAACACCATGTTGAATATCGGCCAACGAGTAGAGACATCCAGCAATATTGTACTTGTGCATTTGATAGGATTTTCTTCGAATGTCAGAGTTGGGTGGTCCCACTAAAAAGTGAAGATGTAGTACCAATAGATTAAATGCATTGATAAAGAATGCTGCGATATACTCTGGTGACATATTGTCAAATGTCACAACTTGCAACTCGCACACATCTCGACCAAACTGAAGGAAATCTGCAGTCTGCTGTGTCAATGCCCAATTCAAAGGTTGTCCATTAAACTTTATACTCTGTGCGTCTGACAACTTATTGTTTTTACATATAGTTATCAATGTCTTTAATAATTGTTGTACTACTATATGTGCTGATCTTGGTTCACTTCTCCATTCACTATCAATATTAATTACCTTCTAAAAAAAGAGAAAATAAAAGATTAATATATTTTTAAAAAAAAGAATAGAATTAGTTATTTTTAGATTTACATACAACTTCTTCTTCAGATTTGTTTGCAACATTTGAAATAACATTTAAAGTTGGAGTGATGACAGTTTGCTTTGCAATTTTAAGGTTCTTTGTGAGAGATGACCATTTTGGAATGGTGTTATTGTCAGAGTTGGAACGTTGTTTGTTTTTGAGTTCTTTGACACTGCTGTGGTGACCACCAGCAGAATTGGAACGTTGCTTGTTGAGGAGATGGTTGGATGAGATGGGGGGAGCAGAGAGAGCAGCACGTTTGGATGATTCGACCGAGTTGAGGATGGTGTCCCACTTGGCAGCGGTTTGGGCAATGCTTGACTTGGCAACACTCGACTCGTAGGTACGTTGCACCTTTTCGGGATTCTTGTCAATGAATTGTTGGAGGTAGATGATACCGTCGTGAAGCGAGTCTTCCGACACCATCATACCGTCAATGGTGTGGTCTTCGGCTGGACGAGCAGCCAGCTTGGTGAAAAACTCATCAAGTGCTTGTACATTGTCGGTGATAAAGTCGTTGACGTTTTCCATGTATGGTTGGTTGAATGTGGCTTGGTTGGAGAGATTTTGTAGACATTTGGCGACGAGTACAAGTGCACGACGCTCGGTGATACCTACACGGCCAGCCGACACGATGCCGGCATTCTCTGGCGACACGCAGGCCGGACAAAATAGACGCAAAAAGACAAAGCCGCCAACAGCCGCCTTCCAGTGATTGGGGAATTTGCGAGAGACGATCTTTTTAAAGTAAAAGCATACCTCGGCGATACTCTTGGGACACTGGTCAATCGACGCGACAATACGATCGAAAAACTTTTGCGAGACGATACGCAGGTTGCGCTGGTTGGTCTCGGCGTCCTCGCCGGGTGGCAGTTTGATGGGGTCGACCTCGAGTGGTAGCGGAGAGTTGCACAACTCGACTACGAGTGGTGTCAACGTCTGCTGTAAATAGTGTTGTGCAGTCTTGTGTCCATACGCAACCACCATCTTCATAGCCACCGAGTTGGACCGGAACAAAGTACCCGGGTCATGACACGCAGCCACCTCCTTTTTCAAAAATGATTTTAACAAGTGCAAGAGTTTGTGGTGACTGTGAAAGACGTCGACCAATGACTTGGCGATCATCTGCGCGGCCGTGATATCGACAGAGTCACACATGGCATGTACCAACGACAACTTGGGTGTGATCAAGTGGTCGAGCATCTCCTTGTGTGTGGCTTTCAAACGGATCAAGTATGGCAAGTTGGTAACCTCGTACGATATTTGTAGTTGGATCTCTGGATCGTCGCTAGTGTATGATGACTCGTCGTCAATGAGGTTGGTAAATGATGACATTGATGTAGATGGTGCAATGGTTGGTGTGACTGGTGTAGATGCAGAGTTGGAACCGGTCACAGTCAACTTGTACCACTTTAACGAACTCTCGATACGTCCATTATCGAGATCGGTCTGCTCACTATTATTGATGGTCGCAAGTGTAGGCGACGAAGTAGAGTTTGACGCAAATATGGGGATGGGGTTGGCCTGGATACGCTGGCCATTCTGGTACGACACAAATGGTGGTGAGTCCATACCCGATGGTGACGATGGCACCGACAACGAGTATGGTGGTGGCATGGCCATCCCATACAATTGCGGTGACCCCGATAATCCAGGTGTACCATTACTATGTGCACCAACCGACGATGACGATGCTGCCGAGTTGGTTGATGATGAAAGTGTATTATTATTATTATTATTATTACTGCTATTATTACTATTGTTGATTGGAATTGGTACACTCGTCGATGAAGTACCAATCATAATGGGTGAAGGTGGAAACACGCTGTTTCCACTCTGGCTCAATGTCTTTGGTGATTGTCTAGGTGATGGAGGTGGTGATGCTGATGAAGTGGTTGATGCGTCCAATATCGGTGATGAGTTTGGTTGATTTTGATTTACAATGGATAAAGAGTTATATGATGATCGTCTAGGTAGACTGATTGGGATTGAAGAGTATTGTAGTACGACACTTGTCTTGGCGAGTGCGGCCGGTCCGTCCACGACCGATCCATCCGACGATGTCTTGCCGAGCTTGTGGCCACTCTTTTGCTTCAAAAAGGTAATGTCAAACTTGTTGGACACGATCGGCATCTGAAACACCAACGAGTTCTTTTGCAGACCGTGATCGGATTTGGGACGGCGCAAGACCACGTCGATCGGATGGTAGTCGTTGCCATCGACGTGGACCGTGCACACCAATGCCCCATCTGTGCCATTCAGAACCTTTGTATTCTTTGCATTTATAATCTTGATAAAGAGTAATTGTGGTCCATCCATCGTCAAATAAATATTTGTATATTATATATATATATATGTTGTTTAATAACTCGTAGTTGGTTTGAGTGAGTGAGAGAGTGTGTTGAAATAAATAATATAAAAATAAAATAAAATAAAATAAATAAAATAAAGGTTTCTAGAAAAAGAGTTTTACAAGTACTCTCTTTTTTGTTTGTGGGTAGTAATAAATAAATAAATAAATAAATAAATCGATAGATATGGTATAGTATAGTATATGTATGTTGTATGTATAATTATATAATATTCTAAATTGATTGATTGATTGTAAGAGGATGAAGGAAGGGATGGAGGGGAGCAAGGAGGAGAGGGGAGGTTAGTCTACTTGTACTTTTTAATCAATTATATTTATATATATATCAATCATTTCATTCAATTCATTTACTACTAATGCATGAACAAGCAAAAACAGGTATTGGATTGGTTGGTCAGGTGTGATTAAAGGTGGTGTGTTGTTGTTAATGTTGATCGACAGACCAACAACAAGAAAAGAGGTCGACATATAGAACAAACAAATGTCGGTAGGCAGATAGATAGGCAAGTAGAGTAAAAGGGTGGGTAAAAAGCAAAGGTGGGTAAATAGTAAACAACAAAAAAAAGATAGGAGAGGACAACATCAAAGCAAAAGAATAGGTAGGGATAGAGGGATTGTTATTCTCCTCATATCGAGAGGAGTAGATAGGGGGTTAATTTAACTTGAAGAGATTTGAATCGATGAATGGAGGGTGTAGTAATAACAAGAGGAAGAAGCCTCTTGACAAAAAAAGAAGGTTGACTCTATTAACAACATCCATCCTTGTTATTGTACAATGATGTTTGATGATGATGATGTTGGATGTATGATGTTGGATGTATGATTGACGAGATTAACATCAAGCAAACGTCGGAGTAGTTAGGGTTGGTGAATGTAATGTAAACACGCACAGGTTGTGTGGGGGTGAAACATCGTTGTGAGTGTGCATGTTTGTGAATTTGTGGGGGTGGTGGATTGACTTATGACTGATTGACTGATGCATAAAGTCAAAGAGATGGAACTAACTCTATCCCCTATCTCTCTCTCTCTCTCTCTCTCTCTCTCTTATTTCTTTGATTTTAGCTACTGATGATTGTTATTGCCTGTGTCTCTAATACTAGTAGTAAGTTGAATTTAAATGATGTTTGTCATTCATACCTTCTTTGAATGATCTTGTCTCCACAATGTGCACAATCTATCTATCTATCTATCAAATCTAAATCTAATCGCAAGTAGTTGAGTTGAGATCTTCGATCTACTTGTTTCTTTATTCTATGCTTCAAGTACTACTAACTAAATTATCTTTAGTGTTGTTGGGATAAAGAAATATTAAAGAAGAATAGAACAAGGAGAGGATGAAGAAGAAGATTACTAAAAAGTTAATGTGTATTTTGTGGAATAAGGATAGAGAAGAGAGGATGACTGTTATAATATCCTCACTCTTAACTTGGTTTGAATAGCGGACCTCGCAAATGTTTTTCTTTTAACGCTTCTCTGCTACGCCCAAGGATCTGTTTTTGCGTGCAAAGTATTGTTTTTCCCAAAGAAGCGGCCCGTTGTGCTTGCAGAGGGTACGGAATTTCATCAGTTTTTTGGTTTTTTTACGTTGTCCAATGGATTGACCTTTTGGCACCCCTCACATAGTGTGTCGAGCCATTAATCTTTGGTACTATTTATAACTTGGCTTGACCAAGTCTACTCAAACTTCTCATCATCCAACTTTCCAACCTTTTGACTGATCCTAAACATCAGAACACACATATTTTTGAACTTTCAAGAAGTGTCTTAATTAGTAAATGATACCACCATACAATTATAAAATTATGAACTAATGAAATGAGAAATAATATTACAATATTTATAATATTTTTAATATTTATTTGATATTTTAATACAATGTAACTTTATCACTCCATCCATTAATGGTAATTTAATATACAATACACAGATGGTGGTGAAAAGAGAGAGAGTCAAAACTCCAATTTGACTTTAAACTCCAAAAAAAACTTCATGAAGTTTCAAGTTAATAGCTTTCTAACTAATATATATATATAATACATAATATAATAAAAGATGGTATTATTAGATAATGAAGGATTCCTCGATCAATTACATAAGCTTTTTCAAGCTAAAGCAAAGAGTGGGAGTGTTTGGTATACAATGAAGAGATGTATGTGAATCAATAATCAATCACATTCGCATGCGATCATCAATCAACTCGATCAATCAATCACAGAACAGTCAAGTAGTTTAGTAACTATGAATGGATGATGATAGGTTAAAGAATGAATCAGTGATTGATTGAATATATGATTGCTTGAAAGAATGATTTTGAACTAAAACTCAAATCATTATTAACATTATTTATTCATATTCTAGATGTAGGAGGTATGGATGGTAAACTCATAAAAGGAGATAATAAAGAAGAAGAATCTAAATGTTTAATTCGTGCAACTGCTGGTAAAAAGACTATTTCAACTATTGTATGTGAAAATGAAGAACAACAATGCAATATACAATTTATTGTATCAATGTATATTGTCTCAATGTACATAATAAGATGTAGATCATATTAACTCTAGATATTATTATTATTACAACAACAATAGGTTTTAAAAGATAATCTATTATCATTCCAATCAAAGTTTAAAAATGTATTAATATTAAATTTGGATAATTTAAAGAGAGATAAACAACCAGAAGAACCAAAATCAAAGAATACTAAAAAGGCATTGCCAATGAAGAAGGCTTAATGAATAAAAATAGCAACAAATATATATAGATCCCAAAAAAAAAAAATAACTCCTCCTCTAAAACATAGAATCATTTTTAAGAATGGAATGGATCAATTAATATATTTATACGTGTATAATATACCACTGGAATACATATATTTAGATATAGAAATAGGAATATTTATTATTTTATAACATGGTTTGGTTGGGTTGGTTTGGTTTGGTTTGTTGTCGTTATTATTATTTATGATAGTATTATTATTATTATTGATTATTATTTTTTATACAATTCTTTCAAGTTCCTTTGCATAATGGAGAGTTTGAGCGATAAGTTGTTGTGATGGGATTTCAACAGAAGATGATCCAGATTGGAAAATAATTTTGTCACCTTGAACCTTCCATCCACGCTTGACAATAAAATCATTAAGTTGTTGTGGATTGAATTGAAGTAATTGTTGAGCTTCATTCAATGAAAGATATTTAAATGACTTTTCACTACAATTGGCAATATCCTCTCTATTAAATAAATAAATAAGAAATGGTTAGTTTATGTGTTTTTGTTTTTGTTTCTTCTTCTCAACATACTTCATAGAATCAGATAAAAGATCAATAAATACAAGATAATGTTCACTTGGTACTTGTGATCTTGACGAAAGTACCTTTTGATAACTACCTTCAGTAATTGATTTCTCTACTAATAATGGGTACCTAAAAAAAGAAAAAAGAAAAAGAAAATAATTATTAAGTGTCTCCTCTATCTATCTATTCATTCATCATCTAATCTATATTTCATACTTGATAAATGGATTATCCAACATAGAGTCTGGGATAATTTCAAGTTCAGCATGGAATCTTGGAGTGTTGTGAGTGGCCAACAACTTCATCAAATGTAAACCAATGATATTGTATTGCAAAGGAGATGGTTGAATATATTTTTGGAAATCGTAATAATATGGTGTCAACTGTGCATAGAATCGATCAAATGCCTTAATATCCTTTTGTTTAATACTATACAATGCTCCACATTCCAATATTTCTCCTACAATGATTAAAATAATTATTAGTCGCAGTTGATAGAGGTTGTGTGTCTTCTCCTTCTTCTTCTATGTGTTTACATACTAACTAATAAAGTTTCTTTTACGATTTGTTGATTATGATCTTTCTCTGTTGGTATGGAAGCTTGAATGATTGCAATCTTTAAGAGAACCAAAAGCTCATTGATTTTCTTGGTGTCTGTGCTTCCACCCTCTACAAGCTTCTTAAATTGTGTAAAGTTTGATTCGGTACTACTAAAATCTAAAGGCATCTTTTATCTTTCTATCTGTATATATATATATATATATATGTATGTTAAAAAAAATGATTAATTAAAAAAAAAACAAGTAAATGTGAAGATCACAACAAGCAAGAAAGGGTGAACTCTCACTCTCTCAATTTCTAAAATTTTTTAATTTAATTTTAATTTTAATCAGAGACCAATCAATCTTGTTCCTTCCTTCTCTTGATTTCATTTAGATGGTGTGTGCAAAAAAGATAATAATACAGATACTATACAAAACTATACCATACTATACTATACTATAAGATAGAATGAGTAAAACCATTATTGTTAGTGAAACAGGAGTATTCCATGATACTTTAAATAAGGTGTTGGCAGAGACTGCAAAGAAGATCTTTGTTACTTTTGTATCTACAAAGAATGCTGACGGTACTTTTTGGTGTCCAGATTGTCAAAGATGTACGTTGTTCCAGATATAGATAGATAGACATACATGTACTCTAGAGAGTGTTTAATTAATGACCATCATCATCATACTACTACATTCATACACAAAATTACAGCCGATCCAGTATTAAACAAGGTATTTAATGAAAATGGTTCAACTGTCATTGAATGTGTTATTCCAAGAGAAGGGTATGTACAGAGAGTATTAGATAAGCGATATAGTACTTTTGTTGGGATATTTATTGTTTATATTTATTTAGATACAAAGGTAATCCAGAACATCCATACAGAACTGATTCTCAAATTCAATTAAAATGTATTCCAACTTTAATTGCTTGGTCAAAGGTATGAAATATAGATATAACAGAAATGATGATGATGTTTATTAATTTATTGTTCAAATAGGATGGTCCAGCTGATCGTTTAATTGATGCCGATTGTGCCAACGAAGAGTTGGTTACCAAATTTATTAAATCACATCAATAAATATCATCTATCGATTATAATACGATGATGATAGACACAATAACAGAATTATTCTGTTTATTACTATTCCAAAAAAAAAAGATAATAAATAGGTAGAATAAGTATATTGAGAACCCAATTACATCTTCGAACGGGGTTGGGTTTTAAAAAGAAAAACAATACAGATATATGGTATTAAACATTACTTTAAATTTACATTTATTTAATATTTATGAATTAATTAATTATTTTGTTGTTGTTGGGTATTGATTTCCTCTGAACTTGTAATTATATGGCAGATTGGAGTCGTCGCCAAGAATGAGTGCGTTGAAGACGGGATCGAGTTCAACCGATTGAGAGAATCGAGGTATGTGGAACGTGGTTAAAAGGTTGAACTTTTCGACTTTTCCAGATTCTGTTGAGAGAATGGATCATCGTTGGTGAGAAAGTGTTACTTTGGATGGAATGATTGTCGAGTTGTCTATAACCATTCTACTTGCTATTTTACAGTTTAAAAGTGTCCGTCCAACTTGAACTCTGGTCCATATAATTTGATCACCACGAGATATATCACTTCTGACTTTTAGCTTACCACACTTGTCAAATTTTACCGAATCTGATTGTGTATGGAATATCACCTGTAATGTATTGATCGGTGATGACCATACCCAATTAATGATTTTGATTCGATATTTGACTGAATTTGGTGATACTTGAATATCCTCACCAAGAAATGAAGTGGTGTTGGTGTCTTGGTATTGACCAACTGTGACTTGTAATTGTGTGCGTTGATTGAACATTCTTGCATTAAATACTGATTCACCGGCAGATGTCTTCTCTTCCTCTTGCGTCCAAATGAGATTGTCAATTGATATTGTTTTAATGACCGATTTCTCATGATTGATTTCACGAATGAATTGTATACCAGTTGTGAAATTAACAATCACACCACTGATCGTTTGATCAGTTGAAAAAAGTGACATGCCGTTATCCCAAACGGTTGTGTTTAGTAACTGACTACGATTGACCAATGATGAACAATCCAATAGGGGTTCATGACCACTGTTACATTTGCATGTCCCAAACGTGGTATTGCAAATGCCATGTGACGAGCAATTGTTAAGACAATCTTTCGCAAGAGATACAACTTTGGTTGTAAGCATTCCACCAACTCCAATTTTAACAGTATAATTTAGATCGGTTGAATAAGGTTCAACACTACCCAATGAACAAGTAATTTGTTGATAGTTGTTTTCAATAAACATTGGTGATTTACATTGACTTCCTTGAATGCTTATCAAAACATATGAACTATCTTTTCCAAAATGATTACCGTTGATTGTAACCTGTGATGCTTGTCCAGGTATAATACTAGTAATATTGTCAATCATCGGTGCATCTGTTATATTAAATGCAATTAATGGGGTATAATAACTAATATTTTCGATCTCTGATGGCACTACCATTCTATCATTAATATTATATAGAATATTATTTGGTTGATCCATATTTGAAATATTACCAGAATAATACAAAGAAGATAGTGATCCTTTGAGTGGACCATTATTTCTTGTAAAGCTATTATTATTACTGTTGTATGAGACACCCTGCCAAAATCTAAATTTAGGGTAGTCTTTGATATTCAATGATCGACTAAAACAATGATACATTTCTTGTGATTCTATTGCACCAATATATGGAGCATTTGGTGTTGCTCCCATTTTTACCTTGTCAATCATTACTTGATTGACTGTTTCATAGTCTCCACCAAATAGAATGGTTGAATAGAATCTATTGGCACATACATACTATTGAAAAAGGGTATTGCATTAGAATTATTAGTAATATTATTATTTAATCATTATACATACAAATATAAGGTTTATAGGTTTGAGTATAAACATCATCAACTGATCTTGAAATGGGAAGTAGTTTGGTACCTTTAGCAAGAGATGATTCGAGTTTACAAAAAATCTGATTTGACGAAACAAAAGTAATATGACATGGTACATTAGATGTTGAGACACTGACAGCTACCGTATTATTGGTGTTATGACCAAAGTTATCACCAATCAGTGTAACCAATCCATTGGCAGTGAATGATGGATAGACAGCTTTGATAAATGGTGGATATGGTTGCCATGCATAGTGTGTTGAGTTGACTCCACTAGCATCTTGAACAGTGACATTATGAAATCCAGATAGACGTGGAACAGTACAAGTGACTGATGTTCCTTGTTTTGATGTTATTTGACATGATTTTGAGAGTTGTTTGGATGGATTGGAAAATGTAATGTTGATTGTTTGTATGTTGAATTGTGATAGATTGTTGATTGTTATTGATCCTCCATTTGTACCTATTGATGGAACATATACTTCTGAGATTGGTTGTATTTCACATATTGCGCCTGCGACATCATTAGCACCAACATAAATAAAATTCCAAGTCGGTCCTCTGATGTAAATAAATTGCTCCTCAGGAGTTAAAGATGGTTCACCTGCATCGAATGGACAATATCCTTTAATAAAACAAAAATAATTAAACAGACATACCCCAACATTGACCAGAATACATATTAAATAGAGGTTTGATTTGATTGTGGTCCAGTTGAATAGGAATAACTGCCATTCCCTTCGATGTCTTTACCAGATACCCATATTGTTGTTCGATTGGTATTAATAAAATCCCATTCTTGTTTTGAATCAATTGTGGGCAAGATATGATCTAAATGTACTGTTTCCGAACTTATAAACTACTATTAAATGTGACATATTGTGATGTATTATTTATCTATTATTATTATCTCTCTTTTACTTTATGAGTGCCAAACTATACAGTTTATCACTCCTTTAAATGATGTCACTTTTGGCGACAGTTGGTTGACTAAACATCATTTTGAGTGATTCCCATCCCATCTATTGACCGATCGATGCCAACAATCAATCAATCAATCAACCAAAGCCAATTTCTTTGAGTCCAAAAAATGGCAGTCAGCACCACGCCATAGCTATGCATCGACAGACACAAACCACCGACCGATCGATATAAATCACTATATTATTTCGGTTGCTTGTTGTTGTTTGGCTTTGGTATATATAAATAATCTCGCATACATCCTATCCTCTCTCTCTCAGTCGTTATTTTATAATATTACTTGTTTTGGGTAAATATGTTGTTGTGGTTGTTGAAGGGAAGGTATGATCGGCTATTATATTATTATTGTAGGTTGTTGGGGGTTTGGTGGTGTCTATGTTATATCATTGATTGATGTCTCAACTGTACATTGTTCTATCTATCATTATATATAAATAAGAATGGTCTCTCGTCTATAAAAAAAATGGTTTGTTGGGTGTATTTGTTTTTTGGTAAGCCAATACCTCCAACATCTACAAGATATCTATCTAATCTCATCCACAAAGATAAGAAGAAGAGTAGCGTTAAATATAGTACAGTATAGAATGGAAGACGATGGAGATGTAATGATACATGATATCGATAATGACACTAGTAGTACATCAACAACAACAAAGAAAGATAGCAATGAAAATGACAATGACAATAATGATGTAGTCATTGTTGAAAGAGATAATAATAATAATAAACCAACTACAGATACTAGTACCAGTACAACAACTACAACTACAACATCACAACCAAAGACACCAAGACGAATAAAAGAAGATGATGAGGATGACGTTACAATAGTAGATAACATCGAGTTGGGCGGCGGCGGTGGCGGTGGTGAACATCAACATCCTCAACATTTAAACTTACAATCACCTGCATCACCAAGATCATTGAGTAATGATGACATTATAGAATATTCAACCAAGTCACTTGTATCTTTACTACTTGTTAATTGTATAACAAAAGTACAACAATATAAAAAACAACAACAACTAATTAATAATAATAATAACAGCGCAACAGAGAATGGTGATACAAGTACATTGTCTTCATCATCAAATACAAATACATCAAGTATTGAATGGAATATAGTATATGAATTGTACATTCAACAAGCCAAATATCTAAATCAAGTGTCACCCTATCATATAAGTGATGGTCAATTACAAATCATTCATTCTTCTACAACCTGTAAACAATATTATACTAAATTGGTATCAATCTATAAAGATGAAGAGTAAATATAAATATATATATCAAAGAAACAAACAAAAAGATTAGTTATTAATACAAATATTTAAATATTTTAGAAACTTGGAATCAATAATAAGGAAATCAATTATTGATAATTTAAAGATATCTATTAATCAATCAACTTTGGATGATATATCGTATGTAATATATAATATATAATAATATTATTATTTGGTTACTTACTTTTGTTTGTTTGTTTACTTTTAGGAAACTTAAAAATGAAATCAAAATATTAAATGAAGAGATTATAACATTGGAAGACGATAATGAAAAGGAGAGGGAAAGGGAGAGGGAGAGAGAAAAGGAGACAATGACACCATTCAGTCCACCTCAACAACAAACCAATGTAAATGCAATCAATGTAGATGATGATGTGACGACATCAACCACTTCAATAACAACAACCAAATCATCGTCGTCAGTACCACCATCACCAATAATAAATAGTGATGTAGATGATGAAGCTTCTAGAAAAAAGGAAGAGGAGGTTGCACGAGCTAAAAAGGCTGTTATGCAATCACTACAAAAGGTTTGGAAATCAATCAATTCGCACAAGTATTCAGAGGTGTTTCGTCATCCCATCACTCGAGATGAAGCACCCGACTATGACAGGATTATCAAGCATCGAATGGACCTAACAACACTGAAAAAGAATTTGGACAAGGACACGATATACCAGACGTGTGCTGATTTTAATGTTGACCTCCAACTAATCTTTTCCAATGCCATGGAGTATAATGAGCAAGGGTCAGAGGTATATAGTATGGCACAGACACTTAAAAAGTTTGCAGACAAGGAGATGGAGATTGTTTTGACCACCGAGTTGATGATGTCTAATCCTCAGGGCACTACCACACGTCACCGTGCAAATACATCGACTCAGTCAACCCCACTTCCATCACCGTCGGTAAGAGGACGCAACAAGACCAAGTCCAAAGAGCCATTATCGCCAGGTTCGAGTAGCACCCCTAATATGACACCTATCCTAACCGAAGAAAAGGACCTGTTTACAGATGATGGGACTGCATCACCATCCAACAACGCTGCACAGTCACCATCGGCATCACCACTCTCATCATCCTCTTCGTCTTCATCTACTACTGGTGGTGGAAAAGAGGAAAAGGACAAAGAGAAAGCCAGCACCAGCACCACAACAACAACAACGCCAACAACTAGAAGATCGACTAGACTAAGTAAAGCATCAGCAGCAGCAGCAGCAGCAACTATTCCACAAGAAATGAAAAAGGTTTCAAAGAGACAAAAAACATCTAAAAGTGAAGAGAAAACTACTTTATCTTCTGATGAAAGTTAAATTGAAAGATAGATTAATAATAAATCAATCCTAAAATGATAAATACCTTTTTGTTTCTTTAGAATTATTATTATTCTTTTTCTTTTTTGTTGTGATCGATACGTTATCAGGCACTACCTAGGGTATGGTGTACACACTTTGTAGTAAATGGTGTACACTATATAAATAGCTCTATACCATAGGTAGTGCCTGATGTAGTAGACAGGTCGTGACACTAAATGCAAGTACTCGAGTTTTCCAAAGTCATTTCTAGTACCATTTAACTAGGCATGTCTTGAATACCACTGTTTGTACTTGTTTGATAGGTAGTCAGCCATTACTAGGCGAGACCAGTGGAAAAAAGAGTTAGAGTATCAGATACAGATGTCTTGTTGTAGTGGTCCCAGATGTTAATTGACGAGGTTCCATGTGACTCGCTTGTTTGACTGAATCTAGTTGTGACATTTAAATGAAGATATTGTTACAATATAATAGTGATAAAATAGTAATTTTATAGAAACAGTATGTATAGATTGAATTAGTTTACTGAATACTGTTTAACTTGGTTCTCTTTTAAAGATATCTTTTTTTATTAAATAAATAACTATCTCCTATCAATGAATCCATTCTCTACCTTGTTCGACGTACTTCAGGAATACGTAGTACAATTTCAACAAAGGAGATAACAGAACAACAGGAAAATTGGTATCAATAAGATACAACCAATGATCACAGTATTAGCCTCTAGTTTCGTTTGCCCTACTAACAAATTTCCTAACCTACCTCTGGTTTCAAACCTTATAAAAGGTCTCTTGATCTTTCCTCTACTCTATCTATCTCGTATCTGATATCTTTATAAGTTATTTAAATAGTATCTTATCTTTTGTTGTAACTGTATTTATCTGTTCTCAAGGTCAAACAACAAACTAAAATCAACTCTCCCAAAAAAGGATAATTTTAGAGATCATCACTTTTTTTCTTTAGATTAAATAATTTAATATATTTTGTGGTACCCTAAGTAGAAAATGTGGGAAGTGTGATGAAGAGGTAAACACACACGCTACGGTGTGTCACACTGACCACTCTACTGCTTTTGTTCATAAACCATTCATAGCAATAGAGTGCATCAAATACAAATTTCTACATACTATTTATTTGTTTCAAATTTACCTATACCAATATTATTATCACTATTACTATTACTATTACTATTACCATACTTTAGACAACAATTAGAACAGAATGAAATTAGCTATCTTTTCAAACAAAGGTTATTGGGTTGATCATTTTAACAAGGTCAAGATTCCATGTGAACATCAATTCTTTGACTCCAAGTTAAACAAGGAGACTGTATGTCATACTAGTGCAAGCAGCTGCCACAAACTAATACTATTACTATTTTTAATTAACTTTGTATTTTTTTAATCTTTTATTTTATTTCAAATAATAGGCAATGGTAGCAAAGGGATATGATGCAGTTTGTATCTTTGTCAATGACATTATTTGTTCTGAAACATTGACCATTCTCAAAGAAGGAGGTACCAAATTGATTTTATTGCGTTGTGCCGGTTTCAACAATGTCGACCTGGAAGCTGCCAAGAAATGTGGTATCACTTGTCTAAGAGTTCCAAGATACTCTCCAAACGCTGTAGCTGAATATGCTGCTGCTCTCATGATGACTTTAAATAGAAAGATTCATAAAGCTTATAATAGAGGTAAAACAAACCAACAAACAAACAAACAAATCAAAAAGATATAATATTAATATTATTTAATTAATTTAATATTATAATAGTAAGAGAAGGTAATTTCTCATTAGAATCACTTGAAGGATTTGATTTCTTTGGAAAGACTGTTGGAGTATTTGGTACTGGAAAGATTGGTGAATTGCTTTGTAATATTCTTGTTGGTTTTGGTTGCAAGATCATTGCCTATGACGTCGTTGAAAATGAAGCTTGTAAAAAGATTGGTGTTAAATACATGTCTCAAGAAGAAGTATTTAGACAATCTGATATCATTTCTCTTCATACTCCATTATTAAAGGATACTGTAAATATATTAAAAAACAAACAAATACAAATAATAATAATTATAATTCCCCAAGTTAAACAAATAATTAATATTAATTCTTTTTTCTATTTTTCTATTTTCTAGAAACATATGATTAATGATAAAACCATTTCATTAATGAAAGATGGAGTCATGTTGATTAATACGTCAAGAGGTGCATTGATTGATACCAAGGCAGTGATCAATGGATTAAAGTCGAAAAAGATTGGGTATTTGGGAATCGATGTCTATGAGAATGAAGGAGGTCTCTACTTTGACGACAATAGCGGTCAAATCATGATGGACGATACATTGGCTCGTTTGATGACCTTCCCCAACGTTCTCATCACTGGTCACCAGGCTTGGTTCACTCAACAGGCCCTCGACGCCATCTGCCAGGTCACCATGAAAAACCTTAATGATTTTAAGAATGGTACCATTGACAAGGGTAATCTTGTTGAATATGAACCATCTGGTTGTGCTGCCAAATAAATAAAGAAACAAAGGTACCAACTCAAACAAACCCTTTTGTTATTAATAAATAAATAAAAAATCAATAAATCAAAGGAAAAAAAACACCAAAACATAGGTAACTCCTTTTTATATTGATCAATGAGGGGATAGCGAGAGAGAAACAAACTATTAAAACACAACAACAACAACAACAACAACAACAACAATGACATGGCTATAGTAAAATGATTAAAATTTTAAAATAATTCTCAGACTACACCTATCCTCATTCTACGTCTTCTCATCAATGATATTGAGACATCAAACCTTCAATGTGACTGATTGATCAATCATTGAACCCCAAAAGGAGACAACAGCAACAAAGACATCAATCAATGATTTCATTAAACACCTACAAATAGAAATCTTGCTTGGAGTATCAACATCACAGACACGACCAAACCCCCCAACAACCTACAATAATAATAATAATAATAGCCGATCATTTCAACAACCACAACAACAATATATATATATAGAGAGAGAGAGGATAGGATGTAGGCGAGATTATGATGTCAACAAACAAAAGAACAACTTGACCATCACATTCTCTCTCGTTGGTAGTTCAACTGTCTAATCATGACCACCACCAACACACAAACATATATATATATACCCAAAGCCAAAGCAACATAAACCAAACAACCGAAATAATATAGTAATTTATATCGATCAGTCGGTGGTATGTGTCTGTCGATGCACAGCTATGGCGTGGGCTGACTGCCATTTTTGACTCAAAGAAATTGGCTTTGGTTGATTGATTGATTGATCGATCGATTGTTGGCATCGATCGGTCAATAGATGGGATGGGAATCACTCAAAATGATGTTTAGTCAACCAACTGTCGCCAAAAGTGACATCATTTAAAAGGAGTGATAAAGTGTATAGTTTGTCATTCATAAAGTAAAAGAGAGAGATAATAATAATAGATAAATAATACATCACAATATGTCACATTTAATAGTAATAGTAACAGCTGCTTTAATGCTTTTATTGTTGAATATTACTTCCATTCATTGTGAAAAAGACCCGAATACATTTGATTGGCCAACTTCAGAAGGAGGGAATGGTCACACATACAAAGGATTACTTTTGGCTACTCCTTCAATCAAAGAGGTGATTCACCTATGTGAAAGTGCCAAAAGCAGTACATTTAAATCGTATGTTGTCACACTTGAATCAAAACAAGAATGGGATTTTATTAAAACCCATTGGTTACAACCAATGATATGGGTCTCTGGTAAAGACATCAGAGGCAATGGGAATTATTCCTATTCAAGTGGACCAGGAACCAATCAACCACTATTTAATATGTATACTGGTCAATGTTGGGGTATGTCTATTTAATAGTATCTATCAACTCTTTATAAAATTAATTGTATTAATTATTTTTATTTTTATTATAGGATATTGTCCATTCCAAGCAGGTGAACCATCTTTAACTCCTGCTGAAGATCAATATATTTACATCAGAAGACCGACTTGGAATTTTAATAATGATGATGGTTATAATGATCAAGTTTATGCAGCAATATGAATTAGAACCAATTTCAGAGGTATATGTTCCATCAATCGGTACAAATGGAGGATCAATAACAATCAACAATCTATCACAATTCAACATACAAACAATCAACATTACATTTTCCAACCCATCCAAACAACTCTCAAAATCATGTCAAATAACATCAAAACAAGGAACATCAGTCACTTGTACTGTTCCACGTCTATCTGGATTTCATAATGTCACTGTTCAAGATGCTAGTGGAGTCAACTCAACACACTATGCATGGCAACCATATCCACCATTTATCAAAGCTGTCTATCCATCATTCACTGCCAATGGATTGGTTACACTGATTGGTGATAACTTTGGTGATAACAGTAATAATATAGTATCTGTTAATGTTTCAACATCTAATATTACTTGTAATATTATGTCTGTATCATCAAATCAGATTTTTTGTAAACTCGTATCATCTCTTAATGCAACTACCAAACTACTTCCCATTTCAATTTCAATTGATGATGTTTATACCCGAACCCATAAACCCTATATTTGTATGTATATATAAATGATTAAATAATATTATTATTTTATAGTTTGTGATTTAATTCTAATGCAATACTCTATTTTCAATATAGTCTGTGCCAATAGATTCCATTCAACCATTCTATTTGGTGGAGAATACGAAAAAGTCAATGGATTGATGATTGGCAACATCAAAATTGGTGCAACTCCAAATGCTCCATATATTGGTGCAATAGAATCACAAGAAATGTATCATTGTTTGAATCGATCATTGAATATCATTGACTACCCTGACTTTAGATTTTGGCAAGGTGTATCATACAACAGTAATAATAACAGTTTTACAAGAAATAATGGCCCTTTCAAAGGGACACCATCTCAATACTTCAAATGTTACACCATCAAATAATATTCTATATGATATTTATGGTGGGACGATTTCATCCGACATTGAAAATGTTAGCTATTGCACACCATTAATTGCATTTAATATAACCGATTCACCGATGATTGACAATATACTAGTATCATACCTGGACAAGCATCACAGGTTACAATCAACGGTAATCATTTTGGAAAAGATAGTTCATATGTTTTGATAAGCATTCAAGGAAGTCAATGTAAATCACCAATGTTTATTGAAAACAACTATCAACAAATTACTTGTTCATTGGGTAGTGTTGAACCTTATTCAACCGATCTAAATTATACTGTTAAAATTGGAGTTGGTGGAATGCTTACAACCAAAGTTGTATCTCTTGCAAAAGAGTGTCTTAACAATTGCTCGGCACATGGCATTTGCAACCAAACATTTGGGACATGCAAATGTAACAGTGGTCATGAACCCCTATTGGATTGTTCATCATTGGTCAATCGTAGTCAGTTACTAAACACAACCGTTTGGGATAACGGCATGTCACTTTTTTCAACTGATCAAACGATCAGTGGTGTGATTGTTAATTTCACAACTGGCATACAATTCATTCGTGAAATCAATCACGATAAATCAATAATTAAAACAATATCCATAGATAATGTCGTGTGGACGCAAGAGGAGGAGAAGACATCAGCCGGTGACTTGGTATTTAATGCAAGAATGTTCAATCAACGCACAATTACAAGTCACAGTTGGTCAATACCAAGACACCAACACCACTTCATTTCTTGGTGAGGATATTCAAGTATCACCAAATTCAGTCAAATATCGAATCAAAATCACCAATTGGGTATGGTCATCACCGATCAATACATTACAGGTGATATTCCACACACAATCAGATTCGGTAGAATTTGACAAGTGTGGTAAGCTAAAAGTCAGAAGTGATATATCTCGTGGTGATCAGATTATATGGACCAGAGTTCAAGTTGGACGGACACTTTTAAACTGTAAAATAGCAAGTAGAATGGTTATAGACAACTCGACAATCATTCCATCCAAAGTAACACTTCTCACAAACGATGATCCAATCTCTCAACAAATCTGGAAAAATCGAAAATTCAACCTTTTAACCACGTTCCACATACCTCGATTCTCTCAATCGGTTGAACTCGATCCCGTCTTCAACGCACTCATTCTTGGCGATGACTCCAATCTGCCATATGAGTGCACTGAAGAGACATCTGACCGATGGACATTTATCATAGTCGCTGTTGTCTTATCGGCTGCACTACTCTCTATCATAGTAGTAGTGTTAGTCATTGTATTCATAAAGCGACCACCAACAAACAGACCACCAAATAGAGAAGCCCCCATAGAAATGGATATAATTACAAGTTCAGAGGAAATCAATACCCAACAACAACAAAATAATAATGTATATTAGTATTAATAATATGTGCCTAATTAATAATAATAGTTAAATAAAAATAAAACCATGTTTTCATCAATTGTACAATTGATACTACTATTATTAGTCTAAAGAAAAAAAATAAAAAGTAATCCTTTAGTATGATTTGAGGATTCTCAAAGAAGAATAGAATTGGGTAGATGAATCAAAGTGGAAAAAAAAGATATTAATCTCTTTATTTTATGCCTTTATCATTGCAGGGTTTGGTCGGATTGCTTATTGTCCTCCAATTGAGAATGATGATTTATCTGTTGGGTTTGATGGTGCTGGAGTATAGGGTGGTGTCTCGATTCGGTCTGATATCTTTTGCCAATCAACGCCCTCAAAAAATGGGTGTTTCTTTATAGCTCCGGAATCAATTCTTTTTCTTTCTGGTGCAATTAAACTAAAATAATAGGAAATATAATTAGTATTTGTAAATCAAAAAAAAAGTCTTTCTTTAAGGTGTAAATTAAATAATTAATGGAATGAGAGTGGAAATGAATGAATGGTAAAAATAATTGATAGAGTAGATATGAATGAAATGAGAAATGAAATGAAATGGAATGGAAGGAATGATAGGATAGATAAGAAGTAGCAAAAAAAATGTTTGATCTTTAAAAATTATAATATTTTTGGAAAATAATAATAATTTAAACAAAAAAACATATTATATAGTTATATATAAATTATATATTAAATAGATATATATGGATAAATATATATAAATAGGATATATAAAAAATAATAAGAAATATAATATATACTATGTGATGTGTTTCCACAAGACAGTGAGTGGGTGTTTTTTTTGTTTGTTTTACAAAAAGATCCATACTCTCTAATTAAAGATTCTGCTACTTTTGAAATTGGTTGTTGGCTTTTGGAAATGGCAGTGTTTAAAAGTCCTCTCCAATTGCCAATGTTTTCTCTAATCTTTTGTTCGGTGGTGTCTGGCGATTCTACAAAAAGGGCTTGGCCGGCTACCAATTCGTAAAGGATAGCTCCCAATGACCAATAATCGCATAATTTGGAATAAACAATTCCTTGTACAACTTCGACTGCCATATACTGTGGTGTACCAATATAAGATGTATATGACTAAATAGATAATATAGGGTAAATTAGTAAATGAATTATGAAATGTGAATGGTTGTGATATTGATTGATTGTTGTTACATACACAATTGGGGTTTCTTAAAAATGAAGTAAAATTGGGTGGAGTATTATTGTTGATGGTTGCAGCCAAACCACTAAAACCGTTTGGACCACTACTGCTACCACTTCCGATGCTAGGGGGAGAGGAGCTAACGATTTGTTTGGAACTACCAAAATCGCATAATACAAGATGACCATCCTTGTCGATCATAAGATTCTCTGGTTTGACGTCACGATGAAGGAAACCAAGATTGTGAAAGTTTTCTATACAGACGACGAGTTCAGCCATGTAAAACTTGATCTCCTCGAGTTGGAATGGGTTATTGTCACACATACGTTTGTAACAATAACTGTTAAAGTCACCTCCTGAAATATACTCCATCACTAAATTGAATGATGTATCATCTTGATCCAAAAAGGCATAATATAATTTTGGTGCTCTTTTACTATTCTTATTACTACATATTATCATTGCATCTCTTTCTCTTTTTGCTCTTTTTTTCTACAAAACAAAAAAAATTAATATTAATATATATTATTATTTGGAAATATATATTTCTTTTTCTTTTTGTTTTACACTTACAATTAATTCTGGATCAGATGATAAATTGTACAATATTTTTTTGAGTGCATATATAGATTGAGTTGATTTTTCTTTTACAATAAATACTTCACCAAAGGAACCACTACCAATGGTTGAAATGATTTCGAAATCGGTGATGTTTGGAATCTTGTCATGACAACCTTGATGATGATAATTGAAATCCTCTTCTGAAAGTTCACTTGGAACATTGATTCTATTAGCAAATGATGGAATGTTGATTGGTTCCATTGATGTTTGTTTTTCACAAAAAAAAAATTGATTTTAAAAAAATGGTTTCTCTTTTTTTCTTGTTTTGGTCTAGTTTGTTTGTTTGTTTGTTTGTTGTTTCTAATAAATTACTATTGAAGAGTAGAGTTGAAGGTTAATAAATATAAATAAATAATACTTTGAAAGTAAAGCAAGGAAGAGGAAAAAAGGTTGAATTTATAATAAAATATTATTTGTTTGAGGTGAGTTGGATTGGCTGGGATGTTGACGACTACGACGTAAAACACAACAAAACGCAACACAATACAATGAAATGAATGAACAGTAATGTGTTTTTATGATTACGAAAATTTTAAAACAACCACAATTAATTGTTGTTGTGAGACGAGTTTAAAAATATTATCTATTAATTAATCTGTTGAGACAGTCAATTGGGAAAAAAAATTGGTATGAACAAGAGAGAGAGGGATGGATAATAATAATAATAAAATGGAATAATATATTATCTTTTAATTATCTAATTTATCTAAATCCAAAAAAAAAAAAAAACCAACAACCAATAATATTATTTATGATTATTAATATTGTTGTTGTTGTTGTTGCGTTGATGGATTTAAAAATAAATGTGAAAACAATAACATGTGTTTAAATAGATACTGCAATCGATGGCATGGGATGTGTTGTTGGATTACCAAACCCAATCCAATTGACCACGACACGACCACAATTACAATTACAATGTATAAAAAATATAAAAGTAGTAAATTAAAATACGGATAGCGTGCCAATCCGTTCGACTTTGGGAATTACTGCAACCAATATCATTATTGTTATTATTATTATTATTGATTACACATTATTATTATTATTATTATTATTATTATGATAATAATAGTGATTGATGGACATCTTTTATCTTTATCTTATCTGCCAATCTATCCATATGGATCCTGCTACTACTACTACTACTACACTCCTTATTTTTAATTATCCAATAATCAATCGTGTTATTGTTGTTGGTAAATATTAATTAATTATTATTGGTTGATAATGATGATGATGATGAGGATGAGGATGATGACGACGTGGATGTGGAATATGAAATACCAGACGATTTATTGTCTGGGGTATAAGACACACATACAGTGTTGTGATGAAATAATTATGGTGGTGTGAGGTGTGAGTGACAATTATTTATATCTATCTTGATTCATCATATCATATATCTAGATCCAATCTACCAAAAATCGTAAGATAATACTAATTATTATTATTATTATTATTATTATTATTATTATTATTATTATTATTATTATTATTATTATTTATTTTGGTTGGTTTTATGCCGACCGACTGACTGCAAATGTACCGTGACTGTGACAACACTACAACAAATATTTAAACATGTTCTGTAAAACTGTCTGACCTACCTATAATTACTTTACTGACTACTAATTACTCTTTCTCTCGATACTAATACTGATACAACATTTAAAAATTCTTTTTATAATTATTATTATTTCCAAAAATATATTATAATTATTTAATATTATTATTTATAGTCGTTTCTAATAAATAATAATAATAATAATAATAATAATGTATATAATAAATATATAAATACTAATTTACAAAATCTAACTGTATGAATGATGATTATTACTATATTATCTTAATAGGGTAAAAACTAAGTAAAAATAGGAATGATTCATATAATAAAAATATCGTCGTAAGATGATAATAATAATAATAATAATAATGTAATGTGTGTTGTTGTTGTTGTTGTCGCATGTGTCTACCTTTTTTAAAATAATATTATTGATTTTGTATAATAATTGAATAATCACTATCGTCGATAACAATACGAAACTAAACCCAAAACACACTACTACTACTACCTGTCTGCGGATAAGTGTGTGGAATAAAAAGTGCGAGTGTGTTTTAAAAATATGAAAGTGTGGGGTGGTAGATACCAAAAACATGGATCTATGACTGACCTGTCGACAGGTATGTATAAATGAGTGTTGGTTGTCAACAATGAATGAAAATGGGTTTGAAGTTAGGGTGTGGAAAATGCTTTAAAAAATTAAGTTCGAATGAATGAATGAAATCTATTCTCTCTCTCTCTCTGTCTCTAGGATGGAGTAGATGGATGGCAATAGATGGATGGATATATAGTATAGTTATTTTTGTTTTGTTATTGGGTATGAAAGTGAGGGGAAGTGAATGTCTTTTAAATAATTATTTTACCAATTAATTTCTTCTTGATGTTCTATTTTTGAATGCTGTGAATAAATAAATGATGATTTGATCTAGATTGGATTCGGTTTGTCTATTTATATAGTAAGTAGGTTTGGTTTGGTTAAATATTAATTAATTAATTTTTAAAATAAAATCGGATTGATTGATTATAATATTATTAAGAATATTATTTGTAAAAGTGGAAGAAGAAGTGGAAGAAGTGGAGATGGTGAAGTGAAGAAGATAAGATGTGTGTGGTCACAACATATATATAATAATTATTAATATTATTATTATTATTAGTAAACAAGGAAAAGAAAGTAAAATAAGAATCAAAGAAGAGAGAGATAGAAGTAGTGAAGGGGCAAGATTGGATGGGTTGCATCAATCTGTCGATAACCCTTTGATTATTAGGTGAATAAAAAAAAACACCCACACATACACACTGCCACAAAACAATCCCAATGCATTCATTCACCAATCCGATCTGCAAGCCTGGGTATGGGGTGGGGTATGTGATAAGATAAAATGATTGATTTCGTGACTTGTTTCGTGGTGTGTGTTTTGATCAAAACATCGTCATCATCCTTCGTTATCGTTGTTCTAATTAATCTAAAAGACTGATGATCGATAACTGATGACTGTTTTGTCAAATGTGATCATCGATCAAGTGTATCTGTATCTGCTTCTGTGTTGTGTGTGTGTGCAGAGCATTTCTTAATGTTGAACATCTCTATCTATCTTTTCACATCTCTAATAGATCATGTGAAATTGGTGAATGGATGGTTGTGGGGGAGGAGAGAACTCGTCGTTTTTCGTTGTACTGAGTGTGAAGACGTAGATGATGGGTTGACTTGACTGTTTGCTAAAATCTATACCTTTCTCTAAAAGCTTAACTTCTATTTCTATATATTACAGGTGGTTATTGTTGGTTGATTGGTTGGTGGTGATACAGGTTTGATATTTAAATAAACAATTGTACAATGCTATTTTGTTTTTTTTGTAGAGGAGGGAGGGATGGAGGGAAGGATTCAAAAATTGAATTAATTAATTGATTCTGAGGGTTTTTTCTTTTTTTTTCCTTTGGTTTAGAGAAGTATGGATGTCGAGTTGATTAATGAACTGCTGTCTACTTTCGTCGTCGTTGTCGTCGTCGTCAACGACCTCAATCTCCTCTTTTTTTTTTTAAAGTAAAAAAAAAACTATACTCAAGATCCTATGATGCGGCTGAGATTTGATTGACAATCTCGATAGTTTTCGTGTGTATAAATACCTTTTTTGTAAAAATGTCGTTGTTTGGTTATGATAAAATAATTTTCTTGGTTTCTAAATAAATAAATAAATAAGTAAAAGTTCTACTGATGAGGTATGTGACACAATGGTACCTAGGTGCAATTGAATCTTCTTCTTGTCTTTTCTTCCTTCTCACTTTCAGCAGAAAGGTAGGTGAGATTATGATTAAAAATAGAGTGAGCTGTGGCGATTTGTTTGTTTCATTAAGGTGGCTCGTTGAGGTGACTTGGGTCGTTTTGACCCCAGAAATGCCGAGCTCGTGGTGTGCCAAGCGATGACTCAAACGAAGAAAAACAAAAATCTTATTTCGATCAAAAAAACCGGTCAGTTATGATAAATAACGTGTAGACAATCGCAATGAATTTAATAAATTATATTTGATTAATTAATTCGAATAATCATAATAATTATTTATTATTATTATTTTTTTGGGAGATTTTTATAATACCCTGGTTTTCGTAATTAATTTTGTCTTTTCTCTTTTCTCTTTACAAATAAAATCTGATTGGTGGACCTTTGAGATCTTCATTGACACCTACCAGTGTATTAACAACAACATTATTATTAACATTGTCTGGTGAGATACTAGTAGTGGTATCTTGAGGGATATTATTTTCATTCTTGAACAAGACATACAAATCAATAAACTTTTGATTGTCAAGATCGGTCAAGAGGTCTCTTAGTTTCATAGACAAACGTGTTTTATGGAATGGTAAAGCAGACATAAATACCAATAATGAATTTTGATAGATTCCTGAAATCATCAATCCATATTTATCATTAATTCTAATGGAAATAATTAATAATTAATATTGATTCTTTATCGTTATTATTTTTGTTTCTTTTCTTTTTTTTGTTTCTTACAATTGAATTAAATCTTGAACAGTAATATTTGGATTATCTTTAATTGCCCAACGATCCCAAAGATTATAAGAGATTGATGGGGTGAGTTTAACAGTTGGAGCAGGTCCAGGTTCGGTGACTGAAAAGATGGGAAGTGAGAGATTCAAATAGGTGCATTTGAATTGGTCCAAGGGAAGGTCGCCTCTGATGATTTTTACAAGTTCGATGGCTACCAATCCACTAACAACACTTGTAGTGGTGGCGATAGCCGGAATGATCTTTCCAGCCACCAATTTAACCTTGAATCGATCACCTTCTTCTATACTATAGATTCTAGCTCTAAGATTAGACGTAGCTGTTATAAAATCAATATGATGATTACTATCATCATCCTTTTCAAAGCTTTGTGGATACAATGATACAAGAGTTGGAGATGACGTGTCAGTCATCATATCTTGGAGTTTATCCTTTTTCAACTCTTCCAATTGTTTGGCAAGCTTTTTGGTCAATTCAATAAATTGTTCATATGAAAATGATTCAATGGGAGCAGCTGCCTTTTCATCTGAAACAATTGCTTTCTTTTTTGCTTCAAATTTTGGTACTTTTACAGTTAAACAAATTTTACCAATTAATTCCCTATAGAAATTAAATTATAAATAGAATTTGAGTAAATAAAATAAATATCTTAAAAATATTTTGATTGTAAGACATACTTTGATGGATTTGAAGGAATAGTAATATTAAAAATATTTGCCCATAAAGCAGTAGTTTCCTTGATAAAATTAATATGAGTATCATCATTTCTATCAAATTGAACTGCTACAGGTGGTCTTTTTGGTAATGTCCAAAATGGTGCTAAAAATAAATAAATAATTTAGTAACTTTAATTTAATTTGGATTAATTATTCTATTGTTGTTTATACATACTTCCTTCTTTTGTTTTTAAATCCATTGGATAACTATGTAATAATTGAAGAGCATTATGATTAAATAATTTTTCAAATTTTAATCTTGAATAAACCACACAATCTTTGAATGAAGTTGGATAGATTTGAATCAATTTTGATAATGATTTACAAATTGCAATCTTATTATTTGCTTGACTATTTAATAATTTCTAAAAGAAACAAAAAATTAAATTAAAATTAGTCAATAGATCAAATTTTGTTTTCGATATTATTTCTATTGATTGATTGACACTTACATTTAAATAATCTGAATCATTTATAAATTTATCCAATTCTTGAATATTGATTGAAAATAATTTTTCAAATTTATCTCTTGACCATTGAATACAATGACTAAGATTGTTTGGGAATGATTTTAATGTACAGAATGGGGTTTGTTTTTCGACTGGATCCTTTTGAGAGGCATAAGACTCTGTTTTGGCTGGCAAGATAACTTGTGTGTGTCCCTTGGTGCCAAGAGTTCCAGATTCGAGAAGTGGTAGTGAATGTTGAACACATCTCGTATCCACATAGAGACGTGCTTCAACATTGTCGAGTGCACTAACAACAACATCTTGTTGATCAAGAAACTCTGAATTATAAATATTTTCAGATGCCATCTCAACCTTGTTTTGATGGGCATCAATATTAATCTTTTCATTCATTTTAGTAACTGATAAACTTGCTACTTTTGATTTTGGATTCTAAATAAAAATCAAAAAAAAGAAATTGATTAATAAAACATATATATATTGTAAATATTTGATTGTTTGCTTTTCTATTTACATTAATATCAGTATTTCTAAATAAGAATTGACGATTTAAATTTGATTTTTCAATTAAATCATTATCAGTGATTGTAATTCTACCATTTGAACCACATGCAACTCCAAGAAGTGCATAGTTTTTTAACATTTCACAACCAATTGCACCTGATCCAATCATAAACAATTTTGTATTTTCCAACTTTTCACATGTTTCTTGACCAAGACAAATGTGTTGTGCCAATGATCTATCTGAAAGGAGATTTGTTGTTATTTTGATAGAAGTGTTTGGGATAGAGTAATGATTGATCATTGCAACCTTTTCTTCTTGTTTTGGGAATAATTCATAACAATCGACATAGAGCCATTGTTTGAGTGGAGTAAATTTGCCTGTAATACTCTTTAATGCTTCTTGAGCTGTAAAAGCACCCAATACTGATGTCAATGGACAAATCTTTCCCAAACATGTAAATGCAATCTTTTCAAATAATGTTTTATCAATTTCTTCAACAGTCTATATTTAGGAGAGAGAAATATAATAATGAATTTAGTAAATAGCTACATAAATGATGATTATTATTTTTGTTGCTTGTGTTACCTTTAACTTTTCATTTATATTAATTGCAAGTTGAATAAAATCATTTGCATCTTGTTGATTCCAAGCTTTTGGTAAAGTAGATGAATGAGCTTCAAACCAAGTTTGTATGGTTTGTCTTGCAAGATGAAGTTGATAATTATTTTTCATAAAGTCAAAATCTAATATATCTGGTGTTTCAATTGATTCTTTTAATGATTTCTTTAAAGGAATAGAATATTAGTATTGGTATTAGAGTTTGGTTATTTTTTTTGTTTTTTGTTTGTGACATTACAAAATTAATAGTAATTGGAGTTTTAATATCAGATATGATTCCACCTGATTGATAATGAGAGAATGTTGAAGTATCACCAATTGAAAAACTGTATGGATTGATTACATTGACTTTATGTTTGGTACCATTGATTTCAGTCATTCCTTTAACCTCACGGAATAGTACCAAGTCACCAGACTCTAAATTATGCATTTGATTCTCCATACAAGTGACAATAGCCTCCTTGTCAATCGAGATACTCGAGATGAATGTTTCCTTTATATCTTCACCATTCTTATCGTGTACCAAGAAATCTTGACCAAAATCATTAAATACCCAACCAAAAAGACCAAAACTATCACATACCAAGAAATAAATAGAATGTTGTCTACAATATTCATTGATTTTAATTTGATATTCTAATGGACATTCTGTTAAAATGATACACTAAATTTGAAAGGAAGATTAATTAATATCACACAATAATATATTACGTTTTAAAATCCTTGACATACTTTAAATTGTAATAAATAATCTAAATTGGTTATAATATCTTGGAATAATAGTGTTGATTGAGATACTTTAACGTATGGATTGAGTTCGGATATCTTTTCGATTGATAGTGTTGCTCTGTTTGCACCAGCATCAACCTTGGTGTTTGATGGGTTGATATAGAATTGAGTTGATAGATCGTATGGAGAGGCATTGATAGTATCGTGAAGAGTGAGTGACTTGATACCAGCCAACACTAGATTCTTTGCAATCTCTACACCTACACCTCCCAATCCACTCAGAAACACATTTCCTCCCTTGGTCAACTTGTTCATGGCATAATCACCAAGTACATATCTTTGTCTACTATACAAACTATCATCCAATGTATAATCTCTAAATGTTGTTACATCTTCAGACACAGTTGTCGTAGAAGTACTATTTGATAATCTGATCTCTTCTGTATCCATCTCCCTAGACTTCTTCTGATGATGATGACGTATTGTTATTATTATCTTATTACTTGATACTATTATATTCACAAATTACAATACAATACAGGAATGAAATGAATAGGAATGAATGAATGTATGAATGATAAAGCAAGTAAAGTAAAGCAAACACACCTCTCCAGTTGACCTATAGTGTGCCTGAATATTAAAAAAACAATAAAAAACTAGGAATGAATGGTACACACCAATCAAATCATTCTTTAGGGCAAGATAGATAGGACAACAACTACAACAACTACAACAACAACAACAATTCAGCAGCGACCATTCATTAATTATATTACATGTAGATATCTACACACTCTAGAGATACAAAGGTGAACATTCATTCATTCATTCATTCATTCATTCAGGCACAATAATAATATTATATTATATTTAAAGAGCCGATCGATTTTTTTAGTGTAATTTTATTTTATTTTATTTTTATATATTTTTCGTTGCTCTCTCTGCAACTTTGAAGAAGCTCTTTGATGTCTTGTTCATTTTCCACTCAATACTAAATATTAAAAGAGAAAAGGATACATTGTATATAGTTGCTATATTCGAATAGATATCAACCTATATAACCAATCTCTTTAGTTGCACATCCATCATATGATTTACAGTCCATCATTCTCGTCGTACTATTCTTACAAATATGACATTAAGTAAAGATCTTATCATTGTAGATAGTAGCGTAGTAGAATGTTGTATCTGCTTTAGCAGCAACTTTTCAAAGTCCTACAGTTGTGATTACTGTGACTTTTGGACTTGCGAAAGCTGTATCCTATCCTCCACCAAAACATGTCCCAAATGTATGTAAACAACAAACACAGTACATAGAAAGAGATGACATGTCTCTCTGTTGATGGACACTAGGATAGTAGCTAGTTTTAGAACTAGTACAGTCAGTAAGAAGAATAGATAGATATTAATAAATCTATTCAAATCACTCTCTGTGGTGTCACAAACAAACAAACAAACAAATCAAAAAAAAGGTAAAAGACAATGGCCAAAGAACCCAAGTAGAAATTATACGGTAGAAAAGTTGATAGAGGAGTCACAGCAGTTGTGTCGTCACTTTAGCGATGGATGTAATCAGATCTTTTCGAGCAAGGAGGGACTGAAAAAGAAGCAGCATGAAGAGACGTGTCCGCAGCGCAAGGTGCCGTGTCCGCTGAGCAAGATCCTCGGCTGCAGCATCGAGACGAGTCTGATCCCAGCCGACATTGAGAAGCACTTTGAGGAGCACCATCGTCTCGACAACGTCTATTTGCACGATCAGGAACGTGAGACGGGCTTCTTTCGCATGACGATGATGTCGCCACTCCCTAAAGGCACCGAGACGAGTTGTCTGCTGCTCAAACAAGAGGGCAACACCATCGTGTTTGTGTCGACTGGTGAAGGCGTCTTTCGTAGCTTCCTCTTTCTCTTTTTAACACCGCCACCCCGCAAGTACCAGATTCGCGTCTATGGCACCAGCAGCGCCATGATCAAGATCAACGACCGACCCCAGATATGGGCAGATGTATGCGACACACTCCCACTCGTCTCCTTCACCATATCGCAACAACAGTACCTAAAGTGGAGTCACTCGAGTGCAAACAGATCATTCTGTATCCATCTAAAGGCCATCGAAGAGGATGATGATGAAGACGACGATGACGAAGACGACGACGAAGACGATGACGACGAAGACGATGATGAAGATGACGATTCAGATTCAAATGACGAAGTCAATCCTCGTGAAAATACAAATGATCGTAATCGTACTTTAAATAGTTCTGGTGGTTTCTCTAAAGATTTTAATCAAAGCAATCAAAATAATCAAAATAATAATAACAGTACAACTAGTAGTAATAATAATAATAATAATACCGAAGAAAACAAAAGATTTTTAAAGAAATTAAAGGTTAAATAAGAAATTAGATAGATATATATATATTATAGAATTCTATTATTTATAATGTACAAATTTGTTTTCTTTCTTCTTTTTATTTATTTATTTATTTTGATTTATTTCTATTTATTTTGATTGAAGAGGAGTTAAATCTTTTAAACCTCTGAGGATTTCATCAACTTGTTCTATTTCATCTTTTTTCAATTCTTTGACTGGACGTTGTAAATGTTCTGCTATGTTCATTAGTTTCTTCTTGTCGTGTTCATTGGCAACGAGTGAGATGGCAACACCCGATCTACCAAATCTACCAACACGACCAACACGATGAAGATAGAGTACTGGATCGGGTCGTTCATTCTCATCCAATGGCATATCATAATTGATGACCAATGACACTTGAAGAATATCAATGCCACGTGCCAACACATTGGTAGTAATCAACACCTTTGTTTTTCCCAACTTGAAATTATTAAGTTCTGCAAATCTCTGTTCCGTTGTATTTCCTTGTCCAAATAATAATGATACCGAGTGTCCATCTTCCCTCATTTTATTTGCTAATGATTTTGCTGTTTCAATTGTCTAGAAAAAGAAACAAAAAAGTTAGAGTCAATATAAATATAATTATAAATATAGTTATTATTTTTAGTTTCATTCATACATGAACAAAAACAATACTTTGACCAACACTAATATAAGCATAGATATCTGAAAGGATGTGTGGTTTGTTTGAAGGTGATTCACAGTCGATATAGAATTGAAGTATTTTATCGACTGACAATTGTTCACGTTTGAGACGAATTGATACTCTTGGTTCTGGTACATATTGTTTGGTGTAATTGTCTACAGACGATGAAAAGGTGGCAGAGAATAAGAGGATCTTGATACCCTTTGGCAAGAGATCCTTGATACGTTCAGATTGCTCTGTCATTCCTCTGACACCAATCATATGATCTGCTTCATCCAACACTAACATTTTCATCTTTCTCAATCCAATTTGACGACGACCAATACAATCAATCAAACGACCGGGTGTTCCAATAATGATTTGGTTGGTAATCGTACGAGGTAAATCCACCTCTTTAATGACTAGAATCGGTTTGATCGTTGTAAATTGTCCCAATTTCTTGACCACTTCAAATATTTGTACAGCCAATTCTTGTGATGGACATATACATATGGTTTGTGGTTCTTGAATCGTCTCATCTACACAATTCAACATTCCCAATGTAAATGCTGCTGTTTTACCTGTACCAGATTGTGATTGTGCTATTAAATTTTCGCTAAATAAGAGAAATAGACCGTTAGAACTTATTAATATCTAACTTGATATGGTAGGTTGTAGGTTGTAGGGTTTACCTTGATTGTATTATAATTGGTAATGAATTTTCTTGAATTTTAGATGGTTTGTTATATCCCATTGCATAAACACCTTTTAATATTTCTGGTTTCCTTTAAAATATGATGATGATATATTAGTATCTTTGTATATATCACACAGATATGTATGTGTTTAGAGATTCTTTACTTACAAACCAAGTTCTTCAAATGATTTAATAGAATATAATGGTGAATTTGGATTAGTTTGTTCAATTTCCAATTGAGCATCAAATGTCTCTAATAATGACTCTGATTTAACAAGTCCTGGGATTGGCTCTAAAGTTGTAGGTAGGAAAGGTAAGGTAAGGTAGGTAGGTAGGTTGTGTTAATCATATGATGATGAGATGATCATATCATATCTTTATTTATTTACCTTCACCCTTTTCATTTGTTGAAGGTGTAGTAGTACTTGTTGAAGGAGTAGTAGTGGGAGGAGGAGTACTTGTTGAAGTTATTTCTGACATATTTGTTTATCTATCTATCTATCTATCTATCTTGCTACAAAACTATAATAATACTTATTTTCAAAAACACTCAACTTGCTCAATTTAAAGAAACGAACCCTAAATTGGGAATATTCATTGCACTTGATGGATTTTTTCAAAATTCATTGACAACTATTTTTTGAAGAAATAATATTATTTCTAGTATCTTTTCTTTTATGAATGCAAATATATATATATTTATTGATAAACTTAAAAATAATTAAATTTTTTCTTATCTTGTCTTGGTTTTCTAATATTATTATTATTAATTATTATTATTATTATTAATTATTCTAGGGTTTTGACATCTAGATCGAGTGAGTGAGAGTCTATCTAATCTGGACTAGAGTAGTTTTAATTATTAATGATTATTATTATTAATTTATGGACGTGGATATTTTCTTGGTCTGCCTGGTCCACGTTTAGCAGGTTGTGGTGATGAAATAGCTCCATTCAAAGTTGTTGGAGTTTGTTGTTGTTGTTGTTGTTGTTGTTGATTGTTAGTATTGTTAGTTGTAGGTGTGGATGATAGAGATGCTCTTAAATTTGGAGTGATTGGAGTTAATGAGAAGGAATGAGGTGCAGATGGAGTTGATGGAGTTGATGGCGTAGTATTGGTAGTACCATTTAAAGAGAATGTATGTGGTGGTGATTGATGATGATTGTGATTTCCATTTCCATTTCCATTAGGTGTTGTTGCAACCAATGGAGTTAATGGAGTTGGAGTTTGTTTTGGTGATGTTACATTATTATTATTATTTTGATTATTTCCATTTGGTGATGTTTGAGATCTAGTTCTTGGTGATTTTGTAGTTGGAGTTGGTTGATGAGTTGTTTTTGTTCTTTTTCTCTTTTTTGCGTCGTCATCTGAAAAGACATCTTCTTCTGATTCCAAATCTTGGTATCTTTCATCATTGGCGATAGCGTCGTCTTGGTCGCTATCATCATTGTAACTAATATCACTCTCTAAACTCTCCTCACTACTACTTTCCTCTAATAACTCTTCCTCTGCTTCTAATTCATCACTTTCAAATTCTGATTCCTCTCCAACTGATTGTTGTTGTTGTTGTTGTATTTGTTGTGGTGGTTGCATTTGTTGAATATGTGTATTATTATTATTATTAATACCATTACCATTACCATTTGCATTATTATTATTATTATTAGCATTAGCATGAGCATTGGCAATCAATTGTTTTTGGTATTGTCTAGCTGCTTCTGCTTCTGCCTTTCTAGGTCTACCGACCGATCTTTTAAGGGGAGGTGGTGTAAGAATTTGTGGTGTAACAATCACCGGTGTTACAATCACTGGTGTAACTGTAGTAGTAGCTACACCATTTACACCATTGATAGGTGGAGTTGGGGGAGGAGGGGTAGCAGCAGCTTGTTGTTTCTCAATAAAACTTTTTTGTTGAAGGTATATACGCATTGCTTCAGCTTCTGCTTTCTTTGGTCTAAATAATATATTGATTGTTAATAAATATGATGTATATGAATATTTATAATATATGTGTGGTTGATTATATATTTACCTTCCAGGACCTCTTTTAATAAATGGTTGACCATTGACCATTGTACCTCCATCCCTTTCACTGATAGATATGAATAATTTTTCTTTTTGTTGTTGTTGTAGTTGCAGCTGTTGTTGTTGAGAGAATACTTGGGAACTGGCCAACGAAGGACTGACTGATTTGAGTGTAGGTGTTTGTAGCGGTGATACACCGGCGTGAGAGGATCGACGACTGCTCGCTGTGCTCTCGGGGTATCCATCCTCATCGTCGCTAGAGTGGTTTCCATTGCCATAATAATTTTTAGTCTTGAATGGTATTTGATAGCCAAATCCACCAATCGAGTGACACGTAACATCATCAGCCGTCAATTCAACCGGTCCCTTTGAATGACCGTTACCATTATGACCATTATGACCGTTTCCATTTCCTTGTTGTTGTAGTTGTTGTTGTGAAGATCTTAAACTTTCAAAATCCTTTTGATAATTCCCAAAATTAAGTGAACTTTTATAATTGTGATATTTAATCTTCATTTTCTTTCTAAAATTATAATAATAATAATTAATATTGATATACTAGATATATTTGTTGAGAGATACAACTGTGAACTATGAATATATTAATATTAATATTTACTTTTTAAAAATATTAATAATATCTTCAAAAGAAACCTAATTTAAAAAACAAGATATCTGTTTTTTTTTCTATTTGTGTGGTGGTGCGTTAGTGTTGATTAGAGAATTCTGTGTGAGCAAGGAAGAGGATGAGGAGATAATAATATAAAAATAGCAAAGAGACAAACAAAGAAAAGTGCTATCTTTACTATATACAATAATAATAATAATAATACTAAGGTACAACGGGCAATGAATGAATAATTGCAACGAACGATATTATTATTCGAGAATTATAATTATTATTATAGAATAAATATTATTAATAATTTTGAGAATATTTTGATAGTTGGTTGTTGTCTTGAATGATTGAACAATCAACAATGGGACGGGAATAATAATATGATACTAGATGATGATGATAATATTGTGATGGTCGCCGACTACAACAAAGACGGAAAGGAATATTATTATATAGATATAGATAATTAATTAATTATTATTGTTGAAAACAAAAAGATATATCTTTTAGGTAAAGATCGTATGAGAGCGAAATTGTTTTTTAAAATTAATTTTTTTTTTGTCGTTGCTTCTTTTTAATAGTATTAATATTAATATTGAAAGATCATCCAATCAATCAATCACAATCAAGTTGGGTAATAGTATGACCATGATCTCGAGGGACAGCACGTCATCACTGTCAAACATTATTGATTTGAATGTAATAAGAAACCCAGTGTGGCAAAGTCCACCGGTGGAAACAAATGTGACAATGAATGATGATCGATGCTTTCAAGTTTGAAATAATTATTTCAAAATTATTATCATCATAGACATGTCAACAACAATCAATTATTATGATACAACAATAATAATATAGATAATAATATAAAATATAATAAAATAGATAGATAGATAATAATTATTTTTGGTGATCAATGCTCAGTTCGAGTGAGGATGATGAGCTTGATTGAGGGAGTGATGAACAAGTATTGTGAAATTTCGATTTGAAGGAAGAAGAAGAGAAGGAAAGAAGGAAAGTACGAGGAGAGGTTACTTACAAACAGATAATTAATTATATTATATTGTTCTTGGTATTGGGTAATAATTATTCTTTTTCAAAAATTAAAATAATTAAAATTCAACAGGAAGGAAGGAAGGATAGTTGACAGAGAGATTTTTTATCTTTTGAATTTTGCTTTTATTTATTTATATTTATTTATTTTTTGCATCAAAGACATACATAGGTAGTCTTCCTAATTCTCAAGAATATTATTAATTAATATTCAAGATCTTAGCTAAACTTTCAAAATAAATTATGAAAAAATTATTATTTCAAATTCTAACTAACAAACTAGTTATTGCTCAATCAACAATATGATTCATTAATGAATGTGTATGTATAAATGATTGTAATAAAAAGATTTGTTTGTTTGTTTGTTTGTTTGTTTGTTTGTTTGTTTGTTTGTTTGTTTGTTTGGTTGTGGCTAACCATTAATTAATTTGACTTGAAAATTTTAAAATAGTATGAATGGTTGGTTGCATGCAAACATGGAGGAATGAGGGGTCTATTATTATTTTGAGGTTAGTTTGACCTTTGATCAAATAGATAGTGGCAATTAATTTACAAATACAACAATAATAATTACTAAAAAGAAGAAAAGATAAAATTATACTTTAATAAAAATATCTCTGTCTCTGATTATTTTTATTATTATTATTTATTTCCAGCCAGACCTTAATATAAATATATATGTATATATTTATATATATTATTTAGAGTTGATCAACCAAGACGGTGTAGATTCATCTACACTTTTGTTTGAAAATGCCTAGTTGGTTGGCTCTTTCTCTCCTCTCTTTATTTCCAAAGAAAGAAATAATTGAGTTTTTAATAATATTATTGTGTCAGCTGTGAAACGGTGTGTTGTGCAAAGCAGTTGTGTTCGCCCGAAATAAATTGTGGCACACATTGTTTAAATTGATTTATTCACCTCTCTTTTCTTTATCTTTATCTATCTATCTTTATATATATATATATCTATATATTACTATCATCATGTCAGGTATATTCAATAGCATTACAGAGACAGCCAATGAACTTGGTAATATCATTGAAAAGGAAATAACTAGTAGTGTTTCAAAAGGTATTCTCAAGATCAGAACTGCTGTCTCAAAAGACAAGAATCGTTTCATCAAAGATGGATTCAACCTTGATCTATCTTATATCACAAATAGAATTATAGGTATGCAGTATAGTTGAAAGATAACAGCTAGCTGTTTTAAGTACTTATGTACTAATATTGTTTATATTTAGCAATGGGATACCCATCAACTGGAGAATTGGAATCAAACTATCGAAATAGAATGGCCGATGTACAAAGATTCTTTGAGACATATCATAAGGACCATTATCTGATTATTAACTTGACCGAGGAGCCATACGACTCGACGGCATTTAACAATCGAGTGCATCATTTGGGGTGGCCGGACCACCACAGTCCTGCACTCGGTCTTTTAATATACTGCATACAAATTATTCATAATTGGTTAAACGCACACCCCGACAATGTCGTAGCCATACATTGTCTCGCGGGACGTGGACGAAGTGGGTTGTTAATATCCTCGTATTTGGTGTCGAGTGACATGTACCAAGGCAAGTTGGACGACGCCTTAAAGTTATTTGCAATGCAACGATCCTCGATTGGAGAGGGTGTGACTGTTCCCAGTCAGATTAGATATGTTGATTATATCAACCGTCTGTCAACACGTGAAGTTGATATATCGATGGCACAGCAACCACGAACACTCGTACTCAACCGTCTCATGATGCGTCCAGTCCCCAGACACACATCGGGGTGGCGACCAACCATTGAGATTCTCAATGTCAACATTCCACTGCAACCAGTTGTCATCTACTCCAACAAGGATAGTCTCTCAACCCCACTCTTTTACTCGGATCGTGACCCAGTTGCCATCATCGACCTTCCACCCAACACCACACTCTCTGGTGACATTCTCATCCGTGTCTACAGTTCCAACGAACAATACGTATCTGAAATTATCAATTCATTTTTAGATAAACCTTTTTTTAGATTTGGTATGCTATCCCCATACACATACTCATACACATACTCTCATACTCTCATACATACATACTTGTATTAACATCCATATCTATTTCTATCTTTACTTTTAGCATTCCACACATCATTTATTAATGGACATTTTATAGATTTTAAGAAACATGAGTTGGATGAATCAAATAGTGTTATGAAATCAAATATTTATCCAAATGATTTCCAAATTCGTTTAATGTTTAGTGAACCATCACAATCTTCTCCTCCACAACCACAACAATATTCTCCTCAACAACCAAGACAACAACAACCACCACAACAACAACAACCACAACAACAATCCTCTCCTCAACAACCAAGACAACAACAACAACAACAACCTCCACAGTACTCTCCTCAACAACCAAGACAACAACAACAACAACCTCCACAACCATATGTTCAATCTGAACAAGACAATATTATTAATTTTAATAATAATAATAATAATTATGATAGTAATAGTAATAATAATAATAATGGTAATGGTAATGGTTATAATAGTAACCAATCTTCACCATCTATAATATCACAAATTTCTGGAAGTTATCAAGCTCCAAATCCATTTGAACAAGATGATGATTTGTAAATTGATTAATTGGTTTTCCAGAACAAAATTAAACTTGTGTATTATTTCCACTCCACCCATCCTATGTATCATAAAATAAAGTATCTATCTATGTATCTAATCAATCTATCCTATACATATCCCATCAAAGTGATATGATGATTATTTGTAACCAAGAGAGAGAGAGATTGTCCATTACCCGACCGACCAGTCAGGTCACCATTAAAACAAAACAAAGGGTTTGGTAGGTCAATGTATAAATTGATCATATATGTATTATTATTATTATTATTATTATTTACAAAATACATTCATTTATAAATGTATAATCGTGTTTTTGTTTTGTTTCTAATTAGTCTTATTATTGTTGAGAAGATCTTGTTCGTGTTGTTTCTTTAATTCCCATATTTTTTGTTTAGTATGATCGATCCATTCTCTCTTTAATGCTTGTAATCTTTCTGGTGTTGTACTGTTTTACATGATGAAGAGTAGGCTATTAGTAAAGAGTTCTAGGGTTGCATTGTACAATGATCATCACTATGCTACATACTGTGAAGTAAGACATTCTCTCATTTTTTGTTGTTGTTCTTTGCATTCCCAAATGACAGAGAATAACTTGTCTTCGGTACATCTAGCAAACTCTCTAACACTGCTTTCACAATCTGTCAATGTTTGATCCTTTAATTTCTTTCGAAGATAACTGTCGATTGCATTTGGGACGATGATCTCTGAATCTGGAATACTCATATATCCCATATCCTTTTCAACATTGTCTTGTCCTGTCTTTTTGTTGTTGCTATTGTTATTTAAACTATCACCGATTGTCATTATTACTTTACTAACAAACAAACTATATCTATTCGTCTTGACAACTAACTATAATGGTTGATCATAAATGCGTCAATGCAGAAATCATCAGTTTTTCACTCAAAAAAATTAATACAAACAAACAAACAAACAAACAATATTGTTTTTCTAGGATCGATCCTTTTATCTTTATTTATTTTAAAATGATTATTATTATTATTATTATTATACCATTGATTAGTTCAAAGCGAATAATAATATTAATACAAAAAGTCATAATTGGACGTGATGTAATACTCAATGTGTAATCTTGTCGCATTTGGCATCATTCAAACAAACAGGTTGTGTTTAAATATTGGATGAATTACAAGTGATTGATAGGAAATAAATTAATGTCTCTTGGCTCCAGCCATTACAAAGTCCAGTTTTCCCATCTTCAAGAAGAACCTTTTACCAAAGTACAACTTGCTTGATGTCTAGCTCTATCGGTTAATTGATCGAGATTGATTTAGTACGACTCTCTGATGATATTATTAACTTTCTCCACTTTTGACTATTGTTGAGTGTAACATCACAAATACTACATGATCGAAGTATGTAATTTTGGGGTCACTTGGTTGTATCTGAGAGGTGTTGAAATGATCCATGTATGTAATGTGTGTTGTTGATGATGGTGAAAAAGAGATATAATAAAAGTATGTGTATATAGAACAATACTATGTACTATATATGTTCTAGCAAGTCAAGTCATTTATGTGTAGTACTTTATTACTTTGATCTCTCTGATGAAGTTGACTCTGAGGTCAGCGGGCAGGCAATAATTTTCAATTTTTTCATCAATTTTGAATAAATTTTTTTTTTTGCTTCTCCGCAAGCGAGAGGCGATGGTCTGAGCGGCTGTGCGCTCTGAGCTCTGCTATCCTATCATGAATATCAAGTCGATTTTTTGAATCTTCCTTTCGGATAAACTAGGATTGTACGTAATGTTACTCATATAGTTATAGAGATAGAAAAGAATAGAATAGAACATGACAGACACAGCTAGCTAACATCTATCCATCACTCATCATGATACACCTATAACCTACACTATCTTCTACTATTACAGAATAAAAAATGGCCGACAAATCAGCTGTTGTTGTTCGTACCAAGAAGATTATGGTCAACCCATTGCTTGCTCGTAAGCAATTCGTTGTTGAAGTCCTCCACCCAAACAAGGACAGAATCTCCAGAGCTGACATCACCACCGCTGTTGCCAAGATGCACACTGTTGCTGACGCCAAGACCATCTTTGTCTACGGTCTCCAAACTAAATTTGGTGGTGGTAAGTCAACTGGTTTCGGTTTGATCTACGACTCTTTGGACCTCGCCAAGAGATTCGAACCAAAGTACCGTTTGGCCAGAGTATGTAATCTCAAATTATTATTATCACATTATTGGAGAGGAGATATATTGTCACAGGATCAGCATAGTGTTATCAAATCTAAATCCCTCTCCTTTCTCTTTCAATCAATTTGACACTAACATCCACATTCTTCTATTTACTTACTATTATTTTAGGCTGGTATGCACACCAAGGCTGTCACCTCAAGAAAGCAAAGAAAGGAGAAGAAGAACAGACTCAAGAAGGGAAAGACCTCCAAGAAATAAATTACTTGAGAATAGTTTCATTCTTATCTGCTACCGTTTTAAAACAACACAATCCAAACAGAATCAAACCCAACATTATTATGATGATCACACTATTCAATCAATCATCTGATCATTATTATTATTATTATTATTATTATTATTATTATTATTATTATTATTATTATTATTATCATTATTATTTATTTTAATTTTCATTGCTGTTTTATTCATTCGTTTTCGTGTTTAATTTAAAGATATTTATGTTAATGTCTTTTTTAAAAAGGTGTAGTTTTCTTTTTGAGTCTAGTTTCTAGATATTAAGTCTGTGAATCATAATAGTCTAAAGTCACTCAATTTACAAGAAAGATGGTTAATAAATTCTCAGGAATGAAAAGGCGTCCTTCCAGACCAAGATAGACGATAGTTACCTAAACCTGCCCCTGCTTGCTGACGTTAGCCAAAAGATTTTTTTAAAATTTTGTTTGGTGATTCGGGTCGATTGTTGATTACACCCTTTGAGCTCAACGTCGTCGTATTTTTAAGTTATTTATCTCCCTCCTCCCTTTTTTCTATTTATATATATATCTCTACATCCAACAAACAAACAAACAAACAAACAAGTTGTACAATAGAATAGAATATATAGATAGAGATAAAAGAGAGAGACAGAGATGATAGGATTCTCACAAGATAGTAGTCATCTCTATGACCAATATAGCAATAATAATAATAATCGTTCGATGCACGGTGGTGGAGGTGATCATGGACACTCTCATGGTGGGGGTGGTGGCGATCATGGACACTCTCATGGTGGTGGAGGTGATCATGGACATTCTCATGGTGGAGGAGGTGATCATGGACATTCACATGGTGGTGGTGGAGGCGATCATGGTCATTCTCATGGGGGTGGCGATCATCATGGACATTCACACGGTGGAAATGGAGAGTGTGGTGAAGAACAAGAACAACATCAACATATTTATGGAGGTGTGCCAGATGTTATACAAAACTTGCAAATTGTGACACCGAGCGTTTTGGCGAAATCCCCACCAATGATACAAGAGCAATATATGACTGTTTTGGAGAAATATGCAAAGCAAGAGGTCGAGCGTAGTGCTCATCCTTGGAGTGCGCCCATCGAGTACTCGACTGTGCTGATAGCCCACGAGTGCGCCAAAAAGGGATTGGTCGACGACTACACCAAGTTGATGAACGATTCTGGTGTGACAGCATCGACCTTTGTCAATATTCCCGATACTGATGGATGCACTGCTTTGCACCACGCCGTCTTTAAAAAACAAAAGGATTTTGTACGATTCCTTTTGGGGCATGGCGCAGAGGTCGACATGGTGAGTCACGAGGAGGGTCAGACACCGTTACACTGGGCGTGTATTGCTGGAGAGCCCCAAGTAACATATGCGCTGGTCGAAGCTGGTGCCGACCCCGTCTACAAGGACAAGAGAGGATACAACGCGCTATTACATGCCGCACAATACAACGATGCCCATTCGGTACGTTATCTCATTGAAAAGGGGTGTCCTGTGCGCAGCGTAGACAATGACGGCCACACACCCGCTCACTGGGCTGCGTTCCAGGGACACGCTAATATGGTGCGTTACTTTATTGCCCGTGGGGTCGATATTGACGCCCGCGACTCGCTTGGCAGAACCGCGCTGCACTGGGCCTGTCACAAGGGCCACAAGACTGTCATGTCGACACTCTGCTTCCTCAAGGCTGACCGCACCATCGTCGACGGCAACGGATGTCGCGCTGTAGACTTGGCCGAACTCAAAAACAACAAAGACATGGTCGATTTCCTGCACGCCAAGGATCGCGAAGACAAACGATTCCCCAACATCGACGCATACAATCGGTTCTGGACGATGATTGGTATTTTTACCGTGTGTCTCCCCCCACTCTTATTTTGCACACAGCCACTTTGGCTTTCCCTCACCACCATTGTTTTTGTCGGCTATCTATTTAAAAACTACCTCATGCTCAACTATTGGGTACCCGAATACAACAACCCATTCAATCCAGCCGTCCTCTACACAAGCATTGTTCTCTGGTACTTGGTCTATATCTTCCAATTGGCGTCGGCCACTATGGAGGCTACTGGCAGCACCGTCCACGCTATCCTCAATATCCAAGTGTGGGTATTCCTCTATTTCTTTATCAAGCTGTGTTGGAGCGACCCTGGAAACATCAAAAAGTACCACACACAAGAAAGCTCGACCAAAGCATTTATGGACGCACTCGCCGACAACCAGACTCTCCCCGTCATCTGTCCGACCTGTCAAGTCAACCGTCCTGTCCGTTCCAAACATTGTCCATCCTGTAACCAATGCTCTGCACGTTTCGATCATCACTGTATTTGGATCAATAACTGTGTCGCTGCAAATAACCAAGTTTTATTCTTACTTTTAATTTTAAATTTCTTACTTACCATTGTTACTGGTGCTATCATTACTTTTTCTTGTATGTGTCAAAAAACAAAACAAATCAACAAATTTCAAATCAACAAATTACAAATCAACTAATATATTAATTAATTTATTTCTTTATTTCTTTTTCTTTTTTTAGATTTCCAATTAGATGAAAATGGACCAAATTGGGATGATGGAAGAATAGCATCAATGAAATATTATTTTACAAATTATCCAGCTCCATTTTACTTTTTATTCTATGGACCTGCCATTGGATTGTTTATTGGCAAGATTGGACTTTCCCAAGTCTTTACTATCATTCTCAACAAGACCACCTACGAACAAATCCAAGAGAATCGTGAGTTGGGTTATCACGGACACAGTCATCAATCATTTGACCAACAAAAGGACAAGGATGGTGTTTTCACTCATCACAAATATTCTTACAACGCTTTCAATCGTGGTAAATTGAATAATGTCAAGGAGTTTTTATTTGATCTCCAAAAATACTATTTTACTTTAAATTTAAATTCTAATAATAATGTTTAAATAATAATACATATTAATAATAATAATAATAATACTATTTTAAAATAAAAAAGAGATTCTAATTTTTTTATAACTATACAAACAAAAAAATATTATATTATATTATTTTTTAATTTTATTGTATAAATCCAAATTGTAAAGATTCATATACTAATATAGAAGAGTATTTTAATAAATGAGTTGATGAATTTGTGTTGTTGGAGTAGTAGAATTTTGAATACAAGTATCCAATGAGAAGAAGGTGTTTGGGTAGTTGGATATTTGGTGGAGAAAGTGGAGTCATCAAACCATCAAGATCTTGCTTGTTAAATTCTATAGAGTAATGATTGATTAATCGATCAATGTGATTGATAGTTACAATGGTTGGATAATTATGTTTTTCAAGTAAATTGTCTATACATGAGGAAATGTATGACCCATTTGTCCTAAAATCTATAAAGACTGACCATAAATATTCAAACATTTCATCAGAGATGGCCATTGACAGACATTCACCAAATAGACGAAAATCTGTTTGCTATTGATGCAGGGGATTGACTTGAGAAATAGTCTTGACATTGTTGTATGATTGTTTCGTTGTTGTGTAATAGTCCACTGAAATAGTGTTTTATCCAGTCACCAGTAGAAGATGGAGAGTCATCGTCAATCCAACTGCTCATTATTTTATATCCATGGTTGAGTTTTAAATCCAAAAGATTTCTATTACTACTTGTTGATACGACTGTAGTTGAAGGGATAGGGTTGTTGTTATTGCTGACAATAGATTGAACCATGGATTGGTCACTATGAAGTAAAATATTGTTGGTGGCCAAGAAATTGAGAGTCTCTAATACACTCTGTTTATTTTCAACCAACCGGTCAAGACACTTGTGCCGACTAGTTGGATTGTAGCGTCTGAGTTGGTCGGTTGTTATTCTAGTCTTTAATATCTCTATTTGACCATTTGATATTAATGTTTCAATCATTGCAGTTGAATAGTAAGAGTTGGTGATCTTGATACCACTATCCAATAGAATCTTGACAGTCTCCAAGGTAAAAGAGTATGATGGATTGGTACTATATACTCTACCATATTTTTGTAAAGTACAATCTATACTCAATGTAGTCGATGTACTATTTGAAAGTTTAACTTGATCAAGCATAAATGTCAATGCTCTTGTATTATTGCTAACTAGTACAATATCCAATATATAATTTAACATATCGAAATCATTATAACTTTTGTGTCTGGTTGGTGATAGATATGATTTCAATTGATCGTACACTCTTTTAAAATGTTTTATGAATGTATTTGTAAAGTTGTATTGAATCAGAGTGTAGAGACTACATTTGATGTGTTGGTATTTGACAATAGGTATATTCAACTGTTGATGAATGATACTGACATGGTTGAATATTTTTTGTCTTGTATATTGATTCTTTATAATAATAAGTCTAAATAGATTATCTATATGTTGATTATTATTATCCATTAATTTGTATGTTGAAAAAATGATTGTATGAAAGTTCACCACCAAATTAATGAACTAATTTCTACTATTTATTATTTATTTATTACTTTCTAATATCAGATGTCATTTTATAATATAATCAATAATAAATATTTAATTGATTATATATTTAAAAAGGTTAGAGGAGAAAGATTAGTAGATTCTACGGTTGTTTCATCGAGACCATTCATAACATTTAAATATGATGATATTAATAGTGTGGAATGGATGATTGATAATGGTTATATAGCATTATTGAAATACAAGATACAACGACGAGATGTATCAATCAACGCAATCAATAGTGATGACATTGCAAGTCTATGTAGTAAAGTGACAGACAATGATAAAGATATAGAATCTTTTGATTACATCTACTTTAAATGTAGTCATCTATTTCTATGTCCATCGGTTGTTGATGGAGCTGCTTCCAATACAACTACATCTTATCCATTGTCAAAGATACTCGAACGGTCTCAGCTGGATGGTGGGTATGCTCAATGGAGTGTAGCAACGGTGCAAGCAGCTTTCAATGCCGGCTCATTACCATGTGCCACTCTACTTTTTAATAGATGGGTCACCTTTGCAAAAGCAACGGATGGTGTTGATCCTCTCTATCAAAACTATCAAGCTACAGTACCAGATAATACCTATTTTCTACGTCTTGTCTATAATGCTTTAAATCAAACTTGGTGGACACCACAAAAAAGAATAGATCTCTCCAATATCGTCATCCAAGCCATCAAATCATTTGCAGCTTGTAAACGATCGTCAGAGATGTTAAAGAATATTAATGTACCATCTCTACCACTAGACACAAAAGATATCCTTCGTAGTGCTCATTTCAACCTCCCTGTTGATTTGTTTACTATTCTATTCAACACCAATAACATCTCTCCATCCTCTTCATCCTCCTCCTCTTCTGACCATCAAAGATATTTCATGGATCAATATTTGGAATGGTTAAATGAATTACCATGCTATGAAGCAGATAAACCACTCCCATCAATTGGAGATTCAACCATACCAGATCTATTAAAACTGGTCAAAAGACATTGGAAAACCTATAACCTCCAACAAAAATGTACATTTATAGATCAAAATACAATTGAAATGATTGATTTTATTGAATCAAAAATTAGTCTTCAACAAGAAAATAATAATTATAATATTAAAGAGTTTCTTTTACCCAATTCCTCTTCATCCTCATCCTCTTCTTCTTTGTCCTCTTATAAATGGATTTATTTAAAATGGATTTTAAAATCAAATAGGATCAATCAATTATCTTTTGACAAGGGGAAATGGGTAAATAGTTTTATAAAGGCAGCAATTAAGGAAGAAGATAGATTGGAAGAGTTGAATGACCTTTTACAAGTTACGATACCAATTTTTAAATATAATATTGATTGGTCACAAATGTATTATCAAGATTTTGGTCACTCAAAATGTAATGATATTATACGTCGAGCTATTCAAAATGCATTACCAAATACTACTGTATTTTTACTTACCCACGATCAAGTTTCGGAGGATACTACCGAATTGTCATCATTCCATCAACCATCACCATTGGTAGCAATCAAGGGTGGCCATCTACCATTCATTCAAAAAATGTATCAAGCAGCCACCACCGATTTACTTGACGGCACCACCTTTGGTACTCTTGATCTACAACTCGAACTACTCACCATCAGTGCTCAGTACGATCAATATGAAATTATCAAGTGGCTGATTGGCCAAATCAAACAGGATGGTTTTGATCAATCTGTCAAATTGCCAATCATTCAAGTTGCACTCGAAACCGCGCTTCTTCATAGCCACGGTAGGATAGTCAATTTAATCTTGTCCGAGTTTCCAGACCCCTGTATTTTTACACGTTCTCTCTTGGAGGTTGCCTCTGTATCTGGTAATGTTGACTTTTACACCAGTCTACAACGTCGTGTTCAACTACCAGACGGCGTACCAAAAGATTTTATCGATTATCAACAATCGATACTGTTTTCCATCAATCAAGGATCAACCAAATTGGCTCATTACATTATCAAAATCGTCCTAGGAAAGAATGAAAGTGATTCACTACTTTCTTTCAGCTTTTTATTTTGTATTCATGCTGCCATTAAACTTGGCAACTTTGAATTGTTTAAATACTTTATGGAGTCAATTAAAACCAACATGGACAAGGATACTGTCATTACTCAGTTTATTTTATCGGCTATGGATTATGGACGTGTCCAAGTGTTGGATTACCTCTTGACCAAACATCCCTCCAACTATCAACTCTTGGTTAGCGACATTTATCGTGCTCTCAGTCGTGGCCACATTTCCATTCTTCAATACTTGGTCAGTGATAAAAACTCGTCCCACTTTAAAGTGTTGACTCAATATGTTAAAAAGTTTGGACCCCTTCACGATCATCCTCCAAACACCAAATCTTTTTTAATTAATAATACATCTTTATTTAAATAAAAAGAAATAAATAAATATTAAATATTAATTCATTAATTTATTTTTGTGGAGGAATATAACCAAATTTTAAAGCTTCATTTATAGAAGGGTAGGTTGATAAATGACTTGGTTGTATAGTGTCAATGTGAAAATAGAATTTTGAATACAAGTAGTTGAGTAGGTAAAGGTGTTTGGGTAGTTTGATTATTGGTGGTGCAAGAGGTGTCATCACGTCGCTACGATCTTGTTTGTTAAATTCAATAGAGTAATGATTGATTAATCTATCAATGTGATTGATGATGGTGATGACAGTAACTGAGGATCTTGCAATTGATGGTTCATCATCGTTGGAAATTACATTGTGAATACATTTTGATACAATGTCTCCATTTGATTTGGATTTATCATCAAACTCTGACCACAAATAACTAAACATTTCATCAGAGATGTTGGCTATTGACATACAATCGATAAACAATTGAGCCACCTTTTGATGAGTTTTGGTTAGGCTAAACAAATACTTTGTATTGTCCAAATGGTTATTTTTGACTACATCACGAATAGGTTTGGCGCCAAAAGAAGACTCGAAATAGAGCAGTCTGACAATTGGAAATAGTCCAAGACGACAAGCATCCTCTCTAAATACCAATAACTCGTTATTTGTAAGATTGGTTGTTATAGATTGTTGCGTGTGATTTGAGAAATATTCCTTACACCTTTCAATTGTTTCCTTGTTGTTGGTGAGTAATGCACCAAAATAAAGTCGTACCATGTCTCTCATTGATGATGTATTTGAATCAATACACTTCTCTACCATCACTTTATAATATTCTTTTCGTAGGTGTTGCGATACGATTTGAATTGTGGATTGAAATGTTCGCCGATTATTATTATTATTATTATTTATAGTATCGTTGTATTGTGTTGTAATATGTTGAGTGATGAGATTATATTGATTTACTTTGGCTTTAGACAAAAGAAGAAACTTCCAATCATTTCCAACCAATAGATTGTTGTCATTCATAAAGTGTAGTATCTCTACTACTTGTGATTCATTCTTGTTTTTAGTATCGATTAAATCTTTCAAGAATAGATTCTCTCGATATAGTGGGCTGAATATTCGGTAATCTATCAACTGTTCCTTTGAAAGTCTTGTCTTTAGTATCTCTAGTTGTCCATTTAACAACAGTGATTCTATGATTGCACGAGTATAGTTTTTATTGGTGATCTTGATACCACTATCCAATAGAACCATGACAGTCTCTACAGTCAATGAATAGAACATTTTGTTGTGTAATGTACTACAGTCGACTGTACAAAGTGGTGGTGACGACGATGATGACGGAGTACTATTTGCAAGTTTAACAAAATCAAGCATAAATGTCAATGCTCTTGTATTGTTTTTAACTAGTACAATATCCAATATATAATACAATCTATCAAAGTCATTGCAATCAGGTCGATTATCGAATTTAATTGATTTCAATTGATCGTACACTCTTTTAAAATGTTGTATGAATGTACTTGTAAAGTTGTATTGAATCAGAGTGTAGAGACTACATTTGATGTGTTGGTATTTGACAATAGGTATATTCAACTGTTGATGAATGATACTGACATGGTTGAATATTTTTTGTCTTGTATATTGATTCTTTATAATAATATGTTTAAATAGATTATCTATATTCATTCCAAGTTTGATTATTATTGTCTTTAAAAAAAATTTGTTTGAGTTTCAAATGAGGAAAATAAACAATTTAATTATTTATTATTTAATTATTTATAATCAATTAATTATAATACTTAAACACATATTATAAAGTATCTTTTATATTATATATATTATTACAATATACACATATTTTTAATATTTATTTATATCATTTAATTAATTATTATTATGTGTAACAATTGATATATTATTAAAAATATAACCATGTTTTAAAGCAATAGCCATAGCACTATCATTCTTTGTATGGTCATGTGATTTTGATTGTGGTTCATCACATGGTACATAGAATTTTGAAAAGAAGAAATCTAATATTAAAAGATTCTTTGGGAATGATAGTATTTGGTCCAACCAAAATATAGGACGTTTACCATTTAATTGAACTATGTATTGGTTAACTAATCGGTCGATATGTTGAATGACTGCCAAATAATTGGGATGAGACAATACTGTTTTAATGCACTTTGATATGACTTGAGTATTCTTGGTACGATCTTCAAAAAAGGGCCACAAATAGTTGAACATTTCCTCTGACAAGGGATTGGAAAAGGTTGATTGAAATATTCCTGTATTTAATTGCAGCTGTTGATTCTCTACAAAAAACTGTACTATTTGTATTTGGTTGTATTGTATAGCCACTGTATAAAGTTGTTGATAGAAAAACCTAAAACTGAGTAGTTTAACAATTGGTAATAGTCCAAGTCGACATGCATCAAGTCTAGATGTTTCGATATTTGACCAATTCAAAACAGTAAATAATTGTTTTGGTTCATACTTGCTAAAATAATCTTGACACTTGTCAATAATATTTTTGTCTTTGACAAGCAGTCCACCGAAATACTGCTCATACATGAATTTAGCCATATTATTATTATGATCCACGTAATTATTATTATTATTATTATTATTATCATCATCATCATCATTGGATAAAGGTTGCTGTTGTTGTAAATGTAGTGAAGCGAATTGAGTGATATTATTATCATTGTTGGAAGGTGGTGGTTGTTTTAAAAGAAGTGAGGTGTAATGATTGTATAATGTACTTGTTGTCGATAGTGAAAAGGTATCAGTGTCCTGAGTATTCGATCCTGTGATTGGAGGCATGTTGACTTGTAATGCCAAGTTGCTAATATCACTCTTCATTTGTTGATGGTATTCAAGTACCGAGTCAAGTCGATTGGCAATTGCTAGTGACTGAATATGCTTCCAATCATTTCTATACAATATGTTACCATTGTGCATGACCCTGATCACAGCCAATACCCTCCATTGATCTATATGTCCATGATTATCAAATAGATCATCGAGACATTGTCGATTGAATTTATGACCAGCTTGGAGTTGTTCGGTTGTTAGTTTGGTCAATCGTTCCAATTGACAGTTTGAAACGAGTAATTGAATGATTGATATTAGATATGATGATCTAACCACTCGAATACCACTGTCTAGTAGAATATTGATCGTCTCGATTGTCAATGTATTGTTTCTGCTCCACCGGCGGGCATCAGAATCAATCTGTGGATTGTCTGCAATTGATAGTGGTGGTATTGATTGACCTACGTAGGTATCGACGATTGATTCTCTGTATTGTTTTACATGATCAAGCATAAATGATAATGCTCTTGTATTGTTTTTAGAGAGTATGATGTCCAATACCGGTTGAAAGCGATCAAAGTTTAACCACCCATATATCGTTCTATACTGTTCGCAGTATCGTGGAAACTGATTGATAAACGCATCTGTTTGGTTATACTGAATCAAACTGTAGAGACAGTTTTGAATGTGCTCGTATTTGACCGAAGGTATCTCCAACCTTTGATGTATGCTTTCAACATGACCAAATATCAGTCTTCTAGTATACTGATTATTGATAGCTAGTTTAAATACACTATCTATCTTATTATTATTACACATATTATTCTTCTTGTTTATGATCATAATACTAAAAATCTGCAGTATTTCAGAGTACATAGTCTTCAAGAAAAAGACAACATCCAAAATATTTCCTAATTTCTTTATTTATTCTTGACAAGACATACAAGTTATTTCTTTTTAAATGATTAAAGATTATTAACGTGATCATACTTGTCTTGTATGACAATACCAAGATCTTTGAATATATAACCATACTGTAAAGATTTTTCCATCATTGTAAAGTATTTTTTTCTTTTACTGCTTTTTAATTCTGATGTTGTAGATTTTGGTGAACAATAAAACTTTGTAAAGTGATAATCTAAAAGAGAAAGATGTTTGGGCAATGAAATGGGGAATGGGCCAAGATGGTTTCTAAAAGTCATATATACATCTTGATCATCATCTTGGTATGGTTGATTCCAATAATTGTCATATAGTCGACTGATATGTTTTGTGATTATAGGTACTGAGGAATAATTGTCAAGTATGATTTTAGCGCAATCGAATACCCGATGTTTGGTTTCACGACTAAACGCCCTCCATAGATAGTCAAACAATTCATCAGACATAGGGGCAATTGAAAAGCATCTCCTAAAGTAAAAGAGTGATCCGACCACCGATGTATCCATATCCAACAAATACTTGACCACATCCAAATTATTGTTTTCAATGGCTCTGACAAGTGGCATTGTCAAATCAAACATATCAATATTAATAAGTAGTTTGACGATTGGTAATAGTCCAAATTGACATGCATCATTTCGAAATTTCTCCAACAATTCTTGAGATATTGATTCCAGGTTTATATGATTGGAGAAATAAAGTTGACATTTCTCCATAACTTGTTGGTCGCTGAGTAGAAATCCACCAATATATAATCGTATCATATCTTGTAGTTCCAGTTCCTTTGAAGGTTGGTTCAACCAATCTTTTAGAAATAAAGTATATTCCTCACGCACAGGTTCGGTGGTGACATTATCTACTTTCTTTATACTCCCTTGATCGGCATTGGATGGTGGTGGGATATCATTATTAATTAAAAGAGAACCAAATCTTTTTAATTGATTGATCTCTCTTTCGATTTGTTTATGGTATCCAAGGATCGACTTGTATTTCTTTTTTGTTGCAACTGTTTTTATAAAGTCCCAATCATTTCGAACTAAAAATAGATTAAAATGAAGCACTTTGAGTACACTTAATACCAGTAGTTGATTGTCATTGTCCATTAAATCTTTGATACATTGTCGATTGATTTGTTTGGTGCAAAGTTGGAATTGCTCTTTTGTTATTTTAGTCTGTAGTGCCTCCAATTGACAACTTGATATGAGTGATTCAACCATTATGGTTACTAAATTTTGGTTCGATATTTTAATACTACTATTCAATAGAACCATGATAGTCTCCAAAGATAATCTATATGCTTGGTTGTCATCATAAGCCAATCTTTCCCTCATAGAGAGTGAAAATGGTGATGATCTATTCTGTGGCAGTTGATCATTTACATATCCAAGCATAAATGATAGTGCACGACTGTTGTCTTTCAATAATATGATCTGTAGTAAGGGACCAAATAGAATGTCGTTGATACGGTACACTTGCTCACAAAAGGATCCATGTTCATCTTTAATTTGATCATAGAATCGCGGGAACTGATTGATAAATGAATCAGTGCGATTGTACAGTATTAACTGGTAGAGACAGTTTTCAATATTCTCGTATTTGAAGCTTGCTATATCCAACTGTTGATGTATGACAGAGACATGATTGAATATCAGTCTTCTAACATACTGATTATTGATGATTTGTTTAAGTGCATTATCCATCGATATTATTATTATTATTCTTATTATGATAATTATTTATCTGATTCTTATCTTTTGAATAATACCAAGAATGGTCGTTAAATTCCAAAAAAAAACTCTTTTTGTTATAAATTTAGGGGCATATGAAGGGCTCCGATGCTGCAAAAAATATTTGGAAACTAATTATTTTATTTGTATTGTAGAGTTCCATGTGATTGATTATTTTATTGATGATCTACACATTCATAATAATAGTTTAATAAATATGATAGTGTATATGTAGTGGGCCCTCCTACTGTATATCACTATTGTATTTAGTAAAGAATAAGATCAAGTAATAAAGTCTTAATAATGTTGTTAGTATGGTTTTATATTCCAAAATAGATTTATCAAAAAAGATAAAACATATTGTTTGAAAATAATCAAATGATTCATTCAAAATACTGCCTTCTTCTTCTTCTAAGCAATAATAAAATCTTGAAAAATAGTAATCCAAAAGAGGGATGTGGTCTGACAGGATAAGATATGGTGGGTTTAATGTGCTAGATTCGCAGGGCTGACTGTAGAGATGGTCAAATAATCGTTCCATGCGCTTGATAATGATTGGTACTGAGGGATAATAAACTCTTTTATAACAAAGTAAATGGTCTAGGCCATAGATTACTTTCTTTTTAAACAAATATTTGGAAATAGTTTGACAATTAACAAAAGTCCTAACCGACTTGCATCACTTCTATATTTGTCCAAAATCGAAACAGGAATTCCGTCAGCTATTGAATGTTGGGTATAGTTGGAGAAATAGAGTTGACACTCTTCTATGACTTTTTGATCGTTGAGTAGTAATCCACCAATATATAATCGTATTGTTATTGTCATTTGGTTCCACTGATGACAGATGTTGCCTTTTGTGTAGTTGTAAAGAAATAAAGTATAATGATCCTCTAGTGCCGGACCTACCAGTCGAGGTGGGGAGACCACAGAAACTTGTGTTTTAGTACTATCTAGACCTTGAATTTCACGACCAAATCTTTTTAATTGATTGATCTCTCTTTCGATTTGTTTATGATATCCAATGATAGATTTATATTTCTTTTTTGTTGCCATCTCCATGATAAAGTCCCAATCATTTCGAACCAAATATCGATTACTATGAATCACTTTGAGTACACTTAATATTGATTGTTGATTGTCATTGTCCAATAAATCTTTGATACATTGTCGATTGATTTGTTGCAAAGTTGGAATTGTTCTTTTGTTATTTTTGTCTATAGTGCTTCCAATTGACAGTTAGATATGAGAAATGCAACCATTGCTTCGACACAATATTGATCTGTTACTCAAATGCCACTATCCAATAGAACCATCGTAGTCTCGACCGATATTCTGTATTCTTTGGTATTTTTTTTGAAAAATGTGACACATACATTGATTTTAAAGGTTGTATCAAATTTGATTTTTATTTTTAACAGTTTTATTCTCATCATCATTCTTGAACGTCAACATTTTGGAATATATAGCCATACTCTAAAGATTGATTAATAATATTCCAATTTAAATATCTTTTGAAATATCACTTTCAAGTCTACCACTAGAAAAATAGTACTCTATTAAAAGTAGATGTTTTGGAAATGATAATTTGGGTTTGGAATAATGACGATGATGAGTTGAACTTGGACCGATATCTTGATAGAAATGAGCTTGATGATGGTTATATAATCGATCAATATGTTTGGTGATGATTGGTACCGAAGAATAATTGGCAAGTAGGTTTAAAATGCAACTTGATACCATTTTCTTGCACTCTTGTGAATTAAACTCTGTCGATAGATAGTTAAACATTTCATCTGACATGTTTGCCAATGAAAAACATTTCACAAAAAAGTTGGTAGAAAAAGAAATGGTGGCATCCATATTCAATAAATACCTGACCACCTCTAAATGATTATTTTCAATTGCACCAGCCAATGGAGTAGCCAAGAATTTTCTTTTAACTTTTGAAAGTAGTAGTTTGACAATTGGTAATAATCCAAATAGACATGAATCATTTCGAAATTTTTCCAATGTCAATCTAGGTACTTGAACTGATATTGATTGATGGTTGGAGAAATAAAGTTTACATTTCTCTATTACTTGTTCATCGTAGAGTAATAATCCACCAAAATACAGTCTTATCATATCTTCCAATGAAAGTTGAAAGTTATTGTTTTTTATCTTGACTAGAAACAAAGTATATTCTTCAGGACCCCGAACCACTACCACTTTATTTTTCTTGATCGATAAGGGTGAGGAATCAGCTTGTTTGATTGAAAAACAAACTTGATGTTGTATTTGATTGATCTCCAACTCTATTTTGACATACCTAATTATTGATTTCCATTTTTTCTTTTTTGCTATCAATCGTTCTCGAGTTGCCAATCTTTTCTACCCAAAAATCCAATATTGTGCATCCATTTGAGAAAATCCAACACCTTGCTTTGATTCTTATTATTCATTAGATTAGAGATACATTGTTGATCGAATGGCGTTTTGTCTGACAATTGATGGTGAGGAATATTTGTCATGATTGCTTCCAACTCACAGTTTGATATCATCGATTCAATGATGGCCTTTATGTAATAATAGTCTGTGATTCTTTCAACTACATCACTCAATAGAATGTTGGTAGTCTCTACAGAGAATCTATATTTTGTTTGATCTCGGTCAAAATGTTTTGATGCCAAGTCGTCTATATGTATTGGTGATTGGGGGCTTTTCTCTTTTACATAACCAAGCATAAATGATAGAGCACGACTATTATCTTTTAATAATATAATCTCTAGGATAGGACCAAACAGACAGCGTTTTTTTCTAAAATCGTCCTGGTCTTTGATTTGATCATAGTATCGTGGAAACTGTTTGATAAATGAATCTGTTCGATTGTACAGTATTAACTGGTAGAGACAGTTTTCAATATTCTCCTTTTTGAAGCTTGCTATATCCAACTGTTGATGTATAATAGAAACTTGATTGAAAATCATTCTTCTAACGTACTGATTATTAATTATTAGTTTAAATAAACTTTCCATTTTTTTGTTATTATCTATTACTATTTCTACTAATTATTATTATTATTAATATATAATATTGTTCATCTTTGTTGTTGAATATTTACATTTATAAAGCCACACCTTTTAAAACGACGTGAAATAATAAGTTTTTTTTAATAAGAAAATTTATATATATGGGTTGTTTGAATTATACTATCATATCCATCGACACAAGCACTAAAAATTTGAGTTTATTCATCATTTGGAATAGTCAAAAATCCAAACCTCAATGCTTCTTTTTTGACCCTATCCAAGTCGGTGTATTTGGTCAGGTGCATTGGTTGTTTGTCTGTGTTGTGATAGTAGAACTTGGTAAACAAAAAGTCTAGGAGAAGAAGGTGTCGAGGAAGATTGAGGGTAGGAGGTTGGATCGGTATCCAATCCTTGCCTATTGGTATTGGCTGAGAGAGTTTATGTTTGTTGATGATTCGGTTGATGTGGTTGATTATAACCAGCGTTGGAGAAACCCTGTTGGCGAGTATGTCTATACACATTGAGAGAGTTTTACCATTTGTTTTTGTTTTGGAATCAAAGCTAGTCCACAAACAATCAAACATTTCATCGGACATGTCTATCACTAAAAGACAGTCAATAAATATTTTGGTATCACTGACAAAGTGTTTTCCTCCAACTTGTGTTCCTCCAACCTCTAGTAAATAAGCAACGACATCCACTTGGTTGTGTTCAATTGCCGTGAGGACAAATGAAGGGTAGAAAGGACTGTTGCTAAACAATATTCTGACGATTGGCATGAACCCAAGTCTACACGCATCTCTTTTAAATACAGAGTATTCACCGGTGAGCATAGCGATTGGTGTGTTGGCAGCAAAGAAGTCTTGGCATTGCTGTAGTACAACTTGGTTGTTTTGTAGAATAGCTGCAAAATATAATCGCATTCTATCGAATTGATTTAATTCCATGTTGCCTACCAAATCAGCAGATATCGGTGCTTGATAATACGATAAATAAGTGTCAGGTGCAGATCTGTCAACTGATAACTTGGAAACCTTGTAATCGAATCTTGTCAATTGAGTGATATCCATCTTTAGTTGTGTTTGGATATAGTCAAGGACTGAACCGATCTTGTTTGTCTTTGATAGATGAATAATCAGTTTCCAATCATCATCTAGTAACAAATGATTTTGGTGGCTGATTTTAATAATATCTAGTATCAGGTCCAAATCTTCGTGGAGAAGAAATAAATCCCTTAGACATTGTTGTTTCAATTGATTACAACATTGGTAGTGTCCCTTTGTTATTCTCTGCTTTAATATCTCTAATTGACCATTTGATATTAATGATTCTATCATTGCCGTTAGATAATTTGGATTAGTTATCTTTATACCACTATCCAATAGAATCTTGACAGTCTCTACTGTCAATTTATAAGATTTATCATTTTGTAATATTGCACCATGATCCTTTTGTAAAGTATAATCTATACTAGGTAAAGAAGAAGAAGACGAAGTACTATTTGCAAGTTTAACAAAGTCAAGCATAAATGTCAATGCTCTTGTATTGTTTTTAACTAGTACAATATCCAATATATAATACAATCTATCGAAATCATTATAACTTGATTGATTATTATCCTCGAATTTAATTGATTTCAATTGATCGTACACTCTTTTAAAATGTTGTATGAATGTACTTGTAAAGTTGTATTGAATCAAGCTGTAGAGACTATGAATATTCCCACCTTCTTTATAGTTGTATTTGATAATAGGTATATTCAATTGTCGATGAATAATACTGACATGACTAAATATCTTTTGTCTAGTATACTGATTATTTAAAACAATTGATTGAAATAGATTATCTTTTTGATTATTATTATTATTAATATTATTATACATTTGTTCTCTACAACTTTGAAAATATCAAATGAGTTTTTTTAATTAATTTTTTAATCAAACTTTGTACATCCCCAACTATTATTATTATTTAATTATTTAAATCTTTTTATTATTATTATTGTTATAAGAGTATTATTATTATTATTATTATTATTATTATTATTTAATTAAAACAATTTGATATTTTTAATTTTAATCACTTTTAACAGGGGAATTTGATCTTTCACGTTCTCTTTGTCTATCATCTCTAGATCTATCTCTATCCTTGTCTCTTGATTTATCTCTAGATCTATCTCTGGATTTATCTCTTGATCTATCCCTTTCTTTTGATCTATCTCTATCTCTTGATCTGTCTCTATTTCTATCTCTATCTCTTGATCTGTCGCGTGAATGGTTTTTGCTTCTATCTCTATTTCTATCCCTGTCTCTTGATCTATCTCTGTCACCTCCTCTATCTCTAGATCTATCTCTGTCTCCTCCTCTGTCTCTAGATCTGTCTCTATCCCTGTCTCTTGATCTATCTCTGTCTCTAGATCTGTCTCTTTCTCTTGATCTATTTCTTCTTGATCTCGAGCTGTATCTATCTCTGTCTCTGTCTCTTGATCTTGAACGTGATCGGTCGTATCTTCTCTCACCACGATCTCTCAAATATGGATGTCTTGATCTTGGTCGGCTAAGCACAAACATTAATTAATACAATTAGATTAAACGATATACCTTTCTTTTTTCTTTTCTTTTCTTTTCTTTTTAAATTACATACTTTTCAGGACACTCCTTTGCCCAATGACCTTCTTGACGACAATTGAAACATTTTCCTTCACCAGGATTTTTGAATGGAATGGCACCTGGACCGGCATGGCTCTTTTCGACTAGGATCTCTTTACCCAAAAATGTAGTATGATTGGTTGAAGAGATGGCATCATCGGCTGAACTTGAATCCGAAAATTCCTTTTTTTTTAGGTAGATGAAGAAAGAGAGAGAAAAGTAATAGAATGTGTCAGCCAAAGATCGATCTTTGATTACCAGAGAGAGACAGAGTAACCAGAACAGAGAACAGAGAACAGAAGGAGACAGAGAGAGCACAAAAGACAACAGAACAGAGACAGAGAGGGGATTGATTTCTTTGTTTTCAATCATAGTTTGTATTGTTTTCTTTTTCCTTTCTTTTCCTTGTGCTACAAACTATACTTGTACTTTCTACTACTACTAACTACTAACTACTACTAACTAACTAACTACTTCTACTTGAGAGATACATACAACAAAACAAAAACCTTTCTTTAATTGAACTTCTGATATTCTACCATATTTCGAAAAGAATTGTTCTACTTCATCTTGTCTAGCATCATATGCCAGTTGCCCGACATAAATCTTTGACATTCTATTGTCTCTCCTCTTTTTGTGAAAAGACTATATAAATGTCTCTTGATTATCTGTATGATGAACAAACTAGTAAGAAAGACAAGTTGAACTCTTTGCTTTTTTGTGAAGATCCTCTTTTTGAGGGTTGTGTCTTTTCAAAAAATAATTTTTTTTGATCAAACCAAAAATGGGTTGTTCGCAACTTTAAATTAATTTTAATTTATATATTAATTATTTATTTAGTTTCCTTTTTCTTTTTCCTTTTCTTTTTCCATCTACAATGTCGTGGTCTCTGGTTTATCTGTTGGTGGTGGTGGGACAATTTCAGCATCTTTAATAAGATGAGAGACATCATCTTCTTGACCAAAAGGACGTGGTCCCAAGAGTGTTTTGATGTCGTCAGAGTGGATGACCTCCTTTTCGAGCAAGAGGGTGGCGACCTTTTCAAGACCGTCACGGTGTTGTTCGAGGACTTGGACAGTCTTTTCATAGGCAGAGTTGAGGAGGATACGTACTTCTTCGTCCATCATCTCGGCGGTTTGCTCAGAGTAGGGTTTGGTAAAGTCAGAGTTATCCTTGCGTGGATAAGAGACACAGCCGACCTTGTCGTTCATACCGTAGATACCGATTTGTGAGTAGGCCATCTTGGTGACCTTTTCGAGATCGTCTTGGGCACCGGTGGTGATGGTGCCAAAGGTGAGCTGCTCGGCGACACGTCCACCCAAAGCCATACACATCTTGTCAAAGATTTGCTCCTTGGTGTGGAGGAACTCCTCCTTGGGCAGATACTGTGCGTATCCGAGTGCGGCCATACCACGTGGCACGATAGACACCTTGAGCAGCGGGCTGCAGTGTTCGAGGAACCACGAGACGACTGCATGGCCAGCTTCGTGGTAGGCAACCGTCTTTTTCTCGACGGGCGACAGAACCTTGTTCTTTTTCTCGAGACCGCCAATGACACGGTCGATGGCCTGGTCAAAGTGGTGGATGGTGATGGCATCGCACTCTTTACGCGCAGCAATCAGCGCAGCTTCATTGCACACGTTGGAAATGTCGGCACCCGAGAACCCAGGCGTCAACATGGCCAGCTTGGGTGCATAGTGCTCGACTGTATTATCGAGCTTGAGTGGCTTGAGATGCACGCAAAAGATTTCCTCACGCGACTTGAGATCGGGGTTATCAATCGTGATCTGACGATCAAAACGACCGGGACGCAACAACGCCTGATCTAAAATATCTGGGCGGTTAGTTGCTGCAAACACCACGACATCCTTGAGTGGGTTGAAACCGTCCATCTCGACGAGCAGCTGGTTGAGTGTGTTTTCACGCTCGTCGTTTGAGCCCGAGAACCCACCCTTTCCACGTGCACGTCCAATCGCGTCAATTTCATCGATAAATATAATGCATGGTGCGTTCTTGCGTGCCTGTTCAAACAAATCTCTAACACGTGCTGGACCGACACCCACAAACATCTCGACAAAGTCGGATCCACTCGTCGAAAAGAATGGCACGTTGGCCTCGCCGGCCGTGGCCTTGGCCAACAGCGTCTTGCCCGTGCCTGGAGGTCCCACCAAAATAGCACCTCTTGGGATCTTGGCACCAATGTCGTGGTACTTGCGTGGATCCTTTAAAAAGTTGACAAACTCTTCAATCTCCACCTTGGCCTCTCCCAAGCCTGCAACATCGTTAAATGTCACCTTGGAAGAATCCTTTTTGAATTTTTGTGCGTTCATCTTTCCTTGTGAAAACAAGTTCTTCTTTGATGTCATACCTTTAATCGATCTATATCCAAAATATCCTAATAATAAATATGGTAATATTTGAATAATAAATACTCTAATAAACAAAATAAAGAAGTAAAACAAATTAATAAATGATTTATATATCATATTATTTAATAGTGTGTGTCTTACCTATTATCAGTAACCTCTTTATAAGAAACTGGAATATAGTTATTTTTAACAAATCCAAGACTAGTTTGAGCTTGTTCCAATTGTTCTTCAAATACCTTTTTGTCTCCAATTGGGAAATATCCAAGGATCTCGTCACTTTGACCATAAACAACTGCATAATTATTAACTACTACAATTTTTGATGTCTAACAAAATTAAAAGAAAAAAAAAGAATAAGTACCAAATCAATATATTATATGATCGAGTGTGTATCTCTCTCTCTACGTACAGATTTATCAGGTAAATTCTTTGTAATGAAATCACTAAAAGTAATTTGAGTGGAATCTAGATGTGGTTGATTGGGAGCCAAGATATAAAAAGCGGCTCCAAATGCAGCGCAAGCCAATAATATATTCTTCCAAGTTGATTCTTCTTCATTTTCATTTTCTGGTTCTGGTTTACTATCTTTCTTATTATTATTATTATTTGATTTGAATTGATCTTTTGACTTGTTTTCTTGTTGATTATTGTTGTTGTTATTTGATTTTTCTTTGGTTTCATTGTTTTCTTCAGAAGGTTGTTGTTGTTGTTGTTGTTCGGCTGATGATTCCTTCTTTTCTCTTTTACCAAATTTACCCCATCCCTTTGATGCCTCCAATATATGATTGTTGATAGATGACTTTATTAAATCTAAATAGGTTTTATTGCTATTTGATGTTGTTGATGTTGATGATGATGATGATGTTGAATAGTATTTGTACAAGTTTGGTTGTTGTTGTTGTTGTTGTTGTTGTGAATATACATTTGATGAAGATGATCTCTTTAAAAAGTTAGATGATGCTACAGTAGAAATCGATGATAATGAAATCGATGAAGTATGCTTTAAAGATCTTCCTACAAGTAATGATGCCATCTTCTCCTTCTATTATACTATATATCAATCGATAAATATATATCTTTATCAATCAATATAAATATATAGATATATATATATGTGTGAATAAATAAACGAATGAATGAATGACTTGATGAATGATGCAGTTTATCAAAGTGAAAGATCGCTCAGTGAGATGAACACGAAAGAATTGGTCACCCCCAAAAAAAAAAAGAAAAGCAAAAACTCGAATTTTTGCAAATCTCAAAGAAGACAAGGAAATGAAATATTCATAATATTATTGTTTTTTTATAATTATTAACATTTATACATTATTTTAGTTTATTTGCTTTGGATTATTATACATTAGGTGTGTCTGTAGTAGTAGTAGTAGTAGTAGTAGTTGGATCAATTTTTGGAGTGATGCCACCACCATGTTGAGGACATTTGGCGTCTGGAGATGTAAAATGTTGAGTACCACGAATAAATTGTTTACAAAGATAACATAATTGTGATTTACAATTATTACATCGAAGATGGTTGTTTTTGGATTGCATACGATAGAGGGTATTTTTACAACGAAGACAAGCAATGAATTCGGATGTTTTAATGGGTTTGAGTTTATCCTTTTCCATTTCCCTCTTGAGACGTTCTTTCCAGAGATTGACAATCCCTGGAACCATTGTGCCAAATGTCTCGCAAACAGGGGACGTACCGAAATGTCCGTACCCTTCGATAATAGTCAAACAAAGCCAACAAAAACATTTCTTGCAAGATGAGCATGTCATCTTGTTGCATCCTGAAATCTTCTCGGCCAACACACCACAAGACGGACACATCCTAAATCCACATTCTTCGATGGTTTGAAGCAGCTGTTTCTGCTCTTTCTTCTTTTTCTCTTCTTCCAACCGTCTCGCAATCTCCTCGGGCCCAAGAGAGAACTTGGTGACGACCTTTTGCCCGCATGAAAGGGCTGGGTGCCAATCCTTGGAACATAGGACACACGTGGTCTTGAAGCACTTGTCGCAGTAGAGAGACCGCGAGAAATTGTCGTATCTCGCCGAATACAAGTTGCATCGGGGACATAAACGCAGTCCACTCTTGATCTTGAGCATGTTGATGAACCCCTCCATATGCGTCTTGTCAACATACTTGCCGACAATGTCTTGGTGCACTAGTTTGGCGCAGTCTCCGTACGGACACCGTATCTTGTCATAGTCGCCACTCTGCGCATTCACCATACACAGACCACCAATACAATCGACACACGTGTAGTGATGACACGACAACAATTCAAACTCTGGTCCAGGTCTCTCTTCACAACAGATGGTACAAGTATGGTATGTCTTGATAAACGTATTCTTGGCCATTCGATTATTATATTGTACCAAATAAGGTAATACATTTGCCAATGATACCCATCCAATATCTAATCTCTCCCAATATACATCTTGGTCATCTCCTTCCTCCTCCTCCATTTCCTCTTCTTCTTCATCATCCTTTATGATTGATTCAAAAGACAATGTCAAGTGTTCATCAATACCAATAAATGGCATCATAGAGTCTCTAATCCATTCGACGTATTTAAATATGACAAGTTCTCCAGGTTCCCAAATTGAAAGTAAATAATCCAAAACTCTATTCATCATGCTCGGTGACAACCATGCACACGACATGAATAATTGAGGTGGTGCCTTTTCAGGATAATTCAATGGGAATGAAAATCCAAATGTAATTGATGGTAATTGAATAATTGGATATCTTTCTTGTCTATTATTATTTGTATTATTATTATTTGTAGTTGTTGTAGTTGTTGTTGTAGTTGTAGTTGTACTATCATCATCTTGGTTGATTGTTGGTGGTGTATCCAATTCAATATAGAAATCATCTTTAAGATTAACATCAATCTTTATCTGTTGATAGTTGTAATATGTAAGTATAAGTACTATTTTTGGTTAAAGAATACATTTTGGTGTATGTCACATACATGAAATATATCAAAAGGTGTTATTATAGTATTATTATCATCATCATCATCATCGTTGTCATTATGGCTGTTGTTGTTGTTTCTATCACATTCATCAATACTATCATCACCTCTTTCTCTTTCATGAGTTAGCTCTGGATAGATTGTCTTTAAAATTTCAACCTCTTGCTTTGCAGGAAATTCATCGTATTCTTTTGACTCTCTGATTGACAATGATGCTAGATACGACATTACTAACTACTACTATAACTATCTCTATCTCTATCTCTTATACTCTATCTATCTATCTGCAATATAATATGCATGTAAAGTGGTTAGCTTCTCCCATCCTTGAAAGTAGCTGTCGATCAACTGGCTATTTTTCGATTCCTCATCAGGTTTAGGGAAAAAGAGATGAAACTGACACTCAAAAATATCATAGAATGAATTTTAATAATAGTTTTAATTACATTAATTTTAAATTTTAAACTAAATTAATAATAAAACTACCTCTTAGTGTTGTACAACCAATACTACTCTACTTACTACTAGTTCATGAACCTTTTTCATATTTGATTGTAAAATGACATTTTACAAATACTAACAGTGAAAAATTATTACTTTGGTGAATGTGTAGGGGGAGGTGAGCGTAGTGATTAATTACCACATTAATACATTGGTTTTATTTTTAATAATACACGCACCTACAATACATATAAATACAAAAACAAAGGAAAGGAACAATGATGACTCAAAAGAAGTAGTCAGGAGAATCAGTAGTGCATTAGAAATAGATAGATAGACAATATAGTCTAGTTAGTTATATTGGAGTAGTAATTATAAATGGATTATCCCATCAACGAGCTTAGTCCTATCATTATGAGTAAAAATGAAGACTTCTTCATCAACAACAACAACAATCATATAATCAATAACAGTAATAACAATAATAACAGTAATAACAGTAATAACAGTAATAATAATATATCATTAAAAGATCGAGGAAAGAACAATTCACCATTGATTATTGCTAATACTAATAATAATAATAATAATAATCTACATAACCACCACAATCATATATCATTGACAACAGAACAAGCAGACGATGAAACACTTATATCTATACCAATTGGTGGATTAGGAATAGGAAATAATGAAAATAGTAATAATAATAGTATTAATAATCCACTTCAAATAGATTTCGATGAATCAGAGAACAAATACAATCAATATAGTAGAACATATAATAATGTATTATCATCAATCTATTCAAACAAATATATATCAAAGATCTTTGGTAGTAGTGGTTCGACAAGAGGTGGAGGATGGAAACAATTGTCATCGTCATCATCTCCTAAATTACATAGTGGAGATTATATAAGTCTCTCTTCATCAACTATTATACCTCCTCCTCCTTCTTCTTCTTCTCTATCATTGGAAGAACAACAACAACAACCAGATCAAAAGATCAAATTTTTTGGTAATAGTATTATGTTATACTCTGCATATATGATCTTTTTATACTTGATTTATGGATTGCTGCAAGAGATTATCTTTAAGAAACAACAAGTCAACTTTTACAACCTCTACTCTTTTGTTCAATTCTTGGCGTCGTTTTTGTTCTCTGTCAGAGGCGTATTGGCAGAGACTAAAACATATCATACAAAGAATGGAGGAGTAGGAGGGACAAGCGCACTCTCAAAATACCAATATGTCATTCAAAAGTTGTCCATCAAGAAAATACGTTTATATCTATCACTATCATTTGTTTTATTAATGTGTAAATTATTGGGAAATGAATCACTACGTTATTTAAATTATAAAACAAAAGTAAGAAGAAACCAAAAGGAAATTATTATTATTATTCCAAAAGATTATCATTTCGATATTAATATTAATATTAAATTATTTATTATTTAATTTAGATACTTTTCCAATCATCAAAATTAATACCAGTAATGGTATTTGGAGGCTTTTTATTTCAAAGAACATATTCAATGGTTGATTATTTATCGGTTTTGTCAATGATTGTTGGACTTGTTCTATTTACAGTTGGTGATTCATTATCTTCCTATTTGTTTTCACCGCTTGGCGTACTCATGGTTCTGTCATATGTTTTCGTCGAATCAATCAAATCAATCCTTTATGAAAAAATATTACGTGATTATTCTTCAGAATTGGAATTGGTAAATATAAATATAATTATAACTCAAATCAAAAGGATATTAATATTAATATTAATATTAATTTATTTTCATAGTCATTATTTACAAACTTTTTTGGAACTATAATGACACTACCAATTGTATTTGTTTCTGGAGAATTCAAATCATCATATGCATTTTTTAAAGATAACATTCAAGTGTTAATATTACTTTCAGTAAGTTAAAAATTATATTTTAAATATGCCTCTTCAAACTAAATTTAGTTTATTTATTTATACAATTATTTTTTTATTTTATATAGTTATTTATTTTCCTTGGATATTATGCAAATATTACATATTTACATTTAATGAGGATTACAGACTCTCTTTATGCGAATATGATGTCATCATTTAGAAAGTTTATTACAATCATATTATCATTTTTATTTTTTAGAGATTCCATTCTATTCTATCATATACTAGGAATACTGGTTTTCTTCTTTGGTATTGGTGTAGAGATGAAACATAAATCTCCGAGAAAGAATAAAGATGATATCAAATAAAATATAGATTAGATGCCGCAACAAATAATAATATTTAAAAAATCTGTATTTCCTTGGTAGGGACCACCCCAATTTAATTATTTTTTTTATTTACTCTGGCAGTCTTGGTCCAAGCTTTAAGGGTTGAGTCATTCATTACTAAATTAACCAATAACCTTATTATGAATCATAACAACAATCATTTTGAACAGCCCCAAAGACATCAGTTAGCAATCCCATGGGAGATTACAGAGGAACAGATCAACAATGGTTTTTCTTCTCATTTTATCAGCAACACATGCATTGAGTATAGATTTGAGTCCTCTTCTTCTTCTTCTCCAATTCAACCCATTTACCCAACTCTTGAACCACAATTATAATTTAAGAATTGAAATATTTGGAGTAGGAATAACCAGTATTAAATCATCAGTTGATCTTCCATCTAGACAGAATACAGAGCTTGTTGGACAACTTTTAAATTGGACTCATTGCAATCGATTGGTTCATCCAAATAGTGGAAAGTGTTTGTTTAATTTGACACTTCCAAACAAAAGAGTTGTAGTATAGTATGTAAATGTTTGCAATTAAAACCATTAAATTAATTAATTTAATCCTTAAATTTAGTGGTCCATGTTGTGCCTACTTTCCTCTTGAACAACATTTACAGATTCCAATAAACGAGAGAAGAATCATCATCAATTCCAATCGCTCCCAGCTTTGTTTTTGAAAACAAATCATGTAGTCCTGGAGAAAATAATACTAGATTATTTATGCAATCTAAAACGGTATATTGGATAGAAGGAGGAGCTGAATCTGGTTTATTGGTCGATGGAAAAGAAAGAAGAATTGATTTGTATTGTAGATCCTCTATCCTTGTTCCTCAACCAGGACATCCAATACATTCATTCATCCTCAAGTAGCAACTCAGATTGAAGCAAATTCCTTACCTCTCGTCTCCCCTACTATCCACCCAATTTCAACCAACTGACATTAGAACAATTAAATACCTTTAATCAGCAATATAAGCAATACATGGAAAGTTCAGAATCTATTGGATTTAATCATATCTACTTTCAAAACCTCACTATCGTACCACAATGTCCAAATGTGTGCACAGTCTCCATCCCTTTCTGGGAAGCTCCTCAAATCCAACCACAGTTTGTTGGTCCAAATATTATTGTTCATTGCATAGGACAAGTCAATGGTTTTAAATTGAATTTGTCATCTTACCCTTTACAATAAAAACTTGTCTTTTCATTCTTGATCAATTAATTTATTTCTTTTTTGGTTCCAATTTAACGGTAAAGGTATGGAAATAATCTAGACCCATGTAAGAATCTGAATAACATTTGACATGATAGACTAGAGTGTTGGCATCGACATTGTCTGGAATATTAATGTTGAAAGAGACCAATGAACTGTTGTTCTTTTGGTTGCCATGTTGTTTGAGACCTTGGAGTCTCTTGAATGCTACAAAGTTTTCATTTTCATCGGTCAAGACGACAATCCAACCTTCATCCTTGTTTTTGGGGTATTGAGGAGCATGACAAAAGTTGTTGTGGAAACCCTTGTTTTCTCTTTGCACCAATATCTTGACAGTGTGTGGTTTGCTACGTGACACTAGTGCATCTGATTGGTTGATTTCAGATATCTTGATGATTGGTAAATGTTGGATGACATTGATGGTTTCACGACAATGTGTTGGTGGCATTGAAAGTTGATGTTCAATAAGTAACTTGAATCTTTCTACAATATCCTTGTTGTTCTTGTTATCTTTGCTGTTATTGTTGTTTGGTTTGACATTAAAGGCAAGGACAAGTTCTTTGAGATTTTTGCAACCTAGTTGAGCTGCGATTTGGTCAGCAGCTTCAAGAGAGATGTGGGGTAGTGTAGCGAGGGAGGTGTCCTTTCCATCGGTGGTTTGTTCCCATCTACCTTGAACGAGCATTTGAAGGAGACGGATGGTTTGGACAACCGTTGCAAAGAATCCACACTCATAGGCAACATCGATCATGGCCTGGAGAATACGAATACCCTGATCGAGTGCAGTCTTGGTATCGGTGACATAATCGGGAATGGGGAGTGCACAACGCTCAAAATGAGCTTGCATCAGCAAATGCACCTTGGTGTGCTCGCTGAGATAGTCCTCGACCTTGATAGGCAGACGCTGGTTAAACTCCTCGTTGATAATGTCTTCGGCGTGACGCACGGGGAACTCGGAATACTCGTGGGCGAGTGAGAGGATACGGAGCAGCGATCGGATGTCATTGTCGGCACGGATGTTGTTGGAAAAGAGACGGACCGTGCGGAAATTGAGGTAGTAGAACGACGCGATACGGCCGAGGATGAGCGGCTCAATGTCGTCGGTGTTTTCGTCGATTGACACACACTTGGCGATTTGCAAGTCGTCTAGTGTGTTGTCGAGCAGCTCCGAGAGGAAGCGGTTGATGGAACGCACCGAGTTGTCCTCACAGCCATAGTAGGTGGGGCTCTGCAAGAGACGACGGAAGAGGAACGTGTTGGTGAGGTACTCGATCGCCTGCTGCTTGTTGTTGATGGTGCCCGACACAATCTCGGCGTTGAGATGGTCGTGCAAGAACTCTTTGAGATGCGACTCGACTGGGAATGGGTCGTAGAGGAACTTTTTGTAAAAGTTCTTTTTAGACTCTTGCACGAGGATCACTGCCTTTCCTTCCTTGTCAAACTGGGGACGTCCGGCACGACCCATCATCTGCAACACATCCGTCAGTGGGTAATCAACATATGTCTTGGTGCGGCCGTCAAAGTACTCTGTACCTTTAATGACGACAAGATGTGCGGGCAAGTTGACACCCCACGCAAGGGTCGACGTCGAGATGAGCACTTGAATGATATTGTCGGCAAAGAGACGCTCGACGAGCACTCTGTCCTGGTCGTTGAGACCGGCATGATGCATACCAATGCCAAAAGAGAGCGTGTGGCGCAAATGGCTGTCTTTGACGCTATCGAGGATCGCGTCGAGGTCGTCGGCGGGACCGAGGTGGAGCCACTGGGTGGGATCCTCGACAACGAGGTGCGAGATGAGGTCCATGGCAGTGAGACGTGTCTGTCTACGCGACGACACAAACACCAACACTGGCTTGAGTGGCGAGTACGTCTTGATCGATGCAAAGGTTGGTTTGTTCATCGTCTGCATTCTTGGACAATAGTGTTTGCCTGCGAACCCCTGTACGTGCACTTCGATTGGTACGGGACGACAAGATGGACGGAAATTAAACAGACCGACCTTTTCAATACCCATCCACTCGGCCAAATCAATCGCGTTGGCCATAGCTGTCGACAAACCAATGATACGTACTTGATGTCCAGTCTGCTTGGAGATCATAGCCATACGACTGACAATAACCTCTAGAGTGGGTCCACGCAACTCTCCCAAAAGATGGATTTCATCAATAATCAACAACGACACACTTGTGACATACGATCTATTCTTCCAATTTCTAGAGATACCATCCCACTTTTCAGGAGTGGTTGTGACAACATCTGCATTCTGCAAAGCAATCACATTGGGTGTGTAATCACCAGTCAACTCGACCAACTTCTTGCCCAACTTCTTTTCGAGCTTGTCTGACCAATCATTCATACGCTCACGAACAAGTGCTTTGAGTGGTGCAATGTACACAATCTTCATGTGTGGTTCGTCTCTAAACACCTTGAACATGGCCAACTCGGCACAAATGGTCTTACCAGAACCCGTTGGACTACCCAACAACACATTGTTATTCGTGTAGTAGAGTGTGTGGAACACCTGTGTTTGAATGGGATTGAAATGTGAAAACTTGAACAACGCCTCTAGCTGTGGGTTCTTGAGTGCTTCTTTGGGAAGTGGACGCAAGTCGAGTAGTTCAGTATTGATAACACGTGATTGTTGTGGAATGATCAAATGCTTGAATGAGATGGGGATACGCTCATCACAATTCAACCAACGATCCGAGATGTAATGCAAAAAGAATTGACTTGGCAATGGGTTTTGAATGGGGATGATAAAGCTGAGTTTGATATCAGACTCGTGTTCTTGGTGATCACCTTCTTCGTTTTGACGGTTTTGGTGACGCAAGGCGTTGAATTGTCGCTTGCTGAGAATAAAGTACTCGGAATGATAGATAAACTCATTGTCACTGTCTTCAACCCAGATCCAGAAGGGTTGGCTCTCGCCGTGGATCTTTTCGTTCCATCTGAAGCGTGGCTGCACCGACAGGTTGATACGAAGGATGGTCGAGGTGATGGGTTGCAGCTCAATGTCAAACTCGAGCTTGGGGAACTGCTCGGCAATGCGGATGGTTGCCGTGGCAATGTCGCGGTTGCCCACGACGGTGGCCAGCTCGCCGGCATCCATCTCGACGACCTGGTCGGGCGTGATCAACTCGGCTTCCTCGAGCTTCTTGAGTGTGAGCAGGTTGAGCGTGCTAAACTGACGCAGTGGCTGTTCAAAATGCCACATTTGGTGGTCGATCATCTTGCACAGGTCGAGTATCTGCTTGGCGACGCTGCACCAGCCACGCTTCATCGTAATCTCAAACAGACCACGTAGAATACGCGCCGAGTTTTGAATGACATAGTTGGAATCAGAGACGAGCGAGAAACCCTCGATCTTGGCACGCGACAGATACGCCTGGATCATGACCTTGACCTTGCTGTATCGGTCGATAATGTCTGTCTCGTAAAAACATGCATTCTCGGAGAGTTGTGTCAATTCACGAGTCTCTTCCTCGCGGAGGTTGACATTTTCAAACTCGGACGAGTTGGTCAAGAGCGTGAGGATCTGCTCTTGGTTCATATGCTCTTTAAGTATCTCGTTGAACGTTTCGATCGACGGATGCTTGATATAGTAGTGACTGGCAATACGTCCTAGATCGGTTGTGAAAAAGTTGCCCGACGCACGGTCAAAGCGGATCATCTTGCTCTTTTCGAGTTGGACGGCCGCATTCTCGATCAGCTTGTGACGGAACTGCTCGAGGGTTGGGTCGTGTCCGACTTCGTTGAGTGGGATACCGTAGACGTGCGGGTTGGCAATCATACGGATATAGAGGTACGTGTAGCCGAGCCAAGTGACGGCTTCGCGCACGTTGGACACTGTGCCGAGCACAATCTCGGCGTTGAGATGGTCGACCAGATTGGTGATGAAACGCGACTCGATCGGCATGGCTGCCGACATGAGCATGAGGTAGTGGTGCAGCTTGTCGTGTGTAGTGAGCAGGAAACTCTCGCCAAACGTGTCAAACTGGGGACGACCGGCACGACCAAAGATTTGCATGACGTCTGAAATGCCGAGATCGATGAACCCACCGTTCTTGGAGTCATACAGCTGCGTGCCCTTGATGATGACCGTGTGTGCGGGAAGATTGACACCCCAAGCGAGCGTCGCCGTACACACGAGCACCTTGATGGTGCCGTCGGCAAAATGACGCTCCACAATGTTACGGTCGTGACGCAAAAGGCCGGCGTGATGGATCGACACGCCGTGTTGGAACAAGTCGCGGATCTCCTTGGCCTTGGCCTTGTCAACGTCCTTTTGCGCGGCCTTGTACTTGTCGGGCTCGCTACCATAGTCTGCAAACTTGAAGCGCTTCTCTGTGGCGTGCGCGACCATTGCCTCGGCCGTCTTGACCGTGTCACGACGTGCGTGCACAAACACCATCACTTGGTACCCTTCCTTGATCGATTTCTCGAGCTTGTCGTAGCAGATACGGTTCATGTCGTTGTTACGCGCCAACACACCCTCAGCCTTGACACCACAAAACGTGGAGGTCATTGGCACGGGACGGTACGACGCGTCAAAGCAAAAGGTCGATGTCGGCGTAGCATGGATAAACTGTGCCACGTGGTTGTAGTTGGGCAGCGTCGCAGACAGACCCACGATACGGATCATCACCTGCGTCGTCTCGACCTGACGCAACGTACGTGCCACAACACTCTCCAACACGGGACCACGCTCCTCGTGCAACAAATGGATCTCATCAATGATGAGCAGACGCACCAACTGTGTCAATGCCACGTCGCTGCTCTTTCTAGTCACAACGTCCCATTTTTCGGGAGTGGTGATGATGATCTGTGTCTCTTGCAGCTCCTTTTGCGTGAGCTGCATGTCTCCTGTCAACTCTTTGACCACAATGCCCAGGTATGCCAACGACTTTCCAAACTTTTCAGTCATTTCAGCAGCCAGTGCTTTAAGGGGTGCAATGTAGATGATTTTGAATTGGTCCAAGTTCAATATCCCATTGTAAAAGTTGTTTTCAATCTCGTGCAGTATAGTCAGCAACGCAATGTTGGTCTTACCGGCACCGGTTGGTGCACAAATAAGTAGGTTCTCGTTGGTCTTGTACGCAACGTCAAACACACGCGACTGGATACGATTGAGTGACTGGATCTTGCCAAACGCCGCACGCGAACGCTTGTCAATGTCTGTGATGGGAATGAGCTTCTCATTCTCGGCAAATGGTTTTGGCTTGCTGTGTGGGATAGTCATCTCGGTATGTGTACCACACTCCTTTTTAATGAGATTCGATGGCAATGCAACTTTTGAAAACATGGCTGCATCGACATTCAAATCCTTGCCCTTAAACTCGGTCTGTGGTTGTAAATTGGCTGGTATGTTTTGTTTTGGATTTGGAATAAATTGTTCAAATTCCTCAGCGTCGTATAAATCATTCTTGTTGTTTTGTTGTCCACCTTTTTTACTATTACTTGATTGTTTTTCTTTTCCAGTGACTTGTTGTTTAACTGTAGTAGTTGGATTTTGGATGGCATGGAGTACACTTGATTTGTTGGTTACTAGGTCACCGACAAAATCAAGATGATCAAACCCTAAGATATTGATCAAATCCTCCTCTATATTCTTTGATGCTTTCAAAGTCTGAACGATTGATTGCATCACTTGATCACTTGGTAATCCAGATGTCTTGCTTACATCTAAACATTTTTCAATTAACCATTGATCGTTAAACTTTGATTTTTGTGATTGTTGTTGTTGAGGTTGTTGTTGAGGTTGTCTTTGTTGTGGTTGTTTTTTTGATGTCTTTTTAACAATGAATATTTCTTCTTCTTTTTTTGATGACATTGATGCAGATGCTGCTTCTTGTTGCATATCTAATTCTTCTTGATTTTGATATGGGATATCGATAAACAACTCATCGACTGAATTCAACTTGATAAATGAGTTTCCCCATTCTTGGGAATCAGTGTCGTTGATGATGGCCGATGCCTCTCTAGCACCAGCACTGTTTGCCTGATACGGGTTCTTGACGGTCAACAACTGGTCGACATGTTGTTTGAGAGCAGCATACAAGTTCAACTTGAACCCCGATCCAAACAACTGCTTCAACGACTGTTGTTTAAACACATCGTCCTTGTCTGGATTACCAAGCATCATAAACACCTCATACGAAGCTGCATGTAATTCATCCGATGGTATCTCATCATTATCAACAAATTTCATAATAATATCAAGGAATTTGTTATATGTTGCTCTATTTTGTTTTTGTTCTCCTAAATACAAATTTTAAAAAGATTTAATAAATGATTCCAACTATGATGATGATGATGTTATGAGATATATTATACATACCAGCACTTAATTTGTCATTGCTAAAGTATCCCCAAGCTAATTGTCCACTTAATAGTTTGACACCAGCAGCTCTCTTTTTCTCCTCTTTTTTCTTTTGATACAATGAGTTTCGATGAGCTACCAATTCATCTAATTTAATGTAATCTGTTGTTGTTGTTGTTGATTGTTGTTGAGATTGAGGGAATCTCAAGTAATCAGATATAGTTGTAGGTAATGTAGATCCTTTCTATTTAATCATTAATCAACCAATCATTAGTGAACATCATTCTTTAACAATCACATGATTATCTTTCTTTCAACTTACATTCAGAACCATTTTCTATCTTTAAATGAATATTATTATTGTACAATAAATGAATATCTTCTTCTATTCTCCTTCTAAATGTAATGTAATAAATGTAATGGTAGGGATGAAACGAATGAATGAAAATCAAGTGCTTCGAAATGAAGTATTAAAACTATTAGTTTTTTTTTTGCTAAAAAGAGAAGAAGATCATTAATAATTTAATTTATTATTTATAAACGCATTTAGAAATGGTATGAATATGAAGAATACAATAAGAATGATATATAAATATATAATATTGATTGAATCGTACAAGCATATGACTAATCATCAAACACTCTATCTCATCTTTATATGAATATCATGGATTGATTGATCAATGAATGAATGATTTACTACAACTCTACTAAAGTCAACAGATAGTGAAATTCAAGAAACCTTTAATAGAATACAATCACAACACAAAGGTGTTAAAGGAATATTGATTGTAAACAAGTTTGGATCAATCTTGAAATCAACATTTGACAATGAATCAAATACACAATACTCCAAGCTAATTCTTGATCTCTACCCAAGACTCGACTCTCTATTAAAGGTTAATGATCCTAGAGATGAACTTTCATTCTTTAGAGTTAGATCAAAAGATAACGATATTATGATCTCTCCAGGTAACATTGATCATATAACACAACATTCATCCCCAAAACACATATAACTAACTTTACTTTCTTCAATCACAATATAACAGATAAAGATTATTATTTATTAGTTGTTAATCAAATTCAACAATAATAATAATAAATAATAAATAATATAACAATATAATCATAATTAATAATATTAATTAATGGATAGTCGACTACCCATTAAACCGACAAAGACGAACGACAGATCATTCACAATCAATCCCCACCCACCCTTAAAAAGAGTTGTAATAAATAGTAACAATATAATAATAATAACAGAATAATAACAGTATACCAAATGAATGTTGGATTGGATATTAGATATTAAAATTAAACCTGGATCGATTTATTCTTACATTTTCTTTCCTTTGCCAAACCAAGATGGAATTTTGGTTCCACTAGCGGATCGAGCTTCTTCTTCATTATATCTATCATCTTTCATATCAATATCCTTATCATTATTATTATTATTATTATTAATATTTACATTATCAGAAGTTGGAGTAGATTGTTCTGATGATATGGTGGTTGAGCTGCTAGTTGTTGTACTAGTACTAGTAGTACTAGTTGTCGATTCAGATTGTTCCTTCTTTTCCTTTTGTTCCTTTTCTTCCTTTTCTTGTTGTAATAAATCATTGATTGTTTCTTTAAAAGATGCTGTAAATTGATCATCAATCTCTGGTATGAGTTTAAGTGGAGCTGAATCGGGACGAACACCAACATATATTTTTGCACGAGGGTATAATTGCTCAGAGACAAATGTCTTGTCAAGAGCGAGTTCCTTGACAGGTGGAGTGACATAGAGGTAAAAGTTGGCAAGTGGTTCAACAAATTTGGTCGAGAGGAATTGGTGTAGTTTGGCAATACGTTCTCTTGGATGGAATGTCATTTCCAACACCTTTCTATCGGGAAGTGTGATACGAATGTCTGTCGTTGTGTATTTTCTTGCTTTCTTTTGGTCTTCACTATCTCTCATCTTTTTAGTTCTCAATATTGAATCCCTTTCATCCTTTTCTCTCTTGATTCTTTTATTTGCTTCCATCAATCTTTTAAAATCTTCTGATGTCATTGCTTCATCAAATTGAATAGCTAAAAAATTAAAATAAAATATATATATATTAATTATAGTGTAGATTAATTAACTAAATAATAATAATAGATACATACAAGTGATATCTATATCTTCATATTTTGGAGTATGAATCTTAAAATTTCTTTCAATTTCTGGTTGTTCAAATTGTTGTATTGGTGGGGATGATTCCATTGGAACTACTGTTGAAGTTGTAGAAGTTGTAGATGTTGTAGATGCAATAGCATTGTCATTTGATGGTGAATCTATTAAATCCATTGCTTTATCATCTTTGGTTTCTGATGATGAAGATGATGAAGTTGTTGGAGATGGCGGTACTTGTTGAGGATTATCCTTTGGTGATGTTGTACTTTCTATTTTAACATTATTATTATTATTATTATTATTATTATTGTTATTATTATTATTATTATTTGAAGGAGATGTAGATGGTGAAGTTTTCGTCGTTGATGTAGTCGTCGTAGATGTTGATGGTGAAACTCCTTTTTGTTCTTGTTCTTGTTGTGGTTGTGATTGTTGTTGATTTATATATTCTTCATATGTTATGCCCTTTAATTGTTCCATAATTTGATTTGCCTTTTCAAAGAAACCCAATGGTTGATAGGTATCGATTGTTTCTTTAATCTCTTCATATTTAACGTCGGTTTGTTTGAATTTAAGATGAATCAAACATGATTCTGTAATCATTAATTTACGTAGTGTAAATTGTTGTAATTCTTCAAATGTAGATACCTAAATCAATCAAATTAATATACTATCACTATCCTATCATTTTTGGTAGATTAATTTTTAATTTCTACATACTTCCTTATTAATAATAACGGCAACAGGAGATTTGTAGTAGCCAGTTTCAACGTCAAATTGTCTTACCAGGTTCTCACCATTTTTCGATTCAAAGTGCAAAAAGATGTCCCAGAGGGTCAGAGTTGTCTTGAAGTTTCCTTGCAGTCTCTTGCCGTCTGGTAATTGTATGGCTATTCTAATCTCTGATGTGACATTGGCACCTGAATTCTGAACAATCGATACACGACTACCTGAAGGAATACCTGACAATCTAAAAGGGAATGTTAAATTGACTGGCTTGTTGTTGTAACTGAAATAGAGTATAGACGGGTTAATAATAAACACTGGTTGTATTATCACTGTTATGATCTTACGATAAAGCATATAGTGTATGACTTTCTTGTGGAACTTTATACATGGTCAATGCTTTAGACAGTAGATCTGCCATAGCTGTACCTGGTGTAACTTGAATTGTTTTCTTATCATTCTTGAACAACACATGTAATGATGACATTGTTGTTAGAGATTATATTATATTATATTATATATTATATACAAATAGATAGATAGATAGATATCACTAGATAGATAAATTAAGATAGGTAAAATAATGTTTAATAACTTTTTAAAGAAAGGGTAATTAAAATTAATTTTGAAAAAAAACAAAGAATGACGATGATGAACTTAACAATATATTAATATTAATATTAATATTATATTTTTGTTTGTTTTAATTAAACTAATTCAATATTAGAAGAAGAAGAATGAATGAAAGTAGAGATAAACTAATGAATGTTGATGATGATGATGACGATGACACTAATCATCATTTATTGACTACACCAACATCAACCAACACCAATGATGATAATGATCATGATCATGATGATAATTCAAACGATGATGATGATGAGTCTACTAAATCATTAATTACAGCTACAGCAACAGTAACAACACAACTACAACAAGACTTTGAAGATGATCATCAAGATGACCAAGTAACAACAACAACAAACTCAACCCCAAGTTTAAGTATCAACAGTAACAGAAATGTATTGGACCTTTTGGCAAAGAGAAAGAAGATCAGCAAAAAGGCTGCTATTAGATACAAACCAAAACAAACTCAACAACCTACCATTGTTCAAGTACCAGTCACCAAGGAAGATGCTTGCAAGAAAGGATGTTGTGGACCAAAAGAAAAGGAACCTCCTGCCGTTGTTGCCCAAGTACCAGTCAAGGAAGACTCTTGCAAGAAGGGTTGTTGCGGACCAAAGGAAAAGGAACCTGTCGTTATTGCTCAAGTACCAGTCACAAAGGAAGATTCTTGCAAGAAAGGATGTTGTGGACCAAAAGAACCTGTCGTTGCAGTCAAGGAAGACTCTTGCAAAAAGGGATGTTGTCCACCAGTATCGCCAGACATCTCTTTGACCAACAACACCAATACGAGTGCTGATAGTGAATGTAAAAAAGGATGTTGTCCACCAACAAAAGGAACAATAGTAGTAGATGTACCAACAATTGCAATTGCAACAACAAAGAGTGCACCTAATATTGGAAGTGGAAAGTATTGTTGTGATGTTTGTATTACTGGACCTTGTTGTAAAAAGGATTGTTGTGCCACCGAGTGTTGTCTTACCTTTACCATCGAGTATGGTGGCAAGGATGGATTCATTTACAAGTCTGACAAGAAAAAGACAATGTATGCATCACTTTTGTACAAGGCGTGTGGTAGCTTGTTTGGATTGCGTTATGGATACGGTGAACACCAAAAACTTGATGAAACCAATAATGGTGATCACTCACATCAAGATGGTCCTCAACAAGAAATCGATATGTCTGTCCTATCAAATATCGAACCAACTCTTTTGCTACTCAATGTCGATGGAATGAATTGTGCCGATTGTGTCACTACAATGGAAGACAAGGTCAAGAAAATGGAAGGTATCAATACCATCACTACCAATCTCTTTACCTCCAAGTGTGAAATCACTTTCAATACCATGTTGACAGATCCATAGTATGTAGTTTATAAATATTTATTTAAATATTTTGATTACTTAATTATTTATTTTCTATTCTATTTTTTTTTTACTTTACTTAGTGCAATTATTCAAACTATTAATTCATTAGGATTCACGGCAACTGAAATCGATGACAAGGCGAATGAGTTGGTATTGGATCTAGGACAGGTTGTTGATGACATTAACATTTCGGTTTCTAATTTGGCTGATGATATCGAATCGATTGAAGGAGTTGAAAGTGTAATGATTAGTGGAGACAATGGTAATGTACTAGTCATTGCATACGATCAATCTACCGTTACTATTAGAACACTGTATGATAGGGTCAATGAGATGGTTCGTGCTGACCCACCAATCCCAATATTGGACAAGAGTGCAATTAAAAAGAGTGGTGAGACATTGTCGATGAAGGACATGTTGTACAGACTATTGATGATATCATTGGTATTGTGTGTACCGTGTGTTCTCATCTCGTTTATTCTTCCACTTGGAAGTGGTCCAAATACCATTTTGTCAACTTCCATCGTCAATGGATTCAGTGTCAAGATACTATTGTTGTTTATCTTTTCAACACCCATCCAATTCTACGTTGGTAAACCGTTGTACATGTTGGCGTACAAGACACTTAGACACGCTAAAAAGGCGTCGATGGACCTGTTGGTCATGATCAGCAGTACCATTGCATACGGCTATTCGTGTGTGTCGTCCATCATCCTCCTCTTTGACGCCAGCTACCACGGGGAAGTTTTCTTTGAAACGTCGTCCATCCTGCTGACACTTATCATCCTTGGTCGATACCTCGAAGCCGTTGCCAAGGGAAATGCAGGCAATGTCTTGAAATCTCTTCTATCTCTACAAGCTCAAACATCGATTTTAATCGAGTCTCCTAAACCCCCATCATCCCCCACGACGACAATCGACGACAAACCAAAAGAAACTAAACACGAGTTGGCCGAAGACGATTGTTGTTCTTCAAAACTTCAAATAAAAAAAGAGAGGGACGAAATGGAAGAGAGACAACGAAACCAATTCCTCCAACAAGAAAAAGAACTCCAAACCAAGGACAGAGAGATCCCAATTAAACTGGTACAACTCAACGACCATTTGCGTATTCTACCATTTAGTAGAATCCCAGTGGACGGTATTATTATCAGCGAGTGTCGAGATACATTGGTTGACGAGTCAATGGTGACTGGCGAGTCGGTTCCAGTACCAAAGAAAACGGGTGATGCTGTGTATGGAGGATCGATGAGCTGCAACCAACCACTCATCATCAAAGTACACAAAAAACCAAACAATGGAACACTCTCTAATATTTGCAAGATGGTTGAACAGGCTCAATCTTCCAAACCACCCATTCAACAAACTGCCGATCGTGTCGCATCCTATTTCGTACCCGGTATTATCATCCTGTCGATTGTTGTATTTATCATCAACATTTGTCTTGCTCACTGGCGTGTGGTTGATACCGATGGACAAGGATCGTTCACATTCTCATTGTTATTCTCGATTACTGTACTAGTCATCTCGTGTCCATGTGCAATTAGTTTGTCTGCTCCCACTGCCATCATGGTTGGCTGTGGTGTTGGTGCAAAGCTTGGTATTCTTTACAAGGGTGGTGATGTACTAGAGGCAGCAAGTAAAGTAGACACGGTCGTCTTTGACAAGACTGGCACATTGACCAAAGGAAAACCAAATGTAACCGATGTACATACCATTGGTACAGAGATTGACCAACACACTCTATTAGAGATTACAGGCTCATTGGAACAGTCGAGCGAACATGTTTATGGAAAGATGTTGACCAAGTATTGTCGCGAGCAACTTGGTGGAAAAGAGTTGGTTGAAGCAACAGAAGTTGAATCCGTACCAGGCAAGGGAATCAAAGGATTGGTCAATGGAGTAAAGGTTGTTGCTGGAAACGTATCACTCATCGTTCAAGATGAAGCTATCATAGTTGACGAGTCATCTCAAAAAGTGATTGAATCTTTGGAAAGAGATGGAAAGACAATTGTAGTGGTTGCCATTGGCGGAAAGATTAGTGGTATATTTGGTATGATTGACGAGGTCAAGGAAGAGTCTAGACTAGTCGTACAGGCACTCATGGCAAGAGGTCTCAAAGTTTGGATACTTAGTGGTGACAATTATCGTGCTGTTCAAAGAGTATCAAACTACCTCGGAGTACCCAATTTCATTGCATCGGCAACACCTCAGAGCAAGTGCAAATATATCAGTCAAATCCAATCACTTGGTAGAAAGGTTGCGTTTGTAGGTGATGGTGTCAATGATGCCGTTGCATTGGTTCAATCCAATGTGGGTATTGCTGTCTGCGAAGGTACCGATGTTGCCATTGAAGCAGCATCCATCGTTCTCATGAAGGATGATCTTCGTGGTGTCGTGACTTCCATTGACCTCTCTCAAAGAATCCTCAAAACCATCAAATTGAATTTCCTCTGGGCTTTTCTCTACAATCTCGTTGGTATCCCCATCTCTTCTGGTATCCTCTACCCATTCTTTCACGTATCCATCCCAGTGGCATTTGCGGGAATCTCAGAACTATTATCATCTCTTCCAGTAGTCTTATTTTCATTATTAATTAATTATTATACTCCACCTTTAATTTAATCCCCAACTTCAATTTAGTTTCTCTTCTATCTTTTAAAATACATGTTATGTTTGATCGATCACTATATATATAAAAAATAATAAAATATTAAAAATGTTTATCTTATGCCTCTCTTTCTCTCTCTAGCATACGGTTGTTATTATTTTGATATAACCATTCCAACATATTTACACCATATTGTCAATGTATGGAAGTTTGGTTGAATTGTTCAAAACTATAAAGTATATTTTTAAAATCATCAATCCTCTTCTTTCATCATAATATTATTTATTAAGTAGTAATAATAGTATTACTATCTGGTAGAAGTTGAGTCTTGGTATTTTGATTGCCAATCTTTTAAATAATTAAATATTTGTACACTAAATATTTAATTATTTTTGTGATCAAGTATTTATCGGTGGTACGACGACACTCTTTGTCTTGAATGTTATTTGATTGTTATGCGACCAGCCAAACAAAACTACATGTGGCAAAAAAAAAAGATAGTGCCTTTGACATTGATTCAAATCTTTCACAGTGGAGGTGGTTTATTAGGTGGAATTAGAGTAACATAATAATAAAAATAAATAAACAAAAAAATTATTATATTATCAATATAATTTTCCCAAAAGTTACATCTCCTTTTGTACATAATTAAATCGATCTTGCAATTTTTTTTTTCCTTTCCTTCGAAGTTTGTAGTACCCTCCTCCTACCTTTTGTTGAGAGATGTAACTTTTGGGAAATAAATAAATAATGAATTAAATAAATAATGAATTAAATAAATAATTATAATCCGGATACATATATTATATTATATTGAATTGAATTGATTTGTTGTTGGTAAAAAAAATATCTATCATTTATAATGCATAACCATTGTAAACAATAAAATAATATTATATTATTTTTGTTTGTTGATTGATTGATTAGATGAAGATAATAGTAGTAGCAGTGGTATAGAGAGAGATGTAATTAATTTACAATAATAATGAAGCAATAATGACAAAGATGGTAGCCATGATAATGGATGGGTGTTGCATGATGGCACTACCAGTGTAGTCTGGAGCAGAGAACTTGGAGCAATCAGCTTCGCTGTAGGTTTGTTGACATGTGCAAGTATTGTTCTCAGTGTTGAAAACACCATTGTATGAACAAAAACCAGAAGCATCGAGATAGACAACGCTGGCATCGGTTGTTGATTGATAACATGTTACTCCATCCTTGTTCAACTAGATTAAAATAAGAAAATGTTTGTAAATAATCAAATGATACAATAATATATATATAATGTTTAACATACAGGGTATTTGTTTAACCAAGTCTTGACAGTATCAATTGGACTGTTTTGGGCGCATTGATGAGTGTTGCAAATTTGAGTTTCAGTGCTGGCGCCTGTAACGGTGACCTTGATCTTACCATAGGCGACACTGTTGTCGTCTGGGTTACCCTTGCAACTCCATGGATTGTAATCAGGGGGTGGTTCGGCGGCGACAGCAAGGACTGATGCTGCAACCTTGCTCTCAGGATCAGGTGGATCAGGTTGAGAATTCTTGAAGCAAATGCCATAGGTTGTATAATCGTTACCTGTAACTTTACAGGTTGTTGATGTTATTGGTGCAAGTGCTGCTACGTCGTAGTTATAATGTATGATAAAGTATCAAAGATCAAAGATTGTCGTTAATATGTGTGTCATTGTCATTTTTCTCTATCTTTGCACTATTAGATTATAATATCTATAATGTCGTTAAACAGTACATGCATGTACTACATACCATTGGTAAGGGCAGCAACAAGACCTAGTAATAACAAGACACTTAATAAAATTCTCATCTTATCTATCTTTTCTTATCTCTGTGTGTGTGTATATAATAAAAGGGTTCATTAAACACAATGATAATTAAAGTAAGTAGTGTCCCCAGAGAGACACAGTAGGACAATGCTCACTCACTCCTGACACCTCTCTAACCACCTCAATTATCATAATGAAAAATCCGCATGGCGACAACGTTTTTTCGGAAGGCTATCACCAAAACATAGATATCTATGGGCTAATGTAACTGTGTGGATTGATAATTTATCTGAATAAATCATTGGATCGATCTAATTCCCCCCTTATCCTCATTCCACTCATCTTGAGAGAGATATTGTTGTTGTTTATTTGTATTTCTTATAACAAAAGAAAGATGTGCCATAAACCAATGAAGTTATTCAAGATATCTTGCAATGCGCTGTTGTTGTATAGTATTATTAATTATTTGACCTGTACTTGTATTAATGAGAGTTAATAATAATAATAAATAATATCTATCTTTATAATTCAAACATGTAAAGATCTCGAAAAAAATTAAAATAATAATAATAATAATTATAAAAATAGTTTTTGAAGAGAATTGGGGTCTCTTTGAGATCAAGCATCGATTTTTTGTGTTTGAATTGTGTGTGTTGAAGATATCTTCTTTTAAAAGTGTAATTAGCGGCATTCAACTTCCAAGTTAAGACGAGAGTATAGTTTTTTAGCGACACGACGATTATCGATTGTTATCTATCGACAGAGAGAGAAAGAGATATAATATATATATATATATATTAAGAGATGCCATATATTACTACGGGAGGAGCAAAGAACCTACCTTTATACAAGGGAGGTACAACAATCGATAATTCTATCATGTACTCTTATGTCATTTCACCTGCTTGTAATGTTATAGTAGAGATTTTCCCTAAAAGCTTTCAGTATGTAATATATAGATAATATATCTATACATAATCGTTAGATACACAATACTAACCTATGTTTCTACTTAACAGCCCTAATCTAGTATGGAATCCACTAAAGAAGAAGAAGAAGAAGAAGAAAACAAGTCACATGATATTCATTAACTCTCATTATCTATCCTATCTCCTTTTAGATCACAGCAACAGGATTTGTTTGTAATTTTGTAGCATTGTATTTAGTTTCAACATTAATTGGATCGGTGGTTGATAGCAAGGATGGACCACTCGACGATTCAAACTATCGTTGGGTTCACTTTGCAGCCGCCTTTTTAATTTGGTTTTATATGATGATGGATAATATCGATGGTAAACAAGCCAGAAGAACTAAAACTTCATCTCCACTTGGTGAATTATTCGATCATGGTTGTGATTCATTCACTGTTGGTGTAATGTATCACCAAAAAATTTAAAAATAATAATAATAATAATTATAATTTATTAATAATTTCTATTTCTATTTATTATAGTTGGCAACATCGGTAGTTGGATTATCAGTTGGATTAACATTATGGGAAATATTTTTTGTATTTATTCTATCTACCATTCCATTCTATTTGGCACATTGGGAGGAATATTTTACACACCATTTAATCTTGGGAATGTTGAATGGACCAACCGAAGCTGAATGTGCTATTATTCTATTCTGTTGTTTGACTGGTATCTATGGTCAACAACTATGGTACACTCAAATCGATATTCTCGGACATGGCATTCGTCTCAAAGAGATTATGTTTATCATCATGTCTGTCACCTCAATCTCCACCTCTCTCCAAAGTATTTATTCGGGATGTCGTAAAGCTGTTGCCATGAAGATTCCACTCCTCAGAGCATTCTCTCAATTACTACCATTCACTCTTTTCCTCGTACTCGAATTCATCTGGGTCTACATTTCACCTCAACTCTATCTTGAATATCCAATTGTTTTCATTTTAGCTTCTACTTTTATTTTCTCTTATTTAAATGTAAATATCAAAATTAATGATTAATTATTATCCAAAAAATTATTAACCTTTGAATTTCTTTTTCTTTTTTAGTGCCGTTGTATTGTACAAAGAATATGTTCAGAAGATTTTAGAATGTTTTATAAACCATTGATTTTCTTGATTACGGCAGTATTCAATTCGGTACTTATCAAATACGCCGGAATTGTTATTGTATCAGAAGAATATGCACTCTTTGGATTATTTGGAATCAGTCTTGTATTCATGGTTCATTTTACTTATACTATCATCCAAGAGATGTGTAGTATATTAAAAATTCGTGCTTTTACTGTACCAAAAGAAAAACAAGTTTAAACCAAAAATCAAAAATAATAGATAATAATAAATCATTATTATTTATTTTACCTCTACTACATTGTTTTTTATAAATTATTACTTTCTTTCTTTCTTTTATTTATTTATTTATTTAAATTCAATTAAAATTTCATCAACAGCAACATTGGTACCAGCCTTTGCCTTGATTGATTTAATTTCACAGTCACGTGGAGCACGGAGAACGTTTTGCATCTTCATGGCCTCGATGATACAGAGTTCTTGACCAATGACGACCTTGTCACCTTCCTTGACGGCGACCGAGAGGATAGCACCTGGCATTGGCGAGAGAAGAGCGTTGGAGTTATCAATGTGGAGCTTCTCTGGCATGAATTTAAAGAGACGATCTTCTTCTGGGGTACGGACGGAAACGTCGATCTTGGAGCCGTGGAATTGGAGGGTGTAAGAGTGTGTGCCACGGTTGTGCAATTGGAATCTGAGGACAGATCCACCGATGGTGAGACGGAGCATTTCTTGGGTGTCTTCGTCGATGGAACCTTCGACACGCTTGATGACGACTTCTTCTTCCTCGTCGACAAACTCGACGGTGAATTGGGCATCCTTGACCATTTGGAAACGGACGAGGTGACGGACATTGTCAATGACGACGACGTTGAACTCGTCGGGCTCGACTGGGGAGGAACGGGCTTGGTTGGCATTGTTGGTGAGTGACTTGTGTTGGTCGGCGTATCTGAGGATAGCACCGGCGATGGCGAGTTGCTCGATTTGCTTGGGGGCAAACTTGTAGCCTTGGAAACCTTCTGGGTACTCTTCGGGAATGAATTTGGTGGAGATGTCGCCGCTCAAAAACTTGGCATTCTCCATGACGTCACGCAAAAAGGGGACGTTGTGGTTGACACCCTTGATGTAGTAGTCGTCGAGTGCACGCTTCATGCGGACGATGGCAGTCTTTCTAGTGTCGGCGTATGTGATGAGCTTGGAGATGAGTGGATCGTAGTAGGTCGAGATCTCGCCACCTTCGTAGATACCACCGTCGATACGGACGCCTGGGCCTTCAGGACGGATGTATTTCTTGATGCGGCCAATCGATGGCAAAAAGTTGCGGTATGGGTCCTCGGCATAGACACGTGACTCGATGGCCCACCCCTTGATCTTGAGGTCCTTTTGGGCGATCTTGAGACGCTCGCCATAGGCAATGCGGATCATGTGTGCGACGAGATCCTGACCGGTGATCTCTTCGGTGATGGGATGCTCGACTTGGAGACGGGTGTTCATTTCCAAAAAGTAAAAGTTCTTCTTCTCGTCGACGAGGAACTCGACGGTACCGGCCGACTTGTAGCCGACGGCCTTGCAGAGAGCGACGGCTTGCTTGCCCATAGCCGTACGTGTCTCGTCGTCGAGGAAGGGTGAGGGGGCCTCTTCTACGACCTTTTGGTTACGACGTTGGATCGAACACTCACGCTCGGGAAAGTAAAGGGCAGTCTCGCCATCCGACAAGACTTGGATCTCGATATGTCTTCCACGGTCAATGTACTTTTCAATGAGCATACGGTCGTCGCCAAACGACGACTTGGCCTCTTGCTTGGAGAGACGGTAGCCAATCTTGACGTCTTCGTCGTTCCAAGCAATACGCATACCCTTGCCACCACCACCGGCCGAGGCCTTGACCATCACAGGGTAGCCAATCTCGTTGGCAATCTTGATGACTTGCTCGATGCCGTCAACCTCGCCGATAAAACCGGGAATGACGCTGACGCCAGCAGCCTTGGCGATCTTCTTGGACTCGATCTTGTCGCCGAGTGCATGCATGGCGTACGAGTTGGGACCGATAAAGGTGACACCAATCTTTTCGAGTTCCTTTACAAATCTGCTATTCTCAGAGAGGAAACCGTAACCTGGGTGAACTGCTTGTGCACCGGTCGACTTGATTGCCTCCAAAATATTATCAATGTTTAAGTAACTTTGCGATGTGGGTGCTGGACCGACGCATACAGCTTCGTCGGCTTCCAACACATGACGAGCATGCTTATCAGCATCAGAGTGAATAGCTACTGTCTTGATACCCATCTCCTTACATGTCTTGAATACTCGACATGCAATCTCTCCTCTATTTGCTACTAAAATCTTTTCAAACATCTAAATATCAAACAAATTAAGTAAATATTTGATTAGTATATTATATATTATATATTATATATGTATATCTATTATCAATCTGTCTCATGTCTCTATATCTATTTCTATCTAGATCTTTCACTCTCTCTCACTCTCTTTGTCTCTGTCCGACAACAACAACAAAGTTTGTGTCTTTCTTTACTTACAAAGTTTGGAGTAGTTGAATGGAAAGCATTTCTTTGGATATAGTTGGTAGTAGTCTTACTACCATTGAACAATGAAGTGACCAATCTATTCATTCTGTTCTTTCTTTCTCTTTTACAAGTAAAATAGATTGATTGATTGATTGATTAAAATGCTCTAAATTTCACTCATCAACATCATGATCGTCGAACAGACCTTTTAAAAAAAAATTATTTTTTTAAAATCTTTTTTTTATTGTGTGTGATGACTTTAAAAGTCATTAATTAAAGTTTGTAGTATTTCTTGTGCAAAGAGAGATATATAGAAGAAGAAAGAAAGAATGAGTGAACAACAACAACCAAAATATTATAGAGATAAAATACAAAGTATGAGTTCAGAGGTCGTAGACTCTAATCCATACAGTCGATTAATGGCATTAAAGAAAATGGGTATTGTCAACAACTATGAGGTATGAGCCAAAGAGGGATGGTCAGTGTGACAAACAACTAAAAGTAGACCTACTCTCTCTTCTCATCGTAAATATATTAGGATATTAGAACTAAAAGTGTTATTATAGTTGGATTGGGAGGTATTGGTAGTGTTGCAGCTGAGATGTTGACAAGATGTGGAGTTGGTAAACTATTGTTGTTTGACTATGATACCGTTGAAATAGCCAATATGAATCGTCTCTTTTTTAGACCCGAGCAAGCTGGCTTGAAAAAGACAGTGGCTGCCATGGAGACACTTAAAGCGATTAACCCAGACGTTGAGTTTGAGACACACAATGGCAACATTACAACAGTCGACTGCTTTGATCTGTTTTTAGATCGTATCAAGAACGGTGGTGTCGGTGGTATTGGTGGACCCGTCTCACTTGTGTTGGGCTGCGTAGACAACTTTGAGGCACGTGTAGCGATCAATCAGGCGTGTCTAGAGCTCGGCCATGCGTGGATGGAGAGTGGTGTGTCGGAGAGTGCCGTCTCGGGACACATACAATATATCGTGCCTGGCCAGACTGCCTGCTTCCAATGCGTTCCACCATTGATTGTTGCAAGTGGTATAGACGAGCGAACGTTAAAGAGAGAGGGTGTATGTGCAGCATCGCTTCCTACCACCATGGGTATTGTAGCAGGTATCCTCGTACAAAATGCACTCAAACAACTACTGTCGTTTGGTGAAGTGTCCAACCTACTCGGATACAATGCTCTAAGCGACTACTTTCCAAAGGAAACAATCAAACCCAATCCAGAATGTACCAACTCGTATTGTATCAAACATCAATTGGCATATAAACAATATTTAATCGATCATCCTCCAACACCTCCCTCCCTAGATCAACAAGACGTTACTCCTCCTCCATCTACAGATAATGAATGGGGAATTGAATTGATTCCAGATGACTTGGATACCACTCAACAACCACAACAACAAAGTATTGGAAAAGGAATAGAGTTTGCATATGATACAACACCAACAATCAATTTAAAAGAAGATGATAAAGTTCAAGTTTCAGAATCAACCAATTTACAAGATTTAATGTCAAAGTTGAAATCAATGAATAAAAAGTAACTAACTAATACATAATAATAATAATAATAATCATAATGATGGAGATATAAATAATGGATAACTTTATCGATCAAAGCTAGTTAAATCCATTTATTTTATTAATTTATTTAATATTGGGTTTAACGGTGTCTACCAACTTGCAAAGACGGCATTAAAATCTTTAATGGAATATCAGATAGTGATAATCCCAAATCAGATGGTGCAATTGGTTTCTTTTCGAGTACTCCTATATCATTTCCATTTCCACTGGAACAGTGGTTATTGCTAATACTTGGAGATATAGGTAAATGAATTTCATCGGCTCCTTGAGCATTATGGTTGAATGGTTGTTGTTTGAGATATTCTTCCATGTGTTGATGTAGCTTTGGTGATTGTTGTTTGTTCTTGTCACTTTGTCCAAACTTCATAGTCTTGCTCTTGATATTATCAAATAATTTATGGAGTGTTGATTTTGATTTCTTGTGCTTTTTGTAAGATGCACTACCAGAAGCTTCTTCGGAAACAACAGGTGGTGATGATGAAGATGGCTTAATATCAGGTGAAATCTTCTTTTCCATCATCATCATCATCTCCGAATTCTTTTTAACAGACATCTCATCTTTAATCATTTCCCTAAAGATATTGGGTGTTTTTTGAACGGGTGGTGATATCTTGACTGGTGTGGCAGAGATGGATTGTGTAATAGTTGGAGGAGTAGAAGTGGAATTTCTTGGTGTCGATGTTGCAGTAGTCAAAGTTGAGCTTGATGATGGTGAATGATATGAAGATGAAGGTGTTGACACAGCAACAAGGTGTGGTATACTACTAGTAGGTGAAGATGAAGATGATAAAGGTTCCTTCTTTTCAGGTAATGTAGGAGTTGGTTTTAATGTAACACCAAATGATGGACTATCTTCAGCGATTGATTTAGTATCTTGAGTTGCCTCTACCACTGGTACTGGTACTGGAACTGGAACTGGTACTGCTGCTTCAACCTTCATTTCAACATTGACTGGTTCAGGTTGTTTAATAGTAGTACTATTTTCAACAACCGATGATGGTTCCTTTTCCTTTTCATCAATGATTGGTTTTACTTGATCAACCTTTTTTGTAACACTATTAATGTCCTTGGGTTTGGCAGAGGTAGTCGTAGAAGTGTTATTGTTGGATTGATTCTTTGGAGTGACATGTCTAATAGGTTGTTTGTTGGATAATAATCTATTATTATTAATAGTTCTAAGTGAAGGTGATGCAAGGTATTTCTTGATAAATGGTTTTCTATTGAATGTTCCCATTCTTTTTGATCCATTATACTGTTGTTTGCTTCCATTTTCAAATAATTTTTGTTTGATTTCATCAAGTGCTGTTTTGGGTCTGGCATTGTATGCTTTTCTTTCACCTTGAATAAATGGATTGTTGTCAATGGGTGAAAAGACAGTTGACTTTAGATGATTTGGTTTCATATTGTTGGTATAGAATCTAGACATGCTACCATTACTTTGTGAACGTGATTGTGATAACATTGATTTCGATGAAGATGATATTTTTGGTTTTAAATAGGTTTTGGCATTTGTTGTTGTTGTTGTTGTCGATGTTGCCAATGGTTTCAAATTACCACCCATCTTATTTGCAGTACCAACACTACCATTACTCTTATTAGCACCAACATTACCATTAATCTTAGGATTATTATTAATCTTATTGGCAATAATATTATGATTAATCTTGTTCAAATTGGTACCATTTGGTTTTAGTTGTACCAACTTATTATTATTCATATTATTGACCTTTGTTGAATTAATATTAATATTTGGTTTACCAACAACATTTCCATTGGAATTCTTTTGAGTTGTAATTGTTGGAATAGTAGTTTTCTTGAGTTGATGATGACGATTGCTACCATTCTTATTACCATTCTTATTACTATTATTATTGTTCATTGCTGCCTTGTTAATATTCTCAAATTTAGACTTGAGGTCTTTTGTTGGGGATTTGAGAGTTGTAGAATTCTTCAAAGCATTGCTACTAGTTCTAAGAGTGTTTTTGAAATTATTATCTCCAAGTTTTTTGTTGTCAGACTTTAATAAATTATTTAAATTGGCTGATCGTAATGATGATTTAGTTGGTAAATTATTATTATTATTATTATTATTATTATTTCTGTTGCCCGGACTTCTCAATTTACCATTATTACCATTACTATTATTGTTATTATTATTATTTCCAATTCTATTATTATTATTTTTAAGAGCTACTAATCTATTATTATCAGTCTTGTTGTTGTTGTTGTTGTTATCACCAAATGGTTGTTGTTTAGTGCCAAATTCCTTTTTGGTAAAGTTGGGAGAAGAAGAGTTGTCATATTTCTTATTACCATCACCTCTTGGGAATTCAGTTGCCATTTGTTGTTTAGTGATATCACTTTGATCCTTTTCTTTATCCTTGGTGTCAAGACCCATCGTATTATTATTATCCTTGTTGTGATTGTTCTTCTTCTTTGAAAAGAATGATAGGAACCCATTCTTTTTAGTGTCTTGGTTGTCATCACCACCATCCTTTTCCTTGTAGTTGTCCTTTTCCTTGGCTTGTTCAGATGAGCAGTCACTATTGCTAGGACCATTCTTGTTGGGTTGAGCAACGCTCTTGTTCTTGGTTTGATATGAATCCTTCTTTGACTTGCCTTGTTTCATCTCTAATTCACGTAGATTGTCTTTATGAGCCTTGTTAAAATTGGTGATAAAACTATTCATCAGTGAAAAGAATTCATCGGGTGTTTGGTTCTCTTCGACAAAGTATTTCATTGATGAGTTGAAAATGTCTTCCACCTGTTTGACATAGATTGCCAGACACTCAATTTGAGGTGTTCTAGAAGCGATAAACGATTTCATCTTGGTGACAAAACTATCGTTACCATATGCCTTGCTTTGCATCTCTACTTCCTTTTGGAGATTGGCAATACCATCCTGTAGGAATGTGATCTGGGCCACCATCTCTTTCCACTGGCATCGAGATGCTGCCTCCAACGATGGGAATGTCTCTGGTGTAATCAAATAATCTGGATACCTATTCCATACAATTTGTGCAATATGATGTAATAATGTTGTTTTGTTATCAATTGATTTTGTATTTGTCATCTAAATAATTAAAAATAAAGAAATTAATAAATCTTTCTTTTTTTTTGAATATTGTGCGATACATACAGTACTGAGGAAAGACAATTTAAAACCATCAGCTTGATTACCAACATTATTTAAATAGTTACCAATTTTTAAGATCAAATAGAGAACTAGTCTAAACCCTTTACACTTTAATAACTCTTGACTTGTAAGTTCAACAAATTTGGTAGCAATGGTAATATCTTCAATCATCGTATCAAATTGTTGTTTAAATTGTAAACTAGATATTCTTTCTCTAACCTTTGGAATTGATTTGGTTACCTAAATTAAAATATAATAATAATAATAAAAGATTAAATTAATTTATATTCATTACAAACTATTTATATTTATATATATATTAAACTTGTGATTTAAACTTCTTCCATACTTATATATATATGATATGATGATACATACATCTAATAGGAATTGATCTATATCTGCAAGAGTACTCTTTTCACCTTTATAATTTTTAAGTGATTCTTCTTCTTCGGCGGTTGCAATACATTTGGAAATGACCAATACCATTTCATTGGTTAATTTCTTTTCATCCATTGATGTCAATGCGTCGACCACCCATATCGTATTTAATTTGTATTTTGACAAGAGGATGCCAATATTGTTTGATCTTCTCATATCCAAGATTGATGTCTTTTTCTCTACCTCCTTTTCAACCTTGTCATCGTCTACTTTGCTTCCGAGAGGAACAGCCTTCTTGGCACAAAACAACTGTTCCAACAATACCTTGTCAAATTCAATTTTAGTGACCTTGTCTGAAAAGTCTGATTGCTCCTTATCGTCCCAAACGGTTTTGGGGATTTTGAGAAGTGGAATCTTTGGCCAAAACAATTGTTTCATTGGGACTGATGGAGCATCCCCTTTTCTCTTGGAAATGCCTCCTGCAGTAGCAGCACCTCCTGGTCCAGGTGGGGGTGGTGGTGGGGGTCCGCCACCAGGTGGAGGTGGGGGTGGCGGAGGTCCCCCGCCAGCAGCACCTTTAGCAGAGGGAGGTGGTGGGGGTGGAGGTGGTGGAGCTGGAGCGGGTGGTGCAGGCGGTCCTGCTACAGAGGTATCAAATGACTTTTCCTCTTCTTTTGGTTTATCTTCTGGAGCAGCGGGTGCAGGAGCAGGTGGATCTTTCTTTCCATCAGTCAAAACCTTTTGGGAAGTTGGACTTGTCTTGTTTGATGAACCACCCACCATACCAACCTTTAAATTCTCAATATTTTCTTGAAGAGCGTTGATTGCCGTGTTCATCTTGGCCGGATCGTTTACCAGAGACAAAGATTTTGAGAATTTAACCAACAAACTCAACATGGACGATCGATTGGGTGTTACCTGGTTTTGATTATTATCAAATTGTGGTTGTTGCGAAGCAGGTGAAGCCGATGACGGTGAAGGTGAAGCAGACAATGACTGCTGATCGGAAAATGATATTGTGAATATATCTTGTAAAATCGATGTAAAAGTGGAATCTTGATTCTCTGCTTTTAATTGTTTATGTACTGCCATACACATTGAAACTGGATCACTAAAGTAAAATATATATATATATATAAATATTTAAATAAATAAATTAAATTATTAATATTCTATTCACACTTTGTTATTTTTAAAAATATGATATGTATCATAGATAGATAGTTACCCCAAGTTAATTGTTTTATACCAAGATGATGATTTTGAATGATTAGATGAGAGTGAATTATTATTGGGGTTGTTGATGTTTGGTTGAACTTCAAAATGAAGTGACAATAGATTTAATTGTTTTTCCAATTCTGGACACATGTCTTGGTGAAGTATATCGGGTAACTTTTGAAGCAACATGGTTTGTAATTCGGATTTGAGTTTGGTCTTTAGTGGTGGGTTGCAGTTGGCACCTTCCAAGATAGCATTGAATAATGATAGACATTGTGTCTTGTACTCTACTGAATGATCAAAGATGATGGTTTCCAACAGCCATTTGAATCGTTGACGGTCACGTTTCAATATTTGTATCTTTTCAATACCCTGCAACAAATACTTGTGCGCAGACTCTGAATAATTACAAAACTTGGTACACAATGATATAATGGTCGATTTGAAAAGTGATGAATGTGAAGGATTGATTAAAATCAATAATAAATCTTTAAATGAATCATCTCCAAGAATTGATTTAATTGTACTCTAAAAAATTAAAAATAAATAATAAGTAAGTACTTTGAGTATATTATATTATATTATATAGTTGTTTCTATGTTGTTTCTGTCTGTACATACAATCATTGAATATTTAATTAATAAATGTAATATTTTAATACACTCTCGGTCAATTGATAAGTCGGAATCTGAAAACCTGATGCCTTTGTTGTTTAGTGAAACAATGTCGAGAAGTGCGTTGGCACCTCCCAACTGGATAAATTTGTCGAGCCAATCATTTTGGTTGATTACTACAGTACTTGTACTGCTGGCACTGCTGGTGGCAGAAGATGTGGATCCTGTGGGAGATGCGGGAGCTGGTACAGGGGGAGGAGGAGACTGGATAGGGGTGACATGAGAACATATTCGGCGAATGTCGTCGTTTAACATTTGCAGTGTTTTCAAAGACGGTTGCATTTTCACTAATTGGATATACTGTTCGGGCTTTTTTTGTTGGCTACCTCCAGAGGATTTACCAGTATTGTTGGTTGAACCTGCAGGTGGAAGAATCGATTGTTTAAATACAGGTGATGAGTTGGTACTAAGCATGGCATCGAGTAGATCGGGGTCATCTTCGTCATAGATATCCTCGCGGTCAGACAGCCCTAGATCCGGTTGTAGGTGGCTTCCAATCTCTGACCTTTGTTCGGCAGTCAGAGACGGCAGCAAATTATGAAATACAAATGATTTGACAGGCGACGACGCCGATATCAACGAGACGAGCTGGCCATCCTCCAATACAATTCTTTGTTTTCTTTCAATTCGTTTGTCTCCCAAATATACACCATTGGTACTATAATCAACGATATATGGGATTAATAATTCGATTGGTTGTTGTTGAAGTGTGTTATTTACATTATTATTATTATTATTTGGTGGTTGATTAAATGGTTGTGGGGATGAGGTAGAGGAAGAAGTAGAAGATTCGGTTGATGTTTTTAAAGTAGATATCGAAGAAATAGAAGACATGGGAGAAGATAGATTACTGGCGGTAGATGAAGCAGGTGAAGATGTGGCAGATATAGTAGAGGAAGATGCGGGGGAACTAATGGCAGATGGAGGATGTCCAAAATTAAATGTACGTTTTCTAAGGGTGATACTACAATGTTTACTAGATACCAACATTTCATTTAAGAATTTAATATCGATTTCCTCACCAGAACCACGTCCAAAATTAGTTACCAGTTGATTTAATTCGATTTTTTCACCATGACATGGTGATTCCAAAATACCCCATGGAAATGATAATTTAATTGGTGGATGGTGTATTTTACTGTTGGTTGTTGAAATATTACTATTATTTAGAATGGTATTTAGATGATTTAATTTATCCTCTTTCTTTTCCCTTTCCCTTTCCTCTTTCTTTTCCCTTTCTCTTTCCTCTTTTCCCTTTCCTTTTCTTTTTTTTCTTTTTCCTTTGATACAACGCTCGATGGATCTCCACCTTGGCTAACTGTTCTACGACTCCTTAATAATCCTCTTGGTGTATTTCCCTTGGATCCTCCATCCGAACTACCATTTAATCTTGCAATAATTCCAGATAATGATCCTGGTATCGAAGATGATGATGATGAAGAAGAAGAACCTGTAGTTGTAGGTGTATTATTACTATTACTATTATTATTTAAATCATCTGATTTATTTGGTTCTTTTTCATCCGCTATCATTTTTTAATATTATATATATAAAGTATTACTACTATTATTATTATTATTATTATTATTAATATTACTATGTTATTATTACTATGACTGGTTTTCCAAAAAGATTGTAACAATAAAATTATTATTATTTCTAAAAACAATTATTAATAATTTAATTTCCTACTACTCTTGTTTGCATTTCGAAACTGTAAACCTCTATGACTATTTTCTATCTATCTGTCTGTCTGTCTGTCTGTCTGTCCTGAAAATATATTATATTATTTTTATGAGTGAGTTATATTTTTTTTTTTGTATTTTGATTTAATTATTAGATGGATGAGATGGATGGACTGAATGGAACGAATGGATTAATCCTATCTATTATTATTAATATTTTTATCTGTCCAAATCTTTCTAGTTTTAGCTATAGATATTCTCTTTCTCTTTCTCTCTCTCTCTTATTGGGATAATAAAATTAATAATTAATTCTTGGTTACGCGTGGAAAAAATAATAAACAAGATAATAATAATGATGCGTGGTGGTTAGGTGAGTGTTGTTGTAGTTGTTGTTGTTCAATAATTATTATTATTATTCTAACGATGATAATTTCCAACTTTCGTATTTTTCCTGTCTATCTCTATTGTTTGATACACTTTGCCTAATAATCAATTTTCCCCTCCTCTTCCTCAACATAAGCAACACTTGCAATAATTATTTCCATATCTGTGTGTCAGACAGACAGACAGACCGACTGACCAACCAACCACATTATTGTATCGTATCTTCAAGAGTATACCAGCAGGTGATGGTCGTAAATTCATTCTACGACACCACAGTGTTTTACACCCTCCCCCTCCCCACCAACCACACCCACCACCACCACATCACTAATCCTTTGTTTTTTTGGTTGAGTTGATGTTCGGTTTCATCCATCCATAGATATTAATAATAAGTGGAATAATTCCATTGTTTGTTTGTTGGTTGGTTGTTGTATTAAATAAATATATTAATCTTTATAATATTGACATAATATTAAATGAATGTGAGGTATATATATCCATCTATTGTTAGTAAAGGGGGGGAGGTGGTGGTGGGTTGATGGTGGAGGAATATGTTGTATATCTGTTATCGTATATATTATAATATAAGATACAGTAGCCGTCGCTAACAATCACCAATCATTTCCAGTTTTCCAAATTATATAATTTTGTATGTACATGTGTAGGTAGGGGGGTAAGGGTGTTGATCGGTTATTTCTTTAAAACCATAGTTTTAAAAAAGTGTAATAGCTCTTCTTCTTTGGGTGCATCAATTAATTCAAAATCCAAATCATCACTAAAGGGACTTATACATATGGGACATGATTTTTGTTTGGTTCTCCTATATATATATAATAAAGACAATGTTAGTCCACTTTTGAATTAACTTGAACTTGATTTGATATGATACAATACCATTGATTAATACATTGATTACAAAACTTGTGCATACAAGGAGCAACACAAGTTGCTTCATTCTCTAGACATACAGGACATTCGTGATCATATTCATCTTCGTCATAGTCTATATCACCTCCTTTTGTTTTAGTTTCAAATACTGTTGGTTGTCCACTATTACTCGTCTCTAAAAACTCTACAACTTGTCCTCTGAAATGATAGTATTGATTATACTTTAATACACTCAATGGTGTTGTATCTGTATTCTTGCCACTATTACCAGTACTACTCGTACTCGTACTACTATTACTACTACTACTATTTATAAACATGACTTGTATCTTTACAAACAACTTCCATAGTTGTACATCTTTTAAAAGGTCTACTCCACCCGATGTAGAATCTAACTTTAATTGTATGATATATCCCGATTTATCTTTAATTGTCTTTAATCTAGATCAATAAATATAAATACAATAATTAATACCCTCTATTCTTTATTCTCTATTTTGACATGTGTCTTGTCTATATCTGTCTCTTTCGTTTTCTCTCTTTTCTCTTACAATTCATTTGAATGTTGAATATCACTTTGTAATTCATTTATATTCTTTGCTTTACTCTTATTCGCCCCCATCTTTTACTATTAATACTACTACTACTGTTATCTATTACTATATTAGTATAACTATAATTAGATAATTATATATTAAGAAAGACGAAAAGGAAATGAGTGTTTGATTTTCAAAAGAGTAGTTTTTTTAAAAAATATTAATTTATTTTTTTGTCAAGTTTGAAATGTTATAATATATATTATTATTATAATTTAATCTTTGTATTTATATTTGTATAGTTAGTGTTATTATTAATATTATTAATATTATTAATATTAATTTGGAATGTTTTTGATTTAAATATTTAATTTTGATAAAGTATTTAATAAATGAACAACATCTAGTGGACTATCAATGAGGGATTTGGCATAGGTATTTAATTGATCTTTTCCACCTTCGGCCAATACCTTGACGGTAAAACATTTCAATCCAACTCCTTTTAGTTTTTGTTCATTCTCGAGGATTCTTTGTTGCATAATCTTGTCATTTTGACCATTCTCTTCTTGCTCAATGACGCCAGCACTAATTGATATGGATTGCAGTTGTTTAAACATATCTTCGTCGGTCTTGTCATCACCACAGCAAAAGATAAATTCATTTGATTTGTCGGATGGTGGGAGTTTGGAGAGAATGGTTTTGATGATGCCACCCTTGTTGATACCCTTTGGTTTGACTTCGATTGCTTTCTTTCCGAGGAGGACGTCGAGCGGGTACTTGTTGGCGACCGAGTGGAGCTGGGCCATGAGCTCGCTAGCTTGGTACTCGGAAAAGTCTGGGTCGGCGCCACGGTAGTGCCAGGTGAGGTTGATCTCCTTGTACTCAACAAAGGAGCCGGGTGTGCGGTCTTCGAAATCCTGCATGATGGCAGTGACCGTGTCCTTCCACGAGAGGTCGAGGTTGGCGTTTTCATCCCACTTTTGGTTGACACCCGGTGGTCTAAAGAGACCGCCGTGCTCGCACGACAGCCCGATTGGCAGATGACCGAGCCATCCCTCCAACGAAGATCGGTCACGTCCGCTGATGACATACACCTGGTTGCGCGGATCCTTGGTGAGACGCTCGAGCGTGTCGAGCAGCTCTTTGGTGGGTGCAGCCATTTTGGGGTGTTTGACAAGGGGTGTGAGCGTGCCGTCATAGTCGAGGAAAAAGTGGCGCATGTTGGCTGCCACATAACACTTTTTGATCATATCTGGGTTGATCTGTGGTACCATCGTTGTGGTCGGGTCGTCCTTGACCGTCTCGTATAGATCACATAGATAACGTTTGGCCCAAAAGTGGGATGTGTTGGCCATCACATAGTTGTAGTTGATCGAGTGCTTAAGCCTTCTCTCTTCCATTGGCATGTTGAGTGCCTCAATCACCGACATTGTAATCTCCTTTTCAGAAAATGGATTGACAATGATAGCTCCACCCAGACATCTAGCAGCACCCGTAAACTCGGACAATACCAACACGCCAAAACTATCCTTTTGACACACCACATACTCGTGTGATGTCAAATTCATTCCATCACGAAGTGGTGTAATCAATGCCATATCTGCCAATCTATACAATGCCGTCAACTCCTCAATCCCTACCTTTCTATTGATATATTCTATTGGATTATAATTTAATGTTCCATATTTACCATTTATTCTACCAACCATTCTAATAAATAAAAATTAAAATTAAAAGTTAATTAAATATATTTGAATACAAATTCAATTCTATTATATTCTATCTTACTCGTTTACAGATTTATGGAAAGTTTTTTGTTCAGATGATTCACTATATTGTTCCATGACTGGTTCATAGATTTGAATGAGTACCAACTTTTCTCTCCATTCTGGATAGTTTTCTAGTAGATTCTCGAGTACTTGAAGCTTTCTTGGGACACCTTCGATAGAATCCAATTTGTCACGAGCAAAAATAACCTTTTTGTCTTTGAATATCTCTCTCAACTTTTGAATACGTTCGAGGACACTTGGTGTCTCGAGGTAGCTTGCATAGTCTGAGAAATCAACGCCGATAGGATACACTTGTAACTTTACAAAATGTGGTGATACATTCTCACCAATCACCTCTATACCTTTTGGATCGACTTGTAAATCCAATAATCTTGCACATGAACTTTTAAAATGTCTCAAATATTCAAATGATTGAAATCCAATTAAATTTGATCCTAATATACCTTGTAATAATTCAGTTCTCTAAAAAATATAAATATAAATAATTAATATTAAAATTAAGATATATATTTCAATTATTTTCTATATTTCTTTACATTTGGTAAAATTCTAAATAATTCATAACTTGGAAATGGAGCATGAAAGAAGAAACCAATTGAAACTTTGTTACCGAGTGCCTTTTTAACCATTGCTGGTAACAACATTAAATGATAATCGTGTACCCAAATGACATCACCTGGACGATACAACTCTACAATCTTGTCACAAAACAATTGGTTTACTTGTACGTAGGAATCCCACCATTGTGTCTCTAAACGAACAAAATTCAATTGGTAATGAATCAATGGCCACAGTCCAATCTTGCAATACCCCTTGTAATAATTGTCAACATTGGTCTCATCCAAAAAGATTGGGAACAAGTTGGATCCTGCCTTTTTAATTTCACTTTCAACCTGATCTACATTATCTTCTGTCACTTCACAATGTGGCCATCCAATCCATAAATAATCTTTAATCTCTAAAATGAAAAAAAAATATAAATGTATTAATATAAATAAATAAATAAATAAATAAATACTTTTCCAAATTATTTACCATTATCAACTAAACTTTCCAAAGCAGATTCAATGGGAGAAGTTTCATGTGTTACTTTAACTTGATAATTTGGAAATTGATCATTTGGAGGAGAGTTTGGAAGTGAAAATGAAGTTGGAACGGTACCATCACCTCCTCCTCCTCCTCCTTGAGGAGTATTATTGCCACGAACTATACCACCACTTCCACGAAAACAACCACTGTTTCTAAGAGGATTGAATGCACCGTAGCCACTTGATCTAATGGTATCTCTCTTTTCACCTGGTATGCCTCCTGGTGAATCACCAAGATGACTGGTACTGACCAACACTGGTAAAGCATTGGATGCAACCAATATACGTTTGAATATTCTCTCGCCCTTGTCATTGACCAAATTAGTTTTCTTTGCATTGGACAATAAATAATCTGATGAATAATTATGTGTATCTCCATTGACAATTCCAGTACAACTATTACTACGACTATGTCCATATCCTGTACTATTACTACTATTATTACTACTACTACTATTCATTGTTGTTGTTGTTGTATTATTATTCATCATTCTTTAAAATTAAATAAAAAAAATAACTAAATAACGTTATTTATAATGTTATTTGTATAAATGATATATTTATATATATATGTATGTATGATTATTATTATTATATTTAATTAATGTAATGTTATGAATGAATGTTTGAATGAAATAAAATATATATTTATAATAGATTTTTAATATTATATTATATTAATATATTTATAAATATTGGTGGAGGTGATTCGATGATTTGATGATTTTTTTTATAAATAAATGTATACTATAGTATTATATTATATTTTGTTTGAAAAATAAAACAAATACACCTACCCTACCTGCTCGTACTATTGCAGTAATCTACCACCAACTTTAATTAAATTAATGATTTTCATATTATCATTATTATCAGTATGCTTTGATGCGACATCGACATCAACAACACACACCCCCACCTCGTTGCATCCCCTGCTTTTATCATTATTGCACAAATGCGGATGAAGGTTGCTTTTCTACTTTTTTTTTTTTATTACTATAATCATCGAACATCAAACCTAATGATTTAAATTCTTGATATCATCTGCTCAACAAATAAATACTAACTACTTTTGTTTTTTATCCAAGACACTATAACTAAACTAAGATGCATTTTATGATCACATTAAATCTAATAAAATAAAATGAAGTTCATATATCTATTGATTTAAAAAAATTAGAAGCTAGCTATATGATCAAGTACTAATACACGAGGTGGAGATAAGATACTGACTCAAGATCTTCGCGGTTGATTATTAATAATGCCGGGCAAACAATTTTGGCTCACTCTCACTTTTTTAAAAATATTTTTTTTGAGTGTATTTTTTTTTCACTCTTTTCGCAGCTTGACTTTGTATTGAAAATTCGACATTTTTTTTTATTTAAAGTCACGACAGTACAGGTAGGCAAGCACATACATCTTTTTTTATCACAATTTTACATACAACACAGTTAGCAATGAGCGAGAGAGCAGAGAGAAGAGGAGTAGAGGAAAGCGAGTTAAAATGGAGAGAGAGAGATAATTCTAAAGTGACAGACAGTCTATATCTATCTCTTTTTTTTCGAGGAGGACAGAAATAGATAGATTTTTCTCCATTTGCACATTTACACCCATAATACTCATTCTTTTTTGTTTCTCATTGAGAAACTCACACACTCACACACTGGGTACCACACACAACAGAACAACTACTCGATCTTTGTAATATATTATATTTTTTTTGTTTTCTTTTTTTTTATTACTACTTTTGTAAACACAAATTATATTATATTTATATAAAGATAATTATAGTTTAGTTTATATTAGTTGCAACCAACCATACACCAGCCCAATCAAATCATCTTCATCTTCAAGATAATATTATATTTTATTTAAATACTCACACTCTTTTAAAACTTACTTTTACATAAATACTTTAAAGTTATTAAAATGAGCGACACCGAAAACGACGATATCCCACAAGAAGATTACACCAACGCTGGTTCTGGTGCTTCATTGACTTACCCAGTTCAATGCTCTTCATTGAGAAAGAACGGTCACGTCGTCATTAACAACAGACCATGCAAGGTTGTTGAAATGTCTACCTCCAAGACTGGTAAGCACGGTCACGCCAAGGTCAACATCACCGGTATCGATATCTTCTCTGGAAAGAAGTACGAAGAAATTTGTCCATCCACCCACAACATTGATGTTCCAAACGTCTCACGTAACGAATACTCTGTCATCTACATCACCGACGATAGCTACCTCTCACTCCTCAAGGAAGACGGTACCACCAAGGACGATCTCAAGGTCCCAGAAGGTGAAATCGGTGAAAACATCACCGCCGCCATCGATGCCGGTAAGGACGTCCTCGTCACCGTCATCTCTGCCCTCGGTGAAGAAGGTGTTGTCTCATACAAGGAAAAGAGTGAAAAATAAACACTTCTTTGTCAACAATAAATCATCATACCATTTTATAAACACAATTAACACACATAAACAATATGTACTATAGTTTTTGTTTTTCATAACCTTTTAATTAAAATCATTTATTAATAAACCTTTGTTTAATTGAGTTGCTTTAGTTGTAAACCAATGAGCTGTTGCAATGTCCATGATAGCAGTACCTGCTGATTTGTAGAGGGTAATGTCTGATGGTGATGTACGAGCTTTGATCTTGCCTGTGAGTACGTCTCCCAGAGGTCCGAGGATATGTGATTCTTTGATGACACCTTGTTCAAGCGGAGCAGCCAGGTCACCACTGACAATACATGAACTCAACTCGTCGACGATGACGCGACTGTTGACAACGGCGTCATTGTCGACTTCTCGGTCTTTGGGAGAGGCCGTACCAACACATATAATGTGGGTACCGGGCTTGACAACCTTTCCATTGAATAGTGGTGTGGATGAACTGGTTGCAGTCACAATAATATCAGCCTTGGCTGCCAATTCATCACCCTTGCCTTCAACCAATCGGATCTTTTCAGTTGACACATGATATGTAGTTTTTAAACGTTCCAAAAGGTTGTTTCCACTTTCCATTCTACGACACCCAATGATCACCTCTTCAAGGTTGGGAAATTCCGTCATCAATGCGAGTATGTGTGATTCTGCTTGAAGACCAGACCCAAAGACCACCATGATCTTTGCATCCTTTTTAGCCATGATCCTTGCCGATACAGCAGACCCTGCAGCCGTTCTAAACCCAGTAATGTAGGTACCAGCCAACAAAGCCTTGGGCATGCCAGTGTGCGTATCGGCCAAATAGATCGATGCGGGTACCACGGGAAGATTCTTCTTTGCATTGTCGGGATACACCGACACTACCTTGCAACCCAATCCCACACCCTCTACAAACGATGGTTTGAAGTAGGTGCCTCCCGTGATCTTATCGGCTCCCTGGGCCTCTAGATTGATCAGAATTCTATGTGGTGTAATAGTTTGATTGTTTGATTGTCTTTCAAATACATCATACACTACATCTATGATCTCTTTCCAATCACATAATTCTAATATATCTTTTTCTTTTAATATTAACATTATTTGTTCAAAAGTAATTTAAAAGAAACACAATCATCATTGCATTCTTAAAAACTTTTAATGTGCGATCCTTCTGCAAAAAGAGATATTAAAAATTTAATTTACAATTGGTTCGAGAGAGTTGTTTGGTCAATTTACACAAAGATAATAATCGGATTTGATTTGATTTATTTTAATTTTGAAGAACATAAAGGACATCCTTGTTCTTCGATACAAGTTTGATGGTACGAATGACCACAATAGGGGAAAATAATGACAGATGGAGGTGTGACACCAAGAAAAGAGGACTCTGGATTTTCAATCAATGGCAATGTACATATGGGACAGGATCCATTTTGAAGTTCGGTTTCGGTACCCCAATGGAAACTAGAATCCTCAAAGAATTGAGGTGTAATGCCCAAGTCTATACTATTGTTGTTTTGTAGTGTCAAAATTGATGATTTTTGTTGTTGTTGTTGTTGATGGTGATGATGATTATAATATTTCAAATCTTGATCTACTAGAGACCAAATTTGAGGAGAAAGATTCATTGGTTTCTTTGTCCAGAGATAGCTATCCAATCTAGATAGAATTTCGTGTGAAATGAGTTTACGATGATACAATGACCACTTTCCATTACGAATCCATTCTGAAAATACATCTGATGGTAAAACACATGTATCAAACAATTGAGAGTCGTTTAACAACTCTATAGCTTGTAATGGTCCAATAGAACGTCCCATCAATCTTGCAATAAATTCTTCCGAAATTTCATATTCCAAAAGAGTATTATTATTATTATTATTAAAAGAATAATCTTCTTCTTCTTCTCTTTCTTTTTCACCTTTTTCACCCTGTCTACCTTGTTTTTTATAAAATTCTCTTTGATTTGTCATTTCAATTAATAAAGTTGACCAATGATATTGATTGATATTATTTTCCATTAATTTGGTTAGCACTTCCTTATTGTCGGTGGAAACTACTAGATGAATCAATTTCTCTACATTGGCATTTGATATTTCTTCATTGTAGGTCAATGACTTTGGTCCATACGATCGGTAGAGATGGTAGTAGATGAGATATAAACCTTCAAAAAAGCCAATCGATCTACATATATCTTCGAGTTTGGTCAAACTACAAACATACTCGTTTGCAATGACTCCATTGATAATATTGATCAATACTTGTGATTGTTTCCATTCAACCAAATGTCCTTTAATCATTGGTCTACTTGTTGGTGGTGAGGGGGATGAAGAGGTTGAAGTTGACAGTCCACCACTGATTTGATAATAGAGTTGATTTAAATTTGGTTGATTTAATTTTGAATTACTTTGGAACCATTGTTCTACGAGATCAGAATTGTAACGACAGTCAAACTTGGTCATTAGGTGATTTAAATAGGTTGCCTTTACCAATAGTCTGGAGGCTGGTTGTTTGTTTACAAAGTGGAATATGTTTCGAGGAAGAATCGATGGGTACTGGTTGGCATAGAATACCGATGCTTCTATGGGTTTGATCTCGAGCAAATGTTCAATGTATCTAAACAAGAGCCCAACGTCGCTGGCATTTCTTTCCAACACGACGAGACAGGTGGGGTCGTTGGTGTCGACCAACTGGTTGAGTGTTTGGATGATACGAGAGCTGTGTCTTGCAAAAGAGTCCATTTCCAATAGTTTGTCGATACATCCGTCCCATGCAAGTTGGTTCAAGTGTTTGTAGAGCTTGTTAATGTCCATGTAGGAAAAGTATCGCTCAATGTAGGCACGTGCCACCGACTCGTTCCAACACTTGCAAAGCTTGCCGGTTGATTCGTGGAGACTTGCAATATTGAATCCCAACAAGAAACAACTGGTAATAATCTCATTGATCATGTCATTGGCCGGTATAATATCGACCTTGTGTAGAGATTGTACCCAGATTTGAAGCATTGGTAAAAAGGCTTGATCGTTTCTCTTTACCTTGAATATAACCAATGAGTCAAATGTAACCTTTGTCAATTTCTCCAATACTTCGTATGGTGTTGGTTCGTGTAGAGGTGTCGTTTCAACCAAAGGTGTTGAGGTTGGAGTATTGACTGGTTCAACGACCGTAAGAGTTGGGGTAGTAGATGTTGGTGTTGTTACATTGGTCGTATTATTATTATTATTATTAGAGGTAGTTGTTGGATCTTGATGTTGATGTTGAAGGTTATTTAATAATATCTTGTTTGAAATATTGGTAATTTCAGATTTAATTTCAACTGTTTGTTTTTGAATCGATTTAAATGTATTTCCTGCCAATTGTGTAATTGATGTTGTATTAATTCCTTTAAATAATCCACTTGCTTTTGATGATATGGTTGGAACTTGTTCTTCTTTTTCCTTTTCTTTTTCTTTTTCTTTTTCCTTTTCTTTTTCAGGTTCCAAATCTTTACGAGGTGAGGAATTGGCACTAGTTGTAGTACTTGTAGTAGTAGAAGAAATAGTTGGAGTACTTGTAGTTGCGGTAGTATTTGGATTTGTTAAATTTGATTGACTTGAGGATAGGGGAGATGAGGTGGTTGATGATGGTTGACTATCAGATGAGGGGGGTAGTTGACCTGTTGATTTCTCCTTTTTAACAACAATTTTCTTTTTAACTACTGTTACTTTTCTCTTGGTTGTTGCAGAGGCAGAGGAAGATGAAGATGAACTATCATCGGCGGCGGCAATAGGTGGTTTAGTATCACTAGTTACTGTGGATTCCCCATTGACCGCACTTGATGGTGCAACACTTGGTGATGAATTAGTACTTGTTGCCGCCTTTTTCTTTTTAACAATTGTTTTTCTTGTTGTTGGTGCCGATGTTGTAGAAACCAATGGATCATTTGTAATTTGAATTTCAGAGAATAAATTCTCTTTTGAAATTCTTCTATTATGTGATACATCTTGTGGTTGAACAGTTGGTTGTATTACTGGTGGTTGAACTGTAACTGGTGTTGGAGTTGGAGTTGGAGTTGGAATTGATTGAACTATTGTCGATGGAGGAGGAGGAGGAATTGATCCATTACTTTCACCCAAAGCAGATTTTGTATCTTCATTTATCTCCTTTTCTCTATCAATTGTATCATCTGTATTTGTAAATGAATTTGTACTATTTGTTAATGTATTATCTTGACTTTCATTATTATTATCTTCTGTTCCTAAAATAAATAAAAAATATTAATATTTTAATCAAATATCACTTTATCCAAACCCTACATACCATTTGACGATTCTTGTTTACTACTAGTAGTATCATTTGATTCAGTGATCTCTTTTTTAACTATTTCCTCTTCTTGTGTTGGTGGTAGTACAACTGCTGCTACTACTGTTGGAGTTGGTACGACCGATTCTTCTTCTACTACTGGTACTGCAGTTGTCGTTGTTGTTGTTGTTGTTGTTATTGATTCTACTACTATATGATTATTATTTTCGCTATCTTCAACAATAATTGAAGGTTGAGATAAAATTGGTAAATCAAAACCATGATGAGGAATGGTATGATAAATTCTAGAAAGGATTCTATTTTGTCCATGAAGTACATAGATAGAGTCATCGACGATACATAAGTCTTGAACAAATTGTTGATCCAATCTCCATTCCAATACTTCAACCTCTTCGACATCGATGAGGAGGACAGACTTTTCGTCCCAAGAGATAATGTTTGATCCGTAGGGGAGCAGCTTGGCAAAGATCATTGAACCACCGCCCGTGACTGGAGCATGTGATGGATCCATTGTAAAGGGTGTGACGACCTTACCATCTTCTGGTTTAAAGTTCATAGTGTTGAGTACCTTGCCCTCGACAAAGTCGGCGAGCCATATACGCTTGCCGGGACGACTGGCATAGATGGACATATCGAGACGTGGGTGAAAGCAGGCACCCTGCTTGGTGTTTTCACGCTGCTTCTTGCCAATTGAGATGTTGGACAGCAGACGTCCGCTGACGGTTGGTGCAATCGCATAGTTGATGATCGACGACTTGGTGAGTGTGCTTGCGAGCAGTGTGATGTGCGCCGTGTTGGGTGGATGCTGTGGGTTGGGTGGTGTGGCGATCACATGTAGCTGCACGATACGACTGTCACACTTGGTCAGCAGCTCCGACTCGGACGAGAAGAATGCGAGTGAGCGGCGTGCCTTGGCAACCGACGTGCAGTAGATGTTGCCCAAATCATCACCGCTAAACAGGTACTGGCCACAGACGCTCCACTCGACCGTCGTTAGATCCGTGTCACGTGGATGGTCAGTCATCTTGACGAGGATCTTTTCCTTTTCCTTGCGTACCATCAGGTTGGGTTCGACAATGTAGACGATCTTGTTGGTTGCGACTGCGATCAGGTTCTCGTTGGTTGGACTGATACGCACCGCCAGAATCGAGTCTCTAATGTCGTTGAACGACAGGATCTGTGCAAACACTAGTGTGTCATTGCTCAGTGCAAACGGCTGCTGCACCGGACCCATCGGCACGACCTGCTGGTTGTCAATCTGCTGATTGTGCTGCGTCGGCAGCTGCTTTCTCTCGAAAAAGTACAGACTGCCCGTGTTGGCACCCAGCACCAAGTACCGCGCCGACACATCAAAGCAAGTATACTTTACACGTCCACTACTCCCAATAGGTGATAATACACCATCAATACTTTCTATTGATAGTATCATTTCCTCTGTTACAACAACAACAATATACTAGTATCTCTACTAGCTAGTATCTGTGTATGTGTCTCTTTGTTTTGTTTAAAATATAAATAAAAAGTATGAAATATATAATGTAATGACCTTTTTGCAAAGATGCCTGAAAAGTAATTTGAAATATTCAAAGTCTACTAAAACAAAGACAAAGATTTTTTTTTTTGTTCACCAACTTGATTAATCACTTTTGCTTCATATTTGTATTTGTATTTGTATAATATTATAGTTTATTTATATTAATATATATATATTATTTATTAGTCGTAGTGTGTTTCATTATTATATCCATATTCTTGGATTGTGGTAGATAGATAGATAGGTAGGTAGGTAGGTTCATTTAATTTAATTTAATTTAATTTAATCTTTTTTAATGTTATTTGTAGTTTTATCCTTCTTGGCACTATAACTCTTAAAGTAGAATTGTAAAAAGAGACCGAGGAAACTAAGGATGACAAAGTCGGAAAAGGCAGTACCTCTCAACGACCCATTACATCCACCATTGGATTGGGCATGATAATATCTCCACAAAGAATGGAATGTTAAATCATATACAAATTGTACAATTTGAATACGTGTAATATATTTCTAAAAAAAAAGGAAAAATATTAATATTTTAATATTTAATATTTAATAAGTATTCTGGTTGTATTTACCTTCCACCATGGAGATTGACCCATTTCAGTTTTATAGTAATAATAGTACATTACGATATGAACGAAACAATTGATGGAAATGTCTGCCCATTGGACTGAAGTGTTTTCGCGAAGGTTGGCCCAACACAACCAATAAGTGATAAAGTGATGATAGACATGTAAAAAGATAAGTTTCTTCTTTCTTAGGACGAGGAAGACAGTGTCAAGGAATTCGTATACCTTGGAGAGATAGAATATATAGTACCAAAATTCGGTTCTACCAGCTGTCGTTGGTTTGCAGACCAAGTGTTCCAAACCCTGTGTAGCCTCGTTGGTCAAGAGCGGTATCATCATCCCGAGCAACATGACCAATGACAAGCCGCTGAGGAAAAGGTTGTGTACCACGCAAATACCATGCAACTTTATCTCCTTTCTATTTTTCATGAATTCCTGTAATCCAAATATGACCACCAAGTAAGCAATCGACGCAAACAATGGTGCCCAAACTGTAGAGAATGGCGTCACATCATTCTCCCATTTAAAATTATTAACTGTATTGATTGGATCTGAAATTAATTCTACTATTAAATGTGTTGCCATGATTCTTTTTTAATATATTCTTCCAATCATAAACATATATATATTGATAATTATATAATGATATGTATCTCTGCTGGCTATAAATAAATAAATAAATATATTGACTATTTAATATAAATAAATAAATTAAACCTAAAAATAAACAAAACAGACAGAATTAGTTTAATTTTATGCATTTATCATATGATGTTATAATGATGATTAAAAGAGAGAGAGAGAGAAGAGATAAAGATTGTGTAGCATTCAAATAGATAGATATAAAGTAAAGAGTTTCACATGAAACACATACAATCATATGTTAATGATAAATGTGATTAAATATTATTACATAACAATAACGATAATAATAACAATTGGATTGAAAAAAAATAGTTATGTAGATATAGATAATCTAATCTTTCGTTTTTTTTCTCAAATTATATTATATTTTTTGTTTGTTGTCTATCACCCTCCAATTTCATACCCCCCATTATACAATTGTGTTTTTATCCTGGTAACTTTTCATTGATAATTACCTTTTTCTCTCTGAACACTACTCTTTTAACACTTTCTATCTCTATCTCTACAAAAAAAAAAAAAAACTATAAGTAAGAAAAGAAAGGGTTCTTGTTCTATTCTAAAGAATGTATTTGACCGTTAGAGTGCTCTCTAGAGAACAGCTGACCCCGCGCTAAGAAGAAAGGTCAGTTCTACTCTTTCTTGCTTCAAAACGTTGAACCCCACTGACTTTGTCGTTTTTTTCAATTTTTTTGAGGTGATCCCTCGTCTGAACAACGACCTTGCCTTGCAATATCTCATTCCTAAAAAGGAAGTGCATGGGTAGATAGGTAGGTGAGGCCGACAATAATAAATAGTAATGTAATACTTTATAGTTTGATTGAATGATGACTATACTATACTTACACTAACGATAATCTTGTGAGGGTTGGCAGGTTGTGATGACGATGACTATGATGAAAACAATTCTATTCTTATGAGGATCTTTTTTTTGAACAACAAAAGAAGATATTATATTTTAAAATTTTATTCTGTCGTTTCGTAAATTTAATTCTTTTTAATGATAATTATGACGTGATTTCGGGAAATAGAAGGAAGGTCAAACCATCGTACGAGCTGTTGGAACTTTCGACTCTCTCTCCAAATCTTTATTGGGGGGGTGGGAACTTCATCAACTTCATCTAATCGAAAGATTGATTGATTAATTGATTTCTAATTATAAATATATTTACATTATTATTATTATTCGTTAGTTGTTGTCGTGCTTGTAGTGGTCGCGGTCGTAGTTGTAGTAGGCGAAGGAATAGGTGAAGGTTTATAATTCTTTCTAATGAAATCACGAGATAATAGATCAGCTTGTCTTACAGGTTCAGGGATACGGTTGGATGTAGTACAAGCTTGAACAACTTGAAGTGATGAGGCAAGAGAGAGACGGTGACCTACTGATACAAAGATTGGGTTTTTAGAGTTGATGTGACTGAGTACTGCTGATCCCCACACAGTACCACTGTCACCGGTAAGGTCGTAATGGTCGCCTGCTTGTTTACACTGTTGAGAAAAGGCAGTTTTGACAGCCTTAGTGTCTAGACCATCGACGTGAAAGAATGTCTTTCCAATACCAATAGTTGGCAGGTCGCAGAGCACACCCAAATGACACGCCAAACCAAATGCACGTGGATGCAAGAATCCATTACCGTCGACCAACAGTACTTGTGGATAGAATCGTGGGTGTTGTGTCTTGACACGATCGATCAACCTAGTGAGTGAAGGACACTCTCTAAATGCGAGAAATCCAGGTATATAAGGTAGATCCAACTTTACAAACTCCATCTCTTTATGTACCACTTTAAGTGATGGATACTCTAATATAATCAATGATGCACATGCATCTTCATCATTATCTTTTACAAAACTTATATCAACTCCTCCAACATATTTTAATGTCGTACTTGTAGTAGTACTAGTACTAGTACTATTACTATTGTTATTATTGTTTGGTATGACCCAATCTATTTGATCATGTGTAATATGTTTTGTTTTCAATTCATTTTGTATACTATATATCATCAATCAAATCATATAAATATAAACATGTTTACTCTTTGTTCAATCAAGACAACATACACTATCCATTGACTTTCAATTTCTTTATATTCTTCACTATTCTTTTGATTGTAAACTTCTTGAGGTTGATGGACTTCTTCATCTTGATTATCCATTCTTACTTTAATTATTAATAAAAATTTATATTAAATGAAATGACTTTTGTCCGAGCAAGCTGAATAAGTCTTTTAGTTGTTTTTTGTACTTTCTCAATTTCATATACAGTTATAATACATTATTATTAGTTAAATTTTTGTCTTCTTTGCTATCTTTTTTTAGATAATCTAAAAAACTTCTTCTTCTCAATACAGACACTCCCCTCAAGTTCGTGAATACATCTATCTCTTTCTTACCATTATTTTTTTCATGTCTGTAGATGTATTGGTTCCTTCAAAAACAAGATCATTCAGCTAGTAGTTTCCATTTCGCAAGTCACACAAAAGGGGAAGCTTCTTTGAAATTCATCTCTTGTTTGGGTTATGATAAGATAAGATAAGAATCTCAAAGGAACTTCCCCTGCAACTTAAAGTTGTGGTTGTTGTATCCATGCTGCCAATTCCAATTCATCAATTGAAGACTTCTCTGGTTCAATAAATAAAATAAATATAATAATATATTATATTTTTATTTTAAAATTGATCTTTTTTCCTTTGCATTTCTACCGCTTCGAATAATGCTTTAATATTTCCTTTACCAAATCCAATGGCTCCACATCTCTGTACCAATTCAAAAAATAATGTTGGACTATCACCAATAGGCTTTGTAAAAATCTAAGAAAAAACAAACAAATATTAATTAATACAATAAATATTAATTATTAATACTTGATTATTATTATTACTTACTTGTAAAATGAATTTATCTATAGATTCAATAGAGTAGTCAGAATCTATGAGTATTCTAAAAGTTTTGAGATTATCAATTTCACATTGACTTAGTGTCGATAGGATGAAATCCAATTCTTTTCTATTTTTTAAATTGTCGTAATACGTGTCTGGCGCTTCAATAAATTCCATCTGTCCATATTTCGATCTGGCATAATTAACAGCCTTGTAAATATCACTTGTATTAAATGCTAAATGTTGTATCCCAGATCCACCATTAAAATCTAAATACTAAAAATATGATATTAGTATCTTTAACAAAAAAAGAATATCATTTCCATGTTTTGTTTTGTTTTGTTTTCTATTTTAACATACTTGTTCAACTTGACCTTTACCATTTTCAAAACCTTCAGACATTACCCACATGATGGTAGGAAGATGAGATTTTGAATGAGCAGGTTGATTGGATAGGACGACCATTTTTAATCCAATGTCCTCGTCGACCTTTATGTTGAAAAAATTAAGTTCCTCTTTTTTCTCTACAATCACAGGGATCTCTTCTCGAGCTCCCTCTTGCACCGAGAGTAGGTTGAATTTTAAACAATCTTGATACCATTTTACATATTCATCCATTGTACCATGAACTATACATGTTGCAATATGATCTATTGAATGTATATATTGACCGGCTGGATTTAATTCCAAATCATTAAAATCCTCTTTAAATAATTCTTTGGTAATTGGTCGGAATTGTGGATAATAATATTTTAAAATTGATTCATATGTTGATAGTTGTACAATATTATTATTATTTTTGTTATTATTATTATTATTATTATTATTATTTACAAGTGATCTAGAAACAAAGGAATGAGTAATATCTTTGAATGGAGATTGAATGGTTGAAGTGGTTGTTTTAATTTCCTTTCCAAAAGTAGTATTACTCGAGGATGGGGATTGGATAGAAATGGCTCCATGAGAGACTGCATTATCATGTACAGCTTTGACATTGTGACAATTAAAAGTGACACTTTTGACAAAGTCACCACTATGTGATTGTAACATTGAATAGAAAGATTGGTCTGAGCCAGGTCTCACCGATGTTGTTACGAGGATCGATTGGTATGGTAGAGTTGGCAACTCACCTCCCTCAACCGCTGTTTTTCCATTTGATTGTTGTTGTTCTGCCAATGCCTCTAATGTTCTCTTGTTGACTGCAACATATTGTGTTCGTGTTGACGACGGTGATTGAAAAATGCCAATGACCTTGTACTGAAGTGGTTGTAGATAACATTTTACAAATGATTTTGCATTGCCAACCCAGAATTCTACCGATTCGACACTGTTGATTGAACAGTGCAAAGAAGGTTGATCATCATTTATAGATATCATTATATGTGAAAAGAGTTTTGATTGATTGAATGATTGAATGAATGAATAAAAGAATGAATATGATTGGTGATCACTTTTTTTTCTTTTTTGTAAGTAAAAGTACGACTAGAAGTATATTTATACTCTTCTATTGGAAGGATGAAAGAGAGAGTGAGTGCGTTGCGTTATTGGGTTGTTGTTGTTATTGTTGTTATTGTTATATTATATCAAAACCTGAACACGTGTTGCAGATGCTTTGTCCCAAACAGAACTAAATGTTTTAAAATTTTATTGTTTTCGGCACACCCCCAATTGCCCACGTAATTGGTTGCAGCAACCGACTGATTTGCATTGGGATCTTGTGATTCCAACAACAAACAATAAACAACTGGGTTTTGGGAAACTCGTCCTAGCAACAACTGTGTCGCCAACCGTCTCTAACTGGTAGTTTACACATCTCTTGTTGATACCATGTGTATGTTGTGATATCACACACACACATTTACATATATTTGTATGTATAAGAAATATATATCTTTGAATGTCTGTCTGTCTGTCTGTCTGTCTCCCACGATGGGAACATGGATCCATTTTCGTGTGTAGTGTTAGTGGTGGGTAAATATTTAGATCTCTCTGTGAATCTGTGTTTTTCTTTTTTTGTTTTATTTGTTTGAAAAAATATCTTTAAACTCTGTATACATATATACATGCACGACGACTCCTTAATTTGTTTATTATTCAGACTATTGTTGGTCGGTTCGAGGGTTAATGAAAAAAAAGTGGTGGTTGTCAATATATATATATATCTCTCTCTCTCTATCTTTCTACTTGTTTCTATCTATTTACTAAATATTGTTTGTTTTGTTTTGTTTTGTTTTGGGGTAAATATATTTATTTGGTTAAATATGGGAATACCAATTTGCCAAACCCAAAGCAGCCTCTATGGCAATTAATGCTATAATAATTCTTTCTAATCTGATGGAGTGACTATGCTTCATCTCGTCATTGATAACGTCATAGATGCCACTAATTAGGTTGAGACGTTCATTCATGATTCTAACTCGTTTGTCAATCTCGCAATGTCCTCTTGCTATTTTATATATTCCTTCTCCTTCTGTATGTTCCCAAAAATGTTCTAAATAATAAATAAATAAATAAATTCTTTTTCTTGCTCCATTTTTGATTTCTTTTTCCATTTCTTTTTGATTTCTTTTTTCTTACCTGGAGTATCAATAATATCAGTATGAAGATTTAAAAAGTTTCTAATCTTCATTTGTTCACCTAATTGTTTGACAATATCTCTTTTTGAAAAATGGGCAATGGTACCATGTTTGGCTAGTTCATCTGGTATATTTTCAACCTTTTGAGCAAGTTTGTAGACGTGAGCTTCGATGAGGTTGAGTCGAACGGATTGAGCCAATGCATAAGAGGTGGCAAACATCTCGTTGAAACGTTCAGTGTGTGACGATGACAGTGTAATGAGTTCTTTGTATCTAGATTCAATGTCAAACTTTGTGTTTCCTCCCAAATGACCTTCGACATAGGAAAAGGTGTCGTGTTCGGGTGAGTAGGGATCGACACTATACTGTTTGAGCCATGTAAACAGAGTGTCCTTGGCGTCGGTTGGAATACCCCACAATACAACACAACCAAACGATGGAAAGATATAGACGTCACCACCAACCTTTCCATTTGTATTCTTTGCATATCTTAACCACATGACATTGCTCACTGGGAAAACCTTGTCAAGTGAAAAGTCTTGTGGAAGATCAGAAACGTTTCGCTGTATAGATTTACTAATACAGTAAGCCGAACATTGTAATACTTGTTGTTTCGTTTCATCTAAAGTAGAAGAAGAAGAGGCAGACTCTTTTGATTCCCTATTACTCCATGTTGATGATCTTTTATAATTTCTTGTTTGAAATGTATATTCTTCTTTTCTTTTCAATATCAATGATGTTGATGATAATGATGATCTATTGTTTAAACCAGTAGTAGTTGTTGTAGTTGTAAATAGTGATCTTGTGGTGATGGGTGTAAAGGAAGGTGATGATATATTTAGACAAGAAGATAAAACTTTTGAACGTTGATTGATGATTGATCGACCCAACATAATTATCTGTGTCTGTGTGTATATATGTGTGTTTTATATAAATAAAGACAATTGATAAAAAAGATGAATCTTTAAACTTTTTAAATTGTTTGTTTGTCGGACAAAACGCAAAAAATCCCAAGCGACGTCGTAATTACTACTTTTAAGAAAATAATATTAAATAATATTTATTAAATAGGGTTGATTAGAATGATATTATTATTACTAGTTTAAGGGTTGTTAGTTTGATCTAAAGATTGTAATGATTCTTGAAATGGGGCTACGACAGATTGGACAAGTTTTCAATTTCCCTGAACATGATAGACAACAACTTAGATGTCCACACTCCAAAAACACTGTATTGATCACATTGTCCATACACACTACACATATATCCTTTTCTGTTAATCCAGTTGGTGTATTTGATCCTGAAAATGAAGAAGTAGAAGAAGTAGAATTATTATTATTATTATTATTGGTATCAGGTGAAGATGATGATTTTTCTTTTTTCTTTTTCTTTCTTGTTGTTGTTGGTGATATTCCATTATTATTATTATTATTATTATTATTATTATTATTATTATTATTATTACTACTTGATGATGATGATGATGATGGTGATTTACTTAATACAGATTCACTTATAAACATTGCATTTGGTGAGTTACTATTATTTATATTATTATTATTATTATTATTATTATTTGTTTCATTATTGATGTTTGATGGAATTGTGATAATGATTGGAGGAGATTTTGGTAATTGATTATTCGATAATTCATCTTTGACTATTTTTACATTTGCTTCAATGTTTACTAGTTGATCGGATGGAGGGAATAGAGAAGATTCAACGGGTCCAATGGCAAACTTTAGACGAGAGGAAAAGTTTAAAACAAATTCAGTCAGGTTTTTAAATATTTCAGGTGGTTGCAATAGAGACAATCCATTCGACACTGGATACAACAAACAATGTTTAATCTGATTCGAAGACTCTACAAAGGTAACTGCAAATGCTCCTGGATAAGTCTTACTAAACCGTATAATATAATTTCCAAATGATTTCTTTTCTAAAAATCTTGTTGCTTCTACTCCCGATACAAATCCACTCATTATCCTTGGAAAAGAGAAACAAGTAAATAAATTGATTAACTAATTAAATATAAAGATCAAATCAATATTTTAATTTACATACTTTGAATTTATACTATCAATTAGATTCCTAAGAGATGATTGAAATGGACCAAACCATTTTAAAAAAGTGAGTACTTTGTAGGGACTGACGAAACCATCTTGAGTAAAATCGATAATATGACGAAAGTTTTCTTCATAGTCTGATACGACAATGTTGAAATGTGTCTGAATGGTAGCAAAAAAGATTGGCCATGCTACAAGTACCGTATTTTCACCAAACCTTTTAATCCACATTTCTTTTGCATCACTTGGTAATAATGTAGTTGCATTGAATAAATTATTTATCATTGTTGTTGTTGTAGTATTAGTTGATGTATTGGTTGTATTAGTTGTATTAGTTTTGGTAGTTTCAATCATTGGAAATAGAGCCAATAATTGATCAACTGATTGTTTCAATAGTGAATCGTTTTTGAGTACTTTGGTAACAATCAATTTTAATAGATTGGTAGGCATTTGTTTCATTTCATTTAGTAGAGTGTATAGTGTCAATAGTAATGAATAGATTCTAAATACATTCATATTGAAACTAGTATCTCCATGGATTGATACCATCTCTACTGAATCAACTCCACTTTTTCGCACTATTCCATTATTATTGTTGTTGTTGTTGTTGTTGTTATTTGTAGATAATAATTGTTTACCAATATAAAGTTTCAATGATGATTTGATAAAGGTGATGGTATTGTTCAACTCTGAGAATTCACTCTCTGTCAATACTTGATTTTTGTTTGGTTGTTTTAATTCAAATGCCAACTTTGCAACCATCTCTAATTGTACTAAACAATCATCAATCTTGTATGATAAATCTATTGTAGTAGGTGTTGTTGTTGTAGTAGTAGTAGTAGGTTGAATATACCTTATTGATGAAGAGGAAGAAGGAGATGAAGAAAAGGTTGTTGTATTATTAAATGATGGTACAGATAAAAATAATGGTACATTTGATGATTGTGATTGTGATGAAGGTGGTGATGAAGATAAAGGTATAGATGAAGAAGGTCTATTATTACTAGTTGTACTAGTTGTAGTAGTAGTACTAGTTGCAGTAGTAGTAGTCGTACTGGTTGATGACATTTCTTCTTCCATTTAGACTGCGGATTATGATGATGATGATGATGTTGTTGTTGTTGTTATTGATATTATAGTCATGAGTGAGGATGATGTTCTTGTAAATTTAATTGATGTTTGTTAATCTGTTCTATCGTAGTTCTTCAATCGAATGGTCTAAAATTCAAGTCATTCAAATGAAATGACACACTTTGCTTTGTTGTTGGGTTGGAGGATGCAAAGAAAGTGTCAAGCCCTTTTTTGTATTATTTTTAGAACCAACACACACAAAATAGTGAAGAGGGAAGGAAGGAATGGTTTCTTGTTGATGAGAAGAAAAATCGAATCGCAAAGGAAAGAAAATCTTTGAATTGATGTCTAAAACTAAATTTTAAAAAAAATAGTAATAATATAATAATAATAATAACAATAGATAAAAGAGTGTACACTCTTTCCTCTTTGTTTCAAACAACCAACTAACTAAACTAAACTCTTCTCTCTCCTCTTGTATGATTCCAAACTTTTTTTGTATCGGTTCCCCCTTGGCTGGGAGAGGAGGGAGTTGTTCACATCAGAGCTAAAGGGCCCTTTCCCCCTCTCCTCTTTGGTATAATCGTTCTTTTAATATTCATGTTCTTTAAAGATTTGAAACAGAAACAAAAAGAAAAGATCCAAACCAAAAACACAAAACAGTGACCAAAAGCTCTTATTTTTTTTGAATATTCTCTTTTTTTTCTACTTATCATCATGTGACCCCTTTCTTGACGGGTTAACATAATTCTATTTGCAACATCCTTCACTAGTTCTCCTATCTATCTGATAGATAATAGTCTAAAATGAAATGATAAATCATGATAAATCATGATATATGTCAACGACGATGGCAACAACAAACAATCAATAATAACAACACTACAATGAACGAATGATCAATCAAACCCGATAATGCATCACTCAATCAAAATCAAATCGATTATCATATCCCACCAACCAACCAGCCAACCATCAAATTTTCCTCTCTCTCTCTCTACCACTTCGAATCGTACAACTAGTTATTTTTGTTTGATGGTAATAGTACGCACTTACACGCTTGCGCAATAACAATGTGGGAGTGTTTTGGTTCTACTCGTTTACTTTTTTAGTAAACCAACACTACTATTATTTGTATTTTCTTTTCAAAATCATCATTCAGTTCAATCCTCCTCCTCCTCCCTATTGTTACAGAGAGGATACTCTATGTGTATTGGATATATTCTAAAAGAAAAAAAAGTATATTATAATGAATGAATGCGTAAAAACACAATTAACAATTAATTATCATCATTCTTGATTGTTTGTTTGTTTGTTAGTCAGTCAGTGTCTGTCTTTTGTTAATTTGGGATTAGTATATAGTTGAACAATAATATTTCTTTTTTTTTTTCTTTCCAAAACAAATAATAATTATTTTTTTTTTTGTAAAATCTATTATTGTAAAACCTTCCAACCAGACATTAAAGATCTATTTTTCTTTTGAATCTCTATTACTTTTTTTTTTTTTTAAATTACAAAAAAACAATAATAATATTACAATTAAATTAATTAAACAGTACATACAGTAATAATAATAATAATAACAAATCAATTTAATTAGTTATTTATTTATTTATTTATTTATTATTTTCCTTTGTGTGTAAATATTTGTTTTTTATTTATTTTAAAAATACAATGTTGGTTGAATGTAGATTTTGTTTGGAAGAATTGGAAGTTGAAGAAGGGGATCAACAGCAACATCAACAACAACAACAGACATCATTGGACGACGTAGACCAACCATTGGAAAAGGTTTCATCATCATCATCAACACAATGTCAATATATGGAATTTACACCAATTGTAAGGTCGAAAAAGAAAAAGAGGGATATTGGAAATAGATTAGTTCGACCTTGTGCATGCAAGGGGACACAGCAACACGTCCATGTAAAGTGTTTGTGCCAATGGATTGCCAAGTGCAACAAGTGGTATTGCACCATTTGTCAGCGTGTCTATAACTTGTCACCTTCGCAACTCCATTATTGCGTGGTCAAGTTGCAGCGTCGTGGTGTACTCAAAAACCTGCCACCCATTTATTCGCACAATGATTTTTCCAGAAGTAGCTATTTCGTATTGCTTATCATCATGGGTACATTGTCCATGTTGATGTTACCATCAACTCTACCAACTCAGCAGTTGTTACAACCTCAACAACACTATATTTTGCAATCACCTCATCATCATCATCATAAAAGTATAGTTACTACTACTACGACCATGACTACTACCTCTACTACTGCTGGTGAGGTAGGTGGAATAGGAGGAGGAATAGGAGGAGGAGGAGGAGGAATGTCAGTACTCTCAATCAGTACTCAACACCACCATCATCCCCATATACTCTCATTTGACAATCACTCTTATAGTCATCGAAACAGTCTCTTGTCTACCATTTTAAAGGCTCCCAATCATTTAATCCAAGATCTTTTTTCAAGTTTACCATTCAAGATTTTAAATAATAATTTAAAATTAACCTTGGATCATTTTTCAATTGACAATCAAAATAATCAAAATCAAAATCAAAATAATAATAATATAGAACATAATAATATAGTTTATCCATCAACTAGTACAACTACAACTATAACCAATCAATTGGAATATGAAATGAAAACAAATATTCAATGTCAAATTGATAATAATGGAATTGGTGTTTTATCAAAATATCATCCTTTAAATTGTTTTAAAGATAAACATCAAAATAATCAAAATAATCAAAATAATAATAATGGATTATTCAAAGTTGAAAAAGAGAAAAATCAATTTAAATTTAATAATAATCAAAATAATCAAAATAATAATATTCCATATATATTAAATTTGGATCATTATAATATTCCATCAAATATGAACAAATCTAAAAATGGTCTTTCAATGACAACAACAACGACAACAAAGACAACAACAACCCATCATCATCATCATTTATTAGAATCTGTACCCATTTCAACAAATCAATCACCTCTAATTGATTTGTTTTGCAATATTATACAAATATGTTAACAGAGATAGATAGAGAGAGACATAGAGAGAGAATCTAGAAAAAAATTAAAATTACCCAATGAATAAAAATATCATTTCCCATCAATTGTATAAAAATGATCTATAACCCCCAACAATGATGTAATTATTGGAAATCGTATTCGATTTGATTTAAATTGGGCAATAATATTAATATATTTGTTTGTTTTTGGTTTCATTGATTATAGTTCAAAACCAAAATTGATTTATTTATTTATTTTTGGATTGTTTTATCATACTCTTCAACCTCTCCCCACTTCTTTTGGAATAAATCAAACCACACTCGTTTTCCATTGATGGACTGACAACCAGTAGGGAAAAACAAAAATACACTACATACGGATTGTGTGTGTTGAAAATCAATATCCGGTCATTCATTGTTTGTGTGTGTGTGTGTGTGTATGTGTTTACCATTGTGATTTGTCGGACATTGTCTGTCTGTCCCCTTTTATCATTTCATCAGCGAATCTGTACAGATCGAATTGTATTCCTTTAATTGGTTCAAGTTTTTAAAACATGATTTATATAAAAGGATTCATATGAATGTCTTTTAGAAAAAAAAGTATAAATAGATTTGAAAAATCATTAAACTGAAATCAAATCAAATCAAATCTTTTTCTTTAACAATAACAATACAATCTTTTAACAAAAAAAAACAATTAAAACATGTTATATAGTATGTTTTTTAAACCTAATGGTTCTTTAAGACTATTATTAATTAATTATCTTTTTTTTCTTTTTTTTTCTTTTTTTTTTCAATAGAATCCTTGGCATCAATTGGATCACCAAAATCCATGTCTTTTTCCAATTCAAATATGGCTAGCAATGTAGGTGGAGGAGGAGCATCTCAATCATCCAATAAACCTCAATTCTTTTGGCTTTTGGCTGTACCTTTAATTGCTACTCTGGTACGTGGTGGATTGGATATTGGACATGAGGTCTGGAATGAAAATAGAGGTTAAAAACAAACAAAACATTATCTCTCTTTTTCTTCTCTCTCTTTTTTTCTCCTCTCCATTTTCTTAATTAATAAATTTAGTTATTTAAAATTTAATTTAAATCAAATTCATTGGGCTTTTGTTGTGAACAAAATAATCAAAACTTTTTCTTTTTTCATGAATCATTTTTCAAAGATGAGTAAACAACAACCAACCTTTTTATTTAAATGTATCATTCATAATGTACATTTAAGGAATTTAGTATTTAAACATGTAAAGAGTATTCATAGACAACTAAAGATAGATACTGTCAAATCAAATGATTTAACAACATTGTATGATTACATCAAATATGGTCAAACTGATCTATTTATCAAGCAATTTGATCGTCTATATCAATTCATTCAATCTTTGGATCATACTTTTTTAAAATCAAAACAATTTAAAAAGATACCTAATTTACATGTATGTAAAAAGATGACGATAATATAGTTGATAACATATATATATATATATCTAACTTTTATTACTTTCTTTTCTTTTCTTTTCTTTTTCTATGTATTTAGAATGAAAAATATTATTTTAAAAGATTATATTGGGTATTTCATATAGTATTTCAAAAGAGTAATCATGTAGCATTGAAATATATGATTGATAGACTTTGTATTACAAAACAAGATTTTCAATCTTACAAGTTACACTTTGAAACCTATCCATTCAAATGTACACCTGAAATGTATCGCGTCTTGTCTGATGCAAACTTTACACATGTCGTACCTTTACTCTCACATGAAATGATCAATGCATTGATCAAAATTGGTGATTGCGAACAATTGGAATTGTATCTATCAAAATTAAAAGAGGAATCTTTTAAAAAAATAATAATATCACCATCATCAAATCATCGTCCATTTAGATATTCTTTTAGAGATTTGATTAAAAATAATCAAAATCAAGAGATCATATTCATTATGAATAGAATATTTTTAAAATATGGAATCAATGTTTATGGTGAAATATTCATTGCGGCATTGGAAAATAATCATTTTAATATTATAAAATGGATAGTAGATTGTTTGGACAAATCTATATTGATAGAGATTTTCGATGACGATGATGATGTATTTTATGTATTGGAGAGGTATGGTAAAAAGGAAATACTAGAGCTTTTACCATTACCTGAAACGGTACCTTTTACAGCTAGTGGTTGTGAATCTGTAAAACAAGGTAATCTAGATTTCCTATCCTATTATTTAAATTGTAAACATCAAAAAGATCGTTATTTGGTTGGATTGGTAACAATGGCTCTTAAAGAGGGTAAATTGGATTGTTTGGAACTCTTATTGTCACATAGACATATTTCATTTAATCTAATAGAAGTTTCAATTGAAAAGATTCATCAAACCATTTTAACAGTTGAATTGGTAAAGAGATTGGTTGGTTTGGGTATCACGGTTGTTCTAACAAATGATATTCTTTTGGATGCAATTCAAATCGGTCAACTTGAAGAGTTGATTCAAATGGAACAAATTAGTAAATTGCCATTACAGATTTCTCATTTTTCTGGGCTACTAGAAAAAGCAATTCAAAAAAATTCTATATCATCAATCGATATATTACTATATCATCCACGTTTTCAACCTTTTTTAAATGTTCAACCCATCAGTATTGATATTGGATGTATTAATCAACCAAATCATATAAAAACAATTGAATATTTATTCTCAAAATCATTTTCAATTAAATTTCTAATCAATAATTGGGAGAAAATGGATCATGTATTGGTATCAAAGGCAATACGATCAATTTATTCCTCAACTATAGACATTTTACTAAAGACTGAATTATTTGGTATATTTTTATTGGCAAATGATTTGGATTGGTTGGTAGAACAAAATATTCTAGTCACTAGCAATGATGGTCACACAACACCACAATTATCATCATCATTTTTTCAAGATGGATGTAGTATATTGACATTGATTTTTGATCAGGCTTGTGTTGGTGGTCATTATCAAGCATTGGATTTTCTTTTACGTAATTGTTCACTTGCTCAAATAGATAGACACTTGTCACTTGTCAGTTTGGTCAAACTACCAGATGACGATCAATTTGACATTTTTTGGAAAAGAATGGAAAGGTTTACATCAAACTTGACACTTGTCACTCCTATTATACATTCAATCATTCTTTCACCCAACAAGAAGGATTATAAACCTAAAAGAGCAAAATCGATTGTTAATATTTTTGGATCATTCCCAACAAAGTTGGCAACCATTCAAAAAATACATCCTCCACCAATCACTAGTTTTGAAGCTTATGCTTTTCCTCATCTCCCAACACTTTTGGATATTTTTTGTTGTAACCCTACTCTACCAAACGTACAAGGTTATTCAGTACAAGATTCTCTATTAATCATTCAAATGGCTATTAAAATTGGTTGTATCCCTTCTCTTTCTTGTATTGGTATAAATGATGATAAAAGTCATGATTCAATTGTTGATAATAAAAAATGTATTTTAATGTAGAATAAAAATAAAACAACACGAAAATAAAATTATATTTATTGGTGATCAATCTAAAAATCGACAACAACAACAGCCGAATAATAATCACAATCATAATAATAATAATAATTTATTATAATAATAATTTATCATCATCATTGTTTTAATCATTTATCATTTTCTTGATGAGACGAGAAGAATAGATGAATGAAATTTAAATAGGGACAAAAATTTTCTGTCAAACATCCAATGTGCATTGCGTTTATGGTTAAATGGTAAAATATTTCACAAGGAAGTGTCTAATCATTCCTCTCCTATTAAAAAAAATAATAATAATTTCAAAAAAAATATATATACCTGTAAAGTTAAAAAATATTTGCTTTGGACTGGAAATCATAGGCCAATGATAGTTGGTCTAGATTCATTCTAAACAAGATGACTTTATATTATTATATCATGTGGACAAGATAATATTTTTTCAAATGAATTTGGCCCTTTGATTTTTTTCAATTTTTTCGTTTTTTTGGACAAATATCTTGGCCCTAACCGAGTCCCTACTTGAGGACTCTGACCCTTTAATATACTTGTTCAATGAAATTGTCCAATGATAGTTGATATACCAATAAAGTGCTCTATAATTTTTAAAAATATCGGTATAAATACCGCGATTTTTTTCCAATCAAACATCCAATGTGCATTGCGTTCATGGTTAAATGGTATAATATTTCCCTTCCAAGGAAGTGTCCCGGGTTCGATTCCCGGTGAACGCACAGGGTTTTTTTAGGGTTTCCTGTTGCTGCTGGGTGGACGCACAGGGTTTTTTTAGGGTTTCCTGTTGCTGCTGGTGGACGCACAGGGTTTTTTTAGGGTTTCCTGTTGCTGCCGGTGGACGCACAGGGTTTTTTTAGGGTTTCCTGTTGCTGCCGGTGAACGCACAGGGTTTTTTTAGGGTTTCCTGTTGCTCCCGGTTGCATTGTTTGTTGGTGGCCACCGGTGAACGCACAGGGTTTTTTTAGGGTTTCCTGTTGCTGCGGTCACCGTTCATTTTTTTCGATATCTACAATACAGTTGATTCGGCCATTTAGCGATCTTCTCCAATATCAATTGTTTCCAACTTTTATAAATTTCCCTCTCTAATCCTGGCCAAAGGATAATATGATTATTTTTACGATTCCAAAAATATAGAGTTCAGTCAATGATATCCTTATCCTTCTTTTTTTATCAAAGTTATATCAACTCTTAATTTGTTAAAGGAAATGGAATGAATATTATATTCCTATATATTATTATTTTAATTTTTTTTTAATTTTTTTTAATTTTTTATAGTCTCTTGACTTTTATCACACAAACTCATCAATTGAAATTGTTTTATTTTAAAAAGTATTACAACAACAACAACAACAATCATATATTGAATAATATTATGATAACCCATTTAGAATAATAGTAGTAATAGTATAAAAGAAAACATTTCTTTCAAAAAATGCAAGACAGTAAATGTTAAAGGTTGGTCCAAAGAGGGAGGTGTGCTATACTCATATTCATATGATCAGCTGTCTATAAAAGTAAAAGGTTGATCTCTTGTCAAAAGAATGAAAAGAACAATTGCTCTTATATATAAATATATATTCAAAGACAATTGTCCTCATTTGCAAGTTGTTGGAGCAATGGTTATAAATTTATTGAATTTGTTGGTTAGTTTCAAATCTACTACTGTATAGAAATCATATAGTGTTCAATGATGGTACCATCATTGTGAATGACGGCGATAATATCACTCATTTGTCTATAATGGTAGAGAGAGAGAGACGATTGACAACTACGATCGAGACAATGGTTGTCTTGCTCTTTATAAATATTATCTCTAGTTGGCTGCTTGTGCAAAGGCTAACTCAAGATTCTAGATTTTTATTTCAACAAGTGATAATCTTATAGGTAGCTACACATCAGTATTCTATAATCCCTATCGGAATGGTTTGTTTGGTCATTACCTTTCTTTTAATCAAATATGTATGTAATTGAATGAATTAAACAAGCATAAAGGAATTATGACTAATATCTATATGTTTCACATAGATCATTTATAAATACATCACTTACTTTTTTATTAATTTCAGCCAATCCTGATCAATTGGATATCAAAAGACATCAAATATTCAATGTTATCCTTGTCCTTCTTTTTTTTTTTTTATCTGGTATCAAAGATTATACAACTGAACTTTCAGATTACAATATAGGTTGACTCAAAAAAGGGGTACAAACTACTCCAATTCACATGTAATCTATCTGTTTGTAGAGATATGCTTTTGAAATCATTAATAATAGGTAGTAATATATATTAACTATTGTCTTTTTCTATTTCTAAATTACTCTTTTATTAATTTTTATTATTACTAGTCTTTTTCTGAAATTTTAGTTTGTACTGGATTCATATTAATATCATCATTGTTAATATTTTCTTGTTGATGTTGTCTATTCTTCTTTTTATCAAAAGATTGATTTGATGGAAAAGGAATAACTAACATACCAACTCTTCTATTTAAATTTTGAAAACTCTTGTTTAATCTTTTGTAAATTTAATTCCAACTTTTCTCTTGTTTACCAAAACGACCACCAAAATAATAGAGATTAAAACAAATGATAGACATATTACAAACAATATAACTATAATTTTCCAATTTTCAAAAGACCACTCGCATTCTCTGTCACATTGACTTTTATCCAACATTTCATCACCAACAATGAGAGCATTAAAAGCAGGATCCAATTCAACCGATTTACGAAATCTTGGAATATTAAAAGTTGTAAAAAGATTAAAACCTTGATTGTCAATTTGTTTAAAAAGTGGATCATTTTCTAGAATGGTTACTCTTGATGGAAAAATATATTCATAGTCAATAATCATTCTACTTGCAATTCAACAATAATCTTCCAACCAAAACTCTTGTCCATAAAATTTGATCACCAGGAGATACCAAACTTTGAACCTTTTTTCTACCACATTTATCAAATTCTAATTTATCTGATTTTGAATGAAAAATAATTTGTAGAGTATTCATTGGTGATGACCATTCCCAATCCTGAATTTTAATTTTAAATTTGATTGAATTTGGTGAAACTTGTAATTCCTCTCCTGCAAATAAAGAGATATTTGTATTTTCAAATTGATAAACATTGATATACAATAGTGTCGTTCTATTATAAATTGATCCAATAAATATTGTTTCATTCATTTGTTTCCAATCAACTTTGTTCATTGAAATAGTTTGAACAATTAAAAAATCTTGATCAATTTCTCTAATAAATTGAATTCCTGTTGTAAAATTGACAATACCATTGGTTTCATTTTTTGTTGTTGTTGTTGATGATGATAGAGTTACAGTTCCATTATTTTCTATAGTTGTATTAAATAATTTATCTCTATTGATCAAATTTTCACCAATCAATGTAATGAATCCATTTTCTTTAAATGATGGATAAACAGCTTTAATAAATGGTGGTTGCCATGCAAAATGAGTAGAGTTGATTCCACTTGCATCTTGAATGATTACATTTTGAAATCCAGTAAGAGGTGAAACTATACAAGTGACTGATGATATTTGTTTTGAAGTTATTTGACAAGATTTTGATAATAATTTGGATGGATTGAAAAATGAAATATAGAAAGTTTCTAGGTTGAATAGTGTCAAATTACTGATTGTAATTTCTCCTCCATTTGTACCAATTGATGGAATATATACCTCTGAAATGGGTTGAAATTCACATATTGCTTGTTGAACTGGATCATTATAACCCTTGGCATTATTTAAATTCCATGGAATACCTCTAATATAAATATTTATCTCTCTAGAGGTTAAAGATGGTTCACCTGGTTCGAATGGACAATACCCTATATAAATAGAAAAATGAATTAAACAGGACTGTTTCTTTCTTTTTGATTTTTTTTGACATACCCCACCCAACATTGACCAGTATACATATTAAATAGTGGTAGATTGGTTTCAGATCCAGTTGAAAAAGAGTAATTTTTAATAGCCATAGAGTCTATACCAAATACCCAGATACGATTGGAAGCAGTAGCAAAGTTTTTAGAATTGGAATTGAAAATAAAATCCCATTCTTGTTTTGATCCAAGTGTTTCAAGATATGATTTAAATGTACTACTTGTAAAGGTAGCACATTGAGTAGTGGCCATAGAGATTGAATAAGCCTGGACCAATTTATATCCATGACCATTTCCTCCCTGAGAGGTTGGCCATACAACTATATCCTTTATAGAATCATATTGACATTCAATTAGACTACTATTAAAAACTATTAAAATGATTAAAATAAATACTCTTACTATTGATGTTTTTAAATCAATCATTTTGATCAATTATAAAAAAACAAATAAAATAAAATGATTTGATTATAACATGTTTTAAAAAAGATAAATCCCAAAATTTGTATATATTTAATCTTTTTAATAGTTTTGCTGTGGGAGATCCAAAAATTGACTGGGTTGATCAATACAATGAGTGACTTTACTTTGATGGGTACTATTAATTAATTTCTGTAAATAATTATTATTTATCTTTTTTCTTTAAACTATTTTTTAAATTAATGGATAACTTGCATAACTAGCAATACCACATTTATCATTATTATTCCTAGCCATCCTGAAAAATCCTCCTTGTTCACCCCAACCAGCTATAATAAATAAATAAATAAAAAAAGATAGATTAGTCAATTATAAGCTTTGAAATAATTTTAAAAAACAACATACTTCCCCAAGAATTTTTAAGTAACCAATAGGTTGGTTGAAATCCAATAACAAGTACTGCATGTGTTGGTTTTGATTTATCACATGTTGGTGATGAAAATATTCCACTCTTGTATAATTGAAATTCTCTAAATATAATAAATAATCATTTTTTATTAAAACATTTTAAAGAGTTAGTAAACCATAGGTAAATTCTTTTTCTTTTTTTTTTCTATTTTTACATACCTAGAGCTTGCATCAAATGCAGCTGAAATGGGTGTTTTAAGGACACAATTTGCTAATTCTGTCTCTGATCTTGATACCATTGCGTAGGTTTGAATGTTGGCAGTTTTGGATACTGGGTTGCAGAACCTCCTGTTACTATAACCTACATAGGGTCGTTCACTTGATAATGATATTCCCTTTTGGTCTTGGACTTGTTTAAAAGAGGTATGCATCCAGCCACCTTGGCATCCTGTATTTCCGTATTCACGACAATCAACCAATTCTTGTTCAGAGAGATCAAAATTTTTATTTATTGCCAGGTATCTAGATTCAATGGCAGATGTAGCTGAAAATGCATAACAACTATATATATTTATATTGGGTAGATTTTAATTATATTGTTTAAAAAAAAGTAATATTGTTTAAACATACCTTCCACAGTCACCTTGATCTTTAACTCTACTAACTAGTCCAAAAGGTCTCCAATCATGACCTTGAACATTTGTTGTTGATAGAATTTGTCTAGATGTTGGGTTTGAAGAAGAAGAAGAAGATGATGATAATGTTTCATTGTTGTCTGGTTGTAAGTTTTGTTGAATTGATGTGTCCAAGCAGTGAATAGATTTCTATTTGTTTGATCACCGATTGCCAAATATAACTCTAAACTAATTGGTCCAATATCTATATCAATAATAGGTCCTGATCCACCTGTAGATGACGATGATGAGGATGAAGAGGATGACGATGAAGATGATGAAGATGAACCACCAAGTAATCCACCCAATAATCCAGTGATCGATAACAATTCACTTGATACCACAAAACTTGATACAATGACAATAAAAATAACAAGAGTTCTTGATGGCTTCATATTTGTTAAAGGTTGAAATAGAAGAAAAAAGATATGATTATCACATGTGAAGTACAAGGGTTTTAAAATGATGGATGAATTAATTTAAATTAAACGACGGTTCAAAACCCAACAAAGAAAATCTCATCTCTTGGAACGAGTGATTCGGTGAAACAGTGATCAAACACCATTATTATGATTATTATTATTTATTTATTTAAATATATTTGAATTCTAACTAGTACTTGAAACATTACAAAATAAAGTTGAAGGTAAAAAGTAAGAAACAAAAGAATAGAAACCTTGCATTCCTCCCCAAGAATTCTTTTCCTTGCCAGCCACCAATTCCTTATTTTTTTCTAGTTGCGTAGACAATTGTTTTTCCAAAAACTTGTTTGCCTGTTTTTCTTCGTGGTACATTTTCTGGACACGTTGTATTTCTTGGTCCTTGTTTTTCTGTAAATCTGTCATTGCTTGTTGTTGTTCATCGAGTAGAGTCAATGTACTTTCTTTTTGTGCTTCCAATTCATTTGTATGTAATCTAATCAAATCTGTTTTTTTCATTCCTTTTATACTGCCGCTGCCTGATGTATTATTATTATAAGTTGTCAATGGTGAAAATGCATTTGATAAATCAAATGGTGATAATGTTGCTTGATTTTGTTGTTGTTGTTGATTATATGGATTTGAATATCCTAAACTACTATATTGGTGTTGTTGTTGATTGGGACTAACAAACATTTGATCAAAAATGGGTTGTTTTGAAGAAGAGGATCTTGGTGAAATAGTATGATATATTGATGGTGATGATGTTACAGGTGTTTGTTGTTGATAACCAATTGGAGATTGTAAAGAATTACCACTTTGTTGTTGTTGACTAATTCTTAGAGGTGATTGTTGTAAATTATTAACCATTGTTACAGGTGTTGGTGGACTAGTTAAAATTTGTGGACTTGATGTCAACATATTACTATTCATTTTTGGACTTGATTGTTGTCTTGAAAGTGTTGGTTTAATATTTGTTGTTATAGTAGATTCAATTGGTGATTGCATTGAAGTGGTTGTATTTGCCGAAGAAATTTCCGTTGTAATATTAATATTCTCTTCATTAATTTCTGGTAATTGAATTTCACCACTAATTAATTTTAATTGTTCTTTTAATTGATCAACTTCATCATTTTCTTTTTCTTTTTCTTTTTCCTTTTCCTTTTCTTTTTCTTTTTGTTGTAATTGTTCAAATTCTTTTTGTAAACTAATTGGTGAGGAAGAAATGATTGGTGGAGAATTTGGAGAGGATGATGATAAATCTCTATCTTCACGATTTGGAGTTGATGGAATTGGGATGGGAGGTGATGGTGTTCCACTTCCAGATCTATTCATAGTGTTGGGAGGATCAAAAAATTCCGATTTTTGTTTTGATAATAATTGTTTTGCCTTGTCAATGGTTGGTTTAATTCTTTTCTCTGTAAATGATGCATTTTTATCGCGCTCTGCCAATGTTTCATTACTAAATGTAACCATCATTGACAGTTTGTTATTAATATTTTGTTGAGATTTTAAGAGATGATTTAATTTTTTAATTTCCAAATCCTTCATGACGACTTGTTCGGAAAGGGAACGAGCCTTTTCCTTTTCATTTTCCATATTGTCTCGAAGGGCTGCATCATTTTGGTTTAATTTGGAAATGGTTGTTTTGAGATTGGTGTTTTGTACAGTTAGATCCTTGTTTGAATCACGCATACCATCGACAAACTTTGCATCCTTTTTGAGACGATCAATTTCTTGATCTTTTTTCTTGAGTTGTGCTTCCAGTTGTTGCCTCGACTTTTCGAGAAACGTAATTTCCGATTGAAAAGTATCACATTCCTTTTCAAGAGTCTTGTAGTTTTCTTGTAGTTGACCCATGATTGCCGAGTTTTTACTCCATTCCAATGTTGACTTTTCGCGTTGTGGTTCGGCTTGTTTGGATGTTGGAAGATCTGAATCTTCAAAAGACAACTTGGGACTCATTGGATGATTGAGACCACTATAACGAGCGATAAACGATGTAATCTCAATGGAACCGTCATTATCGACTGGCAAATCATTGACAAACATTAATAGTTTGTTTTTGGGTATAGTCTTGCCATTGTTGAGTTTGGTAAACAAATCTTCAAATTGGTCAAATGTAATGACTGGTTTGGTTGAAAAGAGTTTGTTGAATTTGTTTTTCGATGGTGATGCGAGATGACTGTACTGTGATGTTGACTGTCCCTGGATCAATGGTGATCCTTTGGGTGTGATATTGTATTTTTTGAGCATATCGACCGGTACCTTGAACTTTGGTAACCGATTCTTTTCCAACAACAGTCTACGTGATTCATTGGCATTGACACCTTCCATAAACCTTGTCATACTCTCTACGAAATTGTCAAAATCAATCGACACGTTTTCATCCTTTATCGAATCCATATCAGTGTCTGCGTCCACCTCCAATTCACCACCATCCAACTGACAATGTACAATCTTTAAGTATTCCAACAATTGTCCAATCAATGGGTTACTGTCAATCACATCGGCACCCAAACTTTCAATCTCCTCTCTTAATTGTGCCAATGTTATAATACCACTTGAATCTCTATCAATTGCTCTAAATACTTGTTCCATTTGATTGATAAATTCATTTGTTCCCAACTGTCCACCATCCACTTGATCGTCACCATCTCTATCATCGTCATTACTAATTAATATTTCTTCAAATTCATTATTTGACAGAGACATTATTAAATATTATTATTATTATTATTACTTATTAAATAAATAAATAAATATATGTATATATACAATCTTTTTTTATTTGTAAAAAAAGACAAAAGAATTAAAAAAAAACTAAAAGTAAAAGTATGTTTTTTTGATTAATATAAAATTAAAATTATTAAAATATTATTATTATTCTACGATGCTTGGTTATTATGAAAAATGGGAATGGGATCTATTGAAAAATAATAATAAAAAATAAAAACAAAAAAAATTGGTTGTAAAATAATCTTGTTACTCAGTCTAGTCTCTCTGATATACTATTGTGTAAAAACTCTTTTATCTCTATCTCGATATCTATCTCTCTTTATCTTTAGAAATTCTAATCTAATAGATAGAAGAGAATAAAACATTCGACATGATATACTATCCTTATCCTTATCCTTATCCTGTCTGTCCTCTTGTTTATTGATTTAATTTTTAATTGACACATAACCAACCCTAACCACACACTCCGACCGAGGTGGAGCCATTATTATCATTATTGTTATTGTTGCTTGTTGTTAGGGTTGGTGTCAAGAAAGTGATATACACAATACAATCAATTATGACCGTTACTGTTGTGTGGTGGTAGTAGTGTGTGTTGGTGGGTAATACAGCTGTTTTTTGAATGGCGATGGATGATAATTAATTATCGTAACACTTACTACAAAAGTGTATTTATATTACTTTACTTTACTGCCCAATATTCTTATTTCGTCGTTGTCGTCGTCTGTACTTATCCTATTATTATTATATAATCTAAGATATATAGAAAATAATCATATGATTAAAATCTGCCACACCATTTCACTAACTTTGATTTGTGAGGGCGCCGATTGTCCAACAGACTTTTTTTTTTTTTGAAATTTTTTGTCGGTTACAAATTAATTAAGCTACCTCCTTTGCATCACTACACATAATCACACACAGCGACCTGATGTTATCCTTATCTTTATCATCATCTTTAAAGAATTTTACACAACAATGCACATTTGCTGTTAGGTACTACTCTAGCGGATTTAAAGTACATGTACCAAGAGAAAAGATAGAGCTGTCATTTGCGAGGTCGAGTGGAGCAGGAGGTCAAAATGTAAACAAGGTTGAAACAAAGGTAGAAGCAAGATTTAATATTTATCGTGCTGATTGGTTAACTGATCATTGTAAAGAAACTCTAAGAGTATGAAATGAAAAAAAGTTGTAATTGTAATAAGTAGTAATAGTAATACTAATTCATTACATTTTCTATTTCATTTTAGAAAGAATATGCAAAGAATTTAAATAGTTCTGGTGATTTTGTGATTACATCAATGAAACATAGAGAACAAAGATTAAACATTAAAGATGTATTTGAAAAATTAGAGAGATTGTTGACAGATGCTTCCATCATACCAAAGGAGCGTCTGCCTACAGATGCTCCACTCTATGCAAACGAAAAACGGTTAGAAGAGAAAAAGAAACGTTCAGATGTTAAAGCAAGTAGATCAAATCGTGGTAGAGGTGGTAGATATGATAATTGGTAAAAGACAAAAGGACAAATAATAATAATAATAATAATAATAATAGGATGGGAATATGGACATTCAATTCTTGCCCAACTTGTAAATAAATCTTGATTGTTGAGATCAAACCACCGACCGCTGGTCTTGATCAAACGAAACGTTAACAGTAAATAGTTCCATTTTTATGTTCAATGTATACTCCACCCAACAACAACAACAAAGTTGATGGTGGTACCAAAAAAAGAGGATACGTAACAAGTACCACGGAAAACACCGATTCAACTGTTGTTCATTTTTCGTAACAGGTCCTTCAAGAATGTTTATAAATTGGATGGATTCATTCATTATTTTTCAATTCAAATCAAATATTAATTAATTAATTATGTTATTTAGTATGTTTAGAAAAAGATATTATTTCTATTCCATTCCATATTGATTCATTTCTTTTTTTTTTAATAGAAAACTTATGTAATCTCTCAAAGGGATCTAATATCTCTTACTCTCCATCATCATCACAATATTTAGAACAAGATTCATATTCATCAACCCAAGGATTATCATCATATACTGGTTTCAAACCCAAAAATGATTCAAATCAAAATAATGGTAATGGAAATGGAAATGGTGGATGGAAATAATATCTTTATTTATTTATAATTTATTTGTATAATTAATTATAAATTTCTTTTAATTTTTAAAAAAGATTAAGATCTTTTTTAAGTTTATCACTTTTCCATTTTGGTAATGAATAAAAAGTTGATTTTTTCAAATGAAATACTTGTTGGAATGATTCATCGTTTAGATATTTTTCCAAGTTGTTTGGGTCGATGGGAGGGTTTGTGACTGGTCTTTGTAAAAGTTCCTTGTAACCTAGTGACTCTTCATAGTCGCGATATCGTATCTCGACAACCTCTATCTTTTTCGCTTGTTCCTCTTCTTCTCTTTTCTTTTTCTTTAGTCTTGCTTCCACCTCTTCCTTTTGTTGTTGTAGCAGTTGCATTCTTTTTTCTTGTTCTCTTTGTAGTGATTCTGTCTTTTCCAGTTCCTTTTGTTTGTTTGCTCTTTCTTTTGCCTGTAGTCTCCATTCCGATGTAGTACCTTCATTGATTTTAATTGGTTTCAAGATTTCAGATGGTGAAGCATTTCGTAGTTCACCAACCAATGGTAGCGAGTGAAGAGATAGACGAGTGAGTCTAAAAAGTGTACATTTACTCTTGATATAGTCAATGGCAGCTTGAGTGATATTATTACATTCACGAAGGAACAGTTTCTCGAGATAGAGTAAATGGTCGGCTAGGAAATGGACTGATCGATCTGTGAGTAGACCAGCACTGCTTAAATCCAAGTGTCGGAGCAGACAAAGATTCTCGGCCAAATGAATCACATTGGCATCATTTAAATTGGCACATCCACTTAGAATAAGTGTTTCTAGTGATTGAAGATGTTTTCCAATTTGTAAAAATGATTTTGTCGTCAATCTAATACACAGTGTCAAATCCAAATGCTTTAGATTTTTCAAGTGATTACAAATTGATATCATTGTACCATCCAAAACTCTACTATTATTACTTAGGTCCAAATACTCTAATTGTGTCAGCAAATTTAATCCAGTAAATGATAATTCATTTAAATGATAACATTGTTTCAATGATATATAGGTCAACTTGCTCAATACTGTAGTCATATTTAAAAAACTTTGATGACTAATTTGTAATTTTTGAATTGACAATGTTTGTAATTTCTCCAAATTTGAAAATGTTAATGATCCATCATCAATCAATTTACTAGTAGAGTAAAAGAATTAATTAATTATTTTGTTTTCCTATTCTTTTTTTCTATTTTTTTTTTTTAATACATACGGACAAGAATCCAATTTTAAATGTAAAAGATTAGTTAAATCATTAATAATAGTTAGGGTATTTTGAGTAATATTTGGATTTTCAGAAAGATTGACAGAGATTAATTTTGGACATTGAATGATTAGATTTTGAATGGATGATTCTTCTAGTTGTGGACACATTGAAAGATCGATTTTATCTAGTGTGTTGCAAAGGTTGGTGGCAATGGCTTGGAGAGAGACTGAGGTGATAGAATGACATCTAGACAATTTGAGGTCTTGCAATTTCGAAAGTCTCTGTGACAATGGTACCAATGATGAATCTGTTATAAATTTGCACCCTTTTAGTGATAGTTTGGTGAGTGATGTCATTTTGGTAGAGATAGAGTTGATAGTGACATCGGTTAAATTATAACAAGACTCGAGAATAAGAGTTTGGAAATTGGGGCATGGTGGAAGACTGACAAACGAGACATCAGACAATTTACTACACGATGTCAAGTCGAGACTGACAAGATGGTGCCATGGGAATCCACCCTTTGTAAATGTATCGTCAGACAGTCTGTTTTCATTTCGTAGATTGAGTTCGATCAACAGAGGCAGTGATGCCAATGCAAAAATCACCTCGCTGCCAATCTTGCATTTAGAGACGTCGAGACGACGGAGATTCTTGAGTTGGGCAAGTGAGGGTAGTGCTTCGACTGCAATCATTGGACAGTTTGAATGTCAAGTGATTGAATCAATGGACAAAAGTTGGAAATGACCGAAATCGTGGTTTGGGTAATCAGCGATCCCGACAAATCAAGAGACACCAAATGTTTACCAACCACTGACAACAGCTCTGTCAACCCTTGATCCGTCACCTTTGGACAATAACTAAGATTCAAACTTGCCAATGTTCCAGTGCTGTCAAAGAATTCTCCTAAAATACCCATCACTTGATCATTGATCGATGTACGATGAAAATCAATCGATCTAATCCCACTCATTGCCAATTTCATTCTCTCTTTAATCTCTTTTGAATAAGTTGCCATTACCAATAAATCAACTAAACTTTGTCCTTGATTATTTAATGAATCATTTAATTTTTCTAATACATATTGATTCTAAAATAAATTAATAAATTAATAAATTAAATTTTTCCTTTTTTTTTTTTTCTATTATTTTTCTACATACATTCATTTTAAATAATTTATCATAAAGATTTGATAATTCAATTATAAATGTATCATCATTATTTGCACTATTAAATTTAATCATTTCATTTAGAGAATCTGAATACATTGAATAGATTTTGTTGTCTGGACTAGGATGATATTGTACCAATAGTCTAAAGATGAGAGCTGTTGGATAGTAGAGACGTTTACTACCTAGTTTCGAGTTGATCCACATATCTTTACCAATTTTAAAGATTGCTTCATAGACTGCATCACGATCAATTAGCAGAGCATGATTGAATTTAGTGTAGGCTTGAACAAAGAATTCCTGTTGTCGACGTTCATTTGAATCTTCGTGATGAGATGGTCGATAGACAAGTGCTTTACCAAGCAACAACTTTACTCCAACATCTCTAGGTCTATGCTTTTCCAATACTTCGCAAATATTTGCTACACCAATCAATGACATCGACATACCTTCTTTACCAAAATCAAACAATTTCTTGGTGTCTGCAAAAACAGTGGTGAACAAGTCTTCCTTGGCAATTCTCTCTCTTTCTGCTCTCTCCTCTTCACCTTCACCTTCACTAGACACAATGATACGTTTTGTAATGTGTTTGGTTGTAGAGGCGTTGGGTGGTACATAGTTTGATTGTTGTTGATCATAGTATCGGAGAGCATGGTCAAATTCGATCGACGCCATTTTATAGTGTTTCTGAGCTTGAAAGGGGACATTGTGGTAATACTGTGCAATGAGGATATAGAGATGTGCCAACTCATAGTATGCCTTGCAGTTGGTAGGTGCTATTTGGATAGCATCTTTAAACTTGGCGGCTGCCTCTTCAAGTGTTCTGAGATAGAGGTTCTTGCCGAACGCACCCGACACGACATTGATCGAATTGGCCTGCAAAATCAACGTTCTACCAAGTTGGCAAATACAGTCGAAATTGTCGGGATTGGATTTAAGAGATGACTGGAACTTGGAGGTGGCCATTTTAAGCAGACGCAACTGCTCTCGTCCACTCTTGGACTTGGCGGCCATGCTCAGTGCCATACCCTCTGCATAATCGACAATGTTCATATGTTTAACATTGGCATAGATCTCTTGAATATCAGAATCTACAAATTGAAACGAGAATGGGTCACGTGTAAACTCGTGTTGTGCGATTGGCGATAATGATATACCAGTCAGATATTGTAGTCGTTCAAACAAGTTTCGTGGATTAATAGAGTCCATCCAATTCTCTTCTTGCTCTTCAATAATCGTTCCAGACCCACGTGGATCCAGTTTCATAAATGCCAAACTATATTTTGATTTGATTCTCTCTCTAATTCTCTTCCATATCAATGATTGATAATCCAATACTTGATTAAATATTAAAATAACAATTTGTTTAAATGGTTCTTCTGATAATCCTTGTACTTCTTTCATTTTTGATCTCATTTCATCTTTTATAATTGTCTAAACAAAAAAATAAAAAGAAAAGAAAATTAATATATTAAATAATTATTATTATTTTTTAATTTCTTTCTTACTTTAATTGATCTTGCAGTCATTTCAAGTAATAATAAATCACGAACTTTAAGTGATAAGGAAAAATGACGAATTCTACCCATATGTCTAAGATTAATACCTAGTCGATGTATTTCTTCGTTGAGTGTTGACAACATTTTGGGTGTTTCATTTTTCACTTGGTTCAGAGACCTAACATGTTTTCGAACGGGTGTGTCTGGCATACTGGCAGATGTTGCCACTGAATCCATTGAATCATTCATCGTAGATGACGCCTGTGTATTGTTAATCTCTCCTGCGACTTGTTGTTGCTGTTGTAGTATTTGTGGTGGTGTATTACCAAGTTCCAAACGCTTCATTACAATTGGTAGAAACTTGTTTGCAAATTGTGTTTTGATTTCATTAAAATCGGTTGGATCTTCTCCTCCAGCTCCTCCAGTAGTCACTGCCGATAAATTATTTGATGCTGGGTTACTGGCAGCTGCACTTGGAAGCATTTTACCCTTGACATCTCGATCCAATTTATCTGCCAATTCTCTAACTGCCTGGTTCAACAAATACTCTGTTGCGTCTTCAATCTCCTTATTGTGTTCTTGTTTCTCCTCGTCTAATCTCTGCCACCCTGTAAACGCGTCACTACAAAGTGGTTTGCTCCATTTTGCCACAAACTCGGGTCTCAATAAATTATAAAATATACTTCTTCTATTTACATCTGTTCTCTTTAACAATGCCTCTGGTGGAAATGTTCTACTAAAATCAATTACATAATATCTATTATCCTATAAACAAATTAAAATAATAATTAATAATTAATAATTCATTCAAGAATATATATTAAATATTATTATATTTAAGTTTTCAACTTACAGAACCCAAATGAGCTTCAATATCACCAGGACTTGATAATACTTTAGTAAATTCAGGATCACTTCCAACTTTATGTGGTTTCAAGTTTATCTTTTTTCCAGCCTCTCGCATCTTTGTATTCAAGTCTGGTACGTCGTAATGTACAATGGTTCCACTATCACATGATCCATATCTAATTGTATCAGTATTAATTGGTAATAATGATAATGCTATAATTCTAAATCCTTTATAATCAATTAATGCAATCTAAAAAATAAATAAATAAATAAATAAATAAAGATGTTTGGAAATTATTTGATTTGTTTATCTTTTCTTACAAGAGGATAATGTAAACCTTGAACACCAGTCATATAATAAGATATTAACCCTTTTAATTCATTTGAAGCAGCTTTTGAAGCATAATCATCTCTTGGCATATCACCACCATACATCCAACAATCGTCACTCAACATTGTATCCATTGCAAACTTGAATAGGATACCTTGACAATACCACTTCATACCACCTGCAATACCACCAACATCAACAGGTGCCAAACTCTTTTCTTTATATGGTAAACATAATTCATTAATAATAATTGTTGCCTAAATATAAATAAATAAATAAATAAATAAAATATATTAGTAATTCCATTGTCTTTTGATTTCAATTTCAGTTGATTATGTTCTCTTTCATACATAATTCTTTGCAGCAGCAACAAAGTCTCTTGCCAAATGAGATAATTTACTAAACTTTTGTTCAGTATCTGGATGAGCCAATAATGTTTGAAATTCATCATTCCAATCCTTTCTCTTGAAATCCTCGGACGTGTAACGATTGAGTTGTGATTGTATATTGATTCCATTGTGACTAGAGTTTTGTGACAACATGTTGGTACCGTTGATTCCGCCATTGCCATTGATTCCATTTCCAATACTGCTATTACTATGTGATCCGTTGAGTTTGTGGTGTAGGTCTTGTTGTTGACGATGTAGATCTGCAGCTCCGTCGAGCTGTATAGTACCATCTTGGTAGTCTTCAAACAGACAATCTTCATCATAACTACTCATACTTCCTCCCGATGAAACGTATATTGGTTTTGGACTCTTTACCATACCATGATGATTATTATTTCCTTCCATTTGTCGTCTCTTTATCTTACTACATATCTTATTTGTATTATTATTATTCTTCTTCTTCTTATTCTTTACATTATTATTACATATATTATTATTTACATTATTATTATCGTTATCGTTATTGTTATTATTAGTTGATGATGATATAGTTGCAGTTGTACAACCATTACTATTACTACTACTACTAACAGTAACAGTTGTATTGGTGTAACATCCAAAATCAGTTGTATTGTTTTGTTTTGGTATTGGTATTATTCTATCCTTTTCATCTTCCTCTTCTTCTTCGTCGCTGTACTCTTCTTCTTCTGTGTCTTCTTCTTCTTCTTCATCTTCAGTATCTTCATCTTCTTTATCAGCTTCATCACAACTACTACAATAGTCATAAGAGTTTGAATAACTATTTGTTGTTGATGTAGTTGTTGTAGTTGCTGTTGGTAAGGTTGCGTTTGCCTTGTTCAAGAGATGTATGTTGGCAGCTGATTGTTTCAAGAATGCCAATCTCTTTCTTCTCTCCCTCGCCTCTTCTTCATTATCACAAAAGTATGAATAGATATCGTAGTCATATACCTTTGATTTATTGATAGAGTACATTCTATCTAACTATCTACTATACAATTATTATTATTATATATTATATTATACAACTTGATCGATGATTATTATTATTATACATTTAATCTAAAAATAAAAACTAATGATGGTAGTCTCCACTCATTTCATTGTCATCTCTCAAGTACTCACAAATAAAATTAATTAATTTTAAAAGTAGTGTATATATTTTAAATCGATAATGAAAGAATGTTTATTCATTCATTCATTTATTTATTATTTTAAAAGGTATGTTGGTATGTATAAGATTTAAAATAATGGTGAATAGTAGGTTGATAGGGAAAAGTACAAACTTGACGAAAAGACAATCACTAAACTATAAACAAGCTATAGTTTGATGGTTTAGTCAGAGTCAGAGTCAGAGTGGTAGGTTTGGACGGCTGGGTCAAAGGCACCAAAGGCAGAGTTGGTGGTAGAGCACTTACGGGACCATCCGTTGTTGCAGACGGCTTGGATACCAGATGGGTCGGCCTTTGGAGTCTTACAGAAGGTTGGGAAGAGCTTGTCGGTTTCCTTTTCCAAGACACCACCGATGATTTCAGTGTAGTGACCAATACCGTAACCGAGAGAGTTGATGGCAGCAGAGCTGATTGGGAGTTGGTTGAGACAACGTTCACAGTACATGTTGGAGACGTATGAGCCAAAGACAACGGTCTTGAACTTGGTCCACATGATGGCAGCTTGACACATTGGACATGGTTCACCGGTAGTGTAGAGGGTCCAGCCTTCAAACATGTTTTTGGTGTAGAGGTTGGAGCAGTTGTTGATGGCAACGATTTCACCGTGGTTGATACGGTTGATCTTACCTTGGTTGACACCAGTGCAAGCAAGAGTACCGTTTTCATTGACAATGACGGCACCGAAACGACCGTTGACAGCCTTGGTGATTTGGAGAGCGAGCTTCATCCAGTTTTCATGCTTGTGGAGTTCAGTAGAATTGAGATCCTTTGGAGTCTTGACGTATGGCTAAAGAGTATAGTAAAAATAATAATAATAATAATAATTATAATAATAATTATAGGTCGGAAAAGAGAGTAGGAGTGAATGGGATGGAAAAAAAAAAAGAAAAGGGATGGTTTGATTAATAAATACAGGTTTAGCCATATCTTTGTATTTTCCTCTACCCACGAGTGAAGCGTCGATGAATGGGCTATCTGGGCAGGTTCCAGCGTTGGCAACAAAGACCATACAAACTAAAACAAGAAGGGAAATTAAGAATTTCATTGTATGTATATATATAAAAGATAAGAAGAGATGATTATAATAATAAGAATGATGATGATGAATAATAGAATGCTGGGTTGGATGGTATTTAAATCTTGTGGATGGTGTGGAAGTTTGAAGCAGGCTGCAAATATTGCAAACAAACAAAGAAATTAAATTTAAGAAATTGTTTGTGGTTGGTTGATGGATCAGCTGATTCTGCTGTTGCTCGCCAACAAAGTCCTGCAAATTTCGCCCCGTTGCAGGGGGGTAGGCACTGGTCGAGTGGGTTGGAAAATTGGTGATCTGATTGGTGTTGTAGTGATATTGGCCAATTAGGCAGTTTGCTGCTGTTTTTAATATTTTACTGCTGTCACCAACTCACACCATCGTCCTCAACCTTTAATTCCTTTAAATCGTTTAATGTAAATCATATTATGTTTAAAAAGAAAGAAATTTGAAAGTACTCACCAAACATCTTATTTTTTTCCCTCTCTCCTTCATAGTTTGTCGCCAGTAGTCTTAGAGTGTTGCATTATTAGTCTTGTCCTATTGGTTGATCTCATCTGCAATCTCCAGACAGAAAAAATCTCAAGACCAACTCTCTTCTCTTTTTTAACTGTTCGACCGAGAGTGATAGAGGGGGTGCCGAGTCGTTTGGGCTACGGTTCCTCCTCTCACTCTGTTTACCGGCTAGCTCCTCCCTTTGCGCCTCACTTTAGCACCTTTTATCCATTTTCACTGGTATCTCCCATGTCTTTGACTCGTCTAAAAAGGCGTTAATTAATTAACTTTCAGGTTCCTGTTGATTGGACAATGGCTTTGAATAGAAAAATCCAAAGTGAGATATCTCCAGATACCTACAGATGATGCCCTGCGCCCAAAAGAGGTACCTCCTCGCGCTTTTTGCCCCTGCTTCTTTTTTTTTTTAAAAAATCGTCATCAGTGAAAACTTGAACTTTTGTGTCCTTTCGTCATCCTCTCCAACGGTTGGAAACTGCCCTTAGATGTTACAACATGCCACCTAGGCAAACCCCTAAATCCATCTTTGGAGACACAACAACCGACCGAGACTAACCACACCAACTCTCCTATGGATCAGATGGGTCGCATCCTTTCGTTTGATACTCCCACTTGCCTTTGTTCACCATCATGATGTTCAACGTTGTTATTGCTGAGCTTATTTTTATTATTTTAGGCACCACCCATCAGATCTACCAATTTCGTTTTTTCATCTTCAAAAGATGTCTTGCAGGATGACCAATCATTTTCGAGGGTTAGATTTGAATTAGATTATTTTCGTTGACGAGAAAAAGACTCGTGTCTGTTCTGTCTCCTCTCGTACGTTATTTGAATCTTGGCAATGGTAGAGCTAGGTGGCATTTTCACATCTATCTCATCGATGATGGCAGCTAGAGGAGGGCTAGTGTTGGTTTAAATTAATTTTTTCTCTATCTCTCTTCGTCCTACGCTAGCCCAGCCCAACCCATCAAACAAAATCAAATTCTATTGTTGTTGTTTTATTATTATCACTACAGACAAACAAACAAACAAGTCAAGTCATCCCTTATTTATTTATATCTTTCATCATCACCATCACTACTATATTACTACTATCGCCCTCGGGAAGGTCCTACACAAAGCCCCTCCCCTTCTTACTCTTTCAAACCCTTACGATCAAAACCAAAGGATAAAGTGTTTAACCTTTACTATCACCATCATCTATCTACTTCGCCTTCAACCCTCACCTTCTTTGATCATCATCTCATCCTTCTCTTGAACTAGTTTCGTTTTATTTTTTTTGAAGATCTACACAACACATCATTTTCGCGCGCGTCCAAACCTTCACCAGACAAACAAAACGGTTTAGGAGTTTTTTTTTTTTCCCCAAGGCAAAAAATCTCACAAGAGACAACATCCAGTCGATTAGAAGGTATCTGTTTATCCTTTTCATACTTTGTCCTTTTTTTTGTGATCACTTTCAAATCTCAACCAAGATAACCAACCATCAAATAGTCGGGACGATTGATTGATCGAGACTTTGTCCAAGCCCATATAATCTTTTCTTTTCTTTTAAATATTTATTTTTAATTTTTTTTTGTGTCTCTTCAATCCTTTTTTATTACCAAAGTAAATTTTCTATATATCCCAATCTTTGACAAACATATACATATATATATATAAATATAAATCGAATAACTTTTATAAGTATACTTTTTTTTTTTAATTTATAAAAAATGATAAAATTATCCATTTATTTAATTTTATCAATATTCCTATTTTTATTGTCACCATCAGTCAATGGAGCAGAGGTTAAATTTGCACTTATTATGAGTGGCAATGTGACTGATCTTGGATTTAATTTCATGGTCAATGACGGACGTATCCGTATGGAACGTGAACTAAAGTTGCAAACGCCAACCATCGCCTACTCTATGATCGACACTGACCAAAAGCTGAAGGATTGTATCGAAGAGATCATCGACCTCGGATACAACTTTATTTTCCCAAGCTCGCAGATCCACATGGACATTGCCACCGCCTACGCCAACAAGACTCAGGGCAAGGGCATCTACTGGATGTTACGTGGCCGTGCCAAGCCAACCCTAGAGAATGTCGTCAACGTCGGTTTCAACAGCGGTACCATGCAGTTTTTGATCGGTTACTTTGCAGGCCTCGAAACCAAGACTGGAAACATTGGGTTTATTGCACCCGGTAACCCCGTGCAAAAGGCCTTTACCTTTAACTCGTTCTACATTGGTGCCAAGACTGCCAACCCCAACGTCAACGTCTGGTACGCCTATACTTTGAACTGGATGGATCCCGATCGTGCCCGTGGTGCCTCTCGCAAGATGCTCGATGAACACAACGTCGACATGATTGGTCAGTCGCAAGATGACATGTCTGTACAAGAGGAAGTCATGGCCACCCGTCTCAACTTTGGTCTCGGATCAACCGGTTATTCCGAACGTCTCATCTATGGTGATCAAATGGGTATCTCGTACCTCACCAACTGGACCGTTATTTTAACCCGTTTCGCCGAACGTATCCAAGATGGAAACTGGACCAAAGACGCCTTCCAAGGAGAATTGTCCAACGGTGCCATCGAATTTGACGAAATGAGTTTCCGTGTCAAAGATACCACCATCACTGCTTTCAACCTTGAACGTGAAAAGCTTCGTTCCAACATCACCTACCAACCATACCGTTGCAACCAAGGTTACATGACCGAATATGGAACTCAATGTGTCAACATGTCTTCTTTTTGGGGTGCCACAATGCCAATCACTCCACTTGAATATAATCTTGGTTTATATACAATTCCAGTTACCAATGTAAGATATAATATTAATAATAATAATAATTATTTTCAAAAAATTTAATACTTACTTTTCTTTTTTTTTTTTTTTTTTTTTTTTTTTTTTTAGGTTCCAATTCAAGAGTCAATTACATTAGGTTTATCAATTCCATCTGGTGTTTTCATTCTATTTGCTATTGTTTCAATTGTTGTAATTATACTCTTTAGAAATGCCAAGGTTATCAAGTCTGCCAGTCCATTGTTTTCCGTTTTAATTTTGATTGGTTGTATTCTCATTTTTGCTGGTATTATTATCTGGTCACAAAATCCAACCACCTCACTTTGTCGTTCACGTATTTGGTTAATCTCTCTTGGTTACACTCTTATGATTGGTAATCTTTTGATCAAGAACTTCCGTATCTGGTTGCTCTTTGACAATCCCAAGCTCAAGCGTCGTAACATTCCAAACAAAAAGTTGATTCCATGGTTCTTGGGTATCCTCATTCTCGACGCCATCATCCTCGCCGTCTGGATTGCCGTTGGTGACATCAAGGCTGTTGAACGTCTCAACATTGATGGTCTTGGCACTTACGAGTCTATGAATGCCTGTAGCTCCAGTCACGCTGGTGACGTTGTCCTCTACATCCTCCTCATCTTCCACGGTATCATGTTGTTGGTCGGTTGTTTCATCTCTTTCAAGATCCGTTCCGTCGACATTAAGGAATTCAACGAATGTGGTCCTGTTAGTACTTGTCTTTACGCCATTGCTTTCTGTCTTTTCATTGGTATGCATTGGATACACAATCTATCCCTATTTTTTTAAAAAAAGAATAATAATATTAACTAATTATATTCTATTTCCGTTTCTAGTTATTCCATTAATGGTATCACCACAATCAATTGCCAATCAAACCATTATTATTTGTGCATGTGGTATATTCACTACATTCTCATCGATGGCCATCCTTTTCTTGCCCAAGTTTGGTGAGATGTATACCCAAGGTCCAGCCATCAACGAGACGTTCCGTACCAATACCAACAGACAGGACACCTTCACCATTGACATTTCCCACAATACTGTTGCCCTTGCCCAAGAAGGAGTCACCATGGAAACCTTTACCAAGACAACCACATCTTCCAACGAAGTTACTGACAGTACCTAAACGGGCGAGTCGTCCAACAAACAAACAAACAAATATTATTATCCAATTGTAATTGTAATTGTAATTTATACACATATGTTTTGTACCACTATATCTATCTATTTCCATTCAATTCACCCAACATGTTAACAACAACAACAACAAACAAAATCAATTGGATAAATATTTTTTTTCCCCTTCCATCTTCACTTCAACTCATAACTACAACTTTATAAAAAATAATACACGATCGTAATAATCATGCCGCAAACCATTCCTACGCAACACCACCAACTCTTCCAGGGCAGCAATATATCAATATTTCACACTATATATACCATTATTGGTAAATAGTTGCTGCCTTGGTCATAAATGACACAAATATATACATATTATCTATTTAGAACTCATCACATCCATAATCAAATCAATCAAATCAAATCATCACCAATCAATCGAACTCAACCATTTTCCATCACCTCTCACCTATCACCTCACCTCACCATATCAAACAAATAAATAAAATGAATGTGATACTGGGATCATACATAACTGTATCTTCCATCATCCACAAACTTTTAATTAATTCATTATTGACGCTTTTTGCCGCCAATTTATTTCATACTTGAAGTGAACTTGACTTTTGAGAACCCGATCATTGTTATTCATTGAATTCATCTTACTATCTATCTACCTGTTTCTAGCAAACTCTATTATCAAGTAGTAGGAGAGTAATATTAAGATGGATAGACTGATGAATAAGAGTAGTGAAATAGATAAGGTGTGGAATGAAGTAACTAGTAAAATATCATTAACTAAAGATATTTATCTTGGTACAAGTACTAGTAGTAGTAGTACTGCAACTACTCAACAACAACAATATATCAAATCTAATAGAATAGTAGAATGTACATACAAGACATCACCACTGACATCTGTCATATCAAAAGTCGATCAAGTAGATATTAAAGAATTAGAGATATCTGATTTCTTATTACACTGGTATATTGGTATGTTAAAGAACGGATAGTACTAAATGAATGAATGACATTAACAAACAAAATATTGATTATGTTATATATTGTATTGTTTAGATAATATAAAGATCTATTTTAATAATCATTTATGTAGAGAGTTTTGGGAATACTTTGGAGGATTGGGAAAGGTTGATGGTCTGTTGTTGAAATCAACGATTGACTATGACGACAAGTACAACACACATTTTATCAATGCTATCGAAGTGTTGTATAGAGTGTTTGGAGTGATTGAATCGACCATTCAATCATTGTATAGTGCAGGGTCACCACGAAACGACTACAAACTATCATATTGGATCGATCGAGTTCACATTCTTCTCTTGACATCATTGACCAATACAACTGCACAACGAAAGGTGTTTGATCATCTATTATTCAAGTTTTTTGAAAAGGAATTCATGTCCTTTTCAAAATCGTTTATTGGTTCAAGTAATAAGAAAAAGAAAAAGATTAAAAAGACTATAAAACCAATATCAATTTTAAATGATGATGATGATGATGATGAAGAGGAAGAAGAAATGGAGGAAGAAGAAGAAATGGAAGAAGAAATAGAGGAAGATGAACAACATGGAGATTTATCACAAATGGAAAGATCACAAACATCAATGATTGAAATGTCATTTATGAATGAATCATTTACAGATATTAATACCAAAGAGATTGCATTTATCAATCTTTGTATTAAATTAAACAAGTTAAATTTCATTATTATCTCTGAAGATATATTTACTACTATTTTATTGTCAAAGGTATAGTATATAGTATATGTAATAGACTATCATTATGATTATATTAATTTAATTATTTATTTAGATTACAGAAAATATAGAGAAAAAATGTAAAGATGTATTTGATAAATATTTATTAAAATCTATAATTAAATGGGCTGATAATATTATATTTAAATGGTTATCGATTATTCTTCTTCGTGATGGACAAGACAGCACGGATTTCAGAGCAAGAGGACAAGATGTCTTTGAGCAATGGCGCAATAGAATGGAGTTTTCAATCTATGACAACTTTTCACAGCAGAGGATCAGTCAGTTGTTTGATATGATTGTGCAGTTTCCAGACAGCACACCGGCATTGGAGGACTTGGCCGTATGCTACCAAAAGATTCCTATCCAAAAATCACTCATAGCAAGCTTGGTGCGACAGTTCAAGGCGCGTCTGTTGCATCCGGGTGCCAATACAAACGACATTATCACGCAGTTCATATCGACTATACAGGCAATGAAACTGATCGATCCAACATGTTTTGTGGTTGATGCGGTCGGACACCCCATCCGCACCTATCTCTCACAGAGAGAGGATACTATCAGATCGATCATTTCAAGTTGCACCGACGAAGAGAGTGATATCTATGCCGACTTTTGTCAAGTCGATCAAGACACGGACCACACCACCGCCACCAAAGGTGACCATATCTGCGACGGCGATATTGACGTTTACATTGATGACTATGCAGATCAAGACCAAGGTCAAGACCAACAATCATCAAAAACAAAAAAGAAGAAGCAGTGGCAACCTGCAACCAAAGAGTCACATCCAACACTCCAAATACAAAAGTATAAAGATACTATCACTAGTTTGGTCAATATCTATGACAGTACCGATTTGTTTGTCAATGAGTATCGTCTCATGCTCTCTCAAAGACTCTATGCAATGACCAACTATGACGACATTGACAAGGAAATCAGAAATGTAGAGTTGCTCAAACTTCGATTTGGCGAACACAGTCTACAGAGTTGTGAAATCATGATTAAAGACATTCAAGATTCCAAACGTCTCAATCAACAAATATCCAAACAATTCAAACAATCAAATTTCTCTTCACTCATCCTCTCCAATTTATTTTGGCCTACCTTTAACAAAAATGAAGAATTTAATTATCCTCAAAATATTTTAGAGTAATTGAAAAAAAAAAACAAAAAAAAAAGAAATATATATATATATTTATTTATTTATTAATCTACTTTTCTCTTTATTTAGTCAAATGGAAAACTTTAACAAAGAATATCAAAAAATTAAAGCTCCAAGAAAACTTGAATATCATAAACATATGGGATTTGTTGAATTGGATATTGAAATCAATGGAAATATTACTACTTTAACAGTTTCACCAATTCATGCTTCAATTATTTGTTTATTTGAATCAAAAGGTAAATATTTATTTATTTATTTATTAATAATAATATTTAATCATCATTTTTAATTAATAATTATTTCTTTTGTTTAGAAATATTAACATTGGAAGAAATATCAAATGAATTAAAAATGAAATCAGATTTGGTTAAAAGAAAAATAATTTATTGGATTAATCAACAAATATTAATTGAATTTGAAAGAGGTGTATATAAGATTGTAACAAGTGACAAGGACAAGGATGATGATGACGACCAGGAAGAAGGATTTGGTCAGACAGACTCTGGTACAACACAGGCAGGAGAGGAGGAAGATGTCGATTCATCAGCCAACAAGGAAAAGGAAGAGGAGCAATGGAATGTAGTCGAGAACTTTGTGATTGGCATGTTGACCAATTTCAAATCAATGCCAATCGATAGAATGCACAATATGTTGACAATGTTTAATCCAGATGTTTATACTAGTTCCATGACCGATCTAAAACAATTCCTCACTAGATTACAAAATCAAGATAAAATTGAATTATCTTCTGGTGAATATAAAATTAAAAAGTAGATAGATAGATTAGAAAATAAAAGGATAATATTTATTCCCTAATTTAATTCTATGTATAATAATAATGATGTTCTCTTCTAATTAATTAATTATTATATATTGGTATACCTGTAGACCCTGTACCATTATTTAATGGTAATGGTGATGATTGATAATTATTATAATTATTATTATTATAATTATTGTTATTATTATTATTATTAAAATGGTTAACAGTCCGACCACAAGTACAATAATCTTTGTAGTGTTGTCTCTGACGATATGTTCAGTACTACTACCACCGGCCTCCTCTGAGGAACTGTAATCACTGTTCCAAGACATATCACTGCTCCAAGATACATCGTCACTACCTCCACAACTTGAACCGGTAATGATACATTGAGAGCTTGGATATAGGATAAAACACCCAAAGTCACTAGACTGTGTCCCATTTTTGTCGGTATTCAAGATGATCCGATTGTGAGCGTCCAAATAAACCTTTGATTCTGTGCAGGTGACCGAGCCCCCGTAGTCATACGCACGGTTTTGTTCTATCGTGGCGTTGAAGAGAACCAAAATAGAATTACCATAGATGACAATACCGCCATTGTTAGTTGTTGCCGAGTTTGCAATGATGCGTGAGTTGTGAATTCTGACAAACGACCGATTGGCCCATATCCCACCTCCGACGGTGGCGACGTTGTTGGCAATCGTCACTCCGACGAGCGTGACAGTGGAGCCTTCGGCATTGATGGCACCGCCATAGGTGGCGTTATTACTCTGTATCACAGTGTCGGTCATTGTCAGTGTGCCGCTAGTCACTCCGATGATGTTGGCTCCGTTGTTTTGGGCAACGAACGAGTTGTCAATGACATAGACGTAACTCAAGAAATCAAGCGCGTCGAGATTAATAATAATCATCAATACCTGGTTCCCGACAAACTCGCAGCCACCAGATATATACGTGTTGGTTGACAGGCAATCAAGCACGTATAGAACGGTATTGGCAACAAACTGGGTACCGGTTGTCAGGTTGAGCAACTCCACATAGTTGATGGATACGAGGTATGCGATGTTATTGCTGGCGAAATAGCTTCCTTCAAACATGACAACCTGGCCGTAATAGACATACACCAACGAGGAAGATCTCGGCGGTAAGTTGATCCCGATCATATCGGTGTTGCTGATTACCACCGAGGTACCGTTGACAATCCCGATAGAGGCCGTGGGAAACTCTGAAGTGAGCCGGTGATAGACAATTCGCCCCGCGCCGATATAAATCCGGCTCCACCAAGACCAATACTTTGAAACGTGCAGTTGTCCAACCCAAGATACCCGCTCGATAATGGTACGTAGCCCAGAAACGATGAAAACTCTGTGCTTGTAGGCGAGCCTGTAAAAGTGATGCCCGTCACCTGTAGGCCAGATTGATTGGCGAGTAAAGCAAAGTATTGCGTCTCTTGTGTAAAGGCATCGAGGTCGATCACCATTGGTTGCAGACTGCGTTGTAATGGTCACCATTGTTTGTTTAATGGCTAAATTGCCATTCCTCGGGCTACTGTAAACCGTTGACTACTACCATCACAGAATCCAAAATATAAGATGATCATCTTTGTAATATCCTATCATCATTGGGATCTCTAGAAATTTCCTTCAGAGATTGGAATCCAATATAGAATTGCGAATACTGTATGTGGTGCATGTCTACTTAGAACTGATCCATTGACTTTTCTGCTTTTGATCACCATTAGGTCAATACCTTCAAAGATTCATTAAATTTCTAAAGTAGAAGATATTGCTTGCATAATTTCTAAATAGATATGAATTTCTTGTACTTTCTAATTTGAATTATATTGGCGTCTAATACTTTTTATTTATATATAAATATATTAATACCTCGACTCGAGAACAATGACTACAGTTTCTTTCTCCAAAGAAAAGTTGTTCGATCAAAACTAAAAATCAAAATATTATTTTTCCTTCATTACTAAAATGGGAGTGGTCAGTAAACCCAGAGTGAGTGTTTGTTTGAATCATTGCTAACTCGTAGATAGATAAAGTTTGTAATACTACTGCAAAGATAGAGTAGAGAGGAGGAAGAGAGAGAAGAGAAGAGAAGAGAAGAAGAGAGGTAGAGAGTGAGAAGAGTGAGAAAAGAGAGATATTATATAGGATTCAGAAAGTGTTGTTTAGTGTTGTTGTAAACAACCATATAGATAGATAGATAGACATGGCAACAAGTTGTAATATTAAAGTGATGGCTAGGTAAGATTATACTATACTATTATAACTATACTATACTATACTAAATAGAGGATATATGCTAATCTAATCAATCGCTTAACTGTATGTACTTTTAGATTCCGTCCTTTAAATTCAAAAGAGAAAGCAGATACATCATCACCATGTATAGCTCAGTTTCCAGAGGAAACACAGTTGGTTGTGAATGGGACAGGTCCTCATAGAGACCAATCGATTCCATTTACATTTGATAGAGTGTTTCCTCCAGAGACGACACAAGAGGATATATTCCAACAGTTGCAATCGACCATTGACGACATCCTCAATGGCTACAATGGCACCATTCTTTGCTACGGACAGACGTCCTCGGGCAAGACGTTCACCATGTTTGGACCGGACGACCGCGAAGACGTCGAGAATCAGGGTATTGTGCCGCGTGCCAGCGTTCACATCTTTAACCGCATTGCAGAGGATCCGAGCGGATCAGAGTTTACCATCAAATGCTCATTTGTAGAGATTTACATGGAGATTATCAAAGACCTTCTCAACCCAAAAAACAAGAACCTCAAAATTAGAGAAAGCAAGACAAACGGTATTTGGATTGAAGGTTTGTGCGAGGAGTTTGTTAGTGACGAGAATGAAATCATGCATCTTGTGGAATTGGGTGAAATGTCGCGATCAGTGTCCAAGACCAACATGAACCAGCGGTCGTCGCGGTCGCACAGTATCCTCATCTTGACAATCGAACAAAAGTCGCCCGATGGAAGTATCAAGCGTGGAAAGTTGAACTTGGTTGATTTAGCTGGCAGTGAAAAGATTAGTAAGACGGGTGCTGAGGGTCAGACACTTGAAGAAGCTAAAAAGATCAATCAGTCGCTATCGCTACTCGGAAACTGTATCATGGCGCTGACCGACTCGAAACGTGACCATATCCCATTCCGTGATTCCAAGTTGACACGTATTTTGCAAGAGTCGTTGGGTGGCAACACAAAGACGACATTGATGGTGACGTGCTCGCCACATATATCCAATCTCGAAGAATCTATATCGACGTTGAAGTTTGGAGCTCGTGCAAAGATGATCAAGAACACGGTCAAGATTAATTCACAAAAATCGGCTGCCGAGTTGACCAAGGAACTAGAGACTCTGAAAATGTACACAAACTCGTTGGAAAAGTTGATAGAGTATATGAAGTCGCCAGACTATGTCCCGGGTAAATCTGCATTGCCCGATCTTGCTATATTGACCGCTGCACAGCAACAACAACAACAAGTGCCAAGTGCGTCAACGACAGCGGCAGCCAAGACAAAGACGGCAAGACATTCGACTGCGTTGTCGGGCAGCGCTGCGCCGGGTGCGCCAACGGGCAACCATGCGGCGGCAGGTGGGTCGTCACCCAACCGCCACTCGGTCGCATATTCTCAGTCTCCCATGTCGGCGATATCGCCACCCATTGACTTTAACCCAATGGCAATGGCAGACATGTCGGGACAGATTGACCGTATTCGAGAAGAGTGTCAAGAGATGATTGACAAGTGCAATGACGAGATTTCAGAGATCAAGATTAAATACGAGACAACGACAGAGGAACTGATTGGTGTGCGATCCGAACTAGAAGGTGCACGCGATACAATCAAGCAAAATGACGCCGATCAAAAGGGCGCCAAGGAAACAGAGCGCAAACTTCTCACAGAGGTTGAAGGTCGCGAGCTCAAGATTCACACGTTGGGACAGCAACTCGAAGACTACAAGATGTTGGCTACACAGGTCGTGCAGTATTTGGAACGTAAAAAGGTGACCGACGAGTACTTTGAAGGTGCCGATGCAAACGATTCGTCGTCACTATCGACCATGTCGCGTAGTATATCGTCTACATCGTTTGATGAAGACTATGACTTGAACGGCCCAGAAAACATCAATATTGAAGAGGTTATTGGAAACCTCTCCGAAGAAGAGGTGCTCAGTATGCAGATCAAACTACAGCTACAAACCAAGGTCAACATACTCGAACAACGCGAGCTGCAATTGTCAGAGGAACTCAGATCGATAGAGTCACTCTTGACCGAAAGCAACATTAAATATTCAGAGATTGAAAGAGAAAAGAAAGAACTAGCAATCCGATTACAATCTCTTATGGAGACACAAAGAGACAGACAACAACAATTAATTTCAACATCACAAATTAATTTGGGTAAATTATTGTCAGGTGAAGATCAAACAACAACAACGTCGTTCTCACCTATCACCTCATCACCACTATCACCCATTTCACCATTGAAACACAATTCAACCGAAAACATCCTAGATCTATCGTTGGACTATCAAAATGGTCACAATAATAGTAGTCTACTAGATCAATCAATATCTTCAGATGTTTCAATACACCTACAACTACAATTGGAACAAAGTGAATTGGATAAAAGAAACCTTGATCTATCTGTTGTTCAATTACAACAAGAATCAAGTGAATTAAAAGAAAAAGAATTAAAATTATTACATGAATTAAAGGTAAGTTAAAAAAAAAACAAAAAAAAACAAAAATATAATATATCTAATTTAATTATTTTTACTTTAGTTATCAAAAAATGCAAATGATAAACTTTTACAAGATTTCCAATTATATAAAGAGGATATTGGAATGAAAACTAAAATACAACAGAATCAAATGACTAATCTTCATAATGAACTAACAAGTTTAAAGAACAAATTAAAACAAGAAAAGAAAATGAAAGATCAAATTCAAAATCAAAATATTTCAGTGTATGTACAAAACATAATAGTATATAGGTGATCAAATATAGATATATTAATTTAAATTTAAATTTATTTGTTTTGGATAGGTCAAAAAAATTAAATGATTCTATTAAAATTCATGAAGAGACTGAAGAAAGAATGAAAAAGGAATTGTTATCAAAGGATAATGAAAATAGTTTATTAAAAGAACAATACAACAATATGGTGGATCAATGTGAAGATCTACAAGAGCAATTAACTACGGCTCACAGACTATTGGTTAGTAGAAAAGTTGTAAAGATTGTACGCTCGGATGAGAAAGCCCAGAAGCGAGCCTACGAAGTCAAAGAAGATTTTGGTCAACATACTTTAAAAAAGACTGGAAGGCAATTATTTTAAAACCAACCCAACCAGAACCAAAAAAAAGTGATTGGTATTGTAATATTTCCGCCAAGTTTTGTATTGATAATAATAATAATATACTCTTTTAAAATAAAAAAAAGAGAGATAATAAAACCATCTCTTTTATATATATTTATTTATTTAAAAATGTAATGTTGAACTAATCTGTCATATTATGAATGTGGGAATAGTAAATCCAATGCCGATAAGCCAACGTTGATCCTATTTATTATTGCATCTTCATATGGAATATGACAAAGGAAGCCAACTGATTGCCAACATCTGTTGTTCCAATTGAATACAATATTGGATTCCAAAAAATATATAAGGGTTGGGTTCCAAACAAAATTAATATAAATAAAGCCCGACGTCACTGTCAGAATTTTGGTATATTATATCTTCATCGTGCCACACTCACATAACTATCAGTACATTCTATCCAAAATTTCTATTACTTTTACCATTACCTCTAATGTTGATACATTGTGATCATTTCATGGTATCAAGGGATAAAATTTTTTGAAGGTCATGACGCCACACACAAAACTAAAGGTACATTATTACAGAATCTTCAATGACATTATACTTGGATTACTTCAATGATTGAGTTGTCCACATATTGTGTAATTCCCTAGACCTTGGACCTAAACCGGAATTTTCGACGATAGATATATTGCCCATACAATGATACGATATTATATGGTAGGTAATAGTAATCATTACAACAATCGACAGATCAGAGTTATAGAGCATTGGTTTATCGTATCATCAAATTATCAACAACAAACTAATAGTTAAATCACAACAACAACAAGCAATCAGCACATACGCACAATGACATGGCTCTCAATTAAGATATTACTGTAAAGTGATTATAATTACCTTCAAAGCTACTGATCAATCATTGAACCTCCAAAAAGAGACAACAAAGATCAATCAATGATATCATTAAACACCTACTAATAGAAATCATGCTTGCATATCACAACATAAAAACCAAAACAAGTATTATTATAAAGATAATTGAGAGAGAGAGAGAGGATGTATGCGAGATTATGATCACAACAAACAAAAGAACAACTTGACCATCACATTCTCTCTCGAATTGGTAGTTCAACTGTCTAATCACCACCACCGCCACACAACATATATATATACACCAAAGCCAAGCAACAACAACCAAATCATCAAAGTATCCGAAATAATAGAGTGATTTGTATCGGTATCGGTCGTTTGTGTCGATGCTATGCGTGGTGATTGCCTTTTTTTTGGTCAAAGAAATTGGCTTTGATTGATTGATTGTTGGCATCGATCGGTCATCAATGCATGGGATGGGAATCACTCAAAATGATGTTTAGTCAACCAACTGTCGCCAAAAGTGACATCATTTAAAAGGAGTGATAAAGTGTATAGTTTGACATTCATAAAAGCAAAAGAGAGACAGATAGATAATAATAATAGATAAATAATACATCACAACAATGTCACATTTAATAGTAAGAAGCTGTTTTAATGCTTTTATTGTTTTATATTGCACCTATTCATTGTCAATATATATATGAAAACATAACACGTCTTTGGCCAACTTCAGAAGGAGGAAATGGTCACAGATGCTATTAACCAATGTACAGGCTATGGAAGCAATACATTTAAATCATATCTTGTCACACTTGATTCAAAACAAGAATGGGATTTTATTAAAACAAATTTGTCGACTACAACGATTGCATGGGTCTCTGGTCGAGACATTGGAGGCACCGGGAATTATTCCTATTCAAGTGGACCAGCAACCAATCAACCATTATTTAATATGTACACTGGTCAATGTTGGGGTATGTCTATTTAATAGATCTTATCATAGTATGTGACAAACAATTCTATTCAACCATTCTATTTGGTGGAGACTATGAAACAGTCAATCAAGTAATGATTTGATAACGTAACAATGGGCGCAACCCCAAATGCTCCATATATTGGTGCAATAGAATCTGAAAAAATGTATAAATGTTTCAGTCAAGCATTGAATATCAAAGACTACCCTAACTTTAGATTTTGGCAGGTTATCTCATTCAACAACAAAGATGGTAGTTTTACAAGAAATAATGGCCCTTTCAAAGGGACACTATCTCCATTGTATTATTATAATGATACTTCAAATGTCACACCATCAAATAATATTCTATATAATATTTATGGTGAGACGATTTCATCCAACATTGAAAATGTTAACTATTACACACCATTGATTACATTTAATATAACTGACGAACCGATCATTGACAATATTACTCGTATTATACCTGGAAAAGCATCACAGGCTACGATCAATGGTAATCATTTTGGAAAAGATAGTTCATATGTTTTGATAAGCATTCAATCAAAACAATGCAAGTCACCAAGTTTCATTGGAGAAAACTATCAACAAATTACTTCCTCATTGGATAGTGTTGAACCTTATTCAACCGATCTAAATTATACTGTTAAAATTGGAGTTGGTGAAATGCTTACAACCAAAGTTGTATCTCTTGCGAAAGAGTGTCTTAACAATTGCTCGGCACATGGAATTTGCAATGCCACGTTTGGGACATGCAAATGTAACAGTGGTCATGAACCCCTATTGGATTGCTCAGCATTGGTTAATCGCAGTCAATTACTAAACACAACCGTTTGGGATAACGGAGTGTCGCTTCTATCCACCGATCAAACTATTACTGGTATTGTTGTCAATTTTACGACTGGAATTCAATTCATTCGTGAAATCAATCATGACCAATCAATAATTAAAACAATATCAATGGATAATCTCGTGTGGACGCAAGGGGAGGAGAAGACATCTGCCAGTGAATCGGTATTTAATGCAAGAATGTTCAATCAACGCACACTATTACAAGTCACAGTTGGTCAATACCAAGACACCAACACCACTTCATTTCTTGGAGAGGATATTCAAGTATCACCAAATTCAGTCAAATATCGAATCAAAATCATTAATTGGGTATGGTCATCACCAATCAACACATTGCAGGTGATATTCCATACACAATCAGATTCAGTAGAATTTGACAAGTGTGGTAAGCTAAAAGTTAGAAGGGATATATCTCGTGGTGATCAGATTATATGGACCAGAGTTCAAGTTGGACGACCACTTTTAAACTGTAAAATTGCAAGTAGAATGGTTATAGACAACTCGACAATCATTCCATCCAAAGTAACACTTCTCACAAACGATGATCCAGTCTCTCAACAAATTTGGAAAAGTTGAGGATTCAACCTTTTAACCACGTTCCACATACCCCAATTTAGCGAATCGGTTGAACTGGATCCCGTCTTCAACGCACTCATTCTTGGTGATGACTCCAACTTGCCATTTGAGTGTACTGAAGAGACTTCTGATCAATGGAGAGTCATCATGATCTCTGTTGTCTTATCAGTTGCAATTTTCTCTATTATTGTAGTGTTAGTCATTGTATTCACAAAGCGACCACCAACAAACAGACCACCAAATAGAGAAGCCCCAATAGAAATGGATATAATTTCAAGTTCAGAGGAAATCAACACCCACCAACAACAACAACAAAATAATTAATAATAATAATAATCTAATAAAAATAAATAATTAATTGTATAAAGAATGCGATATCTTTTTATTTACTTATTTAAACAGAAATTGACCCTTTACGGAAATCCGATTTGGCTATAATGGCATTAATTAAAACTGGAGTATTTTGTTGAGCCAAGATTTCTTTAGCCTTGATCATGGCACTTTCAAACTGTTCATCAGTGTCTGCATGGAGTCCTTGCCCACCAAAAGCTTGGACCACTTGGTCATAATCAGTATAGGCGAGGTTGCATGCAACGTCTGAATGAAGTGACTCTTGTTGTTCTCTGAGAATCTGCATCCAACAGGCATCGTTTCCTACGATGGCTCCAATAGCAATCTTGTGACGAACAAAAGTATCGTATTCGGGGATACTGTACCCACAAGCACCGTCTCCAAAGATGATCCATACATCGTGGTCTGGTTTGACCAACTTGGCGCCCAATGCAAAACCTGCAGCTACGCCAAGAGTACCAAACGATCCTGGATCCAACCAACACAATGGTCCACGTGGACGGACAATATAGGCAGCACTGGCAACAAAGTCACCTCCATCGGCCACGAGAACCGTCTTGTTGCCAAGGTGTTGGTCAAATGTCTTGAGTAGTCTCAATGGGTTGAGGAAGTTCTTTGGTTGGTTTGGTCCGGTTGGTTTGAGTAGTTGAGAGTCGTCTTGTGCCTTGTCAGAGATTTCTACGGTACGTTTAATGTCGAGTTTGGCAAGTGATTCAATCCATGAAGCCCATGCTTGTGGTGGGTCGAATCGATCGACCTCGGCAGCCAATTTCACCAAAAAAGTTGCTGGATCAGCGTTGTAGCCATAGGTTGGCGAACGGTTCTTGTAGAGATCGCCAAAGTCACGATTGATCGAGACGACCTTGGCTGAATGACCAATCGACTTGCCATAACCAAGACGGAAGTCGCAGACGACGCCAGCCAAGATGACAAGATCGGCAGTCTTGAGAGCATGTGATCTGCAGTGACGGAAGAGACGTTCGTGGTTGGCACCCATCAATCCACGGGCAGAGTTACTGGTAAAGACGGGGATGTTGAGGCGTTGAACAGCGAGTTGCAACTCTTCAGGTGTGATGGCGTCCTTGCCAATACCTCCGATCAGCATAGCCTGTGCACCGACCACAATCACGGGACGTTGAGCTTGTTTGAGGAGACGTGCGGTATGCAAATAGGCACTCTTGGACGACTTGACCACATTTGGCTTGTATGGTGCGGGGATGAGTACATCCGACTGATACACTGAGAATATCTTGTTGAGATGGTAGTTCATGTAGGCGTTGATGATTCGACCTGACAACGACGTTGTAGCAGACGCATTTTTGAGGTACCATCCAGTGGCAACGGGTTGGGGGTAGAGCGTGTCGATGGGGAACTCTAAAAAGACGGGGCCGGGAGTCCCACTCTGTGCCTCGAAGAATGCCTTGCGTACAGCTGGCACGATATCGGCGACACGTGACACATGAGCACTCCATTTGACATGTGGACGCATCAATGCAAACTGATCAATGTCTTGTAAACTTCCCTTTCCCTTTAACAAGTCAGATGTGGCACCACCGATCAAAATCAAAGGTGATTGTGCCATTTGTGCGTTTTTAACGGCAGTGATGGTGTTGGTTAGGCCTGGACCGGCAGTGACTGCAGCGACACCTGGTATACCCGATAGACGGCTGACAGCATCAGCTGCAAACACAGTCGTCACTTCGTGACGCACATCGATCACACGGATACCCTCTGCGTCGCAACCAATGAGAATAGGCGAGATGTGTCCACCAATCAAAGTAAAGATAAACTTGACACCGTGGTTTTTGAGTACCTTGGCAATCAATCGACCACCAGTTGCCTGTCCATCGAAATGATACACCTCTACATTCTCTGATCCCGTCACCATTCTATTATCATAAACATGTTTAACCAACAATCCACTTGCCAATACTCCCGCTGCTCCAGCAGCTGCTGATGCTATATAAATTAATTGTTTTTTTGAATCCATTGAATATCTAATAATAATAAATATATAGAGAGTTTAGATGTATAGGGATAGAGATAGAGATAACAAGAATGAAAAGATAAAAAGAAACAAATAAAATACACAATGAGGTAGGTAAAGGGTGCGGCTTTAAGTAGGGGAAGATATTAAAAGTCTGATTAAAAATCTATTAAATTTTTATCTCTCTCTTTTACCGTGAGCGGAGTGGGGTTTGGAAAGTGAACTTCTGATCATTATACTAATTTATATTAAATTTTGAAACGAAAGTATTGATATTTTTTCATCTTATTCATTCTTTATTTGCTTCATCATTCATTATTATTTGTAGATATAAAAAAAAAGATGAAAATGAATAATGATAATATAGAAGAAGAATTCAATGATAAATTGAATGTTAAAGGTGAAGAAGTTAAAGATGAAGATAGAGTCAAAGAACAACAACAAGAAGGAACAACATCGACAGAGGAAAAGAAAGAAAAAGAAATAATTAAAGAAAATAAAAGAAGTAACATCTGATAAAGAGACTATAGCAAAAGCAAATGAAACAAAGACAAAAGCAAATAGAATGTATACTGATGGAGACTATGATAAAGCAATTCAAGCATATACCGAAGCAATCAACTCATTGGTACAACCAAAGAAAATAGTCGAGATTATCGAAGAGGAGGATGGTGTAGAGGGGAGTGGTGGAGACTCTATACTTTGCAATGAAGAAGTTGCAACCTATCTAAGTAATCGATGTGCTTGTTATCTTCAAATCAAAGATTATGATCGTGTGATAGAAGATGCAACAGAAGCTATCGATTTGAAACCAACACCAACCATTCATATTAAAATCCTCTCACGTCGTGCTCAAGCCTACGAATCAACAGAAAAGTTAAACGATGCTCTCAATGACTACAAACAAGTTTTGGAAATGGACAAGTCACACCAACAGGCTCTATCTGCAATGCGTCGTCTACCACCACTTATCAAAATCAAAGAAGAAAAGGAAAGAGAGGAGATGATGGGTAAATTAAAAGATCTTGGTAATAGTTTATTAGGAAAGTTTGGTCTATCAACTGATAATTTCCAATTTATTAAAGATCCAACTTCTGGTGGTTATTCTGTTAATTTTAAAAAATAAGTAGAATAATAAATTAAATAAACATAAATTACAAATTGTAAATATAAAATACCAATATTATATTATATTATTATTATTATTATTATTCATTATTTATCTGTCTGTTTTGTTTTGTTTTTTTATTTATTTTGATTTATTTAATTATTTTAGTATAAATAAATACTTCACCACTTCTAAATTGTTTTAAAATTGATTTATATTTATATTGGAATGATGTATCTGATAATTGATATCCAACTCTATCCAACATTTGAGTTATAATATTTTTTGAAACTATAAATTAAAAATATTAATATTTATATTTATCTTTATCTTTTTCTTTTTTATATTTTTCTTACCATATTTTAATAATCTAAAATGAGGCCTAACAGTTGGTAAAACACCCAAACAAGTTGGGAATAATTCTTCTTGATTTAAGATTCGTTTAATGAAATAGGGATCCTCAATGACAGAAGATTCAGAGAGTACTGTGGTACTTTGATGTTGAGCTTCGATACTGTCCAACGTCATGACTAGGTCTAGTAAAGGTTCCAAAAACTTTTGAATGATTTGGAATTTATGAATATAGGTTGCATTGTCTTTGGTTTCTCGATCTATGCTATTAGAGACACCGTGGTGGTGTACTACGGGGAATGACAATAGAATAAATTGTGATAGTGCTTCAATAGCCCAGACAATGTGTTGTGTGTTGGATAGACATTGTCTAACTTCACATTCGTATACGTTGAAATCCATAGTGATTCCAGTAGCCTTTTGAACCAATTTAACAAATTGTTGAAAGAGTGGTGACTGTTCCAAAAGCATGGCTTGTTGTAACTGTTGTTGCTTTTGTTGTTGTTCGACATAGTATTCTGGTGGTACTTGAAGTTTTGTGACTAGTTGTGTCATGATGCTCTGATACTCTTGTAGAATATTAATAATGGTTGGTTGATCACCCAATGAATTCTTTAAATCTGAATATAAACTCTTTCTTCTTTCATCCTGGTGTTGTGAAACATATAATAAATCTCTCCATGCATGATGCTAAATATAAATCGTTGTTATAAAAAGTTATTAATATATTCTAACCATTCACTCATAATTATGTAGGGATACATACCTTTACCAAAGGGTCATCTGAGATGATACCAAATAATAAAAAGATGTTTGGATTGTTGACAGTGATAGTTGTAAATTTATCAGTGATGAATCTCATATTCTTGGAGACGAACACTTCGTATAATCGTTGTCTCAATTGGTATTGGAATAATAGTACCATTGCAAATATCCAAAATTTACTTGCAAATGATACAATTCTTAATGGGAATGTTTTAAAGAGTATTCTATAGAAAATCAAAAATAGATATGAAAGTAAGATTAGATTAGTTTAGTGTCTTTTAAAGTATGTATAATGTGACATACAATATGATTGAACCATAGAATAATAATGAAACAAATAAATAAAATGAACTATAGAATGCATTCCAAAAGCATGAATAAATGGATGACTTTGTTTGAAGCATTAATGGAGTCTAGAAAGAAAGAAATTGTACAATAGTAAGTAAATTATGACAATTGAATTTCAATTTGTTTAAATATATTCTACATACTTGAATCTTTGGAAAAGAGAATACATATTCAAAGTTTGAATAGGTACGATACAACATTGTCGATACAATAGCAAATGAAGATAAAAGGAAACAATAATAGAATGGGTTACTATAAGAATAACATCCTCTAGAGAAATAATAGATTAAATTAATTGGAGATTAGTATATCAACATGATCAGTGGATAGATTAATCTTGACTTACGACTCTAAACAATTTTCCATGATCACTTTTTGTAAAGAGAAAGAGTTGGTTGACAAGGTAAAGAGGTATCGCAACATAAGAGGTTGTGAAATAATGATCGATGCCATATAGATGTAATGGTGAATAGTTAGACGAGTAAACATCTCACCAAATGATGCTGGTACTTGTCTAAAGACCGATGTGATATTTCTATAGAATAGGTTGATCAATAATTGAAATGATATATAAACCAAATTTGACCATATATTATAACCTATATTGGATGGATTGATTGTTAGTATTTCTATTCACAAGGCCTTGGGATGTGTATACATACTTGATGATAAATACTTTGAAAGTAAAATCATTTGAATATAAATGAGTACAGAGTACCAAACAGAGAATGAAATAAAGGTCCAATGCTTCCATTCAACCATCTTGTTATTGAAATCTCTAATTGCATTTGATACTGTTGGTGTTGCTTCTGCTGATGCTGATGCTGCTGCTGATGCTGCTGCTGCTGCTGCTGATGGTTGAGATGACAATGATTGTTGTAGCTGTGATGCTTGTGGTGGTAGTGGTGGCTGTAGTTGTGACGACGACATCATAAATGATGATGGTATCGTCGTAGTCGATGACTGATCATATATCGTACTATTATTCATTCCACACACACACACTCTCTCTCTCTTCTCTATCCCCTCTATCTCTATCTCTATCTCACAACAACAACAACAAGAAAGATTTGAAGAATTGCATAGTTTGAAACTATCGTCAGTGATCAACCAAACTTGGCGCCCCTTTTTTATTTATTTTCGAGAACTTCCAAACTTGTCTTTGTATTATTACTACTCTTTTATTATTATTATTATTATTAAATTGAAAGTTAATTATGTATTACATACTTTTTAAACAATAATATATATTTAAACAATGATGTGTGTGTTCATTGTGGAAGATAGCTAGGAAAACCCAACAATCAAAAGATGGTTTTATAGTTTAAAAGAAACAGTAGGTATCCTTCCTTGAACCAACAAAACCATCTTTTGATTAGGGTATCAAACATTGGTTTGAATCATACCTACAGTAACAGATCTGGAATTCATGAACAGTCTGTTGTCCTTCATCCAAGTGTTAGTGTTTCTGGTGGCCTTGTATCTTTAGCAAAGGGGATGCCAAGGCTGGCTTCTGGTTTGATATTAATACGTACTTGACTTGTTTGGGACACAGTTTGTGTATTGATATCGGAATAATCCAAATTCATTGTATCTTCACTTGCTGTACTAGTTTTGGTCGCTTGGTTATAATAGTGTGTTGTATGTAAGTTCTTCTTCTAATCATTTTAATATCTGTTAGGGATGGTGTTAATAAATGGTGAACCAAATAAAACGAAATCGATCCTGTCCTCGCAAATTTAACTAAAATTCATCGATTTTCGTAAAACATTATAATTTAATTAAATAATGCTCATTATTGATTCTAGGTTTGGTTTAAAAGGAGGACATGGTTCTACTACCATACACAATAAAATATTTATTTCTTTTATGATTATTCTAATTACTATATTATTATTTTTACATCAACACAATGGTGATTGATTAATGACCACCAGCATGGTGCTTAAGGTTATAAATGGTGTCGTCGCCAACTGTATCCTTGATCATCCATTCTGATTGGGTGATGTCTTGGTAGACTGATTCTTCAATGTCCGGGTTCTTGTCGAGGATCTCTTCCATGGTGATGGTGAGGAGTCTGTTCTTAAAGTCTTCGACTTCGGCCAACTTGGCTTGGATGGCCTTAAGGTTGGCATCAACGGTTGGGATGACTGCGCTAAAGTCAGCAATCTATATATTATATTATTGAAAATGATTACAATATATTAATATTAATATATCACTGATCATCATATGATTATTACTAAATATTATTATTATCATCATCATCATCGCTGTCTTGTCTTGTTGTTGTTGTTGTTGTTATTATTATTATTATTCTATTCATTCATCAATCTTCATATCATCATCATTATCATCTACATTAGTCGTTCAAAAATCTAAACATTTAGATCGATCTTTGATCTTTTCTGTTTTAAAATGTATTATACATCTGTATCTTTTCTTTCTTCTTTTGCTGTTGCTGTTGCTGTTTGTTTCTGTCTGTCTGTCTGTATATCTTTATCTTTATATTTATCTTTCTGACTGTGATGATGTTTATGATGATGATGATGATTTCTTTTCTCTTCTATACAATGACTCGCTATCTCTATCTATCGCGATGATAATAATAATAATAGTTGTCAATAGGTTGATTGTTTTTTTTTGTCTACATACGGTAGCATCGATAGTTGATTCAACAGCAAGGAGCTTCTTTTGTTCTTCAGCTTCCCAAGCGTCGATTGATTCAAGAGATTTCTCGAGTGAAGCCTTGAAACCATCGACAATGTGAGCGTCGATAAAGTTCTTTTTGAACTCCCAGTTGATCTCAGAGTCTTGTTCTGGGAGATGTGGAAGGATTTCGAGGTTCTCAAACTCCTTGAATGAGTTTTCATAGTCACGGTAAGCCTTGGTGAGCTCTGGATCGACTTGGAGCAATGGGTTGTTCATGAGCTTTTCAAAGTAGACTTCGAATTCCTCGTCTGGGAGTTGGTCGAGATTGGCTGGACGAACAACCTCTGGAATGACAATAGATTGGAGATTCTCTTGTGAAAGGAATTGTTCCATTGGGGTGAGGTGAACGGCTGCTGGTGCAACAGCTGCTTGAGCTGGTGAAGCTGCAGATCTGAGTAATTTTAATGTATTTCTAATCATTCTCTCTAATTATTCGATCTATCTATATCTATATACTGTGTTGTTGTTGGTCTGCAGTAATGTAAAATAAACTACTTCTGTGATTGATGATGATGAGATGAAACAATAAACTATTAAAACACAAAACTCTCAAACCAAACTGAGAGTGCGAATGATCACACAGGGTGAGGGAGTTGATTTTTTTTAATTTTTTCATTTTTTTTTTCATTGTTTCCGAACTTCTTCTTCTCCTCATCTTCCTCACAAACCAAACCACTTTCAAAAAGAGATACATAAATATGTATCTACTAGTAGTATATATTCTCTATCTCTCTTCTATCTTTTATCTCATCTACATCCACTTAGTTGTTCAAACAGTCAACGAACATATCTAACTAAAAGTGATGAAACAAAGATGAGTTGCATCCTCAGACTACGTCCAAAAAAAAAAAACCAGAGATAAATAATGTTTGTCAGATTATATATATATGTGTGTAAAAATATAATATAATATAATACTACTATGTTTGTGTACACACATTATACTTTAGAATAGGTTTTTTTTTTTGTTTAGTTGGTGGTTAGTTTTACAAATCAGGAAAGTTTTTTTAAATCGCAATGAGCCAATGACTGTCAATCTTCCACCTTATCTTTATATTTATTGTAAATTGGGGTGTGTTCAACAAGTTCAACAGACAGACAGACAGACAAATAATATCTGCAACATTGTAGTTGGTTAGTTGGTTGGTTTGTTGGTTAGTTAGAGGTTTTTTTTCTAAACATATCTATTTATTATAATTTCCCATTCTTTCTATCATCGTTCCATCAAATCTCTTCACTTCATCACAACACAAATCATTTTGTTTAGATACATATTAATATTAAATAATCAAAAGGTAAATAATAAATAAATAATAATTAATTAATTAAACCAAAATAAGGTTACTTACTTTCAAACTAAACAAACTAACCAAAACCAAACACACTCTACTCTTAGATTTTTTAACCTAAAAAGAAACAGTTTTTTTTACCCACAAAAAGAAATTAATTAATTAATATTAATATTAATATTCTACGCAAAAGTAAAATATTTGGGAGTTGGGAGTGTCTATGACTGTGCAGACCAACATGAAGAAACTTTTTCATAAATTAAATGATTATTATCAAGATTTAACAAACCCAGTCGATACTTTACCAACTACTCGTACAACTCCACCACAAGATAGAAAGAATAATAATAATAATCAAAATCAAATGTATAATAATACATATGCATATGGCGATCCTCGTCAACAACAACAACAACAACAAAATCAACAACAACCAGGAGGATACCCACAAGCCGTACCTAATAACTACTACTCTTATCACCAGAGTTATACCGGTCCACCACCAACCACCACAACAGGTTATTACTCACCACCAAAGAGTGTAGCTACACATTCTGGTAGCCAACAATACTATAGTAACCATGGTCAACATCAACAAGCTCCACCTCCAGTTCCACCAAGACCAACTCAACCATACCAATCTTCATCATCAAATCCATCTGCTCAACAACAACAACAACCAAATCAACATCCATATCAATCATATGGATATGTAGCTCAACAAACTACATCACCAACACAATCAAGATATAATACTAATCCACAACAATATCAACAAACAAGTCCATCAAATAGTCAACAACATGTTCATTATCATCAACATCATCATTACTCACCTGATATGGGATCAAGTAATGCAAGTTTAAAGAAATCACCACCCCCAAGAGGTGATACAATCCCACCAATTCCAGGTGCATATGGTGATGGTGTCCATGATGATACTATTGCAGTCTCAAGATATATTCAAAATTATCCTTCTTCTCAAGTTCCCATTCCACCAGTATGTAAAATATATAATATTAATAATAATAATAATAATAATAATAATAACAAGTTATTAATAAGAATGTTTTTTTTTATTTATTTTTATAGGGAAACTATTTAATTACATCATCAATTAGAATAACAAAAAGTAATATTCAAATTATTGGATCAAATGATGTTAAATTTATTGGTAATTTTGCAAGTTGGGTAAATGATCCTCCAATGGGTACTCATTTTATTCATGATGTAGATTATATCTTTGTACTGACTGGTGACAATATTCTAATCAACAAATTGAATCTATACAATTTCTGTCAGAATTCAAAGAGTGCAGCTGCCGTTTTACTGTTTGGCAATGGATTTGTGATGATGAATTGTTTACTTGACAATTTCAATCAAGGTTTGGTATTTGGTAGAATGAACATTGGTGATGGTCGAACCAAAGACATCTCATTTTCAAACATCAAGGTGACCAGCAACCAAATCACCAATATCATTGGGTTCCCAGGTGGCAGTATTAGTTATGGTGACGGTATCTGTTTCTTTGGATGCAAGGATGTGGTCATTGCTAACAACTATGTCTCTGCAAAACCAGGATGCACACCTCGTAACGGTATCAATTCTGGACCAGAGGGTTATGTCACATCGACCAATGTAAAGTATGACAATAATACTCTTCGTGGTGATTGGGATTACCCCCTCACTACCGAGGGTGGATCCAACTGTATCCTATCAAACAACGATATTCAAGGTAGCAACAAAGCAGGTATCATTGAAAGAGGTACCAATATTCAAGTGATCAATAACAAGGTAACTATTCAAGCTAGAACTCCCGGTGAAGATTGTGCTGCCATTAATCTCTATGGTGTAGATCAATGTTATATTTCTGGAAATGTAAGTAAAATAGAAAGAAAAGAAAAGAAGTATATTTAATTAATTATTTTATTTCTTTTTTTAGACATTGGGAGGAGAAGCAAGATATGGAATTATTGCAATGATTTCACACGAAACGGCAGGTGGTAACCAAACAGTGATTGAAAACAATACGATTGAAGGAAACTTTTTCTCGTGTGTCTATTTTGGACAAGGAGTCAATGATGTGACGGTAAGAGGTAATGTGATTTTGGGAAATAGTACAAATAATGATAGTGCAGGTGTACAGTGTTGGTATGCTACTGGTGTCAAGGTCATGTCCAACAATATCAACATTCCCAATGGTACTGCAACTCTTTCACAAGGTGCTTCGGACATTCAAATATTAAACAATACAATGATGACATCACGTGCAGGATGTTATGTATGTCGTGAAAGTAAATGTGTCAGCGTAGAAGGAAATGATTTCCTAGGGATCACACAATCTAAATTTGGAGAATCAAATGATTGTCAAGATGTTGTTTGTAAAAATAATCATGGTATTGATACTCATCATCAACATCAACCACCTCAACAACATCAACATCAAATGTAATTGTAAATGTAAAATAATAATATCAATCACAATCAACCAACCAACAAACAAACAAACAAAAAAATATCAATTATTTATTTATTTATACACATTTTTAATAAACATTATTAATTTATTTATATTATTTATTTATACAATTATTATTATTATTAATTATTAATTTGTTTTGTTTTTAGAAAAGAAAAGTTGGATTATAAAAATAAAGGAATATTGCCAATTTGATAAATACACTCATTGCAACACAAGAGATTGATGCCAATGATATCTTTCTGGCAGTTGAACTATTTGATGATACAGTCAAGAATCCACCAACCCATATTGGAAATACGAGGAATCCCATGATGAGAATAACAGTTGCAATTATTTTATCAGATTCCTTTTTCTTTTCATATTTCATTCTCTTGATGTCATACTCTGAGTTTAGAGTATATGCCAATGTATCTATTTTTCTAATATCGAAAATACTCTGTTGATCCATTGCTTGAAGTTTGAATTTAAATTTTTTAACAAGAGTAAAGAAATAATATCTTCATTTCTTCACAGCATCCGAATAGATAAGTAAATTAATGATAAATAGATATTATAGAAAATTCCAAAAACACAACACCAAAAGAAGAACTAAACACATAAATTGTGGTGTGGGTCATTTATGTATATAAACACTCTACATACAAAGTAAAGTGAATGAAAAATGAACTTCAAAAAAAGAGAATTCATAAATTAAAATTGAACTAAAGTGAGCCAATCAGATAAACCTTTTTTGATCATTCATTACATTACATACAAGATATCAGAGATATATAAAGAGAATTAGAAAGATAGATTAATGATTTCATTAAAGCTATTTAGAAGTGCAACGATACTTCGTCAATCAACTACCGCGACTGCTACTGCAGGTAGTTTAGGTAGTTATGTTTCAGGTCGATCATTCTTGTCATCAACTACTATTACTACTACAACTACTACAAGTCAATTAAACAATAATAATAATAACTATAGATTAATAACATCACCATCAACTAGTATACTATCATCATTTACAATTAATAATAATAATAGTAATGGTATTCAACAAAGATACATGTCAACCAAGAAGAAGGATGATAAAGGTGAAGAAGTTGTTGTAAATGATAAAGATAAAGAAAAGAAAAAGAAAAAGAAAACAACTGAAACGTCATCAACTACAACTACTACACCAAAGGTAGCAAAAAAGGTATCACCATTATTGAAACAATCAAAACTACCACTCAATGCAGCCATCCCTAAAAAGAGAGGTAGACCATCTGCTGCATCAGTAGCTGCTGCTACATCATCTTCATCATCATCATCATCATCATCAACCACTACTGAAAAGGAAAAAGAAAAGAAAAAGAAGACAGTTAAACCTTATATTACAAACCCAAAAGATAGGAAATTCCTTGAATCAATGGGTCTACCAACAGGTGCCCCAAAACGTAAAAAGAGAAACAGTCTTGGTGATGTTCAAGTCAATGTGTTGGCATACCCAATCTTTGAAAAGGTTGTGTACCCCGGATCGTTTGCCTATTTCCCTATTAATGACAAGGACTACAAGGCACTTGGATCACCAGTACAATTGGCCTTGTTTATGGTGACACCAGAGATTCGTGAACAGTACGGTGGAAAGAATCGATCGGAATTCCATCTCACCTCATTGGACCAAATCAATCATACCGGTGTATTGTGCGAGATTAAAGGACAGGGCAAATACATTGAAGGTATCCAAAGAGTTGAAATCGATGACAAAATCTCTGAGCGTAGGCTAAGAGAGGACCGTGAAAAGGAGGAAGCAAACCTTAGACAATTGGCCAAAGAGTTTAAGATTACCGTCACACAACCACCCACTCAACGACCACTCAGAGTTGTTGCAACCAAAATACCAGACGATCCAGTCAAAGATCGCGATCAAGTAAAACTTCGTGCACTCTCTCTTCAATTGGCCAAACGTATTCAAATGCTATCACTCAAGTTCCCAGAATCATCGTTTACTCAACAATTCCAAACACTCTCTGAAAATTATAGAATTAGAATCTTGGAAGAACCTGGTAAAATGTCTGATTTTGTTGCTTCCCTTTGTCGTGATTCTCCAATTGATTATCAAGTAAGATAAAAAGAAAAGAATAATATTTAATTAATTATTTATTTACTTTTTATTTATTTTTGTTTGTAGAAAATAATTGAATGTACAGATATATTAGAAAGATTAGAATCTGTATTACCATTGGTACAAACACAATTTCAATTAAATGAATTTAATTCAAAGATTGAAAAACATATTGATGAAAAGACTGCAAAACAACAGAAAAAGTTCTTTTTAACCGAGCAGATGAAGATGATTAAACAAGAGTTGGGCATTGAACAAGATGAAAAGGTGACATTGAGCAAAAAGTTTAATGAACGTTGGGAAAAACTCAATGTCAAAGATGAACAAGTCAAACAAGTGTTCAAGGAGGAAATGGACAGATTGTCAAGCTTGGAACCATCATCGTCTGAATACAATGTAACTAGAAACTATTTGGAATGGATTACATCGTTGCCATGGAATGTCACTACCAATGACAACTTTGATATCCCATCAATCAAAGCATCACTAGATAGAGATCACTATGGTTTGGATGATATTAAAGAGATGATTAAAACATTTATTGCAGTTGGAAAGTTACGTGGATCAGTTGGTGGAAAGATCATTCTATTGGTGGGGCCACCAGGAACAGGCAAGACTTCAATTGGAAAGTCTATTGCTACGGCACTCGATCGTCAATTTTATAGATTTTCGGTGGGTGGTATTTCAGACGTTGCAGAGATTAAAGGACATCGTAGAACGTTTGTTGGTGCCATGCCTGGAAAGATCATTCAAGCTCTCAAAACTGTAAAGACATCCAACCCAGTCATTTTAATCGATGAAATTGACAAGATCTCAAAGGGTAGTCACAGCGATCCATTTGCAGCTCTCCTCGAAGTATTGGACCCACAACAAAACAAAAACTTTTTGGATCATTATATGGATATCCCTTACGATCTTTCAAAGGTTTTGTTCATCTGCACTGCCAATCTTACTCATCCAATCCCTGCTCCTCTCTTGGACAGAATGGATGTAATGAGATTAAATGGTTATATTCAAGCTGAACAAATTGAAATTGCAAATAATTATATTGTACCATCAGTAAAATCTGAAACTGGTATTGGTGATGTAAGAAAAAAAAAAAGAAATTATAAGAAATCAAATCTTAACTTTTATTAATTTATTAACTATTTATTTTTTAGGATAAATTAATGATAACAAAAGAAGCAATTAAACATTTATGTGAATATTGGTGTAGAGAATCAGGAGTTAGAAATTTAAAGAAAATGATTGAAAGAATGTTTAGAAAGGTTGCATTTAAATTGGCATCGAATCCAGAGTCAAATGAACTCATTACTATTACACCAGAAAATTTAGAAGAATTTGCAGGTTTACCAAAATATAGAGTTAAAAAATACTATCAAACTCCTGTACCTGGTATCGCTCTTGGTTTGGGTTGGTCTGAAAATGGTGGTGTCCCACTCTATGTTGAAAGTGTTGTCGATCTCTATCAACCATCAGCAGGTCTAAGAGCAACAGGTTCACTTGGTGATGTAATGAAAGAAAGTATTGAAATTGGTTATACCTATGTTAAAAGATATTTAGAATTAAATGTTGATCCAAAAAACAAATTTTTTGAAAAGGTAAAAAAAAGAAGAATAAGAAATTTAAAATTGTACATAGAAAATCAAAATTAATATTTCTATTCTCTTTTTGTTTAGAATGCAATTCATATTCATGCACCAGAAGGAGCAACACCAAAAGATGGACCAAGTGCAGGTATTACAATGATTACATCATTACTTTCACTTGCGACAGGTAAGCCAATTCAACCAAATTTGGCAATGACAGGTGAAATCACTCTAACAGGCAAGGTCATTCCAGTTGGTGGTATCACTGAGAAATTGATTGCTGCCAAGAGAGAAGGAGTCAAAAAGGTTGTCCTACCAAAAGACAATAGAAAGGAATTAGAAGATATCCCAGAATTTGTAAAGGAAGGTTTACAAATCTATTTGGCCAATTATTACTCTGAAGTTGCCGATGTTGCTTTTAATGAAACTCCAACTCTTCAACCCGTCGAAATTAAAACTAGAAAGTCAATTGATTAAATATTGAATAAAACATAAAGATGTCGCAACTTGTAACTTTATTGGAATTGATCAATATCAATTTCTTCATCTTCTTCTTCATTATTTTTCTTTTTAGATAATAAATCCAAAGCATTTGGAAGTTGTTTGAGATCTTTAATGTTGACAGTCATAAAGTCAAATGCCATGGCAATACTGTTGTTCTTTTTGTCGCCAATCAGTGAATGAGTGTCGACCGATGGATATCTTTGGCTGAAATGACTGAGGATGGTACGGTAGCAGTTGATACGTTCGGATGTCTCGATGGCTTGACCAAATGTGCAATGGGACTTGGCCTTTGCAAACTCGTGTTGGTCATCGGTAAAGGTGGCCTCGTGGATAAAGACAGTGACATCACGTAGACCATTGTAGAGAGCTGGACAGAATGCAGTATCACCTGAATAGGCAACCGACCACCCACTAGTACTCTTTATTTCAATACCAGTAGCACCAAAAGAGTGAATGACATTGATCACCTTGAACGATTCGAGGGATAGGTGTTTTTTGAGGAACTTGGAGAGACGGTCGACACGAGGATCGTCAGATTCATGGATGTTTGGAGTACGATAGTACTGTACATACGACCAAAGATTCTTTCCAAGTGTTAGAGAATTGTGTATTTCAGAGATATAGAAACGAGCACCAGATTGAGATAGAATGGCAAGTTCACGACGTTCAATGTCGTCCTCGGCCACTCCCAACTTGTCCAATGCCAAGTGTCTCATCTCTAATATCTTTTGAATACCTTCATGATGATCAGTATGCATGTGAGAGATGAAAATAAACCTTAGGGCTGCAAGTTTCTTGGTTGTCACCTCTTCACCATACTTTCTAAACATTTGAGAGTAACTTCCACCTCCAACATCCATCATGATACCTCCCTTTTCAAATAGATCGAGATAGATACATGTTTCATCACGATACTCGGAAGATTGAGAACACCCAGTTCCGAGGAATACAATTTCCAGTTCTTGTCTTGATAATCCTTCAATCATCTTTTCAACCTGTTGGACATATGGTGATGGTGATGATGGCGAGGAGATCAACAACTCTTTACCACTACTTTCTTGAATACCATAAGAGAATGAAGTATCTACACTCTCTGTACACATGTTGGCATCTAATACTGGTGATTGGTCAATGGGAGATAGAGGATTTAAAAAGACTACATGTTGGAAACGAGCTCTGTCAACCTTGTCAGCATGTTTAAACACGTTCTTGTAGGTGATTGGTTTTTCTGGATAAGAAGTGTGAAGAGGATGGAAATAGGTTGGTGCAATTTCATGGAGAGCATTGGTCATTTGAGCCGATTTGACAGTGAGCTCGTGATAGGCACATTGATCGTTGAATAGTAGGTGACGCCATCTTGACCCAAATTTGTTGATAAAACTAGTGTACTCGGGCGTGTTGATGAGTTCTTCAGACACCATGTGACACACCAACCCTGATCTCATTTCCTTTTGATAGAGATCACTATCTTCAAAACAGTTGGCTTGGATGGTGGGGTTGGTTAGGAGAGCTTGGAGATAGGATCGATGAGGAATACTGATCACCAAGACGGCGGGACCTATCACACTGGGCGACATGACTTGGTCGGGTGTGACAACGGTGCCATTGGCAGTTGTAACAGGCTGACCTTTACAAATCTTGGCACGGAGGGGGCCGGCAGGCACACCCAACTCGATGGCACGTTGATTATCAAACTTGCCAACGATATCTGGTAAATGTACAAGATAACACACGATATCAGACATACCTTCCTGTCCATTCTCGTCCAAGTTTCTTCTGTGTGGTTCCAACGTGTGCACGTGAGATTGTACTGGTCCAAACACCTTGTCCTCTGTAAACTTTTTAGCACGCATCTTCATCATTTGGTGACGCTCACGCAGTGTGATGGGAGTGATATTATCGATTCTTCGAATCAATCTAAAGTGTCTGCTCTCGATGGCAAAGAACTCGTCTTGTTGTTGAGACACACGAATCGTACCATTCTTGAACGACTTGTTGTGTTGGTCACTTTCAATGAGTGGTCCATACAAATAAGCCTTGATGTCCTTGTAGTTGGCAGGTCTAAAAGGTAGTCGATCCTCTCTTTTAATGTCTTGTTCCAACTTCATCAACTGATACACTAGGTATTGATCGATTTCATAGGTTGTCACTGACGGATGTCCAGAATAACTATGAACAATACTTCCACGTAGCAAAGTCCAATCATAGAATGATTTGGCTTGTTGCGATGAATTCTCTCCAACCTTTAATTTGAATTGATTGTTTGATGCCAACTCTTTTTTAAATTGATGAATGAAATTATATTTCTTTCTTTGTTTTAATGGAGTTGGTGAGGTAGTTGTATTGGACAATACATTGGATGGTTTTAATACAATTGGATAGACTGATACATTTTCATCACTTAGACAAATATCATTTTCAGGAGTACATTCGGTAATGTGAATACTCTTCTTCCCTCTCCCAATATAATATCGATGGGATAATATAGCATGAGATGTATTACTTGGTCCAACTACTGAAAAGTCACTTCTTGTTCTTAGTAAATAATCTAACAAATTAAAATTAGGATTGTTTGGGGAGAGATACAATGATTCATTATGCTATATATATAGTTGCAACATACTTGGGAAATCAGTCATGGTAGATGGAGAGAAATGAGTAAGGAACAGATGATTGGAATCAAAGAATCTGTTTTTAGTATTCTGTCGATTGATTCCATTTCCAAGATTGAATACGTATTTCTTTTCTTGAGAGATGATTACGATAGAGGGATCTGTATACCCTCCTCCACTTGATAATATTTTTACACCAGCTTTCATCTTTTCAGTCTCTATTCGTTTGCTATCAGTTTCTTTTTGTTGTTTTTGAGTTGATGGTAGTACTTGTTCGGTTTGCTTGTTTGGTTGTTGTTTCTGTTGTTTTGGCTGTTGTTGTTGTTGTTTAGATGATTGATCATAATCACTTTTGAACCTTTTCTTTATATGTTCTTGTGGTTGTTGATGCTTATGCTCTTGATTATTATTACTATTACTATTATTGTTATTGATACAATTGTTTTCAACTACTTGATTGTTGTCTATAGTTGTTGTTGTTGTTGTGTCACTACTAGTATTATTATTAATATGATTTATGTTCATTTTGTGTTATTGTACAAGGTGTATATATATGTGAAGTATTGGTCTCAGATAATTCTTGAGAATGTGAAAGGAAACGATGAATGCATTCATCAAAAACAATTGGCACTATGTATATTCAATATTATTAATTTATTTTTTTGCGAACTACTCAAGTATATATATTTGGTTTGAAATTTCAGCAAGATTTAGTTAATATATTTATAAATATTAAATAAATTAATTATCTGGAATGAGAAACAATTGGATATTGATTCATCAACCATCCATCAATTCGGAAAAGAATATCAACTATCATTGTCAAAAGTTGATTTCTTTAAAGAAAGTGTAATTATTATTATTATTATTAATTATTAATTTGCCAAAGGATTCCAGTTATAATTGCTAATAATGATTTATTATTATAATTATTATTATTATTATTATTATTATTGGGTGTGAATAAATACATGATTTGTTGGGTGTTGTTGTTGCTGTTGCTGTCAACTAAATTTTCTATTATTATCTAAATTGTTAAAATCTAATTCTTGGTGTTGTGTGTCTGCTGATTGTTGTTGTTGTTGTATTATTATACCAGATTGTTGTAATTCTTCTTGATTTGATTGCCAAGATAGAATTTTGTGATAGATTGGTAAGGCATCAAACCACGGGTTCCAATTGATGACATCACGATGATCACAATTTTCGACGATGGTAAAGTCATTGCCCCATTGTGCACTCTTGAGACTGACCAACCCGTCGTTTCTCCCTTCAATCTCTCGAAGGTATTTGTTGGAAAAATAGAGTGGCGAGTAAAAGGGGACATCATCTTTACAGGCACCGTAGCTGCTATAGATGACGTCTGGACGATCTAGTATCTGAGGGTTGAAGCATTGTGTCATGTACTCTGGTTGAAGCTGATCGAACCCGTCAACCGACACGTCTAAATATTTACAAATCTGTTCGATCCTCAGCTTCTGCTTGAGGTTGAGGACGACCCATCGCGCCATCTCGCTGCCTCTGTGCGGTGTGCATATAGTCGCCAACGACGTCACGTCCATCTTGTCGTCGAGTTTAGAGATGAGGTATCGCGCGTCCAACCCTCCCATACTATGTGCTACCAAGTGAACTTTGTTTTCTCCATAGCGCTGCTGTATCTCTTTGATCTGCGATACCAACGAATGTGCCCGTTTCTCGATCGTGTCGGTTGGATGCACGGCGGTCGCTTCAATCTTGACACCCAGCCGCTTGAGAGGATTGATGATATTCTGGTAATAGACAAACGAACCAATCTCTCTGAACCCCAGCAGTCCGTGAAGCAACACCACCGGTCTCTTTGGCACCACCAACTTCTTGACTTGAAGAAGAGGGTTCAATACAATATTTGTTGTCATCAATCAATCAAGTAAATGTAATCTATCTTTCTATCTTTCTTATCTCCTCCTATTTTAAAAAAACAAGTAAATACAAAATAATAATAAATATAAATATCACCTGACCTGTGACCTCAAAAACATGTCGAGCTCATTTCTAAATTTATTCTGATTTTTAATATATTTTCTTCTAGCTATGCTTGTAACTAGAATCCTCGAAAATGAATTCATTTAGTATTAGTATTAGTGCACACTCTAAAGAGATAGATAGATAGATAGATAGAGATAAATTAAAAAGAAGAAGATGGTTAAAAATCAAAACGACCAAGCAAAGTTGAAGCACCATCATCGTCATCGTCTTCACATCATCATCACCCTGTGATACCAATGACTATAGTCTGGGACACTAAAGACGGCAAAGTGCAATACCCATTCTTGTTTACTGTTGGTGGAGAAAACAAACAACAACAACAACAATGTCAGTTTACAAGAGCATACAAAACAGATAAAGAAAAAGGTGATCATTGGTACCCACGTGTACCTGATAAACATTCGTTACAAACCATCGAACCATTAGAGACTCATTTCGAAGTGACAAAGGAAGAGTTTTCATCCATTGGCTCATTCTCTGCTTATTGTGGCCATTCCATCTATATCATTGGAGGTAAAGGTACACCAAAAAGAATAGTCAAGGCAAAATACCAAGCACAAGAGTCCAAGTTGGGTCAGTTCAACATAATGCCATCTTCATTGCTCTATGATTGCTACAAGTCGGCGTGTGGGCAGCCACGCTCAGAACCACAATTCTTCTATGTGATGGGTGGCAAAAAGGACGGCAAGGCATTTGCAGAGTGCCAGCGATACGATGCCGACCAAGGATTGACAATCAAGTTGGCCAGTCTCAATGTGGCACGACACTCTGCTGGCATCACATTTGACCATACCGCCCAAATCATCATTGTCGCTGGTGGAGTTGGTATCGATGGCAAGGAATTGGATAGTATAGAAGTATACGACAAGTTATTGGATCATTGGTTTTTAATAGATCGTCGTCTAGGACTACCAAAACGAAACATTCATATTATAAATGACGAAGATACCAGTAAAATATATGTCTATGGAGGTAGATCAAAATCATCATCACATCATGATGCCAATGGTGAAAGCCTCGAGGAGGAATCACCATTCTCTATGATGGAAGATTCCATAGAATTTATAGACAAAGATAATACAACATATTATACACAAGTAGAGACTGTTTACTTGATGAATAGAGGAGATGGTAGGAACAACAATGTAGTGAAGGGGTATTCTGATACGGTACCCTTTAACTTTGAACAATGTGTATATGACCATCAAAATGCAATTGCCTATTTGGTGGGTGGCACTAGGATATCCAACGGTCAACCAATCGAAATAATACATGCTGTCTTTATAAAGGTAGATCCTACATTGGTTCAACCTCACTTTACCAATTTATCAACACCTAGATCAAAACATACCACTTGTTTTATTAACCTAACCCATTAGGAGAATAGAATAAAAGGAGTATCCATAACTGTCAAGATGATCAAAAAGAAGGGATTCTATTTGAATAAATTCAATTTCAAAGGTTTGCCCCTTTTTTTTTTGCTTCATTTATTATTTTGATTGAATGGTTTAATTTCAATTGCCAATTTACAAATTAATTATTATATTATTATCATTATTATTATTATTATTTTTATTATTTTTATTATTATTATTTTCCATTTCAACAACCAAAAATCAAAATTTTTTTAAATTCCTTGGTACCAAGTAAGAAAGGTTATACAGAGAGTAGTAGATAAGATTATTAAATTAAGATAAATTATTTTATCCCAATGCAAACTTCACAAACCAAAATAACTTTCAATTCAGATATGGGAATATCAACTGTAGAAGGAATGGGTATGTATTTATTTATACTCCTCCATCTTGATTCAAATCTAATTTAAATCTTTTCTTTTCTTTTCTTTTCTTTTCCTTTCTTTTCCTTTCTTTTCTTTTCTCTTCTTTTCTTTTGGGTAGCAACTGTAATGGCTGCCCCCTGCATCTTTCCTCCTCCTTGTTTTATTGATATCCTTCCAAATGGCAGACAAACTGATGGCCCAGATATTTGGAGTTTGAAACGAGTGGAGGTAGAATCGGCCACCTTCGAGAGAAATGGACAAGTCTATGAAATTCCAAATTCGTCTGTTGACTTTGAAGATGAAGATGGTGTGATATCCATCAGAATGATGTTAAAGGAGCCACCACAAGGTGAAATGCCACGTTAAAGATTTTCTATCTTAAATTCACAATTTAAATAAATAAATAAATAAATAAATAAATAAATAAATAAATGTAAATTGATTAAAATGGATAAGTAGATCCCCAAATATCTTGCAATCATAAATCACATTACAAAAACAATACCTATTAATGATTAAAAGGAATCTCTATACATTAAAACAAATCCACCATACACATTATACATTAATAATATTGATTTTTTATATTTATTACATTATTACAAAACATATATAGAGAGAGATTGGAAACATCCATTTTATGAAAAATAAAAAAATATTATGTACATTGAATAAAATAATAAATGGTATGTTGTGATTGTCCAATAACTTTGTAATTATTTTCAAAGTGCTAATAAAATGAGGAATAATCGTTACAAAAAGTCCATGTGTTTTATGACCCACTTGACAATTGACATGAGACCTTTCAAAAGATGGTCTCCAATTGCCTTTAATTGATCCCACAGTTTTTGAAGAATCGATTTGCATCGATCTAAAAATGATATCTCCTTTACTTGCTCTGGTACTGGATTGTTGTAGACTTGTACTGAAGTATAGACTGATCCTGGATGATGGTAGACTGGTCCTTGATAGTAGACTGATCCTGGATGATGGTAGGCTGGACCTGGATAGTATGTTGGACCAGAGGTATAGACTACAAGTCCAGACTGAGCATTATAGGCAGGAGCTCCTCTTGGTGTGACATAGGAAGATGAGGAGGCACTTTGGGATGGTTTGAATTTTCTCTTCTGTTCCTCCTCCTTTGATTGTAATAGTTCTTTTACACTTTCGAGAATTGATTGTCTTCCTTCTTTGCTTTCTAATGCCATTTTGATGGATGATTCTGCGACATTGTCAAAGTTGGCACAAATGATTTTCATTTTTACTTTCTGTTTGATGATGTTCTACAAAAGGAAATAGAAATATTTTGGTATAATTGTATTTCCCCATTGTCATTATCTACACAGGTCTATAAATCAAATAAAGTCTATATTAGACATTGGTACACCAGAATTGCCTCCATTCATCGGTTGTTGTCTTTAAAATTACTAATTATTATTATTACTATTATTTATTTTGTTGTTGTTGTTGTTGTTGTTGTTGGTATATATTATATTATATTATGTTACATTATAAACATTTAGTATGAATGATAGAAGGACCATATTGTTCATATTCCTCTTGTGTGATCCACATTTGTTGAAATGATGATAGACTGCTTAGTATACTCGCACCCAACCACACGGATGTCATCCTACTGAATCCAGCAGTGTCGCGAATCTTGATACATTGTTTAAGAGGAGATGGCGCCAACTCGACCAATTCTTTATGGAGTCGTGCGGGGAGACCGGGGAACATGCCCGTGCCGCCACTGATGACAATATTGTTAAAGAGACGGCGTCGCACACTCTCATCGACATCACACTTTGTGACTGATTGATAGAGACAGTCTTGGATACCGCGTGCCTCTAATCCGATGTGTTGTGGTTGGAAGAGTGCCTCGGCGCAGCGGAACCGTTCACTGCCAACATTGATGTGCTGGCCATCGGGCAACACATACGTCTGGTCTATATGTTTGGGATGTTTAGCCATCTCGATGTCATAGTCTAGTGCGACATACCCGTACCGCTCCTTTATATCACGCACAATCTCGAACTCGGCCGATGACACAAACAAGTATCCTCGCTCGGTCAATAGTTTGAGCAGATGATGAGTAATGTCGCGTCCGGCAATATCCAGTCTCTCGATGGCAGCTGGATACGTGTGACCTTGGTACACTGGCACTGTATGTGTCACACCGTCACCCGAATCAATCACCACACCTGTTGTCAGTGCCGACGCATACAATGATACAACCGACTGTATGCTAACGTAGACGGCGGGCACATTGAAATGTTCAAACATGATTTCAAACATCTTTTCACGGTTCTTGTGTGGATTTAGAGGTGCCTCTGTGAGATGTACCGCGTGTTCATCGGGAGCAGTTCTCAACTCGTTATAGAATGTATGATTCCAAATCAACTCCATTGCATCCCAATCCTTGACGATACCATGACTCAACGGATACTTTAGAGCCAATACCCCCCGACGTTGTTGCGCATCCTCTCCCACCCAACTATCTCTCTGATTACATTCTAATATAACACTTGGGAATCTAGAATACCCAATACAACTTGGAAACATAACATTTGGTGATGAGTGTCCTTTAAACAACAAAAAAAGAAACAAAACAAAATCAAAGTTAATAAATGGTCTATAAACATTTAATCATCGATCATTTCAAAATACTACATACCTGCAAATCCTGCTTTCATTACACCTGATCCATTATCTATTACCAAAGGTTGACAATAATCCATCATCATCATTCTTGTTTGTTGTTATTGTTATAGTTTGTTGATTGTTGTTTCAGGTTGGTGCTTTGACTAGAATGATGATATTGATTGATAATGATCAGGAAGAGGATAGGACTGAATACTGCGACAGCTACTTCTTATGCTACCTGCATAGTAGTAGTGTCTTTTACAATCGTAATAAATTATCATTATGTTCCCAAATTGATTTAATTTGTGTAGAGAGAGTAAAAGTTTCTTGGTCTATTCGACGAAGAAGTACTCAACCCATTTGGTGTTTGTTTTGAGTGGATGGGTTTTTTATTTATCTTTGTACCAAAATTCATTGTTACTCATCGTTCATTCATTAATGACTAAAATTAGATCGATCATTCATTATATATGTATAACTATACAAATACTATGATTATTATTACACAAATACAAATGATGATTTGACTAATTAATTAAATTATTTAAAATCCCGCAAAAAATAAAATAAAAAGTATGCGAGAAAAACGAACGAAGGTTGTAAGTAATTAAAACTATTATATTAGATAGATAGATAGAGGAGATAGGAGATAGAAGAGAGAATGGCAAGAAATATTAAACAAGATAAAGCAAAAGGAAGAAAAGTAAAAGCAAAGAAAGATGTTAGATTCAAGAGAACGGCACCAGTCAAACAATATATACCAAAGAAAAAGATAGAAGAGGAAGGCAGTGCCGCTGAATTGGCAGCACAACAAAAGGAACAAGAAAGAGTAGAGATGAAACGAAACAACCTCAAGAATATATTACTTCAAAATCAAAAGAATCATTTTAAAAAGGAACATATCGATAAAAAAGAAATCACTAAAAAGAAACAACTAACCAACAAGATTGACCCTGAACAACAAAAGAAGAATCTATGGGTGTGTACTTTAAATATAAATACATACATGCATATGAGTAGACATGTATACTCGAATATTATTTATTCTAACATTATATATATTTTAGGCACCAAAATCATTTGATGTACATTATACAACTGAAGATACATATGTTGAAAAGACGACGGAACAAGAATTACAAGAATCAGCTAAAAATGGAGAAATGTCTGGCTTTCAATTGGCAATTAGAGATCATCTAAAAGGTGGAAGATTTAGATTCCTCAATGAAAGTTTATATACCAAAGATAGTACTGAATCACTTCAAGAGTTTGAAAGAGATCCTTCATTATTTGATCAAGTATGTTTAAACTTGAAACTTATAATATTTAAATTTAAATTATTATGTAAATATTAATATATTTATTATTATTATTATTTATTTTAGTATCATATTGGATACCAAGAACAAGTTAAAAGTTGGCCTGTACATCCATTAAAATTCATTATTAGAGATTTAAAGTATGTTTGTTATTTAATATCATTTTGGAAATACATATAGATATTAATATTTATTTATTTCTATTAGAAAATTAGGAAGAATAACAATAGCAGATATGGGATGTGGAGATGCAGAATTACACCAAAAATTAAGTTTCAAACATACAATTTATTCATTTGATTTGGTATCGACCAACAAACATGTTACGGCATGTGATATTGCCAATGTACCATTGGAAGATGAAACAGTCGACTATGTAGTATTTTGTCTATCGTTGATGGGTACCAACTACCCCGATTTTATAGCAGAGGCCAATCGTATTTTGGTCAAAGGTGGAAAACTAAAGATTGCAGAAATCGAGTCTAGAATCCCAAGTAACAATGCATTTGTCAGATTAATCTCCAAGTTTGGATTCGATCTTGTCAGCAAGGACACTCGTAACCAATACTTTTTCACATTTGAATTCCAAAAGAAATCATCTATCAAAGAGAAAAATATTGTTATCACCGATGCTCCAACTGTATTAAAACCTTGTCTTTACAAGAGAAGATAAAAGATAATAGATAAAATAAATACATACACATTTATAATAATAAATCATTTATCTAATATTTAATTTAAAAATCATGTTGAACACACAAGTACGAAACAAAATGAAATTTCATCATTAGTTTGTTTGTTTCATTGTCAACAAAGAGATAATAATTATAATGGTTGTAGATAATAATAATATATTATTACCTTTAATATCAACTAAAGTATTGTATAGTCCATTCGATGTGAAATGGGTACCTTTTAGTAGCTCAGTATTGACTGTTGGACATTCAAAAGATAAAGGTGATATTCGTATCTATCGAATGTCTGATATAGATACTACCAATCAATCATCAAATACATTATCATTACAAAATGAAGTAGGTATGATCATATATTAGATGAATCAATCAACTAAAGTATTAATACTAATGATCTGTTTGTATGTAGAGTCGATTTGAAAATAAGATTAGATGTTGTAGTTTTTTTGATTCAAAGAATCAAAGTAATAGAGGTTATTTTGTTTGTGGAGACTTTGCAGGTCACCTATCAATATGGAATATTGATCGAATGGATTCACCAATAACAACAATACCAAATGCTCATATTGGTAGTGTTAATGCAATCGATTGTGGTGGTAATAGTAATAGTCAATCATCATCTGAACTATCATATTCTATTGCAACAGGTGGTAGAGATGGTAAAGTAGCACTATGGGATTCGAGATCATCATTTAAATCAGTCTCTTCAACTCATTCATTTTCACATAATATTAGTCAAGGCAAATTAGATTGTTGGTCCGTTTCATTGTTTGGTAGGTGTCAATATAATATTATATATATATTCTATTATTAATCGTTTTCATTTTTCTTATTAATTGTTAATAGGATCAAATATAATAGCAGGATATGAAAATGGTGATATAAATGTATACGATATTAAAACAAATAGATTGGTTAGTAGTACAAACTTTGGGTTTGGTGTGAGTAGTGTCAATGTAAATGAAAGACAAGGATTGGATAATATAATGATTGGAGGAAATGAGTCACAGCTTTTGTTTGGATCAACGTCAAATGATGGTATCATCAAAAAGACAAAAGAGATTAAAGGTGATGGTATTTGTAAATTTGTTTGGAGTGCTCGATACTCTCCGCACAACCCATCCATCTTTTCAATCGCTGGTAACGACGGAACTGTCACAATGTATGATAACTATAAGAAAATGGATCAAGTCAAACTTGGTGAAATGCCAATCATCGCATTAGACTATAACAAAGATTTCCCCAATTTAATAGCAACGGTCGCACTCAATAGATTAATCTCTATTTTAATATCTCCGAAATAAATAAATAATAAATAAATATTTTTTAATTCCTTTATTTAGTTGAAATGATTATTTAATTTTGATTGATATCTAATGATATTTTTAAATTCAATGGATCCATTTGGAAAGTTTTGAATTGATTTAATCCAAACATAAATAGCAATATCTGCAATTGAGATATTATCACCACAAATATACTGACGATCTTTTAATTGATGATCCAAGATGCTGTAGAGTTTAGACAATTCATTACTAAATCTAATTGATGCTTCTTGTACCTTTTCAATACCAAATACATTGTAATAGTTGTGGTGACTTGACATTGGGCCAAGAGTACTTGACTCCCAAAACAACCAATTCAATACCTCCAATCTTGCTTTGTAGTCTTTATCTTGTTTGGGAAGATATTTACCTTGACCATCATACTTGTCGACCAAATACAAAAGAATGTTTGATGATTCAAACAATTGAATGTCTAAATTGGTGTCTACTAGTCCTGGAACCTTTGCATTTGGAAACATCTTTTTGTACTCTTCTGTTTTCTGTTCACCTTTCCAAAGATCAACTTGTTTAAAATTGAATGGAATATTCAATTCTTTTAATAGTAATTGACATTTTTGAACGTTTGGTGATGTACTTCCATACAATGTAATCTAAAAAAAAAAAAAAGGATAGAATAAAAAAAAAGATTAGAAAGAAAGAGGGAGAATAAAAAAAAACAAATATATATATTTATTTATCTTACATTATTATTTGATTCCATTTAAATGATTTGAATGAGAGGAAGGAGTGCCGAGTCTCCACTTAAATACTTACCATTTATCATCTTGTGTCATGGTTAAAGAGGGTGATCTGAGTAGAAGAGTCGAGACTAGAATAAAGGAGGTGGTAGTTGTAGATGATCATCCCCTCCTCGTCATTTCTCTTCTGCTCAGATCACCCTCTTTATTGTTTCGATTTGCTGGTCTGTACTTCTAAATGCCATTTTTAAAATCATGTTACTCTCCTTTATAATGGTATCGTTCAACCATTTGTTCTCGGTTCGACGTTTAGATATGTCTTGTTTGCAATTTAAATCTTGGGTAGAAGAATGATAGATGAGGAAGAGGATGTTGAGAATGTTGAAGATATAGAATCTAAATTTATATAGGTTGATGAGGAAGAGGATGTTGAAGATGTTAAAGAGGAGGATGAGCATAATATTATCTTCAATGTTGAAGATGCTTGATTGTTTCCGCATTACCGATAAAAAAAAAAGAGAACAAAATGATTCATCAAGGTGGGTCATGCTTGTTGAACTTTAAAATATTATTTAAATAAATACATAAGATCTTATTTGTTTATTGTTATTACTTGATTGATTTTTGTAAATTTGCAAAAGATTTAATTAAAGACAATTAAAAATATAATAAATGAAAAGAAGGAGAAGAATATTGAAGGAATACTTGTTGATGAAGAAGATGATACAGTACATTCTTGAATTGGTGGAGGAGTAGTCTTTAAAGTGGCAGAGAATACTGGATCAATTTCAACAAAGTTTTCAAATGATGGTACTCGAATACCAACATATTGAACGCCAGCCGATGATTTTGTTGTTGAATCAATTGATGCAACTGCTTGGATCGATGTAACAATTTGATTGGTATCATCAACAATGGCACGATTACTAAATGATGCTATCATTGTTCCAAGAGGTGAATCGATACTATACGATTTAATCAACGTTGAAGAGGATGAAGTATCAAATTGATAGGTTGTATCTTTAGTCTTGCAATCATAATCTAGTTGTGTTGGTGATTTGAATCGATAGATTACCAATAATGATGATGTCTCTGATTCAAATGTATAACTGTTGATTATAATATTATGTTTAATCGAGTTGGATGGAACGGCAATTTCATCACCTGCAAATTGTATAATATGGTCAGATGACTGATTGAACGATGAAACAACCAATTCAATGTTGTATTGACCAATAACGGTGTTGTTGTAAATGATGACAGATGCACTTGAGTTTTCGTCTAATATATCCCATTTAGCATCAATTAATGAAATGGTCTTGACAACCGTTCCATTCTCTCTGATTTCTTGAATATGGGATAATAGGAATTCGACGGTACTATTGTATGCAACAAATGAACCACCAGACACTGTAGTTGTTGGTGTACTGGTGACTGACTTTGTGAATGGGATGGAGCAATCGGATCCAGTGTACCCACCAACACATTTACATTGACCATTGACCAAACATTGTCCATTGTTTGGTGACGAACATGAGTTGAGACATTCCAATACACGGTATTTGTATATTCCTTCAACTGTAACATCTAGATTTCCACATTTCACATATACATCCAATGGTTGACTTGCATTTGATCCAATTAAACTATCAAAGTCACAAGTCACTGTATTTCTATCGACTATTTGTCCATTGGTACATGGGGTATCTCCAATTTGAATATCAATAGTCGGTCCGTAGAAATGATCACCGTGGAATACAACTTGACCAGGTACTTTGAAATAAGTTGAATCAATCGATGTGATGACTGGATCCAAAGATGTGTATTCCAACGAGCCACTATCACCAACAATAGAATCGATTGTTACCAATACAGCTTGTTGGTATAAACTAGCAGCTCCAATACTACATTGAATACTCGTTCCATCATCCACTGTAGTTGATATGTTCAAACAATCCAACCCTCCAATTTTAATGGTTATCTCTGTAAATGTACCATTTGATCTAACAGTCCAAAGGTATTTACCAACTATTTCAACTACACCTCCAAAAGGTGAAGCCGATGAAATAAACGAGACCAATGGTTTAATGTTTAAAAGATAGTTGTTACTTGTTTGACCATCAACTACAACTCGGATATTACCATTCTTTGATGCACTTTGCAGTGTTGCATTCATCATTGTTGGATTGACAATTGATTCTAATTTAATATCATTGTTGATTGATATCTTTGTTAAATCACTACCACCAAAGTTTGTTCCATAAATAGTTATTTCATTACTACTTGCACGTTGAACGATACCACTAATTAAAGGTGCAATATAAGAGAACTGAACAGATGTTGGTGATGCTACTCCATCAATATAAACTCTAATATTATGATTGGTACCTGATCCTTGAGGTGATGTACAAACTATCGTTGATCCCGATGCAACTGGATTGGTACATTGTTGTTGTTGTTGTTGATCAATGATTATTGTAATATTGGTTGATGAACCATCTAATCTAGTTGGATTTAAAAATGAACCTACTATAGTCAACTGATCACCATTTGTTTTAACAGGTTTCGAGACAGATGTAATGATTGGAGTTAAATGTAATTGAACTGGATTGGAAACTCTACCATCAGTCAGTGTAACTGTGATTGGTCCACTCTTGGTTGATGAGGGGTCAGCGGTGAATAAGAGTAATGTACTATTGACAAAACTGAATGATTGAGTGGTGGCACCAAGGTTGACTGTGATACCTGATTGCGCAGTACCAAAGTTCTTTCCAATGATTGATACACTATTTGTATCAGATACAATCAAATCGAATATTACAGGTGCACCATATGCAAAGTTGATAGTATCGGCACGTTGCCCAACTGTAACTACAACACTATTGGTTATACCAGTTCCAGGTGGAGCCATACATGTAATATAAGACATGTCTTGATCATCTGCAATCTTTTGAATATTTGTACATGGTACGTTACCTGGGAACACTACTGTAATGGGTAATACTGTTCCATTGGCAGTTTGATTATTTAAATATAATCCACCAATTTTAATTTCACCTCCCACCGAGTCGGCCGATGTAATTGATTTCAATATTGGGTATAATTCTAAATCAATTTCGTTTGATAGTTGATTGGACACATTGACTAGGATCTTGTCATTCTTTGCAAATGTTGGTAGTGCGACTTGAATGGCACTGTCAAGGAGCATTGTAACCGGTTGGAATTGGGCAGTTAGCTGATTCTTGAACAAGAATTGAACATTTTCTTTGACGGTACCAAATGATGACCCGAAAATAGTCAACCCCGTTGTATAATGTGCTTGTGATTGTTGTACTTGATTAACATTGTATAATACGGGGACTGGATAATTGAATACGATGCTCGACGATTGACCATCGATTGTCAAGGTGAGTGATTGACCTTTACCGGTACCAGCTGGTATACCATACTCTATAACACTGCTACTTTTGACGACAAACCCACTGGAAGAAGGTGGGTTAGAGTTGAGTCGTATGGAGATTGAAGATTGTGTATTATTTGATCTGAATTGATTAAAGTGTTGTCCAAGTATAGATATAGTTCCACCTCCAGTAGCAACCTTGTCGACCGATGTAATGATGGGTGAAATGACCACTTCCATCGTGTTGGAATCTTGACCAAATACTCTTACTTTGGCAGGTCCCGATTTAGAATTTGGATTGATTTTAAAGACAAGTGAATCAGATGCTAACCCAGTCACAGAACCTGCATCTTGACCGATAAAGACGAATATTTGATCAGACCGTGTTCCAAAGTTTGTACCAAACATAGTTATACTGTCATCCGTTACATCTTGAGTAGGTGATATGGATGATAGAGTTGGAGCTGGGAATGAAACAAATGTGCTGGTTTGTTTGTTACCAATGGTTAGAACGATATTGGCATCTGCACCACCCAGACCTTTTGTATATTGACAGGTTACTTGGGTACCTGTTGTAACTGGACTGGTGCATTGGGTATTTAATCCCAATTCAACAGATAGAGGTATAGTATTACCAAGGTAGTCTTGATTATTAAGATATCTACCAGAGATGGTAAAAGTACCACCATACAATGAAACAGGACCGGTAGAGGAGATGACAGGTTCAAGTTCGAGTGTTATATTGGAGGTAGCCAACTGTCCACCGACCACCACACTGACATACCCATTCTTTTCGTTTGCTCCCAGGGAAACTGTGATTTCAGTTTGTGTAACAATCGAGGTGTTTGGGGTATAGTCTTTGTTGTTGACAATTGGCATGGTGGTGCTTGTTGAAACGCCAAAGTTGCTACCATGGATATTGATACCAGTACTTGATTGAGTGACCGATGTAATGGTTGGAGGGTTGTAGCTGAAACTACCTTGATTCGATTGTTTTCCATCGACAGTCACAGAGACTGGGATGTTCTTGCCAACTCCCTCGGCGACATTGACGACAATGTAGCTACCCGTATCATTTGACCAGCTTGATACAGGGGTTGGTGCAGCGCTACCAAACGCAATAGAGACTGGTGCAGTTGACCCATCTTGACGAAGATTGTGGAGGAAACTACCGATAATAGTTACTTGTCCACCAATGGTATCAACCGACGTGACAGATGTAATAATGGGTTGCAAAGTAAAGGTGTAAAGGTTGGATATGAGATCGGCAATAATAACCTTGACCGCTCCATTCCTAGATGCTGGTGATGGGACAATAGTCATATTAGTCTGGTCCGCATTCTTTGAGACCAGTGATAAATAGGCTATATCACCAACCATCACAGTTAATGGGGTACCAAAATATTGACCAACAATGAGTAGTTGACCATTTGGTTGTTGTACAACCGAATCAATGATTGGTGAATAGTAGGATGTGTAAATTGGTGTACTTGAAAATAGAATGACTGCTACATTGGATCCACCACCTGCGGGAGCTGTAAACACTACCATACTACCATTTCCAAAGGTTACAGGACACACTATATTATCTCTGATCTTGACGAGTTGTGGTATAGTGGGATGACTCATTATGTGACCAGTGATGGTAACAGCACCACCGGCGGTTGGAATCTGGGTGCATGTGAGTAGCCATGGCGTAAAACTAACAAGACGAGAGTTGGAAATTTGTCCATCCACCTTGATATAGTAGTTATCTGTCCATGCATTATCGGGTACGGTCGCAAGGAAACGAATGTTGTCTGTGGAAATGGATGTAGCATTGAATGAGATGGATGGATAGTTGACAGAATGAACCGAGATGAGTGAAAATACGTTTCCAAAGTTTGAACCCTGCACAGCAAGCAAATTTTGAGAGGTGACAAAAAGTGTAAAGGTCGGTGCCGCATAGGTCATGTCAAAAGACGTCACTACACCATCAATAGATAGTGTCGAAGCGATTGTTCCAGTTCCCCTGGGCAACCCAGTCGTATTTAAATAGGTTCCAGTAGTACTATAGGTCAAAGCAGCGTTATTAATGACATTACTACCAATTGTTAAGACAAAATTGGTAGGTTGTCCATTTGCTCTTAATTTATTTATGAAATACTAAATAGAAAATCAAAAAAATAAATAATGAATTAATAATGAATAGATTAATTAAAATAATTATTTTCAACATCTTGTTTCTTTCTACTTACACCTTGGAAATTAGCAGAACCACCAAGTGCACTGGGGCGAGGACTACTAATAGAAATGACAGGTTTTAAAGTAAAGGAATAATAATTGGATTCCCATCCAGCGACAGCTACCATTACTTGACCATTCAAAATTGGAACGGTTGGTGTAAAAGTGACCAAGCTATTCGCGCCATTTGATACAAGTGTGGTTGGAGGTAACTCGAGTAATGATTGAGTTGAAAAGGTGATTGTCACCTCATTGATTGCAATTCCAAAATCAATACCATAAATTGAAATTGAGTTACCATTACTCTCTACACTGTTAATGGTTGGAAGTGCATCGACAACTACATAACATGATTGACAATAAATAATGAATATCACTAATAAAGAATAATAGAATTTCAACAAAGAAGATGAATTATTTGTTGATTTCATTTCTCTCTTTTTTAAAAAGTGAAGAAAAAAAAGAATCAATAGATCTTTCTTTAAATAGATACAAATATTGAAAAAAAGAATATTAGATAGATAGATAGATAGAAAGATAGATACAAACAAGGAGGGATTGGGATTAATATCGAAATGATTGAAAAATAAGGTTGCTTCTCTGTGTTTTGTTTTGGTTACAGTAGTTTGTTGTTACTTACGACGCGATTTGTTTGTGGTGTGTGGGGGGCAACTGTTGATGTGATCACTTCCCTAAATACCAACTTTGAAGGCACCAGATTCGATGAAAAGATTAAAAAATTTGAAGCGGGTTTGACGATCAGTTTGGAATCGCACGTGCAACAAACAAATAAAGACTTTGTGTATATGAGAGGTTATACAATGACGGCCAATACTTCAAAGAACCCTTTTGTTAAAGCTAAAAATATTATTATTCACTATTAAATAGAGATAAAAAGAGATTATCAGTGTTAGAAGCTATGAGATATTACATGTTGTGCGCAGAGAAGATAGTTAAATAATAAAGTAGAGAGTTGTTGTTGTGATGAACTGACACACTTGTCAGCTGAAAGTAACAGCACCAACGATTAGATAGATAGATAGATAGTAAAGAGAGAGGGTAATATTTTTTTTCTTAACTACTTTACTTACTTATCAACTACTGCTGTAATACGGGTTGTCCACTACAAAGAGGGTGATCTGAGTAGAAGAGTCGAGACTAGTTATTAATCATCCCTCGTCTCTTCTGATCAGATCACCCTCTTTGATAGGTTGCATTCATCGGTCTATATTTATACATATCGTTTAAATCGTTAGAAATTATGTTCTTGTTTGCTCCCAAGTGTCAATGAGGCATTTAATCGTCTGTTTCGTAACATCATCTCCGTTGAACTATCAATAGATTGAATGTTAATGGAATGCATACAAATATTATCCTTTACGCTTTGGAGATAGATCATATCATGTACTAATATAAATATATATGAGTTAAAAAATAAAAGGAAAATGATGATCACAACCAGTTGTGGTTTAATTGAAATTTAATAATAATAATAATAATAATAAGCACAACATTTATTTACTAGTACCACCAAATATTCTTTATTTAGATCCAAACATTATAAATGGTCACCACATGATTGTTGTTGTTGGCGTAAGCAAGTAACTTAACCCGACCTACCTCGGGACATAACCTCGCAAACCGACCGACCGACTGACCTCTAAACAAAAATTTCTTTCTAATAATGGGTAAGCAATGTTTGTTGTTTTCTTTTAATCATTGATTCAATAATAAATCCTTAATTACATAAATTCTATAGAATTGGAACGGACAATCCTCTTAATGAATGGTATTGTTGATTGCCATACTCGGCATCCCTTTTTTCATTATACACACATATATATATATATATAAACATAGATAATAATAATAAATAGATAAATAGATAAATATAGGAATGAGTTTAAAAATTGATACAAATATATTTATTATAAAAAAAAAAAAGGTAATGATATAATAATAATGATAATAATGAAATACTACTATCTTTTTAAAAAGTAGTAGTTTTAGTTTAGTTCTTCAATCTGTCGTACTTGTAGATGGTAGCCTTGCATGATGGGCATTCGTGACGAACATCCTTGAGCGAGTCGATACCGAATGGAATCAAACAACAACCCAACCAACAACCAAACAAGATCAAGATGAAACATACGAGCCAACACATACCACCAGATTCATAGTGAGTCTTGGTAGTGACACGAGCTTGACAGTGACCACAGGTAATATCAACTGGGCTATAAATAGAATAGAAAAAAATATATATATATATATTAGTCAATCATATGACAGAATATAATGATATCATTGTTGTTGGTTGTTGGTTTCTAACATACACTTCACGGAATTGGACAATTGGAGCTTGGATGAGAACTGGAGCTTGTTGAACGACAACAGCTGGTTGCATGTATTGTTGTTGTGGAGCACCTTGTGGTGGAGCATAGTAACCTTGTGGTGGATAACCTTGTGATGGTGGAGCATATCCTTGTGGTGGGTATCCTTGTGGAGGGTATCCTTGTGGTGGATAACCTTGTGGTGGTGGAGCGTATCCTTGTGGTGGTGGGGCATAGCCTTGTGGTGGTGGGGCGTATCCTTGTGGTGGTGGAGCATAACCTTGTGGTGGTGGAGCTTGTTGGTTTTGATCAGCAACTGGTGGCTGACCTTGTGGAGCAGCAGCTGGTTGAGAGTCACTTGGTTTATCCAAATTGGTCATTTTATATTATATATATGTATTTGATTAAACTCTATATATATTTGATTGATTGATTGATTACACATTTGTTAATAATTTGATACTTGTTTCTTTTCTTTAATCTTTTTTTTTTTTTGATCATTTGATAGTAATTTCGATTTTGATTTGTTTGTTTCTCTATCTTTTTTCTCTATCTCTCTCGTTCTTCTTCATTCTTTATTCTATATCATCAGTGACTGAATCTAGAGATCGTATAATATAACATGTGATTATTTATCTATATTATATCATAAGAGAATTATTGTGGTGACGATGGTCGATCGATTTGATGACGATTGTCTGTAACGTCGGTTGGTGATGGACGGCGGTGTGTATGGGTAGTATGATGATGTATGTATTATTTTTTACCTTTTAGAAAAGTATTATAGTAATGGTAATAAAAAGTATTATATATAACTCTGTAAGGAGTGTATGTATGTACTACTAGGAAAGAATAATAACAATAAAAAAACTGTGTGAGGAGACAAACAACAAAAATAGACAAACGACCCTTACAATGAGATATCTAGTTTGGAGGGAGGGGAGTTTTTTTTATTTATCTTTTTTTTTTTTTTTGTTGTTTGTGCAGCGGTGGTTGGTGGAGGTTTTGATTTTGGGGCACCCAACGATTTTTATGTTTGCGCTCTCTCTCTCCAACCCACCGGTTTTGTCAAGACAATAAATTATTATTGATTCTCACATAATTAGGATCGGTTTTTTTCCTCCAGCTACAGGAATCAATATAGATCTCTTTGATGGGTGTTATCACCTACTATGCACCCAACACAATGCTGAAAACAATTCAAAGATTCGGTTCATCATCGCTCAACACACACAAAACACCATCGACGACCAATACAACCAAACCACACCATATATTGTTGTTGAAAGACTTGTAGTATACAACACCTGGGGTTGGGAGGGGTTGTCTTGGTTTAGACGATGAGTCTTTAAAGACCAATGATATATATAATATATTTCATTTCTTTAAGGGTTAGCAATACCCATCGACATAACTCTTGGTAAAGAGAGAGACATCATCGTCGTTGTCAGAAGTCATGAATTTACATGATCTGTGACTGTCAACTTCCAACATTAATTAATTGAGTCAATGAGGAGGATTATCTGAATGTTTACCTCCTCAATGATCATCATCGGATTTACAAGCTTTCAAGCCGATGGCATGAGGCATTGTCGACCTACAAGATATTTTTTTTACACGCAACTCTAAATTGCATGTGTAGTCTCAATGGTTTCCGAGCTAGAAGAGGGATGATTGAGGAGGATCCAGAGTAGAGAATAAGAATACCCTTTCATAAGAGCTCTAATGTAGTTAGTTAATTTCTTTCTTTCGTTTACAGATACAGATACAAATACAGATAGATCAACATCACCAGAATGAAGATTATTGTTGCCACTTTGTTTGTTGCTTTACTAGCAGTTGCAGTCTCTGCAGATTTTGTTACCATTACTCCATATACCAATAATGGTTGTTCAGGTATGACCATAGATGATAATCTAGATATGATATGAAACATATAGGATGATGATAATGATGATTAACATTGTTATACTCTTGATACTCTTCTTTTATACATTTTTGTCATTATTAATAGGTACACCATACGGAGTTGGTTATTCATTACCAATTGGAACATGTTTTAATATGTATGATCAGTTGATGTTTATCGAACAAGATAGTAGCAATAGCAACAAGCTTCACTTTACCTTTTACTATAACAACTGCTCATCTACACCAATCGACTATCAAGTGTTTGTAGTTGATCAATGTGCCACCTTTGGATTCCCAACATTGAGCCTCGAGTTTAACTCTTCCATGTCTCTTACTGCTTCGATGCCAGAGGATTCAGTGCAATACGTACAATACTACTACAGCAACTATTGCTCTGGTCCAACCCTCGCCGTCTTTATGACCAACGGATACCAAGACACAGACTCCAAGTACACCTGTGTCAACGGTAAGCCAGAGGTCTATGTTTGTGGTGGTGACGATAACTGTTTCCCTGTCAACATTGAAGGTTGTCATATCCCAGGTGGTGTACTCTACCCTTGGAGAGTTATCTGTTAACAGTTGTTATTGTTAACGTTGTATATAATATAGTATAATATATCCCCATCTCTCTCTCCCACACTCTTTGTTCAAATGATCTAATGATCGGTCATAAAAATAAATATATAATAAATAATTAAATTTTAACAAACAAGCTACTGCACCGCAGACTCTCATCAGGAGCTACTTTTGTAATAGTCATGCGCATCAAGAGAAAACAACTGATCAATTCAAGAATCAAATTCAACAATCAACTAGGATTAAAGAAATTATAATAGTAATAATAATAATAATAATAAATATAATAATAATAAATATAATAATAATATTAATATAATAATAATAATAGTAATAGTAAATTTATTTTTAGAAAATGTTTTTATTAATACGATGACCACGACAACAGATATTTTAGCGCCATTATTAATTAATTTTTTAATATTGAGTATACTCAAAGTACGGTGCACTTGTATACGCAGTAGATGATTCGATAACAACAAACTCATAGATAGATAAGAGATAGATAGGATAGAGTGCACGCTTGCTCACACACACACACATGTTCATGTTGTCTCACTGTCAAGTTGGCTTCTTTTGGCATACGCTACTGCTGATCGTGGTGTCTATGAACACCCTTGGATCATTAGTCAATGCTCAACCTTCTCCTCTCAGAATCAATGCTAATGAATGTAAGATATATAGCCTGTGAATGATGATAATATAATGTAATTATTAACATTGATTAATCTTTGATATATAGTACCATCTCTGACCTTTATGATCAAACAATATGGAATGAATTGGACATTGGTTGATAATATGCTATCAAATTACGATACCAGAGATGTCACTGTTGTCAATGGATCCTTTACTCTTCTGTATATATACATACAATCTATCGATCATTATAATATATTAATAATAATAATAGCCAACCAACCAAGTGAGCGAGTGACTACTTGATGATGATGGATGATTACAACTTACTTTTGATTCTATTTGTATATAGATCATTTTTCTCGATCAGATCACAACAATATACCTACCATGGATTACCAGACCGGTCACTATCAGCACTCTATTTTCCAAACTTGACTTCTCTCCGCATCGACTCACTTCAGATGGATGGAAGTATCAACATTCTCTACATGGTCAGAAATCTATCCAACCTCATAACACTATTCATCGATAAACCCTACATCCGGGTTATTCCTGATGGATTCCCATTCACTCTAAACAAACTCACCGATTTGTATGTATATAATGTAAGACTGGTTGTAGTAGTAGTATTCCAACCAGAACATCTAACAAACAACATCTTTTTCGCATATTGAATTGACGACTTGTCTAGTACATACCCAGGTCCTATCTTTGCAAAAAATATAAATTCATTATATTATCCTAGTTTAAATGGGCAATTGTATGTAACTCTATCCATCTATCTTCTTCTTTGATGATGTGTCTATCTATCTATCGGTCCCTTAGGGATTTGTACTCATTTATTTCCATTCACACACGATAAATATAGAACGATAAAGTATTACATTGAACCTGTGCCAGATGGTTTTGGAGAGGGTCTAAATTCCAAGGTTTATTTGACTCATTTAAACTCTTTGGTGCCATCGAGTCAACCGATCTTTAGGTTACCAGATTCTTTGTGTGGTGCGTACGGGCTATATTATTTTTGGCGTCAAAACACGACACCTCTCCTCAAATATGCAGCTGATTGTTTCAAATGCTTTGATAGTAGACTATCTCCTTATATGCTAGGTGCTACTAATTTGTTTAAAGGATACAATTATCCTTGTGGTATGTATCATTGAAATAATCAAGTAATACTTGCTTATAATTTCATAAACATAGATTTTCTTATACTCCTCTTTCTCTCTATTTAGATATCAAGGTGACATCATTATACTATAAGACAAATGATACAGTTATTATTAACGGCAATAATCTTCAATCGTCTCTTGGGTCAACCACCTCTGGTAATGGTATAATTGATTTCATCCTCAACAACCAAATTGTACAATATAGAAGAGCTGATTTATATCCAATACAAGATCAAGTGGTGTTGAGTAGTAGGTTTGGAAGTACAGCTTCCATTCCAGTATCACTAACTAGAATTAATCTAGGCAATTTTATAACTATCGATCAACAACCTTTTGGAATCAATATATCAATCAATCTAAATTATAATATCAATATTCATCACACTATATCTATAAATGGTGTTGCTTGTAGGAAATTCAATAGTATCTATATCAAAGATAGATTAACATGTTTCTTTCCACTTCAAATATCATCACAATCAACCCTATTAAATTATAATATTGCCAATATTAGAAATAGTGAAATATATCAATCCAATTTTACAAGACGTATGTTATAACTAATTAATAATTAATTAACATAATATTTATTCATACATTATTTCGATCAATCAAAATAGAATACCCTTCACTTTCCAACAACAATAATTATACTATTACGATGAATGAATCAGCTACGGAATATAAATTAGAATTAATTGGTCAATTTGGAATGATCAATCAAACAAGTAGCAGCAGTACAAGAACAAGTACAACAATGTCATCGGTACTGATCAACAATACCGATTGTATTATTACATCAATCAATTCAACACATTTGGAATGTATCATTATATTGGATACAAATACAACAACAGTACATCAACAACAACAACAAATAGAAGGAGGAGTCAGTGGTAGTGATGGTGAATTTGTTGAGATTTATATATCGATTGATGGACATTCATTCACATCATTTGATTCTATTTATATTAAATATCCTACCATTTCATCATCCTCATCGTCCTTATCATCATCTTCATCCTCCTCATCCTCATCAACGAATGGTATTAGTAATAGCGATTACCAATCAAACAACACCAAATATTATATTATTGCTGGTGTTTTAGGTGGAGCATTGGTAGCAGGAGTTACTGTTTTAATAGTCATGCGCATCAAGAGAAAACAACTGATCAATTCAAGAATCAAATCCAACAATCAACTCGAATTAAAGAAATATAATAGTAATAATATTAAAAATAAATAAAAATAGCAAAAAAAAAAAAAACCTTGGTTGACTACGAAAAAGCCAACACCATCACCACAACCGTCGATAAAGACCTTATATACTTTACCTTATATATTTATTTATATATATTTATATGATGACGATATGAATGATGATTAAAGACAAGAAGAAAAAGGATCTACTGTTCCTCATCTTCATCTATGTTATGTTTGCAGTCACCTCGGATACCCTTCTCGTCAATTCACAAGTAACTATCAATGAAAACGAAGGTAAGATAATCTCTAGAGCTATCTATACACATGGACGAGCTATAGGAAAGGATTGTAAATATATTATAGTAAAATTAATATCTTGTCGTTTGTATTGACCTATCATTATAATGATAATATAGTACCATCTCTTACCTTTATGATCAAACAATATGGAGTAAGTTGGACGTTGGTTGGTAATGTTCTATCAAATTACCGAAAAAATGATATCAAAGTTGTCAATGGATCGTTTACTCTTCTGTATGTATTCAATACAACTCTGTGTGTGGGGGGGGGGGGGGGGGGGGGTATCAATCAAATCAATCAATAATAGGTTTCATTGACAATTATTCATTTATTTATATTTGTAGATCATTTCTAGTGTTGAATACACAACAATTTAACGACTCTGGATTACCAGATCAATCTCTTTCATCACTCTATTTTCCAAATTTGACTTCTCTCGTAATCAGCTCGCTTCAAAAAGATGGTAGTATCAACATTCTCTACATGGTTAGGAATCTATCCAACCTCAAAACACTCGCCGTCAGGGGCCTAAGTATTCCCTATATTCCCGATGGTTTCCCATTCACTTTAAACAAACTCACCGAATTGTATGTATATATTAGTTACTATTATATAATATCAGTTACTATTATCTCTCATATGATATCAATAATAATACCAACAACAACAACAACAACATTTACTTTCCTTTATTTACTTTAGATGGTACTATGGTCCCGCTTTACCCAAGAATATAAATTCATTATATTATCCTCAACTGACTGTTTTGTATGTATTTAAACTATAGTAATATCTATCTATAGTATAGTTGATATATTTACCTACGTAGCTACGTACTAATTCTTTCAACCAATCAAATGATAGGATGATAGGTCAGTACATCGAACCTGTGCCAGATGGTTTGGGAGAGGGTCTAATGATAGATGTGACTCTGGCTCATTTAAGCTCCTATTTCCCGTCGACTAGATATATCCATCGGTTACCAAACTCTTTATGTGGCGCAATCTATTTATCAGATGATTGGCCAGCCGACAACAAGACCCAATATGCAGCCGATTGTTTCAAATGCTTTGGAGCCCAGATTTCTCCATATAAGCCTTATGGTGGGTACGAATATAAGCTTGGAGGATACAATTATCCTTGTGGTATGTATCATCTCTTTTTCGAAATAATCAAATACAAGTATATGTATGTATTAACATTTATTATTATTTTTTCTATTTAATTTAGATATCAGGGTAACATCATTATACTATAAGACAAATGATACAGTTATTATCAATGGTAATAATCTTCAATCGTCTTTTCAGCGTGATACTCCATCGGTCAATGGAGTGTCCAATTTCATCCTCAACAACCAAATTTTAGAATACAAAAGAGTTGATTTAAATGCAATACAAGATCGAGTGGTGTTGGGGTATGGTGAAAAAATAACGGTTTCCATTCCAGTATTATTCACTCGAATTAATCTAGGCAGTTTTATAACAATCGATCAACAACCTTTTGGAATCAATATATCAATCAATCTAAATTATAATATCAATATTCCCCATACTATGTTTTTAAATGGTGTTGCTTGTAGAAAAGATAGTGCTATCTATATCAAAGATAGATTAACATGTTTCTTTCCACTTCAAATATCATCACAATCAACTTTATTGAATTATAATATTGCCAATATCAGAAATAATGAAATATATCAATCCAATTTTACAAGACGTATGTTATGTTAATTAATTATAATTACGATATTTAATTAACTATTAATTAATTATTATTTTTTCCAAATACAAATAGAATACCCTACACTTTCCAACAACAACAATTATATTATAACGATGAATGAATCAGTGACGGAATATAAATTATAATTAATTGGTCAATGCGGAATGATCAATCAGACACTTAGTATGAGCAGTATAAGTACAACAATGTACTTGATACTGATCAACAATACCGATTGTATTATTACATCAATCAATTCAACTTATTTGGAATGTATCATTATATTGAATACAAATACAACAACAGTATATCAACAACAACAAATAGAAGGAGGAGTCAGTGGTAGTGATGGTGAATTTGTTGAGATTTATATATCGATTGATGGACATTCATTCACATCTCACAATTCTATTTATATTAAATATCCTTTGCCTCCTGCGTCCTCCTCCTCCTCCTCTTCGTATTCGTCGAATGATATTAGTAATAGCGATTACCAACCAAACAACACCAAATATTATATTATTGCTGGTGTTTTAGGTGGAGCATTGGTAGCAGGAGTTACTGCTTTAATAGTCATGCGCATCAAGAGAAAACAACTGATCAATTCAAGAATCAAATTCAACAATCGACTTGCATTAAAGAAACTATAATTTTGTAATAATAATCATAATAATATAATATTTTAATTGTTATATTAATACATACTATTTATTTATTTAAAAATGTTAATTGCCCGATGATGAAAAATATTTTTATCTTTAATTATCTTTATTTTTAACATCGGGGGTACCCTAAGTGCACTTGTATTATACGTACGATGAATCTTCGATAACAACAAACTCATAGATAGATAAGAGATAGATAGGATAGAGTGCACGCTTGCTCACACACACACACACACGCACATGTTCATGTTGTCTCACTGTCAAGTTGGCTTCTTTTGGCTGCTGTTGCTGATCGTGGTGTCTGTGAACACCCTTGGATCATTAGTCAATGCTCAACCTTCTCCTCTCACAATCAATGCTAATGAATGTAAGATATACATATATATTTCAAATCAACGAATTTGTAGTCATTAATAAATACATCATGTTATATTATAGTACCATCTCTAAGCTTTATGATCAAACAATATGGAATGAATTGGACATTGGTTGATAATAAGCTATCAAATTACGATAACAGAGATGTCATTGTTGTCAATGGATCCTTTACTTCTCTGTATGTATACAATGCAAATCAACCAAGTGAGTTAGTGACTACTCGGCGTTATGATGATGGATGATAACAACTTACTTTGATTCTATTGATTGTATGTAGATCATTTTTATCGACGAGATCACAACAATATACATACTATGAATTGCCAGATAAGCCACTTTCAGCACTCTATTTTCCAAACTTGGCCAATCTCCGTATCACTTCACTACAGAGGGATGGCAGTATCAACATTCTCTACATGGTCAGAAATCTATTACGACTCAAAACACTAGCCCTCGTTAGCACTCTCACCCAGTATATCCCCGAAAGATTCCCATATGCTTTAAAACTAACTTCTTTGTATGTATATTATAGTATTGTAATAGTGTACTATGGTAGTGGTAGTATAGCATCTTCTAACAACAAAACAACCTCCCTCCTATTGAATTGGCGACTTGTCTAGTACATTCAAAGGTCCAGTCTTTGCCAAAAATATAAATTCATTGTATTATCCTCGTTTAGTTGAATTGTATGTACCTCTATCTAGATCTGTATATAAATATATGACATGTACTCATTCCTTTCCATTCACACGATAGAGATGTAAGTCAATATATTGAACCTCTGCCAGATGGTTTGGGAGAGGGTCTAAATTTGGATGTTTATTTGACTCATTTAAACCTTTATGTGCCATCGAGTCAACTGATCTTTAGGTTACCAGATTCTTTGTGTGGTGCAGACGGGGTATATGATCTTTGGCGTCAAAACACGACACATGTCGTCAAATATGCAGCCGATTGTTTCAAATGCTTTGATAGTAGATTATCTCCTTATATGCTAGGAGCTACTAATGTGTTTAAAGGATACGATTATCCTTGTGGTATGTATCATCGTCGAAATAATCAAATACAAGTACATATATTAACATTCATTGTCTCTCTTTTTAGATATCAGGGTAACATCATTATACTATAAGAAAAATGATACAGTTATTATCAATGGAAATAATCTTCAATCGTCTTTTGGGTCGACCACCTCTGGTAATGGTGTAACTGATTTCATCCTTTCAAACCAAATTGTACAATATCGAAGAGCTGATTTAAGTCCAATACAAGATCAAGTGGTGTTGAGTAGTAGGTCTGGAAGCACAGCTTCCATTCTAGTATCATTTACTAGAATTAATCTTGGCAATTTTATAACAATTGATCAACAACCTTTTGGAATCAATATATCAATCAATCTAAATTATAATATCAATATTGCCCATACTATATCTTTAAATGGTGCTGCTTGTAGGAAATTCAATAGTATCTATATCAAAGATAGATTAACATGTTTCGATCAATCAAAATAGAATACCCTTCACTTTCCAACAACAATAATTATACTATAACGATGAATGAATCAGTGACGGAATATAAATTAGAATTAATTGGTCAATTTGGAATGATCAATCAAACAAGTAGTAGCAGTGCAAGTACAACAATGTCATCGGTACTGATCAACAATACCGATTGTATTATTATATCAATCAATTCAACTTATTTGGAATGTATCATTACATTGGATACAAATACAACAACAGTATATCAACAACAACATATAGGAGGTGGTGGTGGTGATGGTGAATTTGTTGAGATTTATATATCGATTGATGGACATTCATTCACATCATTTGATTCTATTTATATTAAATATCCTACTACTCCATCTTCTTCCTCTTCATCCTCTTTGCCCTCATCTTCATCCTCCTCAGCAAACGATAACCAAAATAGTAGTAATAGCGACTGCCAATCAAACAACACCAAATATTATATTATTGCTGGTGTTTTAGGTGGAGCATTGGCAGCAGGAGCTACTGTTTTAATAGTCATGCGCACCAAGAGAAAACAACTGATCAATTCAAGAATCAAATTCAACAATCAACTTGCACTAAAGAAAATATAATAACATAAATAATATTAATAATTAATTATTTGGCTTGTAAGATATTTTTAGCTTGGAGGCGCCCTAAATATTTCCTTCGATTTTTTTTTTCATTAGGGCTCTAACATGCTTACGTGGTTTTCGGGTTCATTTGATGATCTCAAACCAGAGAAGGAAGGTTATAACTCCCCGTTGTCCACTGCACACCCGTCTATGTCTAACTGTCAAGTTGGCTCTTGTTGTTGTCTGTTTCTCTGTCTGCTGTTGCTGAGTTTCGTAGTCATCAATGTTGTCAACGCACAATCTACTCCTCTGACGATCAATGCTGATGAAGGTAAGACATATATATATATATATATATATCTAGATAAATCATCTCTCTTTATTTATTATTCATCATCATCATTATTATTGACTCTCTTCTCTCATTTTGTTGACTATATTATATATATTGTATGTCTATAGTTCCATCACTAGCATTTTTAATCAGACAATATGGAGTGAATTGGCAATTAGTTGGTAATGTTTTATCGAATTACTCAAACTCCAATACTGTCGTAAATGGTTCATTTACTTCTTTGTATGTATCTATCACTATTACTTAAGTAATACATAACATATACTTACTTGGTTCATTCATATCCATATCTATATCTAATGTAGATCAATTGTATTGCAGAAAGCACAACAATATACCAACTATCCACCACCACCACCAGACCAATCACTTTCAGCACTCTATTTTCCAAAATTGACCTACCTCAACATAGACTCACTTCAGAGGGATGGTAGTATCAACATTCTCTACATGGTCAGAAATCTATCCAACCTCAAAACATTGTACCTCACAAACCCAAGTATTCCCTATATTCCTGATGGATTCCCATTTACTTTAACAAAACTCACCGATTTGTATGTATATCATCATTATTCATTATTCATCATCCATCATCAATGTCATTTATACTTAGTAACACGCTCCATCTCTAAAATAGAAAATACACTTCTCCTCAAACTCTACCCAAGAACATTAATTCATTATATTATCCTCGTTTAAAATCTATGTAAGTATAGTTCAAACAAAGAGGTGAGTGAGGGATACTAATAATTTTCATTATTTTATATATAAATATATATATATCATAGAAATCTAGCTGGCTATGTAGAAGCTTTACCAGACGGATTAGGAGAGGGTCTCACAACAGTTTTTTATTTGTATGGATATTTGCCCAAGCCTATCACTGGTAAATTATTCATCTATCGGTTGCCAGATTCTTTATGCTCTAGTGATATGGTAGGGATATATACACTTCCCTACGAGATTGATAAAATGGCCTACGTAGCAGAGTGCTTTCGATGCTATAGTGGACTTTTTTCTCGTTTGATGGTTGGTTCTGATTATTTGTTTGGAGCAAGGAACTATCCTTGTAGTATGTACTCATCTCTATCTATCGATCCATAACAACCAGAGAATATAATATTAATAACCATTTGATTCTATTGGATATTATCTATATTTAGATACCAAAGTCACATCACTATACTATAGTACCCAGAATATAGTTAAAATAGGTGGTAATAATTTACTGTCACCAATGTCAGATCCCAAGTCACCCAATGGTGAGAGCACTATTTTAATAGGTAACAAATTGATACAGTACAATAGAACTCGTAATTTAGGTGCTATAGAAGATCAAGTGGTATTGGGTATTAGTGAAACAGGGATCACAGCTTCCATTCCTGTATCATTTACTCGAATCAATCTAGGCAATTTTATAACGATTGATCAACAACCTTTTGGAGTCAATATATCAATCAATCTAAATTATAATACCAATATTCCCCATTCTATATCTTTAAATGGTGTTGCTTGTAGGAAATTCAATAGTATCTATATCAAAGATAGATTAACATGTTTCTTTCCACTTCAAATATCATCACAATCAACCCTATTAAATTATAATATTGCCAATATCAGAAATAATGAAATATATCAATATAATTATACAAGACGTATGTAATAATTTATTTGATATTAATTAAATTAATTATTTATATATTAACTAATATATATACATTATTTCGATCAATCCAAATAGAATACCCTTCACTTTCCAACAACAATAATTATACTATAACGATGAATGAATCAGTGACGGAATATAAATTAGAATTAATTGGTCAATTTGGAATGATCAATCAAACAAGTAGTAGCAGTACAAGTACAACAATGTCATCGGTACTTATCAACAATACCGATTGTATTATTACATCAATCAATTCAACCTATTTGGAATGTAACATTACATTGAATACAAATACAACAACAGTATATCAACAACAACAACAAATAGGAGGTGGTGGTGATGGTGAATTTGTTGAGATTTATATATCGATTGATGGACATTCATTCACATCATTTGATTCTATTTATATTAAATATCCTTTGCCTCCTGCATCCTCATCTTCATCCTCCTCCTCTTCCTCTTCCTCATCCTCATCGAATGATATTAGTAATAGCGATTACCAATCAAACAACACCAAATATTATATTATTGCTGGTGTTTTAGGTGCAGCAGCATTGGTAGCAGTAGCTACTGCAGGTACTGTTTTATTTAAACGGTTCAAGAAAAAAAAACGAGTCAATAGACGTATCCAATTCAACACTCAACTATCATTAAAGAAACTATAATATAATAAAAAAAATATCCGTTACATATAGTTCGTCGACCATCTTCAATATTAAATATTGAAGCAACCCATTTTGGCATTCCGGAAATATTAGGAAATGGATTCACTGGAGCAGATGTCGGACACACTAAAAACAAAATCAAGAGAAGATGGATCAGATTTCATTCGAAAATCAATTCCAGGAATTCATCTGGATAAACAGTTAGACACAAAACTATGTGACATGGTTCATTGATTGGAGTTCAAATATATCGATTTTTTTGAAGAGAATCCAAATTCATCTCCTTTCTCCATTGACGAGACATTATAAATGGTATGTAAGTTTATAGAATTAGTCGATATCATGATTATTTGGCCAATTTGGGAGTGATTAATCAAACAAGCAGTACATACAACAATGTCATCGCGATTGATAATTGCAGATAATATAATATTTGTTTTAGTTGTAGCAGCAATCATATCCAATTCAACACTCAACTAGAATTAAAGAGAATATAGCAAACATATAAATAGTAATTATTATTATTATTATTATTATTATTATTATTATTATTATATTTAGATCCCCAAATCGCTTACAATGATTTTTACGGGATCTAGGACCGGTTTGTCTCATCGGATCGGTTTTTTTTCGATTTACGATGTCGTAGGTTTTTGACGAGAAACACAGTTTAACTTTTTTGTCCTCGTTTATAAATTATTATATGTCTGTTTTAGATAGAAAGAAAGAAAGAGAGAAAAGAGGGGGGTTGTGAACAAACACACAGAAAAAAAAAATGACAGAGGTACATCCAAACAGAACAATATTATTTGTACAATTCATCAAATTGATAGGAATATTCTTCATTGTATCAATAGTTTCAAATAATATTATATTTATAAATGCACAGGTTCCAACTTTCAAGTATTCATATCCCGTAGCTGAATCAGAGGGTAAGAATATGTAGATTATTCAAAAGAAACTATTTTTTTATAAAAGTATTAATACATAGTCCAAAATTTAGTGGCATCTATAGACTATTTAATCAAACAATATGTAATGTATGCAAAGGTAGAAAATAATACTTTATACTCAAATGTATCTAGATTATTTCTAGTAAAGAATTTAAATGTTGTAGAAATGTAAGTTGTTGTTGTTGTTGTTGTTGAAGAAAGACTTATACTTATATACACTTAACTTACATTTAATTTAATTGTTTTAAAATAGTAATTCACCAACCAACGACCCAATACCACCATGGCTTGATAGTGGAAGACCAGATATGACAGTAACAAGTCTAAACTTTACAAAACTTGAATATTTATTCCTCTATCGGTATCCAAGAGATGGTTCAAATAACATATTAGAGTTAACGAGGGGTATGCCATCATTGATCGAAATACAAGTCAATGAATTGATAACAACCATACCTGAAGGTTTCCCATTCACTAAAAAATTACAAAAAATGTAAGATTAATGTAAAAGAAGAAGGAAGTATTCGATTAATTCTCTCTATTTTTTAAATGACAGAATGTTCAATTCAATGATAACATTACCAAAGAATTTAAATAATGAAGTTTATCCATCCCTAACTAGATAGTAAGTACTGATTCGATTGATTGATCAGTTGAATTGTACACCACCAAACCCAAAGTTGAATGAACTAATTGTTGTCTTTTTAATTTAGTGAAATCAGTAGTCATAAAGAACCAATGCCTGATGGGTTTGGAGACAGACTATTCGCTTCTTTTATAATGAACCTACAAGGGTATCTACCCTTTAGATTACCAGATTCATTGGTGACGGCCAATTCTCTAACCTTGAAACCAATTAGCAGTAATCCAGAATACATAGCTCAAGCCTACCAATGTTTTAATGGAACTTTTATGCTTAGTGAAAGTTATCAAGGAGGTTTCATAAAAGATTTTCCAAATAATATTTGTAGTATGTACTCTTAAACTAAATTAGTTTTAGGATTGATTGAATATTAATAATTCTATTTATAATTATAGATATTAGTGTAACATCATTAAGATATAATGGGAATAAAGTAACTATACGTGGTAATAATATAATGAGAGGACAGAATCAATATGGAACCAATATTAGATATGCTGGTGGAACTCTCAATCAACTTGTACCTGGTTCAATGTTGGAATTTACTAGAAACACTCCAGGAATGATGGAAGAATTTGTTCCAATTGCAAATCATAGTCAAAAAAATTTATTATTATCTATTGCTGTTTCATTTACTCGTATTAATCTTGGTCATTCAAAAGTCATCACACAAGTTCCATTTGGAGTAGTCGTAACCGTAGATATTAATTACAATACCAACATTGAACATAGATTGTCATTGAATGGAGCGACTTGTAAATTGGGATCCCTTAAATTGGTAAACAATTCATTATTGACTTGTTTCTTTCACCATTCCATTACCCAATACCAAAGTTTACTTACTTATAGTATAATGAACCCTATAAACAATGAAAAAAGATATCTTAATTTTAAAAGAGGTATGTCAAAGAAAAAGTAACATTTTTTTAAAAAATATAATGTATTAATTCAATCAAATATTTCTTTCTTTTATTTAAAAAGAATATCCAAATATAGATGATCAAAAAATAATGATAATAATGAATACTACTACAGCTACAATAACAAATAGTAAAACTGAAAATGGAACTGAAATTGAAAGTGGAAGTGGAAGTGGAAGTGGAATAGAGGAGGAACCATTATTATTTACATTTACAGGAACATTTGGAAATCATAACCAAACTAGAGTATTGGTTTTGATAAATAATACAATTGAATGTACCATTGTATCACTAAACTCTACAATGTTGGAATGTACAGTACCAATTGATTCATTTAACACCCAAAGTAATAATAATAATGTAGATGGAGAATATTTAGAGTTGTATGTTGAAGTTGACGGTCATTCCTATGTATCAAATGATATTATATATATTCTATATCCTTTTAAACCTTCTTCTTCTTCATCATCAGATGATGAAACTTCATCTTCATCTTCATCTTCTTCAAATACCCATCTCCCAAACGGTCATGGTAAATCCAATAATACAATGTATTATTTGATTGCATTTTTAGGAGCTGGCTTCATCGCAGGAATTGTCGTTGCAATTAAACTATCAATTGATAGGAATATATTTACCGTTTCAAAAAGAGTAACAGAAATTAAATTGAAACAAAGAAAGATGGATCATCTTGCATAAAAAGTGTAATATATAATAAACAATTTACCAAACCAAACCAGTCTCGACTGTTGTAGTATTATTTTAAAAAAAAAGAAGGAAGGATATTTATATTACAAAGAAGATATATAGAAAGAGATGTCGATTACTTTTGAGGTGATTGTTGTTGTTGTTGTTGTTGTTGCTGTTGTTGCTGTTGTTGTTGTTGTTGTTGCTGAGCTGTAAATGCAGGAGGGAGAGTATTTTCATAAAGGTATTCTAAAACATTTGATATGTTTTGCATATCATTTTCAATGGTACGAGACCAATTCTCTACATCACCAATCTCCTTGAGAGCACCATTGAAATGATCGATTAGAGAGAGCCACTGATTGGTTTGCTTTGCAAACTTTGCAGTGTTTGCTTGAAGAACACGAGCTTCTTGTTCCAACTTTTTTTGATTAGCAAATACACATGCTACACCTTGATTGACACTATCCATCATTCCATTTGTAACTCCTCCAACTGATTGAATTGCTTCCTTTTTTAAAGTTTCTAAAATAACAAACAGAAAGAGTTGGTCATTCATTCATTCATTCATTGTCTTTCAAGCATCTCTCTCTCTCTCTCTCTATCTCTCTCTCTCTCTTTCTTTAACCATCATACCATTCTCATCTTTTATCTTGTTTAAATGAGTTTGATGTTCTTTAACTAGCCTGCTTAACATTATCTATCTAGTATTATATTATCTCTTTTTCAAAAAATATAAAATAATAAAATGTTTAATGAAAAATCTGATTCTTGTTCATCAGACTTCTACCTCTCCTCAATTTAATTAATATTATTGATTATTCAATTTAACAGTAGAGGGAACACATAGTACATAATGTCATCTTCAGATTCTGATTCTGATTCAAGTTATGGTATGATAACAATATACCAATCATCAATCGTCAACATAATATAGTATTAATCATAATCTTAATATCTTATACCATCATCACCCCTTTGTATCTACCTTTCTCTCTATTTATATATATATATATATATATAGAATCAGATGATGAATTACAAGAACCAACATCATGGCATCAACTTAAAGATGGATGGCAAGATTTTATTGTAGAGGATGGAGCTTTTATTGTACCTGCTGAAGGATCGGCTGCTGCAGCTGCTGAATCTCTACAAATTGAAGATAGTAATAGATTTAATGATCCCCTTGGTATATTAAAGTATGCTAATGAAATGATCAGTAATCAGTGATCATTGATCAGATGTATTGACAGTACTGTCTTGTTGTTGTTAAATTTAGGATTCCACCACGTAAATCACAAGGAGTTAAAGGTCATTTAATTAGTTTAGAATCTGAACAATTCGACCCTGTAGTATTCCTTTCAGAGATACACAGTCAAACAAAGTTTACAGAATTATCGGTTGGTCTCAGTAAACTCAAAGAAGCATCAAACTCAAAGGATCTAGAAATCAAGTATTTGGTAAAAGATAACTTTGAACATTTTGTAAAGTGTAAAGATACAGTTGATGAAGTTTACAACTTGATCACTAGTAGTAAAATGTTGGATGATATGAGTGGATCATTTAAAAGTATGTATAAAACAAATAGATTGGATAAATCATTTATTCATTCGTTGTTTATTAATCCATCCCTATCTATCTTTTCATTCAGAAATTATTGATAAATCTGAAGTTGTATATGATCCATTACTTCAAGGTAAACAAGAAGCCGATCATATTAGAAAGGTTTTAACATTATTAAACAAATTTAAATTTATCTTTAAATTGCCTGGAAAGATTCAAGAGAATATTAGAAATGTATGTAATAATATAATCAATCATTATTTAACTATTTAATTAATTATGTATGTTTAGGGAGAATTTGATAAAGTTGTACATAATTATAAATACGCAAAGAGTGTTATTACTACCAATAACAAGAAGGCATTCCAGAGAGTTTTAAATGATATTGAAAAGATGATTGAAGATTTTAGATCGAGCATGTTTGCATCGTTACGAGATCCACAATCTAAACCAGATTATCTTAAAAAGGTGATACGTGTATTGATGGAGATTGGTAATGGTAAAGGTGAATGGGCAAATGCAGGTGATCCATGTTGGTATTGTCTATCTCATAAAAATAAGGCAATTACAACTTTAATTAGTCAATGTCATGATGATCGTAAGTACAAAAATAAAATGATCGTTTCAAGAAGACCTTGTACATTTAGTTAAACTAATATATATTTTTATTAGAAACATTATTACATCATAAAAGAATTAAAAGATTATCAATTTTATTATTATCAAATATACCAAATCTTTACAAGATGGGTAGATCGTATGTGGAGGGTAGATTTGATTATGGAAGTGAAAAGTTTTCATCGACCATTACAAGTGGAAAGAAAGAGTTGGCTTTGCAACAGCAACTGTTGGGAGGAACGCAGAAAAAAAAGGAAAAGAGTATATCGGTGATTGTCCACTACCTCGATGAAACATTCTCGAGCTATCGTATTGACAATGACAAGCGTGTCAGAGACTTGGTAGCAATGTGTATGAAGCGTTTCACTGACCCTGAGTCGGAATACTGTCTCTACAAACTGTCGGAAAAGAAAGGAAAGGATTCATCGTCAGTCGGCCACATCAAGTTGGTTGAACTCGATCCTGCTGAATCACCCTACAAGATCTACAAGAAATGGGTATCAAAGGGTGTATCGACTAGGAAATTCCTATTCAAAAAACGTAGTGAAGAGTTTTCCAAAAACTCTCAAGGAAAACATGTCGTCCAAAAGGATCTCAACAGCACATTCAAGTCACACAAGAAACAATACTCTGCTGCCACTTCACTACTCAATGAAGAGAATTTCAAAAAGCTTATTATTGAACTGTTACAATTGTATGCCGACAAGGTACAAGACTTGTTCTTTAACGATGATGATGAGGTTACTGCAACTGGCCAGTTGGCTGCATCAAGTGGCGGTTTGTCGTTGGATGACGAGGTGGTTGGTAGCGACACTACCAACATGGTAGAGAATGTAAACGAAGTCATAAAGTGTCACGACATGTTGGTTGGTTTGGGTATGCCAGACCCATACGTACAATCCATCAAGGATTTAGTTGGAAATCTCACTCTTCATTTTGTCAATCGTATCTGCTCTGAGATGGTTGGTGAAATCTCCTTCCTCTATCTTCTCGAAGATTGGTCAATCAATGATGAAACCAAAGGTGTCATCACTGCCAACCAAATCGATGGAATGGTCACAACCAAACTATTAAATGAATTTTTCAATTGTACAAAATCAAACCTTGATAAACTTTCATTCTTGGTTAATAGTCCTGTAAGTCAAAAGAACTAGTTAAATTATTATCCTTTTGCTAATTATTCTCTTTTTTAGCAATTATTAAAACATGTAGAAAAAGCATTATGTGAAGCAATTGAAAGTTTTGGTGATTGTTTACATCATTTGGCATTTACCAATTCATCAACTAGTAATACAATCCTATTAACAAATAGTATCGATAACAAAGATAATAATGACCAACTAGTCAGTGATGATGAAGATAATATATCTTCATTGGCATCATCAACCAATCAATCAAGTCTAAATAATAGTAGTATGGTACCCACTATAATTGACGATATACCAAAATCCACAAAACTATTGTTATCATTGTCAAATTGTTCGACGGTAGTGTCAAAGACTGCCATTCAACTCCGTGACTATTATGTCACATTGTTCCATCGCGCGTGTTCAGATCGAATCAAAAAGGTTATTCAAAAGATGGGTTCATTGGAATTGAGAATATTGGAAGAGTATGTTCATCTCAAGAGCAAACCTCTTTGCGAGGCTGTACACAGAGGTATTTTGTATTCAGGTACCGACTGGTCAACCAATAAGCCACCCACAAAGGTTGGCGACTATGTCATGACAGTATTGACCAAGATGGTATTCATTCACAACGAGGTGATAAAGACAATCAACAGTTTGGATGTAGCACGGGGTATCATCACCCGTATTCTCGAAAAACTCCTCATCTCCTTCCAATTTATGCATAGTCAACTCGACCCAACCTTTTTGTCTGTCAATGGTCAAATGCAGCTCATGCTCGATATTTTATTCCTCGAGCACGTTCTTGCCACCAACACGAACCAAAAGACTGAAAAGATTTCATCCGCTCTCAAGCAAACTCTATCGCTCACACCAAAGGATAATTATAATAGATCACAACCTATCAATATCAAATATTTAGAATCAATCATTGAATCACAATTACACAAAACTTCATTATTATTTAATTGTTTTAAATAAATTTTGTCCTTTAATATAAATAATTAATTATCAATTTAAAGGAAACTATTATATTATATTATACGATTTTATCTACAGATTTTTATTTTTTGGAATATTCTATAAAAGATGAAAGATATAAAAGTAAGTAAAATGAACAATTAGATAATTATGATTGTCTATTTTTTTGTTTGTTTCTGTGTCAATAACAATACCATCAATTAAATATTTGATACCAGCAGAAGTACAAACTTGGGAAGGAGTTTTTGATTCTTTATTCTCCAAAGTAAAATCGGCATTGTTGGATAAAAGTGCTTGGATAATCTCTTCATTTCCATAGACAGCAGCGATATGAGCAGCAGTATCCAATTCTGCATTTTGAGAGTTTATATTGTGTCCGGCCTTTATCAATCGTGTGATGACATTTGGGTTTCCATTTGCAGCGGCTCTATGAATTGGTGCTGATCCAGTCTCATCCTTTACACTCTTGGCACCTGCATTTAATAGCAAATCAACAATATCTGATCTACCCTTTGAACATGCATAATGTAATGGTGTTCTCTTTGATTCAGTTGCAACATTTGGATCTGCATTATTTTCTAATAATAACTTTACCATATTTGTATGTCCTAAGGAAAATAAATAAATAAATAAATAAATAATAATTGATTATTTAATTGGTTTGTTCATACCAGCACTTGCAGCACTTAAAAGTGGAGTCCATCCACCATCATCAGAAGTATTGACAGATAGGTTATGTTTAACAATGAGATAGTTGGCAATTGCAACATGACCAGCTGCAGCTGCAAGATGCAATAATGTACGATCGTCATCGTCCATTTGAGCAGGTGATACTTTATCTTGTTCTATGAGATTCTGTACATTTGTCATGTTGCCATCTTTTACAGCTTGAAACAAATCATCTTGTTTAGTATTTGTTTGTCCTTTATTTAAGAATTTTGACATCTCTCTATCTCTCTCTCCTCTTATATTATATATATTATTGTAGTATCAATACAATTGTAAATTAAAGAATGAATGAAAGTTCATCGATTGTGTGAACTTGCACCTCGAAATTAATTAAATTTAATTTATTTTTTAGTTGGTTATGATCATCAACCTAATCTTGATTTGGAGTTCACTTTCACTCTTCATTTCACTCTTCATTTCAATCTTCATTTCATTCATGTAATATTAGATCGATCAATCACAATCATGTATTATAGTAGTAAATTTATTCGATCATTAGCATCATCGTCGACATTGATGTTGAAACAATCACACCCATGTACTTTTAATCAAAGATCAAAATCATATCAAGTATCTTCGCAATCACAGTCACAATCCTCCTCCTCCTCCTCCTCTTCTTCTTCTTATTTGAATGGTAATGATGAACAACCTACGACGACAATCAAGAGCTCTTTCAAAGGAAATACGGATAGACAATTCCTATCCAACAAATTCAAAGATATTGAAGAGTCGTTTGACTACAAGTTGCCAAGTTATCAACCAGTTATCATTCGATTAGACGGGAAATCATTTAAAAAATTGTGTAAAGACCTTGAATTGGAACATAATGATATCAGATTCCACGATGCAATCAAAGAGGCTGTTCAAGAACTATGCTCCAAACATCTAAATGGCAGTAAGTTTGCCTATTCCTTTTCCGATGAGATCAATATCCTTTTCTATCACAACGATGTGACAAAGCCACCATTCCTATCGAATCGATTACAAAAAATAGTATCAATCTCTGCATCTATAGCTTCTGTAAAGTAAGTACAACTTACAACGGATCCGTTTTTGAACACTTGATTGCATTGTAATTAATGATATATCTTTTATATTATTTATTTATAGATTCAGTCAATCATTATCAAAATCATTGTCAAGACCCGTAGATTCATATTTTGATTGTAGGGCATTCACAATCTCAAAGGAACAAGTGCCAGAATATTTTATATCAAGACAACAAAGATGTTATTCCAACTTTTTATCTAATTTCATTTCAAAGATTCATAATAATGGTAATGGTAATGGAAATGGAAATGGCAATGGCATTGAAAATAATAATAATAATAATAATAATAATAATAATAATAATAATAATAATAATAATAATAATAATAATAATAATAATAACCAATCATCAAAGAATGATTTATTATTATCAAATATGAATTCATTTGCCAAAGGTATTAAACACAAGGAAACATTTATAGAAAAGGAATTGGGAATTAAAATCAATGATGAATTCTATGAAATCTTTAAAAAGGGTTTCATATTTAAACGACATCAAGATGGTAATTGGAAACTTCACAAAAATGGTGATATGCCATGGTTTAGAAATAATCCTCACATATTAAATATTGATGAATAAAATTAATTAATATAAATAAATATTTAATATAATTATTATTCCATAACGATCGCACCCAAGATGATTGAAGATTGATAGATATCAATCTATTATATTATTTATATATTTTTAAATTATTACATTTTTTTTTAGTTTAATTTTATTAGTTTTTTAGTTTTATATTATATTATATTATTTTGATTACATGATTGTACAACAAGAATCTTTCTTTTGTTTCTTTGATTTTAATTCTATATATTGCTAAAATAAATAAATAAATAAATTGGGAAATAGAAATGGAAATAGGTTGGTTAATATTAGGTTCTATATTATCTTTGATGAATCAATCAAAAAAAAAAAAGGCTCGAACAAACAAATGGGATATTGGGGCAATCAATCAAAATCCTCGAATCGACCGATCCATAATCTCGAACCACCTCTCTGTCTTTTTTTTTGTTTTTTTGATTGATAGTGGTTTCCCTGAATCTCTTGATTTGTCAACGTTGATGTTCATCATCACCAATGAGTGAAAAGTTATTTTTAAACTTTATCTCCACCAACCAACCACACCAACATGTGATTTCATTCCAAATAAGAGAGAGAGGGATAATGAATGAGTCGAGAGATGGATGATCGATTGATTGATTGATTGATTGAATTCACACCAATTACCAAGTTAACAATGATAACCTTTCCATATAACTTGTTGTTTGTTTGTTTGTTCAAAGCTTTCCTCCTTTATGATGATGATGATTTCTAAAATATTATGTGACATTTACTGCTTGTGTAATTTGAGTATAAGATGATAGTTGTCGAGTATCTTGTAAACATGCTTTGTCTTCTGGTAAAAACAATCCAATATCTGCTGCTGGATTGACATTGATGGCTTGACCAATGGCTGCAATTGCCTCTAGCACCGTCAATGAAGGATCCAATCGAATGGTTTTATAAATGACAGGATAGTCTGCTGGAAACTTTACTCTAACTTGTAGTGACATTGTTGTAATATTACTCTATAATTTGTTGTTGTTGTTGTTGAGTTGTAAAAAGGTGTATTTGTCTTTCTTTCTTTCTTTACTACAACAATCTGTTGTTCTAAACACTCGCAGCTGTTGGTATATTGATTTAAAGAAGATGAGGAGGGAGGTGAGAAGAGGGGGATGGGATGGTGATGTAATTTAATTATTTAAACTAGTGTCCTGTCTGTTTGTTGGTGTTTGTTTGTTTGAGTTGGGTGGGTAAGGGTACCACTCAAGATTGATCTGTCAGGTTGATGAGATTGAATCTGTGATTTATAATATAATATATATGTATATATATATATGATAACCACAAGAGACTGTTGTTGAGATCGATTATTGGAAGGGGATGGTGAGTGAGTGAGGGTAATCGAATCGAGTAATAAATAATAGAGAGTAATAAATAAACTTAATAATAATAATGAGGAAGAGGATAAAGCAGAAGGGGGATATAGTATACTATAGTCTACTTATTGATACTGTGATAAAATAAATAAATAAATAAATTGTTTGTTGTTGTTGTGAGTGGGTGCTATGCTATGCTATGCTACTAACTACTGACTTGTTGGACTTCTAGCTAGTTATGTGATATAACTGATTGGTACTACTGTTTCTGCACAGAGTGAGATTGCTTTTAAAAAAAAATCTCTTTATGATAATGGCCCTGTACGCGATGGGATGGGCTGCTGCTTGGATTCCAAAAATTAATTTGTAGTTTTACAAAGACAAGTTGTGGAGTGAGTCTCTCTCTAGATTACCTGACTACTAGTGTGTACACGACAGGGACAGATAAGATAAAGAAACAAGAAGAAGAAGAAGAAGAAGAAGAAGAAATGTTGTTTGTTTGTTTGATTGTTTGATTCTGTTTAATTATAGAACAAAAAACAACAATAATTAAAGAGTTGATGATGTTGTTGTTGTTGTTGTATGTGATTTTTTTGGTTGATATTATTGTTATTACCGTGTGTGTGAAAACAGACAGACTAGACTGACAGACTGAATGAATGAAATGAATGAAAGAGAAATGATTGATTGATTGATTGATTGATTGAGAGTATTGCTGTGGGTAATCGTGTTGTTGGAAGATCAATGAGAGTGGGTAAGGGGAGGGAGTCGATTTGTGTTGTTTGGGGTAGTGTGGATGAAAAGTGGTGTTGGGTTGGATTTTCAATTGTTTACTACTCCTATTATTACAACTATTTTCCTTTGTTGGTTTGTATGTATGTATTATTATTATTATTAGTTTGGTTTGTTTGTGTGTGGTTCAAAAGAAAAGTAAGGAGGGAAGGAAATAATGTGATCGATTGATTGATTGATTGATTCCTCACACCTTCCTTCCATTTGAAAGGAAAGTAATTCGAATCTCATGAGGTTTATGCAAAGCCGATGGATCTTCGATTTGAAAGCGACTAAAAAAAATCTCATGCACGCGGTCGAGGTGAAAGGATGGGATGGTTCTGGGTGAGAACACCCAACAACAACAACAATTAATTAGATTGGGTGATTGATACCGACCGATATCTTATCTCTCTGTTCATACCAGAGAGAAAGAGAGAGTCGGAAATTGCAGTAGTTGGTTGGTTGATGGTTTAGAACACGCGCGTATGGGTTATAGAGATTTTAACCAAACTAGTGAACTTTGTAATCTTGTTTATTTATTCATTCATATGTGTGTGTGTATTCATGCTATTAAAGGCTATCAGAGAGTGACAGGAGATATATTTAATAAATAGGTATAGAGCACATTTGCATTTGATCGATAGTCTGCAAACTTGTGACTATGACTGTGAAGTTTAGATGCGTCAAGAGGAATGAAAATAGGATTGGCTGGTGGTGGTGCAGGAATGGGATGATTGGACAGATCAAATAAAAGTAGCCAGAGAGTGTCTTGATCCTTGTCAATCAGATACCTCCAAATCTCCATTGCCATGACTTGGAATTCTTCGGGTTGTCTAAATGACAGGTATGGCAGTGTCAACTTGGCGATTTGGGCAATTTGGGTACTGTCAATGTGTACACTTGACAATACGATTCTAAAAGTATCCAAGATTATTTTTTGTATCTTGTAAGGTGCTGAAAATTTAATATTCTTTTGTTGATTTTGTTCTATATTACTAATTAATGGTAATTGAATTTTAGATGAAGTAGTTGTAGTATTTTGTTGATTTTGTTGATGTTTTTGATTTAAATTATCTTGAATTATATTTAATGATATTTTGTTATTATTATTATTATTATTATTATTATTAATATTAATATTATTTTGATTTATCAAATTAAAATGATTTAAAGATAATTCTTGTGAAATGATTAATTGAAGTACTGGGAATAATTCAGTCCAAAATCTTTGACTGATGAAATCTTTGGCAAAGTTGGAAATAGATTGAACTAGTTCAAGAGCTCTCTTTCTAACTACTCTATCATTCTCTTTGATTCTTTTGACAATCGAGTCCCATATCATATGTATCAATGGGAATAGAGCCACTTTAGGTTGTTTAGTTGCATTCTCTGCCATTACAAATCGATTTGGTTTCTTTAATCCTTCTTTTTCGCCTTCCTTTTCCTCCTCCTCCTCCTCCTCTTCTTCTTCAATTTCTTCACTACCAAATTTTCTATTTCCAGTCCAAACAATGACCATACCCATTTCCATAATATCCATAATATTCATTTTAATAAATTTGTTTCTTGATCCTAGAAAATGTTTACATTTTTTCATAATATCACTAATCAATAATCTTTCTCTTTCTGTTGTTGGTTTATATTGTTTTTGTTGTTGTTGTTGTTTTTTCTTTTGATCATCACCACTATCATCGTTTTGATTATTATTATTATTATTATTATTTAAAGATTGTAGTTGATGTTGATTTCTAAGGTCTATACCAAGATCTTTTAATTTTTCATCAATTACTTTTTCTTGATGATGTTTTATAAAGTATGATTTAATGTCACCAATACTCTTTGAATCTTTTTCCAATCTATTCTCTTTTTCTTCTTGTTCCTCCTCTTTTAATGTTAAATTCTTTTGTTTTTCTATTTCATCTTGTTCCTTTTGTTTTGCCTTGTTTTCTTTATCACTTAATTCCAATTTAGCGTTATCATATAATACCTTTATGATATTATACAATATTTTAATAAAGATGACTATATTGTCTGAATTTTCCGTTGCAACATCCAATGCAAATAATATCATGTCTACAGTATCCTTTAAAAATGGTAAAAACCCTAATCCAGTTATATTCAAAATACCATTAAATACATTTGGTGTATTTGGAAATTCTTTTAAATATTTCATATTATTTTCTAAAAAACAATAATTAATTAGTTAATCTTATCTTTAACTTAAAAGTATTTATATTTGTACATCATCATACCAATAGTTCCTAATAAATAATCTGAATTATTATAAACAATATCTTCAAGAGAATTATAATTAAATAATTGTGATAGTTGGTTCAAAGTATTTTTACTTGATTGTAATATCAATCCACTTGAATCCATTGATGATGATCCAAATTTCTCCAACAATGTATAAATTACTTTTCCTAAAAATATTGATTGATGTTTTTCTTTTTTAAAAATGAAAGGTTAATAATATTTTAAATTTGGTGGATGATATTTGGGTTTACATACTATTTTTTGGTAATAAAGAACCAATCGAACCTATACCATCAATAATTAAAGATTGAATCATTATATTATTTTGGTATCTTTCAATTTGATGATTATCGGTGGTGGTGATTGAAACAAGAGTTGGATCTTGATCTTGTTTTGAAATGGGGAGATTTAGGAGAGTTGGTGAAAGGTATTCATCCAAAATATACATTAACCCTGAGAAATCCACTGAACTATTATTGGTAGCTCCTTTAAAGAGATGGTTAAACATGAGAAGAATTTCTTTTGATCGTGGTGAATGATCGAGACGAGTCATTGAAAGTACATGATCAATCCAATCCATTAGATTAACATATCTTCCAAGAAAGTGTAGCATATTGTATATATTATTTTCAACCTTTCCACTTGTAAAATATAAAAATGGTTTACTTGTTTGATTACTACCAACATAAATTCCTAATTTCTTTTTATTATTTTTATCTAAAAAATCAAAAAGAAAAAGAAAGAATATTAATATAATTTTTGTTTGTTTGTTTGTAAAATTTGAACTATTTACTTACCCAAAGGATTATCAGTAATAAATTTAAGTGATTCTTCTAAAGTTTGAGATGGAGTTGTTTTGTTATTATTATTATTATTATTATTATTATTATTATTATTATTATTATTATTATTATTATTATTATTATTAATTGGAGGGGGAGTATATATTTCCAATAATTGAATAAAAGTAGAAACAACCATTTCAATTCTCAATGTTGTAAATGATTCAATAGTATCATTTGGTACCATTTTTAGATAGGATAAAGCTAGTTGAGTGATAATTTCTTTTTTATCTTCTTGTAGTTCCAGTGGTGTTTGATCTTCTGGTTGGAATAACCGAGGAAGTGATTGGAAAAGATGATTAAAGTTTTCGATTATAATATCATCTACCATTGGATCCTTTGACAGTATCGATAGATAGGATTGTGCCAATTCAGCTATAGAAGGGTAATCATCGGTTGAATGGAGTACCAACACCTCTATAAACAGTGGTACCAGTGATGAAAGTGTCGATTTACAATGTACAAGTATTTTATAGGCTGATTTAACCATCTCTTCTCTTATATTCCATTTTAAAGTTGATTTGTTCAAATATGATGGTGTTGGATCTTGTTGATAATGTTGTTGTTGTTGTTGTTGATCAAATTGTTGTTTCAAAGGTTGACTTTTTAATTTTGAATAAGATCCAGAATTTGGAAATATACTACAACAAAATTTATGTAAACTTTTAATTGCAATATTATCTTGATCTAAATTATTATTATTCTTTTTTTGTTGTTGTTGTGAATTATTATTATTATTACTATTATTATTATTAGTTGTCAACATATCAGATGACAAGTATTTTAATATTACATCTTCTCCTTTTTCTTTTTCATTTTCCTTTTCTTCTTCTTCTTCTTGTCGACCCATTGTTGATATGACCAAATTCGTAAATAACTTTAATGATTCTATTTTTAATTTTGAACCAAGTTTATAATCACTAATGACAACTCGATAGAGAGTTGTAATTGTGGCTGGAAACAGTGAGAGAAGAGTTGATTTAAACGATTTGGGGTGGTTGATATAAGGTGAGAGGATGGCAGTCAAAGTTGACACTGCCGACAGTTTGATGGTACGTGATACTGATTTGGCCAAGAGAATGTCTAGAATGGTCGATATTGTGAATGCCATCGGTTGATAGTTTTGTATATTCTCTACAATCAATGGATACTGACTACCAGTAGAACTAGAACTAGAACTAGAACTAGAACTAGAACTAGAGTCATCCATAATTATCCATGCTCTAGTTGCCAATTTAAATAATTCTCCAATTATTTCTAATACCTTTTCCATTACTTCATCTGATATCTTGTATATTATTAATTCCTTTTGTTGTTGTTGTTGTTGTGGTTGTTTATGTTCAGTTGAAGAAGAGGAAGAAGAAGAAGAAGTATGAATAATAGTTGTCATTGTATTTACCATATCAATGAGTTGAGCAACTTGAATACCATTCAATTTTGTTACAAGTTTGAGTAAGAGTGACAATACTTGAATCTTGACGTTATCTCTTGCAAGTATATTGTTGTTAATGTCACTATTACTACGATCATTATCATTACCCCTTGGAAGGGGAGATGAAGATGAATTGATAATGAGAGCCATCGGTATGTACAAATAATCGATTAGATAACACAATACATTTGATTCATATTTATCCAATGCAAATGATATGTTTGATATCAGATACACTATATTTGATTCAACTTCTTTAATGTTTATCTTGTTCTTATTACTACCTCTGTCATCTTGATTAGTAGTAATATACTTTTTAAAATCAGATATAGTTGTTATGAGTTGATCACATAGTGGTTTGAATGTATTGAATGCTTGTGTAAGACGTATCTTTTCAGTTGGTGTAAGTGTCTCCATTCATTTACTCGCTCCTATCTATTATTATTAATATTAGTATTATTTGTTGTTATTATTGAACTTCTTCAATAATAGATTGAAATTGAAAATAATAAAATATTCTTTCGGGTCAGAGTCGACTTCATTCATTGATACTTTTCATTATTATTAAAATTAGCTACTCGAAAGAGATATATTTATAAGAGAGTAAAGATGGAGAACGAAGATTTACAACGTAGAATGCAAGCTGATGTAGGTTTGTTTATTTGATTGATTGATTGATTGTTTGTTAGGATGAGGAGTTGTTATTAACAAGATATATGTAACTTTAATATATATATGCAAATTATAGCCAGAGGCACAACAAAGAGCAATGGAACAAAAAAGAGAGCAAGAGGAGAGAAGACAACATATTATACTTCAAATCCTTACCCATGATGCAAGAGAAAGATGTATGTTATTGAAGATCTTATACTAAAAGAAGATAAAGACTTACAACTATTGTATTCTATTATAGTGTCAAGAATAGCAATGGTAAAACCAGACAAAGCACGTCAAATTGAAGATATGCTTGTTAATGCAGCTCAAACAGGTCGTCTATCAGAGAAGGTTGATGAACAAAAATTGATATCCCTATTGGAACAAATAAGTGAGAAGGCAAAGAAAACAACTGTCATTGTATAGTATCATAAATGAGACGAATATTAGATGATCATATAGTGTATACCTTCCTAACTAATATCATTTTTATTAACAACCATTTAGATGAAGAGAAGAACAATCGAAGACGATGATTAGACAAGAAGATGGATAGGATTTAAATAGAATAAAACAAATGAATATTAATATAACAATAATGATGATAGGAAAGGAATATATAAATATATTTATTAATTCATTCAATTTTAAAATGGAATACCACTACTAGTTTGATGAACAAATGGTAATACTTGTTGATCAACATCTTGGTCATTATTCAAATTAAAGATGGTTGGTGATTTAAAGAGGAACCATTTCTCTGTCAACGAAGCACTTGCTTTGGGTTCGAGTTGGGTAAGTGCTCCAATGGTCTCGAGTTCAAGGTAGTCTGGAGACATGTAAGCTTCAATATTGGCACCAAGATCAACTACATGGTTTTGAGATAGTTGACTAATTCGCTTGATAAATAGGTATTGGTCATTCACTGAAGCTGACCATCCATTACTTGATCTTACTCCAACCTAAATGAAAGAAAGTAATGCATTAGTCAAAAGAAGAAAATGAAGACTATATTATGTATGTTTATATTTAGACTATACCTTATTAGCATCTTTCATGGTAGAATTTTGTTGAGCTAAAAGATACTTCATACCAAGTGTAATTCTTTCATCTTTCAATTTAGTATAGTTCCAAATTGAAATGGATGATTTTGGTTGAAGACCTTGTGGATCGTCAACACCCATTGGCAGGATTGATTTGGTTCGGGCTGCCATAACAGTCACTGCCCATGGAGCAATAGGGACAGCCCATTGATTGTGGTTGGTGAGTTGATGGACAATCTCCAAGTGTGCATTGGATTGATTGGCACCTCCTCTACCATAGATTGTGATTTGTTTAGCAATATTGTTTGTCTTTTCAATTGGTTGTGTTAGGATGACGTGATCGTTGGCTATGGTAACATCGATCTTTTCATTGTCTGGATAGTAGGTACGTGGTGATACTTCTGGTGCATGCCACAGTCTATGACCACCATACAATCTCCACTTGTCACCACCGACATTACCAAAGTCATCGGGTTGTTCAAAGAATAGGTTCGACTGGTCATTGTCAAAGGTCAATGACAATATTCTAGGTCCTACATCCGACACTACAATAGCATTAAAATGATGCCATCTAATTCTATAACAATGTCTCCATCCATGATATGATTCCAATGCTTCTACTTTAAACATTGTAGAATTATTATTATTATTATTATTATTTGATTGATTAGTTGTATTGTTGTTTATTTGTGCTAAAGTTTAATTAAAAATGATTCAATGTTAGTTAGCAAACTTTATGATCAGTGGAGTCTCCACACACAATCCAATCAATGAGCCCCCATTAATTTTTTTTGTAAGTTTACCATTAGAATTTCCAACACATGCAAGGAATAACAATAATCCCAAAAATAAGAATATATTATTTGAATTTAGATAGTAGTTCATTATTTATTTATTTATTATAATTTAAATAAAGTAATACTATTATTCATTTTATTTATTTATTTATTGGTATTATTCCAAAATTATTTTTTATTTATATAATACGAATATTTAATTATTTGTTTGCGAAACACTCACTACTTTGAACACCACCACTCATTCGAATTCCAAAAGAATCTTTATAGATTTTATAACTTTTTTGTTTTAAAGGGAGTATGGAAGAGATTTATTTATTTGTTTTGGATAGGTATTAATTGATACCATTGCCAATGAGAATTATATTACAATCCCAATAAGGTGGATATATTATTATGTTGTTGTTGTCATAAGAATGGAATGAATTCATTCTTAATAATTATTCTTTGTATGTTGATGTTGGTTGATGTTATCATTTATAAAAAAAAAAAGATGAAGCCGAATATAGATGATGATGTCTAAATATTAAATATTAATATGTATGTACATATACGTGTATTATTTTCGTTGAAAGTGATTATTATATTACTAATGAATGATTGTTATTAATAATTTGTTGATTTTCTGTTTCTATTTTTTTGTTGTTGTTTACTTTTTTTTTCTGTTTCTATTTTTTCTTAATTTAAACCTTCTTTTGTGGAGCAACAGCAATATAGGTATTAGCTTGAGATGGATGTTTAGAAGCATAGATAAGAGCATAGTAAGCACCTCCTTCATATGGATCTTTGAGTCCTAGAACCTTGGAGCCTGTATTTTTGATGAGTTCCTCCAACGATGGATAGTAGGTGGTACCACCCATATGGATGTAACCTTGACCTGGCTTGTGTATAATTTTTGCGTGCATAATATCCTTGCTCTTGGAAACATAGCTGAGTGCGTAGCAGCCTTGATCAGAACTACTGAATCTAACAATATAGGTACCCGATTTTTTGTTGGCAAGGAATTGAACGACATTCTTGGACGAGCTCTCTCCCAAGAACCCCTTGAGTGAACACACTTGGAACACTCTCTCCAACATCTCTGTGCCCGATGACAATGGACCAAACCATCCCAAAAATCTACCAAAATCTTCAATCTTTACATTGTCACTATCAATCTCTACCAACAACAACTTGAGACATTTAATTTTAAGATTTTCTTGATTAAATAATTTCATATCAACTCCAAATGATGAACAAAATGCTTGATAAAATTGATTCCATTGTACTTCAGTCTACAAAGAAAATAAATAAATAATTGTTAGATATATATATTGTAATAATTAAATATGTTTTGTTTGTTGATTGATTACTCACTTTGCCAATAAAATTATGAGTCCAAAATTGACGACCATTTTGATCTTGAAGAATACCTTCAATCAAGATATGATCGAGTAGTTTGTGATTGGTGATTTCGTCAAATGAAGGACGACGATTTGGAAGTGGATCCCAACAACGAGTGAGGAGGAGCTTGAGTTTAGATGTCCAGTTGTCGTTCATGGTGGGACGGTTTTGTTTGTAGACTACGCCATCGAGAAGTTCGTTGTAATTTTTGTAAAATCCATTGTATGGCTCGAGCTTGGTCAACATCTCCCACAACAACATTGAGAATGAGTAGACATCGGTCTTTTCATCATACTCTTTGTTGTGAAGCATCTCTGGAGACATATAGAGTGGTGAGCCGGCCTGGCCACTGGCCTTGTCCTTGCTCTTCATCTTGGACAACCCAAAGTCAGCCACCTTGACCACCCAATTGGAATCAACGAGTAGATTGGCAGGCTTGAGATCCAAATGCAACATGTGCGACTTGTGCAACCAATTCATACCGAGTGCAGTGTCACGTGCAATCAAGATGGTACGTTTAAAGTCGATATAGTCGGGTGAATCCTCTTTGAGACGAAGTAGTGCGTGTACCGACCCCTTTGGCATGAGCTCTGTCACGATACACAAGTCACCTGGTGTAGTACAGGCACCCATGAACAATAGCAAATGTGGGTTACGTAGTTTGGTCATCAAACACACCTCCTTTCTAAACTCATTGAGTACAGTCTCGTCGTAGAATTGTTGTGTCAACTTTTTAATGGCAACCTCTTTTCCACGCACCGATCCCTTGTAGACCGATCCAAATGCTCCGCTGCCAATCTTGGCCTCGCGGTTAATGATAATGTCGTGCTTTTCAATCTCCCACTTTGTAATCTCCTTTTCCGCTTCGACAATGAGCGAGTCGACACCATGTTGGATCTCGTCGACCTTGCTGTTGTGGTCACCGCTGCCATCCGATATGGCAACCGACGATGTCTCGGCAGTCGAGTAGTTGTATGATGAGCTGCTTGGTGACACTCTAAACGATGAGTTCTTTAATTGGTTCCAAATGTCTTGTATCTTGTTTGAATCTTGTTGTTCAATCAAACTATTCAATAATTCTTGTTTCAATGTTAATATAGATTGTACTTTGGTTGCTTTAACTCTAAGATCTTGAATCTAAAGAAGAAAGAAAATTAAAAAGGGAAAATTGTATGTTTAAACAAACAAATATTTATATTTAACTAAAAGGTATACTACTACTAAGTATTCTACTACTAATACTACTTACAGACTCTGAAAACAATACATTCAATCTCTCTTTACTATTGTTTGGTGATTTCTTGCTAATGGCAAGTTCGACCAATTCGTTGATCTCTTGGTCTTTGATATGTTGTTTCAACTCTAATGCTTGTAACTCTGCTTGAGCATTATTAATTGATCTTTCTAATTGTGGAATATTTGACATCTTTGTTGTTGTTATTTGTATTATAGATATTAATATCTACTATCTACTATATCTGCTAGCTAACTCTGATTGTTTGTTTAGGTAATCAAATCAATCAGGGATGGAATAATATAATAATAGTAATAATATAATGCTAACTAACTAACTAATACACACCCACTCTCTTCCTATCCTTTCTCTATCTGTATGTGTATATATTTATATATATATATTAGTATCCAAGTATGCTAAGTTTAGCTGGCAGAAGAAGTAGTTTTTCAGCTGTGGTTGGAACCCTCCTCACTCACACAGTGCCATTAACTTAAAAAAATCTCGTTTTTAATTTTTTTGAAAGCTTTTCAAGAAAACTTCCCTCTGGTTTGATGATTATTACTACTTTAATACTTTCTTGTGTACTCTCTAGTTGTTGTTGCTTGCGAACCGTCACACACACAGTCTGGTATTTCGTACAGCCATCCCCCTTTGTTACTACATCCGTCACGCACACAACACACACATCGGTTTGTGGTTACTCAAGTACTCAAAAAGGAAGGACATATTGAACATACACAAGATGTTAACATTGGCAGCACGAAAACATAACCAATACAAGGTGTTGTCATCACTGTTCCTCAGCACTACTGGTTCATCATCATCATCATATATCTCGAGAGTTGGTAGTACTGGTGGTCTATGCTCATTCTCGACAAAGAGAAAGGATGATTCACATGGATCGGTCAATGACATAACTTATACGGTTCAATTGACACAAGACACTTCAACACGTGATTTGGTAATGTCACTCAAGAATCAATTAAAGAATCCAAAAAAGAAGACAAAGAACAACAATAACAACACTGAAAAGAAGAAAACAAATACCAAACAAACGCAACAAGTAGAAGAAGAAGAAGAAGACGATATCTTTTACGAAGATGAAAATGATGACCAAACCTACTTTATTGATGAAGATGGAGAAGAATATATTGTTGATTTTGATGAACAATCTGATCAACCAATACAACCAATTCAACAACAACAACAACCAAAACAAACTCAACAACAACAACAACAATTAAAATCAAAGAAATCATCATTGATATTATCAGAATTTGAAAAGGAATATCAAATGTATGGAATGGAAGGAATGGAAGATCACAAATTTAATGATCAAGATGCCGATGTTGCAGATATGCAACTTTCATTGGATGAATTCAATATTGATCAGGATAACGATCAACTATTTAGAATTGGTGAAAAGAATGACTTTGAATTGGTTAGTGACAAGGATTTGGTTGAAAATAAAATAAGATTAGAATTGGATGGATTGGAAGATGAAATCGAACAGGAAGAGGAAATTGATCCACTTGAAGAAGCAAAGAGAAAAAGAAAGAATTTAGTTAATATTATTAGAGAAAAGTATGGTAACGATGCAGACAAGATTATCAGTAAAATAGACAACAAGGAAAAATATGGAAATTGGGATCCAAAGAGAAAACTATCAAGAGATGACATGAATCAAGTCAAACAACTACACAAGCAAGACCCAGATATTCACACAATCGACGAATTAAGCAAACAATTCAAGGTATCGGCAAGTTCAATCTATAGAATCATCAGAAGTAAATGGGAACCAACCGAGGAAAGATTAACAAAACAAGAACAAAACAAACACAAACATGGAATTGTTGTTAATCCACAAAAGGATGAAAAGTATTCAAAAAAATGGGAAATGAAGAAAAATAATAATCAAAATAATAATAATCAAAATAATAATTATAATAACAAACCTAATCATTATAATAATAATAATAAGAATAATAATAAGAATAATAATAATAATTTCAACAAAACCAACAATAGTTATAATAATAATAATAAGTCAGGATATTCTGTGAAAAAAGATAATAATGGAGGTCAATTTAAACCAAAACCAAATCTATTGGAAAATCAAAGACCAGAATTGGTCGTCGCCAATCATGTTCCCTTTCCAACAAAATCAACCAAACAATTAAAAATGGTCGATCCAACAAAATCACTCAAATCAAACAAAATCAGCAAGTTTGTTAGCAACGAAGAAATTACTCGTCGAACCAACAGAATAAAAGATTTAGAAAGATCCATTTCTGAATAATAATAATGCACAAAAGGACTTTTAGGTTTAAAGAAACAAATTGAAAATACTTTTTTTATTAATTAAAAAAAACTTGATAATGATATTATATTTTTTTTTTTTGATTTTGTAAACTATTACAACTGGGTGGTGATGGCATGTTATATTTTTTTTTCTATTTCTTTCTAATTCTAATCTCGGTCGATCTATCTATCTATCTATCTATATCTATTTCTATCTATTTTCTACCAATAACAAAACTATCTGTACTTGACTCAAACATTGGTGGTTGGCTATTGGAACCTTGACCAAATGGAGAGCCAGTGTTTGTTGTGTTGGTGGATGATGAAGATGACGAAGCAGAATCACCATAGATTGATTTCAATCTCTTGAGGGTTTCTGAATCTTTGGGTGTACCAATAGTATTGCTAGAAGTACTTGTAGAAGAGTTTGATGAGCTATTTGAATCCCTTTCACCTTCTCTGCTACCACTTGTGCTTCTACCTCTTTTTCTATCTCTGTCATAGTCATCTCTTCTGCTACCACTGTATCTATCCCTTGATCTCGATCTACTTCTGTCTCTTTTGTTGTGTCTTTCCCTTGATCTCGATCTTGATCTGCTAGTGTCTCTGTCTCGGTCTCGGTCTCTTCTTGAATTGTCTCTATCTCTATCTCTATAGTTGCTACCTCTGCCACTACTGTATCTATCTCTGCTTCTGCTTCTGCTTCGGTCTCGGCTACCTCTGCTGCTGCTACTGTTGTTGTTGTTCTTGTATGACACTCGATTGTTATTGTCATATCTGTTGTTTTCGTCTCTGTCTCGTGCTCCATCTCTATCGTAATAATCTCTTCCTCCTCCTCCTCCTCTATTGTTATCCTTTTTATCGTTGTTGTTATATGATCCTTTGTAATTATTATTGCCATTATTCTTTTTTGTAGTTAATCCTCTTTTCTTTTCATATTCTTCGATTTTTTGTTCCAACTCTTTCATCACCTTGACTGGAATTCTTGGGAGAATAGTTTCAGCAAACTTTTGTTCCTTTAACAACCCAAGTAAAAACAATTCCATCGTTCTAAAATATAAATAAAAACAAGAGATTAGTTAGTCACTACAATCAACTTTTTGCAAAAAATAACATATTTTCTTTGTGTACATACATTGGTTTTGATTTTGGAGAGATAGCAATTAGTTCTTGATCATCTAGACATTCATTGAACCAATCCCAAAGAGAAGCGGGAGGATGAGCATAACGTAAAAAGAGAAAGCCGATGGCACGGATATAGGGAGAGTCACCGTGGAAGATGAGTGTTTCCATATGCTCTTCGGTCAGTTTGAGTGTATACAACTTGTACAATAGACAGTAAGCCGACGAAGGTGTTTTTGTGCCTGGAATGTAAGGACCTATTTAGTGATGGATGGATTGAATTTGTTTGAGAATGGTTATATAAGAGAGATAAAAGGGTTAGTCATCTTTTGTTTTGTAAAATGGTCATTGATATTTTATAAAATAGTAGTATATTATATAAACAAAGTGGTGGTATATAGAAATAATATATATAAACATATAGTATTGTCACACACAAACGCAAACGAAGTTGTATTGCAACACAACTCTTCGTAGTATGATTTTTGATAGATTCCCAATCGTCGTGATGAAATTTTGATTATTTTTGATAAAGCATAGCATAGCGCCAAAAAGCAAAGCAAAGCATAGAGAGAGAGAAAGGAGAGAGAGAAAAGTAGAGAGAAGAAGAGACCATCAACCATCAACCACCACCAAAGACCATCACACTTGAGATTTATATAAAATAATAACCTATATGTATACTATACTATACTATACTATACTATAATACTATAGTCTATCTATTATACTATTTATAAAAATATCATCTCACACAATTCATTCTATATAGTCACAACCACACAACACAATGATACTTACACAAATACTCTACTTTATTGTAAATCTCGTCAATGACTTCATTTACACCTCTCATTTGACTTGAGTAGAGTAGTAAGTAGTAGGTAGAGTAGTCATAGTTGGTAGTTATGAATAAGAATAGGAAGAAGAGGTGATAAGATAATTTTAATAGTTAGTAGTTTTTTAGTAGTAGTAGTAAGTAGTAGTAATAGTTTTTTAATGGGACAAATATATTAGTAAGTAATGTCTAGCTAGATTTTGTTTGTTTTGTTTTGTTTTGTAGTGCCTCGAAACTAATATAGTAATAGTTATTGAATCAAGAGAGTTGTTGATTCTCGTCGACGAAGTGGTCCATTGGTGGTAATAATACATACTATAAATCTCTAAAGTAACCCAATGATTGGATATTGGTAGCCAACATACCATCCAAATTCATTGCTTTGTTACCATATGTCTCTAGTAACTTTGACATTCTTCTAATCTATCTATTATTATTATTACTACTATTACTCTATTGTTATTTATATATTATTATTCGAGGGAGAAGAGATGTATATTGTATAGTATAGTACTTTTTTGTTTTTGTTTGTTTGTTTGTTGATTGTATTTATACTATTTATTGTTGTTGTCAATGTTGATGTTGTCGATATATTGTTGACGTGATGTAGAAGTGGTTTAATTATTATTATTATTATTATTATTATTAACTAGTTGTGAATGAATGAATGTCGAATAAACCAATTGCGCACGATAATGAATACAGTCAACTGATTTAAAATTTGGGAGAGAGAAAAAAAAAAAAAAAAAAAAAAAAAACAACAAACCACTCTTTTATCACACAAAGTAGGAGTAAAAGAAGAAGTTTACCCATATCATTATTATTGGTATGTGCTAATGATGCTAACATTTTTAATCGACCTGCCAATATGCTGGCATTTGCATCACCTGATGCTAGCAGTCAACTAGTATGCAAATAAACCCCCTCCCCTCCAAGGATGTAAATATAACAACAACAAGATTGTTTTTTTAATCGATGATAGATTAAGATTATTATTAATATTTTGAATATTTTGATTAATTAATATTTTGATTGAAGTTTATAAATATATTTTTTTAAAAATTATTTTATATATTTTATTTTTTTTTCTTTTTAGAAATAAAAGAAATAAAACTTGAGAGGTGATTTTTAATGCAAGCTGTTGGTGGACATGGGAGATAGAAGTATTATAATTATTTAAATTAAAATATTTATGTGAGTGAAGGGGGGGGCAGCTGGCTTAGGCCTTGGTGAGGGCTGGGAAATCGTCCTTGGTTGGGACACCACGGGCTTCCTTCTTGGCACCGCCAGTCTTGTTGTTGGCGTTCTTGTTGTTGGAGGAGGAGGCAGAGGTCTTGGATGGCTCGAGGTTGATGAATTGCTTCTTTGGCTTCTTCTCTTCCTTGGCGACGGTCTTGGTGGCAGTCTTGACAACCTTGGTGTTGACTTGGACAAAGTCGTCCCATTGGCCGGTGGTTTCACCTTCACCAGCTTGACGGAGCTTTTGGCCGTCTTGTTGGACGTTCTCCTTTTCTTGTTGCTTTTGGTACTCGGACAAGGTCAACTTGATTTCCTTTGGGGTGGTGTCGACGACTTCAGTGGCGTCGGTGGTGGTGGCAGCAGCGTCGGTAGAGGCGACGGTGGAGTCGGCGGTGGCGGTGGCTTCAACGTCGGCTGGGAGAGCTTGCTCGGTGGCCTTGCCCCAGTTTCCACGTCCAGATCCACCCTTCTTGTCTTGTCCGTTGATTGGACGACCGGTTCCGGATTGTCTGTCGAATTGACGACCACGGATTTGACCGTTAGAGTCGGTACGTGGCTTTCTTGGCTCGTGCTTAGAGTCTCTCTTGGAGTCACGCTTGGCAAAGTCTTCGCTGGAGACTTGTCCTTGTTGACCTTCTGGTCTTGGTCTACGTGGCTTGTCGTCCTTGTTGAATGGCTTCTTTTCACCGCTCAACTTTGGTGAAGTCTTGTTGGCGACTGGCTTATCGGCCTTTGGTGCTAATTAATTAAGAATAATAACAAACAAAAAGAATAAGTATATTAATTTTTTTAAACTCTCCACAAAAAAAAATAACCTATGACACATGATATATCTTCAAAGACCATCCTCTCATAATTATTATTATTATTATCTCTATCTCTCTCTATTTTTAAACCATCCCAATCTACTGATCTGTCAGCTGTCATGTCTGTCCTGTGTCATAGGTTTGTTTTGTCGTTCTCTCGTAGTTTGTGTAATTACCCTTTTCAGCTGGCTTCTTTACCTCCTTTGGGGCAACAACAGCTGCTGGCTTGCTGACTTCCAACTTTGGTTGTTGTTCGTCATCGTCGTCTTGAAGAAGATCGAAGAGGTTGTTAACCTTGCTCATCTATATGTAATGTTAAGTGGTAGATGAATGATGGATTAGTATCTAGATGATGACTGTTTGTGGGTTGTTGAGTTGGGTGTATCTAGTATCCTCTGTAAGATCGTTCCAAGTGTATCTTGATCTGCTAGTATGCTGTGTCGTCAATCTTTACAGTAGGGTGTGTATCTTGTCACCCCGTATCGATCTACATCAGTAATAAGTGGGACGGTGACAAAACTTACTTTATTTCTATCTCTATGTAAAGAAAACTATCGGTGCACACAACAATTTTATCTGACAGTGAGAGAGGAGGAGGTTGGAGGAGGCAGCTGCCCACACCACTCTCGATTTTTGTTGAATTTAATGCTTTTTTTTTTTTCAGCTCAGCTCAGCTCAGCCTTTCATTGCCCATTGGGAGACCCCCACCACGCCTCTATGCCTACTCATCTTGCTGAACATTGAGACAACCTTGTTTTGAGTAAAGAGGTTTTTTTTTTGGTTCCCATTTTCAACGCAACAGACGAAGAAGCTCATTGCATAACATGCAGCTACACACCGTCAATGCCAGTATTATAGTATTGTATAATACTGACCCATCAATGTGATTAAAGTAATTATACCGCCAATAATAATAATAATAATATAAATATTATTGTGGTTATATTTTAATAACTGACGACGGATGGATTTATTTAGGTTGATTGAATATATCAGAGTTTTTAATATGTTAAAAGAGCAAACAACCAACTCAATATAAATAAACATTATATGTATTATTAATAATAGATATTAAGTTGAAATCAGGATTGATGTTGGTCATTAGGTTTCGTTCGGGTTTGGTTTGGGGTGTTGGTTCAAAAAAAAAAAAAAGCACGAACATCGAATATGAATGAGCTTCAAAAAAAAAAAGGGAATGAGGTGGTGATGATCGCATTTCACAATAGTTTGATCAGATAATAAACAAACACATAAAGTGTCTAAAAAGGAGGGGAACATAGATGTACATACAAAGGGATTAAAAGACACAACAACAACAACAAATATATATATATAGATAAAAGATGTCAGCGACAAATAATGAATATAAACCAGGCACTATGGATGATTTATATGATGAATCAAAGCTAACAGATAGTATAAAAGAAGTAGAGGTATGAATGAAATGAAATGAAACAATCAACCAACGATATATATATCTTAATATCACACGATTCTTACTAACTATACTCTCTATCTCTCATAAAGGAAAAATGGAAATTAGTACCTGCATTCTTAAAGTGTAGAGGTTTGGTTAAACAACATATAGATTCATTCAACTACTTTATCAATGTAGAAATTAAAAAGATTCTAAAAGCAAATGAAAGATTAACAACTGATGTTGACCCTTCATTCTTTGCAAGGTATGAGACACTACTAAACACTCTATGCACTATGCATTTAATGCACTATGATTGACTGATTGATTATTGATTGTATTAACTTTCTATTATTATTTTATTTTTGTTTGTAGATTTACAGAGATTAATGTTGGAATGCCAGGATTAGTAGAAGAGAATTATGAATCGGTGACGATTACACCTCAAAAGTGTAGATTGAGAGACATGACATATGCAGCACCGATCACAGTCAACATTGAATATACACGTGGCAAGCAAGTGGTGCAAGTGCAGGATGTGTTGATTGGACGTATCCCAATCATGCTGCGAAGCAGTAACTGCGTGCTCACCAACAAGACACACGAGCAGTTGGCACAGCTCGGCGAGTGTCCGATGGATCCCGGTGGCTACTTTATCGTGCGGGGCGCCGAAAAGGTGATTCTCAACCACGAACAACTCAGCAAAAACAGAATCATCATCGAGACGGATCCCAAGGGATTTCCATGCTCGACGGTGACCAGTTCGACACACGAGAGAAAGTCGCGTACCAATATTGTGATGAAGCACGAGAAGTTGTACCTCAAACACAACACGTTTTGCGAGGATATCCCTGTGATTGTCTTTCTCAAGGGTATGGGTGTCGAGACGGACCAAGAGGCCGTGCAACTGGTGGGATCGGACGAGATCTTCCTCGATGCGATCGCTCCGTCGTTGGAAGAGTGTGCTCGAGTGGGTGTGCATACGCAGTCGCAGGCACTCGACTATTTGGGGTCGCGTATCAAGGTGGTGCGTCGGCCGTGGTCGATAGGCAAGCGAACCAAGGGCGAGGAGGCACGCGATATTTTGGCGGGTGTCATTCTCAGTCACGTCCCCGTGCGACGTTACAACTTTCGTCTCAAGGTCATCTACACGGCGCTGATGATCCGTCGTATCATCATTGCCAGCAGAGACCGCTCGACGCTCGACGACAAGGACTACTACGGCAACAAGCGTATCGAGTTGAGCGGCCAGCTCGTGTCGCTGCTCTTTGAAGACTTGTTTAAAAAGTTTCTGAGCGAGCTCAAAAAGTCGGCCGACCAGGCCATCCTCAAGCAGAACCGCGCCATGCCGTTCGACTTTGCCAGTTTGATCCGTAGCGACACGCTGTCCTACGGCTTTATCCACGCCATCTCGTCGGGCCAGTGGAATTTGAAGCGTTTCAAGATGGAGCGGTCGGGTGTCAGCCAGGTGCTGTCGCGTCTGTCGTACATCTCGGCGATGGGTATGATGACGCGTATCCAGTCGCAGTTTGAAAAGACGAGAAAGGTGGCCGGCCCGCGTTCACTGCAGCCGTCGCAGTGGGGCATGTTGTGTCCGTCCGACACGCCCGAAGGAGAGGCGTGCGGTCTGGTCAAAAACTTTGCGCTCATGACGCATGTGACGACCGACGACCCCGAGGGTCCCCTTTTGCGTCTGTCGTACAATTTGGGTGTGCAAGACATCCTGTTGATCACGGGAGAGGAGCTCAACTCGCGCTCGTCGTTCCTCGTGTTTCTCAACGGTCAGATCATCGGCATCCACAACTCGCCCGACTACTTTGTGCATACGTTGCGTCGCATGCGTCGTGCCGGTCGTATCAAAGAGTTTGTGTCGATCTGCAAGAACCAGGCGCACAAGACCGTGTCGATCGCGTGCGACGGTGGCCGTTTGTGTCGGCCCTACATTATCGTCGAGAATGGGCGTCCCCGTCTCACACAGGCACACATCCAAGAGCTCAAAGACGGCCTACGCACATTCGACGATTTCATCAAGGAGGGTATGATCGAGTACCTCGACGTCAACGAAGAGAATGACAGCATGTTGGCGTGGAAGGAGTGCGCCATCACCAAAGACTCGACACATCTCGAGATTGAGCCCTTCACGATGCTCGGCTGCGTCGCCGGTCTCATTCCCTACCCACATCACAACCAGTCGCCACGTAACACCTATCAATGTGCTATGGGTAAGCAGGCGATCGGCGCCATTGCCTACAACCAGCTCAACCGTATCGACACGCTGCTCTACCTGCTCGTCTACCCCCAGCGTCCCATGTGCCAGACACGTACCATCGAGCTGATCCAGTGGTTCCGTCTGCCCGCCGGCCACAACGCCACCGTCGCCGTCATGTCGTACTCGGGGTACGATATTGAAGATGCGCTCGTCATGAACAAGGCGTCGCTCGATCGTGGCTTTGGCCGTTGCATCGTGCTCAAAAAGCAGACGACCTCCATCAAGAAATACCCCAACCAGACCATCGACAAGATCGTTGGCCCGACCGCCGAGACGGCCCGCCAGCCCAAATACGCGCTACTCGACGAAGACGGGCTTGCCAAGCCCGGTGACCTCGCCCAAAAGGGCCAGATCCTCGTCAACAAGTACTCGCCCATCAACACGGTCGACATGATCCGTGTCAGCAAGATGAACGACGCCTCGTTCAAGTCGGCCACGATGAACTACAAGTACGAGAACCCCGCCTTTATCGACAAGGTCATGCTCACCAACGGCGACGACAACCAGCTGCTCGTCAAGTTCCTCATGCGTAGCACACGTCGTCCCGAGCTCGGCGACAAGTTCTCATCGCGTCACGGACAAAAGGGTGTCTGCGGTATCATTGTCAAGCAGGAGGACATGCCCTTCTCCGATCTCGGTATCTGTCCTGACATTATTATGAATCCGCACGGTTTCCCATCGCGTATGACGATTGGAAAGATGATCGAGTTGCTCGCCGGCAAGGCCGGTGTCGTCTCGGGCAAGTTTGGGTACGGCACATGTTTTGGCGGTGACAAGGTCGAAGACCTCAGCAAGGTGCTCATTTCCAAGGGCTTTAGTTATGGTGGCAAGGACTATGTCACCAGTGGTGTCACCGGTGAGCCACTCCAATGCTTTATCTTTTTCGGACCCATCTTTTATCAAAAACTCAAACATATGGTGATGGACAAGATGCACGCCAGAGCTCGTGGTCCCACCGTCACACTCACCAGACAGCCGACCGAAGGTAGAGCTCGTGGTGGTGGTCTCCGTCTCGGAGAAATGGAGCGTGATTGTTTGATTGGTTATGGTGCATCGGCGCTCATCATGGAGCGTCTCATGATCAGTAGTGATCGTTTCACAGTCTATGCATGCAAAGAATGCGGGTTCCTCGGATACGAAGGTTGGTGTCAATATTGTAAATCAACACTTCAAGTTTCGACACTCCAAATCCCCTACGCCTGTAAACTCTTATTCCAAGAGTTACAAGCTATGAATATTGTTCCAAAATTAAAGTTGGTTGATGCTTAAACTTAAAATAACCAACCCAAACCAAACATAAACCCCAAACCAAATCAGATAAATCAATAAATTATTATTATACCCAAAAAAAAAAAAAAGAAAAAAAAGAACATCAAACCGCAGTATTGCAAGGATGACACTTCATATCTTATTTTTCGTTTAGTTCAAAACATACATACATACATGTAGTATACATACATGGATAGTAGTACTAGTAATAATAATGATGATGATGGGAGTGACGACGATCAAATAGTAATAAACTATTTAACAGAGAGGATATCAAATTTGACATTATTCAATATTATCAACTTGATTGATGGAAATCTAGATATCATATGCTTTCTGATGACTTGTAAGAAGATGTATTCCAAGATTAGACAATGTCATATGAGTATTTGGTTCAAGGGTATATCTTATACTGACAAAGATGCTCGTCAAAGCAGTTTGATCAACGATGAATTGGTACTTGGACTGTCAAAGTGTATGCCATCATTCAAAGACATTGTTCACCATTCGCTACCTCGTCAACTGGTACTCATCAATACATACGATTTCGAACCGGTGTTACCACACTTTCATATATGCATAGATAGTAACAAAAGTCACCATGATGGCCCTGAAACCAACGACATTCAAGATGTTATTATAACCGATATCCGTGGTATTGGATCTGACTTTAGGTTTCCAGTATCTACTACATCACTGATCATTCATAACTTGCGCTCCCCTTTTAGATACCTTCCCATCAATTTCATTCCACCAGGTCTCAAGCACTTGTCGTTGGCTTGTTTGGCGTTTGACCATAACGATCCGTTTCTCGTAGACACTATCGAATCATTCGAGTTGGTGACACCCAAGGTAACAGGTCAAATTGTACTACCAAGTGGATTGAAATCGTTTGTACATCGAGTAACAAAGGGTAATTCGGGCTATATTCCATTTCGATTCGTACCGTTCTCAAGTCTCGTGTCACTCACTACACTAGAGATGAGAGTCAAGGATATAGAGACGGGTGTCTTGCCTGCCAGTCTCACATCGCTCAACCTCTCATTTCAAGATCATCTACCCAAAGACTTTTTAAAGCCGTTGGCATCGTTGGTCAACCTCGAGCTCAATGCAGTGATGTCTTATGATACTGCTGCAAATACTGGTAGTAGCTGTTTACTGGATTTTCGACCACTCCATTCTCTCAAGACTCTACACTTTTATTACGAGTTTGAGGATGAAGGGATTCCCCATGGTCGACCAACCCTTCAATATGAACCATACACCGTTGACTTTATACCGGCCACCCTTCACAGCCTGACTATTCAATACAGCTCGTTGGCATGTGCGGCTCCTCTCCCGTCATCACTGACATATCTTGACATTGGCCAATGCCATGGCCAGCTGCCCGTTGGACTGGTTCCACACGGTGTCACTCATCTCAGAATAGGTTCATTGGGGTTAGGACTGCAGAAAGGATCGATTCCAACATCGGTTACCAAGTTGTCGCTCGGCTACTATAACGGTCCGACAACGTCATCCTTTCTCCCCGACTCTATCAAACAATTGTCTTGGAATAGAAAGTACAGAGACGGTCGTGTCCCTCTACCAAAGCAATTGGAGAAACTTGAATGGGCGGGCAAAAGGTTTGAACCTCTTTATGGGTCACAATTAAATGGGTGTCCAGTCACACTAACCTCTCTCACAATACCAATGTCCATCGATTATATTCCACGTGGAAGAAATTACATATTTTCACTGTCCGATCATTTCCCAAACTATCAAGATGGTGATGATAATCATCATTTACTGTTGCCACCAAGTATCAAACATTTGACATGTCGCATTGAAATGGGGCCCGGCATTTGCTGTTTTAGATTGGACCAAGTGATCAACCAAACCAACGTTGAACGTCTCACCATTAACTTTATGAATTACAACAAACATGCATCGTTTGATATTAAAAGGTTGGATGAAAATAATTCACAAATATTAATGGTTGATCGACGATCAATATTTGGAGGGTTCATTACTCAACAACGTCGATCAAATCAACAACCACAACAACAACAACGACAACAACAACAGCCATCGGAGGAAGCCGAAGAGATTCAAAATAATTGTAATGGCTACCGACCATTATACCTTTGTTGTGGCAATTCAACCAATCCTTTTTGGAGTCATCAATTGCCAGCAACCTAAAAATAATTGCCAACTCTAGAGTATGTATTATCCAAATTCAAAAAAAAAACTCCAACCTAATTGGGATCAATTAATAATTAAATAAATAAATATTAATATTAATATTATCTCAATTTATTAATGTGAAGATAATCAATTGGTCACCTTGGTAGTGATCTCAACCAAACAAAACCAAAAATCACATGACATCATCACAAAAGACACAAGTTCACCGAATCACTCGTTCTAAACTCGGAACAAACAACAATCTTTCAATTTTGAACCGTTGTTTAATTTATTAACTAATTTAAAACCTGTCAGATGGTTGATGGTTGTCATTGAATGAGATTTGTCAATAGTTATTATTATTCATTTTCAATGCAACCACAATAATGAAGCTATTAATTCTTCTAGTCATTGTATCAAGTTTTGTGGTATCGGTATCAAGTGAATTGTTATCAATCACTGGATTATTGGGTGGATTGCTTGGTGGTTCTTCTTCATCTTCATCATCTTCATCGTCCTCTTCATCTTCATCTTCTTCTTCATCCTCTTCATCAACATCAACTGGAGGTGGGTCTGGACTTATTATTGATATCGATATTGGACCAATTAGTTTAGAGTTATTCTTGGCAATTGGTAATCAAACAAATAGAAATCTATTCACCGCTTGGACACATGAATACAACAAAACTTATACAGCTGGAGAGTTTCAAAAGAGATATAAGCTATATGTTAGTAATCTCTTGTTTGTCAACAACTATGCAACTCAAAACCCCGATAGTCAAATGGAACTTGGAACCAATGAATTTGCTGATCTATCACTTCAAGAATTTGTTGATACAAGATTGACTAAATTCAACATGTCTCAAGCTCCCATTGATAATCAAACATCATCATCATCATCACCACCAAACTCTCAAAGTGCATCGACATCGAGACAGATTCTATCAACCATGCTCAATGAAAAAGGAGTACTAGATTGGAGAGATTTGGATGAAGTTAGTCGAGTCAAAAATCAAGGTAGTTGTGGTTCATCATATGCTTTCGCTGTAACCTCTGCAATTGAATCTATGTACCTGAGATCATTAGATAAACCACGTCTCGATCTTTCTGAACAAGATTTGGTTGATTGTCGAGATATGGGCAATAACGGGTGTGGTGGTGGTTGGATGCATACCTCTTATCAACAAATCATAAATAATCAAGGAATATCATTTACAACTGATAACCCATACGTAGGCAATAGGGCCTTCAAATTGTGCAACAAACTAACAAAAGCAACCAAAATTGCAACATACACTATAGTGGCCAAGGGTGAGAACAACCTCTACAATCACTTGGCTGTAGCACCAATTTCATCTACATTTGATGCAACCTCTAGGTATGTATAATATAAAAGAAGAAGAAGATCACACCTCTCTACAAATATTAATGAATGTGTGTCATTCAAACAAAACAATATTGTAGAGAATTCCAGTTATACAAGAGTGGAATATTTTCATCTGCAACTTGTAATAAGCTAGCCCCATCTCATGCAGTACTTGTTATTGGACATGGTCCAGGATATTGGATAATTAAAAATTCGTTTGGAGGTATGTATATTTAGACATTGGTAGATCAGTCCTCAGTACAGTATACTAATCTTTAATCTATCCATTTTCATAATGAATTAATTTATTTTACCTGTCACAGTCAACTGGGGTGAACAAGGTGGATATTTCAAGATGGCAAGGAATACTGACGATCAATGTGGTATTGCTAGTTATGCAAGTTATCCAAAATTCGGAGGTGCACCCGCATAATCAATTATCAGAATGAAAGAGAGAGAGAAAGATATTTTAATAATAATAATAATAGCAAGAGTGAATTTTATTTAACTTATTAATAATAAATAAAATATGAAATAATACATTCGGATCGGATCAGAATTAAATTTAATGACATGATCCACAACCATTACCACCACCTAATAAGCCTCCAAGTAATCCACCAACAATGCCAGTAGTGACTCCAACGACACCACCAACAACTCCAACAGCTCCTCCTAAAAGACCACCAACAAGATTTCCATTACATCCTCCACATGCAACTTGATTCGATGATTGGAGTGACATTGATGATGATGAGGAGAATGATGATTTACTGATAGAGGACATCTTGGCAGTTCCCATTGATTGAAGTGAGGCTGGTATTAAAATAATTAGTTAATGAGAAGAAGGATTGAAATGATTATTTTTAGTTATTATATTTACCAAGGATAGTCATTTAAATTGTTTAGAGAGAGAAGATTATTAAATAGAATAAATTAATATTTGATGATTTGATAATGATCAAAACTACGAGTATTTATAGTCAATGTTTTCTTCTTTTCCAACTCTTTTTTATATCCAGTATTGATCCAGTTCAGTTGTTCCAACCAACATACTACATAAGTAATAATACATCAGATTGACTAAATTGAACATTAATTATTAGAATGATTGACCAACTTTTTAAAACAGTCAATATTTTGATTTGTTTAGAAAACCAAACCACTAAAACGGTAGAATTGACACAGTTTTTAGTAACCCACCTGTCTTTAAAAATTCTATCTATATCTATTTTGGATTTTATTTTTTTGAAGGATTCATTCATTAAGGACATAACCTATTCCATAATCTCTTTATATGATTATAGATTTCTTAAAAGACTTCAACTATTCCGGTTCCTGCTCTGGGTTGGTTGATTGATTGAATGGGAGTTGGTTACCATGGTTACCTATCATCATCTGATCACACTTTAATATAATATTAATATACCATCATTTTCAATTAATAATCTCTCTGACAATATACCATTGTTGACAAAGGGATTTTATTTATTTATTTATTTATTTTAATATTTACTTTTATTTTATTTTATTTGTTTTTTTAATAAAAATCACTATCATCTGAGTCCATTCCTTCTTCATCACCAATTAGTTTATCTATTTTATCATCAAAAGTTTGAACCAATTTATAACCATCTTCATCATCCCAGGATTGGTTATCGCCATAGTACAACTCTAAACGACATGATGGTAATTTTTCTCTTTCAATGAGGTGAATCATTTCTCGAATGGCGCGTGCTTCTGCAATCTTTTCAATTCTTGTATATTTCAATCTAATAACCTTGAGATGCTTGAACAGGTATTCTACTAGTTCGGCATCATAGCCCATGTCACCGAGGGAGACTCTACCTTGGATTTCAAACTCTTCCAATTTACAACCAACGTTGGAGATGATATACCATATGTAGTATTGACCACCGGTCTCTGCTTGTTGTTTGTGTGTTTTGAATGCTCTACCAACCACCTTTAGTTTCTTGAGGTTTGGCATTGATCCTGCTGCTTGGAACGTGCAAAACAGACGTCTAGAGATCTCCTTGTTCTTTTGAACCTCCTCATTGTCTACGCCACTATAACTATTCCAGTCGGTGGTGGCACCAACAATAGTGAGTGACTGTGTCTGTTCAAATGCAACATCGATGAGATTGAATGATGTTGTTCTGACAAGAGCATCTAAACGGATGGTAGTAGGCACCTGTTTAAAGAGACAGAGTTGTCGACCATAGTTGATTTATCCTTTGAGATATTTGTTTGGGAATCGTCTAGTCCAATCGATTCGTTCAAGTACCTGTCCTACATTGTGGTGGAATTGTTTGGATACTGCAGCCAATCTAAAGAGCACTGTTGTCATCTCGTCCAATAGATCCATCCATGTCTCTGTATCACTATCCTCCAATAAATCTTGTTTGAGGAATTGATCGGTCCTGATTGTATACCTAATAATCTTTTGTAGTATGTGTGGGTGTCTGGTGTTGTGGGAAGTTGGGTGGTGTATTGTCGGGGTTGGGTACCGGCGCTGGTCTCTTTTTACCCTTCTTGGGTACCTTGTAATAGTTGATTCGATCCATCGAGTAGTAGGAATCATCGTTTTTGAGGTTTTGCATCATGACAGCTCGTTGGCTTGGATCGATATGCCCCATCTGTACCATCATGTCGATGGCGTGAGTCATCTGAGCTTCATATTCATCCTTGACACAGACACCAAACTTTTCCAGCAATATTCCACACGTCTTGACCATTGGCTGCATTCTGGTAGTAGTTGACATCTGTAGGTAGTATCTGATACGTTTCTTCCTTGTGCAGATCTGCTTCATAGTCAACATTTTATCGACTACCAATCTTGCCTCTACTAATGCTGGATTTGATGCTGATGTAGTTGCTGGTTGTTTCTTGTTTCTTGACATGTTTAAATAATAATTAATATACACATGTATTATCAAGTTATTGATGCTAGCATAGTATCACAACTTCAATGCAAACCAAACCAATGAAGCGTGTGGTGTTGTGTGATCCTTTTACAAAAAAAAATTAAATAACCACGACAAATATGACCAACCATGTGTAGGTGGCTGTTATCGAACACATAACTCTCTCTTTCTTAATTAATCTACCCTATAATAACCGCGATCAACATATAATATCGTATCATTTCATTTGGAAGTACTGCAAGAATAGACTAATTCATTCAGATGCAAGTATGATGTATTGCTAGTTGTAATAGGAAGGGTTTAGGACATCTAGGTATGTTGATCCCAACTCCTCATAAACAAGTCAAATGACTTCTTGACAACTTGTACAAGTTGTTCTATAGATTCAGAGTAAACAATCGATTAATAATTTATTAATTATTTAAGTTATAGGTCATCCATCACATGGTCTACAAAATGATTCTTGTAATATTGGTGAGCAGGTGAACACATTGCAATCGAGTTTTCATTCATTGGTTGATGATTTATCGTGCAAGTTGGTTTGCGAAAAAGGGAGATCAAGAATGACCACGTAGACAGGACAAAAAGGAAGCTATCAATCTCCTACCAAAGACTTTGGTTAAGCGAAAATCATCATCCATTTTTTGTTTTGGGGATAGGACCTCAACCAAATTGGGCCACATTTGCATACGTGGTCAGAGGTTTTGCAACAATGGCCGACTCCCTTTTGAATTCACAACACCAGCAAGATGGATATGATTAGTTGCTAGCTCAAAGAGGGAAGGAAGAGGAACACCATAAAGGTAAAGAAAAGATTTATTTGTAAAAAAAAAAAGAAGAAGAAAAGATAAAACAAACAAATAATGAAAGGAGAAGGAGGTTCAACAACACCATTACAATTATTTGTAGTCCTTTTTCTGATTTTTAGTTTTATCTCTTTTCCCATAGGTTCAGTTTCAGCTATATCATGTCTCAACCCTGCAGGTGAGGATGTGGCGTGGTGGATTCACCTTTCCGATTTATGTGGTTCATCCGTCGAAACAATGTATGGAAAAGGTCTTTATTTTGATTCTTCATTGGGTATGTGTACAAATAAATGGTTGAACATTTAAATAATAATATCCTTCATATTGATCAAATAATCTTATCTTTATTACTATTCTTGTCTCTTTCTCCCTCTCTCTCTCTCTATCTTTATAATTTTTTTAATCTTTTAGATGAACCAGTGACTACAAAAGGAAAACATTTTACCAATTTAGTTGAAAGCCATCTTGAATTGGTAGAGAATACGAATGGTGAAAGATTGGGAAATGATGTCAAGTACCCTAGAACGTCAGAAATTGGGTGTGAGGATGACAACGAGTTAATCTCTATTGAATGGTTCCATGAGCTTGCCAAAGGACCAGCAAACCCATATGACAAGGATTCAGATTTCAAGGAAGGACATATAAAGGTAATATTTAACAACAACAAAAAACAATATTTGAATTAATATTAATTTCCTTTTTTCTTTTTTCTTTTTTCTTTTTAAAAATATTTTTTATATGTATATATATATGTATATATATCTATGTTTAGATGTTACTAGTTCAAGATAATTCTGATGATACTGGATACCATATCTCTCATTCAATGAGAATGCCCGATAAACAAGGATTTAAATCCTTTGAAAAGGCAAGCATCAACCCATCGCAGCATGCATTTTGCAACACTCTAACATCTGCTGCAGATTTGGAACATATCGTCAAAATTTTAAAGGAGACCAAGGCAAGACCAGGACCATCCAATATCGAAGATTGCCCTTCATTTGTACACGTAAAGAAACTGGCCGAAGATCCTTTGGCAAAGGAATGTGATGATAAATTTTTCGAAAAATCACAATCCATTGATGTACGAGATAAAGGTAGAAGAAGGGGAACTAAAATGGTATCTACAATTCTTTCGGAAGCTTGGGCTCACGATATTACAAAGAACCATTGCATGGTAAGAAAAGGAAGTGATCCAGCAGGGCCAGTCAAACTTGGTTCATTTGAAGTATTCTCATTCCGTAAGTGTACACATGCCGATCGCATTTTTCATAGATTATAGAATTTATTTAATATTAATTATTTTTATTTTTATCTATCACTGGCCGTGTGTAGGTGGAAGAAAGAAAACAAGATGTAGAGATTACAGAAATCCATCTTGGGGTTTTCTCAAACAACATCCAGATGATGAAATCAATGATGACAATTATGAAATCCTTGGTCAGTGTTATGCCCAGAGATTTGGAATAGCAACCAAAACAGGAGATGACGACAAGATAGTAGCACAAACACCGCTTAAGATTGAAGGTCCAAAAGAAAAAGTTGAAAAAGAATCTCCACTCTTTTGCAGACAAGAAGCCGATAAATTAAAAAGACTAGAACCACTCAATTCTTGTAACCGAGTCCAAATTTGCAGTTTTAATGATATTGGTCTTGACCCTTGGTTGGTGGTTGCCAAACATTACGATAAGATATTTTATGTTAGCACTGATGTATGTAATATCATAAAAAATATATATCCAAATTTATATATGTTGACTGTTGTTTTTTTGATAAATATTATAGCAAGTTTCATTCCCCTCACTATTTGGACCGACTTATGGTGTTGCTGTCATTGATAGTTGGAATAAATATTTTGCAGAAGCAACTCTTAAAACTTTGGAAGGCCAAGATGATGAGCAACAAGACGACGACGAAGAATTAGACCAGGATGATCTAGTACAATCACAACAAAATGATGATGATGATGATGATGAAGAAATTGAGGGATTGGAAGATGATGAAGATGAAAATGCTCCTATTAACGATGTCACCAAAAAGCTCAGAAAGACTCATGAAAAGATCATGATATCAGAGGATGGTACAATCTTTTGTCTAGGAGATTCCAATAGAAATGATTTCTCTGTTCATCATGCTGGTAGTATTGTAAGTAGAAGAAGAAGACGAGGAAGTAGAAGAAGAAGAAGAAGTCTATTGGTCAGCATCATCAATATTAATTAATTAATTTATTTTATTTTATAGTATTGTATGCAATCAACAGATGATAACAAAATTAAATTATTGAGTGATTTAGTTTTAAAGATGATTAGTGGATACAATGCATATAGACAATTGCAATTTGACAAGAAGACCATGCCTCCCATTTCAAAGGATAGAAAATGTTTGGCAAATGTAGCTGGAGTATTCTATGCACTCGATGTCGTCTCACCGGCAATGCAATTTAAAAACATCTTTGGAAAAACAAAAATAATTGGAAACAAAGCCAAGATAGAGTCTATTTCCAAATCAGTTACTGATGCTAATGAAATGATAGACAGAACGATAGGTGTCCCACCATCGTCCACGAAAAGTAGAAAGCTACTACGTGAGTATGAAAAACAACAACAAGAAGCACAACAACAACAAGCACAACAACTACAACAAGGAAATCTGCAAGTTCAAGGAGCTATACGCACACCAACTGTCAATTCTCGCTCCTCTGGACCCTATGGCAACTCTGGACGTCAAACTAGAAATAATCGTAATTAATGGGATTGAAAGTAATGTAAATTTATCTAATTCTATCACTGCAGTCCACCCTACCAACCCATTGCTTTCTCAATTGTTTTTGCCAAAATAATAAATAAATAATATAAAAATAAATAAATAAATAAATAAATAAATATTCATCCCCAACAAATCCTTTTTTAAAAAGTAACCTTGATAATAAATTAATAAAGGAGTCTAATTTTAATTTTTTTATTTCTTTTTTTTTTTTTACAACAATAATATTCCATCCATACGCCCACTCATTCTTTCAAAGATGCTATTTACCTACACAACATACATATCTTTTTAAATATGTATGAGAAAGGTATATATAATCAAACATGTCAATTTAAATACGATCAAATTCAACTGGCTTGGCTCCTCTCTTGTTAACAACAAGACACAAGTTCGCCGAACATTCTGAACAAACAATTTGTTCTTTCTGTTTCGAACCGGTTGTTTAGCTTATTAATTAATTTATTTATTCGTTCACCATGGGTTTCATTGTAAGTGCAATTTGACAAATCATTTTATATGATCTTTTATTTTATTATTACTAATACAAAACAAAATGAATCTTTCAATAACTCTAGTTATTCTTTGTGTGATTGTATCAAGTTTTGTGGTATCAAGTGAATTGTTATCAATCACTGGATTATTGGGTGGAATGCTTGGTGGTTCTTCTTCATCTTCATCATCATCATCGTCGTCGTCATCTTCTTCTTCATCATTATCAATATCATCATCATCTTCATCGTCATCCTCGATATCATCCTCGACATCGACATCGTCCTCGATATCATCTTCATCTTCATCGATATCAACATCAACATCAACATCACATCAACATCAACTGGTGGATCAGGAACTATCATTGACAAAGATATTGGACCAATTAGTTTAGAATTATACTTGGCAATTCGTAATCAAACCAACCGAAATCTATTCTCTGATTGGACACATGAATACAACAAGTCATACACATCTGGAGAGTTTCAAAAGAGATATAAGCTATATGTTAGTAATCTATTGTTTGTCAACAACTATGCAACTCAAAACCCAGATAGTGAAATGGAACTTGGAACCAATGAATTTGCTGATCTATCACTTCAAGAATTCATCGATCTTAAATTGTCTAAATTCAACATGTCTGAAATCACTGATGACCTATTTACCCAACACCAACCAGACAACAATCAAACCTCCTCTTCAACCTCCTCATCTGAATCATCTGAATCATCCTCATTATCCCCATCCTCATCTTCATATAACAGTAACACCTCCAGATGTATTTCAAGCAACTGTGGATTGGGTAAAGAAAAGAAAAGTTAGTAGAGTCAAAGATCAAGGAAATTGTGGGGCATCATATGCTTTTGGAGCCACCGGTGCTATTGAATCCATGTACATGATAAAATTTAATTCGAATCTAGACCTCTCTGAACAAAACTTTGTAGATTGCCAAACGTTTGGCAATAAAGGATGTGAAGGTGGTTGTGCGCACAATGCTTATCATCAAGTCTTAAAAGGTCACGGAGTATCACATTCGAATATGTATCCTTATGTCGGATACAAGAACACAGCAATATGCTCGGCAGTCGGTCTGACTATCAACATTAGAAGTTACGCAATGACACTCGGTAGAAAAGAGTTTGGCTTGACCAAAGCATTACTAGATACCCCTGTATCAGCTTCATTTGATGCAAGTTCTAGGTATGTATATAATAAAATTAAAGAAAACATGAAAATGGAAATTAACAAAAATATATTTTATATATCCTATTTTATAAATATAGAGAATTCCAATTGTACGTGAGAGGAATATTTTCATCACCAACTTGTGATAAACTGAAACCTTCTCACTCGGTACTTGTTACTGGATATCAACCAGGTGCTTGGTTAATCAAGAATTCATTTGGAGGTATGTACGGTACAATATAAACAAACTAAATACCTCATACTTTGATATCAAGATGTCAACGATGACTAATCTAATCTAACTCAACTCTCTTTTATCTTTATTTAATTTATAGTCAACTGGGGTGAAGCTGGATTCTTCAGGTTGGCAAGAAATACCGATGATAAATGTGGTATTGCCAGTTTTGCTAGTTATCCAGAATTTAATGGTGTTATACCATAAGATTGTTAAATAAAAATAGATATAAACACAACAACTTCAAGTCACGTGTATTGGTCAAGCAACTCAAGTCGACCGAAAACAATCTTTCGGGTTCGTTGTTTAATTGAATTATTGATTAATTAATTTATTAAATATTAATAGTTGATAAATTATAAAAATTGAAATAAAATAATATATTCTACATTTAGATCGAATCGGATTGGATTGGATTGTTTTGTATTTCGATAGCTTAATGGCATGAGCCACAGCCATTACCACTACCCAATAGACCTCCAAGCAATCCACCAACAATGCCAGTAGTGACTCCAACGACACCACCAACAACTCCAACAGCTCCTCCTAAAAGACCACCAACAAGATTTCCATTGCAACCTCCACAGGCAACTTGATTCGATGATTGGAGTGACATTGACGATGATGAAGAGAATGATGATTTACTGATAGAGGACATCTTGGCAGTTCCCATTGATTGAAGTGAGGCTAGATTAATAATAATTAGTTGATGAGAAAAAGGATTGAAATGATTCTTTTTAGTTATTATATTTACCAAGGATAGTCATTTTAATTGTTTGTTGAGAGAGAGAATATTATTAAATAGAATAAATTAATATTTGATGATTTGATAATGATCAAAACTACGAGTATTTATAGCTTTCATCTTTTCCAACACTTTTTTTATCCAGTAATGATCCAGTTCAGTTATTCCAACCAACATACTACATAAGTAATAATACATCAGATTGACTAAATTGAACATTAATTATTAGAATGATTGACCAACTTTTTTAAACAGTCAATATTTTGATTTGATTTGGTAAACCAAACCACTAAAACGGTAGAATATCACAATTTTTAGTAACCCACCTGTCTTTAAAAATTCAATCTATATCTATTTTTGATTTTATTTATTTGAAGGATTCATTCATTAAGGACGTAACTTATTCCATAAACCCTTTAAATGATTATAAATCTCTTCAGAGACAACAACTATTCCAGTTCCTGCTCCAGATATTTGATTGGTTGATTGAATTGATATACCTGTTGATGTAGAAGTACTGGAATATGATGATTGGGAAATAGATGTCATTTTGGGATTTCCAATTGATTTAAGAGATTCTATATATATAATATTACAAAAAAAGGAACATTTAACTTTTATCTTCCTAGATTATTATTATATTTAGCATACCATAAAGTGTCATTTTTATTTAGTATTTTGGTTTTTTGTATTTATATTCTATTTTAAAATTATATCTAGGATAAAATTTAATTTAATTAATTAATTTACAATGAATCCATAATACTTGTGTGGGGAGATTATATTTATAGTACTTTTTGAATTGTGATGGTGAGAAAATATATGGATAGACGATCTATCACACAGTCACTGAGTTGATGTCATAATGATGTTTGATGCAATGGAACCACACAGGTTCTTTTTCTTTTTTATCTATAAATATATAGTTCTAATGGTTAATAGTAGTTAGTGGTTAGGTTTTACCATTGAACAATTGTGTAAATCAACCATTGATAGACATAAATACTGTGCTGTTTCGGGCTGGGGTTAGAAATGAAAAATTGAACTATTATTTGTTTGCACCGGGACACACCCTCACTTTGTGGTGGTTTCTATATCCATTATTTCATTCATTCGTTAATGCACTCAGATCTATGTCTCCCATCCTCATCATTATTTCACCCTCTCTTCCTTTCAACCAATCCGATCGGAACACTCAAGATACTGCGGTATCATAGACACTTCATTTGTGTATGTTCCCATACATAAGATCGAAAACCATATGAGTTCAATAAACTCAACACCCATCATATTTTTAGCAAGATAATTGTTCAACAGTCAGAGATAAATTAAATAATAGCAAGTGAATTTTATTTAATGTTTGTTTGAAATAAAATTGAAAAGGAAATAATACATTATAGATTCAGATCGGATGAGATTGGACTGTATTGGATTTCGATGGCTTAATGGCATGATCCACAACCATTACCGCCACCCAATAGACCTCCAAGTAATCCACCAACAATGCCAGTAGTGACTCCAACGACACCACCAACAACTCCAACAGCTCCTCCTAAAAGGCCACCAACAAGATTTCCATTACATCCACCACATGCAACTTGGTTAGATGATTGGAGAGACATTGATGATGATGAAGAAAATGATGATTTACTGATAGAGGACATCTTGGCAGTTCCCATTGATTGAAGTGAGGCTAGATTAAATATTAATTAAGAAATTGAATTAATTGGATGGAAAAAAAGGTTGTCATAAATTGATTTGATTATTTACCAAGGATAGTCATTTTAATTATTTGTTTAGAGAAGATTATTAAATTTAGAATTTGATGGTTTGATAATGATCAAAACTACGAGTATTTATAGTCAATGCTTTCTTCATTTCCAACTCTTTTTTTTTTATCCAGTAATGATCCAGTTCAGTTATTCCAACCATTTTTACATTCATCAGATTGACTAAATTGAACATTAATTATTTGAATGATTGACCAACTTTTTAAAACAGTCAATATTTTGATTTGATTTAGTAAACCAAACCACTAAAACGGTAGAATTAACACAGTTTTTAGTAACCCAATTGTCTTTAAAAATTTAATCTATTAACTATTTTGGATTTAATCATTCCCTTGTATTTTATTTATATACATTTTTTTTTATTTATTTGAAGAGATTCATTTTTAATATCTTAGGTAATCATCATTATCGTTTGGAAAGCAATATGAAGGACGTAAACTATTCCAAAAATTATTCAAATCAGAGGCAGACATTCCGGATGTTTGGTTGGTTGATTGAATGCCGCTATAGGAAGAAACACTGAAATAAGATGATTGGTTAATTGATGTTATTTTGGGATTTCCAATTGATTTAAGAGATGCTAAAATAAAAAAGAAACAGATTAACAAATTGGGTTGGTCAGTCATTTTAAAATAATAGAATTAACTATTATTATTCTATTATTTTACCAAAAAGTGTCATTTTAAATATTTTCAATAATTAAATAAATAAATACAGATAAGTAGATAATCTTTTAAATTAATTGAAATGAAATGGAATGAAATTTATTCTTATCTTTTTCAATTTAAACAAATTGGACGATCTGTATGTGGTTGCGCCAACAATCATCATCACCCATCATTTAAATCTATCCTCTTCAATTGTTTAATCAACCGTTGATCGACATATTATTTATCAAAAAAATCGATGAAATTATTTGTTTGTACAAGGTGTTGGGGGTGATAATCATTCATTCTTTCAGACTCACTTCACCTATCCAATCTCATCTTTATTGTCTTCTTTATTATTATTTCACCCTACCAATGTTTGGACCCAACCTACTAGAGGGTCAGTCAACTACAACAAGTAAACAATGAGCAAAAGCAAAAGCAACAATAACAACAATAACAACAACAACAATAACAATAACAACACCACTACTTCTAGGAGCAGAGACACTTCATTGGTGTATGTTCCATGGATAGAAAACTATGTGTTATCGACAAAGTCACAACAGATTCAGATCATCAATGGTCGTAGAACAATGGTTCAGTTGTTAACAATGGTACATACACCATCATATCATCATCTGATGATGATGCGATCTGATCTGATCGTACATACTTATAATATATGATCTACTCTCTCTAGGACAATATAAACAAATGCAACAACAAGAATGCTGTGGATACATCTTCATTAACACAAACTACAACGACCAGAGATGAAGACTTGTATCTCTCTGATCAACAATGTCATATCAAGGCTCGTTTTCAACCTAGTGCACATACGTATGTGGTCTATATCATCAACAATAACAACTTACATACATCTGATCATGATTATTAATGTATTCAATTGATCAAGTAGTGTTGCAAATCATTTAGTTGGACATGCACTTCTCATTACAAAAGCATCAATTGGACTGAATGCTTCAAGAACAGAGTTTATAATGAATGTAGAATCTTATTCGAAACATACTACATCTCCACAACCATTTAAATCTCTACATTTGGATGATGTAAATTGTAGTACATTGGTACTTTCTAAATTATTGTAAGTTTGACCAGACAGTTTGATAAATATATAGAAAGGAATTATTAATGAATCAAGTTGTGTCACCAAAAAGAAAAGAATCTAAAAAATTGGATGCTGGAGAAAACCAAGATGAAGATCAAATGGATTATACAACCAGTACGACTTCAACCACTTCAACAACTTCAACAACTTCAACAACTAATACGAATATGGACCAACCAAAATCTACTACATCTATCCCAACAACGGCGACGAATGATATACCACCACCACCAACTACGATACCAAATATTATATATACAAAGAGTGATCTAGAATTTTATAAATTAGATCCCAAGGAAATGGTAGTGCCACCTGATCAATTGGAGATTTTAGCGAAAAAGAAATGGGGATCATGGGATTTAGTTCATGAATTGGAAAGATCCCAAACAATACCAAAAATACCATCCACGCCTGTATGTACATAACTTGTTGTAATATTCACCTTCTTTTTTACAACCATTTTAATTTAATCCTTCCTTTTCTAGATGGTAGATATGACATTTCCAACTAAAAAACCTGCTCCAAAAACAGTTTCATTTAATTTACGAGCTCCTGTTATTAAAAAAACAGATACTACATCAACTACAAATAATAATAATAATCCAAATAATAATAATAATAATAATCAAAATAATAATACAAATAATAATCCTGTAAATATAACCGAAAATAACGTCAAACCATCATTACTAAGTGATAAAAGAAAACTTCCATCCTGTTTACCTATTAGTAAACCACCTTTAACAAAACCGATAACATCTACAACGACAACAACAACTACAGCTATTCAACCCGATAAATTCACAACAACCATTTCAAATGATATGGATTTGATTTTAGAAGAAGAAGAAGAACAAGACATTTCTAAAGATAATCAACCAGTCAAAAAGACTAAAAAAGATGAAAATGATAGTAGCAGCAGCAGTAGCAGCAGTAAAATGAATCTGGATCAACCCTCAACAACGACAACAATAACAGCAAAAAGCACATCACCACCACTTCAAGAACATCCAGATTTTGTAGAGATCTTTATGGTTAATGGTAAAATTGAACATCCTTCACCATTGGTTAAATTTGTACAGTCATCATCCATGTCAAGCCATCAAAAAGATTTTGTTGTACGTACTTTGATCAACAATGATATTTTAACATTGGAATTTGCCTCCAAAATGAAAGAAAGTGATTGGGAACAATTAATTCCAGCATTTGCACCAAGAATCATGTTGATGGAATTTATTCAAAACAACAAATAGTTTATTTAAAATAAAATTAATTAATTATTTGTTATAATATCTGTATCTTTATTTATTTGTATTATTCTTCTGGTTATTTACAAAAATGGGTATATGTGTTTTTTCTTTGTTTAACTAACTTGTTGAGTTGGTACTACAATACCAACTACCTTGCCCCACCAACATGGTTCTAAAAGTTGTAATTGTCTACTTTCTTTATCTTTGATGATAGTATGTTTAAAGTCACCAGCATCAATATGTTCGACTTTGATCATTGCCAAGCCTACATTTTGACGACCAGAGATGAATTTCTCGGTTGATCGTCCAGCTGATGGTGCTGGTGTTGATGATGGAGATGGTCCATCTTGTTCCTTGTCAGTAAATGGAGAATTAGCACCCTTGTTCTTCATGGTGACCTTTAATTCAGTGTCGGAAGGAGGAGTGTTGATGTTGAGAGAGTTTAATACATAGGGCGAGAACAAGAGATGGTCTTCCTTGGGATAGACATGCTCATCCTTGGCCTTCATAGTGACTGGAAAGATACGCTTACGAATCAATCCAGTATAATGTGTTCTCGATGTCAATTCCTGTCCCAAATAACAACCCTTGTGAAAATCCACTCCATTCAATAAATCGAAATTGTATTCCAATGGAATAACAGTATTATAATTGTAATCTTTCAATCCCTCTGGAATACCATTTTGTAATCGATAAAGGTGATACAATTCTTCATCCTCTTCTGAATATGTTGAAAATAAATCTTTCTTTGCGACTAAACAAATAAATAAATATAATTAATAAATATATATATTTATATATCTTTTGGGATTGTGTTATAATTTAATTTATACAAACTTGAAGTTTTTGAATTTGGGACCAAGATACGAATACCCATGTTATCATGACGAGGATCCATCATGACTGAACATTGCTCCTCTTCTAAATGTTCAAATAGCTTGTCGTTACGTATAGTCTTGTAGGTTTTGTCGAGAACAGACATGACTGAATAGTGTTGGGTAGCATCTTCAATGGTGACCTTGTCTCGCATTTTGTAGAATTTCAAGTGTTCAAACACCTTGTCAGCGACGGCACTATCTACATCTACGATATAAGAGTGGGTGGCACTATTAGAGTCTGATGCCGTTGCTGCAGTTGTCGATGCAGTCGAAGTGGTTGTTGTAGATTGTTTCTCGAGTGATACGATTGCATCAAACAATAATCTTCCAGTCGATGCCAAGAAACCAGTGTAGATGGAAGCATGTGTATTCTGATTATCACTGAGACGAGTTAGATTGTTGGTTGTCAATCCTTGTAGAAATTTGACGCTATCCTTTCCTGATACACGAACCAATGTTCTATTCTTTAATGGTACAACACATCTTTTTAATTCTTTTATTCTTGCTAAATTCATTGTATCCTATCTCTATCTATCTCTTTCTTTGTCTATAAACTTATAACTATAACGATAACTAAACTAATCAATTGAGAGAAATATTAAACAATGATGTTCACCCAATTAAATTAATTTAATTAAATTTTGTTTTGTTTTGTTTTTTGGTCTCGAGATAGAGGACAAGTAATCATGATTGTTCTCATCTGCACAATTCCCAATGCATACAGATTTTAGTATCATGATATTTCAAACATCGTTGTTGTTGTCCCAATACAAAAGAATTCTAAAGAATACAATAGAATACAATAGATTAAATAATTATTCTTTTTGTTTATTAATTATTATTATCATTTATTTACATTGTTTTAAATCATCAAAATATTCATATATTAATGAATAGAATGATCATTTGTTTTGGATTTATATTGTTATAGGAAATTGGGTTCAATTCGATTGTCGATAGGTTCTTCTATGTTGTTTTGTAAAAAAAAAAATGGAGGGACAATTATTTAATTCAAATGACCGTCTCTAAACATTTCTTGAAACTGTTGAGCTGACTGCTTTTGGAGTTGTGGCATTGGGATTTCTGGACTTCTTTCAGCCTTGATAATAGCTTCACTTTGAGAGGCAATTGATTCATCCCATACTCTTGGTGGCACTGTATAAAGCTTTCCATCTACATGTGTGTGTTTGGGAAGAAGAGGAGGGGGGTGAAAAAATTAGTATTAGCTCTTTTTTTGATTTGAAAGAAATGTGTACTTTTGTATATTAATAATAATAATAATACATACCTCTACCTTTTTTTTTGAACAAGTTCTTGAAGAGTTGGTTGCTTGTAAACCTTTTGGAAAGAGTTGAAAAGAGTTCTTGACTGTTTGAACATTTTGTATTTGTTTGTTTGTCGGGAATAAAATTAAAAGAGTACTGTAAAGTTGTTGTTGTTGTTGTTGGTATAAATATTTAATGGTATTGTAGTATTGGTATTAAAAAGAAAAAGGATTGATTAGTTTAAAGCTTTTTTTTGAGACCTTTTTTGATTTGAAAGAAAGAAAAGAGAGAGAATTTGATAATGTGAATAATGTAAAGAAATGAATTTGGTTTGTTGGGTTTCTAGAAAAGAAGAACAAGTATTTATATCTGACTGTCTTGAATGCAATTGCGCTTACACTCTATTTAGTTTCTACAATTAAAGTAATTGATCTTCTTGTGTTGTTTTTGGTTGGTTGTGTGTTTATATATGTGTGTGTATATAATTGTGTGGGTGAGTGCGTGGATGAGATGAGATGAGATAATCAAATAATGTATAAACTTACAAATATTGTTTGTGTATGTTTTGTATTGCAAATTAAAAAAAAATGTGTTTATATAATTGGATGGGCTGGCTGAGTTGAGTGAGTGAGTGAGTGAGAGTGAAGTTTAGTTTTCATAGGTGTTGGAGTAAGAATCTACTCCCTCCCCTCCCCCCAACCAACACCAGAAGGAGAGAAAAAAACAATACCACTCTTGGAACATGGCAATAAAATAATTTTATTCATTATTGGACGAAAATGGAATTTCCTTTTCCATCCTCTAGAGATTCCTTTCAGTTCCGTTCCGTTCCATTCCATTCCACCATTTCAATTTTAATTTGTGGAGAGTACGCAACAAAGAGACACACTATATTGTAGTCACCACCCCATCCCCACTCCACCACCAGTCTGACTACTTGTCGACCAATGACATGTGCGGAGAAATCGATTCACAGATTCCCTTTTCATCCTACCACATGGCGACGTCTCATAATAAAAATAAATAGTAAATATAAATATCAAGAGTTGGTTGTATTATTACATTTTTAAAATTATTATAATGATAAACAATGTTATCGATTGCGCCAAGGAGACAGACAATACAATATATGTAGTGTTATTCTTATTATCTTAAAACTTGAGAAAAACTAGAATCGTTGTTTTATTATCTTATTTCACTCCTCTATTTTTGTGTTGCGTGTGTTTATTATTATTATTATTATATTACCAACAACATCGAATCGAGATTATGCTTACGTTTTTATAATAAAAAGTACAATTGTTATATGAATCTACAACACATCATCATTCCATTCTATTCTTTCGTATTTCATTTCCACAACAAATGATCAATCTCCTGCTTGGGGATATATTAATTTTAATTTAAATGTTTATTATATTAGTGGGTTATTATTATTATTATTATTATTATTATTATTATTATTATTATGAATGTTTATTAATTTATTCAGAAACAGATGTTGAAGTTGCATCTCCACCAGTATCACTTGTTTCAGAAGCACTACTCATTGCTTGTTTTCTGGCAGACATGATTCTTGAATCAATCTTGTTTTTATCTTTGATGGGTAATAGTTCGACTGTTTTAACTGGGAGATGGTCAAGACGGACTGTGAGAGATATGGAGGAGGAATCGGCAATATTACGGCAAATGCCAACCAAACCATCAGAGTTGCTGTAAAAGAGTTCCTTGAGCGAGATGACAATAAACTGCAGTTGACTAGTGACACTACTCTTTTCTCGAATGTAACGGACCAATTTCAAAACATTGATACTGTCTAGCGCAGCATCGACTTCATCCAAGATGAAAAAGGGTGATGGTCGATACTTGTGCATGGCAAATAAAAAGGCAAGCGCGGCAATTGATTTCTCACCACCCGACAAATCGTCCATATCACGCGACCGCTTGTTTGGTGGAATGGCACTGTACTTGATACCAGAGTTGAACGGAGTCTCAGTGTCATCAAGTGACAATGAAGCCGATCCTCTGAGATAGGGTGGGTATAGGTCTCTGGTAAGTTCACCATAGATTGCGTCAATCTCTGTCTTGATCGTATCAAATGCCTTTTGAAAGAGTTCGGTTCTGTCAGTCTTGATTCTATTAAACTGAGTTACAATCTCCTTTCCACGTTTGATTTGGTCTTTGTGTTGTGATGAAGCCTCTCTCAATGCATCCGTTGCCTTTTTAAGATTCTCCATTGCTTTTGGATTGGGTGGGTTTGTATCCATAGTAATTTTCAACCTTTTATCTTCTTGTGCCAAATCTTTTATTATATCTTCTAATTCATTTGTGTTCTAAAAAATAGAAATAGAAATTAAATTAATAAACATGGATTCCAAAAATAATAATTATATATATATATTACATACTTTAACTTTAAGTTTTGATATAGAAGAAAAATCAATTCTAATTCTAAGATGTCTGTTAAAGAATTCTAATCTTTCATCATCTGGGATCATATTATCCCAGAGTTGAACTTGATCCAAAAAGTCATTGTCATCATCCTCTTCATCGACAGCTTCTTCTTCCTCTTCTTCATCTTCACCAGCAATTAATCTTCTCTTTTTCTCTTCTTCTTCTTCTTCTAATCTCTTTTTCTTTACATCTTCATCCTCTTCTTCATCACCTTTGTCTTTTTCCTTTTCTTTTTCTTCTTCATCTACATCATCTACTTTTCTCTTTGTACCTTTTCCTGGACTCTTCTTTGGTGATGTGGCAGATGGTTTCTTTTTCTTATTACCCTTTTCCTCTTCATCCTCTTCGTCTTCCTCATCGTCATCAGATCCTTTTTTCTTTTTCTTTGGTGTAGTAGGAGCGGCTGCATTTTTCTTTTTCTTTGGAGATGTTGGAGGAGGTTGTTTCTTTTTCTTTTTCTTTTCATCTTCATCTTCATCAGAATCTTTCATTTCCTCATCAGAATCTTCCTTTTCCTCCTCTTCTTCCTCTTCAACTTCCATTTGATCTTCTTTTAATAATGGTAATTTCATATTATCCAATTTTGCCTTTGCCAACAATTTATGATATTCAACCTTTCCATTTTCAATTGCCACATCATAAATTTTAATTGATGATTCCAATTCTCCATGTGCCTTTGCTTTATCATCAGATATAGTTCTCAATTGTTTAATTGTATTATTTAATTCTAATACTTCATCCTTTAATTCTAAAAAAAGTATAAGTATTTCCAAACATTTTAATATTTTTTCTACTGTATAATTACTCTTTAATTTATCATTTGCATCAGTAATTTGATCTTGAATTTCTTCATTTTCATTTTGAGTGGCAGTTTGAGTTTGAATTTCCTTTTCCAATTGTTGATTGTTTGATTTGAGATCATTATCCAGTAGGGACACTTCATTGTTATAATCTTTTTTACCTTCATAGTTGATTTGATTTTGAACCTTTGAAAGTTGAAGAGAGAGTTCTAGCTTGGCTTGTGTTTGCTTTTGTAACTTTTCCATACGGTTGACTTCGAATTCTTGGATGTTGGGTATCTTGAGCTCCTTGCAAAAGTCGGCAAAGATGCCCTTTTCCTCCTTGTCAATGGCCGCTTGGGTAGAATCGATGAGTGCCTGTCGTTCGGTGGTTGATTTCTTGAGTTGGTCAACCTCCTTGTCAAAACTGTCAATGAGACGGATCTTGGACTCCTTTTCAGTTGCATTCTTTTTGATTCTCTCTTCGATGGGCTTGAGAGTATCCTTGTGGAGTTGGGCGGTTGATTTGAGCTCTTCAAGACGGCTCTTTAGATTATCGAGTTCGTAGAAATTGGCAGAGGTGTGTTCAATCTCGGCGAGGTCTTGTAGGATCGAGTCACGACGCTTCTTGAGCTCTTCTACATTGCCTGCGTTGAGTTTGGCTGTTCGGTCCTTGACACCCATCAAACCACCACTCATCAAACCACTCTTGGTGATCTTGATACCGTCAATGGTGATGACTTTGTGACGTTCGGCTGAAAAGGCCATCATACGAGCCTCTTGTAGTGTGTCACACACCAACAAATTGCCAATGGCATAACGCACAGCCAAGTCAATCTGTGAATCAAACTCTATACAATCCATGAGCAGTTTGGCGGTACGACCGTCTCCACCCAACTGACGCAACTTTTCGTTGGTTGGCTTGGCGTACAATCTGTCCAATGGCAAAAAGGTGGTCACGCCAACCATCTGCTCCTTAAAGTACGACATACACATATTGGCAGCCAATTCAGTCTCGACGACAACTGCATCGGCCAACTTACCCATCGCGACGGTAAATGCCGTTTCAAACTTGTTTCTTGGTCTACACAAATCAATTAATTTGCCCTTGACACCTGGGAATAACTTTTTACACTCTGAAATTGCATAATTCATCTTTTTATCTCTTTCCTTTTCTGCTCTATGTGTCTTTTCTGATGACAATTTAAATTGAATTTGATCCAATTCTTTTGTTAATGTTTGTTGTCTTTTACTATAAAGAAACAGAAAATTAATTAAATGTATAAATATATTGGTCAATATTTTTTCTTTTTAGGCTTACTATTGAGATTCATTTCTAGAAGATGTTTTACCAATTTCTTCTGTTAATTCTTGAATTTGTTTTTCAATATGAACCAATAATTCTTCACTCTTTTTCTTTCTTTCTTCCAATTGTTTGGTTGAATTATCCAATTGTTCAATCATTTTAGTCCAATCATCAATTGAAGCTTCTTGACTTGATTGTTTTTCTCTTTCAAAATTTTGTGTTCTAAGTAATTGATCCAATTTCTAAACAACAAACAAATAAATATTAATATTAATATTTCTAAATTATTTGTCTTTTTTTTACTTTACCTTTTTATCTTCACTGGTAGTTTTACCAGCTTGAACTTTTAAAGCATTATAACGTTCAATTTGATCATTTGTTAAACTAAGACCTTTATCCAATTGTTGAGTGAGATCGAGTTGTTCCAATTTCTCTTGAATTTCATTTTGTTGTTGAGTAAGCATTTCCAGTGTTTTTTGTTGTAATGAACGGTTCTTGTTGGCTTGAGCAATCATATCTTGAATCTTTTTAGCTCGTTCTGTTAAAAAGTTGATTTCTTCAGTTGCTTTGAATGCGTTTGGTTTGGTCTTGTTTTTCTTTTGTGTTAGTTTCTTGAGTTTGAATTCCATCTCCATCACTTCTTTGTGTTTGGTGGCTTGTTTCTTGTTGGCCTGTTTCTTTTCATTGGCCAAGTTCTCACGTTCCGATTCGATCTGTGCAATCTCCTTGGCAGCCTTTTCACGCATACCTGTGAACCGTGCCAACTCGCTACGTATAAACTTGAGTTCCAAGAGCGCAATCTTGATGGCAATCTCGTCACGTTGTTTGACCACTTTAAAGTATTGCTTGTGTTCGGCTAGTTGTGTTTTGTAATGGTCTCTGTCGACGGTGAGTTCCTTGACACGACTGTATGTTCGTACCGACAATGCTTCAATCTCTGTCTTTTGTTTGTACAGTTGGTCATACTCTGCTTTGAACTGGTCCGAGCCCGATATTCTCTCGACGGCACGTGTGATCTCTCTTGGGTCCTTGGACGCGATGTTTTGAACGTCACCCTGCAACACACAAAAGTTGGAGCAGCTCGAATGCACACCCAACGTCGACAACTTGTCTAAATAGTCGTTACGGTCGACCGTCTTGGAATTGATATAATATACAGTTGACGATCCCCTAATCTTTCGCATAAATTCATATACTGTCTGACCACTACCACTACCATCTCCGTCATCATCATCATCCTTGCTGAAATCAATATATTTCAATTTAACATATGATTCTAATTGTCCTATATATATAAAAAGAATAAAATGTTAAACATTATATTACAATCTCCTATCTCAAAGTCATCTGACTATAGGTTGAGTACATACCCTTTTTCTTTTTAGTAGGTCCTACTTGATCATCACCATCATCATCATGATCACCATCATCATCTCCTTTATCAGGAGTATGTTGTTCCTTTTGAGCTTCAGCAATGAGATCGTTGAATTTAGGAGTTGTAGGTACATCGACAGTAGTGGTTGCCGACGAATACACCAATTGACTGATATTGCTTCTAGTTGATGTTGCACTTGATACACCGAGTACAAATGTGATTGCATCCATCAAGTTACTCTTGCCACTACCATTTGGACCAATAACACATGAGAACTGTAGAAAAGGACCAAGTATATGTGTTCCCTTGTACGACTTGAAGTTCTTTACCTCTAGACTATCAATTGAACACATTCTAGATGATGTGTCTATCCCACCTTGCATCATCCTCTTTTCAACCTTCTTTCTCTATCTCTAGATAGATTATATTATTATGATATATATTTAGATAAAGTAGTTAAAAATGATGTTTTTTGAAGAATTTTAAAAAAGGCGCGAAACCATTTAATTCTGCAAACTGAGTTTTCTGAGGTGAGTGTGAAGTTCGCCTCTACTTTAATAAATTTTATTATTGTGTATGTATACATGTATGTACTTGTTAAATATTCATAAGTTTTAATTTATGTCGTAGTTTACGTTTGTCTTGTCTCATGAGTTCTTGGACGATGTGTATTGGTTTGGTAAAGTAGTTTCGGTTGACATAGGATACAGTGTAGGCGGGCAAGAGTGCACAGAGAACAGTGACAAAGAGAGCAAAGTAAAAGATAGGTTTCTCGGTAAGATGTACAAATATGTAGTGAAAGTAACCTACATATTCGATATAGATTACACTGTAAACAAACTCTATCAAAGCATATACTATCAAAGATCCCCATAATGTTACATGATGTAGAACTGTCCAAGTACTAAATACATTTAAATTAAATTAGAATAGAATAGAATATGGATGGATATATTAGAATTAATTAATGGTTTGGTTGGTTGAATATGGTTTAGTTGGGTTGGGATAGGATATACAAACTTTATACAAAGAGCTAATCTTAAATTGACTACAAATACAAGAGAGGTGAATCCGGCGGCACTAGTCTCCCACATGGATCCAATACGACCGTCAGAGTCGAGTGGACCTTCGATAAAGATACGTGATGTGAAAAAGTAGATACAGGCAGAGCAGTAGACACCTGTGGAGATCCAGTACCAGAAAATACGGTGGTTAAAGCATGCACCCTTTTGGCACTCGCGGTATAGTTGTGGGAACCGACGGAGATAACTAGATCCAATGTCCTTTTCAAAGACACCGATAATAATGATGGGCAGCGACGTAAAGACGAGATTGTAACAGAGGATATTGGCAGAGTCGTAAAAGGAGGCACCTGAGAACTGGGTGTTGGAAGAGAACCAAAGTTGGAGTAGAGATGCCAAGAGATTCTTAAAGAAAAAGTAGCAGATCAACAGACACAAACGTTTGTAGTTGTAGCGACCGTGGACAAGTACCAAACGCTCGAGGAATCTGAATTGGGAGATGGCAAAGTCGCTGCTTAGCACTGCTTGTCTTCCTTCCTTGCCACTAATACCAATACCAAGATGTGCCTTTTGAATCATAGACACATCATTGGCACCATCACCAATTGCCAATGTAACCGATTGAGTACGATCTTTGACCATTCTAACAACCTCACTCTTTTGAAAAGGTGTAACTCTACAACATACAACCGATTTACATAGACATGTTAATTTGTAAAACTTGTCCTCTATTTCCTTTTGCAAAGCCAATACCAATGTTGCACCATCAATTACCAATGAATACTCTTTTTTCAATTGGTTATTATTGTTGTTGTTGTAAGCTTCTTGCATTTCAATGTTGTTGCTATTGTTGTTGGTCTGGTGATGGTCCGTTTCACCTGCACCAGACTTTTCATTTGATTCAATTTGATTAATCATTGATTCGATTGCTTGATCTAGTATTTGGGAACTGGTAGTTTCATTTAGGATAAGTATATCTACACCCTCTAATAAACGACAAGAAATTCCAATATTAATGGCAGTCTCTTGTTTGTCACCAGTCAACATCCAAATCTTTATATCTGCCTGCGACAGAGTTGTAATAGTCTGTGGTACCTGGTCTTGAAGTTTATCTTCAACACCCGTTATACCCAACAATGACCATCCATTCTCAATCTGTGCAGATACCTCTCTAACCTGCTCTTCACGATCATCAATTGATATTGATGCCTTTTTAAACATGACATTCCAATTTTCATATTCAACAGGATCAATAATTTTCTTTGATATACATAATGTTCTTAATCCATTACATGAATATTTCTACAAAAGGAAAGGAAAAAAAAAGTAAGTAAAAGATTAATTATTAATTATTAATTATAATTATTTGTTATTTGTTAAATTTTTTATCTTTACCTTTAAATTATCTTCATTTGATTTTAAAATTTCCTTTTCTTTATCATTTGATGGTAGATTGATAAATGGTAGAATAGAAGTATCAGCACCTTTACAATAGAGAATAATTTCTTGTGAATCTACTTGTCTTACAATGACAGACATTCTCTTTCTGTCACTGGTAAACTCTAAAACATTCAATAGGTGGTACATTCTTTCTTGACCATTTACATTGACACCCATGGAATTGGGAGTTCTGTGAAAGAATTGGATGCCCAAGTTGGCAGCTGCTGTCACCAAGGCAACCTCGTCTGGCGAAGACGATGAATAGTTGATAGCGTCGCATCCACCATCTTCATTGCCTGGTCCTTCATGTTCTGGAATGACCGTATGACACAATGCAATGGCTATGAAAAACTCCAAGTTTGCTGGTATACTAAAATCAACATTTAAAGGTTTGTTTACATTTTCAACTAAATTGGCTAAACTACTTGTTGATTTATCAAATGTATCTTTTAAATCTACTGCGCTCTAAAAAGAAAGATATAAACAAACAAACAAATGTAAGTTACAATATAAATATATAAATATTTAAAATGGTTTCTAATCTTTTTCTTTTTCAGTTGCTTACAATTGAAGGTGATTTACAAATATTATTATTATTACTACTATTGTTATTTTGATTTTGATTTAGATCAACAGAACTAACATTTAAAATTGATTCAGTACCAATTAGGTAGTCACTTGATAGACTACCATAGGAGAGACCATCGATACTACATATTCTAAAGACCATTTCATTTCGGGTCAGAGTTCCTGTTTTGTCGGAAAAGATATGTTCCACTTGTCCAAGCTCTTCGTTGAGGTTGGAAGTACGAGCCTTTGCAAAAGTCTTTGTTTCATCGTGATACATCTTTTTGTCACGATTGATCGATATGATTTGAAAGACACGAACCATTTCCATGGTGACATAGAGTGAAATGGGCACAATCGTAGAGTAGAGGATGACAAAGGTAAAGAAACGTTCGACAGTATGTACAATGAGACGATTGCTAATGAGCAAGTACCACGAACCACGTCCAACACGGTGTTCATAGACAGCACCTAAAATAGCACTGACCAAACACAACAATGCCTCTGCTATCAAGACATAGATGAGAATACGGTTCATTTCACGCTCAAGTTTACTTCTTTTGCTTGGTGTCGACATTGTGTTTAACATGTACTTGGTGTCATGTCCTGTATATACAACTACACCATAGATATACTTGGTGTTCATCAATTGAGTACCTCTAATCAACAATTGTTCACATGACAATGGAAGTGTCTCGCCTGACAACCCCATAGTAATACGACCATCAAATTTCGATAGATTCTGTGATGGTGCCTCGTATTCCAACAATGCACTGAATTGATTGAGATTGTCCAAATTATGTAGAGACGTGTTTGTCTCCATGAGAGATTGTTTTGTCTTGAGATTGGTCTCACCGTCCAAATTGGATGTTTCAATATAACAAAGTCCCGGAGACGTTTCACATGAAGTCGATAGTAAAACCAAATCTGCCGGGAATTGTTCTTGATTATTCACCTTGACAACATGACCAACTTGGATATCCTTCCAACACTTTATAACAAATTCCCCATTCTCTATAATTTGTGTTGTTTGATTATTTATATGTTTATCTGATTTATATCGTTTCTACAAAATTTAAAAGTTTAATTAAATTAAATGATCAAATTCAAGTATACATTAAATTGATACATACAAAATCTTCATAAGCTTCTTTACATGCATTTACCAATAGAACAATTCCCAAATTAATAGTTGATGGTCCTGGAAGTACAGGTGAAACTGGTGTATATGATAATATTAAAATAAATAAAAAGTATAAATTGGCTACTCTACAAAACTAAAATTAAATATGTAATTAGTAAATATATATATAAATAATATAATAGATTAAATAAGTGATCTTTAATTTTAATTTTGACATACTTGTTCAAATAGATTTTTTGGAATAAATGTAAGTATAGAGTACTTGGTTGTTGAAATCCAATTAGAACAATAAGTTGATTTCTTTTTTCTTCCAAGTATCCTTGAAACTATATTTTGACCACCATTATTATTATTGTTGTTGTCATCGGCTATATTATTATTATTGACTGTACTATTACTACAACTACTATTTACACTACTATTACTACTACTATCACTATGATTGATCAATCCACCGCTGGATATATCTTGTTGTTTGTAATTATTTATATTGACTTTTCTTCTTTGTGTTGATATTTTCTTTCTTCTTAATCGATCAATTGGTATTTGCATTTTCAGTGTCTGGAAATAAATAAATAAATAAATAAATCTATATTCTATCTATATTATTAATAATATATAATCAAATATATATATTATGGATAATGTTAATTGATTAATTGATTGATTAAGGTTTGGGTTTGGGTAATAATGAAGTTCTTGTTCTTTTAAACCCACCCAAAACAATACACTAGATTTGGTTTTATAATTATTATTATTATTGTTATTGATCGATCAATTACTTTTGCCGTTTCAGATGATGGATGATAATGTTGGAACGAGTGAGTGAGTGAGTGTGGTTGGTGGTGGGGTCTCTGCTCTAGTGGAGATAATAATAATAATAATAAATAATATGTAACTTAATATGTAGATCCAATATGGAGAAAGGAAAATTCGTGATGATCAATCAAAAAAATAATAATAATAATAATAATAATAATAATAATTTTAATTTAATCGCACGCTATGTCATTACATATATATATATACAAGCTTGCATATATATGGTCATAGATAATTAACAAAAAAGAGTTTTCGTGTATTACATTGTACAATGTTAAAGGGGGTGATATATATATAGGGGGTTGGGATGTTTGTTTGAAGAATTGTCTGTATTTCTCTTTTTCGCACTTGTTGTTTCCAACTACAAACTCTTTTTTTTTTTTTTTCTTAACCAATTAAATTAAATGTGAACTTGTGATTATTTCTTTCTTTATCTATCTATCTATCCTTTTCTTTTTCAATTCCAATCATTATAACTCATTTCATTCTTTCTTACTTTTTTTTTAAAAGTTATTTTTCAAAACAATAACCAATCAAATGCAACCCAATCCATTTCCTATCCTACCCTATCCTTCGTCTAAACATTTTTTTCTCTCTCCATTCTTTTAAAATGGGTTTTGAATAATACTCAACCAAAACAACCCCTACTTATTATTATTATTATCTTTGATTATATTGTGTGTGTATGTGTGAGTGGGACGTAATGCGATCAGTGTTGTGCAATGCCTTCACCAAAAGTATGTGTGTGAGATATTTATATTCATCTCTAATCATAGTGATATAGGTGTACATGCATGAAGAGAGGTCTACCTACTTTTAAATAAATAAATAATATATTTTGAAATTGAATATATTTTGAAGAAGATGTGTAGGAGGTGGATGTATTGTGCGTGATGGTTGTATGAATCGAATAAAGAGTTACAATGATTATTATTCTTATGATTATTTCTTCCTACTTTCTTATTTTCTGACAATTGTAACCAACTGATTTATAAAAAATGTGAGTACCTCAAAACTCTGATGATGTTGTTGTTGTTGTATGCAGTTGTTGTAAACCTAACAAGACTATCTGCTCGGGACTATTAGTTTACTCTGCTCTAGCTGATTTGTTATTGTTGTTGTCGTGGCATCTGGGTGTGAATCCCTCCTTGGATATCCATCTAAGTGTGAGGTTTAAAAACAAACCCTGCCCTGTTGCTTTAATTTAAACACTATCAAAGGGCTGGTTCTCTGTCCCTTGGTTTTCGAGCAAGCTTGCTCAAACAGCCCCAAATTTAAAAATAACTTTTAAAAAAATCTCCAACGACAACAACCACCAACCATGTGTTAATTTAATTTTTAGAATTGGTGTAAGTGGGGGATAGAGTAGGATAGGTCATTCATTCGGCCTTGTGTAAACCCTTTTCTTAACTACTGTAGTTAGTTTATTTGTTGGATTCAGAGTTCCCGATATTCGTCTTACATCATACATAACAAAAGGTAAATTAATTTAGAGTGTGAAACAAAATATTAATACCATTGTTATTCTTTTTACTATCCCTACCTGTCAAGAATCAAAAAAATCAAGTATTTAGAGATAGAATAATAATATCAATTTAGAATTAATTATCATTCCCCGGGAGTTGGAAAGAAAATTGAACAACTATCTGGTGTGCATGCAGAAGAGATGACAAGATTTCAATCAGATTACACAGCATTCATAGTCGATGGTCTACCACACCGAAAGAAGCCTTCTCAATCCTGCTCTATTCATTATCCAAAGATCATGCCATGACTTTCGATGCATGCCAGATTGAACATTAGATAAGATGATCTTTGTAATTGCAAGATGATCTAGTCTAATGTTCAATCTGGCAAGTCATTTGCTTCCAGTACTGGATCCTGAAACGTTGCATCATCCCAACATCTCTCAATAAATTTATTACATATCGTGAATTAAAATGAAAAGAATATTTATATAGTATAGTTATTATTGATTTATTTATTTTACAGGGGAAGGAGCTACATTGTTTACTTTCATTGAGAATAGACAATCAAAGTAATAGGGGAGTGAAGTGAATGTGAGGTTAGAGTCTTGGGATTGTGAGGCTGTTTTGAGACTGAATATCTGACTGGTCATCAATCCAAACAGTCCGAGTATTTGGAGTGATGTGACTTGTTCGTTGACGACAAGAGTCGAGGCTGTGCGAGGTGCCAACTTGACGAGATCTTCAAGTGACACTCCTACAGCCTTGTGTTGGTGCGTGAGGTAGTGGAGTGCACGAAACACGACAATCGTGTTCTTGGTCGATGTAAACTGGTTGGTCAATAAAGTGTCGGCTGCGTCTTTGAGTATTCTCGAGAGTGCAAATTTATTCCATTTCTCGCGTGGGCCATGTTGACTGACTAAGAACTTGACTTGAGAGTTTTTAACTGGACAAGATGTGTAGTATAGGGCAAGTGCACGTTGGTGTGACTCGTGGTAGAGCGATTTAAATGGTTCGGGATAAGTATCGAGTATGTACTCTGCCAGCTGTTGTTGTGGTGATGACACCATATCGAATCCTTCATGGAGGTTTTGCACTTCGTTCATGAGTGTCTCATTGTCACATCCGTTGAGTCCATAGTAAAACTTGTCATGTGTCTGTGACGAAGGCAAGAACTTGGCAATGGGGAACGTGTATGTTTCCAAGAGATAGAGGAGCAGGTCGCGTTGACCCATCAGTGCTGCGCGACGCATCACATACAGCAAATCTATATCATATGGCGCACCGACATTGACCGACTCTGTGACCGTGACAACATGCTGAAACAGCGCGATACTTCCAGTGGATGCACAATGTAATAATAGTTGTGGTACCTTGGTTGACAGCGCCAACAACTCTTTTTTATAGATGAATGTGAATGTCTCTAAATGCCCGCCAATAATCGCGCATCGTGCTGCTACCAATGCCTGTACTTGAGGTTTCTCCCATTTAAAGTTGGCGTATATCCACTCGAGTGCGTCCAAGTTGCCGCGCGACGCAGCCGCGTAAACAGCGTCGGGACGGAAGCTCAGTGTTTGCAAACCAAGACGTTTGAGTAGCAAGTCGAGTATCTCTACCGATCCCCACGTTGCAGCATGTTCAAGTGTCTGATAATTGGCCGATGAAAGCGCAGTCAACTTCTCCTCGGGTATACACTCGGTCAATGCCCACACCACAAACTCTCTGTCCTTGAGGACTAGTCCGAGATTGATAAAGTACCATATGGGAGCGAAATCGAGGTTGCGTTCCATGATCCAACGTGCAATACGTGTGTCTTTGGGTACCTCAAACTGACTGATACCCATCTTGCTGCCGGGTTGGTACAGGTGCTCGAATATCTCGAGGGTACCCTCGAGAAAGGCCACCTTGCTAATTCGATCCATCCAGAAGCTCTTTTGGAGGACCGCCTCGTACTCTGCGGCCACTGCCTTGTGTTTGACCATCTTGAGGCTGCCGCACTTGATAGCCTCACCCACACACTCGACGGTGAGGGTGGGGTAGAACTCGCGTTGCACAAACTCTAGCATTTCAATGCTGCCAGAGCGACACGCCCACTGGAGCATCTCCAAACGGTCCTTGGAGACAGCCGGCAAAATGTAGTGGTTGAGTGCGACGACCGGTGCAACCTGACCAGTTGTGACAAAAGATTGATAGAGTATTTTGAACGACACCTTGGACGCTAACCTATCAATCACTTCACTAACCTTTTGCCATTCATCACTTGCAACACTATTACAATAATAGTAATCTATATCTTGTGTCACTCGATTTAACAACTCGGTATTACGTAGTTTTTGTTTGACATAGACCTCTTCGAATGGTTGTATCTTGGCAGTCTTGATAATATGCTTGAGCAATGTCCAATTGGCACCATGACAGGCACTTCTTATAACACTATCCAATCTAAACAAGAATGGGTTACGTGCTCTAATTCTTTCAAACAATTGCATGTCATGAATCTCTTGACAGAGTAGTTCAACAGCTTTACCATTCCAAACCAACAATGATGATGACAAGAAGCCGTCGACATCCATTTTCAGCTGTCCACCATCTGAAGTCACCTCTCTTTCAAACTTGTACTTGAATAGTTCAAAATGACCATGACTCAACATCCACTCGACCGAATAGATATCTTGATATCTGTAATGTTTCGGCTCCCAACTATAAGACACTGTATTACCACGTGTCTTCTGACCATTCTCTCTTCTCCATTGTATCTGTTCCACTCGACCCAAATCTTGAATAAATCCAACTATCTTGTTTCTTAAATAAACATGATGAATGATTTGTTTAAATTGACTACTTGTATAATCATCCATTGATTATCTCTTTTTAATTATCTCTCCTTAAATTTTAAAATACAAAATGAAAGATAGATATTTTGATCAAACCTTTTTTTTTTCAAGTGTCGGTTCGATGATCAATCTCATCGACCTTTTGAAATTTAATTAAATTATTATTATTAATATTAATATGATATATATTTATTTATTTTGTTTATTTATACAGTTACAACTACTGAAATGATGATGATGATGATGATGATGATTGACTCCTCCTCCTTTTTTTAGACAAGACGACGAAGAACATATGGTAAAATACCACCATGTTTATAATATTCAATTTCGATTGGAGTATCAAAACGAAGGGTAGTTTCAAATGATTTACCGGTATCGGTGGTGACAGTGACAGTTTGACCGGTCTTGATTTGGGTGCCGAGAGCAATGTTGAACTTTTCCTTGCCGGTGAGGTTGAGAGTGTCGGCCGATTGACCTTGGACAAATTGGAGGGGGATGATACCCATACCGACGAGGTTGCTTCTGTGGATACGTTCAAACGAGACGGCAATGACACACTTGATGCCTTGGAGGTATGGACCCTTGGCAGCCCAATCTCTGGATGAACCAGAGCCATAGTCGGCGCCGGCGAGGATGATGAGTTGCGAACCCTCGGCGATGTAACGCTCGGCAGCGTCAGACACAAACATGACCTCGTTGGATGGAATGTGGGTGGTTTGTGGACCGACAGCTGGTGCGAGCTTGTTGACGAGACGGGTGTTGGCAAAGGTACCACGAACCATGACTTCATCGTTACCACGACGAGCACCGTATGTGTTAAAGTCCTTTGGATCGACATTGTGACCTTCGAGGTACTTGGCGGCAGTTGATTTACGGGCAATGTTTCCGGCGGGTGAGATGTGGTCGGTGGTGATCGAGTCGCCGAGATTCAAGAGACAGTAGGCACCGGCAATATCACCACGGACAGGTGGCGTAAGTTCCATGGACTGGAAGAAGGGTGGGTTGTGGATGTAGGTTGACTTTTCGTCCCATGGGTAGAGCAGACCTTGTGGTACGACCAATTCGTTCCAGCGTTGGTTGCCACCGGTCACGTTCGAGTAGAAACTCTTGTACATCTCGGGCAAGACATTCTTGGCAATCGTGTCTTGGATGAGTGCGCTGGATGGCCAGATATCGCGCAAAAAGACGGGTTTGCTAGTGACGCTGCTGACGCCAATAGCGTCGTGCTCAAAGTCAATGTTGACGGTACCGGCGAGGGCATAGGCGACGACGAGCAATGGCGAGGCGAGGTAGTTGGCACGCAAGAGGGGGTGGATACGACCCTCAAAGTTACGGTTGCCCGAGAGCACACCAGCAACGACCAAGTCTTCCTTGGTGATGGCTTCGCCGACGACATCGGCCAACTCGCCCGAATTTCCAATACATGTCATACAGCCGTAGCCAGTGAGGTTGAATCCAATCTTGTCGAGGAATGGTTGGAGACCGCTCTTTTCGAGGTACTGTGTGACGACACCGCTGCCTGGTGAGAGGGATGTCTTGACGTACGACTTTACAGAGAGACCGGCTTCGACGGCTGCCTTGGCGAGGAGACCGGCGCCGAGCATGACCGAAGGGTTGGACGTGTTGGTGCACGAGGTGATGGCGGCAATCGTAACAGCACCGTGGGTGATGGTGTGCTTTTGACCACCATGCTCAAAGGTGGCAGTCTTGGCAATTTGATCGGCCGTCAATCCGAATCCCTTGAATCCAACGGGTGACTTGAGGTTGCTGGCAAAGTCTTGTTTGAGGTCAGAGAGTGAGACACGGTCGTGTGGACGCTTGGGACCGGACAAACTGGGTACTACAGTGGACAAGTCGAGCTCAATGGTCGAGGTGTAGACTGGATGCGACGCAGCAGTATAGTCACACAACAATTGTTGTGTAGCAAGATACTCCTTGATGTAGGAAATGTTTTCGGCTGGACGTCCAGTCGATGCCAAGTAGTTGATGGTGTTGGCATCGGCTGGGAAGTAACCCATAGTAGCTCCATACTCTGGTGCCATATTTGAGATGGTTGCACGATCCGACACGGACAACGTAGCAACACCAGCACCGAAAAACTCGACAAACTTGCCGACAACACCCTTGGCACGCAACTCTTTGGTGACAGTCAACACCAAATCAGTGGCCGTTGCAACATCTGGCAACTTGCCAACAAGCTTGTATCCAACAACCTCTGGCAACACCATACTCATTGGTTGACCAAGCATGACAGCCTCTGCTTCAATACCACCAACACCCCAACCACAGACACCCAAACCATTGACCATGGTTGTGTGTGAGTCTGTTCCAACCACTGAGTCTGGATACACTACTCCCTCTTCACTCTTGACCACCTCTCTGGCCAAATACTCCAAATTGACTTGATGTACAATACCATAGCCTGGTGGAGCAATCAACAAGTTCTTGAATGCTTGTTGACCCCATTTCAAAAATCTAAATCTTTCAATATTACGATGGAATTCCATCTTTTGATTTTCTTCTAATGCATCTGGGCTAAAAATAAAAAGGAATGGTTTAGTAATTGAATGAATAGTAGTGTATATATATGTATACATACGTTCTGGCAACATCAACTTGAACTGAATGATCAATGACAAGATCAACTGGAACTAATGGATTAATCTTTGATGGATCACCTCCAAGTCTCTTCATTGCGTCTCTCATGGCTGCCAAATCAACAACTGCTGGTACACCACTAAATGTATATTAATTGTTAAAACAAATACTATCCATCCATAATTAATGTCTTGATTGTTGTTTTACATACGTAAAATCTTGTAAGAGTACTCTAGCAGGTTTGAATGGGATTTCAACATTGCTAGCAGTTGATTGCCAATTTAAAATATTTTCAACATCCTTTTCATGTACTTGGAAGTTATCACAATTACGAATAGCAGATTCTAAAAGAATACGAATTGAATATGGTAATTGATCTAAAAAAAAGAGTAGTAGAGATAGAATAGTTAATAAGTTGTTGTTTTTGCAAAAAAAAAAAAAAAAAAAAAAAATAGCTAGTTGAACATCACAATGCATTGTTGATTGTGTAGCAGAGAGAGTATAAACATCGTGCAAACATACCGATTCTCTTGTCTTGTAACTTTGGAAGATTATAAAAAGTAAGACCACTTGAAAGTTTGTCTTTAATCTTATCAAAAGGATTTGGTTGTGACATTCTATCTAGATAGGGATAGGTGTGCAATCATAATCAGGTGATAGAGTAGGTAGGGAGTAAAAATCAAATGAATATTAGAAATCAATTGTGATATCATAAATAGAGAGAGAGAGAGAGAGAGAGAGAAAAAGAGAGAAAAAGAGACTCTTTCTACTCATTCATTACTTACATTTGTTATGGAAAAAATGAAATGGAGTAGTGTTTGGTTAAAATTAGTTAGTATAGATATCCTCACCACAAATTCAATTCAATTTAATTTTTTTATTTAAATCATCTGATTCCTTTTTTGGAACATTCTTTTTTTCATTACATGTTTACCTTCACATCTACCCTTTTGCTCGTGGAATCATCGAATAGTTTATGTTTGTTGTAGATAACTACTCTAGAGAAGAATCTTTTCCTTGGATCTTTTCATCATCATCATCATGTCCTCAATCAGCACACGTGTGTAAAGCTATGCGCAGACTTACTTTAACCAACTTGAACATCTGATCGATCGATATTAACGATGATGGATGGTTACTTATGAACAGTAGTTATCATTATGAGTTTATGTCTATCTCTATCTATCTCTATCTATCTATCTATCTGTACCTGAACAATAATAATAAAGAATTAATTCTCGCACATTTCCGATATCAACTTTTTACGAACAGACACATCCAAATTGCATCTTGCAGATTCACTTATTAATCATAATAATAATTTTAGATATATAAGTAGTAAAAGAAGGAGGGACAAGAAGGAGCAAGAGAGAGAGAGAGGGAGGAATGAGTAAGAGAAAGATAGTTGGAACCAAACCATCATCGTCAATGTGTAAAAATAGTCAAAGTAATAACACCATCAGTTCTACTACTACTGATGATGATAGTCATCAAGAGACGTCATCATCATCATCTTTAAAGGAACAGGTCAAAGAGATACAAGAGACAAGAGAATCTTTGGACCCTGTTCTTAGTTTTGAAGAAGCAAGAGATTTGGAATTCTGTATGTGTCTACTACTCTACTTCTTTTGTTGTTGACTATTGACTAACCTTTAAATGATTCACTATATAGCAACAATATGGGTAACAAATGTTGATCCTAAATTGGCGAGTAGTTTAAATAGTCAATTATCTAAATACATACAAACCAATCATGTCTACAAAGACATTCAAGAGAACTTTGGACACATTAAAAAGCTTAGAAAGATGACAAAGGACAACAAGACATACCTAGAGGTATTCCTTTGTACCGTTGAAAACTATCCTCATTTAATTCAAGATATTGATGAGAATAGATATTCTGATGATAATGCAAATACTGATGCTGCATCTTCATCTTCATCTACTTCATCTATTTCATCCATTTCATCATCGTCATCTGATTTACTCCATAAATACGATGAAACAGATTATCAATCATTCATTGTTCAATTTTTAAGAATCAATAATCTAAACAAACCATACAAGGTTGACATACCAAAATATGCACCTTTACATCTAAGTCAATGTCCAAAATGGAATGCTATTTGGCCATGTACATATAAATATCATCCTTTGTATGCTTTAAAACTAATCAACAACAAACAAGATGAAAGAATATCTTATTAATTAATTATATCTATCTATTTAGTTCAACACCATTGGTAGAAAACTTGGAAGATAGAGAAATAAGACCAATGAAACAATATATGAAGTTGGCAATCGAACAGGCCAACATTGCAAAAAGTAAGGGTTATAGACCTATTGGTGGTGTATTGGTTGATCCCAATACAAATACAACCATTATATCATCACATGATAGTATACCCATCGATCCACAACAACAACTACTACAAAACAACAATCAAGATACCAAACCAAAACCACTACTATCTAGGTTCCTTTCACATTGTACAATGAATATTTTACATGAATTGTCTCAACTTCATAGAGAACTTTATGGAAAACCAAATATTAATAATAATAATAGTAATAATCGACAACAACAACAACAACCAGACAATATTGTAAAAAAGGATGAAAAAGTAGAACAAGCAGAAGAGGATGATGAAGAAGAAGAAGAGGAAGAAGAACAATATTTAGCCAATTCATATCATTTATATCTTAGTAGAGAACCTTGTGTAATGTGTTCAATGGCATTGGTTCATAGTCGTATTGAAAGAGTTATTTATGGATCACAACAACATAATGGTGGAGGATTGGGTAGTTGTTTTAGAATACATACTGAAAAATCAGTCAACCATAAATTCCAAGTTTACAGAGGTTTAATGGAAAAGGAATGTTTGGAATTATTTAGTCCAGTAGTAGCAGTAGAAGAAAATGGAAACCAACAACAAGAAACAACCAAAGTACTAGCAGATGAAAATATAAAAAGTAAAGATCACCTATCTTAATATTTCCCAAAAAAAACAAGATGTGTAGGTCTATCACACACATTATTGCGTTACCTTCTTTAATATTATTATTTTTGCCAATGGTCCAGGGAGTTTATGTTACATTTACTATAGCTGAACCTGGGTATGGGGTTTGTTTCCAACTAGTTATTTTCTGAGTACATGTATGTATTCCAGCTCTTACTAAACAGTAATTAATAATAAGAAACTTTGAAAAAAAAGGTCCAAGGGGTAGAGAAAAAAAAAAATAAACAAATAAATTTCTCTACACTTAAACCTTGTTATTAGTTGTATAATTTAATAAGTGGCGTTATCAACCTTAAAGTTCTGTTTCTTGAAGATACGTCTTCCACACTCGGTAATAATTTCCAAAAAGATAAATGGAAAAAAAAAAAAAATGGTCCACATCTGATCTGCTTGTTTGAAGATATCATAACTGTGGATACGGTACTGCGTATGCATAGGCAGTACACCTTTCCATCTCTTACTTTACAATAGAGAGAGATGGTTGATTAAAAAAAAACTATGAAAAAAAAGTGTGAAAAAAAAGAGTCTCGAAAGGGTCTAAGTGAAGACTTTATTTTTTCTTTAATTATTTGTTATTACTTTATATTATCTGTTTCTCTACACTTAAACCTTGTTATTAGTTGTATAATTTAATAAGAAGTGGCGTTATCAACCTTAAAGTTCTGTTTCTTGAAGATACGTCTTCCACACTCGGTAATAATTTCCAAAAAGATAAATGGTCCAACATCTGGTCTCAAGAACCATGTTTTGGGTTCAACTCCGGTCATGACGGCAGCCCATTCAGCAAGGAAACGGGAACCACGCTTACCAATGAGGGAAGCAGCGGCATCGAGGACGATTGGGAAACGGTAGAGCAACAAAGACATCTTCATGGACATATCGAATTCGTGACCGAAACGGGACATCCAACGGTCTTGGTAACGCTTGAGAGATTGGTGGGAGAGATCCTTTTCACGGAAGGCTCTGATGAGGACTTCAGCGGCAATCTTGGAACCTTCCATGGCGTATTGGATACCTTCACCGGTGAGTGGATCGATGAAACCGGCAGCATCACCAATGATGAGCATGTGGTCGTCGTAGGACTTCTTGATACCACCGAGACGGAGTGGGGCGGCCTTCATACGCTCAATGTCTGGGTTTGGACCGAGGGCGGCGGAAATGAATGGGTCCTTTTCCATGTACTCGTGATGGAACTTGGAGAGATCGTCGATGGTGGCTTCACCACCTGGGATAATGTAGGCGAGGTAGTTGAGCTCGTCACGGGCTTCACGGATGATGGCGCAGTAACCTGGGAGGAGGGACTTGGGGTAGAAAACAACACCGTCGTACTTGAAGGTGGTGTTGTTCTTGACGTAGGAACGTGAGCAGACACCGTTTGGTTCGGTCTTGACGTAACCGAGGGCACGGGCGGCGGCGGATGGGGAACCATCGGCACAGATGAGACAACGAGCCTTGTAGACGGATGGGGTGTTGTTCTCAGAGTCAACACATTCGATGGTCCAGAGACCGGTTTCACGATCAAACTTGGCAGTGTTGACGGTGGTGTTTTCGATCAACTCGGCACCCATACGCTTGGCAGCCTTGGCAATCTTTTCGTCCAAATAGATACGCTTGACGGCAATGACGGCACCTCTGTTGTACTTGGCATCACGAGCCAATTCCTTGGCAGAGTTACCAATGAAAGAGTTACCGTTTGGTGAGACAAAACCACCGTTTTGGGCAAAGTGACCGAGGTCCTCGTCGACGAGTTCCTTCATGACACCCATCTCACGGAGAATATCTTGAGCCATGGTGGCAACAGCATCACCGCAAAACTTGTCACGTGGGAACTTCTTCTTTTCCAAAAGAGCGACCTTACGACCTTCACGAGCCAAATAGTAACCCAAAGTTGAACCACTAAATAAATAGTAAAAAAATTAATTAATTAGTCGATCAATTAAACGATCATTCTAATATTTTGTTCGTAGTAGTAGTAGTAGTAGTCGTAGTATATTTCTCTTCACATGTGTTGATCCTGTCCTGGTATTGTAAAAAAAACTATTGAAACAATCGTTTTCGTCCCCAATAATATCGCGCTTGACGTTTTTTTTTTTTGAAGTCGACTGATGAGCATCATAAATTTTTTTCGTGTCACATGATGTGATTGATTTTTACTCCTAGCCGTTAAAGAAAGAAGGACTACTATACTACTCGTAAACTATATATATATATAGTTGATTGTGATGATCTATTTACCTTGGACCAGCACCGATGGTGATAACATCATAGATGGATTCTTCGTAGGTCATGTTCTAAAAAGAAAGAAAAAAAAAAGGTTTTATAAATATATTTTTTCTTTTTCTTTTTTTTTGATCACACATGATGTGATTAATCTATCAATTGTTTGTTTTGAACCTACTGGAATGGCAGCAAAGTCGTATCTCTTTCCTTCACAGTTGACAAACTTGGAGATGGTGGCAGCAGCGACAACACCAGCACCGACGGCGGTGATACCAGCAGCAACCTTGTTTTCTTGAACAAGCTTAGAGTCAATGACCTTTTGGATGACTGGGACCTTTTCGATGCTCTTTTGAACAAAAGCGAGGGCGTTGGCTACAATTTTACTGTCCATCTTTCTCTTTATAAATATAATATATTATAAATTGTGTGTACAAGGTAACTCGACTGAACTGTTCAAGATATTTGACCTAGCTCAGGGATCATCAGATGATGAAAAAAAATTGTTTTTTTTCTATTCTTTTTTTCAAAAAACTCTTGCCTCGTTTTTAAAAAAAAAAAAAAAGCCTCGAGGCCGGGTCCGCCACCCCCAAAAGACGAATAAATCGGTCGACTCGACACCCACCAAAAACACTACATCCAATAAAAAAGAGGGGTGGTGGTATTCGTTGTTTATGAACAAACAAATATCTCTATCTCTTTATCAAATTCCATTATTTAAACAAATAGAGTGAGAATATGTTATGTGTATTTGTATGGATGATTGTCTGTGTGCTTTAAAACGAATAAATGTTTGTTTGATGATCGATTAATAAGGTTCCTTGAAACAAATCGATGCCATGTTGCCTCCAAGCCGATTTCAACCCAAAAGAAAAACTATAGTTTATGACGCCAAATATCTTTCCTTCCTTATTGCTTGCCCGTTTATCGGTTCATGGTCTTGTGCAAAACGTTACAATTCATGTTATAATTTGTTATTCTTGATCGTACTTCTTTTTTTTTTTTTTTGATTAACAAAAAATTTATAATAATAAACTAGCATGGTAGAAAAATATCTAGAGAGAGTCAGTAGTTTCCAAGGACGAGAGGATTCTTTCCTTCTTCAATGACAAAAGATATTTTTCTCTTTTTTTTAATTTAGGAAGACAATAATAGTTCCTTGAAATAGTTTGGTTGTCTGTTCATCATCTTTGACGAAAATAATATCTTCAATCATCATCATTGGTCTTTTCTATTTTGTTTAACACAAACTATCTATTTTATAAATATGATGTTCTATTATTTAACTAAATAGTCTAATTATATCATTCCAATCAATATTAACCAAGCATGTGGACATGAGCGGGCGGTTTGAAACTATAAACCATTGTTAATTTAAAGATCCAATGTGCGGGTGCAAACCGTGATGTCTATATATCTAGGCCGTTCAGTGCAAGTCAATTGACCAATGATCATGTCCAAGATAAAAGTGTCGTCTCTCTAAGACCCTTTATCCAACCAATTCCATTGGTCAATAGAGAGGAGAAGGGGCAAAGACCGATCTTCTTCTTTTACTTTTAACAAAGAGACATTTATAACCCACACTGTTACAACAGTGCACCGTTTGACTTTTGTACACTTGTTCTTCTAATCGGATCATCAACATCGAATATACAACAAAACATAAATACAATGGTCAAGATGATGATCCGAAATTAATCATTAAATAATCACAGAGGGTCCAGCTCATCCTCTAAATTAAACCCAAGTGCAAAGAGGACCCCATCAACCAGCCTCGACCTCGGACTATGCTCTGGTATGGGGGATCCGCTAAGTTGTCCATTGACAATCACCTGCGCCTCTGACCGAAAATAGGGGAGGGAGAACTTGAAAGATTGTAAACCGGATTGACCAATGAAAAACCGCATCGAGGGGTTGCCTTTTGGGAAGCGCCCTTGCGGCAGCCTGCTACCAACCAGTGAAAAGTTTGAAAACATGACCATTGGTGCACTTTTCGAGCCACGAGGCGGGTTTTTTTTTTTTGATTGTTTATTGGGTAAAATCGGGAGATAAGTATCCTTGCTCTAGGCAGCACACTGCCGCTAGAGACACGGGGGAGAGCCCCCATGAGAGGCTTACATTTTTCACACACACTCACACCCCGCCCCCTCATGATGATGCTCATCTTTGGTTCTGTTGACCGTTCTGCTAAGCTTGAACCATCATCATTCAATCTGATGAGCTTTCTTTGCAGGGCGCGGTTGAGGGGTTCAACATCTTTTTTTTCAGTGATCTATAGAGCTCATTCTGGATATATATATCTGTTATTAAGCAGCTTGTTGCCCCTTTTTGTTCTTTTATCAACCATCACCAGAAACAAGAGTTTTATCTTATCCATTATCTCTTCCTTGTCGAGAATAATCTCTCTTTTATCACTATACCTTTTCGTCCAACAACCCTTCATCACTATCACCAATATCATTATTTGATAGAAAGTTATACATACCTCACTATATCTATATATATATAAAAATATAACATCCTTATTTATTAAATTAGAACAACAAACAATATTACAATAATAATAATACTTTGATATTTTTTCAAATATTAGAAATCCCTAAATTAAAAAAAAAAAAAAAAGTAAGCAATAATAATTTATAAATTATACACCAACCACCCCATCCATTCATTCATTCATCCATCCAACCAATCAATCGAATAGAGTGTTGAGAATGGATTGATCTCGTCATCTATCACACCCACTTTCCAACATTAGTCGAAACTATCCATCCAATCATCTATCTTTCGCTTTTCCTTTCCTTTCCTGCATGCGTTGCCCTCCCTATTACATTGGGTACAGCTTACACAAGTTGTAGATAGAGTACCCAACAACAACAACAACAACAAAAAGGGAGCTCCCTTAGCTTAGCTTTGTCTAGATCCCCAACCAACACTTTTTTAAAGCTTAAACTCTTTTCTTCTGATACTACTTCTTTTTTTACTTTGAACAACTCCAACAAAAGAGGAGTTGTTGTTTGTGATTGTTGTTGTTGTCCTTAAGAGAAGATTCAACTGCATTTGTATCTGTTAATCTTTTTTTACACTGATCAGCTGTTGGTTGTATAAACAATAGTCGATCGGCTGATGATCATCACGACAACAGACCAACAGTTGTAAGGCTGCAGAGAACCAATCTCTTCTCGTATTTAAATTAAATACGTGATGGTTGGGCAGTCATCACGTATCTCTGCCCGATACTGCCAAGCCTCTCGCTTCAGATCAAAGAATAGACAAGATTAGTGGGGGTTCTCGAGTGTCGAGAGAGGGTGGCGTATACCCCACCCACCAGAGAATCTATCTGACGGGGCTGATTGGAAAACAGCAGTATTTTCCTTTTCCGCACTAGTGCTTGAAAGGGTGCTACCCTTTTTCCCTTTTTCATCAAGTGTCGGGGCAACAATCCTTTTTAACAGAACTTCTCTGATTTCCACATCAACACACGGTAACCCATCTATCAGACTATCCACCCTCTACAATTTTGATTGATTGATGTAAGGAAAATAACAACAGAGGGCAAAGGAAGAGGATGTTCCACAAAGCAAAGAAAGAAAGAAAAAAAAGGAAACACCTGGAAACACCAAAAGGGAGGGACCCCAATTTAATTTATCCAGATCATCATCATCATCATTTATCTTTATCTATCAACCAACAATCAGATAATAATAACAACTTTAGTTATATATCTATCAACCATCCATCAACCCATACATCAAACCCTCAACCAATAATCAATTTGTTAATACCAATCCAATAATTATCTAATCAGGTTAATAGATCTCTTCTTCTTCTTTGTCTAGCCCCTATTTTTAAAAGTGTAAGAATAATAGTAATAATATGGTTGGTTACCAATACCCTGTTTCTATTTGTCCCCATCCATTGATCTATTTTTAAAAAGTTTCTCCTTTATACACAAATCAAACCAAATCCAATCAATCATTATTTTTGTTTTGTTTATCCAATGATCAACCATTTTATCCAATTAATCAAAAGTTTCATAGTTTCTTCTTGATTAATTACAAAAGCAAGGAGTAGTTTGGTATGTCGTCAAGCCAGTTCTGACTAATATTCCACACACACTCTGCTCATAAACATTCAGTTGATTGGGTAGTAGTTGGTCGATACACCAACATCAATCAAAACTTAACTGCATTGTTCCATCTTTCTATCGTTTCAATGTACATCAAGATCTAACAGCCCATCACACCACCTGAACCGGTTCCCTTTTATTGACGTCAATTAATGCAATTGCTCAATTTGGTGAATTGTTTGATTGTTTTCATCGAAAGAGGTTTTGTTTGTTGTTCTTGATTTGCTGCAAAAACCAGACAAAGCCCCCCCACTACAATCAAAAAAGGTTCGTCACCCCTCCGATGCAACTCACCCATTTTTGTTTGGCATGAACACAGTTGTTTGTTTGCACCCCCCCCAACCCATTCATTTTGACACCCCCTGTCAATCAAAATTTTTAATTAAATTGATCAAGGTCTCGGGGGTATTTTGTACACATTGTGTGATGTAAGGGAAGGGGTTTTCCCTATTATGTGACTCTTTCTCTCTCTTTTTTTTTGGAGAGGATAATCAGAGACATACATAAAAAAAGAGAGAATTAAAGAATGCATGAACAGAGTGAGGGAATGGAACAAGCGGGGGTTGTGTTTTTGTGTGTGTGTGTGTGTGTCGATAGCTAGCAACGTGTGTGTTGTTGAGTGAGAGTGTGGTTTGTAACAATCATCAATCACTGTTGAGCCACCCACCACAATAACAATTACATCGACAACAACATGGCATTCCTTTCTGTGTTCTCCCCAATTTCAAATCGTCTACACAATTTATCGACAGTACCACTATTACTTCTACTACTACTACAATAACAATAATAACTCCAGTTTTACAACTACCATCCTACCATTTCACCATTCATCCAACAAAATTTCCCACTTGTTTGTGTGTGCCTTCCTACTTCCACTACTTTTGTTGTACCTCACCCATCAGTCTAGCTCTCTCTACACAATTTGGATGATGACCAAGGCAATTAATTCATCAATCAATCAATCAATCAATTACTTTTTTTTTCATTTCAATAACAATAAGTAACAGTTTGATTAAGATATTCGACTTGGCCCCACCACTCACTGCCATTCATCTATCTCATTTGATCTATTATCTGTTCTGTACACACTGTTGTTATTTCTTTCAACGCCGCTCCCCTTTTCTACAACTCACACAACACTCTACCAAGGCAGCAATTAATTAATTCCATTGCCACAACCACCTGTAATTTTATCCTTCCCTTGTAATATATAATACCAATACCAATACGGTGATCCATTCATTCTTTCCCCCTTTTTATTGTTCGGTTCGTTTTTTTGTATATAAATGTAAATGTTAATCAATTGGATCGATGGTTTGGTTTAAACCAAGCCCTTTTTTGTAGCTAACTGGAATCTGTTACAATGAATGGCCCACAATCCATCGAACCATCAAACCATCGAACCATTCAAACTGACTGACGTTGTTTGCTAACTCTCTCTCTTCCAATCTCATCTCATTCACATCTATATAGGTATATGATTTAGTATTTATTCATTCTCTAGACCCACTTCCACCTTCTCCTCCTCCTTGTCCTTTTTATTCTTAGGTATACTTTTGTATCTCTAACTGTATTGTATATTTAGTCAGCATCATAATAATTGATTAATTATTATACCCTCTAAACCAACATAAACCATTAAATTGTAATATACCATGTATGTAATAATAATAATAATAGTTGACCCAACCATAATCCAGTGCGAATCCAATTAATTAATTAATTAATTTCCATGTTTTTTTTAATTTTTAGAATTATTTATTTCCAACTTTTGATATATATAAAATCTTTTTTTTGGAATGAATAATCAACATCAACAATTGGGACCCCACCAAACCATAAAGGGATTTATAACACCGGAGCATTTGGAGTATGGAACTCCAAGTCCATCGCCACCATTATACTACCGACCAATATATACACATCAATATGGAGGCCCATACACGCCACGAGGATATGGTATGGATGCACCCCCATGTCCCCCATCTATAGACGAGGACCAGATTCCCATCGCCGTCGACCCCAAATCCATATTTGAACAAAACCAACGTTTTATGGGAAGAATCGCCTTCCTCGAGGAAGAGATTGTCCGCAAAAAAGACACTATCGACGGACTCCAAGTCCAACTATCACGCTACGAGCAGGAAAAGCAAGCCGAAAAGAAAAAGCAAAGCCGTTACTGGACACCAGAAGAGCACAACCGTTTCATCGAGGCTCTCTCCAAGTTTGGTCACAAGGATGTAAAGGCAATCGCATCGTATGTCGGTAGTCGTAATCCAACTCAAGTACGTACTCATGCCCAGAAATATTTCCTCAGAATCGATCGTGAACGTCAAAGAAAGCAACAGAGCAAAGATGGCGACAGAGATGCCGACGATAATGATTGGGCAGACACTTATTTTGATGGCGACGAGAGTCCCAGTCACACCCCCTCTACCAACTCACCATCCTCCAATCCTCCACCCAACCCATTTGCCGCACACTGTCCATCTCCACAATTGTTGACGACCACCAGCTCCATCACCAACTCACCCATCCAAAAGAAGAAACGTGAATCTGTCACCATCACTGCCACTCAAGCCAAGTCGGCCCCACAACACCGTGAACACGTTATCAATATTTTGGCTCAACAAAATATTAATCTTTCAACTTCAGATTATGATAATTTTGCTAGAGGTTTAGTTTCAAATATTGAACAAGATGATGTAAGGAGAGAAAAAAAAGAAAGTATTTTGTTAAAAAAAGAAAGTATTTATTAATTATTTTTTCTTTTTCTTTTTCTTTTTAGACTCAAACATTGATTAAATCAATTAGAGATCAATTTTTACCAACCAATTCAATTGAAAATATTGAAAATATATATAGTGCCTTTGTTACAGCTGTTAAATATCATACCATTCAACAAGGACCAACACAACCATCACATCAAATTGTACCACCACTTCCACTTCCTCAACTACAAATCCAAGGACAAATGGGACACCATCAAATGTTGACTCCCACCTCACTCCATCAGAAGCGTGACAGTCCACATCTTTCATCTTCTACATCGTCGTATGGAGTCGCACCAAATATGGAATCATCAAGTCCACACCACCCAGAGAGTCCACACAGCAATTCACCATCACCATCATCGTCGGCTATGGGCTCCAAGTCACCTAAAAAGAAACTCATGAACGTTACCGTCCCATCAAGAGGATCAGATCCATCGATGGGATCACCATCGTTGATGACTCCAACCACTCCATCACCATCGTCGGCATTGTCACCATCGTCTCAAGGAATATATGTCCCATACGGCCTACCACAACCAGGTATGCGTTGGGTATCCTCACCACACCATATCTACCACGGTAGACCAATGGACCCAAGCATGGGTATTCCATACCCACCAACCCCACCCACTCCGCACATGCCTCACATGGCTCCAGTCTACTACTCTCCTCACCCAATCCCAGCTGGCATGAATCCAATGGGAGACTCTACACCTCTTTCCGACGATGCACCACACCACCACCACCATCACCACCAAGTCCATGGTCCATGGTCTACACTCCCCTATCTTTCAGTCGATTCCACCCCATCTCCTCCCAATTGGTTAAACAATACCATTGCAAATTTTAATAATACCTCTATTTCTTCTCCAACCCAACATTCTGTTGGTGTTTCTGGTGATTAAGAGAGAGAAAAAAAGATGGAATCATTTTTAAATAATAATAATAATAATAGTAATAATAGTCGTCAGTCCCTCCCCTCCCTCCTTTTCTTCCAATAATAATAATAATAATTAATAGTTTTTTTTTTAAAACAACATTTTTAAAAATATATATTTTATATTTTATATATTTATCACAACAACAATTATACGTATAAATTGTCACTAAAAACTCACAAAAAAAAAACAAAACAAACTTGACCAAACCAAACTGATCACCAATCAACCAAACCAACACACACACAATCAACTAACCAAACAAACAAACAACCAAACAACAAACCAAACCAAAAACTAAAACAAACTTGACATTTCAACTTGGGCAATATATATGATAGGTAATCATATTTTCAACTTTCCCCAAAAACTCCCCAACACTCCTTTAAACATTCATGACACTATGAATGACGATCTTGAAGAAACTAAACACTAAACACAACGGTATCCAGATTTTATTTGGTGGTTTTCACAATAACAACAAAACACAACTTATATAGAATAGAATATTTAAATTAAAATAATAATAATAAGAATAATGAAGAGAAATTTTGTAAATATAAAACAAAAAAGTAATAACAAAATTGTAACATTGGAAAAACTTAACAAATAAAAGAACAATTATATGTTTTTGCAAAGTATTAATTATTAAGGTTTTATTTATTGTTTGTTGGATTCCAAAAATTTGACCAAAAATCCCAAGATGATGGGTTTGTTTTTGATGGGTCTGATGCTAGTAACTGATTACATGTTTCAAGACCAGATTTACAGTCTTTCAATTCTTTGAGAAGCTCCGATTCCTGGAGTGCAGCAAGTTGTTTTATGAGTTCGATTTTTTCTTTCTCGAGGAATGCGTTTTTCAGGTCTGCAGAGTTTGCCGTTGCTTTCCATCTTTCGACGTCGTTTTGTTGAATGATGATGGTGTTCTCCAATCCAGAGATTTTCTCCTTGTCAATTTTGCTGGCATTCTCCAATCCAGAAATTGTCTTGTTGTTAATTTTAATGGTGTCCTCCAATCCAGAGATTTTCTCCTTGTCAATTTTGCTGGCATTCTCCAATCCAGAGATTTTCTCCTTGTCAATTTTGCTGGCATTCTCCAATTCATAGATTGTCTCATTGTCAGCTTTGCGATTTTTTTTATAAAAAGCCTCTTTATCATCCAAGCCGCTATTACACAATTGCAATGCATGTTGAGTGGTGTTTGCTAATATTATACATTCATCTATGGAATCTCCCATTTCTTTTTTATCAACCTGGCATTGCGACCATTTTCCTTGCCATAGAAGAGATGAGTTGTGAGCCCCATCTTGACCGACTGCAAGTCTTGTGACAATACCCAGCAACAGGAATAATATAGCACACAATAGAATAACCTTTAATTTGCTTGTACCACTACCACTGCCACCACCTAATGGACCAGACGATGGGTCAAGCCATTGGAATGAATTAGTCTGTTTGCCATCGTAAATTTTATCTTTGGTATTTTCCGCATCCATTCCAAACCACATTGAGTCTATTCCATAGCATCTACCAAGGTTTTTAAAGATTGGTTGCTTTTCTTCAATCTCTTGTATAAAAACATCCTTTTGATTGACCTCTCTATTATTATCAAACACAATAAAAAGTGATAGATTGATTCTACCAACTGCATCAAAAAGAAAAGAAATAGAGTTTGGGTTAGTTTTGGTGATCGTCAGATGATACTACTGTCAACAATCAATAATAAAACCTACCAAGAGAAGAAAGGGTAGCCAAGATTTTAGATATAAGTGGTTGATAATGTCCATTTAATATTTTGTAATAGTTTTGAGTCTTTGAGATACACAAACAAGCAGCATCCCTAAAGTTTAGAATAGATATTTAGTATTAGTACTATACTACTTTTTCAATTATATGAAATAGATTGATCATTGACTTTAAAGAATGTAGACATACCTTCCATTTCTAAAGAAACCATTCAAATCTGTTGATGGTGTGAGTGTATCAATGTTTACAACTACAAAGTTTTGAAACTCTTCATTTTGAAACAATTTAGTATAACTATGTGAATCTGCAAAGATCACAACTTTTTGAACTTCTAACATCTTCTACTATCTCTGTATATATATATATATAAATAATCTCTATTTGTATAATAATACAATATATTAAAAAAGCAATTAATATCTTCTTCACTGAGTCAAAAAAAAGCTATTTATTAAAAAAATGAGTCACCCGAAATAGTTTTTGTGGGAATGGCCTATGATCATCGATTGGCTTTTTGTTTGGTCATGATTTACAAGTGTTCTTGAATAATTGATATCAATATATAGAGGTTCATTTATTTTATTTACAAATGGTGGTGATGATATCACCTATTATCAAATGATAAACTCTAGAAACAATTATTAATATTCTTGAATACAATATTTAAATTAAAAATAATAGTAATATTATTAAAGAACAATTATGTGTTTTTGAAATTAGTATTATTTATTACGGTTTTGTTTATTTAAAAACCAATCAACCCAAGATTTTGTTGATGGAATTAATACTTTTCGTATTCTTTTAAACATTTGTTTGATTGTTTCAATTGAACGATTTGACCTTTCAACAATTCAATTTCCTTATGTGATTGAGAGATTTGTTGATCGACAGCAATCTCCAACTGAGAGATTTTTTTAGTATAATTAATCTTACAATCTTTGTTTTCAAATTCTAATCTAGAGATTGTTTGGTAATTTGTTTTGTGATCCTCCACTAAAAGATTGATTTGTTTTATCAAACTTTGGTTCTCCTCTTCAAATAGTGTTATCTGTCTTTCCTTTTCTTCAAAAAATTTCTGAATCTGTAGGACTTTGTCGTGATCATAACGGGGAGCTAAGTTACGATCCAGATCTGGACTTCCGAGTTGACCAGTACCAACAAGTACTTTGACTATACCAAGAAACAGGAATAATAAAGCACACAATATAACCTTTGCGTTGGTTAATGACCTGCTGCTACTACTGGACGATGGGTCAAGCCATTGGAATGAATTAGTCTGTTTGCCATCGTAAATTTTATCTTTGATAGTTTCCTTATCCATTCCAAACCACATTGAGTCCATTCCATAGCATCTACCAAGGTTTTTAAAGATTGGTTGCTTTTCTTCAATCTCTTGCATGAAATCATGTTTTTGATTTACCTCTTTTCTTTTATTTTCAAACACAATAAAAAGTGATAGATTGGTTCTACAAACTGCATCAAAAAGAAAGAAGTAGAGTTTGGGTTAGTTTGGTGATCATCGTCAGATGACGCTACTACTGCCAATAAATAAAACCTACCAAGAGAAGAAAGGGTAGCCAAGATTTTAGATATAAGTGGTTGATAATGTCCATTTAATATTTTGTAATAGTTTTCATTCTTTGAGATACACAAACAAGCAGCATCCCTAAAGATTAGATTAGATATTGAGTGTTAGTACTATTACTTTATAAATATATATATGACTTTAAACAATGTAGACATACCTTTCATTTTTAAAGAAACCATTCAAATCTGTTGATGGTGTGAGTGTATCAATGTTTACAACTACAAAGTTTTCAAACTCTTCATTTTGAAACAATTTAGTATAACAATGTGAATCTGCAAAGATCACAACTTTTTGAACTTCTAACATCTTCTACTATCTTAGTATAAATATAAATAATCTCTATTTGTAATAAAAGGATAAGAGTATTAAAAGTAATTAATATCTGGATGAAATGCAAACTATTAAAAAAATGAGTCAGCCGAATTAGTTTTGTGGGAATACTCTAAACGATCAGCTTTTTTTTGATGAATTACCAAGTCTTGAATAATTGATATAGAGAGAGAGGTTTATTTATTTACAATTAATTGTGTAGAGGTGGTGTGGTGATGGTAGCACCTAAATTATCAAATTCAAGTATCATATGATTTGATTTAATATTGTGTTTTGAGAAATTGTCTTGGCACATGTTGGCAATGGTTTCATAATTGTCATAGGCGAGAAGGAGAACTGTCGGTCCTGACCCACTGAGACATATACCAAACAAACCATCAATGGCAGTTGACATTTGCAAGAGATCGGCTAGACCAGGTACCAACTTGCTTCGATAAGGTTGGTGTATCTTGTCCATCAATGAATGTGTTGTCACCTTTTGATAGTTTAAACGGTCTTGTTCTAGTTTTGGAATAGAATCATCACCAAAGGTTGATAATAGGTTGGTCAACAATGATATACGTTGTAGATTAAATATAACATCTGATTTGGAGAATGACGATGGTACAGCTGTTCTCGCTTCCATTGTCAATACTTGAAAATGAGGAATGACAACAACACCCTTTAATAAAGATCGATCTGGTAATGGTGTAGTTTTACATATAGTGTATCCCAGATCTGTAGAACAAACTATATTGAAACCACCAAATATAGCTGAGGATAGGTTATCTGCCGATGGTTCATACTTGATTGCCATTTGAAAGATGGTGTCTTTGGTCCATGTGGAAGAGTTATTGGTTAGTTGTTTAGCAATGTAAATAGCAGTGACAATGGTTGCAGCACTACTACCCATACCTCTACCAACAGGTATGTCATTATCAATATCCAACAACACCATCTTGTCACTTGGAATGATAGTTGATAGATCTTTAACATTAGCTTCCTCTTGAATGATTGAATAGAGTGTTGTTGTTAAAAAGTTCTTATCTACATCGGTAGGTATGACAGCATCTTGATTATACTCTTTACTACTATAATATTTTAATGTAAACCATTTTGATATCTCTCCTTCTCCTTCTCCTCCTCTTCCTCCTCTATCTATCAAAGTAACCTTTGTAGTAATATACAACTGTAATGCTAAAGATAATGTATCATATCCACAACCCAAATTAGCACTTGTTCCTGGTACCTTTACAGTGAATGGTTGAAATAACATTTGCCTATTCATCTTCTACCTCTAAAGATAATGTGTTTGGTTAAAATTTATGCACAAGCACACTTTACACTTTGTTTTTTTTGGAACTTTTTAAAAATTTAATGGATTATTAAATAAACCACAGAACCAATCGATGGGTTCAATTAATTAATTATTTATTAATTAACTTGTTTGTATTATTATAATTAGGTAGGTAGGTAGGTAGGTTTGTTGGATATATTAGAGGAGATTCTTCTAGAATGAATAACCACCTTGATCACCAAACATTTGAATAATCTTGGCATTGTTGGGATTAACTTGACCGAGCCAGTCTGGGTGGTCGTTCATGATCTGGTTCCATAGATTGGCACCAATCAAAGCATTAGCTTGTTGATTTGGATGAAACCCATCGATTGGTTCTGTGGTTTATTTAATAATCCATTAAATTTAAAGAGAAAGGGTAAAGAGTTAATTAATATTATTACTTGTAAAAATATATTTTTTTTTTTGCATACCAATTAATTGCCAAGTTTGACCACCGTTGGCGATCCATTCAGCATTGATGGCTGGGAATGGGAAGTCATAGTATTGAAGATCAAAGTTGTTGTAGGTGTTGTTGGCAATGATGCTTGGGTAGAGGGACGAGAGGAGGGCAGCACGTTCACTGGTTTGGTTACGGATGCTCTCGTCGGGGTTGAGCCATCCCCAACATGGGTTGACACCCAAACAGCTGAGGAACTCGTAGATGGTTTCGTAGGGGACGCCAACGGGATGGGTACGGTTCCAGAGGGTATCCCAGAGCACACGACCGTCGACAAGGCCGATAAAGACAACGTGCGAGCCATTGGGCAAGACAGTGTCGAGGTAGGTGAGGGTGGCCTCAATGTAGGCGACAAACTCGGATGGCGTGGTCATGTGATCGAGGTTATGACTTTGGCTGCAAACGTCGTTACCGATGAGCTCGACAAAGACGAGGGCTGGTTGATCGGTTTGTTGGTTACGCGATACTTCGCTGATGGTCTTGAGGATCGAGTCTGAGCTGCCGCCGTTGACTGCCAAATTTTGGAAGTCACGATGGTTGCACAGGTTACGTTCACGCATACGCATGTAGACAGAGTCGACTGGGATGGCTTCGGTCGATGGAACCCAACCAGTGTAGGCGGATCTGTGTGGCCAGTCAGCCTCGTCTTCAATGACGCTGAGAATGTCAGTGTAGGTGGTCTTGTTGATCAAGGCGGCGGTCATCCATTCGGGTGGGATAGAGAAATGTGCACCGGCACTATCACCAGCAACAATCACACCCAATTGGCCAGAGTTGGCACAAAGCATCTCTTCATAGGTTCCCGATGCATTGCTGCCCGAGATACCATTACAATTCCAATCGATTTGTGGTTCAGCATTATTACTAACAACACCTGGATAAATTTCATTACTAAAATCATTACAATCCATACCTCTCCAATTATATCCTCTAAATGTTGGTACAACTAAAATAAATAGAAAGTAAATTATTAATATATATTTCCAAAAATATATATATATATATAATATTCATTTCTTTGACATACTTGAAAACTTATCAGAATCAAGATCTTCTAATGGTAAATGATCATTATCCCAAAGAGCATAGATCTTTTTCAACCAAGCCCATGGATTGTCATTGACTCTCTTTGATCCAGACAAGATTGGATTTGGTTTGCCTGAAAATGGACCAGTATAGGTAGATGTACTATTATACAATCTACATTGTGATCCAGTACATACTTGTAATGATAAACAAACATCATCAGCCTAAAATAAAGTTAAATATAATTAATATTAATATTATTATACAACACATCACATGATTGATACAAACATTCTTATTTTCAGCAAACAAAGCAATGATTTGATTACCATAGGTATTAACCATATAGGTACAAAGTGAACCGACTTGACCTGGGAAATAACTGCAAATTTCGTCGAGTGTTTCTTCAATGCTCTTTTCATGGAGAACGCTCATTTGTTCTACCAATGATAAACCCTAGAGAGAAAAAGATAGAAATAAATAAACAATATTAATATCTTTGTGTAATATTATTATTATATTATCTGTTTGACTTACGATGGTACAACCTAAACAACTCCAACCACCATATTGACCTCCTTGAAGTCCAGTAGTAATATGTTCGTTGATCAAATCATCAAACTTGATCTTGTGTTGAGTATTTTTTTGATTGTTGATTTTGACGTCAACAGCATCGATAAATGTCGATGCGAGTAATGATAGTACAACTATGAATACAATTAAATTTTTCATCATTTTTTATAGTATATATATATGTGTGTGTTGATATCTCTTCTCTTCTATTTACGATGAAAAATAAATATAAAGAGTATTAATAAATAAATATCTCTATCTACAGATATATCTATCTAAAAAAAAAGTAGTAAGATTATTATTTGAATGTGGAGGGCGAGGCCGCAATCGTAAGATGTTTATCTAGAAAAAAAAAAAAAAAGAAAAGAAAAGAAAAATAGAGATAAGATAATTAATTGAAACTTGTTAATGAATATGATAATGATCGATGATTAATGAATGTGAAAGGTGTAGAGTAGAGCTAGCTAGGTAGGAAAGATAAGTCACAAAAATGTATATTTGCACGGCTTCCTTTGGGATATTTGATGATCCTTGGGCCACCTCAATGGCAATTGAAAGGAGAGGAGGGCTGTTGGGTGTTGTTGACATCAAAAAAGCAAGAGAGACGAAAAAGAAGAGGAAATTTGAGGTTGGAGGAGACCCTAGATATATGACCAGATTTTTGTTTTCATTGCCCTCGTTTCTTGATCTTTTGGGGAGCACCAAACTGACGATTTCTTTTGCAATGGGTCTGAAGAAGAATGTTCGACTTTTTTTCAATTTGTTTTTTTTAACGGAACCCCTTGGTTTATCCAAATATAATTACTGGTATTAGACACAGTAATTAACTTTGAGGAGAGAGTCTGACTTTTTACCAGATATCTCATCTCAATTGAAAATATGTATCTGGTGGGGTTTAAAAGAGAAATTAATTTCGTAAATGTCTATCCCCTTTGAATTCAATTTTTTAAAAAATACTGTACAAATAAAACCAAGACAACAAAGAGTACTTTATCTATGGTGTGATTCATTGTGATGTGATTCTGTTGATAAACAATAAATTAATTAATTTTTTGCCAATTATTTTTTCTACTCTTGTTGTGGTGTGCTCACAGTCAATCAAATCAATTCATATTATCTCAGTCTGAAAATCCAACTTTATAAATTATATAGTATTTAGAGTTTAGAGTATAATATGTCAACAATGTAACAAGAGCTTTTTTAACATGTCAACAGAAACTATCACTTTTACAAAAAAACGGGTACTCCCAAGATCAATCAACTCCAGCCAAAGATTCAGTGCTTGGCTACGCCTTTAGCAATATGGCTATTCATAACCCAACAAATTAGTTTAATAACCTTCAGATAAAAGTTGCATGGACTGTAATACGAAATTGAATTCTTGGATATCTTAGCGAAAGCTGGATCTTGGCAAACACTCATATTAAAAAAATATCCTCAATAGTATCCCGATGTTATATAGTACATATGCTATCTTGAAACCATTTATTATTAAAAATCAAGTGCTTGTTTTAACTTTTTAAATGATTGATAGTTTATAAGAAAAAAAAGTATAATCAAGTACTTGATTTTTAATTTAAATGTGTTTAATGGTCCAAGGCTTAATAAATACGTATGTTCATAGTAATAACAATAAGGTGGATAAATAGATAATAAAAAAAAAAAAAGTCTACACATTTAAATTCATTAATTTTCAATAGTTTATTTTTATTTATTTATTTATTTATTGTTTAGAAACTAACTAGCAATCAATAAAAAACAAGTAGTAGTTATCATGTTGATTTGTTTTAAAAATGGTTATAAATATATATATATATAGATGGTTGTTTTATAAAATTGATAAAGAGGAAGGAGGATGAGGAGAGTTTTACAAGGGTTGGGTTAGGGATCAATAATTAATTGATTGATTGATTGATTGATTGATTGATTGGATTATAGAGATGATTTAGATTTTGGGAAATTTGGAATATCACGAATATGATGTTTGTTCAAATATTGAAGTGTCTTTGTAGTTTTAAGATATTCTTGCATAAACTCTAGTGTTGGCAAATATTCGATAAAATATTTGTTAATGTAGAGTGATGTGATGGAATCACTACATGATACACCTTCAATGATTGGTTGATAAAACTCTTGGTTTCCTCCACCCATACACAATGTCTTTAGATTGGTATTACCTGTAAATGCCAATTCCATAGTATACTTTAAATCTGAAAGGTTGGTTTGTGGATCAGTCGAGAAATTCAACTCTACCAAATTGACTGGATTCGTTTCAACCATTTCAAATAATTTAACAAGTAATTCTAAAAATAGAAATTAAATATATAAATTAGTAATTGATTAATTGATTGATTGATTGATTGATTGATTGATTGATTGATTGATTTAAATTTTGTTTGTTTTTTTTACCTTTTCCAACTAAACCAATAAGTTCCAAAGATTTAAGAGATTTGTTATAATTTTCAACATTTGTTTTAAAAGAGTCGAAAAACTTTGGAGTGATATAAGAGACGTTGATAGAGAGTGTAGTGATGGTACGGTTGGCGAAAAAGACAGAGTCAAAGACGGTGGCAGAGATGCAACGAACATAAGTGTCATCACCTTTGGGATCAGCACCGAGATTGTTGATGGCCAGTTTCTTGATGGACTTGTTTTCGGCAATGTATCTGTGCAACTTTTGCATCGACTCTTTCATGGGCTCGTTCTCATCGGGTGCACACCAAGGGTGCTCTGAACGATGGTCAATAACGAGCTCGCGCAAGTGCGCTAGCTTTAACCATATACGTAGGATGGCAAAGTGTAGGACACCATGGTCACTACGGAACCGGATGCTCTGCAAGTTGTGACTGGCAGCCAGCGCATCTTGGATACTGTCCATACACGTTTGAGCACCTGTACTTCCATCGGCCAGTTTTCTAGCCTCAATGTCAAAGTGCAAGATGTTGTAGCTCATCGAGAGTATCGTGTCGGCCAACTCGCTAAAGCGTGTCTCGCGGTTCGTTTCAAAGTGGATAGTGTCAATGTTTTCCAGACATCTCCCTCGGAACACTCTGCCAACTTGTTTGGTCAGGATATTAGAGACATGGATTGACTTTAGTGGGTATGGGTCAACTGGCTTGGACCGTTTGCTCAAGTAGTATTTGGACAAACTGAATGCATTCAATGTCTCACCAATACACTTTTCCTTTTTAATTCTAGCTGCCATCTCTTCTTCATCTTCTTCATTGTCAGAGTCATCTTGAATATCTTTATGTAATTCCGAGTTGACTTCATCATCGTCTTGTACCTCATAATAGTACTCGTCGTCACTGTCACTATCTTCTTCTTCTTCTTCATCTTCATAGTCATCCTCTTCATCTGACGAATCACCTTCATCGTCTGAACCAAGCTCTACGAGTGACAAAAACTTGGTCTTGGTGTCGACCTCGTTGTGGGGAAGGAATGCCCTGAGATCTACCGACTCGATACGCTTGACCAGTTGACAACGCATGTTTTCAGCAGCTTCACCTCCAATGGCACGTCTGACATATGGCAGTGGGATGGCAGGTGTATAGTCGAGATGAGTGATGGTACTCGACACTGTGTTGAACCATTGGCGACTGACCAATGCCAAACTCCACATAAACGAATGGTACGCCACAAATCTACCTCCACGCCCCCTTCTATTATTAGTGTCTTGAAGCAACATTAACAATATCTTGTCTTCCAAATCCCTTGGTAAAGTACCTTGATGTATTTGATTTGGATCGATTGGTAACAAGTAGTTAGCTGCTTGAGTAGTCTGTTGTTGTTGATGATTATCAGCAATGACTAAATGCTCCAATTTCTTTCTAACATCTTCATCACCACGTGGTTTCAAAGGTGTTGCAGTCTTTGTAATGACTGACATTATCTTTGATGGTGTCTTTTCATGTTTCTTTTGTCTCTTTATATTCTTTGTTGTTGATGATTCATCATCTGATAATTCTCCCTCTCCTTTTTCAGATTCCTCTGATTCTTCCACTTGTTGTTGATGTTCCATCTTTTGAGGTGTTTGTACAATTTCTTTTTGGGAAATATTTTCCACGACCACTACCTCTTGTTGAATATCCAATTCCTCTTCAGTTGTTTCACTATCATCCTCTTCTTCTTCATCACCAATTTGAAGTTGACTAATGTTGGTTGGCAATTCATCACTTTCGTCAAAGATGACTACTTTTGGTTGGACTTGTTCAGACTCTGACTCTGATTCAGGGTCTGATCCAATAGACACTGATCCAGATGCAGATGCTGATTCAGATTCAGTATCTGATTGTTGTGATTCAGACTCTGATTCTGATTCTGATTCATCTTCTTGATCATCCTTGTCAATTCCAAGTTGTTTACAAATATGTTCAACCATGAGTGCTTTTCTTGGTGGTATCTTTGTGCTTGGGACACCTTTGTAATACTTGGCTTTGAGAGTAATCACAGTCATATTTTCCAACATTTCTCTTGTCACTTTTGGTTCTTCTTCCTCCTCTTTCTTTTCCTCCTCTTCCTCTTCATCTGATGTTGGTGGTGTTGTCTCCTTTTTGGTTGGTTGTTTCTTGGTGATGGTTGTTTTAGATGTAGTTGTTGGAACTTGTTTCTTTTTTGGTTTCTCCTCTTCTTCTTCCTCGTCTGATGAATCTGATTGTGGTTGAGGTTGTTGTTGCTTTTTAACCAATGGTCTTTTCTTTGCAGTTGCTGATTTTGGTAATATTGTCACTCTCTTTCTTTGAATTGGTTTGTCGTCGTCTTCTTCAGATGATGATGTGCCATCATCATCATCATTCTTTGATTTGTTTTGTTTTTCCTCATCACTATCACTATCACTATCACTAGTATCCACATTGATGACCACAGGAGCAGGTTTCTTCTTTTGAATGATTTTCTTTGATTTAACAAGTCCATGTTTCTCGATGATGTTGATGAGCATAGCCTTTGACTTTGGCATTTTCAACTTTGCAAACTCTTTAGCTGACATCTTGTCTTGGATGATCGCCTTTAGTTGAAACATCTTTAGCTTTGATAAATATTCCAGTGTTGTTGGAACCTCCATCTTGTTGTTCTTGTTTATTTATCTTTTTTAAATCTTGATATTTTAATAATCGATCAATATTTTCTTATTCTTTTATTATTATTATTATAGTATTATATATCTATTGATTGTTGTGTTGTATTGTGTTGTTGTAATGTATAGTGCGAATAAACTTTCAAGATTGATATTGACCATCAATATTGAATGATTCATGTTTGTTTTTTTTAAATTTTGGCGCCAATTTATGATTATGTGTTTCGCTTAATTGTTTTTTGAAGTACGATCATAAACCAAGTTTAAATAATTATTTTTAATAATAATAAAAATAAAAAATAATAAGAGGATGTTGGTGTTCTTGAACATCTTGAGAAAGAAAATAATCATTATTTATTTTATTTTTAAATATCTCATGATCATTAGATTTAATGTATGTCAAGGAATTCTCAGAAATGAGCAATATTTAATTTATTTTTTATTTTGTTTGGGTCAGATGTCTTTGTTCATTCATTGCACACACAGAAGATGGATAATAATAATAATAATAATATAACAGATGATGGCGGAGGTGCAAACATAGTCTACAACGATGATCATTTAATTGATAAAGAGATTGATGAAATAGCATCATTTAATAATAATAATAATAATAATAATGGTCAGTTGGGAACGACTACGATGGTCATATCACAACCACTCGCTACGACTACAAATACTCAAATGACAACGACACAAGCACCAACTTCACAACCAGTAAACAATCTTAGTCGAATACCACTTCAAAAGAGTTTGGTAAAGAGACCTGATATCAACATCATCACATCTGAACTAATCCTTTTAAAACATTATCCATCACCTGCATCTTGTCTGTTTGTTAGAAATATGACTCAAAATGTAACAAAAGATGATCTATATTTAATATATTCTCCATTGGGTTACTTGTGTGATGTCTATAAGTTTGATGATTGTAAGTCACTGTGATATCACTTCTCTCTCTAATCGACTCTATTTATCTAATCCTTTTTTATTTATGTTTAGATGCAATTATTAGATACTTTTCAGTGATTGATGCACAAAGAGCCTATTTAGAAACATATGGTAAACTTATCGATGGATACCCTCTTCGTGTATCATTCTCTTCACCAAAGTCGACAAGGGAACCAAAACCATTGACACATGATTTGGCAGTTGGATTACTGAATCATTTTATTGGATTCAATGGATGGAGTTCAAAGATTGACGCCTCTGAAGTTGTATCGTGGGATGAACACGTTGGTGAGGAGAGTGCCAAATACTTTTCATGTCAAGTAAACTCTCAGGTTACCATCACCTCAAGAGATGGGATGCAGTCCAAGTCGGGTATAGCGGGTGGTTTCTGTGAGTATTCAGAATGTCAACTCGAGGCTCTAGGCAATGCAAAGAAATACAGTATTTCAAATGCAAGAAAAGAGGTGTTTAAAACAATGGCCATCGTCATTGTAGACAATATCCGTTTGATTCATTTCCTTGATCAACCAACTGATGAACAAGTTGATAATAATCTTCCTATTGCTACTCAACAAACTCAACAACCACAAATATTGCAACCAAATTAGGTGGATATATAGTAGTAGTAAATAAATAATGTAAATAATGATTTGTTAAAATATACAATACGGCCACACAAATGGCAGTATTAAAAAGGTTTAAATATATTTATTATATGTTATGTACAGTTGAGAAGGGCAATTCCTAAGAGGTGGACCCCAATCGGTTAAATGAACAGGCGGCTTGAATAGCAGATCGATGCTATCAATATTAGTGAATTGGATCGGAGAAACTATTCTTTAGTTTCAAGGCTTGGACCTTGGGGATCTTTGCGGTCTTTGGTACGGAGACTGAGTGTCGGACGTACTCGTTTGTCGCGAGGTTGGCGTGGTTTGAACTTCTTGGGGCTACCCTCTGGACGAAACTTGTTGGGGCTACCCTCTTCTGGACGAGATATATTGCAGCCAGTGAGATAGTCCTTAATCGAATCGAGCTCGGATTTAAACTTACAGCCTTCAAGGTTTTGGATCCACTCCAACCATTGAATGGTGTCCTCACGGTGGCTATGGAAATGTGAGTTGTAATTCTTGAGATAAAAATCCATTGGGTACTTCAATGCCAATATGAGTTCTTTTGACTGGCATTGAGGAGGAATAATAAGGACCAGCATTTTGACCAACTCAAGAATCTGGTCTTGGGTTGGTGTTGTCGAGAGCATGATTTCTTTCATGCGAACAACATATAACAATAATGTTTCGTGGTCCCCTAGATCTCCTAGGCGAAAATCTTGAAGAAAATTCAAAATACGCTCTATGTTGATTGGTGTCTTCATGGTGTTGACTACAGTGATGATGGATTGGTACCTGATGGTACAGATGATTGAACTGCTTTGTGTGTGATGAGTATTATTAATTATAATTATTATTATTATGATTATGATAAATCTACTGCCTATTAGGTTGCAGTGATGTATGAGGAAGAAAAAGAGTAAGGAGACTAGACAAAGAAAGAAAAAGAAAGAAAGAAAGAAAGAAAGAAAGAGACCTTTAAGTTAGTGATTGATTGAAACTTAGCTAATAACTCCTCTCTTGTTGTTCTATTTGCTAACTCATACCTTTTATCTATTCGTAATTCGAATCTTTAAACGATGTTGTGTGTGGTGTGTGTGTGTGTGTTTAATATAAGTGTTTAATATAAGTGTAGTGCGGTGAGAATATTATTATTAAATTTTTTTAATGTCAAGTTTCATCATTTTTGCGAACTTCACTCTGTCCAGTGTGTCTATACCACCACACACCGACAGAATAATATTTTTGGAACAACAACACCTGTCCAACAAGATATGATAAACTTTGCACTGATCCTGCCTCATCTGTTAAACTCAACCTTGGAACTAACATAACCTGTTGAGTTAACTATATACTCTACTGTGTTGTTGCTATGCACAGCAAAAAATCTGAGCTATCCTGGCTCCCACATTTTTGCTTAGTCTGATGCTATTGCTGAGTCTAAAAATTATTTGGTTGTAGAACTGCTGATGCTGTGTGCGGAAAATGGGCTCCATCTTTTTTGATGCAAGACCTCAGACCCAAAATTTTAATTCATGAAAATTAATAAAAAAAAATAAAAAAAAATCAGCAGAACGGATTACATTTGTGACCCAGAATCGGGAAATGGTGGTAGAAGATCTTTGGAGATTCGCGCAACTTTACTCTGTTCAAAGAAACCAAAGTATCCCTCTTTGGTCATTATTTATTATTTGTCAACTGAGTTGAAAAGCTTTTTAATCTCTTCATAGGCCAATAAAGTAATAGATGAATTTGGAATAACACGAAGAGTATTTGGTATGACACCACGATAGAAACCAATCACACCCTCTGCCTTTAGAATCTTTTTGGCTACATCCCAAGTACCATTGTAAGTGACTCCCTTTTCCTTGGTTGCTATATTTCTTTCATCTTGAAGTCTAGTCTTGATCACTTGGAATGGATACAAAATAGTGCTAGCTAAAAACTTTGATATACTTCCTGCTATAAATATTTCTGTTGATGTCTAGAATATTAAAATATTAATGAAATGAATATATATTAATATTTATGGATCAATACAAAATAATATATATATAAATATATATAGTTTAACTACATACCAAATTATTAATAGGTTTATCAGATAATCTTGCAAAGTATAATTTAATTTCATCGTAACAAGACATTTGAATGCCACCATGAAAAGTCAACCAAAGTGCTGGTACTACACCTTTGTACAGTCCAAAGAATCCTTCGTATTGGACAGTCTTTCGAACACCATCAAAGAAACTGGTATAGTATCGGTCACTACCCGGTACTTGTAATTGCATTCTAGTCTTTATCATAAATATTGGATTGGTGATGAATACTTGTGTTACACCGGCTGCTACACCGGCCACAAAGTTTATGTGAAATTGTGATGATAATGTCGACGACGACTGAGACTGACTACTAATATTTAAAAGGTTGCTATCTTTTAAACCAGTTTTAAATCTTTCATAAAATTGCATATATAGACCCCATGCCAAACCATTGGCAACAATAGTCGGTCCGATACCTCTCCAAAATTGACCAACTCCTTCATTTTTAACAATCGATACAAATGTATTAAAGAATCCACCACCATTACTATGAGAGGGAGTTATCACAGTTGTAGCACCCTTGGTTTGTACTCCAAATCCACTACCTTGTAATCTAACTTTAATCAAATCCAATGGTTGTAGTACAAGTATAGCAACTGATGATCCCAATGATGCTGATAATCCATCAACCCCTAAACAACAAACAAACAAACAAACAAATGTTAGCAAATATATAGATATAATTGTTCATTTCATTCACTTACATGGTCGTTGATTTCTTGTTGGTTCCATTTCTCTCTATCTCTTTCCTTTTTAGTTGATGACTATCTTGTGGTTGTAATTTGTGTCTATAATATTAATGATAGATAAGAGTCGATTGTAGTTGTAGTTGTTGTTAAAGTGATCACCTCTCTACCTCTTCAACTACTAACTCATCTCGCTTCTTTCAAATGATGAATGTATAATATAAATAATTAAAATGAATGGTTGCCGAATCAATGATTGATTGAATGAACATGCCGACGATTCACTCAACATTCTTTCTATTCCGTATGATTTTTTTTAAGAGAGAGGTGTGAAAACTCATCATTAGTCGTCAACGACTTTACTTTAATTTCATTGTTTGTTTACATTCATAATATTTATATTTATAGAAAGAGATATAGAAAGATGGCAACACCATTCATTGTAGGACTTGCAGTTGCAGGCGCTGCCTATGCTACTAGATCAACATTAAGATTGGTCACAAAGTTGAGACAAAACCCAGGTACATTGTTCTCGATCAACCTCGAGGACAAGACTACCGATAGTGCTATCGGTGAAGGTTTCCAACCAAAGATGGATAGACAAGAAGCTTTTGCTGTACTAGGTTTACCGTATGTAGAGGGAGAGACAGAGAGAAACGAACAAATGAAAGATATCTTGACAAGTACTAACTAATAGTTATTATATATATTGCGACACATTACATTAGAGATGGAGCAGACGATAAATTAATTAAAGATCAACATAAAAAGATGATGATTAAGAACCATCCAGATAAGGGTGGATCATCTTATTTGGCAACTAAAGTAAACGAAGCTAGAAATCTTTTATTGAATAGAGACGAAAGAAGATAAACAAACCAACAACACTATATACACGATCAAGATAATAATAATAATAATAACAATAATAATGTACATATACCTCAAATATGACCTTTTCTTTTCCCAAACAAACAAACAAAACATACAACAAACCTACCAACACAACCTTATTCCAAAAAGTCAAAAGAACGAATATAATATATAACAACGACGACGACAAAGAATGATAGATAGATCAAGACTAATGAATAAAACAAAGAATAGTGGTGGTAATGCAATCGCAATCATCATATCTTACCCCTACAAAAGAATCAAATCATGGATAACAACATAACAACAAGTAGAGTTGCTTTGGATTGGTAATATTATATTGAAATGTGCATATAAAGAAAGTAATCTCTTTACTTTTTTGTTTTGTATTTATAAATGATGATGTTGGAAAGGTTGATTCATTCATTCATTACAACCTCTAGTATTAATGATATTACTCTAGTATACTATATCCAAGTTGAACCAAACGGATATTTAATGCCAATATAATCGACCGATCGATTTCCAATTATAGAATTGGATTATAGATTATTTAGACTATTATTATATTATATTATGTTATTATTCGATTTATCCACCATGAAGAGTTGAAATAAAAGATAAAGTGTCACCATCTTCAACAATATATTCGATACCTCCATCTAATTCCCAATCTGCATCATTAATTAAAACAAGAATACCTGGACGACTGAAATATAATAATAATAATAATAATTAATAATGCTTCTATATTCTAAACTATCGTAGGTGACATACACAGTACTATCTTCAACAAACAATTCAGGTCTTTCTTGAATTTGAGTATCTCTCATCCAAACTACCAATTCACGTAATGGCATAGTATCTCTATCTTTAAATTCGTATGTATGATTCTTTTGATTCTTGAACAATATTTCAAGACCTCCACTATATCATATCAATTGATATTAACTTTACTAATTAGTCCTAATATTCATCGAACATCCATCACTACTGTCTTATAAATGATATCAATAATCAACCTACGTCATTTCAATTTTAACCTTCATTTTCTATGTTATTCTATAGACTACTAGTACTCTATACTATATATCAACAAGTTTGAGAAAAAGATAATAACTATATATATTAGTAGTGGTATGATCGTCTACGTTATTCGGTGCAGAGCTGAGTGCTATGCAGCGGGCGAATATTTTCAAAAGTAAAAATCAATTTGTGTTTTTTTTTCAATTTTGCACCTTGCCGAGGCAGCACTCTGCGTGTGGGAAGCGTTCTCTGTCGCCTTTCCTCTGCTCAAGAAACTAAAACAAAACTAGTTATCGTTTACGATCCTAATTTCTTGACAGTCCCTCAAAAATGAAGAGAAACCCAAGTATGTATCTCTATCATCCATTATAGACAGACAGGTTGATAATGCGATGTGCTAACAACAACATCTATCATCTACCTTTACTACTACTACTTTACAGACGTTACTTCCTCCATCAGAAAGCAAAGAAAGGCTCACTTCACCGCCCCATCTGGTGAAAGACGTATCAGAATGAGCGCTCCTTTGTCCAAGGACCTCCGTGCCAAGTACTCTGTATGTGCAGATGATTAGAAACAAAACAGGATTCTAGATAGCATTATTTATCATTCACTTCACTAACCACTCATATCACCCTTATACCAACTATTGTACTATTTCTTTCTTCTTACTACTATTAGGTTCGTTCCCTTCCACTCAGAAAGGACGACGAAGTCAAGGTTGTCGTTGGTGATCACAAGGATCACGAAGGTAAGATTGTTGCCTGTTACAGAAAGAGATACGTCATCCACATCGACAAGTTAGATGTCACCCGTGCCAACGGTAACACCGCTCCAATTGGTATCAACGCCTCCAACGTTGTCATCACCAAGTTGAAGTTGGACAAGGACAGAAAGGCTTTGTTAGCCCGTAAGGCCCCAAAGAGTGCTAACAAGGGTAAGGTCGAAAAGTCCGAAGTCAGTGCTGATGTCAACTAAACGATAGTAAATCATTTGGAATAAATCAAAATTGGCTGTTAAATATATAAAGCACACACAAGTTGGTTGTTTTGTTTTGTACTTTTTGGATCGAATATTTAAAAGTAGAGTACAAATCAATCCGTCCATCCATCATTCTCCTCTCTCTATACATAATTTATTTTCACCACAGTAGTTTCTGTCCATCATATGATCATTGATCTATCTATCATGAACTATCATATAATTATATGATCCAACAAATTAAGGAAAGGAATATTATTATTTTTAAAATAGAATGAGTTTATTTATAGTTTGATATTTATTATTTATTATTTATTTATTTATTTGTTTGCTTGTTTGTTTGGGTATAAATATATTATTTATTATATATTTTATTTATTTATTATATATTAATCATATTCATCAGATGATGATGATAATGGTAATTGTTCACCATCATCAATAGTTTCATTTGAAGATGAATAGATGACAGTTGTGGAAATGGTATTGTCCATGGCAAATACATCGGATAGGGACCCAGTTCCATCATTTTGTTGTGTGTGTATGACAATCCTGTTGTGTACATCCAACATATTGTCGATAAATGCCGTTGTGAAGTCTAGCATTTGTTGGGGTTCAAGAAAGTTTGCTACAAAGTCATCTTCATCGCCGGGTGGAGGAATCCTCAAGAACCTAGTACCAACACGATAGGCAAGAAGATTAATTCTTTCCAATTCACTGGACACACCACTAGATGAGACTTCTAGAAAACCACGTTTCTCCAAATACCTTGTTATTTTCACAGAGAATGCAAACATTAGAAACTTATAAATAGGCCAATGTGGTGATGTCGATCTAAATCAAAAATGTAAATGAAATGCAGAAATGTGTTTGTTAGTCAGTCAGTTTCCACAAGATAAATATACGATATACATACGTTGGAAGTAGTTCATGTGATGTTGTTTGTTTGGTTGTGTTGGTGTGTTTTTGAATATAATCGATCAAATCGAATAATGACCTTTGAATGCCTTCAAAGCTACGCTCAGAGTCAAAAGATGATGACATTACATAATAATATCTATTATTCTAATTATTATTATTATTCTAATTATTATTGTTGTTGATCTTGTTATTAATAATAAGACTATGATTGGTGTATGTGTCAAACAATGAAAGATCGAGCAACACAATGATTCCCTCCTTTTTTTTGAAAATTCAAAAATAAATTGTATCCTCAACACAAACAATATTGTGAACTGAGATAATTACAGTTTCTATCTTGTATTACCTAGAAATCAAGCACAGACAACGTAGATAGATCATTGTACAACGACATATATCTCTCTTTCACACCAAACAAGTGATGTAATCGATTACATCAAATAGATATACTTTTATATTTATATTTATATTTAATAATATTTATTATTGACAAGCAAGATGTTGTCACTTCACTATGACGAAGATGATGATGATAATAATAATGATGATTATGGCGGTGCGACAATTAACGATGATATAAATCAAAGATTGACTTCAAGGATACCTGTACAAGCACCTATTCAACTTTCATTAGAATATGATGATGACGATGATGATGACAATGACAATGACAAAATAGTATTCAGATACCAAACAACAAGTAACACTCCAATTAAAACTCCACCACCACCATCATCATCACCATTCACTCCATCAAAAACAATTAATAATAATAATAATAATAATCATAATATAGTCAATTCCAATTCTAATTCCAAACCAAATAATAATAATGATAATGTTTTTAAAATGCCAATTGGTCCACCAACAAAAAAACCACAACAACAACAAGTTATAACTACAAAGACTAATGGTAATGGCATTGGAAATGGTAGCCGTGGGAAAAGGGATCCAGGATTAAAATTTAATGAAGAGAATTTATCAAAATTGGATGCTAAAATATTTGATGATGATGACGATGATGATTCATACTTGGTTGCAGCAGCAGCTGCTTCCACAACTACTTCTACTACCTCTACAACAACAACAACAGATCAACAACAAACCAACAATACAACAACAGATCAACAACCAGTAAATAATTATGATTATCAAAAAACAGTACCATTTTCAATATTTTGTGAATTGTTGGAAAGAGTTTCAAAGGATTCAAAACACACTGATAAAAAGAAACATTTATCTAAATTCTTTTCAAATTACAAAGATAATAATTTCTTTCCTTTATTAAGATTATTTTTACCTCATGTATGTAATATAATACTCATATATATATACAATGTATTTAAATATATTAAAGAAAAGATTTAGACTAATTATTATTATGTTTGTTTATAAAGTTGGATAAAGAAAGACAAACATATGGATTAAAAGAAAAAACATTGGCAAAATTTTATGTTGAAATATTGGGTATTAGTCCAACTAGTTTAGATGCAACTAGATTAGTTAATTGGAAGAAATCAACAAATGATGTATGTTATATAATACAAATAATAATATTAATTAATTTGATTAATTTGATTAATTAATTTTGTTTTTTTTAAATTTTAGGAAATTGGAGGAGATTTTGGTATGTCTGTTTATTTATCACTTAGAAATAGATGTATTCAAAAGGGTAGATTGTCAATGGGTGATGTTAATATATCATTGGATCATTTGAACAAATCAATGGATCGAAAGGAAAAGTTGAGAGTTTTGAAAAGGGTGTTGCGTTATACCACCTGTTTGGAACAAAAGTGGTTTGTTCGAATTATACTCAAAGAGATGAAGATGGGATTGTCTGAAAAGACAGTACTCAACTTTTTCCACAGTGATGCTATGGCCATGTTTAATGTCAGTTGTAACCTGAGAAAGGTGTGTGAAGATCTGAGTGACGCCCGTCGTCTCTATGGTAGTGGAAATACTGGCGGGTTTGTAACGGATCCTTCCAAGATAACACTTTTCCAACCGATTAAACCAATGCTAGCGGATCGTAAACCGATGGACAGTGTCATGAAAGTGCTGGGAGACCACCCGTTCATGGTCGAGACCAAGTATGACGGTGAGCGAATACAACTGCATCGCGACGGCGACAATATTCGTATCTTTTCGAGAAACTCAAATGACTGCACATACATTTATGGCAAGCATCTGACCCCGTTGGTCATGGAGTGTATGACTGTCGAAAAGTGTATAATTGACGGCGAGCTGCTCGTGTGGGACAGCATCTCACAGCGGTTCGAGGAGTTTGGCAAGCTCAAAACACTCGCACTTGGAGGGACGGGTATCAGCACCGACACGCTAGGCGACAACTATGGCAAGCAGCTGTGCTACGTCGTCTTTGACATTATGTTTGTCAATGACAAGAGCGTGATGGATCTGCCGCTGTCGCAACGCTATTCACTGCTCAAACGCTGTGTCAAGGTCAAACCACGTCAGTTTGAGTTGTCCGAGCCCAAGGTGTGCTCGACGATGACCGAGATCATCACACATCTCGACACGGCCATTCTAAACCGCGAGGAGGGGATCATGGTCAAGGTGCAAGACTCCTCGTACATCCCGGGTGAAAGAAAGGACAAATGGATCAAGATCAAGCCCGAGTATCTGGATGGCGTTGGAGATGACCTCGACTTGGTCATTATCGGCGGGTACTATGGCAGCGGGGTTGGTCGACGCGGTGGCACAGTCTCGCACTTTATGTTGGGTGTCCAAGTCAAAGATCCCGACTTGCAACTATCCAACTCGAGTAGTGACACCCCACTATTTTATTCTTTTTGCAAGGTTGGCAGTGGGTACTCGGACGAGGAACTCAAGAAGCTGCAAAAGGCACTGGAGCCACACTGGATGCCGTATCGGACGTCGTCGCCGCCATCGCACATTCTGCTGGCCGAGCCGCACCGCGAAAAGCCCGATCTCTGGATCGACCCGCGTGTCTCTAAAGTGCTGCAAATCAAAGCGGCTCAAATCCTGCCAACTGAAAAGTACCGCACTGGCTACACACTCCGGTTCCCGCGTGTCATCAAGATTCGCGATGACAAGCCGTGGGACGAGTGCTTGGATTTCGGCGCCATGCTCAGTCTTGCGACCGAGTTTGAGGGTCGTTATGCCAAGCGCAAGTATACTATGGGCGACGACGGGGACGGCGATGGAGGTGGAGGTGGAGGGGGACGCAAGACCAAACGCAAAAAAAAGACAAATCCTGACGGCACCCCCATCGCAAGTACCGCCAAAGGCAAGAAAAAGACGACTCTCTTGTCCATCTTTCAAGACACTGATACTAGCCATATACTACCATCCAACAATATATTTATGGGTGTTGAGTTTTGTGTCATTAATGGGGATTCCCGAACATCGCTAGTTGCAAGCAAAGCAAGACTCGAAACACTGATCGTCGAGAATGGCGGTACTAAAGTGCAATACCCGTCACCTGCCACCACCAAATACGTCGTGTCGTCACGCGAGGTTGTTAAAATCCAAAACCTTATACACGACGGTCACTTTGACATTGTACATTACCAATGGCTGTTGGACTGCATTCAAGAGGGGAAAGTGCTTCCTCTTTCACCAAAGTATATGATTTATACAACCAACAAGACCAAACAACTATTGTTACAAGATATCGATCGATTTGGAGACTCCTTTACACAAGATACAACAGTCGATGAGTTACTAGACTCTTTTAATCAAATTACAAAACAAAAGGTTCAAACATCTTCCAACGTACCATTTATCATTCCTTCAAATTTGGAAATTAAATCATCAAAACAAATTCAACAAATTGAATCAAAGTATATGACAACAAAAGAAGATGGAGAAGATGGAGAGGATAGAGTAGAAGACTTCAAACCAAATAGTAATTGGTGGTCTTTATTTAGAGGTATAACTATTTATTTAGATAGATATAATGTTATTGGGTATGTAAATCATTAAATATATATTTCGAAAAACAAAAAGCATAATTAATTAATTAATTTAATTTAATTTTATTCCAACTTAAAAAAAAAGAGAGGAAAGTACAATCACAGAAAGTAATACAATGGAATTGGTTAGTCATTTATTAACATTTTATGGTGGAGTCGTTACAAGTCAATTTGATGATAATTTGGATTATGTTGTTGTCGATTCCTCTGATTCTACCAGATTGCAATTCATCAATACAAAAATTAAAAGGTAAATATTAATTATTAAATGTTCAATGAAACATGATGATGACATGACTAACGTTAGTCCTCTCCTTTAAAGATTAAAATCAGAGAATGAAAAGACTGTTGAAATAGTTTCAGTGAAATGGATTAAACAATGTATAGTTGAAAAAATGATACTTTCTCATGATACTTTATTATCAGAATAATAAATTTAAAAGGGCCCACATGATGTTAGAGGTTAAGTTATCATCACTCAAAATGGAAGAGGGCCCCATTGAATAATTCCAAAATATATATATATGAAAATGTACATAGTAGTTAACTGCTGACTTGTCAAGTAGTCACCACCATGGTTTGTTATATATTATTATTATTATTGAAAAAAAACTGGAACTAATATATTTTTTTTTTTTCAACAACTGAAGTTTCCAAAAATGGAAAAAAAACAAAAAATAATAGTTTTTCAAATCTATTAGAAACAACATTTTGTTTAGTTGGAAAGATCTTTCAGTTAGAGTTGTATAGAGGTCATGGGATGAAGGTGCTTGGATCGGTTACCATCCTTTTTTATACTCTCGACCATTGAAAACACCTTTTTGAATTTAATTGGTTGCCATCTTGTTGGTGAAGTGGGGGAGAGAGGAGAGAACAAACCATTAGTTTTTTGAATTTCAACAACTAAACGAAACTAAAGCAGTTTTAATTTTAATTTAATTAAATCTTACATAACCGTTGATTGAGGCCGTATCTAATACAAGGCCTTCAAAAAGACTCGAGTCAATTTATATATTCATCATCAACAAAACAACAAATAATCTCTTTATATTTTTCAACAAATTTTATTTATAACAACAAATTTGTACCACCAATAATTTAATTTTTATTATTATTACATTCACAGCACAACCCAATCTTTTATGTTTAGTTCGTAGCAACAATATTAATAATAATAATTAATTAACAATCGATTTATCATTAACAAAAAAACAAACAAAAAACAATGATAAACATTAAATATTCAAAATTACTGTCACTAGTAATTTTGGTATCATCTATTATTTCATATACTTCAGCTGCAAGTAAGTAGTAATATAATAACTATAATTATAACTCATTTCCAAACAAACAAAGATATCCTAACAAATAAATATTTTTTATTTTTAATTTTTTTTTTAAGGTTCAATTATTGTAGTTTGGAATTCAGGAAGAGTACCACAAGTTGTCCAAGCTCAAGTAGGAGATACTATTCATTTCTACACTTATGATGGCAAGTCACACACTGTTGAGAGTGCTGATGGATCCATCAAGTCACCAACCATCTCTGGTAGTGTTGATAGTCCGGGCGTCTACTCGATCACCCTTGACAAGGTCACTACCCTTCAAGTGGCTAGTGCCGGTGAAGACCTCAGCGCATCTATTCAGGTCGCTGGTCAAACCGACCCACCATCGAGTGTAACATCTGGATCCAGTACCTCTACTTCATCCAGTACCACCTCAACTGCCTCCTCTACTTCCACGTCCTCTAGCACCTCAACAACAAATATTTCCAGTGGCTCTTCCACGAGTGCCGGGAGTTCAGAACCTACTACTGGCGCTAGTTCTGCATCCACTTCTACTTCTGGCACTTCGTCAGTAAGTACTGGATCATCAACCACTGGTGGTAGCAGTTCATCTACATCGACCTCCACCTCGACTACTACTGGTGGAACTGGATCGTCTGAAGAAACTACCACTACCACCACTGGCTCATCGTCATCAACCACTGGTTCTTCATCAAGTGAAGATGATGACTGTATCCCATCCACCACCACCTCTGACTCGTCCACATCAACTGGTGGATCATCTACATCTACCTCTGGTTCAACTTCAACATCTGGATCAACTTCCTCTTCATCATCATCAACATCAACTGGTGGAACAGGAGGAGGAGACAATTGTGCAGTCAAGACAACCCAAACACTTTCCAACTCTTGGAAGGCTGATGGAGTCAATCACTACCAATACGTTGTGTCTGTTTTGAACCAAGCTGATTTGCCATTGACCGATACCTTGCACATTATCATTGCCAACCCAGACAAGTTACTCAACACTTGGGAGATTACCAAGATGCAAGATGGAGTATACACATTGCCATCATGGCGTGGAGTGTCACCCGTCCTCAAGGGTGAGTCCCACAACTTTGGATACATTACCACTTCACCCACTGCCAATACCATTTCAATCGATGGTTGTGCCACTGTCCCCGAATCATCGTCTGGCAGCTCTGCAGGTGGAACTTCTGGTGCCTCCAACATTGAAGGATCCTCTGGTTCCGCCGGTGGATGCCATGCTACCCTTTCACAAGCCATTGTCAACTCATGGACCAATGATGGTAAGAACTATGTCCAAGTACAAGCCACCGTTGAAAATACTGGTACCAAGGACCTCAAGAACTTCAAGGCCACGCTTCCATCTGACCAACTCTCCCAAATCTGGCAAATGGACAAGGATGGCACAGACCAATACCAATTACCATCCTACCAAGACAAGATCGCTCCCGGTCAATCCTATGGATTCGGTTACATTGCTCTCTCTAGCACCAACACTGCTCTTGAAGCATCCAATGTTGTTTATTCTTGTTAACAATAGAAACACACACAACACAAACCCAAACAACAATATATGTATAAAGAATCCAAATCCCGGGAAATTGGTCAAACTTAATTGACAACTTGACAAGTTCTAAATAATAAATACAAACTCAACCTTTAAAAATATTTTTGTCTTCACATTCTATCGATAATGATATTTATTTATTTAAAATGTATTGTTGTTTCATTCACAAATGAGCGACTCATACTGATGGCGGTAAATACAATCAAGATAGTATTCCTTTGGATGGACCACTATTTAAAATTAAACTGCGTGGTACTTGAAGGGTGCTGAATATGAGAATTGTATTAGAACATACAAATACAAAGTATAAATTGGATATGAAGATTTTAGAACTCAAATAGAATGATCATACCCAAAACCTAAAAATAAAGCCAAACCCAATTAGTATTAAACAAGCACTCGATCCTATTTCTTTTTTTCCTTTTATTGACCCTTTGTTCCAAGAGAAGTGATCAAAACTCAAACCCTTTAGTTTGACTTTAGTATCAGAATCCTATAAAAAAAAGGCTATTTGGGATTGGGTAACTATAAAATGAATATGAATATGGCTCGTTTTCTCGATGATGGCGATTAGTAATATAAGATGTTTTTAACCTCATATAGAACTAAATATAAATTCTTTCCAACGAGGCTATCTATTTACCATGGGAGGATTGGTGATAACTTTGGTGATGACACCAACAATACAGTATCTGTCAGTGTCTCAACATCAAATATTCCATGTAATATTAGTTTTGCAACATCAACTCAAATTATTTGCCAACTCCCAACATCTCTTGTTAGAGAGACCAAACTCCTTCCGATTTCAATTTCAGTTGACCAAGTTTATACTCAAACCTATAAACCTCATATTTGTATGTATTTATAATAATTAATTAAATAATAATACTCTTTATAGATTCAATTCTAATGCAATACTCTTTTTCAATAGTCTGTGAAGATAGATTCTTTTCAACCATTCTATTTGGTGGAGATTATGAAGGAGTCAATCGATTAATGATTGATAAAGTAACAATGGGTGTAACATTCAATGCTCCATACATTGGTTCCTTTGATTCACAAGAAATGTATCAATGTTTTAATCGATCATTGGATTTAATTGGATATGATGATTTTAGATTTTGGCAAGGAGTTTCATTCACGGCAAAGAGTTTACAACAAATAGTGGTATTGATCCAAAGGTGAAACCATCAGAAAATATTCTATTTAATATTCATAATAGAAAGGTAGTCCCATTCGATACCAAAAATGTAAAATATTACACTCCATTGATTACATTTTATACCAATGACACGCCAATCATTGACAATATTAAGAGCATTATCCCTGGACAGTCATCACTACGATCGTGATAAACAACTCAACACAACCGTTATGATGAATTCAACATTAATTCTATCAACCAGTCAAACGATCAGCGGTGTTATAGTCAATATCACAACTGGAATTCAATCCATCCGAGAAATTAGTCATGATAAATCAATCGTTCGAAGCATGTCTATGGATGTTGTATCTTGGGAACAAGTCAATCAAACACAACATAAACAGACATCTTATATTGAAACAGTATTTATTGGAAGCATACACAATCAATCAACTCGATTCAATGTCACAGTTGTTCAATTCCAAGACACCAACATCAGTTCATTCTTGGGTGAGGATATTCAAGTATCATCAAATTCAATCAAATACACAATCAAAATTATTGATTGGGTGTGGTCATCACCTATCAACACACTCCAAGTTATATTCCATTCTCGATCAGATTCAGTTGAATATGATGATTGTGGTAGGATGAAAATTGGAAATGATGTATCTCCAGGTGACCAAATCATATGGACTCGAGTTGGACGAACACTTCTCAACTGCAAGATAGCAAGTAGAATGATTATCGACAACTCAACAATCCTTCCAGACGATCCACTCTCTCAACAAACTGACAAGCAAGGGTAAAGAGTCTTTAAAAAAAATAATAATAAAAAAAAAAACTTGTTTTGATCGATATTGTACTTTTATTATTATTATTATTATTTTTTAGCTGTAGGATAATGTATCATAAATTAATAATATTCTATAAGATTATTCTTACTTTGTTTGTATTGTTGAATAAAATTTTATTTAAATTTATATATAAGGTTAAAGTATTATATACAAAGGAGAATGAATTTATAAATTGATTTGGAAATAATCCAAGTTCTTATTACATTTTAATGAATGGATTAAGGTATTTAAAAAGAAAAAAAAAGAAAATATCTGGTTCTTTTTTTTCATTATTAACCTTGGTTAGTGTTTGTTTGTTTGTTGTATTTAAGGGTGTTGGTTGGTTGGTTGGGAAAAAAAAATGATTGATTATTATTACTATTATTATTATTGTACTCGCTTCTTATTTGTTTGAATCTTCATTATCGTTATTGCTGCTACTTGATTGAACTGTAACAGTGATAGCTTCTTTATCTTTGTTGTTGGTGTCTTCTGACTTGCTGTGTCCATGACCGTGTTTTCTATTCTTTTGGTCCTCGATGGCCTTGTAGTAGAGGGTGCCAAAGACAATGAGGGCACCGATCCATTGAAAGGGTGAGAGGGGATGGATAAAGAGGAAGGTCGAGAGGACGATGGAAAAGACTTGTCTGGTGACCATGATGGTGGAGAAGATGAGAGCACCAAACTCTTTGATGGTAAAGTAGATGACCATCTGACCAAGACTGGCACAGATAGAGAGGAATGTCGAGTCGGTCAACAACTGGCTATAGGTCATGGCAAAATCGATGGCTGGGAAGAGACGGCCGTTAAAGAGAAGGATGAGTACAGAGATGAGTGCCGAACACGAGTTGACATAGATCATCTGGTCGTAGGTGGACATGGTGTAACCCTTGAACATCTTTTCCTGGAAGGTCGATGTAAACGAGTCAAAGAACATGTAGGCGGCCATAAGCAATAGACCACCCATGGTATTTTCACTATTCTTGGAGGCAATGTCACCGGTCATGAAAAAGATCATACATCCCATTGTAATGGTGACGGCAATCAAGTAGTCTTTGAGAGAATACTTTTTGCCCGAGATGAATGTGCCTACCAACATGACAGGCATCATCTTGCCGCATTTGCCCAATGTCTGGGTGGGGAAGTTGACATACTTTAACGCTTCGTATTGACACCAAGTTGCACAAAAGTTGGACAACGCCACACCAAAGTACTTGTGAAGTGGTGCGACATTACGCAACGACTCGCCACGATACACGACAATGATAACAGCGATAATAGCCGCACACACACGATTCGACAACACGATAAATGTCGAGTCGGTAAAGTAGATTGGCTCACCATTATCATCCTCGCCGTATGGATAGTTCATAATCTTCTCTTGTAGAACACCATACAACAAGAAGAAGCCCATAATCCCTCCAACACTCATCAACAACTTTCTATTATATGTTGTAGTTGGTACATTTACTTTAATATCTAAAGAGAAAGAGAAATGAATAATATATATGTATATGTGTGTTATACAATAATAATAATAATAATAATAATAAGTTAGTGTGTGCGTGTGTTTTGTTTGTGTTTTATCATCAGACGACAAACAACATACCTGTACCCATTGTTAAATTTATCTATCTTATCTCTTATTATTATTACTATCTATTAATAAAAAAAACAAACTTTAAAGAATACTGAAGGCGCCAAGAGAAGAATGAAAGAAACTTTGAAAAATAATAAATAAATATAAATATGTATAAATAATGTAGAGAGAAGCGAGTTTAGACAATGAAGAGTTCGTATCTGTCAGAAAACAAAATCAAACAGGTCTTTGAGCAAGTTAGTTGGTTGTTATTATAAATATCTTTCTATGATGTGTCCTCCTCCTCCTTATTAATTTGAGTAACTGAAAAGTTTAAACAATTTTCGTGTCATCGGTTGTCCGAAAACTCTGCTAAAAAGACCATCCCATGGTCGTCGTTGAACAAAGTATCTTGGTTCAAACCCACTCACTTCATCCGATGAATTAGACGACCTCTCTCTTCCCTGGTTGGTTGGTTGTTGGATAATTACTTTAATTATCTCATTTGATCAAATATGATGAATAATAATAATAATAATAATATTTTGTTTGTTAGTTTCAATCTCCGATATTTTGTACTATTTCAAAATAAAATAAAAAGTTATAAAAATCATTCTCTCCTTTTTTGGGATTTTTTGAACATTCTAGAATGAAAGAGTGATTTAATTTTTTGTAGTTGTTTTATTCATTAAGGTGTATACACATTTTAAATATAAATATTTAATATTAATACTACTAAAGCAATAGAAAGAATTATGATGTCAGGTGAAGAAAGTATGAATATTAATTCAAGAACAATGAAACTAAAGAAGAAAGAAACTGAAGAAAGAAGAAGAAATAATTTAATTGATCAAATATATATTAATATACAAATATTTGAATGATTTGATTTTGTAGATAAATCAGTAACAGTATTTAGAGAGTTTTTAAAGATTAGAACTGATCATCCAAAACCAGATTATGAAGGTTCGACAACCTTTTTAGTACAAAAGGCTAAAGAGTATGGTTTGGAGTGTGAAGTGTACAGAGAGACTGGTTTGCCAATCGTCATTATGAAGATTGAAGGTAGTGATCCATCATTGCCATCGGTTCTTTTAAATTCTCATGTCGATGTTGTACCAGCCGTCAGAGAGTGTTGGAACACAGAACCATTCGCAGCCATCAAAGATGAGAATGGTAACATTTTCGCACGTGGAACTCAAGATATGAAGTGTGTCTGCATTCAGTTCCTCGAGGTTGCTGCACGCTTTGTAAAGAGTGGAAAGAAGATGAAACGTAACCTCTATCTCACCTTTGTACCCGATGAAGAGATTGGTGCCGGTCAAGGTATGGAACCATTTGTCGAGACACAAAAATTCAGAGACATGAACGTCGGTGTTGCCATTGACGAAGGTTTGGCATCTCCCACTGAAGAATTCACAGTCTTTTACGGTGAACGTGCTCCATGGTGGGTACATATCACCGCCGTCGGTAATACTGGTCATGGTAGTCGTTTCATTGAGAATACTGCTGTTGAAAAGTTGGTAAGTAGAAAGAGAAAGAGTAAAGGAGAAAGAAAGATGAACTAATAACTGTATTTATATTTAATTAAATTGTTTTTAGATGAGAACTATAAACAAGATGTTACAATTCCGTCATGACCAATTTACAGATTTACATAAAGGTCATCATGAATGTGGAAAGAAATTGGGTGATGTTACTACACTCAATCTTACAGTACTCAAGGCAGGTGTTGGTGAGGGACCATTCCCCAACTATAGCTACAACGTCATTCCAACAAAGGCTGAAGCCGGTTTTGATATTCGTATCCCACCAACTGTCAATTTGGAAGACTTTTTAAAACAGATTCGTGAATGGACATCGGAAGAGGGTTTGTCATTTGAGTTTGCAAACTACACTGCCAAGAATGAGATGACTGGCGTCACTGACGACAACACCTGGTGGAAGACATTCAAGCAATCGGCCGAAAACATTGGCATCAAGCTCGTTCCAGAGATTTTCCCCGCTGCCACAGACTCTCGTTTCATCCGTAACCTTGGTATCCCAGCATTTGGTTTCTCTCCTATCAACAACACTCCCATTCTCCTTCACGATCACAATGAATTCCTCAATGAAAAGACTTTTATTCGTGGTCTTGATATTTATGAACAAATTCTTCCAAACCTTGTTAATTTGTAAATAATAATATTCAATCACATCAATCATCTCTATACATAATATATTAATATTAATAAATAAATATAAATAAATAATTAATAATTATTATTTTGAAACCTGGATTATTATTATTATTATTATTTTTTTTAAAAAAGGATTTTATTATTATTATTATTAATTTAATTGTTGTTATTATTATTATTATTATTATTATTATTGTTATAATGATTAGGTTTAAGCATCTTCCATTCTTCCAAGTAATCTCATCTTTGCACTCTTTGCCTTGTTGACCTTTAATTTTTCCTTTTCAGTGACGTGACGACGTTTACGACCAACTTGTTTGACGACTGGTTTCTTGTCCTTCTTTTCAGTGTCTTCCTTTTGGTCTGGACGGACTAGATCGTAGCCGCTAACCATTGCATCGTATGTATCTTGGTTGGCGAGGAATGCCAATTCGTGCTTGGATGCTCTAAAGTATATTTGGTCTTCGTGGCCCTTGGCCTTGCTGATAACCTTGTTGTCGTATTCTCTCTGCTTCATCTTGTCGACCCACGAGTCGTAACGTTGTTTCTTGACGTCGGCTGGTTCGACGACACGCGTCTTTTTGACTTGGAACGTGTCGATACGCTTTTGGAGCTGGTCCTCTGGTGCACGACAGACACGGGCAATCACCTGCTTGGTGGTTTGGAACTTGTCTGCCAATTGCTTTTGTGACATGGTTGGACGCAACTTGATGATCTCTTGCACGGTCTTGTCGGCGAGCGTGTGAGAGTATGAAGTGCGCAATAGGGTTGGTGCCTCGAATGGCTTGCTTTCAACAGCGTGTCCAACCACGATAGACGATGTGTGCTCGTCAAACTTGGCGGGTTGGAATGTCACATGTTGGTTGACACCCAACTGACCAAATGAAAATGTCTTGATCTTAAACTCTTTTGTACCAACCGTCGTTGGTGTGTTCACTGTGCACATGAATCGCTTACCACTGCCAATGACCAATGATGATTGAAATCCTTTTATAATAGAATTCATCTTTTGTATTCTCTATCTATATATATATTTGTATGTATGTGTGTAGTATATGACTCTATCGTCTTTGTCGTCTTTATAGTCGTCTCTTTGAGTAGTTGAATGTCGTCGTCGTAAAACTATTCTATTTCGTCGATTCTATCCAATCTATTTATGTGTGTATGTATACTATATTTTATATATATATATACTACTACTACTATCTACAAATCTGATTCGGGTAAGTATTCATATACTTTAGTAGGTGATCATTGGCAGAGCTCGACTGCATAGCCAAATTTTAATCTTTTTTTTTTTTTTTTTTTTTCAAATTTTTTGCTGTTAAGCTTGCTTGCTATATCAGCTAGGGTTTCAGGTGCCACCGTTAGTTACATTTACTATTATTTGTTTGTTTACTTTTTTAAACTAACAACAACATTCCACAATACTCTTCTTCTGGTTGTTGCACATACAATACCCTCCTCTACTTATTGTACAATAACAACTTCAAGACATACCTTGTACCATATTATTAGCGGTGTGATTTATTCTTGCAAATATATATATACTTGCGTTGTTTTATCATCATTACAAACTCTATCAACATTCAACAATATACAACAATATACATACAACAATATAATCGATCGGATGATATTATAATATATATAGATGGTATTATTATTATAACGACAACGAACATTTGCAATACATCACATTCTTCTTTTGGATTAACAATAGACAATAGAATACTCGACTTTCACTATATCCCGTTTATTGTCGACGCATGATATACACGAGTATTTAATTGCAAAAGTACTTTATATATATATTTATAAACTTTGTATACAATAGTCATCAACAACAACAACAAACATACATATATACAACAAACAAGATGAATTCATTCGATACTGGTGGAGGAGACAATCCTTCATCATTTAACAATAATAATAATAATAATAGAGACTATAGGTATGTAAACACGTGATTATAGATTATCATATAAACACTTGATTTAAATTTATCGATCATTATACTTACACTTCTACTTTCTATAAACTACTGTACACAGAAATGATTCATCATATAATAATAACAATCAACAACGAAATTGGAGAAATGATAGATTTGGTAACAATAATAATAATAATAATAATCGAAGAGATTGGGATAGAGGAAATGATAATGAACGGAATAGTTTATCTTCATCAGGTGGTGGTGGTGGAAATAGTTCAAGAGATTATAGTGAAACGTATCGTGATAATGCTAGAGATAGACCACCTCCTCGTGATAATAACAACAACAATCGTTTCAACAAGGAAAGAGAAAGGTTTGGTGGAAACTACAACAACAACAATAGTCGTGGTGGTGGACAAGATAGAGAACGAGACAGAGACCGAGAAAGAGAAAGAGAGAGAGAAAGAGACGAGGGTAATTGGGATACCCCTCCACCACCACCACATCCAAAGATTCTCGATAAAGATATAGATTATAGTAACCCAAATAGAGATGATGATCATAATAACAACAATAATAATAATAATAATAATAATTATACTAATAGCAAATATAAAAGAGAATTTAATAATTATAACAATAATAATAATAATCTCAATAACAATCATAATAATAATAATAGTAATAATCAAGATTATAAACGAAGGAGACTAAGGGAAGTTGAACCTGGTGAATTAGATGGAGTTGGAGGAGGAGGAGGAGATAATTTTAGAAACAATAATAATAGTAATGGTAATAATAATTTTAATAATAATAGAAATAGATTTTATAATAATAATAATAGAGAAAGATCACCTTCACGTGATAGGGGGATGAATAGATCGACATCCCCACCTCCTCCACATCCACCTCCACTCCATGATGATCAGATTGATAGAGAGAGATCGTCACCTTCATCGTCTACTACAAATAGTGGTGGTTTTAATTCTGATCGTTATAGCAACGGTAGAGCACAAGGAAATAATAATAATAATAATAATAATAATAATAATAATAATAATAGCGGCGGCAACAATAACTTTTATAAAAACAACAACAAGTTTGGTTACAACAACAACAAACAATCCAATTTTACTTATCATGATCGTGAAAAGATTTATGAAGATCAAGAACGAAATAGTAAGGGACAGTCCCCGACCTACGAATCGTTGCTCAACAAATATTCAGACTCCAAGGTGACGTCTACGCCTCCCCCTCCCACCTCTACGTCCTCCTCGTCATCCACAACCTCTTCCTCCAACCAGTCTACGCCGTACCCCAAGTCTGGTCATGTAAAGGAATCCTATGTACACAATCACAGCCAACCCGTCGAGTTTAACTTTATGAAGCAACTCGAACAAATCACATCTGAGGGTTCATCTCGGCCTTCCCCATTCTTTGATCTCGACCGACCGGAACGCGAAAGACTGGAACGTGAACGAAGTGACAGAGAGCGTTTCGAACGAGAACGATCAGACAGAGAAAGACAGGACCGCGAAAGAATGGACCGTGAACGATCGGAAAGAGCAGAGCGTGAACGTATGGATAGAGCCGAGCGTGACCGTTTGGACAGAGAGAGACAAGAACGTGAAAGAATGGAGCGCGAACGTTTGGACCGTGAAAGAATGGAACGTGAGCGCATGGACCGAGAAAGATTTGAACGTGAACGACTGGATAGAGAGCGCTTGGAAAAGGAACGACTGGAGCGTGAACGAATCGACAGAGAAAGATTCGAGAGAGAACGACTCGACCGAGAACGATTCGAACGTGAACGCATGGAAAGAGAAAGATTCGAACGTGAACGAATAGAAAGAGAGGAACGTGATCGAATAGAAAGAGAGAAAATAGAGGTTGAACAACGTCACTTGCAAATGGAGAAATTGGAACGTGAAAGACAAGAAACGGAAAGAATAGAACGTGAACGCATTGAAAGAGAAAGATTCGAGAGAGAGCAAAGAGAATCGTCTGAACTACAACATCAACAACAACAGCAAATGCAACAACAACAACGAATGTTGATGGAAGTGTCTCACCCCAATGTTATTGTTCCACCACCTTCAATTGAAAAAGAGAGAGATAGATTCTCTCTTGATCGTGAAGAAGAGAGAGCACAGGATTTGAAGCGATCTTCTGCCAATGCCATTAGTTTTGGTGGCGGGTGGGGGCAGGGCTTGGTATCAAAAAACAAAGAACTGGCTACCCCAACCCTCGCTGGCAATACCACACCATCATCTTCTTCAACCACCTCCTCGCCTGTACTTCCCACCGTTGAGTTGCAGGTTGGCGCGTCACAACCAACAACCGTCATCCCACAACAAACACCTCAACCTCAATCATCCCTCCCCAATTCAACAAGTTCATCGTCCACGACGACCATGAGTGGAGAGTTCCCAGTTCCCATGTCCCCAACATCCAAAAAAGATCTTGCTCCCACTTCTCCCATGCCAACATTGTCTTTGTCTTCATCGCCAATGGTTCCTCTAGTATTTTTAGATAATAGTAGTAATCCCAATCCAACCATGTCTAGAATTCATAATAATCAACAACCACCACTTCCTCTACAACAACAACAACAATTACAACCATCACAACAACACCAACAAATGCCTATACAACAACATCAACAACTACAACAACAACAACAACAAATACCACTTGCACCACCTTCAACTACTCAATTCAAGTATCCACAACAACAACAATTACCACCACAATTAATATCACCACAACACCAACAGTTTCAACCAGCACCAACACCACCTCCACCTCCACCATTTCCGTCTGACAAGGTTGTGTTTAAAGGACCTGCTGCACCACCATTACGATCGACAAGAGAAGATGTCCCACAACTTTATCCACACCTCCCATCAAAGGAACAGATTATCATTAGCATTGATAGTTTAGACAATGAAATCACTGCTTTTGAAAAGGAGATAAAGTCACTTCAACAATCACTCGCAAGGATTACAAATGGTATCACCAAACAAAAGCGAAAGGAACAAAAAGAGAGGGAAAAAGAGCAAAAGGAAAAGGAAATGGAGAAAAAAGACAAGAAAAAGAAAAAGAAGCCCGTTGCATCCCGTCCGGGACTCAATGGTTCGTCGACCATCAAAAAAGAGACTGGTGTAGCCACACTAACCGTCACGATATCACAGACACAAAACCAACAAAATATATATCTTGCCAACCACGAAGCCGCCAAGATTGCCCAAGATATGGTGTGGATGTCTATCGATGACGATGACTCTTCAGACGAAGAAGCCCATTATTCCAGCGTTGAAGAGTCGCCACTCTATCAATCCACAATTGACCGATACGAAGAGATCAAGGATGGTATGAAAGCAGTTCTTTTGCGTCGCAAGCAAGGATTGCAAAAATATAACAAAAAACTGGTCACCAAGTATAGAAAGGCGTACGACAAGTTTATCAAAAAAGAGATTGAATGGGAGGATTCTCACAACAAGCCAAAGAACGAGAAGCAACAAAAGAGTTCGGGTCGCCCCGCATTGAGGGCTGCCGTCACCACTACCACCCGTTCAGCAACCAGTCGATCCGGTCGTCCCATTGTATCGGATGCTGTCAGAAGTGAGGCAGAGTTTAACGAAATCATGGACCAACTTCGCGAACAAGACAGTATGGATCCCAACAGTCGATACCTTTCCTCTTTGGCTGAAGTTCCCCCAATGCTATCGCCAATGGAACGTGAATTACAATTTATAAACTACAATGGTCTTGTCGAAGATCCAATTCAAGCAGACAAGGATCGTAAACTTTTAATTCAATGGTCAACTGATGAAAGAGAAAAATTTGTTAAAAAGTATGAAATAATAATAATAATAATAATGGATTAATCTATTCTTTATACTTACTTAAATCTATTTGTTCTCTTATTTCTTTTTAGATATTTACAATATCCTAAAAAGTTTGAAAAAATAGCATCCTTTTTTGAAAACAAAACTACCGAAGATATGGTAGTATTCTATTATACTAACAAGAAAACATTAAATTTGAAAACTCTTTTATTAAATGCACAAGCCAAAAAGAGAGGAGGAAGAAAAATAAGTGTAAGTCCAAGAGGTATATTAATTAATTTATTAATAGTATTTATTAATATTTATTTATTTATTTATTTATTTATTTTAGGATTCACATCAATTTTTATCAACAACAAATAGTAATACAAATGTAAATAGTTCACCTGTATTGTCATCACCTAAAACACCAAAACCAAGAAGTAGAAAACAAGTAGTCGAAGCAACAACATCAACGTCAACATCAACACCAACTACAACAACATCAACATCAACAACAGATGAAACGTCATCGTCGGCATCACCAAATCCACCAACCCCAAGATTAACGGCAAGAGAACAGGTTTTATTAGCCACATCTGCATCGGTTGCTTTGGCTTCACCTTCTATTAAACCACTGACCCCCAGTGTCACAACCACCGCCACCGCCACCACTCCATCCCTTTCTTCAACTGCAACTGGATCCACCTCGACACACTCACCAAGCAGCAGTAGCTCAACCTCTACAGCAGCAGCAGCACCAGCATCCTCGTCGACTACAACGTCTTCATCGTTGCCGCCTACCGCCGCCCCAACTACACCAACAGAAGTTGTAGGAGAAATGAGATGGAATGACCAAGAACGCGAATCTTTTACAACAGCATACAACAAATTTGGAATGGATTTTAAATCAATATCTGATTTTATCAAGACCAAATCCTATTCTCAATGTAGAAGTTATTATTATAATAGAAAACGTCGTTCCAGGTTGGAAGCAGAGGCAAAGAAAAAAGAACAAGAAGATTCCCCCTCTTCTTCTTCATCTTCCTCATCATCTTCATCCTCTTCATCTTCAGATTCTTCCGATTAAACAAAAAGAACTTGATAGATTAAACAAATAATAAATAATAAATATTTTTTATTTATACAACACATTTATTTTCTTGGATTACATGGAAAATTCTTATCAAAACCTTTGTAAATTGCATAGGTTAGACTGGCCAATTTTGAATAACCAATACAGTTTGTGTGCAAGAGTGAATAGATGAATTCGACAACCATGACATTACGGTTTGGATGGGGTTCGTCAGCTATTTTTCTTTGATCCAAAGGAGTGATTTTGGCAAGTTCATAGATGGTAAATAAACGTTCCTTCCACAGAGTTCTGATCATTTCCAAATCACAAAAGGGAAATTCTCGAGCTAACAATAATCCACCTATACTCTTTTTAACTGATAAACAATTCTTATCCATCCATTGAGAAATGGTTTTAATGGCAGCTACATTGTCGTTTCGTATTGCCTTTTCAAGCAAACTCTGGAAAGGTTCTAAAGTACATATAAACCCATCTCGTTTGACTGTATCTAGTACAAACTCAATAATCTTTGGGTGACATGTGTACAGACAATTGACAATGACCAAGTGCTGAGATGGATCGATTGGAGATATTGTTTGGAATAGCCATTCTACGGTTTCAATGTAATTTGACTTTAGAGCAGTCACCATGGTATCTGGTGATATTGAATTGACAAGTGATGGGTTTTGACCTTGAATGTATTTGATGACTTGAATCGAATTGCTCGTGATTGCAGTCTCGAGTGATTGCAATGTTAGCTCGAGTCCAAACTTTTCGTAAAGATACTCTACAATGTGGAGATGATTGGTTCGAACACCTTCATTGAGCATGTCCTTTTGGAGGACGTACCCAACGTCCATGAGCAGTGTCAGTAGGTCAATGTTTCCAGAACACGCAGCACTAGACAATGGAAGTAGGTATCCTGCCTGTTGATTTGAATGATCGATGAGTGACGAATATTTGTGAATCATTTCATAGGCAAATTCATGGTTTCCATTGACAATGGCCCAATTTAAGATGAAATGATTAAATTGACGTGGCTTGGACTCTGTGAAAAAGAAACGGACAATGTCAAAGTGATTGTTTTGTGACGCTCCAACAATAAGACTATCCCACTTGCTATTGTCGATATTGTGTTCATACTTGTGATCCTTTTGGTATTTGTAGAGGTATTTGACGATTTCAATGTGACCATTGAATACGGCCAGTCTCATACCAGAGCCAATAATATGTTCATTGTTGATGGATGCATGTTCGACCAAGAGCCTGACAATATCCTCGAACCCTTTTTGACAAGAGAATTCAAAGGCTTGGTCCGAGACGGGAGCACCCACCGTAAAATGGAGATACTGCACCATCTCATAGTTGCCCGACAAGCATGCATTGATGAGTGACAGTCTCGTACAATGGTCTTCCATCCAATTATCGGGTAATTCCTGCTCCAACAATGTATGTGCCGCTCTAACCATTTCCAGATTGTTTGTACAGCATGCTCTGTCCAAGATTCCCCTTCTTTCATAATTAATATTATTCATATAGTTTGGACCATTGGAAGCCAAAATCATCGTTTGGTATTGCGAATGAGATGGAGGAGGAGGGGGAGGAGGGGTAGGAGTAGCTGTATCAACAGACCCAATAACAATATCGAATTTACTTTGAAGGTATTTAAAAGTCTCGAGATTAGTCGATACTGATACATTGATGAGATCGTTTCGGTAGTTTTGAAACTCCTCATGGCTGACATGTTTCTCTAACTCTTTGAAAATCTCTACATCTTTGATTGCTTTCAACAAGATATCCTTGGTGACTCGTGCGCCTATATCACTACCTGCCAGGTACCGAACGGCCTCGACTGTTTTACCAAAATCTATTGCATTTCTGAGACAACACATCATTGGATGTGGTTTGAATCCTTGTGCATGCAAGTGTTTCAAAATGTCAACGTTGCCAGTCTTTGCAGCAGAGTCGAATACGCCACCATTGTAATATTCATCGTCGGGGTATGATTGTTTGAGTGCCACGACAAAGACGTGTTTGTAGCGTTTATAGACCTTGAGATAGTCATCGTACAGGCGACACGCACCAAAGAACTTTTTAAGTAACTTGACACTCAGCGTAGTCTTGAATACACTGCCATCCTTTCTTATGGTTGCTCTTGCTTGTTTTGGTAGTGACAATAGATACATGTACAATCTGATTGAACCAATACTGAAAATGGTATCTGTGTTCATTTCACGTAGTTTGTAGCTTCGATTGTTATTGTCTCTGCTACCACTATGTCTTACTATCACATCGTCGTGATGTTGATACGACGATGATGAAACCACGCTAATATTATTGACAACATTGACAAGTTGAAATATCCTCCTTGAAAGATATTCATTCTTGAATACATATAGAAATAATTGATTCTCTAACATCTATTCTAATTCTTTTTATTAAACAAATAAATAATTGTAAATATTTTTTCATCACAACAAAAACTGCTTGAGTCCTGATCATTAATTTTTGTCGTCACTAAAAGTTATATCAAAATATCTCAATCAAATATATATTAAATAAATAAACTATGTATCTATAAATCAACATTAAATGACATGCAGATTTGTATAACCAACTTTACACATCTATTGCTTGTTGATGGAAAAGATGATCGACCCTAGATCTAGGGTGAATCTATTAGATTCAAATTATTAATGGATATATTGTTGTATGTATGTATCTACACCTGTATAATAAATATGATGTGGTTGTTAAATTCAATAATATACAACTTTCCTTCCTTCTCATTCATTCATCCATTCATGTTCACATACATATATACATACATACACATGTATATAATTCATGTTCACATAATAATAATAATAATTTATATTTGAACCAATGAAGGTCATTGGATATTATTGTTTGCTTATTGTATATAGATAGGTGTTTAAACTATAGTATACACCAATGAAAGTATTTTTAGCGTACATGTATGTTTGTATGTTTGTTTGGGAAATGCATTTATGTGCGGATCCGCAATACAATACACTCACTATCATTAGTCTTCTTCCCTACCCTTGAAATGGATCTAGTCTGATGATGTTAGATGTGTGGTGGGTAGGTGGTAGGATTTGGTCAAAAAAAGGAATATCGACCCGCTAATTTAAATTAACAACACGAGTGGTAAGATCATCATCAACACCCACCACTACAACAACCACCCACTACTACTACTACTAGATAGATAGATAGAGTTTTTATCTCACACTCCCTCTATCTGTAGGGGGATAATGGGTCAACATAACCGACAAAATCTAAAGTAAACCCCATTTAACATTAATCTATCTGCAAAGGAGGAGGAGGAGGAGGAAGAGGAGAAGGGGACAAACAGACAGCAAACAAACCAACAAACAGGTGTCGGTGATTTCATATATTTATATGGCTGGTTTGGATAGGATATGATTACTATTATTATATCAACCAATCAACAAACAACCATTATTTATTAATTATTTAATTATTATTTAATTTGCGGTGCACTCCTTCCTCTTTGTGATTTAAACATTCATTTGTCCATTCATTCAAAAAAGGTATTCAATAAAACCAATATATTAATTAACCAATCATGATTACTTGGGCTATTGTAGGATATCTATTTTTATTCTATATCATTTGTTCTTTTGTAAGTAATCATTCACCCATTCATCTCAAAGTCAAACTTCACTTTTAATATTAATATTCATTCCATTAATTATTTATTTTCCCTCTCCTCTCCTTTCTTTTTATTTTTTCATAGATTAAAAAGAATACAAGATTCTCAAAGAATGATCCACCACTTGCATGTATATCAGCACCAATCATTGGAGGATTATACCAAATGTCAAGTAATCCACCAGATGATATGTTGAGATTGGCAAGAAAGAGTGGAAAAATCTTTTCTATTTGGTTTGGTGACAATTACACTGTCTTTATCAACGATCCAGAGCTACTAGAAGAGGTGTTTATCAAGAACCATGACACCTTTGGAGACAGACCATTTGTACCAAGTCTTCGTATCGTATGTGACAATTTCAATGATTTGGTGTTGAATGACAATGACACTTGGAAACCACTACGTAAATTTTTGGATCAATCATTCACAAAGACCAAACTCAAGGCTCTTGCTCCAGTCATTGAACTTCAATCAAATAATTTAGTAAATAGATTAAAAGAATATTCTAGATCTGGTGAACCAGTATGTATAAATATATATAATTATATAAATGTTTAAAAATATTTAATTTAATTTATTTTATTTTTAGGTTGACCCATTCCCATATTTAAGAAAGTTTACATTTAGTATTATTGTTAAAATGGTATTGAATATTGATTTGGCCTATGAAGAAGAACCAAATGAGGGAATTATGAACACCATGTTTACTCCAATCAATGAACTGGTCAAGAGAATTGCACAAGGTGCCGTCTTTGATACTATTCACTTGTTGAGTGGTTTATATTATCATTCAATCGGAAAGTTATTAAACAAGTCACTCGATAGTATTCGTACCATTGCTAGAAACATTATCAAAGAACATAGAGAAACTGTTGATCCAAAAAAGTATGAACCCAAAAAAAAAAAAAGAATAATAATTATAATCCATTATTTAATTAATTAATTAATTATTTACTTTATCTTTTCTAGTACAAGAGATGTTTTAGATTTAATGATTCTTGCAGGATATGATGATGAATTAATGTTAAATGTTATTTTTGATATGTTGATTGCTGGTGTAGAGACTACCGCCTCATCATTGTCATGGTTAACATTGCTGATGGTCAATCATCAAGAGGAACAGGATAATTTGAGAAATGAACTTCAAACAAAGTTCCCTCAATGGGAGAATATCCAGGCAACCGATCGGTCAGGTTGTACCTATACTTCGGCCGTCATCAAAGAATCGCTGAGACATCGTCAATTGGCTCCATTTAGTGTTCCTCGTATTGCAAAGACTGATGCATGGATTGGAGAGTATTTTGTTCCCAAGGGTACTCATATCATGGGTAATCTACTTGCCATCCACAAAAACTATTTCCCAGACGGTGAAGAGTTTAAGCCATCTAGATGGCTCGATGATACCAGTCTCAACCCAGTAGGTCAAACCAAATGGGTTCCCTTTAGTTTGGGTCCAAGAGTTTGTGTAGGATACCAGTTGGCACATGACGAACTCTTTGTTGCCGTTTCCAAAATGTTCCACAACTTCAAGATCACTTCTCCAGATGGCAGTAAACTCGATGAGACACCAGCCCATGGTATCACTGTTCAACCACTTCATTCACATAAATACAAGTTTGAAATTGTCAATTAAATTAAAATTAAATTAAAAAAAAAAAAAACTATATCAAAAAAATAAATAAATAATTGTAATAATAACTTTAAGCAAATTGGTAAACACCCATACTAGTACCAAACCTTTTTTTTTTTTTAAACATTTTAGATTTATTTTATTAAAAAAAAGAAAAGAAAAGAGTGGAGAAAAAGGATTATTATTTTTAATTATTTAACAATTTCAAATTTATATTTATGGGCATGAAGAGGTTGAACAGCCATTCCAAATTGAGATGTTTCATCAAGTTTAGATCCATCGATTGAGGTAACTTTGACATTTGAGAATATTTTGGCAACAGCCATCCAAATCTCCTCAATAGCCAATGAACTACCCAAACAAGCTCTTGGACCAATAGAGAATGGCATCCAATTATCCTTACCAGTATTGGTTAAACTATGATCACCAATGTATCTTGATGGATTAAATTCAGTTCCATTTGGATAATGATCATGAAGAACAGCATAGAAATTGGCCATTACTTGAGTCTATAAAGAAGAAAAGGAAATTGAATGTAAATAAATAATTGAATAATACTATATTTAATGTTCATGTCTACATACACCTTTAGGAATGAAATATTCACCAATCATTGTATCATATCTAGAAATACGTGGAAGACCAAATGGACCAATTGGTTTGAGTCTCATTGATTCTTTTATAACAGCAGATGTGTAGGGACAGTTGGTACGGTCAGTTGGTTGAATGGAATCCAATGAATCTGGGAATGCAGTTCTAACTTCACTTCTAACCTTTTCTTGTTCCTCTTGATAGTTGGCCATCAATAATACAAACCATGACAATGTGGTGGCACTAGTCTCCACACCAGCCAATAACAAATCAAATACTAAATTGACAATTAAATCATCTTCATATTGATTTGAAATCATCATATCCAAAAAATCTCTTGGGCTAAAAATAGTTAATAAATAAATTAATAACATATTAAATAATTAAATAATTTGTAATAATATGTTTCTTTTTTGTTTACATACTTGTCTATATCAATAGTTTCTTTGTGTTCTTTGATGAAACCTCTAATCATTACTTTGATTTCACTTATTGGATGGTTGAATCGTTTGGCAATCTTGTAATAAATGGGAGACAAGGCATGAATAGTGTCAAAGATGGCACCGGCAGCCATCTTTCTTACTAGTTCACTGAGTGGAGTAAACATTTTAAGCATCATACCAGTATTTGGTTCTTCTTCATAAGCCATATCAATATTCAATACCATTTTAAGAATAACACTAAAAGTGTACTTTCTCAAGTATGGTACTGGATCAAGCTTGAAAAATCAAATCAAGAGACTTGTTAGAACATATTGATAATAATATTATTATTTAATTTATACATACTGGTTCACCAGAGATTGCATGTTCTTTGAATTTACGAACAAGATGATTTGAGTGAGTTTCCATGGCTGGTGCAATAGCTTTTAATTTAGTTCTTGTAAATTGACCAATCATTTGTTGTCTGAGGGGTTTCCAGTTGGTGTAGTTTGACAATACCAAATCGTTAAAGTCATCACACATGAAACGAAGACTTGGTACAAATGGTCTGTCTCCAAAAGCCTCATGGTTCTTGTTAAATGCCTCTTCAATGAGACCGGGGTCATTGATGATGACAGTGTAATTGTCACCGTACCAAATCGACATAATCTTCCCAAACTTTCTAGATAGACGCAACAAGTCTTCCGATGGATCAACACCCAATTTATAAAGACCTCCTATAATAGGAAGTGAAATGGCACAAAGTGGTGGATCATTCTTTGAGAATCTTGTATTCTTTTTAATCTATAAAGAGTTTAAATAAAAAAAAAAAATAAAAAAAAGAAAAAATAGAAAAGATAGGTTAGAAATATTTTACTCATTTAATGGAATATAACTTACAAAAGAATAAAGTAGAATAAACCCAATAATATAAAATATAATAGAAAAACTTATCATATTTGTATATATTATATTATTATTATATTAGAAATAAATAAATATCTATTTATGAGATAGACAAATAAGAGATAAAAGATATAAATGTACAAATTAATTTACAATGAAATGGATTGAAACTGTTTGGAATTAAGGGTTAAATAAGAGCTCATTTGGGGGGCATTACTTTACTGCAACCAAGCAACATTGTTTGTTGTGGGTGATTGTTGGTTGCTCATAAATGGGGTAGTTTGAATGCGTGTGGTGACACTGATTCATTCATTGCGATGAAGGTGCACATGCATCATCGTGATATCAGTTGATTGATTGGTTGGAGAGGTGTGGGTTAATAAATGTAGATAGGGATAAGAATGAAACCTATGATTGGGGAAACCAAACCTAACCTAACCAAACAGATATTTGTTTTCAATGTGTCAACCGGTTAGATATTTGAGCCAATCAAAGTGTACTTTTCATCTCATTGAACTTGCGCATCCGTCAGGTCATTAATGGGGTGGGGACGAGATTTTGAAGATCGTTCGTTGCCCCTCCTATTATTAAAATTGTGCTCTGTTGTGTTTGAAGTTTGCGACGAATATTTATTAATAGTACCTATTGATTCTACCCTATCTGTTTGGCTGAGCACTCTAGGGCAATCTCTATTTGTGCTGCACATAATACATTATAATAAATTCTTATATATATCTATTGAATGTTTATCTATCTATTTGTAAACTAAATAAGAAGAAGTTTTTTTATTATTATTATTTTTTTTGAACCAGGACATACCACGAGTTATATTGCTCTAATTATTATTAATATTAATTATTAATTATTATTATTTTGTTGTTGTTGGTCAGTGTTTACCTCTTGGTCAGTATTTGGAATAGGATCCATTTCTACAGCTTCTCTATATGGTCTGTTCGTTGGGGGTTCCACCTTCCATACAATGATTGCCACTATTGTAATAGAGAGAAGGAATATCGATAAAAGCACAGAGACGATGACTTTTGGGAGTGAATCATGTAGTCTCTATGCATTCGTACGGCAAGGCAGAGTCATCATCAAGAATGACTGCGTTGAATACCGGATCTAGTTCAACCGAGTGGCTGAACCTTGGTATGTGAAACGTTGTCAAAACGTTGAACCCTTGCTTGTCAGTTTGTTGAGAGAGTGGATCATCTGGAAGGATTGTGACTTTTGATGGCATGATTGTTGAGTTGTCGATAATCATTCTACTTGCTATCTTGCAGTTTAAAAGTGTTCGTCCAACTTGAACTCTGGTCCATATGATTTGGTCACCTGGAGATACATCATTTCCAATTTTCATCCTACCACAATCGTCATATTCAACTGAATCTGATCGAGAATGGAATATAACTTGGAGTGTGTTGATAGGTGATGACCACACCCAATCAATAGTTTTGATTGTGTATTTGATTGAGTTTGATGATACTTGAATATCCTCACCCAAGAATGTACTGGTGTTGGTGTCTTGGAATTGAACAACTGTGACATTGAATCGAGTTGATTGATTGTGTATGCTTCCAATAAATACTGTTTCAATATAAGATGTCTGTTTATGTTGTGTTTGATTGACTTGTTCCCAAGATACAACATCCATAGACATGCTTCGAACGATTGATTTATCATGACTAATTTCTCGGATGGATTGAATTCCAGTTGTGAAATTGACTATGACACTGATCGTTTGACTGGTTGATAGAATTAATGTTGAATTCATCATAACGGTTGTGTTGAGTTGTTTATCACGATCGATCGATGATGAACAATCTAATAGGGGTTCATAACCACTATGACATTTGCATGTACCAAAATTGAATTACATATTCCATGAGAGGAACAGTTTTTACGACACTCTTTCGCAAGAGATACAACTTTTGTTGTAACCATTCCAGCAATACCTATTTGGACTGTATAGTTTAGATCTGTCGAATAGGGCTGGACGGCATCCAATAAACAAGTAATTTGTTTAAAACCATCTCCAACAAAACTTGGTGACTTGCATTGTTTTGATTGAATCATTATCTAAACTATGAACCATCTTTTCCAAAATGATTACCATTGATTGTAACCTGTGATGGCTGTCCAGGTATAATACTCGTAATATTGTCAATGATTGGCGTGTCATTTGTATAAAATGTAATCAATGGAGTGTAATATTTTACATTTTTGGTATCGAATGGGACTACCTTTCCATTATGAATATTAAATGGAATATTATCTGATGGTTTCACCTTTGGATCAATACCAGAATAATACAATCGAGATGGTGCTCCTTTGGATGGACACTATTTGTTGTAAACTCTTTGCCGTTGAATGAAACTCCTAAAATCATCATATCCAATTAAATTTAATGATCGATTAAAACATTGATACATTTCTTGTGAATCAAAGGAACCAATGTATGGAGCATTGAATGTTACACCCATTCTTACTTTATCAATCATTAATCGATTGACTCTTTCATAATCTCCACCAAATAGAATGGTTGAAAAGAATCTATCTTCACAGACTATTGAAAAAGAGTATTGCATTAGAATTGAATCTATAAAGAGTATAATATTATTATTTAATTAATTATTACATATACATACAAATATGAGGTTTATAGGTTTGAGTGTAAACTTGGTCAACTGAAATTGAAATCGGAAGGAGTTTGGTCTCTCCAACAAGAGGTGTTAGGAGTTGGCAAATAATTTGATTTGATGAAGCAAAGCTAATAATACATGGAATATTTGATGTTGAGACACTGACAGATACTGTATTGTCGGTATCGTCACCAAAGTTATTACCAATCAGTGTAACTAGTCCTTTAGCTGTGGGAGATGGTGGATAGACAGCTTTGATAAATGGTGGATATGGTTGCCATGCATAGTGTGTTGAGCTGGTTCCACTAGCATCTTGAACAGTGACATCATGAAATCCAGATAGACGTGGAACTATACAAGTGACTGATGATTTATCTGTTTGAGTTATATGACATGATTTCGATAGTTGTTTGGTTGGATTGAAAAATGTAATGTTGATTGTTGAAATGTTGAATTGTGTCAGATTGTTGATTGTTATTGATCCTCCATTTGTACCAATTGATGGAATATATACTTCTGAAATAGGTTGTATTTCAGGTCGGTCCTCTGACGTAAATATAATTCTCTCCATAGGAAGGAGATAAAGATGGTTCACCTGCATCGAATGGACAATATCCTTTAATAAAAACAAAAATGATTATTAATATAATTAATTTTAAAAGAGTTGATCTATTAAAATATACATACCAAAACATTGACCAGTATACATATTAAATAATGGTTGATTGGTTGCTGGTCCACTTGAATAGGAATAATTACCATTGCCTTCAAGATCTTTACCAGAGACCCATGCTGTCTGATAATTATAGATGTTGTTTTTAATAAAATCCCATTCTTGTTTTGATTCAAATGTCGCAAGATATGATTTAAAAGTACTGTTTCCAAAACTCGTACATTGATCCATAGCCTCTGTGATTGTAGGAGTATTAGATAATACTATGTATCCGTGACCATTTCCTCTGACGAAAGTTGACCAAACAGCTGCTACATTTTGTATTGAATTTTGAGCTCGAATGTGATAGATAGAAAACAATAAAACTATGACCACATTTTGAAATAAATTAAAATTAAATAAATAATATTTATGCATTATCTTTTTAAACAGTGATGATTATTGGTTTAAAAGATTTACACTATTTTTTTGATATGCCATTATTATATGTTTTTTTTTTTTACATGCCAATAAATAGATAGATTTAATATATATAATATAGATATAATAGATATAGATACATATATAATATGCGTGTAGTGATTGATTGACTGACTTTATAAACATGACCAGACTCTAGGTATGTTCATAGTTGCTATATTTGCCACCTGTCATAATAAAAGAGAGAGAGACAGACAATAGACCTATAGTTCGGCAAGAGCAATAGACTACAAAGTGTAGATATCACACACACTCTTTCCACACTTTTAATGTAGGTGACATGTCAAAGTAGGTACGTAAAATGATGATGATATCTAAAATTTCAAACTCTATTGAATTTGAGAGTCAATACCAAACCCACTTTTTGCTGGCATTTTTTGGTTACATTATATATCTTGTTTCGTCTCTCTCTCTCTCTCTCTCTTTGCGTTTCGGTAGGATTGACATCTATGAAATGATTATAGTAACCAATAAAATAGAGTATAGTACAAGTGATAGGCATACTACAATGACAGTGATGATTTTCCACAACATGACAATGACTTTCGGAATGGAATGTCACCTTGACGGAAGAGAGTGTTGATTGGTGACTATTCTACCACTATACCCAATCGATCAAATTAGTTTGGTTGTATTGGTTGATTTTATATTTGATTGAATGCTTCGATCTTTGGAACTGACCAACTCATTTTTGTTTGATGATGAGGAAGATTGAATTATTATTATTTATATTATTTGTTGTTGTAGAGGATGCAAAGATCGATGGATGTATACATGTGTCATTATTTATAAGATTAAGCCTCAATCTCTGTTATCTGATCAATAAACATGAAGAACTGTCATCAGAACTATGTTAGAAACTTGAGCTGTCGCTGTGAGATGGTGATGGTTGTTTGATGATCATTCGATTGTTGCAACTATTAATATTAATATGTTAAGTAACTGTTGTTGTTCTCATTCTAGTGATCATATAAACCCTTCATTTGTTTTCTTATGTCTTTTCTTTTTTTTTTGTTATTCAATAATAATTAAAGATACAAACAAAGAGTCGACTGATATCTTTCGAAAGTAAAGTAATTTTTTTAATTTTTTTGTTTAACATTCTTGCTGCAAAGGTGAATAAAGCATCAGTCATCATAATCAACTCGAGTAATAGAGAATGATGTTCGTATGTTTTGTCTTTGACAACTTGAAGAATGTAACTAAACCATTTCAAGACCTATAAAACCATTTCATTCAATATTAAAACTCCGGATTCTTAACAACACTCATTTGTTTGTATCTATTTTTGACTGAGAGATCTTATCTTATCCTCTATTTACATGTGGATAAATCGAATCGATTGGCTGTAAAAAATGTCTATAGACTGATTTATTTATTTTCTTCTTTGTATTACCAGATGTGCGACTTTAGATAATCCAGTTTTCTTCGTCTTGGAAATGGTTACGATGGCCACCTTCTGCTGGGTGATTGCAATGTGGCAACTGATCATCATCTCTGATGCATTGTGCAGCTCCACACGACGATTTAACACAGGTGTATCCCTTTGAGCATCCTTCTACAGTTCCATCGTGTTTGATGCGACATTGTGGAGCACATAGTTGGAGATCAGACGTGATAGCACCAGTTGAAAACAAAGATGTAACACCGTCGGTAAATCTACCAATTGTCGAGCCTGATGAAATGGGGCACTCTTCGTACTCGAGAGTGTATGGGTTGGGAATGGTGATACATCCATGCTTGACATGACATACTGATATTTGACATCGGTTGGCTGGTTGTGGGCATTTAACTTCATGTGGTTGACACGAAAGGGTGCGAGGATCGTACCTAAAGTATTCACACTCGGTGTCGTATTGAGGGCAGTTGGGTGGCCCAGCTACACCAGTGGACATTGAGCCCACCCCAGTGGTGGTGGTGGTGGAAGAGGTGGTGGTGGTAGTGGTGGTGTTGCCTCCGACGTTTGGAACACATATTCCATCCTCGCAATGGGTAGGTCCGGCACAGATGACTGGTCTTTCGACACATTGACCTTGGCTGCAGACATGGGGTTTACAATAATCGGTGAATGGACATAGAACCTGGGTGGAGACACAGACATTATTCACACATGTAGTATTGATACATGTGCCGGAATAGTCACACAAGGGGACACCTACTTCATTTCCAGTGGCTGGGTCGCAATGATACATGACGCATTGATCGGTGTGGTTGAGCTTTGGAGTTTGGATACACAGTCCACCTTGGCACGCACTGGTCACACAGAGATCGGGTACACTACAGTCCTTGGGAGTATAGGTACAGCCGCTAAAGTCAACACAGGTTCCAATCATACATAGATCGGGGTTGTCACATGGCGCTGCGGCGTACAGGCAGGTGCCATTCAAACAAATTTCACGGGTACATGGATTTAGATCATCACAGTTTCGAGGTGTTTCCGCACACAGTCCAGTGCTTTCATCACAAACAGATAGGGCACAAGCACTCGAGGGGGTGCACACTTTTGGCAGATGGGTAATTACACCAGTGTCGGGATTACAAAAGTCAATGGTGCACAAACGACCATCGCTGATGGGAATGTCTGTGAGATCACATCCGGTTCCATCTGGATGACACTCGAAATCCTGGCATAGAGTGTGTGGGCAAATTGAAGTACAGTTGCATATATCCTTTTGCGTGTTGACACATTGACTGTTGACACAGGTGTCGGTTGTACATATGTTACCATCGTCACATCTATTGTTGACGTTGATACATCCAAGTGTTGCGGAACAAGAATCGTCGGTACAACCATTATTGTCATTACAGTCCTTTGGGACTGGGTCAGTACAACGACCGTCGGTACAAACGCTAATTGTACATGGGGTGGTTGGGCATACAAGTGGTGTGTAATAACATCCATAGGTAGGGTCACATTTCACGATAGTGCATGGAGCTGGGGGACAAACAACAGTGGTAGGGGTACACAAGTTGTTTGAACAATTACTTTGAATACAAAGGTTCTTGGGATCGGTACAGCTGATATCCTGATGAGTACAGAATTGAGGCCAGTTTTGACCGTTGATTCCCGGTGTGTTTACAGCTGGACACCTGTCGATAGTACATGGATTTCTGTCGTCGCAATGGATGGCAGCGTTGCAACATTGAGAACCATCACCTTGACAAATACCACAATAGTCATAAAACTCACATTCCAAATCAAAGTTGGTTTCGATTTGTATATGGCTTTCGGTTGTATGTCTTTCACAATAAAACATATCAAATTTTAATTGGGTCTAGATATATAGATAGAATGAGGATAGTGGAATTAAATTAATGTTAAAATGAATATTAATGGGTTTAAAAAAAATGTCAACATACCCCTGGAGGATATGTAGCAAGACTGATGGATCCAGATTGGGCACCATGGACACCTCCAAGATCCAATACAAGTTGATTGTCTATATATACCCATACATCATCATCTCCAACGAAATTAAATACTTCTCCACCCTACAATAATAATAATTAGGAATATATTAGTTTATAAAGTTTAAATTTAATTTAATACTACAATACGAATGAGTTGATACATACCATAGTGTGGAGAGTTAAATCCATATGAAGACAGAAATGGAAGTTTTTGTTCAGATAGATTGGATATCCGAGAGCATCCCATCCCTGACCGTTGATTGGGAAGAAGGCACTGTTAGCATAGGTCCACTTTCCGGAAACTGGGTCTTTGACAAATACCAGATCAAATGGAATTGGAATGTTGATTCCCGGGGTCGAGGTAAACCACTGCGAAAAAGTGGTAGCACTATGAATACCACCCTCTAAAGGAAGACCAGCAAAATCTGGAACTCCTTGGGCATTGAGAGTTTGAGAAGCAAGTCCATTCTTAAAAGTAATGGGATTATATTCAAAATCTGGATTTAATGTTGGATGATGATCATAAATGGTAACCCTAAAAGTTTTTGCTTTAATATTAAATATCAAAATAAAAAAACAAAGGGATGAGAATAGATACTTTGGATATTGTGGATATCCACAATCTTTTTCTTTTATATTTGGGTTTGTGATACATACTTTCAGAAGAAACCAATAGAAAATGTTGGAAAAGTATACATAAAATTATGGAGAGACATAAATTGATAAATTTCATATCTCTTTCTTTCTTTCTTGTTATTTTATTCTTTTTCTTTCTGTTTTGAGGAAAGAATAAGGCTATAAATAAAAGAAGAAATGATAAATGATTTAAACAATATAATGTTTTTTGAAAGGTATATGTGGATTGTGTAGAACAAAAAAGAAATCAATTATCCAAAATGATTTTGATATTGTTGGAGTGGATTGGATTCAATCAGTGTTCATGACAATGATATTGTTGGTTTTAAAATTAGCAGTGAACAGAATAGATGTTGAAGAGGGTCCCTACAGTGATCGTTGTGATCATGACAATGATCGTTGGTATACTAGTAGTATAGAATAGAAGCTGTGGAGTGTTAAATAATATTAGCAGTATCGAAAGGATTGGATCCAATGTGTGTTACCGACAATCATCGTGGGTTTATTAGTAGTATAGAATAGAAGCTGTGGAGGGTTTACTCTTGATAAATATAGTGATTCGTGAGCCCACTATTCTCGTTCCTTTTTTATACCATAAGCCATTCCTTATTCGAGGATGTTGGTTGTTTTACAATATATGAGGTTCTAAAAAGAAATGATTATGATTGATCCATAATCGAAACCACTATGTGTACTGTTTGTATGTAATTAAACAATTATAAAAATGTTGGCTACTGTTTGGATTTGTCATAATTTATTGTATTATTTTTTTTCGTGGATTTGATTGAGGAACTGAATGAATGGTGTGGTCCAACACAATATGTGGTGTGGTCCAACACAATATATGTGGTGGCCCTTTTTCGAAATCCAAAACAATCATGTACAACAAAAAACAATTTTTCAATCGATTGCGACTGTAAACAACACCTTATGGTATTATGAACTGATCCGTGGATGGATGGATCAACCACCATCATGCACTCTACAATCCATTTCTAGCACACTGAACAAAGAATTGATTGAATAATAAACACTGATTGAAAAATAGTTGGATCTATTCTTTTTCCAAATAAACCAGAATCTGAATGATGAATGCAATTTAAATTGGTATGAAAAAAAAAAAAGAAAGAAAGAGATATATTATCTTTATTTAATAATACTATTTAAAGACTTAACTCTCAGAGCAAGAGAATGAAAGAAATCTTTATTTTAATTATATTATTGAGCTGGTACATTCTAAAAAACGATCGATTCGTAGATTGAGGTTGGAAAAGTAGTACTTTTCCCAAAATTAAATAGGGAGGAGGAGGAAAAATGATTATTTATTTAAAAATGTTTATCTTATCTCGCTTCAATCTTGTATGCATGATTGAGTGGATGGATAGCAATTCCTGCAACTTCGGATTCATCCAATTGTTTTCCAGTTGGTGAGGAGATTTTGAAATTCTTGAAAATGTTTGCCAATGCTGAATACATCTCGTCCATTGCAACATGTAAACCAAGGCAATTTCTTTCACCAACGTTGAATGGAAGGTAGGATTCCAATCTTTCGTTTGTAAGGAAACGTTCTGGCATAAAGACATCGGGATTGGGGAAACAATTTGGGTCACGGAGAATGGTGTAGTAGTTTGGAATGACATGGGTACCCTTTGGAATAAAACATCCGTCAATGACGATTGGCTCGAGTGCCACTCTTGGGAATCCAATGGGTGCAATATGCTTGTATCTGAGTACCTCTTTGAGCATGGCATGGGTGTATGGAGTGTCTTGTTTGTTGTTGCTTTGAACTCTTGTGTCCAATCCAAAAGCATCTCTCAACTCACTACTAACCTTTTCTTGAATGTGTGGTTGGTTGACCAAAAACAATGCGGCCCAACTCAATGTATTGGCCGATGTTTCAACACCTGTAATCATCAAATCAAATGTTACATTGGTCAATAAATCTTCATCATAGTCTTGTAAAATCATAAAATCTAACATGTCTCTTGGTCTATTAATAAAATACATAAAGGTTTGTTAATCATCGATACTCTATTTCCAGTTTGTTTTGACAAATAACATACTTGTTTTTATCGATAGTTTGAACATGCTCTTTTACATATTTTCTAACTTCACCTTTTACATCTTCGATTTCATTTCCAATCTTGCTAATCAACATGTAGTAGATGGGAGAGAGGGCATGGATAGTTTCGAAAAGTTGACCATGTGCCATTTTCGTAATCATTCTTTCGAGTGGCCCAAAAGTTTTACCCATCAAACCATCTTGAATAGTATCGGTATACTCAATCTTGTATGAAAAGATTACTTTACATGCAACTGCAAATGTATATTTCTTGAAAAAATCGTTCAACTTGAGCTAAAATAAATATTATTAATTTAAAGTTCATTTGTTTGTTTGGTTATAATTCTTACAAGTTCACCAGATTGAGCATGTTCTTTTAATTTTCTAGTTAATTGTTCGCCATATTCATTGATTGCATCGGACCATAATTCAGAGGTTTTGGTCTTGGTGAAATGTGGAGAGAGAGCATGACGGATTGGTTTCCAAGTCTTGTGTGGACCCATCAATAGATCGTTAAAGTCTGGTGAAAAGAGACGGAGAGTTGGGGTAGGTGGACGATCACTGAATATCTTAAAGTTTTTGCTATTCATTTCGGTCAATAAACTAGCGTCGTTGACAATGATACTATAGTTATCACCAAACCAAATGGACATTAATTTACCATACTTTTTCGAGAGACTGTGTAATCTAAGTTGTGGAGGATCTCTTGAAATCAAACAATACAATCCACCAATAATTGGTAATGATAATGGTCCCTTTGGATCACTTGTTGAAAATTTAGCATTCTTTTTAATCTAAAATAAATAACAAAAAAAAAATAGATAAGATGTCAATATAATAATGATCCAAAAAATATATATATATTTATATATATTTCCAGATTTTTTTTTATTTTTTTTTCATTGTATACTTACAAAAGAATAAACCAAGAATACTAAAAATATATAAAATATAATGTTTAGGTTTATCATATTTTAGTCTATATAGAAAACTTTATAGTTTTTTTATGATATTATTATTATTATTATTATTATTATTATTATTATTATTATTATTATTATTTAATGGGGAGATGGGGATTTTTTTTAAACTATTTCTATTTATAAAAAAAAGTGATGATGATGAATGGTATTATTGGGTGGTTGGTTTGGTTGGGTGTCGTGTCGTTGTTGTAGTTGGAGATTTATGTTTATGTTTATGTTTTTGTTGTTATATTTATATATAAATATATTTATATATCAGGGGTGTATATCAAATTAATGTAAATATGTAATCTTTAATTAATCCGTCCGTTTATATTTATCCTAATTTAAATAATGTAATGGTTGGAATGATTTTTAGTATTAGATGAATCTGACAACTTGTCTTCTTCTTGGCGTTGTTGTTGGGTTTTCTAAATTGGTGTTCGTTCTCCTCTCCTCCAAGTCGCTCACTTCACAGTTGTCTCTTCACACAACACACAACTCCTTCTAGATATAATAAATATATTATAATGTTTAAATTACATACTGTTGCTTTGCTTGGTCAAGGAAAGGAATCACACAGTCCTATGTCAGTCAGGTAAGGTCAGTGGTCAGTGGTGGTCAGTTCCAACCCACACAATGAAAATGACAGGACAAGAGATTCTTAAAGAAGAAGAGTTGAGGGTCTGGTCGGTAATTATTAATTATTTTGTATGTGTTGTTATTGTTGTCAGAGGGATGGAGGAAGGGAGGTGGATGGATTAATTGATTGATGGATGATGGATGATAAATTAGATGTTACACACAATGATTGATTGATTGATTGAAGAGAAGAGGTGGAGATAATACTATTTAGTAGGTGTATATATAATTGGTTCTGATGAAGAGATGTGCTGTGGTCAATGATCATTTTTCCTTCCTCTCTTAGGTCTGTTCTGTAACATAAAACAATCAAATCAAATCCGACCTAGGATATATTTGATGATTTGATTTATCGTTCAGTGTACACTGTTTTTGCTTCCTATGCACCCACCCCATCCAAAGTGAATGGTTGGGGTGATTCAATTCCATAACCGCGGTTCCACAGTGAACACACACTGAATGAAACACAAACCATTGTTGATGGTTGTTGTGTTTATATTTTTGTGTTGTTGGTAGGTAGGTAGGTGGTGTGTGAGTGTGTAACTGAATGTCTTTGATGATGATGATCGGATGGGAGGAGGGGGTGACGCTGATTAGGATCAATTGATATAGTTCAAACTCGTAGAGGTGATCGTTGGAAGCCAAACTCAACGGGGAGGTGCAATGAGCTTAACTACTGTGTGAATTAAAAATAACACACACATGCTGCTGTATACAGTCTGCATCTCTAATACCCCCTCCTCATCGGTCATCCCTCCCTTTAAAAGACACACACACTTTAACGTCATTTTAAAGATGGTTGTACCGTTTCAAAACAGACTAGTCTGTTTGATCAAACAGTGTGGTATCAAACGATACATGCATTGGGATCTATCTCTTTTTTTTTTATTTTTTAATTTGATTTGGTTTTTTTGAACTGTTGTTTGGCAATGACAGCCCACACACTACACACACAAACCTAATCCAATTTAAACTGTTTATGGTAAAAATACAACAATGGGAAGGGGGAAGGGTTTTTTTTGTTCCAAGATCAGCGAACAACAGTAACACGTCTTTGTCGAGTTGAGATTGAATCTTGCAACAAATGATGGTTTTCAAGACCATCTTTGTCCTCTTGATCTAATTCCTCCTCCTCCTCCTCATCCTGGCTATCTATGGGTACTTCTTCATCTAATATCTTTGAAGCTGGTGGAGGAGCAGTAGCTCCATTGCCATTCATCTTTACCAAATTTTGATTTTCCTTTGAAACTCCTGTTTCCTTTGTTGCTGTAGAGTTGTTGTTGTTGGGGACATTTGTTATTGTTGTTGTTTTTTCTTTTTCTGGTTCATCATCATTATAACTTGAAGTATTTTGTTCTTTGGAGCATTGGGAAAGGAACTCGTCGATGTTTTTAAGGATTAATTCGGGATCGTCACGATTGATGATGAACCATCCTTGGAGCTGAGCAGTGCTCACCTTTTGCGAGCCGATTGCCTTGATGATGGGTGCAACCATCCATGTGAGGTCGGCACCAAAGAAACGATTAAACATTTGCGTGACTTGGTAGGTGGTGGCGTAATCAAACTTGACCTTGACGTCGATACGGCCTGGTCGGATCAAAGCGGGTGACAGACGTTCAATGTGGTTGGTGGTCATGATCAATATGCGACCGTCGGATGACGCCAAGCCGTCCAATGCATTGAGCAGGCCTGAAAAGGTCAGCACGTCATTCTTCATACCCTGACGCTTGACAAACGCCGCGTCAATGTCTTCGAGCACCAGTACCGTGTCGGCTGGCGTCTTTTGCACGATCGAGTGGATGTTGCCGTCGTGGATACCCTTGCTCATGTTCATAATCGAGATGGAGTACCCAAATTTACCGGCGATCGATAGAATAAACGACGTCTTGCCCGTACCAGGTGGGCCGTAGAACAAGTAGCCGCGGCGGTATGGTACACCAGTATTGACATACCAATCCTTTCCGCTGACGAAATTACCCACATCACCCATAATATGATTTCTAACACTTGGGTCCAATATAACTGAATCTAACACTCTCTTTGGTTGAACCGTAATACATTCCCAATATAATCCATGTGGTTCTAATGTAAATATTTTTGTCTAATAACAATCAAATCAAATTAAATTAAATGTTAGTATTATTTATATTATTATTTGTTATTATTTTTTTTTTTAATTATTTTACATACTTTATCTTTATTTAAAGTAACAGAATAATTCATTGCATCTTGAATTAAACTATGTAGAGTATTTTTGTTACCAAATACAATGGTGATATCGATGCAATCACGAGCGACACCTTCACGAGATGTTTTGGCCGATGCTTGACGAATGATGTGAACAATGTGTCCTTGGTAGAGAATCCATTGGGTGCCAGTTGGCAAGAGGGTGAATGATGGACGTGACTTTTCGGCGGTTGATCTAGTCATGACAGACACGCTTCTTGTGCCAAAACCCGATTGGATGGACAACCATTCCAACAACCAAACAAACGATGGGTCGGGATTCGATATTTTAGCGGTATAATAGAATCTACTACCTAACCATACCAACAATGCAGATACACATTCTCTAACTAGATTCATTCCCCAAGACATCATTACTAATCCTATTCCCATATAAAGGATTGGTAGGAATCCTCCTCCTCCTCCTCCTTCTGATGCACCTGCTCCACCATTAAACGATGCCATCCCTATCAATCCCAAGGGTGATGTTATAAGCTTTTCAATATCCATTTCTCTCTCTTTCTAACAGAATTGATTTGATATATGAATGTATATATGTATATAAGTGTTTATAAATAAATAAATTTAGATAATTTGTACAACAAACAAAGTGATAAAGTAAATAGATAGATAATGATAATGATAATGATAATAATAGATAGAACTAAATATACAAATGAAGTGTTGTTGTTGATGATGACTATGTACACATAAGTTATTATAGTTGATTAATACTATGCAAACTTAAATTAATTTAATTAAAAATAGAAACTGATTGATGTTGTTCTGTCTTTGATCATCATCTGTCAATTCATTAATCTTGGTGACGGTGGTGATGATGATGCTAATGTTGTTTTTTTAAACTCTTCTCAAAACAAACAGATACTTTAGTTTACTAGAAGAATGATGAGTATTGAATGAAACAGTCCTTTCCTTTCTTATCGTATCAACCACCCTCTTTCTCTTGAGGGGTTTGAAAATGATTGGGGGGTTCGAATTTGGAGAATCAATCAGCCGGCGATCATTATAATCGTTATCGTTGTACAACATCGCAAGTATCAACCAAAAAAGGATAAAAGAGAATGATGTTAAATAAATAAGGAATAAAGAGTATAAAGAAATAATAATGAGTGTTATAAAGTATGTCTTTCGATAATAATAATATTTATTATTTTTTAATCGGCGATTTTATAAAGTACACTTTAATGACAAACACGAACTGAGAACAATATTTGTTATATGTTGTTGAATTAATAATAATATAAAAGAATAATAATAATCATATGTATCATTTGAATAATAGCAATCAATATTCGCAGTCATGAGCCAACAAGAACAACAACAACAAGGAATACAACAACAACCGATGTTGATACCAGAGGAATTAGAGTTTGAAGAAATACCTCCACCTCCCGAAGCTCCATTACCAGACGAGTGTTGTGGTACTGGTTGCGTTAGATGTGTCAACGATATCTATGAAGAACAGATGGAGGACTATGAAGATATAGTTAGAATCATCAAACATAGGAACAAGGTGAAACAACAAAAGAGAGATGCCTTGGGACTACTTCCTCAACAACAAGAGACAACTGCTGTAACCGCTGCTTCATCGTCATCATCAACTACTACAAACGACAGTACATCATTATCTTTACTTTCTCTTCAAGATGGTGGTAATGAACAAGATGACGAGGATGACGATGAGGATGACCATGAAGAGGATGACGAGGATGATGAAGAGTTTAAAATAATTATAAAGTATCATCAAAAACAACAAGAACAAGAACAAGAACAACAAGTTACAACACCAGCACCGTCATTGAATATGGGGATATTGAATGGATACAAACAATTAACATCGGATGACTCACCATACACAACCTATCATATGGAGATTGAAATGAATGATAGAACTACCTCATCATCATCATCATACCAACCAGGAGACTATGTTGCATTACTGTGTCCAATGGATGGGGAAGAGGTAGAAAAGATTATAAAACGTATTCAAGTTGATGGCGATCAACTCATTTCAATTGAACCAAGAAAGAAAATGAATAAGAATGGAAAGGAAAAGTCGACCTTTGTCATACCAGACCATTTACCTAGTACATGTCAAGTTTCAACCATCAAGGATATATTTACTTGGAGATTGGATATTACATTTGTACCACCACAATTCTTTCTCAAACAAATGGCGGAATACTGTAATGTGAAAAGCGACAGAGACAAACTCACCTACCTATCAACAAGCTCCGGTACATCAATATACAATGAAACCATTGTACAACACCGATTAACATTCACAACACTACTTGGTAAATTTAAGTCATTCACTCCACCACTGGAATTCCTTTTACTTCATATTCCAGCTCACCAACTACGACAATATTCAATCTCTAGTTCACCACTTTCATCAAATAATCATATTCACATTACTTTTACACTTGTAAAATTTAATAATAATCAAAATAATAATACTAATAATAATAATCAACCGACACCAACATCGACGACGACGACAAACAAAGATTATGGTAAATGTACATTTTGGATGCAAAAACAAATTAAACAATTTGAAAATATTAATAATAATAATAATGATGATAATGATGGAAAGATAATAATACCATATAGAATAGAACCAACAAAGCATTTTAGATTACCAAATGATCCATTAAAGACACCTTTAATATTGGTATCTACTGGAACTGGGTTAGCACCGTTTCGATCATTCCTTCATCACCGAAAATACCTCTACGATATCGAATTGGCAAAGAATCCAACCTTTGAAATTGGTAAATGTTACCTATTCTTTGGTTGTAGAAGAGAGGATTGGGATCTTCTCTATCACGAGGAATTATTACAATTTGAAAAGGAAAATATTATAAGTAATTTATTTATTCAATTTTCAAGAGATCAACAAGATACAACATCAACAACAACAGGCAACGACAACAAAAAATATATAACATCAACAGTTGAAAAACATGGAGATTCATTATACAATCTAGTAGATAAACATCAAGGTGTAATTTATGTTTGTGGTAATTCCAACAAGATTGGTAAATGTGCAACACAATCATTTTTAAATATTATCAAGAAATACAATAACACAACAACAACAACACTGATGAGTGACAAGAATGCAGAAGATATATTAAATAAATGGAAATCAAAAGGTCAATACTTGATGGATGTATGGGTATAAATAATAATAATAACACATTCAATGACATCATTAGAAACAAATCTAAAATCAACATCACTTTTTGACCAAAGTGATCTGTTTTGTGTCCCCTCTGCGTGCCTTCTTCTTTGAATTGATCAAATATCTCATACCCTCGATATAAATTAATTGGTTGCTCGTGCGATTTTTTTGTCACCTGACAATTTATTTGAAAACGTGACTTTTCATCTGCAAGGGCTCTGTTGCCAAACCCAAACGATGTTGTTGCATGGTGGGTGGGGGCGTTCATAGAAGCATCATCATCAATCATCAATCATACCTACAGATATATATATACACATACACACATTGACTTTATTTATACCACCACCTTCTCTTTGATCAAAAACAGAAACACTCACACCATTTTTATACATACACACACTGTTTAATTGGTTATAGTAGTAGGCAGACATACATTCACGTGTGATATGTGTGAATAAGGAAGGGTAAGGTTTGTTCACTATTTTATTTATTATAAATAAATCATCAATCAATCAATTCAACATACTACATACAATCAATCAATCAAGTTCAAACAGACTCTTTCTTGTATTTGTTTTAATTAATTAGTAAATAGATAGAGATATAGATATAGATATAGATAGAGATATATATATATATTAAACAATGATGAAAACAGAAGTAGAACAACAACACCAACAACAAATCAATGATATAAATAAAAGTAGTAAAGAAACTAAAGGAACGGATGGATGGGTTTTGGCTCAGAAAAAGGTATAAAGAATTGTTGGAAATCAATCATACAATTATATAGTTAACAAAAAAGTTAATAACAAATCATATGATATATTTATATATTTATAGGTATTCACGAATTGGTGCAATATTTATTTAGGACTTCGAGAGTTGAGTATTAAAGATGTACAGTTGGATTTAGAGGATGGTATATTACTTGCCAATCTGTTAGAGGTATTGTCTGGCAGTAATAGTATTCTAAGTAAATGTACCAAACTCAAAAACAGGTTACATAAAGTAAACAATATAAATTTTAGTCTAAAGTTTATTGCAGAGGAGGGTATTAAAATGGTTGGATGTGGTGCAGAGGACATAGCAGACGGAAACCTTAAATTAATTATGGGCTTGATTTGGACACTCATTAAAAGTTACCAAATACAATCTCTATCTTTAAGTCTACCACAACAACAACAAAGTCCACAAAAAATAAATAGTTTAAATGGTTGTATGTATCATTATAAATAATAAATAATAATAATAATAATAATAATAATTCAAATTATAATAATAATTCTTTTTTTTCATTTACAATATTAGCCAGTCAGAATTTAAAACAATTTGTATCAGCAAATGAAGTATTACTTCAATGGACAAGAACTCAATTACAAGATTATAATAATATAGTAGTTAATGATTTTACAAAAAGGTATATACATACATACATATACATATATAGATATATATATATATAATATTATTTATCTATTCTATTTTTAACTATGCACCAAGGAGTCAACCCAAAACCGTCCGTTTGACTTTTTGGCGCCTTGTTTTAAAATTGCGATTTTAATCTGCAGCAGGAAGAGAGGGTTTGACTTTGTTCGTTTTTTCATTCTTTATTACTAACATTCATATATATTCTATTCATATTCTATACATATACTTACTTTACATTTATATATATATAGTTTTCAGAATGGTATTGTGTTTTGTAGTTTGATACATAAATTAATACCAGAGGCAATCGATATCAATAGTTTAAATCCAGATCAGGCATTAGAGAATCTACAGTTGGCATTTGACACGGCAAAGCAGGCATTGGGTATTCCATCTATTCTTGAAGCAAAGGATATCATCGAAGAACCAGACGAGCTCTGTATCATCACCTATCTGTCTCTCTTTCCAAAGGTATACCAAAAGTTTTTGGACCCTACCGTCGAGAACAAGCGTTTCTCTGTCTCTCTCACTCCCACCAAGAGATTTAACAATAGATCTTCTCAAACATTAAATACAACTGATATTAATAATTCATTTAGAGAACAACAACAACAAGATAATCAACAAAAACAACAACAACCATTGGCATTGATTGTAGAAGAAAAACAACAACAAGAGGAACAAGAGAAGAAAAAGAAACAACAACAAGAAGAAGAAGAAGAGAAAAAGAAACAACAAGAAGAAGAGGAAAGAAAGAAAAAGGAACAACTTGAAAAACTTAAACAACAACAAGAAGAGGAAGAAGAGGAAAGAAAGAAACAACTTGAAAAACTTGAACAAGAACACTCTGACCAATTAAATACATTGAATCAAAGAATAGAGAGCTTGGAGAAATCATTGGACCAAAAGGAAAAAGAAAAAGAGGCAAAGATGACTGAACTGCAAGATCAAAGAGAGTTTACGGCCGAGTTTTTAAAAGAGATATTGGATCTCAAGAATACACTTTCCAACGGTGTCAATCTAGACTCTGAACAACTATCGCAGTTTGAAGCATCTCTCAAGGAGAATGACAAGTTGTTGAGTGATTTGGCGTCTGCTCAAGACAGACAACTCGTTAAGGATGGCACTATCAACTCGTTAAAATCAATCATCGAGGAAAAGGATAGACGTCTTCAAGAGCTTCAGACAAAGGCCGCATCGCTTGCTAGTGCCGACGAACAAGCCCAAATACTCCGACTGGAATTTGAAGAGCTCAAGAGCAAGTGTCAGTGTCAGACACTCGTCATTGTCTTGAGAGAACGTGTCCAGGAGCTAGAGAGACTGGAAAAAGAATCAGCTGACGCCAAACAAGAGCAGGATCAGGTGGTCGCCACTTTACGTCTGGAAAAGGAGAATATGATCAACGAGCATTCCGAGCAAGTCAACCAACTCAAACAACGACTGCAAGAAAGAAATTCAGAGCGTGAAGAAAGCAAACAAAAAGAATTGGAGGAATTACATGGCACTATCGATCAACTCAAGGGTACAATTTCGGATCTGCAACGAGAAGTGTCATCTGAAAAGGGGAAATGGGACACTCTCAACCAGAGTGGTAGGGAACAGAGGGAAGAGCTCGAGAAGGAAATCGAGCAATTAAAACAACAAACCAACAACATGTTGGCAGACAAACAAGAGGCATTAAAGGAAAAGGAAGGGTTAGAGACGAGACTGGCAGAAGCATTGGCTGCACAACAAGGCAATTGGAAAGAGATTATCCAGGAAAAGGAAAAGGCAAACGAGGCACTACAAGCCAAGATAGAGTCGATTCACCAACTAAAGACAACTGCCATCGACCAATTGCAAGAGGAGAGATTAAAATTATTGGCAGAGGTTGAACAAGTCAAACAATCAACCACCCAACAATTGAATGATAAATTGGGTTCGATCGAGCAACTTTCACAAGAAAAGGGGTTGCTCTTGACCGAGCTTGAAGAGACCAAGAAATCATCCAATCAACAGCTCCAAGAAAAGATCACCTCTTTTGAACAACTTCAACAAAAGACTGATCAATTGGTAGAGGAAAAGAGTAAACTAATCGTTGAAATGGATCAAGTTAGACAGACCTCTAGTCAAGAGTTGGTAGGCGTACAGAATCAATTGGATAGTCTGAGTAAAAAATACGACACACTCAACCAACAACATACATCGCTTCTCCAACAACAATCATCCAACACCAACGACACTATCAGTCTCATGTCACAACAACTCTCACAACTCACAACCCGCTACGACCAACTTGAATCGGAAAATGTCAATCTTGCACAAACCAACAAAGACTTGGAAAACAAAATAGAGCAATCGGCACTTGGTACAGGCAGTTTACAAAAAAAATTGGAGCACATATCCAAGCAATTTGCAGGTTTGGATGATAGAAACCAACATCTTGCTCGAGAATCAGAGGACAAGACTGCACAAATTAGAGACATCTCGATTGAATTGCACAATATTACCATCAAATATGATACTCTTCAAAGTAATTATCAACGTATGGTACAAGATCATTCAATGGAAAGAGAACAATTGAATCTCTCTACATCGGATCTTGAAAACAAGTATGGTGCATCACTTAAAGAGATTAATCTTGGCAAGTCATTGATTGGACAAGCCGATGAAAAGAATGAATCACTCTCCAACAACCTGAAACAATTGGAGGAAAAATACAACAATCTCACAACTCAATTTAATAATCTTCAACAAAAATTAAAAGATCAACAAGATAAACATATTTTGGAATTACAACAAGCTTCTAGAAAATCAAAAGATGACAATTCAAATATATCAACAAAAGAACAACAAGAATTTGAGTCTCGTATTGATAATTTAAACAAACAATTAAAAGATAGAGAAGAAACTATAGATAAACAACAGAAACTTTTACATAAACAACAACAAAATCAACAACAAAATCAACCACCTCTTTCAACAACAAAAGAATACGATATTTTAGAAAAACGTATCATGGAAGAGGTAGCAAAGAATCCTCAAAGTTCACTTCAAAGAGTATATAGACTCGCAAATGAAAAATACTTTGTAAATTCTAAAATTGTAAATATTACAGTTGATAAATCGAATCAATCTTTATTAGGTAAATATCAATCAAAATATATAACTACTGTTATTAAAATTATTAATATTTTATTTTATTACTGTTATTTAATGTTTAGCAAATTCTGATGATATGGCAGTTCCAGTACCACTAAGTAAACTATTTTTAAAGGAACCAATGATAATGGTCAATCCAAATCAAATAGGAACAACACCTTCATCATCATTCTCTTGGAAAATGTTATTGTTTGGTGGAATATTTTTAGCATTGTTTTATGGATATGCAAGACCTAATGCTTTGACTCGTCCAAATTAAATTAATAATAATAAAACAAAAAGACATAAATATATAATTTATTTTTTAGATAATAAATAATAATCCCAACAAAAAAGATTAATATATTGTTTATTATATTATAATTTTTGTGACCAATTTGTTTGTATTATTAGAGTTGTTGAATATTAGATTTTGATTTAAATGGCCACATATTTCCAATTATATTGCCAATATCCTTTGAAACTGGAGACGATGGTTTCTTTTGTGGTTGTGATGGGAATATATCCAAAGACATTGGAATGGTTTGGATAAATGGTTCCATTCTAATACTTTCTTGTTCTGGTCTCATTTTTTTTATTATTCTATTCTATTCTTTCTAATATTCATTGAAATTAAAATAAAAATATTTTTTCAATCCTTTGTAAGCAAAATTGTAAAGTATACTTTCTCGAGAGTATACTCGAAAACTATAATTTCTAAAAATAGAAATTACTCTTAATAGTTTTTTTTTTTTTACTCTTTTTATAAATTTTGGTATCATGAAAGTTTATCCATCTTTTTATCTAGATAAAAAAAAAATTGTTGGATCTATTGATTTTAATAGGTGTTTAAAGCTTTGTTGTGATAATATTATATTATACGAACGAAATTGTTTGTTTACTTACTTGAACCATATTAAAGTTGTACTGAATATCATCATCGACGACCTTATTCACTGTGTAGTTGTGGTAGTGAGGTTAATATTCAGTACAATTCATATGAGCAGTACCTCCGAATTTGTTGAATGCGGTGAGAAGATGTTGGTTTTCGGAGCACGCCGCTCACGTGTGATCATCGCATATATTCCATAGAGAGATTTGGAATTTGATTTATTTGTAAACCCATCTATAAACAATTGTAAGAAAATATATTAGAAGAGAAGAAGTCCAGGTACAACTAGTTGATTGGCGCTGCGATTGGGTGTCTTTAGATTTTACAGATTTTGATCATTCGATTAGTTTACTTATCAACAATAGATTTGTTCTTACTTCTGAAATGTTATGTATTATTCAATTAAATTCGAAGTCTCGCTCTTTGAACTGATCATAAGATAACAAAATTAAAAACAAAATTAAAAAATAATATTATTTTTTTAATATGAACTAGTTGGACTGTTGGGTATCATTAATCGTATGCATATCGAACATGAACAGAGATGATGACGACTTTGACTTGTACGCAGACTTAGATAAAGGGTCGATATCTACTCCATTAAAAGTAGATATTATTGAAGAAGAAGACTCAACACAAGTGGTTTCAAACAACAACAACAACAACAAGTATTCATCATGTGATACCAGTAGTAGTAGTCAAGAAGATGTAAAGAAACTTGAACAACTGATCACAGAATTAACAAGCAAGAATGAACAGTTGAATAATACGATATCCTCTCTGACTAAAGATGTATGCTTTCATTATCTATGCATGCAAACCTTTTTGAATTTAATCATAAACTAACAACAATTGCATTTAAATGTAGAAAGAGAATTTTAAAAAGGTTAATGAAATATTGATGAAGAATATATCTTGTCTATTTAAAACTGCAATGGTTGAAAGTCAAAGAAAAGATAAAGAAATTGAAACTCTAAGGTTAGTAATTCCCATATTTTAGACAACTGCCAATACTAATGTCTCTTTTTTATATAGAAATCAAAATGATCAATTAATCAAGACCAATCATAATCATAATAATAACAATAAAAGATAGATAGATAGATGGATCTATCTATTATTTGTTTGTATATATATATATTAAAAAAGTATTTATTAAATTTATTTATTATTACCAGTTATTATCCAATTCATAACCAAGTTGAACTAAAATACTTCCTGCCTCTTCTTTGAACCATTGTTTTTGGTTCTTTGTAAAGTAATTTTGCCAGTCTCCAATCTCACCCTTTCTAAAGAACTTGTTCTTGCTATCGCCTTCCTCTTGGAATCCACCTGGACTGGTCTTGTCGTCGGTGGAGAGGGGCTCGGCTTCGTCGGGGTCGAGGTTAAGGAACCGGTACATTTCAGCACGTGTTTCTTCTGGGAAACGATGTAGCTCTTCGTAACGGACGATATGCACCTTGGTGGGTGGATTCTTCATCTCACCAAGACTCTCGACTAATTGGAAATCCTCTCGAGCACGTGTTGCCCATGACTTGGCAACGTGTCTAAAGCAGACTTCCTTGTCGAGTAGTTGGCCGGGGTGCTTTTTAAAGTAGAGTGGGTCGGATTTGTAGCCATTGACATAGACGGGGTCGACCAGGTACTTGGACTGACCACCACACCAATTTTCAAAGCCACCTAGTCTCACGTAATGCCAAAATAGTGATACGAGGACATCACGACCATCACGCATGATGACAATGTAACGAGCGCCTGAAATGAGTGGTGATAGTGGTGAAGGGGTCTTTTCACCAACCCAGCTGATCAGTGGCGCCGTGGCGGGTGACACGCCCGACAATACTAGGTTTCTGACAAACGAACGATACCACTTTCTCGTCAAAGATATGTATGGCTCACGAGCAGCAGCCCAGTGAGAATCGGTGAATTTGTCAAGAGCATCTTCGAGTAGATGGAAATGGAATTCTTGTTGTGCCAACAATATTCGTGGATGCAAGTTGAGTACCTTTTTGAGCCATGATGTTCCACTCTTTTCATGACCTCTGACAAAGAGCAAACCAATATGGTCTCTGCTTTCCATCATGGGGTTGGGTGTTGTACTCTCCATATCCTCCAATGAAATAATGTCGCTTGATATCTCTTTTATACCTCCTTTACCCTTGTCACATTGTTGTTGCAATTGTTTGGATCGTTGTTGAACATTTATAATTTCATTTAAATATACATTTTTGGAAATTAAGAAATGTCTTGTTGCCAAAGGTGCCAATCCCATTGTAGGTGGTAATATTGCTAAAAGAAAATTAAACAAAAAATATATTAATATAAACTAAACTATTTTAAATTATCTATCTTTTTTTTTTTTTTATATTTATATTTACCTTCAAAATATTTCATAACTCTTAATTCTTGATTATAAGTACTTGATCCATCAACTTCAAATTTGTTTGTAAAGAATAGGTTGTTTGGGATGGTTTCTAAATTGTATCCTTTGTTTGTAGTTTCTGCGTACAGTTCCCATGCACCTCCATAGTCTAGTTCATCCTCGACATCTTTGTTTTCGTAACGACGTCCGACAGCGTCGAGGACCGAACGCTTCATAAATACATTGTTGGCACCGTAGCAATTGTACAATATACCATTCATTCCCAAACATCCCATATATACACCAGTGATACTTGAAACCTTGCTAATGTTGTCGTATTGAAGCGACGATGAAATTAAATCGGCATTGGTAAACTCTTCCACTTGAATGAGTGTGCGCAGAGTACTGAGACTGGGCCAATCATACTTGTCAATGAATAGAACAAAGTCGCCGGTAACAGTTTCGTGGATACTCTTGCTGTTCCACGGTTGGAACCATTGGTCGACGAGAAACTCGGATACGGTGGCCACCTTGGGTTGTTGGAGTGACGCCATTTGGAGGGTACTCGTAAACTCGGCCAAATATTGTTGTTGTTGAGCGCGTGGTTTCTTTGCCTGCGTTGAAAATGTTGATATGGCAATGACCAACTCTATACGAAGATGCTCCAGTGACTCGTCGGCGTACATTTGGTCGTCGAGTGATTGCAATGCTTTTATAAATTCGACTTGATTGGTTTCATCGTACACTAGTACAATCGATATCTTTTTCAGAGTTATTTTTCCGTTTTTGGTGTCGTCTTGCTGCGACTGTGCACCATTGATATGTACGACTGAATGCCAATTACTCCATATTCTTTGACGTGTCCATTCGTCGATTGCCATTCTCGCCGGTTTGACACCTTGATCAAGACAGGCAGACAGCTTCTTGACGAGTGATGCTGGCTTGGGGATGAATAGTGAGCGGTCGCGGTCTTCGGGATGGATGAGCTCGGGGATACCGCCAACCTGCGACGCGATGAATGCCAGGCGATGGGTGAGACACTCGAGTACCGTGTTGGGCGAGTTGTCGATGGGCGATGGGATGACAACCAGCTTTTTCTCACGATCAAAGGTGAGGTATTGGATGGCCTCGGTGTGAGACTTGCCAATGAGTATGTGACACTTGATTTCAAGTCGGTTACACTTGTTGGCGATATAGTGGTCTGCCATCATGTTGATCTCGGTCAACTTGGTGTTGGCGCCGAGGAATGTGATGACGACCGACTCTTGTCGCAAACGGTCGACTAGACGCTCAACAGCCTTGATAAACACATCCAGCCCTTTTCTCGACTCGAGTCGTCCGAAAAAGATAATCTCGTCAAATGAACGTGTCATCTCGCGGTCAATATTGTTAGAGTCGACTTGTGCGGGTGGTAGCAGGTTCTGGTGCACGTAGCTGTTGCGTGGGAGAATCCACCCGTTGCGACGCATCCAGTTGAGCATGTAGTTGGACGGCGACACGAGCCAGTCTGACATTTCGACGGCGCGACGCTCCAAATAGTCGACTTCAAAGTGCTTGCCGTCGTCGAGGTTGGCCGAGTTGGCCGTACGCTCCCACAAGTGCGGTCCGTGTCCTCCAATCACAAAAATGGTCTTTTCAAACGTCCACCCTTGGTGTCGCGCCAGCGTGCTAAAGTATCCAATCCCTCCATTGTCGTGAAAGTGTATTATATCGAAATGGTTGTTGTTCTTGACCTCTTCGTCGCGCAGCCATTCGTATGTCTTGTACGACCGCAGACAGGGGCCCGTGCACCCAGCCACACCCTCCAATAGAGAGAACCCGCTGCCCTCTGTCGCAGCAGCCACCATGACAGGGTCGATCTCCTCGCCTGCCACAGTCACTGCGCTGCCCGACGTCTTTTTCTTCTTTTCTTGCAAGTCCAATATAACCAATGTAATGTTACGTTTGGCGTACAAGTCGACCCAATGCTCGGCCGTCAACTTCTTGACTTGGTTGACCAACAACACCGTGACGTGGTGTCCGTCGCTCTGCAGACGCTGTGCCAGTGCCGTGTATGCCGTGCCAATGCCGCCGCCCAGCACAGGTCCCTCAATCTCGGTGGTCACCAGACACACCTTGCGTTTCTTTAGTCCAGATGCCGTCGTCCACGCTTCCTTGTTGAACTGATGCGGCGTCGGTATGACGTTGGGATCGGTCTCGTCAGGATCGTAGTTGTGCAAAAAGGGGTACACTACATCCTTGTCGTCTATGTTGTTTATCGTCCTCCCATTGATTGCCAAGCTAGGATGCAACGTCTTGTAGTTGTTATTATTGTCTAACGATGGTAGATAGGTTGAATTGTTTGTCGAGTGGTACCATAGATATGCACTGTTAAACAGTAATACCATAATACATAATATAAACAAATTATAAAATGATTTACTATAGTTCATCCATCTCGCCATTATAAATATATCTAATGTGTATTGTGTGTTGTGTGTTTGTTGTTTACAACTATTTTATAATATTATTATTATTCTACTTTTCTTTTTGTTTAAAACATCTATTATCTTTTTGTTTGTTATCTATCTATCTATCTTCTAATATTTAGAGTGTGTGAATTATATATGATTAGGCAGCAAGAGTGTAGAGTGTTCTAACATTAGAGATGTGTAAATATTCGTATATTGTAGGACGCGCAGGCAATAAACAACCTAATATCACGGTTTGACTGTTTTCATAGACCCTGGGTTCCCAACGCCAACGATTTTTTTGACGACTTTGAGCAACTGCAAGAAAATTCCTTGTCATGATCTTCAAACACTAGTTCTGACAAGTCGTTTATAATTAATACATCATTTTACACAAAGATATTAATAGATAGATACCATCACCAGGTATCTGACAATACAACTATGATAGTTAGCACAGCAAATCGATCTTTTTAACTCAACCCAACATCAAAAGAAAGGATCGATGGATGTTTTGTTCAGTAGTAAAAATTAATAGACTAAAACTAGTATAGTAATGTTCCTATACCATTATTTTAAAGTTAAACTTTTAGAATATAGTTTATTAATTAATTAGTTAGTTTATTCTCTTTGTGGAGAAAAAAAAACAAAAGTAGTCTAAAAATGGAAATATTTTAATGAAGTATTGTCCTGTTAGTTTTCAAGGAGGAGAGAGGAAGAATATAGGGAGAAAAAGATAAAATGTCTAGTCTATATTATATTATATCATATCAATTTAGAGAGAACAAATAAAACAAACAAACAAACAAACAATGGTCAATTATTTAATATCAGTTGATGAGAGTAGTAACTCTGAGATTGCAATCTTGGAGGTTATCAAACATATCTTGGATAAGGAAAAAGATACCCTCTTTTTAATTTCAGTGGCAGAGGATCCAATTACATTCCCATCTTCAGCAATGTCTGCTGTTATAATGACTGGTATGTATATATAACATATAAACAAAAAATATTAATATTATTTATTAATTTTACTTTTTATTTACTTTCTCTCTAGAATCATTAAAAGCTATTGAGCAAAAATCAAAGAATATTTTAATACAAAGAGCTGCCATTGCTAAACATTTGGGAGTAAAGAATGTTCGTGCATTATTGGGTCATGGTAATCATGTAGGTGAGGCTGTATGCAAAGCAGCTGAAGAAAAGCAGATTGATTTCTTGGTTGTTGGAAGAAGAGGAATGGGTCAAGTCAAAAGAATATTCCTTGGTAGTACATCTAGATATATTTTAGAACATTCCCCATGCAATGTTATTTGTATCAAGGTATATACATTAATATAGATTATTAAATCAACACAGAAATTAATTATTATTTTTATATTAATTTAGGAAACGGAGGAAATGAAATCAAGATTATTAAATGAACAAAGAATAGAACAACAACAAGATGTAGAAAATTATCATGATTTTGAAAGACTTCATCTTCATATTTAAATAAATCATTTCTTTTTTAAACTTCAAATAGTTAGTATGCTTGTTGTATAAGATAGACCTGGACAAGAATTTTATAAGTTAGAAATTTAAATAAATTAATTATACTTTTCAACTTTTAAGACAAGGCAGAGATCTAATTTTAAAAGGAATTCAAAGAGTCTCAGAATGAACGAAAAAAAAGAGAAGAACCCAAGTGTAGAATACTCATTATTTTAATTTGGTTATATAAAGAAAATTTTTTTTTTTATTATTCATTTATTAATTCTATTTGAATTAATTAGATTGATTTATAATTGAGTGACTGGAACATAGGTGGTTGAGGATTGGAATTCAGTGGTCTTGAAATCCTTTTGCTTCATCCAGTCTGGTTCTTGCTTTTCAAACTTGGTCAATGGAACCTCTTGAGCGACTTGACGGGTTTCCTTTTGGAGGATGACAGTGTTTTGAGTAGAGGCCATAGTACCCTTGGTGACGGTGAGGATTGGAGCTTGGAATGGCTTCCAGTTGAGAGTGCAGTTTTCAGTCTTTTGGAGGATAACTTCTGGTTTGCCTTGGAGCTCAGATACACGGACAATTGGCTCGCTCTTGAACAACTTGATAATTGGGTCTTGGTTGGTTACTTGGATCTTTGGAGCCTCACACATGGCAATGGAGATTTGTGGCTTGGCAGATTGGATCTTGACCTCTGGCTTTTGTTGGTTGATGACAACTTGAGCCTTTGGTTGGTTGACGTGGACAATTGGTTCCTTTTGAATAAACTCAATCTTGGGAGTGACAGTGTTGACGTCGATGATGGGAGCTTGTTGCTCGAGGAAAATACGTGGAGTTGGTTGCTCAATGTCGACTTGGGCTGGTGGAATGGTCACGTCGGCAGTAATGGTCTTTTGGTAAACTTCAACAGATGGAGCATTCTCTCTGATTAAAATTTCAGATCCCATTTCAGTAATATTAATAGTATCCTTTCCTAAAAAAAAGAAAAAAAAAAAAAATTAATATTCAAACTTAAAATCAAAGAATATATATTTTTTTTGTATTATTTACCTTCATTGACTTGAACATGAGTTTGTGGTTTCTCGACCAATACTCTTTGTCTTGGTTGTTCCAACTTGACAACTCCTCTTTCAGTGAATGGTGAAGACATGATTATTTGTTTAAAGTGTTAAGGTAAAAATCTAAGTTTAGATAATTATTATTAATGGTGCTTGAGTTAATTTAAAGTTGTTGTTGTATTGTAAACTACTTTGAATTGTTGTTTGAGTAAAGGAAGTATTGAATTTTGGAGTACTTTTATATGGGTTGGGTTTGTTGGCTACTTTGAAAAAAAAAAGACAACAATCAAAAGATTTAATAATTTAAAAATCAAAAGTAATAATTATAATTTTTTGAATTATTTCAATTGTTGTTTTTGCCAGATTTAGTATTTTTCTTGGCGGCAATCCAAAAAGATTGTTTAATTTCAAGATTATCTAATCATTGTAATCAAATTATTACCATGGACATTTGCATTTCTACCAATACGGGTAACTTTTTCAATTTCCTTGTTTGGAAATTTTTGGAAAAACTATTATTTTTTCGTTTTTAATATCTCGTACGATATCGATTTTCGAAGAGGTGGATATTTTCTCGTGTGTTGTCAATATAAACAGATAAGATGATAAGAGTGTTTGGATCTGGTACTATTCCAGAGAGAGAAGAGATTCAACAAATTAATTAAATTTTAAATTTTTTCAAAGAGACTACAAACTTGGCGTAAACAGCTCCTTTAAAGACCCTCTTTACTTCCAACTTTTAATTCATTTAAACATTTGATAATAATAATAATATAAACTTAATATTAGTAAGTTGAAAATAGTTATCACAAACACAAACATAGACTTTGATTATTATTTCAAAGTCTGTCTGTCTTGTCAACAATCCTTTTTTTTTTCTATTTTGATAATTAACATACTTTTTGTTTTTTTTTTTCCAACCAAGGTATTATTTAAAAAAAAGATAGAATGGTAGTAGAAAAAGCAACACAATCACCAGTTCAATTAAAGAAGAACTATGGCCAAGATGAAGAAGTCAAGCCACGTCTCAACTATGACTTGAACGTCAAGCAAAAGCCAGCCTTTATCACCTTGGAGAATCCACAATGCCAGTATATTCTGGATGAGCAGTCCCGTCACATCAACGTCGAGCGTCAGTCCCCCTACATTAACATTGGTCGTGCCGCCGACGTCATCCAAGTCAACGAGGAGCCGGTCCAAATCAACTGCCAGCCATCTGCCGCCGAAGTACTCGTCGAGAATGGCCAACCCATCGTCGAGGTTGAGCAAAAGGCACCCGAGATTGAAATCGAGCAATTCATGCCCAAGCTCTACCTCAAGATGCCACCAATCAAGGTGTACTTGGAGATGGACGGTGCCCCAGAGATTTTGATGGATCCAGTCCCACCAAGTGTCAAGGTCAAGCAATCCGACCCACTGGTCCGCTTCACCAACACCAATCCAAAGGTCATGTTGAACCAAGCACCACCCAAGTTACTCGTCTCCCAATTGCCATCGCAAGTCGAAGTTATTCCATCGGCCAAGGCATCGATCCAAGTCAAGGAGAACCAACCAATCGTCTCGTTCACCGAAGGTGCTCCCACTCTCCGTGCACTCGAATGCGGCCAACCCAAGATCTCATACTCTCAACCAGACCCAGAGCTCAGCTACACCGAATGCGGTCCACGTGTCTATATCTCCCAAAAGGACGCATCCGTCTCGCTCAAGCACGAGGCACCCACCGTCAGTGTCACTCCAAGAGAGCCAACCGTCTCGATCAACCACCGTGCCCCCAAGATCGACGTCCAACGTCACCCAGTTGCCGTATCTGTCGTTGAGCCAGCCACCACCGTCCACTTTGGCAAGCCAGGCAGCAAGTTGGAGAGCGAATGGGTCCAACTCAAGACCACCGAGACCACCCTCGCCAAGCAGATCCAACAAACCAATATCACCGGCACCACCTATGCTCAATGGTGCAACAGTCTCTTGTCGTGTGACTCGTTCAACGCCCAACAAGGTGCCCGCAACTCGTTTGTCGTCTTTGGCGGCGGTGAAGCCAAGCTCTTGGAGGCCTTCAAGACCGACAAGGGTAACCATACTTTCAATTTGAACCTCCGCAACTCTGCCGGTGAATTGTTGTTCAAGTGCGAATCCGAAGGTAAGCTCCTTCGTATGTGGGACTCTAGCAATGTTCAATTTGGTTGGATCGACTGTACCGCCACTCACGTCGACGTATTCAATGCTTCTGGTGCCAAGGTATTCAGTTTGATTCCATCTGCTAATAGCTGGAAGTTTGATATCCAAGATTTAAGTATGTATAAAAAAAACTGTAATAATCATAAGATATAGATATTAATACAACTTTACCTTACTCTTCTTTTAAATGTTTTATATATTTAGGTTTAGTTAAACTCGGTTACTTACAACGTGAAGGTAAGCTCTCTGGTTATGACTTGAAGTTCCCAAGAGAGTGGAAGTCTGATAACAAGATGTTACTCTTGGGTTCTCTCTTCCTCATCGACAGTGTATTTGATTAGATCAATCATCCTACACTCTTTAACTACTTTTGAAAAATAAATAAATACATAATCCCAATTTAAACATATAAATATAGAGTATATAACTTATAATATTTATAAATATAATATATTTGTTTTTAAAATAAATTAATATACTTTGAGTGAATGAAATTGGTGTCTTATTTTTTAATTTAAATTAGTCATAAGTAGTTACTATCATGACTCTAGTTTATAGATACAACAAAATAGCTATTAATGGATAGAGATAGATGTTATTTTATATATGGTAGTAGTTATCTACCTAACATTATCATCTATCAAATAGTTGAAGAGTTGGTGAATGACATTGATTTGATATGTCTGTTGTTCACTTGTAAACAGTTTTATTATAACTTTAGACAACAATACAAGTGTCGATTCAAAGGTGTATCATTAATAGATAAATCATCAGACACATATAAAATAAGATACAACACTCTCTATGCTATCCAATCATTCCATCTTGGATCATTCACCGATATATTTCATAGATCAATCTCAAATCAACTTGTCAAGAGCTGCAACATACCATTATTTAATTACGATAATAATAATAATAATAATAGTAGAAGTAGAGATGATTCGATTGAAAAGTCTGTAATATTAGTTGATGATATTGATGATAATCTTTTGGTGGATGATCTACCAGATACTATCAAATGGTTATCCATCGATAGTTCTGGTAGACCACTCACATTAGAAGATGGATGGAAGTTACCAAGTGAGTTGGAAAGTCTAGAATATATGTCATACAATAGTGGTATGGTTGGATTAGGTGTACTACCAGAGACATTGACCGAATTGACTTTGGACGTACCTCCCCATGGTCTCGCAGACGGTGTGATTCCTCAGTCAGTACAAACACTCGTACTCAAGAACAATGATGTATTTGGTGCACCGGATATAGTGCGATCGGAGTACCACCTTCCTCATCGTCTCTCACACCTCTACATTTATTTCGCAATCGATACTCTGTCGCTGCAGTTCCCACCGACTCTCAAGTCTCTCACATGGTGGACACCTCCATTGACACCCGACTATATGTTTCCAACAAGTCTTGTCTATTTGAAACTAGTCATCCATGATACCCTCAACTATCCGTTAAACCTCTCACTTCTCACATCGCTTCAAACACTCAAAATCAATGCAAGAATATATTTTGTCAATGAACCAACGCCAAGTGACTATCTACGTCTTCCACCAAACCTCACCAGTCTCACCCTCCATGCCAAAGCCACAATCGAGTCATTGACATTCTTTCCAAAGAGTTTGGTCAGTCTTGACACCAATTACAATATAGTTAGTGGAGCCATTGACAAGGGAGAGCAACTACCCGACACACTCACCTATTTATGTTTACGGTATTGTCACGGTACCATTCCTGCCGGGTTCATAGGTCCGACTCTCAAATCTCTCAAACTCACCTTTTCCATTGTACATGCTGTCTTGTTGGAGGGTTCCATTCCAGAGGGTGTACAAACGCTCTCTGTCAACAACTACCAACACAATGGAATCGTTCAACTCATTCCAAAATCAGTCAATCATTTTAGTTGGTCTGAAAAGACAAGTGTCAAAGAGTATTTAGCATTTCCATCAACTATTCGTACACTAGAATATAAGCCAAAGGAGATAGACCCCGCCACTGCTCACTACCAGATTCCATCGTCACTCACTTCATTGACCACCATCGCCACACGTTGTTGTCCAACAACAACCTCAAGTGTTGGAGAATATCAGCTGTCAACGTTTTACCAATGTAATGAGGATGAAAACAACAGAAAGTGGATACTTCCTAAAACAGTTACATTTTTATCGTTGGAGATACCGCCACAGTCTGTCATATCGCATTTCCGGTTTGATCCAATTATCTATCAAACCAATGTAACTGAATTGGTATTACAATCAGACTCACGTGATATTATTCATTGTAATATTCAAAGATTTGAAGAGTTAGATATCATCAACAACAATAATAACAGTGATACCTATGATGTATTGATAACAGACAAACATTCATTACTTGGTGGTGTAGTCAGACTTGGTAAACAACAACAAAAACTATATTTAAATTGGAAGGGAGGTGTTGGTGCTAATGGGCCACCTACAATTAGTACCACTATCCCCACTGTTTAATTTCAATTCGATTGAAAGTTCAATCGAAATATGTATATATGTGTAGACTGCTGTTTACAAAAAAAAAAAAGATCTGACCATCAAAAAATCCGCGAGCGAATATGTGCATGTTCACCGAATCAAAACAAGGCAAAGATCAACTTGATACATGTACGTTGGTTAAAATAAAAAAAATTAATTTATTTATTAATTTTATTTTGTCTATTATTAGTTATAATATGGATATAGATAGAGATATAATGGAAGATACAAATAGAGATATATGTTATTTTATATATGGTGGTAGTTATCTACCTAATAGAATCATCTATCAAATAGTTGAAGAGTTGGTGAATGATATCGATTTGATATGTCTGTTGTTCACTTGTAAACAGTTTTATTATAACTTTAGACAACAATACAAGTGTCGATTCAAAGGTGTATCATTAATAGATCAGTCAACACACGCACTCAACAAAATACGTGACAACACTATACACGCAACCAAATCATTCCACCTTCGATCATTCACCGATATATTTCACAGATCAATATCTAATCAACTTGTCAAAAGCAACATACCATTATTTAATTATAATAATAATAATAGTCATAGTGATAATAGTGAGGATTCAATTGAAGAGGCTGTAATTTTGGTTGACCAAATTTACCATAAACAACAAAAAAATAATAATAGTGATGATTCGATTGAAACCCCGATCATTATGGGAGGAGCTGGCGATGACTATAATGAACAACCTTTGATGCAAGATCTACCAGATACCATCAAATGGCTAGCCGTCAATAGTTCTAGTAGACCTCTCACATTGGCCACTGGATGGAAGTTTCCAAGTCAGCTGGAGAAACTAGAATATACTTCAACTATCAATAGAAAGATTGAAATGGGTGTACTACCAGAGACATTGACTGAATTGTCTTTGAGAACACCTTCAGAGACTAGTCTTGAAGAAGGTGTGATTCCAAAGTCAGTCACATCACTCACACTCAAGAAAATTGAAAAATCTTTGGAAGTTGTTGGTGATGATGTGCCTGTCATCTACTACCACTTTCCTAGTCATCTCTTGCATCTCCACATTCATTTCAAAATCGAATCTCCAATGCTGATGTTTCCACCGACTCTGCTATCTCTCTCATTGCATATGCCTCCAGCGACCACCGACTTTAGATTCCCATCCAATCTTGTCAGTTTAACACTTGGGGTTGGTCGAGATGGTGTCAGCCGTTCGTTAAACCTCTCTCTTCTCACTGCTCTTCAAACACTCGTGATAAGGTCATCTGTCCCTATTCCAAGTGACTATCTTCGTCTCCCACCAAACCTAACCAGTCTCGTTCTCTATGCCAGTACGACGATCGACTCATTGACATTCTTTCCGACGAGTCTGGTCAGTCTCGAAACATTTTATATTACTATAAAAGGTGCCGTCGAAAAAGGAGAACAGCTACACGACACACTCACCCATTTAAGTTTACAATTCAAAGAGGCCATCCCCGTTGGATTCATTGGCCCGTCTATTAAAACTCTCAAACTCGGTTTTATCACAAAAGAACTGCTCGACGTTGCTCTGCTGGATGGTACTATTCCAGAGGGTGTACAAACACTCTCTATCACCAGCTACCGAAATTTTGGTATCCCTCCAACTATTCTACAATCGATCAATCGTTTTACATGGAATCGTTTGAATACCAAAACAGAAAATCTAGCATTTCCATCGACCGTTGGTGCACTAGAATATTTTTCTGGGCTCCCGGCCAACTACCAGATTCCATCATCACTCACCTCACTATCGACGGTTGCCACACGTCAAGCCAACCTATTACAAAAAGAATATGGTCTGTCAACTCTCTACATCTATCAAGATGAAAACAACAGAAAGTGGTTGCTTCCTGAAACTGTTACATTTCTATCTTTGGATATCCCCTCACATTTTGATGGAATGGATGAAACATATTATTTGTATGTTAGGTTGGATCCAATTATCTATCAAACAAATGTAACTGAATTGGTATTACGAACAATTAGTAGAGATATTATTCATTGTAATATTCAAAGATTGGAAGATTATAGCAACAACAACAACAACAACAACAATAATAGTGATACCTATGATGTATTGATAACAGACCAACACTCATTACTTGGGGGTATCGTCAGACTTTCTAAACAACAACCACAAACACAACAACTATATTTAAATATAAATTGGAAGAAAATTGGTGACCCATTTAAAATCAGTGTGACTACTATCCCAGGAACAACAAACATACAATGAACCATTTATTAATAAATGATGAAGGATTAATATTATTAATGGTATCAATAAAAAATAAAATAAAATAAAAAATTGGATGGCTCTGAAGTCGTTGGTCTTTCGTCTCTTATTATAAAAACAATTTATTTTTAATTTTCTATTTGTAATGGAAGATATAGATACAAATAGAGATATAGATAAATGTTATTTTATATATGGTAGTAGTTATCTACCTAATATAATCATCTATCAAATAGTTGAAGAGTTGGTGAATGACATTGATTTGATATGTCTGTTGTTCACTTGTAAACAGTTTTATTATAACTTTAGACAACAATACAAGTGTAGATTTAAAGGTGTATCATTAATTGATCAAACAAAATGCTCATACAAGATAAGATACGGCACTCTGCACGCAACCAAATCATTCAACCTTCGATCATTCACCGATATATTTCATAGATCAATATCTAATCAACTTGTCAAAAGCATCACCAGCCCTCTCATCAATTATAATAATAATAGTAATAATAATAGAGATGATTTGATTGAAAAAGCATTGATCTACAATATAATAGAATCAAATGAAAACAACAACGATGACAACCATATTGATGCAAGAAAGATGATGGATGATCTACCAGATACTATCAAATGGCTCATCGTTGATAGTCCTGCTCGTCTGAGATTCAGACGATTAACACCCCTGTCGTTGGATGGATACAAGTTTCCGAGTCAGCTGGAGATACTACATTTAATATTGAACAGCAGCATTGCAAATGTATTGCTACCAGAGACATTGACCGAATTGACTTTGGACACACCTGACAATGGTCTTGCAGAAGGTTTGGTTCCACAGTCGGTCAGATCACTCACACTCCAGAACATCATTTATCGTGGTTCATCTATATCCACAGGATACCACTTTCCTCGTCATCTCTTGCATCTAAAGATCAATTACGCAATACAATCTCCACTGCCGTTTCCACCAACTCTGCTATCTCTCTCGTTGAGGATGGCTACAGTACTCACCGACTTTAGATTTCCATCGAATCTTGTCAGTTTAACACTCTACGCTGAACCTCTCAAACAACCGTTAAACCTCTGGCTTCTCACTGCACTTGAAACCCTCTACATTTCATTACATGAATCGCTCGGTCCGAGGGGCATTCCAACGCCAAGTGACTATCTGCGTCTCCCACCAAACCTAACCAGTCTAACACTCAATGCCAAAACCACGATTGATTCATTGACACTCTTTCCAAATAGTCTTGTCAGTCTTTGTATCGGATACGATGTCATAAGTGGTGCCATAGACAAGGGAGAGCAACTGCACCCCGCACTCACCCATTTAAGTTTACATGGTTGGAGTGGTACCCTACCGGCTGGGTTCATTGCCTCGACTGTTAAAACCGTCAAGATCGATTTTAATAGGGAGGGTTCCATGTTGGAGGGTGCCATTCCAGAAGGTGTACAAACACTCAATGTCACCAGCTACCATCACAATGGAATCGTTCAGCTCATTCCACAATCAGTCAAACATTTCAGTTGGAGAACTATTGGAAGGCAGAATGCCGTAGAAGAGTATTTTGCATTTCCATCAACCATTCGCACACTTGGATGTATGAAAAGAAGTAATCCCGCCAACTTCCAGATACCCTCGTCACTCACCTCCCTATCCATCTACGCGCCTACGTCCCCAATCTATTCCGGTGAGAGAGAATATGACCTGTCAGCACTGTACAATGTTGACGAAGGTGAAAACAATAGAAAGAGGTTGCTTCCTGAGACAGTTAGCATTTTAACATTAGAGATACCTTCATATCGTGGTTCACACCTCAGATTGGATCCAATTATCTATCAAACCAATGTAACTGAATTGGTAATACAATCAGACTTTAGCGAACCCATTTGTTGGAATATTCAAAGATTTGAAGAATTGAACTATAGTATCAACAATAATAACAACGATATCTATGATGTATTGATAACAGAAAAAAGTTCATTATTTGGAGGTATCGTCAGACTTGGTAAACAACAAACAAAACTGTATTTAAATTGGAAGAGCTCCAAGGTTTCACCTATAATCAGCACGAATCCCGTTTATTTTTGAAACAAACAATACCAAAATATATAAATAAATAAATGTAAATATACTTTTTTTTAATTGCATCTATCAAAGATTCTCTCTCAATAATTTATTCATCCAAAGATTTTGTCCAATCATAATCTTTCCATTTTGCTTTAAAGTTTGAGACCATGGTCTCTTCATCTGATCTTGATCTTCTTCTGTTGTAAACCTCGTCAAGGTCAAGCTCTAATATACTTGTCATGACAGTCTTTCCAAAGTCACGTTGGAACTTGGTTTCATTGTCGATGGGGTGAACGTAACCGGTCTGTTTGTATCCAAATTCGACCCAAAAGTATGGGAACCCCTTTTCTGGGATACTGTTCTTTAATCCACCCTTTTTGATACAATCTATAAGCTTGTTGGGTGTCCATTCCGATTCAGACTCCATCAATGCATTTTTAAAGAATCCAGGTGCTTTCATAAAATCCTCTTGGTTCAATGGGACACAATCAATCAATGTATGATACTGAGACTTGAATTTGCTTGCAGTCTCCATAAACACTACAAATTTCTTTTCCTTTGCAAACATTTGAATTAAACATTTTTTAAAATTCTATATAAACAAAAGAGGAAATTAAATTAATAAATATTAAATAAATAAATAATTATTTTTAATCTTTTACATACTTGAATTTCATCCCAAACTTCTTCATCGGTTGATCTACATGATACAATATGTTGAATAGGTACAATTTGACAATGTCCACTAACCAACTGTGAACGAGTTGGTAATGAGAGGAATACTTGGTTGCCAGTTGCCACCATCATATGTTTTTGGAATTGAGGACTTTGATAGCAATGCCAGCAACGTCCTAGCGCGTCGTTTACCTTTTTATCAGAGCTTATAATTTTTTGTTTGTATTTGGTTGTCTCCTTTTCGTCCATCTTTTGTTGTTGACGTTTACTTGGGTTTTTAGAGTTCATTGTCTCTGGTCCATAGTCGTCTCGGTCGTCTGTAGCCCATTTTGTAGATTTGGCCATGGTCTTTAAAAAGTCCAAATCCATATTATCAGACAATCCTCTCTTTTCTCTTGCTACCAATTCATCCAAACTCAACTTGTCGTCGTCACCATAGTATTGTTGTCTTTCACCATTCTTGTCAAATGCATTCTTTGTTCCCATTGATTTTCTAGATGCTCGTTCATTCATAAAAATCTTTCTACCAAATTCATCCAATCCTGACAATTTAATTCTTTCACTTGTTCTTTCAGATTCTTCGGTTGGCGTAGATGATGGCTGTTCTTCTTGTTGTTGTTGTTGAGGTGGTGTTGGTAAATCCTTTTTAGCCTTTAATTCATCAACTTGTTTTCTTAATTCCTCATATCTCTTTGTATTACCCATAATCTTTGCTTTCATCATTTCAGCTGATAATTTGTTAATGTTTGGTGTTGCCACTTGTTCTTGTTGTTTTGAAGATGTATTTGATGGTAAAAGAGTTGTAGATGTAGTAGAAACGGTTGATGTTTCTAATTTATCTGTATTATTATTATTATTATTATTATTCTTGTTTAAATTTGGGAAATAATCTGATAGATTTGGTTGCTCGGTTCTAACAATTGAAACAGGTACTGATTTGTTCTCTTCTTTTGGCTTGTCATCCTTTCTATCTTTATCTCTTTGGTCTCTGTCGTCGTGACGCCTGTCTCGGTTTCCTCCATCCCTGCTGGTATCATCTCTTTTATATTTGTCTCCATATCTATCTTGGTGACCTCCTGTTTGTCTTGTGTCGTTTCTTCCATTATCTCTATCTCTATCTCTATCTCTGTCATCATGACCTCTATGATAACCTCTATCGTTGTCACGGTCATCACGTCTATATCTATCACTTTCCTTTCTATCTCGATCATCGTATGATCTATTGGTTCCTCTTTGATCTCTGTCATCTCTTTGTTTATCTCTTTGATCATCACCACGTTTATATCTTTCATCATATTTTTCTCTGTATGATGACGAAGATGAGGATGAAGAGGATGAAGATGATTGAGAAGAACCAGTAACTCTATCTTTGTTTCTCCAATTTAAATCAGAACTTTCAGATGGTCTCTTCATCTTAAAGTTGTGATGATCATCTTGATCCTTTTTAAGATAATCTCTATCAGATGATGATGATGACGATGATCCTCTATTATTATGAGAGGAAGAATACTCCTTTTTGACAAATGATTGAGGGTTTGGATGTGGAGGGGCACTACCAAGAGTCTTGGCCTGTTGCAATAGTGATGGTATTTCAGAGGCATCGTATCTCTGTCTGAGAATGCTTTCCAACGACACACCATCTTCTTTGGCTTGTTGGACAGCTCGCATCAACTTTCTTTGTTTCCAACTAGCACCTCCATCACCAACAACGGGTATTGAAGATGCTTCAATCGATGCCAATGGTGCTGGTGTCGACAAGATACCTTGAGCGAGTAACTTTGGATCTACAATACCAGCAGTCTTGGCCAATGCATCTGACAAGTCTTGTTTATCCTTTTTTTGTTTATCCAATAACTCTCTCTTTACATCATTGTGACTCTTTGAACCAGATAACCACGATGATGTCTCTAAGTTCATCCATTCATCACGATTATTACTACTACTATTGTTGCTTGTCACCTGCTTCTCTTCCTCTTCCTTTACTTGTTGATTATGATCATCTTTTAACTTCTTTCTTGATGATCCTCGATTGTCATCACTATCATCACTACCGCTATTAATACTATCATCACTGTCACCTTTTGTACGATGATGATGACGTTTCTTCTTATCCTTCTTTTTCTCCTTTCTATCTTTATCCTTCTTTCTATCTTTTTTCGATGATGATGATGATCTTTCAACCTCTACCTCTTCAGCTCCTGCTTCCACCCATTCATCATCGTCCATGATTGAGTACAATATAATAATAATATAATATTGATATTATGTGTAATCTATCTATCTATCTTTATAAAAAAGAAAATGAACTTGAACTCACCAAGCATTGCAGTGAATTAATTGTTTGAAAACACACTAAATCTATTTATTTCTTTTCGTCAATACATATATAGAGAAATAATATAAATAACTTAACTCATAAATAACTCAATCATATTAGTATTAAGTATATCTATATCTTATATATATATAATCGTCTCTCTGAACAAATGATCATAACTATCTATATCTATTATATTATGATTGATAGACACGCTCACCTCACCCCCCGTCATCGTAGTATTAATCCGATGATCGTCATTCACTTAAGTGAATAATCCGTGGACGAATCAGAATCGGTGCTTGCAGAGACGGAAGTATGTTGATCTCAACCCACGCCTGCATAATTAGCTCTGCCCAACCGAACTGACTGTGCAGAATGTTTGAATCGCGATCTCGATTAGCTCATCTGCCTGCCCAACTGCATCTCAGATTTTTACATTTTTTTAATTTTTGTTTTTAATTTTGTTGGTTTTAGGTCCATTATGACAGTAGACATTGTCTGAAATTATCTCTATAACTAAGGAGGGACAGATAGATAGATAAAAGATAGAAGAGGATAGACCCACATAATAGAATTTTACTTAGTATCCTATCATCATCATCATCATTTAACACCCAAGTACTACTACTACTTCCTTGTATCTATCACACCAACAACAACAACAAACATTATATATTTATTTATATTTATTATTATAATTACTATAGTTCTGTAGCACCATTCATTTAATATTACAGGCATTCATATATTACTATTTTCATTGTATGTATCTTCCTAACCTTACTCATACACCTCATCTACCTACCTACTTGTTTGTAGAGTCACAGCAATAGCATCATACACTACATACACACACAGCAAGAAGACAGCAGACATAACAGATACTACAAGTATTAATCTCATTGAATGATTCGTTTGGGTTGGTTTGGTTCACCCACACACCACATTGTTTTGGGATGGATAGTGTAATACCAACCCGCTTTCAGCTGGCGTTTATTGGATGCATCCACGCAGTGAATGCAGGTGGTTTCAAAAAAAAAAAAATCACGTTTCAACAGATGGTTCTGTGTCAAAAATGACATCGAGATTATCGTTTAAAAATGGATACAGAGAGAGAGAGAAAGAAGATCTTCGATCGAAATAATCAAACACCGATTATTCCTTGTCATGTTGTGTGTGAAGTTACTGCTGCTTCTGCTGCTGGCTGTTGTTGTTGTTGTCTCTCGTTGTTTACATTGCTGAAAGATAGATAGACTGTTACAACAGTTATACTGACTTTTTTTTATCCATCCATTATATAATATATTGTTGTATAACATCTTTTACTTTTACTTCTACTCTAATTAATTCCTTAGATTTGTGTATTTTTAGTTTAATCTTATAAACATTATTTTTTTATAAGAGTCTTTTTTTTATATATTATATATTATATTCTACTCCTACTCTTTCATCAATAATAATAATAATAATAATAATAATAAGAGATGGAATTCTATAATGAAGATGGATCAAGATTTGAAGAGGTTGAGGATATGATTACTCTGTCAAATTTGACAGAGGAATCGTTGTTGACCAATCTTCAGATTCGTTATGCCAAGCGATTCATTTATACCTATACAGGCTCTATCTTGGTGGCTGTCAATCCATACGAGGTGTTGCCAATCTACACACCCGACATTGTCAAGTCGTACTTTGGCAAGCAACGTGGTTCGCTGCCACCCCATATATTTGCAATCGCCGACGCTGCCTACACCAACATGATGGAAGAGCGTCGGAATCAATCTATTATCATCTCTGGTGAGTCTGGTGCCGGCAAGACAGAATCGACCAAGCTCATCATCCAATACCTTGCCGCTCGTACCAACAAGCACAGTCAAGTCGAACAAATGATTGTCGAATCTTCACCAATCCTCGAAGCATTTGGTAATGCAAAGACTGTTAGAAATAATAATTCTTCTCGTTTTGTATGTTATACATATATACATATATATAACCAACACAACGCAACACTAAAGCTTAAACTAACATTACTATACTATACTATACTATATATTTAGGGTAAATTCATTGAGATTCAATTTAATACACAAGGTCATATTTGTGGTGCAAGAATCATTAATTGTATGTTGTGTGATTGATAAATGAATGTCATTTCATTTCAATGTTGTATACTTACAATCCATCTCCTTATCCTTTTCTTTTTAATTTAATTAGATTTGTTAGAAAAATCAAGAATTAGTAGTCAAGCCAAATCAGAGAGAAACTATCATATATTCTATCAATTGATAGCAGGTGCATCACAAGAACTCAAGACTAAATTGAAACTTGGAGAGGCAGAAGACTACCATTACCTCAATCAGAGTGGATGTATTAATATCGATAGAATCAACGATGCCGAAGACTTTGAACATGTTCGTTATGCCATGTCTGTACTCGGTATGCCAGAAGACAGACAAAACACTATCTTTACCATCTTGGGTGCTATCTTGCATTTGGGTAATGTCACTTTTGAAAAGTGTGAAAAGACTCAAGGTGCTGAAGGCTCCAAAGTGTTGAGCAGAGACACACTCAAGATTGTAGCCGATCTTTTGTCATTGGATCCAGGGCGTCTAGAAACATGTCTCACCATGAGACACGTCTTTATTCGTGGTCAAAACTTTGAGATTCCACTCAAGGTTGGTGAGGCTGAAGATGCCCGTGACACCTTTTCCAAATCACTCTATGGAAATGTCTTTAACTGGTTGGTTACCTTTATCAATAGTCGTATTCACAAACCACAACCAAATACCACCTTTATCGGTGTATTGGATATCTTTGGTTTTGAAAACTTTAAAAAGAATAGTTTTGAACAATTTTGGTAATATAAATACACATCAATAACTATATCTATATACTTAAGATACTAATATATCCATTCTACCTTTTGATTTCTCTTTAGTATAAACTTTGCAAATGAAAAATTACAACAACATTTTAATCAACATATTTTCAAACTTGAACAAGAGGAATATGAAAAGGAAAAGATTAATTGGTCAAAGATCAAGTACAATGATAACCAAGAGTGTTTGGATTTGATTGAGAAGCGTCCACTTGGTATCTTGTCGCTGTTGGACGAGGAGTGTCGTTTTCCACAGGCAACCGACTCGACCCTTTTGGAAAAGTTGCACAGCAACCACGAGAAACACCACTTTTACGAGAAGCCAAAGCTCTCCAAGACATCGTTTGGCATCAAGCATTATGCCGGCGAGGTGTCGTATGACGTAGCTAGCTTTTTGGACAAGAACAAGGACACCATCTCGGACGACATGTTGTCGTTTATGCAACAATGCAAGAATAAGTTTTTGGTCGAGTTGTTTACGCCTCCCAAGGACAGCGCTGCTGACGATGAAGACGGCAAGGGCACAATGAAGAAGCAGGTGCGTACCACGGCCGGCTCGCAGTTCAAGACACAGTTGGGACAGTTGGTGGCCACCTTGTCGGCAACAGCACCCCATTATGTGCGTTGTATCAAGCCCAACTCGACCAAGGAGCCGTCTACATTTGACCCAGAGCTCATCCAGGCACAGTTGCGTTATGCAGGTATGATGGAGACGATTCGTATTCGTAAGACTGGTTATCCTATTCGTTTGTCGGTCAAGGAGTTCCGCGACCGTTATTTGCTGCTCGAGTGGCGTGCTCGTGACCCTGCAGGCGACATCAAAAAGACAGCCAACAATCTTATCAACCTCGTCAACATGTCGTACGCCAACATTGACGCGAGCGAGTGGCAGATGGGTACCACCAAGGTGTTTATCCGTGACCCGCAGTACAGAGTGCTCGAAGAGTTGCGCAAGGAGAAGCTCATCAAAAAGGTTGTGCTCATCCAGTCGGCGTGGCGTATGTTCCGTCTCAAGAAGAAGTACCAGGCCCTTCGCAAGGCCGCCGTACTCCTCCAGACCGCCGTGCGCTCGACCGTCGCCCGCAAGGAGCTCGGCCAGACCAAGGCTGCCGCCACCCGTATCCAAGCGTCGTGGAAGATGTACAAGACCCGTCGCGACTATCTCTGCACCAAAGAGTCGGTTGCACTCATTCAAACAGAGATCAGAGGGTTCTTGGCACGTAAGCGTACCGCCGAGTTGGTTGAGGTTAAACGCGACCGTTTGCGTCGTCTCGCCGAGATCCAGGCCGAGAAGGACTCTGCATCGCGTTCTCAAAAAGAAAAGGAGGAACGCGACCGTCAGGCCAAGGAGGATGCCGCACGTGTTGCCCAGGAGAAAAAGGTGGCCGACGAAGAGCGTCGCAAGCGCGACGACGAGGAACGTGCCAAACGTGCCGACGAAGAGGCCAAGCGCGCACAAGAAAAGACCGAGCAGCTCAAGGAACTCAAGCAATTCGACGAGCTCAGCTCACTCGAGAACATGTTGCGTCAACAACAACAAAACAATATCAACGAGCTCGACAGTCTCGTCTTTTCAATTGAAGCATTCACATTTGAAGGTGGTGTCGATGAAAGCGCACCCTACACTTACAACTCCAAGATGTACGAGATGGGTGATGATGCACTCGACAAGATCTCGTTAACTGACTTGTTGCAAGGTCTCAAGCAGACTGTCAAGTCGGTCACCAAGCTCGACGTCGATGACAGCAAGTTTGACCTGCCTCCAGGCATTGAGAATGTGCTCAAGAGACTACCTCAACCTACCCCCATCAAAAACACCCCTTCATCGGGCAACTTGATGGTCAATGTCGGCTCGCTCCCACCTCCACCACCACCCGTCTTTATGGACGACGACGATGAGTCGGGATCATCATTCATGCCACCTCCACCACCCCTCCTCGACGGCATGCAATTCAGCGATGCTGGTGACTATATTCCACCACCTCCTCCACCCATGTTTGATCCAGTCCTCGGAGCACCACCCCCTCCACCCATGTTTGATCCAATCCTCGGTGCACCACCCCCACCACCTCCCACCTCGGCCACCGCCGCTGCAGGAGGATCTGCCAAACAAGCCGGATCAGCTTCCCAACCACAGTCATCTTCACAACCACAAAAGCCAGTCAACCCAGCTGCTGCCAATCTCAAGCCAATCATCTTGGACGAGGAAATCTCACTCTTTTCCTTTTACGACTATGCTCGTAAGAACTTTGCATCGAGCGACAAGGCCAAGAACAAGGACGACTTGTATGCCTACCAAAAGTCGTACATTAAACACGCCTTGTTGACATCGACCACCGACTCGGAGGTTGCCAAGGCTGCTGTGGATGCATTCTCGCGTATCCATTCCTACTTGTCTGCACCATCTGGTAAAAAGGAGGATACCTTGTTTACAAGCATCAAATACCTCTTGTCCAAGGGTTTGGCCATGGAAGGTTTGCGCGACGAATTGTATTGTCAGTTGGTCAAGCAGTCGATCAGTCCACCAACTTTGGAAATCAAGACACGTGCTTGGGAATTGCTCCACTTTGCCAGTGCCACCTTTTTGCCATCTAAAAAGCTCATCAAGTATGTCGCATCGTACATGCGTACCACTGCCAACACCGAGGCAGCCAAGTCGATCAAAGATATGGCCATTGCCACCTACACAACCATGCAACGTAACATCAAGAATGGTGGACGTAAGTTGACACCCTCTACACAGGAACTCGAAGCACTCAAGGACAACAGACCACTCTTTGTACGTGTATCCATGTGTGACGGTTCACTCAAGGGTCTTACCATTGACTCTGCCACAACCTGTACTGAAGCTGTCGATGATCTATGCCATCGTGCACGTATCCGTCCTGCCAAGGCATCTGGATTTGCCTTGCTCGAATCATTCAACGGTATTGAACGTGACCTTGCTGGTGAGGACAAGATTGCTGATGTACTCTCAAGACTTGAATCATTGCAATCGTCCAAATTACAGATCAACTTTAAGTTGTTACTCAAGAAACGTTTGTTTGCCGAGTTTGCAGCACCAGAGGATATTCCACAGACCGAAGTCGAACTTGTCTTCCACCAGACATACGCCGACTTTTTGCTTGGCGGGTTTGTCTCTGACAATGAGTTTTTGTTGCATATTGGAGCACTCAAATTGCAAGCAGACTCTGGTGACTACACCGAGGACGTTAAGAACTGGTTGCCTGGAAATGGTCGTGGCAAGTACTTTAGTGCTGCCACTGAAAAGAACAAGTTTGAAGAATTTATCAGCAAGTACCGTGCCCTCAAGGGTACCACCCAAGAGGACGCCAAGACACAGCTCTATGAGCAAGTGCTCGGCCATCCACTCGCCAACCAAACACTCTTTGAGTGCGAACATAATGTCGACGGCATCAACTACCCCAAAAAGTTTATACTCACCATCAGTATCCAGGGTGTCGCCATCTACGACCCTGCCAACACCAAGGCATCACTCAACGCGTTCAAGTTTAGCCAAGTCGCCACCAACGCACTCAAGCTTGCTGCCAACAACAAGTCGATCACCATTCCACTACCCGATATGGCCAACAAGCCCTTCGAAGTGCAGCACGCCGACGCACCACGTATCCTCGCTCTCTACAAGGAGTATTCGAATACTCTGCGCAACAATGCCAAGTATGCCAGAGCTCTCCGTGACTACTTTGTTAACGATGAGACGCTCCTGCCATTCCGTCGCGGTGACATTATCACCATCGTCCTCAAGGACCAAGAGAACAAGTGGTACATTGGTCAGCTCAATGGCAAGGAGGGTTCCTTCCCAGTAGACCATGTCGAGATCCTGTTGGTCGACAATGTCTCCAACATTCCAGCTGCTCCTGCTCCCGCTGTCTACTCGCCTGCCGGTGCATCGTCGCCTGCTCTCTCTGGCAGTGGCAATCTCCCACCCCCACCACCCCAAATGTTCTTGGGCAAGGCTAGAAGCTCGGCTGAGATGCCACCCCCACCTCCACCCTCTTCCGCTAGTGGTCTCTCTGGCAGCGGCGGTGTTCTCCCACCCCCACCATCCTTTGACATGCCACCCCCTCCACCACAGATGCTCATGGGTAAGGCCAGAAGCTCGGTTGAGATGCCACCCCCACCTCCACCCTCTTCTGCTGGTGGTCTCTCTGGCAGTGGAGGTTTGCCACCCCCACCAGTTGCACCTGTCCTATCAGGCCCACCACCTCCAATGTTGTCGACTCCCCCACCACCAATGCACTCGTCACCATCATTGTCGAGCGGCGAAAACACCCCTCCTCCACCACCCCCAGTTGTGCATGCACCTGTTCCATCTGGACCACCACCAGCCATGTTGTCGACTCCAAACGGTGTTTCACCAAAGCCATCGCGTCTCTCCATGACTCTTGCATCGGTTTCCTCCCCACCACCACCTCCACCAACCGTGCAAGCTGGTCCCGCTCCACCAATGTTGGCTACTCCCACCATGTCCTCCCCAACCCCATCCAGATTATCAACTCCTCCACCAACTGGTGTATCAACCCCACCACCACCACCTCCACAACCATCCTCGTCCTCTGAAGAAGACAAGAGAGTATCACGTATTCAAACAATGGCTCCGCTCGAGACTGCATCTCCTTTGGAACCAAGCATGATGACATGGGCCAACAACAAGTTCCGTTCATTCAAGCGTTTGGCCATGGCTCCAGCCACTGCCACCTTGAAAAAGAAGCCTGTCGATCCAAACTTTTACGTTTGTTTCACCAAGGATCCCATCAAGGAGTCACTTCTCGACTTGGAAACATCCAAGTTGTCCAAGCGTGCCGTCCTCAACTTTACATCGGTCATGACCTTTATGGGCGACTATCCCCTCCCCAAGGGATCAAACTTGGCATTGGTCGCACAAGAAATCGTTCTTCTCGGCATCCAATCACCAGAGCTCCGTGATGAAGTATTCTGTCAGATCTACCGTCAAACCAACCGTAATCCACGTCAAGAGAGTGTTCGTCGTGCCTTCGAGTTGATCAGTTTCCTTGCCACCTCGTTTACTCCATCCGAGTCGTTGATGGCACCATTTGTCGAGCAATTGATGGCCCGTCATATTGCCGTGCAAGCTGCCAACCCATCCCTCTCGACCTTGATCAACAAGTGCATTGAGAGACTCGAATCACACCCACTTTCATCGGCTCAACAGAGAAAGTACGGTCCATCGACTGCTGAAATCAACTCGCTCCGCTCAGAGGATGCCGAGTCGACCGTCAATGTCCGTGCTGTCAACCAGACAACCGTCGCCTGTATCATCGACTCTTACACCAATGTAAAGGATGTTGCCACATCGGCACTCCACCAACTCGGTGTGTCTGATGCTGCTGCCCGTAACTTTGGTCTCTACCAAGTCAACGAAGCTGCCGGTATCTGTCGTCCACTTGGAGACGGTGAGATTATCTATGATATCATGTCGCAATGGGAACAATGGGCCATGTCTGGTGAGAACAAACATATTGTATTGGACAACTTTTACTTGCAGATTCGTCGCAAGTACTTTGTCGACGACATTACCCGTATCGTCGACCAAGAACACTTGTGGACCAACGATGAGACTTCGTTTGACCTCACCTATACCCAACTCCGTGAAGAGTGGATCAGAGGTGTCTACACACTCTCTGACAAGGATGCATCTGCCGCATCGGCCATCCTCGTCCAACTCGCTCATCCCAATCAATCGCGTCTCCAACTAGGCACCAAGGAAGCCCTCCGTCCATTCATGCCAGAGTCTATCATGTCCTCTCAAAACACCAAGTACTGGGCCTCTGAAATCGAGTCACTCTTGTTTGAGATGGTATCCCATACACCCGAATACCTCAAACTCCTCTTTATCCAAACATTGGGCAAGTGTCCATTGTTTGGTTGCACTCTCTTTGTTGTCCAACCCAAGGAAGGTACCAAGGCTATCCTCGGTGTCTCCAAGAAGGGTGTCTACTTGTTTGACATTCAATCCAAGGAAACCAAGAATTACTGGACATTCCAATCAATCTCTAACTGGTCGTTTACCGACAGCACCTTTATCATCATGACTGGTAATCTCATGAAACCAGTTAAAAATACCTTTGTCACTACCGATTATTCTGCTATTTCTTCATGTTACCAATTCTATAATAATTAATCAACAACAAATATACACATATCACATTAAGATGGATGATATTTTACATACATAATTAACAACAAACACACCAAACAATCAAACAAACAAACAAATTAACAAACTTATATAAATTTATAACAATATTAAATGTATAGATAAAAATTAAATTAAATAAAATATATTATTTATTATTTAAAAAGAATTCCCTAAATTTTAATTTTCGAAATTCGATAATAATCGGTGGATTCTTTAAACAAAGTGAAGGCATTGATCCTAATATTTACGACTCTGACTGTCAGGACAAAGCATAAATGTTGTTGGTCTGAATATAATTAATTACATGACTCTTGGCCGTGTAGAGCTATTTACAAGTTCACAAAAAAGGTTTTATAAGAATAATAATAATAATAATAATACTAAAACAACTAAATCTAGTTACTGTAATATAATGAAATAAATAAATAATAATAATAATAGTACATAATAAATGTTCAATATTCATCTTTCTTTTAATTATTGGAATTAATTAATAATAATTTATTTATAATAATAATTTTTATTTTGGAAGTGGGTTCAACTTGCTTGCCATTTTTTTGTTATACATATTTGTTTTCATCAACTTTTGTCTATACATTACAGCACCGACTGCAATAGCAACGAGGCCTAGACCCCCGACGACACATCCAACGATGATCTTCCATTTATTATCGTCTGAACAGCTACCCGATTTATCGTTGACAACCAACAAAGGTGTAAAGTCTGGATCGAGAATACATTGTTGACATTGAGGCAACGTGATACCAATCATGGCAGACGATTGATCAGAGTCGATAGTGGTTTGATTAATGAGGAGTGTTTGTGAATAGGTTGTACGACCGTCTGCCAATGCAAAGTCGAGGAATCTTCCGTTGAATTGAATATTGTCTTTAAGTACTCTGAGGTATTGCAATGTACCATAATTGTCGTACGAGAATGGATCGATTTTAGTCTCTTGGCAATCATACTCTATCGATTGGTCATTGTTTACCGTTGTTTTCATAACCAATCGGAGTGTTGCGAAATTGGAATAATAATGCCATCCATTGATGGATACTGCCAGTTTGATGGAATTGGGTCCGATTGATAGTTGTTGGTTGCCAAATGTTACTGTTCTAGGTTGTTGCGAGAATGAAATATTGACAGTTACACTGGTCGTGTTGAGAAGACTAGTGTTGGCAATCACCAAATCATAAACTGCATTGATCACAGAGTTGGTAGTGGTAATATTCGTTATCCAACTATCAGTCAACAACTCTTTCAGTATCTCATTATCCAATCCAATCTCTTGAATGGCAACTATTTCAAAACCAAATTCAACTCCATCAACCTCAATTTTAGTTGTTGGTGATGTAGTATTTGGATTAAATGTTGTATTATCAGCAACTATAGATGACAACATAAAAGTTAGGTACATTTTAATAGTTAGTTATTATTGAATTAAATACATACACTTGGTTAAACAATTATCAACTGGATTATATTTATCTTCACATTGACAAACACCATTGACATTACATGTACCATGTCCATAACAATTTTGAGTTGTCTCTTCGCATATTTCTTTTGGTGTCTTTGTACCTCCAGAGGTGGAGGTGGAGGTGGAGGTGGTACCAGTGGGTGGAGAATTGTCAATGAATTTAATGATATATGTTGTACTATCAAATGTTAACCCATTTAGATCCAATTGAGCAGATGCGGGTCCAAAGGTTGTTGGTGATGAAACAAGTTGACAATTCATTTGGAATTGAGTGGACTCTGATTGATTGAAAATACAATTCATTGTATGATTGATTTTAATGGTTACATTGGCCAATGTAAATGGTCCAAAATCACCAAATAAACTAATTGATCTTTGTGTTGTATTTTGGTCATTAACAATTCCACTATTAATGAATGGATATGCTAGAAAAATAAAATAGAATTAATATTATAGGCAAGATATTATATATAGTATTTTGAATATTTACGTTTTGTACAATTATTATAATAACTTCTTTGATTTATATAACAATCACAAATACCTTGATTGTTACAGACACCATTTCCAGAACAATGATTCGTAATTTGATTGCATTCGTCCAAGACTGTGACAATTACAAATTTGGATACCACCCAAAAACCATTGATTGTGATGTTGGCAGTTGCAATTCTATTCTCTGTTATTGGTGTTTGTTCGAGTTTGCAGGTAAGTACTTGAGTGAGCCATGACACCACGGTACATATACTTTTCGATCCATCTGGGTTATTAAATTCAACTGATGATGTAACATTGTTTGGACCAAAGTCTCCAGAAAATTGTATAATACTACCAGGTGCCCAATAAGAACCACCACTGTAAACATAATTAAGACTTGGGTATACTAATAAATTAAAAAAAAGAAGAAAGGAGTAAATAATATAGTAGTAGAGTATAATATAATATAATATATAATATAATATATAATATAATATACAAAACTAGATGATTGTTTGTAATGCGAACCTTGATTAAAAGTAATTGGATTTTGGATTTGGAGGTATGTATTACCAATTGTGAGAGTATAGTTTTGATTGGGTGGTGCTGGGATATAGTATGATATGGTCATGGATTGAGTGTCGATGATTGATGAGACCGATTGATACGAATCCATGGTTGCATTGGGGAAAATGTACCAGTTGACAACAGAAAAAGAAACTCGGACCTGTGCCAATCTACCTGGATATTGAGTGACAGTATATTCGGTGACACTAAACCCAGCCTACATGATGGTGGTATCCAAGATATAGTTGTAGGTTTGATTGAGTGAGATGGCGAATGGTTGTGGAGGACCGGTTATTGGAGAGCCATAGGTGACCTCTATTTTACTATTTGGCGTCAATACTTTGATATTGGTATTGTTGACGTTGGCAAATGTCCATCCCAAGTTTTTACCGGTCAATATACCCTTTCCAAACAACAGTACCAGGGGACTGTCGACAGTGTAGTTACACACGAATCCAACTGGTTTGGTGAGTGGACCAGAATACCTGGCAGGTGAATCATAGCACCAAAAACAATCTGGGATCGATGTGATTCCATTTTGAGTCTGGAGAGTCAATTTACCGAGCGAACAAAGAGAAGTTTCGTCTATGAGAGGCCCTACAAAACTGCTGCTAAACAAAACCGATAAATCAAGTGTACCATTTGAATTTTTTAAAATGTTTGTATAGTTGGTGATTGCGCTAAGTGTAGTAACTGCATTAAATGTTCTAAATGAAACAATATGCGGGATGGTTAGGTTAGGGTAACTAGTGGTGCTAGTAGTGGTAGTTTCCTTTCAAAAACATACAATGATTTTAGATTTGGTGTGATTGGAATATTTGGAATATTGGGAAATGTCGAATTATAACTACGCATACTTGTTAGACTTGTTGGGAACGTAGTAAACGGATAGCTTGTTGCAACTTGAGAATCACTTGATAGAGTGTGCAAAGGTTAAAAAGAATTCATTATTAATAAATGGATGGATGGATGGATGGATGGGTGGAAATGGTTTAAATGTTGGATCTTACATTAGATCAATATTTGGAAAAGTATCAAGGCTTGGTGAAAAAGTATTGTCACTACCTCTTACATTTCTAGAGTAACAATGAATGAATAATTAATAATAAATAATAAACTTTGATAACTTATCAAGGCACTTACAAATATTTTAAGACTTGATTATTTTGGAATATACAGTTTTGACGAGTATTGAACAATGTCATTTGGTTGCACATTGGCAAATTAAAAATATATGTCAATGGAGAGGGATCTTGAATAAATTGATAACTACCAATAAACCTATATATATACACAGAATGAATGAATGATATTATTAGTTTGGACAATATTTAAAAAAAGAGGTAGTTAAACAAACATACAATGTAGTTAGGAGAGGGAATGATACTGGCTGGAAATCCAGTGTTTTGTTTGACATTGGGTTGAATTGGAAACTGAACATATCTAGGTTGGGAAGTCTGACTGTATTGTCGATGACGAGCGTATCTAAGTTGGGTGCAAAGAATTCAATAAAGTTGAGGTGTGGATGACTCGGGAACACAAGTGGATCAACAATAAAGGGTGTTGTTAATTTGAGAGTGTACAAATCGGCCAACATATCAAAGTTGCTTGGAAAAGTTTTTAAAGTTGCTTCGTTATGAAAACTAATGGAATTAATGAAAAAACATAGATTATTAATCATTCATTCTATTGTATTCTATATCCAATATATATTGGATCATTATAGAACGTACATACTAGAGTGTTTGAAGCTTTGGAAAAGAAGTGGCAATAGAGTCGAATAGAGCCAATGATGTGTCGGCTACAAGAAAGTCTGCTGACCTATAGCTAAAATAGAGAAGTGCCGTCAAACTTAATTGATAGGTTGGTGATGGCATTCCATTATTTCTAGCGAATGGACCATTATATTCACTAAATAGGTGGTGGTATAAGTAAGTAAGTAGGAGGGAACAACATTGTGTCGATCAGTCGACTATCAAAACATACAAATGCGTTATACGGTATGGTCCATCAGCACCAGCATTTCCACAGGTAAAAATACCTCCACCAGCACTACATAGACCAGTTTGAGACATGTCAAGTGGAAGGCCATATTGTTGGATCATCCATATCGCTGAGTTTACTATAAAAAAAAAAAAAAAAAAAAAAAAAAAAGTAAGTAAATTTTGTTTGATAGGACATTGTTTCGTTTCATACAGTCATCAGGTGGGAGTGTCTGTTGTGTCGTTTTTTCAACCAAAAAACAAAAATATATTAGTGTTATATAAAAAAGGAGGGATGATCCTTTTTTCATCATGTTTTGATCTCTCTCTGGTTGCAATATATGTGTATAATGTATATGTGATGATGGAAGATTCAAGTGAAAGATTCGAGTTAAGGTGATGCCTTGGTGGTTACCATAGGCCAATCCGAAAAATAAAAAAAAAAATAGTAATATTTAAAAGACGGCATTGGCCATCAAAAATATCTGATAAAAATCATGATCAACACGAAAAACATTCGTTTGTAACGGATGCGAAATTTCGATCATCAAAATAATTAATGAACGTTTTTAATTTATTGGTTATTATATTTTCACCTCTTTGAGAGATATTATTCTTTTTATAGTATTCTGTTATTTACAAGAATCCCCATATGTACATGTTCCTTGTTTAAGATATCGTTCTTCACCTCTTCACCTGTTGCTCTTACTCTCTTTACAATATTATGATGATGATGATGATTTAGATTTATCAATCCAACCTTTATCTAAAAGGACATTAGTATCATAGATGGAGTATTCTCTCATTTTAGTGGTTATTTTATAACCTGCAACTTCTAGATCCTCCAAACAAGCATTGTAACGATTCTCGGCGGTAATCTTGCCGACATTGTACATACGCATGGTAACAAATCTTTGGGTCAATCCATTATCCAACTGTCTAAATGCATTCTTTGACAAATGAGCTTGGTGTTTTGATACCAATCTACCAAGACTATCATAGTCTGTCGATTGACCAAGTACCAGTTTGATATGAAACTCAAAGTAATTGTCTGGTGATACCAATTTACAATCGGCATCCTCCATCGGAGCTCCATCATTTGAAAACATTGCTTCAATCTTTACTCTTGTGACTTGATATTGATTGGATGTTAATTCTCTTGCCAATTTATATGCTAATATTTGTAATTCCAGCATTGATCTAAAAAAGAGAGAATAGAAAATAAATAAGATCAATATCAATGGACTATTACTACTATATAATTATATATCTATATATATTTGATTAATAAATACCCTCTATGATACGATGAAGTCATCATTTGAGTTGGTGAATCACCTTTGGGTAGTTCAATAAATACAGGTTTACACTTTATAGTTTCACAAACTTGTTTAAATGTCTCTAATCTAGCTTGTGATCCATCGTGATGAACTGTAATATGAATTTCAAACAAACCATTGTATTCATGGTCTCTGGCAACATTAGCCATTTTAAAATAGACAACATCTCTTTTGTTTACAATAAATGATGGACCATTTACATTTAATGGTAGTAATTGATCCATTTTCCAGATTTGTCTAGAATAAATTAAAATAAAAAGAAGTAAATAAATAAAATGGTCAATGTTACATTGTTTCATGTATATATATATATATATTTACTTTAAAGTATCTTTGTTGTCTAAATTAAAAATAATAGTACCATCTAGACAATCTTGAAATGTTTGGATGGTTGAACCATCGTTGGTATAGAATAATCTATTTGTCAAAACAGCTCTTTTGTTGACAAGATCATTTTGTAATATGTGATGATGAATGACATAATCGATACAATCATTTGTGATAGGGATGATTGTTGTTGTTGTTGTTGTTGGAGTAGAATTGGTTGAATCATGACCACCATCATTGTAAACAGTCAAAAAAGATGCATCAATGACACAATGTGTGTTGTCAGTGTTGCAAACACCTTTGTTGTTGTTAAAAGTTGATAGTAATGCATCTTGGGCTAGTTGTGAGTAGATTGAGTCAATGGTAGAGTCATCGATGGCATGATGGGGCAGTTTAAAGGGTTTGTCGGTGAGCTCGGTCAGCTGAAGATTATGGTTAAAGTCGGCGAGCAATTTAACAATCTCATTGCTAAAGAGGTGGTTGTCAAATGGACATTTTGACAAGAAACGAAGAGGTTTGAGTGCCATTGGTAGTTGTTTATGATCTGGTATTGCTACGGTTTGTTCGAGCAAAGAAGAAGAGGGTGAATGCTAGGTAACAAGAGATGCAATTTTTGAAGAAGAAGATGAATAAAGATTAATGTTGTTGTTGTTGTTGTTGTTATTACTCGATAACATTTAAATGACAATGATTATTGTTTACAATGAAACAATACGTAAACTATTTATAACTAACTATGTATGTATTGTATTGTTATTTGATCGAAAATAAAACAATAGACGGAGAGTCGTTTGAGTTGGGAAATTTTGGGGATGAGACCGATCCCTCTAAAAAATATACTACCCGAATTTTCTTTTGGAAATCAGACCGCGATCACTTTGAATTCTTCACAATTCCAATACAATACATTGGTTTTCTCATTTGATCATGATGCATCGTCATCAGCATAGGAGGAGGGAGGGGTGTGTAGTATTTCTTGGTAAATGTTGAACAACAACTGATAATAATAACAATTATGTCTGTATTTTATTTTTTTTTAGTTTAATTAAATGATGTAATGATGCATCTTCAACTGTTAATAAATAATAAGTATTTCTTGAATTGTAGCCATAGACAAATTATCTCATTTATATTATTATTGTTTGGACAGCCATTTTTCGTTGCAATCCATATCCAGTGCGAAAAAGTGTGCAAAGAGTTGTTCGGCTTGGAGAGTAATAATTATTACCCCTATCTATCTATCTAACTATGTACATACAATCAAGGGAAATCAAATGAAATGAATGCAAAAATCTTTGAACAAACAACCAAATAAATATATTTAGTTTTATGTTGAGATTTTGCTCAAATTTTAGAAAGAGAGCTGAACTTCAGCAAACAATCTCTGTTTGTAAATTTCGTTTTTCGGTATGCATACCGAAGTGCTTGCTGTCAATTTAAACACTATATACTCTATAGATATAGAAAGATAGATAGATAGATAGAAATGGAGAATTATCTAGTTGAAATACCACTATCAAATAGAGCAAGACGTGAAATGAAGAGGGAAAAGTCCCCTCTTTCAAATGAAAGATTAGATGGAATGTTTGGTGCATTCTTTGCAGACAAGGTATGGCAATGCTTATTCACATTCATATTCATATTCACATTTCATTTTGTACAATAGTGCAAAAGATAAGATAACCTTTATATTTCTAATCCCTCCCATTTCTTTCTTTCTATTCTTTTCTTTCTTTTATAAACTATTAATATTAAATATAGCATGACTTTGATACTAATCCCAATGGGTTTATGAACTTTTGTATTGCAGAGAATACATTATGCTATGACTTGCTAAGAGGTAAATTAGAGTGCGACCCTAATATCAAACAATCTCTAACACAATACAGCGAGTTTGGTGGTATCAATACATTTAGACAAGCAATTGCTAATCTATTAGAGTGAGTAATAATTATTATAATATCACCTATGAACAACTCTAACATTATTATTATTATTATTATTATTATTATTCTATATTTGTATAGACATAAAATATTCCGTTGTGAAAGTGGAGATGTTGACCCTAAACAAATTATAGTTGGATCTGGATGCACCAGTTTATTAGAGGCATTATTCTATGGATTATGTGATTCTGGTGACTCGATTATTATCCCTTCACCAATGTATCCATCTTTTGTTCATGGTAATTAATAATAGATAGATAATAGATAGATAATAGATAATAATTAATAATATTAATAATATTTATTTTTTTTAGATGCAAGAATGAGAGCAAATGTAAAGATTGAACCTGCTTCAATGACTATTGATGACGGGTTGGGAAATATAAGATTTGCTTTGAGAATGGATAAATTTGATGAAGCTTGGAAAAAGGTGGAAGCTGAAGGAGGTAAAGTCAAGGCTGTTTTATTGTGTAACCCAAATAATCCAACTGGCCAATTGTTTTCAAGCGATGAATTGTTGGAATTGATTGAATGGTGTCGTGTACGTCAGATTCATCTCATCTCTGATGAGATTTATGCACTCTCTACCTTTAGCACATCCAACCATTTTGTCAGTGCCTACAACGTTGTCAATGGAAGAATGGGTGATAATATCCATATCATATCTGGATTCTCAAAGGATTTCTGTTTGAATGGATATCGTGCCGGTTACATCTACTCTCAAAACAATAACCTTGTCAACTATATCAAACAAATATCTCCATTCTTTACTTGCAGTAACGCCGTCCAATCCATTTTAACTAATATTCTAACAGATAAACCATTCCTAAGTTCATTTATTCATAGTAATCAAGCAAGATTAAAAAGTGTAAGTAAATAGAAAAAAAAACAAAAAAATAACAAAAAAGAAAAAGAAAAAGAAACAAATTAATTAATTAATTATTTTTTAAAGGCATATACAAAAACCATTTGTTATTTAAAAGAAGCAGGAATACCATATGTTGAATCACAAGGTGGTATGTTTTTATTGCTTGATATGCGTTGTTGTATGGCTGAAATTACTTTTGAAGAGGAAATGCGTGTTTGGGATGCTTTGTATGATGCCAAAGTATTGGTGAATCCTGGATGGACATGTTTGAGTGAAACGCCTGGATTCTTTAGATTCGTATTCTGTCATCACGATGAATCTCTTTATGTTGGAATACAAAGAATATTTAATGTTTATAAACAATTGGTTTTAAAAAATAAATAAATAATATTCCCAACCGTTAGTTTATTATTAATGTACTAACAAACAAACCAATGTTTTAATTTTTTGCGCAACAGTTCATAATGATCATAGTTGGTTGGAAATTCAAAAGGATGTAGATAAAAGAGGAATCCTAACATTTATGGCATTTACAAGTATTTATGATAACAAGGCAAATGTATTGGAAGCATTTATTCAAAGTTTACAAGTAAAACCAAAAGAAAATAGTAGATCATTAATATTGACCAATAATACTGTGGCAGAGAAATCATCATCAAAAAAAGAAGTAGCACCAGATTATTTAATTATTTTTGATGATTTATCAAATGAATTAAAAGATCCAAGTATTACCAAACTAATGAAGATTCAAAGACACTTTTCAACCAAGATTATTATTAGTACTCAATCATGGACAGACTCTTCATCACACATTAGAAAAGGTAATTTGGATTATGTTTTGCTATTTAAAAATATACCAACAGAAACATTAAAAATCATTTATGAAGAACTATCACTGACAATTCCTTTTAAATTATTTATAGAGATTTATTCATTTTCAACCAAAGAGAAATATCATTTTCTTTACACAATTAGAAATGGAGATTATAGAAAGGATTTTAATTTACAACTCGAAATTAAAATATAGATTTAATTATATATAAAGAAAAATGAACAAGAACAGAGTATGGATTTCAAATGAATGGAGCTTGTATTCACACAACAGGTTTGGCCAACAAGGAGATGGATTTGGAGATTGGTTTAAAAAAGTATGATTTTGTCAAAGAAAACAAATTAATATCACGAGGAGCAAAGGCACTCGGTGATGCTGGTGTTCCTTATGCTAGCAAGATTGGCGATGTAGCAGATAAATTGAGATATGGAAAAAAACCAAGACGAAAAAGAACACAAGCTGGAAAACACAACAAATCAAATTATTTTTGGAGATTTACAAGTAATTTTAAATGTAGATACAACATCACATTCAACAATAGACATACCAAGTATTGGAACTAAAAAGGTTGCTCAAGTGGTATTGACAGAAATAGATCAAACAATTAATGGACACAAGACATTTAGTGATAGTTTAAAAGTCGACAAATCAATTGAATCAAATGAAATGAAAACAAATACAATTACTCCTCAATCGGGTGTAGGTATTACTATTAATGGAACAACAACAGTAAATAATCTTGAAATAAATGGCAAAGTAAGTATGCAATTGCTGGATATTGCCAACATAGAGTGTGAATCTCTTGCAACAAACAAAATTACTGGAGAAACAATTAATATTGCACCAATCAAGTCATTATTTATCAATTCACCATCTCTAGAAACAAATCAGTTATCATTTGTCAATCCAATACCAGGTTATATTCCAACACCATTGGATTTCTATGAATATTATACACACTGGATTCAATTTAAATACAATGTATCTGGAGGATCATATGTGTTGTATAAGCAATACAATAACATATAGAGAGAGGAATAGAATAGGAAATACTACCAAGGGTTAACCACTAGATGTCGCGATCTGTAGTGCACATCGGTAACTACAAATTACGTAAATAGTTGATACTACCAAATGGGGATAAAACAAATTATGTAAATAGTCAATTTCACAACTGGAATTCAATCCATTCGAGAAATTAGTCACTATAAATCAATCGTTCGAACCATGTATATGGATGTTGTTCTTGGGAGCAAGTCAATCAAACACAACATAAACAGACATCTTATATTGAAACAGTATTTATTGGAAGCATACACAACCAATCAACTCGATTCAATGTCACAGTTGTTCAATTCGAATACACCAACACCAGTTCATTCTTGGGTGAGGATATTCAAGTATCATCAAACTCGATCAAGTACAATCAAAATTATTGATTGGATATGGTCATCACCTATCAACACACTCGAAGTTATATTCCATTCTCGATCAGATTCAGTTGAATATGACGATTGTGGTAGGATGAAAATTGGAAATGATGTATCTCCAGGTGATCAAATTATATGGACTCGAGTTCAAGTTGGAAGAACATTGCTCAACTGCAAGATAGCTAGTAGAATGATTATCGACAACTCAATAATCATGCCATCAAAAGTCACAATCCTTCCAGATGATCCACTCTCTCAACAAACTGACAAACAAGGGTTCAACCTTTTGACAACGTTTCACATACCAAGGTTCAGCCACTCGGTTGAGCTAGATCCGGTATTCAACGCAGTCATTCTTGATGATGACTCTGCCTTGCCATACGAATGCATAGAGACTACAGATTCACTCCCAAAAGTCATCGTCTCTGTGCTTTTATCGATATTCCTTCTCTCTATTACAATAGTGGCAATCATTGTATGGAAGGTGGAACCCCCAACGAACAGACCATATAGAGAAGCAGTAGAAATGGATCCTATTCCAAATACTGACCAAGAAAACGCTGACCAACAACAACAACAAAATAATTAATAATAATAATAATAATAAGTGCCCAATATAATAATAATCTTAATCTATATCTTTTATAATTGTTACTAGTAATTAATATTCTCTAAGATTATCGTGTAGGTTGTTGTAGGAATAATTATACAATTGATTTGTCACCTTTAAATACAAAGGTTTAATAATACTCAACTCTATCTATCTAGTTTGTGTTTTAAATATTATTTATTTATATAATTTAAATAATTTAAATTGCGGAATTGTTGTTATGGTGTGTAAAATTGGATTGAATAAAGGGAATTGATAATTATTATTGTGAGTTGTTGTTGTATGTGCGGATACAACTAGGTTTATGTGAATTAATATTCTTTTGGGTTGATAAATATATATAAAATATATATTTTTAATCTCTTTCTTTCTTGTTCTTCTTCTATTATTATTTTTGTTTTTAGTTATTTGTTTTATAAAGTAACTTCTTTTCTATATTCTCTAAGTATAACTGGAATTGAAGTTGGAGGGACCATACCAAATTCAGTGATGACTAGAGCGATGAATTCGATTGGGGTTAGATCGTACATGAGATTGAGGAGGTTCAAATGTTCGATTGATTTCCAATCCTTGAGGATATTTTGTTCGTTTGAATCCTTTTCCGAGAGATTCGAGACGAGATCCCAAGGGTCGCCCAAATCGTTTGAGCATATCGAGTCTAGTTGAGCCTTTTCTGTGAATTTATAGGTTTCGCAACACACAATGAATGGTACGTTGTAAAATTGGGCCATTGAGGCAACCAAGGCCGTTCCGGCACGTGAAATCAAATTTCCGTTTGAAAGTACTGTACAGGCTCCGACAAAGACCTTGGTAACCTCCTTCATAATATAAGAGATGGCATTGAGCAAGATATAGGTGCACTTGATCTTGTGTTGGACGAGACGGAACATCAACTCCTTGCCCTCGTGTTTTGGTCGCGAGTCTACAATGATGACACGGAACTTCTTACCCTCTTGTTGTGCTTGACGAAGGATCATCTCGACAACATGGCTAGATGCGTAGGTGAGGATGACGTCGCCGTCGGTGATCTTGGACACACCATACTGAGCAATGACCTTGTCGGCCACACCGACACGCTCGATAAAGGCGTCGACACGGTCGCACAAGTAGGCCTTGGCCTCCTCGTTGGTGAGACGTTGTTCTGACAGACTGGTCAGGCAATTTTGTTTGAAATAGATGATCGAATTGGACATGGAGACCGACATGGGACGACAGTCGACGAGGAATTGGATAAGAGGGTTGAGGTGTTGGTTAAACTCTCTGCTAAACTCTTTTTGGGCAGGTACGTGGAAGTCGCGGATAACCTGCTTCAACGTGGTCATGAGTGCGACGGCACGGGCGTTGGAGCCCGAGATGGTAAAGTTGGCGTATTTCAAACCGAGAGAGATAATCTCTGGATGGATATCGGCCGACACAATACCAAGCGAGTTCTCCAACTCGTATTGAGGAAGATGTGCAAAGAGTGGGATCTGCTTGCTTGCAGGTGAAGCATTGATAATCTTTTTCTTTGTCAACTTTTCACGTTTCTTTGGATCGTCAAATTGTGATGTAGACGATGTAATTGGGTTTGGTTTCTTGTGATGATGTGATGTCGATGCTTGTTGTTTATTATGTTCATCTCCACTATCCTCTACAATTGGTGGTGATGATACTGATGGTGTTAATTTATCATTTTGTTGTTGAGATCCTTTTTGTCCTTGTTGTTGTTGTTGTCCTTTCTTTTGTCCTTGTTGTTGCTGTTGTCCTTTTTGTTGTTGCTGTCCCTTCTTTTGTCCTTGTTGTTGTTGTTGTTGTCCTTGCTGTTGTTGTTTCTTGATACCTGAATCTGTCGAGTTTGAAATCTGTAATTGTGTAAGATCGGGAACGTCGCTCTTTGGAATCTCAAGTGACACACTCGTGCTATTAGTTGTGGTGGTGTTGACTGGTGCTGACATTTGGTTGGTACTAGATGAAGGTGATTGCTTCTTTTCTTTGTTGTTGTTTCTTCCTGATGGACTCTTTCCGCTCAACGACGACGATGCTGAAGATGACTTGTCTGATGCACTTGACAATGACTGTGTAGCTGATGGAATAGGGATTGGAGAAGATGTCTAAATGATGCAAGTGTAACAAACAAACAAACAATGATAGAAATAGAAACGACGCGAAAGCGAAAGATCGTGATGATCCCAATGTTAGTCAGAACAATCGAAAATTTGCGAAAGGAACAATTTGCAACAAAGATGCACAATTTGCACTATATATACAACTTCTATCTATCTATCTATGTATGTACATACCGATTTTTTTCCCTTCTCTTCTTGTTCATCAATCCATTCACCAAGTTCACGAGTTACTGATGCTTCTCTTTGAATGAATGTGTTCTTGTACGACATGTCGTTTATCTTTTCTATATTCACTTGTTATTACTACTAAATAACTACAAGCTAATAACTACTAATAACTACTAATTATAAATATAGAGAATCTAATTCTAGACTATTATCTATTCGGAGTGTTTTTTGAGTCGTTTGACAATAAACAATCACTAATGATAATGAAAGATAGAAGTGAGGAACTAATGAAGAACCAAGCTGGTTTTGATATTAATATTTTTTTACAAAAAATAAATTAAAATATAAACATGGTCGCTCCTATTTTGGGATAGTAATACTAATATTAGTAAAGAGAAGATAAGATATGCATATATCTTTATTCAATAATGATGATCATCATACTCTAACATTGAGATACATAGATACTAGTACTTAGGGTAGTAATTAAAATGAATGAAAAATTGAAAAGATGGGAGATTTCAACAATGAAACTACTTGAAGTATTACTTCATTTCATTTGATTCGATTCGGTTTCGATTTATTTATAAATACAAACATATATATATATATAGTTTAAATGGACTTGTTACAGGAATACGGAGATTCATCAGATGAAGAAACAACTACTACAACAACGACGAAACAAGTAGAAGAAAATAACAATAACAATAATAATAATAATAATGTAACAAAAGAATTTAAATCATTTAAACCTTCATTGTCAATAGCACCGTCAGTAAAGAATATTCAAGTGTTGGAGAACAAGGTAGATCCCAACTCAAAGATACTATCATACAATCCAACAGTAGAGAGTTTATATGGTGAGACTGAAGGTCCTGAAACACCTTTTACAAGATCAAGTATGTAAACTCAAATTAGCTAGTACTTACTTACTTACTTACTTACAATCTATCTATCTATCTTATTCTATTCTCTAGAGCAAAGAATTGATCCATCATTAAAGAATCACAAGACAGGAATAGTAGAGAATTATTATATCAATGACTTTTCATTCAAAGATCAATACTATACATACAAATCATATGGATATGCAGCCGACCCAAATACAGGTGTCATTGTAGGTGATAAAGATAGTTATATAAATCATCATGGCGCATCTGTATATAATAATATTAAACAACAAGAAAATAATAATAATAATAGTAATAAGAAAAAGAAAAGAGATAATGATGATCCATCAGATGTTAAAGGGTATATGGGACCATGGGCACCAAAACAACACGAGATTGATTTGAGAAACAAACTACAACAACAAGATGAAGAGGATGCTGCGACGGTGGGTGTTGAGATGTCGGTTGAACAAAAGGCGTATTTGGACATGCGAAAGAAACAGAGTATACGCGACAAGGAGGCGTCGCAAGTGACATCGGTTTTCTATGGCAAGGAGAGAAAGGATTATATGGGACGCAGCTGGATCGAGCCACCCAGCGACCTCAAGACTGGCGTCGAGGTGGACAGCTTCTTGCCCAAGAAACTGATACACACGTGGACCGGGCACAACAAGGGTGTGTCGGCCATCCGTTTCTTTCCACGGTACGGTCACTTGTTGCTGAGTGCCAGTATGGACAGCTCGGTGCGTATCTGGGATGTAAATAACGACCGTGCCTGCGTGCAGAGCTACCACGGACACAACCAAGCGGTGCGTGACATTTGCTTTGCCAACAATGGCCGACAGTTCTTGTCGTCTGGCTATGACCGTCAGACCAAGCTGTGGGACACTGAAACAGGCCAGATTGTGCGTGCTTTCACCAACGGCAAGATCCCCTACGTCTGCAAATTCAATCCCGACGAGGACAAGCAAAACGAGTTCCTCGTCGGTCTCTCTGACAAAAAGATATTGCAGTATGACGCGCGATCAGGTGACATTGTGCAAGACTATGACCAGCATTTGGGTGCCATCAACACCATCACCTTTATCGACGACAACCGTCGGTTTGTCTCGTCGTCGGACGACAAGTCACTTCGTATCTGGGATTGGGGTATTCCAGTCGTCATCAAGTATGTCAGCGAGCCAGAAATGCATTCCATGCCCGCTGTTGCCCTCCACCCCAGCGGCAAGTACTTTGCCACACAATCCATGGACAACCAGATCCTCGTCTATGGTGCACGAGACAAGTTTAGAATGAACAAGAAAAAGAGATTTACAGGTCACACCAACGCAGGTTATGCCTGTCAACTCAACTTTTCACCCGATGGTAAATACGTCATTTCCGGTGATGCCACTGGTAAAGCTTATTTCTGGGATTGGAAAACTTCTAAAGTTATCAAGTTTGTATCAACAACAAAAAAAAAAAGAAAAGAGACAACAATTTGATTATTAATATTAATATTAATATTATTATTTTCTTTTTATTTATTTATTTTAGATCATTTAAAGCACATGATGATGTTTGTATAGGTATTGAATGGCATCCACTTGAAACTTCAAGGGTTGCAACGTGTGGATGGGATGGTACAATTAAATATTTTGATTAATACCCATCAAACAAACAATAAAACCAATATTATTAATAATTAAGTTCATGAACTTCAAGTCTTGTCGTGTCTTGTCACTTCAAGGTCAGACCTCGTGCATTAGTGTCTTTGCCACCTCAGCTCCATTTCAATTAAAAACATTAAAAAATATCAGTTTTTATTGTGGGTCATTCATTCTCATCACCACCTTCCCCCCATATTATACTCAAATTCAAGAACTTGCAACATACATACAAACAAAACAATAATATATATTAAAGAGATCATATAGAACAATACATATTATTATCATTCATTATACTTTTGTTTTTTATTTGTAATTGTTGATTAGGGTAGTAGTTAGTAGTAATGAGCGACACCTCCACCTCTTCAAGCATTGTGTTGAAGGGATATGTAAAGTACAGTACTCTACAACAACCATTGAAAAAGTATTACTTTGTAGTTGATTCCGATCAATGTATTCTTTCACTTTATGAAAGTATGTAGAAATTGAAGAATAACATAATAATGAAAGAGATAGAGAGAAGAGAACATGCATGCGACTCTGTTACTTACTTACTCTTTTATTTAAAAGATCAAGGAGATGAATCACCATTTACATTTATATTATTGACAATGGTATCTAGAATAGAGAAATCAGAAGAGTATTCGTCATCGTCGAGATATTGTTTAGAGGTGATTGATAGTTCGTGTTCTCCAACACAGACACATTATTTGGTATCAAAGAAACAAGAATTCAGAGCATCATTGTACAGTGCGTTGGCAGAGTGTATGGAATCAAGAAAGCATATTGGTGGACGAAACGTTACAAATATCAAACATCCACCTTCACCATCGGCACCAGTCATTGGAAATCATCACCAACCGGCAAGCAAACCACTAAAGATTGGCAGTCGTTCATCCACCCCACTTTCATCTTCATCTTCTTCCTCTACCTCTCCCAATTCATCGGTATCAGCATCGGGATCCTATGTCAAAGCATCATTGTCAGCATCAACGGGAAAGGTCAAACTTGGAAACTCAAGACCTTCTTCAACAATAGTTTTGGGTTCTAAAAAATCTCCTAGCATTTCATCTTCTTTAGACAAGGAAGGTGAAGAAGGGAATGAACATCATGATCATGAACATGAACATCGTGATCATGAACATGAGGAAGAAGAAGTGGAGCAAGTATTGGAACAAAGAGATGAGGAACACCAACAAATGGCAACTGAACAACATAATCATTCAACAGTTGGAGCAGAGGAGGTATCCTATCATGAGCATAATCAAGAAGAAGAGGAAGAAGATGAAGAAGAAGAAGAGGAGGAAGTGGAAGAGAGAAAGGATGTGGAGGAAGGATCTATAAAACATACTCTAAGTACAAGTAGTATCATCATTCAAGATAATGGCAATGATGATGACAATATTGATGGTACTATTCAAGAGGAAGAAAAGAAAGATGAAGAAAAAGTTCAATCGATAAATCAAAAAGATTCAATGATATTCCAAGATGAAGAGGAACAAACATCTGTTCCTGTTAGTTTGACAAATGTTACTTCACCGTTGGGAGGATCAGGTTTGATGATTAGAGAGGTCAAAGTCAATGAATTAGAGTTGGATCAAATTGTAAATGAAATATCTAGCACTTCTTCAAGTTTATATAGTGCTGGTAGTAGTGCAAATGGAGATGTTGGAACAACTACTACAACGATCAAAACAGAGGAAGAATCTACAGCCGTTGTTGTAGATCCACCAGGTTACAGTCGTAAAACAATCACATCATTTAGAAAGACACCATCCACTTCTCCAACAATCGTATCAAATGTCCCCACTCACAGTCCATCATCGATGACATTATCCAAACCATCGGATTCAGTGTCTTCATCATCCTCTCCTATTGTTTATCCAAATAGTTATCACCAGCAAAACAATGTTAATAATATCAATAACAGTCCAGTTTCTTTATCATCATCTGCTGCTCCATCCAATTTAAATTTAAATCAATCATTTAATAGAATTGATATTAAGCAACAACAACAACAACAACAACAAACATCATTGTCATCATCTTCATCATCATTACAACATGTTATTGGATTACAAATGAATGGATATGGATATTTTGTGATTCAAAATTGTGATCAATTTAGAATGGTGATTGGGAAATCGTTGGCAGGTGACCAATCGTTTGCTGGTGCACTCGTTGGGCCATTTAAATTGGATTGGAGACCATCCCAGGGTGTTTGGCACATCAACGATGAAGGATCTACAGAGATTGGACCATCGACACCTCCCAAAGACGAGTTGGTCAAGCGCATCAAAGACAAGATTGAAAAGGCAGAGGCTGGAAACGACAAGATGCTAGCTGATCTCTTGTCTGATCGTTTACGAGTCATTGAACAGTGTGAAGAGCGATCATTTATTCTAAAGGGTGGTATTGTCGTTGGTTACAGAAACGATAAGTGGGAGTTGCTAGAAGCACCCATTACACTCACCTCTCACAATGTATCACCATATCACAGCAGTAATCCAGCAAATAGTAGACAACATAGTAGAAATAATAGCACAAATAATAATATAAATAATAATAATAATAATAACGGCGGTGGTGTCATTAACCACCATGTACATAATAATAATAATAATAATAATAACTCTAATCATTCATCACCGTTACTTTCGTCATCGTCGTCGATTTTAACTCATCAATCATTGACAACTAGTTTGTTGACTACTGAAGAGGCACTTTTAATGCTTCAAAAGGTAAAAGATGTGGTGAGAGAGATTGACAATTACTTTGGTTTCAACACGACGGTTGCTGAAAAGAAGTCGAGAGGTGACGACATTGTCAACAAGCGCATTGCAATGATGGTGCGTGGCAAGTTGGCAACGGCAATGGCCAACATTGTATCGCACGGATTCCGAACCACGTCGACTGGAATGTTTAAGAAACGACAACATATTTGGGACTTTATCGAGAGCTATAAAAAGATGACGCTGCACACGTCTGTCTCGGGACTCAGTCTCACCCAGTCGATCCAGGCAGTGTGCGACGTTGACCGTTTGCACGATGTGGTCGGATCCAACTATGATCCCAACATGCGGTTCAGATCGTTTGTCTGTCAGGGATTAAACACACACCTCATCGACCAATGGCTATTTATGCTGCACAATATGAAAGATGCAGTGTCACACTACTACGATCCCCAAGCATTCATACTAAACGAAGAATTGTGGAAAGCATTCTGTCAATGTTTTATCCCACTTGTCAACCTTCCCTTTAAACTATCAATCGATTATGAGTATACCCTTAAACTACAAAAACAACAACAACCAAATAACCAAAGACAACAACAACATCAACAACCAATGTCACAGCATCAACAACAATATAATTTAAGAAATAGTCAAAATCAACAACAATTTAACCATGACGGTAATAATGAAATGTTTGGTAATTTGCGATCGTCTATTTCATCACTATCGTCATCCATCATGGAAACATCGTCTCAAGTGTGGTCTGGATTACCGACGATAGATGGTCAACAAATCAAACAATCCTTCTCTGACAATATCAATTATCTCACCAATTCAATCAAATCCAATGAATTATTTAATCAATCACAACCAAAGGATAGATTACAACAAGCCTATGCTCAATCCCAACAACAAAAAAATATTAATTCAAATCATCCACAGCAACAACAACAACAACCAATACCAATTCCATCAAAACAACAACAACAACAACAACAACAAGGACAAGGACAAGGACAAGGACAAGGACAAGGACAAGGACAAGGACAAGGACAATCACCAAAAATAACGCCATCATCACCATCACAAAGAAAAAAGGTTTCATTTAATATTGGTGATAATAGATCACCAGCACCACCACATCAACAACAATCACCAAGACCTGACAACAACAACAATAATAATATTAAGAATAATAATAACCAAAAAGACATGACCGAAGAAGACCAATCATTGACAGGTGATTTATTACAAAAAATACAAACAACAATGAAGCCAATAACCAAAAGTATAGAAGAATTTTTTGATGGTTATTAAATACTTAATAATAATAATAATAATAATAAACCACCTAACCCCGTATTTATTTTATTAATACTTTTGGTGAACATCAAACAATTTAATTCCCAAAAGAAGAAGAGGTCATAGAAATCATGTAGATATCGATATTGACATTGATATTGGTGCACAGCCAGTCTTTGAGAACTTCCATTCTTGATTCCAAAAATTTTCACTTTATTTAAAATAAAAAACACAATTGAAGACGAATAAAGAGAAGTGCGAAATCGAACATATTCTAATCTATTTATCTATATTAGCATTACTGTAATCTAATATTTGTATTATTTATTTATTTATTTATTTATTACATGTATATATATCTAATATCACGAGATGAGTAAAAAATCAACAAAAACAGCCATTCGATGCTATTATGATGTGTTGGAGGTTGAAAGAACAGCAACAGAAACCGATCTAAAGAAAAGTTATAGAAAGTTGGCTTTGATATGGCATCCCGACAAGAACCAACATCAACTAGAGATTGCTGAAGAGAGATTCAAAGAGATTAATCATGCCTACTCTATTCTCTCTGATTCAAACGAGCGTCAGTGGTACGACGACCATCGTGAAGCTATTCTTCGTGGCAAGGATGCGACAGGCAGTGACAGCGTCATCAACCTGTGGGCATACTTTTCGACCGCCTGTTTTGATGAATACGACGATGGAGAGCGTGGATTCTACACTGTCTTTTCACAGGTGTTTGGGAACCTCGACAATGATGAGGTGGAGGCAGCTGATAACTTTTCACGCGACGGAAGATCACGTGCCAAAACAGCACCTGTCTTTGGTACGAGCACCAGTACCTTTAAAGAGGTCAATAACTTTTACAACTATTGGCGTGGCTTTGCCACCAAGAAGAAGTTCTCGGGTGCCGATCTATACAATTACTCAGAGGCGCCCAATCGCTACATCAAACGTTTGATGGAGAGGAAAACGACAAGGAACGCTCCAAAACACGAACCGACTACAACGACCAAGTCAAACATCTCGCCGAATACCTGTACCGACGTGATCCGAGAATCGGAGAGTTTTTGAAACAACAACGTGAAGATGAAGAGAAGCGTGCTGTCCGCGAAGAGGAGCAACGTATCATTGCCGAGGAACGACACAAAGAGATGGTCAAGAAACACAGAGAAGAGAAAAAGGCAGAGTTTGAGAAATTAAAGTCTCAAGGTGGATTCCATTTCATGGAGGCTGAAGAAGTCATCGAGGATGAACCCGAGTTCTCCTGTATTGTCTGTGACAAGATGTTTAAGTCGGACAGACAATTAAAGAATCACGAGAATTCAAACAAACATAAAGTTGCACTTCAAAAAATGAAAAGAGAAGTTTCTTTGGATGGTGAATTTGAAGAAGAAGAATTGGAAGAATTGGAAGGAGAAGAAGTAGAAAAAGTGGAAGAAGAGGAGGTAGAAAAGAAGATTAAAGTAGACACTCCAACCAAATCATCTTCCCCATCAAATTCCTCTTCAAAGAAATCAAAGAAAAATAAGAAAAAGGTTCAACAACAAGATGATGATGATTATAGTTCACCTCATAGTATGGTTTCTAAAAAGAGTAAAAAAAAGGAAAAGAAGAGATCAAAGAAACAACAAAGTGAAGATGAAGAAGAAGAAGAAGTGGATGAAGAAGAGGAGGAAGTAATTCCACAACCAGTTAAAAAATGTGGAAAGAAAGATAAAAAGAAATCATCAAATAAGAAACAAAGTGAAGATGAAGATGAAGAAGAAGAAGATGATGAAGAAATTGAAGAAGATGATGATGAAGTAATTCCAAAACCAGTTAAAAAAGGTGGAAAGAAAGATAAAAAGAAATCATCAAATAAGAAACAACAACAAAGTGAAGATGAAGATGAAGATGAAGAGGAGGAAGAAACAATTCCAAAACCAGTTAAAAAAGGTGGAAAAAAGGATAAAAAGAAATCATCAAATAAGAAACAAAATCAAGACGATGATGATGATGATGACCAAGATTTTGATGACGATGTAGAAGAAGAACAATTCAATAATATAAAGAAAAAATCATCATCCTCCTCTAAAAAGAAATCAAAGAGTAAAACAATAGTAGTAGAAAGTGAAGAAGAGGAAGAGGAAGAAGAGGAAAAACCAATATCTAAAAACAAGAAAAAGGAAGAAAAATCATCTCCCAAAAAGAAATCAAAAGTTGTACAAATAGAAGAGAGTGACGAAGAAGAGGAAATGGATCAAGATGATGATGATGAAGAAGATGATGAAAGTGATGAAGAAATCCAAAAATCAATTTCAAAATCTGAAAAGAAATTAAAATCATTAATGTTTGAAAGTGATGACGAGAAAACCAAAAAGAAACAAACAACAACTAAAAAGATTGGAAAGGCAAAAGAAAAGAGATTACAACGTCAAGAGAAACAAAAACAACAAAAAGAATCAACAGGCAAAAAACCAACAGAGTATAAATGTGCTGTTTGCCATGTTGAATTTGACTCTAGAAATCATTTATTTACTCATTTAAAATCTAATCCAAAACATGCCAAACCTTTATAAATAATAATAATAATAAAAGATAGACCTATCTTTCAAAGTATGATGATGATTTTAAATAATTAATAATTTCCTTTTTTTTAAATTTATTTTATATTGATCTTTTAAATTATTATTACCAAATAATAATGGATATGATATGATATGATAATAATAATAACCAACCAACCAAATGTTGTGTGTTTTCTTTTCTTTTCTTTTCTTTTTCTTTGTTTTTTTTAACGTTTGACCAATGGGAATTTCTTTCTGGCTTTGAGTTGACCAGGTTTCTTTCTTTCGACACGACGGATATCGTTTTTGAGGAGACCGGCAAAACGAAGAGCCATTCTGTATCCGAGATCATAGTTGGAGATGGCAAGGGCGAGGGCACGGCAAATGGCCTCGGACTGCCCCTTGATGCCACCACCAATCACCTTGATGTTGATGTCCCACTTCATCAAGGTTTCCGAGATGACGAGTGGACGGATGACGGCATCCTTGTAGGTGATGCAGTTGCCAAAGTACTCGGTGAGGGTTCTTCCGTTGATGAGGAGCTCTCCACTGCCGAGCTTGATGTAGGCGGTTGCCTTGGCGTCCTTACGCTTCGAGTAGCCATGAGCAATACCATTGTAGGTGTTTTCAGTACGTACCTTGGGACGTGCTGGGATGAAGGGGGTGAATGTGTCGGCGTCCATGTTATTGAGCTCGTCTTCCTCGTCAACTTCCACTTCTTCCTCGTCTTCAAACTCGTCAAAGTCGCGTTGAGCCCAATCGGCCGACATCTCGGGATGGTGTACCGTGTCGTCGGCCGAGGGGGGAGCTATGGGCGAACGAATGTCAAACTTGTCGAGTTGGTCGATATGTGCAGTGTTGTTGCGCTTGTTGAGTTGTTGAGAGAACAACTTGTCGTACTGCGAGCGGAGACGCACGTCATAGTGCGACGACATGGCGTCGAGGTTGTCTTGTGCACGATCGCTCTGTTTCTCTGGCAACGTACGGTTGAAAGAAAATCCCTTGTCAAATTCGCGCTTTGGCATGTTTCTTGTAATCTCTGATTCCTCTTCAAACTCTTCCAAATCAGTATCTACTATATTGTCGTAAGGGTTGTTGGTGAATGATTCATAATCAAACTCTTCTTCCTTTTTTTTTATGTTGTTTGTCTTTTTTGATCCTCCTGTTGATTTAGTACTATATGTTCTGTTATTTTGTTGTGATGATATTCTATTTTGTTGGTTATTGTTATTATTATATGAGTAAGATGTACAGGTTGTGGTGTTATTTGTTGTATAGCTAGATGAAGACACCACCGACGAGAATGATCTGCCATTATATAATTGTAATTGTTGCAATGCAGCACCAAGAAGCTTGACCTTGTTACAAGATGAACCACCTTGTGTGGCACCAAGTAACGATAACATCTTCACTACGACTAAACTACTATATACTATAGTGCTAGCTCTGCAATCAGCTCTCTAAGTTGTGTCATTGTGCTGAAACGAAAGAAATTGATGATCGTTTCGAAAAATCAAAAAAATTAAAAAAAAATTCATTTTTTTTTCTACTCCAAGTAGCGATTGTTCAGAAATTAGAGTTTTATAGTAATAATTTAAATAGTAATAATAATCCAAACTTATTTGATTGGGTATAGTGGTCGCCAATCAACACCACTCTCTTCCTTCATAGCTTCTCATCCCGAAAGTCATTGTGATTATGGAAAATCGTGACATGGAGGAGGAGTAGTATGCCTATCACTATTATCTATTAATTGGCTACTATAATTTGTTTCATAGAGGTCAATCCAACATTAAATAGAGTTTGCAATTTTAGATATCATCATCGTTTTACATTTGACATGCGAAACATGACCAGACTCTAGGTATGTTCATAGTTGCTATATTTGATCTATGTCAATGGGGAATAGAGTTGATGTGTGAGAATAAGAAACAGAATGAGCACATCAATAGATTCAAACAAGGTGGAAGATATTACAATGGAACAATTAAAGATTGGGTCGTCATAGATTTCTTAAAGGCAAAATCCAAAGTTTTACCATAATCATATTTTTTACAGTAAATAGTGACAAGGCAATTAAAAATAACTACCATTGTATTGGACCCCTACCTTTCTATCCATTGATCTATTATTTAAAAATTAATTATTTATTTATATATTGGGCGTTAATATCTTTTCTTTACACTTTTTCTTGGACCTTTTTTGTTTTGTTTAAGGACACGTTTTGATTTGGTTGCTTGTGATAGGATGGGTCGTTGTCTTTCTTCTCGTTGTTTCATGACAACACGTGACTTGCATCGCCACATGCACCACACTGGATCAAAGTACATGTCACGGACACGGTGGGTCTCTTCTTCTTGACGGAGATCCTTCTTTTCCTCCTTGCTGAGTGTTCCCAAGTCCGAGACGATCTCATCGTTGCCCTCGTAGCCCGAGGTCGATGTTTCAGAGTCGTCATCACCACCCAACACGCCTTCATAGTAGTAGTAAAAGTATTCCTGTCGCTGCGAGTCAAAGTGGAGCACGGGACGACCCTGGTGACAGTCCTCACACATCCAGGGTGGCTTGGTATCGACGGGCAGACCGAGACAGTGGAGATGGAATGCACGCAAGCAACTACCCTCGCAGAGGAGCAGTGGAACGGGTGTCATTTCGTCGACGGGTGGGTGTGCAGCAGCACCTTCTTCGGCGGGTGGTTGGGGTGGACGCTTGTAAGGGACAGGCTTGTGGCCACAAATAGAGCACATATCCTTGATGAGCTCAGCCTGTAGCTGTGCCTCTGCTTGTGCCTCGATAAATGCCTTTTTGTAGAGATCGTCAAACATCTTGTCGAGCTCTTCGGCAAGCTCATAAATATCGCTCTCCTCTTCATTGTAGGTCATGGCATTCTTGAATACTAGCTTGATATCAGTGTGTAGCAAGTTGTAGTTGAGGAACTTGCCCGCAGACAATGTTGCGTCGATCGTACCGAGATCGCGTGGGTGCTTGATCACGTCGTTGTAGTCGGGAATGTTGAAACGGATGGGGTCAACAGGCTCACGGAACGGCTTGGAACGTGGATCCTTGAGCAGTGTGGCCATAATCTCGCGACACTTGCCCAACACAATGTTGTTGAGTTCGGCGAGGGTCGGCTCGCGCTTGGGACGCGAGAATGGCAGCTTGTTGACCGTCTGTGGTGCAGGCGCCGACATGAGTGATCCGCTTGCCACAATCGACTGGTGGGCAATGTGTTGTTGGTGCAACTGCTGTTGCTTCAACATGTGTTGTTGATGTGGTGTCAACACGGGTGGTTGGATCACCAAAGGTAATATAGGTTGTTGTGGTTTGATTGGAGTCAAAACTGGTGGTAAACTTGCTTGTCTTGTAACTAAAATAGAAATACAATGAATAATAAATGTTAGAATATATGATGTGATGTGGGTGGGTTAGGTGATTTGGTTTGATTGAATGGTGTCGTAACATACTTTTAGTTGGAGTAGGATGATCATCCATAGAATTGGAATGGTGGGATGCGGCAGACATGATGTGACTGAGACTGGTCGATCCTTGGTTGAGTCTATTTCTCTTGGAATCTTGTTGTTGACGGATGTAGCACTTTTTGCACTTGCTGGCACGGTTGTAAAACTCGGTTTGGGGGAGGACGGGACTGGTCAGCCACCACTTGTTGTGTTGGGGGTGCTGACATATTTGGTAGGGGATGCCGGCCATCTCCATCTCTTGCTGTGTGGGGAAGACCTGGGGTGGCTGGTTGGTCGTAGACGACGCACGTGTCTTGAGGGGTGTGGGGATCGAGTGGGGTAGTGGGGCAGGCTGCTGCTGAGCGAGCATCGCGGGAGCCTGCGACATTTGATGGTGATGATGATGGTGATGAGAGAGTGGACTAGTGCCCATAATAGCAGGATTGACCATTGGCAACGAGAATGGGATGGGGAGAGCAGGTGGCATGACCATGGAAAGACCTGGATTGGTCTGGAGTGGTGTCATCATTGGCAGGGGTGTCTGTGGGGTCATGGACATACCCACCATACCATTAGGTGTTGCCATGTGGGCACCAGGCGTCGATGATCCGTGTCCATGGTGTGTAGGTGTTTTGGGTGGGGATGCAACATATGTGCCACGGATCTCGACTGACGGGTCGAGTGGATCTCCATCCTGTTCGTGACGTGATATATGACGTGAAAAGTTGGCCGATAGCTGCTTACCGCACCCAGCAAAGAAACAGGTATACGAGCCATCATCATTCTTTTGAAAGAGATGGGCTCCATACTTTTCCTTTTGGTGTTGCATCAAACCCGGACCCTCAGTCTGGTGGACCGTGTTGGCATTATTGCTATTACCAGGCGTCGAGGGTGTACCCGGATGATGCAAGTGGCTATGATGCTGTGGTGTAGTAGGAGGTTGCTGCATTTGCATTGGCGGTGCTCCCATCATCGTATTCATCATTGGCACCTGCATGAACGGATTAATCATAAATGGATTAAATGAATGATTCATCTTTTCACTCTATATATATATATCTCTGTATAATGTATGTATATGTATCTGTATGATATTATCTGTTTGTATATATGTTGTATATGTGTGTGTGTGTGGATCTTGATTGTTTTTAAACGATTCTATATTTAGAAGTGTGTGTCAGTTCATTTCATTTCATTTCGTAGTTGCACTTTGACTCAAAAGGTCGATCGATATTTTTAGAATATATTACACAAGTCTTACCTTTTTTGTTTTTTTAATTAATTTAAAGTGTACGGTGTAACTTTTTTGTTTATATGATATAAATACAACTATGATGTGATGTGGAAGTGAAGTGAATGAACTTTAAAGTATATGTGTAGAAGAAATAAATAAAGAGATAATCTGTAGTTAGAGATAGAGATAATCTGTGTGTATGTTTATGTATGTATGTATGTATAAAAAAGATAGAAGAGTATGTACAAATATGCTGTTGCTGATGCTAGATGTGGGGGATGTAGGTTCTGATTGTTTAGTATTAATTAATGAACCTCGTGTGTCCAGTCTTTTTAATTTTATTAAATCGACAACAGACAGAGAGATAAGTTTTTTTGTGCTTCAACCTCTCAAAAATACTCTCCTGCTTGGGTGTGAGGGAGAGAAAAAAGTGACTTGAAAAAAATTCATTTTCATTTTTTTTGCGCTTTTCAAAAACTTGAACTTCGTCGTCTTTGTCATCAACGGCAAGCTCAGAAGTCGTTGCTGAGAGTGTACGTTTATTAACCCCTGTCCCTATCTATCTATCTTTATTCAAGTTGGGTATTGTATTTGATGAATGTTGATACGATAATATTACCTTTTGAATGGGATTGTCGAGTTTTAGTTTTTTGTCTTTGTTGATCGTTGTTTTCCCTTTTGTGTCGACAACAATTCAATACTGAATAGTTCTTTTTTTTTTAATTTTATGTATTGTGAGGGGAGAGATAGCAATAATATAATATTATAATAGTTTAGTTTAGTTTAGTTTATTGACGAAACCTCACTCACTCACTCATATTACATATATATATAATAGGTCGCGTAGTATGATGATGGATACAAATAAACACGTTTACGAAAACAACAATAATAATACATCATCGAATCATGCACAACATATTAACAACAACAGCAAGCAACCTCAACAACATGTGAATTCATCATCATCTTCCTCTTCATCATCATTTCCACTTCCACCTCCATCACATGTACAATGGGGATCAAGAAGTGTAGACAACTTTGAAAAGATTGAACAGATTGGTGAAGGTACCTTTGGGTATGTAATAAACAAACAAGAAGAAGAAGAATTATTATTCGTACCAATCATTTCATTAATGTACTAATCAAATGATCTATCTTAATAATATAATAATAATAGTCAAGTATATAAAGCAAGAGATAAAGAAGATAATGAAATTGTAGCTTTGAAAAAGGTTATCATGGATAACGAAAGTGAAGGTGTACGTTACAAACACAAACAAAATTAAATTAGAAGATAGATATGTATATATTAATAATAATTAATCTATCTATCTATCTATTATTTAGTTTCCAATTACAGCAATAAGAGAGATCAAGATTCTAAGAGAATTAAATCACAAGAATGTAATTAGACTCAAAGAGATTGTAACTTCAAAAGCAAGTGCACAAAACAATGGTAAAGGAAGTGTATATATGGTATTTGAGTACATGGATCACGATCTCAATGGACTCATGGATTCACCAGCATTCAAATTCTTTAATCCCGAACAATGCAAATGCTACCTCAAACAATTACTAGAGGGAATGGATTATTGTCATAGAAATAATGTTTTACATAGAGATATCAAAGGTAGATTAGATTAGATTAGATTAATAATATAGGACAAAAACAAGTAAAAGACATGGTCTTATTAATCAATTGTTTGTTTCTATCTCAATCTATAGGATCTAATTTATTGTTAAATAATAGAGGTATATTAAAACTTGCAGATTTTGGTCTTGCTCGTACCTACAATGTATCGGATCCAAAGAAAATGCTTACAAATAGAGTTATCACGTTGTGGTATAGACCACCCGAGCTATTGCTGGGTTCAGAGAATTACGGTCCCGAGATTGATATGTGGTCGGTCGGTTGTATCATGGTTGAGTTGTTGTCGAAAAAGACGTTGTTCCCTGGACGTAGTCCAATCGATCAGTTGGACAAGATCTTTAATCTGTGCGGTACACCCGACGAGAATGGTTGGACAACCGTCAAAGATTATAAATGGTGGGATCTCCTCAAACCAAAGAAACAATCTAGAAGAATGATTAGAGACCATTTTACGTATGTTAAATAATATAGATAGATAGATAGATATGGATGGATGGATGAGATGACTAACTTTGATTGATTTGTTGTGGACATTGTAGGGATAAGACATTTTTCACACCAGAGGCATTTGATTTGATTGATAGGATGTTGTGTTTGGATCCAGCACAAAGAATTACAGCCTCGCAGGCACTCGACAGTCCGTACTTTTGGACGAAACCATTACCATGCGATCCATCACAATTACCAGCCTATCCATCATGCCACGAATTTAAAACGAAAAAGAAAAGACAGCAAATGCAACAACAGCAGCAACAACAGCAACAACAACAACAACAACAACAGCAGCAGCAACAACAATCACATCATCATGGACACCCACAACAACAGCATTATCAACCATATGGTGGAGGACAAGGAGGAGGTGGTGCACCAATACAAGCAGAGAAGAAACAAAGAGTTGGTGGAGAATATGGACATCCAGGTGGTAAAATGGCACCAACCAACAAACCACCCCCATCATATAATCAACCACCTGGATCTTATAATAACCAACAACAACCACAACAACAATACAACAATCAAAATAATAATCAACAATTGAGAAATAATAATAATTATCCTGTCAATTCCAAACTTCCTTCTAATCCCTCTTCCACTCATAATAATAATAATAATAATAAATCACAACCTCCACCACATTATTAAAGTAATAATACAACAACAACATTTTTAAAAAAAACAAACAGACCAAAAAACAAACAAAACAAAAACCAAGCAGTAAAATTCAAGAAAATCCTTTTATTTTTCCAGATCACATATAATGGTAGAGTAACCATCAATCAATCAAACCAACCAACCATCATCTCGATGATGGATAATAATAATTTATATCCATCCTCCTTCAAGACAAAAAAAAGATTTAAATATTATATATATATATTTATATTTATATTTATATTTGTTTCTACCAACACTCTTTTTTGGGGTTCCTCGAGTACCATTTTTAAACAATAAATATCTAAAATACTTGAAAATGTATCTTTTTATTTAAATCATTAAAGTGGATGAAAAACACATAATATTGTTATTCACAGATTTTCATCATCTCTTACTTTTTCCCAATTTCTAATAACAGTGTAAATAATAGATAATAACAACAATAATAGATAGATAGATAACAACAACAACAACAATAATAATAGAAGAACTAAGACATAATAGTCATCAAAACCAACATCACATTCATTACACTGTTTATATATTGGGAGAAGTGTGTAAATGAGTAGCAAACCCTCACCTGTGTATATTCCAAAGGCTAAATCGCCAGCTGCTGCAGCCGATACTACACAATCATCATCATCATCATCAACACCATCAGCTCCTAAACCAACACCAGCACCAGCTGCTTCAAGTACTAGTACTACTACTGCAAATGGCAAATCACCAACAGAAAAGAAGGAAAAGAAGGTCTATGTAAAGAAAGAGAAACCTCCAAGAACATCATCTTCATCTTCATCACAAGACAAGGAGCAAAAAGAGAAAGATTCTACTACTAGTACTACTAGTACTACATCTACTACAGCACCAAAAGATGTAAAGGAAAGACCACCAAAGAAACCTAGAGAACCTAAGCCTAAAAAGGCTGCTGCTAGTGTTCCCACTACTACATCTTCTCCACCAGATGCTGTTGCTAGTACATCAACTACTACTACTACCACTTCAACAACATCACCTTCAGTATCTACTACTACTACTACTCCATCAAAACCAGCACCAAAACCAAAGAAAGAAAGACCTTCAAAACCACCAAAGAAGGATGAAATCAAGAAAGATGATGATAATAAACCAACAGTAGCTACATCCAAACCACCAAAGAAAGAGACAAGGGAACCAAAAGAGCCAAGAGAACCCAAACCAAAAAGAGAAGCAAAACCAAAAGCAATCTTTACAAAGAAGGATTCAGAGGCTGCCAAAGAAGAGGAAAGAAAGAAAAAAGAGGAACAAGAACGATTGGAAAAGGAACGTAAAGAGGTCGAGGAGAAAAAGAGATTAGAAGAGCTAGAGAAAAAGAAAATTGAAGAGGAGAAAAGATTGGAAGAAGAAAGATTGGAAAAAGAGAAACAAGAAAAGTTAAATGTAAGTTCAATATATATAGAATATATATAATATTATATTATATACATTGATTTATTAATATTTGGGTTTGTGTTTTGTGTAGCAAGAAAGATTACAAAGACAAAGAGAAGAATTACAATTAATCTCACAAATTAGATCAGAGAATCAAATGGTCAATAAGAATCCATCATCTAGAAATGCATTGATGGCCAAGTTGGACAGTAGTTTTAAGAGAATATCAAACTTTTTGAAAAAGATGAAAGTGATTTCAGATATTGAAAACAAGGAATCATTGCTCAATGAGATTGCACAACTCAATCTCCAACAATACACCACCGAGATTGTACCATCGATTATAAAGTCATCTTTCAAGACGACCGATATTCCAGTGATTGTTCGTATCTTTTCACTGTTGCATCAGAGATATGAAGGTGTCGATGCATGTATTCAAGAGTCGTTGTTCCAACTCTTCCAACCACTTGGACTATCGATTAGCGAACCCGAAGCTGAACGCAACCAAAAGATTGTAAAGAGACGTAATGCGATTAGATTGATACTCGATCTCTACTATGTCGACATTCTCCACTCTTTTTCACCGGTCCTCAAACTTGTAGGAAAACTAGCCAACTCTCAAACATTTGAACAAGACAAAGAACTTGGTTATCCATCATTGGTCGTATTATCTAGTTTTGTTCGTCCAATTACTTTTTATATTGGTTTAAACAAAAATAAGAATCAAGTAAATATATATATATAAACAAAAAAAAAAAGAGAATGAAAGATTGTATTAACAAACTATTTAAATTCCATTTAGAATTTAGGATTACCAGATATTTATTCAAATATATTGTCTATTGAAGAACAAACAGCTATCAAGGATATAATAACTGGTTACTATACAAAGATTTGTGATTGTATTCAAAAGGAACAACAATTATTACGTGAAAAAGAAAAGGAAATGAGAAGTATATTGGTAACAAAGGGTGAGTTGACAGAGGCATTCCAAGCATCGTATGATCTAATGAGAAAGAATTATGAAAAGTTAATTACCAATGCTACCACTTATGCTGATCTCATTGGTGCACCTCTACCATCAAATGATTATTCTACAAAGTCTGAAAACTCACAAAACGATCAAAAACAATCCGATCAATTGGAAACTTTTAGTTCACCATTTGAAACTGATGAACAAAAGAAATTCTATGAAGAATTATCACCATTACCAAAAGATGATAAGAAACCATCAGCAGCTACATCAACAACTACAACTATTACTACAACAACATCTTCACCACCAGTTACTCCTTCTACTACCACAACAACAGAAGAGACAGTTGTTGAAAAGAAACCAGAATTGACAGATGCAGAGAAAAAGGCAATTAAAGCAAAGAATAATTTAATGTTTGAAGAGTTGATTCAAAAATTAAAATCATCAACTTTAAAGATTTCAACTATCGATCAAGCCATCAACATGTATCTCAAACTTAATCTTAAACCAACTAAAAAGAAGATTTTGACCAATATTCTCACTCAGTCTAGACAAGATCAAATCCCATTCTTTGCAAGATTTGTTGCTACTTTAAATCAATCATCTCAAAATAGAGATTTTGTTCAAGGACTTTGTCAACATGTAAATATCAAAAAAAAAACAAACAACGACCAAGTATATTAAGTTACTTTTTTTTAAAATGATATTATTTTAGATTGATGAAGAATTGACAAGTTTAATTGAAAAGAAAGAACAAATTCATTTAGCTGTTAAAATTAGAGTAAGATTAAATTATTTTATTTATTTATTTTATTTTTTGTATTATTTTATTAATTTTAATTCTTTCTTTAACCCTTTTAGAATATTTCATTTATTGGAGAATTAATTAAATTTAAAGTATTACCAAATACAACAGCATTTAATTATTTGAAACTTTGTTTTGATGATTTTACTCATCATAATATAGATATTGCTTGTACATTATTGGAAGTTTGTGGTCGTTATCTTTATAGATTGGCAGAATCACAATTTAGATTAAGAAATATGGTAATTATCATATTATAATTATTTCATTTATTAAATTTATTTAAATTAATTTTCTCTGTTTCTAGTTGGATATTATAATTAGACACAAGAATGCAAAGGTAATGGAAATTAGACAAGAATCAATGATTGATAATGCATATCTTACATGTAGACCGGCTATTGTAATCACCAAACAAGTTGATCCAGTCAAACAATTTGCAAAGTTTTTGATATTCCGATTCTTGGCCGATGATGCTACTGCAAAGACTGTATGTGAAAAGTTGTATCAATTCCCATGGCCATCGTGTCAAGAGTATCTTTGCAAATACTTTTTGGCAGTACAAAAGCAAAAGTTTGGCAATATTTATTTGGTGGCTGATATTCTCTACCGTCTCAAACGTTGTTACCCCTCGTTTGTGCGTACTGTAGTATGGCGTCTGTTGGAGGACATTACGGTTGGATTTGAACGCAACGACTTTAGCCAAAACCAAAAGAGAATCATGCAGGCTACTTTGTTTGGTGAGTTGTACAACTCGTGTCTACTCGACACTTATCATATCTTTTCATTGTTGATTGGTGCCCTCGAGTATGGGTACAGTACTATTCACTTGTTCCCAGTCAATGCAGATGTTGAAAAGGAGATTTTGATGAATCGGTATACTCCCAAGGTCGACGAGTTTGATGCACCCAACGACAGCTTCCGTGTGCGTTTCATCTGCAGTCTCATCCTCGTCTGCAAGGACTGTTTCTACGACGAAGAGATTGCCAACCAGCTCAAACCATATCTCGTGTTTTTACAGCGTTACGCATTCACCAAGCAGCTGTCGATGGAACTCGACTTTATGCTCACTGACTGTATGTCGATCGTACCCGGTATGAAGGTCTACAAGACATGGGAAGAAGCCAACGAAGAATGTCTCAAAATTGGTAGTATCTTTAGTTTGCTAAACGTCAACAACAAGACCAACAAGAAAAAGACGGAAAAGGATGTTGCCAAGACCAACGCAAACGGCGACGATGAAGACGACGGACAATCTTTGTCGCGAAAGGGTCACCGAAGAAAGGAGCAAGTCATGGCTGCCTCTGAGGAAGATGAAAAAGCCAAGACCGAGGAGACACTACAACGCGAAAAGGAAGAAGAAGCAGCTTACCTCTTTTACAAACAACAACAAGAAGAAACAGAAGAGGATTTGGAATTCATGAGAGAGTTTAAGAAAACAATGCAAGAAAGTGTCGATTCGAGAAAGAATGAAAAGATCAAAGTCAGTTTACCATCGATTCATCATAATATTGGATCAAATAGTCCTACAAATAATGATATTTCACCTCCATTGGCTCCAATGATAATGCCAATGATGATGATGATGGGCGGTGGTAGTGAAAGAGGTATTGGTGGTAGTTTATCACCACAACCATCAACATCATCATCTTTCCAACAACAACAACAGTCACCCATTAAATTACCTACACTTTCAGGTGGCGGATTTGGAGAAGGAATGATCAATTCAGAAGGAAAAAGAGTACCATTCCAATTGTTACTCAAAAAGGGTAATAGATCAACAGCCAAAACAATCGATATTCCAGAAGACACTGAATTTGTTGCTCAAATTAAATTGGCCAAAGAGGAAGAAGAAAGAGTGATTCAAGAAAACAAGAAATTGGTTTTAAAGATGACTCAAAATACTTAAAAACAATAACAAAACTAAAACTTTACACAACTACAATAATAATATAGAATCGTTCATCAACCAACCAATCATCAAATCAAGGATAATTAATTTTCCAGATGGCTTGGAACGACCAATATTTCCTTTTCAAAAGAGAAATGAATGTTACACACATTGGGATATCAATCATATCAAATCACACAGCCATTTATAGAATATATAATTATTCTTCAAGGTATTAACAAATACAGAACAACAAAGTGAAAGATATTTCAATTTAATTTAAAATTGTTGCAATAAATAATTTCATAATCAAAAAAAAAAGAAAAAAAAAAAAAGTTTTGGGTCTTCTCTCCCCTCAAGAGAAACTTGTCTCCATAGATATTTCAATCATTTAATCACGAATCAAACAAAAGAGGAGGAGAGAGATATCTCTTGTGAATAGTAACAACAACAACAACAACAACAACAACAATCATTGATAATGATAACATAAAATATAAAAGGATGGACAACGGTACTACAACTTCTACTTCTACTACTTTGGTAGACATTTCAATACTAAGATTGGTATTGATTAGAGACAAGTTTCTATCAAACAAAATATTTCAATGTATTCATGATATACATGAACTGATAGTAAAGAATACTAGGATGCCATCAAAACCACACAAGATGATGGTGATTGTCAAAGGTAGAGAAGTGCGTGTATCTCTATTACACATGATTAGATTTGGTTGGACGGATTTATTCATTCAAGAGTTTGATCGAATGGTTGATATGGAGATATCAGATGTCCCCAGTCCACACGATCCACGTCGTATACAAATAAAGTTTACTGGGTATGTCCGTGCAGCCTCTATAGTTGGCAACCAAAGAATACTCACCTATTTACATGGGTTCACTAGCCGAGTCGCCAAAGGAACACATCTAAAAGATATCGTTGACATGCGATTCGCAGACGCCGATGTAACAGATGCTATCAAATTCAACAACTTTGATAATCTAAAATGGTTACTCAATCTATTACCTCCATTACTTTTAAATTTTGATACAGATGCTAGACCATTAGCTAGTTGGTTTAAAAGTGCAATCAAATATAAAAAAGGAAAAGACCAAGAACAAGATATCCAACAACAACAACAACAACAACAAACAAACTCAGAAGAAATGAATAATGAAATGTTAAAGTTATTAATTGAAAAGTATGGAGAAAAGATAAAGGAATATAAGAAGTTGTTCCCTGGTGTTGGTGTGGATTATTTGTTTTTCGAGTTGGACGGTGATTGGGTAGAGGATTATTGCAATCATCGACCAAAGAAAGAATTAGTTGAATTTATTAAATTGGTGGTTGACCACAAGATGGTCAAAGAGGCAGCTTGGGCGTTTCTCTTGGCTGCTGCCATCAAACACGATTGTAAACAATTGGTTCTTGACGCGATACCAAAACAATTGGATCTTTATATTGATCAGTTGTTGGTACTTCCAATTGACTCGGTCGAGTTGATGCAATACACTATTGAAAATTTTGTAAAGTCTGATGTAATGTCAAACTTTATTATCAAGATGTATGAAATGGCGGCAAAGAAAGGGTACTATGATATTATAGTCTATCTACATTCACTTCAACAACCTCCACCATCATCACTTTTAGAAGTGTCACATCCATCAATCATTAAACGTTTGTTTGTGGAACCAGACCAACAGGCTAGAGACATGGTATCAAGTTGGAATAAAAAATGGTGGATTGTTGGTGACCTACACATTGATGTAGTATCAGACTTGACACTACTCGAATTTATATTTAACATGTCAAACGTCACTATTCAACCGAGTAGTATGTTTCCTTCATCACTCTACACGAATGGTGGAAAGGAGGCGTTAGAGTTACTAGACCGACTGGTTGTAGAAAGGGATGTAGTGGTCAATTACAGCCCTCTTTGGAGTATGGTTACGAGTAGTCGTAAACGTTATAACTTGGATGAAATCAAGTATATCATTGAAAGGTATCCAGAGTCTGCCATCAAACCAAAGTCAGCACCCATTCGTAGGTTTCCAACACGTATCACATTACCGACGATCGAGCAACTATGCAGTAACATGGAATATGAAAAGGTACGATTTCTATTCGACGCCAATGTGGTTGCAAGGAATGAAATATTTCAATTTGGTATTCTCACGTTGACCTCTGGTAGCTGTGTCAACTTTTTCGATCGAATGGTTGGATCTGCCCCTATTATACCCATGACATCGTCATTCCCAGCCGATGACATGGACCGTGCCTTTGAAATGTTTAAATACTTGTGTGAACAGGTTGACTATCAATCACTTGACAACTATCATCAAAATGTTCTACAACGGTCAACACCCATAGAACTATTCTCAGACAGATTGGTTGACATTGCGATCAAGAGTAATCGATTCAGTATGGTTAAATATATTCTCGGCTTTGGGTCACCCCTTTTACACAGAGATTGGAATATCAATGCTAAGGGACTAGTCGAGACTGGTAACTTGCCACTCATCAAATATTTGGTCACCAACAAACACGTTACATTGACTAGTGAAGTGTTTGAAACATGTTGTTCACATGGTCAAGTTGATATCTTTGACTATATGGTGGAAGAGTTAAAGATTGAACCACCAAAACAAGTTTTATTATTGTCTGCAGCATCAAGTAATAATTGGGAAATGGTTAAAAGGGTTGCTGCGTTAATATCAACCAATTCTATACCTAGACCAAAGTTATATCGTAAAGATTTAGGTTTATATTTTAGAAGTATGGTATTAAAGGAAAGAATCAAGGATCAAGACTTGTTTGAAATATCAAAGTATTTGGTACAATTTTATTGTGATCAGTACCCTGACCACCAATCAACATTGGTTCCAGAAGTGATTGAAGATGTCAAAAACATATTCATATCGTCTCCCAGTACTCTACTGTCACTAGCCTTGAAATTTACAGCTGACATTCAAACTGCTGTATTTTTCTTTCAACTATTTTATTTTGGTCAAATCACTACCAGTAGTGACAATCAGATTGTACCGATACCAGAACATTTAAAAGATCATTTTTGGAAAATGTTTCCTAGAGATTACACTCATATAGTTTTACAAGCTTTACAAATTGGTCATCTTCCACTTATCCAATATTTCAAAACAGTTCATCATCTTGTAAAATTGGATGAACCCAAAGAAGAACCAACTGTCCAACAACCCTACAATCCAAATAATAATATCAAAATGAATAATAATAATAATAATAATAATAATAATAATAATAATAATAATAATAATAATAATACTAAAACAACTAAATCTAGTTATTGTAATATAATGTAATAAATAAATAAATTCAAGGTTTAAATATATACATGTTTCTCTCTTTGAAGATTCTCGTCCTTTTCAAATATAAATTAAAAAATTAATTAATATCTACTTTTGGGATGGGACCTTTGGTTTTTGGTCAGGCAACTTTTTTATTATTATTTAAATATGGATAATAATAGTTGTAATAATAGTAATAATAATAATAATAATAATACTCATACGAGTTTAGATATAAATTTATTTAAATCAGTTATTATAAAGAATCGAGTATTATCAAATTATATATTTAATCATCATGTTAGAAATATACATAGACAAATAGAACGTACAACACCTAAGCGGGTGTTGATGAAAAAGGGTCGTGACATCAAGTCAATGTTATGGTTGATGATTATATTTGGTTGGACTGATGACTTTGTTCAAGAGTTTGATCGACTCGTTAATATGGATGTAGCAGAACTATTCCTACCTTTTGAAGGCAACGACTATACAAGATTACGTGTTTGTCATTTTGTAAAAGAGGCATCTCGAACAAACGACCATCGATTACTCAACTTTCTACATACCTTTTATTTGCCACCATCTGAAACACGTCATGCAAATATAAAGTCTTGGGCAGAGGCCTCACAACTAAAGATCAAGAACTTGACCTTTTTCGAATTCTCCAAAGGTATCGTGGACGATGCTATCAAAGCGTGTAATGCTGAAGCTTTAAGATGGGTCATTGACAATGTATTCTTTCAATTTTGGACGAATGGTAAACCTCCAACTACCACTGAATCATCCGCCGGCGATGTTGTTTGGTTATCAATATCTTCAACCCTTGTAACTTGGTTAGACAATATTATACATTATGGTTGTAATCATCCTTCATCCTCTTCATCTTTATCCTCTTCATCTTCTTCTTTATCTTCATCACACCCACATGAATTGTTGAAAATATTATTGGACAAGTTTAAAGAAGATATATTAGTATTCAAAGAGATGACGGTCGATAAACCTAGAAACGATGATTTGTACTTTAAGTTATCATCGAATCTTGAATGGTCGACCTTTTACAGCAACCGACCTAAACAAGAGTTGAGGGATTTCATCGAGATGGCGCAACCACTAAAGTTGATCAGAAACGGTGATTGGCCATCCATCATGTCAGTGGCTATTAAACTCGACTGTAAAGATACCCAACACCTGGTACTACAAAACATGAAGGCAAACACACTCCTTTTCGAGCATATACTACTGTTCCCCACCGAATGCTTAGAGATGATCCAATTTTATTTCGAACGGTCTTTGATTACACCACTGGCCATCCGAGAACTCTATGTCAAAGCGGCACAAAACGGACACTTGGAGACTATCCTCTACATCTACAGCAAGGAACAAAAGATACCTCCACTTACCACACTGCTGCAATACGCACATCCAACAATCATCCAAAGTCTGTTTGTCGAACCAATTGAAGACCGTATTCGAGAGATGGTCGATAGTTGGCGTATGACATGGACCGTTCGTGAACTTGGCGACAACATAGTATCGGATCCTCAACTATTAGATGTGGTTCTCAAGAAGATACCCAACGCCAAATTCCAATGGGACTCTCAATTTATTTTAAAGATGTATAGACTTGCCAATAGAGATGGTGTCAATAACAACAACAAAGAAAAGAAACCAATGGTATTGGATCAATATGCATCGGCCAAGAATGTGGTAGTCAACTATTCCGATTTATTGGGAGAGGTTGCAAGTCGCGGAGATATGGATGAAATTAGGTACATTGCTACGACGTATCCTCAGTCTTGGGTCAAGACCGAGTACGAACCTGTCATATCCTTTCCAACAACTCTTGGGCTATCGTCGATTGAACATTTGTGCAGTCAGCATTTGTATCAACAGGTACACTTGCTATTCGAGTTACAACTGGTTTCGTTAAACACTATGTTTGAATACAACAATCATATGTTTACTTCAAATATCCCACCACTATTATTCGATAAAATAATCGGGTCTAGTCCAACTCTACCGGTTTATTCACCAGCCAGTAGTACGACAACTGGCGACGACCAATTCTTTAGCCTATTTAAATACCTCTGTGAAAGTGTCAGGTATCAGAGCTTGGCCAGTTACTCTCGTAATGGTCCACACCCAGTCTCTCCATTTTTCGAATTATATTCACACAAATTGATTGATATCGCCATCAAAAAGAATCGATTCAATATTGTCGATTATATTCTCGGATCGAAACTATCAATCTTTCAATCGGTCGATCGCACCATACACATTGACGTGCTCTTTGCCACTGGCAGCCAACCTCTGATCAAATTATTCGTCGACCACTCCTATATCACCATTACCAAAGACATGTTTAAATCGTGTTGTGAGAATGCTCAAATCGATATATTTGATTACATGGTCGATGAACTACACCTTGTACCAGATATGCGTGTACTAAGCTACGCAGCAAAAGGAATGAATTGGGGAATGGTTAAATACATCTCGAATCTAATATCAACCAAACCTCATTTATTTGGAAAAGCCACCTCTGAACCATCACCATCACCATCACCAATCCTCATCACAGCCAGTGAAATCAACGAGTTGATAAAATGTGTCAATAATGAAAGTCCGAGCCCTGCCACCAAAGATGCTCTCAAAATTACAAAATATTTAATTCTACTCTACTGCAAACAATATAGTGACCCTGAAACCAAAATAGATCCAAAAGAATTAATATACCTATTTAACGGTCGAATGGATGCTATTAGACATCACATGTCTGTCGATTCTGACTGTGTCATCTTTATATTGCAACTATTTTATTTTGGTAATATTATGACTGTTGACGAGGATGGTAAAGACCTCTCAATGGTTCCCATTCCCAATCATCTAAGACCACACTTTTGGGTGATGGATACAAAAGGTTACAATACCTATCTCAAAGTGTCACTTCGATTTGGTCACCTTTTACTCATCCAATTCTTTATTGATCATCATGATCATCCTAAAAACTTAAAAGTAATAGAATCACATGCTATTACAGAAAAGTATCATAATAGTTATTTTAAATATTGTTCAATTTTGTAAATTAAACTAAACTTTCTTAAAAAACAATTCTTATTGCTTCTCTAATGGATTGGTTGAAGAAATATTTTAGAGATCAAAAAACTTTATTTGAAATGACAATGTAAATTAATTCATATGCATTTACCAAAAAAGTTCTCTCGGTTTTTTCGAATCTAATTGTTTCATTTGGTGTTTCTTTGTTAAACTAGTTATATATTCAGCTGTAAAAGGTTGATTGTCTGGTGTTTTCATGGGAATTCTAATATTTAATTGCAATTTACAACCATTTTGCTTCAACTTTTTGATAGATTCATTATTTCATTCATACTCTTTTCCAGGGAACCGACCCTTAAAAAGTTGTTGTTGGTGTTGTTTGTGTTTTGTTTCCATTTTTTAAAAAATAAATATATAGATATAGATAATATTTGTTAAATGAATAAATGATCCAAATAGAAAATGTATAAAGATAAAATAATAATTAAAATAATTACAAGTATTGGGTGGTAAAAATTAAAATTCTATTTTATTTTCAATTTATTTTTAATACTAGTTTCATCATCAAGGTTATAGCTTTTAATCATAAAAGTTATTAAAATTATAATTATGTTTGACTAGTGAATTCTAAAAGAATGATTAGTAGTGATAATGATAGTAGTAGTAGTAATCGTACTACTCTAGATATAAATCTATTTAAAAGTGTAGTTGTCAGGAATAGAGTATTGTCATTGTTGATCTTTCAACAGCATGTTCGCGACATACATCTACACATACAGAGACAAGAGAAAGAGAAAAAGAAAAAGGTGGTGATTAGAAAAGGACATGAAATCAAGTCGATGCTGTGGCTGATGATCGTACATGGTTGGACCGATTGCTTTCTTCGCGAGTATGACAGGATTGCGAGATTGGCAGTATCAGACATCTACCCAATCAATCAAACCTATCGACCACAACACACAAGACTGATCAAAGAAGCATCGAAAACAGGTAACCTAAAGATACTCAAACGTCTACGTCAGTGGGATGACGACCAACCCCACCCTATATCTCGTGTTGATCAACTTTCAGCCAAACCATCAACTCTAAAGGATCTATTCACGTTTAGTCTTGACAGACACAACATTGAAAATATTATAAAGTCTGGTCATTCCGATACACTTGGTTGGGCTCTTTCAACTGTTCCATTCCAAACTAAATCAAGTAAATCTGATCCTCACTATGTCGGTGTGAATGTACTTGTCAAGTGGTTGCAAGAAGCTGTCTTTTATAGTTTTGGGTATCAATCATATAAAGGATTGGACATTAATAATATGTCTGCTCAAAAGACAAGTATACAACTATTGAAAAGACTGCTGGATCGGTTTGGAGACGATATACTCGATTACAAAGACCAAACAAAAAGACAGAAAACAAAAGATGAACTATGGTTGGAATTTGGAGCATTGGAATACCAGAAACAAGAGTTGATTGACTTTGTCAATCTAGTCAACCCATTGAAACTGCTAACTGAAAGGGGATGGTATATTGTGGTCAAAGAAGCAATCAAACATGAGAGCAAGGATGTATTAAAGGTGGTTAGACACACCTTGCCAAATTTATCAATCGACTTTTGGTGTCACCCATCTCCATGTTCGTTGGATATGATTCAATTCCACTTTGACACTTGTACCATATTGGGAGACTTTGAATTCACCCCCACCTACGTACTCAACCCATTGTACAATAAGGCTGCATCGAGTGGTCGATATGACACCATACTCTACCTCCACCAAAAGTATCCTCGTGTGTGTCCACCAGTGACACTAGTCCAACACGCTCATCCCATCATCCTTGAACGTCTCTTTGTATCACCCGACCAACAAGCACAGGCCATGATATCTAGATGGAAACAAGACAAACCAATTGAATGGATTATACGTGACCTTCACAAAGATGTACTATCCAATCCTAGACTATTAGAGTTGGTATTTACACTTCCCAATACAACCTTTCATCTTTTTGATTCATTCATATCGGATGTTTATCAGTGTGGATGTAAAGAGTCAATAGAGGTGGTCGATCGATTCATAAAAGAAAAGAAATTGGTTGTAAATTACTCGTATCTGTTGTTAAAGGTTGCTCTCTCTGGTGGCTTGGATGAGATAGAACATATTGTCAGTCGTTATCCAAAATCGAGAGCATTCAAAAAGGAATTATCGGGAACCAAATCTGACGAGGACATGGAACCAATAGAGTTCCCAACATCACTTAGTTTTTCACAAATCAAACAACTCTTTCAAGAAGGTCGGTACAAACAAGCTCGACTTCTTTTCCAATTGAATGCAGTGTTACGTAATTCAATATACTACCTAAATATACCTGGTATCATTACTCTTCATTCACAATTATATCTTATCGATGAACTCTTATTGTACAGTCCAAGTTTAACACCAAATTCCTCAACAAATAATAATAATAATAATAATAATAATAATAATAATAATAATAATAATAATAATGAAGATGAAATATATTCAACATTTAAATTCTTGTGTAAAAATGTAGATTACGATGGTATATCAAGATTGGAATGTGATAAATATGATTCTACCATTTCAAAATTCTCTGGTCTCCCACTCACCGATATTCACCCAGTCGATAAATTGACAAATCATGCATTCATATCGGCCATCCAACGCAATCGTCTCGACATTATTAAATACATGGCCACTGCCAACCCACCACTTCTCGAGATGGTCATACCAAACCACACAGACCTCTTTGCCACTGGCAACGTCGAATTGATTTCCTATATCCGTTGGAACGTCGCCAAAAACTGGGATCCAATAGGAGTGGAATTTTTATTTAGAGACGTGTATGCCAAAGGTCAAGTGGAAATGTTTGATCTCATGGTCAATGAATTAAAACTCAAACCATCAAGCATCAAAATACTGTTGTATTTTTCAAAAAGTTGGGATATGGTGAGACATACAATGAACCTATTCACAACAAACCCATCACTGTTTGGTGAAAATGGTGATATCCCACAATTCGATTATATCTTTATCGATGACTGTATAAGGAATCTCTTTTGCAAACGAAAAAACTCTTGTTGTTCACCACAAGACTTGTACAAAATAGTAAATTATTGGGTTCAATTATATTTGAATCAATTTTACAACCCTACTATCAATGATAATGACAACAACAACAACAACAACAACAAGAAAAAGAAATCAAATAACAACAACAACAACAAGAAAACAATGAATTCAAATGAACCAGCAGCAGTCCACAACAAAAGAGAAAAACAAAATGGAACAATGATAACTTGTCCAGAAATGTTCCATTTCTTTGGTTATATCAAACATTCTTCAGTCGATGGTGCAAAGGATTGTCTTGTATATTTAATCCAATTATTTTATTTTAAAAATATTATTATCTTTAATAATCCAATTTATAATAATTATAATAATGATTGTAATAATATTTTATCATCTTCAAAAAATAATAATCATTTTATTTCTCATCCTCAAAATAACAATCAACAACAACAACTTATATTTTCAATACCAAAACATTTACACCAATATGTATCAAGGATAGATGATGAACAATTATGTAATTTAATTGATTGTGCACTCGAATTTGGTTCTTTACCTCTAATCGATTTCTTTATCAGTATTCGAAAACAAACAACAGTTGGTACGAATGATAACCCAAACGACAATCATCACCATCATCATACCAACAACAAATGTATAATTAATTAGTTATAATGAAGAGTTTCGGATCACCCGAAAAATAAATCTGTTTAAAATTTTGTTGCATAGATATTAATTGAACTCACAGTCGCCATCTATGCATTCTTCTTCTTCTTTTCGTTGTATTGCAATTTATTCTTCTCTTCACAATACTATCTCTTCATACTATGTCTTACTAAATTGATTGTTGATGACGATAGTGATTGGATGGATTGTTGAACACAGATATTTATAATTATAAAAAAATGGGATATTTATAATCATTATTTATGAATCAAACAAAAATTAAAAGAAAGATGGGAAAAGATAAATAAATCATATGAAGATTGGAATTATGGTGTTTGTTTTGTGTGTGATACCCTAACCTACCTCTCTCTAGTCACTTATCATCATCATCAACAGATCTCACTCACCCGCACATACAAACAAAAGATCTCTCTCTCTCTCTCACTCATTCAACAACGCTGTCTTTTCTCTCTCTTGGCATACCCCACTCACACCCTCATTCCCACTTACTGTCAAAACTTCTTTGCTCACACACACAAACAAACAAACAAACAAAAGAAAGATAGAGAGCAGAGAAGGATAAGCTGAAGTAAGTGTATGAAGGTTACTACCTACCTACCTACCCTCTTACGTAGCATTCACATTATCATACTTTAGTCAACCATTCAAAATTTGCCTCCTTTTAAGCACTTTGTACCAGTGTGTTCTACCTACCTTCCTTCACTCCTTCACTACCTGCCTACCCTTCACTACTTTGTTGTTGTTAGTACTAAGCAAAGATCATTATTATTATTATTATTATGAATAGTACCAACAGCACTAATAGTAACAACAACAACAACAACAACAACAACATTAACAACCATTCAAATAGTTTACAAGATAATAATAATAATAATAACTCTACCAGTACAAATAATAGTAACATGATAGAAATTATTGATCCAACAACAACAATACCGCAGCAACTTGAAATTGATCATCATGAAAGGATAAAGGATATAGATCCAATATTCTTATCAAGCGATGATAGCATTGGAAGAGGTGAAACAACAAATGGAACCATTGGAACTATCAATAGTTATATGGAATCTCTTCATCTTAATCGATCAAGTAAAGAAGGAGATGCCGATGATAAGTCTTCATTATCCTCTTCATCTTCATCTGTCATTTCTACAACACCAATCAATGGTATAACTGGTGCTGATTCTCCTTCTCTTGTGCCTGCTGATGAAACTACTACAACTACAACTACCACCACGACAACAACAACCAAACCAAACAAATCTTTGACTAGTACATTTGATCCACGTGATATTAACAATGACATAACAGCAGCACCAACAATTACAACTACTTCCACCACTGATTCCACTGTAGCAAACAATGGTAATAATAATAATAATAACAATAATAATACTTGTTTAAGTGTTCAAGGAGAAGGAGAAATGATTATCCTTACAAATGCACAAAGATTTCAAAGATCACCTATATTTAAAGCTTTAAAGTATGTTATTATTATACATAATAATGTAATTCCCCTTTTCTAATTTGTTTATTTATTTTTTAGACCTCCACCAATGAGAGAAAATGTTAATGGATTTCCAAAGATACCAAATATAACACATAAAGAGTTTATGTGGTTGGAACAGGTAATTAAATGGAGTAGATACGATAGTGAAGTCATTTATAAATTGTCTAGAATGGGAATTCCACCGAGAATACGTGGGTTCATTTGGAGATTGGCCAGCGGCGCAATCGAATTGGAAAGAAAAAACATTGGTGTCTATCAATTCTTTTTAACCAAGTCGGCAGAAGAATATGAATACAAGATATCAAAAGATATATCACGTACATTTCCAAAAATTGAATTATTTGCTCAAGAACAAGGGTACGTACGACAAAGAGAATAGAAATAATAACAAAAAAGAAAAGAGAATCATATAATCTTTTATTGACTCTTTTTTTTTTTTTCTTTTTTTTATCTATCATCTAGTCAAGTAACATTGTTTAATATATTAAAAGCATATTGTATATTAGATCCAATTATTGGGTATACACAAGGAATGACATTTATAGCAGCGATTTTAATGCACGAAATGGATGAAGTTGAATCATTTTGGGCGTTTGTATGCTTGATGAAGAATTATAAATTATCAACCATCTTTTCAAATGATCTAGCACTCTTGAGAGAGAATCTCTATGTCATTGATCGTTGCATTGAAACTGTCATGCCCAAACTCTTTTCTCATTTAAAAGAGGTTGGTGTCACTCCAGTTTTATTTGCTTCGGAATGGATATCGACACTCTTTACCTACAACTTTGAAATAGAAAGTAGTAAACGTATTTGGGATGTATTTTTCTTTGAAGGAAGATACTATCTCATTCGTGTAGTACTGGCAGTACTCCGTATCTACGAGAAACATCTAATGTCTTTACAATTTGAGGAATGTGTAGAATTCCTTAAAAAAGTTGGATTTTCAATTAATATTGATTATTTATTACAAGTTACCGATACTATCATTATTTCAACGTAGGTCATAGAATAATAATATAATATAGATAGGTAGATAGATAGATGAATTATTTATTTATTCCATTTTTTTTTTTTTAGGGAATTATTTACAAAATTTGAACAAGAATTTAACGATCCTGATGCTCCTCCAAGTGATTACTTTTAAACACAACTTTCCTAATAGTTTTTTTTATACAACAACAACAACAAACAACACAACAATAATAATATTATTTATGAATTCTATCCTATCGATTAATTATAAAACAATGATAATATTTCTGTTACAATCAAAACAAAAATCTCCCTCCCTCCTTCTCCTCCCTTCCAAATCCTACCTCTTTTATTCCATTTTAAAATAAAATACTGGAATATTAATTAATATCAATATACACATATAAACATACAGATAAATCTATCTCTATCAACTATTCTTTCTTTTTTTTTTTTTGTTTTTGATTTGATTAATAAATTGATTTAATTTATTTTGAAAATATAATGAAGAAATATAGTTTGTTTAATAACTTCTACCAAAGAGAGTCCATTTGGTGGCTTTGGATTCACAACCACAACCAAAACATTGAGTTTCTCCAGTGAGGGCTGGGACCTTTTTGTCGACATCTTCGACATTCAATGGAATACAGAGAGACTTGGCGGCACCAGTAAGACAGAAGCCCTTTTCAGACTCGGCCTTGTTCTTGGCGTTCTTGAGAGACTCTTCGTTGGAGACCTTTTTGATGTTTTCTTCACAGGCTGGAGCTTCACACCATGGGGCAAGGACGATATGTTTCTTGTCGAGTTCTGGAATGAATTCCTCCCATTTGGTAATGACAGAGACATTGTCGTTACGGGTCTTGGTGGCACGAGCCAAGAGGTTGGCTTGGATTTCGTCGAGGACAGCCTTGGTCTTGAGAGCGAGACCTTCTTCTGGCACAGAGAACTTGCCTTCCTTGCCTGGGACATCACGACGACAAAAGACGACGACCTTGTTGACGAGATCCTTTGGACCGATTTCAATACGGATGGGGACACCCTTGAGTTCCCAGTGGACGTGCTTGTCACGTGGACTGTAACCGGTACGGTTGTCGACTTGAGCACGGATACCGGCAGCTTGGAGGAGAGCGAGTACCTCGGCAGCCTTGTTGTCAATCTCTTCAGAACTAGTGTCCTTGAAGTAGAATGGGAGGATGACGACTTGGATGGGGGCGATACGTGGTGGGAGGACGAGACCGTTGTCGTCGCCGTGTACCATGACCATGACACCGATCGAACGGGTGGTCAAACCCCACGAGTTTTGCCATGCGAGTGCCTTCTTGCCATCGGTGTTTTCAAACTCAATGTTGAACATCTTGGAGAAGTTTTGACCGAGAGCGTGAGATGTGGCGGCTTGAATGGCACGTCCGTTGGATGGAATGAAACCTTCGATGGTCGAAGTGTAGAGACCACCGGCAAACTTTTCCTTTTCCGACTTGATACCCTCGACGACTGGAACGGCCAAGAGATCTTCGTAGACACGCTTGTAGAGACGGAGGATGTTGAACACCTCCTTGTCAGCCTCCTCTTTGGTGGCATAGACAGTGTGACCCTCTTGCCAGAGGAACTCACGTGATCTGAGGAATGGTACTGGACGCTTGAACTCCCAACGCACAACGTTGACCCATTGGTTGAGCTTGAGTGGAAGATCACGATGCGAACGGATCCAGTTGGCGTAGGCTGGGTACATGATGGTTTCAGAGGTTGGACGGATGGCGATTGGCTCACTCAACTCGCTTTGACCACTCTTGGTGACCCAAGCGACTTCAGGTGCAAAACCCTCAATGTGGTCCTCTTCGGTGGCGAGGGCCTTTTCAGAGACAAACAATGGGAAATAGGCGTTTTGGACACCGAGTTTCTTGATCTCGCCGTCAAAGAATCCTTGGATTTGTTCCCAGATCGAGTATGACCATGGACGGAGGATATAACATCCAGAGACGTCATAATAGTCGACCATCTCGGCTCTGGTAATGACGTTGGTGTACCATTCAGAGAAATCTTCCTCCTTGGCGACACCAGCACCGTTGAGCTTGTCCTTGGCCTCCTTACCACTGATTGGCTTGGCTACTACCTCTTTCTTTTCCTTCTTTTCCTTCTTTTCTCTCTTTTCTCTCTTTGGTGCAGCGTCTCCTCCTGCAGCAACTACTGGTGTAGCAGCAGCAGCTACTGGTGTTGCAGTAACTTCATTGGTGTTGGTGTTACTTTCAGACATTGTTGTTGTAGTAGTAGTAGAACTAAGTATTATAATATAATATATATGCTTTTGTTTTGAAATGAAACAATCAGTTATTGAGTACTAGAAACAATAATGATGAGAAGTAATATATAATATAATAAATATGAAGATACCTGAGATGAAGCGAATGTTGTCTTAAAAAGGAGCATTTCGTAGGGTTAGTTGAGAAAAAATTTGGTTATTGTTAAAAAAATTATAAAAAATTGGTTGGCTCATAGAGCTGGGAAGGGGTTTGCAATATAGTTGTTAATGAATACACACAATGATGTTTACGAGAAAGAATAGTCTTTTGAAATCTTCACTCACTCGAATAATCGAGTCAAACTATAATAGTGATAGTTCATCATCAACAACAAACAAACAACAAAAACAACAATGTATACATACATCATCATCTATCTGTAAATTAAATTATTCAACCTTTATAACATCACTATTTGATGTAAACAATCAATCTGCGTCGTTACCATCGACGACTACCATTAACAGACATATATACAACAACCATCACCAAAGAAAATATTGTTCAACAACAAATGAAAATGATCATAAAAAGAATAATAATAATAATGAAACAAAACAATTAGAGGAAGATGAAGTGGTCGAAGAAGAAGAAGAAGATGATGATAGAGTAGAGAATCCATACCTTTCAAATAAAGTATCAAGAGACTATGGAGTTAGATTATTGACCAATAATAGTAATTTTTTGGGTAAACAAAAGAATGAGATGGACCAAAAATGATGAAGAAAAGAAATGGGATTATGGAGGTACTATAAAAGCACAATTGGAATCAAATAATATATCAGGTTTGTATAATCAAAAATTATAATCAAAAAAATATTATTATACGTACTATTTTCTAATTTAATATTATTTCCAATATATTTAGATGATATCAAGAATCAAGATTATGATCAAGTAATGAAAAAGATAAAATCATTAAGAAAAAAGGTGATACCAATGGAAGAACAATTACAAATATTTAAGGATTTTGTTGAAAAGGAAGAGTTGGATGAAGCAGATTACTATTCAATCTCTGTCGAACAAGTTCAAAGATATCCAGATATGGATCGTCTCTTTTCATACTATAGTAATTCAATGATTACTATGCTTCGTGCATTGGTGCCCGAACAAAATATCTTGCCTTGGGAAATGGAAAGTTTACCCAAACTCAATGCCAGTGAAAATGAAAGCATTGCAATGGAATTTTTGCGTTGGTTTATTGAAAAGGAAGGTTTGGAACCAGAGGATTTCTATGGCTTGCCACAATCAGAACTTACAAAGTATGGTAAAATTGGTATCGACAATCGAAAGATGTTGGTAAAGTTGCTCAACAAAATCTATCCCGATTTCAACTTTAAGATGGTTCGGTTCCGTCCCGCCCCATTTGACGTTTGGAAGGAGCCAAATTTCGTGGCAGACATGAAAGAATACATTGTCGAGCATTTCAACATCACCGATCCAAAAAACGAATTTAAACATGTTAGAATCGATTCTGGGTACTTTATACCAAAACATCTTGTCCAGTTTTTGGGTACGTCCAAGTATGAAATAGCCAAAAAGCTGTGGCCAGAGATCCAGTGGGATCCATCCGAGTTTCCATCTATCTTGACCTACACGGACGAGGATCTCCAACTACTCAAGAAATCAGATCCATCTCACTACTTTGACATTATGGAAAAGAAGACGAAAAAGACAACCATACAGGATTTGGAAAAACACCGTGAAAAGGTCGATACTCTTAACCTGTCCCCTAGATTGGCACAGTATATGAAGAGTCAGATTGACGAGGCACTACTCAAAAGTGGAGTAAAGCCAAAAGACCAAGTCGATGTTGACGATGATAAATCACCACTCACCGTTGGTGAAGCACTCATCAAGATTCAAAGTCTAATCAATCGAAAGAACAATAGAAAGATGGCAGGGTTGTCCCCAACCAGAAAACTATTCGATAGTGTTGCATCAAACAATAGTGAGTTTGAACAATACCTCAATTCAATGTATCAACGACCAATCTATCAAATTCCAATCTCTTCCATCAACCAACAATTAATTGAAAGTTTAAAAGAGAAACAAAATAGTCAAGATAGTACTAGTGATATGATAGATCTTATTAAAAAGATTAAAACCAATATGGAATTAAATGCTGCAAATGCTCTTAAAAATAATAATAAATAGAATAATAATTATTATTCATAATCCATCCAAATATAATAATTATAATATTTAAAGTAATATTACAGCCTAGATATACACATAATATAATGTATCATATATCAGACTTTTTTTGTTTGCATTCTATTTTAGTTTCTATAATTCATGGTTGGTTGTTATTGTTATTGTTGTTATTAAAATTCTTATTGGTGTTGGAGAGCCTTTCTTTCCTCTACAAACTTCTTATAATCGATTTCTTGATTCGAGTAATATTTGCTGATATTGAGTTCTGTACAGAAGTGATTAAACCTTGATTAGTATATATCTTATTGATTGATTATCTGAATATGATAGTTACCCTTTCCTTCAGTTGGTACAACAGAGTGTGGACCAATGATATCTATGTCACCTGCTCTATACTTGTGAACCTTTTCGATTGGGTTCATTGCGAAACCAGCCTGTCTAAACTTTGCTACATTTTGTGGGAATCTTTCGTATCTAACCTTATCGTTGGCTGCATGTAATCTCAAATTCTTTGCAGTATATCTAATTGTTTATATAAGATAATAGAATGATTAATCTAAATGTTGCTATTCTTCTTTAAAACTCGAATCGAATCGAATGATGATCGACGAATGAACTAACTCTGATGATCAATCATTCAAAAGATAGTAGTTTATATCGTGCTGTTGTTGTTGTTGTTGTTGTTGTTGTAGCCTCGTCTGTATGTATTATTATCTCTGCTCTCGCCATTATTACTAATACTATTACTATTACTATTCGTCATTCATTCATTCGTTCATTGATCGATTCATTCATTCGTCGCATTTGATCACCTACATGAATTCAGTAGCAGTAATGATAGTATCTTGTCTCTTCTTTTTAATTTGTTCAACCAAAGCTAACTCTTGTGGAGTAAGTTGATAGTCGTATTCTTCGTTTGCCATCTTTCTGTAATTACTATATATTCTGTCTGACAAAAATGAACTGAGATATCTCTCTAAGCTGTAATTTCAGGTGCTCATCAATATCATAGTTTTTCAAAAATAAATTCGAAAAAAAAAAAAGATAATATTATATGTTTTCCATCAAACAAACAATATATATATATATATATTTGGATCAATCATTAATTGATATTAATAATTTTTGAATTCATTGGGATATCTTAATTATGAAATAATTTGACTTTTATGAAAAATAGAAAATAAATTATTTATTTATTTAATTGAAGTAGAAGTTGTAGTTTGTAGTATTATTATATGCTATGGTGTAGGTAGGTGAGTAGGTTGATGATTATTTTTTTAATTAAAAAAACTAATACTTTTTTTTTGGTGAGGATGAAATCGATATATATATATATTTTTTTTTGGGTTTGTTGAATATTGTTATACTGTGATTGGTGGATTGGTTGGGATTGGTTGATATGGTTTATAGGAATATATGCCCTTATTGATTATATACAGTGTGTGTGAATAATATAACTAGTTTGTTGTCAATTGACTAAACCAAACTAAATACTATTGTGATATGAATGATTATAGATGGATTAAAAAAAAAAAAAAAAAAGAATTATTTATAATTCGTGGTGGTGGTCGTGTGACCAAGATCCAGGGACATGAGATGTGAGAGTGATGGTAATTTACCATTCATTGACCATGGTGTCAGATTCTTTTTTGTGCTTGGAGAGGTTGGCAGATTAGAGAATGGTGACATCTTTTGAATATCTGGGAATATGTTGCCGAATGTGAATGAAGGATTGGTGGCAGCCTCATTGACAGGCGGCAGTGCGTTGGTTCGAGATTTGTTCAATATAATGGTCTGGATCTTTTTACCAACGGGCGTGGTTGGTGTGGTTTGTCCATCCTTGGTAACTGTCATTCCAACATTGGTTTGTGGTATCAACACACGAAACTTGTTTTCACGTCTGAATCTAGGTACTGATTGATTGGATGTTTGTTGTTGATCATTTACAGGTTGTTGTTGTTGTTGTTGATGTTGAAGAAATTGTTGTTGTTGTTGTTGTTGGATAATGAATGGTTGATTGGTGTCACCAACGTTGATTAGCTTGGTATCAGCTATTGCTTGCAGAATCGATGTTCCCGTGATTGGCATTGGGATACCCATTGCTTGGTGAAAATCCAATGGAATATGGTGTGATAGAGGAGGTTGTGGTGGTGGTGGCACATAGAAATGTTGGGGTGCAAGGGGCATGGGAGATTGTTGGAGTAGTTGAGGAGGGAGTTGTTGTGGAAAGAACTGAGGTTGTTGTAATAGTGGAGGAGGTTGTTGTTGTTGTTGTTGAATGACCGGCATCATTGGAGGGGCAAGTGGTTGAGGTTGTTGTTGTTGTAAAAGTGGAGGAGGGGGAGGTTGGATGACTGGAGTTGACGATGGAACGACAGCAGATGGAGGAGATCCAATCGCAACTGACGACGTACTCTGGATAGGGTGTGGGATGGGCTGTCCAGCAGTTGAAGAAGTTAGAGGAGGTGGTGGAAGATGAGGAAGAGGTGGAGGAGCAAGAGGTGATCCTCCATACGATGACATTGGATACGGAGGGATGTTGATGGGTGAGTGGATAAACTGCTGGTGGTTCATAGGTCCATATGGACTAACGGGAACACCACACAAATACGGTGATTGTCCAGGACTGGAAGTGTAGGGAGACGAGGGTGTTGACATTGGTGATGGAGCCGGACTGTAGTTGCTGTTGATACTACTCGACGAGTTGGCACCGGCATTCGCGGCCATGGTAGCTTTGGGTGTCTGGACTGGCGACGAGGGGACCGATGGCTGGGCGTTGGCGGTAGCCGCAGCCTGTTGCTTTTCAATCAAGTTCTTTCGGATCTGCTTCTTTTTCTGTCTCTGTTGTTTGTTGTTGTTTCGACGCTCAACAAGTAAATTGTGCAGGTGTTGATAATACATGGTCTGGCTCTCGTTCATTTCATTCTTTGAATAGTTGATGAAGTTCATTTTTCACTTTCCATATCGCGTGTTGAAAAAAAAAAAAAAAAAAACCAGCGGTTTGAAAAAGATATTTTTTTTTGATTGATGGAAAGTTTGAGTTAAATTAAAGTTGGGAAAAAGATAGAGGGAGAGAGTAAAGTGATAGAGTTGGGATGATTGATTAAAAAAGATAGTTAGTAACTATGAATGTTGTGAAGGAATGGTACACCTAAAACTTGATATACATACTTTGATATAAAAATACAAGTAATAATAATTATGAGATATTAAATTAATTGACTATGAATGTATGTGTGCGAGTGTGATGTACACAACCCTATCTATCTAAGGGTTGATGTATGTGTGTGTATGTTGGTGGTTTAGATATGATTGATTGATTATTTATATATATATCTGAAGAGTGTGTATGTTCTTAATTTTCATTTGATGATGCATGGTTGATGGTTTATAAATGATCGATCCTTGGAGAGTCGTGGTCAGAGCGATTATAGTAGATTGACTTTTTAGGATCGCCTCCACAAAAAAGACATCCCCATACCATGCTCTAAAATAAACACAAGGCTTTCTTGCGAAGCCGAAATTAGTGTCAATTTTTAAAAAAAGAGTGTGGGGTGCCCCAATCAAAAAAAATGTGTCAAATTTTAGAGTTGATTGGGGCTGTCACGCTATTTTTAGAGCCTAAAAATAGGATAGACAGAGTATAGTTATAGAATTGGTCTTATTTTGTGTCGTTTGAACATCTACTTGCGAATGATCTTGAATTAACTTGATGTTAGCAGTATACATCAACGCGACATTTGGCTTTTGGGCAACCGGTGTTCTAAAATTGACCTCAAACAAGACACCTCTTATGCTACTATACCCTATTACTTTTACTTACTTTTCAAAAGGTGTCGTTTGTCGATACTCGTAATGTACTTGTCCTTTGATCGATGGATCATGTCCTTTTGACTTTTGTTGTTCTTGTTCGGAGATTAATTACCTTGTTGTTGGTTGTTGTTGTTGTTCGATTGAACTACAACTCTATCAATTTAATTAATTAACACAAGAAGGATCTTGACCTTTTGTGATTTGTCATCGTAGTACTGCTATGACCCTCCCATGTCCCTTTTCGACCTATCTTGTATCTTGTAAACAAACAATTTAATTTAAAAAGGCAAGTGTGCTTGTTTTGCTAACACTTTAAATAAAACATAATACAAATAAATATAACAATAATTAAATAAATAACTAATTATCTCTACATTTAAATAAAGATAGATAGATATATAGATAGTTAAATGTATTATTTAAAATATTAGGTGTGATGCATGATCGATCCATGACGATGAGCGAGAGATAATGTGGATACCATTTTTGACCCTTATGAGCAAAAAATATTTATTTTTTCATAAGATTGATTACAAAGAGAGAGATAATAGTAATAGATATATAATATTTATTATATAAAGGAATGAGTAATCATAGAGATGAAGACGACGAGGAAGAAGAAGAGGTAGAGGAATTCGATGTCGATTTGGGCAACAATGAATCATTTCTAGATACTCTTGTTAATCAAGAGACACGCAGAAGACCAAAGTATGTAGAGAGACCAGTATTACTACTGTAGAGAGATAGATATATATATATCTTACTAATCTCATTCTTTATTTATTATAAATAATATAGTCAATCACCAGTATTTGGTTATATTTATTCACCGAGATGTATGAGAGGAGCAGGCTTGGTCATTGGTATAATAGCTTTGTTATTCTCTGCAGTATTATTATCTATATCCTTTTCAGATTTAAATAGTATGTATATACCCAAATACAAATACAATACAAATACAAACTATACAATTATATTAATTGGTTGTCCTCATTATTATTATTATTTAAATAGAAACAAATGATAATAGTTCAGATGACACTGCAATAGATTTCACAAACAAACTACCGTTGTGGGTATTAAACAACATCGATATAACAAGAATCAAATCAAATGTACAGTATTTATCAAGTGATTTATTAGAGGGAAGAGCACCTGGAACAAGAGGTGAAGGTTTGTATTCGAACAACAACGACAACAATATATTATAAATCATATATATATATATTGATATTAATTAATTAATGATTTTAATTTAGAATTAGCAACATTATTTATTCAATCACAATATCAATCAAGTTCGATTGAACCAATGGGAGAAAATGGAGGTTATTTTCAAAATGTAAATTTATATAGTATCAACAATATAACAACGACGTCATTGAATTTCAGTGCATCGGACAAGAGTCCAGTAAACTTGACCTACTTGACCGACTTTGTAACGTCGACAGAGATGCAAGAGAGTAGTATATCATTGTCACAGATATCAGTTGTTTTTGTTGGCCATGGAGTAAGCTCAAAGGAGATGCAGTGGGATGACTACAATTCCACGACCGTCTCGGTCAAAGGCAAAATTGCTATGATTTTATTGGGTGCACCAGAATCGTTTAACAGCTCGGCAACTGCCTACTTTGGACGAAAAGATTATAAACTGTCTGCTGCAAGAGACCATGGTGCAGTCGGTGTTATACTCGTACATACAGACGCGACCTATGGGTATCCGTGGCCATACGTACAGTCAAAGGCATCAGACACCAAATACATGCTTCAAGAGGCACCCCAGCAATTGCAAGTCGTTGCCATGGTCAATGAAGCAGCTGCCAATAAGATCATTGATCAATCGGCCGATCCGACACATCTAAAGGGCTGGCAGGTACGCGCTGGCGACAGTGCATTGGCCAAACTGTTTTTACCGTTTGATATTGGTCTTTTGGTCAGTTTTGATTTGGATTGTGTAGGGTCAGCGGTGGTTGGAAGAAATGTGATTGGTGGGATTGTCGGCGACAAGAATCCCGACCAGGTAGTCATCGTCATGGCACATCACGACCACCTCGGTATGAAGCAGTCGACTGTGCCAGGCGGCGCACCAACCATCTACCACGGAGCAGTCGACGATGCAAGTGGAGTGGGTATCCTGCTGGAGCTGGCCAATATCCTCGGGTTGTACAACAAGGTTGCCTCAACCAACACGTTTTCACAGGTTGGCTTGATATCGCCGCCAGACCGCACCATACTCTTTGTCAGCACGACGGCCGAGGAAGGTGGGCTGCTTGGCGCAAAACACTTTCTCTCTGCATTTAACAAGACCAAGCAGATTGTTGCAGTCATCAACTATGACGGTGCCAACGTGCTCAACGAGACACTAGACATTGTCAGCGTTGGAATGGGCCTGTCGCCCGACCTCGACCTCTTTATCAGCACTGCAGCCGACGATGAAAATAAGATGATCGTCACCCAGGATCCCCTCCCCCAACTCCACCTACTCTACCGAAACGACGCACTTGTGTTTTTACAAAACCAGATCCCTTCGGTCATGTTGTCAATGGGCACACGTTTCAAAGGCATGATGAACGACACCTACTACCAGGCAGTCATCACCGACTACTTTACCAATGTCTATCATACACCAGCCGATATTGTCAAGCCCGAATACACATTCCTCGGAGCGGTTCAACAAGTTAAAATCACTGCTAGACTATTGTACTATCTAGCCAACAATATTCATTTCATGCCATTATTTTCTCATCCTTTATTTTCAAATGGAATTTAATTCAATAAAAATAATAATAATAATAAATATTGGTTAATAATAATAATAATAATAATAATATTTAGTTAATAATAAAGGAATGGAATATCTATATAGGTATGAGTCATGACATTAATGAGTCATTGATAAGGGAGATATCGATCGTGATCTTTCGAAATTTCCTTCCTTATTTTTGATTTTTCTAAGTCGGTAATTTGGGATTGGGGTCGTTTCCTATATCCATCTTGTAGTTTAGGGGTTCTCTCTATTGACTGGTGATCATGAATGTACACCCACCTCATCATTACCATCTCGTATACCACTAGTGGTTAGTATAAAAAAAAAAAGTGAGGTGGGTAATTCATTATACTAGTTTCTTTTGAGAATCAAATAGATAATAATAATAGTACTATGAATCATAGTACTGATGATAATATTCCAATGGAGGTTATTAAAGATCAACAAGTTGAAAGGAATAAAATGGAGGAAGGAGAAAACAAGAGAAATGAAGATTTTCAACCAGTATCATTAGATTCTAGTCAACTTGATCAATCCAACACCAACAATAATGTTAAATATCAAAAGAGACAACTTTTAAAAAAGAGAATTATCGGTCTAAGTATTGTATTATTAATTACTACTGTTAATACTACATCAAGTGAATTATCACAATACATTTTAGTAAATGATTATTATAAACCTTTTTTAATGAGTATGTTATCAATCCATCATTGAAATAATATTAATATTAATAATATTTATCTTTTGTTTTTCTACTACTAGTTTACTATAATATGATATGGTTAATTTTAGCATTACCAATTGAATTGGCAGTATTCTATGGCAAACATATTAAAAATAATAGTAATGAACCTTTGATACAAAGTTTACATCGAGAATTCTTGATTGACAACAAGGTAACACTTAAAACAGTTGCTTGGGTAACCTTTTTAATGTCAATTCTCTACACTGGTCTAAATTATATTTGGATATTAGGTTTACCATTAACTGAAGTTAGTACTTCAAATGCTCTCTTTCGTAAGTTGGAAATAATCATAATTGAAAAGAATATATTCTAACAAGCATATCATTTACTTTTTTAGAATCAGCAACTATATACGTATTCTTTTTATCGATATGGATATTAAAAGAGAAACCTACGATTCTTAAAAGTGTATCGGTAATCTTTTTCATTGCCGGAGTTGTTGGTATATTGTTGGCTGATAGAGCTTCATCGGTTGGTGCCTATGAATTCCCAGATGCTGTAAAGGGAGATATTATGATGGTGGCAGCAGCAGCATTGTATGGAGTATGGCAAGTATTAACTGCCAAGTTCCTCGTTGACAAGAATAGAACCATGGTTCATAGCTACATTGGATTGATGGGTTTCTGGTGTTTGTTGTTTGGTATCCCAGTACTTTTAGCACTACATTATTCTGGTTACGAAACATTTGAAATGCCAACCACATCTAGATCGGCAGGTCTCATTTCAGTGAGTGCATTCCTAACATTTACAGCCAATTATCTAATTAATTGGGGTCTTTCATTGGTATCACCGTTGGCCGTCAGAGGCGCTGAATTATTAATCATACCAGGTAACTACATTCAACCAATAATAATAATAATAGTAATAGTAATACTATACAATCATCCTAATAATCATTATCTATCTATTATCTATTATTATTATTTGTAGCTACATTACTATTTGATATCTTTGTCAAAAAGGTTGTATTCCCAGCCATTTCAATACCAGGGTTCCTCTTTATTATCTTTGGATTCCTTATTATGATGTTTGTCGAGAATATCCAATTAAAGAGAAGACAAAGGACAAAGCATCAACAGCAACAGAGCCACCAAAGAATGTCTAGTCTTGATGTCGACAATACAGACAACACTAATCCTCCTACATTGTCGCTCAAAATAATCAACTTTATGAGAAGAAATCTTGTCTAATCCAACCTTGAATACTCTACACTACTGTACTGTATACAGTCACTATGATATAAATAAATCGCGATTACTCTTATGAATGTTATTATTACTATACTTTACAAGATAAGGAATGAATGTACTTGTGTGAGTCAGCAAAGGGAAAGGTCAACATCTTTTTTTTTTTTTTTTTTTTTTTTTTTCAGCCCCTTTGAGAGTGAAGTTCTTGTTTATTGATCAGTAGCCTTTTATTTTCTTGTATTGTATTGTCATCGTCATCTAGTCATCTTTATTTATATATATATTTCAATCACAGATAGAATAAGATAGATAAGATAGATAGAGAATAGAAGTAAAAAGACAATCATAATAATAATAATATAGATAGATATAAATATATATAATAATGGACGCCATTTATCAATCAGAAGATGTTGATGGAGTTAGATTCTCATGGAATGTATGGCCAACTAGTCGTGTCGAAGCAACCCGTAAGTTGCTAGTACCATTAGGTGCCATGTACACACCAATGAAACAAAATCAAAATACTCTTCAAGTACCATACCCTCCACTACATTGCAAGGGTTTATGTACTGCTGTTTTAAATCCTTTTTGGTAATGATCATATGATTTGATGATATGATGATGAATTAGATGGGGATAGGAATACCTATACATTTGTTATATATATATACTTATACTTTTTTTACTTTATACTTTTTTTAGTACTGTAGCACCACCATATAGAACATGGGTATGTCCATTCTGTTTACAACATAATCAATTCCCACCACATTACAATGGATGTATTACCGATACTAGCAGACCAAGTGAATTGTTACCAAATGCTTCGACGATCGAGTATTTGTTGCCAACTAAAGAGTCGGCACCACCCATCTATTTATACATTGTTGACACTTGTCTACCAGATGATGAGTTGCAAAAGTTGATTGATTCATTGACCATGTCGTTGTCATTGATTCCAGAGAACAGCTATGTCGGTTTGATCACTTTTGGATCGATGGTGCAAGTGTACGAGCTCGGTTTTACCGCCTGTCCCAAGAGTTATGTGTTCCGTGGTAATTCGCAGACTGCATTCAAGGCAGCTACATTGCTCGACAAGCTCGGCGCACCTGAAACACTCAATCTTGCCAGCAAGCGTTTCCTCGTGCCCGTAGGCGAATGCGACGACTCGTTGACAACTATTTTGGAGGAGATCCAAAAGGACCCATGTCGTGTGCCATCGGACCGTCGTCCACAACGTGCCACCGGTATTGCCTTCTCGATTGCCTCATCACTCTTGCAGGCTGTTGCCGAGCAAGCACCACACACCAAGTTGGCAGCTCGTGTCATGGCATTTATCGGCGGTCCCGCAACCGTCGGTGTTGGCATGGTTGTTAGCGACGATCTCAAGGAGCCAATCCGTTCGCACCACGATATCGTCAAGAACAAGGCCAAGCACACCACCAAGGCATACGCCCACTACAAGTCGGTTGCCGAGCAGGCTGTCGCAGCCGGTCACGTCATTGACATCTTTTCGTGCTCGCTCGACCAGGTCGGTCTCTATGAAATGCGTGAGATGGTCAAGTTGACCGGTGGTTTCATGGTGCTTGCCGATGGTTTCTTCCATCCCATGTTCCAACAATCCTTCCAGAAAATATTCTCGCGTGACCCAGACCACCAACTCAACGTCGGCTACAATGCTGACATCCAAGTCACAACCAACCGTTACCTCAAGATATGTGGTGCTATTGGCCATGTATCATCTTTAAATGTTGCTTCTCCAAATGTTTCTGAAAATGTTTGTACATCCCAAAAACAAAAAAAAAAACAAATCAAATCAAATTATCAACTAACATTTAAATATTTATTTTTATACTCTTAGGAAATAGGTATTGGTGGAACATCAAGTTGGAAGGTATGTGGATTAGATCAAAATTCTACATTTGCATTCTATTTTGAAATTGCCAATCAACATAATAACGCTATTCCAGTGGACCAACCGGGATTGATCCAATTCACCACCACCTATCAAAACGGACAGGGTAAGCGTATCATGAGAGTAACTACTGTGCGTCGTGAATGGGCTGATCCAAGCGCCACCATCTCTACATTGGCCAATGGATTTGATCAAGAAACTTCTGCCGTGCTCATGGCACGTCTCGCCGTTTTCAAGGCCGAGACTGAGGAGTTGCCCGACATTACCAGATGGCTCGACAAGATGTTGATTCGTCTCGTCTCGAAATATGCTGATTTCCGCAAGGATGATCCTCGCTCATTCAACTTGGCTCCCAACTTTGCCATCTATCCACACTTTATGTTCCATTTGCGTCGTTCCAACTTCCTCCAAGCCTTTAACAACTCGCCTGACGAGTCGTCATTCTATCGGTTCATGTTGAATCGTGAGAATGTATCCAACTCTCTCATCATGATTCAACCAACACTCGAACAATACTCTTTCAACGGACCACCAGCTCCAGTCGTCTTGTCTGCCACCTCCATCTCTGCCAACACTATCCTCCTCCTCGATACTTTCTTCCACGTTTTAATTTTCCACGGAGAAATGGTTGCAAAATGGCGCAAGGAAGGTTACGATAAGGATCCACAACATCAAACTTTTAGAGATTTACTTGCTGCTCCAAAGGAAGATGCTAAAGTATGTAAATCAAAAAAAATATTCATCTCATCAAAAAAAGTTATTAATTCTCTTTTTATTATTTTCTTTTATTTTCTAGAATATTTTAAAGGATAGATTCCCATATCCACGTTATATTGATTGTGATCAACATTCAGGTGAAGCTCGTTTCCTTTTAGCTACTATTGATCCAAATCTTACCCATGTTAGTAACCCACAAGAACAAGGTAATGGTGAGGTTGTTTTCACAGATGATGTCAATCTCCATGTCTTCTTGGAACATTTGAAGAAGTTTGCTGTTCAATCCTAAACACAACTCAAACCCAATTTTTATTTCAATTGGCTGGATTTATTCAATATCCTTTATCAAGGTATCTGAAAACCCAAACAATAAATTTAAAAACAAAAGTATAATATAACAATTGATATGAAAAGTTTTATAATCTCTGATTGTATTATTCAATTTTATTTTGTGTAGATAAAAGCAACTATGATCAAAGTATTGGCACTGAGGAGAATATTCATATAATACATTCATTATTATTATATTGGGCACTTATTATTATTATTATTATTAATTATTTTGTTGTTGTTGTTGGTCAGCGTTTTCTTGGTCAGTATTTGGAATAGGATCCATTTCTACTGCTTCTCTATATGGTCTGTTCGTTGGGGGTTCCACCTTCCATACAATGATTGCCACTATTGTAATAGAGAGAAGGAATATCGATAAAAGCACAGAGACGATGACTTTTGGGAGTGAATCTGTAGTCTCTATGCATTCGTATGGCAAGGCAGAGTCATCATCAAGAATGACTGCGTTGAATACCGGATCTAGCTCAACCGAGTGGCTGAACCTTGGTATGTGAAACGTTGTCAAAAGGTTGAACCCTTGCTTGTCAGTTTGTTGAGAGAGTGGATCATCTGGATTGTGACTTTTGATGGCATGATTGTTGAGTTGTCTATAATCATTCTACTTGCTATCTTGCAGTTTAAAAGTGTTCGTCCAACTTGAACTCTGGTCCATATCATTTGGTCACCTGGAGATACATCATTTCCAATTTTCATCCTACCACAATCATCATATTCAACTGAATCTGATCGAGAATGGAATATAACTTCGAGTGTGTTGATAGGTGATGATCACACCCAATCAATAATTTTGGTAGTGTACTTGATTGAATTTGATGATACTTGGTTATCCTCACCCTAGAATTTACTGGTGTTGGTGTCTTCGAATTGAACAACTGTGACATTGAATCGAGTGGATTGATTGTGAATGCTTCCAATAAATACAGTTTCAATATAAGATGTCTGATTATGTTGTGTTTGATTGACTTGCTCCCAATATACATTATCCATAGACATGCTTATCATGACTAATTTCTCGGATGGATTGAATTCCAGTTGACACCGCTGATCGTTTGATTGGTTGATAGAATTGATGTTGAATACATCATAACGGTTGTGTTGAGTTGTTTATCACGATCGATCGAAGATGAGCAATCTAATGGGGGTTCATAACCACTATGACATTTGCATGTCCCAAAAGTTGAATTACCTATTCCATGAGAGGAAAAGTTCTTACGACACTCTTTTGCAAGAGATACAACTTTTGTTGTAACCATTCCAGAAATACCTATTTGGACTGTATAGTTTAGATCTGTCGAATAAGGCTGGACAGTGTCCAATAAACAAGTAATTTGTTTAAAACCATCTCCAACAAAACTTGGTGATTTGCATTGTTTTGATTGAATCGTTATCAAAACATATGAACCATCTTTTCCAAAATGATTACCATTGATTGTAACCTGTGATGTCTGTCCAGGTATAATATTGGTAACATTATTAATGATTGGTGTATCACTTGTATAAAATGTAATCAATGGAGTGTAATATTTAACATTTTTAGTATCGAATGGGACCACCTTTCCATTATGAATATTATATAGAATATGATCTGATGGTGTGACAGAAGTCTTATTATCATAATACAAAGGAGAAGGTGTTCCTTTGTATGGACCACTATTTCTTGTAAACTCTTTGCCGTCGTAGGAAACTCCTTGCCAAAATGTATAATCATCATATCAAATTAAATCCAATGATTCAAAACATTGATACATTTCTTGAGATTCAAATGCACCAACATAAGGGGTATTGAAAGTTGCACCCATTGTTACTTTATCAATCATTAATCGATAGACTCTTTCATAATCTCCACCACATAGAATGGTTGAAAAGAATCTATCTCCACAGACTATTGAAAAAGAGTATTGCATTAGAATTGAATTAAATCTATAAAGAATATTATTATTTAATTAATTATTATAAATACATACAAATATGAGGTTTATAGGTTTGAGTGTAAACTTGGTCAACTGAAATTGAAATCGGAAGGAGTTTGGTCTCTCCAACAAGAGGTGTTTCGAGTTGACAAATAATTTGATTTGATGATGCAAAACTAATAATACATGGAATATTTAATGTTGAGACACTGACAGATACGAGACCATTGGTGTCACCAAAGTTATTACCAATCAATGTAACCAATGCATTGGTTGGGGATGATGGTGGATAGACAGCTTTGATAAATGGTGGATATGGTTGCCATGCATAGTGTGTTGAGCTGGTTCCACTAGCATCTTGAACAGTGACATCATGAAATCCTAGTGGAACTATACAAGTGACTGAGTTCCTTGTGTTTGAGTTATATTACATGATTTCGAGAGTTGTTTGGTTGGATTGAAAAATGTAATGTTGATTGTTGAAATGTTGAATCGTGTCAGATTGTTGATTGTTATTGTTCCTCCATTTGTACCAATTGATGGAATATATACTTCTGAAATTGCAACCAATTCACATATAACGCCTGCGACATCATTAGCACCGCATTTTTGAAATTCCATGTTGGTCCTCTGATGTAAATATATTTCTCCTTTCCATCGGCAGGAGTTAAAGATGGTTCACCTGCATCGAATGGACAATATCCTTTAATAAAAACAAAATGATTAATACAATTAATTTTCAAAATAGTTGATCGATTAAATATATACATACCAAAACATTGACCAGTATACATATTAAATAATGGTTGATTGGTTCCAGGTCCACTTGAATAGGAATAATTCCCAATACCTCCAATGTCTCTACCAGAGACCCATACAGGTGTTGCCGGCCAATTGGTTTTAATAAAATCCAATTCTTGCTTTGAATCAATTGTGGCAATATATGATTTGATAGTATTGCTTTCAAAAGCCAAACATTTTGTCATCGCCTCTTTGTTTGTAGATATTCCCATGTATCCATGCCCATTCCCTCCTTTTGAAGTTGACCAAACCTGTGCACCTGTAGGATAGTTTTCACAATGAATGGTGAAATTGATTGATGTCTTTGTTGTTGTTGTCTCTTCTTTGGGGTTGAGGTAGAACGGAGGATAGGTGCAATGTAGTCTTATTATTTATACTATAATTATAATCACTTTACTGTAATATCTGATTTGTATGTTTGTTGTGGGTGTGACTGTTTTTTGGAAAAGGACTTTAAAACTTGTACTTATGTAATTTTTTATACCAATCAATCAAATCAATATTATTATGATGTATTAAGGTCAATTTAAATACAATGATAGATTAATTAATATAAAAGGTTGTTTTTTATTTTATATGTATCGTTTGGTTGGTGGATTGGATTGGAGGATAGAAATATACACAAAAAAGAGTTTAACTTGATTGTATTTTTATATATATAATAATATATAGAAATGTTGGTTTGGGTTGGTAGGTAGGTATGGTAGGTGAGGTGGGTATGTTATAATAAATAAATAAATAATGTAGGTTGGTTGGTTGGTTGGTTGGTTGGTTGGTTGGTTGGTTGGTTGGTTGGTTGGTTGGTTGGTTGGTTGGTTGTTTGGATTGTTACTACTCTTTTTTAGTTTAGATATAATCCAACATTGATCTTGGGGAAGATAGAATCTTTTTAGGTGTACGATTATGTGACTTTGATAGTTGGTTGACACTACTGGTTGGTGACTTGAAGGAAGAGTTGGAGTTGGATGTGGTTGGTACCTTTTTCTTGGCTGCTGATTTTGGTGTCGAGATACCTGATGATGTTGATGGTCTTTGTTGATTGGTACTATTTGACAGTGGTCCGCCAACAATATTGATACTGCTGCTGCTATTGTTGTTGTTGATCATTGAAGTGGTATCTTTCTTGTTGGGAGTTGATGATTTGGAAGGTGAAGATGGGATAATCAATGAACTATTTGATAGACTTGAATACGATGTATTGAGAGCAACAACGCTGCTGCTGCTGCTGCTGCTACTACTGGTGTCAACCGTAATATTTTGTTTAATTGAATCATGTTGATCAACCAATTGTAAAAATGATTGGATCTTTTGTTTGTATTGTTTGATCTCGTCGCTACGGGTAGTAAGCTTTCTAGTCAATTCATTGTTCTCGGCACACTTCTTTCCAAACTCTTCTTGATAGTATCCAACCAATGTTTGGCAATCCAGTAACTCCTTTTTGTATTGGTTGACGAGTGACATTTGAACGTCGCGTTCACCACGTGCATTGTAGAGGTCTTCGGTGGCCTCGTCAATTTCAGCCTGAACATTTTCCAGTTCCAATTGTAACTCGTCTCTTTCAATGGTGAGTTGGTCAATCTCTTGGACATTGACGTCGTTCATCAGCAAGAGTTCTTGTTTGAGTGACTTGTTTTCATTGTGTTGATGTTCCAGTTGTTTTTCCAAATCGGTGATCTTGTTTCTATAGACATCGATGGTTTCTCTGATTGCTGTGGTCATGTCTGGAACTGCTGAAGAACTATCTTTTTTTGGTGTTGTATTTGTAGATGACGACGATGACGATGACGATGACAATGTTGTTGATACCTTTGGTGACAATGGTGATGGAGTAGTCTCAGTTGAGCTTAATGATGGTGTAGTGGTGGCAGATGATACCTTTGCAGCTGATGATCTTCTTCTCTTGGGGGAGACAGCTACAACTGGAGTGGCAACAACAGCTGGAGCTACCACAACTGGAGTGGCTACAACAACTGGAGCAGTGGTGGTGGTGCTGGTGGTGGTAGTAGCAACAACAGGCTTAGCAGCAATAGTAGTTGATTTTGCCTTTTGATTTTTGTTGTTATTTAATTGTTCATAGTATGAAGCCAATGATTTAACTTCACTCTTTTGATTATGCGATAATAGATTGGTGGAACTATTCAATCTTTCGATATCCTTAAAGTAATGTACTTGAGGTGTTGGTGCTTTGGCAGCAGTGGTGCCATTTGAAAGTAAACTCTTTCTATTATTCATTTTCTTTGGTGGACTCGACTTCTTGGGTACACTCCTATAATAACAATTCAAATTATAAATATAATATTATTAATATATTTTATTTTGAATGAGACAATGAATTATATTATATTGATTTGGTTTGTTGTTGTAGGTGTAATTGCAATTTCCAAGTAAGTGATCGATCATCATCATCATCATTATTCCAATTTATTTATTTATTTATTGATTTATTTATTTATTCCTATTGGTCCAGTCTGGTTGTCTGTTGTTGCTCTTTAATTGGTTGATTTAACTTGCACTGGTGTGTGTGTGAAATGAAGGATCAACCCTTTCGTTTGTCACAATAATAATGATGATGATGTTGATCGGTCATTGGTTGTTTGTGAATTCACAGAGCTGTGTTGGTGTGTAGGTTGTGGTAGGTTGAACTTACTTTTCTTTCTCTTCTTTTACTGGGAGTCTCATTTTCTAAATCTAAATCTATTAAGTATGTTGTTCTGTTTAGTTTTCTAGCCAATAATAATGATTGATGGATGTAAATTAAATGATTTAACATTGATGTTGTTGTGTAACATGTGGTGTGGGTTTGATTCATCCAGATTTTTCAAACAAAAGGAGGGAACTTTAACGGATCATAACACTAGTGTTAATTTGAAAAATCGAACTTCTTTTGCAGAATTAATCACATTGACCATCATGATAGACGACAATAGTTATAAATAATAGTAATAGTAATAGTAATAGTAAATTATAATGAGACATATATCTTTAGATAAAATAGTGTTTTCATGGAAAGGGAATGTATATAGAAGAGGTATAACTATAGCTGATGTAGATAATGATGGAGACAATGAGTTGGTTGTCGGTAGTCTTGAAGGTAACTTGTCTATCTTTAAAGGTATAGATCCTAATCCTTGGAAGGTTGATCATAACTTGGGTTCTGTAAGTTAGATAGAGAAAGAGACAGAGTGTGCCATAAAGCATTACTAACCTTTGTCTATTCTCTATAGATTACTTGTGTATCAGTTGGTGACCTTTTGAATAATGGCAAGGTAAATACAAATTGATGAGAAGATGAAGAAGATGAAGATGAAGATGCTTGAATAAGGGAGAGAAAGAGAGAGAGAGAGAAGAATAAGGAAGAAGAAGAAGATGAATATTAATATACATTATGTTGATTGAATCAAGAATTTATTGGTTGTCATATCATCAGAAGGACTTATAAATATTTATAATGTACAACAAGATACAAATAGTTTAACTCCTATACTTTCACATCGATTGCCACCAAATGCAAGTGCCATCTTAATATCTGATATTGATAATGATAATAAGAATGAACTTGTTATTGGTACATATGATCATACACTTTATTCATTCTCATTTTCATTGGATCCAAATACAAATAATAATAATAACAATAATAATAATAACAATAATAATAATAATAATAATAATAATAATAATGATAATAATAATAATAATAATAATATAGAACAAAAATATTTATTAAATTTAAAGAATAAGTGGCAATTACCAGGACAAATAGCAAACTTGACAATGGCAAAAAACAAAGAAGGTAAAGATGTTTTATTGATTGGTTTGTGTGAAGGTACCAACTACTTGGTACTTCATAATGGTTCGTTGTACAAAGAAGGTGGGTCGGGTGCTGAAGGACAAAATAGAGCTCCTTTACCCACCTCTGGAAGTAGTGGAAATATTATAGTCGACACGCTACCCATTGCAGATTTGACATCGTCTCCTCCACTTGGATTCGATGGTATGCGCAAGAGAAAAACTGAAATTATTACATTTATTTCAACACCAATCAGCAGTACTGGAAAAGGCTCTAAATTGGCTCAACAAGAGGCTATCGAACCAAACCCTATAATTGACCAACAACAACAACAAGGAGAAGAAGAGGATGAAAATTCACAAGCAAGATTGGTACCGATTGCAACATTGGAAGGAGTACTAAAATTACAAAGGGTTGGAGGAGGACCCGTTTGGAAGATGGAGATTGAAGATATGGGAAGTGGTCAATTGATAGCATTGTATACACTCAACCTACTACAAGGCGACAATCAAGAGGATGAATATGAAAAAAAAAATAATGGAAAATCGGCAATCGTGGCTTGTGGATGGGATGGTCTCACCTTGATCATTGACCACAACAAGAATCTTATATCTTTTAAATTTAGTGACATGGTTTGTGCTTTTACCGCTGGAAACTATTCACTTTGTCATGGAAGCAAGACCACTTGTTTTGTATATGTAGGATTCTTTGGAGAGATTGTCATGTATTACAACATTGCTTCCAACATTGAACCTGCACACAGTCTAAAATGGTCGGTTCGACCAGAGATTGAAGAAATGTTAAAATCACTCTCTCTTGAATCAAAAATCGATATCAATGACCTTTATCAAGCACTAGTTTCAAACAAATTGGATCTTAACCTTTTAAAATTATATAAAGATAAATTAAATTCAAACTAAATTTTAGTATTTCTTAAAATTTACTTTTCTTTTTTAAATGTAAATAAAAAAAGGTGCATCAAGGCAAACTGCGTCCTTTAAAAATCAAATTTTATTTATACATCTTTGTCTGTTATTCTCTTGTATATTTTGATTGTGAAGAGGTATTTGAAGTGGTAGGTCTATTAGTTCTCTGTTGTGTTGAATGTTGTTGTTGATATTGTTGTTGTTGTTGTTGGTGTTGTTGATATTGTTGTTGTTGTTGTTGTTGATAATGTTGAGAATATCTAGAAGCTTGTTTGGAAATAATTGGACTATAGAGTTGATGATCGTCACTACTTTTACTTTTAAGAATATTGTTTGTATTATAATAAGACTATATAGATGATAAATTAATATTAGTTATAATATGATAACTATTTTTTAACCATATAACTTACATAAGTATTTCTCTTGTTCAATTTAGTATAATTTGAAAGTCTTTCTAAATAAGTATTTCCTTGACCACCGTCCTTGTCTTGTCTAATCTTTTTAGGGTCAAAAAGAATGGGTGAAAGTGGTTGATTTGGTTGTTTTTGTTGGTTAGGGTTGCTACTACTATTAATATTATTATTATTATTTGATTTCTCTTTTTTCTTTTTGTTGTTTGAACCATTGTTTTCAGCATTTTCATTGTCTTTACTACACAATGGGCATGCTGAATGCTTGCCCATGCAAGTAGAGTGAATGGCGTGATTACATTGAAAGACGACAACGAGATCAAGAGGAACCTGTTGGTTGTTGGACGAGGCTGGGAAATCGCCAATGGGTCGGCTACACATGACACACTTTCGCATGACCGGAGAATATGCCTTGCTACGTTGTCTAATGTAGGATCGAGTGGTATTGTACATGTCATTTTGGATGAGTTGGTTGGCGGTGTGAAGAATACTAGTCTCAAACGTACAAGTATCCAACATGCCAGTGATGATTGCCTTAAAGTCACCAAACTCATCACTACCGTGGTCATTTACAATCTTGGTGAGAATCAATGGCAATGCAACCGATCCCATCATACTATTGAGAATAATATGAATGAGTCTATTTAGGAAACCAGTACATTTGACATAGATGGCACTCTTTGGTTTTTGTTGTAATAAATTAATATTGTTGATCAAAGAGGAAGAAGAGGAAGAAGAAGTATCAATGTTGCCATTTGGATCCAAAGTCAATGGTACAAGTGATGGAGATTGAGATTGTTGTGGTGAAGAAATGAGTGATCCCTTTGACCAACCTCCTGGAGTTCTATCATCTGCAAGTAATAACGGACTATTTGAATTACTATTTATCATTGATTGTTTAACTTTTCTTACAAATAATACAATTGTATCTAATAATCTAAACCAAATCATCTAAAAAATTATAAAAAATAAAAAAATAAATTAATTAAACTAAATCAAAATAATAATATTATTGTTTTGATAATTACTTGATTTTCAGATATTTGTAATTTTTGAGAGTTTCTTTGACAAAGAGCAATAGCAGTATTTAAAGTATCCATAATTTCCTTTTCAATTGGGATGGCTGTCGCTTTTTCATTCTTTAGATTCTTGACATTGGCATATACATTTGAGAAATGTTTCAAAATATCCTCAATCTTCTTTTTCAATACTGTTACAATCATTTCCAATGCCTTGTAAACATCACCTGTTCTTTCCAATAAATAAGTAGCACCTTCAAAATTATTATATTGTTGACAAATCTATAAAAAATAAACATAAACATAATTAATATCAAAGTATGACTTTAACCTTTTTTTTTTACTTTACCTTTAAACAAGCATCTAATGGATAATCATCATGAGAAACTAGATATTTATAAACTAGATCAGATGAATACATGCACATTAATTTAATGTATAATTCATAAGTTTCATTTGAGATGTAAATGCCAGTACGTTGTTGGATGGCGACACGAGAGGAACTATCGTTACCCAAGAGACCAACCAAATAGGTGTATTGTAACTTGGGGAACTGACCCAACTCTTTGACAATCTTTTCGTGATCCGATGCAAAGTAGTCCATAATGAGTTGGGCAGTGGCTGTACTGTCGACCACAATGAGATGAGCAAGATTAGAGATGGTTGTTTGACGAACAGTCTGACGATCGGCGTCGTTGAGGGCGGGATTCTCGAGGAGTTGACGAACATAGTCAAAGGTTTGGGCACGAGTGTCTGGGTCTCTAATTTGACAGACCACCATCTTGGCATATTGGCGTTGCTGGCTATAGATGTATTGAGCAACGCGATACAATTCATTTCCTTCGGCAATGACCAATAGTTTGTCAGAGTCATAGTCTTTGGGCGACGAGTTCATGAGCACTCCCAAGAGACTGGATTGACGGTCCGTTCGGTTATAGATGGGTGCAGCCGATGCAATGGGTGGAACCGAGAGAATACCCACCAAACGGCCCAATAGAGTTGGCTCTATCGATTTGATGAGACGCTTTTCAAAGCATTTGGCGAGCAGTACGCATACTTGACCCTGTTGCTCGATTGTGAATGGCCATGATTCATTGGTGTGTGGATCGTATGGCTGTTGCGATCTATCAATCACAATGAGCAAGAGTACAGACATCATGGTATGGTGATTGAGATTGGATTTGTTAACGTTGAATGGAATGGCAGGAATGACGAGCGATGAATTTACAGATGGTACCGATCCTGCCTTGTGTACTTGTTGTTGTTGTTGTAATTGTTGTTGTTGCAGTTGTTGTTGGTATTGTTGAGATGGTTGAGGTTGTTTGGGTGATGCTGGAATAGACAAGAGTTGATCGTCAAAAGAGTTGGAGAGAATATTGATCATCTCTAAACTATTCAACTTTAAAAGATTGAATAGTCTAGGATAGGGTGTTGGATCCTCTGGGAATATGTTGCGTAAAAAGAGGTACTCGTAAATCTCCATCTTGAGTGATGGCACACGTTGTGATGGGATTGGTTTACCACTTGGAAACACTCTCCCTGAAAGACTGTATCTTAGATAATGTAATAATCGTTTTGAAACCTCCTCAACAAGATTTAAATGATTTGATGATATTAAATTTGGTGATATTCCTCCATTTAAATCACCACGATTAATATGACCATTTCCATTATCTTCTTCTTCTTGTTGATTTTCTTCAGTTGGTTTTAATACAACCAATTCCATCATATCTTCAAGTGGAGTGATATAATCATCCAAACCTCTATTGTAGAGATAGATGAGTGCACTGTAAAGATGGTGTTTACGACAGAGTACGACGGTTTGATGGAAATCCAAACTGGCAATGTCGAGATGCAAGAGACATTGTTCGGCACGCAACAAGATTCCCTTTTCCTGATAATGATTCATCATGAATTGCATCACCTCTGGATTGAGATGGACGAGACGGTCGTGGAGAATGTATGGCTCGAGGAATTCAAGAATGGTGGCAACCATCCCACTCTCGACAAAGTAGTTGAAGATTTCACCAAATAAAAAGTCGGTTCTCTTGATGGTGACACAAAACTCTATACAAATCAATGCCAACTGTTGGTGCATTGTCATATTACTAATCTGTTCATTGTCAATTAGATTCTTTGGAATCAAATTACGTGATCTAAGAATAACAATTGATGGTGAGTCACTTCCACCACCAGATTTTCCACCAAGTGAATGTAGATTTGAATGACTATTGTTTAAACTTCCACCACCACCACCATTTGGTTGACTAAAGACTATATAACATAGTTGAGACAACATTTCAATGATCTTTTCTCCAGTGAGTAACTTGCAGTCGATTGTATTGCTAGACAGACCTGTGGTGGCCTTTGCCTTGCCTTCATAGAAATCCAATGCCAAGCAGAGAGCTTCAAACCACTGCTGATTCGACACTAATACAGACAGACGTTCCAACCAAGTCAGAACGTGTGCTGTAAAGAATCCATTCAACCCTAGCAAATAGATACGCGACTTGTTGGTACGAATACTATTGTGGAACGAGTAGACCGACTGGAATTTGGAGTGATGGATGATTTGCATAGACTTTACATTGACGCTCTCAACCTCTTCCAATGCAAATGGATCAAATACACGCAACTCGTCCTTGTTGTTGTGAAGCAGTATGGTCTGGCTGTCCATCCACTCGAGTCCGCACACCTCGCTGTTTCCCTGGTACTCTGCGACGACGATAAACTCGGGGTTGGCAAACTTGAGGTCGTTGGGATGTGTGACAATTTGGAGTAGCTGGATATTGGTACCCCATCCAATCGCCAAGATTGGTTCCAACGGCTTGGTGTGTCCGAGGTTACGTTGAAAGTTGACACGTCGCCAAGAGAGGTATGGCAACACACCTGTCGACTTTACATAGGTTGGTTTGGTAATCTTGTTGTTGAGAATGCAAACACCCTCGATCGATGCTGAAATGACAAGGATCTTTCTCTTGGTTGCCAATGCAAATATGTGTGACTTGTCAGTTGGATGGGGATAGTTGCCTGGCAAGAGGGGAGCAATCGACAAGACTGGCCCCAAATTGCCATTGAGCAATAGTTGTTGATCCGATCCCAACGACATGAACCCACGTGTAATCGTAATGATATAAGTGACACCGTGTGCATCCGACGAAATAAATCGTTGTCCATCGGAAAAGAATTTGAGGTGTAGGATTGGATGTTTGTGGATGGTTGCATCCATCACTTTGAGTGGTTTGCCCGTTGGGATATCCCACAATATAATCTGTCCATTTTGGTGTCCACTCACCATCCAATCCTCATTCACCTTGCAACTCGGTTGATCAATCGCTGTCACCGACCCACTATCCGCGCATATCGTACCTCCAATAATTGATACCAAATCTTGATTATAATTAAATATTAATAAAAATCCATGTGATGTACCAATACAAATATATTTTGATGTCTAAAAGATAAATAAGAAAGTAAGTAAGTATAAATTATTAATATTATTATTTAATATTTGTTTCTATTTTCATTTCTTACAGAAAAACAAGTAGGATAACCAGCTTCTTTTCTAATATCTGGTGATGATAATTGTTCGGATAGTTTTGTGTAAAATTGAGGTTCGACGACAATTCCATTCAATGATCTTCTAGCATTCTTTGATCCCCACAACATTGGTAATATATTGTCACTATTGATATCGATTGAATTCATCATATGTTTGGAAATGACTGATGATGTTGATGATGAGTTGTTATGATTATTGATACTACTATTAAATAGGTTTGAACCGTGATGATGAGGATTAATTTGTAATCCAGCGGCAGAAGAAAGTGAAACGGTTGAAGGTGATGTTCCATAGATTGGTGAAAACATTCCAATACCTCCCACTCCACCTACGGCAACGCCACCAGTACTACTACTACCATCAATGATCTTGCTAGAGTTTGCAACACTCATCATCTCTTCCAAATCCTCTTCATCTTCTATATCTTGATTATCATTTAACAATTGATTAATATCAATCTCTTGTTCATCATCTATATCTACATCATCATCATCATCTTCACTTAGAATCTTTTTTAACATTTCTTGATCAACTATATCAGTTGTTGATTTCTACAAAATACAAAAGAGTATTATTATTAGTTTAGTTTGATACTCCTTCAATAATAATACATACATTAAAGATACTATCATTGATTGAATTATTTAAAGAGTTGCTTGTACTATCTGATTGTTGTGAAGTTGCACTAGCTAGTACTTGAGAGAATGAGTTGTTGTTTGATTCACTGCTACCACCATCCTTTTCCTTTGCCATCATCTGAGCAGTGATAGTATGGTTGTATTGACTCTGACTAAATTGTTGTTGAGGATCATATACTCTTAGTGTTGGTGGTGCTGGTGCAGACAGCATCGTTACCAACTGTGGTAGTTCACTCATACTATTATTATTACTATTACTACCCGTTGTATTATTACGACTATTGTTATTATTATTATTACTGCTACTATTATTAACATTACCCGATCTCCATTCTCCTCTACCTTTTCCTCCTCCTCCTCCTTTACTATTACTATTATTAATATCTTCTACATTGTCATATTCATTATTACTACTATTATTATTATTACTATTACTATATTGTTTCTTTTGTATATTATTACTCATAACTATACTATAGTATGTATAAATACAAATAAACTACAACAAACTAAATTATATATTATATCTTCTCTCTTCTGCAAATGAACTTTGATGCACACAATGTTTTTACTGATTTTCAAAGGTTGGGTGTGAAATTCACGAACCTTTTAAATAAATATTGTTATTTATTTGTTTAATTCTCTATTCTTTTATTCTATCATGTTGACCTTCAACAGCAGCAGTTGTATATTTAATAATATTATTTAGATTTGTAATTTCTTCTTCTTCACCAAGCTAAAAAAATAAGTAATATTAATATTAATATTTGATTGATTGATTTGATTTGATTTGAAATTACATACTCTTTGACCATTCATACCTTCAGCATAAAGGTAAAATTTTTCTAAATCTGGATGTAACATGCCAGCAAATTCACGAACCTTTGTACCTTTTGGCACAAGCATACAATCCCTTAATATACTACCACCGGCCTTGTCACATGAAAGACTCTTTAGATTCTTTACTGGATAAACAGGTATATATTCTTTGAGTTCAACCGCTGCTTTAATAGTCTCTTGAACACCTGTAGACCCATATCTAAACAATACCAAATCTCTTAATTTCTCTAATCTTGAAAATAATTTCTCATCACATTTTTTTAATGTTGATAATGTTTCCTTTTAAAATAAATAATAATAATTAATAAATATAATTAATATTTTGATATTCTCTATATTTTATGTTTACATACATTTGTATCAAAATTATCATCACCTTCTTTATAATTTATATAATTTTGTGATTTCATTTTCCTTAGAAAGATTTCAGCGAGTGCACTTGTAGGTATCATCTTCATGTCTGGATACTTGCTACAAATCTTTGTGATGTTTTGGTCAGATGATGACATATCGACCTTGTTTAAAACTAGAATGATTGGGAATCTAACATCGAGGAATGCATCGACAAACCTGTGCACTGCATCCGCATCCCACGACGATAGATCGATAGGTTCATGTACTTGCATTGAATCCAATGTTGTCTTTACAACTACCAACTTTGTTCCATAACCACTTAATTTCTTATGTAATATTATTTCTGCCAATGATTCTACAAACAAACAAACAAATTGATAAACTATATTAAAATCACCTTTTACATTGATTGATTTCTTTTGGTTTCTATTGATTTGATATTATAAATACTTGTAGCTTTTTGTTTTCTTGTAATATTTCCCCATCTCTTCCAAAGATTATTATAAATCCAATTATGGATTTCATCTTTTAACCATTGAATATCGTTGATTGGGTCGTAACCTGTTGTTTCCTCTCCTTTTTCGTTGGTTGTACCGGATACGTCGACAACGTGTAATAGTACATCGGCATGTCTCAAATCATCGAGGAATTGATTACCCAATCCCTTGCCTTCAGAGGCACCAGGTACCAACCCAGCAACATCCAACATCTTTACTGGGAGATAACGTACTCCCTTGTCACATCGACCATATCTAGGTGCACATTGATCTATCTTGTCATACTTTGCACAAGGACATACCGATGGATAATATGTTACACCATAATTTGGTTCAATCGTTGTGAATGGATAATTACCTAACAATCAAAACGAGTAATCAATAATCAGTATCATATGATATGATCATCTATCAGTCTATCTATCTATCTGTCTATATATCCGATGACATACCAACTTTAGCATTTGAATCAGTTGCTGCATTCAAGAATGAACTTTTACCTGCACTAGGTTTACCTACACATCCTACAACCAATTGGTTCATCTCTTCTCTATCTCTCTTTCTTCTTCTTTATATTATATGTATAGTTGTTATATTTTATCTCTTTTACACAAAAATGAAATAACTTGTTCACTCGGGGTGTGATGATATGTTTGGTCATTAAACCAAATCGAGTAATAATGAGAAAAAAAAACGATAAATATCTGAATTGAGATAATCCATCACATGATACATATTATCTGTATCATTAATCATATGATTCGTTTTCACAACGAAGGTTAAACATTCTCGGATAGCCTACACAACTTTCGGTGCGGCACCAACTAAATTACCCCATAGTGTTGTTAATTGTGCCTTTTACAACTCAAAAGCTTGGTATATGTATATCATATGATGGCTCAATATTTATATTTATATTTTCTTTGGTTTTAAATTAAAAAGTATGATAACTGTTATTATCGTTAGGTGCTCCTACTTCATGAAATGTATCCAAAGGAGTGTTTTACATAGATAAAAACATTCTCGGGGTACGGAACGGATGGCCTACACAACTTTCGGTGCGGCATCAACTAAATTACCCCATAGTGTTGTTAATTGTGCCTTTTACAACTCAAAAGCTTGGTATATGTATAAAGGTTTTTCAAAACTGAGACGATGGGAACGAACATGTTTAAAAGTTAGCTTTATCTTTTTTCGGTCAGTGGACTCGGTTTTTATTTTCTGTCGACTCGTTTGCAAAGGTACCCTTACCTCAACACACGCTCAATGGTCACGTGATCGTATCTCAGGTGATACGTTTGGTTAGGTCAGTAGTTACAGATAATACTTCATATTTAATTTTGTTGTGGTTTAGAGTGGTGCGCACAAGACAATGCGTCCATAGTAACCTATGGTAGTCTTTATTCAAGAATGTCTTGGTTGTACTCAATTCAATATTGAAGGGGATCGTGGTCATGAGTAGGGTACACAACGGGACAGTCAAGCATACTCAAACAAAAGAGAAAGTATTTATTTATTTTCCTTCAAAGGGGAGATATTTATTTCAATCGATGACCAAGTAATTTTGTGGTTGGCCAATTCTAAAACCATAGGCAACCCTGATTTATGTCATAGTCGATACTGGATTTTCATCGAAAAGGGTATGCACCATATTATTGGGCATCTTACGAGTCATGAAAAAATATTAAAAAAAGTAGTTTGTAGGGGAATTGCTGGCGTCAACCAACTTTTTAAGATATTTTACAGAGCAGATCTTTTCGTCCGATGGAAAGAAAAAAAAAAGAAGGAATAAAATCAGATTCATGGCAAAATATTTCTTTATTGTACCAAAGCCACATCATTCTCGAATGAAGCGTAGCAGCTGCAATCGCAAGCCTAATTGAAATAAGCAATCTTCTCGTCATTCATATCATCATTCATTTTTTTCTAATTTATTTATAACTCTAAACTATATATATATACATATTTAACATACACATACCTTTCCTTTTAATACAAATACAACATGAGTCAATTTTCTGAATATTTACTACAAATTGGTTTGGAATCATACCAAACATTACTTGAAGAAAATGGTAAATATAAATATAGATTATCGATATAGATTGCTGTCTCGAGGATAGAATCCATAAATATCAAACAATGATAAATAAGAATATCTTCACAAAGTCTCTACAAAAGAGTAGAGAAGGATCAAAAAATTGCGACTGGTGGTGGTGCAGTGGCCTCGTCCTTGCGAGACTAAGAAAAAAAAAAAACTTAGACCCCATCCTTCACAGTATAATTACTAATCATCTGATACCATCACTTTCACTTGAATAAATAGGTTACGATGATCCAGATTTAATTTCAGAGTTGACAGAAGAAGAACTCGTTTCTATTGGTGTAAAGAGAGGTCATGCCAAAAGAGGTAAGTTGCAACGACTCTTCACACCCAAATGATCATCTTTTGATTCAACATCTAACAATTACCTCTCTCTTTATATTTTTAGCATTTTTAAAAGCACAAGATAGAAATAGTACAACTGTAACTACTAGTTCTTCATCATCATCTAGTTCAACTACATCAACATCATCAACAAATGCACCACCAGCTACACCAACCAATCCACCCCCATCCAAAAAGATAGTGATGGGTAAAAAGGGTGATGACGAAAGTGACGATGAAGACAAGTCAGATATCGCTCCATCATCCAGTTTTGGTGGTCCAAAGCTACAGTCAAAGGTCCTTTGCGAGGGCTTTTTACAAAAGAAAGGAGAGGAAGGCTTTTTTGGAAGCAAAGTATGGAGCAAGAGATATTTCAAGTTGTTTGAAGAGGGACGTATCGCATACTACAAGAACCAACAAGATGTTGCATATATCAATATCATCGAGTTGAGAGGTGCATTGTCGTGTGAGGAGTTTGCCGGCAAACAATATGCTTTCAAGATCTCGATGAAGACTAGTGCTCGTGTCTACTACCTCTTGGCACCAAACCCAGGTGACAAGTCGAGATGGATCTCAACATTGCAACGTGTGATTGTTCCACCCGCCGTGCCAAAGAGAATCGATCCAAATGCCATCCGTCCATACCTCCAACACACCCAAGAACCACCACAAGCTGCCAGCTCCCGTTTCGACTCACCCCTCTCATGGGACATTGTCGAGCGTCACCCACGAGGGCGACATCCGTCTCCATCTCCACAGCTCTGGCTCACTCTTTGTTGAAGAGACCCGTAAGCTCTCTGTCGACGGTTCCGTCCCCATCTGGATTCGCAACTTGCCACGCAAGATTGACGACCGCTCTGTTCACTTTTTGTCACTCTCTGACCCAAATGCCTTTGTCGCCGAGCAAACCTACCACTGCGACCCAATCACTCCCGAAAAGATGCTTGAAAAGTTGATTGGCTTGACCATCGAAGTGTCGGTTCCTCGTGACGACCACTTTTCACATCCAGTCACTTTCAAGGGTGAGCTCCAATACTTTGCCAAGCAAAAGTCGTATGCACTCGTAAACCAAGAAGACAATAGCGTCCACTTTTTGGGCAGTGCCGAACACGTCACCTTTAACCTTTTGGAAAACAAGATTGCCGATGGTGTGTTCCGCCCAAGCTCACTCGAGTGGATTGTCAAATCGCAAGAAAAGGATCACCTCTTTAAGCTCTCTTACAATGCTTCCGATCTCTTCAAGTGGTTTGCTTCCTACTCTATCATTCTCAACCCAAAGGAAACCGAGATGGAGTTGCGTGGTTTCTACACCATCAAGAACAAGTCTGGCAAGACCTTTGAGAATGCCAACCTCATCTTGATCCGCGAGCCAGAGGATCCAGCCACCAAAAAGGACGAGAAAAAGGATGAGGGTTCGTCGCTACCCATCCCCATGCCCAAGCTAGGTATGTTCAAGTTTGGCAAGTTGCCCATCCCAGGCTTGGGTGGAGGTTCCACCAAAGTCGACCACGGTCCAGACAAACGTTCCTTTAAATACACATACCCAGAACGCACCACCTTGCGTGACAACGAGACCAAGCAACTATGCTTTGTATCGGCCAAGATGCCAGTAAAGTCTGTCGACTACATTACCTACGCCACACCCAAATACACCAAATACGCATCGATTGACAAGAGCCACGGCTCTGACATTACCACCGGCCAAGTCGACTCGGCACTCATCTTTACCTGGGACAAGGGATTCCCATTGCCAGGCGGTCAAGTCAAGTTGCAACGTCAAAACAAGGATGGCTTTGGTTCGGATATTGTCAACACTTTCAACTTGTCGCACTACAACCCCAACGACATTATCCTCGTGCCACTCCAAAGTCTCGGCCGTGTCTCTGCGTCGAGAAAGCAAACTGGTTACAACCTCGACATTGACCAACTCTACTGTGTCGAGACATTCGAGTTGCGTGTCAACAATGGTCGTGAAGAAGAGGTTCGCGTCATTCTCGAAGAGTCACTCTACCGTTGGGAAAACTACGAAATCACCTACGACTCTATTCCACACTCTAGACATCCAACACATCCACGCAAGATCCAATGGCATCTTACCATCCCACCTTTGGACGGTGTCACTATCAACTACTCTGTCTTTTACAGTGGTCTTTGTATTCCTGAATCAATGATGCCAAAGAAAGAACCAACTGCTGCTACTCCTCCAAAGAAATAAATAAAAAAAAAAGTAATAATAATAATAAAAAATAATAAAATGTAATTTAAATCTGATCCTCTTTCAAGTACTTCCAAATATGAAATGTAATATTCATAATAAAGTAAAGAGAAGGTGGGTGTTGTCATTGGATTAATAAATCTAACAAATTTTAATAATTAAAAAATAAAAAAATTGATTGTAAGTTCTGATCTGATCAACCCGATTAAATAATTACTAAAAATGGAAATAAATTGAATGACAGATATATATTTATTCTATTAGTGGTTAGATTAAAAAAAAAGATTATTAGAGCAGGTGTGGGGAGATTTAATATTAATTATTATTTTTTTTGGTATTGTACCCCCAGCTTCACTCTTTCAGTTCATTTTTTTTTGATCAAGTATATTATTGATTGTTAACACACATACTTACTTGACAGAGATTATTATCAAGCAAGTCACACATATCTTGCAAGATATAAGCATAGATATGGGTTGGAAATAATCAAGTCAACAAAAAGGTGGATGATGATGATGGAAGAAGCACCCTTAATACCAATACCAATACCAATACCACCAACTAGTATACCTAGTTTGTTGAACTTGTTATTACTGTTGTTGTTCTCGTTTTCGGCTACTCGTCTAACCCATCAATAGATAGATTATAGGAGAGGAAAAGTGTCACACAACAGACAACAATCAAGCAAGACAACAAGAGGAAGAAAACGATGGAGCAAAGGTGATTAATTTAGACAACTTTTCGGATTGATAACACCTTATCCTTATTATTATTCTTTTTCTTCCTCTTCTTACTCTTACCTACTTTTGCTTTAAATTAGATTCATTTAATTACCTACTACTAGTAGTTTAGAGTTGGCTCATAAACACAAACACACAAAGAGACACTACTACAACTACTACATTTTTTAAATCTGACTTTTGACTATTCACATTTGGTAAGTAAGATGATATGTATATTAAACAAACAACAAAACACAACACAACACATTAGTTGTAATGTGGTGTACTACACCTCATCTAACATAACAATCTGTGTATGTTGTTGATGAATGATGATGATGATAGAGGATGATGAATCTATCAATCTATGTATCTTTTTATCTGTTGCGACAGAGCTAGAGAAGCAGGTGTTCACCTACTGGATACTGTTTTTCCAGTTTGTTGGTTGTTGGTTGATTTTTTTTTCATCTCTATTTGATGACCGGTCATGCGCATTACCAACACTACACAACTACCCCTTGTAGCCTACTACCACCACTACTATTATCTTTTGGATGACGTTCGAAAGGTTGTAATATCTGGCAAACACTTGATACTTTTTGTCATCCCACCCGCTTTTATCCACATAATCAAACAACTAGTTTTTGAAGAGAGAGATTTCAATAACATCACCATCATTAACATCACCATGTGTGGCAGTGTTTTAAATATATTTCCTACCTACATTCTCTAGTTGTTGTTGTTGTTGTTGTTGTTGTTGTTTGGTTGACAAGAAGCTGACGATCGTCTCTATCAAAACTAACCAATCAAACGGTAACCTTTTTTCAATTCAATTGATCGTGATATTATTATTCCTTTCTTTGCCTCTTTTTGTTTTTCATAAATAATATTAAATGATTAATATTATTCTTTGTTTACATTTTCAATTTTTACAGTCTTGTTTTTTTTAGATAGAAATAATAATAATAATAATAAGAATAATAATAACAAGTGCGAATTAATTAAATTGTATAAATATTTATTTCCAGAGAATATCTATTTTTTTTTTTTCCTATCCAATCAATCAATTAATTAATTAATTAATTAATTAATTAATTAATCAACTTATTCACATTAATAGATTAATATATTTTATTATTATTATAATATAAATAGTTTAAACATTTTTTAAAATTATTTTTAAAAATATGGATAGAGATAAATGGATTATAAGTGGATTGGAAAAGGGGATTATAGAGGATCCCTATTTTGATAGGGTTTTAGGTTGTATATATGGTTCAGTTTTAGGTGATGCATATGGTCTATGTAAGTAACCAACACAAATAATATTTATAAATATTGATTAGTTTGATTATTAATCATTTTTTTCTTTTTTTTATATTTTTATATTTTTAAGCTACAGAATGTTTAAATAAAGAACAAGTATTAAAAGCATATGGATCAAATGCTATACCATTTCCAGGGTTTTTAAAAACCTCACATAATTCTAGATGGCCAAAAGGAGATTGGACAGATGAATCGGATCAGATGATTATAGCACTCGACTCGTTGCTAGAGACGGGAGGCAAGTTTGACGAATGCAATTTTGCAAAGAGACTACATAAATGGGTGACTACTGGGTTTGCCGAACTGGGAGACACCTGTGGTTTGGGGTCGACGGCAAGCTCCATCATCTTACAGGGTCAATTCACAACCAATCCCTACTTTGTCTCTGAAAAGACGTGGATCCAAACAGGACGAAGACAGGCAAACAACGGAGCGATAACACGTTCCATCTCGGCCGGACTCTTTAACCATGAGAACCTGTCATTGGTCTCGTCCAACGCAGGCAATCTTGCCAAAACCACAAACTTTGACCAACGTTGTGTCACATCCAACATGGCAATCGCATGCGCCATCTCTATCCTCCTCAACAATGTAGAATGCAAAAAAATATCAATCAGTGGTACCAGTATTGGCGGTGGGCCATCCAGCGTGCACTCGGGATCTAGCAAGAGCTGCTCGTCTGAAGAGGTGGAACATCTCATAGAAGAGGTCGTTGGCAAGTGTGCCACCACAATGACAACCATTACAGAGCGTGTCGAGTTTGAAGAGATTCTATACAATACCTCGTTGGAGTCACTCAGTCTCTCTAGTCCCGACTCTGTCACCTATGTCTTTAAAGCTTTGGGTGCCGGCTTTTGGGGGCTTCGCTCACACTATAGTTTTAAAGACACCCTCAACTATGTCATTCGTGAAGGTGGCGACTCTGACTGCAATGCCAGTCTGTGTGGTGCACTCCTTGGATGTCGTCTAGGATACAGCCAACTCCCAAAAGATTGGTTACAAGTTCTACCCTTTAAAGAATGGTTGGATTTCAAAGTTGTAAAATTAGTTGACTTTTTAAAAAGGAATAGAAAAAATTAAAGTTAAAGTTATAATAATAATAATTTGATACTAATAATAATAATGAATAAATAATAATAATAATAATAATATTTACTATAATAATAAATAAATAAATAATTTATTAAAAAAAAATACAAGTATGTTCATTCTTCATTCACGGTCACTTCCAGAATAAAGATAGAAAGAATGAAGTTTAAATTAATATTTGTAGGATCGTTATCTCAAAAAGTTGGTATTCATTCTTTTATTAAAAGATATATTGATGGTGTATATCATCAAGATGGTGGTAGTGATGATGGATTAAAGAAAGTTATAGGATCAGTAGATTTGATAACAAAAGAAATGGTCGACCAAGACAGTAGTAGCGCCGATCAACTTTTAATATTCATGCCATTTCGTAGTAGTGAAGCTAGATTTATTATCTTTCCCAGTGCCTATCTTAAAGCTGTCGATGGTATATTTCTTTTCTTTGATGTTACCAACAAAGCTAGTTTTAAGAAATGTAAAGAATTGTATGGTGATATGAAAAAGGAGTATGGTGTCATCACTCAAGATAATAATGAAAAGGGACCTATTATAGTGGCATTGATTGGTTGTAAATGTGATATAGAACAAGACAAAAGACAAGTATCAATCGATGAAGCCATACAATGGACCAAAGATAACAAACTCGCATTCTATCAAGAAACAAGTGCAAAAGATAATATTGGTATTGATAATGCTTTTAATACAATCTATTACTCAATGTTGATGAATATAAACTAAATAAACTACTATGTAAATACTATTGTAAAACATTCCAAAGACCGACCGTTATGATTATCTATCTCTTTTCGTCGTTCCTCCTTGCCCTTTAAAAATAATTATATTGAAAAAAATTGAAAAATAGAAAAAAACGAACGAATACCTCATTAATTCTTTCGTTAATTTATTGTTTGATTAGTTGTGAGAGAGATAATAGTAATAATAATCTAGAATGGGTCAAAAGAAAAAGAAATTAGCAAAGGGACGTTTGGACAAGTTCTACTACTTGGCCAAGGAGCAAGGTTTTAGATCTCGTGCCGCTTTCAAGTTGATTCAATTGAACAAGAAATATAACTTTTTGGGCTCTGCTAAAGCTTGTTTAGATCTTTGTGCTGCCCCAGGTGGTTGGTATGTACAAACACAACATCTATATCAATATAGATATATACTAACAATCAATGAATCTATCTATCATACAATCAATTAAATTAAATAATTAATAGGATGCAAGTAGCTTCAAAATATATGCCAGCTCAATCTGTTATTGTTGGTGTCGATCTCGATCCAATTCGTCCAATTCGTAATTGTATTGGTTTACAAGAAGATATTACAACTGCCAAATGTCGTGCAGAAATCAAGAAAGCTCTTAAAACTTGGAAGGTTGATATGTATGTTGAGAAAGAGATATATAGTATAATTATAGTTATTAGTATTAGTATTTGTTGGTCATAATATACTTATCATTTCAAAATTTTTTTTCTATTAAAGATGTTTACATGATGGTGCACCAAATATGGGTACTTCATGGATTCAAGATGCTTTCCAACAGGCAGAACTTACATTACATGCACTTAAATTGGCAACAGAATTTTTGACAGCAGGTGGTTGGTTTGTCACCAAGGTTTTCCGTGGTCCCGATTACAATTCATTGATGTGGGTATTCCATCAACTCTTTAAAAAGGTAGATTCCACCAAGCCACAGGCCTCTCGTAACGCCTCTGCCGAAATTTTCGTCGTTTGTCAAGGTTTCTTGGCACCAAAGAAGCTCGATCCAAAGCTTCTCGATCCAAAGCACGTCTTTAAAGAAGCCGAGACCAAGGTCGAAGCTAGAGACGTTCTCAAGGAAATCAAGATTGGCAAGAAGATTCGTCACCGTGACGGTTACGAAGACGATGCCTCTGATTTGCGTAGCATCGGTCGTGTCAAGGACCTCATCGAAGCCAACGACCATCTCCAAATGTTGGGCAAGTACTGGTCGTTGCAATGGGATGTCGAGTCCAAGATCTACGAGGACCATCCCCTCACCACCAAGGAAATCAAAGAGTGTCTTGCCGATCTCAAGGTGCTCGGTAAGACCGACTTTAAGAAACTCATCAAATGGAAGCAAGAGATGTACAAGTACAAGGAAGATTTAGACGGCATCAAGGAAGAGGCCAAGGAAAAGCAAGAGGAAGAGGCCAAGGAGGAAAAGGGCGAGCTCGACCCACACCGTCCATACACACCCGAAGAGTTGGAAGACAACCTCGACAGACTCTTGCAAGAGAACATGGACAAGTTGGCAAAGAGAAAAAAGAAAGAAAAGAAAAAGGAGAGTGCAAAGCACAAGGAAGACCAAAGAAGAGTGCATTTGGGTATGACCATCCAGGGTGACTCGTTGGAGCAATCGGAAGAGGCCCATCTCTTTGGCTTGGGTCAAGTCGACAAGGATGCACAAGAAGATTTTGGAGATACTGTCCACGCCGACATTGATGTTGGAGGTGACGAAGATTTCGATATGGGCTCTGGCTCGGAAGACGAGGACAGCGGCGACGAGTTGGACGACATGGAAATGATGGAACAACAGTTGGATCTCGCCTATGAAGAGTATTTGCGTAACGCCAAGGGCAAGAGAATCATGGCCTTTGATGTCACCAAGGTCACCAAGGACAAGTTTATTCAAGACGACGACAATGAAGATCAGGACCAACAAGATGACATTATCGGTGACTCTATCGAAGACCAAGACACGTTGACCGAAAAGACAAAGAAATCAAAATCTACCGATTTGTTGTTGGGCAAGAGAAAGCCATCCGACAGCTCGTTTTTCAAGAACCCATTGTTTGCAGGTGTCGACGGTGACGACGATGCTGCCATAGACCCAGATTTGGACATCAAGAAGCCAATCAAAAAGGTCGGCCAAGTGCAAAAGGAGGAGGAGGAAAAGGAGGAAAAGAAGTTGGCAGCAAAGAAGCAAAAGAGAGAAAAGGACCCAGACGCCGACATTCCACTCACCAAAAAACAACAACGTAGACTCCAACAAAAGGCAAACAGAGAAAAGAAAGTAGCATACAAGCTCAGAAACAAGGAAGTTTCAGACGACGAAGAGGAAAGCTCGAGCAAGAAAAAGAACAAACAAGGTTTTGAGGAAGTACCAGCCGAGCCAGAGTATGGAGACGATAGATTCGACGAAGATGCCATCACCTACTTGCCAATGGAAAAGGATGTCGAATACGAGAGTGACTCTGAAGAAGAGGAAGACGAAAAGATCAAGACCTTGGCTATCGGAACTGCCATGCTCAGAAAGAAGGCCAAGCAAGACATTGTCGACGACGCCTACAACCGTTACGCCCACAACGATCGTGATGAACTCCCAGCTTGGTTCATGGACGACGACAAGAAACATTCCCAACCAAATATCCCAATCACCAAAGAAATGGTCGAAGAAATCAAGAGAGAGATCCGTCTCATCAACTCTCGTCCAATCAAAAAGGTTGCCGAAGCCAAGGCCAGAAAGAAACGTCTCCAGATGGCTAAAATGGAAAAGGCCAAGGATAAGGCTACTTCTGTTATTGATAACAGTGATATGACTGGCAGAGAAAAGACCCGTGCCCTCGAAAAGATCTACAAGAATGCCGATGCCACCAAGCGTGCTCAAAAGATTACCCTCATTTCTCGTAGTTTCAAGACTGGTGGTGGTACCAACAAGGCTTACAAGGTCGTAGATAGAAGATTAAAGAAGGATATGAGATCTCAAAAAGCAAAAGAAAAGAGAAAACCAAAGAAACATTAAATATAGAAAATAATAATAATAATAATATTCTTCTTTTTTTTTTAAATATATATAATAAATACTCACCAAAAATTTTAACCAAAAAAAACTATAGTATAAAGAACTTTAACTTTATTTATATATATATATATTATTTATTTATTTTGTTTATTCTTTTTTATCAATAAATTTCATTATTTTTCTATAAAGTTTTGCAATTGGTCTATCTGAAACAAAGTCATCACCAGTAAATGTATCTTTTAATCTTCTGATTAAAATATTGATGATTGAACCAAAAAATAGTGCAAATACAGTACCAGTTAGCGTAATTACATTGTACAACATACTGAAATCTGGTGTTGGTAATGTAATTAATAATCCTTCTGTATAGATATGAACTGGTATACTATTTGAATCGTCGTCGTTGTCACTGATTTGTTTCTTTTCTTTTTCTTGTTGTAGAATCTTTGTTGGCGATTCAATATCCATTAAACTGGTTGATGTTTGGGTGAAATATTTAGGATCGATAAACGTCGTAACGACACCTGATCCCAAATCGAATCCTCTGTTGGCATCGGGTGGATGTGCAGTATAATGTAAAAATACCTTGTCAAAATCAATAGACATTGAAGCTACTGTATCTGCTCCCAATTCCAATGAAAATTCAATAGTTGATGGTGATGATTTAAATTCTGATGGATTAAATTTAATAAATTTAAAATCTAAAAAAATAATAAATTAAAACAAAATGGTTAATATTGATTAATAATAATAATAATTATTATATTTTAACATACCTTGATTTGAAATTAAATTATTATTAATTGAACATTTAAAAGTATGGAAATAGATACGAAGATACCAAGGAATAGCTTGATAATATGTAATATTGATTGGATGATTAAAATTATTATAGATTTGAATGGCAATGCCACCACGTTCTTGACCATAACCAGTAAGATGAGAATGAGCAATGACTGGAGATACAGAATCCTTTTTAAAAGATCTGTTCCATTTCATTAGTAGCTTTAATGGGTTGCTGGTACTCCAAGATGTCAAGTCGTAAACAAGATAGTTCAAAGTGTCTTGCGTTGCCTTTGGCTCTATTGCCAATTGATTATCACTCTTTTTTATATAAACTTTACTAGATGATGCCAATGGACATGATGATAATCCATTTTCAACTCCAAATAATGATCCAAAATTAATATCTATCAATTTTTTATTTGGTTCTACAAAATAAAAAGATGATAAAGTTAATAATAATTATAATTATTTATATATCTATTATATTTACCTTTAGGAGGAATATCATGAACAATTGATAAAGTTTGAATACTTTGTAAGATTGGACTTTGAACTTGATTATTATTTTGATTGTTTTGAACCTTTCTGATGGTGATTGACATTGAATGATAATGTACGTCATAGAGACGATGTGGGTTTAATAGTTTGGCAAGACCACTTTGCGAACGACATGGTAGCAGTTTGAGCCAAGGTGTAAGATTTTCAGTGCATACACTCTCACGTGGCAACAAACCATAACGAACTTGAAGTGGTGTGGTTGTATTCTTGCGCATATTGTAAATGGCAGGAGTACTATTCTCCTCTCCATAGTAGACATTTGATTCACCTTCAGGTCTAAATGATCGTAACGGTGAAGATGTATGTTCAGGTACTTTATATAGTGATTGCATATTAGCACAAAACAATCCTGCCAATGAATGTGTAAGTTCTTTCCATTGTGCATCAACTCTAGAGAGACCAAAATTGATACATTAGTTACAATATCTCTCTCTTTACTCTTCCTTTCTTTTACATACCCTTTATCTAATGGTTTAAACCATGCTACCAATTCAACACCAACAGGTGCCGATCTAATTGGATATCCCCATTCTTCATAACTCCAACGTCCTTGTGTAAACTTTAATGTCATCTCTTCCAAACCTACTCTTGTTATTAAATCACCCATCGATCTTGGGAATAAATCATAATGTTGAACTAAACAGAAAGAGAGACAAGTTAATAAAAGTTAACAAAAGTCAATGATTCTTCTCTCTCTCTCTCTACTCTCTTTAAACATACAAGTAGTACGATTATTAAAGTTTGAACTCCATTCTGTTGTAAATTGGGCATGTGTATATATCTTTCCGTTGACCAATGGTCTAATAAATAGATCCTCTTTTAATGATTGATTTTCCTTTATGTTTACAATAGTATTTCTACTACTACCACCACTACCACTGCTCTCTACTATACTACATATAATAGCTATTATACATATTGTTAATGATATTTGTTTATATCTTTTCATGATTCTCTTGAGATAGTATACTAAATATTAAATGATTAAAAAATGTAAGTTTTTAGAAGTTCACATCGACAGAAACCCAAATTGCTTGTTTTGTAAAAGTTTGGAAAAATAATTAATAATATAATTTTATTAAATTTGTTGTTTCATATATGTTAACGTGAATATTGTTGTTGAGGTTGTTGTTGTTGATGTTGATTACTACTACTATTATTGTTGTTGTTGTTGTTGTTTGTAAGAGATAGCTTTGAAAGTTCTATTATTTCTTGATCAACTTTGAGTGGAGCTTCAGTACAGTAATTGTTATCAAAAAGTTTGAGAGGTGGTCCAATCTTACATAGACGAACAAAATCTCCAACCTCACTATCAATGGTTTTGGTATTGGATGCTATCGATGATACAAATGCTGGTTCTTCGTCATTGAATCCACCACCACCACCCCCAGATCCAGATGCTGATGATAGGTTATTATTATTGTTGTTGGGATTGTTGGTAAAGGTATGAGCTTTACGAGCATCGGAAACTAATAAAGGTCCATGAATTTGACTTAGTTTACTATTGATGGTTCCTATTCTACTATTATTATTATTATACTTTGAATTGTTTGCAAATGATCCTCCTACTCCTTCATATTGAAGTGTTTGGGGACTGTTATCAAATCCAACCTGTTGATAAAATGGTGGTGTCTTGTTGGATTGAGCTAGCTGATGTGTATTTGTATTGGTTGGTGATTGATATAGTCCTTGTGGTGCAAAAACTGGTGCAGATGTACTTCTATTTCTATGTGTATTCGTTTGGTATGGTTGAGGTTGTTGTTGTTGTTGTTGTTGTAATTGTCCCATTGGTGATCCTGATTGATAGTTATTATTATTATTATTTGGTGATAATTGTTGAGGTGGAGTAAAATTAATTTGTTTAATTGGGATGGTGGATGATGGAGGTTGAAGTGGAGGTTGTTGAGGGTATCTATTGTTTTGATTGAAATGTTGTTGTTGTTGTTGTTGTAATGGTAGAGAAGAAGAAAATGGTGGAGATGTTCCAGTTTTAATATTTGTATTATTATTATTATTATTATTATTATTATTGTTAAAATTCATATTATTATTATTATTAGTGGAAAATGGTGGAGATGTAGAATAAGTTTGTGATTGATGAGGAGATGATACTAGTTGATTTATGGTTGTACTTGGAGATTGTTGTTTTTTTACAAAATATACATTGTTTGGATTATTTGGATTATTGGGATTATTCATATTGTTTATATTTGATGGGATATTGTTCATATAATACTCTTGATTTGAGTCATTTGAACCTGCAGAGTTTGGTGTTCGACTATACATATCCATCATACCACCCAATGAACGTCCTTGACTTCCATAGGACTGTTGTTGTGGATAGAGAGGTGCAGCTGAAATGGGATTGTTGGTAGGTTTTCCAATTGGCAAAGATTGTGATTGTGTATACTCTATTCCATTTGCACTTCCAACTACTACCATTCCACCTTGTTGCTGTTGTTGCTGTTGTTGTTGTTGTCCACCACCATAATAATCATTTGTATTATTCTTGTAATCTTTAATGATAAATTGAGAATCTAGTGCCAATTGTGAACTAATCGATATTTCTCTTGAAAGATTGTCCTTGTATGAGGTGTCAACCTTGAAAATACCCAGAGGTGTCGTTATCGTTGAAAATGAAAATGATTTGGTTGGTGTCGCTGTTAAAACGTGTATAATCAAGATTAGTCAAATGCGATAGAGTCTGGTTGGTTGGTTGGTCAATCAATATACATACATAATGGAAAAGAAGGAGAGTTGATAGTTGAAGGATCACAAGTTCTAATTTGATATTTAATCTTTGAAGGTGACGATCTATTCTTTAAAAAGTTTCTATATACACGATAACATGGAAGATTCCTCAACAATGAATATAATGTTCGAACAAATAAAATTGCATTCTTGTATAGTTTTGGTAATTCATAACTTGTATCTGGTTCCTTACTAAGATTATATATATATAACACATTAATAAATTGGTGATTGATTGTTTGTTTGTTTGTTTCAGTCTTTACACATACAATGGTTCAAATATAAATCTCCAAGATTCTACTATTGTATTGAATCCCAACAATTCATTATTCTCATCAAAGTGTATATCCAATAAAAAGAGTGTCTTGATACCACTTCTCGCAAATACTACGCTATCCAACATCTTTTGTATTGATTCTGATTCCTCTGTTTCAATGTGGAACTATATATTAAATGATAATAATAATAATAATTAAAGGTAATATAAGTATAGGTAGTAGTTATTGATACAAGTATATATATATACATACATTCTTGTTTATCTTTTTTTGGGTTACTACATCTACTCTTGAGAGGAGAATGCAAAGTACAGCCTTTGAAATACATTTTCTTATTAGGTCGTCGGACTTGTCTAATTTATCCCTAAGACTTAATGTCTGACTCTCCATTATAATCTTCTTTGATTTATATATTGTGCAATATATCTCTATCTATCCTATCTATCTCTTTCTATATTCTTGTGTGTCTAGTGAATGTAATGTATGTAATATAATTGTCGCGTGTGAGCGACCAAGAGGTACAATAATACTACACTGACTCATTTTTTGAGAAATATTTTATTCCCATAATCGTGTGAACAAATAATTAATTAAATTAATTCTTATATTATATTCTTTTTATTTTATTTATTACTAAATCTAGACTAAAACTAAACTATTCATTGATAGGTTAGATTTATAATAATAATCACAACATATGTTTGAATTAAAATTAATTTGGTTTCTTGAAAGATCTTTGTGTTTATTTATTTTGGTTGTTTATCAAGTTTGTATGTTTGTTCATTGCATGCATACAGAGTCAGTAATATTTAATTAAATACAAAAAGAAGAAGAATAAGATGTCTACTACAGCTACTACTAAAACAGTTAATAGAGGATCAGCAAATAGAGAACAAGATTTAAAGAAATCATTAAAGATAAAGATTGATATATTGAAAAGGTAGGTTTGTTATTGTCATTGTCATTGCCACAACCATCATCACCTTGATTCTTACTTACTTTCCTAACTATATCATCACCGTCAATTGAAAGATTACATAAAGATTATGAATATTATCAAAAGGAACAAAAGAGTCAAATAGAATTGATTGAGAGATTCAAGAATGATGCTGCAAAGGATGAATACGATGTAAAGAAACAAGAAGAGATTTTAGAGGAAAACAAAACAATGATTGTCGACACGATCAAACGTATCACTGCTGCCATTACAACATGCACTGAATTCATGGTTGAACACGAAGAAAAATCAGATGAATTGGAACAATGGAATGAAGCTTTGGAATTGGTAGACAAATATAGTGATGAATTTATTAAAGAATAAAACCAGTCAACCAACTAACTAAGAAGTTTGTAAATATAAAGATCCAACAACAACAAATGAAAATAAGCAATATCCAATCCTCTTCTTCTTCTACTTCTTCTATTCTTCTTCTTCTAGAAATCAAAAGTTTTATTTGTTCTCCATGGATAATTTGATTCATCTTGAATGATTAACATTGCAAATAATACCAATTCATGACCAAATGGTTTGAATGCGTTTAGATACTCTTTATCAATGGATGCTTGATCACTTGGTACGTGTCTTGCATCGTAGCCAATGATTTGTAGATTGGTTCCGGTTCGGTGTAGTTGCACCAATTGTTTGAACTGGTCTTGTTGTTTGACCAATCTCTCATAATAGTTACAATAGAATTGACGGCACTGCACAATTCCAAGACGATGTTCTTTACCATCCTTATCGTAATAGACAAAGAACTTGGGTTTGAGAGGCTTGCCCTTGTCATCTTTATACTTGTGTCTGTGTGGATCAGCGTCTGTAAACATCTTGTCACGTGACTTTTTGTATTTCTTTCCAACACTTCCATCAGACTCGAGATCTAAATCAAAGCATTTGCTGCCTTGGTGAAAGTTCTCAATGTTTTTAGCCTCTGGTGTGTTGGGTTGATTGTGTTGGACAGGACCCAGGTACTTGGGTGACAGTGTGTTCATACCAAGTCCATCCTTTCTTCCAGCATGCTTAAAATTGGGAAACACCTTGAGATAGCCGTCCATCTGCTCGGGCGACTTCATCATGAGTAGCGGAGACAGTCTGACATTGCCAAACATGCCATTGGCAGCATTGAGCAGTCGAACATTCTCAACCTTTATCTTTTCAAGTTCAAACAACTGCAGTTGTCTTTGATCCTTGTCCTTTTGCGATAGTTTCGGAAGTGGCTTTGCTGACGTACCATGCGTCTTTGAATGCACACCACACAGGTACGATTTATTGGTCGATATGTAAAAGTATGCCTTATTATTACATTGTTTGGTTGTTGATTGACATTTTAATTCACCATGATAAACAATAGGTGAAGCAGTAGTAGTAGTAGTAGTAGAGGTAGTTGTTTCTTCCTCTTCCTCTTCTTCTTCTTCTACTATTTTATTTTTTTGTTTCTTTTTTATTGCTTTATTATCTTTTGTTGTTTGTTGATTGAATCTTTTGGTTGACATTTAAATTTAATTAGTTTGAGAGAGGATGAGACCGATGATCAGCTGAGATGAATGATTTCAGCCGACTACTTTTATTAGTATATCGACTAATAAAAATTTCCAAGAAATCAATGATCGTAACCATTATATTTTTATTTTATTTTATTTATTTTTTACTTTGGATAGTATGGCCATATCCTACTCCTTTCTTTCAAGATGGTATCCATGTGATGAAAAATAATCTAATTCAAATGAACATCAATTAATTAATTAATTAGTTAGTTGTCAATATCTGAGGTGGGATGATGTCAACTCCTACCACAGCAGAGACCTACCATCAATCTTTTGGTAATTTGACCTCGGTGATCCTACCTTTTTGTGCTGTAGACGATAAAGATAAAAGGATAATCAAAGATCAAGGAGAGTCTCATATGCAAACTTAAAATTAGTTAAGAATAAATTAATTCAACTTGAACTCGAGTTTGAACATCATCATTTTTTGCTGTCACTTTCATATGACAGACACATTGCAATAACACATTTATACAGAGATAGAAATAACAACAAAAAGAAGACCATGGTTAGCAAAGCGCAAATAGGATTGTTAGCAACGGTTATTGGTGTTGGTGGATTTATTTTCTACATTCATACCGATCAACAAGATGCAAGACTTGTAAATATCATCCATTATCAACATTGTTTGTTGTTGTTATTGTTTATTCATTAATTATTAATACTAATATCACTGTTATCATCATTGTTTACTTACCTTGTTAGAAAATGAGACAAGCAGTTATTAAAGATATTGAAAGAGAAAAGTGGAAAGAGGTTAATAGAAATCAACAAAAGAATTAATACCTTCTTTTCATAACATTAGCATATCAAATTCAAAAAGTATACTTTGACAACAAACAAACAAACCTTGTAAATACAATAAATCAACAAACGCAACAAATTGAAACAACTACATTATCATCGTCGTCAACAATGATCATTGAATGTATTTACAAAGAATGGTTTTATTTATTTATTCTGTACAAGAATTGATGGTTGGTTTTATAAAAGTGGTATCTTTATCATCATCATCATGGTCATTATATGATGGTTAAATCTTAAATCCTTGTTGCTCTTGGAATTTAGTTTTAAGCATTGAAACCAATCTATCCTTATCCATTGGAGTTTTAACCGATGGCCAATTGAACATATTTTGTTGTTGTTGTGTTTGTTGTGGATGTACATGTGGATACAAGTATGGTGTAGTTTGTTGTGGTTGTTGTTGTTGTTGATATCCATATGATGGTTGTTGATATGGATTGTATGGTGGTGATTGTTGTTGTGGTTGTTGTGGATATCCATATGATTGGTGTTGTGGTTGTTGTAGTTGTCTTGGTGATGATTGGTCATCATCATCTTCGTCATCACTGTCAATTTCAAACATGTTGGATGGATCATCACGTGTTGGTCTTGTTTCACGTAACAAATCTGTCGATGAATTGGATCCATACAAAGATATTGGCACTGCAGGTGATTGTTGAGTAGTAGTGACAATAGGAGGATACAAAGCTGGTCCATTTCGATAATTATTATTATTATTGTTATTATTATTATTATTAATATTGCCATTTGAAATATGTGCTGGAAGACTTGGAAGTGGTCTTTGTGGGATTTGTAATGGAGGAACTTGATGATGATTAAACTGAGTGTAAGGTGGTGAAACTGGCGCAATGATTGGAGAAACAACTGGTTGTTGAACTTGTTGTTGTTGTTGTTGTTGTTGAACGAGCGGAGGTGATTGGTAAACAACTGGTGGGTATTGTTGTTGTGGTTGTTGTTGAACTGGTTGTTGTTGTGGATAAATATATTGACTATTATAATATTGGGGAGGATAGTATTGTTGTTGATAGGCAACGGGTGGTTGGTGGTATCCTCCCATGTAATTGTATGTTGGTGGACGGGCCGGTACAGGAGGGGCTGGATGGATATAATAATTGGGTACTGGGGCTGGGTAGGTTGGTGGTACTTGATGTGCCAATGGGTATTGAGTAGGATACTCAATTCTTGGATAGAGTGACTGACTAGATGTTGTTGGTGACACACGAGTAGTTGGGGCAGCTGTAGTAGTGGTAATAGGTGGAGAAGGTGTAGGTGGAAGAGGAAGAGCTGCATTTGTTGGAACAGGTGGTAGAGGTTTAGGTTGTTGTTGTTGAGTCATTTGTATATTACTTTGATCCATATACATTTCATCATTGTCATCATCTGAACTATCATCTTCATCATCGTTTTCTTCTGTTTCAATTGACTCTTTGAATGATCGATAGACAATTGGTCCACTGCTATTTGAATCCATACTATTTGCCAATCTATCTTCACTGATCGATGTGCCAGATGAAGATAGGGAAGATGTAAGAGGTGGAGAAAAGATGGGTTGAGGTAGGGCTGGTGGAGGGAGAGGATCGGTTGACAATGACATTCTCTTGGTCGATCCAGACAAGGCAGACATGGAAGTAGATGACGATTTGGAATTGCAGCTACTACCAGATACTACTGGACTCTTTCGATGAACTGGAGGAGAAGAAGATGGAGATGGTGGGTTTGCAACTGACGATCGTTTGGGTTGTTCTTTTGATTTGCCATCCTTGAAAAATCCCCAACCACTACCACCACCAGATCCAGTACTACTATTACTATTATTACTATTCTTTGAGTCAGATAGTTCGAGTGACTTTTCAGAACCTCTGCTTGTCTTTTCCATATAGGCAGCGGTTGCTTTGTTTTTAAGCTTTTTACCCATTTCTTGAACCTTCTTTCTACCTTCTTCGACGGCGACAAATGGATTGACAAATGGACTGCTGCTAGGACTGACCATACGTTGTCGTTCAAATTCTTCCTGTCCGACAAAGTCTTGGATCATTTGCATGTAGGTGGGGTCGTTCCAGTTCTCCTTGGCAATACCGGCTTCATTGAGGATGGCCTGCCACTCGCTTGGAACGTCTTCATTGCGTGTGTTGACGTTGCTTGAAAGCATCTCCATGTGTCCGGTGCTGAGATGCTGCGACACTTGGATCTCGGGCCCGACACTTGGTTTGAGGATGGACGGTGCGTTGAACCAGTCCTTGATACGACTCAGGCCACTCTTGTTGAGCGTCTCGACACGCTTGCGAATCTTTGGCAACAAATCAGTGGTGATATTGTTCATCTCAAAGATCATTTGTGCCTGTCCGAGGAACTCCAACTCTTTGTTCTTTTCCTTTCTCTTTTTATATAATTTCGAATAGTTGTATCTGAGAAAAGCCTTTAGATAGTGATCTGGGAATCGATCACTAATATCTATACAACGATCAAATATCTTTTGTGCTTCTGAGTGTTTGCTACGACCCCATGAAATGTACATCTGAGCCATATGGTCAAGTGTCAATGCAACATATCTCGACACCTCTCCAAACTGTTTGGTTCTAATCTCCAAACAATCCTTGAAATATTTCTCGGCCATTGAATAATTCTTTTTCTTGGCATAGACCAACCCGATATTATCCAGAGTGACTGCAACATCACTATGGTTTCTACCATACTGCTTCACAAAGATATCTTCCACCTTTAAGAAAATATCCAAACTCTTTTCCAATTCATTGTTTGATAGTAGTAAATGACCCAAATTATTCAATGTCTTGGCTACGCTGAGTGAGTTTCCACTCTTTGATGCTTTAATCTTTAATGCCTTGTTATAATATGATAATGACTTTTCATATAACCCTTGTGATTGTAATGTCCATGCTAAATTATCATATGTATCTGCTACTTCAATTGAATTATCTTTAAATATTTTAATCTTTACAATTAATACTCTAAGAAAAATTAAAATTAATAAATAAAATTAAATTAATAACTAATTTCCTTTTCCTTTCTTTTCTATTTGTTTCTTCTTACGATTCTAATAATTTTGAAGCATCTAAATAATTTTTTTGTTTAATTAAACAAAGAGCCAATTTTTCCTTAAAATTTGCAGTACCAATATCATCTTGACCAAAACGAGCTTGATAAATGGTAATGGCTTCGTTGTAGTGACGTTGAGCACCTTGTAAGTTTGAATAGGTTTCATAGAGCTCTGCCAAATGAATGTGAGTCAATGCAACCTGAGTATGATCCTTGCCAAGTTTGTTTGATTTATACTCTAGTTCGGTTTTATAGTAGGTCTCTGCTTCACTGTAATTAACAAATGTCTTGAAACTTGAAGACACTCGCATATGCTTGACAGTGATATCAATCTGTTTAATATCTTTGATTGTAAGAGTAACTGGATTCTGATCCTCTTTTAATTGTTTCATTGTATTTTCGTCAAATACCAAACCGGTCAATTCTGCAAACTTTTTGATAAACTTGTATTTGATGCTATTCTTGGCCGGTGTATAATAGGCAGCTGTAAAGGGAGGTGAAAGGGTAATGACAGGTTGAGTCATCGTATTGAGAATGGTCGACAGACCCTTGGTACTGGTAAACAACTCGCCTACCTGTTTCTCGACCTTTGGTACGGTGGTACAGGTATACGAGTATTTGCCAATGAGCGATTTGGTGAGGAATATGCTCCAGTATTTAGAATTGGTGTCACCGGTGCCCATGGTGAGCAGTTTGTTGAGATGGTTGATGGCGACGGTTAGATGAGGCTCGTCGTCTGGCGCATTGATTTGACGCATCTCTGTAAACACGACAAACCGCATCACACGTGCCAACATTTCAATGCACAGCAATCCTTGCAAATAGCGTTTGCGAGGCTCGTCAATCTTTTCAAGTGTACATGTAATATGGTAGAGGATAACACCGAGGTATCGCAGATTGATACCCTCTTTGTGCAACGTCTCCTTAAGTGTCTTGCCCGTGACTTCGGCGGCTACGAACCGCTCGACAAACGCCGGGATGTACTCTAGGATGAGATGGTTGTTGGCTTTGGTCGCTTCTTCGTTGTATGGGTCCTGGTTGACAACGTTAAAGTTGGCAAATGCGTCCGAGCATAGTTGGGTCTCGTACTTTTTAACAAACTCGGGTCGGAACAATCGATACAAGTGGCATCCCGTGATACCCGGGATCGGTGTCTCGGGTGGGAACAGACGCGCAGTGTCAACCACATAGTATCGTCCATCGAACCCAAAATGTCCCTCTATATCAATCGCCAGCGGGATATTGTACTGCAAACCAGTACGACGAATGGCAAATCGATTCTCTTCGACCAAATGCTCTTTGAGGTTGAGTATCTCACCAACCTTGACCATCATCTTGAGGACCGTATCGTTCTTGTGGATAGTCTCTCCAGCGTTGGAACTGCCAAATACCAGTGTCTTGGATGAGATGGGCAACTCGCTAATAACAATCAGACGGAACCCTCGATAGTTGAGCAAACACATAAGTGGAAAGTGCAGATTGGGTACTCCACACGACACGAGTGCATTGATACTCTTGAGTTCGTGTCCAGCCCCTTTGTTGGCAAAGTATGATACAGGGTTACTCTTTTCATAGATTTGGTGTGGATTGAGTGCAAACTTGATAAACATCGACTCGACACGGTACTTTTCGCCACCTGCAAACCCTCCAGCACCCTCGTACGGTTTGATACTCTTGCACTCGGATCGCATATGCACCTCTTGTACGAGTGTCTTGACATAGGTGGTGGCCGTATTAGCCAGATGCTGTGAAAAGAGTGAGATGCTGTGATTACGTACACGCTCCTCTTCCAAACTATTGACAGGTCGATCCAACAACTCTTGAAATGACTCGTTCCACGGCAGACTTGATATATTCTTATTCTCTTCTATCCCTTCCTTTATCAATAGATTGATGTTGGTTGATGAGTTTGTTGATTTTACTGAATCTCCTGATAATGCCATCTCTGGTGTTTGTGCAAGTGGTATCTTTGTTGTAGTAGTAGTAGTCATTGAATTGGTAAGACTTGTTGGAGGTGGTGGATGATTCAAGTAGTTGGCTACTCCAGAGGATGGATGCCCAGAATACCCACTACCAGCTGAATTACCTAAACCAGATGTAGTACTACTATTACTACCAGTCGATGCGCTTATCATTGATGACCCTGAGTTGGTACTACCAACTAGATTACGATCCCCTCCACCACCTCCATGTTCAGAGAATGCTTCAATGTATGAACTATAGTTGGCAGCAGGTGGGGAACCCAATGATATATTTCTATTGTGAGTATATATATTCCCATTTGTTGTTGTTGTTGTCTTTTCTTTGGTATTGGTAGCAGCACTAGTACTTTGATGACGACGATGATGACTCTGACTATAATCACTATATGTATTTATATATGATACGATTGAATTTAAATCATCTGATGGTGTTGGACTTGACACTGACACTGACGCCGAATCTGATAGTCCAGATGTATCTGCCAAATAACCGGCAGATGATGGTATAGAATATGAAGATACAGCTAAAAAGAAAGAAAGAAAAGAGTCGTTAGATAAACTATATTCTATATTCTATATTCTATATTTCAAAACATACCACTATCATCCTTCCAAAAAGAATCTTTAACATATGAACTACCTCCACCACCACCAATATCACTATCAATCGATGTAAGATTAGTTGTGTAGAGGCTAGAGTTTGCACCATAGATACCACTTGGTTTAATGTCACCATAGACACTGGTATATTGGTTAGATGAGAATTGAGAGTCGCCTCCAAGGTATGAACTTGCTTCAATCTCGTCGGCAAAGATCGATAGAGGACTCGTAAGTTCTCTTGCATCACCTGCCTCCTTGTATGCCTCTCTCTTTAGATAATACCAAATATTCTCATTAGGTCTATGGTCTACCATTATTATTATTATTACTACTCTAACTAAACTAAACTAATCAGTTCTGACGTATTAGTTGTTGTTGTTGTTGTTGTTTTGTGATACAAATAAATAAATAAATAAATATAGCTAACTATCTAATGGTACTGTATATTATAATAAATATATATATGTGTGTCAACACTAACTAACTAACTAACTATAGTTTCTAATCTGCTGTCTACTATATTATGTATGTTTGTGTGTTCTTCTTTTTAAAAGTGGTGTTGTTGAGGTAAATAAAAGATGGGTGTGCGTGATGGATGCGAGGAAATTAATCAAATAATAAGAAGAGCAGGGAGGTGATAATAATAATAATGAAATGCAATGGGTTATTTTAAACAATGATGGCCTCATTCATTCATTCATTCATTATCCCAATATGTGATCGACGATTAGTACTACCCTCTCTCGTTGTTCTTGTTTCTTTCATTCACAAGAAGGGGGAGAGGAGAATCTATAGATGTAAGGTTGATAGGTGTGCCACCTCTCTACCCAAATAAAGCTTCTCTGAAAGTGCGTGGGGAGATTTTTGTTTTAGGGTACCGTGTCGGTTTTGAACAGAAACTGATGTGATGCTCAAACCAGTCGGTTATCTCACAAATTAAGTTTGTATATTAAAAACTTAATATACTGAGAATAAACTCTCTCTCTTTTGTTGTTTGGTAGAAGATCTTCTAATTTAAGATTTGGTATGGTCACATGTATGTGCATGTTTGTTTCCTTGAGCTCAAGGATTTCAAGGACAACCGTACAGTAGTATGGTTTCCCGCTTGTTTTTTGAAATTCAAAATGTGTTTTTTAACAACGGCGGAAAAAGAAGACCAATGAATATCTTTGCAAGATAGATATGTTGTGTGTTTTGAATCGTAATAGGTTTAAAAGAAAGGGAGTAATTACTAACAGCAGATAGATAGACAGATAGACAGACAGATAGATAGATAGAACGATCATCTTATCTAATCATATCTATCATCATGTCGTTCCCATCGCTGTTAGGACCATCACTTGGTAGTGTGTCGTTGTTGGATGGAACTTTGTTTACACATAATGCAAGTCAAGCTTTCATGTTGATGAATGGTAATAAGAGTGGTGGTGGTGCTGGTGCTAGTACAGCTTCTGGTGGTGGTGCAGGTGCAGCAGCTGCGACGGGCAAAGTGGGAGACGTACACTTTGGTAACAACCACAGCTACGCATACTATGCCTGTCGACTCGGTGTCGAGGAAGAGTGGATCGTCAGAGAAACTACTAGATTACATCAATCTATAGATCATGCTCTATCATCATCATCTACATTACTTGGATTCAATAGTAATCGTATAATTGGTGTACATAATAATAATAATAATCAAAATAATAGTAGTAACACAAACAAGAATAATAATAAAAAGAAAGGAGGAGTGGGAGGAATAGGTAGTCGATTTGGACAACAACAAATTCAACCACAAGATTACTATCATGAAGATGATCATGAACAAGAACAAGAAGAAGAAGAAGAGGAGGAAGAATATGAAGAAGAAGAATATGAAGATGAAAGTAATGATGAACCTACATCATCACCATCATTGGAAAGACAAATTGAAGATATGGATGAAGAGGAGGAAGAGGAGGAAGAGGAAGAGGAAGAAGAGGAATACCATGATATGGATCAATCAACAATCTCATTCAACCAAAGTAATAGTATTGGAGAGATTAGTAATGGTAGTAGATTAAGTAATAATAATCTATTATCCATTTTAGAGTTTACAACTAATAATAATAATAATAATAATAATAATAAGAGTTTACAACATGATGATGACCAACAACAACATGACATGTCATTATCGATGCAAATGGAAGAAAGTGTTCAAGATATGAATACTACCAATAACTCTGTCGATATGAGTGTGAATATGGACCAATCCAATGTTTCTCAACATATAGTAGATGAAGTTGAATACCAAGCACAACAACAACAACAACAACAACAAAGAATATTCTCATTTGGCAAACACGATCATGAACCAAATCATCATCATCAACAACATGAAGATGAAGAGGATGAAGAAGAGGAAGAAGAAGATGAAGAGGAGGAAGATGAATACGAATCGAATGATATGGATATATCAATGTAAATACATGTAATAAACTTAATTGTGAATTATAGTGTATATATACTTGTGTGAACCGACACCCATATTAATCGATTGGTAGATTGGTTGATTGATTGATTGAAATCCAATTTTAGTTTAGTTTTAGAAATATGTAATCTTGGATTATTCATACTGGTTTTCTGAAATCTTTTCATTGTGAGTGTCAATGACGTTCGTTTATTGATATTAACGGTCAGTCAGATGGTCGAATCTTTAACAAAGTGGCCGACACCAACTCGATTATCGACGACTATGACAGTCAAGACAAAATATAAATGTTGCTAGTTGGAATGATCCATTTCATTCATTTCTGTTTAACAAATAAATATCATCAACATCATGACACTTTACGGTAATAATTTATTTATTACCCCTTTGCAAGGGAAAATAAGGAGGGATGGATTGATGGAAGGACAACCAATTTTATTAATATAATTTATACTTTCTTTTCTTTTCTTCCCCATAATTATATAGACTCTACTGTATCTATTGGCAAGATCAAGCCTTCAAACATTTCAAAGACAGCACCCCCCAAAAGAGGTATCTTCGGAGTGCCAGTTAATAGAAAACCAAAGATGCCAGGAGATAATGGAGGTGGATCAGACTGTAATATCATGTAATCAATTTCATTTCATGTCTTGGTAACCATCCAACCAACCACCTCACAAGGATTTGTTTTGTTTGGATCATTCAGGTCAATTTTAATAAAACTAGTTTGGGTCTATTGTAGATTGTACATACCAAATGTTTATATAATTAATAACTTTCAAATTTAACCCTACTATATCAATTTTACATAACTTTATTGATTGATTGATTGATTGGAATTAGAAATATGTATTTGTGGGTGAGTGTCAATGAGTTTTGTATATTGATATTATCGGTCGGTACTCAAATATATACATTGACTCGGACTGTCATGTCAAGACAAAGTATAAATGTTGTTAGTTGGAACGATCGATTTCATTTCATTCCATTGTTCAACAATAATTTCATTCCTAAAATTAATAATTCATCATCATCATGACACTTTACCGTAACTATTTATTTATTTAAAAGATTTACCTTGAGAAGAGGGGAAAATAATTATTAATTTCTTTTCTTATTTTTTCTTTTAAATAGGTACAACTGTATCTATTGGCAATTCTGTAAAGAAGGTTCCAGCTCGTAAAGAATACTATGATAAAATTGTTGTTAATCAATCAGGTAGTTCTCAAGAAACCCCAATGACCACAGCAAATACGTTTGGTGGAGAAGGAGATGACTGTATTATCATGTAATCAATTTAATGTCTTGATAACCAACAGACCAAACAAACAACCATCCATCCATCATCCATCGACATCATAAATAATAATAATAATAATAATAAATTAATAATAATTGTACCAAATGAAATTAATAACTATCTAAATTCCACTTTTATTATTAATAATAATTTTAATAATCATACAAAGAGGACAGTATGTTTAGATGGATCATTCATATTCAGTTACAACACTCAAACAACCTCCTTGGTAAACGATCAACTCTAGTCAATGCAAAGGGGGTTTGAACAAGAGGAATCCTGTAGTCGTGTCTAGAAATGTAACATCCTCATCCTCTTCCTCACAATAGATACAACAACTGGATGATGATGATCAACAACAAAAGGAAGACAATGTTCAAGATATGAATACTCCCAACAACTCTTCGATATGAGTCAATGTTTATCAACATGAAGTAGATAAAGTTGAATACAGGGAATAACATGAAGATGAGGAAGAAGATGATGAATATCATCGGGTACTTCATTCTTCCCTGTTTATGTGTCAATGAGATTTGTTTATTGACATTATCGGTCTGTCGATTCTTTAACAAAGTGGCCGACTATGGTTTAACCCATACTTCGACTCGATCATTAACGACTCTACCAGTCAAGACAAAGTATATAAGTTGCTGGTTGGAATACAATTAATTTCATTCCATTCCACTGTTCAACAAATAATTCAACATCATCATCATCATCATGACACTTTACGGTAATTATTTATTTATTTATTTATTTATTTATTTATTTATTTATAGATTTCCTTTGATTCAAGGAAATAGACAATCAATTTTATTAATTTAATTTATTTTTTTCTTTTCTTTTAATTACTTGATGCACACATTTATCAATATATAGAAACCTCTGTATCTATTGGTCAGATCAAGTTTTGAAGACTTTTTGATTCAAATTTAATTATTGCAACATATGATCCCGTACCAATTACATATAATAAACCAAAACCAAAACCAAAGACTACTGCAGATATGTTTAAAGGAAATGGAAATGGTTGTAATTTAATGTAATCAATTTAAGTTTATTTCATTTCTTGACAACCAACTAACCAACCAAACCAAACCTCACAAAGTATTCTACTCAACTGTAAAGTCAATTTTAATAAATGTATAATTGATAACTTTCTATAATACCCACATATTAATAGATTGATTGATTGATTGGTTGATTGGTTGATTGGTTGATTGATTGATTGATACAATATTAGTTTCAGAAATCTTGATAATAATCATCTGGACAACCCCACTCTGCACCTCATTCTTCCCTGTATGTTTGTGAGTGAGTGTCAATGAGTTTTGTTTATTGATATTATCGGTTGGCCATTTAATATATTTAGACAGTCTTGACAAAGGTGTAAATGTTGTTGTTTGGATTACAAATCATTTGATTTCATTCAACTTGTTTAACAAATAAATACAATTTCATTCGAGTGCACTGCTCACCAAATTATTCAATCATCATCAACATCATGACAGTTTACGGTAATTATTTACAGTTTCTTCCATACTAATCTGAGAAAATAGGATGGATGGATTGACGAAAGGACAACCAATTTTACTAAATGATTTAATTTATTCTTCCCCATTATTAAATAGACACTACTGTATCTGTTGGCCAGATCAAGGCAACAAATCTTACAAAGCCATCAACGACAAGATACGATCCCAATGCCAACGGTGCATTGAAAGATCTTCAAGCAAATACAGGAGATATGTTTAAAGGAGGAGATAAGACTTTTTGTAATATCTTGTAATTGATTTCATTTCATATGTTGACAACCATCCAGCCAATCAACCATTCAACCAACCAACCAACCAACCTCACAAGTACAGTCCACTTGATTCTTTGTTTGGGTCATTAATTAAAGTCCATTTTAATAAATGACGAAATAATTGTTGATCTCTCATATAGTACATTTTAAGTATTACATATTAAATAAAATTCCACTAAATTTTACCTTTAGTTCAAAATTATTTTATTTATTTGTAGAGTTTAATCGATTCACACAAAAGAGATAATAATCATACAAAGAGGATAATATGTTTAGATAGAATATGAATGGTCATTCACAACACTCAAACAACTCCTTGAGTAAACATCGATCAAGCATCAACAACAACTCCTCTCAGAGTCAACAACAACAACGCAAAGGGGGTTTGAACAAGAGGAATCCTGTAGTCGTGTCTAGAAATGTTACCTCTCTAAAGAATGTGAGCACTCAACATACTACACTTGGATACAACCCAAAACAACTAGATGAAGATGATGATATCGATTTATTCATTGTCAGTAATCCTCCAGTAGATATGGACACGGATACGACTAGTACGACTACTACTACTACTACAACGAGTAGGAGTGCAAGTAAAAGTAATGTTGTCACTGGTGGCGGTGGTGGTGATGATGATGATGATGATATAGGGGATTCAATTACAAATACAACTACGAATAAACAGAACCCTCGTATTCATCTTCCTCCTCTTCTTCCTCCTCCCCCAATAGATATGGATCAACTGACAACCGATACAACCACATCTACTACAACTACAACGACAACTACAACCAATAATAATAATAATAACAATGATAGTAGAGACCATGGTGGTGGTGGTGGTGGTGATGGTATAACATTAGATTACAGTAATACTACAATCAATGATGATTTTGAATTTGACTTTACCAACTTAAGTGATGATGAAGTAGACAATAACAACAATAATAATAATAATAATAATAACCAAATCAATTTTGATGATTATGAATTCGATGATGATGATGATATATTTTCAACTAAACCAACTACGCCAACATCTACATCACCATCATCAAGTGGAAAAAAGACACCACAACCAAAGAAACCTGCAAGTAAAAGGGCAAGTTTACCAAAAAAGAAAGATCCACCTCCTGTTAAAATACCCCCAAGTTTTAAAGTTATTCATGGTACTAAATTCCTAGTTGATGGATTTCAATACAAGTCAAAGGAATATACCCATTATTTCTTGTATGTACTAAAAAAAAAAAGAATATATTAATATTATATTTATTATATTGTATTATATATTAATTTCTTTTTTTATTTTTTTAATTTAGAACACATTTTCATTCTGATCATTATGTTGGATTGACAAAGACATTTAGTTTTGGAAATGTTTATTGTACAGAAGAAACTGGTAAATTGGTTCATAGTAAACTTGGAGTTCAACCAAATTTTATAAAGGCAATGCCTTGGAATCGATTCATCACCATTGAAGGGGTAAGGGTGGCGATGCTAGATGCCAATCATTGTCCGGGATCGGCAATGATATTGTTTCATGTAAATAACGAGTACAGTCTTCATACTGGTGACTTTAGGTATCACCACCGGATGAAGGAATACCCACTCTTGAAGGATATCGCCATCTCAAGACTCTATCTAGACAATACATTTTGTGATCCAACCTATGTATTCCCACCACAACAAGAAGTGATTCAAGAGGTGGTTAAAATCATTCAAAAGGAAAACGATGGACGCACTGTATTCTTGTTTGGAACTTATACCATTGGCAAGGAACGTATCTTGATGGAGGTGTCCAAGAATCAGAGGAAAAAGATATGTGTCAGTCAGGACAAGAAACAAATCATCGCGTGTCTTGATCTCGACCAAACCATGTTTACCACCGACGAGACCATCACACCATTCCACGCTGTACCAATGGGTACACTTCGATTCGATTCTCTCCGAGGTCGTCTAGAGGCTCTGAAACCAAGGTATGGACGTGTCGTTGCTTTTCGACCAACTGGATGGACACAATCAAAGAAATCAATCACTCACCAGCGATATGGGGCAGTCACCCTATACAGTGTTGCCTACTCTGAGCACAGTAGTTATAATGAACTTTTACAATGTATCGATCATTTCAGACCAACTGAAATTATTCCAACTGTTGATTGCTCAACTCCAAATCATGTTTCTGTAAGTAAAAATAGATAGATTTAATTAGAAAGATTCTTATTGTTTTTATTACTATATAGAGAATATTATCACATTTTAAACCAATTTATGAAAAGAAGAAACAAACAACCATGATGTCATTCTTTTCAACTACCAAATCATTGGCAACTAGTTTATTTGGTGGAAATGTGAATAATAATAATAATCAACAACAACAACAACAACAAGAAGATAAAATCACCAAACCATGTCAAAGTACTTTATCTCTTTTTGATGAATTATTGATGGATTCCCTTGAAGACGATATTTTTGCGTCTCCAACTCCGTCACCAACCAAAGCAACCAAAACAACAACACCAATGAAACCATCGTCACAGTCTGCTACTACTACTACCACTACTCCATCTACACCAAAACCAATTCAATTACCTCCACCAACAACAACCTCTACAACCTCGACAACATCTACCACCTCCACACAAAAAAAACCTTTAAATAACAAACAACAACCTTGTACCGTTCCCAAACAATCTACTCCAAAAACAACAACAACAACAAATAACTCTATAGTTTCACAAAACACAAGCGACCAAGATGCATTTGACTTTTTTGACCCTGTTTTCCTTTCTCAGCAAAGATGGATTGAAAGGTCAATCTTGCACCAACAACAACAACCCCAGACAAATTCATCACAATCCCAGGCATTACAAATTTTTAAACCTCCTTCTTCATCATCATCATCCCAAACAAAGACAACAAAGCAGACATTGGAATCCAAGAAAAATAAAACACCACCCCAACCATCCAAGAGCCACTCTTCAACCAAAAAGATATCTCCGGCTACTACTACGACAAAGAAACAAAAGCTATCAAAACCAAACTCAACCTCTGTAGCTACCACCAAAGATAATAATAATAATAATAATAACAATAATAATAATAATAATGGACAATCATTCATTACGTCATTCTTTCAAAAATGTTCCAATACTACTTCATCAACCATCCAATCCTTTTTTTCAACAACGAATAAACAATAAGCTTACTACAATGCCACCACAAATTAAGATTGGTAGGTGGTAAAAAATCTTAACACCATTGTAGCAAACCAATAACATCCAATTGTAACAATGTATCGCTTGCTTGCTATTATTATAATGATAGACCAAATTACTTTAAATTTTAGATCAAAAGTACGATTGTTTTACATGAACCCAACATGATATGATAATGATGATGATGTATTAATTAATTAATTCTATATATATATATATTAAAAGAGTGTTGTGTGGGATTGGTGGGGTATTGTATCATTATATACATATCATTATTAAGATTAAAAGACAGATAGTTTTGTTCAATTGATATATTAAATTTAATTTAATTATTCCCCATCTACAAAAATTTTCCAGTGGGAGAGCGATCAATCAACCACATATTATTAGTACATGTGTTTCGTGAATGTTAACACCGTATGCAGTGTATATACATATATACAACAATTAATGGAATGTGATAGACGACAATCAATCTCCTCCTCTCTACTTTTTCTACTCCATTTTCTCATCATTAACATACTATACGACATGTAATAGTATAGTACCGCACTTATAAGATATAGTAGTAATTGCGACAATAACACATCACAATCAACAATAACAACAACAAAGAACAATATCCACATTACAACATTCGTAATCCGCAAAGCAGTTTACAAGCATGTGCATATGCACCAACATACCAACCTTTACTTGTACTTTATTACACAATACGTATTATTTTTCATTATATGATTGATACTGTCGTATTACTTGCTACAACCATCCGACACACCCACAACCCAACCACAACAACTACTACTACTACTACTACTACTACTTCTTTTATGGATGATGATGATAGTAGTAGTATAGTAGTACTACTTTAAATGGTGATTGCTCAGACACACACATACAACTATTAAAATATGTAAAGTCTTTTAAAAGATTAAGCATGCTTATTCTATCAACTGACAGTTGACCGACCGACTGACTGGTATGTGTATGACTATATACCTTTATATATTTGATGAAAAGGGGTGGGTTTAGTATCTCATCTATCTATCCTATCTTGGCCATCTAAATAGACATGATATTGTTAATAACAATCATCAACAACACATGAATACTATTGGATACTATGTAAATTTACAACTTTTACTTTATAACTTTGCAAAGAATGAATAAAATCTGGATCACCACTATCATCACCATAAACAAACGCACCTCCATGCATGGCATGCAAACCGTTGCCAATTGTTATAAATAGAGTGGAATCAAGCTTTATTCAATCATCAATCAAATCAAGTAACATTAATTATTTCTTTGTTTGTTTCCTTTTTCTCTCTCTCATCCTTTTCTCTCTCCCTTACTCTTTTTTAAACAATGAGAATTCATTTCCTTGTACTATTACTTTTATGTATCACTACTTCAAGTTACGCTGGCTACGTTCCAAAATGTGTCAACGGCCTCAGTCAAACCATCTATGGTGATGCCCTTGGCAAGGACTGTTTCGACTGGTCCTGGGCAGCAGGCCGCAAGTGGGATGCTTGCGACCCGGTCCACAGCGGCAAGCACTCCTTCTCGTTTACTCCAACCAACTGGGACGGTCTCTACATCAATCTCGGACACCCCATCAACCCAACCCACGACTCTCACATTAGCTTCTGGGTGCACGGTGGAGGTATGGCCGGTCAAAAGATGGCTGTCCGTCTCACCAAGAACAAGGTAGCCCTCGCCAGAGAGTATCCATTGTACGGTGCCAACAGCGTCCTCGTTGGTTGCAACGACATCCGTCCCACCAACTGGACCCAAGGTGTCATCTCACTCCACGACGTTGACCCAATCTCGTATGACGGTATCCAATTTGTTGCTCAAGGTCAAAACTGCTCCAAGCCAGTCTTTATCGACACCGTTGAGGTTCTCCTCCGTTGCGACTCTGACCCACACGTAAAGACCCTCCCAACCTGTGCCTGTCCATCTGAATCCTGTGTCACCATTGCCGTCAAGGAAACCAACAACACCTGGACACAAGACAACTGTGAATACACCCAATACGATGTCATCCTCAAGAACGTCGCTGGAAAGGCCATCACCCGTATCGACTTTGTTGCCGACAAGTTTGACTGCCGTTCCGATGAAGATATCTGGGGTGTCCAAAATGTTGCTCATGGTCGTTGGGGTATCCCAACCTACATGGGTGGTTTGACCAAGGGTGGCGAATACAAGTTTGGTTGTGTTGCCAAGCGTGGTACTGCTGGATTCAAGGTTGTTTATGTTGAATATTCTTAAACTGTGTAAAACATCCCAACCCAATCTCACAATCACAATTATCATTAATGATGATAATTTTTTCCTTCTTTTAATCTTCTCCTTTTTTAATCTTTTCTTTTCCCTTCCTCTCTTCTCTCCTATCTTTTTTCAAATTACTATTGGATATATATGCTTATCAACCCAATATTTTTTCAACAAACAAACAAAAATAAATCAAATAAATTAATTGGTTTTATTCCTTTAAATAAAAAAAAAAGATCAACATGAAAGAAATACATTTACTTTTTTTTTTGATTATAATTAAATATACAAGAATACAAATTACCTAAAATGTAATCTTTTTGTATATTTTTAGTTTTGGGATTTTTTTTATTAATTGATTTAATACCAGTTTTGGTCAACACCCAAACCACAGACGGTAACGTCACCGTTGTATTGCTTGATAGCTGGAGTGTTCCATCCACCGAATGGTTGGAAATCAGAGAAAGAGGGATTGTCATCGTAGTGAGCATACCAGAGTGGGAAAGAAGCACCACCAGCCCAGTTACCCATAATTGGGATCCATTGGGAGGCAGAGGTGTAGATACCGACCTTGGCACCAACAGCGTGGGCACCAGCGACCATAGAGTTGAAGAAAGCTTGGTTGTCAGCTTGGTTGTCGGACCAGTAGACACCTGGACCTTCAATATCGAACCAGACCATACCGTACTTGGCATTGTATGACTTGATGTAGTTGACCATAGATTCGACTTGACCAGCACCGTTACCACATGAGAAACATGGGAACATGTAAGCATCAACGTCAGCCATACCACCATCCCACTAAAAGTAAAAGTAAAAGTAAATAGTAAATATAAGGTAAAAAAACAGTGTTAGTTATCATATATGATCGATGTAGGATATATATATAGTTATTGACTACTTACAGCATTGTACATGGAGTGTGGACAGTTGGAATCTGGTTGACCTACAGACTCCCAACAACGAATGATGGCGAAAGAATAGCCATTAGACTTGAGACATGAAAAGGATGAGATATCAGAGCCAGAGGAGATATCAACACCCAAAGTGGCGGCGGAAAGGCCAAAAATGGCACATAATACTACAACAAATAATGCGATTTGTCTGTACATTTTTAAAAGAAATAAATATATATGATGAATATCTGTAGAGAGCACGGAACTAGGTTATAAATAATGAACGGTTACGGCGTAACTCCGAGCCTCAGCTGTTGCATCGATTTTTTGCAAAGACCGATTTTTTTTTAAAACAATTTTAAAACATTTTAATCACGACCCAAAACGCAGATTTTGTTTGCGGTGCGTTTCAAAATACCAACTGCGGCAACCTGGTTACTTTACACGTTGTAGGAAGGAAAATTCAAAGACGCTGAATTCAGACGATTTAGATATTTTTTCGTCTTTTTTTTTATTCACTGCTACAATGGGTTTGAGAGTGAGCCCTCTAGATTTCGTTGTTGGATAAAGGGTCGCGATGGTTAGTGGCCCAAATATCGCGCATAGAATATCTAAAGATCCTTATGGTGAGATTGTACAATCCTGGTTGTGCTCCAATACCGTTCATAGGAGTTACGAATAGGGAAATGCATTTTCAAAGGGGGTGACCATTCGTTATTCAAAAGAGATACAAAAGAGAGAGAGAATCAACTAATTATTAGTGACAGGGAGAGAGAGAATCAAGGCTGATATTTTAATTAATTTACTGTGATATTAAAGATAAAGATGGTATGGAGGTGTCACTTCCCAAAAGCAGTGAAATCCCATCCTATTAGAGGTGGTGTTTAAACAAAAAGAAGAATATGAGAATAACGAGAAAATAGACTTTTTTAATATGATGAACACCAGGTAGGTACCGTGTTTAAACATTGTGTTGAATCACATCGCAGTATATCTTCTCCTCCATCCCATCAATCCCATCCAACACCACGCACATGTACAATTTTTTGGTTGGATATATATAAAAGTGTTTAACGGAAGGAGATATTCCCACACCTGAAATGAGAATACAAAAAAACAATCATCAAAAGAATATCATCAATCTCTAGTACATCATCACTCATTAACATCATCTCCTCCATCACCATCATTTTAATCAAAGATAGTCTCTCACATTTTGGAGTATTGATGAAAGAAAGATGATGTATATTTAATATACCCTCCTCCTACAGCTTACTTGGTTATCATAGAGATTATGATGATACATGCATACCCGCAATTGGCATAACAATCGTACGTATGTTGGATATCCATTAGATGGGGTTTGTTTTATTATCATTATTGTTATTATTGTTGGATGGTTGTGGATGATATGATGGATAATTGATTGATTGCTTGCTCTGGAAGTGAAGTCATCAAAATATTAAATAATAATTTCTTTTAAATCGTCACCATAGTTGATCAATGCTTTCCCATCAACACCACCTTCCCCACCAACAACAGTTGCATCATCAACAAGAGATAAACTAAAAATAGTAATTGTAGTAAATATCCAGCTAAAATTCTGTTGTTGTTTGTTGCTCTTCTTGGTATCAAATAATTATATAATTCCAAGTTGGTGTATGGTTATGGATTTGGTTTGACGTTGATGGTTGTTTCTAAAATTCGCATTTCTAATCATCATCATCATACATCATCATCATTAAATTAATAACAATTAAAATCTAAAAGGCATTCCTTCTTCCCAATTCTTTAACATTTCCATCAATCCATCAATTTCTTTCGTAAATCTATTTATCTAATTATTTCCCAAATCTATTTATTTCACAAATCTATTTCCTAAATCAAAAATCATAAATAATAATAACAATAAAATGATTGTGTGTAATAACAATAAGATAATCATCTTTGTATGTTTACTATTTATAGTTTTTATAAATCATAGAGTTTATTCTTTGGAAAATGGTACCTAACTATTCAAAAAAATGATCAAACTTTGTAATTACTTTTCTAATAATCTTTTCTTCTTCTTCTTCTGTCTTTTAGGAATCTCATCAATAAATAATTCGACCATTCCAACCAATAATTCAACAAAACCAAATAATACTAATACTACTACAACACCAGTTCCAACCAATAATTCAACAAATACCAATTCTACATCTCCAACACCAACTCCAAACAAAAATTCAACAACTACTTCCAATGTAACTATTCCCCAAGAAGAAGATAAATCACCCAAAGTCTATTCAATTTCAACCACACCCCCAGAGGGAGGAGTTGTATTTATCAAAGGAAATCATCTGACTTCCAAGACTCCAATTTATATCTCTGTTGCCGGTGTAATGTGTTCAACAATTGATACTAGACGCCAATGTGACGACTCTAATATAATTTGTATACTTGGTCCATGGAATGGAGAGACACCAACTCCTCCAGATTATCCTCTCCGAATGAACATTTTTATCAATGGTCAACAAATTCCAGGTGCTCATTATTTCCAATATGAAGGTACGTAAACATTTGTATTAAAGTGTTTGTTAGTTCCTAATCACTAATACATTTTTTTCTACATTAGCTGTTGAAGAAGGAGGCATTTTAAGAAGTTTATCATCAAAAGACAAAATATTGATTGCAGTTTTAATACCATTGTCATTATTTATTTTGTTTGGTATCGTTTTGATTGCCTATATTAAACGTAGAGTTGATGGTGTAAATAGAATGAGTGAAGTTAAAACTAGTCAAGTTCAATGTCAATTAACTCATGAATTGGCATAAATTATTATTAATAATTCAAAATAATAATAATAATAATACTACCAATTATGTATATATTTTAAAATAAATAAATAAATATTTATTTCTATTTCTTTTATTTGTCTAAACTACAGGTTGATTTTGTTTGCTATATACTATTATTATATCAATTATTCGGTGGGGATGTTGATTGCCTCGTGTTTGTTTGGTTATTATTATTATTATTTAATTTTAAAAAGATTACATTTGATTAATCTTCTGTAAAACAACTGTTGTTGGATTGTTTGGTTAAATGTTGTAAAATAGAAAGTAATGAATCGGAAATATGTGGACATGAATTTAAACTAACGATCATTTTACTTAATCGTTCGTTTCCAATCTTGAACAATGATTGTAATACTCTATCTGTTAAATTGGCTAATAAAAATATATTCAATTAGATATGAGATTATCTTTTTCTTTTCTTTTCCTTTCTTTTCTTCTCTCTCTACTTACAACAACCAATTGAAATTAAAATTTCTAATGGTAAAATATCTATTGCGTTTAGAATACAATCGTCGTCGACTGCAGTTTTACTGAGAAATAGGATTTTAATTTGTCTACATCGTTGAATGACCATGTCGATGGCGTGTGATGACACGAGGGTGCATTTGCTAATGTTGAATTGGAAGAGTTGATGACAATTACTTGCAATGGCTTCGAGTACATTATCATCGACATTGTCACAACCACCAATATCAAACGAGCCCAGTCGAGGACACGCCAATGCAATCGCTGATAAAGTGTCGGATGAAAGATGTTTCATGTTGCTGATACTAAATATAACAATGTTTTGGCAGAGCACTCCAAGCGATCGCACTGCAAGGTCCGACAATTGTGTCAGATTGTTGAGTCCTATAGTCTTGATTCTCGATGCGATTGGGACGAGATGGGCAATTGCTTGGTCGTTTATGGTCAGACATTTTCCCAATCCCAGAGCTTTGAGAGATGGCGCGATGGAAACTGCTCTTTCTATGGTTTTGTCGCCAATATAGGGCATTTCACCAATTGCCAATGTTTCCAATTTAGGTAGATACGATATCACTTGGTCTGCAAAGTCTGCATCAACCATGCTAGTCGACCGACATCTACGTGTGACGAGTTTGGTCAATGTAGATGAAAATGCTTGAGCGAGTGTGGAAAGCGACTCGAGTTTCATGTCGACGCATCCACTTAGGTCTAGCACCTCTACTCGACAATATCGTACAGCCAGTCCACTAAAAAAGCGTTCAATGCGAACATCCAACTGTATGGAAATGTCTTGTTGTACCTTTTTCGAGCGCAACATTTGTCTTTGAAAGATGGGTGGTGAGGTGCTGTCTGGTCCGCTTCCTGGGATTAGAAATCCATAGTTTAATATCATGTTTTGGATGATTGATTCCAAAGAGTTTAGTTTTTTGGTTGTTGTTGGTGCCGTTGGTGGGGTACTACTAGTTGGTAGCGTCACCACTATATTATCATGGTCAGATGATGTCTTGTCCATGTACAAATCATCTTGTTCTTGTTTTTTCTGTTTATTAGCAACCTTTTCTTTTTTCCTTGTTTGTTTTGTTGGGTTGTTTTGTTGTTTCAATTGGTTGAGCTTGGATGAGATGTGCGTCAGGTGATTATGTGATTTCGACAAATCGATTGTATGCCAAAGCGAGTTGACCACGACATTCCATTGCTTTGATACCATTGACGCCGATCGTAACGTCGATTGTCCAACAAGATGTAATATTGAATCGATTATTTCCAATGGCAAATTTATAAATGATATAGTATTGTTGGCCAAAGTTATATCATTTAGTGGTGTAGTAGTACTAGTCATTGAGCTCGATGATGTTAAATAGGATGAAGAGGATGATGATGATGACAGTGATGAAGATGATACAATGTTTTTATTATCTTTGCTACCATCGTAATCTAAACTATTACTTCTGCTATTATTCCTACTATTGTTATTACTATTGCTATTACTATTACTATTATCATTTTCATAATTATGTACCATTATTCCTATTCTCCTCTTGTTGTAATATTACAACAAGTATAAGTTGTTTATTATTACTATTATAATTATTATGTTTAATGCAATGTAGCGTATTTTGTCATCTGACTTGTATTGTTGTTCTTTGATTGATATATAAGGTACTTTATATTTTAATATGAATATGCTTTAACAAATACAATAGTAGATAGATAGATAGATAGTAACTAATCTTTATAAATGTTTGAAGATGAGCAAACAAACGTCAGACATGTCTTTGGACTGAACAAAGACCACAACTTTACACTTTGAACTTTAATTTTTTTTATGCAACCATCTTGCACATGAGGTTGTTTGAAAGTGTTGGATCGATCACAAGCAATCTACTATATATTATATTATTTCAACTAGATTCACCAATGTAATGTAAAGATTACAACTCAACTATCTCTTGTTATTGGTTTGTTTGAAGCGATGATGATGACGATTTTCGACCAAAAACCTAAAGTACATCCCAACAACAGTTAATTAATACAATCCTATTGTGATTATAATCAATCATAGGTCAACAACTACCACTAGTACTAGTACAGCCAAAGTAACATTCAAGATCACTCTTACTTCTGATCCAAAGTTACCTTTTAAGGTGTATGTAATGATGATGATAGTATAGTGATTGATAGTTATCGTACATAACTGATACTAATCATTTCATTCAAATATTTAGAGTTAGTGTCCCAGAGTCTACTCCTTTTACAGCAGTTTTACGATTCACATGTGAACAAGTATGATGATGATGATGATGATTAATATACTTCAAGGAGTACATAGAGTTTGACGTTCATTGATATTAATATTTTTATTATTGCTAAAATTGTATAGTTTCGTGTACCATGGGAAACATCAGCTATTATTACAAATGGTAATTTAGATCAATATTTATTATTATTATTATTATTCTCACATTCACTAACAAATATCATTCTTTTCTACTAGACGGTATTGGAATCAATCCTGCACAGACTGCTGGTACAGTCTTTTTAAAACATGGTAGCGAATTGAGATGTATTCCAAGAGATAGAGTTGGATCATGTCAATAAATAAGATAGATATATATATTAATATTAAATTGTTGTTTGGATTTTGGGTGCGATTAGAAATGTATGGAAGAACAATTTTAAGACTCTTAAAACTAATCAATCATTTAGATTTTTATTTCTAGAACTATCATATTTATAGTGTATGGTGCACTAATATTCATCAGTTTATTCCAAATCATTAACAATTTCTTCAATTAAGAGTTTGTGGTGCATGTTGGATGCAAGTTTCAACACTTTTTTGAATGTAAAGCAGGATTGGTACCCCAAATCTCCTTCTATTGTTTTCTTGGTTTGTTTATAAAGATACCAGAGCCGGTCAAACATATTTGGTTTTTCAGGGTCGATAACACCGCAATAGGGTTCCAAAATGTTGTCAACCATATCTTTTAGATCAACAAGATAGTTCATTATTGAAATATGTTGAGTGGTTTGGTCAAGAAAATCACGTTCGAAATCTCCTTTCCATGTTCTCAGGGGCTTTGGAGATACACATGGATCCGAGTCGTTTACAAATTGAATATTTTCATTCACTCTATCCATTAAAATATGTTTCAAAAAGTAATCAATGACTCCTGCCATATGATTATATGTCTCTATTACCATCGAGTTATACGATTCTCCAATGACATTGCACGAGTATAGAGCTTCAATCTTGTCATCAAACTCTTTTTTTAACCTCTCTTCCAAAAGTTTGTTTGATTCAAGTATAAATTGTTGTTGATTCTTTTCCAGGTCGGATTTTAATGATTTCTCCAATCTATTGAATTTGGTTTGCAACGATTTCATATCTTCACTCAATTCTTGGGCAATCTTTTTGTTTATGTCATTTCCTTTTTTGATAGAGTGTACCTCTGCTATAAGAGCATTAATCTTTTCGTTTTGTTTTAACAAATCTAATTTGGTTGTTTTGCTTCCTTGAGTTTTATCTTTTTTGATTTGAGTCTTTCATCAAAAGAAACATTCTCTTGTCTTGATGCTAATATTTGTTCATTGAGACTTACAATAATTTCATTATTTTGTTCGATTGCCAATATATTGTTTGCGTATTGAAGTTTTAATTCTTCATAATTTTGTCTCATCACTATCCTGATGTTTAACAATTCATCTTCTGGTTCTGAAAAGATTTTATCTGTGATAGGTATTTTTGGAAGGGTTATCATATTTAATCTATTATTATTATTATTATTGAATAACTAGAAAATAAAAAGAATGTCAACTTTTATAACAATCATCATCATATAAAGAGGAGAAAACATTAAGAATTAATAAAAAAATAATTAAAAATAAGTAAAAAAAAGCTTACACTTGGTGGCTTTTTTATTTTTAAACTTTAATAAAAAGTTTATATAGAGATCGATTCGATAGAGTTGAATAATATAATATAATATAATATAATAAATAAATAAATATTTTATTAAGGGGTTTTTACTTTGGATGAATCATAACATGAATTTGGTTGTTAATTTCAACTCTTATATTTCCTTTACTTTCACGGACCAATTTGAGCATATGGTTGGCAGCATCTTCATTTGTGAGGTCAAGTCTGAGACGATCTTTTAACAACTCGGCACCTGACTGTGCATAGGCACTGTTTGCCATTGAAATGAGGTTTAATAAGAGACGACTATTTTCACGGAAAATATTGTAAATCTTGCAACAACAATCTTTAAACTCTTGTTCTCGATGACCAATAACCTTTACAATCTCTTTTGGAAATACAAAATGTGCTGTCTCTCTATCGAAAAAGAAGAATTTAGTAACTTGTCCAAGGAAATATCCAAAATCAATATCTACAACAAAAAAAGAAATAATAAAAAATTAATATTCCATTGCTCCTTCAAATATAGTTATTTGTTATTACTATTATTATAGTTAAATTATTACATACGGAAGAAATGACCAGTATTTGAAACCATCAAATTGTCATTATGACGATCATAGATACCAAGAATATGAGTAGCCACAGCATAAGCAGCACAAGATGTTAAAAAGATATCCAAATAATTTGGGTTCTTTTCATTGTGTTTCTTTAACCATTCTTCAATGCTATGGTATTTAGGTTGATCACGAATAAAATCTGCAAGTGTGACACTGTTTGGAACAACTTCAATAATACCCAATCCACTACCAACTGATATACATTTAAATATAGTAAAATGACAATTAAGTCCATTTTCTTTTAAAATCTAAATAATTAAATAAAAGTTAATAAAATTGTATTGGATTGATTACATTCTTTTTTACATACATTATCCATAACAGTAAATAATTGTAAACATAATTCATCAGGTCTAACATCATCCTTTTTAAAGATAACTTTAGTATCATCTGCACCAGGAGTAACAGAATTGAAAACCAACCAAAGTGGAGCAGCATTTGAATCTTTGACTTTACATTCCTCGACGATAAAAGAATTAAATTCTTGAAGAGGATGTGTTGGAAGAGTAAACTTTTTAGGTAGACTTGCCAGTCTTTGTTCGAGAATCTTTTGTTGTTTGTCTGGTTCTTTGATGATATCCAAGTTGATTTGTTTAAGTATTTGAATCATTAGATATTGGTGAAGAATAGATTGACCAATCAAAGAACCTTGTGTATGTGATAATCCAAGTCCATACAATAATGCTTCCATAACCAACTTGTATCTAATTGGTATAAAGAATTTATCTTTACTTGTTAATTCTTGAATTTCATTCTAATAAAAAAATAGAAACATAATTGTATTAGAAAAACTGGAAATATAAAGATAAATGTATATGTATGTATGTTTTGAGCCTCTTACAGCACATAACCAAAAAGCAGGATCACCAATTTTAAATGGATTACATAATGATCTTTTAATTATAAAACATGATAATGAAGAATAATGTGTACATTCATATTTTAATGACTAAATAAAATATATTAGTATAGTTAGTAAAGGTCGATGTTTTAATCTTTTTTGTTTTTTTTACATACTTGAATAATTTGAGGTAAATATAAAGATAATAAATTATCATCCCATTGATTAATAGATTCAATTCCTTTTTCTCTAATTCTTGAATCAATAAAATCACTACTTAATAATTCCAATCCATAATTTGGATCCAATGTTGGCCATCCTTTTAATAACCTAAAAAATATAATAATCAAATTAATTAATTCTTTTTTTTTTTGTTTTGTTTTTGTTTTTGTTTTTTTAACATACTCATAAACATCATATCTATTTTGATAATCAGTCATTGAAATTGAATATAATAAAGATGGTAAAATATTTGGATAATGAGTTTTACAGTAAAATCTGTACTTGTAAAGAGTTGATTTGTCGTTGGTCTTTAAAAAGGTTCTGTGAGTGTGAAGGATATTTTCCAATACCTTGATTTCCGATTGATCCGGTAGAGTTGGACTAATAACATTTGGTGAGTTTGAGAAATCTGGATCTTCAAAATAGATTGGATGAACACCATTGGTTGAAGACACACCACTAAACAATAGTTTAAGGGTTGCTTGATTGGCCAATACTGATTGTTGCATAGATTCATTATTTAATATTACTCCTCCAACATTATCATTCATTGTAATTACTGGTGATTTAATATTTACTTTATAAAAAACAAACAAATAAATAAATAAAATATCATTAATATTATTATTTCTTTTTCATTTTCTTCTTTCTTATTTCTTCTTTCTTACTTGGTAATAAAGGTAATTCCAATTCATTATAAATAATTTTTTTACCATCTTGACTTTGAATTAGGAAATGGTATTGAGCAATGACAATTGGTTCACTAGACGATGGAAGTTTTGCAAACAAAAGAGTTGAAAATATACATTCTTTTGGAAGATCGACCAATTTAATATTAAAATATAGTTTTTCGTTCCATTCTCCAACGGGCACTGACGAGGTTCTTCCTTTGGCCAAAAGATTGTCACCATAGAGTACACTGATTTCGACAAACATTGGTACTTTGTTCATTTGATGAACTGTGACGTTGTGTTGTCTGAGTAGAGGTGCAAGGTTTCCAACACTCGCAACTGTAATGACCAGTTTTGTATTACTGACACCTGGTGGGAGACTCTTCTTGGCCCTGATAACATGAGCACTTATACTATCCATTTGATCCTCTTGAAAATGATTAACTGTACCAAGGAATGATGACCACTCCATTTCATTCATCACATTGGGTACAAACAACCTGCTGACCATTGCCGCATCAACCGTTGCCAATCTAATTACCTTTCTAAATCTTATACACCGTCTAACATAGACTAAATCCGAAAGTTTTAAATTCATATTAAATACATGTTCCATCGATCCCAATACTACCAATCCATATTTCATTGGATCATTTTGAAATAAATCTGGTCTAACATTTAATATTGATCCAAATGTTTGATTCACTAAATTGTATAAATTAAAAATTAATTGGTTATTTGCCAACGTCTTGTTTGTTTGATTGATTGTTTTTGAGATACATACAACCAACTAAAAATTTAATCATTAAACCATTATGATGAATGACAAGTCTAACTTTTACAACATCTTTATCATTGGTATCAATTGCAGTTTGTGGTTTTACGAGTACAGATGTAATTTGAATATTTGGATTATAGGGGGTGGTGTTGGCAGGAGGAGTGACTAGACTATTTACATTAAAGTTTGGACGATTTGCCAAATGACTTCCAAAACTTTTACTATGTCCTCTTGTGAGTTGAGGTGCCACAGTAGTAGTAGTTTCAACCCCAATCTTTGGAGGAGTCTGTTGACTTTGATGTGATGCACCAAAACATAAATCAGCTCCAACCTTGTGGTCAGTCAAGAATTGCCATTTACTAGTTGCCTTGATTAATTTTAACATTTTCGATCTAAACAATGCAATATCATCTGATAAATAATGTACTCTAATTTCTGATGGTATTTGTTTATGATATTCAAACTAAATATAAATAAAAACAATAGTTAATAAATATTTAGCAATATATTGCTTTTTAATTTCTTACTTCTTTTTCTAAATTTGAAGATTGATGTTTTTTTGTAATTGGAATGGATACAGTCTCAACACCAACTAAATCCAAAGTAATATTAAGAGTATGAGATGCAATGGTAAGAGCTTTCAACCAATCCTTCTTTTGTTCATCACTTTCCGTTCCAAATAGGTGAACATTACTACCGGCATTTGACACCAAACTAAAGCAAAAGTATTTACCCTGAGGTGATTGATCGCTTAGGATATAATCATTGATTGCCATCTCTCGTGAATATTCACTCTGGGTGGGACCATAAATTAATTTCTTTGACGTTAAAATAAACCATCTCTTTTTCCATCCAACTCTAGTATTCTTTTTATACAATTCACCTGAATGTATGATTGGTTCCAATAAACTTTGTCTCTTGAATGATGTAAAACTAGGTATAATTTCTCCAATTGAATTATTATTATTATATGGAACAGTCGAGTTGGTGGTGGCAGTTGAAGCAGATGTTGTATTATTTGAATTGACCATCATTGAATTGGTATTAATTGGACTTGTTAATGTAGATCTTGTTGTTGTTGATGTTGTAGTTGTAGTAGATGGACTATTTAATAAAAACATCATTCCACTATCTCGATTTAATTGACTTGGATTATTATTATTATTAATTTGATTTTGACCTTGACTTTGACCTTGTTGTTGTTGTTGATTTGTATTATAATAATATTCGTAACCTGGAATCATTGCATTACCTTGACTATCTCTACTACTGAATGTAAAACTAGATGATCTCTTTTTAAGACGATTTTCAGATTCTCTTGCTCTTTTGTTGTTCTCCAAACTTATATTGTTTACCATTTCATCGAGCAATTTGGAGTCCAATGTATAGTTGCCAGATTTTAACTCTTGTACAGTGTTTAGATAATCCAACTTGTCACCATAATTAGAGTCGGATGGAATGGGTGAGGTAGGTCTTTCTCCACGTGCTTGGTATCTTAATACACCATTATTACCACCTGGTGATCCAACAACCATCGTATTCATATTAGTATTACCATTCCCAGGACCTCTAGGTGATAATCCACTATTTGAAATCAATGATTCTCTATATCCCAATTGACCTGTTGGAATTGAATAATGATTGGTTCCATTTGGTTGTTGTTGTTGTTGTTGTTGTTGTTGTTGTTGTTGTTGAGGTGGTTGAGGTGATATTGGTCTTGAACGTGTACCATTATTATTATTATTATTATTATTACTATTATTATGATTAATACTATTAAAAGGTGGAGTAATGACCATTGTTGGAGGAGATTGACCATCTTTAATATCAATCTTGGTTGATATAGTATTATTATTATTATTATTATTATTATGATTTTCAAATGCAGGTAAAGGGTAGTTATAATTACTAGTACCACTTACACCATTACCATTGCTATTAAACATTGCTTTAAAATCATTGCCATTGAGCATTCCAGGCATGATGGTATGTGTTCGAGGTGGAAGTGGTGGTGCATTGGTTGTTGACGTTTTCAATGGTTGTATAGTCTGTTGTTGTAGTTGTTGAGGTTGTTGTTGATGATGATTAAATTGTTGTTTATATTGTCTAAAGGTTTCTAATAGATCAGATTTTGATTTCTTAAAGGTTGGTTTTGGACGGAGTGCATAATTTTCTTTACTACTAAGTGTACCAGCTGCAGTACCATTTGTATTAGTATTAGATGGTGATGTACTAGGTTTTATAGTGTCTTTGGATGGACTAGTACTGTTATTATTGGTTGTAGGAGTTGGGATGGCATTGGCCAATGAAGATTGACTATTAAATTGAGTAATTCTTTTACTGACATTGGAGGCATTAGAGGTCATATTATTAGTACTAGTGTTGGGTGAAGAGGTGGTGGTTGATGGCCAAATATAAAAGTGTATTTCTGAGCTACGAGATATCTGTTTCTTGATGACATCGATCGATAGTAACTTGGTCCATGCCACCGACTTTAGCTGAGACTGCTCCATTGATGGAGACAATGATACAGTAAATGAAGAACATGCTCCTGCACCAGCACCAGCACCAGTATCATTCAAAACATTAGTTGTCGATGCAATCTGTAGATGTATATTTAATTCCTTTGCAGCTTGTTGAGCAATCTTTGCTTTAAATTGTGATACTGTTGTTGAATCATTTACACTGAATTTGATTGTGTTATTACTACTACTGTTATTGCCAACTACTAGGTGACACTATTCATTATTCAATAATATTAATGTGATGTACAAAAAAAACAATAGATGATATTAGCAAATAAATAAATAAATAAATAAATATAAATATCTTTCTCTTTCTATATATATATATATATATCTCTAACATACTATACATATTATTTCATTGTTCATTATCATTATACATTGATATCGATCATTACAAATGAACGATACGATTGATGAACTGTGTGGAATAGATATATAGATAGATAAGATACTTAATAAATATAATGCATAATGATGAATGAATTCAAAGTAAAAAAGTGTAGTGTGTTGGGTATGATATCTACGATGTACTTCTGTTTGCTGCTGCTGCTGCTGTTTTCTACTTGACTTTCAAATGTTTCAAAGAATCAATTCCAAAATCTTTGAGAACTTCTTTCGCCTTTGTTTTTACAGTATATACTGTAATAGTCGGGTCGTCGGGTTATATATAAATTTATATTTACAAAAAAAAAAAAAGAAGAACTTGTAACTCTAAAATCGTATTGATATTTAATATTTATATTATTATATAATAATATTAAGATTGTAATTACAAATTTTATTAATTTAATTTTAAAGTTGTTTTGAAAATGATAGAGTTGAGAGTTAGTTATTATTATTCTATTGTGTTGGTGTTAATATTCTGATAATCTAGTTAATAATGATTGCAAACTAATATTCCAAATCCATTAAATTGGTTAACATCCCATTGTTGTTGTGATCTCATTGACTTGTATGTGTGTGTTGTATTATCTGTCTATCTGTCTGGTGTGAATATACTCATCGATTGATTGAAAAACCACTGTTACGAACTAACATCCAAAACAAATTTATTAAAACCCAAAACCAAATGAAGTTGGTTGATTTCCATGTGTGTGCCATACCCATTAACAAATGATTCGAATTGAAGAAACCCAAAGGATCCATATCCAAATATGATGATTATGATGATGATGATGATTACGATGAAAACGATGTTACGATAAACGAGAGGAGGTTACCCGAATAAAGATGATGATGATGATTGACTCAGCGCGTCGTGGCGGAAAACAAAGAAATAATTATTTTCAACATGTATGTGTGGTAGGTACTTGTGCTTTGTTGATGTTGGTGAAAATGTTGTGCTAATATTATTATTATTATTATTATTACTATTCTAATATCTTTTAAAAGTGTATAGTATTAACATGTCCTTCTTTTTTAAAACAAAAATCAAATTGAAACATACAATATATTTTTCTTTTTTTTTTTTCTATCTTTTAAATGTGTGTATACTTTTTACGATAATTAATATTAATTGACAAAACTTGTGTAGGTGGGATGTGAATATGTACGGTGGACTAGATTATTAAACAAAAACCATTGATATTGATGAGAAAAAAAACATTAGAGTACTTGTGGGTAAACCCTGGAATTCAGTGGTGATTTAGAGTCAAGTGACTGGCGATAAATGTTCGAATGGGTGGCAATAAATGAATTCAAAAGTGTTGATCCTTTCCAAAAAAAATAAAAGTTCATGATAAATTAGCGACTAGGTGTAATCGATCGACCATCGATGGTCGACAGGACTGTAATGTGAATTGAATGATGATACGAAACGGGAATATGTAAAGTTAAACTCAGGATTGGCACCAGGAAGATGATGAACCGATGGATTAAACCCGAGAACTTACCGACCCGGGATAATATTATGCGTTATCAAGTAGAACCCCTAAAGAAAGAGCCATCCCTCCCTCAGGAAAGAGGCGAGGCGGTGGTAAAATAAAATAAAAAATATAAAAGATTAATATAGTACTTTGGCGACAACCCTAGTAAATAATATATATATTTATATTTATATGTTTTTTTTTATCTTGTAATAAAATTACATACTTTTACACTAAAGATATCTAATGACAAAGACAGATTTATAGTTTTGGTATTTACCAAAAAAGAAAAAAATTAAATTGAAATGATTTGTTTTTTGGAATTAAATAATTTGTTTTTTCCAAATGGGGTAATTTACTCTTAATATGGGAATGTATCCAAAATAAAACTAGACCAATAGACCTTTAAATTGAATTTAGAACTTGGGCCCTAATTTATCCTCTTCTATATTAGGAGTCAAATATAACCTGGGATTGGTCTTTAAATTAATTAAATAAATTTCATTTGTAAAAAAAATTTTTATTAATCTACTCTTGACTCACATTGTATTTAATATAAAATTATGATATAATATATTATGATGATTTTTATCAGAATGAATAAATATTTACAACAAATATATATTTAAAAAATGTCACTTCAAATGTGGAATAATCCATGGTCAGAATTGGACAAGAGCATGGAAAACATGACACAAACCATGGAACCGTTCAACAAGAATTCCTATGGTGGACTCTGGAAACCTTCATGTGATGTAACAGAGACACCCGACAACCTGATGATTTCATGTGAATTACCAGGTTGCAACAAAGATGGTATCAACTTGGATATCTCGGATGGTCGTTTAACCATTTCAGGTGAAAGATCATATGAAAAGAAAGTTGATAATGAAAAGGTAATGTAAAACTATTTTCAAACAATATTCAACATTCTAATCTTTTTTTTTTTATTTTTTCGCTTCTAGTACCACCGTATTGAAAGATCGTATGGTAAATTCCAAAGAAGTTTTAGCATTCCAGAGGGTTGTACTGAAAAGGATGTTGAAGCAACTTTTGAAAATGGAATTCTTCAAGTCAACTTGAAAAAGTGTGCCAAGACTGAAACTCCAAAGAGAATTTTCATAAAGTAAACTAGTACAAGTTATATATGGTAAGAATTGTGGTGGATGTAGATTGCAAACTGAGGTCATCCTGGAATATAAACCAATTGGTATATATCATACCTTTTTTTTATGTTTCAATTACTCTATTCGTTTGCCATTTACCCTCTTCTCTCTCAACATCAAACAAACAAACAAACAAATTATTTAAATGGGATTATCTAATAAAAAGAGATACTTTTTTAATTGTTATTTCCAGCTCCAATCAAAATCTAATATTTTTACTGTATATATATAATATAATAATATTTTATTCTTTACTATCTACAATGGCACATTGGTGAGGCTGTTGTTGTTGCTGCTGCTTTGGAGCATCATTATTGTTGTTACTGATGGCGGTATTATCCTTGATTTTAACTCTTTTAATTGTTCGATGTTGCTGTTCGCTGCCACCATTTTCAATTAAATCATCTGTAGTTGTTTCTTTTTCATTATTACCGCTACTGCTACTATTATTATTACTATTACTACTGTTGTTATTGTTGTCGTGGTTATTTGATTTTAATATTTTGGCGTCTACATGATTAGAGTCGATCATCATATCCCCATTATTGTTGCTATTGTTATTATTATTATTATTATTATTGTCGTCGGTATTGTTATTATTATTATTATATTCTGCTGAATCCAAATCATCATCTTGATCATTTAGACTAGTTTCTATACTCTTTCTCTTGATGACTCGTTTTGATGTACTGCTGCTGGTAGTGTGTTTGTCTTCTTGTTCTTGTTGTTGTTGTTTATGATTAATTTGTACATTTGAATCCTTTTCTTCTTCTACTTCTTCTTCTTCTTCTTTTTGGATTGATTTGTGATTGGCACCATTACAAACAGTAGTTTCATCAGGTTCCTTGTTACAACCACTCTCTTTTGGCACTGATTCCGACTCTGATTTTTCGTCGACAACTAGTTGCACAATAGAATGTTGCTGTTGTTCAGTAACTGGTTCTACTCTTACTTGCTCCTCTTCTGATGATGGCTTCAATTCTTGTTCTTGTTTTGTATCTTGTTGTTCTTGTTCTTGTTGTTCCAATTGTTCAAATATTGATGTACTTGTGATATCTGTATTGGTAGAGTCGGTCATTTCATCATCTGTATTTATGCTATTATTATTATTGTTGTCCGCTGTTGTTGTTGTTGTAGTTGTTGAGACACCTCTTTTAATTGAAGTTAAAATAAAATCTTCTTCGTCTGAATCATAATCTACGACCTTGACTCCCTTTTGTTGTTGTTGTTGTTGTTGCATATTGTAATATTTAAGGTCAGATAGTGAGTCATTGTCATTGTCCGAGTCATCAGAGTCATCTCTGAAATACGACTCTTCCTCTTCGTCGAGCTCTCGTTCGTTGCGTGGGGCGCTGGTGTTACAGGTGACCTCGGGGCTTTCAAATGTATTGGAGATGTTGTCGGCACGGATGATGAGCTGCTTCATGACGTCCGTGTAGGTGATCGTCTCAAAGATATCCTTGAATCGTGTGACGACATAGACAATGAGCGCCTTGGAGTTGTCGCGGTGCACCGTGTGGAGCAGGTCGAGTACAGCCGAGTTGAGCAGGTTGTATCGGCTGACATTCTCCCTAAAGATGTCGATGATCGGGTCAAACAAGTTGTCCTGGATGATGTGCTGGATGAAAACATCGTCCTTGGAGACAACCAGACATCGGAAATAGCGGATGGCGCCCAACGCCAAATACTTTTCGCTGCTGGTTGTCAGTGCCAGTATCTTGGAGGTGATGTTTTCCTTGATTATAAAATTACGTATTCGGTGTGAGTGGTGTTTGATACAATATATGATCAGCTCAATCACACTAGACAACACAAATGATCGGAGATTACTGCTTGGATCCCCTGGAATCATCGGCTCTCCATTCACTGAATTAATGTCATTCAATGGTTCCACCAATTCATAAATTCCCTTTTCATAAAATAATTTGAAAAAATCTGTCATCTAAAGAAAGTAAAGAAAGTAAAGAGATGGTTGTTGGTTAAATATATATATATGTATATATGTATATATGTTTACATACTTCATTTGATTCAGCTTCAACTAGAATTTTAATAATCTCTGCTATTTGATTTTTTACACCAATATCAGAGTCATTAATAAACCTTGATATTAATTTTGAAAAGAATGAACTATCTGTTGAAATGTAATTTCTCAAAACTCTTGCATCAAATTGTAATATTGATAAAATAATTTCAGTACTATATAAAGATTAGATTAATTGGATTAGTTATTTGTTTCCTCTTTGTTTTCCTTGTTTGTTTTCTTATTTACCATGATAATCGACATTGTGGATTTTCATCATCGATTGCAATTTTTAGAGTTTTAAATAATACATCATCATTGTCAGTGATTGTACTGAAAAAGTGTATTTTGCTGGTTGGTTGTAATCCTTTTGCTATTCCACATAATTCTTGAAAGAATAATAATGAATCTATTTTCTCTTTTGAACTTGGTTCACTAATTTCAATTTTTGTAATCCTAAAAAGAAAATATATATTATATTAATATCCAAACTAATCTATCTATCTAATCTATCTATCTATCTCTTGTCCTCTACCTACACTTGATGTAAAAGTGATGGATCATTTAGAAAAAGAGTAATAATTTCAGAATTGTTAAAATAAATGATCGAGTTTAATGTTGCAAAAGTTAGATCATCCAAAACTCGTGGCAACACAACATCTTTTAAATATTGAACTCTAAAGGTTTGATGAATGATTGGTAAAATGCTATTTTGTTGTTGTTCTGTAAACTTTACAACTTCTTTGAATACAACATGATTATTTAAAAAATCTCTATGTTTTATACGATTTTGTTCTGATATATCTGGATCATCTAAGTAAAAATATATTTGGTTAATATATATAATATATATAATTATATTGTTGATTGTATAATATCTCATACATTCTAATGGTCCCATGACTCTTAAAATAAATTCATCTGATAATATTGTTTCAAAAAGTGAAGTTTCATTCATTAAAACTAAATCAAAATCAAATCAAAATTAATATTAATTATACTCTATTCTATATTCTATATTCTATTTTCCTATTTTTCTATTTTTCTATTGTACATACTGATATTTTTAAATATGTGAAAAAAGTGGAAAAGTTGTTCTTTATCTTGATTTGGTTCAACCAGATCGAATAAATCCAACAATTGTTTTATATAGTCCTCTCTACAAAGAGACATTGCTATTTTTTCCTTGCTTGGTGACAATGGGTCGATGATATCGCTGATTTGCGCCAAATTTTCGACGGTAGGTTCAACGATTGCAAGTATATCGGAATCGTTGGTGATGGTCTCCCAAATCTCCTGACACCCATCGGGCTCTTGAAAACTTAATGCAAGATCTATATTTGTGGTGGGGTCTGTCCAAAGAATCAGAGTGTCCTGTTGTCTCTGATACGAGTTTTCGTCAAAAACTCGAGTCTCTAATATGGTGGATCCGTCCTCTTCCGACTGGACAAGAATAGTCAATCCTCCCATGCCAGTGGAGCATGACACGTGTCCAGTTCCCTTGTCATCCCACTTTCCGCTTGGATCGAGTTGATAGACTTTTACACGTCTCTTTACCTCCATCCTTCTTCTTCTCTACTAATAGTACTAGTACTCTCTACTCGTAGTGGTGTCTCGTCGTCGTCGTCGATATATACTACTATTGCTGCTGCTGCTGCTGTTGCTGTCGTCTGTCTCTGTGAAAAGTTGAATGATGTCATCCAAATCCAACCAATCTATCCGTTCGATCCGATCACCAAGAACAACCAACAACAATAATATTCAATTATATATATTGTAGTAATACTGTTTGTTTAGAATTGCAACTTGTAAAAAAAAACAAAAAAGAATAGAATGATCAAGTATAAAAAATGTCTCTTTTTCTCTTTCTTCTTCTTCTTCTGAATACTTTAAAATTAGATCTTTGTTATGTACCTATGTAAATGTAAGTATGAATACAATATAAACAATTAATTATTAATATTCTTTGTTTGTTTGTTTTTAATTTTTACTACTACACTTTTAGCAATTCATCAATTTGAAAACAAACAAAGTATAGTACTATAGTATATATTGTAATGGTTGATTGTGATTCTTTACTTTTTGTATATACAACAATGATCTATTGACTATGATTACAATGATAAGATGTATCTAAATATATCTTTATCCTATCTATCCTATCTACCCTATCTATCTATCTATATCTATTTATTCTAAAATTTGAAGTTGATTGAGATTGATTGATTGATTGTTCGATCGATCGATCAGATGATTAGTCAAAAAGACGGACAAGATATATAAAGATGATGTTGAACGCCGACGCTGGTTATTGGGTTGGTTTGTTTGCAATGAATCACAACAAGACAACCAAAATAAATTTGTGATAAAAAAAAAAAAAAAAAAAAAAAAAGGATTTGTTTTTTTTAATTAAATTGAGAGGGAAATTGTTACAAACAACAACCCAACCGCTGAGCTGATCGATGGACTGGATAAGATAAAAAGTGACGAACGATCGTGTATGTATTACAAGATTTGGATTGTGAAACTATAAATAGGCGTGCATGCTGCATGGGTATGGGATATATGATCTTCTTTACTTTTTTTAGTTTTGGTTTGGTTGTATTATAATTGTTATTTTATAAAACTACTACTACCTCTTACTTTAATTGTTTCTCCATCATCCTCCTCCTCCTCCTCCTCCTCTAGTAGTACCGTACCACCACATACACATAAAGAAACACACTGGGTGTGTGTTGTATTTGTAATTTGAATCGAATGTGCACGACCCTCCCTCCTACCTCCTATCCCATCGCAATGTGCCTATCGTAATGCATGTACAATAGTTGATCATGATGATGAATGAAGAGGGTAAGCAAGCATGCGTATCGTATCGTATCCATATCAATCAATCGATCAAGAAGAAGAGGGTGGGGTATGTATGAGGTAGGTAGGTGGGTGAGGGTGGGTAATCCAATTGATTTTGAAAACAAGTTGATGGTGTGTTTGGTCAATTGAAAGTAGAATTCGCGTTGTGATTATTAAGCCATGATGATTGTTGGTCTACGTCATGTCCTCTAAAGGCGTCATTCCCATTGTTGATTGACTGATTGGTGATTGTTTAAAATATCTTGATGAATCTAATCGATCGATGGTTATTGTTGTTGCTGTCATGATGATGAATGAAAATTCTCCCTCCAAAATTAATTAATTCTCTTCATGACATGATAGTGCTGTGCTGTGCTGTGTTCTCGCGCAGTACAAGTAGTAAATATAAATACATCTAGATTTATGAATTCATAACCCATTCTTCATCCTAAAGTTGAATTCATTCATTCATTCATTCGAGACAGACATCATCCATCAAATGACGATGGTGATTGAGATTTAATTTAACTTGTTACCCTATACTACTTGTGTTGATGATCAATCTTCACATCATCATCATCAACATCATCATCATCATGACTTTTATATTGTATTGTAATTGTATTGTTCTTATTCTTATGATTCTGTGATGAATATATTCATCTACATAACCATCGCATCGCATCACAACACACAAATTAACTGTCTCTATATATGACTGGTACGACTAAATGGTGAACTATTCTATTCTAATCTATTCTATTCTTACCTGATATTCTGTTTTTTTCTGAATGCTGTCTGTCTCCTCCTCTCTTGTGTTGTTGCAGTTAAAGTGCGTATCAATAGTTAATTAACCTAACAGCTAAACTCTTTTTGAATTCAAACAAAAAAAATTTAAAAAAAATTATAAAAAATATTTTGAACTGCGGAAGATGGACCATTCATTCTCTATTTAGATAGATAGATAGATACATACATACATAATATTACATACAACAAACAATCAATCAGTCAATAAAAACAAAAATGAATAAAAATATAACAGTATTCGATAAATTTTCATATATTTTAGGTTTAATTGTCATGTTGATAGGTGTAGTCATCCCACTGGCTTATATGATTTATAGAAACAAAAAAGTATTCTCAACCATTAAATCATCAAAACAATAGTAATAGTTAGTAGTTAGTAGTAGTATTTAGTAGTCAAAGAAGACAGCAAATACACATAGATACTCAAAACAACACATCAGACATGGAATCATTTGGTTTCTCTTTCTTGCCCGCTCCATTCAACAATCCAGATCCATCTACATGTCTTTTATCTCTCTGATCAGAGACAGGAAGTATGTTTGCAAGTGTACACATCATCGTCATCAACTAAACAATGACCTCAAGATCTTGTTGGACAAATCACCCTCTTTTTCCAAGACCAAAAATAAAAACAGATATTCCAAATATATACATAACTAGTTAAGTTATTTATGTAATTATTAATAATATATAAGATTTATATCATTTTATTCAGTTATTTAAAAAGTCAAACGACTGACAAGGAGGAGGGAGAGCGAAGGAGTTGGATGCATGCCCAAAAACATGTGATTCCAAGTGCCCACTTGGGTATTATCATTGCTGTGGTGGAATCATCAATTGTGGATGCGGAAGTTGGATATTGGATTGGTGCTGCTGCTGCTGTTGTTGTAAACTTAGGAGCTGTGAGGCAACTGGCATGACAGGTGTTTGAGGTGATGTAGATGGTGACTGAAGTGGTCGAGTTAGATATAATTGTTGTTGTTGTTGTTGAGGTTGTTGTTGTTGACCATTTGTAACCATTTGTTGTTGTAATTGTTGTTGTTGTTGTTGTTGAGGTTGCTGCTGCTGCTGTTGTTGTTGTTGTTGTTGTTGATTATCTTGTTGATTAATAGTTTCAATGACTTCTATTTTTGAGGAATCCTCCTTTTTACGCTTTTGAGCCTTTTTGGGATCGATTACTTGGATGCCGGGACCCATCAACTCTTGCTTTTGCTTTTCATTCTTCATGGACTTTGCCCAAGCGAGACCGCATGCGTTGCAGAGTGTCTTGGCTCCATTGGGCCCACGTCGCCATTCAGGTGTGTTGGTAGCGCCGCAAGTATGGCACAACAGCTCGTTCTCGCCGTACCGTGCCTTGCGTCGTCGCTGCGTCTTTTTATTCGAGTTATACAAGAGGTCGCCGCGGGGTGGTGATTTGGGTACTTGCACCATATTCGAGTTGACAAGGATTGGTGCACCAATTTTATTCGAGTTGGCTCCTCCCAGCAATGCTGGGTTATAGTACACGCCGTCGGGGGTGCTAATCAGCTGCGGGTACAAGTGTCCACCACTGCCAACGACTACCGGTGACAACGACATTTGTGGTGATGCTGCATATGCAAACTGTTGTCCTGCCGTTGCAGGACTGCCTGGAACTTGACTACCCAACGTCGGAGTATTCGATATCGAAGACATATTTGACGATGATGCAGACAATTTTCTAGTTTGTTGTTGTAACATTAATACATATGATGCATCAATTCCCTAAATAAATTAAAAATAAAATATATATATATTAATTAAAACAATCAACTTTATACTTGTTAAACATTCTTTTTTCCTTTTTTCTATACATACAATTGATTTTGTAAATTCACCTAAATCTAAAACAATACTTTGTGAAGCGGTTAATGATTCAACAAGTTCTTGAGGAGAAATGGGACCTTTGAGAGCCTTGTTGACAATCTTTGAGACGTTGGACAGCTTTTTGGCAATTTCATTCCAAAAGCCAGTGGTTTGTTGCGTCGCCTCAATGCTAGCATTAGCGTGGGATTGGATGGGTGCGCCGGGATAGTTGGAAAAGTATGGCGATGTTGGAGTGGTTGAAACGCCATAGGAAGCAACACCTCTGAATGTAGAATCTTCGGTAGATGATGATATGGGGATATTGGTATGTTGAATAAAACTAGTGGTTGCTGGTGTTGGTGTGAATTGTGCCTGTTGTTGAATAGATTGTAAATTATTATTATTATTGTTTGGATGTTGTTGCATAAGCGATGGATGTGGAATCAATTGTGGATGATGTTGTTGTTGTTGTTGTTGTTGGTGTTGTTGTTGTAAATCGTCGTCTTTTTTAATATCATCTACAATTTTTTGTCTCTTGATGGGCGTAGTAGTAGAAGTTGTGCTAGTGGTCGAAGTATTATTATTATTATTATTAAATTGTTGTTGTAAATGTTGTTGTTGGAGATGGTGATGATGTAGTTGTTGTTGATGTTGTTGATGTTGTTGATGTTGTTGTAACATCATTTGTGGCATCATTTGTGACGACTGTTGAAGTGATTGTGTTGGTGGTGGTAATGGAGGTGATTTACTGTTTGAATTGATTGGTGGTTTAGAAATGGACGATGTATTCTTCATCATTTGATTTGATTCATCTTGTTTGTTGTTGTTGACGTTGTTGGTTGATTTTCTTTTACCATTGTGTGAAGAGGATGAAGAGGATGATTGTGGTGATAGGTTGTTGTTGTCGTTGTTGTTTAGATTTTCATTACTATTTACAATAGTCGAGCGATTATTATTATTTACATTGAGGTGGGTTAGGTTATGATGATGATGGTTGAGGTGATGGTTGGTTGGTTGTTGGTCCTTGGTTTTATGTATCATATTTAACATTTGCTGTTCCGTGGCAATCGACGATGATGACGATGATGAGTATCCACCATGATGGTGTCCATTATGCGAACCAGTCGAGCTTCTCCACGGCCCATTGTTATTGCCAATATTCTCAGACGACGCAGGTGAGATGGGTGACGTGTTATAAACATCACTCGATTCACTTTGATAGTCGTTAGAGTCGCTTTCCGTGTCACTCGAGTGTTTAGGTGTATATCTGACGGGAGACGGCTGGACAACCGTCGATGCAGTGGGTGGAGTACCGTCAATCGATGGTAAATCTGGTGATGTATTATTATTATTATTGTCGTTTCCATTACTACTACCATTTCCATTACTATTATTACTGCTGCTGCTGCTACTACTGTTACTATTGTTACTTTGACTATTGTTATTGTTGTTAGTGTTATTATTATTGATATGATTGTTTAGACTTTGGATATCTTTGGCATGATGATGATTAGCTTGATTTGCCAAATTCAACAACAAGAGATTCTTGCTACTTTGTCCACCGCCGTCTTTGAGGTGATGGTATTTCAACTTGTTGTTCTTGCTATTGTTGTCCAAAAGATCATCGGTGTTGCTGTGGGGAGGTGCAAGAGCTAGTAGATTGGTCGATGATTGAGATGCCGAGTTGGAGAGACTCGACTCGTCAAAGATTGATCCATGGGTTGCAGGCACATTATTTTTGTATGGTGAAAAGGTGAGACTGCGCCAAATGTCTTCGAGACTGTTGCTGCTCGAGTTGGTGATACGTGCCGACGGCCAGTCATTGGCGTCTGCATGCGAGGCGAGCAAGAGGTCTTCGAGACTGTTCTTGGACTTGCCACGCTCAATACGGTGTGGTGTAGTGCTGCGCAGTAGGTTGGTGGTCGAGTTGCCGCCACTGTTAAACGCGGCCAAATGCATGTGCTCCAAGCTGTTGCTGTCGCTCATGGCGATCGATACGCCACGTCCCTTGTTGGTGAAACTGCTGCCACCGGGATTCAACTTGATCGAGTTGCTACTATAGTGTTTCGACGCAGACTCTTCCTTTTCATTCAATATAGATTTCAAATTACTACTACTACCACTGTTGGATTTGTTGATACGTGTTGGTACAGATGTTAAAAGTGATGTTGGAGGTGCCAATGATGATAAATCATCTTTTCCCCCTGATATAGTTGTTGTATGTGATGTTGATGTTGATGTAGATGTAGATGACGATATCGACGTAGATGCTGATGTCGATGATGTTGATGCTGTTGATGACGATTGATCTCCACCGCCGCCGCTACTACTACCACCACCACCACCACTATTACCACCACCACTACTACTACTACTGCTATTTGGAGTTGGTGATACTACAGGTGATATATCCATCGTTATGTATTATGTATTTTATATAAGTTTTCCTTCTTGTTGTTCCTTCTTTCTTTTGAATAAATATAGATAGATAATTTGTTGGTTGTTATTTCTCTTTGATACTGTTATAATAATCCTAGCTTTTGTTGATGATCTAGAAAATGAATATGAATGTAAGTAATCAATGATAGTCTATCCAAGAATCACAAAAACAACAACACGACAAATCAATCGATCGATTATAAACAAAAGTAAAGAAAGGTAGGCGGTACCAAAAAAAAAAAAAAACAAACAAAACTGAATGAATGTTGAGGAGAGTTATCTATACTATAGTTTGCAGTCTCTACACATACAACAGTAAAAAAAACTCGTCTATTTTGTTGTTGTTGTTGTATCTATATATTCTATTCTATTGTTAAAGTTATGATGATGATAATAACCAAGCTCGATCAAATTCTTTTGTTTTTGTTACTTTATCTTGATTGATGTTGTTGTATGTTGTGTTGGTTGGTTGGTTGGTGATGGATGATGATGATGATGGTGTTCTTCTTCTTTCTTTGTTGATGATACTGGTTTTGATCCAATTAAAAAGGTGGTTAAACTAAGAAGGATTAATTTGTCAATTGTGGTGTTTAATTGTTGTTGTTGCTACTGCTACTGCTGCTGTTGTTGACTAGTTTGGTTGGTCTCTCTATTCTATTCTATGCTATTCTATGCTATTCCTCTTTTTGAATTAACGTATTGTATGAATGAATGAATGATCATTCAACACATATATCCCCAACCGCCGCCATCCATCGATCATTCAATCATTCAATATCAAAGATGTTTTTGTTTTGTTTGAAGGGGGGGTAAGGGTGGTGGTGATTGATTGAGTGAGGGGTGGATGGTGGTAACACACTGTTCTATTATGGTCACACACAAACATAATAATATAATAAATAAATTAACTAAAAACCACCAGTCTCTCTCTCTCGCTCTCTACCTACACAATATCAAACTCGCTGCTGTTTGGAGGTGGTGGGGGTTTGTTTTTCTCATCCTTTCCTTTCCTTTCCTCTCATCCTCCCATTTTGCAAGTGATCAAGATTCAGGTTACAAATATATATATTTATATCCATCTTTATCTACTAGTAGAACTAACTATTATTATTATTATCCTATTATATTCCAACACTACGATGATGATGATGATATGATTATTATTATTACTAATGTGTGATTGGATGGAATCCAAATTAAAGGTATCCCCCATCGCGTGTCGGGTATTGAAATCAATGCATGGATGGGTTGGATGCTTATATCTGTCTTGTGCTCCTCCTCCCTTCCTGTGTATCTGCTGATCATCATACTACGTTGTCGAGTGTTTAAATGTGGAAAAGATGGTGATGATGCTGTTTTAGTCACAAACTATGCGTGCGTGTGACTTTACTCGAGTTGAGATGTAATAACAATTGATTGTTTGATTGATTGATTGTTAAATCAATATACCTTGATATATCATAATCATACATACTTATAATACAATATTTTAAATAAATAGTTGTTGTTGTTGTTGTTGTTGTTGTTGTTATTGATTTCCTCTGTTGGTTAGTTATCTTGTTTACATGTGTCGTCGGTCACCTGTGTTTGAGACTACTATACTATTCTACCCTTATTAGTGTATGTATGTATAAATATAAATAAATAAAGAAAATTGTTTAACCCTTGGTTGCCTTCATATATATATATGATGGGTGGCTAGATAGATAGATAGATAGATAGATAGATAGATAGATAGAAATAGATCGAGTTAGTAACACAAGTATATTGTATGGTTGTTGCTTTCATCGATGAAAACGGTCAATCACAAACATAACACACTTACAGATATGGTTATGGTTAATCAGACAGATATATATATAAAAATGATGGTTGTTTGATTGATTGATTTGACTTGATACCACCCTTCCTTTTTGCTATTGCTGTTGATGTTGATGATGATGTAGTAGACTAAAATTTTACAATGAATGAAAGAGGGGGGCAGTGGTTGGATGAGATGAATGGGATTAACTTGTAACAAGAATAAATATTTTTATTTTAAGAGAATGTTAGGAAGAAAAAAAAAAAAAAAAAAAAAAAGTCTCCAAAGGGCTCATCTCAACCGTTTTTTTTTGAAACAAACCGACAGACAAAAGTTTGCACTGAATCAGTGCCCCTCCAACTTTGGACACCACTCCTGTGTTGTGTGATCAATAATGAAGGAGGGTGGTCTTGTGTGTGTCAAAGAAGAGAATTATTATTATCACAGCTGCATGAATGGGTGTTTGTTGAGTCCTCACCTCCAATCAATCGATCAATCAATCAATCCATCATCGTTGCCAAAGTCAAGACTTTCTTTTAATCTGACTGTGTGAGTGATCACTTTGGGTTGAGATGGATGGATGGATGGATTGTGATGGTCAATCCGGATACTAGTAGTAGTCCACACAATCAATCAATACACTCCCTCGTCGGAATTATGGCTATTTGTGTCTTCCACAAGCTTAGGGACAAAAGAGTCTTGGAGATTTAAAAAATAAATAAAATTTAGTTCATTTGAAACTTCGATAACCTATTCAATACGAAAGGACACCTTTATATTGTACAGCTACCCACATCCATTATTATTATTATTATTATTATTATTATTTTTTCTTTATTTAAACAAGTGTCACACACACATTCCTTCCATTCATTTTTTTAGATATATATACATACTTTGTTCAAAGGAGACATAGATATAGATATATAGATATAGATTTAGATTTAGAGCACTTGTCGATCGCGATCTCGTCGTTATCAATATAATATGATCACTGACAGAGGCTTGCCTCAGCTGCTTTCAGATTTAAATGGATTTATTCAAATACTTTTAACATCGACGGCATCGAAAGCAGTTGATCTATCAGCATCACCAAGCTCGGGAGGTGCTCCTCTCTCTCCTACCATCATTGAAGATCAGAACCCTCATCTACTCAAAATATGTCTCTATGTTGAAAAGATTCTATCTGAAGGTTTAAAAGGTACATATTACACAGATATATGATGATATAATATAATTATATGTGACATGTGACGACGAGCAATCTCGAGAATTAATTGAATTGGTTTCTGCAGATGTTAATTTTATTGGAAAGACATGTTTCTTTGATGTACTTGAACATTTGCCAAGTTGTTTACCAGATACATCTAGAGTGATCGAATTGGCAAAAGATAGTTGCAAGACTGCTATGGGAAGAGGAAGAGTTGTCATTAGACAAGCATTAAATGAAGGTGCATTGGAAATTTATCTTTCTGCTCTATGTTATAATCAATCTATTGTAAAGTAAGAAAAAGAAAACATATAAATTCAAAATATATAAATATTTAATATTATGATATATATATAGATTATTAATCATTATCTTTGTTTCTTTTTTTAGGTCATATTATAAAGAGACAGCATTTTTAAGAAACTCTGAATTCTCTTCAACCTTTTTAACATTATTACAATCATTGGAACATATTCAATTTGGTTTGGTTGTTCGTGACAGAGATATGGATAAACCAAATTATTGGGATGAAATTACATTTACATTACTTAGATCTCAACCACCTCCAACCCCTATTAAAATTCAAAAGGTTGAAACAACACAAGATAACACTGAAAATGAACCAAATATTGATATTCAACAACAACAACAACAACAACAAGAGGCAGATCAAATTGATCAACAAAAAGAAGAGGATAAAGAGGATACGGAACATAAAATGATTAGAAATAATTCAGGTGAATTGGATATTAATTCATTAAGTAATGTATTGGATGAAATCAATAATGAGGAAAAGGAGAAACTTAGTAATCAGATTATTCAAGCAAATCAAGCCAATTGGAATTCAATGTTGGATTCTTTATCACGTTGTTCAAAATCTGTTCTTTTGGATTATGGTGGTAAAGGATCACCAATCACTCTACAAGACAAATGTATTGACAATTTCTTTACTATTTTTGATCAAATCATTTCAAGTGATTTATTAACTAGTGGTAAGTCAAAAAAAAGTACAAAAATAGATATCTTTTATTTTATTAATCTTTTTTTATTTTTATTTTTTTAGTATTAAATAGATGGGTTTGTATTGAAAGATTATGTGAAGGTCATTTAGAAGTACAACAAGTTCAACAAGTTTATAGTACATCTTCAACCACACATCATAGTCAAACATCATCAGTATTGGATACACGTGTTAAAGCTTGGATCTATAAATTATTGAATCAAGGCAAATTGACCGAGGTATTAAAATACCGATTTACCTATGACACTTTGTTGACATTATTGTACAATCCCAATTCCATATTCCACAGTCATCAACATCGTTTACAAATCATTGACACGATATCCAACCTCGAATCAAAGGTTATATTTCATTTGGCATGGGATAAATTAGAGGTTCATCAACCTGTCATCGTCACTAAAAAGATTAAAATTATTAAAAAAAAGATTAGAAAGGTAAAATCACTATCAGATGTAGCTACAAATGATAAAGATGATGATGTTGTTTCAACTATCACTACAACAAGTGATCAATTGGTTGATTCATCTGCCACTTCAACTCCATCAATTATTGATACAACTGTTGAAGAAAAAATATCAACTTCTCCTCCTCCTCCCCCCTCCCATCTTCCTCCAACTTTTTCATCTGCATCATCATCAACAACTGATATTTATTCTCAAAAAAACAATACATCAACCAATAGTCTTGCTACAATGACCAATAATAATAATAGTTTTGATGAAGATGAGAATCCATTTTTAAATAATATTCAACAAAAAAGAATCGATAGTCTAAAGGCAGAGGAGAATAATAATAATAATATGGTTAGTAATCAATCATTTGAATCATTAATTATTGAAAATACTATAAATAGTTTATCAGATGATGAAACTATTGACAAGAAAGATGATGATAATTCAAAGACAACAAATTTATCATCATTTGATGAAACATTGGCAGAATTATTTAAAAAACAAAGAATGGAATCTAGTTCGTCAACTATTAATTTAAATCAATTGGAGCAATCAATTGAAAATATAAATAATGACAGTGATAATAATAATGCAGTAACAAAAGCAATACCAAGAAGTTCACTTTTATCAAATTCACATATTGGAGATTATTTATCAAATCTTGTTCAAGATGATATTACACCACCTAGAAGTAGAAGTAGTAGTAGAAGTTCAATGTCAAATCCAATTACAATTGGAAATTCTACCAATAACATTGTCCAAAATGGAAACAGCTATGGACAATTGGGTGGTAGTACTAATTCAAATAACAGATATAGAAGTAATAGTCATTTTAGTGCCAATGGTGGTGGTGGTGGAAGTGCATCATCTAGTAGAAAGAGTAGTAATGCTGGTAATTTACAACCAGATACTGGTAATTGGAACGAAGATGGAGCATTCACAAATTATTATCGACCATCAACCAATGGTCATGAAAAGGAAGCCTTTATCACTCCTACCTACATTCCAAACAACCCATATCTATCAGAAGCTTTGAGAAGAGTAGACAAGGAAAAGGAAGACCATGCAGACAGAATGTCAACATCGGTCGATTCATTTGCCAATTATCATATGTTTAATGACTATTATGGTGAAAACTCTCCAACTCCATCATCCATCAAAGAGAAAAAGAATAGATATGCTGGAGAAGACAATCAAATATTTATTACAAAAGATTTTAAAAAACCTTTATTATCTGCTTCTGAAACAAGTGCAAAGTTTTGTCCTGGTTGTTTTAACAAATGTAAAAAAATCGAAAAAAAGAAAACAAAAAATAATAATAATAATAATATATTAACTTTTTTTTTTTTCCTTTTCCATTTTAGTGGGATTTTTTAAAACAAGATTTTGTTATTATACAGGTGATTGGTATTGTACAACATGTCATCAAAATGATAAGATGATTTTACCATCGAGAATTGTAAATCATTGGGATTTTAAAGTTTATCCTATTTGTACACAGGCCAAGTTGTATATTACTCAACATTATTCAATTCCAGTTGATATCTTTATTTGTAATCCAAAAGTATACGAACTGTCTCTTCCTCTTGGCAAACTATTGGAAATTCGAAAAAAGTTACATTTTATTGGAGAGTATATTGAGACTTGTCGAAACAAGACATCACTAGAAGGATTATGCAAAAATAGAGAGTATTTTGTTACTGAAAATGTCCATCTCTATTCACTTGATGATCTTGAATATTGTTTTGCCGGTCATTTACTTCCTCAAATTGAAACATTGATTGAAAAATATATTCATCATGTTACTATTACTTGTATTGTATGTATTAAAATATATACGAGTATATGTATATATTAAAAGAATTATAGTTTTTGACAATTTTATTTTTTTTTTTTTTTTTTTTTATAGACTTGCAAAGGTAAAGGATATATATGTGAATTTTGTAATAGTGATAAACCAATTTTTTCTTGGATGATATTGGATAAACAAAATATAGTTCAATGCAGTAAATGTCATTCATTGTCTCACAAGAAATGTTGGATTGAAGATCATTGTCCCAAATGTATCAGAATTGCAAAGATTAAAGGAAAACATAATAATAATAGTGATTTAAACAACAACAACAACAATAGCAACAACAACAGTCAAAATAACCAAAACTATGAAGACGATGCAAATTTTTATACAGGCAATAATTTAAACAACAGTAATAATAATAATCATAATAATAATAATGGAAATTTTAGATACTCTATGAATAAACCTTATTAATGTATGGGATGGTTTACATCAGTAGTAATATCTATACCCCTTATTGTGGATAAAGAGATAAAAAAAATGTGCGGTACCATTGAAATGATAAGACCACCTATCGTGATAGCCATAATATATGCAACAGATGGTGCAGCATTAACAAACCACCATGCTAGCTTTTTTCCAATCTAATGATTAATATAGGTTGACCATGACTAGAGTTTGGATTAAAATTTAATACAATTTGTATTTTAATCAAAAAATTAATTTTTCTTACCTTTTTAACCTTGTTAATTAGAGTGTAATGTCCTGGCTGATATGGAGAGGAAACCATTGTATTGGATTTATCATTTCTCACCTTGAAGTTACCACCAACCAAGTTGAAATGACGGGCAATATCTTCTCAAGTTATTTATATAATATAGGAGGATACCTTATCCATGGACCGAAATTAGTTGCATCAACTTCATTATTGTCTCCATCGGTAAGATAAACTTTAACTATAGTTTCAAGAAAAATACTATTTATTAGAATTTAAAATCAAGAAATTAATAAACACAATACAATACATACCACGTTCTTGTTCGATGTAGAAATGGGATAATCCCTCTGGAATCTCATCACCCCAGTTGACAGGGGGGTCGAGTGGAAGGAGACGTAATTCTAGCATTTCTCCAATTATGATCCTAACCTTTGAGAATCTATCGATAATTGGTGTTAGTAGGTCTATATATCTTGTTACATTACTAAAAGAGTTTAGTAAAATAACATCATGATATTGGATCGTGACATTTCGGAGTTTCTTGACATTTGGTAGGATCGGAATTAATTAAGAGGACAAGGAAAAGGAAGAACCAAACAGACAGAATGTCACATCGGTCGACTCTTTTGCCAATAACCATATGACAATGAGGTTTTGCATTTTTTATTTGTCCTTTTGAATGTTGGTTTGTTAAGGTCCCAATTATCTCTTTGTGTGAATTCCAGCCATGAGATGCTACACTCCTCTCAGTCGTGAGACACCTCTCTCCTATCGGGAAGAGTAGTACTCAGAAGTTACAAAGTTTTATTATACTTTTTAATTGACCAAGAAATAACAATGGAAAAAATCGCGGCTTGTCGAGACCCGTAAAAATAAGTTTGAAAAACATCATGCCTTGGGCTCTACCGACTGAGCTAACAAGGCTATTTTGATGTCCCAAAACATAAGTAAAAATAAACCAAATTTTAGTGTGGAAACCTTAAAAATCGTCAAAAAAAGTTTTTTTTTTTTTTAAGCATCTCATTTCGTGGCATCCACCTGTAGGGTGGAGCACTACTCTTTCAATTGCGAAGTTTTATTGATTGAAGTCTTTGTTTGACCAGCAATGGGAACTGAGTTTCCAAAGAAGAAACAAGTCCAATCTGTTTTTTGGGGTGCCAAATGTCTGTTCTATTTCCATCCAAGCAAAAATTGCAAGTCTTGGTGGGAGCTATTAGTTCTATTTGTTCATCAATACGACGGGAAGCTTCTTTACCTGTTGAATCGAGGGGGGCTGAACGGTTCTGTGAGTTACGATCCATAGTTCTTTTGTCAGATTAGTGACCAGATCGTGACTGTTGGAGGGAGTGCCCAGTGTCACCATCCATATGTATGTGTGTGTCGAGTAATGGTTGGTGGTTGTGTCTATACCATGATTATCTATCTTATATCGTTCTGTTGTTCGTATTGTTATTGTTGATTGATGTTTTGATGAGATGTTGATGATGTTCTTTTCCAATTGTAATAGAAATGTGAACACTGTTTTCAAACGTCAAAAAAAGCATCTGGTCTCAAATTTTGAATTTTTTTGTTTTGGAAACATCAAGCCTTGTTAGCTCAGTCGGTAGAGCGCAAGACTCTTAATCTTGTGGTCGGGGGTTCGAGCCCCCCATAGGGCTATCTTTTGTTGTTTTGACTAGCCATGTTTTTTTTTGCGGTTTTCTTGTTCTATACACTCGTCGCTATCTTTCTAACCTAGTTTCATCAAATTCCTTTGAAACCACACATGAAAAAACCATTAAATGGTTCAACATATGGTTTTTTTTCCGGTTGTTTTTTCGGCCAAAAAAACCAGTATAGTAGCTTTTTTAGAAACTTTCTTTTTTATTTTCACCTCTTTCTAATATGTTCTTGCTCTTTACACACTTGGCTATCTTTCTAACCTAGTTTCATTAATTTCCATTAAATCCTCATTGAAAAAACCCATCAAAAGGTCTATCTGTTGATTTTTTTTTCAAAAATATTTAAATAGAATTCTACTGATAGTATAGAAAATAGTCCTATCTATGGATTGATCACACCAATTTGATTGATTTGTTTATCTCTTTAACATATTTATTTATTTTATTTAATTATTATAGTTGTTTTCTTTATTTTATTTGATTTTTTATTAAGATATTTATTTATTGTATTTTATTTATTTATTTATTTGATCTCTTTATCTCTTTGATAAATAAAATAATGATTGATATGATATGCACTGAATCTAAATGGGTTTCCAATTGTACTGTGTTTAGGGTATCTTTGTGCTTTATGTGCTGGTAGAATGATTGTGTTGAGTGATTTGATATCATCTAGTTGTGAAAGATCTTTTTGTTTGGAGTTTCCAAATGGATAGACCAAGTTGTTTATCTCTGAGAGGAATCGAACTGTATGAATATTACTATTTAAAAGTATTGAATATAGTTGAATACCAAGTGAATCTGTTATCAATTTGATAACACTCTTTGGGAATTTAATGCTTGTCTTGTTGTTGGATAATTTATAGTTCTTGTCTTTGGTGAAATAAATAGTTGTCAACTTTGAAAATAATGATAATGTTTGATTGATATTATCATCTACCGGTATAGATACTGTTTCAAGTTGTTGGTGGTGTTGTTGTGAGAGTTGTGATAGTTGTAATTCTTTTGGTACTAATAACTTTTTGAGTGTTGTTGAAAATTGAATAACAGTTGATGAATCCAAATCATCAATAGTTGCATTTAAAATATTAATAGTTTTAATATTTGATAGTTTCATCAAGAATGATAATGAAATATTATTATCACATCTAAAGTAACTGATTTGGTTACATAATGTTGATTGATTGTTATAATTGATTAATGATTGATCTGATATCCATATTTGATTGATATTTGGTATTAATCGCATAATATCTGATGAAGAGGACAATTCAAAATGTTTGATTGATGTTATTAAATTGTTGTAAAGATATTGGTGTAGTGATTTGTTGATTCTAGTTAGATCCCATTTTGAATCAATATCCATTGTATCTTTTGTTAAAGAGTATGGAGTGTAATGGTATCGATGATATTGACATTTTCGAGCTTGTTCTCTAAATCTTGATAATACTATTGGCACGAAAATAAAAGATTGGTTGTATAATTTTTGATACTTGTCAACAAGTGAATCAACATTGCATACACATTCTACTCTGTCATGTGAATACCAACACATTGATATAATTCTTTCAATGATTTCATTTGGTAGTTGAATTGATTTCTTATTATTATTATTAATATTTGGTCTAGTTGATTTTTTAAATAATAAAGTTCTTTTTTCGGAATATGGTTTTAAAATTGCACCATTATAATCAAAACCAATATCTTTAAATGATTTAATTTCCGATTCTGTTACGTCACCATGATAAACAATTTTCAAATCTTGTAGTGTTTGAAGTAAAGATTTCTTTGCTAGTAGGTAACTAAACGAATGGATTCCAAGGTATCCCTGTGAGTGTGCATGGTTGTATTTAAATTTTTTAATTGCGATATTATTTGATATAATTTCCAATGGTAGCAACATTTGGACCGGGGTTACACCACGATCGCGATGGTAGTAGGTTATTTGATCTACAAGTGGGAATTTGGTAGAGTAGAGGCGATTTCTACTCCAATTGGCGGTATTATCTCGGTGCCCATAGAGAAAGAGATGACTGATATTTGGGAACATGTCAACATAGTCTATATCTTCGTCAGAGTGAAAATCCAACGGGGTACCGAGTGAGATGCATTTTAATGTTTTTTTAGAAGCCTCTGTAAGACATTTATCATAGATGTGCAAAGAAGAGTGTTGAACGGGCAAGATAAATTTGACCAAGTGATTGAGAGGGATCTTGTTCCAATTCACACGACCAATTGTATCGACAATCTTGATACAAGTCAGATTTTGAAATGAAAATGCCCAATCCAAATTGCCCATGCGATCAGATTTAAAGTGAGTTACATCGGGCATGTATTTTAAAATAAGAGTAAGGTCTTTTTTAAAGAATATATTGCCTCCTAGAATAGACAATCTTTTTACACCTTTTAATACTTTTACTCCGTCTGGTGGTGAAAGTGGTAGTAGTCTTTCTTCTTCTTCCTCCTCATCATTATTAATAATGAGAGATCCGAAATGATTGAAAAGTGTATCTGGACTGGACCAGAGCGTAGTTAGGTTCATTGGAAAAAATTCAAAGTTTGAATAGTTGTTCCTTTTTCAACTTTTTTAATTCTCCTTCCAAGTATATTTTAGTTGTTGTTTCCTCTTCTTCTTCTTCATTCTCTTCATTCTTTTCTTTTTGTTCTTTTTTTTGTTGTTGTTGTTGTTGTCGTTGTTTAATAATCTTTTGTATCATTACTTCTTTGGTTTCTTTTAAAGTTGAATCGATACCCATCTTTATACACAATGCCAGTAGTTCATTTTTATACATTCTCTTTCTCATATCTTCTTCATTGTACTCTTTCTCCACTTCCTCTTCCTCTTCTCCCTCATCCTCCTCGACTTCATCTTTTCTTTTCTTCATATCTATGTTATTTATCTCTTTGTACTCATCGAATGATTGGTCAAAGATTTGATCAGAGATTCCAAAAAAAAAAAGTATTTTTTGATTAAAATAATATTATATTTAATATTTATTTATTTATTAATTTGTTTTGTACAATCATTTATTTTATACATTTTTGGTACCCTGTAGGGAGATTTAAATTTATATTTATATATATATATACAATTTGGTGTATGAACAATTTGATTTGATTGAATTTGACTATCTCTTCTTTTAGAATTTCTTATTTGCTTTTCTAGTATTCATTGACTTTTGATTGAATAAAACATTGGCCAATTCATCTGATCTATTTTTAGATCTTTGTTGGTAGAGATCGACCGACTCGACTTGGTTGGACTCCTTTTGCATGGTTTTGGTGAGTTGAGTCTCGATGGTTTGTGCTTGGTTGTTCCACATTTGTTGTTGCTGTTGTTGTTGTTGGTACATTTGTTGGTTGGCGGCCGACTGTGGTTGCATCATGATCTTTTCCTGCTTCTTGGCAATGACATTGTTGAGCAGGGTGGTGTTGGTAAAGTTTTTGGCACGCGATTGGTGGTAGTCACCGGTCGAGGCAATCTTGGCCGATGTTTGGACGAGGTTGACACCGAGTGCGTCGATATCGGCATTCTCAATGGCGACCTCTTGGCTGGTGGTGGTCTCCTTGGTCATGGTGATGAAACGGACGCATTTGAGACCCTTCATGGTGGTGTAGTAGATTTGGAGTTGGAAGGGAAGTGACTTGAGCTTGCTGAGGTCGTACTTGGCAGCGGCGGATGGGTTGACACCATACTCGAATGAGACGGTTGTGTCTTGGTTGACATTACCTACCTCCTTTTCAATAAATGATTGGAGTGATGCGAGAAGGGTTGGGTCTTGGATATAGAGACCTGCGTGCAAACGTACTTTGATCGACACGTTGGTAGCGAGGACGGGCAAAGCAAGCACAGACTTGAACTCCTCCTTGAGAGAGACGGGGTCGACAATGTTGACGTCTCCGTTTGTCTGTTCGGCCAACTTACCCAATTCTTCGAGTTTGCAGTCGGCACCCTTGATACCGAGTACTGCGACGGTCGTACCGGAACGTACGCAGTGGTCGACCATCTGGTTAAAGAACTTTTGTACATCCTCTAATTTCTTGTTCTCGACGGCACCGACACCCACGTTGGAGAGACCGTCCGTGCAAACAACAATCTTGCTTCCACGCACACGCGAAGCCATACCGACGGCGACGGCAACAGCTGGTCCGAGCGCAGTGCTACCCTGGGCATCGAGGGCAAACACCTTGCGAGCAAGTGACTCGCACGACTTTGATACTGGTGAATTTAACGTGTACGACGATCCAATCTCCAACAACTGTCCGACATCCTCGACCTTGGATTGGTCGACTACTTGGACTGGACTAGTTCCATCACCGATAATAGTGACTCCATGACTGAATGCAACCACTCCGACACGTCTATTGGGATACTCTTTTTGGAGTGTCTCGAGCTGCGAGTCAATTCCATATTGCACGCATTGTAAACGTGTCACATAGTGACGTTGAGGAGTATTAACAAACATATTACCTTGGCTACGCAACATGGATTGTTGCAACTTGGCAGCATTCAACTGATCGGCAGTTTGGTACTTTGGTGGTATCTTTTCAGGTACTTCATACGAACATTGCATACTACCACTAGTATCAATACAAAAGATTACATATGATTCATCATCTTCATGTGTTGGTGTGGCAGTAACAGCAGCGGTAGTATTATTGTTGTTACTATCAACAGTAGTAGTTGATACAGGTGGTGCTTCGAGGACATAATCTACAATATTGGTCTTTGGGATCTCCTCTGGTTGCAATTGAATGGTAGAAGTCTCTCCACAAAACTCGCACTCCCATTTGTTGGTTTCGGTATTGTAACCTCCAGCAGTGGCAACATTGTCAAACGATTCTCCATCACCACTATCAAGTTTCTTGAATTGGTTGATATTGGAGAATGCAACCTTGCAACTGCTACAAAAGATTGGATCTCCAGTAGCAATCTTGGTTTCATTACTCAATGTACCAAGACTAACATTTAAAATATTAGTTGTAGCTTTTTTAACTACCTTTTTAACTTTTGGTGCTCCTCTATATGGTGAAGAGTTATTATTATTATTATTACTATTTATATTACTAAATGGTGATTGTTGTTGTTGTTGTTGTTGTTGTTGTTGTTGTACAGGTGGTGCTGGTTTACTTCCAAATAGACTTGAAAAGAAACCTTGACTTTGTTGTTGTTGTTGTTGCTGTTGCTGTTGTTGTTGTGGTTGTTGTTGTTGTTGTGGTTGTTGTGGGTATGGTGATACTTGAACTTCTTCAGTATCTATTGATTGAGAGAGAAAGAAAGAGAAAGAGAATATGAGTGAGCATACAAAGTTCAACAAAGTTCAAGTATCATCATCAAATATAAATATACATACCTAACTCCATTTCCTCGTCTTCATCACGACCAATATAAGTGTATTTGCTTCCAGCGTTCATTGTTGTTTATTTATTGAATTAAAAAGAAAAAGATAATTTGTAAGAGATAATTTGAAAAGATATATTTGTATTTGTATTTGTATTTGTATTTGATGATTGTTCAAATTAAATTAAAACAAGTAGCTTCATGTTCATCTCATTCAGCTGATGTCAAAGATGGGAAACAAGACAGATTTCAATTTAAAAAATCAAGTACTAGTTTTTATTCGATGAATGGTGGTCAATGAATTGTTAAATTTACTTTGCCTTTTCACAGTGAACCAATGATTCACCACCCATCGCCCTGTCACACTCCTTGGGTATTTTCATTCAATAGAGGGACCTACCTTTTTAAGGATTCAATGAAATTATGTATAATTGCATATGAAACACATTAATTAATTGTGTATTGTGTATTATTAATATTATTTTATTTTTAATTTAATTTATTCTTCACCAAACTTTTCAACAATACCATCAACAAAAGAATCACCATTAATTAATTTAGTGGTGATGATGACAAAATCACGATTGGCCTGTTCTTGACGACCGAGGAAACGAAGTGCTGAGATTTCGGCAAAGGTGACACCTCCGATGAAATAGACGAGGGTGATGGGCTTGCGATCGCTCTTGGCGTTGCTTTGAGCGCCTTGGGGAAGGGGTTGCACCTCTTCAAAGGTGGGTCCGGGCAAGAGACGGAGTGCCTGCTCGATGGAACGCCATCCTCCGGGTTTGGTGGCCGCCTGAACAAGACGTACCGAGAGAGGAGCGTAGCCACTGTAGACATAGGCAATATCGGTCTGGTTGGTCTCGTCGAGATCCTCAATGATGAGGTTGAGATCCTGTTTGATGAGTGGGTAGGTGGGTTTGGACTCTTTGGCGCGGCAGAGGAGACCGAGCTTTTCAAAGTTGTTGAGTGTCATGATGGCCTCGGCACCGTACGACTGTACAATCTCGCGACGGTAAAACTCGAGTTGCTTGGGTTTGAAGCCGCCGTTGGTGAGTGAGTAGATGACGAGCAGACGGAGTATCTTGTACATGGGGTCTTTTTTGTTGATGCATTCCTCGAGGTAACGCTCGACGGCCTCGTTGTTGATATGTGCCAGCATGTTTTGCTCGCATTCAATGCGACGCATAAAGCCGGGAGACTTGGTGATATCGAGGATTTTCTCGGTGACGTTGGTGTGGATACGCAGCGAGTTGTGCTCTTGTTGGTACTGTGCGAGCTTTTTGACAAAGTCACGGATCGCAGCGGGCGACTGTGACGACTGGAACCGCTTGTAGTACTCGTCGATATCCTTGGCCTTTTTGTGCAAGATACCACCGAGCACTGAAAAGTTGGTGTCTCTAATCTCGGCAAACACCTTGTCATTTGAGTGCAATGGGAAGGGCAGTTTCTTGCCGCCGGCGCCGGCAGCTCCCGGTGCAGCGGGTGGAGGTGCGGCAGGCTGGCCAGGTGCACCCGATCCCTGAGGTGGATTGACTAGATCTTCGTCGAGATAGACAGCGTTGTTTTTGATATTAAAAAACTCGTCTATCAAACCCTCGTACGTCAACTGCGTACACATGGGTGTGATGAGATCGACGTCACGGTCAATCAAGATCAACGATTCAATCTCGGGTGGCACGGTCACCTCTTCACCCTGCTCCTTTCGCATTCTCGTGATCAAGTCCATCACCAGTCTCGAGCTGTGTCCTTTGCCCTTGACAATGGGGATCGTGCCAAACACCGACTGCAACTTCATCAACGACTTTGCCACATAAAACAATGATGTACGGTCACCATCCAACAAGAACTCTTTGTACGCCGAGCCCAGCTCAAGCGACAACACGTCCTCATCAAACGGTACAATATCCAACGACAGTTCATAACTCGCCGATATACTACCCGCCACACCTTCCTCTTCCAACACTCTATCGCAAAGAATCGTTCGACGTGGTATATAAATGATTGCATATCTCTTACTTTGTTTTTCAATGTCATGTTGTATAATATGTTCTTTAATCATTTGCATATATTTAATCCTAAAATTAAATCAATCAACAACAACAATACATTTGTCAGTCAAATACATAAATATATATATATTTCTACTCTCTCTACATACTTTGGTCTAATAATGTATATAATATTTTTACAATTGGTATCTAATCTTCCATTCTTTAGTTCATAGTTTCTCTCTGCACCGTGTGATTGAAGGAATTGAGGGTCTACCACCAAGTTTAGTAGACCAATGATCTTTGGGTCCATGACCAATGCCTTGTTTCCCCCAGGTAGAATATCGAGTGCTTCTCCGAGCTCTCTCTTGCTCTGATCTCTGATTGATGACAGGTTGAGCACTTGACCTGATATATTTGGAATCTGTGAGAGTAAGAGTGGAGGTGGTTTCTTTGCACCTGCTGGTGTTGGTTGTGCAGGTACCTTTCCCATAGCTCCTGGTTGTGGTCCTCTAGCTTGTTGTTGTTGTGGTGGTGGTCCTCCTCTATTCATTCTATCTATCTTTCTATCAATTGAGAGGTATACTGATGATCTAGTAGTGAGTGGAGTGGATGTTTTATATTGATTATTTATCAATTATATATCTATCTATCTATCGATCCCTCTACACTCGAGTTACTTTACTTCAAAAGACTCTAGATACTTCTTTGCAATCTTCATAACCATCATCATCATACAAAATTATTTTTTTAATAATTTTTTTTTTTTTGTAATATCTATCTTTTTGATTAAGTATTTAAACCAAATATGTATTATACGTGTGTGTGTGTGTCAATCAGTTCTTTTATTGATATTAATGGTCAGTCAGACTGACGGTTGATTCCTTAACAAAGTGGCCGACACCCAACTCGATTATCGACGACTCTGATAGTCAAGACAAAGTATATAAGTTGCTGGTTGGAATACAAATAATTTCATTCCATTCCACTGCTCAACAAATAATCAAACATCATAAATATCATCATGACACTTTACGGTAATTATTTATATATTTATTTATAGATTTCCCAAACAATTTCATTTCTTGGCCCTTCCATCCAACTACAACCTCATTTGGATTATGCAACCTACTTAATAAAGTCAGAGCTCTTAGTAGTTAAACCATGCATAATTATTGATTAATATTATTCATCTTTTATTTTTTTTGTTTTGTTGTCCGATCTGACACCAAACAATGATCAATAACAAATATACTATGAACAGGGATGTGATGCTATGTGTGTGGGAGTGTGCATGTGTGTATTCAGGAGTTTTGTTTCATTGATAATATATGTAGGGGTCAGTCAGATGGTGGATTCTTTTACAAAGTGGCCGCCACCAACAAAAATATTTAACCCGCCAAATGCTTTGACAGTCAAGACAATGAATACTTAAAAGTTGCTAGTACCATGGAATCGATCCATTTAATTTCATTCATTTCACTCACAGATCAACAAATAATTCAATCATGGCACTTTACGGTAAATAGTATTTTATTTATTTATTTGTTAATAGATTTCTCTTTTACCTTACCTTGGGAATATAAAATCCACTGGGGCCAGTGGATAGACAAACAAAATATTAATTAAGTTCTTTTCTTTTCTTTTCCATACCCTCCTCGCACCCCATAATTTTATGTATAGACTCCACAACATCTATTGGCAATCCCAGGTCTTCATTATCACCTCCTATTAATGGATTCATTGGTAGTGATAAAGTATACGCAAAAAAAAAAAAGACTATGGCTGAAAAGGCTGAAGGTGAAGTAGGAAATGCTTGTATTATCTTGTAATTCAACGAAATTTGATTTCGTTCATTCATTCATGTCTTGGCAACCAACCATCCATCCAACCATCCAACTACAACCTCACAAATAGATGATTTGTTTGGCTTGATATGGATTATTCAACTTAATTTTAATAAACACTTTGATACGTGCATTATTTTAATAAAGCCATTTTTTTGTTTTGCGATCTGACAACAACTTCACACTTTTTATCATCATCCTTTCTAGACCTCTATCTTTGTTGTAATATATAGAATAGAGAGTTGAGAGAGAAAACAATGATCAATAACAAATATACTAGGAACAGGTATGTGATGATAGTTCACACACTAATTAGACATAACGATCATAACATATTTGTCGACAGATATATATCTAACACTTTAAAATCTTCTACTACTACTACTACTACGACTACTATCTCTATCTTTCTTATCCGACTATAGTCAATCTGTAATATTACTTTTATTTGGAAGTAAAGGATTTAGAATATGGTCAATCATTGCGTCGTATTGGTTAATTCATAATACATCTACGATTAATGTTGCATTCTTTACAACAGCTGTTGCATCACTTATATTTGCAGCCTATGAGAAGCCATGGAAGTCACTATCTTTGGTTAAAACATCACAATGGAAAAAGCTAGTCATCTTTGCCGTCTTGAATACTCTTATTGTACTATTATGGAATTTCGGTTTGAAATATGTTGGTCCTATTGGGTATGTTCAAAGATCAAACTCATAAACAATCACATAAACTTATACATTCTTATTCTTTTCTTTCTATATCTAATTTAGATCAGTATTGTTTTCAGATTATACATATGAAACATACCCTATATTATTAAGTGCAATCACTTCAAATGCATCAAATATTTTTGGAAATGATATTGTATGGATTTGAAATCAATAATAGATCAAATCAGATCATCTCCTTAACTTTATCTTTTATTTTTGTAGGGAAGAGCATGTATAATGTTAATTGTTGGATATATTATAATACCAATTTTTGGATCATCGATTGCAACCAACTTTGCCAATCCTTCACAAGTTTTATTCATTGGTGGAGTGTGTCTTATTCTTCACAATGTATTGATATTCTTTAGAAATGATATGCTTCTCAAATGGCAACACAGTGTCAGTACTGGTATTGGAAAAAACAAACTCTATTCACTTGGAATGCTCATATCGACTGTTTTACTATTCATTTTGAAATTATTTGATTATTCCACTTCGGTATTGTATTACTATAATTAATTATTATTATTATTATTTATTAATCTTTATATTTATTTTTTATATTTTAGGATTATGATTATGTATTTTTACCAACATTTTATGAAATGGTACAATTAATATTAATTGCAGTATTTGGAATTGTTAGTAATTATTATATTGAAGCTGTTACTGAACAACAATTGGGATTCCTTATATTTAGCAAAGCTAGTTTGACAAGCTCCTTTGTATTTGGTTTGGTGTTGGGTGGTGGCTTTTCATTTGCTCAATTTGTATCGTTTGCATTGATTATCACTGCCATCCACATTCTCTTTTCCAAGGTTAATTTGGATCAGTACGGCATGGGTGTGTTGGGTGGTGGTGCTCCAGGCGGTGTCAGAGACATGACCATGGGTACCGGATTGGGCGGAAAGTCAGTCGGTGGTGGAGACGGACAATTCATCTTTATCATGAAAGACATTCTCCAACAAATCTTGGAAAAGCAGACATCTCGTCGTATCTTTACATTCCTCGTCATCAACCTCATGTTTATGTTTGTCGAGATGGCCTATGGTATCTGGACCAACAGTTTGGGACTGATTACCGACGCATGTCACATGTTTTTCGATGCGACGGCGTTGTTTATCGCGCTTGTTGCAGAGGTTATCAGCAATTGGAAGCCAAACGAGACATTCACCTATGGTTATGGACGTATCAAGATCCTTTCCGGGTTTGTCAATGGTATTTTCCTCATTTTCATCGCCATCACCATTCTGATGGAGTCGATCGAGCGTCTGATGGAGCCGCCCGAGATCAACACGGACAAGTTGCTCCTAGTCTCGGTGCTCGGCTTCCTTGTCAATTTGGTCGGTATCTTCTCGTTCCACGAGGGCCATGGCCACAGCCACGCTGGTGGTGGTGGTCACACCCACGGCCACTCGCACGGTGGCGCACCTCCAGCCGCCGGTGGCGAGGAAAAGAAAAAGAGAAGCGTCAACATTGACGGTGTGTTCCTCCATCTGCTTGCAGACACACTCGGTAGTGTCGGTGTCATCATCTCGTCGCTCATCATCCAGTTCTGGGGCTACACATTGGCCGATCCAATCTGTTCGCTCTGTATCAGTATCCTCATCTTCCTTTCCGTACTGCCATTGATCAAAAACACCGCCAAGACACTCCTTCAATGCACTCCAGACCCAATCGCCGACAACATCTCCAACATCACTAGCCAAATTTCCAATACTCCTGGTGTCACTCGATTCTCAGACTATCATTTCTGGAGTCACAACGAAGACGATGTTACAGTTGGAACCATTCGCGTACATATCGATGCTCAAGCAAACGAAAAGAAGATTCGTAAATCAATCGAAGAAATATTCTCAAATAATCAAATTACAAGATCAACCATTGAAATTATTAAACCATTTGATGAATCTATAAAACATGAACAAGAAGAAGAAGAAGAAGAACATCATCATCATCATCACGACGAACAATGTGATCATGATCATGATCATCATGAGCATGGACACGATCACGATCACGATCACGATCATGACCACGATCACGGTCACGGTCATGAACACGAACACGATCACGAACATAAACATGAACATGAACATGGTCATAGCCATAGTCATGGACACAGTCATGCACATGGACACGGACACAATGAAAATAACCATACCGATATTCATCAATCATTGGTACATGAACAACCACCACAACATCATCACCCATACTTTGATGGAAATCACCAACACCCTTACGACAAGGATAAATAAATATATTAAAACGAACAACAACAACAAAAATATTTAAAAACTAATTACAAAATATTTATTTATTTATTAACAATTTATTCAAAAATACTACAATTATTATTATTATTAATATTAATATTATTATTATTGAATAACACATCTACGACGACCACCTCCACCACCACCACAATTTTGACGAGCTTGTTGAAGCTGACTGATTTGACCTTGAAGACTATTGATGGTAGCTTGGAATTGAGCTTGACGATTATTGGCATTTGTATTATTATTGGCAATGGTGCTGTTTAATTGTTGAACATGATGGGCATATTGATTAGCATTGGCTTCAATGGTACTCTTCATTCTGTTTTCCAATTCATTCTTGGAAGCTGTCATTTGTTCGATTCTTTGTTGAAAGACTGTTTCGTTTGTCTTGATATTAACCTCTAGCTCGTTTTGTCGTTTGATCAATATACTGTTTTGTTGTCTAATATTTTCTCGTTCAGCTTCACTATTGGCCAACGATTCTTTAAATTGATTGGTACGTTTGAGATAGGAGAGGAAGGTTTCTCTCTTTTGTGCAATTTCAACGCGATAGCTATTGTATACATCTTCAATCTTTGGTCCCTTTGCATGGGCATAGTATTCCTTTTCAACTTGATGTTCGGCATTGACAAGAGTTTGATGATCTGGATTTTCAGCACCAAGCACTGGGTTGATAATATTCTCAACCAATGTACGAATCACTTTACTATTATGTTGAATGGATGCTTCATTATTCTTTAAATGAACTGATAATAAAAATCCTCCAATTAATTGATTCTTTTCATCAAATTGTGCACATTCATCCTAAAAAAATAAATAATTAAATAAATAAATAAATAAATTAGTTATAAATATTTCTTTTTTCCCAACATAATATTTTTAAACACACATGATATCTTTCTGAATATTTTTGGAAATATTGTAAATCGGTATCCAAATCTAAAATCTTTGCAAACATTTGATCAGATGTTCTAATTGCCTGTTGATAGTGAGCCATAAACTCTTGATGACTGATTGGCAGAGCATAAATACGTTGGGTAATTTCAGTTTGGAACATTTTAACAGTGTCACATAGAATGGATTCATAACCAAGTTTTAATGTTGTATCCCAAGTCGATTCAACATTGATAGATTTACCATTTTGAATATCATCCAAATAAATTTTAAGTTGTGATATTAATTCTAAAAAAATAAATAAAATAAATAAATAAATGTAAATTATTAATTATATATATCGTTGTGATATCTATCTATTTTTCATTTTAATTTAATTTACATACGTCTACCATTCATTCTTGAACCTGGACTTAGACCCTTTTTAACTTGAAGAACATTCTTGATTGAACTAATGAAATTGGCAACATCAGTGTGGAACTTGGGGGAAGTAAAAGGATTGTCAATATCTTCGATATTGTATTTTAAGGCTTCATGACCTGGATGAGATACGGTGAATGCCATGAATGATTTGAAAGCTGTCAAGAGGAATTTACGAATACGGTTTCGATGAATAATGTTTTCTTGGTCAAAGAGATCCGATGTTTCGTCTTCTAGCTTGAATACCTTTTCACGCATGAATCTTTCCATTGTACACTCGTCGATACCATTCAAAGTAGGAGTGAGATGGCAGTCTCTAAACACCCAGCTGAAATGACTTGGGAAAAACTGACTGAACTGTTCCAAGTCTTGTTGGGTGTTTCGATTCTCACCCTTTCTAACGACAATCGATTGAGAGAGCTTGGTGATAAAGTATAACTTGTCGAAATCACCCGATGTTGGAACAGAGACAGAGTTGTAGACAACGTTGGACGACAATAACATTGATAGCGAGAGAATCTGATTATCACACTCAATGGTGGTACTCTTACTGGTCGAACCTAAACCCTCGGTATCTAAAAGGATGACAGTCACCTCTTCCTCGGTACCATCAGGATAGACAATAGGATGTTTAAAAGGTACACCCCACATCCATACACCCAATGTACAACTCTCCATCGTATGTCCAAGTTCAAATCCTCTTGACAACTTTTTAGACATCATTCTATTCAATAGATAACTTTTACCTGATCTATAAGGTCCAATTACAGATACCTAAAAGAAACAAATAATTAATTAATTAATAAATAAGACTGAGCAGAGAGAGAGAATATAATATATATATAAATTATATATTTAACATACAATAGCTAAAGGACCTTGAATTTGTTCAATGATTGAAGCAGCACGTGGATTTAAAACAAGATGAGTTCTTTCTACACCTTCCATGATTCTTAGTTCGTTTGCATTGTTCAATGCACAGTTGTTTGGATAAATGAATGGCATGGGACCACAATTGAGTATCTTGTCATCATCGGTGAGCTGACCGCTGTCAATGACGTCTTGGTAGAATCGGTAGTCTCTTCCCTCGAGCACCAGCTTTTTCTTGTATTCATTGTACATCTTTTCTTGATCGAGTGGAGTCACCGAGGTATCTTGCAATCGGTTCATTAGCTGGTTCATAAAGTTGTTGATGGTAGTGTCATTGGATGGTTGGTTGGCGAGTACATCTAGACCTCTAGTACTAAAGAAGTTGTCTGTAAACTTGTACCCATTTTTGTCAAGTGCTTGTAAAACATGTTGAATGACTTTGAATTCATTGCCATCTTTAACCTTTGAGAAATCCATTTCACTATCTCCCTTTCTCATTTTAAAAAAAATTAATTATTTAAAAAGAATAAATATTTATATACAAATTTACAATAATAATAATAAAACAACAACTCTAAAGACTTATATATATATATCATGATACAATTTAAATTTTTAAGTTTAAAAAAAATAAACTAACTGGATGGACCTAAATTTTTGGTCCAACTTCAACCCAAAAAAATGATTGGTGATAAAATCTACCCATTTCTAGGATAGAGAATTACGGCAGTATGAATAAGAACAACAACACCAATCCTTCAAGCTTGAATACAAAGTATATGATATTTAATTTTAAAAATAAAAATAAAATTAAAATTGGTAAAGAGTTTCAGTGTGATGTGGGCTGATGAACTATCATTTCTGATTTTGTGAAGCGATATATTATATTAGGTTCGATTAATATAATTATACTATAGTGGTAATTTAATGTCTCATCAACAAGGAACACAACTCAACCAACAACAACTACAATTTCTATATCAACAACAACAACAACAGCAACAACAACAACAGAATGCACTGAGACAGCAGCAACTACTGCAACAACAACAACAGCAACAGCAGCAGCAGCAGCAACAAAATGGAGGTCAGCAACAACCACAGATACCTGCAGGTCAACAACAATACAAACAACCTGCTTCTGCTGCTGCTCAACCCGTGAATAATAATATTAATATGACATCCCCACCCAATACAAACACAAACACCAATACAATACAACCTACTTCTACGATGACGACTACTAATACTAATACAAATGTATCAACACCAACTTCTTCTACTTCTACTTCTTCTTCATCATCATCAATGACACCACAATTCCCACAACCTCAAATAACAACATACGATAAACCAATATTACTACAAAAGGAGATACTTGAACTATACGATATCATTCTTGGTCAGATTAGTAGTGTTAGATGTGGAACTGATGAAATCTTTCAGGCTATTATGAGTGATGTAAGAGGTCCGTCACTCAGATATCCTTTGTCTGATCAACCAACAATGCATCCCCAAATCGATCGTGACAAGAAAAAGATTGCCATCCAACAGGCAATGAAGTGTATTCTGCGATCACTCGCCATCATCGATACCCTTTCACAAAAGGTTGTCAAATACACTTCACCAGTGACTGCACAACACAGTCACATATTTGAATTTACATGGTCGATGAACAAATGTGCATACGAACCATCGATACTAAGAACACAATCATTACTCAAATCAGAGTATCTCTGGAGAGAAGAATCTGCTAGAAAATCTTTAACTGCTATACAGTTTGTATCAATATATAGATAATAGAAACTTTAAATTCATAATTATGACTAATATATATATACATTTAATTTGTTTTAGATTATTGGAAAAGAAAGTACCAAAATTAAAAGAAATGATTAATTCTGCATCACAACAATCTTTTACTTCTACTTCTTCATCTTCTTCATCTTCTTCATCATCAGCTATTGTTCCAACATCGGTAACATCACCAATATCAAGAAAAAGAAAAGATTATCAAAATGATCAAGTATCACCAACAACAGCAGCGGCAACAACATCACCTAAAAAATCAATACTAGATAGTTATAGTAGTCTCGAGTCTATTATTCAATCGATTCGACAAGAAGCACCATTGGAAATTGTAAAGATTCAATCCAATACACAAATGAAAGGATTGTTTGTCATTCTAAGTGATGTACTTAAATGTCTCATTTCATTCAACATGGCTGAAGAATCTAGAGATCATTTTAGAATAGATAAAATATCATTTTTTGGTATTAATGAAAGTGTAGGTTAAAATTGGTAGATATAATTTAATTATTTATATTAATCATTTTTAATTATTATTTTAATTTATATTTATTTATTTATAGTTTGATTCATTTTGGGGATCATCAAAATATAATATATTTAAAAAATTATCAGAGAATGCATACGAAGCAATTAGTTATTTTACAAGTAATCATAATAATCAATCAATTTTAAAAAATATTCTTGTAAGTTTGATCAAAGGAAGGAAATTGATTCATTTAATCAATCAAATTTAATATTTATTTATTAATTTTAATTATTTTTTTATTTAATTTATTTATAGAGCTGGATATGGTCATTTAGAGGTTTATTTGTAGAGGAATGTAGAGGATGTCAATGTATATTACAATTAGATTCATCAAATTATATGTTTTTACCTCCTTCATTTAGAACTTTTGATAATTACATACCATATCATCCAGTTTGTTATTATACTGCTCATCCCCCAACACCTTCAACTGCTTTATCATCTTCAACTACATCAACTCCACCTTTGACACTATAATAATAAATAGATTAAAATTGTAGAGTAAATTTGATTGATTGATTGATTGATTGGTCTTTTTAAATATATCTCTTTGTTTAAACTAAAGAGACTGGAATTAATTTATTAATATGTTTTAATGCTTTTTGAGGAGATGATTTGTATTGAAGTAGGAAACCTTGAATTTGAGACATGGATAGACTGTAGTCTGTTATTTTAGAGGCAAATTGGGTGGCCATTTCAAGGTTGGATGGGTTTTGATTGTCGAGTGAGTAAAAGTAGGTAAAGAGTTGTTGAGCTTGTTGCTTGGTGGCATTGGAGATTTGTATCTTGAGATCGACACGTCCTTCACGGATGAGAGCACTGTCGAGTACTTCCAAGTGGTTGGTGGTCATAAAGAGTATACGACCCTCTTGTGAGGCCACGCCATCAAGGGCATTCAAAATACCTGAAAACGATAGTTTGGATGATACCTCTGACGAAGCAGATCGACGTGAAAAGGCTGCATCAACATCCTCGATTAAAAGGATGCTCTTGGGTGGCGCATTGTTGAGAAGACTGTTGAATTGGTGATCGTCCATTTCAGAGTTGGACAAAGAGACTATACAAATGTCGAGTTTGAGCTCGCCGGCAATCGCATTGACAAGCGATGATTTGCCATTGCCGGGTGGTCCGTGCAAGAGGTATCCGCGACGGTATGGGATACCACGATTACGGAACCACTCTTCACTCGACAAAAAGTCACGAATGTCGCTGACCAAGCCGTCTTTACCCTGTTGAGGTAGGATGACAGAGTCGAGTGATCTGGCTGTACGCGGTGTACCGAATCTCTCCCAACTGCCACCACTGCTAATATAGATGACTGTCTTTCCCTCGTCGCGACGTAACGACAACTCCATTGCGTCGGTCACGAGTTGTTGAATGACATTGCCGTCGTTACCAAACACGGTGAGTACGATCGACTCGAATGGTGCACCACTAGCCATGTCAAATGTGCTGTCTCTGATACGTTCGACCCATATGTATCGTCCCTTGTACGAGACGCGGTGCTTGCCAACCGACGGCACAAATATAATGGTCGGGTTCTTTCCACTCGAGTTGTAGTCAGTCTCTGCATTGAGATTGCGTGATTGCTTGACATTGCTATTCAACGACAACCAATACAACAATGCTTCGTATGATTTGTCTTTGCTGTCGATCGTCACGCACACAAAGAACTGCTGCTTCACTCTCCCAAGGAATGATCGAGCCAACGCACTGATGAATCCAACACCTGTACCAATCAACAGGTATCCCAATCCTTGCTTGATACCAACTATGATTTGTTTGTTGAATTCAGTATTACTGAATAATGATTTAGTTGTCATTGTCTCTATATATATATATATAAATATATATATTGCTAGCTATCTATCTATCTCTGCATCAAAGTTTATCTTATCTCTCTCGAAACAGTTCATTAAAATTATTTTCTTTTTTTTTGGTTAAAAGAGCCTGCTTGATCATTAGAGTGTTGTAAATGATAATGATCAATCAGAGTTAGTATACACGCAATTCTTCAAGAGAGATATAGATGAATGCGAGACAACAGCCCAATTATGCAACTTCAGCACCCGCAATCATCAATCAAGTTAGTGTTTTCCCTACCATCTAGAGTACCAACCTTCACAATTTCTGTTCTTATGATTGACTGATACTCAATCACAAACTATAATAGATAGTCGTTGAGTTTCGAATAATCGACGATGAAACTACCTTTATCTGGTTCCTCAGTCTTCCAGATGGAGACGGGGTAATGCATTCTCGATTTTGAAATCATCTCTCTTAGTTCTACCGTCGACCCTAATGGTCGTCGTCAGACAAACGTACCAGTTCAGAGTTTGACTATGGTGATCCATTGGGATGGAAATCTGGATTGTATGACAAAAGACAATTGGACAACAAGAGAAAGCATGACCAACCTGATAACCAAGATCCATCAAAAGTCAAATGCTTTTTTGAAGTGTCAACGATTCAGTAATGCACCTCTACGGACAACATCCCATGGATGAAATTTATGGTCAATACGAACGGTAGCATACCAAACAACCCAAAGAATACTGATGGCAATATACCACTTAGAAGAACAACTACTTTCAAACATGGAGGAAAAAGATTTTAATACAATGGTTGATTTCATGTTCAAATCATGTATTGTAACAGGTATTCATTTCACAACTAGTTTATTGTTGATTTGATCTTACAGTACATGATTTGAACATTGATTGATACCCGATGATGACCATGGTCCTCAAGTCACTGAGATAAATATCCAAGTCGACCAAAACCAAACGTATGTAGGGGAACCATTCGAATTTATCTACCTTGGATAACAACAATATATATTTTGTTGTTATTTTATCCATTCCCTTTTAATCTTTTTTTCTATTGTAGTAATATATATAATATCAACCAATAGGCATCTTTATAAATCCATTGTGAAGGTCTTGGAATCCACCCAAACAGTCGACCAAAGTTATCCAATATTAATAATCCAATAACAAACTGATTATCAATTATTAGTCTTCCATTTATCTAGTATTGACAATACTAGATAATATTTGTTTTAGGATAATATGATCTTATAAATTAAATTAATTCGGTTTTTCCTAATGTGAAAATGTCAATGCATTCGCAAGTTTAGTAGTATTAATAACTTCAAGTCAAAGAGATATAGGAGGATAGCATAGGATAAGATAGAAAGATGAGTAAAAATAAACAGAATGTTATTGTTCAAGACACGAAACACGTTGAAGTCGATGACGATGATATAGAGTTTGAAGAAGAGGAAGATTCAGATATTGAATTAGGAGAAGATGATCAAGACTATGATCCAACCTTTAATCCCAAATTGTGTAACTATCTCAGTTTATCTAGATGCAAATCTGCATCATCAACTACATTGTTACAGCTGATCATCTTAACTAAACACTTTCATTCATTCATTTTGTAGATTCATATATGAGAAGAGTAACTCAACACAATGCACCAGCGATCAATGATATCTATGTAACGAATAATGGTAACTTTTTATACTATTGCAAACGAGCAATGAAATTACTACAAAACAAACAAATGCAAGAAATCAATATACATGGCTTGGGTGCTGCCATCATCAAAGCAATCAAATTATCTTTATATTTGGAAAAAAGAATACCAGATATAGTAATTGGAGCATCCACTTCAACAGAGGAAATTATTGATCATTATGATCCAAATGTAGATGTAAGAAAATATATAAATAAGTTGATGTACAAATATATAATGTGTATTGATTCATTTCATTCATTCTTTCATTTTTCAATGTATATAGAAATTAGAACCAGTATCAAAAATTAGACATTGTTCAGCCATTCATATCAAAGTTACAACTAAACCAAATCAAATACCTTCAACCATTTCAATACCAAAACCATTATCAGCATCAGAAAGAAAGAAAAAGAAAAAGAAGAATAGTAATAATAATAATAATAATAATAATAATCAAAATTCATCAACTTCTATACCACCTCCTTTGAATAGCTAGCTGGCTTAATAAATAGGTACAATAATTATTATTTGTTTGTTAACTACTTTACATGTTATTTTATTTAATTAATTAATTTATAATTATTCATTTTTTCTTTTGGGTTGGAGATAAATAATACTTTTTTGGGGAATTTTCTATTCTATAATGTTGTATCTATTCTATTCTATTCTATTCTATATTGTTTTAAATTGATTCTGCAGTTGGAGTTGATGATAATGGAGGAGTGGAACTGTCAATGGTAGAGGATCTGCTGTCATCGTCTTCATAGTCACCCATTGATTGACTGTCAGAGGTGGTGGTTGTGAGACCCTTCATGTGGTCCTCTAAAGACTTTGAAATGTGGTTGAGGTCGTCATCATTGTCCGAGTCGACATCGGCGTCGGCACCAGAGTCTGAATCAGAGTCATAGTCATTGTCGGCACCGATTTGGACGTTGGAGGTGTTGAAACGGACGGCACTGCTGGTTGACATGGTGATGTTTTCCGAAGATGGCGAGCGACGGAGTGTGTGAGTGGATGAGATGTGTGCCTTGGTCGACAACTTGTGGCTGACGAGCGAGTTGAGCGTGCGTGGAGGCGTGAGAGCAACGCTGTGCTTGTAGTCTTGGGGTGGCCACGTTTCATCGGGTGTGCGGAGTTTGTGGCGTTGTGATCCGTACGATGACGCGGTACTGTTGAATACACCAGTGACTGGGAAGTAGCGGTTGATATTGTTTAGGTTGACAGGTGACATGTAGTCGTTGCCAGCCTTGATACCAAGGTGAATGTGGTCCGTTGGTGCCCACGGCAATATCTTGATGACTGGTGGATTGAGTTTACCATTCTCAGTCATTGAATTGGACGACGACGACAACGAGCTGTCTCCACCCTTTTTCTTGGCGCTGAGGAACTTGTCGCATGCACCTACCAAGACAGCGTCGCTGCGTGTCTCGGCGTCCTTGCGGATCTGCTGTACAGCTTCACGGTCACCTAAAATCACGGCAATCTGCAACAAATAGACATGCTCACCCAAACGTGCGAAACAATCTTTGGCCAAATTATAATATCCTGCATTGACACACTCGCGTGCAAAGTCGCGCATCAACTCTTTGAGTCTGCCAAATGATCGCTTATCCAATGTCTGTGGACCGTTTCCTGCTGATCCATTCGAATGTCCATTCAAGCTGGCGCCATTGGTCAGTGGTTGCTCGGTCGTGTTGTTGGCCGATGACACCAACTTGGCCGATGTCAGCTGACGATTGTACTCTTCGATGAGGTGACGGTGTGCGTCTTGGTACTGCTTGGACGACCACGCCAAACGGAACTTGTCGAGTGACGACAACTTGCTGTGACTTGTGCGCATGTTGTTGGCCAGTGAATAGGTCAAATCGACGAATCCACGCTCTCTAAGCTTGTCCAATAGGAATCGCGAGGTTCTAGTATACTCGAAACGCGACACCAAGTTTTGTAGGTACAAACTTGTCTGCTTCTTGTCGGCGGGTGCGAGCCAACTGGGAAGCGACAAGAGACCAACTGCAAGACACTCTAACAAACCAACTGACAATGCGTGTACGACAGTTTGATTATTAATGTAATTGCTATTATTGACATTGTTTGAATGTGATGCTGACGATGCCATATTCAACACGCCCGACGATGAATCAGTCGACGATGACAACAAACCAGACTGTGAAGACGACGAAGAGTTGGAGATGGACGATGACATTGCAACACGTGCATTGCTCGATCCAATACCAACACCTTGGTAAGCATAAATGATACGATCGGGGAACACCACCGACAAAACAATTGGAGCAATACTCAAACTGGAAATAGGACGTGGCAAAAGATTATTTTGCAATGTCATGTACATCAAATGTGTTGGTGTAGTGTACAACAATGTCCATTCCAACCAATATATACTAGTGAAATAACAAGATGAATTTCTATGACTTGGTGGTACCTGAGTTTGATTAATCACCTCCATCTTTGCATTGGTTATAATAATTCTCATATCTGTCATGATTGAACAAATATTTTGATTCTTTTGAATATCTGTTTGCCATTCAATCTAAAAATAAATTAAAAAAAAAATGTTAGTTCGATTATTATTATTTTCATTTTGTTTTTCTTCTTACTTTGTAAACTTTTTCATTTTTAAATAGATATAATTGAATTTGAGTATCGACAGCATAATTATCCTTTTCAGTTGGATTTATATTTTTTGAATATAGAATACAGTTCTTTTCTTGACTATAGTATTGAACGACACGACCATCTTGAAGGGGAGTCTTAAAGACGGATGCAACCTTTGGTGTCAATTGGAAGTTTTTAAAGGCCGATACACCCTGGGTAGAGAGTTGAGCAACCTTTGCAATACGACCGTCCAAACCGAGGATAAGGATGTGTGTGCTACCAATCATGGTTGCGTCGATACCGTCACCTTGTTGTGAAACCGAGCCAGCTACATCAACCAATAAATACTTGCTGAGTAGTGTCTGCGTCGAGATGGAGTAGCTGTCAAAGATGAGTGAAACGAGCTGCAACTCTTGGTTGTATGAAAATCGTTTGGCACGGCACACTTCATCACCGGTGGGAGAGATGATGGGTGTGGAAATAAGCTTGCGCGTGATACCATTCAACGGAACGTATGCACGTAAATAGACACCGTCGAAAAAGATAATCTCGGGTGGATAAGTAAAGGTGTGTTGAGACTCTGGTGTAAAGAAGAATCCGAGTGGCAGCGAGACGTTGGAGATGAGTGGTAGCGATGCACGGTGCACGCTGTCAAATGGGTTGATCGAGTAGATGTATTGGTTGATGTGACGAATCGACGACAACTGCTGTGCGAGGTATTGTGGGGTGCTAGTCTGCTCGAGGTGCCATTGAAAGGTGAGCAAGTTGCGTGTGGGATGGAACATAATGTTGCTGGCCGATACCTTTGGCATGACCAATGGTTTGGAGTATTGTGGTAGGTATCCCAATATATCATCACTCGATGGTAAAAAGATACCAGACAACAGTGACGATGGAACAATTGATTTCATTTGATAATTGATTTCCCATGCACTCAATTCCTCTACTCCAGTTTGATGATTAATAGATACTATAAAAAATACTGGTAATTGTGGATGATGAACCAATGATAATATAGTATTTCCTTTACAAATAAATCCTCTAAAAAAAAGAAAATTAAAAAGAGTTAATAAATATATCTTTTTTTTTTTTTCTTTTGTTTTAAAACATACACAGCAATAATTTCTTGAGAATTTGAGGTTAAATCACCATAAACCAAAGTTAAACCAGATGAACCAGTCATTACCATATACTTTCCTGTGGCACATTCAAATGCAAGGAAAAAGTTTGAAGAATGTTCAATGTTTCTAGAGTTTTCATAGGATGTGAAATCTTCAAGATTTAAAAGTGCAATCTGTGACTTTGTATCCCAAATTTTGAGTGAACCATCAATACTCACCGACGCCAAATATGATTTGGTTGGATGATGAGTCAATGATGAAATTGGTTTCTTGTGTCCTTTTAATTTTGATGTCATTGATCCTTTTTCAAAATCCTCAACTATTTCAATAATAATAATAATAACAATACAGTTAGTGTTATCACCATTTCAATATTCTTTTTCTTCTTTTTTAAACATACCAACAATATCTTTTGAATTTGCTTTTGAATAATATACGGTTGCTTTGTTTGGAGCACTTGATTTACAAGTAATGGAACGTGTATCGAATTGTTTGATTGGATGTACAATAGTGATGAGTTTGTGCGTATCAGTGTCCCAGAGATACAACAGACCCTCTTGTGTAAAACACAATAAAAATTTTTGAAGACCATTGCCAGAGTAGTTTAATGTTACAATACTTTGAATCGTCTCTCTATTATCTATCATTAATTTTCCTTTAATACTTTGATTCAATAAATCATAAACTATAAAAGTGAAAAGGGGTAGTAAATGAAAAGATAAGTTAGTAAGATGTATTAAGTTAGTTTGATCTTCTTCTTCTTCTTTCTTCTTCTTGATTGACACATACAATAAATTTCATTTCTAATTGATACATAAAGGATTGGTGAAGTAGGATGAAAGCATACACTTGAGAATATGGGAGCATTTGGGAATGTATAGTGTGATTGATCAGCACCATTACCTCCACTTGCAACGCTATTGCCCGATGTTCCAGTGACACTGCTGCCGCCGACACTGGTGTTGTTACCGGTTCCACTACTCGAAGAGTTGGAGCCCGATGTAAGGGTCGATGAATTCAACGAGTGGAATTGAAGTGAGATGCCTGATGATGATGACCCGATCGATGAGAGCGACGAATCAACGAGTGAAGCAGCTGCTGATGATGCCGATGCCGACGATGCACCACTCAAGATCGAGTCACTGCCGCCGCCGTTCATCATGATCAAAGTGGTTGCAGTGGTCGATGTGATACCGCTGCCAGCACCAATCTCACTCTGCTCTATTCTATTGACACTACTCGATGCTATTGGATGATACGATGTCGACTGTGTATTCAATACTCTCACATTCGAGCATATACCAAACTTTAACATTCTTTCTGCCATCTTGATATAAAACTAACTAACTAACTAGCTAACTAAACTATGCAATGCAACTACTATAGTGTTTGTTTTGTTTGTTTGTTGTTGTATTGTATTGTATTGTGTAGATAGATATCTAAAAATATACTTATTACTCTTTTACTGTATACTACTACCTCTCTACTTCTACTTCTTATATTACTCTTGATTTATTATTATTCTTATTATCAACACCCTTCGAAGTGTGTACTCTACCGTATATCTATCTATCTATCTATCTAGTGTTTGTTGTTTTATTGTTCCCTTTGACACAGAGAGCAAGTTTCAAAAGTGCACTACCACTCAAAGCAGCTGGAGTGTTAAAAAAAAAAACTCAGCTCAAGTCATTCTCTTAAATTTGATCATAGAGGCAAATCAAAGATCAAGATGGATGGCTTGAATCCATCAGTCAGTCCACCCAACGACTACACACAAAAGTCACTCACTCTACTCTTCGTCAAAGAAATAAAAATAAAAAGAAGTAATAGTAGTTAAGATAAACGACTCGAGGTGGGAATGAGTACAAAATGAGTGAATGAATGGTTGTGTGTGTCTCTTTTTAGACACAACTCACTTTTCAATGATCGCACCTTTTGATTCCACCACACCTCATCAAAAAAGAGGTCAAATAAATGGATCGGGCGGATCTGAGCGTTGACCAGTGCACCGAATCAGATCACGTGAAACACAAAGCTATTAATTCTATTATTAATAATTATAATTTACTCACCTTACATTGATTGACATTGACACTGACACTACCTACAACCTACCTACTGTTTATTAATAATAATAATAATAGTAATAATAATAATCGATAGCAATCAAGCAAGCAAAGCACATTGTTAAACACACAAAGAGTAGCAGCAGGTGACCTCCCACTTTTCACATCAACATAGTCTTCGTCATCATCCAACCAACCAACCAACCTCATCATCGTCTTCTTTCATCATCATCATCATCATCATCATCAATCAGTTCTTCAAAGCAACATTTATTTATTATCTATTATTTATAATTATTTATTATTTATTGAATACCAGCAATCAATCAATCAATCAATCAATTACATTACATTATATTACATTACATTAGTGAGTATCAGTAATAGTAGTATTAGAAGCAGTAGTAACAGAGACAAACAAACAAACATCAATATCAATATCTCTATCGTTTCATCGCATTGAAATATTTATATTTATTACATTGTTGTTAAAAAATAATAAGTAATTATCATCATCATCATCATTCAAAACCAACACACAAGTTTTAGATTTGTTTGTATCTCTCTATCACTTTTATTCATGGTGGTGGTGGTGGGTGTTTGTTGTGTGTGTGATGGATGAGTGGTTTGGATTGAATTGGATTGAATTGGATTGGTGTGAGAAAGAGAGTGTGTGGGGTCATCGATCATCATACTAGCCAATTGACGAGAGGTGTTGGCTGGTTGGCTGGTGACTATTGTCATCATGTGATCAAAAAGATGGATCTATCGCCAAAGAGCAGACAGACAGACAGAGAGAGAGAGAGGGAGAGATAATAATAATATTCAACCTTTTAATATGGACGATACGATTATATTATATATCGTCGTGGAACCCAGCAGCAACAGAAACAGAAACAGTAGTAGCAAGCATATTTATTTATAAATATTGCAAAAAGGGAGTTGAAGAAGAAGAAGAAGAACTATTGATATTTTTTAGTATGACGATGATTAATTTTAGAATTAACCACCATTCCATCCAATCCATCCATCCATTCATTAGTCAATCCAATCCAATCCACCACAATACTATTCCATCACATCCATATCATACATATCCTATACACTCCTAACAAATATAATATATTATTTAATTTACTTACTTTTTTTTGGTTGATTTTTAATAGTACTTGGTAAAATACAAACAAACAAACAAACCAACAAACCAACCAACCAACCATACATCACAGATTAAAGAGAGAGAGAGAAAAAAGAATATTTATATTTTCAAATAGTTTGGAATCGAATCGAATCAAAGTACAGAGTTACCCCGACATTCACAAATCAATCAAAAACCTTCCGATCGGAAGTGATTCCCCCCAAAACATTGCGATTCAAGTGAGAGCGAGATCCGACAATAAACAAAAACCCACCCCAAAACGCAAGCTTGGAACGAAAGCTGGAATACAACCACGCGGGTCACACACACACAGACACAAACAAACAAACATAGGTCGGCAGTGAGCTCAGGAGCACGCAGCTGAAAGATGGGTTATACGAAATTGTCCTTATTAGACCAAGGTATGTTCTTTCAACAAAACATTGATTTTATGATCAACACACACAAACAACAACAACAACAACATTTTCAAAACAACCTAGCGTAGATAGATAGATAGTTAGATAGTTTGGTCATATATTATTAGTAAACAACATGAATTTCTTAAAACAGATTATACCAAATATTATCATTCCTCCTTCTACTTCCCCTTCTTCATCTTCACCTTCTCCACCTTCAACAACAACAATGGGAACAGGAACAAATTTACATTCCCCTTCAAAATCACAAAAGAACAATCGTCATAGTCAAGATATAACTAACTCATCGCCATCACCTAATAATAATAATAATAATAATAATAACTCTACCTATTATATAGAACATACAGATGAATGGGTCAATACATTCTATACGACATGGGGAGAATCGATTGTGTATCGAGGGTACGTCTTGTCAAAGAAAAAGAGTGAGAACAAGTGGACATCATCGATCCTCGTAATCACAAACTATCACTTGGTCTTGTTTTCAGAGGGAAAGGAATTGACAAAGAAAATACCAAAGGATTTTCATTTATATGATATTAAGAAATTAAAGAATAAGGCTGATTATGAGGTAAATATATATATGAAATATGAGAGAGAGAGAGAGAGAGAGAGAGATAGAGAATAAAGTATTAATATATTTTTTTGTTTATTTTATAGTTGACAATATTATTTCAAAAAGGTAAACAAAAAAGTAAAGTTACATTCAAAACTGAACAATTACATTATGTATTGTCGGTGATTAGACGGTTATTACATTTTGTCAATGGAGAGCATTGCGCATCGGATTTGGTGATATCGGTCAAGGGAGGGTTACCACCCATCGAGATACGAAAGGACAATACACCGGCTGACGAGTTTAGCGATCTCTATAGAGGATGGTGTGCATACTTTCAAACAGAGACCAGTCAACCTTTAATCAATCACATACAAAAAGCGATTGCTTCAGCAACCAAAGAGATTGATTTGTCTGGTGACTCTATCCAAACGAGTGATATATCTGATATTTCATTTGACCCCATTCCATTGCTACACGCAATCAAACACAGCACTCATTTCTCATCGATTGTTATGAAGGATCTTAGAAAAGATTCGGTTGTCAAGGCAATGGCCGATGTTATCTTGCATAATCAGACACTCAAGAAACTGGTGATGCGAAAGAGTCAAAATGAAGCATTGCAAAACATATTTCTTCACATGTCTCTCAACAAAAAGAACTCGATTCAAATATTGGATATTGGGGACAACCCATCGCTGTCAAACAAGTCAATCACCTCTCTCATCAATTGTATACTCACTTTTAATCATTCTCTTACCTATCTCGACATTTCAAATTGTTCGATACCCGCCAAGATGATGGCTTCCTTTTTCGAATCACTTGAAAAGAATTTTGGCATGTCTCTTACCATCGAGTACTTGAATGTATCATACAACAAATTTGATGATTCTACAAATCATTCATTTTCAAATTGGATCATTAAATCAAAAGGTTATTTAAAATTAAAGTAAATCAAACAAACAAAACAAAAAAAAGAAAAAGAAATAGAGAGTTTTAAAAATATTAATTTTGTTTCCTTCTCTTTAGACATTTATTATTAAATTCAACGGGAATATCGTTACCAAGTTTCTATTCAATTAGAAATCTTGGATCATTGGAACATTTGGATATTTCAAACAACAAGATAGAGTTTGGTGAGTTGGACAAGATACTGCCGGTGCTTGCACTGCCATCATTGTATCATTTGGAATGTAACAATTGCTCGCTTGGCAAAGAGGTATTGTCGTTGATCTTTTGCAAGATGACCGATAAAAAGGTATTGTCACACATTGAGTTGGTCGGATTGAATCTTACCAACGAAGAAAACTGGGACATGTTATTCAATGCATTGGCCCTCTTTAAAGACACTACCAATCCAATCAAGATACTCAACCTCAAAAACTTGCGAGCCAATGAAAAGACTGTCATCCCATTACTCAACATGTTGGCCGAGATCAAAGTACAAGAGTTGAATCTTGAAGGTCTGTCTATTATCTATCCATCGGCCGCACCAAATAATCAAACTTCTTCACTCGATCATTCAATCTCTGATTTGGATCTATTGAATAGTTCCGGTACTGGTAATGGACCAATATTGATTCAATCAGGTGTTGGTTTAGTTAAAGAATCCTTGGTAAATACTTTGTCGAGTAGTGGTGGTGGTGGTAATGGAGGTGCAAATGGAAGTGGTGGTAGTAATAGCTTGGCAAGTAGTTCTGAGCGTGTATCTGGTAATAACAATAACAACAACAATAACAACAACAATAATAGTAATGGCAACAACTCTACTACTATCAACTTGGACAAACTACAACAACAACAACTCAATAACAACTTGTCGCCAACTAGCAAGTTGAATCTTACTATTAGTGGCGATGACATTAACGCACTCAACGAGTCGAATAATGGATTGCTGGGAGACAACACAGTCACCTTTAGAACACAGTTTATCAAGGCGTTGCAAAAGATCTACATGAACGCAGAGTTAAAGTCACTCAATATATCGAATATTGGTAGAATCATTATTAGTTTGATGCCTGCATTGCACAAAAACAGTTCGGTCACTTCACTCGACATTTCACGTAATGCGTTGGGTGATCAGGGCGCCGTCTGTCTCGCCGCGGCGTTGTCGAGTAACCGCAGCATCCTGCAGATCAACTTTGACGGCAACAGTATGACCAATGTGGGGTGGAGCGAGATACTCGTGGCACTCAGCGAGATGGGCAAGTCGCTCAACCAGCTGTCGCCGTCTCTCATCCCACTCATCACAAGTCACTCACATTTACACTCTGTAGTCCACCCACGCCAAGATTTTGAACGTTTAATTGTGCAGACAGAGGACATTAACCGCAGAACAGCCATTTATCTGTTAATGTCACGACTACAAATGGCATTGATTGCCAACGGCAGTCTACACTATAGCGACCGAAAGAACTACTCTAACAAACTGCCCATTGGATTTGTCTCGACTTTGAGACGTGATATATTGCCTGTGTATCCATCGATCCCATCAGTAGTATACCCTATCACACCTATACCGCGTGAAATCCTTTCCAACTCTGGTCCATCCACCACCCACCACAAATCGAGTAAGCTCGGCGGCGATGGACACCACCACACTAACCCAATGTCTGCTATCACATCGTTCCTTAAGCAGTCTTCCAAGAGTTCCAAATCATCGTCATCGTCGACATCCTCCTCGTCCTCGTCGGCAACCACTGTCAATGTGCAGAACCCACAATTGATAAGTCAAAGCAACAACACTCAAACAACCGTCACCATCACTCAAATCAACCAACAACAATTAAAGTTACAACAACAAAAACAACTCCAACAACAAGAAAAGGAACGAGAAAAAGAACGAGAAAAGGAAAGAGAAAAGGAACAAAAGAAGGAAAAGGAGGAGGCAAAGAAGAGCAAGGATGATAGTACCAACACTACAACCACTACACAAAAAAAGACATCACCCAATAGTCTTAGAACATCCTACATTGAATCACCAAATACATCAAAGGTAGACCTCAGTCTCAGTGCCATCCATCATATTATTCATCACCAACACTCAGCATCTGCACGAAACTCCCCAATCCCATTTAACCTTCAACTAGGTGACCAAAAGAACAATAGTGGTAGTTTGCCACCAGTCCGTTCCCAAAAACAACAATACCCATATATACCAGATTTTGTAAAGATTAATGAACATGGACAACAAGAACAACAAGAACAACAACCATCATCTGAAATTTCAGATGGAGGAGAATCATTTGGTGTTACAAATCAACAATTATTGGATGCAATCTTTCATTTGGAAACTGCTACTAGTTATGCAGTGCAAAAGGCTATTTGTACAACTCCACCTCGTAGTCCAAACTCTCATAGTCGAACTAATAGTGGAGGTAGTGGAGGTAGTGGAGCAGATGATCCATCATCCATCACACCTGTCAAATCCAACAACAATATCAACCACAACAACATATATACACCTTCGTCATCATCATCGTTGGAGAGAAAGTCATTGTCTATTTCTTTACCCTCATCACCAGTTACAAGTACATCACCCAATCAAGAATGTGAATCACCTAGTATAACTTTAAATGGAGCCGATATATCACCTCCATCACCTATTGTCATTAACAACAATCCAACCAACATCACCTCTTCATCTAGTCCATCTGGATCTAAATCCAATAGTAATAGTACTAGTCCAACATCTTCATTTGGTAATTTACCAACAACAACAACTGCTGGAAAACCACCATCTCCACAACACAACCAACAACAACAACAACAACAAAGTCCAAGTACAACCAAGAAATCATCCAAATCATCATTAACATTTGCAAGTAGTGCAAACAACTCACCCAACACATCATTGGATGAAGAAGGAGTCAAAAATGCATTATTTAGACCTGCCTTTAAAAGAGTACGTAGTCAATCTGTCATTGTTGCACCAACAGTCACAGAACCACATAACACATCACCTCAAAACACATCAACTTCTAGTTTAGGAGGTTAAAACCAAAACAAATAAATAAATAAATAAATAGATTATCAAATAATATTATATATATTATATATTTGATAGTTTGTAATAAACAAAACAAAACAAAATCAAATTTTATCAGTGAATAAACAAGAATGATGTGTAGTGACAAACTTACAAAAGTATCCATCGTCCATTGATCTTGAGAGTATCTCGCATCAGGGAAGAGGACTTGTCGACAAGAATAATGAAAATAAGCCCCACAAAATGATCATTCCTTCTTTGGGCAATCTTTGCACTGATTTGAACAACCAATCCCAATTTGGATTGACCTTGTTAAATTTATCCACCTTTTGAATGACTCTTGATTTGGAAAGTTGGATTCATCTTTGTAAATCAGAGATGATGTCGTTACTTACTTACATATTCTTTACACTCCACCATGGTATTAAATGAGGGGTACACTCTCTCATAATAATATAGATTTATTGAATACAGTATACACCATGTCTATTAAGATAGAGTGGTGGTTGAAAGAGTAACTACGACAGTACTAATTGTTACCCAATGCTGACTGTCAGGAACATGGTCTTTAAACACTGAAACAGAGTTTGATTATTTGAATACAATCAGGATTGTATAGATTATGTTTACACGGCATGCATCCAGCTCTAGAGTTCATGAACCAATTAAAGAAAGAGGTCAACTTTTCAACTTTCTACTTTATGAATTTTAGTCTACCAAATTGATCACCCCTCATCAGGTACATTCCACATGAGAATCTCTACCAGTTTAAAGAATATGATGCAATACATATTAATATCTATCGAATTTGGGTTGAAAGGAAAAAGTATGGAAATATTACTCTACCATACTCTACTATCTACTTTACTACTCTACTATATTCAATTGATGGAAAACTATAAATACTTGATCCAATCAATCATTTTATATATCATCAAATCTATCAAATACCAATATTAAATATTTCAAACAAACAAATTAAATAATTAATTAAATCCAATTCCAAAAATGTTCAACAAATCTAAAATTATTTCTTTATCAATTTCATTATTATTAATATTATTACCTTGTTGTATAAACGGTGCTGAAAGTAACTATATTATATTAATTATCATTCATTAAATAAATAAATAAATATTAATTTACAATTTTCTTCCTTCACTTCTCTCTTAACACAGTTATAAATGTTGTACAAAATGGAGCCAACCTAACGATTACCTATAATCCAATGACAGTTATATTTTTCTCAAATGAATTAACATACTATGGTCTTCGTACAGATATCAAGAACCATTGCAAGGCCTTGTATGGATGGTCACCTCTTATTTGTAATCTACCAGTTGTCCCATCGTGTGATGGAGTACGTCTATATGGATCTTCAGGTATTGGTGGTATTAATTTTGAAATGACCTATAATTTCAATTGTACCGTTGTTGTGTAAAGATAATTAAACTTTAATTTTAAATTATTTAATTATTAAAGTCTCTTTTTTCACAACAAAAACCTTCAAAAGGTTTGCAGAAAACCTTCAATCATTGTACATATTCTAAAAAAAATAAATAAAAAGAAAAAGAATGAATTTAAATAATAATAATAATAATAGTAGTGATAGTAGTGATAGTAATAATAGTGGGAGAGAGAGCAAAAGCAGTATTATAATATAATGGACAGTTATAATTGTTATAATGTATAACTTTACTTTTAAAAATACATTATCTCACTTTATAAAATGTAGTAGTAATACTAAATCATCGATAGTTAGTAGTAGTAGTAGTAGTACTAGTAGATATTATACTTCAACAACAAGTTCATATGGTACATCATCATTGAATAATGAGGATGCTATCTCTCAAAGAGAACACCCAATATCAATTTATATACATTGGCCATACTGTAGCAAGATATGTGGTTATTGTTCATTCAACAAGTATTTAGATGGTCCACATGTAGATCACTCTAGAATGAAACAATCAATGGTCACTGAATTGTCTAATTTAATTAAATTGTATTATCCTTCTTCCCCATCATCCTCCTCCTCATCTATTCAATATAAATTAAAATCAATTTATTTTGGTGGAGGTACACCATCTTTGGCAACTATTGATACATTATCATCGATTGTTGAAACGGTCTATCAATACTTTCCAACAACAACAACCAACCGAAAGGATTTGGAAATCAATTTGGAGTAATTTTTGTCCATTGCATCTGGATTTTGTTGGTGTAAATAGATTATCACTTGGTGTTCAAGTATGTAAATTAAAGTAAAAGTAGATATACATTTATTTATTTATTTACTTACTTATTTATTGTTTTAGGCATTAAATGATGAAGATTTAAAGTTTTTAGGAAGAACGCATAATACAAAACAAGCGATTGAATCAATTGAAACTTGCAATTCGATATTTGATCATGTATCATTTGATATGATTTATGCAAGACGTGGACAACACTCGGTTGAACAATGGAGACAAGAATTAAAACAAGCTGTTCAACTTTCAAAAGGTCATTTATCACTCTACAATCTAACTTTTGAAGATGGCACTGCCTTTTTTAAAAGATTAAGAAAACATAGAAGTAATCATAGTATGTAGAAAGAAAAAAGAAAAAGAAAAAGAAAAAGAAATATATATATAATTAAATTAATTATTTACATCTTTCAAGTTATAAAACCAACAAATGATCAATGTTCGTTGCATTATATGGCAGCAATAGAGGAAACTGAAAAGGTTGGAATGAATCAATACGAGATTAGTAACTTTTCGATCCCTGGTCATCATTCACAACACAATTTAAATTATTGGAGAGGTGGAGATTATATTGGTATTGGTCCAGGTGCATGTTCAAGAGTTAGTATTTTCAACAATCAACAAGACAAACCTGAAAAGGTAGCACTTAAAACGATTATTCATCCAAAAACATGGATGGATAGAGTAGATGCAAATGGACATGGTTTGTTTGAAGACGAGACAACTACCCTAGAGTTTAAAGATCGTATCAATGAATTGTTGTTGATGGGATTGAGAACGAAAGAAGGTGTATCAAGATCGACATTTAGATATTTATCACATGGTCTCGATATTGAACAAGTGTTGGATCCAATAGTACTATCACGTTTACAATCAATTGGTATGATTGTTTTAGATGAAAATGGATTACGTGTTACTACCAATGAAGCATTTATGATCCTTGATACATTATTACTTGATATTTGTCTCTAAAATAAATAATCCTATATTTATCCATCCATTTTGTTATATGTTATTTACAAATTTGTCTATATTATATTTTATATTATTAAAGATTATTATTTGTTGTTATCCTTCAGGTTCTTGAGTATCATCGAATGCCCTCTTGGCAAACCTTTAATTCTTCATTCATTTTAAGTTGTTCAATGACACGACTATATTTCTTTGGATCCTTTCTCACGAGGAATACCAAATTTACTTGGGATGATATATAGAGATGCATTGCTAAGATGGTTCCAACAAAAGAAGTGGAATTTATTCAAACAACTAACCGACGTCGGCGCATTATTCGAGAAAATATTGACACTTCGAGTATTGGTATCTGCAGATAAACATGCTATCGAAAGAGACAGGTATCCTAACTTTTGAATAAGTTTACAAAAGAGGTTGTTATAGTAACATTACTATACAATATAAATTTATTAAGTTTTGGAAAACGAGGTTCACAAATACTAAATGTCCTCGTCAAAATGTTTAGACGGTTGGGAAAGAGGCCATGGTGGCAATACCACAGTTGTTGTTTCTGTTTCTTGACCTAAATAATTATTAAAAAAAGAGGTATTAGTGAATAGGAAATGAAATTAAATGATTAAATAGGCTATATTACATGAAAATATATCCAGAATAACCCCAAGTAGCTAAGGTAGTTGAATGAAAAGAAAAGAAATATGTTAGTTAACTGTACTATATTAACTTTTTAAAAAAAAAAAAATTATTATGATACATACTACCCTACCCCAAGAGTTCTTGACGATCCAATAGTCACCAGTGCTAGAGTTGTCATGAACGATAAATTCAACAAACAATACTCTTTCGTTTGGACTTGTGTTTATTTATTGTGATATGATAATTACAATATTTGATAATATGTTACAGACCAAGATTAACAGTGAATTTATCATTGCCTTCTGGGAGTGGAGGATTTGTTAATGGTGATTGGTCAGATTTGTCATGAATGATGATTTCAACAAACAATACTCTTTCAGCAAAGAATTTGGGTAAAAAGAGAGATTTGTAGCCACTGAATTGGAGTGATACATTGTTGGTATGCATCATCTGACTCCATGCGAATCCACTTTGGGTGTAATCGTTTCGATTGCTGTGTTGGTCAACCACTTGAACTGGGTCGGTGATGGCTCTGATCATGGCAGATCGATGACCGATACCGGTGGGGCTTGGACGTGGGTGTGGATTGAAATTATTGGATTCTGCATCATAGACTGTTAAAGAGGTCTTGTCGTAGACGGTGGTGGTCAATACACGCACTTGTACCTTTCTCTTGACATCACCTAGTATAGTGATAGGGAGACTGGAACCTGGAGTTGGATAGAGACCGTAACATCCGGATATTGGCTCAATACTATCCGGGAAGACACGTTTACCTTCCATGTAATCTTGTAGTTGACCGGGGTAGAAATAGGCAGCGTCGATACGATAAATGTAGGCGTGTTCAAGGTCTGGTAGCTCTACGGGGTTACAATAAAAGTTTCTATTGTCAAACGAAGTGTCAACAGGTCTCTTTTGTTCTGGATGAATTAAAAGTTTGACTGGATACCACCATGAATCATTCTTTAACAAGAGGTGTCCGTTTTTATAGAATTCTGGGAGGTAACTGGGATGTACTTGCATTGCGCCAGTTGCAATATCATTAATACCCTTTTGTAAAGTGATATGTAACCTTTCTCTCAATGACTTTACTTCACCTGCATTCTCATTGGCTGCCTTTCCACTGATAAAGTATTCATCAACTTCTAATTGATACCACCATGTCTATAAAATATTAAAAAAAATCATACAAAAAAAAAATAACGAGTTAATAAATTCATTATTTAATGTCAAACATATATTACAACATACATTTAATACATTCATAACAGAGATGTACATGAATAAACTGTCTTGATAAAATTTGACAATATCTTTGAGGAACTCTTTTGAAGCACAAAATTGGATGATTGTTTTGATTTGTACTCTTTGAAGTTCCAATGCTTCTCTGACATAGGTTTTGAGTGTTGAATCTGCCTTTCCATCTTCAGCCAAACGATGTTTGAGTGTATTGATCTTGTCTTGAAGGATAGGAGCTGAACTAACAATTCCATTAAAGAATGCTTCACAAATAGTTTTCCATCTTTTTTAAAAAAATTTTAATATTAAATAATTAATATTGATTGATGTTATATACATATTAATTTTATACATACGTTTTAACTTCACTATCTTGAATCTTTTTATCCATGATACCAATCATTTCAGTTTTGAATTCTTCCAATCTCTTGTCCAGTTCTTCTCGAGTGACAGGTTGTTTGGCAGGATCAGTAGGCCAAAACAACGAGAATACACTTGCTAAGATTGGACCAACACCTGGAACACATTCGCTATTATATTCATAAATAGAAGTGATATTGTTGTTGTTGATGATAAAAATGATGATTAATATCAATAGCAATATTTAATTAATGATGAGTATAAACACTTACAGAGCAGTAGCGATACACGATCCAATGAACTCAGGATCAGTCAAAGTCTCTTCCAATACACCAAGTGGATCTTGAACAAAATTGACAACTACACTAACATCAATAATAGAAAGAGGGTCCTCTTTTAATTGATTTGCAAATTCCTCTGCCTTTTCTTTAATGTTGTCTTTGGTATTATTACCTACTGCCTTTGCAAATTTACCTACTTTTACCATCGTTTTGATTATATATCTTGTTGATTTATCTCTATAGAAGTAAAAGTTATCAGCTCTGGTTGTTAAAGAGAGAGATCGATTGTTCAACAAGTTGTAGTTTGGTCAGTCGGTTGAGCTGTGAGCCGATATTATCTGGATTGTTGATAACCCCATCGCTCTTGAATTGATGAGCCAATGATCTTTCAAATTTGAAGAGACAAAAAAAAAATTATGGTTGAGCGAACTTATTACTACTAGTCCATTTACATTACAAGTTGTATGTATTAATTCGAATAGCTGATACATCTGATCATATGATCGATGAACTAACCTTTAAAACTATTGTATTTTATTTAAAGTCATGTCAAAGAACTTTAAGTGATAGAAGTAGGTATAGATTAAGTATATTATTTGTGGTGTACGATATTACAAGTAAAAAGTGTTTTGATAATCTATCAACATGTTTTGAATTGGCAAAAGGTAATCTTGATGGTAACATTATCGTTTTGGTTGGTACAAAGTCTGATCTTTATCATAGACGTGCTGTACCAAAACAAAAAGTAATCGAATTTGCTCAATCAAACGGTATCTACAATTATTTCGAGTCCAATCACAATGACCCAAGATCAGATATATTTGGACAAATCCTATTTGACAATTTCAACAAATATGAAATCATTAGACTTCATTCATCACAACGCGATTCAATTTCTCAAATTTCACCCTTTAAAGGTTGTTAAAAAAGTGCACCTCGCTCTACTCTGTCAACCGAGGTTGGTTGATCAAGGAATGGGTGTAGTAGTATTTGTATTTGTCGTAGTAGTATTTCAAATAGTTTTGTATAAATGTGATAAGAAGAATAAGATTCAGAATAGTAATATTGAAATTTCACCAGTTATCGGGGTAGGAGAGGAAATGTGATCTCTACAAAGATCTTGTTGTTATCGGGGTAGGAGAGGAAATGTCCATTGCATATCCGACAAGATTTTTTTTGATTGTATCTGATTCTGCTTTGAATGGTTCCGTCGAGAGATAATTAATATCTTCAAATCAACTCAACAAACAACAACACCTGATGGATGATTATAAATAGTTGTCTTTCCATTCATGAAGAGATCCTCTTATATATATATTTCACAACAACAAATCAATGTATTGCAGTATTAATAATAATAGATTATTTGTATTTGTAATACTATTTACAATTGTAGTTCTTACTACTTCCACTACTACTGCCCAATCAACATCATCATCATGGGTGACAATTGAAACATATAATGAACCACAATGTAATTTGGATAGTTCAAGTATCGGTGGAATTGTTATGCAATCGGGAGACTGTGTCCAAGGACAACAAGTGACTTGCAACTCGAACAATGATATTATCATGTAATAACTATATAGATACTTGGTAAATATATAATTAGTTGAGAGGTATATAATAATAATAATATATAGATATATGAATATATAGATAGTAATAATGAATTTAGATTAGATTGTAAATGATTATTAATTATAGTAATAAAAGATGAATATCGAATAGAATTTCTTTATTGGATTATTCTAATCCTTTTTATAGTTGTTGATCCAGACGACTAACTGACGATGGTTAGTCGTTAGTATTTTATCCAAAATACTTTACATATTTGACTTGTCCTAACCAGGATTGAGTATATTGAGTTCAATGAAATATCATTGAGATATCATTGATTTTAAACAATCTAGATCTAACATATCACTGTTCAAGAATTCAACGATCAGGAATGTCAAACTACCGCCGCCAATGTCACACAGTACACGTCTGGTGTCTGTAACACTGTCTCTCAAGTCCATGGTTTCTACAAGACCTACACTTGCTCACCAACAATGCCATCATTACCAGCCCGTTCATTGTCCATCTCAACCTTCAGTGCCTGTAAACTTAATCCAAGTCTTCTCACTGGGTTCCGTTGGATCCCATCCTACAAGTGTATGGCCATTAGAAGAGATGAGATCTCTGGTACTGCTACTTCTGCCTCTTCCTCTGTCGGTACGTCGGCATCGGCATCTGCTTCGTTGGCATCAGCCTCTTCAGGATCAGTTTTACTTCCTTACTACAACCACGACAAAATCAATTATTATCTGTCACTTGTACTCCACCATACCATTCATAAATAATAATCAAACAACCCCATTAATGAAACAAACAAACAAATAATAATAATAAATAAAAATATTATTATCAAACTTGCAAGTTAAAAATGTTCCTCAGCCGCTGTGTCAATCATTATAATCTGATTTTTTAAAGAAGTATATATATAATATACTTATATATATACTTATATATACTTATATATACTTATACTATAGCTGTAACATGACTACAACTAATGTAGTAATAACTACAACTACAATTACAAATACAACTACATTTCATAGTATATTTAAAGTACAATATATAAGACATGTGATATTCAATCAGATAGGTAGTATAATGAAACAATTGCATAAAGGTAATATTCGTTATGATGATGATAGAAAACAACGATCATTACAAGGAAGAGATATCATCAAGTTACCTCTTATTGGAATGATATCAAAGTATGGGTTACCTTGGCACTTTGTTTGTCATTATCTACCTAAAGATTGTAAAGATAGAATAACAATTAAAAGAAGAAAAAGAGTGATTAGTGAATACAGTTGTCATCCCAATGCAACATTGGATTCACTCGTTCACTTGGTAGAATGGTCTCAAGTTGACTTTGAATGGGAGTATTTGGATTTAAATGGATCAATAATAACCAATCAAGAGATATTAGAGTATATCATCAAGAGATATCCTGTTGCTGCTGTTACTACTGCTGCTGCAAAATCTTCAAATAGTACCAATAACTTTCTAACCGAAGCAATGAACGTATCATGTAGAGAAGGGTATCTATCTACTGTCGAGTTGATAGATTCTATGTTTAAAGATGATATTAAATTGGAAAAGTTACCAATGGATATTGCTAGTCGTAAAGGTTTCATTGACATTGTAAAATTTTTACATTATAATAGAACGGAAGGGTGTAGTTCAGATGCTCTTGATTATACAGCAAATGGTCATTTAGAAATTGTTAAAGTATGTATTTGTATTTGATTTTGTATCTTTAGATAGATTTGACTAATTAACCAATATTATTGATTTTAAAATCGATATTTATAAAGTTTCTTCATTTCAATCGTAGTGAAGGTTGCACAACCTATGCTATGGATTGGGCTGCTGAAAATGGACATATTGAAATTGTAAGATTTCTTCAAGAACACCGTAGTGAAGGTGCAACAAATCATGCTATGAGTAGGGCTGCTCGAAATGGACACTTTGATGTAGTAAAGTATCTTCATGAAAATAGAACTGAAAGTGTAACCGATTGGACGATGGATTGGGCAGCGATGAATGGTCACATTGAAATTGTCAAAGTATGTTATATAAACACATAATTAATAATTATATAATTTAATATCATCCATCCTCCCTCTAACAATATAAATGTTACCTTACTTAAGTTTTTACACTTTAATAGAACTGAAAGTTTCAGTTTCCATCCTATCGCTCTTCGAGCTTGTAGCAATGGAGATTTGGAAATGGCAACTTTTATCATCGGTGTAGGAAAAGATCAATGTAATCCAAAAGAATTACTCACCATTGCATCTAGAAAGAGACATTACGATATTGTCAGATTGATTCTCTCACAATTTGGAGCTCATGGACAGTTGGGAAAAGGATTCATTGAAACAATCAAAGGAGATACACAATGCATAAACACAGAGATTATCCATCTACTCGAGATTTATTTAGAGAATGGTACCATTTGTCCAGCAGACTTTAGAATAATATTTCGTTTGGTTCCTCATGTGCTCATGTTTACCCTGTCTTGTCGTCATGGGATATTACTATTATTATTATTTGTTTTTAAAAGTAAAATAATAATATCCTATCTCATTTTGCAGCAATGCATCATTTAATACTCTTTGCAGATTTTGAATATCATAAATAATAATAATGAGTACTCTGACAACTACCACCTCATTTCATTGTATATTCAGATCGATTTATATTAGACAATTGATATTCAATCATATCAATGATATATCAAATCGATTGGCTGGTAGAAAAGGTAAAGGTAATAATGATGGTAGACGAAGATCACGAAAAGGAATAGATATCATCAAATTACCTCTTCTCGGATGGTATCAGTCTATGCAATGTCTTGGCAATTTGTTTGTCATTATCTACCAAAAGATAGAGACCAAATACTACCTGAAAGAAGACAAAGAGTGATTAGTGAATACTGCTGTCACCAAAGTGCAACATCGGATACACTAGAACATCTAGTGGAATGGTGTCAAGTTGACTTTGATTGGGAGTATTTAAATAGAAAGAATGGTTATGCAATAGACAATCAAGATGTATTAGAGTATCTTATCAAGAGATATCCTTCCATGGGAAATAGTACCACCTCTTTTCTAGTTGAAGCAATGAACACTGCATGCGAAAATGGATATCTCTCAACTGTCAAATTGATAGACTCTATAAAAGATGTACAATTAGATCTTAAAGAAACGCAAACAGCAATGTACACTGCTTGTTGTTATGGATTCATTGATATTGTAAAATATTTACACGAGAATAGAACTGAAGGATGTAGTTCAGATGCAATTATAAGTAAAGAAAATAAACAAAGATATAATAAATTAATTAATTAATTCTCTCTCCAATTATTGTAGGATGGAGCAGCAATGGACAACCATTTTGAGATTGTAAAGGTAAACTAAGTTGTAATAATCGGTATTTATACTTTTCAATAATAATAACACATTTTTTTTGGAAATAATATATATATAGTTTCTTCATTTTAATAGAACTGAAGGTGCATCAACAAAGGCTATGGATTGGGCATCTGAATATGGCCATTTAGATATTGTTAAAGTATGTATTGTAGTTTGTTCAAAGTTATTCAAACCAACTCTTCATCCAATATTCTTACATTTCTATTTTTTGTACAAAGTTCTTACATGAACATAGAACTGAAGGTGGAACCAATCCTTTAGATTTAGCAGCTAAATCCATTTTTGTTGAAAGGTGGCTACTTGGATGTTGTCAAGTTCCTTTATAAACATCGTAGTGAATGTGTATCAACCTCTGCTGTGCATTGGGCAGTTGCAAATGGTAGTACAGAAATTATAAAGTTCCTTGAAAAATATCGTACCCAACCAATCAAAGAAAGATAAATATAAATATAAATAAAGATAGTGGATATGGAAACAGAATCGAAAAATGTATTTTTCAAAAAGTATTACAAAAAAAATAATAATAATAATTTATTATTAATTATTTTATTTAAATTAATATTATTTATTTTAATAATCAAAATCAAAATAATAATAATCAAAATAATCAAAATATTAATAATAATAATCAAAATAATAATATTAAGGTAAATGAAATTATATTTCAAAAAGTATTAAAATCAAAAGTAATCAATAATAATATTTGGAAACAGGTTAGAGAAATTCATCAAATGTTGGGATTGGAAACAGTTAAATATAATTCTGACAATGTAGATTTCTGGGCATCGAATCGTTACTTTGACCATTGTACCGAGAAATATTTACAATTTAAATATGTGTCAAGACAGATGATTACATTTCTTCGTCGTCTCAAAGACAGTGACGTCGAGTTGGTTGATAGCTTGGTCAATCTCAACAACCTTCAAGATTTTCAAAGTTCTAGGGTCATTGATGAAACCATTGCTAGTGGATCATTTGAGGTAGTTCGTCATCTCCACCAAAGAGGATTTAATTGGTCAATATATGGTTTTAAATTGGCAATCATCTTGGGTCACGTCGATATCTTGAAATACATAATCGAGTATTCCAACCCAATCACCAAGCAACCCCTCGAATCTGTCTACTCTGAACCAAAGTCAGAGGCTGTTAGTCTATTGCCTTTTAATCCACTTAGAACTACTCTCTGTCTAAACATCTCGACAAATATGTTACAACAAGGGTTGTTTATTGGCCAAACATTATAATCAAAAGGATATGACTCTATTCCTTACCCAATTATTAAAACAATTTTATAACTTTTAAAAAATAAATATTTCAATTATTCTTTATTCTTTAAATTTTTTTTGAAGTTATGTTGTAATTGTTGTTGAACCGTGACTCAGGGTTATTGATGGGACGCATAACCTGGTCACAACCAAACTTGGACGCTATGCATACAATCAATAACCCTTAGCAACTGAGGGGAATCTTACACAGTTGCCTCAATAACTAAAGGAGAAGACGAGCCAATTCAATGATTGGAGTATCGTCAAACATTCATGACATCACTTTCATCCAACTCTGCCTCTTTTGAATTTACAACAGGATATTACTTCCCATTCCACAATCCAACAGCCATTGTATCAGGTATCAATGCACTTGCCAATAAGATTAAAACAAATCCTGCTCAATTATGGGGTGATGGAATATTCTAAATTTAATACAATTAATTGATTTATACATGTAATAGTTTCGAATGGTTGGATATATTGATATGCCCAAAATCATCTTTTAAATAAATAAATATTTATTATTATTAATATTCTTTTCTTTAAATAATGATTTATTAAATTAATTTCTTCAAAGATGTCCTTTCAGGTAATTGCTTAATAATAATAATATCAAATGTTCATGAACCAATTAAAGAAAGAGGTCAACTTTTCAACTTTCTACTTTATGAATTTTAGTCCAATTGTACCGTTGTAGTGTAAAGATAATTAAACTTTAATTTTAAATTATTTAATTATTAAAGTCTCTTTTTTCACAACAAAAACCTTCAAAAGGTTTGCAGAAAACCTGCAATCAGTGTACATATTCTAAAAAAAATAAATAAAAAGAAAAAGAATGAATTTAAATAATAATAATAATAATAATAGTAGTGATAGTAGTGATAGTAATAATAGTGGGAAACCAGGATACAATCATTTAGAATGTTTATCTAAATTGATTAGTGTAGATTTAAAAACACCTATTGAAAAGATTGCTGTTGTACAAGAGGGACAACAACAATGGGTACAACCAAAGAAAGTAATACATCTACGTAGAGATTTAAAGGTATTTCAACAAAGTGAAACATACAACACTGTATTAAAGTTTATAGTACAACTTACATTAAAAGTTGAAGGTTTAGATAATAATAGTGAAGTTTATCTTTCAAATGTATGTAATAATTATCGTTATCATCGTCTTTTTTTTTTGTTTTACACTAATATGTTTATATTATTTAAAGAATGTAGAAAGAACGTTAGAGTTGATAGATAAGCTTGATTCATTTATTAAAGATATACCACCAAAAGCAAAGAGAACTAGATTTGGTAATGAATCTTTTGTTGAATGGTTTGATAAAGTTGAATTGGTATGTATAATATTGTCGAATACATTATTATTATTTATTATAATATATTTACCTTATTTGTTTGTTTATTTGTTTATTTAGGAAACACCAAAACTTGTTAAAGATATATTAAAAGATAAAGTTGATAATGGTTTAATAGAATCAGTTGGTAAAGATGGTAGTACACATGTTTACGATGAATTGGCAATCTATTTAATCAATAGTTTTGGTGATCGTACACGTATCGATTATGGTAGTGGACACGAACTAAACTTTATATGTTTTCTATTGGGGTTGACAAAGATTGGGTACTTTGACGAAAAGGATTACGCGGCACTAGTGTTACGTGTCTTTGTCAGATACATGAAACTGATGCGTCTACTCGAATCAGTGTATTGGCTCGAGCCTGCAGGATCACATGGTGTGTGGGGGTTGGACGACTACCACTTTTTGTCGTTCCTCTTTGGCTCGTCACAGCTGATCGAACACAAGTACATCAGACCCAAATCAATTCGTAATCAAGAGACTGTCTTGTCATTTGCCTCTAGTTTTATGTATTTGGCATGCATCCATTTCATCATTAGTGCAAAGACTGGATCGCTGGTTGAACATTCACCAATGTTGGTTGATATCAGTGGTGTCAAGACATGGGCCAAAGTCAACGAAGGAATGGTCAAGATGTACAAGAATGAATTACTCGGCAAACTCCCAGTGATGCAACACTTTTTCTTTGGATCGATCCTTCCATTCATTGACGATGCCAACTTTGTCGACGAAGCACCACCAGAACCAAAACAAATACATACTCATACCTTTTCATCTTGTGGTTGTATTAGTCGTGTACCTTCAATGTTTGCAGTTGGTGATGATAGTTTAAAAGATCTAAATATTATTGATAATATTGATAATAATAATAACAACAATAGTAGTAGTGTTCAACAACCAATTTCAAATATAAATAATAACGACGATCATGGACATAATAATAATAATGATCATACACATGATCATGAGCATACTGAATCATGTTCTCATTAAATAATAAATTAATTGATGTTTGATTATCTTGTGTCTGATTGATTTGTGTCCAAGATACATTATCCGTCACATTCCCGAATTGGTAGACACTCAAACAAATACCAAAACCAACCCAAATCTTTAAGTATACGAAATAAAAAAGGGATTGATGCCAATTGGTTTGTTTGATCGGGCGACTTTTTTTTTACTTTTGGAGTTTGGGATTATTTGATTGTTGGGATCGACCAATGGATGGGAATCACTCTGAGAAATAGACAACAATAAAAGGAGCAAAAAATTATATATCAATAATATTATTTAACAGTCTCATTGAATAATAATCGATTCTATCAACCAATCAAACTAATAGTTTGGTGTCATTGCCAATTTTAAAAGAGTGTCTTAATATTTGTTCAGGAAATGCAAATGTAACAGTGGTCATGAACACCTATTGGATTGTTCATCATTGGTTAATCGTAGTCAACTACTCAACACAACAGTTAGGGATAACGGAGTGTCACTTTTATCAACCGATCAAACGATTACTGGTGTGATTGTCAATTTCACAACTGGAATTCAATCCATTCGAGAAATTAGTCACGACAAATCGATCATTAAAACAATATCAATAGTATTTGTATCTGTTTTAATACTTTTATTGTTTTATATTACTCCTATTCATTGTAAAGTTGCATAAGTTTGGACGACACCAACAATCGAGTATCTGTCACTGTTTCAACATCAAATATTCAAGTTTCTCATTTTTGTATGTATAGATATCTATAATTATATTCATGTTTTAAATAATCAAATCTAATGCCAATTTCAGTTTATAGTCAGAATTGGTCAATTCCATAACACCAATACCCGTCGATCAAATATACAATCAAAATCATAGATCGGGTGTGGTCATCACCAATCAACACATTGCAGGTGATATTCCATACACAATCAGTTGAATATGACAAGTGTGGCATTGATCAATAAACACTCTTCAAGTGATATTCCATTCAATTTGATTACCAGGTGATTCGTCTTCTAACCTTCATCGCTCCACATTGTCAATATTAATTTCACAGTTCTATTCAGATGAAAATGACCAGCGTGGAAAGATGAAAGTTAAAAGTGATGTAACACCTTGTAATCAAATTGTTTGGAATATCACTTGAAGAGCGCAAGTATTAACATTAATAAATAAATATTATAATAATACGAAGAGTTTAAAGTTTTGTTTTGTTTTGTTTGTTTTATTATTTCTATTATACAAAAATATTTAAATAAATTAGCTTTTGTTTTGTTATTGGGGTGTTGATAATTAATGATGATTGTGTTATATATATATATTTCGAAATATTATTATGAACCATTATTATTAATATTATCTTTTTTTTTTGTTTTTTTTTATTGTGATTAATTCACAATTTAATTTAAACCAAATCAGAACGTTTACAATTTCTTGGTTCTCTTTGAAGTGATAGACTATACAATTCATCTTCCGAAAGGATTTGTAGATTAGTTAAACTTTCTTCGAGTTTGTTGTTCTCTTCAATGTTGGTATAACTATTTTTTTGGAAATTTCTGATGACCTTGAGAACGCCGTAAACATTCTTGCTTTGCTTCAAATTAATGCCTGTTCCTCCTTGTTGGCCTCCTTCGTGGAAGAATGTAATGTCTTTTAAAAATACACCCAAATATGGGATACATGGTGATCTAGGATCGATTGATGACAACTCTGATCGATAGGTATCGTGGTTGCCCTCGACTGTCATCAGAGCTTGCAACTCTGTTGACACTTTCTGAACCTTTTGCTTCATTTCAGCAAAGGTGAACTTTAGTCTAAAGATTGGTGGTTCATTTAACCCTGATAAAATTGCCATCAATGTATGATAATTTTGTAATGATTTTAAACACTAAAAATAAATAAATAAATAAAATAATTAATAATTGATTTAATTTCAATTTTGTTTCTATATTTTTTTTCTTTTTCTTTTTTACCTTTGCAACTTTTAATAATTTACTCATATATTTTGCTCTTGTTCTAATCTTTTCCTCTTTTAATATTACAGTACAAACCCATTTTGTGATCATATTGAATCTATCGATAGCTGCACGCAAGTTTGGTGCAAGGTGACGAGTTTTCTCCTTGACCCAAGCTTGATTGAGAAACTCTGATGTTTGGATCTTGGAGTAGATCTCAAAATCGATCAATGTGAGTTGTTTGGCAATGTCATCGGCTGGCATTGTTAAAATTTCGGCAAGCGAACCAGTCTTCATTCCTCTACCAGACATGATTCTTAATGAACTCATACCTGATTTTGGTCTTGATGATTTACCTTTTTCTTCCAAAATTATATCAGTATTTAATACCTAAAACAAAAAATTAATTAATTAATAGATTAACTATAATTATTATTATTATTTTAGCTTACTCTTTTTACAAATGATCTTAATAAATAATTTGATAATGAAGTATTATCAACAATGATATGTTTTAAAAAGACTTTAAGTACGGTGACTACATCCTTGTCAAAATCGTCAAAATGTTCATCGATCAATTTCTTTAGCACCTTGAATACATTGTGTTGAATTGGGTATTCAACCTTTCGACGCCATTCGACTTGAGAGATATGCAATTCACCTGGAGGACTTGGTACGTGGTATCGTTGCAACAATTTGTTGATCAACAGTGGAGTGGTTGTAAAACTTCGATAGGTTGCCAAGCATGCATTAACCTCTGATATATCGGCAATGAATGTAATGGATGTTAATTTTTCGACAAGTTGGTTGAGGTTCATAAAATTTACACGGTTTGTTAAAACATCGGGAGTTTTTGATGGTGAAGTTGATAATGGTGTTGTGGTTGCGGTAGTAGTAGTTGTTGTTGTTGTCGTATTTGTTGTTGGATTATTGGATATCGACATTGGGATTGGTGGTGTACTGTTTGTTGCTGCTATAGATAATGGTGAAGTTAAAATATTTGGTGTTGAAATGGTCGAGTTGTTTGTATTATTACTACTATTACTAGTTGGAGAGAATAAATTAATAGATGAAGTTGCTGGAGAAACTTGTTTGTTTGGAGTGGAGGAGGGAGTTGAAAATAGAGGTGATGTTACAGAGGAACTCGAGTTTGGTGAGAGTGGAGGTAGTTGGAGTTGTGGTGGTGGAGCTCCAGCGGCATGGAGTTGAAGGATCGGAGAAAGTATTTGCATTGGATTGTGTGGATCGCTAATACTCATACTCATAGTTCTTGGTCGAGACTCTAAAATTGGAGAATCGTGTTGGTTGTGATGATCAGGTGATTGATCACCATTGATTGACATCTTTGGAAGTGAAAGAAGAGGTGGTTTGGTTGGTAAAGGTGGTAATGTATTTGTAAATATTGGTGATCCTCCTTGATTATTATTATTATTATTATTATTATTAGTATTATTATTATTATTATTATTATTATTGATATTATTATTATTATTATTATTATTATTATTATTGATAGCGTTGGTAGTTACACCAGCACCATTTTGAAGTACTAAAGAGTGAAGATGATTTGCAATGCCAGCAACACTAACTAAATATGGTGAAGATACTGGTGGAGTTAATTTCGATGTAATGTCTGTAAAATATGTTAATTGATTAACTTCATCCCAAATATTTATATCATTTTCTAGTGATTGAAAATTAAAAAATTAATAACATATTTCTTTTATACATATATATATATATATATATTTAATGTTTACCTGAACAAAGTTTTTTACGACAAGAAAGGTATAAATGATCCCAAAGATTTGCATTGTTGATACTAGCTTTCCATTTTTGACAAACTTTAAGACATTGACAAATAGAGTTGAGGTCAAGATTACGGAATATTTTGCAAAGTAGGTTGTCGGGAAGTTTGGTGATATCTGGACGTTTGGTAAAGGCTAGTTTCTTTTGAATGCTTAGTACGAGACCTTTGGCCATTTCAGAGATTGGGTTGAGATAACCTCTGATAAAGGTCATAAGAATAAAGAGGGCAGCCGATTTGAACTCGATGGTCTTTGAATCGACGATTCTTCTGAGTAACTTGCCAACACGCAACTGGATTGGAATTTCGACTAAACGTTTCCAATCGACATCTGTCATTTTGCTGTTGCAGTTGGTGTATTCTCGTGGTACAGTGTAACGTTGAACAATCTTTTTGAGGACGAGTACCGAGGGAAACGAGGGACACGATGAGACAAACTCTGAGATTTCATCGTTGGTTGGCACGCTCGTTAAAGGGGTGAGCTTTCGCATCGAGGCGTTCAACACCATGATGTGAGTACCGTTGCTGCCCGAGATGATGTTTTGGGTGGTCGATGCAAGTATACCGCTGCCTCCACCAACAGTCTGTGATCCGCTTCCGCTGCCGCCGGGAGTAGGCAAAAACGAGATAAGACTACCAACATTGGTGAGCGTAGTAGATCCAATCATACTACGCTCGCTCTTGGCAGACTTTTTACCAACGGTTGCGTTTATATCGAGGATGGATTTCTTGGCATCCTTGCTAGAAAAGGTGATGCTACGACCCTTTTCCTTGACCGTGGCAGATGCCATCGCGGCAGCCTGTTGTTGTTGCTGTTGTTGTTGTTGTTGATACAGCTCTTCGTCCCAGAGATTGACATCGTAGGGATCAGAGTTCATCGTGCGTACATAGTAGTTGTTGAGGTCTCTCCAGAGTGGTTGGTTCAATGCCAACAGTCCTTGGAAATGCTTTGATGCACGAATCAAACTGCACACATCGTCGGCGTGCAAATGACCCGAGATACGCACGATTATATTGTCTCCCAAATCAGACAATGACATGCAGAGATCGTCATCGATGGCGCCAGTGTCATTGTCCAATCCAATTGCCATTGATTGTAACGACAGAATGCTTCCATCGTCTTCATACTCTTCTTCACTGCTACTCTCCTCTTCTTCGTCGTCGTCATCGTGTGTTGCTGGTGTTGTCTTTGTAGAATGTGTGGTTGGTGTTGTTACTGGTGTAGTTGTAGTCGTCGTCGTCGATGTGGGTCCACTTCCCAACAACACTGCATGTGGGTGTTGCGAAAGGGAAGTAATAGTACTACCTCCACTGACACTAGTCGATGGACTGCTGTTACTACTACTATGACCACTATGACTATTATTATTGATGATGTTTGAATGTGAAGGAGAAGATGAAGCATTGTTTACATTTACAGCGGCAGTGGAAACAATGATAGGGATGGAAGAGGAAGATGTCGGGGATGAAGAGATGCCATTCTTGAGGGGAGACGATGGCAAGGGGTTATTTTGCATCGCAGAGGTGCTAAAACTAAGAGGATTGCTCAGCTCTCTGGTTAGCGGTATATTTGGGTTGGTTGGATAGACATTCTCACTCGGTGTCCGTTTATGATTCACCATCACACTGCTCACAACAGTATCAAGCAACGATTTCTTGTTCGTGCTGTTGGCTGTTGTAGTATTGCTGCTGCTATTGTTGTTACTCATCTCTATCTATCTCTAAATACCTCTAACCTACAATATGCTTCATACAATCTATATTCAATAAATAATCATATAGTAATAGTAGAGTTTTTTTTGGTTAGTTCAACTTATAAATATAATTATATATATTGAAGTTATTATTATTATTATTGATTGGGTTGCGTTAATAATTATAACAGTCAAAAGGTCAAATTATGATAACTAATTTAAAATTGATGGTTGATGAGATGCTTAAAATGATTCGTTTGTCAGAGCCAGCGGTTCTCTAAATCATCATCATTATTCCCCCTTCCCTCTTTTGCTTGGACTGAGGAGGAATAGTTTAAATTGGTGGCAGCATCGTCGTCGTCGTCGTTTCAAACCACACCCTTCATAATATTATTAAATCTTTCCCCGTTGGTATCTGGGTGATGATCATCAACCCAACCCAAAACACCAACCACCACCGTTACCATGTTTATTGTTGGCATTGTCATCATTTTGATGGACACTAGTTGGTGGTGTAATTTTTGATGATATAGCTGCACGAGTATGTCTTTATCTTTTTGCTGCTACTACTACTAACTAACTACTGTTTGTGTTTGTTGATATTGTCGTTGTAGTCTCTTAATGCATCATCATCATCAATAACATCATCGTAACTACTCTACTCTACTTGTTTTGTTATTCTCTGGTTCTCTTGAAATGGAACCTGTATGTATGTATGTATGTGAATGTGTGAATGATGATGATGTGGTGCTATACTTACTTGTAAGGCTTTTGATAAGATAGTGAGGTGGGTCGGTGGTAAATACTAGGGGTTGGTTTGGTTGAGTTGGGTTGATTATTATTGTTGTTGTTGGTATGAAATGATTGATTGATTGATTATTGACCGATCATTATCTATCTATTATAGTTGTCGTTATTACAAGTATTAATGTTACAGGTAGTAGAGTTGTTTGTTTGGACTTAATATATCTGTCTTGGTCAACCCACAAGGAATGACTATTATACAGTATTTAAGAAATCTGTTCCTTATCTATCTATCTTTATCTTTTATATCTAATCTCTCTTTCTGTCTCTACTAGTAGTAATCGATTACTCTGCTGCTATAGTAACAACTATTTTATTATTAAGGAACCTCTACTATATCTTTGAAAGTAACCTCTTCAGGAGTTGAAAAAATCTTTGGTTTTTTAAAAGAATGTTATTTTTATTTTATTTTATTTTGTCTTTTTTTTTTTTTTTTTTTTTGGTTCTTGTGTCTTTCTCTCTAACTTTATTGTTCTAGTACCTGAGAGATACAGACCACAAACAAAAGGGTGATCTCGAAAATTCGTTGTGTAGTGTGTGGTGAAGATAAGGTGTGCTGTTTCCACCTCTCTATCTTTATTTGCCGGGTTTCTTTGTTGGTTTCAGCATCTTTGCAGCTTTTCATACTAGTAGACCTCACAGCTTGGTCATTGGTGACGTCATGTTTTGATGATTTTTAAAATCAACATCCGCTACTCGAGGATGAAGACGAGCTACTGCTGCTGCTTGATGATGAAGATGACGAAGAACTACTACTCGACGATGATGAACTACTTGATGAAGATGAAGAACTACTGCTGCTGGATGATGATGATGAGGATGAGCTACTAGAGGATGAAGATGAACTACTTGAAGACGATGAGGAAGAGGAAGATGAGGATGAGGATGAGGATGATGAGGATGATGAAGAACTACTACTCGATGAAACCATCGATTTTTGGACAGAGTCGATAAAAGTTATAGGGTGTTCTACATTTTGATTCCTAAAAAAAAACAAAGGGTCAGGAGCCGATTTAGTAATATTACTAGTTTGGTTAAATACATACTCTATATGATCTAATTGATAAATATTAATTTTCTGTTCTTCATTTGTTATTTTGACACTCTTTCTATAGGGATATACAAAGTTGGGAAGTACCAACAAAAATGCAATCAAAGCTATTATAAACCATTTAGTTTCCATTTGTGTGAATATTTATTATATATTTTGAAATTATTATTATTATTTAATGATATTAAATATAAATAATAATATAAATAATATTTGTTGATTGTTGGACTGATTCCGTTTGTTGTTATTGTTGTTTTTGTGAGTTTGGGACAACTTTGTAAAGATATATTATTTATCCCTTTTTTAAAATACAATTGTATTTAATAAACATCATGGAATCTCTAGTTTGTTTGGTTCTAATTTGAAATCGTCCATCTATGAGATCATCATATTTATATTCTCCATTCATTATTTATTATTTATTGACCATACATGTCTCTTTTCATCCAACACACCTCCAGAGTACATCTAAAATCAAAATAAAGTATCAACAGATAAAGAATAATTTTAAACTTTACAACATTGACTGATAATGAATGTAATATTAATATTTTCCTATCAAATATAAATCCAATCATAAATAGAATGTGGTTGTCTTTATCTATTGTTAAAAAATAGATATATCAAAGTTGTGTGTTTTGTTGTGAGTAGTTATAGATTTGAATTATAAATCATATTAGATTTCTCATTTTTTACAGTTATATTTGTATATATATTTGTATATATATATTTATGGATACACTTTCATTGGTTTTCTTTGTCCTGTCCTCCACCTTTTGAAAATCCAAAATACTTAGTATTAAATATTTTTATGGTTTCATGTCGTTCGTTTTCATTCCGCTCTTGGATGAACGCCGATTCAAAAACAGACAGAGAGAAAGAGAATTAAAGAGATACATAAATTAACAACCAATCCAATCAATGAATAATTAACAACCACACTCACTCTCACTCACCAACCAACCAACCAACCAACAACTACTACTACTTATAAAGAATCGCTCTTATCAATAATTAAAAGATAGATAGATAGATAGATAGATAGACAGTTAGATAGATAGGTCGGTCAGACAGATCATCATATTCATCATCGTCATAATGGGCAGAGGAGGAAAGAAAAAGAAAAAGGTCGACTCATCCCCATCCTCCTCATCTAATACTAGTACTGTAGAGGTAGATAGTACCTCTTCTTCTTCTTCCTTTACAAGACCACAACCCATCAAAAAGAACAAGAATTACAGTAGCACAAACAAAAATGTACATATTAGAAGATACACCGAGGTATCCATACCATCAACACCTATAGTATCTTCCCCCTCTTCTTCTTCAAAACCAATAATAACAACAGAAACAGCATCACAATCAGTTAAACTAGAAGTATTAAAGAAAAAGGAAGAGGTTTTAACTAAAAGTAGTTTCATTCATAATAATAACAACAACAACAATAATATCGATAATAATAATAATAATAGTAGTTTCAACAACAATAATATCTATAATAATAATAATAGTATTATTAATAATAGTAATTCTAAAGGTTACAATAATAATATCAATTATAATAATTTTACTAGTATTTGTCATAATAATAGAAAGAATACTAATAATAATAATAATAATAATAATAATAATAATAATAATAATAATAATAATAATAATAATGGGCCGATCAAAAAGAGAAAACATGTTGGACTAAAAAAGAGAGATCTCGAGTTGGAAGAGACAGACCTTTTGCAACAACTTGAAGATGATGAAAGAAACAAAAAGGAGGCTTTATCGTCTGCCACCTCTTCAAATGAACTACCACCAATCATTACTGAATTCAACAATAGAAACAACAAGAACAACCAAAAGAACAAAAACAATGAAAAGAATGTTAGAAATGTGATAGAGTCAACAAAGAAGCAACAACATATTATAAAGTTGAAACAATTACAACCACATTTCTATGCAAGCAACAAGAGAGAACATGATGCAGTGTCAAGTGTCGATCATATGGTCAACCAATACATACCAATCTCTGAAAGGATTCCATCAGATTTTACACCACTTGTTGGATCAAAGACTGTCAAGACCAAAGAATCGATTCGTAATATTGGTTATAATGATGGATTACTCAAATCAACTGGTAATCAAGATATGTCAGTTTGTTCCAACATGCAATATCCATCTTATTTTCCAGTGGTTGGACCAAATCATACGGTCGGTTCTGAAGGTACACTTGCCAATTTCCAACAATTATCTTGTTCATCTGCCAATTCACCTAAACTCATCTTTTCACCATCCAACCTATCAAAAGACAACAACAACAACAACAACAAAAGAGATAAAAAGATAAGAGTTGATAAACTACAATTTGTATCTATTAATAGTAGGTTATCGGAATTTTGGTTTGAACCACCAGCCATCAACTATCAAACACAATTATTTCACACCAACAATATTGAGAGTAGCGAGTTTGTACCAGCATCACTACTCAACCAGGTTATAGACTCGGAGAAATCGTCGCAAGCTATCCTTGACGCTCAGGAATATGCAAACTCATATCTTTACGGAAGATGCGTGATACTCGTTGACGACCGTCTCTACCTATTTGTCACTGGTGAGAATATGAATGTCATCTGTCTCTACTCGATCACTTCAGATCCAAACACCAAACCTTTTCCATGTACATTTGATTATACCCAATTAGACTCTAATCATTTTTTTAAACAACCTCAAACTATTTATTCAATTAATTATCATAAATTCACAGAAAGTAAGTAAATCAAAATAATAATAATAATATTATTATATACATATCAAAATTATTAATACACTTTATTTATATTTCTTTAGAAATATCAATTGTTTATTTTAAAACATTATATTCTATATATTTTTTTTATTTAAGAACAAATAATACAGCTGAAAATTACGATTATACTTATCAATTGGAATTTATAAGTAAATCGACATTTGAACAAAAGATATGTGATGTCGTATTGGATACGACTAGCATCAAAGATTCGTATATTGTATTTCAAGATGGATCAATCTATCGATACATGTATCAACCTTTGCAAGGAATTCAGTTGCAATACACCAAGATTTTGGATTCCGAACCTTTATACCCACAAGTCTCTGCTAGTAGATGGAAGAGACTGTTGTTTTATTGGCAAACGAAAAAGTTGTATTTATCAAGCTCAGCGTCGATCATTATGATCGATCTCCAGGATGGAAAGGTCGGAAATAGCATTCCCATCTTTTCAAAAGATTCGTTTGGTGCCATCACTGGTTTCCATTCACCGTTGGATCCTTCAAATCCATTCTCTTTTATCATCACAACCATTTCAAATACTCTTTTGGTTGATAGTAGATCATTTGATAAACCTCTTATCGTTTGGTCAAATATTCATCAAAAATCTAAAAAATTAGATGACCAAGAAATAGTTAAAGAAGAAGAAGAAGAAGAAGAGAAAATACAAGAGGAAGAAGAGGATGAATTATTAATAGATTATGGACACCCAACAGACATTTTATTTAAAAATATGAAAAGTACAAATATTGAAATGGTGAATATTAAATTATTAATCATTAGTCAAAGTGTCAGTGGAATGGTTTTAATATTACAATATTCATCGATCCTCTCGAGTACCTCACCATTCCCAAAGGATACGTTATTTGCATCGCCGGCTAGTTTGATACCAACCTATCCATTCCCTTCACACCCTCGACTAGACAACCCACACCAAATCGAGAGAAAGAGTAGAGACAATAACAGAATCTTTTCGTTTATTCTCAACAATCGATCGAGTAATTCCCACCAACCGGTTGCGACCAACACCCCTTTCCACGCAGTCCCGTGTTTTGGCATGTCGATGAAACACATACACTTTATTCCAACCAATCCAAGACAGACTGAACAGTTGGTTGGCGTGTGCTTTGTCCAATGCTCACCATCTACCTTTTTAATCACTCAGATGAATCGTCTCGGTGACATTGTATCAAACTCTTATAATGTAAAGTTTATTCCTTCGTTGGTTCAACAAAGAAAGCAACAAGCAGAGCCGGCGGTGGCTGTGGATACTGGATCAATGCTAGTCAACAAAAATAGATTATATCAATCGAAATGGATAAAGAGTGGTGAGGAGGTGTATTTAATGCAACGTATGGTAGAGAAGAGAAACTTGCTAAACTACTACTCGACCAACCCCAAGTCAACCTATCAAATGGTGTATATGCCCATCAACACATTCTCACAGGTCAATATGAATTTAGATAAACTTCAACAAGACATTAAAAACTCTTCTGAAAAGGATGTCGACCCTATTCATCTTGCTATCTACATGTTGCTCGAAGATAGGGGTCCCAAGTCACTCGCACAAATCATTCAAATTCTCAAAGGCACGTTTGACGAGCGCAAGATAGTTGGACATTTGCGTGATGCGTCTGGTGACGCGTTGCTGCAGCTGTCGGCGACACAGCAGCCAACCACAGGTATATTCAAGATCACCATCAAGCCGCGCATGAATCTCTTTCATTTGGGCAGCTGTGTTAGTGTCACTCAGCAGAGTGACTCTACCTACCTCGACACTTTGCTCGAATACAACTCGACCATCTTTTACTCGCACTCTTTTTTCACACTCAAGATTGAAAACAATCCAGAGAAACTCACCAATGTCTCGTTCCACGCCAACGACAGACGTGTGCTTGTCAAAGAGGCTGTAGAGACCAAAGTCAACGCGGCACTCGAGCAAAGAAGAAAACGCAAGCTCGACGAAGAACGAGATCGCCAAGAGACACTGGAAAAGGAGAGAAGCATGTCATTTATCGAAAAACATGAACGAAAGATGGAGGAGCGTAAAAAGGTGGCCGAGATGCGAAAAAGCTTTGGGTTTAGTGGTTTGATTAAATTAAGAAGGGCTACCAAAGCGAGAAGAAGAAAGAAATACAAGATTGTCAAACGTGACCCATTTGACCCGGAAAAATGGCGTGGTGAATGGCTCAGAGGTTGGCAAGAGATTGACCCGACTGCCAAACAACCTAGTTTCTACTCTCCAGGTATTCCAATTCGTAAACCAACAGTAACTCAACAAGATGTAGCAAAGAAAAGATTGGACAAAATTAAGAGAATTGAAAATACAATCAAAGACAAGTCAAGAAAGAAACAACCAAAAGAAAAAGAAAAAGAAAAAGAAAACGAAAAGGAGAAAGAAAAGAAACAGGTTGTTGTTGTTGCTCCAACTCCAATGGTTACGGAAACAAAACCAATTCCATTATCAACACGTCGACACAATTCACTTGGACAATTTAAAGTTGGATCGAACACTAATCAAAAGGCAGCACCAACACCAACAGTGGAAGAAGAGAATAATGATGACGATAGTGACACTGATGTTGAGGAAGAAGAAGAAGAAGAGGAAGAAGAGGAGGAAGTTGCATCATCAACGATAACTACACCAACATCAACGACAGTCTCAGTTACCGAATCACCCAAAGAAACATTAAATAATCATCAAGATGATGATGATGTAGTAATGGAGGATGATGATGATGAAGATGCAATTGAAACAAGTGATAATGAAAAACAACAAAAACAAATTCAAGAGGAAACAAAGAAGAGAGTCCTTTTGGAGAAAGAGACCAAAAAGAAAGAAAAAGAGATTAAAAAATTGGAAAAGAAGGAAAGAAAGGAAAAAGAAAAGGAAGAAAAGAAAAGATCAAAACAACAAGAAAAAGAAAAGGTGGCTAGAAAAGAACAAGAGAGCAGAGATATTGAATATGACAGTTATCCAGAATTCTTGTCACAACCTCTTGATTACTCTAATGAGACTATAACCGAGACCACTACCACCTCTTTCAACCAAAATCCATTTGCTCTTGTCAGCAGTGATATCGATTATAGTGCACCTCCACCATCCCAGAAGACTGAATCTCAACAACCAATGTCTATGGGGTCACAAGATTTTGCTTCTTACCAACAACTAGAAGGAGACGGTCAAACAGGATCTCCAGCAGAGACTACATCATCACAACCAATGGCACCTGCTGCTCAAAATTACAATTTCTCAAGTTCATTCAAATCCTTTTTCTCTTCAATGTGGAAATAAATAAATCGATTGAATACTTACGTATCATATTTTTCTAAATATTATTAAATATATAAGTGATAGATATATTTTGATGCAGTGTTGATGATTACAAGTATTTATATATACATGAATTTATTTATTTATTTATTTAAGAGTATCTCCATATAATGGATTATCTTTGGTTCCAGGCTTTGGTTGATAGATTGGATTATTGGTAGCCTTTTTGATTTTCTGTCTTTCTTGCAAGTGGTCAACCAACCTCTTACCACTGTACACGGCAATACTGAGAAAGACTGCACCTGAAATGATGACACCAGCTATTACCCCGATTGAAATGACAGCCTCTGTCCTGCACTCAAATGGGTACGGGTCATAATCAGTGGATTCACACTCTCCTGTGACATTGTTACATGTCCCGTATTGACATACTGGTCTGTGGGGTGTACACACACGAGTGATGTTTTTGCATCCGTATCCTGCCTGACATATACCGTCGATACAAGGAACGCCTGTTGAACAATTTCGATCTCTTGATATGCATCCTTGCAGAGGATGACAGAATGATTCCTTGCATTTGTCGGGGTTTAGTGGGCAATCAACCGATTGTCTCAAGCACCCGATATAAGGATCGCATGTGTAGAATTCACATTTATCTTTGGGTGCTGGACATGGGATGTTTGGGTATTCACAAGAACCATCAGATATACAAATATCAAATGTACATACAGATGAGTTTAAACCTTGACATTTCAAATTTTCTATCCTGCATGACATATTTCCAGAACTAGTGTCACATTCAGTGCATCCGGGACACGAAAAAGGGTTGTTTATTACACCAGTATCGTTGTTGCACGAGTCCAAAGTGCAAGGATTGCCATCATCAATCACCTTTTGCTTAAAGGTCCATTTGCCAGTTTCAGCATTGCAATAATCTCGTAATTCACATTTGCCTGGTTCTCCATGACATGCACTGCAGTTGACAATAGTGTTGACAATACACTCGCCAATTTTCGGATCACAGGTGTGATATTTGCATTGATTGATAGTATTATTGATAATCACATATTCTGAACACTTTGGTGTGGATGTGCATCCGTTTGGGTTGGTTTCGTTACAGTAATAGTTCTTGCATTTGTCAGTTCCTAGTGAACAGTTCTTAGCATTTCGAATGCACTCGCCAGTTGCATCGCATTGGGCAGTACGACAGCTATTCTCTGGTTGACACGTTGAGACATAGGTGCATCCCAAATTCTCGCTGCAACTTTTGTTTGAACAAGGTTTGTCGGGACAAACTGACTTTGGAACAGCGCCTCCAGTTCCAGGGTTACATGAATAAGTTGTACATCTGTCATTGAGGTATGAGTAATTGATGGTATCATAGGTACAATAATGAGCAATGTATTGCAAGTCGACAACATATCTATTTGGAGAAGGACATTTTCCATTTATTAAGCATTTATTGCTATTACCATTAGTGCACATTGAGTTTTGACAACAATCACCGAAACCATTACATACTCCACAATAATCTAAAAACAAAAAGAATAATATGTAGTTAGTGTTGACGTGCAATATGGTATGTCTGTTAAAACATACCTCTTGTTGAGCAATCAAGGAGGAAATTGTTTGATAAAATAAATGTACTGCCAGCATTTCTTCTTTCACAAAAGTAAAGATCAAAAGCATAAAGGATTCCATGTTGCAAACCGATGGTATCCAAATTTAGGTACCTGTCTGCCCTCCGATGAACACCGCCTACATCCATTACAAGCCTATTATCGATGAAAAGGTACAGATCATCGTCAGAAGAGGTCATGACAAACATTGGTGGCGAAGTTTTATAGTATCTGAAAAAAGAATTGATCTTTAAACAAAAATTAAAGTTGTTCTCTCCATACCCGGATAATAGATCGAATCCCATATTATTAATGGGCAAATATTTTTCGTTTCCATATGAAAATTCATTGGTCCCCTTCTTGTCCATAGTCATCGTGATAGAAATAAATCGATTCGTGGGATCGGGGGCAAAGAAATATCCAAATTGGCTAGGATATAAGATTCTGCCATCTCGGTTTGGTTTATAATTGGGATCATTAGAAACCAACAAAGGAATCTTGTTTGACCCGAGATTTTGTTGAACTATGCCTTGCTTCGGGTTCATGTCTACATTGTCGGGCAGAGGTTCAAAATTACCGTTCAACTGATGGTGTTGATCAAAAACTGCAATGGTGAGAGAATCTAATGGAAATGATAAAGATGAGATGGTCAGTGAGGGATACTGTATAAATAAAATATTATTATTTCAATTTACACTGTGAAGAAGAAAGCTCAACCAAATAAGAAGAATAAATAAATATTATTATTATTATTGTTGTCTTTATCTTGTTATACATTGTAATGCACATTTGGATTATTATTGAACAACAAAAAATAAAATAGATTGCAATGGAATGAATGAATGGATGAATGGATTGTTATTGGTTGGTTGGATAAGATAAGAGTGAAATGGTGTCACTCAGTCAGCCAGACAAACACCCCCAAGTTGCAACTCAAGCCGCTTTTGTTTGGTTTGAAATGGGTTGATCATAATAGCTAATTTGGGTTGGTTCTGTCCTCATATTAGCTTATCATGACCCGATCCCATTTGAGATCGTCAAGCATTTATATCATATACTTTGGGTTTTTGTTTTTTTTTACATAGTGTAAATAAGATTAGTTGATTTATAGTTGGTTGAAGTATGTCGTCATAGTATGACAAATAAATAAGATATGTAGAGTACATTAATCTATGATGATGAGGTGATTGATAGGTATCCTACATCCATTCAAGATAATGAATACAAGTGTGACTTTAGTCTATAGTCAACATAAGCAGAACACAAAACAAAATAAAATAATTTTTTTTTAATTTTTTCTTGGGCAATGATGATCAGAATGCGCAGAGTGTGATCTCTCACTCACACTAAAGAACTACTATTGAGCTCTCATCACAGACACCACTCACTCATTAATAGATAGATAGATATGTTGTCAACAACTAAATTCCTTACTCGTGTATCGAGTTTCACATACCGTCAATTTGCCACTGCTACCGTTGTCAAGTTCAACGGTACTGGCAGACCAGAAGAGGTTTACAAGTAAGTGCAATCAATATATATTCACGATGACGATGATGTTTCAGAATACTACTACTACTTTTGTAGTCATAGATACAATACAACAGCAGACTAGAACATAGAGCAGAGTAGAGCTGTAGTGTGTAGTGTAGAGCAGAGCACAAACAGATAATGGTTGTGAATTCATTTCATTGCCATGGCGATGACAACAACAACGACAACGATATTACATTTACAAAAAAACAACAATCATCATCATCATCGAACCATATATATATAGATATATAACTTACACCTCATCATCATCATAACTTTTCATTTGATTGTTTAGGGTTGAAAAAGAGAATGTTGCAGACAATGTTTCAGCCAATGAAGTTTTGGTCGAAATGATTCATGCTCCAATCCACCCAGTCGACATTAACTTGGCTGAAGGAACCTATGGAGTCAAGGCCAAGACTAACTCTGTCGCTGGTTCAGAGGGTGTTGGTATCGTCAAAAAGGTTGGTACCTCTGTCCAAGGTCTCAAGCCAAATGACTATGTCGTCCCCATTTTATCATCATCTGTTGGTATGTTATGTTGTGTTGGATAGATATCACAGATACATATGTGAATCAATATACTATAATTACAAATGTATACTAATCTTTAATATAATCAATTCATTTGTGGATATATAATTTGAAACAAACAAAAATATTTTTGGAAACTATACTATTAAATAGCTGGAACATGGAGAACACAAGGAGTATTTAGCGAAAAGCAATTATATAAGGTACCAGCTGACATCCCAACCGAATACTTGTCAGCTGTAACCATCAACCCATGCACAGCCTACAGATTACTCGAAGACTTTGCCAAGCTCAAGGCTGGTGACGTTGTCATCCAAAACGGCGCCAGCAGCATGGTTGGTTTGTCGGTCATCCAAATGTGCAAGGCTCGTGGCATCAAGACCATCAATATCATCCGTCGTTCAAGCGACTATGACGAGACTGTCGATCGTTTAAAGAAGCTCGGTGGCGACATTGTCGTCTCTGAAGAGTATGTCCGTACACCCGAGTATGCCCGTTTGGTCGCCGATCTCCCACGTCCACGTCTTGCCCTCAATGCCGTCGGTGGAGACTCTGCCACCGAGTTGGCCCGTAACGTCGCCGACGGCGGTGCCCTCGTCACCTATGGCGGTATGTCCCGTCGTCCAGTCACCGTGCCAACTGCCCACCTCATCTTCCGTAACGTGTCAGTCCACGGATTCTGGTTGACTCGTTGGGTCGAACAACACTCACAAGCCGAGATCTCTGCCATGTACGAACATATCTTTGGTTTGATCAGAGACAAAAAATTAAAATTGTGGTTGGAGAAGCATAAATTTAGCGATTTCAATAATGCCTTGCTTCGTTCCCAAGAACCAGGAAAGGGTAGAAAGATTATTTTAGATTTACAATTGTAATAGTAATAATAATAATAATAATAGTAGAAAAACAGAAAAGAGAAATTAAAAAAAAGAAAAAAGATACAAAACGTAAAGCTGCTCCTCAAAAATAATTAATTCATCCTCCCTACTCCTCACATACCATCCGATCAATCGATTGAAACAACAAGATGGATAGATAGCATCATCATCATACATCTTAACACCAACCCCCTTTTAGTACAATAACATCATCGTCATCATAATATAATAATAAAATCATGAAATTAAAACAAACATATAACAACCCAACTCACAATTATTATTGTAGCGAGAGTGAAGTACCGTACTTTTCGGTTTTAAACAAATCGCTGAACTGTGAGAAGTTCGAATTTTTGAATTATTAAATTTTTTCTTTTTTTTTTTTTAATTTTTTCTTCTCTCTTCAAAAGTTATTTTTACTCATATTCTTCATTACTCGTACACTTATTATTATTTATATATTATATATTTATTTAAAATAATGAGTTACAATAATAGCAATAGAAATAGTGGAGGTAGAGATTATCCCCCATCGTCATCATCGGCGGGTGGATATAGCAGACCTCCTTCTTCATATTCTCAGCCACCTCCTCCACCTCCCTCTGGTGCTGGCGGTCGAGACTACTCGTCTGGTCCCGTAAGAGACTACTCGTACACAACCTCGTCAGCTCCATCTTCATCGTCGTATCCAAGCGGCGGCGGTGGTGGCAGAGGATCAGGTGACTCGTACGGTGGCGGACGTGACTATAGCCGTAGCGACTCTTACCAACCTCGTGGTGGAGGTGGTGACTACCGATCGGGTTCGTCATCCTACCCAAGCAGAGGTGGTGATTATGGCAGAGGTGGTGGTGGTGACTACCGTAGCAACAGCAGCAGCGACTATCGTAACGACTATAGATCACCTGCCGGCTCATCTACCTCTGGTGGATACCAAAATGGAGGTGGTGGTCGCGACTACCGTAGTGGCGGCGGATCAAACGACTATAGATCATCGTCTTCATCGTATGGCGGTGGCTCACAACAACCAATTCACAACATTACCAATGGATCGTACACTGCTCCACCACCACCACCTTCATCCTCCTCCACCCCATCATCCAACTATGGCGGTTCATACAGCAGCGGCTCCAACTCGTCATCATCATACTATAGCGCACCACCTCCAACCTCTTCCTCATCGTCAGCACCAAGCTCCTCATCTTACCAAAACGGATACAACTCGTCGTCATCGTCATCGGCCTATCCATCTTCATCGTCGTCATCGTCGACTTATCCTTCATCGTCGTCTTCATCATACAACAGTGGTGCTGGCAGAGACTATGGTAACTCGTCGTCGGGTGGCTCGTCTGGATACACCTCTTCATCTTATGGTGGTGGTGGTGGCAGCTCATCATCTTACGGTAGCAGCAGCAACGGAAACTACTCATCGTCGTACAGCGGCAACGGTTCGTCATCTTCATCATCGTACGGAGGTGGCTCCTCTGGCGGCTACAGCTCGGGCGGTCTCGGATCCAAGCTCAACAAGATCGATTACTCGACCATCGAATTGACCAAATTTGAAAAGAATTTCTACAAGGAAGATTCTGAAGTATCTGCCATGTCACAAGACGAAGTCAGACAATACAGAGAAAAGCATGAAATCACTGTATTCAGTGCAAAGAATAATGATATTCCAAATCCAATCACCTCTTTTGGTTTTTCTCATTTCCCAAGTATGTCAAACAAATAATAATAATAATAATAATAATTGAATGATTATTAATCTATTTTAATCTATTTTATTTTACTTTTTAGGTTATATTATGAGCGAAATTGCAGTATTGGGATTCACAGCACCAACATCTATTCAATGTCAGTCATGGCCAATCGCATTAAAGGGACGTGATATGATTGGTTTGGCTGAAACTGGTTCAGGCAAGACTCTTGCTTTCTTGTTGCCAGCCATCGTTCATATCAACGCTCAACCATACCTCGAGACTGGTGATGGACCAATAGTATTGGTGTTGACACCAACTCGTGAGTTGGCAATGCAAATCCAAAACGAATGTGACAAGTTTGGTAGCAGCTCCAAGATCAAGAACTGCTGTATCTATGGTGGTGTACCAAAGTACCAACAAGCCCAAGCTCTTCGTTCGGGTGTCGAGATTGTTGTTGCCACTCCAGGTCGTCTTATCGACTTTTTGGAGCGAGGTGGAACCAATCTTCGTCGTGTCACCTATTTGGTGTTGGATGAAGCCGATCGTATGTTGGATATGGGTTTCGAAGATCAAATTCGTAAGATCCTCGGTCAAATTCGTCCAGACAAGCAAACACTCATGTTTTCTGCCACTTGGCCAAAGAGTGTCCAATCTCTTGCCGCCGATTTCCTCGTCGACCCAATTCAAGTTAAAATTGGTAGTGCCGAACTCTCTGCCAATCATAAAGTTACTCAACACATTGAAATTTGTGAAAAAATGGATAAACAAACAAAGTATGAAATTAAAAAAAAATATAATTAAATCAATACTTATATATACTAATCTGATTCCTACTTTTTTTTTTTAGGTTATTCCAATATTTGAAATCAATTGAACCAGGAGCTAAATGTATTATTTTCCTCGAAACAAAGAGTGGTGTAGGAATGTTGGCAAGAAACATGTCATACGCCGGTTTCAAATGCGAAGCTATTCATGGAGACAAGACTCAAGGTGAAAGAGATTTTGCGCTATCTCAATTCAAGGATGGTAAAATCCAATGTCTCATTGCAACTGATGTTGCCTCTCGTGGTTTGGGTAAGTATTTTTTTGAACGACAAACGCGACTATAGGAATTATTATTATATCTATATATTATTATTATATTATATTTCTATATAGGTCAATACTTGCTTATTTATATATTTATATATATCTTTATATAATATAATATGTTATTACGTAAGACTCTTGGCGTACAGTTTAAAGCATTGTGGAAATATATATACAAACCAAAACTATAATAGTTTTGGTTTATATATTTTTACGCTTTACGCAATGCGCCAGGCGTCTCTTCAAATTTGATTGGGTAGTAGTTGTAGTAGTAGTAGTAGAAGAAGAAGAAGAAGAAATAATTTATGATCTAAACACATACATGCATACACGCACACACAAACATAACGGAAGGAATCCAATGGTTCACAAACAAAAGCGCTGTAGGATGGAATAGAGTCAGCTTATTTAATTAGAGATATATCAATATTAGATGGATAGGTATTAGAGTAACGCATGTATGCACATTCTTGGCCGTAAACGTTGGGGCAGGTCAGATGTAATCATCACCATGACCTCCCTCCACCCCCAACGCTTTACGACAATGGTGCGTATATGTGTGTTTTACATATCAATGCATTGATAAAACATATATATCTTGGTTGAATGAGCTACTAACAGATGTTTGCAGTTTTAAGAAAAAAAAAAAAAAGAAAAATTAGATCTTAAATTCTATCTCTCTCTCCTCTCCCTCCTATCTATCGTCAATCATTTTTCTTTTTTAAATATTTTTGTTTTATCTTTAATCAAGTACAAAGTAATCGCGCGATTTAGATGTATCAACATTGTATTAACATTGTCAAAATGAAATTTAGATGTCAAGGATATAAAGTATGTAATCAACTATGATTTCCCCAACACCATTGAATCATACATTCATCGTATTGGTAGAACTGGTCGTGCAGGTGCCACTGGTACCGCCTATACCTTGTTCACCTTGGACGATATGCGTTTGGCTTCAGATTTGGTAACAGTCTTGGCAGAAGCCAGCCAATATGTCCCACCTCAATTAGAACAAATGGTTCCAAACAAATTCAAGAGTACGCAAAAAAAAAAACAAAAACAATAATATTTATTCATTTGTCGGGTCAGAGTATTAATACATTTCAATTTATCATCATATTAGGTATTACTGATTACAAGAGTCAGAATCGTTACAATCCATACAGAAGAAATAATGGACAATAATTAATTTAATTAATATTAGTCCCCAATCCATCCCAATCCATCCAGTATCCCTTAATGTCGACAAAATCATGTTTATCGAAGAATCCTAAAACAAAAACAAAAACAAAAAAACAAACATAACATGATCTCCCTTTCCATCCCAAATCTTTTAGTGTAAGAATAACAACAACAACAAACCAGAAACCATCCAGGACCTCGCCCCAATCGTAAATTTTTAATAAAAAAAAGTCCATTCTTGAGATTTGTATTGAGTAGGTATTGAATTATATAAACCATTTTATATATATTTTATACTTTATACTCTTTTACAAATCAATCAAAATTTAAAAAAAACAATATTTTTTGATGAAAAATTAAAAAAAAATTCTTTAGAAAGAGGGGGTCATTTATTTATTCATTCATTAATTGTAATCAAAGAACTATAGTTTATTCGTTTGTTCGGTCATCTAGATCCAATCAGCCGAGGTCACTGTCTGAACAATGATCACGAAAAGAACAAGTATCTCAAGATATTACCAGGTTCGTTAAATATCTCGGTAGTTCAGCGCATAAAAATCGCGGTCGACCGATTATCATATGATAAATTGCAATGAAAATATAAGGTCGTCGACCTATAGTCCCATGGGTTTCTCATGTTTGCTCCTTTATATCAAAGAGTCGACTTGACAATGGGCATCATTATTAAAAGATGAAAGATACAATCAAACATATAACATTTGTTATACTGTTTTATTTAATATTTATTAGTAGTCAGAGTACAACTCTAGCACAGATCCCACCTGAAGAACGTATGTTAGATAGTCATGTGATAACCACTAGATGTAATTCTAATCAATCTTTTCTTTGTTTATTTATTTATTTATTTGTTCATTTAGTTGCGTCTGCAATATGGATCATTCGTCAATACGGTAGTACTCTTGGACAAGATATAACCAGTATTTGTGCATCTCAAGTATTCAATTGCCAAAATGGTCATATTACAAGAGTGTGAGTATAAACATAGTTATAATATATATTGTAATCTTTATAATTCATTTGTATTTATACTAACCTTTTTCATTTGAAACTTTCAAACTATAGTCAGTTGTCATTATCATACACTTCATTTAATCCAACTGGAACTGGAGTTCCTGACCCAGCATTGACCGCCATCAGTCTCCCCGAATGTGTTGAATTCGCTATTCAACCATCTAATTCAAACGTATTTTATATCGGTGATCCTAATCAATCGATTCTCGACAAATTAACTGGTCTTCCAAAGGTTACTTCAATGATGTATGTTTTGATCAATATTTTTATTTGTTAGAATCAATTTATATTGATATATATATAACTTCCATTTTCATTATTCACATTTAATAGAATACAATGTGTTGTTATATCAAGTATACCAAATGGGTTCCTTAGAAACTTTCCTCAATTGACAGCTCTGACATTATCTCTTTCAAACATGACAACATTCCATGAGAGTTCATTTGAAGTATCAAGTGCAACAATTACGTCTGTCAATCTCCAATTCCGTACTTTAAAAATCTATCCTACCTTTACCAATAGTTCCACATCATTGGTGTGGAGTTCAATAGATTATCTTTCATGGACTGTTGATCCTTCGACAGCCATTGGACCAATTTCATTAGTCTTTACTCCAACCGTTTTCCCATTATTGCAGACCCTAGAAATCGATTCAGCTTCTGATGGAACTACCTCAGTTACAGTCAGTTGTAGAAACATGTATGTACATAATATAATCATCATTGATTGATCACTTATTCACTCTACTTTTTATTTCTTCTTCTTTCATCTAATTTGTAATGTATTATAATAGACAAATAAATGGATATTTGGCTAATAAATTTAATCTATTTGTTCCAGACCCCCATGTTGTTGAGATCTTGTATGTCTAGATACTATCATTCCCACAACAACAACAACAACAACTATTAATTCCAATCCATTTTATTTATCTATCTATCTATCTATCTACCTTTCTATCTATCATAATAGACTATTAAATGGTGAATCAACAGTGACACCTCAATTACATCTTTTTCCAAATTTAAAGAATCTACAGACGAGTCATACTAGTACCGTGATATACCCTTTTTCGATATTCCCTCCAAAGTTAGAAAAATTGTATGCTATATATATTTATAAAGTGATTTATTATTATTATTATTAACTCTAATATATTTTGTTTTATTTTAGTACCAAATATGAAACTGGTATGACCACTCTTCCAACGTTTCCATTGCCAACACCCAATTTTAAAACCTGGGAGTATCGTTTACTATCAGTGAACACAATAGTACCTTGGGAAGCATATACGCCCGATAATACATCGAGACTACTCGATATGTTATACAACCCATCACTAACTGGTTCAGTTCCAGATAGTTTCTGTATCAATACACTCTATATCACATCAACTAATATATCTAGTGTTCCAGGTATGGTGTTTAAAAAAAAATAGATATATATGACCATATATCACAATATCTTTGGAAACCACCCAATGATCATTCAAGTTAACTAACAAAGTAAATTATCTATGTAGATTGCTACTGGTGCTATGTTACAGATTCCACTGTGTTTCAAACAAGTTTACCAGTTCCACCTGGATTTACATGTCAATGGAGAGTTGATCAAGTAAATCAAATTCTTTATACAAAGGAGTATCGTGCCAATTTGACTGGCAGCCTAATGGGTTGGGGTAATATTGTCAGTCATCCTGAAGCCCTAGGATATTATAAACTTAATGCTATAATTCCACATGAATTATTAACGTAATTATTATTATTATTATTTACTTTATTATTATTTGATTTTCAAAAAATTAAAATATATATATTTATTTTCTTTATTCAATATATAGATTATTTTATTATACTGATGGAACTCAAACCAATGCAACTATTAAATTAAACGAAAATTCACCACATATAGTTAATTTAAATATTCTAGAGATTGGAATTACATTGTCCAAAGCCAATGTCACATTACTCGCAAATCAAAAATTAATGTTCACTTGGTTGTTTTCGTTTTACAATAATCTACTTGTTCATCAATTCCAATCTACATTTGGTTTGACTGGTCCTTGTAATATCAATAGTACCAAATACACAATTACTGACCCCATTCAAGCAACCATTACTTGTTTAATGAATTTCAATCCATCATTTACCGGTACATCATTTACAATGGAGGTATCTAATCCACATAACAAAGAAACTTACACTATCCCATTTAATTGTATGTATTTTAAAAATAATTCTAGAAAGCATAAAATAATTAATATTAATATTTCATTTATTTTTTCGAAATCAAGATTATCCTCGATTATTTTCAGGACAAATTGATTCAAACAATCAAAGATTAATCTATTTGTTTGGTGATTTTAGACAAAATCATTCATTGGCAAATATAACTATCAACGATAAAATACCTTGTACTATCATCGCATCAACAATCGGTTCAATTAATTGTACATTATCAGAGAATGCAAGTTATGGTCCTGCAAATGTCAGTATCACTGTTGATGGATATCTATATCTAGCAAATGACTTTTTATACTTTACAGCTCCACCAAATAATAATGGTTCAACAACTGGTGGAGCAACTACAGGTGGAGGATCAACACCTCAATCACAATGTCAAGAATCAACATCCAATTGTTTTGGACATGGATCGTGTGATACTAATGGTCATTGTCAATGTGATAATGGGTATAATCCAATCGATAATTGTTTAACTAAATGTATGTTGTAGACAATAATTAAGAAAGTAATATAATACTTATAATCATATTTATTGATTTATTTATTTATTTTAGTTACAAATACAACACCAGTAACCAATACAACAACACCAACATCATCATTTGAAATTGATGGAACAAGATTTGATTTTGAATTGGTTGCCATTCAAGAAATTGATACTGATGAAAATGTAGTTGGAGAATTATTGACAAACAGTTGGAATGCAACAATCAACAGTGATAACTCGACAACTCTAGTCACCTATCAACTTGTAAATATTAGCGATCCACTTTACATTGCAACAATGGTTCAAGCAATGATATCATTCTCAACACAACCAAGGGACATCCAATTTGGAGATCAACTACTTCACAGCAATCCAAATTCAATTAAATTAGCATTGAATATTACCAATTGGCAGTACAGTAATTTAATATCAACACTTCGAGTTGTATTCCGTATAGATGTCAATATGAATCAAACCATTGAATTTGATTGTAAACAACAATCAATATCAACATTTTCATACGATCAACTATCATCAACCATTCAATATCTTAGAGTGATCAAAGATAACGTCCAATACAATGGTAGATTCATTGATTATGTATTATCAAACGGTAGACCAACATTCTCCAAAACAACATTAATCAACCAAACAGCCATTCAATCATCATCATCGATCATGTCAACATTGATTGGAGTAAGTCTACCACAATGTCAAGAATGTCTTCTTGATCCAGACTTTACACCACTTTTAATTGACAATACTGCAAGTGATTGTGGCTCGACTAACAGTAAAACATGGAAGATTATTGTTGGTGTTGTAGTTGGTGGATTCGCTGCCATCTCAATCGCTGTTGGTACTGTAATGCTAATTAAAAAGAAAAATCAAAGTTCCAAACAAAACAAAAAAATGATGAACAAGTTAAAGAATATGTCCTAGTCTTAGTACGATAGCCCATCAACCAATCCAAAAATAAACAATTCAAATAATCATACAACGCACATCAGATCTTAACAAATTAATAGATATATATTTTTAACGAGCTTGATCTTAAAAAAAGATATTTATTTTTACGAGCCGACAAACAATCACTGGTTGTCGTTTTGTCCTTCAAGTACGTTGAAAGACTTTCTGAGAGTATCATTATCTTTAAAAGATGAAAGATACAATCAAACATATAACATTTGTTATATTGTTTTATTTAATATTTATTAGTAGCCAAAGTACAACTCTAGCACAGATCCCACCTGAAGAACGTATGTTAATTAATAGTCGACATGTCATATTTATATGACCAACCCTGATATGTATGTTTGTTCATTTAGTTGCCTCTGCAATATGGATCATTCGTCAATACGGTAGTACCCTTGGACAAGATGCAACAAGTATATGTTCGCCAACATCTAGAGCATTCACATGTGCCAATGGTCATATTACAAGAGTGTGAGTATAAATAGACTTTTTAAAATACTTTGATTCAGTTAGTTGATTTACTTTTTTTCATTTCAAACCTAAAGCGAGTTTACTGGAGGATACGCTTCATTTAGTGCAAGTGGAAGTGGAGTTCCTGACCCAACATTGAATGTCATCAACTTCCCTGAATGCACTGAATTCATTCTTTACCCAGGCAATCCAAATCCAAATTATATCGGTGATCCGAATCAAAACATTCTTGACAAATTAACTAATATTAAAAAGATTACTACATTTTCGTATGTTCAGATATTATTATTATTATTATATTTATATTTCTAAATATATAAATATTTATATTTATATTTATATTTATATTTATACAAATTCATTTCTAGAATAATAAGTAATGAAATTAAAAGTATTCCAAATGGATTCCTTAGAAACTTTCCTCAATTGACAACTCTGATATTATCACTTCCAAACGTAACAACAATACAAGAAAGTTCATTTGAAGTATCAAGTGCAACAATCGTGTCGGTCAATCTCAATTTCGCTACTTTAAAAACTTATACATCTCCTACCAACACTTCAGCATCATTGATGTGGAGATCATTGGGACAACTTGTATGGACTGTATACCCCGCGACGGCTGATGGACCCATTTCACTCGTCTTTTCAAAAACTGTTTTCCCAGATTTGCATACTCTTGTGTTGGATTCAACTTCACCTGGAACTATCTCTGTTTCAGCCAGCTTTCAAAACTTGTATGTAACCAGGTCTAGTAAACAAATCTTTCCTCAATCCAAATCTAATTTATTAAATTAATTTTTATTTTCCCATCTTTTTTTAATCTTGTAGATACGTTATAGGTACTTTGACCTCTAGCTTTAGTCTTACTGTCCCAAACCCACTTGTAGTTCAAAACTTGTATGTAATACTTGTTCATCATCATCATCATCATTACTATTTATTAATTCAATTATCTATCCCCTATCTTAGGAGATTAAATGGTCTATCGACAGTGTCACCTCCATTACACACTTTTCCAGCTTTACTGTATTTAGAGAATAGTAATAGTGGCAGTGCTTCTTACCCCTTTACTATGTTTCCTCCAAAGCTGATCAAATTGTATGAGATTTTAATTAAAATGTCTGACCGTGTGCTATGAATATTCTACTAATCACACCCTTTAATTATTTCTTAGTACCAAATATGATTCTGCTCTTACAACTCTTCCAACATTTCCATTGCCAACAAGCAGCTTTACTCACTGGCAATATGGTTTCTTAACAGAGAATACAACTATACCTTGGGAAGCATTGACACCTGATAATAAGCCAAGATTACTCGATATCTCAAATAACATAAGACTTGGAGGCTCAGTTCCAGATAGTTTCTGTGTCAACAAACTCATTATTTCAGGAACTAATATATCTAGTGTTCCAGGTATGTTGTTATTTTGAAAATTGATACATTATTTTATCCAAGTATGAATCATCTAATTAAATTAAACTTATTTATTTATTTATTATTAAAATATATATGTAGATTGTTATTGGTGTTATCGAACCGATCCTACTTCTTTTTTAACAACTTTACCAGTTCCACCTGGATTTACATGTCCACTGCGAGTTGATCAAGCAAATCAAACTCTTTATACAAAGGAATATCGTGCAAATTTAACTGGCCACCTAATTGGGTGGGGTAATAATGTTTATCATCCTGCTACTCTAGGATATTATATTCTTACTCCTGTAGTTCCACAAAAAATATTATTGTAACTATTATTTTCATTTAATATTTTAGTTAACTATTTATTGGTTTAATTTCTCTCAAAATATTAATCAAATATAATATTTATTCAATATAGATTATATTATGTTACGAATGGAACTCAAACCAATACAACTATTAAATTAAATGAATATTCACCACATACAGTTAATTTAACTATTCTAGAGGTAGGAATTACATTGTCCAAAGTCAATGTCACACTGCTACCAAATCAAAAATTACTATTCACTTGGTTGTTTTCGTTTTACAATAATCTACTTGTTCATCAATTCCAATCTACATTTGGTTTGACTGGTCCTTGTAATATCAATAGTACCAAATACACAACGGGTCCCATTCAAGCAACCATTACTTGTTTAATGGATTTCAATCCATTCTATACTGGTAGATCATTTGTAATGGAGGTATCTAATCCACATAACAAAGAAACTTACACTATCCCATTTAATTGTATGTATTTTAATTATAGAAAAGCATAAAATAATTAATATTAATATATCATTCATTTTTTAAAAAAGATTATCCTCGATTATTTTCAGGACAAATTGATTCAAACAATCAAAGATTAATTTATTTGTTTGGTGATTTTAGACAAAATCATTCATTGGCAAATATAACAATCAACGATAAAATAGCTTGTACTATAAACGCATCAACAATCGATTCAATTAATTGTACATTATCAGAGAATGCAAGTTATGGTCCTGCAAATGTCAGTATCACTGTTGATGGATATCTATATCTAGCAAATGACTTTTTATACTTTACAGCTCCACCAAATAATAATGGTTCAACAACAACTGGTGGAACGACAACAGGAGGTGGATCAACACCTCAATCACAATGTCAAGAATCAACATCCAATTGTTTTGGACATGGATCGTGTGATATTAACGGTCAATGTCAATGTGATAATGGGTATAATCCAATCGATAATTGTTTAACTAAATGTATGTAGTAGACAATCATTTTAAATCCAAATTAAAATTAGTTACTAAATACTTTTTAATTTTATAGTTACCAATTCAACACCTGTAACAAATACAACAACACCAACATCATCATTTGAAATTGATGGAACAAGATTTGATTTTGAATTGGTTGCTATTCAAGAGATTGATACTGATGAAAATGTAGTTGGAGAATTATTGACAAACAGTTGGAATGCAACAATCAACAGTGATAATTCAACAACTCTAGTCACCTATCAACTCGTCAATATTAGCGATCCACTTTACATTGCTACAATGGTTCAAGCAATGATATCATTCTCAACACAACCAAGAGATATTCAATTTGGAGATCAACTACTTCACATCAATCCAAATTCAATTAAATTAGCATTGAATATTACCAATTGGCAGTACAGTAATTTAATATCAACACTTCGAGTTGTATTCCGTACAGATGTCAATATGGATCAAACAGTTGAATTTGGTTGTAAACAACAATCAATATCAACATTCCCCTACGATCAATTTTCATCAACCATCCAATATCTTAAAGAAATAAAAGATAACGTCCAATACAATGGTAGATTCATTGATTATGTATTATCAAACGGTAAACCAACATTCTCCAAAACAACATTAATCAACCAAACAGCCATTCAATCATCATCATCATCATCGATCATGTCAACATTGATTGGAGTAAGTCTACCACAATGTCAAGAATGTCTTCTTGATCCAGACTTTACACCACTTTTAATTGACAATGATACTACTGTAAGTGATTGTGAATCCAATAGTAAAACATGGAAGATTATTGTTGGTGTTGTAGTTGGTGGATTCGCTGCCATTGCAATCGCTGTTGGTACTGTAATGTTAATTAAAAAGAAAAAACTAACCTACAAACAAAACAAAAAAATGGAAAACAGATTAAAGAATATGTCTTAATACTACATGATTCCGAATAAATAAATAAATAAATATATCTAATTAATTGTTTTGTTTGAATATTATTATTATTATCTTTACAATTGCATATATTTATTTTAAATAAATAATGTTTTAATATAAAATGTGGTAAGGGGAGTTAGGGTTATAAATAAATAAATAAATAAATAATGAATCCTTCTTTCTTTTTAATCTAATAGGAATGAAGGAGTTGAACATATTTTGGTTGGGATGGATGGATGGAAAACAAAAACTAAAAAATAATATTATTATTTTAATAATAGAGAGATTAATCATCTTCATCATCGTCGTCATCATCATCATCAATAACAACATCTACAAAATGTTGAGAGGATGATGATGATGGATGTTGATTATAGTCAATTTGTTGGAGAGTAACTTTTACATTACTCTGCAATTGTGGTGAGGTCGTTGTCGATGTTGTTGAAGTGGTTGTTTCATTGTTATTGTTGCCTAAATACATATTATTAAATCTACTAGTTGGAGGAGGTGAATTGGAAAGAGAGGTGGTAGTTGTAGAAGATGATGTTGAAGTTGATAAAACGCCACTACCACTACCATTGCCATTGCCACTACCAATAAAACTATTTGAAACCAAAGAGATTCGATGACCACGAAACACCAATTGATAATTATCTAAAAACGAGTCGGAAGAGCTCTCTGAGCCTTGAGTGCCTCCGTCAGTACCGTTGTCACTCAATGATGACGCCGTCGAGGCATAGTCGTTGCAAGAATTCTTCATTTCGTTTTTGGTGAGTGTGTTGAATTGTTTCTTTTTCTGTACATCCATCAAATGGTTCTTGAGATCTGATATGTCTCCCTCGAAAAAGGCATTGATCTCTTTGGTCCACTGTTCTTGGTCGGTGGCATTCTCTGATATCAAATGGAATACTCTGGTATGTTGATCATTCTCGTTTAAAATATAGAATAGATTCTTTTTCGATGGGTCTTTGAATACTTTGGTATATTGACTTAGATCTACACATCCAACTGGTTCATTGCTCTAAACAAAGACAAAATCAAAAATAAAAATAAATAAAATGATTAGAAAATGTTTGTAATCAATGATAGATTGTCCAAATATAATATATATAATCTTACAGTTCTATGTTTAAAATAATAAAGTATACCACTTTCTGTCAATATAAAGAATCTCTTTCTCCAATTTTTGGAAATACCGCTCCCTAAAGATATTATCATTAAAAATATTTTAGTATATTACTCGGTTGATGATGTGGCAGCACTTATTGTTGTCCCATTGGGATTCCTAACATAACTTACCTCCAAGTTTCTTTAAATATCCAAACTTGATTGGTTGCGGGAGTTCTTTCATCAAGTCATTTACTGTTACATTCTTTGGAGGTGAAGAAGAAGAAGAAGAAGAGGAAGAAGAAGTTTTAGAAACCATAGTATATAGATAATAAATAGAAAGATATCGGGGAGGGGAACAAGTCAAGTGGTATGATTAGATAATTCAATAAATCAATCAATCAATGTGAATTTGATAAACAAGTAGAAGAAGTAAAAGTAGTAGTTAGTATATGAACATATACAATCCAATTGTCTTTCTTTCTCTTTCTCTCTATCCCTCTTGCTCTCTTTTGTGGGTTGGGTTGGTGGATGTATGAATTTGGTTGTTGATGTTGGATGATTTTTTATTATAACTTTTGATGTTGATTGATGATGATGATGTTGTTGATGGGTTAGTGGTGAACAAAGAAAGAAAGTACGCCGAATTTGGTTATGAATAAAAAGGATAAAAAAAGAAGTTATATCTATATATGTGTGATTTCAATGATGATTTAATTAAAAATGTGTGATTGTGTGATGATAGTTGTGTGTCTGTGTGTTTGTGTGTTTAAATAATAATAATAATAATAATAATAATAATAATAATAATAATGATTTATTTTCATCATCCACTGTCAAGATTAGGTTTGACAGTCCCTAATCAAAGGGAAGTGAGAAGACACCTGGGTGTGTGTTTGATGACGTAACAAGAGAGAGACAAAGACTTTGTGATACTCACCATCGGTGCTTTCCCTTGGCATGGTGGGAGGACTAAAGACGAGGAGGATGTCTCGTGTAGCATGATAGTTTCTATTTTCGGCTCTCGCTTGTCCCTGTGATCCCTATAGTGGTTTCTCTGGTGTTTGAGCAGCTGAGCGCGACAAGTTTGAAAGACGCGGTGCGACGGTCAAGTTTGCGGCGAGGTGAGAATTGGAAATGTTTGATGAATTTGCAAAGATTCCTCCTAATACTACTACCTAATCTGTCTGTTACCCTACTACTATAACCACTTTAAAAATAAATAAATATGTACAAATAATAATAATTAAGATTTATTAAAAAATAATGAAATCAACATTGACCTCCCTCCTCCACCATGCCCACATGATCTTTTATCTGAAAAAATCATCGATGGTATGTTGCAATTGGTGGTTTTGTTTTGTTTGTCGCCCAGAAAACAGATACTTTTTTATAAGTGGATTGAAAAATCAGTGTAGATGTTCAAACAAGTCAGGTATGATGATGATTGGTTTGATGAATGATCAAGGGAATTGTTTTTATTGTGTACGCCTCATTTAAATGAGGTCGGTGCGGATTTGTACCACATCTTGATAGGTCGGAGAGAGAGAGATCCCAGGCTTGTTGTCCACCCATCCCAACCGAAATACGATTAGATATATATCCGACCTACCTATCGAGATGTATTGTTGTTGTTGTTGTTGTTTGCTATTAGTTATAATTGATCTATAATACATCTAAAGTTTGTTTTGATTTGAATAGATTGATTTGATCATATTTTGATTTAACTTGGGACAATCTTTTTAGATTGGTAGAGTAGAGAGATTTACCCCAGTCGAGTAGATCGGGTTCTGGATAGTTTGGATAGACATTGTCGGTGATTTTGTCGAATACTTGCTTGGCATTCTTACTCCATTGTCCAAATAGTTGGTCGTTGTCTTTGTTGGTATAGGTGCCAGTCAAGGAGATTGACCATGGTGTATCACGGAACGGGAATGCATTGTAGTCTGTTGCTTTTTTGGTCATCTTTCCACCTTGATAGTACATGTTGAGTGTAAACAGAGATGCTCCATCCTTGTCTATATCAAATGTTGGAAGTGCCGAATAGATGAGTGGTTGAATCGATTGTATCTGCTCCACAGTCAGAGAATGAATCATTCTACACCGTGAATAGATTCTTTTAGGTGTTGGTCTCGGACCGTTTTTAATAAGATCGATGAATCGAATGGGTATTGGATCGATATTGGTTGTAATCTTTGATGTGTCAATCGTGCCGTTATAATGTTTCAAGTCACCAACAAGACGATCATAAAATGTTTTAAATTGTTGTCTACCGATATTGTAGTCACCGTTGTACAGGAATATGATTGATATGGTTGGTAGAGGTGATTGGTTGCCATTGTGACTGTCATTCAACTTATTCGTTGGAACGAACCTTTTTCTACTTTCAAAGTTAAAGTAGGTGGCTTGATCCATTGTCTTGGAGTACTCTATCACTGATAACATGGCCGGTACAAATGCATCTGTCCACAAACCCGATGGAATGGTTGTAGTTGTCCAAAAATACACCTTTTCAATCTCGTAGAGACGGAATGTGACGTCGACCAACACACCCAACCCAGTATGTCCTCCACCTCTCATAGCCCAAAACAAATCACTATGTTCTCCTTCTTTCTCTGTGCATACCACCACCGACCCATCCGACAAAACAACAGTCATCTCCAATACATTATCACACATATAACCAAACTTTGGTGATAAATAATTTGCTCCTCCACCAGTTACCAAACCTAACAAATAAATAAATAACATTATTAATATCTCTCTCTCTATCTTTACTATATATATATATATATGTTTATATATATTTCATACCTCCAATACCAACAGTAGGACATGAACCTCCAGGTACAGCCAAACCATGTATAGTAGTCTTATCATACAAATCTTCTACAAGAGCACCACATTGAACTTTTACAGTCTTGTTTACCGTATCTACATCATAGACATGTTTCATATCACGCATATCAATAACGATTGCATCCATTTCAACAGAGAAACCAGTACAAGAGTGACCACCAGATTTACAAACAACCTTGATTGATTTACTCTTTGCATAGAGTACAATGTCTTTGATATCATCGATGGTACGTGGTTTACAGAATGCATGAGGTGTTGTATCATATCGACTATTGAATGTTTGAAATTGTTGATTGTATTTTGGATGATCTTTAAATACACAATACTCTAATCCTTCAAAGTAAAGTTGTGCTTCTGTAGGTACTGGTTTTTCTTCTGACATTATTGAATTATTACTTATACTATAATACTACTACTGCTAATATAAAGAAATGAAATGAAATATCATAGTCATCCTTTGCTTTTAACCACTCATCATCTGAGCTTGCTCAGCTGGTGGATAATGAAACAGATATTTTAGAAATAATAATAAAAATGTTTAATATAAATTAATAGAAAATCTTTGGTTCCCAAAAAGGAGATGAATGAATGATCAAAAATATATTTTTTAATAAAATTTTATTATTATTTTATAATTGTATTATATTTTCTTTAGAAGTAGTTGAATGAATACACAGTAATAAAATCAGTCTCCTTTCAGGTATCTTCATTTTTTAATTTGATTATTTATTTTTTTTGGTGATGGTCTCCAAAGTGACGTCACACAACCGAACCGACATTTTATTTTAAAATAGAACATTAATAGACCAAAGAGAGATAGATAGACAGACAGATAGATAGGAGAGAGAAAGAAAGTAGTTCAATTCTTAGAACCAAAGTAAATGGATGAGTAGAGTAATGATGGTGTCACAACGAAACACACTCATTGCAATATTGGCAATAGCCATTCTTCTCACCATTCTACTTATCACTTGGGTACCAACATTGATGACAAGTACATTTGATTGTAATGATTATTGTAGTGCTGCTCAAATCAACCAAGACAGTAGTAATAGTGGAAACTATAATGGATCTATTGTGGGTCTAACAACTTCACAACTCAAGATGGTATCCTATGTAAATCAGAGTGATCGTCATTATGACCGTGTATTGGATTTCAATAGTCTTGTAAAGAAGCATGCCTATGTATTCTATATTACACAACCTGAATACTTTTGTGTTGCAACTATTACAACACATAGACTAAGACAATGGACCGATGTAGATATTGTATTTGTCTTTGTCGAGTCGTTTGTACCAGACCCTTTTATTGTGGCTCGGTTAGACGCACTCCCAAACATCAAATACAAAACATTTAGTAACATCAAGTCTAGTCATGACAGCAAGTCAATGTGGGTGGAATCATTCAACAAGTTTCATGTGTTTAGACTGACCGAATACGACCGTTTAATATACCTCGATGCCGATACATACATTCTTCGTAGTCTTGACCACCTATTTGCCTTACCAGACGCTTCACTTGCTGCCCCACGTGCATACTGGTTCAAGGTTGACAAGCAGCCATTCCTCACCGACACTCTGATGGTGCTCAAACCTTCGATGGAGATGTTTTATGCATTAGTCGAAGCAAGTACCATCACTACAGGTTGGGATATGGATGTTGTCAATGCATTTTTTATCCACCGTAACGATTTTCTTCTTTTACCTGGTATCTATGGTTTGTTAAACTTTGAATTTGGTATTGGCCAGAACCATTATTTTGGAGCAGACTATCACAACACCTACAGAGAACAGGCCTACATCTACCACTATTCTTCATTCAAACCATGGAAGACTCATAATGGAACCGATGCTGTTAGTGGCAAAGGTGCATTAATGGAGCTGACTTGGTATAATTGGAAACGAGGTCACGATAAATATTGTCTCAATGCGACTGAAACAAACAACAAATCATAATTCAAACAACAAGTAATAATAATAATAATAATAATAATAATAATAATAATAATAATAATAATATAGGACTAACTAACAGTGAAAACTCCAACAACAAACAAACCAACAAACAATGTCGAGGAATTATTTAAATAAAATAATCGCGATTATTGGAATGAACAAAAAGAGGAGTCACATCGTCATCATAACCCTCCTATAAAATCAAATACTATAGATTCTGCAATACAACACTACAACACTACATTTTTCAAAGTGATCAGCAGATCACTCTCTCATTACCCCTTCCTCCTTCTCCCCCCACAACACATTGGCAATGGAGCTTAAAAATCATCAATCTGATTGTGATGGTGTGTGTGGCAAGCTTGAAGAGATACTAGTATACATTACCATGTTATAATCATTATGGATGGAGTTCCATCTATCCCCAATACCTACAATGTATGATCACTCAATGTTTGTCGAACGTCGTATCATATAACCATTATACAATGATATTTTCATTTCACTCTCTCTAAAATTTTTGGTGGGGATATTAATACTTGCTTGCAACTGTACGGTACACTTTTATTTTAATAATATAATTATTGTTTTACCAATCTATTTATTTATTTATTATCAATTGAAAAATGAACCGATTCACTCTATCTATTTTAGTTATTTTCTTATCATCTCTTATCATTCATTCACATCAAACATTATCGACCCAAGCAAACCAAACATCTGTAAAATTGCCATCAAATATTAGTCTTGGAAACATCAATGTGAACATTACTTTAGATTCAAATGATCAAAAAGATGATCCGTAAGAAAGAATAACAATATATATATATATATATATTTTAATATTTGATTTACTAATACTTGAACAACCTCTATTTTAATATTAGATCAAGATATGATAAGAGAGTATCAGCATTGGTATTTAGTGGATCAAGTGAATTTTTAGAAAGTTCTATTACAATTGGACAAAACTCTATTCCTATCATTCTTGATACTTCGTCTCATCATGTATGTATTGATTGTATTGATTTACTTTTTATTATTATTATTATACTAACTCTCTATATTTTTCTGTATAGTTTTTAATTGCCAAAAAGAAGTGTACTGGATGTACTCAATTCCCTCCCTTTTACAAAAAATCGCCTGTTGGTGAATTTGTTCGTATGTTGGCAATCCAACTAACCACTCTGATTACTATAGTCATTAACATTTATATTTACCTTTAGAATGTGATTCTCAACTATGCCATTTAAATGGAAATACTTGTGAAAAGCCAAACAAATTTACTTCGCCAACTTGTGTTTTAACAACCAACATTGAAACTGCAGCAATTAGAGCCTATCTCATCAGTGATATGGTATCAGTCGATAATTTTAAGAATATTCCTGTTATCATCTCTGCCATTTATAGACAAACCGGTGATTTACCAAACAAGCTAACTAAACCTATTTTTGGTGTTGGCCCAAGTGTATGTAACAATAATAATAATAATAATACAAATTCATTCTTGATGGTAACCATTCATTTAAAGTAAAACTAAAAGAATGAATTTAATTTTAGTGTCAAGGATGTCCAGTAAGTCAATTAAACTCAATATTGACAACTCTAAAAAGACCATGTAAGCAACATAGATAGATTTTTAATCATCACTTGGTCCCTTTGATTTAACTTTTAACTTTCTATTTTCTATTTTTTATTTATTTATTTTAGATATCTTTGGAGTATCACTTGATAGAAATTATTTTGGAGGTATTTCATTGGGATCTATTAACCCATTATTTTATACTCATCAATTAAACTATACTACTATGGTTAAACAACGTGCATCCTATTCTATTCAACCATATTCTATGATTTCAGAATGGAATGGTCATTCGCTCAATATCAGTTACACTGATTTCAACATGTTTACCATTGAAACAACATTGCCACTTTCGTATTTACCAACAGCAGCATTCAACAAGTTTACTAAATTCCTTTCTGATTATTGTCAAGCTAAAAATGCAGCAACAACAACTTCAACCACTTCTACAGGAACATCCCCTTCTAATCCAACATCAACAACAACCAATGGATCAACAGGAGGATTACCAGCCAACAATCCCAAAGTACCAGCCTCTACCTCTTCATCCCCTTTATCACCTTCAGCTTCAACCACCACCAACAACAACAATGTGAAACCATCTCCATCAATTTGTTCAAGTTTAAATGTTTTATTTTCCAATTGTTTACCATCCTCCATGTTATCACCAGATCAATTCCCAACGATTGATTTACATTTTCCAGAAAACTTTACGTTGTCCCTCAAACCATCAAATTACTTTTACACGATTTCTCGTGATAACATTGTCTACCAATGTATTGGAATTCAAGAAACAAAAGATACTCATGCTACATTTGGTTTAAATCTAATGAGAGAGCTATACATAGTTTTTGATAATGATAGAAGTGTAATTGGATTTGGTAAAAAAAATTAATCAAAATAATAAAGAGAATGAAAATAGTAATAATAATTGTTTTAAAAATTTTAATACAACAGTATTTTCTTGTTTTTTAATTAGTTATTTAATTATTAATTTATTTATTGATTTATTTTATTGGTTTAGAAAAAATACTAGTATTTGATTGCTTTTTAAGCAGAAGAAGGTAAGAATTTATGAACAGTTAAATCTAGATTTTCATCCAAATCCTTTTGTAAAAGTTTAATCTTTTGTCTTGCGAGATGGTCAGAATCTGGACCAATGAATAAATGGAGAGGAGCAGGTCCTTGGCGATCACTAACTTGTTGGATGATTTCAGCAATCTTGATTGGATCTTTCCATTCTAATGATTTCAGATCTTCGGCGGCACTTGTATAGACTGTTGCATACTTGGCTTTCAAATCGATTGATGGTTCACGGATAGATGATTGGATCGATGATTGGAAGCTACCAATATTTAAAATAGTGACATTGATGCCAAGAAAATCTTTTACTTCAGCTGCATACGATTCGGTAAGACCATCCAAAGCAAATTTGGTGGCAGAATACGATCCAAACAATGGGTAGGCCCAAGTACTGGCACTAGATGATACATTGAATAGATTTGAGCCTGGCTTTAAATGTTTGGTGACATGGCTCATCACAGATGCACAAGAGAAGAAATTAATGTCAAACAGATTTTTGTAGTCTTGAATCGTGTGTCCTTCTGCGGGGCCATAACATCCAAATCCAGCATTATTGACAACGATATCAATTCTTCCAAATGATGAAACAACCTCTTCAACTGTCTTTTTAATAGCTTCATCGTTTAACAAGTCGTTCTCCAATGCAAGGAATTGATTTGGGTCATTGTTTCCAACTACCTTTAATAGATTATCTTTTGATCTTGAAGTTGCTGCAACTCTGTATCCCTTTTCAAGAAAGTATTTGGTAATTGCCAATCCTATACCTGAACTTGCTCCAGTAATAAATAATACTTTTTCATTATTATTATTGTTGTTGGTGTTGGTAGTCATGATTAATTGAATTTTATTATGAACAAATGATATTGAGAATGATTATAATTTGAGTAGATATATATATTTATTTGTTGAATGAACTAATGAATGAATGAATGAATGAATGATTGATGGTCTGAAGAGTTCATTTATAGTTTGAGGGATGCATTCCAATTTCGATACATGCTTTTACAAAAGAAGACAAGAATTCACCTATGAACCGGACGTACTCAAATGTGAAGGAGAGTGTAGGGTTAAGTTGGTTGTGTATGTTCCACTCAATCATGACTTTAGAATCTAACTGTGAGTGAGAATCATAAATATCGATATTATGTTGAAAATTGAACTAAATTTGGTATGAGATAATATTTTTAGAGAATGCCGTTCTCGTCTGGATCACAAAAATGGATGAAAGTTTTGAAGACAAGATATATATTATTTGTTGAATGAACTTTAGACTCTGTGTCCTTTGAATATTTATTTATTATTATTTATTTATTTAATTCTAACCAATTTTAATAATAATGAACTTGATAAAACTGAGAGAGAACTACAAACCATGGCAGCAGCTGCGGCCATTGGTGGAAGGGATACACCAAACATTAAAAAGAAAACACCAGCTGCAAGAGGAACGGCAAGACAATTGTAGACAAGTGCCAAACCGAAATTGATACGGATACGACGGAATACAACACGAGAGAGATGAATGGAACGGTAGACATCGGTCAATGAGTTTTTGAGCAAGACAATAGACGATGACTCGATGGCAATGTCAGTACCAGTGGCTACAGACACTGCAACATCAGCTTGAGAAAGGGCAGGTGAATCATTGATACCATCACCGACAAAACAAACAACGTGTTTGGCTTCTTGGAGTTGACGAACCTTGTCAGCCTTTTCCTTGGGGATGACTTCTGAAAAGATGTGGTCTTCTGCAATACCGACTTGTTGGGCAATGAATTTGGCTGCACGATTATTGTCACCTGTAACCATATAACATTCAATACCGAGGGAGTGGAGACGACGGATGGCAACTGCTGAATCTTCACGTGGGATATCAGAGATACCCATGATACCGGCAAACTGCCCTCCAAACATGACATAGATGACTGTTTTACCGTTGGTTTCCATTTGTTGAGCGTCAGTGACAAAGACTGGGTCGACTGCGACGTTGTTTTCTTTCATGTAGGAGAGGTTGCCAATCAAGACACGGTCCTCACCAAGAGTGCAGACCAACCCTCTGCCTGGAACTCCCTTAAAGTCTTGGACCATTGGGAACTTGATTTCTTGCTCGGTACGACCGTCGACGAGCTTGTCGGTACAGTACTTGACGATGGCACGGCCAATGGGATGCTCACTACCGCTTTCAGCAGCACCGACAGTTTGGAAAAAGGAGGCTTCGTCGGTCTGGCTGGTGACACGATAGTCGGTGACAGTCATCTTGCCAGTGGTGATCGTACCAGTCTTGTCAAAGAGGACGGCAGAGGTCTTGTGGGCAGTTTCTAGTGCCTTCCCACCCTTGATGAGGATGCCCATTTGGGCACCGACACCAGTACCAACCATGACGGCTGTTGGTGTAGCAAGACCAAGTGCACAGGGACAAGCAATAACAATCACTGAAATGGCAGCTAAAAAGGCAAAGATAAAGGGACTGTTTCCATTTCTCCAACCCTCTGGGTAAGAGTTGGTTGCACCGAGTGACATCCAAATGATAAAGGTGAGGATACCAAGAGAGATGATGAGTGGGACAAACACCTTTGATATCTGGTCTGCAAGAGCTTGGATGGGTGCTTTGGAGGTTTGAGCCTGTTGAACGAGTGAGATGATCTGAGAGAGGGTAGATTCAGAGCCAACTTTGCTGGCCGACACGTAGATGACTCCATCGAGGTTGACAGTACCACCAGTGACGACATCGCCGACTTTTTTGGTGACTGGGATTGATTCACCAGTCAACATGGACTCGTCGACAGTTGAGAGACCGTGTACGACGGCACCATCAGTGGGAACAGATGCACCGGGCACAACCTTGAGGACATCACCGTATTGAACGAGGTTGGATGGGATAGTCTCTTCAGAGACGACAGTGAATGCGCCGGTCTTTTCATCGGTCTCTGTGTAGACGAGGATCGACTCTTTGGACTGTAGATTCATGAGCTTGACAATGGCAGATGAGGTGTGTCCCTTGGCAATGTTTTCCAACCAACGTCCGAGGATGATAAAGGTGATGAGCGACGCACTGGTCTCGAAAAAGTGCATACCGTCAAACTCGGGGTTACCAATCTTGAGGATGATGGCCAGCACCGAGTAGACATAGGCACAGGTCGAGCCGACTGCCACCAACAAGTCCATGTTACCGTGCAAGTTTTTGAGTGCAGCCCAACTGGCACGGTAAAAGGTGAGACCCGAGATGAACTGGACTGGAGTGGCCAAGATAATACCAATCAACGATTCCCAGGGGAGTGCTACATTGGGACGTACATATTCCATGAGAAACATGACACCAGACGGTACGAGAACCATCGACAAGATGATAATGGGCAATGTAAAGATGATTGAAAAGATAAAGAGATTACGCCATTTTTGAATCTCACGTTTTCTAAGTAACGAGTCTTTGGCCTCTGAAGAATCCGGACTGTACAATTCAGTGGTGACTTGAAGGTCAGCTTGAAGCTTACGCATACATGTACGTGGACCAACTAGAATAGAGTCACCGTGAATCTTGAATACTCCATTGGCAAATGTTTCAGTGTCGTCTGAAGCAGCGGAAGTGGTAGTAGACTGAGCATCCTTGCGATTATTGTATTCAACTGACGTCACTCCATTGATTGATCCAAGTAGTTTGGCAATTTCATCGTCACTTTTACCATTGCTAACGGTTACGGCAAGGTAGAAAGTACCTGGTTTGGCAGTTTGAAGGATCTTGGTTTCATAGCCGAGGTCGTCGAGTGCACCAATAATGTCTCGGATCTTGGCAATCTCTGGATGATAGGTGACTTCAGCACGCTCGGCCAAAAGGTTGACAGAGCATTCAATGACACCTGGTACTGCCTTGATACCATATTCAACAATGGCTACACAACTGGCACAAGTCATTCCATAGACACCGACAGACACTTGAACTGGCTTTTCAGTTGGATTACCTTGTACCTTGACAGAGAAATTCTCCATCTCAATACCGTCGCCAGCAGATGATTTGGGAATTGGACATGCCAAGGACTGTTCTTCATCTTGGTCAATATCAATCAACAAACTATTGTCTGATAATTGACGATTGATTTTGAATCCCAAGCGTTGGACTGTCTTGATGACTTGTTGATCAGAGATGGTACCAATCAGATGAAGAGTCTGTGAATCAAAGTGAATGTCAGCTTTGACAATACTCTTGTTCTCCAAGAGGATGGTTGTAATCTTTTTAGAGCATCCAACCTGACACTTTAATCCCGACAATTGATAGACTCTTTCATTATTTCCAGGGGGGTTTGCAACTTCTTTACTAATTTGAATTGGTTCTTCTAATTCATCTCCATCCTAAAAAAAATAGAATAGAAATAGAAATATAGAATTAATTAGTCATTTGAATTAAACATATATTTATATTTATATATTATTAACATACAATTTCATTTAATGTTGATGGTGATGGGCATTCTTTGGATTGAACGGCAGCTACTAGTAAACGGAAATGATTGAATACGCCGAGAATAGAGAATATGGATCTTTCAGAGCTTGTAGAGATCTCGACTACACGGTTTACAATGTCATACGAGACAGCGATGACTTGGGAGAGTTTTAAGAGTGCTTGTTCTATTTCTTGGGCTTGTCCTTGGAGTTGAGCGAGGTTTGGTACAAACATCTTAAAGTCACGATAAGAGAACAACGATGACATGGAGCAACATGATTTCTTTTCCTTGGTGGTACCAGAACATCCACAAGATGAGCAATCTGAGGATGCTACCGATGGAGAGACGACTATTTCTGGGGCAGCAGCAGTAGAGGCACCTCCAGTAGAACTATTGGCTGGTGAGCAACATGACTCTAGGTCAAGGTCTAATGTAACCTCAGTCACCGAGTTGATTCGACCCAAAAGATCGTTACATAGACATTTGATACATGAACAACCACAACTATTGCTAAAGTTAAAGTTTGGTTGAGGTAAAATAATCGATTCCATAATAATAATATTGATAATAATAAAGTATTTCTAGATTTAATGACTGTAAATCATAAACCATTTTTAAAAGAAGAAGAAGAGGAAAGGGAGATTAATATATTAATCTTTTTTTTTTTTTTTTAAAGCAATGAGAGGAAGAAGAAGAAGAAGGAGAAGAAGAGGGACAGATCATCTGATATAAAAAAAGAAAAGAAATTTTATTTAACAACACAATAAAACAATTATACTATAACAATAAACAAACTAGTTAAAAAAAAGAAGAGGATGAAGAGTCGAAAAAAAAAATGTAAGAAGATGAAGAGGATGAGGAGGAAGAAGAGGACGAATGAAGGGATGAGGACGAATGAAGAGGATGAGGACGAGGATTAAGGAAGAAGATGTGGATGAGGATGAGGAGGATTAAGGAAGCAATCGCAAAGTATTACAATGAAGAGGAGGAGAAGATGAAGAGGAATATCAAATCGACAATGAACAAGAAGAAGAGGAGGAGGAGGAAGTAGTAACGAAGAGGATGAAGGGAAGGGGATGAAGATTAATCTTGTGTTATTACCAATTTAAATAATAATTTTGTTTGTTTGTTTTGAGTAACTAAGTTAGTTGATATTTATAAATAAGTGTTTGTGTGAAGAATTGAAATGGTTAAGATCAAGCAGCTGTGCGCACGGGTCATTGAGAGAACCAAAACAGAAAATTCAAAAAATAATAAAAATTAAAATAAATTAAAATTCTATGGAACGTTCGTTCTATTCCCAAATGGATAATAATACTTTAGTGACAACGAATCAACTAGTTAGTGATATCAATTTATAATAATAGTACAGTAGAGGTCATATTTTATTGATTGATCGATCGGTTTCATTTACTATTTTCGACACCAGACATACCAACAATCAAAGATACAACCAAATTGCTTACAGCAACATCTACAACATGAACAACATCCATTTTCCTCTTGTTGTTCTTTCTTCTTTTTCTTGTCTTGATCGTCTTTATCATCCATTACTCTTGTTTTAGGTGGACATATGATATGATGTCGACAATAAACATTGCCTGACTCGGGATTATCTCTTTCATTGGTACATCCATACACTTCACATCTTTCTATTGGTTCGCTTGATCCCAATGCGTTGGGTGTTTTTATTGATGAGGAAGTATCACTGTTGTTGGTTGTATTATCTCCTATGATGTGGTGAACCTGTTCTTCTCCTTCTGATGACATTTAACTATACTTCTCTCTCTCTTTTTCGTCTCAAACTGACCTTTTAAATGTATGTCTGAAAAGCCATGACCAAACTGCTGATGGCACTGAGAATCGGATGATGCGAATGTGTTAAGTATTGTAGTGACTTTTTTTGTGTAGACCTCACTACTTCCAAAGCATTATTCATTTTGTTCTCACTTTTTAGTTTTAGAAAAGAGAGAATACATTACATACAACTACCAACTATTATATTATATTATATTATATTATACGATTACTATTTTATTTATTAATACTATTATTATTTAATCGTCATCACCACAACAACCTTCACAACAACCAGAACAACATTCAGAGCAGCATTTACCACATTCTTGAGCCCTTTCATTGCGATCATCTTTCTTTTGTCGATTTTTGTTCTTATCCTTTACTTCTTGTGTTTCGACAGTCATCATAACTTGTGGTGGAGGTGATATATGTTGACGACAGATATTGTAGCCTGGTTCGGCAAGGCCTGGACATCCTGTCACTTGGCATCGATTGACTTGTGGTTGTGGTGGAGGTAACACGTGTTGACGACAGATATTGTAGCCTGGATCAGCAAGGTTTGGACACCCTGTCACTTGACATTGATTGGCGTGTTGTGGTGGAGGTTGTGCGTAGCCTTGTTGTGGAGGATATGCATATTGTTGTTGTTGTGGTTGTGAATCTGCACTGTATGATGGGTATCCGTGTGCATTTGGTTGTGGTTGTGACATGTTTGTTTGTTTGTTTATCTATTCAATACTCCTACTACTATCCCTCTCTTATTTTATCTGTATGTGAAAGTCTCTGTTTAATCAAGTCGACAAGGTTGGTTGATGTGCCTCTTGTTGTTTACATGTAACTTGAAAACACAAGAAGCAAGGGACATATCTGGGTTGTACATGTTTGTGTTCCGGGTTCACAGACATGATCACAACCGATTCAACAACAACAACAAAAAATCAAGATATATTTCAAAAGTCGATGAAAAAAAGGATCACCCGACTAAATAATACCTAAACGGTAACGTTTTACAACCGATTGAAATTTCAATCTCTTGCACAAATATATTTATAATTTTATTTGTCTACACACACAAACAGATAATAATAATAATAATAATGATGTATCATCAAAATAATGATGAGACAATATAAATGGTGGCTAGTTAGTTTGGTTTACACTATTGTGTATATTATTTTTTATATTATTAATTAATTATATTATTAATTAAATGTCATGTCATCAGTTAAAAGTATATTCACATTGTTGGCATCATTAATAGTATTGGTTGTATTACTATTTTGTAGTTTTGTTTATTTATTAAATAATGTTAGTGATATTCAGAGACAACAAAAACTAAAGTTGCACCAAAAACATTTAAATGTTGTTGATTTGAATAATAATAATAATAATATTAATAATAATGTATCATTGGAAAAAACAACAAGTAGTAATGTGACAGTCGTGACAAACCCCTCTTCTACTCCCTCTACTCCCTCTACATTATTATCATCATCATCTTCTTCAACATCCTTGTCAAAGTGGGATCAATTGATTGACCAAAGTTTGATGAATAAGAGTACATTATTTATTTGTGGTAAAGAGTTTGGACAGACTTCACTGTTGGCAAGAAAATATTATTGTGGTGATAGTGTTGGATGGACGGAATGGACAAGTGACGAGTCATTGTTGGAGCAATCAAACGGACAAGTATACTTTGGTGCAGATGTATCTCACAGGCTCTACACCAACTCACATTCTCCCAAGACTAGGGATAGGGATCCAATCAAGATTGATGAACTTGCATCGAGAGCTGTCAGAGTGTATTTCAATCTAGAACCACCTGATTCACCCATCTACTCTGCTTGTGATCGGTCAGCTCGGTGCATGGGACTATTCAACTGGTCAATCGGATGGCAAGATCGCGATGTTATTAAATTACCTGTATTCTCTAGAAATGGATTATTGTCATTGGAAGAGTCTGGAGCGGGAGGATATGATTTTAATTACTATAAAGATTTACATTCACAAAAGAGTCATGATAGACTTGTCTCATGGATGGCATACTCTTGTAGTAATGAGACGACTGACAAGCCATTCCCTCGAACTCTCTATGTCGGAGAGTTAATGAAACATTGCAAAGTTGATAGTTATGGAAGATGTCTAAACAACAAGGAAATGCCGGTTGGCGGAGACCGCAACTCTCAAAATGCATCGCTTGTCAAGAAAGAGGTTATCTCTCAATACAAGTTCTACCTTGCATTCGAGAATACCAATTGTCCAGGATACATTTCCGAAAAGATATTTGAGTGTTATGTGGCAGGAGTCGTTCCAGTCATCTCTGCACACCCATCTGTGCATCGCCAACTGCCACCCGACTCTTACATAGATATGGAACAATTTGATAGTATCGGGGATCTAGCAGCCTATCTAAACTATCTCAATTATAATACAGACTTGTACAGCAGTTTTTTCAATTGGAGAAGAGATCCTGAATACATCAAACAATGGATCGATTCATTCCCATCGACCAGATATGCAACCATTGCTTGTCAACTACACAAACATTATCTATCCTCATTCACTACAACAGTTTCAAACAAACATCCTTCTACTTTTACTCCTCCAACACACCCATCATATTCCATTAAATATGATGCCAAGGATGCCTCGTCATGCTACCAACCATTTGTAAAATATTTAAATAAAAAATAAATAAATAAAATGTTGATTAATTTAAACTTTTTCAAAAAGTGTAGAGGTGAAGATCGTCACACAGTTTAATGACTCATTATTAGTTTTAAAGATATAAAGAGTAGAGAGAATGACAGCAGAAGTAATCAACAATAAGATAGATTTATCTATTTTAAAGGGTCTAGAAGACTTTCAAGTAAATTGGTGTTATCTATCAATCTTTTTCATCGTATTTGATTATGTTTTCAATGTATATCTTAATATTAGACAATCTAGAAAGTTAAGGATCACAAAGATACCTCCTCAACTCGATGCTTACGAAATAACTACTCCTGATCAATTCATCAAATCACAAGATTATGGTTATGATAAACTGTATGTAATCATAACTACATTTGATAAACCTAACATATTATATTAACAGACAGACTTCTTGATCATTTTACTTTATTCTATTTATAGTATATTTTCAACATTCCACATGACATTTGGTGTTGTAACCAATGTACTTTCATTTATGTATGGTTTAAATCCTTTAGTATGGAAATTATCAAAATGGATTCTTAACAATCATATTTATGAAACTGATAATGAGGTATGATGACGACATTGATAACGACGATAATGATCAAAAGATAGACCTATCACAGTCAGTACACTTATTAATCTCTTTCTCTTCTTATTTATTTATAGATTATAATTTCAATTGCATTTTTGTTTATTTATTCATTATTCAATACTATTACTGAATTACCATTCAGTTTGTACAAGACATTTGTTTTGGAAGAGAAACATGGATTCAATAACACTACAATTGGTCTTTTCATCAAGGATACCATTATTTCATTGTTATTGATGGCTGCTATTGGACCAATCATTATTGGTGTTATTGTTTATGTCATTCAAGCAACTGGTCCATTGTTTTGGTTATGTATGTAGAGATAGATAGAAAAAAAAGGTAGATTTAATTTGACCAATTATTTATAATTATTACTCTATACTTTTTTTTTTTTTTTAGACACTTGGATTGTAGTATTTGCCATTTCACTTATTATGATGACCATTTATCCAACACTTATTGCACCATTATTCAACAAGTACTCACCAGTTGAAGGAGAATTAAAGGAATCAATTTTAGCACTTGCCAAGCGTGTCGATTTCCCAGCCACCAAATTGTTTGTCGTCGATAATTCAAAGCGTTCTGGTCACATGAATGCCTACTTTTATGGTTTCTTTAAAAACAAGCGTATTGTTTTGTACGACACCTTGATCAAGGAACTTGAAGAAGAGGATGTCCTTGCTGTACTTTGTCACGAGTTTGGACATTACAAGATGAGTCACACTCTTAGATTAATGGCACTACAACAAGTTTACATTCTTGGATTCTTTTACTTGTTTGGTCTCTTTATGAACGATGTCAAACTTTTCAATGATTTTGGATTCCACCAAGAGACACCAGTTTTCGTTGGATTATTATTGTTTGGTCTCATCTTCCATCCAGTCTCTCAATTATTCTCTTTTGTTGTTCATATTTTCTCTCGTAAATTTGAATATGAAGCAGACAAGGTAAATATTTAATCTATTTCTACAAACCAAAAAAGACTATTAATATTAATAATTTTTTTCTTCTATTTTTAGTATGCATTTGACTTTGGATATGATTTATCAAATGGTTTGGCTAAATTACATATTAAGGATAGTTCTTCTTTATTGGTTGATACAATGTATTCGAAGCTTCATTACAGCCACCCTACTCTTCTTGAGCGTCTCGATTATATTAAATCATTAAAAGCAACATCATCCAAAAAAGAAAAATAAATAAACACAAATAATATTTAAGTTAAATGTTTTATTGAACATCATCATCATCTATAGTTGGTTGTTCATCTAATGGTTGATAACTCCAAAATGGTATTTGATCCTTTTTATAATGTAAATAAATGGGAGGATATTGACTATCATTTTCATTTAATTTTCTTTGTTGAATGATACCACCAAATAATGATGTTTTGCCAACTAATAGCACTGATGAATTATCGACATCCAATCTTTTAATGGTAGCTTTAAACCATGGATATGCTATTACAAATAAACTTAATTCTTCTATACTCGATTGATTTATAACTTGATCCAATCTAAAACTAATAGGCATACTTGAATCATAATGGGCAAGATGACATTTTAATTTCTTTAATTTTTTGGTAATAATTGACCTCCACTCTTTGTTTCTTGTTGATCAATATTATTACTAGTATCATTATTAAATATTTGAATAGTTGAAATTGAAAATATTGGCACATTATTAATTTGATAAGATGATGGCATTAGATAATCAAATCGTTCAAGTGAAGATGGGATTATATTTGAATGCCCAGTTCCTTGTAAACCTATATAATCGATATATCTAAGTGTTGGTGGATAATCTATCGATAGATTCGATCCAACTCGTCCATTCCTATGAGAATAACTAGTTATAGTTAGATGTTCCAATTGTTGTGGTAGGGTGATAGTGTCAAGGTATTCTGTATTTGGTATTTCCATTTTGAGTCTTTTAATCATGTTGGGGAGATAGTCTGGTGTAGTAGGTCCCTCATATCCACTTAGAGATAATTCGGTCACAGTCGATGGTATGGCACCTTTTTCCAATATTGCATCACCTTTGAATGTGAGGCTAAGTTTTCCAAGACCCTCTTTGGGAAGGAACCCTGGTTTGATCGTTCGTGTATTGGCAAGTTCCAAGGAATATAGTGATTTGGGCAAGGTGACACCTTGTTCAAAGTCAATAAATCCTAGTATGGATAGCTCGCAAAGATTATCTGGTAGAAACCCTGGTAGAATACTTCCAAAGCAATTTCGTTTGTCGAGATGGATCGAGCGGAGAGATGACGATTGTGATGATTGTGGCAGACTAAACATTGTACTTGTAAAGTTTCCCACACCTAGCTTGAATGATTCTAGTGCAACAAGGTTTTGCATATTGAATACGGTCGAATCTTCCAATAGCCACTCAATGTCGAGACAGAGGCGGACGAGATTGGGTAGCGATTCGAAAAAATCACCTTGCAACGTATCGACACCAAGACGCAAGTCGGTTAGTGTTTTGGGGAGCACACATCTACCCAGATTATAAGCCCGCTCCAAGTATAGGGTGGTGAGATGCTGTAGCGTTTCGAGACCGATCAAATTGCATGGTTGTGGGACAATGTCGTGAAAGATTAGCGTTTCAAGACGAGATGGAAGCGTTTTACCATTGGCATAGATGGTTACCAACAAACGGAGACTTTCCGGTAGTACACCCTCTGCAAACCCAATACCTTTGTGCCAAGCATTTCCATGGTCGTGTGAATAGGGTAGTATTAAGTGTTGAAGATTGGGTGGATAAAATGATGCTGGAAAAGCATCATAGTCGAAACTTTGTGTAAAGAAGATGGTTCTAGTTGATGGTGGTATCTTGATTGTGTTGGCTACTACTTTTACATCTTCAATCGATATCTGAACCGTTGTAATACCATCTGTCACATGTTGATTGAGTAATGGTATACTACTAGTACTATCATCATCAACGTCATCAGAGATGTATTGTTGATTTGATAATGCATTGTCAAATAATTGTTTAAATGATCGTAGATTGAATTGTAGTAAACTATTGACTATCTTTACATTTAAACGTCTAAATGAACCTGAATAATCACATATATATTTTGTATGTTTAAATGCCAATCTACTACTATACTGTTGTCTAATATGATAGAATAACTTTTTACAAGTTAATAATAAACATATCAAATCTACATTATTATCAATCTTTTCTATTATATTTAATATTAATAAATTTGATAAAGTATTAATAGTACTAGTAGTTGTAGTGGTGGTATTAGTAGTAGTCGTTGTAGTTGCACTACTACTACTACTACTACTACTATCTGTTGTAGAATTATCCATTGATCACACTGAACAATCTAAATAAAATTTGTTTTTTTAGTTGATTTATAAACATATAAATCAAAAGAAGGAAATAATATTTATTTATTTATTTATTGTTTAATTTTTGTAATTGATGTTGGTATTGTTGATATTGTTTTTGTTGAGCTTGTTGTTGTTGTAATTGTTGTTGATATTGTTGTGGGAATTGTTGTTGGTATTGGAGATACTGTTGGTGTAGGTGTTGTTGGTATTGTTGTTGATAGATGAGATACTGTTGGTAGTGGAGATACTGTTGTTCTTGAATTTGGGAAAGGTATCCTCCGGTTGGTGGCGATGGCACAATTAGATGTCTCTTGAAATAACTAATAAATTGCTTTGGAATTTCTTGTAACGATGCTTGCGCGATATCTACATAAGGAGCTGTTGTAGCATATGGAATAAATTGAACAACGTTTCTAGCTGCTCCTGGAATTGGTTTACCACTAAATTCTTCTTGAACTGCTCCAAATGGTCCATTTCCAACTCCCATTCTAAAATAATAAACAAATTAATTATTATACTATTATTTTCTATTTTTTTAAAATTAGTTTCATACATAATAATTGATAATGGTAAATGGGAAGCATGGGCAATTAATTGTTTAGTTTTATCAATATCAGTGATAGAGACGGCGGTAGTGACAATCAAGAGAATGGTGTATTTTAAAGGACCGGCTAATCCATTTTGTACTTGACCGATTGCCTTTTCAAGAACATGAACTAGGTTGGTTGAAGGGGCTGGCATAACCTTTGCAATATTCTCCTTGTATATTTTGTGGACTTGGTCAATACCACCGGGCAATTGATCGGGCCCACCAATATTCATTGGGAAGCAGTGTGAGGGTGGAGATGCACCATCAACTTGTCCACCAAAGCCATAGAATGGTACTTGACGAATAGTATCATATGGTGTCAACACACGACCAATTGACATGATCGCATGTTCGAATTGATTTAAAGTACCATACTGCAAGGCGTGTAATGGACCAGTAGAAGTAGTACAATCAACTGCAACCATCATACCAATTTGACATCCACCAACTATGAAATCCAATATATTGTATGGATAACAACTTTTGTGTACAATACTTTTAAAGTGACAAACTCCACTATTAACATACCCCTTTTTACTCTCTTTCTTTTTTTGATTTACAATTGAAAATGATGGTAATTCTTTTACATGTGCTAATGTATTAAATGTTGTCTAAATTAATTAATTAAATATATTAATATTACCATTAATATTATTGATCAATAAATATATATATATATTTTATATACATACTTCAAAATTACCAATTAATTCAGAAGGAGTTGGAGCTTTATTCCAATCCATAAATTCAAATTTAATTGGATTGTCTAAGCGACCATCACATAGATCATCAGCTGACAACTTTACCTTTTCATAATGAGGGTCTAAAGTTTTCTTTTTAATATCACTAATGTATGCTTGATTCCAAACAAGTCCATGATCATGTTTATAAATCTTAAAGAATGGATCACTCTTTCCAAAGAAATCTTTCTTTTCAAGCTAAAATTTAAATTAAATAAATCAATTAGAGAATACTATTATTATTATTATTATTATTATACAATATTGTTATTTTTAATCATTACGTACATTTTTACAAGCAATTTCAAAATGTAACTTTTGATGAGATCTTGGAGAGAATTCAGCTTTGATATCAATAGTACCTCTATAAACTTGATCAACAGATAAAAGTTCACTTTGAATTCTTCTAGAGGGATGATAAATAACATCGGCCAATGTCAAATCGAATATACCATAGACATGTAATTTAGAGAGTTCACTGTAATTGGTTGTTGCTTCACCATTACAAACTACTATTCTCAAAGGTTGGATAGCTTCGAATTTGTAGTTTATATTTAAAGTAACCGTGAATATTGGATTGAGTACATTATGAACCTTTTCAGTTGCACCAATTAATACATAAGCATCAGGTCTTTCTCTTTCTGGTTCATAAACTAATACTCTTGGATCTAAAATACATTAAATAATAAATAATAATAAATAATTTAACAAACAAACAAATAATATAAATATATATATATATTGACATACCAAACTTTGATGAAGAAGAAGTATCTAAGATTTTATGATAAACACAACTGAATGATAATTCAATATTGATTGTTTTAAAGAGTGGTTTTATCATTTCTTTCTTTCTTTCTGCTATATATATATAACTAATGTAGTGTGAAGATAGATATATAATACAAGTATAAGTTATATTAACTTGTATTTATAAATGAAGGTCTCGACTGTCCGTTACACTCGACCACCTACCGATGGTCGTTGATTCTTGAGGACCAGATTCTTCTTATTAGATTCCATCATTTTCTTGTGTGTGTGCTGTGACTTTAGATATTTTACATGATAGAGAACAGTTCGGAATACCGAAAGTAGTATAGTAGAGTAAACAAAACTAAAAGACCATCACCCCCTTTACTTTTAGGTGTCTATAAATTAAAAAAATAGATTAGAAACTTTTAAACCAAGATATTTTAATATCTTCTTGATTTTTATTTTAGTGCGTATTCCCATTTTGTACACACTGTGGTTTGGGGCCATTAAAGTGCTTGTGCAAGAGAAGAAAACAGAAACTAATGGAAATACAATACAACCATTAAATTGTTAATTCTTTTTTTGGTTAATACAATAATAAATAAGTATGGATATTCATTTTAATTGTTCCAAAACATTGATTGATTAATTAATTCAAAAAATACAATATATTTTCGTAACTATTGATCAATTGGTTTGATCTCTCTGTTACTATTACTATTGGTTGTGTTTTTTATTAAAAAAAAAAAATTAATTGGCAGCAACTTCGACAGCAGCGGCAGCAGTGGTTGTTTGGTCGTTGTTGCTGGATGGGATGTCTTGTGAGTTCAAGACGACAATAGCTTCCTGTATCTTTTCAGAAAGCTTGGTTTGATCCAAAAGGTCTATCAAAGAATCAAAACCTTGTTGGATGGCTTGGGACAAGATCATTCCGGTGATTTTGGGTGCCTTGTCAGACTCCTTTTCCGAAACGATATTGTAAATAAATGATCCAACGGCATCTCTAACATCTTCGAGTGTCATTTTCTTTAATTCTTCAACATTGAGTGATGGTGAAGATTCTTCTTGTGATGGGGAACGGGATGGTTGTTCATCTCTCTTGGTGGCTGGTGAGGAGGCGGTGGTGGTGTTGTTGTATGGGGTATTGGTTGGGCTACGTGGTTTTCTTGGTTGTTGTTGGTGATGACTATATCCATTGGTTGATGGTTTGATCATATTGCTATTTGGTTGTTGTTGGTTGTTTGGATTTAAACTAATTGGACGATTTGATTTGAATGGAACTTTTCCACGTGGTTGTTGTGAGTTTTGTTGTTGTTGAGATGGTGATAATTGTTGTTGTTGTTGTTGTTGTTGTTGGGCAGCAGCAGCTGGATAATAGTGAGCTTGTTGGTATTGATATGGACCACGAACATATGGCATATACATGTAGGGATTTGGTCCTTGAAGGGAGTCAGATGGAATACGTTTCTCTTTACGACTGTTGGACAAGGATACAACCAATGCCTTTGTGCCAAAGACATAACCATTCATCTTTTCAATGGCAACAGCAGCTTCCTCTTGAGTCGAGTAGGTGAGGAAGGCAAAGCCACGAGACTTGATCTTGATGCCCAAAATGTTTCCGTGTTTGGCAAATTCTTCACGAATAATCTCTTTATCAACTTCCATGTCAATATTATTAATAAACAAGGTTAGGTTTTGTTGTTGTTGTTGTGAAGTTGATCCGTTTTGTTGTAAAGAAGAAGAGTTGATATGATGATTGATGTTATTATTGTTATGATTGTTATTATTGTTATTTAATTCGTTAATTAATTTTTGATTCTTTTCGATTGATCTTTCGACCTTGTTTTTGATACGATCAAAGGTGATTTGCTTTGAAAGGATGGTGATGGCCTCGGTACTTTCTAAAAGTGCTTGGGCATCTTCTGATGTTTTGAATTCGACAAATGCCAATCCCTTTGGCTTTCCGGTTGGATCGGTTCTAATATTACATGACTCTATCTCACCAAATCTAGACAATTCCTGTTGCAACATTTCAGAGGTTACATTTTCATCAATATTTTTAATGAATAATTTGTTTTCATTCTTTTTTTCCTTGAATCTTTCAACCTTTGATACAAATGGTTCAACAATACTAATAAAAAAAAAAGAAATATAAATATATGTTTTTTCTTTTTTTTTTCTTTTTTTTTTCTTTTTTCTATTCTACATACATTGGTTTACCTAAAAGAATGGTACCATTAACTTTAAGGATAGCTTGTTCAGAAGATTCTTGATTTTCAAAATGAACATAACCATAGCCCTTTGAGATACCCTTTTCATATTCGATTTTGCATGAAAGGATGTTGCCATAGGTGCTAAAAGTGTCAAAGAGGAGAGCATTGTCAACGTTCTTTTCGAGATTCTTGACAAAGATGTTTCCAACATTGGATTTACGCTTGGTTGGGTCACGGTGTGACCACATGATACGGCATGGACGACCGAGAATAAGAGAGTAGTTGAGGGTGTCGAGTGCACGCTCGGCATCCACAGAGTTGTAGAAATTGACATAGGCGTATCCAAGTGAACGGAGGGTTGCAGAATCACGACAGACATGAATAGAGGCAACGGCTGTGCGTCCAACCTTTGAAAAGAGTTCGGCCAAAATGAGTTCATTGACCTCTTGTGATAGATCACCAACGTAGAGTGAAGTGAATTGGAGTGGGGGTGGAGGTGGTGGCGATTGGTAGTGACCAACTGCTGGATGCATTGGACCGTGGTATGGTTGCATCATCATTGGATGATGCATGATCATGTGTGGGTGTGGGGCGTAATGTCCATTGTTGTGATGATGGTTGTTGTGGTTGTGACCGTTGGTGTTGGTGTTGGTAGCAGTGCCATTCGAGTTGTTGTGATGGTGGTGATGATGACCACCATGGTTCGTAGACGAGGCAGAGGAGGAGGTGGTGGTGGGCGACGATGACGACGACGACGACGACGAAGCAGCATTCACTGGAGTTGAGTTGGATAGGTTTTCAACTGCAGCATTGTCTGGAAGTGATACGACAGATTCAGTAGTATTTTCAATTGATGAAACCATTGTGTTTTTGTTTTTGTTTTGTCTTTAAAAAAAACTAAACTATTTAATTTAATTTTGTTTTAAATTAACAAGATGATAATGATAAGATTAATATTTGGTCTATCTATTTTGGTTTTTTTATCAAAATTATAATTGGAACAAGAATATATATATATGAATATTATTTGTTTGTATTTTTTCTTTTTTGTAAATTTAGTTGTTGGATTTATCTTTTGATTGTTGTTGATGATGATGATGATGATGTACTATGGTGATGGTTTTGATTCCTTTCTTTTTCTTTTTTGGTATAAAAGTAAACAACCAACAGCCAACAGAGATAGATGTATAATAATAATAAATTGTAAAAAAGGAGTAGTAGCAGGAGTAAGATGTTGGTTTCAACACACCCCACCCAATCTGCTTTAACTATAGTAGTGACAATGGCAACCAACAACAACAAAACATTCAAAAACAACAACACCTATAATCACGACAGCCACACCCCCACCACCAGCTCCAAACCCTGCACTTTCTAATTTGGTCCACCTATATATTATTTTGATTATCTTGCACACACACACACACCACTCTGCAATCTATTTGTAAAAAAGAAAGAAAGAAAGAGAGAGAGATAGAGCAAGCATTGCCATTGTCAACAAACACTCTCTCTCTTTGTAACTATGGTGTGTGATGAAGAGTCGTTGTTTTGGTTGGAACAATATTTCTCTCCATCTACTGCTGATGACCTCTGCTGATACTGTATAAATATATTGAGGGCATTGAATTCACTGCCAGTGGCCATTGTGTGGTTGATGGGATTGGTGGGTTGTGGTGTGGGGAATAGAAAGAGAATTCATATGCAATTTAAAAGGTTAAAGGGGTTTGAATCTCGCTGTAAGGTTGGTGTATATATATATGATCTAACTGGAGTGGTTGTAATATGATTGATATTATATATTATATCATTGATTATAGGTTCTATGTGTTTTTTGTTTGTCAAACTACTTGATCATGATTAATTATAAAAATAGAGTCAAGGTTTGATTTGGAGTGAAGAGGAAACGGGATATTAAGGAAGAGGGTTGTATCTATCTCTGAAGGGAAAACAAGAGCAATAGATATGGTTATGCTCTCCCTGTCCAACAAAATATATACTACTTTACAATCAATCATGTGATTTTAAAAATAGCCTATGATCACGAGTGTATTCGAATGGGTAATATTATTATTATTATTATATATGATGATGATGATAACTACTTAGGTTTGTGGTGTTGAGTAATCTTGTTGAGTGTTACTTGGCAATGAATGAATGAATGTTATTGACGAAGGGGATAAGGAGAATTGATTATTATTCTTCTTTTTCTTTTCTTTCAACCGATTATGATGATTCAAATCCAAAATAAATCTTCTTGATGACTACTTTACTAAACTACTACTACTATAATTGTCCAACTACTACTAATTTCTATTAATGACTTATATTAATAGAGAGAAGGGGATTGTTGGTGTATCGACTAGTTGCTTAATAAGAGAGTGAGCGAAGTGCTGACTTTTGATGTTCATTGCAAAGAGAGAGAAAAAAAAAAATTAAAAAAAAAAAAATCTTTTGGCTCTGTCCTCAAAAAGTTGGAAGACGAAGAAGAATCAATAAAACATAAAGACAGATATATGTAATTAATTTGATATATCTATCTAGAGAGGAGAGGAAGGTTGTTGTTTATAAATATCAGATGATTCTTTATTTTTATATATCGATTATATGTACAAAGAAAGAAAGATCATAACTAAAATATTATTAGCTAAGTTAACAGGAGGAGGGGGATAGAGTTCGGTGGTTTGGTATTATATTATTATTATTATTATTATTATTATTATTATTTACTGATACAGGATATATTATTGGTTGTTATTATTATATTATTGGTTATTATTAGTAAGTAGGTAGTAGGATGATATAGTTTCATTATTATTATTATTAGTATTTATAAATTTACAGTAGGTGAATGGTGTGGCTGTGATTAAGTTGATATTATTAATAAGGTGAAGAGTATAGTATAGTATAGTATGTACATGAAGTGATGATTTAGAATAATTGACATTTTGATTTCTTTGTTGGTTTGGCTGGTTGTTTGGTTCTTATTTGTTTTACAAGTTGTTCGAATGCTTGGCTAATGTTGAGTTTGGTCTTGGCCGACGTCTCGATAAACTCAACGTCGCCCCATTTCTTGCAGAGTGATTCGGCATCTTTACTGCTGACTTGTCTATTTGGTTCCAAGTCACATTTGTTACCAAGAACAATCATTGGGATCTTGGATACTGGTGCCTCCTTGACACGACACACTTGATCCTTCATTGCTTCAAGTTCATAGAATGTGCTCTTGGCAGTAATACTATACACTAAAATGAAACCTTGACCATTTCTAATATACAAGTCTCTCATTGATAAAAAGGTTTCCTAAAATAATAATAACATTATAAATTAGAATTCAATTGGTCATCACATGATTTTGGTTTGGCAAATTACTTACAGTTCCAGCAGTATCCATAATTTCCAACATGAAATGATCATTTCCCATTTCAATTGCTTTTCTATATATATCTTCAATGGTGGGATCGTATTGATCGACGAATTCACCATTAACATATTGGATGGTGATTGCCGATTTTCCAACTGACCCACTGCCTAATAAAACGATCTTTAAATTTAGCATTGTTGTTGTTGTTATTATTATAATAAATATTATTATAAAAGAAGGGTATGTACAAAATAGAATTATTTACAGAATTTATATATATACAAAAAAAAAATTGTTGGAATTGAATTAAAACAACAATGATTAATTAGTGCACTTGAAATTAAATATAAAGAAAGAAGGAGAGAAAGTTGGAACTGTTTGGAACAGGTTGGTTGGATGGTTTGATGGGTTGCTCCGAGAAATAAATGAAGATAAAAGATGAGGATAATGTGTGGGTGGTCGGTATCGATTGATTGATTGATTGACAAAGTTGATTGATTTGGGCTGTTAAACAAGGGTTTGTGTTAAGTGGTAAAAACACAAAAATAATAGTTATATACACACAACACGCAGTTAGTTACAAACACATAAAAACAAACACACACAAGTTGTTTAATTTAATTAAAGACTTTGAAGAGAGAATAGAATAACAAAACAGCTGACACTGAATTAGGGGATTTATAAAGAAAACGATGGATTGATTGGCTCACCCCAGTGCTTCCCTCCAACTAACCAATTTGTTTTCAAGCAATGCTCACACACTGATGGAACACAAACCATGGTGATTCTTTAACAATTAATTTCAAAGTGAGCTTCAGCTGGATTATATCCCCCCTTGTGAATTCTTTAAAACATTAATATATCAATGACGTCGAGGTATAGGGGAAGTCGCTTAGATAACCTAGTGATCGATCTCAACACACCAATCAATCTAAAATTGACAATCCCCTCTTGCGTCAAAAAACATCTCTGACCAAATCACACCCTAACCCCCATCGATCCAATGTCATGAATCCCATCTCTCGAAATCACCAACCAACCGACTAGTATTTTTCAGCTAATCACCCACCAAAATAAACACAACACTGTGAGAGAGGAGGCAGAAACACAGAGAGTGGATGTGGGTTGACTGGAATGATTGAACTGTTTAACCTGCACAATGAACATGTGAAATCAGGGTTGGCGTGATTCAGGAATACCAAATCATTCTTTTTTTCATTTACCAAAATCTCGGTTTCCACTATGAAAATTCTTGTTTCTTATCTTTCAATCAAAATGTTGACCCGTTTGTTGTGCAAAATAGAGTACAACCCTGCCGACAATCAAAAACAAATTTGTCCTAATTTCCCCAATATCTCTAAAAAGACAATTATCAACTGATATCTATCTGGGTGGTTTATGATTTCATACTTGGGCCAAGATTTCTTTATTGTCGTGATCCAAGGTTGATAACCCTAACAACCAACAATATATCAAAGAAATAAGTGCACTACACTATTGTGATTACTTTTTACTTTTTTCATTGAAACAAAAGGGGTATACTCTAATTTAAGATCAGATCATTATTACATTGTACAATGGTCTAGATTATTAAAAATATCTTTTCTATCTTCTTCTTCTATTGATTGTTTTAAATAAAGTTTACAATTTTAATTTTATTTTCTTTTATAACCATCACATTATTTGGTTTTTGTTATTGTTAATATTCATTTTTGAATTATTCTATGATTCTTCTTATTATTATTGATGTTGTTTTGGGGTTTGGGGGTTGAGTTGGTTGAACTTATTCGAGAGATGTTATATGTATATATATAAGTGGTGGAATAGTTTTGACTGTTATATCTTGTTGATTTCTTTTTTGATTTGATTTGATTTGATTTTTTTTTAAGCATAAACACCTGCATCTATAGATACAGGAACAGGAGCAAATGAGGAGATACCTTGAATTTCCATATCTTTGAGATGCTTAATAATTTGTGAAAAAGTGGGTCTCTTTTCTGGGTCAGCGTCCCAGCACAGTTGAATGAGTTGTTTCCATTTGGGTGAAGTGGTGAGAGGGATGGGTGGACGATAGCCCTCGTGAGCGACAAGATGGGCCATTCTCTGAACCTTGAGGTCTTGTTGTGGTTCTTCCGATGTCAATAGTTCCCAGAGAATCATAGAGAAAGAGTATACGTCACTCTTTTCGCTATTTGGTTCTCCTCTGAATACTTCTGGTGCCATATAGGGGATACAGCCTACACTGCCAGTCATTTTGTCACCCTGTTCCATCTTGAGTCTACTGAGACCAAAATCAGAGATCTTGCACTTAAAGTCAGTGACTTGGTATGGCCCTCTGAGGTTGTTGATGTTATTGTCAATGAGGATGTTTCTCGATGAAAGATCACGATGGAGAATTGGAGGTGTCCAGCCATGCAGACAATTCATTCCCTTGGCAATATCCAATGCAATCTTTAAACGAAGTTGTGGATTCTCTTCCAAAATATTGAAATGGTCTGATAAAAATTGTCTAAGACTGCCTCCTCCCATCCATTCAATTACAATACAATGTTGATCTTCATGACCACTTGTACATGCTCCTAAAAATTGTACAACATTTGGATGTCTCAATTTACTATAAATAAAAAATAAATAAATATAAATATTTGGTTTGATTGATTCTTTTTTTCTTTTCTTTTCTTTTTTTTTTTTTTACCTTAAAAATTGAAACTTCATTTTGGAACATTTCAAAAGAAGTTTTTGATTTAAATTGATCACGATAAATGACCTTGATGGCAACATCAGTTTCTCTCCAAGCACCTTTTTTAACTTCACCAAAGAAACCCTTTCCTAATAGTTCTCCAAATTCGAGTTCATCATAACCAATTTCAAAATCTTTACTCTGTTGATGAGGTTGTTGTTGTTGTTCGATGATTTGTGCTATGTTTTGAGGGCTCATAAAGGATGGGTGTGGACCGATATGTTGTGGTGGTGGTTGCATACCGCCACTCATGCTGCTGATGCTAGATACGAGGGGTGGTAGTTTAAAGGCACTTGGTGAAGAGTTGCTGGTGGTTGGTTTGACAGGTGGATAAGAGTTGCCGATTTGTGGTGAAAATGGTGGATAGCCAGCACCCTCTTGTTGTTGTTGTTGTTGTGATTTTACATGTCCAAGTGTGGCAAATGGCTTGCCACGCAGTTCAAAGAGTTCATCCTTTTCTCGAATCCTGCTGATTTGTTCTTCAGTCATTGTCTTGCTTACATCTATAATTCGTTGTTGGTTGTTATTAGGGTAGTAGTGGTTAGAGGTTTGGTTAGTATTTTCTCCACCTCCAATTGTACTACGACGGCTACGCTCCTCAACAAAGATCTTACTTGCAAATCCTTTTCTACCGGGTCTAGTGATATGCGAACGCGCGGCATCGTCATTGTGGCTGCCCACGCTGTCTTGGTCGGTCGTGCTGGTGGTCGACGTGCCGTCATTCGTGTCGTCGTCAAACCCGATTCTAAATCCATTCTCGCGATCTCTCCACACCTTGACCATACGCTGCACGCGGTTCAATATATCGGCACGATGGCCGAGCGGCTCGATTCCCAGGTCAGACTTGAGCAGCTCGTGGTCAAAGAGGAGCAAATGACGTCCACTAATATTGTTCTCTCTAAAGTTCTTTCGGTACTGTCCATAGCCGATGGCTTCGAGCCACACGGCCACGTCGTTGGGCGGCCAGCGCTGGAATCCTGCTCCGCGGTCTGGTCCCAATGACTCGGTCCAAAATGAGGGTGACACGCCTGGTAGCGAGTTGAGGTTAAACTTGAACGGTCCGCTAAAGGTCGCCACGGCAGTACTACCCACACCACGAATCGATATCGAAGGATAGAGTGGAACAGAGAGCACGCGCCAAAATGCAACACCCAAATACTGTCCATTCTTTGTAAAGAATATCTCCTTGGTGGTGGTGTTGTAACCGCATCCAATGACTGTATACTCGCCACTGTTGGCATAGGATGGGCCGTATGGCTCGCCAATTTCAGTGCCACTAAACTTTTCTCCGTCACTCGCGTATCCGTATGTCTTTGGTTCGCGACCGATATGTTTGTTGATTGTGCAAGCTGCATGGGTAAGACCGACGGTAAACGTTCCCTTCTTGTCGTATCCCTCGAGATACACTTCAAAGTAGCAAAGGACCGTGCCACCCATAGGGAATGGACGGTTGGCCTGTGCGACCGACGTCTTTTTCTTGATCATCGTGACGGTAATATCGTTGTTTGGCTTGAACGACTTGCCGTATCTACGCCATGCCGATGGTGGCTGACCGTCCGAATCTTGGTATGATCCGCTATAAAAGCCAAACTCGTCCGATGAGCTGAGTGCGCCCGACACCATCACCAGGTTGTTCTTGCTGGTACGTGGCGACGTTTGTGGCGACGTGGATGAGTTGGAAAAAGACAATCCGAGCGACGAGACGGTTGGGATGGAGCCGCCAGCCGGCAAACTGATGCTCTTGGTATTGATCGAGGTGAGCGATCCAATAGTATTTGGTGGTGGAGGAGGTAGCGATGACGAAGACGATGACAACGAGCTTGAACTCGTCGATCCCTGTGACGCGGGCAATACAAACGATGGAGTGGGTGACACTCTATTATTTCCATTGAAAACAATCATCTGATTGGTAAGTTCTTGTTCTTGGTTGAGTGGTGGTTGCTGTGATAGTTGTTGTTGCTGTTGCTGTTGTTGTTGTTGGTCTATAATCGATGGGAGGGGAGGTAACATTATTTTATTGCCGCTGTCCTTTTTCTCGTCCTTTTCAGAGATGGATCCAGACGACGAGGAGATGGCAGGTTCGATCGGTGAGTTGATTTCCTTTACAAGTGTATGAATGTTTGCATATTTAAACGGTGGTGAAAAAGTGGCTTCTATCGTACCGGGCTCGGTAAAGGCGACGGACGGGTAAAACTCGCCGTATACATTGCCATAGGCGACGCCCAAAAAGACGCCGTTTCGGGTAAAGAAGATCTCTCTCTTTTCCAAAAACAGACCGCATCCAATGACGTCGCCGCGGTGGAAGCCCGGTCCGTACGGCTCGCCCTGGTTGACCGACGACATGATCGAGGCCTCGCGCCACTTGAACTTGCGTCCGTCGTCGCTGTGGTAGCCGTACGAACGCTTGACCCAGCCGATATGCAGGTTGAGCGGGTAGTCCTTGTGCGCAATACCCACCGAGAACTGGCCGCGCTCCGACTCGCGGATAGTGACCTCAAAGTAGCAAAACTGGTCGCCCATGGGCTGCGTGCACTGTACCACGCCAATCTCGCCCTTGGACGGGCAGTCCGAGCCGATGGTGGCGGTCAAGTCGTTGACCGAGACTATACGTCCGCAGTGGCTTGGGTTCCAACGGCAGGATTCCAATTCCTCCTTTGGTATGAGATCTTCGACACCGCCAATCGAGTTGCTATGTGTTTTGCTCTCGCTGCTCGACAATCCTCGGTACGAGAATGGTGGCAGACAGTATATTACAACAGACTCGCCGACAGACTGCAAACCGACCGTTGGGAACAATCCAGTGACGTTGACCTTGGTCATTGCCGCACCCAGATATATTCCGTTCCTTGTGAAATAGAGTGTCTTTTTGCTAGTGTCGTATCCACATCCGACTATATCTCCGCTCTTGAACGATGGTCCATATGCTCTGCCTTCACCATTTCCCGAAAATACCCTTCCGTCTCCATAGTACCCATAGGATCCTTGTAAATATCCTGGGAATTGATCGGTTGGATAATCGGCTGGTGTCAAACCCAAACATATTTTACCTTCTTTACCATTTACTGATAATTCAAAATAATTAAATGAACTTGAAAATGCTACACTTGATCTAGCAATCTAAAAACGTAAAAATCAATAAATTAATATCTATATCATCAGATGACCAATCAATATTTCTATTTGTTTGTTTCAAACTTACACCTTTAGAACCACTTTGGTTTAATAAATATGAAACTGTTTGTCTATCATCAACTCTCAAAACTTGTGAATTTGATTTTCTCAAATCCCATTGGTGAGGCTCCTTTTCATGAGAACCTCCCAATTTCTTTTTAATAAATTTGAAACCCATTCCAAAAAGACCTCCCGATGATGAAGATCCACTATCACTAGTATCTATCTTTCTTTCTTTTGGTTGTGGAATTGGTGGTGGTGGTTTGTTTGGTGGTTTACTAGTTGTTGAGGTTGAAGTTGTGTTGTTGTTGTTGTTGTTATTACTGCTACTATTGTTACTATCAACTCCTTGATAAGGAGGAGAACCAGTTGGTGATAAAGGTGAAGGTGATGAAGTGGCAGGTGATCTAGATTTAGATGGCGAGGTTGAAAGATTGATATTATTGTTGTTACTACTGTTATTAGTCCCTTGATACGATGGATATTGTGAAAGTGTGTTGGAATGAGGTCTGCTAATAAAGAATTGATTTGGATGTTGTGGTTGGGGAGGTGGTGGTGGTGGAGGTGGAAATGATACAGAAGAAGAGACCTCGTCTTTGGTGACTGATGATTGTGGTGATTGTGACTGTGGTGATGATGAATAGGATTTGTTGCTACCGACGCTGCTACTACTGCTCTTTAAAGTAGAAGAGGTTGTTGACGATGATGATGGTGGAGGTGGTAGAAAGTTAAAGTTGTTTTGATTTACAATGTAGGGTGCGGTTGGAAATGGTGCCGATTGTGGTCTAGTTGGTGATCTTGAATTTGATGGTGATTTTGGTACTACCAACAATGGTGGTGATGGAGCTGGTGATGGCTGTTGTTGTTGATAATGACTATTAAAACTACTATTATTATTATTATTATTACTTGTAACTGGAGGTGTTAGTGAATCTGTTGATTGATTTAAAGTATTTTGTTGTTGTTGTTGTTGATGATGCAATTGTTGTTGTAATTGCTGTTGTTGGTGTTGTTGGATAATAGAAATGTTACTACTACTGTTACTAGTACGATGATGATGATGAGGATGATTATAATTGTAGGAAGGTGTTACAAAGTTATTATGACTATCGAGAAAATCGAGTGGATCAACCTCGTTGTTGCTGAAAAGAGACGAGCTCGAGTTGCTTATAGGACGCACAACCGGGATGGGTGTTAGGATTTCGTTGAATATATTGTCGTGTGATTGCGATGGTGGTGGTGCATTAATATATTTCCGGGTACCTGGAGGCGACGAGAGGTTGATCAGAGGCGTGCCGGTGCTGAGGTTGGTCGCACTGCTGCTGCTATGAAGTTGGTTGGGATTAAAGTTGGAGTACTGGTGTTGGGTGTGGCCGTGATGGCTGTGGTGTAGTCCTCCGGTAAGTAGACTGTCGGCACTCGAGTTTTTGTTGTTGATTCTTGTGAAATTACTATTAAACTTGAGTCCACTACTACTACTACTGCTGCTACCACCCGTCGTATTATTCATAGACCCTGATGATGGCGAGTGTTGTTGTTGTTGTTGTTGTTGTTGTTGATGTTGTTGATCGTTGAAAAAGTTGGTTGGAGATAGCTGGCTACTAATGCTAATGTTGTTGCAACTGTTGCTGTTTACAAGCGTGCTGCCTCCACTAGAACTGATGACTCCGCCCGAAGTTGTAATGACGCCACTGCTGTTACTTCCTACACTAATGTTAATGGTACTTCCAGTATTACTTCCACTGCTACAATGTATGTTGTTGTTGACCCCTCCACTCACACTGATTCCTGTCGATGATGAAGTTATCGAGTTGTTGTTGTTGTTATTGTTGATGGCAGGATTAGAGGAATGTAGTGGTGGTGAAGGAGGTGGTGGAGGAGAGATGGGCGAGGTTGTAGTTGATGTATTGGTATTATTATTATTATTATTAGTTGTCGAGGTGGTGGTAGTGGTGGTGGATGACGATGCAGCTACTCCTGCTGTATTGGTTGTTGTGGATGCAGAGGCTGGTCCGCTAGTGGATCCAGACCTGGAGTGCTGTCGTTGATGATGTCTTCTTACGTAGGGTGACGATGATGAAGGAGGAGGAGGGATAGTTAAGGATGATGGGATTTGTGGAGGATCCAGTATTAAATTATTATAAATGTTAGTTATTACCGAAAACTAATAACTAATTATATGATTCGATGATGACTGACTGTGATGATGATGATGATGATGATGATAATGAATGAAAGCTTTAAGAATTATACGATATGTTGTTGTTGTTGATAAATATAAATATTTGGTTGTTCGATTTGGTTGTTATCTAATTGTCTATTGTTATGTTGTTGTTCCAAATAACCTGTATTATCTACGAGTAGAGAATGATGATCGAAAAGATTAGATTAAATTAGTTAGTATCACTGATCAGTTGTATTATGATTATTATTACAAAAAGGATGATGATGATGATAGATGATCCGTAGTTGTAGTTGTTATTGATGTTGGGTGAGAACCTACTACTTGTTGACGATGATGACTATTGCTACTACACTACTACTAGCACAATATCGAGTGAGTGTGATGAGAGGAGAGAGAAAGAAACTATAAATAAAATGTTGTTTAATAAATTACACAAAACAAAGAGATAGGAGAACAAAGAAACACAGCACTCACATAGAGAGAAAGAGCCAAAAAAAAAAAAAAAAGAAAATTAAAAAAAAAATTTAAAGAGAGACAGAGAGTCACACTACCTGTTTTACTCAGTTTGTTTGTTCCTCCTACTACTTTTGATTAATCTTTCTGTTTCTATTATATTATTCTTATTCTTTCTTTTTCAAAATTAATGTGACGAGAACTACACCAGAGTGTGTCTGTTTATGCTGTTCAATCAGCCAATCAATCAATCAATCAACCAATTTAATCTCCTCTTTTCCTACACTATATACAACTCGTGCAAACAAGATCGAAATAATATCGTAAAGATGATAGCAGCGAAGTAGGTAGATAGGTAGGGTATGAATGAACATGATACAATGATGATGATGGTAGTAATAACCAATAGGTTGACCTAGTAGTGCGTGTGTGGGTTTAATTAGGTTGGTTGACCAGGGAGGGTTATGTCCTTATGTGTGTTGTGGGTGTTGTCTCTCGAAACTATAGTATCTCTATCTTTGCAGACTCACTTTTTTTTTTGAATAGGTAATTATCGTAACTATAAATATATATATATATAAATATTGACTCTGCTGACGTATCGATAACACTCCTTCCTAATAATAAATAAATAAAAAAGTAGATAATAAGGACCTTTATTATTATTATGTACCTTATAGTCTAGAATGAAAACAAAAATAATATAATAATGGATCAAGATAACCCTTGTAAGATCCTACTCAACACAGGGATTATCAATGTTGGATGATGGATGGCTCAATGCTACCATGATGACGGAGAGATCAAACAACAAACACCACACATTCGCACTATGATGAATGCTTATTTTTGTCAATTTGCTTAATTGATAGCGGTTATATATATGGAACCTTTAATTTTTCGATCCTTACTGTTTCACGTGACAGACTTGGAATGAAAGTTGAAACTCTGCAAACCGTCAGCGAAACGAAATCATTCAATGAAAGCGATCACTTTTCAACTGCGAGTTTGCAGGTTGCATCTTTTTATCGTTTAGTCCACACGATAACTTTTAGCTATGATATCACTTCACCTTTTAAAGACATGTGTAATGATTAGAGTTTATTTTAGTGCTAGAAATAGTAGTATTATTTATTTAATATAATTTGATCAATGCTAGGAGAGCTATTTTGTATCTGCAACAACAATTTCTAATGGTTCTTGGTCCTTTCTATAGATAGTATAGTTTTTAAAGTCAGCTGAATGTACAACCACCCAATGATGGTTGTCTTTTGGTGTTGATTTGAAGGTTCTAGTGAAGTCAATCACAACCCATTGATTGATCATTGCTAGTATATTTTTATAAATACCAGTGTCCTTTTCAAATCTTTGTAGATGTTGATCGATGTTGTTTCCTTCACAGACCATATCAATTGCCCATTTGTATTTACTGCCGATATAAAAGTCTGTAAATCTTTTTGGTTCCTTTCCTCTTGCTACCGAGCTAGGTGCAATACAGGTTGATGGGACCATGGTTGCGCATGTTGCAGCAGCAGCATGATAAAACTCCATTTGCCAGATCACCTCTAGTGGTTGGGTTACCCTTCCCACATTTGATCGGTGAACATTGGATTTGTTGGTCAGTTGGTGTGGTCGGAACTGTCTAATACAGTCTACAAGGAATGTATCCATGTCGTCGTCATCTTTATTCACATCTAGATGTGGTTGGCTGATGACAGTTGTGGTAGGAGGAGGAGGAGGTTTGAATCTTTGTAAAAGGTAGAGATTGCGATGTAGAGGTGATGGAAATACCGTTACCTCATTGTCTCGGATGAGATAACCTTTCTCCAAAAGAAATGATATAGGGTCATCTCTGTTTTGTGGATTGTATGGATAGTGTCCACATGCAACACTGTCTAGTACATGTAAATGTGACTCTGACAAGGTCTGTAGGTTTGGTGATGCAGCTCTTGATTGACTAATATCTCTTGCATAGTCATCCGATAAAAGATACTCCATCATGAGTTGGTCGAGATGATGAGTAGGCTCGAGTGCATCCACCGTCATGATCATCTCTTTAAACTTGTCTCGTAAGAGATCAATAGTTCTTGAGAGTAATCCAACATGTCCATCGGTGTTTTCAAATATCCATTCTTTGGTTGTCTCTGGAAACGTTTGTTCATGTCCAACCCGTGTAGTGTGTCGGAATTTGTTGATAATCAATTGGTCATATTCTTCCTTTTTAAAGTTTAGCATTGAAATGTTAACCGATGATTCAGATGAACATATCAGACCGACTGAAATATATTGGGTTTGTAGATAGGTAACTTTATCACCTGTCGAAGACATAACCACAAAGCGAATGTTTTGTCTGCCTTCGGTAGCCTGGATCATTGGCCACACACGGTTTGCCCACTCGTGGTTGTTGTTGTATTCTGGATAAATTGCTTGACACTCATCCATAATTAAATAGACAGGTGCGTAGAATGATACAATGATCCAGTCTACAATAGATTGACCAGTTTGACCTTTCCACAGCTCTTCTAAACTTAAACTGCTGCTGTTACCACATGGAGAGGAGGTCCAAAGCAATCGTCTAACATAGGCATTTGGGTATTTAGTTTCTAGTTGACTCTGCAAGAGCTGTCCCAACGACGATTTACCAGTGTTTGGAGGAGCCCATATAAGAGTCATTTTGTTCCTTTCAATAATACCAATCGTTTTGTTGATAGTTTCCTCTCTCTTGATAATCGTTTCATCCATTAAATCAATTCCATCATAAGGATCTCTTATTTGTTCTAAATTAAAATGTTTTGTAAATAAATATATTATTATATAAAATAACTACTATACTTCTCTTTCAAGAAAATGTTTGATAATATTATACATGTATAAATACCTTTGACACCATTTTGTTCACAACAAGGTTTAAATTGAATAGGTGGGATTGGTATGCGTGAATGAATGAATGAATTCATGCAGTGCTAGTGATTGATTGGTTGTGTGTATGTATGTATGTATATGAATAAATGGGTAAAAGATAAATAGATAAATACGATGCATCATCAAGAGCTCTCTTGTTGTTGTTTTTGACAGAGATGGTAATTACTTTAATATAATTATAATAAAGCTTGTTGTTAATCTATTATCTTTTACATCTTCAAGTCACCAAGCTTTTGACATTAATATAATATTAATATAATATTAATATAATATTATATTAATAATAAATGAAGATGATCGAGATGAAGATCATTATAAAATAAATTAAATTCATTTTTAATTAAAAATGAATTTAATTTTATTAAATGTCGTAGAAGTAGAAATATGATTATGATTATATATATATGGATCATATTGATGATGGGTTAGAGACTACCAATTGCAGCAGAAGCAGGGAAAATAGTAAATCCAACAAAGACCTTGTCTAAAACTTGTGCTACTTCATCATTTGATTCACAAGATTCAGAACATACAAGACCTGTAATCTGGTAGGAACCTGGTGTCGAAGAGGAATATGACTGTATCGAAAAGTTGATGGTATTGGTACCATTGAAATTGATCAACAACTTGTTTGAAATGACCAATGGCGATCCCAAAGGTGTCATGATGATAACTTGGGCTTGACCAGCTTGGATGGAGCCATAGAAATTCATGGTAATGTTGAATGCAGTTCCTGCTGGTGCGCCAGCTGGTGAGACATACAAAGCAGAAATGTATCCTGTTGGATCGACATTGAATGGACAAATGGAAGCATCTTGACACAAACCAATTGGATCGGCATAAGGTTGACCTATATAACTAACAAATCTAGCAAAACCAAGACTTTCACAGGTAAGATTACAAGCTAAACGATCAGATGTTGCAAGTAAGTTACAAAGATCCTAAATAAAAAAGGAAAAGGAAATTAGATTATTAACAAATAATTAACAAATTTGTAGTTTAAAGTTTAAACATACTGGACAATTATAGAAATTATAATTATCATTGTCAATGATTTGGTTCAAGTAATAAATCGAATTTGACATTGATAAATAACATGATGAACATGTAGTAATAAGTTGCACTGAATTACAAGTGATGGCTGAAAAGGCTACAATTAAAATGGTAGCTACTAATATTTGTTTAAACATGTTTGGTAGGTATAAAGGTAGGTAATAATTATATAGAGATAAATATATATTGGTTGTTAAAGTTTATAGATAAACGAGTGATCACTCTCTTTATAAAAGATTGGGAACCGAGGCCTTAGAAAATATCTTTAGGGACATATCTTTTTTGTTTTACATTTTTTTTAATTAATCCCAAAATATCTTGATTTCTTTTCTCAGTTGTTTCAGGCAAACCCTTAAACTCAAAGAGGCACCCTTCATGGCCAAGGCTTGTTCCTTGGTATCGGTTGGAAAGTCTTTAATGCCAAATGAATATCCACTCTCGGTTATATATAAATCTTTCTTTGAAATTTCCAATACCAAAAGGTCTTTTTATAAGTTTATTGAAAAAATTACAACCAAATTATTAACTATTATTTATTTTATACATTTATATGATTGATTCAAGATCATTTTACATCTCAATTTCAACATTATCGATATATTTGATCCACTTTATAAATTTGGTATTTCTTTATTTATAGAAAAGGATATTTAGTTATTTATATGGTGTGATGGGAAAATTTGAAAAGTTTCAGAACTCTTGTCCAAAACTTGTGCATTATTGTCGTTTGACTGACATGATTCAGCACAAATAAGACTGGTAATCTGGTAGGAACCAGTATCTGAAGTTGGACTAGAATTTATTTGGAAGTTCATGTCATCGCTACCATCGAAATTGACCAAGAGTCTTTGTGAAATGACCATTGGTGACCCAGATGGAGAGTAAACGGTAACTTGAGCTACACCAGCTTGGATATTACCATAGTATTTCATGGTAATGTTGAATGAGGTTCCAGCTGGGGCACCGCCTGGTGAGACAGTCAAAAGATACTTCACAGTTATTAAATTTATTATTACCATTGTTAATCATTTTGTTCAAATAATAGATAGAGGTATCCATTGATAAATAACATGATGAACAAGTTGGAGCAATTTGCAAAGAGTTGCAAGAGATGGCCGAAAAAGCTACAATTAAAACAGTGGCTATTAATATTTGTTTAAACATTTTTTTTTGTTTAGTTAAATAGGTAGGTAGGTAGGTTTTATATATATTATACTAAAAGTAATGAATGATTTGATAAAACCGATCACTCGTCCAATGTGCGAGTCAAATAGGAACATTGTTGGATTAGCAAGCTAAAAATTCAAATGAAAATCGAAAAAATTCGAAAAGGGTGGCACAAGGCGAGACAGCCATCAAATCATGTATCGAAAATTTTGTTTCGAAAAGTTTTCCAACCAAACAATTTTCAAATGTCACTTTTTCCAAAAACTAATGGTGACCAACTCGTCCATTGGTACCTTTTTCATTTAAATCCAAGAGTGAAAAAAATTCAACCAAAGTCGGAAAATTGGGAAAATTTTCAACCAAACTCGGAAATATATATTTCCGACTTTGGTTTTTGATCATTTTTCATAGGTACCCGAAAAAAAAATATCTTGATTCAATTTTCAACCAGGTGGACACCTTAAACTCAAAGAGAATCCTTGATCTAATGGTCGTTTGACATTTCAAATGGTATTGGTACCCATATCTGTCACTTGGTTCAACATCGAACAAAGAAGTTTTCTACAAAGAGGTTTTCTTTCGCCTATACAAACAAGACACACTTTGTGTAATGTTGATTGGTTTGGTTGCACAGGCATGTGTTATCTATATACCCACTAACACCAATCTGTGTAAATATGTGATGTTGGGGGTGATACTCTATTCCTTAATTAAACCTTGTCTCTCAGCGCCATAGGACTAAGCAAAGTCTAGACAATTTTTCAGATTGAAACATTAAATAAAAGTGTATATTAGTGTTTTAAAATGTATTTCAAACAGCTCAGAAAATTTGGTATTTTAATTAACCAATGGTTTAAGGATTCGTAGTCATTTTTCTGATCACCCGCGAAGGTCAATTGTATCGCTCTTTGCATATCAAAAAATCCCGATTGAATGGACCTTTATCACAGAAAATTTAAATTAAACAAAATTCTGTTGGCGCCGTTTTGAAAAAAAAAATGACCAAAGGTAAGACATCGAAATGACCAAATCATAAAGTTATTATTAACAGTTGAGTTTATATATATATATATAAATGGGAAAACCCAAAGATGTTGATAATGAAGGAGAAGAGGGACAAGAAGAAAAAGAAGTAGAGGAAGAGGATGATGATGAAATAGAAATATCTCAAGCTACTATACAAAGACAACTAGAGGAAAGACAACGACAAGAAAAGGAAAAAGAACGATCTTTGGATAAAGATAAAGATAAAGATAAAGATAACAATAATAATACACAAGAAGATGAAACTAGTACAACTTCAACAACTACAACGTCTACAACTACACCAACAAAAAAAAAGAGGAAAAAAGGAACAGATGACGGTGATGAAGATGAAGATAAAGATGAAGAAGAAGAAGAAGGAGGAGATGATAATAATACAAATGTAAAAAAGAAAACTGTAAATAAAAAGACAACAACAAAGAAGAAAAAGAAAAAGAAAACAACAACAGCAGCTAGTGCAACACCAACCAATGGAAAGAAAAAGAGATTTGATGGATTTGATGAAGAAAGAATAGAAATTGAATCGTCACAAGCTACTCAGATTAGTTTGGGTAATTTGGTGGAAGCATCGATCAAGGATGGTTCAGAGATGGCATCTACAGTCGAAAAGAGAAGGACTGGTCAAGAAACGACACGAAGAAGAGCAGTTGCACCGGTCGAGGAAGAGGTACAAGAAGATGCTTTGGAATTTGATGCCGAAGGAAACATTATTGCCATTCAGAGAGGTATGAGTGGTCCGGCAATCGATTACTCGTCATTCTTTGAGACGGGAGGTATTGTCAATTACTCGTCGTTTTCATTGAATCGTGACACTCCCCGTCGATGGGGCAAGGACGAGACCAACAAGTTTTATGCGGCACTCAAAAAGTATGGAACAGACTTTACATTGATGGAGAGTGTGTTTGGCAATCGATCGAGATCACAACTAAAGTCAAAGTTTAAACGAGAAGAGAGAGATCATCCGGGACTGATTCGAGATCTAGTCAGCAATCGTCTGCCAATCGACATTCAAGAGTTTAACCGCGACAGCAACAGAGTCAAAGAAAACAAGCAAAAGGAAGAACGAGACAAACGAGCTAGAGATGAAGAGATTCGTAAAAAGAATATGGAAGATGCTGGGTTTGATGCTGAAAATATGACCGAACAAGAACTACTAGATCGGGAAAATGAAATGAGAGCCCAAAACCTACAACCTTTGCGATTCACAAATAGAAACAATCGTTCCGATGAACTTGTCATTGATCGTAACCAATACCAACAAATGCAACAACAACAACAACTTCAACAACAACAACAAGCTTCCGATTTTGATTACTTTTCATTCCAAAGTGATACTTATGATGTTGGTGATGGTGGTAATGATTATTATTAAAAAAACAAAATGATAATGAACAATCATAAATCATTTGTCATATTTATTTCAAATCACAAAATTATAATATTCATTCCTTTTCCAAAAAAGATGATTGGAAATGGTTTATCACATTTTTATTAAAATAGTTTTTAGTTTGTATTGGTTTCAGCAGGAGCAACGGCATTTTCAGTTGGAACTACTACAGATGTTGGAACAGCAGCATCAGTAGCAATAGTAGTCTCGGTTGAAACTGGAACAACTACAGCAACAGTAGAGGAGGAGGAGGAAGAGACAGTCTCTTCTTTCTTTTCAGCAAAATTTAGTTTTCTGTATTCTGGTACTTTTTTATCCTTTCTGTTTTTTGGTTTCTCTTTGAATTCTTGCTTTTTCTTTGGTGGTGCAGGTGGTTGATTGGTGTATGTTTCGATTAAATAGTCGTATGGGAGTGGATATGGGTCGAGGTTGGTAACGATCCAGTTGGTGAATTCCTTCTTTTCCTTTTCGAGCAATACAATTTGCTTAAAGATCTTTTCCTTTTTGAATTGTTCCATCTCTTCTTTGGCTTCGCTAAATTCCAAATCACCGTGTACAGACTTGAACTTTTTGGTCCATACGTCAAAGAGACAGGCATCCAACATGAGACCGGTGCCTGGTGCCATTGGCAGGTTGAATTGACGGTGGCAGAGTGTGGCTGTAATGATCTTTCTTACGTAGTCTAACGATTCAGTGTCATTGTTCTTTTCCCAAAAGAAACCACGACGCATCACCGACATGACAAAACCAATCATCTTTCTGATTTGATGCAACATGAAACTACCACCAATAATGTTGATGCTGACAAACTCGATTCCTTCCATTACAAATGGCTCGGAGCATTGAAAGAGTGACATGGTTCTCTTGGCAGATGGGTCACCACTGTCCTTTCTCGAAGTGTAGTTGTGGAATTTGTGGGTGCCCAAGAACATGGCCAACATACTATTGACTCTACTTCTCTCGGTCTCATCGAATTTATAGGTTTCTGGACGACCAGAAGTTGCGTGTACCGGTTCAAATGCAAAGGTGGGTGTAATGTAGAGATAGGATCTTCCATCGACACAGTTTTTGGCGTGGAATGAGTTATTCACACGTTTGATGCCAAACACTTTGATGTCCTCTGGAAGATGCGAGTTTATAGCATTCTTTAACTCTTCCAATGTTGGTGGATCATACTCTAATTTACAAGAGACCATGTTTCTAACTGCACTCACTCCCTTGTCAGTTCTTGCACAACGAATCCAATCAATCTTTCTTTGTGAATAAAAGTTATTTGGTGATATAGATCCAGTCTTGAAACATGCCTTTTCCAATTCTTCTTCAATTGTTGAATATCCCCAATTTCTAATATAGAATTTAAATGTTAATAAATGGCATTGACATCATTCGTCGTTTGTTTACTCTTATCTCTCCTCGTCTTACTTTTGCATTCCACAATAATTTGTACCAGAGTAACCAACACAAAATGCAATCTTTTTCTTTTTAGATTGATCAGTTGTAATCTTTGTCTTGTTTTGTTGTTCTGTAAGTTCTTCAACTGTTAATCTTTGTTGTGCTTGGAAGTTCTTGTCCTTGTTTTTCTCTTGTCTAGCTTTTTGACGTTCGTCTTGATCTTCATCTTCATCTTCTTCATCGTCGTCTGCTCCTCCTTCTTCATCATCTCCATATACAGTAGCTGTTTTCTTGTCTAATTGATCCTCTTGTTTAACAATCTTTGGTTGTTGTTCATCTGTTGTTGTCGTAGTTGTTGTTGTAGTTGTCGCGACATCAGTATCTTTTGATTCTTCAATAGATCTCTTTTTATTATTATTATCTTGATCCATTCTTTCTATCTCCTATATCTCTCTACTATACTCTATCTCTTGATCTTCTGATTTATAAATATGATATTCGTCGGTGTGTCTATGATAGTCTTTCGTTTTTGAATAATAAATAAATCAAATTTAATTTTAGACAAAGGGTCCAAATAAGCCTCTCATCGATTACTTGATGGAAATAATAATTAAAAAAGACAATTATGAACATACATCATCTAGATACTAGTATGGATGGAGGGTGTTGGTTATGTGTTTGTTTGATTATATACATTATTATTTATGAATTTTTGGATTTGATCTTAATCATCTTTCATTGTTGTTTCGGTTTCTTCATCTTCTTGTTGTTTTGTTGTTGGAGATGCTTCCTTTGATTTATCATCATTCATATTATCATTCATATTATTATTATTATCTTTTTCTTCAATTGATTTTGTTTGTTCTTTATCATCCTCCATTTTATCTTGTTCTTGTCCATCGTTGGCAACATTAGTTGTTCTAGGTGATTCGTCGGTTGGACTTGTAGTAGTTGTTGTCGTTGTCGTTGTTGTTGTAGATGTTGTAGATGCTAAAGTTGATTGATCGGATGGCAATTCAATACAAACATTCATAAATTGATAATTGAATTGTAAATAATTGAGTGTTTTGAAATCATCTTCTCCACGCTTTATGCAATCTACAGATCCTAGTTGAGGACCTCTAACAAACTCTCCATCTTGATTGGGATACACAAAACTAAACAATAGTTTTGATTCCTTTTTTCTTGATGTTTCATTTACTTCTTTAATCAAATCTGATAGTTCTCTAAGAGTTGCATTTCTCCTATAGATAGAAATCATATAAAAGTATTAGTATATATGATTGTATGGTATCTATATATATATATATGTCTATCTATGTACCATGTATATATTTGTAATTCATCTTCTTCGGGACACTCTGTTCTCGATTTGAACAATGATATGTCATGATATGAGTTTTCCTTGATAAAGACACGTAGAAGTAATGGACATACACGATCTCTATTGAATTGGTTGAGTATCACTCCTCCTGGTCTTGGATTTGAATGAATCATCGATCTATATCTATATTAATATATCTAAAGAGAGAGAGATAATGAAAGCGATGATGATCTTGACAAATGCAAGCTAAAAATAACTTTTTAAAAATACATTTTAGAAAATGTAATAATTAAAACATTATATTTCTATGTTTTATTTATTACTATTATTATTATTAAATAAGAGATTGATTATTATAAATGGCAAATGATGCAAGTAATATACAAATGGATCCTATAATGGAGATTGGAGTAGTATTATTATTATTTTTTGAAACTGATTGTCTATCATCGACGTTGATTGGAGCCTGCTGGCAATAAGCAGACGCATCAGTAATTATAAAAATGTTTGGTTATTATAATTGTGGATCACAATTCTTCTATTGCACATACCAATGTTGGTACAAAGAATGAATCCACATGTGAGTTATTATTATTATTATTATTATTATTATTATTATTATTATTATTATTATTATTATTATTATTATTATTATTATTATTATTATTATTATTATTATTATTAAATCTATGAACCAAATTGACAAGGTCTTTTGAACATAAATTAGATGTACCTTTAATTGTGAGTTTCTGGAGAGTACGACTATCAGAAATTGCACCCAATAAATTTGAATTGATTTCTTTGACCAATAAAAAGACAAGTTTGGTGTCTTTCATGTCTAGACAAATCTCTTCAATCGTATCACTCTTTTGAATATAGGTACATAGACCTTTAAACAATACAGGAAATTTAAAAGCATCTATATTAAAATCTAAACTAATTTCTAAATACCGTAATTGTGGTGATGAGATGGGATCTAAAATCCAATAGTACCGATCTAGATGAAATGAGACTGTCAACCGCTTGATCAGTGGTGGTAAGAAATAGTTGGCAGTAGGAACATAGGAATGAGATGCACTGATGGTGATATCTGTCAACTTTGAATTTGGTAAAAATGAAATGACCAAATCATTTAACATTATAGTTGAATCGATGGTTTCAACTTGACTCGATTGTAGATAATCTATACATGCTCGACTGAGTTTTGGTGATGGTAGAGTGATCGTTTTAAAGGTGAGTGGTAGATGACTGTATGGACAGACATCTGATCCCCCCCGAAGAGATAACACTGGGTAGTTGCATACTGAAGTTGGTAACAGTCGATGGTATACTGGCAAATAGAGCTTTTATATCGATTGGTCGACCCAAAAACTTTAAAGACAATCCAACCAAACCATTACACTTTTTGAGTATATCTTTGATTTCATTGGTTTGACTGTGAGTCACTACCGACAGTCTGTCCAACCCTTCATACACCACCGTTGGAATATTATAAAAGGCTTGGTTGAATAATTGACCATCAGATGTTAATTTGAGTTTATAATGTCTTTTAATTTGTAATTCTTTAACTCTTTTGAATGGTATGTTGGCATCATCATCATTGTCACCACTATTGATCATTTCCTCTTCCTCTACCACTTCTTCTTCATCTTGATTACCAAGTAGTAAAAGTGACCATTCATCAGTTTGCTTTGGCAAAGATATGGTTTGAGAGATATCTAGAGATTCAATATACTTGATAAACTCTGTTCTAAACCACTGTCTATTCTCTTTTGCATAGATTATATTCTTTTGAAGTAGTGGATGAACACGACTGTGTCCCAACCTGTCCTCTGACACCTTGATTGCATGGATGTTGTTGAGCAAACAAAGAGGATGTTCAAAATGCATTCTATACTCTTCAAGGTCGTTCTTCATCGGATCGAATGTAACCTTGAGCAAAGTGACATGTCGTGCTATCAGTCTCCTCTTAACAATCTGACGCCATTGATTTGACACACTCGCAACATTGAATACATTTTGAATTGACAAGCAATTGTTGTTGTTGTTGCTTTGAACACCATGTTGTAATGTACAATATAGATGTATAATATTCTCTAGAATAATAATAGATAATAAACAAGAAGAAGTTGTCATTATTATTAATAATATTTAAAATGAATTTTCAAACTCTTTTTCATCACCCAGATTCCACCAAACACCATTTATTTTAATTATAGACTGAAACTAATTATATAGATACCAAGTATCTATATAGTTATTACATAGACCAATCATCTTGCTCTCTTGACAGATTAACCCGTGAGAGGCGATTCTAGGTCTCATTGCTGTAAAATAGAGGTTAGCACAAATAATAATGTGTAGAATATAATAAAGGTTAAAAATTGTAAGATCCCAAGTAAGCAGTATCATTCTTTTCTTTAGTTTTCTTTTTATAGTCTCTATAAGATTTTGATTTTAAATTAACTATTTCTTTATCAACTAATAATAGTTTGTTACGAATATCTGCAAGTAATTCATCTCTGTAGTATCGAGATGTTTTTGAACCTTTCCTAGACGTCTAATCTTCCTTGGTGGAATGCGCAAGGGAGGAGGGTATTGGAATCATTTGGAGGGAGAATAGTGAGCAGGCTGAAATGTGTTATCCAGAAATGGTGGGAGGATTGCAGTGGCTGGGAGTACTCGGTTCTCTTTCATATATTCTAGACGTTTCATTAAAGTCTCCAGACGCAAAGCTGCCAAACTGTGTTGGAGAGAAGTTGTGGAGAGGATTGGAAGATGGTTCCTCTATCATTCTTGAGAGTCTGGCTGCAAGAATGGCTGTATACAATTTGTACAAGCAGGAGAGCAAGGTAATAGGTCTGTAATTGCCTGGCTCGGATTGGCTACCGTCTTTATGAATGGTGGATCCAAGTCGTCGGAACAGAATAGAGATTAATGCAACCATTCAAGAGTCAAAAATGTATGCTATGACTGATGGTGGACAGTTCTTGATGAACTCATTGTAGACACCATCTGGGCCTGGCGACGTACCATTTTTCAAGTTTAAAATGGCAGCGACGAGTTCAGCCAACGATATCTCATTTGTCAAGAGTTGAGCATTGGGGTTGACGACTGGTGTCATGTTGGTCAGCCATGATGGAGCTGGATGTGCTTGTTCGTTGGCTGGTTTGTTAAATAGTTTTTGGAAAAAGGATTGGACTTCAACCAGAACCTCGGCAGGGTTGGATATGCATTGGGAGGAGGTTGACCCTCGTCGAGCAGCTTGGACACAATGAGCATGTCTAACATGTTGGCTGATCTCCCTATTGATTGCTGGCTTGCAGATCGACTCCAACAAAGTATACTAAAAGATTCATTTAACCACTGAATTAATTATTCTTTTAGTATACTTTGTTGGGGTTGGTGATTCAAACAAAATCCTTTTTTGCGTAATAATAATAAAGGTATGTATTTATTTATTATTTTTAAATCTTTTTAATTTATTATTTTCCATTACTATTAACTTGAAGTAAAATAGTTTCTTCAGTGATTCTTTTATCGAAAGGAACATCTTTGGAGAATATTTGGTCATAATAGAATACCTTTTTCTTTTTGCTACGGAGTTTGTAATAGACAAAACAAAACTCGACAATGAGGTTGGCTGCCAAGTTGGAAATGATCAATCCAAAAAGTGTCAATCTCCACTTGACTGGCATGATCAACATCTCTCCAAATCTCCAAACACTCTCTTGTGGTGCAAATAATAATAACAATGAACTAATCAATGCTACTAAATATGTTATAAATAAGTATCCTAAAAAATAAATAAATTAAATAAATAGAAAAAAAAGAAATGATTAATATTGATTCAAAAAAAATGATTAATATTTGTTGATTCAAAAGAATGTTTTGAATTTTAAATGTTTTACATACTATTGGTATAAAGTGGTTTTAAAAATGGTTTACCAAAAGAGAATGATAGAGCCATGATTAGGTATTGGAAATTGGCATAGATAAAGAGGGAGGTGGTGACATAGGTGACGATGTTGTCCTCGTCGATTTGGTCTTGGTTGTACCATGACTGTGATCGTACGAAAAAGAATACGCACGATTGGAATGCCATGCAGACTGCAATGTGTACAATGAGTGATCCAACAATGGCACCCGAGATGAGACGGCCACTTGGACGCTTGACAGACAATTTGTCAGATGGACGAGTCATACCCATGAAAATGACGAGTGGGAAGATGATCCAAAGATCTTGATACAAGTACATCCAATTACCAAGTACAGATGCAATGAAATATAGGAATATAACCGAAATGAATTGGATCAATGAATACATTCCCATAAATTGGAACAACTTGAATGATACCGCCAATGATGCACGTCCTTCTTTGATGAGTGTTGGACAACAAGAGATGTTTGTGACAGTCGATGTGAATGGAGCTGCAATCGATGCTTCTGTCTCTGACAGAGATATACCTACGTGTGCAGCTTTCAAAGCACCACAATCATTGGCACCATCACCACACATTCCAACATACAATCCAACACGTTGTAGTTCCTCGACTAGACACTGTTTATCCTCTGGTGACATTCTACTATACACTAATGTTTTCTTTAACATTTGAGTGAATCGTGTACTTCCAGTAGCTAGATAATGTTGATGTATCTTTCTAAACACATTACCCGTAACGATGAGTGAATAGGCATTGTTACCTTCTTCAGCATCCAATAGTAGAGTAGATGGGTCTAGTTTGTGGTAAGATAAACTATGATTCGAATCGTCGTTTGAGATATTGTCCCAACTAATCATATTGTCGAGGAGTAGGTGGTGGTGGTCGTCGTCCTTTTCATCGTGGTGTGGGTGATGTTGATCCATCTTGGCGAGGAATGATAACGAGTCGTTCTTGAGGATACCACATTGACGAGCCACCGAGACTGCAGTAAGAGGGTTGTCACCCGTCACCATGATTGTTCTGATATTGGCCTTGTGGAGTTGCTTGATAATACCTGCCGACTCTGGTTTGAGCTTGTTTTCCATAATGATAAAACCTGAAAAGATGAGATCAGACTCTGCAAGTGCACGCATCTGTTCACGCGAGCTGATGTTTTGTTGTGTTTGTACTACATTGTCCCAAGACTTGTACGCACATCCAAGTACTCTGTAACCATGTTGTGTGTATTGTGACAGTTGATGTTCAAAATCGTGTGGAACTGTTTCTTTTCTGGACAACTTGCGGATAATCTCTGGTGACCCTTTGACAAGTGAAAACCGCTCGCCTGTTTGCTGACAAGTAACCAACACCGACATACGTTGCAAAGAAGACTGGAAATCGAATCTTTCAATGTACACTAATGTTTCTTGACCAAGTATATTGTTATTTGGGGGAGTGATTGGGTCGCTGCCAACAGGGATAGTCTCTTGATTAGTGATCAACTCTGGAACAAGGATGGAGGTTGCTTCATCAGTCTCGTGGAGATTGGCACCTACAGCCTGGTATATCTTGAGTTCAAGAGGATCACCACTCACCTCGTTATTGATGGTGGATAGCGAGTGACATGATGCCATAATAAGTCTGAGAATACGGTGGTTGGATGTGAAATCCTCCCTGCGTTGTCGGAATGTGGCCAACGAGTCTGCACCGAGAACACCGTAAAAGTCGAGACCTTCTTCGGTGAGTGTACCAGTCTTGTCAAAGCAAAACACTTGTATCTTGCCAGCCATGTTGACACGTGGTGGAGAAATACAAAAGATCTTTTTGTGGCGGAGACGGATCAAGGCAAACCCAGTACCTACGGTGATAGCCATTGGCAGAGCTGGTGGGATGACGATGGTGATGAGATCGAGTGCACGCAATGCGATTGTACCGGCATCCACTCCCAGACTATTGAGTCGCCAAACTGAAACGGAAAATCCAACCAAAGCAATCGCACACAACACTCCAACAAACTTGAGAGACTCTGACAAAAACTTAAAATGAGATTTCTTTGGAAACAAAATGGATAAGATGAGACGACCCTTTGATGTTTGGAATCCAGTCTGACGCACAGCTGCCAATATACGTCCTCCAGGTGGTGCAATCACCTTGACTACAATTGTACCGCCAAACATGGATGATCGAGCTTGACTAAAATCAATTGGGTCGGCTTGGTCTGCTTTGCCATCTTTGACCAACTGACGAATATGGTTGAGTTCGTCAGGTGTCAAGAGTGGATGTTTGGTGACGGGAATAGACTCTCCCGTCAACATGGATTCATTGCAGATGGCCGATCCAGTGAGCAAAGACAAATCACATGGCACTTGCATGTTTTGACTGATATCAACAATATCACCCGGCACCAAACTAGTCGACGATACCAACTTGAATGTCGAGTCACGCAACACTCGTACCTCACAATCATAGGTTGACATTTTCTTTAGAGATACTAGATTGTGACGAATTTCTCTCAAACTTAATATCGAGCTAACCGTCGCAATCAAAAAGATTGCACATGCATAATAATAATATTCTTCTGCCATCCATAAACAAACTGAATAAATTTGGAAAATAAAGAATGGATGTAATACCTAAAAAACAATTAATTAATTAATTAATTAAATGAATACTATATATTTGATAAATACTAAAAATAATGTATACATACTTCTTCCAATAATAATCTAGGAATTGATTTAACAGGGAAATTCATAATATTGGAATCATACTTTTCCAAAGATTCATTGTATTCATCCATTGTCAATCCTTTATCAACCATATTAACTACCATTGTAATATCATAATAATCTCTTACTCTTAAAGTTTAAATAGAATAGGATCGATTAGTTTTGAACATGAATTAATTTAATATTAATTTTTTTTTAAAAACATACTTTGGTCTTTCAAAATAATCAATATCATGTTGATAAAAGAATCTTGAATGTCTAAATTCAATATGTTTTGGTAGATGATTACTAGATTTAACCATACAAATTTCATATCTATTATCTATACCAGTCACTACAATGACATGAGCCGATGCCAGAGTATCAGTCTTTCTGTATCTAATTTTAACCCATGCCATATCAAACCAATGAAAGACAAGGAATACCAACCCAAATGAAGCTACTGCCAATAACCAATACAATGCCTCTCTTTCCGGTGTACCAACATATCCTTGCATTGACTTTACACCCATAATATCATCTTTGTGTTCATCATCGTCATCGGTTGCCGCCGATTGTGGTTTTGTTGTTGAAGTTGCCGATGTCATTGATGTCATTTCCGATGGTTGTTTTGATTTCATCTCTGCTGCCAAATCAATGATGGGATAGTTTGGCGTTTCCATTGACAAAACCAATGATTCGTGAATCATTAGCTTTTGCTTGTTGGCAATGAGAATCGGAGATACATTCTTGCTTGAAGATAGTGGTGGTGTTGTAGGTGTCGGTGTTGTTGTTGTTTCTTGAACTACTACTCTTGAGATATCCTCCATTACTCTCTCCTATAAGTAGTCTATATGTTAAATCTTAATTCTAGTCTCCTCGTTTTACTATTTCTATTGAGCCTAATGCTGATTAGGGATCCCTACTATTTCTATATAAATATTACTAAATATATATATAGAAACGAGAGAGAATGAATGAATGAATGAATGAATGAATGAGATAAATAAATAATCAATATATATTGAATAAATGATTAAAGATTTTGAAAGGGGAGAGATGTATGTATAGATAGATAGATAGTGGTGATGGTGAAGAGTGGTGTATGAAAATAAGTGGGGTTGACCTTCGTCGCAGCTGAGGTGGTGGGGTTTGACGACAGCGATTCATTCGTCGGAACTAAAAAAAAATAAATAAAAAACCAATATATTTGCATCGAAGTCGATTCGGATGATGAAGACGCCCAATAACAGGTCATCATCGAGTTTGCATCCAATCATTGATAAAAATTTTATACACACACCTTCATAACTTACCTACAAATAATTCTATTTTTACTATTATTTATTAAAATTTAACAATATATAACCTAACCCTTTGGTAAAGATAACAACAACAACAACAACAACAAGTTGAAGTTTAACTTTAAAGTATGTTGTCGAGTTGATATCGGTCGGTGGTCGGTGGTTGTTGGTGGTGGTGGTGGGAGAGTACTTAAAAGTTGAAAGTAACAAGCCTTACTTTGAAGAGTTGAGTGACAGACACCAAGCAAAGCAGTTGGAGTGGTATTACAGGTTGTTTAAAAAAAAGAGAGAATGAATGAATAAATGAATGAATGAACAGGTCTGAAGGGAGTGAAACAAAAATACATTGCTCTTTACATTTAAATTAATTACTTACCTGTGCTACTGCTGCTGCTGCTGTTACCGGTTGCCATGTTTAACGGTCATTATTTATTATTTTATATCACGCATACATACATTGTGTGCTGGTATACACCACGACCACTACCAACACCACACCCACTAAAACTATATTTAAAACAACACCAAAAAGATTTAAATACATTTGAATCGGTGATACCCAAATATATTTGTTTGTGTGTGTGTTTGTGTTCGAGGGTGAGCTGTACACTCAACGAGCTATAATATATAATTGTTTATTATTCATGTAAGATTTAAATCAAATCTCTTCTGTCCTGTGTCTTTTTAAATTATTTATTTATTTTAGTTTGAAGATTTACCATGATTGTTGTTGTTGACAATAATATTCTTTGTAAGGAATTGATTGATTAATTGACTAATTTCACGGTGATGAGTTTCAAGTGTGAAATGACCAGTTTCAAATAGATGGAAATCAAGATTCTTTAGATCACGTTTGTATGGATAGGCACCATCAGCTGGAAAGATTTCATCATTCTTTCCCCAAACAATCAACATTGGTGGCTGGTATTGTCTAAAGTAATCTTGAAACTGTGGATATTTCGATGGGTTGGTACCATAGTCAAACAAGAGTTGAGCTTGAATCTCACCGTTACCTGGACGATCGAGGTAGTATTGGTCACTGATATATCCATCTGGTGCAACCAAACTCTTGTCCTTTTCTTGTACACCATTCAAATATTGCCATTGAGTGGTTTGAGCAGTGATCAGCCCAAGAACAAAGTCAATGTTTTCTTGTTTGGTTGGTTCGGCCCAGTACTTTTTGACGTTGGCCCAGAAAGCGTTATCTATTCCTTCATCATAGGCATTACCATTCTGGACAATGAAAGATTGTATCTTTTCAGGGTTACGGAGAGCAAGTCTATAACCAATGGGAGCACCATAGTCAAATACATAGAGACTATACTTTTCAATAGACAAGGCATTGATAAACTTTTCAGTGACAACTGATAGGTTTTCAAAGGTGTATTCAAATTCCTTGGTTGATGGCATCGACGATTGACCATAGCCAATGTAATCGGGTGCGATTAAATGAAACTTTTCAGTCAACTTGTCATCGGCCAATAAATGACGGTACTGATGACTCGATGATGGGAATCCATGTAATAGGATTAAAGTTGGATTCTTCTTGTCTCCGCTCTCACGATAAAAGATATTGTGGTTATCAATCTTGATTGTATTGTATCTAATAATATTGGTTGATGACATTTTATAATGATTAATTATGATGAATGTTATTTGTGTGTTATTGTATTGTTGCTAGTGTTATTTGTTTGTTGATTGTATTTAATTGAATTGATGATATAGGATGAAGAGAGAGTTGGAACAAGTATTTATAGTTTTAGGATGATGAGATTGGAATTCCAATGATCGACGAGATTGGAATAGTCTTGACTCTTCTGTCACGGACCGCATGTTTGTGTCTATAAATGGTAGGTGTATATAATATATGTGTAGGAGTAGTAGTTTATCTTTTGATCGGTGAACCACAACTAGAATGGCTTCTAGAACCCAAGCACAAAGTTTTTTATTTAAAAAAATTACACCACAATGTAATCTATTGCATCATCTTCAATGGTTTTTAATGCTTGTCCAAATGCACTGTACCTTGATCTTAGGAATTTACCTTGCTTCAAATTAAATAAAAATAAAGAATAATTGTAAGTAAATATGTACATATCTATCAAGAGAGTGTGATACATACCATAAATTGATGTTCATGCATATCAGAATCATAGTAGAGGTATAAATAATCACCCATTGACAACTTGATGATTAACCACCAATCTACATCTGATTCTGTTGTCCTGTGAGTAATGAGTCTCTTTGACATGATATTGGTGCTGATTCAACAACACGCGTGTTACTATTTACAAAAGATATGTTCTAGAGTTTTTCGAGTATCTACCTTAAGGTTGATAAATCTTATTATTATATCTTTTTAAATACATAAATAAACAAATAAAATGTTGATAGTGATCATTAGCAATAATAATTTATCAATAGTGTTGTATGAAATATATTATTGACTTGATTAAATTTAAAGATAATAATAATAGTACTATATAGATCCTTATTCCAATTATATTATTATTGTATCTGTTTCTTCACACCCAATTAATTAATTATCTCAATGTTGATCGACGACAAAATCGAAACGACATTTTCAACGAACCCTTTGTTGGTTTTAGCCGATTTGCACCAAAATTTAGCTCATCAATGATCGCGATATACCTTTTAATCACATGATCAACGTTGTTGGTCTCTCGTTTTCACTCACTGCAACAAACATACAAGGGCTGTAACCAACACTTGTTTTAATCTCACTATTATTTATTTTTATCTATCTCTATTTATCTATCTTTAAAGGTATAACAACATCAACAAGTTGCTTTAAAGTTTGATATTTCATAGAAACTCTAGAGAGTAGATCATCTTTATAATCATTATTCTAGTAGATTTTAAAATGGTTGTTAATATCAAACTATTTTTGGCGGTTCTTTTCTACTTGGCATGTCTAAATTTAGTTTTTGCTCAGGTATGTGTATTTTTTTTTTTATTTGTACAGTATGAAACTATAGATATACACATATTAATTTTAAAAGATATATATATATTTATTTTATAATAGGTACAACCAACTATCACTTCAGTGGTCCAAGGATCAGGTTCTGTCATTTCCGTCATCGGTACCAACTTTGGTAGTGATTTGTCAGATATTGTAGTCTTGACCGACGGTCAACTGACCCTACCTACTGCATTCATCAATGGAGGTGTTACTTTTAGTGCTCTTCCAACCCTCAAGAACGGAATAATCAATATTCAGGTTGGTAATCTATTCTCATCCAACTTCCCACTTGTTTTGGCACCTGTCATCTTTACAGTCACACCTCCTCCATCATTGACTGGTGGTATCCTAACTATCAGTGGTCTCTATCTAAATAGCGTAGATTACCTTGGTAACCCACTCTCTGTCACCGTGCTATTGGGAGACTTGCCATGCACCAACCCAGTTGCCAAAGGATCCAGTTTAACTTGTCAATATCCAAGTGGTCTCGGCGGGACTTTGGTTAGTTTGTCTGTTACTATTGCAACCAAACAATCCAATTCTACAGTTAACTTTCCAGCTCCAGTCATTACATCGCCTGCACCTTTGACTCAAAATACAACCGATGGAACCATCACTGTTTTCGGTAGAAACTTTGGAGTTGTACCCTCAAAGATTATATTACCAATCTCAATTGTATCTATGATATCGGTCAATGATACAACCATCATTTTTAGGATTCCCGATTCAACTGCCAATGGTCTGTTTGCTCTTACATCGTTTGGACAAACGTCAAACTCTGTTCAATTGAACCTCACCCCATTCATCAACAGTATCATTAATGTACAAACCAAAGGGTCAACTACCACACTGACCGGTAAATACTTTATAGCAAAAAGAGCTGATCAGACGCCTACAAACACCTATTTACAAATTGATAATAGCCCGAACCTCATCTCAACACAACTTGAAATACTCTTTGCCGTGTTTAAGTTCCCTATGCCCGCCGGTACTGGAGGGAATCATTTGTTGACATTATCAATCGACGGTCAAAATGCTACCTATCCATTCTCGTATCCAGTGCCAGGTATTACCTCAATCGTCCAACAACAAACATCTGTAACCAACCACTACACGCAAACCATCACCATCGGTGGATATTCATTTGGCATGGTCAATGCAAATGTCCAAGTATTGTTTGCCAATCAACCAAACGTTCAGTGTGATCAAGTAGCAGTCATCACTGCAGATACTTACATCACTGCCAACCTGCCTAAATTTGTGCTCAGCGATAACATCAGACTAAACGTATCTGGTCAACTATCACCTCCAGTCTACAAATCAATTGCACCTATTCTCAAATCAATCACTTCGGCCGACCTACAAGGTGGAGAAATCAAGATTGGTGGTCTCTACCTCAACAATATCGATGCTTTGGGAACGGCCGTTCCCATAACAGTCACATTCCCAAACAACGTTCCATGTACCAATGTTGCAAAGATTGCCGATGACCAAGATATGGGGTATATCACGTGTCAGGCTCCTCCCGGAAGTGGAACGAGTCCACTTCAAGTTGTTGTTCAGGTCGGTGCATTATCCGACACTATCAACTTTACATATGGTGCACCTGTCATCTACTCAATTGTCGTCAGCAATGATAATAGAGCAGTGTCTATCATTGGAAAGAATTTCGGTGCATTGCAGTCGGGTGTAACGATTTATCTTGGCGTTGAAGAACAGCCTGCATTCAATTATATCAATAGCACGTTACTAGTAATGGTCACAAACTCTTGGACTAGAAATGGACCAATCACAGTCAAACTCAATGATGGTAGAATTTCAAATCCAGTCTCTCTTTTTTTGAAACCTCTCCTCACACTAGTTTCAAATCCTATCAAAACGACTGGTGATCAAATGTCTATTGTTGGTATCTATTTGTATCCAATTAGAATGGATGGATCAGCAACCAATGTAACCGTAGTCATTGCTGATCTTAATCAACCATGTACCAATGCAGTTGCTAATTGGGCATCCATTACTTGTACTTCACCTCAAGGTTCTGGTGTCAATCATAGTGTTGTCGTATACATTGATGGAACACCGTCACCATCATCAGTTCCTGTATCATACATTGCACCATCAATTAGTACTATTGTCCAACAAAGCAACAGTGATAATCTCGTCATCACTGGAACCAATCTTGGCATTGACTTTGCAAAGATTACAATCAACAATCAAATCATTGCAACAACATTAACCAGTCCAACAACACTCTCTGCTAAATTGACAGGTCCATCAAAGAATGGAAACATTAAAATAACCGTCGACGGTCAAGACAGTAATACTCTACCTCTCAACATCAAAGCAACTGTCAACTCTATCTCATCCACCTCACCGTATGGAGGTGTTGTTGAACTAGTTGGTAAATACCTTTGGACAACTAGATTGGATTCAAATACAACTACCATTTCAATTAGTGTTGGGGGAATACCATGTACATCACCAGTGGCCAATGGAAATGATGGAACCAAGTTGAAATGTACTCTTGGTGATTTGAGTCAATACGAATCAGATATTGATTTATCAATTGACACTGTCTCTGCATTCATGGATACCTATTACACGAGTAGTCCACCAGTTATCACATCGGTTACATCGTCGTTCTACCTAGTCGCAGGAGTTGTCACCATTGTTGGTAATGAATTCTATTCACCATCTCAAGTCTCCATTGGAGAGAGTCAGTGCAGTCAGGTTGTAGTTGTCAATGCACAAACTATTACTTGTTTATTCGATGGTGATGTCGGCAGTGTCAATTCAACTTTGGGTGTCTCTATCCTTTCTGGACAATCTGATACATTCACCTTTGATGGATTATTCAAATACACATGGTTGCAATGTTTGAACGCATGTTCATCACATGGAAAGTGTGTCACATCTGGTCAATGTCAATGTGACAGCGGATACACAGGAGCCGATTGTTCAATCACATACGTTCAATCATTGGTTCCAGCAATTGACGCAGAAACACCATCAGGAGGTAGATTCACAATGTTTAACAGCAGTTCCATGGAATTTTTCCTTTCACATATTCAAGAAGTTCGTCAAAACAATACTATTGTCCGTACTATTGCTCTCACCAAATGGGACTTGTATGCACAAGATATTGGCAGCAATACAACCACCACCTACAACTCAACATCAACGAATCACAACATTCTTCTCTCAGTCGCTGAATACTCTACACCATCGATTCAATCATATCTTGGTGATGATATTGTTATCCCATCCAACTCTGTCAAACACTTTATCACCATCGATAGATACAACTTTGAATCAATCAACTCTTCACTACGTATCATCTACCAATTCAAATCACCATCAGAGACGGAATACAACTGCAACAATGAAACTACCAAACACCAATACGACACATCGTCATCGGCAACCACCATCAAATCATACACTATTGACACACCAGTCGGTACAATGATGGCATCATTCAGCAACCGTGTCCATATCGACGATGTCAATGCAATGGTCTCATCAATCCAAGCAATCTCATCGGTTGATTCATCAACACAATCAACCAACGGTAACCAATACATTGCCATCCAAGTTCCATCATTTGCAGATTTTGTTGAAATCGATCCAATATTCTCAGCCACATCAAAGACTGCTCCATCAACTGATACCTGTGTTGCATCAGTATCTTCATCCTCTGCACCACCAATCTTATTACTATCAATCATATCATCATTGATGGCCATTCTCTTCTTTTTAAACTAAAGTAAACAATAAATAAATTATTATTCTATTTATTATTCTTCATCTGTTTAAATTATTAATTGTATTTATTTATTTATTTTAGTTAATTTGAAGATTTACCATGATTGTTGTTGTTGACAATAATATTCTTTGTAAGGAATTGATTGATTAATTGACTAAATTTCACGGTGATGAGTTTCAAGTGTGAAATGACCAGTTTCAAATAGATGGAAATCAAGATTCTTTAGATCACGTTTGTATGGATAGGCACCATCAGCTGGAAAGATTTCATCATTCTTTCCCCAAACAATCAACATTGGTGGCTGGTATTGTCTAAAGTAATCTTGAAACTGTGGATATTTCGATGGGTTGGTACCATAGTCAAACAAGAGTTGAGCTTGAATCTCACCGTTACCTGGACGATCGAGGTAGTATTGGTCACTGATATATCCATCTGGTGCAACCAAACTCTTGTCCTTTTCTTGTACACCATTCAAATATTGCCATTGAGTGGTTTGAGCAGTGATCAGCCCAAGAACAAAGTCAATGTTTTCTTGTTTGGTTGGTTCGGCCCAGTACTTTTTGACGTTGGCCCAGAAAGCGTTATCTATTCCTTCATCATAGGCATTACCATTCTGGACAATGAAAGATTGTATCTTTTCAGGGTTACGGAGAGCAAGTCTATAACCAATGGGAGCACCATAGTCAAATACATAGAGACTATACTTTTCAATAGACAAGGCATTGATAAACTTTTCAGTGACAACTGATAGGTTTTCAAAGGTGTATTCAAATTCCTTGGTTGATGGCATCGACGATTGACCATAGCCAATGTAATCGGGTGCGATTAAATGAAACTTTTCAGTCAACTTGTCATCGGCCAATAAATGACGGTACTGATGACTCGATGATGGGAATCCCATGTAATAGGATTAAAGTTGGATTCTTCTTGTCTCCGCTCTCACGATAAAAGATATTGTGGTTATCAATCTGGATTGTATTGTATCTAATAATATTGGTTGATGACATTTTATAAAACTATCGTTGATTATGATGAATGTTATTTGTGTGTTAATGTATTGTTGCTAGTTTTATTTGTTTGTTTGTTAATTGTATTTAATTGAATTGAATTGATGATATAGGATGTATAGAGTTGGAACAAGTATTTATAGTTTTAGGTTGATGCATTAGCGGTTGATTGGAATTCCAATGATCGACTAGATTGGAATAGTCTTGACTCTTCTGTCACGGACCGCATGTTTGTGTCTATAAATGGTAGGTGTATATGCGTATAAGTAGTAGTTTATCTTTTGATCGTTGAACCACAACTAGAATGGCTTCTAGAACCAAGTTTTTTTTAATCAAATAAATTTTGAAAATAATTGTCCGAGATATCTGATCTACTTTGCTGTACTTATTTTCTTACCCGATAACCCTATCCTCTTCATAAATGTCAATCTTATGATCCTGTTTTTACATGATAGCTAAGATTGACAACCGTATCTATATAGTACACAATTATTATTATCTTGACGTTAAATTTATATGTACACAATTATTATCTTTCAAATTGGGAAGTTCATCTTCCCCATGTACAACATCATCTCAACAATCGTAGGCAACACAGTATAAAAATGGAGCCATCAACCTGTGAATTGTATATCAGTCCGAATGGAAACAAGGTTGATCCGAATGTGGTTAGCTCTCAGCGAGGGGATTACAAGATTTCACTTTAACAATAGTAATATCTTTTCAATAACTTTTATGTAGATCGCAACATCAGTCAAGTCAATATTCAAACTGCCATCCCAACCATCAACAACAAACCAACCCACATTTATTGTAATTCCTAATGCATCAAGACCCATTATCGAATCTTGATGTATCAGTAATTGCAATAAATGTGGAGGTGGAGGAGTAGAGGAATTCTCTCTCTCTATGATCAAAGAATAATAATCTTTAGACGTATGTATATTAAATAAAACAAGTAATATTAATAAATAAATAGGATGTTTTTAGATTTTGAAAATATAGGTGATGAATGGATCACCACCATGTTTGATTTATTTATTCCAGAGAGAGTGGTTAATCTTTCTTCTTCTTTTTCTTATTCTTTTTCCCTTTGTCGTCTCGTTCATCCAATCTTTATCGCGATCATTAATCCAAATACATATTACAGTTAAATAGTTATTTTGTTGTTGTTGTTGTAAATGTATTGGATCAACAGGATGTATTGTTGTTATTAGTAGTAAAAAAAGTTGGTTGATATTGTTGTTAATTATTATTTGTTGTTAATTATTATTTGTTATTATTATTATTATTATTATGTGTCGTATTATTTAAATATTATTATTATTATTATTATTATCGGATAACCTATGATATTGATTATTATTATAATTTTGTTTTTTGATTAGAATAGCGCAAATGATTACGAAAATTGAAACAATGATGATTATGACAGTCTTTGTAACAAACATGATAATGTCAAAATCATAGTCATCTCCGTCGATGGTGTTTCATTTGTTATAGGTGTGAAGATCCAATTCTTTGGTGACCGATACTCTTCGCCAAAACTTGGAATTGGGACTGGCAAATGAAAACTTGGGTGACGAACGCTTGAGCAAGAGATAGTCGTCGTGACGTTGTTGGAGACCTGGTAAGAGGGTGGCACGGGTTTGGTCGAGAATTTGGTGGTACTCTTCAATGGGGACGATGAGATTTGATTTGAGTTCATCTTGCTCTTGACGCGAGAACCCAATCATCTCTAAATACTCTGGGACGCCTCCAAAAGTTTCGTCTACCCAATTCAACAGACCGGCCAACACTTCACGTGGAGCCTTGGCAAACTCCTCCTTGACCAATCCAACACGCGAAAAGTAACGACGGATCTGCTCGAAAAATGGTGTCAAGTTGACCTCTGACTTTGCATAGTCTTCGATAATGACATCACGTGGTACTCCCAAACATGAGAGCAAGAGTGCCGTCACCATACCTGTACGATCCTTTCCAAGTGAACAATAATACATGATTGGATAGTTTTCTCTGCGTTTTAAGATTCTCATAATCGTCAGAATCTCCTCTTGAGTGTACAGTAAAGTTAATCTATACATCTCTGATATACCAAGTTGATTTAAATGATTCATCAATAAAAATGCTCCAATCTTATCATTAAATAATAAGTATCTTGAAACTGTACATTTTCTAAATAAAAATAAAAAGAAATATTAATATATATATTTATATATATTATTATTTATATTTATATTACATACACTTTAGTATCACTTGGAGCAGTTTGATAAACACCTTCTAAAAAGAAACGATTATTAATTAATGGAATACAAAATCTTTTACGCAAGACACCGGTAGAGTGTTTTCTGAGGTTGGCGATATCGTCATTACTAAGATTACGATTGTATAATCTCCAGATCAATCCATTACGTTGTTCTTCCATTTCTTTTTCTCTTTCGGCTCTCATTGATGGTGGTGATGGTATTCTTCTTTGTGACGGTGACGATGAAGCGGGTGCTTGTGATGATGGAGCAGGTCCATTAACTGCTGGAACTGGAATGGGTGTAGCTTGGGTAACATGTATTTTTGGTGGTGAAATGTTTGGGTTTTCTGCTCCAACTGGTCTTGATCTAGTTGGTGATGATAGATGACCATCAACAGATCTAGATAAAGGTGGTGGTGATACTCCTCTTGCCCATGTTGTCGGTGTATTATTATTATTATTATTTGTGTTGCAAGTAATTGGATGTGATGGAGATGGTGATAAATGTAAACTTCCATGACCATTGTATGATGTTGAAAGTGTTGAAGAAGAAGAATCTGTTGGTGATAATTTGTTGGTATTATTATTATTATTATAATTTCCACTACTTGAACTTCTACCACGTGATCCAGTTAAATTATTATTATTATTATTATTATTATTATCATCAGTATACAATACATTTGCTACAGTTTCTCTAACTTCCTTTTTAACTGAATATTGAACAAAATTATCCTCAAATTTTCTAACTGGTGATATTGTTTTGTTTTCCCATGTTGTTCTTAAATCAATCTAAAATAATAAACAATTAATTGGATCCTGATATATCTTCGATCAATTCAATTCAAACACTTACCATAGTCTTCATTTGCATAACTTCCAATAACCAAAATTCATCACTTTGGGTGGCATTGGTGGGTGCAGCTGTTCTGTGGATGGTGCCTGGTCGAATCACTAATTTTCCACTATTAGAGGAGAGACAAAAAACGAAAAATGAAAAATGTGATTGCGATATTAGTCGTCGTCATGGTGCGCAATGAATCGTCATCATCATCTGGCTCTAGTTTAAATTAAACAAAGATAATGATGTTTATGCTGCTTATTATACTTACTCTGAACCTGCAATGGGGAGACCACCAAGCGATCGAAAATTAGATACACATTCCAATTTAACCTCTGAATTGATAGATAAATGATGAACAAGTCTGTTAATAACAAAACTCAATGCTAATGATGCACCAACTGAAGATACTAAAATCACAAATATCATCTTCCTCTACTCTACTACTGTTATTATTATTATTACTATTATGACTTTTGTATTTGTTTGAACTGAAAAATAATAATCCCTTTGTATTTGCTGTGCTATTATACTGTTACTATTTTCTGCTAGTATTATTATTCTCTCTCTGTCTTGTCTTTTTTCTTTATTTTAGATGATCTTATTTGTGTATTTATATGTCTCTCTTTGGTTTGTTTGTTTTTGTTTTTTTTTACTTTTAACTAAACTACTTACTATTGTCTGGAAACAAGGAAATAATGGAAGTACCAGATAGTTGCATTTCTTCAAATTGAGGAGGTTGGCAAGTGGTATTGCTCATATTACTACACTGTATATATTCTGAGGTGACAGCTGCTGCTGTTACTTTCTCTTAATTGATACTACTACGATACTGTTACGTAGCTAATACTATGATTTAATTTAAAAATGAATGTAATGTAAATAAAAATAAAAATAATTGTTTTTGATAGATAGATATTGGAGTGTGTGTGCGTGATCTGCTCTCTGTCGTCTCTCTCTCTCTCTCTTATATCACTCTTTTAAAATAATATAATTCTTCCTTTCTCTTCTCTCTCTATCTGTCCTTTTGTTTTAAAAAATATGTTGAATATTTGCAATAATTAAATTTTCAAATTATATAGTGGGATGGGCCGAACAAAAGAATGCGTGTGGGGGTGTCAAAAGAATTGAGTGTTTTTTCATTCGACAACGAGAAAACTATTCTGCACGTAGTAGTGAAGTGGAGAGGAGAGGGAGGAGGACGTCCTGCACCATGGTGGCGAAGGTGTGGTGGTTGTAGTGTAATGGGGGGAAGGGTGATCACTCTTTTCATCTATCTATCTCATCATCTCATACATACCCTTTTTAAGAGATCTAACTATTCTTCTTGAAATTATTAAAAAAATAAATTCAATTTTTAATTTAATTATTATTTCTTTTTTTTTTTTGGATATTACTAAATACTATTATTATTATTTTTTTTTAATCTAATCTTTTAAATTAAATTAAGAGTTTGATGTGATTATTATTATTACTAATATTACTAATATTACTACTACTAATCTATGCCTAAAAATAAATATATATATAAATAAATAAATTTAAATAAATAGAAATTAAATTAAAAAATACTATTATTATTATTATTATTATTATTATTTTTTTCTGTGTGCTTATTTTTTATTTTTTTTTTCGTAGTTGGTTGAATTCCTTTCTGGATTTTAAAAAAAAACAAAAAGAGTAGATCCTAAACTCTCTGGAATATCCGTTGTTCAAATTCGTATAATTATTTATCAGTTTTGGGAAGTAGTTAAGTTTTGGATAATTAATTTTTATTTGTCAAACAACCAACTGAATGATAATAATAAATTGAATTGAATAGTATATAAATTCAATTAATTTAATTCCATTTCATTCTCCGAAGAATACAACTAATGAGAAGAGAATTTGAATGGTTAATGGTTGTGATATTTAATATTATTTGTATTATTTAAAATTAATTAATCTATTTATATTTTATTTTTTTAATGTTTCATCTTTCTTCCAGTTTTTTCCCAATATAATTCAGCAGCTACACTATTGTGAATTTGGTGTAGGAAATTTCCATATTCCTTGTAAATAATCACCATTAATTGTTTGAGTGGAAGATCATTTGTTACTGAATGACTATTTGTAATTGGTAAATAAAGAGATGAAGTTGAATCTGACAATGAAGAAAGTGAAGATAGTGATATATTTCTTTGATTATTATTATTATTATTATTATCACTGTTGTTGACCTGTTGTTGATGGTCTTGTTGAAAGATATTATTTTCTAAACAAATATCTATGAGGTGAGAAGCTAGACCATATTGTTGTTGTTCATAGAGTAATTGAAGTACTGCATAGTAATCACCAATCGATAATAAAATGGCAATAGCATCATCGACATAATGATTTTGATAGTAATTTAATTCTTGTTCGTAGGCGTGGTGGTGGTGGTTTCGATGGTTGGCATTAAAATGGTTTTGTTGGATTTGTTGGTACTGTTGACTACGTTGAACAAGATGAACTGCCCATGCTCTCAATACAACCATACACTCGGATTCGCCGAGCGATGTTTTGGCCAGTTTGGCAGCTTCTTCCCACCGATTGGCTGCTTGAAGATACTTGCATGCCTCTAATGTCTTATCAATGAGACAGAGTATTTGAACGCCATCGTCTAGTTTGTTGGCCACTATCAAATTGTCTGCCACCAATTTCATCGTGTTTTGGTAGAAATCTTGTGATATGCTGGCTGCTACAACACCAGCCTTCATGGCACGTGCCATAAATTCGGGGTGGTCAGGTGTAATGTCCAAGAGCAAGCTGACAGCTCTCACACTTCTTCCAATGAGTATATTCTTTGATATCAACCGATCAACCAATACAGCATCTGGTTTCTTTTTCTCGCTTTGATCTAGTTTATCCAATTCTCCATTTCGATAGATTGGAGCATCCATCAATACATCATAATACGTTGGCAGACATCTGTTGCCAGAGATACTAATAGTATTATTGTTATTGTTATTTCCAATGTTTGCACTACTTAGTTGAATGGTTGAAGATGTAAAGTTGGATGACAAATGGTTTGTGGATTGGTTTGTTGATGGTGGAGTAATACCTCCTTGACTGCCACTACTCATTGTCATGATTGATTGATCGAATATTTGCATAGAAGATGATGTGGATGTGGTCGTTGCCTGATTCATTTGCATACTCTGTTGTAATGACAATTGACTGGATACTGTTGGGATGAGTGGTGTTGAAATAGTGGTGGTTGGTTGTTGGCTACTAGAGGATGGTGCTGATGAGAATGCATTTGATTGAGTTTGTTTGAGTGCATTGAAAAGTGGTGGTGTAGTTAGAATCGATGGTGACAATGGTCCAGATGCAGAGTTTGTATTAGAGGTTGACATTGGAGTTGATGCAGACAATGGAGTTGATTGTGCACCTGGAGTTGGTGTTCCAACCGATGCTGGTGTGTTTCCAGCGGTACTAGACTGTTGTACTACAGCTGGACTGTTTGTATTGCTGCTACCACCACCCGAAACTTTTTGTGCAAGTCCTGTAAATCCACCAAAGAATGAAACAATTGATTGCTTTTTAGAGAGAGGTGGTACTACTCCTCCAGTAGTGGAAGGTGTATTTGATGAACCAAATGGTAAAAAGGATGAAGCAGATGATGCAAGACTACTTTGATTTTCTTTGGTTGGAGTGGATGGTTGTGTGACTGTTGATAGTGGGGGCAAGTTGGATGGAGTGGGTGCTGGAGGAGATGGGGTTGGCATGGAGATAAATGAAGAGTAGGTGAGTTGGTTGACCATGTTGTTTGGAGGAGGAGCGTTTGATGACGAGACTATGGGTGTGGCTGGGAGAGAGGACGTGCTTTGTGGTGTGGTAGAGTCAGCGACAACTGGGGTGCTCTCGGACAACTCGATGGGGGTGGGAGGTGAGTACCCAGGAATAGAGGGGATGAGAGAGAGGTTGTCATAGTAGCCGACAATGTCATTGTTGTAGAGACACTGTCCACGTGCTTGGAACTGGTTATTGTCGAGTGCGTGGATGACGAGTCGCCAGAACCGGGTGGCTCGCGTATCTCCAAAGTAGTGTGCCAACGATAGATTGAGCTCGGATGTGGGGAGTGAGTGTAGATAGTCGAGGTAGCGGTCGTCGACCAGCGCGAGTAGCTTGTTGTTTTTCTCGAGCTGTTCGCGCAGGATGCTGGCCGTGTTGACCGACTGTCGCAGCTCGGGTGGTGAAAAGACGGTGGTGTCGGAGGTGTTGCCAGTGGTGTTGTCGGCATAAGAGTTGGTGCCGTTGTAGTTGACGAGCAGGTTGAGCAGCTGCACCGCAGCGAGGGGGGTCAGCAGCAGCGGGCTGGACAGACACCCGTCGGCGACGACAGACGCTGGGTTGGCGGGCTGGCTCGGATCGACCCAGTTGTAGATGCGCGAGTTGAGCGTCGCCAGCGCCGAGTCGACCACGCGTACCGAATTGTCTGCAAGCACAAGCACGGGCGACAGATCGTTGATCCAGTCAATGTCGACGGCACGCAGGTCGAGCGAGCTGACGATACGCGTGTTGGTCGAGATGTCCCACACGCCAACCTCACCACTCGAAAACAGCACGAGCAGCTCGGTGCTGCTGGGTGCGGGCGAGAAGCGCAGCTTGCGAATCGAACCCTTGTGCGTGGAGCACGTCGCCAGCTTCTTGCGCTCGGTCGACCACACGTGGATCGTGCCGCCGAGGTCGCCAAACACTAGTAAATCGCGCTTCCAGGCAAACGCCGACGGACTCATACTATGTATGCCCGGCAATCCAACACCGACCGTTCCACCCAACGACAGCCCGCTACTCAAGTGTATGTCAGACATGGTGACCGAGTTACCCTCGATCGTGCACATCTTGACGGAACTGTCTCCATTGACAAAGATAAACTGTTCTTTTGCCTCGTATCGTGCTCCGTCACTCGACAACGCCGTCTCAGAGTCCATCGCAGGTGGTTGCCAGGCTACAGCCACCACATTATTGTATGGCTTGAACGAACGAAGACAAGTAAACTTCTTGGTCTCCCACAGTTCAAATGGACGGTCCTTTAACATGATAATCAAAAACTTTCGCGAGAATGATAACCGCAGACCCCTGATTTGGGTTGGCTCCACATTACTCACCTTTCTAAACTCTCGGAATCTTCCCGACCTAAAATCCACCACCCACACCATATTATTGATACTATTCTTATTATCCTCTTCATGTGAAAAGCATACAACTCTTCCAGGTGACAACCATTTAATTCCCATAATTGGATGATTCCAAATATAAATTTCTTTTTGAATTTTCATTGTTGTTAAATTAATTATCTAAAAAAAAATCAAAAAAAAAAGAAAAGAAAAGTTAATCATATATAAATATATATTATATATATATCTATTTCTTTTTTTAATTTAACATACTTGAATAGTTCCATAAGCAGTACCAATTGCGATTAAAGCAATATTTGATTTGTTATAAAATGGATAAACGGATAGAGATGAGATTGGTGATGAAACCATTTCAAGAAATCCTGATACTCCAAGTTTAATCAAACCATTTAATGGTTTTGGATAAATCGGTGTTATTCTTGGTGCAAATAAATTATTTAATAATATTTCTGATGTAAAATCCCATTTCCATCTAAAACAAAGAATAAATACTGATTTAGTAACTAATAAACTCTTGTCTCTTTTTCTTTATCTTTTTCTTTTTTAAACATACAATATACCATCACCAGAAATAGTTAATAATGATTGATTAAAATAAAAAGGATGATTACAAATAGAGAATATTTGTTGACCTTTCTTTTTACTCTTTTTGTGATGATGTGAGAGATCTGTGACTTGACCTACTTGTTCGTAGTTGTGAGAGTTGTATTGATCCACTTTTCTACCCCATGTGTTGATTGATCCGTCATCGTGAAGACTAAACATGAGCTGTACATTCTCACGACACAACACGATTTGTTGAAAGTTGCTTTTGTTTCGATCCAATTGTAAGAGACCGAAAACTTGGTACGTAGAGACATCGACAACCACAATATCCCTTGGAAATACAAAATACACTATATGGTTACATATTGGAGATAGAACCATTTGAATAATATCCAAAGTTGGAAGTGATGATGAAGATGATGAAAGAAGTGATTGTCCTTGTGACGATGCTGTATTATTGTTATTATTATTATTATTAATATTTGAAGAAGAAGATTGATCATTTGAATTTGAATGATGATGAGAGGATGAAGAGGAAGAGGAGGAGGAGGAGGAGGAGGAAGAAGGTGGAGTTGTAATGATGTGATATGGTTTATTCTGTAATTTGCACTTATAATCGATTGATTGAATATCCATATGATCACTTAATACAATGCTATAGATACTACCATTTGAGCATGAAACATAGACATGTGATTGGTCAAATGGGTCGGCACTGAGGAATTGGTTGACAGAGTCACCAATCTCCTTGTGTCCGATACGCAGTCCCGTCGATATATTCCACAGATTGATATAGTTGGCAGAGATGGTTATGATAATGTTACTGTCAAACGGATGAAACATTGCATCTGTCACCACCTGTTTGTCAGTCATTGAATGTATGGCAACACCTTGTAACACATTCCAAATGACAATGACACCCGACACATCGACACTTAACAATTTACACAGACACCTACTATTATCAATCGGAACCAATTGTTGTTGATAGGTAGTAGGTTGAGGTTGTTGTGGTTGTTGTTGATCAACATTAAATGAAGATGCCGTATACTGTGATGCATTTGATGAGTTTTCAATCTCTACATCCAGCATTGTCTTGTTATTAATTGCTGATATTACATCATTTGACCTAAATCCAAATCAATTCAAAATCACAATCATTAGTCAATATATTATTCATTCACTACTCTTAAACTTACCATCTAACAATTGAAACATTTGTTTTATGTTCACTTAGTGTTTGTATTAATGCCAAGTTGATTGGGTCTGCTATAACGACATGTGAATGTGCTCCATAGGCAAGTAGATTCTGACGACCCCAATCGATTGCACCTGTATTATCTCTATGCAGTTTACCTGGGAACACCTTTGGTGGTAGAGGTGTTAATTTAATATTATTTGTATTCATATTGCACAATATACTAGAGAGTCTCTATATTATGACTATCTATCTTTTTCTCTCTCTCTGAACCAATCAAAAGATGGTGATGATGAAATGATCTATCTCTTATTCTTTACTGATGATTATTATGATTATTATTGTTTTACATTAATTTAATTTGATTATCTATCTATCTATATTTATCTATATATTTCTTTGTATACATGTATGCAAGACTCTAACTCTACTATTGCACTCAGGTTGAGTATTAGAGCTGATCATCATCAGTTTTTATTTTCTCTTTTTAATTAAATTTTGGGACACTTAATCTGAAACTTCTCTCTTGTGCATACTTATTATTATTATTGAATAGATATATAAAGTGTAGTAGTAGTTAGTAGTTAGAGTAGTAGTAGTAGCAGTGGTATCATCATAGATATATAGTATAGAGGAGAGAGAGAATGAATACATTCGATTTGATACCAGTTATCAGCAATGTACCCGTAAAGATTGAATCGATTGACATATGGGGAAATAACATCTATATAGGTACCAATGATGGCCAAGTACTACTCTATATCATTGAAAAGGTTGAACTTAATAAAAAGGTTGGTATCATCATCAAACTGTCAATCAATCAATAAAGTTCAATAACACTCAACTAATCGATTCATCTTTGTGAATGATATCCAATTTAAATCATCAATTATAGGTTACATTTAAATCTAGAATGGAAAAGAAGAGATCATTGGGACATGGAAAGAAACCAGTTGAAAAGATACTTTTAATTAGTGATATAGGAAAATTGTTGACACTTTGTGGTATGTTGATTGAATGACAAGTATAATATGTAGATTGATTGATATATATGTTATATGACACAAACTAACTATTGGTTGATTTAATTATATTTAGATGGAAACCTTGATGTATTTAATTTGTATAATTTAGAACCAACAACACCGATTGGACCAACAAGTAAAGGTGTGACTGGGTTTTGTTTGAAAAAGAAGAGCCAAGATTATAGACTGTGTGTCATGTTGAAGAAGCGGTTGTGCTTCTTTGAGTATGTCAGAGTGTTTGAGCAGTACAAGGAGATTGTGTTGCCTGAGGCACCGCTGACGATGGAATGGACCAAGAACACGATGTTGCTGGGTTTCAAAAAAGAGTATACGATGCTGGACATTGACAGAGAGCAACAACGTGTTTTGTTCCCGTTGGACAAATCGATGCCGCGTATCAAGCATATCCCCGATCTCGACAAGTTCCTTGTCACGGCCGAGGACATTGCCGTGTTTATTAATATAGCTGGTGAGCCGGTCCAAGGAACGGTGCATTGGGGCGGGCCGCCACTATCGATGGCGTATCTGCCACCGTACCTCTTGTCGGTCGTGCCCAACAAGGGTGTCGAGGTGCACGACCTGTCGTCGCATCTCATGCGTCTCGTGCAGACCGTTCCGGCGACAGTGGCCGCCAGCGCGCTCAGCGAGGGTCGTGGCGAGGGAAAAGACTTTATAGTGATGGCGACCGCGTCGGCCGTGTCGTGTCTGCATATCGGCAACGTCGACTCGCTCGTGCAAGAGCTGATATCGCGTGGCGAGCATGAAGACGCCATTCGATTGTTTGAAATAGCGTTCAAGCGCGAGGTCGCCACATACGACGACAACTACGATCCCGCCAAAGAGCGACAACTCCATCAGCAGCGTCTGGGAAAGATCTACGAGCAAGTTGGCATGAACGAGCTGTTCCAGATGAAGTTTGACTCTGCCTTTTCTTACTTTGAAAAGTCGACCGGCATCGATCCACGCTACCTCGTATCACTCTTTCCCAAACTACTTCCCTACCAAACATCATTTAGACAGCAACATCAACAACAACAACAACAATCACAGCAGCAACAGTCGTCGACATCATCACCACCACAACAACAAGAGAATTTACAAGAATTGATCGATGCAAATGTGGATGTAGAGGATAGATTAGAGAGAATGCGAGAGGCCAAGTTGTGTCTGTTGGCCTATTTGGAGAAACGATTTGGTAACTTGAAACACAACTCGGACGAGCAAAAGGATATATCGACAGTATTGATCAAGCTGTACGCAGAGTTGAACGAACAAAACAAGGCGATTGCACATCTTGCCAAACTCGTCCCATTTTATTTACAGGATATTGAGGAGTGGCTCAGCGCAGAGAAATACTACTCGACGCTGGGATACGTGTACCAGTTCTCAGAAAAGTATAGAAAGGCATTGTTGTTGTGGGGACAGATGATTTCGGGCGACCTCGTCGACAAGTACTCGTCGCGCGGGCTGCAAGAGATGATCGACCTGTTGTCGACGACGGCCGACCCCTCTGCGCTGGCGGCTGGTGCGCCGGGTGGCATGGCGACAGTGACGACCATCGCCGTACGCCAACAACAACAACAGCTGCAACAACAACAACAGGCCAAGAATGTCGAGCCTCCCAAAGAGCTCATATGGGAGTTTGCTCCCATGCTCATGACCAAGTATCCCGAGCGCTCGATCAAAATCTTTTTGGTCAAGCGTCGCGATCGACTCGACAGCAACGAAGTCATTGAATTCCTGCATAATTACGGGCCTGACATGTACCAAATCTACCTCGAATACCTTATATTCGACGAAGCCAACCGCAACGAGCAATACCACACCAAACTGGCACTCTCCTACATTGACTCGGTGGTCAAGTCGAGTCCCGAGTTTTTCGCACCCAACCAGACGCGGCCACCCTACGCCGAAGTGCTCAACACCAACCGTCAAAAGCTGGTCGACCTACTCGAGTTCTCCAACTGCTACAATGTGCCCGTACTCTTGTCCAAGATCAAGACGAGTCTGCTCTACGAGGAGCTTGTTATCCTCTACCTGCGTGTTGGCAACTACGAGCTCATGTTTGATATTATCGTGTGGAAACTAAAGGATTTCCAGAAAGCAGAGTTTATCTGCGAATCTTTTGATCCCAAACACAGTCTCTCTTCTATATCCTACAGTTCCATGTCGTCTCCGGCCACTGGCATGAGTCCGGCCACAGCATCACCCACACTCGGTCAACGAGCGTCTGTCTCACTCACCTCTTCATCCTCTTCTCTCAACCCTGCGTCCGCATCCCCTCGCACACAACAAAGTTTCAGACACTCTATGATACTTGGAAACCAATCACCCAACATTCTAAGTAGTAGTCCAGGCCAAAACATACATACTGGCTCTTCCAATTTCGAACTCAATCCTTCACAAATCCCAACCAATGTCACTTCTCCCGACATTAAAAGTAGTTTATACGATCCTAAAAGAACAGAATTATTCCTTTGTCTTTTAAAAACCTATCTTAGTAAATCTTCAAAACAATTAATAGATAATTTTAATCAATCATCATCATCAACATCAACTAATAATAATAATAACAATAATAATAATGTAGAATTACCAAATTATTTGATTGAATTTTTAAACAAATATTATAATGAAATGGATCCAATCAAAGTAATGTCATTATTACCATCAAATACGCTACTTTCATCGTTGGAATATTATTTGTCCATGTCATTTAATCATAGTATATCGAGTCAACGAGAAACCAAGATTGTAAAGAACCTTCAAAGATCACAGAATCTCAACATCAAGATTGAACATCAAACTGTATGTTCTGGTAGTATTCACATGGGATTGGATCGTAATTGTCCAGTTTGCAACAAACAAATTGGAGACAAGGTATTTGCTTATTTCCCAAATGGTGTCATTACTCACTTTAAATGTTTCCAATCGACTCATATTTGTCCAGTAACTGCTAAAAACTTTAAAAAGAATCCTACTGATCCAATTAGTACATAAAATTAATTTAAAAGTAAATAAAATTGTCGAAACAAACAAACAAAATGTGATTTTTTTGAAAAAAGATGGGTATTTATTTTATACATAAAAATACAACAAAAATATTATTAATATATTCTATTGATAATATTTGTAGTGTATTTTAAATAGTTGATTCCTATCATTTCTGTAAACACAAAAATAAATATATATATGATTTTTTGTGTTTTGTAATAGACTGAAATACAATGATTTGAGAAAAATGTTTGATGGTGTGATTAAAATGTTTTGGTAGGGTTGAATATTATTATTATTATTATTATTATATAACTATTTCTATTATCTATTTCTATTATTATATATTTTGTTATTTGTTATTTTTGAAAAATATTATTATTTTTTTTTTAAGCCTTTGTACCAAGTATTTGTGGAGAAAGTACTAATTTACCCTTTGAACTTGGAGATGGTGAAGAAGTTCTACCAGTCTTTTTGGTCGATGATGATTTTGGAATTGGATCTCTAATGGTAGTTCCATGGTAGTGTTTTGGATGCGATGGGACTTGATGTTCGATTTTGACGTGGTGCAAATGATCCAAATGGAACTTTTTCATGAGTTCCTCGGTCGATGGTTCATGGTTCATATGGGTTTGCTTCCAAATCTCGATTCCGTTGAAATCCAATGTATCAAAGGCATCCAACACGTGTTCAGATACAAATCCAAGCATGCCAGACCCCATTGCACTAATTACACTCTGGTCATGCTCCAATGAAACGGTAAACTTGACATAGTCACCAACTGGAATCGAACGGAGGAATGATTTCAAGTCGTTCTTGATACGTTCCTTTCCCTCGATCTTTAACTCTTTACGTAACCAAGCAACCATATCCATGTAATCGGCATTCTTGTACGACTCATTTTTCATGACCATAGTAGCTCTATGTTTCTTTGGTATCACTGTTGAAAAGTAAATTTGTTCCATTTCTAAATTCTACAAAAAAAAAAAGAAAAGATAGAATTGTACCAAAAATATATATATTTAATTAATAATTATTATTATTATTATAATGATAGATAATTGTACAACAACAACAACAACAAAAATATGAGTATGATGATGATGGATGAATAAATGAAATATATTTGTTACAACTACTAGTTAGTGTCCAAATAAACTTTGCTAAATTTAAATTGAATGTGAAATATGAAAAAGGGGTTGCTGTGTCCATTGGCAAATTGAACGACACACGCTTCTCTTTGTGTTTGTTGCTGCTTTGCCTGATGGATAGGTGGTGTGAGTGAGGTGGGTTAAATTTTGGTTGCAAACTAAATCATCCTTCCTTTTTAGCTACACAAAAGAGTAAGTACTATAATGTATTCATTCATACTCTTTCGTTAGCAATGTTAACACCACCAACACCACCAATCATTGGATGATTATCATCGCCTGGCAAGAAGGTGGATGGATGGGATGCATGATGAATTTGGGGTGAGGAGTATTTAAAAATGACAAAAAGTCAACAAAAGAAGCAATGGGGTAATCATACCACATATGTACATATATGAATGGAATGATTGATTTTGGGGGGTATGAATGAGATAACAAAAATAAAATAAAACTCGATGTGATGGATGGTATGGTGTTGGTAGAAAAACAAACAAAGTTGGAAATGAATGAATGACTGGATAAAAGGTAGGAGAGATGGATGGTCATGACATTTTTAATCAACTTTTTTTTTTATCAACAATCTATTAGATTAATAATAATAATAATAATAATAATAGTTGTATGCTAAAAATAAATAAATAATTAAAAATATCTTGTTTATCTTTTACTACCCCCCACTCACACCAGCAGCCAAACAAACACACCTGTGACAAGTCAAGTTTGAAATTTCTTTCTTTCTATCTTTCTTACTTTTTTTTTTTGGAATAATATTATTATTTGTTATTATTATTATTATTATTATTATTATTATTTGTTGTTGGAGAGTGTGTGTGAAAAAGATGGATTGTAGATATTATTATTTGAATAAGAATTCTTTTTATCTTATCTACTATAGTCGGATGGATGGATGGATAGATGGATGGATGTTGGATAAACAAGGAAATGACTGGATAATAAATGACAAAATTGCAGAGACAGATATTATTATTAATTAATTGAAACATACACGTTTTTTTGGTTGTTGTTGATGATGATAAATAATATTTTCCATTTTCAAAATTTCTATATTTATATTTGACAAATTGTGAATGGAGAGAGACAGGAGAGAGAGAGAGAATGCAAAGGAGAGTAAGAGGAAACGGAAAGAGGAAATTTAAATTATAAAGGTGTATGTAAAGTGTAGATAGAATTAGAAAGAGTGGGGGTGCTGTAAGTAGGGTAGAATAGGGATGGGGATGAATGTGTAGTGTATCAAGATAGATAGATAGATAGATAGATGGTTGGATGGATGGTTGGATGATGTAGGTAGAACAAACAAACAACAATTATTTTGTGTGTGTGTATGTGTATGTATTGGTGTTAAAAGAGGAAAGTGGGGTAAAAGGTACGCAGACACACAGAGAGAGAGTGTGTGTTGACTAGCTCGTTCCATTTCGCATTCCATTTCGTTTCGGCAAAGATAAAAAAAGAATAGATAATAATTTAATTTCATTATGTGTCTGATGTTTGCAAATGTGCTCGGCAAAATAGAGAGGTGGTGGAAATTTGGAGTTTGAATGGAATGATTGTTGTAGGGGTAGTAGTGGTGACCAACAGATGAGCAGATGAATAAACACCTCCTCACCTGCGATATGCCCATCACCATCATCAAACATCGATCGTCGGGAAAGGCAATTTAATCTTTGCACTCACACATACACATTATTTATTTATTTTTGTGTTCAATTTTGATGATTCAATTTAATCATACATGATGATAGTAGAAATATTTGTTTTGTTTTGTTTGTTTGTTGTAAGGGGGTCACGCTGAAAGGTATACGGCGATAACAGATGGGTAGGTAGGTGTAAATATGAATATGAAAGTGAATCGAATCGAATCGATTGGGATGATGAAATTTTTAATTCAACTTTGCAACTCTAACAACAAACATCTCTCACTATCCTCCATAATGTAGGTGTATGGGTGGATAAAACACCAGAAAAGAAATATTTACATTGGTTGGATTTTGTAAAGTAGTCAAAAAATAATAATTGTTGGTGTGGTGGGTGGGGTGTGACTGACTATAGTATAGTGAATATGGGGATATGATATAGAAATGGAATGTATCTTCTCCTCAACAACAAAGAAATAAATAAAATAAATAAATATAAATAAATAAAAAATGAGATAATGACGTTGGGGGTGATAATTGTATATATGTATTTATATATAATGTATAAATAGAATAGAATATGTTAAATCAGACAATGGTTTAAAAATGAAAAGAGATAGCTCTAAAAGATATTTGTTATTAAATTTGGTCTACCTTGTCATTCTCTTCACCACCAACAACATCTATTGGTGTATATATATATTTATTTATTTTTTTGATTTTTTCATTCAAAAGGAAGGATGGATATATACCCATATGAGGAATGGTTGGTAATGGAATGGAAGGTTGTTTTCCATTTTTTGGTTAGAGATTAAAGATGTCGAGAGTCATTAAAATACTCTTTTGGAATTGATTCAATTCAATCGAATGAATGATGAAACCAATGCATCATTATGATTTCAATATCCTTTCCAAAATGAAAAGTATATTCATTTATATCAATATGTTGTTGTTGTTGTTGTTGTTGTTGTTTTACTTTATACGTAAATGATGAATTCATTAGTACAACCTATGTATATAGTTGTTGATAACTAAATTTATCAATATCTATTTTTCTTTTATTATTGTTTTAATCTTTCTTGTTGTTGTCGTTTGAGTTCTTGTTCATTCCCCTCACCCACACTAATTTATAGACTGCAAACTCGGCTCTACAAAATAAGGGTAGGTTTTGGAGAAAGAGATGGGTGATCATTGGGTTCGTGTTGTCTCATTTCTGAAGAAATTTTTTTTATTACTATTTAATTTTTATTTATATTTGTATATATATTTAGATATTGTCAACACGTCACAGAGATAGAAAGATTGATTAATTGATTGTTAATAATTGGAGATTGATTAATTGATTGTTAATAATTAATTATCGCTTCTTCTTGTTGTTGTTGTTGTTGTTGTTCTTGTTCTATTGATAGATGGATACAAATATACAGATCAAGCGACCCAGTGAGGAAGAGTTGCAGTATGAAGTAAAGAGAAAGAGAGACGGCGAGGACGGCGGATACTCTCATCCACCAGCTCATCACGCACCACATCCTCCTCACTCTGCACATTCGTCGTACTATGGTGCACACGACCCATACAACAGACCACCACCTCCTCCCCAACAACACTATGACGCTCGTTCATCTCCCCCATCGTATGCACACCCTCCTCCTCCTACTCCTGTTGGCGACTATAGATCGTCACAACCTCCACCTCCTCATCCTGTTGGCGACTATAGATCTTCGCAACCACCTCCATCGTACGGTGCACCGGGTGCGGCATACGACGATCCACACAGAAGATACGATCAAAGTGGTGCACCTCCTCCCCCACCCTCCTCTGCTTCCCCTCCACACCATTACCACGATTTGAGATCATCTCAACCCCCTCCACCTAGATATGACCAACATCCACAGACGTATGCACCACCCCCTGCAGACTACCGTTCGTCGCAGGCACCTCCTCCAGCAGACTACCGTTCGTCGTCTGCACCACCTCCCGCCGACTACCGTTCGTCGCAGGCTCCACCTCATCAATCTGGATACCCTCCCCACGACCCCTACTATGGCCATCCCCCTCCACCAGCCAGCCACGACCCATACTATGGATCGTCGCACCACGGTAGCTCGTACTATGGCGCACCTCCTCCCTCCTCTCCCTATGGCAGTCACTACGCACCACCACCACCATCCTCGTACTCGCCCTATTCGCATGCTCCTCCACCACCCTCGCCGTACCACGGATACTCGCATGCTCCACCTCCTCCATCTCCCTACTCGTCATACGACCGTTACGCACCACCTCCACCAGCCGCTGCGTCACCCTACGGACACCCACCCCCAGCCAGCCACGACCCGTACTATGGATCCCAATACGCACCACCACCCCCACCTCAATCCAACGGAGCACCTCCACCACCCCAAACCAACGGAGCACCTCCACCTCCATCTTCCTACGGCGCACCACCACCTCCATCTCAACACTATGACAACAGAGGATCACCTCCATCTCACGGCGACCCCTACTACCCTCCATCCTCTTCTTCATCAACTCCTGGTACAGCACCACCTCCACCATCATACGATCGTTATGGTCCACCCCCACCATCCCAATCTGATCAACAACCCCCTCCCCATCACAATGGATACCACCAACAACAACCACAACCACAACAACACCAACCACAAGGACCACCACCACCATTGTCATCGTCTACAGACTCTAGACCACCTCCTCTTAATCAATCTGGACCATCTCAAGAAGAACTTGATCATCAACAACGTAGCAAGATGCGTGAAGAATTGAGAGCTGAAAAGTTCCCAGAAGGTAGAGGGGGATACTCTTCTTCTTCATCCACATCAACCTCTCACTATGAATCTAGAACATCTTCAACACGCGAGTCACCATCTCATTCCTCCATCCCACCATCTTCAGTGGCCAATAATACAATTATCCTTGGAGCCAAGAAATCATCCTCTTCCTCTTCCTTTTCCTCTACTTCCTCCTCCTCAATGGGTTCATCGTCAAGAGAATCAATGGGATCAAGTCTTGGAGGTGGTTATGACACTGATGAAAAGAACAAAAAGTTTGAAGATAGAAGACAAATTGTCAAATTGTCAACAAACTATTTCCAATGTAAAATTAATTCAATGGTTGTTCATATGTATAACGTTGAATTTACTGTATGTAATTTTAAAAACATATATATATAACAACTAGAAAGTTCCTTTTTAATATTAATCATAACCATTTATATATTTATATAGCCAACATTAGATAGTAGGGATATGAGAATTAGAACATTAAGAGAATTTGAAGCTTCTCTTGGACCATTCCAATTTGATGTAAATATTAAAGATGAAGAAAAAGAAGAAGAAGAATATTTAATCTAACTCTTATTTAACTATTTTTTAGGGTTCATCAATTATGATTGGAGTTAAAAAACAACCATCAACTTCTTTTATTTCAGAGACTAATCATACAACTGTAAAGGTTAATTATATTAAAGAATTGAGAGAGAATGATCCAACTCTTATTCAACTTTACAATGTTTTCCTTAAAAAGGTAAGATAGAAAAAGTCAAACAAAAGAAAGATATATTAATAGAGATTTTAATTATTTATTTCTTTTTACTTTTTTTTTAGTTGATGACAATGATGGATTATTCAATTATGGGAAGACAATATTATTCTTCAAAGTTGAAGCGTAGAATTGAAGGTGCAGATTTGGAAGTTTGGCCAGGTTTCTTTACAGCCATTTCTCAAAATGAAAGAGGTTTGTCATTGGTAGCAGATATTTCTCACAAGATTGTCAGAACTGAATCGGTTTGGGACTTTATTACAAAGTGTCTAAACAAGAGAATGAGAGAATCGGCCATCGAAGATGAATTAAAGGGCAAGATTATTGTAACAAAGTACAACAACAAGACCTACAGAGTAGACACTATCGATTGGAATATGAATCCTAGAAATGAATTTGAAACTGCCACTGGAAAGATCACTTTCCAAAGTTACTATCAACAACACTATCCCAACCACAAGATCAACTCTCTTAGTCAACCATTGGTAACCAGTCTTGTTAAAAGAAAGGGTACCAAAGAAACTATCTATCTAGTACCTGAACTTTGTTTTATTACTGGAATGTAAGTAAAACAAAAAAGAAAAAAGAAAAAAAAAGAAAGAGATCTTTATATTCAGAATTAAAACATTAATTGAATTTAATTTTTATTTAGGTCTGAAGATTTAACATCAAATTATAAATTGATGAGTGAATTATCAAAGATTGTTCATGTCAATGCCTCGGATAGAGACAAGAAACTTCGAGAGTTTGTGAGATCACTTAAAACAAATCCATTGGTAGAATCTGAATCAAAGAAATGGGGTATTACCTTTGCCAATGCAATGGAAGTTGATGGTCGTGTCATGAATGTACCACGAAACATTAGAAACAATGACCCTATTCGTGGAACTTGGGTCTTGATTGCAAACTCTCAGGACAAAGGTCCCATCCCACAATTCATTAACGATCTTTGCAATTTTACAAAACTCCCACCACCAAAGGAGATCTATCTCAACAATCCACGTCCAGAACACTACTCTTCCGAGATTGGAAGATACATTGAATCCCAAGGAAAACCACTCTTTTTCTTTTGTATCATCCCCCAAAAGAATGATTTCTACAATCATATCAAGAGAGCTACGCTTATCAACCACAAAGTCATCACTCAATGTGCTTTGGCTAGAACCGTTGGAAGAGGTAAATCTCAAATCGTTTCAAAGATTACAAATCAACTTCGTGCAAAACTTGGTATGGCTCCATGGACTCTAGTAAGTAAAACTTAATTAATAATTAATAATTAATAATTAATTAATAATATGAATTATTAATTTTTTTTTTTTCCAAATCTACAGAGTGTTGATAATCCAGTTAGAGGTGATTCAATGATTGTTGGTATTGATCTTGGTCATAATACTGATCAAAGAGGGTAAGTTAAAGAAAGATAGAAATCTAAATAATAATCATAATCATATTAATTAATTTATTTTTCTTTAGTAAATCTGTAGTTGGTATTTGTGCAACATTGAATGCACAACATACACTTTTCTATTCAACAGCCATTCTTCAATCACAAGCAGGAAAAGATATTATTGAATCGTTAAAGCCATCGATGGAAAGTTCATTAAAGGCCTATTACAATCAAAACAAAAAACTACCCCAGACAATGATCATCTACAGAGATGGTGTAGGAGATGGTATGTTGGCATCGGTACACAAGTTTGAAGTATCGGCTGTTCGTGAAGCTGTCAACAATATGCCACAATCAATGGGTGCCAAACCAAAGATTGTATATATTATCGTCAAAAAGAATACCAACACCCGTTTCTTTGATCTTAGTAATTCCTCCAACAATCCACAATCTGGAACTGTCATTTATGAAGGTTGTGTTCATCAAGTATGTATAAGGACTAAACAAACAAATAATAATAATAATAGAGCCTATAATATGTATATATATATATTGACCCACTATACTTTTTATTTATTTAGGATTGGTATGATTTCTATTTGATTGCTCAAAAGACTACAGTTGGTACTATCAATCCAACACATTTCCATGTGATTTGTGATGAATCGGATATTAACCCACCAGCACTCCAACAACTTACATTCAATCTTTGTAACATATACTACAACTATGATGGCCCAGTTCGTGCCCCTGCTGTTTGTCAATATGCAAAGAAACTATCGTTTATGATTGGCAGAAATGTCCACAGTCAGGCATCTGAAGATTTGAGTTTGAAACTATATTATTTATAAATATATCAGTGACTATTATACAACACACAAACAAACAACAATAATAATTACACAACAACATTATCACCTCGGACTACACAATAAATTGATAAAATTTTCTAAAATATTAGGATTTGGAAAAACAAACTATAACTTTTAATCATCTTTCATTGTAGCAGTTTTAAAAATATTTCTCTCTTTCTTTTTATATATTTATATATGTACATATACACAAACACACCGATGATTATATAGAAATGTTAAACAATAATAATAATAATAATAATAATAATAATACGACAGATCCAAATACATTGTTTACTGATATTGCAAGATATCGTATGGGTAATGAATTGAGAATAAGAGGTAGATCATATTCAAAAAGAAATAATAATAATAACAATAGTAATAATAATAATAATAATACGACCAATAATAGAATCAACAACAATGATGATCATTTCGATAGAGTAAAAGATCAATTAGTTTCAACTATATCATTAGACTATGTAATACCTAGAATACAGAAGGATAAATGTGCATATTGGTTATCTTGGTCTCCCGATAGTGCTTATTTAGCGTTAGCAACTAGTATGTAAAAGAATAGACTACACTCAATATTGATTCAAGGTCGACTGACTCCTCTCGTTTACTTTTGATTTAAAGATGATTCGGTCGATATATTTGATAGTAGTTCAGGTGAATTATTGTATTGTTTAAAGCATCATACACAGGTGATATCGATTGTGGAATGGTTCCATACGCCATACTATAATAACAAGGATCTACCAGAGCACGAATCACTACCATCATACACTGGCAGATTACCTCGAAAATCAAGATCATCATCCTCTCTTACAAGTCCCTACAACTCTTTTGTTACTTGTTCACTCGATAATACCATCAATGTCTATAGAAACTTTAAACTTGTACAAACACTAACTCACCATCAAGGTATTAACATAGTTGTAAAGTTTTATGCATATTATATATACATATTCCTAATAGCTTCTTATTCCTCTTATTTTTTTTTAGATTGGTTAAAATCATTGGTATTATCACACGACGATCAATTAATGTTGAGTGGATGTGCAAGTAGTAATATTTGTGCATATGATATTCACGCTTCAAAGATTCTTTTTGATTTGGAAAAGGCACATCCTCATGAAGGAAGTGAGCTCAATACTATAAACACTCTAAAATTCAAGCATTCTGATAGCAATGTTTTCTTTTCTGGAGCTCGCTATGGCACTGTGAGAGCATGGGATATTCGTCAACCGCTCAAACCAATCTTTAACATTCAGGCACACAACAAACTCAATTCTTTTCATTTCACAAGAGACGATCTATATCTCTTAACTGGTGGTCGTGATGATTGTCTCAGACTATGGGATCTTAGAAATATCTTTTCAGACAATGAATATAAAACTCTACTCTCTACAGAATCTAGTCAACTTTCAAAGTATGTCGAAATATATTTATTTATTTATTTATTGCAAACAATCTTTGTTTTTGCAAGCAAATGATTCATTTTGTAGTACTAATCTCTTTTATTTTATTTTAGAAGAGGAATAGTTCAAGAATATAAAGGTCATAAATGCTCTGGTTACAATATTGGATCTGCATTTATTAATAATGATCGACAAATTGTTTCAGGGTCAGAGGATAACTATGTCTATATTTATGATACGCAGAGTGCAAAGTTATTAAAGCGAAATCTTAGTCACAAATATGCTGTTCATTTGGTATCAGCATCACCGATTAAAGATGATCTAAGAGTGGCTACTGCCGCTATCGACTGTACCAGCATTCATGTATACAGTCCACAACCAAAAGAGGAGCAAGAACCAACTCCATCGATCAGTTCCAAATTTTTAGGAGCCCAAAAACCAACAGATAAAGAAGTATCTCATAGAATCAGTGTGATCGATTACGTCAAAAGAATATCACTCGAGAAATTAATGTTAAAATATGGTGATGAATTATTTAAATATTATCATAAACAAGTTAATCCTCAACAAATTGATCCAGAATTTGAAGAAATTGTGAGTATTTGGTGGAACAGAAACAAATGAAAAGAAAGAAAACTAATCAAACTTTTTCCTTTTAAATATAGTTTAAGGAAATTGAACAAGATTATCAATTATTTACAAAAGAAAGTTTAATGATCGTTGCAGAAATGTTAAATATCGATGTTGGAGATGATCCTGAAAACCTACCACCAACAACTATTTTAAGACTGCTAACAGAGGAAGTTGATTTAAACCAATTGGAAAATGGTCGAACAAATTACTCTAATAATAATAATAATAATAATACTAATAACGATGATGATGATGATGATGATGATAGTGATGACATTAGAGAGGAAGTAGATTAATCTACTTGATATATGTATAGGTAATAAATGATTATCGTATTTTATTATTTATTTAAGTTATTATTTTGGATCATCGAATTGTTGATTTTAAAATTAAAAACCTTGACGACGAAAATTCTGGAAAGATTGGGAAATGAAAATCATGATTTTATGATGAGTATAGTATGTATGGTAAGGAAGGAAATAAATATGTACCACAAAATGGGTATTATTTGTTGTTGTTGTTGATATTGTTGGTGGTGATGAAAAGAGTAGGAGGACAAGATCAGGTTCTATCTAGAGATCGGGTTCTCTCTCTCTATTGGAAAGTCCTCCAGGCGTTGGGTTGGGCGATGTTGTTTGTGGAAGTTGGGATACTACTACTGCTGCTTGAAAGTGCGTATTTGTTGTTGCCTGGTAACGATGTGGTTGGGTTTGGCTGGAATGAGTAACAACTCGAAGAAAGTGATCTGGTTGGTGGTGACAACTTTGTTTGTTGTTGTTGGGGATTCAACTGTTGTTGGTAGTTAACATTGAATCCACCAAGTCCATTGACTCCCGATTGGATTGACATCTTATTGAATAATGGAGACAGTGCATTAACTCCGTTCATGAAAATATCGCCTGAATTGGACCCAGTTGCAAGACTAAAGGTTGGCGATGACGAAGTGGACGAGTTGGTAGACGAGGGTGTAGAGGCATAGTCGTTGTTATTGAGTGTTGGCGAGGGCGTGTTGTTGGCACTGTTGTTGTTGTTGTTGTTGTTGGACAATTGTTGTACGCCATTGGCAGCATCCAAAGGATGTTGATATCCGCGTTGTTGGTAGTGTGGAGGGGGGATTGACTGTTGCTGCAATGGAGCGGCAACGATGAAACGTGGTGGCAACTGTGATTGTCCCTTGAAAGCATCCATGTGTGGTGAAGATTGTGGAAACATATTACCATTATGGTGTTGTTGATGATGGTGGTGATGGAAAGCATTATTATTACTCTTGGGTTGTGATGTTGATGATGATGATGATGGAGGAGATGGAATCTTCTGCTGACCATTTGTGGGTGGGAAATAATCAGTGTTGAAAACCGATGACGACGACGACGACGAGTTGAGCGAAGGGTGTTGTTGTTGTTGTTGTTGGTAATGGTGATGTTGATGTTTTGGAAGCGACTGGAGGGGGTCGGATCCAGGACCATGTACCATGGAATTCAACCGAATAGGATTGTTGTTGTTGTTGGAAGAGCCACCAACGTTGGATTTGATGGCAGGTGAGGATGATTTAACTGGAAATTCCCATCCAGTTTGGGAGAGATTATTGCCAAAGTAATTATTATTATTATTACTAATGTCATTGGTTGCCCATAATTGCGATTGAACCATACCAATTGGTGGTGGAATACTCATCCCACCATTAGAGTTGGTTAGCAATATATTATTATTGTGTTGTTGTTGTGGAAGTGGTGGTAGTGGTGGCAATGGTTGTTGTTGTTGTTGCATTTGTTGTTGGTATTGTTGTAATAATAATTGTTGTTGTAATATTTGTTGTTGGTGTTGAAGTTGTTGTTGTTGTTGTTGTTGCTGCTGTTGTTGCATTTGTTGTTGCTGTTGTTGTTGTTGTTGTTGCTGCTGCTGCTGTTGTTGTTTATAATATTTATTATTATTGTTATTATTATTATTGTTATACTTGTTATTATTATTATTACCATTCTTATTGTTATTATTACCATTATTATTATTATTATTTCCACCAATATTAGGACTCTTAATAAAAGAGGATGTGATTGATTGATTAGGAATGGAACCCATGCTAGATGATAAATTGTTTGATGAAACATTCAATCCACCGTTTGAACCGTTGAGCATGACCGGTGAGGTATTGTTGTTGTTGTTGTTACCGCCAGCGGTATTAGAAGTAGATCCAGGTGAAACCTTTTTCTTGGAGAAGGAACAGGAAATCTTGACACCACAAATGAAATTCTCGGTAAAGAATTGAATAGCAAGTTCCGATGCAAACTCTCCCTTTTGGGAATCCTTAAAATGGACAAATCCAAATCCTTCATAGGCACCAGTTGAATTGTTTCTTGGGATATTGTAGTGATTAATCTTTCCAAATTCTCTACATTTTTGAAACACTTGTTTATGGAATCCTTGTGGTGCCTAGAATATTAAATAAATAAATAATAATGTTAGATTTGAAATGAATATTATTATTATTATTATTCTTACAAGTTTAGAATCAAAAGTAATATGAATACTTGTTCTTTGGTCACAAGAATCACTCCATTTAATCTTTAATTCCTTGTCTCCCAACTTTTTGGCGTTTAGATGGGAGAGGGCTTGTTCGGCATCGTTTCTGCTTTGGAACTTGATGAATGCATAGTTGTTTATAAATACACATTCTTTGTATTCCAATTCACCAAAATGAGAGAATTCCCTTAGTACTCTATCTTGTGGTAGATTTGGATCAAGATTCTTGACATAAAGAGTGGAAATGGGAATAGCCCAATAAACTTTTAATTCAAAATTTCCAATTCCTACAAACAAAGTAAATAAAAAGTAAATAAAATGATCGTTTAAATATTTGATAAGGTATGTTGATGGATATTCATATTACATACTCATATTTTGTAAATTCATTTTACATTGCATAGCATCCTTTTCATTTTGAAAACCAGCAAATCCATATGATTGGGTTTGTCCGTTTGGATTTAATCGAAGTTTGAAACTAATTGGATTAAAATGTTTGATTCTTTCTGTAAATGTTTCACAAGTTTCTGCTGTTGGAATATTACCAATAAATAAAAATCCTTTAAAAAAAACAATAAATAAATATTAAATATTAAATATTAATAAACAAATATAATATAATATAATAATCGTCTATCTATTTGATTTCATACTCTTTTTAGTTGGAGTTTTCAATTCATTCTTTTCATGATAAATAATGTAATGATCGATAGAATGTTTTTTGTTTTGATAGTTTCCAATGTTGTTTGAACTATTGATCAGACTACCAAGAACATCTTCGGCACCTTCCATCAAACTTCCACTACTGCTACTCTTGCTAATACCGATTCCCATGCCACTAGTGCTAGAGTTGAGATTGCTGAGACTGCTGGTACTGCTGTTCAAGCTACCATTGCTGTCTTGTAGATTGATGAGTCCCATGTCTTGTTGAATCATCATTGACAATGGTGGTGGAGATGGAGAGGATGATAAAATGATATCTGGTTCATAGAATGTGTTGTGAGAAGAGGAACTATTGGATAAATAACTGCTGTTGCTGTTTCCATTATTGGGTTTGGCAATAATATTTCCATTTAAAATCGGTGTTGTCAAAACTGAAGATGATGAACCCAAAAAACCATCACCTCCAGCACCTCCCAATATTGATGAAGAGATATTATGAGTATGACCAATAACCATGTTATTTCCATTACCAAGAATTACATTATTATTATTATTTCGACAAAATGAATTGGAATCTTCAAAATTGATAATATTATTAAAATTATTTTTGTTGTTATTATTATTATTAATGATATTATTATTATTATTATTGTTGTTGTTGTTGTTGTTATTATTATTATTAATATTATTATTATGATTAATATTAATATTATTATTTCCAAAAGAAAGCATTAAACAATCAGGTGAAATTGGAGGCCTAACTGGCATTGCAACGGGTGAACTTGGCTCGGTTGGTGTGGGTGGCGACATGATTTAAATGGCCAGAGGGTGTTGATGTTTGTTGTTTAAAACAAGAAATAAATAAATATATTATAATTATTGTTGTATTTTGTGTAGGTGTAGCTATTACAATTGTGTGTGTATATATTTATATATATATATATATATATATAAAATTGGTCAGTTGCACCAATCAAATCAAAATATGATGGATGAGATGGATGGATGATAAAATTTAAAATATTTACAATGGAATTGAACAATGATAACAGCTAAAATTGTGTAAAAACAAATTAATGGATGATGATGATGACGGTTGTAGTAGTTGTAAATGTAAAATTAAATTATATATATATATATATTGTATAAGAGGTGGATTATGATGATGATGATGAAAAGATATATGGAGATTTAAGGAGTGGGTTGTAGTAGGAGGAGAGGAAGGCTTCCCTCGTATATTATATTATTAATTTTGTTGTTGTTGAATTTATAAATTTAGAGTGTCGCTACTGCTTTGCTTGCTTTGCTTTTGTTGCTGGCAGGATTGGATGGGTGGGGTGGATTATTATTATTGGCTGATTGATTGCAAGTGATGACAATAATGTAAAAAGAGCGGGAGGTATTATTATTATTATTATTATTATATTACCAACAACTCCTCTCTCTATATTTAAATATAATTGAAAATATTGTCGTTGTTGTTTTGGGTTTGATTTGATTTGATTGTTCCTGAATGGTATCGAAAGAGTAGCAAGCAGGCAGGCAGGCAGGCAGGCAGCTGCAAGAAGTGATTCTCTGTCTGTGTGTGTTTTTTTTTTTGTTTTTTTTTGGATGCAATTGCAATTCAATTGTAATTGTTGATATATACTTTAAATAATTTTAGGTCGTTATATGTTGTTGTTGTTGTTGTTGTTGTTGTTGTTGTTTGTTGGTGGTTGTTGATTTAATCAAAAATGTGAACTGCGACAATTGTCTATGGCAAGAGCTGCATCTGGCGGGGGTGTATGGGAGGGTGGTGGCTGACTGGTTCCAAATCATTAAAGTGGAGTGTGAATGTGAATGTGTACAAAAGGAGGAGGAGGGGGAGGAGGAGGAGGAAGCTAGACAGGATAAAAAGAGATTGTACTGAGAAGGAGAAGATAAAGATTTTTAATTATTGTAGAGAGTGGCGGGGGTGCGTGGGTGCGTCTATGTCTTTTTGGTATTCAATTATTATTATTATTGTGAGTGGGTGGAATTGATGGTGGTGGGTGGAATTGGAAAACTGTTGTTGTTGCTGTTGTTCGTATGTTGTGTGTATGAACCATTTAATGATCGACCCGATTGTGATTGTATTGCTTTTGCTTGCTTGCTTGCTTGCTTGTTCGTCGTCGTTGATATTGATTGTTATTATTATTATGCAAAAACAATGCCCACCAATATTTTTTTAAAGTAGAAGAGAAGAAGAAGGAGGAGGTTATTCCAATTCCATTGAGTGCACGCGTGTGTAGTGCAGAAATGATAGTAGTAAGTGGTGTGGGTAATTGGAAACCTCACTGAGCCGCCAAACTTTGATGATGAGAGGGTGGTGGGGTAGTACTATTCAATTTGGAGGGAACTACTACTGTAGTGGTTGGCTGCTTGGTTTTTACTATTGTCTGGTTGGTTGGTTGGTTGGTTGGTTATGGATAAATGGGTGGTTGCCTCAAAATATATTAAATACTAATTAATACCAAAAAGGGGTCGGGTAAGGGTTAGTGGGTTAGGTATTGAATGTGAAGAGTAGATGAATTGGATCAGATGAACAAAAAGTGTGAATTGATATATATATATATATGGATGGATGATGGTTAAGCACTACTCGAGTAACTAATGCTATTGTGAAATTTCAAAAAGATAGATAAATAAAAAGAGAGAGAGATAGAGATAAACAACAAATTTATGTACATATACAATTAAGGGGGTGCGAATGAATAAGAAGATTGATTGGTCGGTTCGATAATTTAATGATCATAGAGAGGAGGATGAAAGAGGGAGGAGGTCGGTTCGCTCTCCTTTCCTTTCTTTTCTTTTCTTTCCCCAGTAGCAGCCGCCTTGGCTGGCTTTTACGTAAAGTCTCTGTTCTATTAATCGACAACAACCAACTTTAGTCGGAACCTAATAATGAACATCATCATAAAAGGGGAGACGATCTGCGCGCACCTCTTGACAAACAAAAAGGGGATGAGCCTTTAAATTCATTTGGAGATTGTTAGGTTTAAAGAACAAAGATGACTCTAGACCTCTCATTCTTGGGGTATCATCATGCTTTGCACTTTATCCGAACAACGATTGTTTACGTGAAAAAGCTCGTGAATCGATTGTCGTCACGACTTCGCAAAGTTTGCTTGCACTCGTGGTGGGTTACAAGACCCTTTGTAGCAGCGCAGAGTCATTTCGATCTTCAATGAAAAATTCATCGTTACTTTTCTCTCTATTCAGAGATCCTTTCACAAGATGAAAGACTGCATCTCATCTCTCTCTTTGAAGTTCAACTTTTTATTTTTAGGTTAGAAAACTCTAGAGTTGAGGTGAGACAACGAAAATATCTTTGGGAGAGAGAATCGATCTATGTTGTTTCTGTTTCAAAACCTACCAAATTTCATTTTACTTTTTTTTATACATCGGATAACAATCATAGAAATGACTTGATTCATTTCAAGTTTGCTACAAAAGAGAGAGAGAGATAATAGAGAGAATGATGGATATATCTCTATTTAGACAATGGTTTCACAACAAATACTTGTTTCAATTGGTCATCAAGTTTGTATCATTTTGTAACAAACAACAACGACCTGAAAGGTTGATGTATGATCCAAGCACAAAGAATAAATTAGCATCGTTTGGTATCAAGAACTTTGGTACTGCTGCAAATTTATGTATGTAGTGTAATGATGATCAGATCATCTCAAGTAAACTTTGTATTAATAATCTATTTATTTATTTATTTATTTATTGGTTAGGTTATGTAAAATGTTTTAGATTATTACATTATATAATGATGTTACCAGAGCCTTTAAAGGATCGATTGAGAAGAGAACATGGGTTGCATTGTGACATCTTTTCACTCAAAGCAGTGGTACCCTTTTTGAGGTGTTGCAACGATTACAAGATCTATCTCGATATTTACAATCTATTCAAATCGGCATTTACACAAGCTAAAGTTCTACCCGATCCACTCAAAGAAGCATGTTTGGCAGGTAACATTGATATTATTAAACACCTTTGCACGACTGTTGGTTTCAAAGCCGATGATTGTTGTTTGGGAAGAGCATTCGAATCACCCAACACTGAAGGTGTCATGCAAGTCATTCAATATCTAGTCAAAGAGCAAGGAGTTAGAAAAGGATTGACTATTACAACCATGACACATGCATTTCAAACAAAGAGAATGGACGTTATTCAATTCATCTTTGAGAATACAATGTATGAAGCAGCATTTGAAAAACATATATTGGCCAATGCCTCACAGACGTGTAATGTAGAGATTATAAAGTATGTTGAAAAGATGATGGTTGCAAGAGGTCACGTGTCATCACTCCAATACATTTTCTCGCATCCACTCAAAAACGATGCAATGGAGACACTTCATTATCTCGCCAAAAAGTATCCAGAAGGTTTCAATGACCAAAATGTCTATATTGCATCGTCAAAAGGTTTGGAACCCATAAAATATATTCACGAAAGATTTAAAGAAAAGTCTGTACCCGCTAAATACTATGATGTTCCACATCTTGTCGATTCTGCATCATCCAAGGGTCAATTAGATGTTGTAAAATATATGTTGGAAGAATGTCGTACACCTCCATTAAGAAAATTTATGGTATATATATAAACAAAATCAAATCAAACTAAATCAAATCAAATCAACCAAATTACTAATTTAATTTAATTTATTTATTTAGGATACGGCTGCAATTACCGGAAATTTAGATATTGTTGAATATTTTCATCAATCAACTACTGTAGGTTGTTCAAAAGCTGCAATGGATGGTAAATATATAAATATTAAATAATGATTGTTACTCTAATTTATAATGAATTAACGTTAATTTAATTTTATATAGGGGCAATTAAAAATGGACATTTAAATGTAATTCAATTCTTACATAATTTTACAACAGAGGGAGGATCACCTAATATTATAAATATTGCTTCACAAATTGGTCGATTGGATATTATTAAATTCATGATTGAGAATAATAGAACAGAGGGATTCTCTGGATTGGCTATTAATTGGGCCATTGCACAAGGTCGGTTTGATATAGCCGAATATTTGAACCCACACTTGCCAAGGGAAAAGAGAGCAACCATGTCTGATGCAGTTGTCAATGCTGCTCATATTGGAGACGTGTATTGGGTAGACTGGGCCATTCGTGAGGGCTATCAACTCAACCCTCAAGATTGTATGATGGCAGCCATCAAGAATGGTCATTTGGGTGTGGTTCAATATTTGGTCAATCACCAAGACTTTAAACTCTCAGATATACACATTCACAGTGCCGTCGATGATAATGGTGCAGACATTCTAGAGTTTATGATTGATACTTGTAAATACAACTTTGACGTGACCGACCAGTTCTTTGTACTTGCGTTGGATAGCGCAGCCTCTAAAGGTCACCTCAACTCTATTAAATTCATTACCACTAGATATGGACCGAGATGGAGTGCAAATGCCGTTGCCCGGTCTGTCTATCACGCTCACATGACCACACTTGTCTATCTATTGGAGCAAAAGAGTGACCCGTCCTTTTTGACCTACCATACTTTTGCACAGGCAATTCAAAATGCCTGTAATCACGGTCATCTCCATGCAGTCATGTTCCTATGCGAATACCTATGTCTGGCACGTCCAGACATTGATATTAACAAGATGTTTGAAAAGGGGTACTCGTTTTCCGATATGCCTAAACATTTCCACATCGTCAAGTATCTTGTTGAGAATGGTCATGTCGAGAAACCAGTCATATCAAAACTCGTCCCCAGCTACGAAAGACAAAATAATGGGATGGATCATGACTATGATAAATTATTTTCTTCTTCAACAAAAGTAATCAAAAATAATAATAATAATAATCAAAATTCTCTATCTTTATTTTCATTGAACCTTACACAGAAATAAACCAGAGATTAAAAAAGATATTTATATTTATATTTATTTTTAGTTTTTTTTAATCTATTTTTGAAATCAATAAACTTCAAACTACTTACTTATAATAGTTTGTAAAAAAAGGAGAGAGATAGAAGAATGAATGAAGTATTATTTAGACAATTATTCAAAAATAAATATTTATTGAACAAGGTACTTTCATTTGTACCGCTGATTAATAAGTCACAGTATGTTGATAAAGGTTCATCACCAACAGAAAAGTTACTACCATCATTTGGTATAAAGAAGTTTGGTTCTGCTTCAAATCTATGTATGTGTATATGTATATCTATCTATCTATCTATGTATGATGATTAGATGAACCTAATAGATTTCTATTACTATTTCTACAACAGGTAAACATAAATGTTTTAGATTATTACATTATATAATCAAATTACCAGAGAATGTAAAAGATCAAATGAGAAGAGAACATGGATTACATTGTGACTTGTTTATGATGGAGAATGTTATTCCATTCCTTGAATGTTGTAATGACTATCAAATCTTTTTAGATTTCTATACAAGGTTCCCAGAAGCATTTAAACTTGCAAATATGTATTATAACGATACGCTGTTCAAACCTGCACTTGGATCAAAAGGTACAACTAAATTGGCATTCGAATCGGCATGTCTACCAGCCAACTTTGAAATCATCCGTCATCTTTCAAGAGATGGTTTTAAAGCAGACAAAAGAAGTGGACAGACTCTAATCAACATATTATCAAACAAGAATTGTAGTATGGAGCTATTAAAGTATATAGTCGAAGAATTAAAAGTAACCCTTATCACACCAGAAGCAAAGTATCTAGCAATAGAAAGTGGTAGGATAGAGGTGATAGAGTACATTTATGTAAATTGTAAAATCGATAGAACAGATCGAATGCCTAACCCTCTTGATACTACCACTCAAAAGTGTCAGCAGTTACCTTCACTTCAAGTGGTAGAGTTTATTTGCACCAAAGATCCAAAAGCTATTGACATTAATGATGCAATCGATCAAAATAGACTAGATATATTTATTTACATGTGTGAGCATTTTAGAGAACTCGTTCAACTGGAAAAAGTATTAATAGAACGTGTTTGCTCGTCAGGTGCTCTCGATGTATTAAAGTATATACATCAAAAGTTGTTCATATCAGCTGATCCAGTTGGTTATTTTGTCGATCTTAATTTCATGAGAAATGCCGTCAACAATGGTCACCTTGAAATTGTTAAATTCCTAACATATGATTTTACTGTTAAATCATCAAGTTATGTAATGGTAAGAGAGTTTAAAAAGAAGAAGAAGAAGAAAGAAGAAGAAAAACCAAATGGAACATTAATATTAATATTAATATTAATATTTTCTTTCTCTTTAGGATTTGGCAGCTGCCAAAGGATATTTTGAAATAGTTCAATTTTTACATGAATCAAGAACAGATGGTTGTTCTATATCTGCAATGGATGGTAAATATATAATAATATAAATATTAAATAATGATTGTTACTCTAATTTATAATGAATTAACGTTAATTTAATTTTATATAGGGGCAATTAAAAATGGACATTTAAAAATTATAGAGTTTCTTCATAATCATAGAACAGAAGGAGCATCACCAAATATTATAGATTATGCTTCACAAATTGGTCGATTGGATATTATTAAATTCATGATTGAGAATAATAGAACAGAGGGATTCTCTGGATTGGCTATAAATTGGGCTGTTGCACAGGGAAGGTTGGATATTGTTCAATATTTAACTCCGCACTTGTCAAAAGACACGAGAGCGAAAATGGCAGAGGCTGTCGTCAATGCTGCTCATATAGGGAGCGTCGACATTTTGGATTGGTTGGTAGAACATGGATACAAACTTTTGGAGAATAATTGTATGATGGCTGCCATTGGAAATGGTCATTTACAAGTGGTTCAATATCTTGTCAATCGTAACAACACCAAAATAGCGGTCACCGCTGAACAAGTATCACTAGCAATAGAAGAGAATAGAGTAGGTATACTCGAATTGTTTTGTTCAATGGAGAGTTGTGCAACATTATTTTCACCAAATGCCCCCGACGAGTTCTTTTCAGCCTCGTTGGAGTTGGCTGCATCAAAAGGGCATTTGGGCTCGATCAAATTTATTAATGAGAGGTTTGGAAGGAAATGGAAAGCCAACGCAATTGTACGCTCAGGTTCGTGTGGTAGCCTACCAACTCTTGCCTATCTGTTGGAGCACAGTGATCTCTCTTACTTTATACCACATACCATCTCGACCACACTTAAAAATATGGTAAAGCATGGGCACTTTCATCTATTTATTTACATGTGCGAGTTTCTAAAATCCAAACACATAGATCTCTCGGAATCTCTGGACAATGCGGTGTACACGGCCAACTCTGATGGTGCTTTCCATTTTGTCAAATACATGATTGACAATCGTTTAGTATCACCTGCCAGTCTAAAGAAGCTATATGATTTTAATCACAAGTTCCACGCCAGTTTTATGCTAATAGATCATCGACAATTTATGATAGATTATACAAAATCTTCAAGTTTTTTCTCTTCCCTTTTCAAGAAATAAACAAACAATGAAATGTTGATTTATATCTACATATTTATTTATTTATTTATTTAAACAGAGATTTTTTTTGTTTTTAAACTGAATGATCATTATTATCTGTTGATTCAGAGAGGGTTGGTTGAGAAGAAGTGGAAGGAGTTTTGGAGAGTTGCATTGAGATGTCGGTATTGGAGGTTTGGGGAGTATTGTTCTCGACTTGAGGTAAAAGTTTATATTTCTTTTTGATAATGAATCTTGCAACTGGAGGAATTGAACCAAGTATCCATAACGACCCTTGATTCAAAAACAATCTGCCTACAAATTGATGGTTGGATTTTGGAGTCCAAAATATGGCTTCGATACTGAGAAATGAAAACAATCCTAAAACAACAACCATGACCAAAGATTGAAGTTGTTGTCGACGAAATGATGCTTTTGATTCCACTGATAATAATCTTTCAAGTGTTAAATATTCAATGTACAAACAGATACTATGAACTCCAAAACATAAAAGAATAATGATTCCAAAACCAACTTTATAGAATGGTTGTAGAGTTTCCCATTCCATAAAGATTGAGGTCACCCCAACACTGATCATGACTAAATTGGTGACATGTAAAAATAAAATAGACATTCTAACTGAACATTTGGATGAGGAGTGATTATGAATGATCTTGTGAAACTTTGACAAACGTTGAAGATTGAAAATGAGCTCACATAAATAGGCGACTAAGAAAATGGTCACACCAACACCATTTAATAGTTTCATGATTAAAGTATTTTGTACTTTGAAAATTAACAATAAATTTCTAATCATCAAAACTACATTTCCTATTAAAATAAAAAGGTTAACTTGAAATGGTGAGAATTTGATTTTAAATGATCTAATATTGATGTTTTGATAAAATGAAATGTTTTTGGTTGAAAATACTTTGTATGATAAATAGATAATAAAACAATTAAATGAAAGGGAAAGGAAAAATAAAAAACAATAGAAAAATGGATATGTTTTGCAACCTATTACAGTTCCATTGAATTGAGAAGTATTATTTGTTGAAATGGGATTTGGGTCACAATAAATCTTTTCCATTGAGAGAGAATAAATAAATAAATAAATAAAAAGGAAAAAATAAAATATGATCAATCAAAAATATTAAATATTGTTTCACCTATGTTAAACAAATTTGAATATGATTTAAGATCCCAAAAAATAAAGGTCAACCCATCACAAATAGTGATCACTATGAAAATTTTGGGTTAATTTTATTGTCACTGTTTTTTCGTGGTGGGTGAGTTTGATGATAAAATTTGAACCTTAGGTCAAGTGGTGAATGTTGATCTAGATCATGATCAGTTTGACGAGGAATAATACGTGAACATAAACATTCCATCATAAATTGGTTTTTGTATAATTCCTGTGTCTAAAAATAATTTAAATAGAATCCCCATGGTTATTAGAGTTTTGACTTTCTTCTGTTGATTCAGAGATGGTTGGTTGAGAAGAAGAGGAAGGAGTTTTGGTGACTTGCATTGAAATGTCAGTGTTTGAAGTTTGGGGGTTATTCTGGACTTTTTGAAGTAAAAGTGTATATTTCTTTTTGATAATGAATCTTGCAACTGGAGGAATTGAACCAAGTATCCATAACGACCCTTGATTCAAAAACAATCTGCCTACAAACTGATGGTTAGATTTTGGATTCCAAAATATAGTACCAATATTAAGAATTGAAAACATTCCAAAAACAACAACCATGACCAAAGATTGAAGCTGTTGTCGACGAAATGATGCTTTTGATTCAAGCGATAGTAATCTTTCGAGTGTTAAATATTCAATGTACAAACAGATACTATGAACTCCAAAACACAAAAGAATAATGATTCCAAAACCAACTTTATAGAATGGTTGTAGTGTTTCCCATTCCATAAAGAATGAGGTCAGTGCAACACTGATCATAACCATGTTGGTAAGATATAAAAATAAAATTGACATTCTGACTGAGAATTTCGAGGTGGAATGATTATGAACAATCTTGTGAAACTTTGATAAAAGATGGAGATTAAAAATGAGTTCACATAAATAGGCAACTTGAAAGATTGTAACACCGACAACACTTAATAGCTTCATGATGAAAATATGTTGCACTTTGAAAATTAACAATAAATTACAAATGATGAAAAAAGTGTTACCAATTAAAATAAAAAGATTGACTAGAAATGGAGAAAACTTGATTTTGATGAATGATCTAATATTGATGTTTTGATAAAATGTAATTTTCTTGTTGTTGGAAAATACTTTGTATGATAAATAAATAATAAAACAATTAAAGAAAAAGGAAATGAAAAATAAAAATAAATAGATAATTGGATATGTTTTGCAACCTATTACAGTTCCATCATATTGAGATACTGTATTATAAATAATGAATTCATTTGATGAAATGGGATTTGGGTCACAATAAATATTTTTCTCCATTTTTAAATAAAATAAAAACTATATATTTGATCAAATAAAAATAGTCCTGTCGAAATAATATAAATAATGTACATATTAAGATATGATTAAAAAGAATCCCAAAAATTGTTTATAATCGTATTGGGATCGATGACTATGGTTTTTGGGTTTTGTAAATGGGGTGGGGGTTTGATGATCAAGATAGAGGTGAATGCAAGATCTTACATTTTGATTGCATTGCGGAGAATGAGTAAATTGAATCATTAGATTGATCTTCTAGAGTGTCAATACGAGGTACCGGATGAGTAGGCCTCCAAGAGCAAAATATTTTATTTGTCAAATCTAAAAGAGGTGAGATTTTCTTTTAGTTGATCTAAAGAAAAAAAAAGTGTTAGTTTTGATTGATTCTTTCTTTATCTTTTTTTTTCTTTTTCTTTTTCTTGACTTACTTTCAGTAAGGTTGCATTGAGTTTTAAAAAACTCAACAACAAATGGAGCAGCTTGTGGGCTTGATTCAAAGCAATTGTATTTCACTGAGATCCTTTCCCGTGAAATGATTGTGGTCTGGCAATTGTTGTAGTGTAAGTTTTGGTGGAGGAGGTGGGTCAACAGTTGGCTAGCCAACAGTCGGTGAGTCACTAGAGCTAAAAAGGTGAGAATTTGTTTGACATTAAAGAAGAATGCTATGATTAAAAAAACATAAATAGGTATGTGAAATGAGAACAATGACTTGAATTGTGTGTATGTGTATGATAATATCTGTATCTCTTGTGCCTGTAAAAAAAAAGAGAATGTTTTTCACCTCTCTTCACCCTCATTTTGTTGCACACATTAAATTAATTTTAATTTTAGAGAGGGGTGATGCCCACTACTCTGATGTTCAAGTCACAGTTCTCTCTCTCTCTCTGGACTATCCATCCATAAATTTAGTAGTATTCCTTTTTATAGTAAACTATGAGTGGGAGGATGATGAGGAGATGGGGTGTAGCTCATCTAGATAGTTAGAAAGGTTTTATACCATATAGATCACTCTTTCCGACCACTCTCTCCATCATCAGATGCAGCTTGATATGGATTAATAATGACCAGATCAGATCTCAACCTATGAAACAATTAACAAAGAGGAGGCAATTGTATAATGAAAAGATATTGAAGTCAGCGGCCTACCCCTCAAGATATCTCTAACCATTCGTAGAATCAATCAACAATTCATTATTTAATATCATATTAAAAGCTATTTAATGAATTATCAATCATTGATTAAGTTTATAACCATTCGCTGCTCATTTTTATATTAATTAAGTTAATTGCCATTGTTGAAAAAATATACCACAAAAGATCTTCATCTTTTATGAACTTTATTAAATATAATTTATTTAAATTACTTTAGGGAGATATATTTATATATATACATATGGATCGGTCATATTGAGAAGGTAGAGTGGGTGGGTGGGTGGGTTTAGGGTTCCCTGGTATGAGTCAAATACTGACCATGGTGAGTAGTAGGGGAACCATCTTGATTCTTCATTTTAATTGTCTTGGATGATGAGTGGGAAGGTTTTGAAAAGATGGCTGTTATGATTGGTGAAAATCCAAACAAGAATATAAAGAATCGATTGAGTATTAACCAAGCTACCACTTGTTCACTTGATGAAGGGTTCCAAAATAAATGTACAATCATTGCAATTGAAAATGTGCATAGTGAGAGTACCAGTACGAATGCACCCATTACTTGTTTCAAAAACACTGATTTAGTTGAATCACGTAGACCACTTGACAATTTCTTATATTGTCTCCAATAACAAAAACCACTGATACCAAATATGATCAAGAGGACCACTCCTCCCGACGCCAAAAATATATTGGTAAACATTGGTGTCCAATAGGTGATTGTTGCCACAATCCAGAGACCCAACAGAACAATACCGGAAAAGTAGAGCAAGTACATTGACACTTGTACCACTTTTTGTGATGTCGATGAACTGTGAGTCACTTGATAGAGTAGGTATAGGTTATTGAGATTATAGACAAGTTGGGTAATATAAGCTAGAAAAAATAAAATCACACCCAAACCAAGGAAAAATGCCATAAATGTTTGATTCCTCTCTTGGTGTATCAACAATGAGGATCTAACAAAATAAATAAAATTGCCTAGGAATAATAAAAAGGTGACTAAAAACTCTGATGGTGATACAAATAATTTACAAAGAAATATTATTTTTTCTATTATTATTTCCCTTCTACTTGAATGATTATTATTATTAATATTATTTTTAGATTTTGATTTTTTATGTTTTTTAATAGATTGGTGAAATAGAAATATTAAACGAACAGAATTGATAAATAAAGAGATAAAGAATAGAAATAAATATAAAACTGCATATGAAAAACATCCTCCTTTGAGACCCTCATATTCAAATTCAATATTTGGGTCACAATATATTGTATTAGTGTACATCACAAGTGTGTAAAAAGAAATAGTATAAATAAATAAATAAATAAATAAATGTAAATAAAAGTCCCAAGTATCTTGAAATATAGAAGAAGGGAAAAGGGGATATAATTTTACAAATGATGAAAATGATGAATATGGTGAAGTCGACGAAAGACTAGTAAGTTCTACTACTATTTATAAATAAAACTTAGAACTCTGAAGATTTAAATATTTGCGCGTGAATTCATATATGGTGGATTGGCTGTATTATGATTATGAAGAATAAATAATAATGCCCCCAAATGGCTTTGTATTATTTTGGAAACACACTACAGTGATGTTGATAGAAAACCTGGGTTGATTGTAAACGAACGTTTGTAAGATTGCAAAACATACAACAGTAACTGATTGCCTATCTTTTTTTACTTATTATTTTATTTCCATCTACATACAGCCCACCCACAACCACTGTTTATGTTTGTTTGTTTATCATAATACAAAAAAGACAAACAAATCTCACCCAACAGGTGAATCCTCTATCCATTACCCCACCGACCTAAAGACACACAATTTTTTACGATTGATAGGGTGGTGAAAGATATCTCATTGATGAATGATTTTTTTTATTTCGTTTCCCCCTCCAATCAAATCGTCAAGGGAATAACACTGTTATTCGTTCGTCATTTGTTTGTCAGTTTTTTAAACAAACTTATCGTTTATCCCTGTTGGTGATTGAATTGTTATTTTTATCAATGCAAAGAATGTTAGAGTGGTAGTCTTCCGTGCTGGGATGTCTTCCAAAGGGGCTCGCCATGGTGTATGGATTTTTTTTAAAACATAAGAATAAGATTAATATTAAAATATTCTAGAATTTCAAAGTTATTTAACATTATTTATTTGAGTTTTACAATGTATTGATTGTTTGATGAGAAGAAAAGATTTCAATATGTCTTATAAAATAGTACACTTTGTGTGTTTGGAGTTATCAGTAATATCTGGGATCATCATGGGATTAAAATGATAGTTATCTCTTGTTGGATTTATCTTTGTATCATTTTCCAAAGATGTAGATTTGTTTGTGTTGTTGATTTGTAAGGATGTCAAAGCTTCTTTTGAAAACAAAAAAAAAGATAAGAAAAATAGAGATTAATAATTAGTTTTGATTTAGATGAACATCTTTTAATTCAATTTAGGTATTTACCTGATACCGGCATTGTTTTTAAGATTGTAAAATAGTTTGTTAGATTTAGTTTGTTAAATTATTAGTTTGATGTTTTTAATGATTGATACCTAAATAAATATTATCACATAACCAACCAATATATTAATGAATAATTTAACTCTACCTTTCTTTTCCATTTATTTCAATATTGTCAAGGAACCATGTTGTCATAATTTGTTTAATACTAATATAATGACTTTTTTCCATGGTTCAATAGAGGAAGAGGAGGATAAAATCCCATGATATAGCATTTTCGTTTCAACTCTTCATATTCTCCAATCTTTTTGTTATCTATGCTCTCATCATCTTGTTGTTATAACATTGTTGTTATTAAAATCAGTGGGAAAAATACTACTATAAAGCATTGTATTTAAAAGTGATTGTTTAATTATACTATAGAATTGTACAACGGTATCGAGAGGAGGGGTGGTGGGAATAAATCCAATGATCGCTGGATGATCAGATCGTATGATGGTGGTGTAGCACGCGCACGTGGTATACCTATCTATTTTTTTCTACCTGAAAAGATCAATCAATTGATACTGTATCAATGTTATAGAAGAATCCTCTATCCCCACCTCATACGAATGATAGAGTTCTCTTTGTGGCAGATGGATGGTTGAAAAAGAAGGAACCATCATTCCTTTCTTTTCGTTTCCAATCCAAACATTGCTTGTTCGTTCTTCTTTGTTCATTTGGAAATGAAGGATGGAAAACTATCGTCACTGTTGTTTATTAAGAATGATATGTATTTCCATTCTTAATGTTGCTATCTGTGTATATGTGGAATACTGAGTTTTTGGTGGAGGTGGTCGAATATTAATATTAATAAAGGGTGAGTCTAATGACTATCTAAACTTGGTTGATATATGCATATTAAAAAGTTATGTAATTAATATTAATAGACACTTGATAATTTATTGAGGAATATAATTGTTAGAAGAGGAAGGGAGGATGTTGGATTTACGGCTCTCTGTTGTGTGTATGGTGACGAGAAGAATCTAGAGATTGCATTCTATTACTTGATACCGACGAACCAATCTGTTGGTCAAGGAAGATAGCAATGTTGGGTGCGAGGCCAAATAGGAATATAAAGAATCTGTTTACTATCAACCATACTACCACTTCTCCGTTGGATTTAGGGATCCATGTTAAATGTGCCAGAATTGAAATTGACAATGTGCATAGTGACAGTACCATAATGAACGCCACAGAAGCTTTTTTGAAAAAGCCTACCTTTGATTGAGGGCGTAGATGATGGACCAATGTGATGTATTGGAAAAGGGAAAGGAATTGGACCATACCAAATATGATCAAGAGGACCACTCCTGCAGCAGCCAAAAATACATTTGTATAGAATGGAGCCCAGTAGATGACCATGGCCACTATCCAAAGGACAAGCAAAATGATACCAAAGAAATAAAGCAAGTAAATGGTTCCTTTAATTATTTTTTGAGAACAAGGTGAAATATGAACCACTTGATAGAGGACAAGAAGGTTTTTGAGATTGTGAATGAGTTGGGTAATATACGCCAAAAAAAATAAAATGGTACCTAGACCTAGTAGAAAGGCCATAGATGTTTGGTTCCTCTCTTGGGTCATCAACAATGTGGATCTGACAACATAGATAAAATAGCCTAAAACCAAAAAGAATGTCACTAAAAACTTTGATGGTTTAAAAAGAATTACAATTTTATCTATTTTTTTTTAATAAAATTACTATTATTATTATTATTATTATTATTATTATTATTATTATTATTATTATTATTGTATATTTCGATTGCTTGGTTGAATTGATAAATTAAATTAACAGTGCTGATGATAATGCCAATAATATTTAAACTTAAAGTAAAAAAAGCATACGAATAACAGCCTGATTGTTGACCTTCATATTCAAATTGAACATTTGGATCACAATAGATAGTATCCGTGTACATTGTACAAAAATTTATAAATTTAATGGAATTATATAGATGGATAGATAAAAAGGGTTTTAAATGGTTGTAGTAGTATTGGTAAGAAAAGTTGGGATATTAATAATATAGATGTTTTAAAAAAAAATGGTTTATATATATCTTATGGCAGTGTAATAAAAAGATGAGAGTAAGAATAATTTGGATGGTAAATGATGAATAGAATATGAATTGGCGAAAGAGAAAATATCAATATTAAAATAACTTTAATAATAAAACAACAATGAAAGATTAAATATTTGAGCTTGGTGTTGGATTATTATTAAAATATTTAATGGGTAGACACTTACGCTATATGGCCCCCTTGTTTTGTTTAATGGATGTTCCGTCACTCGGTTGATTTATCAACATATTGGTATGATAGCTGATTGCTCTTTTTTGTAGGTAGGAAAAGTAAAAAAAAGATAGGGTGCAGAGGGGGATCACTACCAATTTTTTTTTAATCACTACACACTTTAAATCCCCCCACCTCATACAATTTTTACGATTGAGGTCTTGGATGGTATCATTGTGGCTGATGGGTGATTGATTTTTAAAACAGTGGAATGCATTCCTTTCGTTTCCTTTTAATCCATTCATCAGTAAAGATTGTTTGTTCGTCTTTCATTTGTATATCAGGTATAACGACTTCATGGTTCGATAGGAGGATTATTTCTACAACTGTCGAGCTGTTGTTTATTGAGAGTGGTCATAGACCTGATGTTGTGTTGTTAAGTGTGTATGTGTGCGTGGGAAAATACTGCTATAAATAAAAAACGTGATGCAGTGATTATTGTTGCCTACAATTGTCATATGACAATCGTTGTGTATTGTGTTTTAGTGGTTGGGAGGAGGAGGATGGTGGGAATATTATATGAAAAGGACAGTCACCTGACTAAACCTGGCCGATATTATTATTATTATTTGTTGTTGTTGTTGTTTTTCTGTGGTCACTTTTAATTTGGTAAAGATTTTTCAGCACACTGATATAATTTGTTGTAAAATCTCTCACACAATACAATGCACTACCAAAAACGATCATTTCTGGGTTTAAATTTTGAAGTTCCTTGCGTTGGATCAGATCGTATCTGATGGCAGTGTAGGTGGTATCTAAATTCTCTACACTGTTTTGTAAGAGTTGGAGGATGGACATATCCTTTTCTCCATCGATCAGTGGCAGGTGAATCTTTTCACCATTGGCGAGCAGTGACTTGACATCCTGTATGCTGAGCTTGATATTCTCCATGAGAATAAACAACGACATTCTGACTGGCTCCATCGACTGAACCATCTTTTCACTAAACGAGTGTTGGATAAACGACGTCTCGGTGGCAACCAATCGATTAAATGTTTTAGAGAGGTTGTCAATGATTGAAAAGTAGGTTGATGGCGATGCTGTCCTACCAGGTTTCAACCACAACTCCATTCTAATGTCATAGAGCAATAGTTTTTGTTGTGACAATAACATTCTATTCTTTCGAATAGTTGAACCTATTGCATTCATTGTCTTTATCTTTTCTTCTTCATCTGCTACCACTGCTGCTGTGACTGGTTGAATAGATAAATCACCACCATTGTTATTGATTTGGTCACCAACTTGAGCTACTGGAGGTATTAAAGAGAGGTTGGCATACTTGTTGACGAATCCAACCTCGACAATACTAACAAATGTCTCGGCCATTGACGTTGCCAATTCTGCATACTTTGTTTTAGCAGTCTTGTAGGTGAGGAATGGAAAGACGCAAACATAGACAATGAGTAGCCACACCAACCCAATAATGATATTAAATTCACGCATAATAGGAGTAAAGATTGAATTTTGTTCGGTAAAGTAGTTGGTATAGGCAATGATGAAAAAGGTGATACCAGATACCGTACCGGCGTAACTGTACTTTGCCTCTTGTTGAACAAAAGAGGTTGCAAATAACCAAATAAACGTTGACACAGCCAAAACTATTTCTTTAAAAGGTTTATCAACATTTTCTACAATCAATGCAATCACAAACCCCAAAGCTCCACCAAGAATGGTTCCAACAAATCTATGAAATCCTCTTGTTAATGTTGCTCCAAGTGATGGTGACATTACTAATGCTACAGTTGCACATCCTAAAAATAATTAAATTAGATTAATAATAAATTATTAGATTAATTTTATACTTTTTTTTTTAATTTTAATTTTACTTACCCCAAATACCATGAATAACCAATTCATTATAACCACGACCATCGAAATAATAGAAAAATGCAAATGAAAGAGTGATTGCTATACTAAGTTGAAGAGGATATCTCCATTTCATATTTGCAAAGAATAAATTGTAAAAATAATTGCCTATATCCTTGAAAAATTGTATAAATCGACTTTGTTTTTGTTGACCCTCCACCAAAGGTTGACTCTTTGCTGTGACCATGTTGTATAGGATTTTACATCTTTTAAATAACCATATTGGAAAACTAGTAACCAAATAAATAATACCAAATCGAAGGATTTCAAATTGAACCGGTCCAGTATAGATTGTTTTGTTGATTTGATAGATAGTATCGGTCAGTTGACGTTGTTGTTTGGCAAATGAAAAGATACCAAACAAAAAGAAATGAATCTTTGTGACTTCACTGGCCGGTAGAATAGGCATATTATTTTTCAAATATTCCTGTCCAACATTTTTAAAAATCTTTTCAGTCTCTTCAATCAGTGCCTTTGCTTCATTAAATGATTCTTCCAATAATGATCTTATAATCCTAGAATGTTGTTTTCTATTATATTTTTTCTTTTCAATTGATTTTAATTTTCCAAGCCTTTGTTGTCTTTGTTGATCTTGTTGTTGTTGTTGTTGTTGTTGTTGTTGTTGTTGTTGTTGTTGTTGTTGTTGATTATCACCTCCTACTACATTATTCATTTCAATTTCCTCGTGGAATTGTTGTTGCTGTAGTTGTTGTGGATCTTGGATGTCGTCATCCAATGAACTATAATTCATCTTTACAATCTCCATCATAAAACCAAGTTGAAGATAGATTTCATCGGCGATGGAATTGATAAAGGGGAGTAGGGGAAGAACCGCTTCATTCCCCAAGAGTGGTGAGAACCCACTTTGAACAGACGATTTGATTGAATAGAGTTGCTTTTGGTTCATTTCAAGCACGTTTAAAAGCTTTTCATAGAGTGGTACCAATCTAAGATTCCATCTCTCCAATTTAGTCTCGTTCAACAACAATGTCAAACGATTGATTTGGTCGGTCAGTTTCTTGTCCATGTCGTGTAAATCGTAAATGGTCGGTATCTTGATGGCCGATGTTGGAATTGCCTTTTTAGAATTATTAGATACTTTGTGATAATTTTGGTCTGGTGATACTGGCGGAAGTGATTCAATATCGATATTGTCAATTGTACCAGTATTATTATTATTGTTATTATTATTATTATTATTATTATTATTTTGATCCATTTGTTGTTGAATGGCAGTATTGGTGTTTAGATTTTCATCTCGTTCTTGAATGATAACTTGGTTGTCGTAGTGACTGTACTGTCCTTCGGGACTATTGAGATACTCTGGCAAACTAAACGAATAGTTTTTAATCATGATGGGTGGCGCCATTGTCTTGCCTAGATCTTGGTTGATACGTGCTTCCATCTGGTATCCAATACCTCTAAAGTACCGTCTCGAAGTATGCAGTGTCTTGATAATCTTGCTTAAAAACAACCGACTCGATAGGATGGGATCGAGCAGCAAACTAATGACAAATATACATCCAAGTATAATGGCATTAGACACTACGTTTTGCCAAAGGAATGTGTTAAACATTGACCGTGGTGAAAAGTAGAGAATGATCATCACATCCAATATAAACTTTTTGGCGGCTAAACCAGTCAGCCATCTTCTTCCAACTGCAAGGTTGGTAATAATAAAAGTGGCAAAAAAGAGTATGATAAATGTGATCCAATGCAATTCGTGTGGAACGATATTATGAACAATCACCAGATAGATGGTTGCCAATACACCTCCATAAAACACAACAGCACCATTCAATATAGATGTCCATACCGATACTGTGCATGCTGCAATCACGATATAGATGGGAATGAGCAATATAAGGTTGGGATCCAATCCAGAATTCAAATAGAATATAATAGATGACACGGTCGCTTCCAATGCCACCCTCAAGGCCACACGTCCCCTCAGACCAAATATCTTCTTTTTAAAGTAATTATGAGTTATAGATTGATTTATATATGAATGGTGATGATGTTGATGAGGCATTCTTTAATTATTATATTCTTATTATTATTTTTTCGTCTATAGCTTTAATATAATAATAGTAATATTATGAGTTAGTAATGCATGAAATAACTCTATAGACAATGACATTGTTTATAAAACTTACAATAGTAGTTTACATATTATTTATTCTATAATTGGTCAGTGTAATTAATAGTTAATTGTTTGCAGATATATAAGCCACTATTAAATATTATATTTATGATTATGTCTGTTAATGTGTTGTTTGTTGGGTGTGTTTACGTATCACAAAATGAATGAATAATCTATTGCTGGCAACAATAGATATATAATTTAATATTTTCAGTAGTAAAAGTGACCTTTTCTCTCTTTCTCTCTCTCTTTGTTGTGATGAATGAATAATGTGTATCTATGTTATGTGTATGTGTGCTTGTGAGGTGATAACACTAGTGTACACACTAGAGTCACAAAGAAGCAAAGAAGAGAATGAACAAATCGGCTTTCGAACTTGTCTTTTATGGGGTGAGAGGAGTCTAAAAAAATAAACGACACAAGAGATTATGTCCCGATTTGGTCATTCATTGGTTGAAATAAATATATAATATAATTAATTATATTCGTTAGTTGGTACCGATAATGAACATGATTCTTTTCATTATCATTATTATTAAGTATAACCCCACCCATCACAATGAACGAATCAACCCATCAACCACTCCCCTCCATTATAATTTGTATCTTTCGCACAAAAGTATAATATAGTTATTACAATGTTATCTGTATCGGGCGATATACGATAATCTGATGTTAAGGAGCATGCATATATACTCAACTCAAGTTTATCACTAGATAGATAGATAGTTGTTTGTGCTCTTAAAGACAAAAGGTCAATATAAATTTCTCGAGCCTGAGGTTTCAGTTCACATTAGAGAACATTTTCATTGCAATAGAGGTATGCTAGCTAGGCTACATCACCTGATCAAGACAAGATGTAAACCATTCAATCAATCCTTCTCTATCTCTCCTACTCTGTTAAATAGAGATAGAGATAAAAGACAGAGATGAAGAAAAAGCAACAAACACAAACACAAACACAAACACTTCAACCTAAAGATGATTTATCATCATCACCATTTCAGAATCATTCTTTTAGAGGATTGTCTAAAGAGATATCAAACTATTTAGAAAAGTTATCATCTGGTCAGAGTAATGATGCTACTGCTGCTGCTGTAACAACACACCTACAAAATAACTTTTATCTTGTAACAAGTCAGAGCCCATCAGCTGCTTGGTCAACCCAAATACCAATCACTATTGGCAACATTTTGTTTGGTGAAGCATCACCTCTTAAAACAAATTATTTCTATGATTTGGTTGGTGCAAATGATGTATGTATATCAATCATCAATATCAATAATATCAATATAGATACTAATCATTGTTTAAAAGAACAAAATATTAAAAAATTGTTTAGAGTTGATTCAATATTTTACAAGTACTTTTAATCAAAAAGGTGAAGTTATTAAAAGATTACATGTCCAAGTTGATGTAGTTAAAAAGAATAGTGTCTTGATTGAAGCAGCCATCTCTTTACTTGGTTTTGATGAGGTAATATTATTTATCATATGATCATATAAATAATTAAAGTTTAATGGATATCTATATATTAATCCAATCATTTGTCTTTTATAACATTATAAATTATAGAGTTCATTTACTTATCAAAATAACAACTATGAAGATGTATATCAACCACTTTTATTTCAAATTGAAAAGACTCATCCAATCTTGAAGAACCCAAAAGAAAGATATCAGGTTTGTATCTTCATCAATAATCCACGTGACTCTATGATATTAATAATTAATTGATTTCATTTCATTCTTTGTATTTCTAGAAATTAATGAAAGAGTTGATTAGTAATAACATTAATACTATTATTACTCAAAGTTTAAAGGGAATATTGTTATTGTCTAAATTAAATGCCGTTGAATCTGGAAGATCCTATCAAATCGAAAACCAACATGTACTTGAAGAATTTGAAGATTTGATGGGTTTAAACAAAGGTAGAATGGCAAAATTGTTGGAAACCTACAAATCAAAGAGACAATTTGATTATGAAATTCCAAGATTATTAGCTGGTAAGAAGAAAAAAAAAGAAAGAAAAAAAAAGAAAGAAAAAAAAGAAAAAGAAAAAAAAAACAATATTACTAAACTATCATTCTTTACATTTCATTTCATTTCAATAGAAATTTATCATTCAACATTAAACTTTTTGGTTAAAAGTTTAAATACTATTCTAGAGAAAAAGTTAAGTTTTAATGATTTGGATCCCAAATCTACAAACTCGTTGCATAAAAAAAAATATAGATGTATTGATTACAATCCATTTGTGGTCAAAGATCCAGAGTCTGTCTTGAAGAGTAGTGTCATGGGAAAGATGTTTATCCACGAGGTGGTCATGTCATCACTCATCACCAAGTTGGGTCTCACCAACAACGACATTACCGAGGTGAATGCATCCAATTTACTTCTCTTTCAAAAACTACTAGAGTGTGAACAAAACCCAGTATCTCTTTCATCGTTTTGTTCCACCAATTCTACAATGTCAACTACATTGTTGACAGACATGTTTTCACTCACCGTTAAACATTCCTATGGTGTTCATAATGTTGTAAGTATAGACTTATTTAATCTTAGCAGAGCTTAAAATATTTATTTATTTATATTGACGATATTTAATTTCAATATTTCTATCTAGGTTCATTATGACTTTTTTGACTCTTTAGTGTATGAAAGTAATTGTGACTATAAGTCTATTATGCATCATTTGCAAGTACCTATTCTCACTCAATACTATACCGACAAGTGGACTTGTCTTGGTAATGATTTCAAAAGTATCAAGGAATCGATAGACACTGCCAACAATGTGTGTGTCTTGGTGGTTCAATTGGCTAAAAACTCTGACATTCAAGTTGAAAAGGAGTATCTCTATAATCAACTATGCTCAATAGGTGTATCAGAATGTTTGGAAAAGTTATCACAAGGAGGAGGAACAACAAATAATAGAGGTAGAGATGATACTTTTACTCCACCAACAACAACAACAATAATTACAAAACCATTACCACCAATACCAACTCCAAAGGAAATCATTCAAAAAGAAGAGGTATCTGAGGATATTATCAATGAAGATTCACCGCCTGACTATTATACTGCGACCAAAGATGATATTGTAGAAGAACAAGGTCACCATTCCATTGAAATGACTCAATTTGGTACTGTTAGATCTTCCAAAGCAATCAGTCCTCCTCAGGTAAAGGTATTCATCTATGAACAATTCCGTCACAATATCTATACCAAGGATAATCAACTGCTTCAAGCTTTTACAAGTACTATTTATCGTCATGATCATGATCCTTATAATCCTCTTGATAATGTATGTAAATTTAAAGAATTATTATTTGTTTTAAATATTTTATTAATGTTTTATTTATTTATTTATTTATTTATTTATTTATAGGGAATAGTATTTGGTTTTAACGAACAGATAAGATTATTATTTGATAGTGATCAATATGAATATGATTATGATTTATTAGAGATATTGTATGGATATCAAATTGCACTGTCGACTGATCAAGCCTTGTTCCAATTTGATGACAATCGATACACTCGAATCAAAGTATTACTCCAATCGAGAATATTCAATGTTCTTGTCTCCTTTTTGCAGCAATATGCAAAGTTAAAGGATGTCGATGAATATGGAGCTGGATACAACCAAGTCATTGGATCAATGGCCAACATTGTATTCCTTTCCATTGAAAACATGTCCATCTATGCCAATTCACGTGGCAAAAAGTTAAAGGATGACCTAGTGTTGTTTATCAACTCTTTGTATCCACTGTTATCGCATCCAGTGTGCTCTGCAAAGTGTTTGGCTTCATTTGCATCGTCGATCATCCATTTGACCAGTCCTGGTGTCAAGCAAAAGATTGTCAATGAACTCATCAACAAGAAACTCGTCACTGTGTTGGTCGACAGTATTGACCCTCTCAATGAACAAAAGAGTCGTCAAATCATCCTCATCCTCTTTATCATTTGTAGATTGCCCAATCGATTCAAACATGTTGCTCAACACTTGTACCAAAAAAATAGAGGTCATCTTGTCATCCCATTCCGTAGACTCTTGCAATCCAAAAAATTGGATAACCTATCCGAACTATTAGATGCCAACCAAGTATGGGATGTCACCAAATTCAACAATAATCATAGTGGTGGAATGGAAGATACCACTACAACCAACAGTTTGTCAGATGACCAATATGGTGATGATGATTACATTGATGAAGATGAAGATATGGATAGTGAAGAGGAAGAATACGAGTACAACTATAACAATCAAGACGACGGCGATGATGGATACATTGTTGGTGAAAGTGAGGGAGGATATCTAGAGTTTGACGACGATGATGATGATGATGACAGTGAAGAAGAATATGTACTCGAGTATGATGATGATGAAGATGAAGATGAAGAAGAAGAAGAATTCGATGATACCCCAGATCAAAGATGTTTTTCATTCTCTTCCTAAATCAAAATATTTTAACAACTACCTTTTATATCCTAGGGTGTAGTGTTAATATTTTATCCATTTGTTTGTTTGTTTTGTGTATTCAATAAAATTTAATCTATTTTTAACATTAATTAACTAAACTCTTGTTAATTTCTTTTTCTCTCTTTTGTACTAAGTCAAAAAGACTCCACAATGTAAACATTGATAATCTATTCTCTTTTGATCTTATAATTGAATTACACGTGTTTAAATTGAATCATCAGGTGATGAATCATGCGTATCTCCTTGTTGTTGCAAAAAAAAATATTAATTAATACAAGAGATTTTTTTGCATCCACACAAAATTGACCCTGCCATCCTTGTTTTTTTTTTTCTTCATTGATTCGATGAATTTATTAATAATAATCACTTAAGGTTCGTTGTTAATTATAGGCGTCCTCCACAGTATTCAATTTATCGTTGTTTGATCAAACAACCTAAGAGAGAATCAAACTATTAATCAAATCTTCAAACTATAGTTTATTGTTGTATTGACCGACCCACTGTAATATTCACATTCACATTTCAAGCGTGTTTCCAACATCACCCTAAATTTTATTATTATCTATATTTATTTGTTGTTTTTCGAAATTATTAAAAAAAAAAAAAAAAAGGTAAATATTTTCAAGCTGTGTGTTCATTCATTCATCAAGCTTGATGGATGGTTTGGTAATAGTTTATTTTATCTAATTTTCATTTTTATCATATACTAGTCATCACATTCACCTTTTAATTAATTAAATTAGTTAGTTGTCACAATAACTCAAACATCAACAGAATCAAAAAAGAAAAAGAAAAAACAACAAATTGTATTTAATTAAAAAGTTAATATAAATATTGAATAATAGTAATAATTATAATTAGTATCAAGAAAGAAAGAGAAAGAAGAGATAGAAAAGAGAGAAGAAAACTAATTAGTTAGTTTAGAAAAGAAAAAGAAAAAGAAGAATAGAAAGAAGAGAGATAGAGAGAGATAATAGAGAGAGATGTCAACCAAACCTCAACAAAAAATCAATCTTACACATTTAAAGAATTATAATGCCAGTTACCAACAAGCAGATAATACGATTCTAATCAACACGGCATGGAAGTTGCTAGAGGATGCTATCAAGACCATCCACTCCAAGAATGCATCGTCACTGTCGTTTGAAGAGTTGTACAGAAATGCTTACAATGTAGTATTGCACAAACACGGAGAGTTCCTCTACAACAACCTCAAGAAATTGCTCGATACGCATCTCAAGAACATTGCACAGGGTGTAGAGGCTGCCAACGATGAGGTGTTCCTCAAAGAGCTCAATCGATGTTGGAACGACCACAAGACTTCGATGATGATGATCCGTGATATTCTCATGTACATGGATCGTACCTATGTCGACCAATCCAAGGTCGCTCCAGTCTATGACCTCGGTCTCAACCTCTTCCGTGACAATGTCATCCACCATAAACAAATCAAAGATCGTCTTACCAATATATTATTGGAAATGATTAAAAAGGAAAGATCTGGTGAAATGATTAATAGGTAATAATATAATATAATAATATAAATAATAGATAGAAATAGATAGAGTAAGAGTATAGAAATATTAATACTTTTATTTACAATTATTATTATTATTATTAGATTATTAATTAAAAATATTACACAAATGTTAATTGAACTTGGAATTAATTCAAAGATTGTTTATGAAGAGAGCTTTGAAAATCAATTCTTGGCAACTACTGCAAAATATTATCAACTTGAATCACAACAATTAATATCAACTTGTAGTTGTCCAGATTACATGAAAAAGGTTTGTGTCTCCATTGATCATTATTTATACTCTCTATTTTCATTAAAATATATAACTAATACTGTTTTTATTTAAAAGGTTGAAACATGTTTAAAGGATGAACTTGAAAGAGTATCATTGTATTTGGATGGTAGTACTGAATCAAAATTAAAGGAAGTTTCAGAGAAACAACTTATTTCAAATCATATGAAGACTCTTGTTAAGGTATGACAAACAATCATAATATTATATATTGTGACTCACAATTTAGATATTAATATTTATTTTGTTCTATATAGATGGAAAATTCAGGTTTAATTTCAATGTTGACCGATGATAAAATTGAAGATCTCAAGAGAATGTATATATTATTTACTAGAGTACCAGATGGTCTTAATTTAATGAAAGATGTAATTTCAAAGCATGTCAGAGAAATTGGTAGAGAAATTGTTATGGATGAAGAAAAGGTAAGAATGAAAAGAGGATCATTGATAATAATTAAAAACAACAAAATGATTATTAATAATCTAATTTTTTTTTGAATTAATTAGACCAAAGAACAAGGAACTTATTTCCAAAGCTTATTAGATCTAAAGGATAAATATGATAATTTGCATATCAATGCATTTTTCAATGATAAACAATTCCAACATACTCTTCATCAGGTAAATTATTATTATCTCAAATAATGTTAAAAAAAGTTATACTTTAGTTATTAATAGGTTATTTTTTTTTTATTATATTATTTAGTCATTTGAATACTTTATCAATTTAAATCCAAAATCACCAGAATTTATTTCATTGTTTATCGATGAAAAGTTAAAGAAGGGATTAAAGGGAGTTGGTGAAGAGGAAGTTGATATATTGTTGGATAAGATTTTAATGCTCTTTAGATTCATTCAAGAAAAGGATGTCTTTGAAAAGTACTATAAACAACATCTTGCCAAACGTTTATTGTTGGGTAGAAGTGTATCAGATGATGCCGAAAGAAATATGATTGCCAAATTAAAGACTGAATGTGGTTATCAATTTACAAGCAAGTTGGAGGGTATGTTTACTGATATGAGATTATCAGTTGATACAATGAATGGTTTTAAACAATATACTCAAACTTTACAAGTATGTATAAAAACAAAACAAATAACAAAAAAACAAAAATAACCATAATAATAATTAATCAATTATTTCTTTTTTTTTTAATCTTTTCTTTTTAGTCGCCATTAACATTTGAGTTAAGTGTCCATGTGTTGACTACAGGATTCTGGCCAACACAAAATACTGCACATTGTATATTACCAAGAGAGATTTTGCATTGTTGTGAAGCATTCAAATCATTCTATCTTTCTCAACACAATGGTCGTTTGGTTGTTTGGCAAACCAATATGGGAACTGCTGAAATCAAAGCATCATTCCCATCAAAGACTCACGAGTTACAAGTTTCAACCTATCAAATGGTTATTTTATTATTGTTTAATGATACTCAAAAAATTGGTTTCAAGTATGTATAAAAGAAAAAAAGAAAAAAGGAAAAGAAAGAAAGAAATTGAAAACAAGACAGTTTTATTAATCCCAACTTCTTTATAGGGAAATTGCAGAAACAACTGGAATTCCAATTCCTGATTTAAAGAGAAATTTGATGGCATTGACAAGTGCAAAGAATAAGATTTTGGAAAAGGAAAGTGAGAGCAAGACTATTGAGGAATCTGATGTATTTGCTTTCAACACTAAATTCAAGAGCAAATTATATAAAGTCAAGATCATGTCTGTCATACAAAAAGAGACACCTGTAGAAGTTAGTGAAACTAGACACAAGGTTGATGAAGATAGAAAGCATCAGTAAGTTAACAACAAAACAAAAAAAAGATGTAATAATACTCTTTGTACTAATCAACCTTTTATCTATCTTTCTATAGAATTGAAGCATCTATTGTTCGTATTATGAAGGCTCGTAAGACAATGGATCATTCCAATTTGATTTCAGAAGTAATCAAACAATTGTCCTCGAGATTTGTACCAAATCCAATCATTGTAAAAAAGAGAATTGAATCTTTAATTGAACGTGAATATTTAGAAAGATCAAAACAAGATAGAAAGATTTATAACTATATGGCTTAAAAAACCAAAAAGATATTAATAATAACCAACAACAACAACACTATAATAATAATAATAATAGTATGAAAATATATTTATTTATCTTTTTTTCAAAAAGAAGAAAAAGACATTTGGGGAAAACTAAAATCAAAACAAGAAGGGGAAAATAAAATTATTTTTAGATATATCTCTCTAAAAATAATACAAATCATTACAAATAAAATCAAACAAAAAAAAAAGTATTGTACAAAAATAATATAATATAAGTTAAATAAATAATTTTATTTTTACAATTATTAATATTTTAGAGATCATCATTATTATTTACAGGTATGAACGGTGAATTATTATTTTGAATCATAAGATTATTTGGATTGTTTTGATTATTTTGATTTGGGGAAATATCAAATTCTTTTTTAATTACATTGGTACCACCACTGATAGCTCCTTTGACGAGTACACTTTTAGCAGAAAATGTCATGGCAGTAGTGACTACATCCTTTCCAATCAAGAAAGAGTCTTGAGTGATATCTGCAGCATTTTTACCAAGCTTGTGATTGACAACATCAACAGTAGAGTTGTGAGCTTCGTCGAGGATGTTATTCAATCCTAACGAGATGGCAGTTGTAATTTCAGTGATGGCTGCAATAGATGTTTTTCCAAACTCTGCAGCTGCTGCCAATGTTTCGTTTTGTGGTCCATCTTGTTGTTTTGGTGCTATAAATTTGACTCCAGTCACAACTCCACTACCAACTACTTCAACAACTGATGCAAATGCTAAATAAAAATATAATAATTAATAAATGTATTGTTTTTCAGATATGGTTTAAACATTTCATTTACATACTTGAAATAACAAATGAACTTGTAGAGACAGCATAGGGAGTTGCACTTTTAATTAATTTAATTGGTGCAGAAACAATTGGTGATACTTCAACTGGTACTTTATGCTTTTCTAGTGATGATTTTAATTTGATTCCACCTTGACGTAATGCAAGAGATACAACCATTGATGCACCCATTATTCCACATGCAATAGAATTGGAGCCATTATTTACACCGGTTGACATACTGTTGAGTGAAGAAACCAAAAAACCAACCTTTTTCTCTTCCAGGGTGGAAGGGTCTGCTTGGACCAGTGCAAAACAACAAATAGAGTCCAAAGTCTTGTTAAATAGTTGAATATATACATCGGGGATATCAGATTGAAAGGTGATTCCATAAAAGTAGTCTTGGTATTCTAGTACATAGTGTCCATGTGCAACAGCAAAGATTGGTGTTTCCTTTACGATTGGGAATACCATCGTTTCAACTTCTCCAATATCAAACTTGAATTCCATTAAATGTAATGAATCTGATACCTTCTTTAGGTATATAGGTCCTTCGCCAACAAGTTCTTTATCTGCATTTTGAGATGAATTTGATATAATTGGTGATCCAGGTGGTGAACATGTATCAATATCTATATTATTATTATTATTAGGTGATGTTGGTTCATATGTTAATCTTTCTTGTTTCCAACGATAACATGTAGCTTTTGAGATTGTAAAGATAGTCTCTGGTAGAGTATTATTCATTTGGTTTAATTCTTCCAACATTTTTGCTTTTGTTTCTATGATTTGTTTTCTTGTTTGACAAGAGTATTCTATAAATTCTATTAATCTTGAATATAATTCTTTTTCTCCTATAAATTAATTTGATAACATTTAATATTATTTATATTGTATCAAACATGTATGTATGTATGTATCTATTATACATACTTTGTATTATATTATTTAATATATGAATAGTACTTTGATAATTATCTATTGCTCTATTCAAATTTTCAATTACTTGATTTATAAATATTGTTAAATTTAATTGTTGTTGATTATTACTATTATCGTAATTATTATTATTATTATTATTATAGTTATTATTATAGTTATTATTATAATGGTCGTTATCGTTATAATGAATTAAAGAGGAATGTGTAAAGAGTGAATGATAATGATTCAGCAGTTCCTGTATCTCTGAATCTGTTCTAACTTGTATTTTTCTACAATGCTCAATAATCTCTTCAACTACGACTACTGTCATTTTGACTTGATGTACAAACTGTATATTATTGGTGGGTATATATATAGTACTACTGCTTCTTCTCTCTGCTCAATAAGAAATGAACTTTGGCTTGCATTCTAAAAATTAAATGATTTTTTTAATTTTTTTTTTAATTGTTTTCCTTTTTTGGAGGTGGTGACTTTATCGGTTCACTTTTCCCATTTCCTCAAGTTTCCAACGATAGTAGTTTTTACAAATAAATATATATATTTATTTATTTATTTATTTGTAGAATATATTTATTTAATTAGTTTATTTATTTATTTATTGCTATACAAATTGGAACAATGATTATTATTATTAAATAGATACAAGTTACAACGGTCATTGTTATTCTTGCTGATTTTCTTTGTAGGAATAATCCACCAGCCATGAGAAACCCGAGAATGAATCCACCCATATGCCCAGCCATGGAAACTTGTGGTCCAAAACTATTGATAATGATAATTAAAAGATGATAGAGTGTGGTGATGAGGAAATTGTATCTAGTTGCTTTGGAAAACTCTTTCATTGCAAAGAGGGATTCGAATACGATGACTCCTACAAATCCCAGAATAGCACCACTTGCACCCAACGAGGCCTTGTATGGATCCGAGGTTGCCATTATCATTAAACTGGAACCGAAATTTGTAGCCAAATAGATAAATAGTGTTCTTTTCCAACCCCATCTTTTCTCCATAATGAGACATATTCTCAATAAGAACGTTGAATTGCCAAGTAAATGCATAGGTCCACCATGAAGAATTAATGGGAAGAATAATCTATGCAACTGTCCTCGATAGACTAGATCTGGTACCATGTAGAGCAATTGGAATAGATTATCATGACAAACTAAATAGACCACAAATTCTAATATCAACATAAACAATGATATTGCAAATACCCAAAACGAAACTGAACATACTAGCCCCTTGATTTGTTGTTTCGTAGGATATTCCAAAAAATAACCAGCGTATCTTGTGTAGGTTCTGTCTCTTGCGACCATTTCATTCTCTTCTTCCAAATAATAAACATTTCCATCCAATGCAATATATCCAACTCCTTTATTCCTAACCAACTCATCTTTATCTTCATTTAAAAATGTATCAGCACCATCTGATTCTAAACGATTATAATTTCCATTTTGTTTTTTTCCATAAAGTTCTATTTCATTTATATTATTATTATTTCTATTTTGATTTATATTGATTGTATGTTGTTGGGGTTGATCAACTCTATCTTGTTCATCTATTCTTTCTATGATTGGGACTATAGTTGTTGAGTTATAATCCATTTTTTTAAAAAATTAAATTAAAAGATATCTTTTCAAACAATGATTGATATTTATTTATGCATTCCATGGAAATATATTAATAATATTTTAATTCGATCCTCAGATCAATAATAATAAATTTTCATCATACCCACTCACACATCACCCACATTCAATCAATCTACAAAAAATAGTTTGTATACTCTGAACGATTCCCAACTCAAATTAATTGTAAATCGACTAATTATTGTATCTTTTTTTATTTAATTTGGAATTGAAATGTACATTTTTTGAAAAAAATGTTGTTTGATTGATTGATTTGATTTCATTCACGAGCGATAATACGTGCTCTCATCCCCACGTGCTGGTAAAGCCAAAAATAAGAGGATGGTAATAGAGAAATATCCAACAGCAAGTAGAATCATTGCAATTCTAATCTTTTTCTTGGCAGGATTTCTGATGAATATGGCACCACCCAATAAAACACCTGAGATAAATCCACCTAAATGACCTCCAAGACTGTAGCCCGGAAGACTACTGAGAATGAGACAGACAGCCATACTAAATATCAAAGATCCAAGGGTATAGTATCGACTCACTTTACTCATCTCTTCTCTTGCAAAAAAGGTTTCGCACATGACTGCACCGATAAATCCACAAATCGAGCCACTGGCACCAGACGTGAGGACATTGTACCCTTTTGGAGCATTCATTGCCAATAAACTAGCTCCAATGTCGGTGAGAAGAAATACGAGTAGTGTCCATCTCCACTTCCAACGTTGTTCAGTGATGACACAAAACCGAATCAAGAAAACAGAGTTTATCAATAGATGAATGATACCGAAATGGATAATGAGTGGCAATACGATTCGATAGATTTGATGGTGAACCTTGACATAGTAGGGGACCAATCCTCCGACGAGAAAGACAGCCTCGGGATGTGGACCAATCATCTTGTTTTCACGAGGAGATGCAAAGCCTTTCCCAATGACAAACTCTGCGATGAGCATTGCAAACGAAGCGAAAAATACCCAAAAGGAGATAGTCTTTAGTAAATTGACCAGATGCTTTCTTTTAACCTCTATTACGAATCCAAAACGAGCCAATAGTTTAGCGATCGTTGATGTGGTACGTTCATCATAGTAATGGTAGATACCATCAATTCCAATATAAACATTTGATCCATCTCCATTTGGCTCACCCAAGTCTTGGATAGTTGCATTTTGACCACTATAATTATTTGCTCTACTTTTATCTACTTTATCATCTTCTCTTAATTCATGATATTTTCCATCATTACTTTTAATATTTACATTATTATTCATAATATTAATATTATCATTATTATTTTCAGTTACTAATCCTCCTTTTTCTTTTTCAAGATCACTTAGTGTTGTTATTCCCATTGTTCTTTCTTCTTCTTCTTTTTTTGTGGTTGAATTATTATTAATTATTAATGATAAAATAATAAGAATATAACACAACCAAACCATCAATCCATTATCAGAATCAAATATCAAATATATTTCCACTAATTAATATAACTATTAATAACAAACAAACGATCATCATAGTGAAGGAATGATCATATATAATTAGATGATGGATGGGTATGATCATTCATTCTAATTACGATTGTGTTTATTGTGGTGTTGTTGTTGTGGTTGTTGTGATTGGATTATATATATAATATGTGATTACATCGATATCTGTATTGTGTGTACGAATTATTTGTGCATGTTGTGTTAATCTTTTTGTTACTCTACAACTTTTAATTAAAAAAGGTAACAAAAAAAAATAAAATTAAACCTCCTCCCACACACTAATAATAAATCTTGCTTGTCTTTTCAGATATATATTTGATAGTACTAAAAAGATGACAGATTGTGAACAACAACAAATACAACAACACCAACACCACAACATTCATAATATACTCAAGAATAAATATGTATTCAAGTTGATAACCAATTATATTCATGAATACTCACAACACAGTAGATATTCACCTCACGGTGTCTCTTACAAGATCGATGAGATACCAACGATGAGATGGGCGATCATCAATGGTTATGGAGGACTATTAGATTACTATTCAACCAACAAGGACAAGATTAGATCGTTGTGGCCTGTTCTGACAATCAACGATATTAAAGCATTATGTTCACCACATCGATACAATCGGTCGTTTGCATTCAAATTGTCGACTTTCAAAAGATTGTTTGATATCTATAGTGATCAGTTGGCAGGTGATCATATAGTACTCGACAATGCAGCAGAGTCTGGTAATTTAGAACTAGTAGAGTTTTTATTACAACAAGGTAGTACTACTACTGTGATCACTAATTTGGCTATTGAAAATGCATCTCAACAAGGTCATATTACAATCCTCGAAGCAATATTTAATCATATCAACAATAATAATAATAATAATAATTTGGATCATCCAAAACTTAAAAAGATAAACAAGATAAAGAATGCAAATATATTGACTTCTAGAGCATATGATTTGGCTGCATTTGATGGTCATGTTGGTGTATTAAAGTTATTGGATTCTTTTGAATGTGATGCAACAAAGGATGCAATTGATATGGCTGTCAAGAATAATCATATTCAAGTAGTAGAGTACATGTTGGGTATTAAAAAGTACAAGAGTCTATTCACTCAAAAGGCAATCAAGAGAGCTATCCACAACAACAATCATGCAATGTTATTGTTGTTGATTAAAAAGGGTAGCCCGAAAAGCAAATACCTAGAACAAGATTCTATCTTGTTGGCCGTTACAAACATGGTGTATCACAAAGATGTATCATCGAGTGTCAAGAATGAACAAACCGAGATGATCAAGTTTTTGGTAAAGAACAAGTACTTGAGATCCATCTCATCCAACATGGTATCGACATTGGCACAATTTGGAAATATACAGGCACTCGAGTACCTTCATCAAGAGTTTGGATTGGAAAGAGATAATTCTATAGAGACTTATGTTTGCATGAGTGGAGATATTGAAATGATGCTGTGGTATGCAAACAAGTTGGGTGGTACATTCTCTGATGAAAGTGTTAGATCGATTGTCAAACACGGAAATATAGAGTGTGTTAAATATGCATTGCCCGATCCATCAGTCATTGGCACAGACTTGCTCGAGTTTCTCATCCCAGAGGCATCGACCAAAGGACATTTGGAAATTGTACAATATTTATTCAAGGGTTTTGGAGTAGACTATCGACCAACAACTCTGTTGGGATTGGATCAAGCAATGTCGTTTGGTCATTTGGATGTTGTAAAATATTTGGCCGAAAAGATTGACCTCGTTGCTGTGACGGAAAAGAGACCTCTAGAAAGAGGAATCGTCCGTTCAATTGAAGGAGGTCATTTCAATGTATTATACCATTTTTGTCAAGAGGTTCCGGTTGCCAAAGACATAGTGTCTGCCAATACAATCATGGCTGCTTGTAAAATGGATTTGGGTGTGACCAAATTCTTGTTTGACTATTTCAAAACATACGATATTATCGTCCCCTACATCTACCTGTCAGAGTGGATCAACACTGCTCGTGACAATGGACAATTTGAAATATTTAAATATCTTGTCAGTCTAGACACTACTGTCACATTAAATATCGACGCAATATGTAAAAAGGGTCACGTACACATGCTAGAGTACGCACTCTTTAAATCAGGCATCATCGTAGACAGCGACGACATTGAGATGGACAGAAAAAGACTAAAGATGAAAATAGAAACCAATACCGTTTTTAGTCTTGCCGAATTGGGTAGAGTCAAAGTGTTAGAGACACTTGTCAAATACAAGTTGTGGAGTGCTTCCAAACCTCTCCCAAATTCTATTATACCAATGTTGTTGGATGCCGGATACATCAACTTTGTCAAAAAGTCTTTAGACTCTAAAGTCTTCAACATGGAACACAGTTTATCTAGGGAATGGTACTATGTTCCCTTTCAAAGTGGCAATGTGGCTGTTATAGACTATGCTGTCAAAGTATTGGGTATCAAATTAACAACAACCAAGATGATCCTCGATTCTGAATCACCTCAAACCATTACAGTGCCATTTGTTATACCTCCAGTGGACAAGATCGGTACGAATGGATACCTACGTTCGATTGATTGGGCAAACAAATTGGACATTTACGACCACTCTACATTTGTCACTAAAATGGTTCCAAAACTAATCCAAAACAATCATTACACCATCGTGTCATCTCTCAAACTTAAACCAGAGGATTGGGATAGAGAAAACGTTGCTCTTTTAAATGCAGGATGGGATTCTAAAAATGAAACAATGTTAAATTATGTTTTATCAAAAGTTCCAAGTAAACATGCAAAAAAGTTTTTAGATTGGAAGAAAAATTATTCTAATCAATAAATATTTGTATAAAAGAAGAGAGAAACGTTGTTGTATATTAAAATATCGATCGATCGTTTTATTTAAATTAACACTTTGAATAGAGGGTGTGTCAAGTCGATGGCAGTGCGTAGTGGGTGCTAGGTGCGTCGTTCAGCAGCTATCCCAATTGGGTCGTAAAAAAATAAAAAAAAAATGAATTTCCATTTTAGGAATTGTCGGTTGGCAGACTTTAGAGCACCAACCAAGCCACAGTAAGTTTATTATGAGTCAATAAAAGAGATAAAGTATAAGATAAATGAAGAGATAGAACATAGTATAGTTAGAACATATAGTATATAGTTATATATATAGATATATCATTGTATTTTGTGGCTCGTTAGTGCCAAATGCACAAGAAAGGATAAGGAATAAGAGTTCACAATATTGTCAAGTACTGAATCAACACCAAGTCTATTGCTGTTATAACATTCACGAGTTACTTGTACTTATTTGCTCCTCCAATCCACTCTTGTGCAGAGAGATACAGAGCTGTTCAAGTAAATTATCATTGTTTAAAGATATTGCCGCAGTTGCGTCTTTGTATGTTTAAATCTGCCACGATTATCGATCATAGCATTGGTCCATTTACACTCAACTACCTGACCTGTGTCTCTTATCGCACTAGCTAGTTGCATGTTACTATAGTATAGAACTACCTACCTTTTTTTTATCTTCTTTTTTGGTTTTATTTATAACTATTTATTGGTGAATGGATGAATGGATGGATGGATGGAATGAACGGAGTTATCCTTGTCGTTGTTGTTGATGTTGATGTACTATTGCCGATAGAAGCAGTTTGTTTTCTGGGAGATGTGCTATAAGATAGCATTCATCGTGAAAGTTAACTTTACATTGGCAACAAGTCTTGGTGGTTCTTGTTCTACGCTTTACATCAAGGACTTTGCAATACTGACAAGGATTTAGATCACCTTGAACCAATGCGTGGACTACAGTTTGAGGAGCAGCAGCAGAAGTGGGAGCATATTGGCCTCCATTTCCACTGGTTACGTATGTGGATTGTGTAGCCAATTCTTGTTCCAGTTGTTTAATCCTATCTCTTTGATCCTGGAATACTTTTGATGTAATTGGATTCAAGTGTTCCAATTGTTTTTGAATAGGCTCCTGCAAGCCAAGCTTATCTCTTACCACGTTTTGAGTGAAATCACAAAATCGGTATGTGCTATTGCCTTCAAGGGATTTGAAGATGCAATATGCATTCACCATTGCACGATCCAACTGCGCAAATATGTTAACATGTGTGTATTTGCTTTTTCGATGGGGATATGACCGACAATTTGATGATAGTTGTCCTGACAGATCGACTCCGTGGGTAGTTGCATTGTATTGAGTCTGCACATCGAGCTTTGTGAGTTTTCCTTCTTTTAATGTATATGGATTACAGGCATTTGATAAAAAATATGTTACTTTGCTGTCATTGATGGCGGTGGCACAAATGTCCTGGGGAATACCAGAGTCTTCTTTTGGAAATGCTATAGCAGCCAACTTTTTCTTGTTGTCCTTTTGTACCATGCGTCCTAAACCATCTTTGAAAAGGTACGTTGGTCTAATGGACCTTACAGTCATTACATAATGAATCTTATTGTTGGGATTGTTATCGTCGTTGTTGGAATTGATGTTTTGACTAAAGTTTGATAATACAGTGGCAACTTGTAATGATGTGTAATAGTTATCCATTGCAAACAAATAGTGACTCAATGGTCTATCATCTGTAGCTACTTTTTGTCTGACCCACTCTGCAAATTCGATTGGGATTTTAAGAGGACTATTTGGTGGAAAAGAACTAACCACAGATGGATCTAAATAAGACAATAATAATGATTAGACATATGATGATAATGATGATATTTGTAAATTGTTATAAAACAACATACCTATTGTTACAGATTTTGTTGTAGATTCATCACTACCTCTGTAAAGCCATTGGGTCAATATAAAACCATTTGAGTCAGATAAAACGAAATACTTTAATCCAAATTTGTGTGGTTTATCTGGTTCATACTGCTTGAACCTTACCAAGCCTTTATAAGGGGCCATATATTCATCGATTGATAAACGTAATGATGGGATATAGTGGTTGTTTGAATTTTTTTCAATCATTTGAATGACGGAATCTTCGTCATAGTGAAGGAATTTGAGGATGGACTTAAATCTTTTTCTTGACATTAATGGGCGGATAACAGATGGAGGATGGAAAGGGCTCTTTCTATTCCAATGGTCTTCCGCCCGTGGGAGTTTGACAAGACCCATAAAAAAGGCAATATAAAAGAAATTCTCCAATTGTTTATAGGTAAACAACTTGGTGTTGTCAACCAACTGTATTTCCTCTTGTTCTAACTGTTCTTGAATAAAGCTAAGCCTATCTTGTGGAGATAATCCTTGTGGCATTGTTGATAGAAACCCACGCTTCCAAGTCTCAAAATCAACCATTCTTCCAACAATTTGATTGTACTCAGTTTCTACTGCATTGGTTTGATTTGAGGTAGATGTGGTAGATGTTGTCGATGATGATGATGATGATGATGATGATGATGATGATGATGATGATGATGATGTGGTCGATGTTTGCGAGTGGGAGGGTGTGAACAAACGAAGCAGACTGGATCCAAAGCTTGAAGAGGAAGTGGTGGCGGTGGTGGGAGTTGTTGATGAAGATGTATTAGAAAGAATAGGATGTTGGAATTGTTCGTTATCTTCATCAATTATTGTAACTGGCTGGCTCTTTCTTTGATTTTTCTTTTGTTTCTTTTTTCTCCTTGGTGTATCAGCCTCTTTTTCTTCATCATTATCATCATCTTCTTCTTCATTGTATCTTCTTCTAGAAGTTGAATATGTAGTTGTTGTTGTTGATGATGATGATGGAGGCGGCTGTGATTCCTTTGACTTATTCGTGAGAAAAAGTCTTATTTGTTGGTAATGTTGCTTGATGTATTTATAATCCCTTGCATATTTGCTTCGATGGATGAGATACAAATTCGATTCCTCGAGTATGTGGTTGATGACTGATTCGTCGATTATCAAGCTTATTACTTGACTAGGAGTTAATGGTTGATCGATGTTTTTGCTACGTGCTGATGCATTGCTGCTATCCATTTCATAGGTTATTCGATTCGACAATTCTTCTGAGTTTGTATTATTTAAAATAGTCCATTTCTCTTTGAATAGATCCCCTATAAATGTGATAATTGTTCTAATTTGTTAGCAAGTTGTTGGTGAATCATCTATCTATCTATTTATATACATACGACATGGGCATTTACATTGAGAAGTACAACCATTATTATATAACTTGCATTTGCAAGCAGTACAATTCCCCTTGTTAGCGCATTTACATTCAAAAATGGTTGTGTCTTGAACAAAATAGTAAGACTTGGATGCACGTTTGTCCAAGTCCGTTAGGTTATTGAATAATGGGATACGACCGACACTTTCTGGTTGTTTTTTCTTCTTGTTATTCAACTTGTGGACATAAATCAATCTTGTTTGAAGAAATCTATTGAACTTCTGGTGGATTTCCAACTCTTCAGGTGATTCAATGGCTTCAATAGATTCTTTTGCTTCAAACTTCTTGAATAACTCCATGTGGGCATCGAAAGTCTCTTTGAACCATTCAAATTCCTCTTGTAAATCATCTTCTTTGTAGTTGGTACGTGGTTTTAGTGGTGGTTGTTGTTGTTGTTGTGAATACTCTACTTCTTTTTCTGGTACAGGTGTATGTGATCTTTGATATTCTGGTTCAACAAATGCATCATCTTCTAGATCTTCATCGTCAAGTATAGCATTACCATCAAGTAAAGGATTATCATCAAGTAGATGATTGTCATCAAGTTGATTATTATCATCATACTCGGCTTCGATCCCTCCTTTGTATATGCTTCGAAACAATGCTACACCTTTCTTCAAACTTTCAAACATAGTTGTTGCTGCTGCTGATGCTGTTGATGATTTATCTGTAAATACTCGTATTTTTGCAATAAAGAAACATATAATAGATAAATAATGTTGAGCGTACACATATTATATGAAGATATGTTAAAATATAAATAGATAAAAAAAATTAAAATATTATGTTATTTCTACCACCCGCTACTATAGATCGCTGAGCTATTACCAAATGCGGAATTGTTTTTTATTTTTTTTTGACTTTGATCTGAAACTGATTTTGGCATTCAAAGTGTTAAACCCTTATTTTTTTCCAAAATTTTCTTCATCTTTTTATCATGAATTTTCATGACTGATAACTTTTTATGATAGATAGTGGCACCTGTAGCAATGGCAACCAAACCAACTCCACCAACAACACATCCAACTATAATCTTCCAAGTTTTGGATGAAGAAGAATCGCATTCTTCTACTGTATCGCCGTTGAGAAGGAGGTCAAATTGTGGATCAAGAGTTGCTCTATCACTGAAATTTGGAATGAGTGTATAGATACTAATCATTTGTTGGTCTTTTTCATAGTTGTAGTATTGTTGCACTCTGTATCCAATCTTTCTTGGAATGTCATCCATCATTGCGCGATTAATTAATTTTCCAACTACAATTTGATCCTTTCCAACAACTACCGAGGTGAATTCTGTTGAATTGTTCAAGATATTGTTTAGATCTACATCTCCTGAAACTCCACATCCTTGTTGACCTTGTGGTTGAGTTATGTTGGTTATTAATTGAAGAGTATTTAATCGATTGTCAAACTTCCATTGATCAATATCAATGGTATATTTGATCGAACCAAGATCTAGATAAAATAATTGGTTTGCAAAGGTTATAGGTACCTTTGTTTCAGTGATATTAGTAACATCTGTTTGTGGTTGTTTCAATTGGTATTGTAAAAAGGTAATGTTGATCGAGTTGAAATGAGTTGTACTATTCGTTGAACTATAGATCCAAGTATTCTCCAACAATAGGTCAGACTTGATGGTTGGTTGATTGGTTTTGTTGGTTTGTGTCCAATTTTGGTTTGATAAATCCAACACCTTTACAATTTGGTCATCCAAATCCACTTCTCTGATTTCACAAATCACAAATTCGTAAAAGATATTTTTGTTGTTGATTACTACTTCTGGGGCGTTTGGTTTTGGATTTACATTGGTTCCATTACCACTGTCGGTTGTTGGTGTTTCACAATAAATACCAACTCTATTATCATCACATAAACAAGTTCCATTTAAACATTGTCCAAATCCATTACAATCAATTGTATTATTTCCATTGTTATCAAAACAAGTTAAATTATTTGGATCTATAAAATAAAAGAATTAAAAAATTGATCAAATATATTATAAAAAACAGCTTACATCTCAAAGTTTGAATTGATGATGTTTTAACATAATCATCAAATTGTAAAGAAGATACAATGATATCTATGGCATAGGGAGTATTGGAAGTTAATTTGGTAATCAAACAACTAGTGGCAACACCAGAGCATACAGAAACAGGGGTTGGATGAGTACTACTTGGATTGTAAATGATGACCTCATAGCTAATGGTACCAGGTACTCCACCACTACTTGTCCATGAAACGTTTGCAAATTCATATCCACTTGTTACATTGATTTGATCAATAGATGGGACTAATTTTAAAAAAATTAAATATTAGTCAATCAATGGTTTTGTAAAAATAAATTAATTAATTAATAAAGTTTTCTTACATTTATAAATTCTAAAAGTAAAAGGAGTTGTAACTTGATCATCACTTTGGGATGCTCTAATAGTTAAATTAAATGGACCACTTGGAATAGCAAGGTTTGGGGCAATGAATGAGTTTGTAGAGGTATTAAATGTAACCCCATTTGTGAAATTGGTAGAGGCCGATGCAAAAATAGTTGTAATAATACGTGATCCACCTTGTACAGTGGGTCTTATTTGTAAATAGGTTTGGTTTAAAGCGTTGATTTTTTGTATCGTTTCGGCAACGGTGATTTGCATGGTGGAAACGGAACTAAAAACGAATGGGAGTGTTTGGGATTTACGGAATGTCGTTGGCTGTACAACGGTTGCTGAAAAGGTATATTGAGTGTTTGGATTAAGGGTAAGTTTTAAGGGTCCTTGTGTACTGAGTCCCGTTACCACTAAAGATCCAGCAGAGGTAATTGGTATCTCGTAAAATCCACTTTGCAAATTATTAATAGTACACCAAAAATTTGCAGAAATTGATGTAATATCTGTTATAGTTATATTACTAAGTAGAATATCTAAAAAATATTTATAATTAATTAAAAAAAGATTAATTAAAATATGATTCATATTTTTGATTTAAATTGATTGTTTTTACTTACTTCCTAACCAATTAAATGTTTTTATAACTTGTAAAGTGTTTCCATCATTGATGGCAGTAGCATTGACTCTGTAATTGGTTGGTACACTTGGTGCTACTGCGAATGCTTGGTACATATTTTTAGTGTTATAGGGAGTATTTACACTGGTAACTAGATCGGTTACCTGAGTAATAAAGGTTGTTTCTCCGTATCCCAGGTTACTATAAGAAAAGGTGATGTTACCGGCCGAATAGGTAGGTTGGAATGCAAAATCAAAGTTGCTTAGTGGTGTGACAAGTTGTTGCATCACCGATTTAGTATTTGATGAACCAGTGTTGGTGACGGTAACAGTGACATTAACGAGAGCACCTAGAGGTAGTCCGACCAATTGACATGTTGTAGCAGCCGAGCATCCTGGGAATGTAATGGTAGTTGATGGTTGAATGATCGCACTCACAGCATATGTATTTCCATTGGCAAATCCACCAGTAGATCCATATGTAATTGTAATAGAATTAGTTGTAACAGTTACTGGTGTAATAGTTGTAATCATTGGGTCTATTAAAATAAATAATTAATTAATTAATTAATTAATTATCAATCTAAATTAATTTTAATGTATTCATTATACATACAAGCAGGAATAGTAAAAGTTTGAGTTACAAGGGGAGCAATAATAAGATTATTAACATAATCAAAACCATCGACATAGAATCCGAGGGTACCTGAAAAGCCGGCAGTTAACCTTGTAAAGACCATATTTGTAGATGCTTGGTATGTATAACCATCGTTGTAAGGTGTACTTGTTGATTGTTGGTTGAGCATAACCGTTGTATAGGCATTTGCCTTTTGATCAAAACCAAAGTCTAGTCCGAGTACTCTGACGGCAGTGTACGAGAGAACAGTGACAGTACCAGTGACACGAGTGTATGGCTTGGTTTTGAATGCCAAACCAATTTTGTAGGGATTGGGAGATGCCGGGCAACTATAGTCATAGGTGATAGGAGAACCAGCACAATTGGCAGCATCATTAATAGTCTGAATCGATGTATCTGTACCATCAACACCTCTTTCAGCAATACCCATATAATCACTAAATGTACATCTATTTGGCATCAAGTAGACTCTAGCACTAAAATATCTGTCTGTTGATGATACATCACAGAAACTTCATTATATATATATAAAGAGATAGATATTATATATGAAAAAACAAAGTTAGTTGCAAGCATAATAAATAAATAAATCGATTTGTGAACATACGAAGTTATTGAAGTTTTTTCATAATACAAATAAGGTAGTGAACCGATTATTGGAGCTTGTGGTTTTCCAAATCTAATGACAAACCATTTAGGTAGATTGAATGGATTCTGGCAACCAGCTATAGAGTAGTCGAGATTGAGGTCGGTCAGAATGGTTCCTTGGCAAGTCATAGTGTTGAATATTTGGTATTGAGCGGTGGTCGATGAAATGAATCGTACCAATATACTACGAGTTGGATACCGATAACATTCTTCTGGTGTAAATGATTCAATCTTTTCTGGTGGGTTGGTTGGTACTTGACCTGAACTACATTCACTTTGGTCGTATGATACAATGGTTAGGAAATTCATAAAAAAATTCCCTGGACTCTCTGTTTGTCCGTTTACCATCATGCCTCTTTGTTGGTCATAACTACTACAACATAATATTAAAAATAATATCTGTGCTACTACTGCAAAATTAAAAAAATATAACTTTTGTCTCTCTCTTTTATCCATCTTTTTTTAAATAAATAAATAATATATATATAATCAAAAATAATAAATAAATAGATAATACATAAAAAAAATTGTTATTACTATACTATGATTATTTCCAATGTTATGATTGGTTGGTTTGATGATGAAAGGGCCGACCCCTTAGCCCTTTAGAGAAAGAACAAATGGGGGAAATAAAATTAAATGATATCATGGTATCTAAATATTTAAAGATTTTTATAATGATATTTTTGAAATTTCTTGCAAGATTTTTAATTAATCAATAAATATCTGCAGAGTATTATTGTAATTCACATCATCAAAGTATAAAAATCTATCAACAAATCGATTATTTGTCGATTAGTTCTGTAGGAAAATGAGAAAGTAAATGGATCATATCAGTAATCGATGAAAATAGTAGATACCCTTTTTCCAAGCACTATTCATTACCAAATACCCCATTAGAAACAAAAAATATATTTTTTGAAGATCATTTGTTTCTCAAATATCTGTTGATGCTTAAAACGAAACTTTCCAAATACGACTTTTAGAGTTCTGCAATGATATGTCGACATGATATTTTGGCATGATGTCCAAGAAATATTAATTGTTCTCGAAGATCCTTTAAATATTATTAATTTAGTGTATTGACATGAATAATTAAATTCGCATCATGGATGGAGTTTATAGGGTTAGTTATATTAATTAATTAATTATTTTTTTGGATTGTTGAGAGAAAACATCATTGAATGAGACATAAATGATGCATATTGTTCATATTGAGTTTTAACATTTCTTTGCCACACTGCAAATCTATCAATATTTTCATAGAGCATTTGGTTTTGAGTAGAAAGCTTTTGGTTTTCGTTTTGTGTCAATTGGATTTGTGCTTGTTGTTTTGAGACTAGTTGTAAAAGATACTGAATCTTTGCTTGGTCTGTCGTCAATTCTTGAAGTGATTTTTCGGTTGATTGCATAAATTCATTTGTATTTATCGAGCCTACAGCAGATGATTTTTTGTTATTTTGTTGTTGTTGTTGAGGTCCTGTAGTAGTTGTGGTTGTTTGAGGTGGAATAATTGGTTGTGGTTGAACTTGGGGTTGAATAGTAGGAGGAGGAGGAGGTGGTTGACTTTGAGGAGCAGGTATAATAACTGGTGGTTGTTGTGTTGTATTTGTAGTTGTTTGGAAAGCTGAAGTATCTGGTCTGGTCATTGCTTTTTGTTGAGGTTGTTCAAGTGGTTGTGCTGCTACAGCTGTTTTTTGAGGAGGAAGAACAGTAGTAGTAGTAGGTTGTGGTTGGGAATTAACAGATTGAGGTTGACCTTGTTGAACAATAACTTGTGGTTGTTGCAGTTGAGGTTGAGGTTTTTGTATTTGTTGTTGAGGTTGAGGTTGTTTTGGAGGGTCATGACTTTTTACAATTGTTTTAAGTTTACCAGAGACTTCTGAACGATTATTAATAATTGATTGGATTTCTGTTGAGGTGAATCTTGTGAGTAGATGGTTAGGTGGTGGAGGAGATGAAAGGATGCTGTACACTTTGACAAGTGTAGATTTGAAGAGTTGGATTTCCTCTGGCGTTGTGAGTTTCTTTTGTTCTGTCATACGAGTGATAATCTTTTCCAAAGTATCTATTCCAGTAGACTGACTGGTAAAACTGCTTGGGATATCAGCCAATGCAGCAAGTATTTTAGTTGGAACTCCAAACAATGGCACAATGATTTGATTCATCAAATGTACATGAACCAATTTTTTCTTGGTGTGAGCAGTTGCCGATAGCCATTGATCAGTACTAACCGATTGATAAGATTTAATGACATCTGTAGCCTTCCACTTTAAAAATTGATTAGATAATCCATTTTCTGAATTTAATAATTGTTGAAACTTATCTTTTTCAGTACCTAAAATAAATAAATAAATACAGTATTATAATTAGTTTCCACAATATATATATATTTGTTTGTTTCATTTTTAAATTTACCTTTGGGAGCATTTGATTCTATTGATGGTGCAAATAAAGATAATCTCATTAATGAAATGAGAATAATATTAATATTTGATTCCTTTTCATGTTTTAGTAATTCCTTTGCATTTAATATGGCTACTGCTGTCATTTTCTCTCTCATTTTCTTGTGGATGGAATTTGAGTTTGAAAACAATTTTTTGAAAACAACTGTTTCTCCTATACTACCATTTGAAATTGAAAGAGATGATTGAGATTCTAAAGAGGATTTGTTTAAAGATGGTGGTAATGCAAATGGTGATTGTGGTGGTGGATCTTTTCTCTTTTCTGATTTTCTTGGTGTTACAAATGATGATGATGATGATGATGAGGTAGTTGTTGTTGTTGATGTTGTTATATTTAAACTTTGACCTTCTAAAATAGGAGCCAAAGGATTTAAAGATAAAAGGTTGACTGAATCATTTAGACTTGATGAAAGGCTTGTATCCGATTCTGACACTTCTACCTCATCATCCTCGTCTTGGTCCTCTGGATACTTTTTCTTTCTACGTTTTTCAAACTTTGTTGGAGTGATGTATGGTGGAGGAGCACCTTTGGTAATTCGATCAAACATATCGTTTAGCTTTTGTTCTCTTTGGTATCGTTGTCTTGTGTTTCTTTGTCTTATAAGTTCGTGAATCTCTGTCATTCTCTTTTGATCGTTTAAATCGTCGGGGTTAAAGTCTACTGGATCTGGATCCTCTATTTGTTCGCCTTCATCTGATAATGCAACTTCGTCTTGTTGGTATCCAGCCTTGTTGGTTGTAGAAGATGACCCTTCTTCTTCCTCCTCTTCGTCTTCATCTTCATCTGATTCTTCTTCATCCTCTGTTGACTCTTCCTCTACTACTACTGCTACTACTTGTGGACCATCACTACCACTGCGTGGTGATCTAGGTTCGGGAGTGATTAGATCGTCAGTGGTGAGTGGTAAGTGACCACTATTGTTGTTGCCATTGTTGTTGCTAGTTGACTCATCAATTGGTTGAATCTCTAGTTTGTTGAGTAATCTATGCAATGTCTCATCGGTTGTATGTCGTTTTAATTCAGTTACATTTGTTGTTATATCTGGTAACTCTGTACTTGTTTCAATGACACTGCTTGATAACAGCGCATCTGTCTTTGGGAAGAAGGAGGTTTGTGATTTAGATGGTGTTGCCACAACAGGAACCAGAGGTTTCGTTTCAAGTGACGCAGGGATTGGAAGAGATGGAGGTGGTTTAGTTATAGTTGAAGAAACGAGTGGTGTAGTAGCAACATCATCATATTTTACAGGTTTGATTACAGCAGCTGATGTTGTTGTTGAAGTAACAGTAGTTGTAGGAAGAGGAAGAGGAAGAGGAGCAGTAGTTATGGTGGTAGGTGATGACTGTTGTACAACAGTTGGTTGAGTAGTAGGAGTCGTTGAAGTCGTAATTGGACTACCAACAACAAGATCGAATCCAATTAATAAATCTTGATGATCTTTAAATAAAGTTCTTATATTGTTTACAATGTATTCAGGTGTATGACTAAATGAAAATAATTAATTAATATAATCTAAAAGAAGAGAGAGACAATAGTGAATACTTACGAATTAGAGTGAAAACCTTGTAAGAGTCTAATAAACTCGTGAAATACAGGGCTTTGATCTCCAAACCTAGATCTAACACTTTGAAGAAGATCCAATGATTGTTTGGTTTTAAGATCCTCAGGTGCTGGTGTTGGTGCAGCCGGCTGGACAACTACCACTGCAGCGGTATGAGAAGTGATAGGTTGAGACAATTTAATATCATCTACTGTTGCTACTGAGGATTCTACTACAACAATTTGTTGTTTAATTGCCTGTTCTGATTGAGCAGAATCAACTACAGATTCTTCTTGTGGAGTTGTTGATGTAGTAGTTGTTGTAGCAGGTCCCAGAAAGTTTGGTTGTATACGTTTCCTTGATACAAATGATTTTTGATGACCTGTTGTGCTCATCTCTATCTCTCTTTTATCTATCTATCTATCTATCTTTCTATTCAAGAGACGATCACACAAGATAATGAATTAAAATTAGCAAGTCAGACACCCCTAATAATCTGTATTTCATGGAAATTCGACTTCCCTCCTTTTTTTTTAGACAATTTCAAATATCACACTCAAGATGGTGGATATCCCAGTGAATTGAGTACATAATGATTTATTTATTTATTTATTTATTTATTTATCAACAACAGTTTCATAAATAAAAGGGTTAATTGCCGATCTCCATTTTGAAGAGACCGGACCTTGTCCTTGGGTGTTACCTCCATCCAAACTTGATGGGATTGAAAACTGTATGGTCTTGATTGATGTCATCTCGTGTAAACTGGTCAAACTTGCTCTGGTCACACTTAGTATAGATGATGTTCTGTTGGCAAGTGTATTGTTGGTTATATTCATTTCAACGTCGGTTGTCTCTGTCAATGCAATGGGAATGGTCAATGTTCCAATACCATATTTTGAAGCTGTCAATAAAATATTTCTAAGACCTTTGGCCAAATCAGATGATGTCAATAATTGTGATTCTCCCCATGGTGTTCGATCTATAGATAGACAATAAAGAATATTAATACACAACCCAAGTTAAAACTCTAATCTTGTAAGTTGACCTACTCTTTTTATCAGCAAATAAATGGAATACTACTTGTACATCTGACAAGTTTGAATGTTTTGTTATAAAGAAATCACCATTCTTTAATTGTGTAGTTGGTCCAATCGATTGTTTAAATTGTTCAATTTGTTCATCAATTGAATCAAAATGTAATTCTGTAGACATATTACAATATTGTACAAACACTAAAAGAGTAGAGTAAAAAATGATTAGTATATGAACCTATAATATATATTTTTGATTGACTATACTTTTTTCACATAGTGAATTAAATCCCAAAGATGGATCAGCCAATAAAATGACAGCAGACAATGAATCTGAATAAAGGGTAGATATATATTCCATTCTTTTTGATTTTAGATATTCTCCAGTTGAAACTGGACGACAAAGTTGAAGTGGTGAAGCATCGATTAATTTAAATTCAAATAATTTTTTCTTTTGTACTCCAACTGCTATGAGACAACATTCCAATACTCTATAAAACATCTTTTCTTGTTGTTGATCTTTTTGTTGTTGTTGTTCCTTTTGTTGTTGTTCTTTTTGTTTTTTGTTATCATCTGATCCCCCACCACCTGATAATATATTTGGAATGGGCAAGAATGATTTACCAAGTGTTTGCTTTGATGGACTTTTACCTGGTGTTCCAAAAGAATCTTTTCTTTTTGGTTCATTACTTATTGGTAATGGTTGTGAAGATGAAGATGAAGATGAAGAAGATGTCTGGTTCAAAGAGGAGGAATCTGTATTATTGTTAGAATTTGGTTGTTGTTGTTGTTGTTGTTGTTGTTGTGATGATGGGGAAGAAGTATTATTCAAAGATGGACCTGTTTGTCCAATTAGATTATTTGAAGATGTTGTAGCTGGAGCAGCAGGTTGTTGATTCTTTTTACCAAAACCAAAATTAAAAAATGATGATGCTCTTTGTTGAACTTTATCAATTGTACCTGTTAATACACCTTTATCTTGTTGTTGCTGGACAACTTGTTGTTGTTGAGATTGAGTTAATGGTGAAGTAAGAGGCGGTGTGGTTTGACTTTTAGTTATATTGTTAAATTCATCATCAACCTCTTTCAACTCATCCTTTGTCGTCTCTAACCAATAAAGATCATTTAAAAAGGTTGTAAAGTCTTCCTTTTGTTTCTTCTTTAGAGTTTTAATTTCAATGTCGTATTTGGCTTCTACTTGGTCCAATCTCTTTACATTCTCTGACACCATTCTTTCAATTTCCTCACCGATGATTCCCTTGTTGGCAACTTCTTGCATCTCCTTGGAGTGTTCTTCGTTGATTGCCTCTAATTCTTCTTTCCGGCGACTGAGTAATATATTAAAAGAGGTTGCAAACAATTCCTCTTGATTGATGATCTTTTCCTTTGTCTCGGTTGACTTTTGTACTAGGTACAAGAAGATCTTTATCTTTTCATCTTGTAACTTTTGCTCCTCGGTGATTTCATTCTTTACCAAACTATTCCAATAGTTTGTCTTTTCACTATACTGATGTGCTAATTCATTTATCTTACTATTAATAAGAGTATAGTTTGATGATGACGACGATGATGATGATAAAGTTGATGAATCCAAAGAGAATGATTCAGTTGTATCTTGTAACTTTAATGTTTTCACTTTATAGGAGATGATGAGGTTTGGTTAATATTAAATGATATCATTTATGACATAATCATCTATATCTCTACTTCACATATTGTACATACATTGAAGGATATCTTGTTGATCATTATATAGGATATATTCTTGTTCAAGCATTGACTCTACCATATTGAGAATAGATACAGATAGATAGGGAGGAATGTCAAACTCTGACATGAACTGATCGACAGCAGTACTCGTATCCTCACCCTTTCTCAGGTTGAATATGCCAGCCACATACTTTCTACCAACTGGAAACTCTAGTTTAAATTGTATGTCTGAATGTGATATAGTCATCTCGATCAAAGAAAGTATTAAGTAGCAAGATAAGATAACTTGTTTAAACAAGAGTTCGATTCGATACTACTACCACTACTACTAGATAAAGATCTTTATCCAATTGTCAAAGTTAACTTCAAAGTACGTGAGTGAATGAGTTGGGTTGATTGGTTGATTGGTTGATTGATTAATTGATTGATTGTAAGTTATAACCTATACCTATCTATCTATGATCGATTGATTGATTGATGAGTTTTGTGTTTTGCTCAAAGTTGTGTGTATGTGTGAGGTGTGGTGAGGTGTGAAGTATGACGATCGAATGTTGTTGTTTGCACACTATAATAATAATAATATTTGGGTCAGGCACACACATACAAGTTTTTAAATTAAAAAATTAATATCAATTTACACTATATCATGATCGATCAATATATCAGTAGTATAGTAGTAGTATTATTATTTAATTATTGTACATTATTAATGTTCCATAGAAAGAGATAATAATAATAATAAAATTAAAATAATCAAAAGTTTAATTATAATTATTAATTTATTTTATTATTTGTATTGTTAAAGTACTATTATAGTATGGAATTTAATATTCGAATATTATCTATCTATCTTTAATCTTCATCATCATCAAAAATAAAATTAAAAGAAAATGGACAATACAGATAATAATAATAATAATAATAGTAATAATAATAATAATCACGATTTAGAAAATAATAATATTGATAATCAAGATGATCAACAACCGCAACCAGCTGAGAGAACAGCAGCAACAACAGAAGATTTAATATTTGGTGATCAAACATTTAGACATAGTTTCCTGACAATATTTGTTAATAATAATGGACCATCACTACCATTCATGATTATGTTGGTGGTAGTCATTCCATTTGTCGTATTCTTATTATCACTCATACCAATGGTGACAGGCAGTTATTATCTAAAGTATCATAGTTTACTTTGTTTTAAAAATAATACTGATTCAACTTATCCTCCTGACACAAATAATACTAATAATAATTTTAATAATACTAGTACAAGTAATATTAATAATAATAATACAAATACAAATTCAATAATTAATTCACATAATAATGATATTCAAACAGATTCACTTTATAATGTATACCATAATAGAGATAAAAAACACAAGAATAATAATAATTATAATAATGGTAGTGGTTTAGTAGACAGAGATAAAGAAGCATTGTATTTATACTATCGAGCCAATCATAGAGTTTGCAATGACTTTTTTTATATTCGAAATTTCTATGATGGTAAAGATAATGGAACTTGGTCTAATGAGACTTCACCCATTGGTGATGTTCCAAAAGCTCGGTATCTCTATCTGTCATTTCGGGTATTAGGATTGACAGCTTTATTTCCAGCCATATTTTGTATCGTAGGATATATACACAGACCATTTATTTATGGTTCCATATCAATACTGTATCTTGTGGTTTTAGTGGCACCTGTAATGACTATATTAAAACTACCAATATTCTATCAACAAGAAGAAGGTTCCTATTCGCGTCCGACTTGTTATTACAATGAAACATTTTTCAATTATTGCCAAGAAAATAGAGGTTATAGATCATTTGATCATGGTGAATATGTTTTATATCAATTAAATAATAATACTAAAGAGGTAAACTAAAATTAATATTATTTCTAATTATTGTTATTATTAATACTAATTATTTATTTATTTGATTAAATTATTAATTCTAGTACTTAATGGAAATAGAATGGGGATTTAAACCAATATTTTATGCAGAATTGGGAGCAATTGTATTATTTGCTTTTAATATAATATTATTTATTTGGGGAACTTGTATTTATAGAGATTGGAATAGTAATTTATTTAGAAATCAACAATTACAAGGTAGGAAATCTCAAATTGTTAAACCTCCCCTTCTATCAATCAATGTAACTTCTTCAACATCATCCAACAAAAATCACGAAAAATCCAATGATATGTTTTCAGACACAAGCTCGAATATATCTCAAGATGATAATGATGACAACTATTATAATACTAATAATAGATCATTTAATAAACGTAATATTATTACTTTATAATAATATTTAAAGTATAATAATAATTTAATATTTAATAAATTAAATAATACCTGTATAAAAATTTATTTGATTATGTGTATATATATTGGTTAGTTTTGGAGTTTAGTTTTGGTGTTTTTTTAGTAGAGTTGTAATTCTTTTTTCTTTGATTGTTTAATCCATAATGGTAATTTCTTAAAAGTGTCTGGTGACATTTGGAAGATTCTAATAAATTCATCTTCTTCCATGTAGTCTTCGAGACGGGATGTATCTATACCCTTTGGGAACTGACGGTTAATGAGTTCGTCATAGGTGTATTTCTTGGTGTACAGTTGCAAGATGGCATCGGTACGGACAATGTCTTGGTCGTAGGAGAGCTTTTCTTTGCGTTTGGCGAAATCCCATCCGTGGAAAATAGAGGTGAAAATATATGGCTCCTTTCCAGAATAGGTGATATAGGATGGTAAGGGTGCAGAGAGACCCAATTGTTTTGATCGGGCCTCGGCATACTCTACCGACACCTCCATCGACATTTTTCTCTCCATCTCTGTGGTTTCGTGGCCAATCCATACCCACACGTGATCAACACCGTCGACAATATAGACATCCTCGGTGAGGAGATCGTCTTGGGCAAACGAGTTGACTTCCTCAACTACAAACACACCACTGCCAATTGAACAAGAGTAGAGACGTGCTTCGGTTCGTGTCTGCATTGTAGCTGGCCAGATATGTACGTTTTGTGACGAGTCGGTGGCCGACCCTCCAATGGCCGTCCAGAACTCCTTGGGCTCCTTGCCCTCGGCAATCTCGACAAGCTTCATTTGAGGGTTGATCTGCAATGTCTTTACAATGTTTTTGGCAAAGGTCTTTTCGTTGGCACTCGATAGTCGTCCGTTCCACACATAGACGGTCGAACGGTCGGCAGATGTCAAGATAAACGTGTTGTACGAGTTGAGGGAGTGGGGAGATGTCTTGGTCTGAATGGCACGAGTGTTCCAGTCGGTGGTACCGCGAATATGGTAGAGTTGGTAGTCGGCGGCATTGTTGTTGAGCGCACCGACACTGCCACGCTTGTAGTTTTTAGAAAGTGGGTCTTTACCAACATGGACAACCAAACGCCCGTTGAAAATAGAAAGGAAATGGCGTGGCTCTTTATTCTGCACGACTCTGATTTCCTTGGCCATACCTTTGAGCGTGTCGTCGAGTTCCATGGTCAACAACGCACTCGTTCCCTTTTCATTGATCGAGCTGTTCTTGCCTTGCCAAAAGTAGATGAGGAAGTTGTCCTTGTTCTTGTACGTGTAGGTGTAGAGAATGAGGTAACTGTCGCCGCTGTAAAATTGGCCGTGTTGACTAGGGTCAATGGCAACTTTGGTAAAGTCTTCGACACGCCAAATTTGGAGACGGGGTGAGCGACCGTCGTCGATCATGACCTCCTCCTTTTCAGCCTTGCCTGCCAACATCTTGCTCACATCGATTTTGTCCTGTTGCTTGCGCGATGCCGTGTTGACGCCGACCGGCGCCTGTTGCACCGAAATAGGGAGACTGCCTCCCCAATCGGGGAAACGCTCTTTAAACAACACCTGCTCCGAGCCGGGGAACTCACGGTGACAATGTGCCACCCAGATGCTGCTGCGACGCGACTCTAACATATTGCTACCGAGCTTGAGCGAAGCATTACGCACTTTGAGTTTGCTGGCACTGCCAGTCCACACAAACATCTCAGACACGCAGTCCAAGATATAGCACTCGTTGCCCTCCAACATGTTCTTGGTCAACCGTCCGTCCATCGGCACGAGATCAATACCAAGATTTTCAGCTGTTGCAGGGGCATTCTCGTCCATTACAACTCTGTACAAGTTTATGTGTTTGCGAATACCCAACTCGGCTTCACGATCATCGCCAGCCGAGTCGGCAGAGGCAATCTCTCCGCGACCACCAAGTACCTTCCAAAAGTCGTCAGTCTCTTTTCCATCGTCAACAATGACCACACGACACCCAACACGTTCCTTGTCCTTGATACTCTTTGCAATATCCATACCCTTACCCTTTTCAATACGGTTTGCATCCTTTCCATTCCATTGATAGATAAGATTCAACTCTTTACCACAATCCAAAATAAATACATCACCTGAGTTTAACGAGAGATAGGTCAATTCAACCTGTCTAACAAAAGGAGATCTTCTACCTTTGATATGTAAAAGTTTTGGTTGATCCTTTGGTTGCAGATTGACAGACAATGGAGCAGGTTGTTGTTGTTCACTTTTTTCTTTTCTTTGTCTAAAGATAGCTTCGTCGGCACCCAAACTGTAAAGCAGACCGAATCCACCTACTTGAGCTGTAGCCTTGTTGGTCTTTGATTGAGCTTGAATAGTAGAACCAGATGCAGCATTTGCCTTTTCTTGTTCTTGTTGTCTTGCTTTGGCTGCTTCCTCTTCCAAAGCAGCACGTTCTTGACGAGCTCTAATTGGATTCTTGGTTGGAGCCTTTCTAGCTCTACTAGTATCTGCCTTTTCTGGAAGTGGTGCAATCAATCCAGAACTAGTTGATTGTTCTGGTATAATTGATGGTGTTGATGGCACCGAAACAATAGTTGGAGTTGTTGAAATTGGTGTAATATTTTGTGATGTTGGAGTTTGATTTGAAATTGAAACACTAACTGGTTGAACAATTTTTGGTAATTCTTTTGTTACTGTTGTAGTTGCTGCTGGTTTAACAGTAGTTGGTTGAACTGGTGTAACAACTGGAGTTGTAGTAGTAGTAGTAACTGCAGCTGGTTTAACAGTAGTAGTAGTAGTTGTTGGTTGAGTAGGTGGAACAACTGGAACTGTCTTTGGTATTGATGGCAACGTAGTAGTAACAGTTGGAGTAACAGGTGTTGGTTTTGGAATAGATGGTAAAGTTACAATAGATGGTGGTTGTGTAGTTGTGGTAGTAGTAGTCTTTGGAATAGTAGGTAATGATGGTAAAGTATATTGTTGTACAGATGGTTGTTGAGTTGGTTGGACTACTACTGTTGCTGGAGTAGTCGTAGTAGCAGCTGGTTTACCAATAGGAGGTAATAAAATAGTTGAAAAGGATGAAGGTGGTAACTGTTGATTATCATTTTGTTTTGGTATAGTTGGTAAGGTGACAGTTGAAGAGGTGGAAGTGGAAGGGATTGGTAATTTACCAGAACTAGATTCTCTTTGTTTAAGCTTTTCTCTAATCTTTTCCTTTTCTCTTTCCTTTGCCTTATCTCTTTCTGATCGTGTATCAATCACTGGTGACGATGGTGTAGTTCCTGAAGGAGTAGAAATGGCACTATTTGGAGCCGAAGAAATCACTGAAGTAGAAACTGGTGTAACATTAGCTACTTGTTGAGTTTGTTGAGGTTGTTGAACCGATACTACAGATTGTTGTTTTTGTAATTTATATTGTCTTTCTTCTTCTTCTAATTCTTCCATTTCCATTCTACGCTTTTCACGTTCAGCTTCAGCACGTTGTTGTTCGTCGATTTCCTGTTGTTTTTGGAGTGCTAGCTTGTACTCTGGATCCCAAGAGGCGTCGGCCCAATCGACAAACATCTCCTTGAACATGATCGATTCCATGCCGTCGAGCACCCAGTGCAGCTCGTACTGGTCGTGACGATTGTTTCGGCCCATGAGCTCCTCAGCCTTGAGCATCGACCACGACTTTTCATTCGACGACGAGTAGATACCCGACCACACAAAAATATCGGTACCACTATCGAGAATGGCACAACTGCTGCTATCCAACATACTCTTGTACAGTATCTCACCGGCAAACACTTGAATGTCGATACGTCCGCCATCACCCTCTGAGAAACGAAACATCTTGGTGTTGAGAATCGCCATCTCCTCGGCACTCTCATCGTCCTCGATCGAGCGTGGGATGTTGGTCGGCTGCTTGCCACTAGCACACCCAATCTCCTTCCAAAACTCGGTAATGTCTTCACGACGCGATTTGCCGAGTTCAATCGACACCACCTCGTTGTTCTTGTACTGTTCGTCCAGTTGAGCGAGTTGGTGTGCCAAATGCAGCCCTTTGAGACGTTCACGCAGACTTGACTGCGCACCAATATAAACAAAGATACGACGTTCGCAAACCAACAAAAAGACGTCGTCTTGTGCCACATTCTTGACATCCAACGTCATCTTGCGGCAGATGATCATGTTCTTGCCCTTGACACGGTACAACGTGTTTTTAAAAGCGACCATGTGAAAGACTGGCTCAAACAACGAGCTTACCGACGCACGCTTCTTCTCCTCGATCTTTTGACGTGTGATGGTACGACGGTACTCTTTACTAGTCGACTTGCGTGCCTTGTTGACCACATCGCGCTTGCTACTAAGGAACTGCAGCAGTTTTGCAATGTCATCAGACTGGTAGTTTTCATTCTCCCATTGATTGTCCTCTAAATCGAGGATACTGAGTCTCTTTAATCGCTGCATCGACGATGGCAGGTCAACCAGCTGGTTACTACGTAAATTGAGTTCACGCAGCTGTTCCAACTGACCCACCTCATTGATCAGTTCCAAAAAGTCATTATTGTCCAAATACAACTTGGTCAACGCTTTGCATTGTCCCAATTGGTTGGGTAACGACTGCAACTCATTCTCTGCCAGATCCAACAATGTCAATCGATCCAACTTTCCAATATCACCAGGCAATGTCTTTATATTATTATTATTTAAAATTAATTTGGTTAAATTAATTAAGTTCCCAATTTCTCTTGGAATCGTTGTTAACTATAGTTAGCACAAAACAAATAATATCATTAATAAACAAATAATAATATTACAATTATTATTATTGTTATATGTTTGTGTGACACATACTTTGTTAAAAGATAAATTCAAGATATTTAAAGATTTGGCGAGACCTATGAAAGTATGCATAGATGGTATTTGGTTATTAGATAGATTGAGTGTTGTCAAGAATGCCAATTGGTGTACTGTCGATGGGAACTGATTGATTTGGTTAAATGATACATTCAACTTTACAAGTTTCTTTACTTGAAATAGTTCATCTAAACAAACACATCAAACAAAGATATAAATATTAATAACATTCATTGTTACAATTTATATTATATTTATATTTAGATTGATAGTTACCAGATAATACAATTAAACTATTATAAGAGATATCTAAATCCTCTAGTAATTCCATAGCAGAGATACCATCCAACTTTGCAATCTTGTTTCTTGATAGACACAATATCTTTAACAACTTTAGTTGTTTGAGACCTTCTGGAAAGGCTACAAGAAACCTATCACTAATCTCTATAGTGTCTGCTGTTGGTGAGAATGTCAATGATGCTGCTGCATCTTGTGTTCCTCCAACTCCTCCTCCTGTTGTTACTGAGTTTGTATTACCCATTCTTCTCCTTCTCCTCTTTTATTACTTTATGGTTTGTAGTATTACTTTTATATATATATATATATGGTTAGTTGGTTGATATTATTATTATTATTATTATTTAATATTACTAATATTTAATTTAACTTTTGTTATTGTTGATGTTGTTCATCCTCCTACCTATTCTATTATAACCTATCAATCAATCCAATCTATTAATAGAAGTATATTTACAAAAAGGAAGAGATAGATAGATAGACAAACAGAATATATTATTTAAATAATTAAACAAACAATGGTCATCTGAGCTAGCCACTCTTCCTCTCCCGTTTAATTTTTTTTTTTTAATTTCTGGTGCGCCATGTGGGTTAAAGGGCGATATCGATTTTTTTGGACAATGAACAACCGATTGTCCCGATCATTATACTTTTCTGCATATATTTAATTTTGGGTTTAGTTTATTTGTTTAATGAATATTCGCACTTCTCTTATGTAAGAGTAGCTTTGTTGGTTGTAAAATTACAAATAGTTATTGCTATCGACTGTTACTATTATCTTCTCAACATTTTAATACCCTTTGAAGATACATCAATGTAAAGCTTCTTTTTAATCAAAAAGTATGCACCTCCAATAATAGCTGCACCACCTACCACAGGAGCAGTGACTACGACTGGGAGGAACCAAGCAGGTCTATCGTCTTCCTTTGGATTGCATTCATCATCGGGTGGTGATGTAAGTAATACCTAAAAAGAAAAAATATAAAAGATGTAAGTTATGGTTGGTTGGTTGGTTGGTTGATTGTATATTATAGTTAAACTATATTATAATTTTCATCTTACAGAGAAATCAGGATCAATAATAGCAGAATAACGGAAGAATGGTAGGTCAATAGCAATATCGGTGGTTGAATTTTGGGATGAGCCATCGGTTGTTTGATTAATGATGTATGGTTTGGAAAAGGTGGCGCGACCATCAGATATGACACGATCTACAAACTTTGCATAGAAAGATCTACCTTGACGTTCAATGGCCATAAAGTTGAGGACACCGTTATCGTCGGTCGATATTTGGTCCGATGACTTGGTACCGCAGTTGGTTTTAGATGGACCACCTTCGACGTTGACATGTGATCGCATGACAACTTGTAGTGTGTTGAGAGTACCATAGTAACTCCAGTTGGTGATGTTTAGTGTCATCTTCATGGTACCTGCATCCATCTGAATGGTCTTGTCGGCAAAGGTGAGCGTAGTCGACTGGTTAAAACTCTCGAGTGTGTAGGTGATGTTGGCCACCTCAAACATTGCGCTGTACACACTCTTGGAGTCTGACGACGAGATAGTTCTCCATTCTCTTGGGTTGGGGATGAATTGACGGACCATTTCACCGTAGATATTCATCTCTTTGATGGTGACGAGACCCAATCGCACGACTAGGTTGTCGTTGCTGATGGTCGAGACCATTGGCGAGAATGATATCTCGCCCGAGGGTGTTGACGAGCTAATGTTGCAAGCTGGTCCCTTGTAGTCTTGGTGACAGAGACATATGCCGCTCTCTGCATCACACTCTCCGTGGCCAGAACATTCATCATTGTCACCTGGACAGATTGCCGTCAAGTTTGAGTACTTGAATCCCGATGCAATCCTCCATTCCACGCCATTGATGCTGATGTATACGTCCTTGACACCAACACCACCTGCTAGAGTACAGACTATAGTACTTTGGGTGAGTGGTGCTGAAATGTCGCATGTATCACCACCAATCTTGACGATTGGGTTGGTTAGTACAGGACCGTATTCTCCATACAATGTAATCGATCCACCTCGTTGAGCCAATGAAGGTGGGAAGATTGACGTGACAAATGGATACTCGATTCTAAATGTAACCAAAATAGAAGCAGTCACCAAATCATCGATTCTAATCGTTGCATTGTGTACTACTTCTGGGATACTGGTAGTACCAACAACACACTCAATCTTGGTGTCTACAATACTACTAATATTACATTTATATCCGCCCATTAAAACAACGACCATCGATTGATTAGTACCAAATCGAATACCATTAAATGTGAATTTAAAACCTGTATTTCCATGTCTATCATAATCGTATGAACTAATGGAATGTGGTTCAACAAATTCTACAGTATTCACAAAATCAAATGGTTGTGAAGAAACTTGTAATGAAACTTCAATCGTTTTGTTTCCAACAAATTGATTATACAATGCTACACTTCCAGTTGCACTAAAAAAACATTTTAATTAATTAATCAATCTTTCAAAAATAATATTATTTTTTAGTTGACATACCTAAATTCTCTATTTAAAATATTTGGTTTAAATGAAAGAGATGGAATAGAAGTTGATAAACCAGAAATGGTGAACCCTACGTTGGCACCTCGAATGACCAATGGTCCAGTCTCAACAACATATTTTACATTTGTAACATTGATACTTGAATCTTAAAAAAAAATGTAAAAAATAATATTTAATTAATGTTTGGTATGTTAAACTTTATAAATATCTTCTTGATTTATATATATATACATATAATACTTACGATCACAATCAGCAAAAGAGAAGGTAGTAAATTGATTGCCACCAACAATGTTTTGGATATTTGAACCTGAATAACAAATATAACACATTGGTGGTAACCCTGTCAATTGGTTATTGGCAAAAGAAGTGATTCTTTTAAAGCAATAATCATCTGGAACAGTACCTGTAAAACTATTGTTTCTTACATCTAATCTCATATTGATTGGAATATTTGGTAATGATCCTACGATATTATTAAATGATAAATCACTAAGCAAAGTAAGTAAAGTATTATCAAAGTTAGTATATGGTCTAGACTATTAAAGGTTTGTGAATTTTAAAAAATAATATCTTCTTACAGACTAATATCATTAAAGTTTGCATAATCATCCAAATTAAATGAAGTTAGATTATTTCTTGGTAAAGATCTATATTAGAGAGAGAGAGAGAAGATAATAATGTTATTAGGATAACTACTTATTTAAATGAAATATAATTTATCTCTTTTGACTTACAAGAAAAGTGAATTGGGACTAACAATAATTGGGAGTTTATTCTCTACAAAAAGAGATGGACTGCCATCAATAGTACTAAATTATGATCATATCAAATTGGAAAATATAAATTAGAATTTAAATTTGGTCCATAGCATAGCAGTGGTTTTACATGTTGAACATACATTGTTTGAAGTTTAGTTAAATTGAAATTATATATTTCATTTAATGGTTGGTAATTGACATTGAACGAAGTATATGATGCAATGTTTGGCGAGTATAGAATACAGTCATGTGGGAATGGAACCGGATCGAATATTGCATTACCAGTATTATCCAACACTCTAAAAATATAAATATTTAGTATATACCAATATAAATAAAAAGAATATAATATTATAACACTACATACATTGACTCTAAACCTCTAATTCTTTCAATCAAACCAAATGTAGTTGAATCAAAATTTGGTCCAAAAGAAATTTTTCTAGTTGAATAAAAGGTAAGTATGATAGAAATGATCAATCAACATTTTTTTTTTTTTCTCTAATTAGATAGATAGAATTCACATACAATTGTTTGATATCAGTAGTGTAATTAAACTCTATGAAATTATTTGTTTTCAAAGTCAAAATATTTGGAAACGATGGCAATGGAATGGTTGGGTCCTCAACAAGATTAAAAGCACCTGGTGTTACAACTCTATATATTAAAATCATGGTATTTTGTTATAGTTGATGGCAATAATAATATTGTTTGAAATGCAACTTACAGTTTAGTTTTAATTAAATTTAATTGATTGGTTGATAGATCTCCCGTAATTTGATTATTGGTTAAATCCCTAAATAAGTTATAAAGTTGAATTGATTGTTAGAAATGCGCATGATGATGGGTGATGGTTGGTTGGTTGTTTGCTAGTATCAAGATCTTACAATGAATCAATTTTTCTTGAAATAGTAGGGAGAGCAGTAAGTTGACAACCTATACATGTACTATAGTAAAAATAAATAATATTAATATATGAATTATATAAACATACAATTACAATAATTAATACTTACATTACGTTTAGATTTGGAAGTTGAGAGATCATATCACCGATCAAATCATTTGGAATAGCTGATCCCCATGTTTGAATTTTTCTACAATACATTAATAATAAACGTGTTAAGAAATGCGATAGATTGATTGATTGATCGATCGATTGAATTGAACATACAATGTTGTCAAGGTTAAGAAGGCATCGAAATCTGTTGCCGATAGAATGGCGGGTCTACCTTGGAATGATCTGTATGTATGTTTGATGCAAATGGATGATGAAGATGAAGACGGGTGTGGGTGAGTAAATATTTTCAAAATCATTGTCATTCAATGTCGACAACTATAATATTTGTTGAACATACAAAGATATAATGGTTTGGTTTAAAGAATCACATAATACACCTCCACCAGTAACACAATATTCATTTGCAACAGGAAACAATGATCCTATACCAAGTTTACTCACCAAATTTGATATCTCTGCATCTTTAAAGATCGATTACATTGACGAATGATGATTAGTACACATGATGATAGATCAATAGATAAATAGATGAATCGTCACGGACGGATGGTATAGTACTTACATTGGGCCGAATTAGTGGGTGAAGCGGCATAGACAGAAGTTGTAACTGTTAGCAACCCAATGATGATCGTTAAAAATAGCCTAAACATTTTCCACTTAACTGTTTGTTTCTCTCTCTCTCCTATTGGTACGTGAATAAGAATAAAAAGAAATGTACGAGTACGCAAACTAAACTAAACTAACAACAACTCTTTCTTATTGGCTATTCGATTTACAACACACTTTGCAATGCCACCAATCACCACCACCATAATCGGTCACCTGACACAGGTTATCCCTCTCTCTCTCTTTTGACTTGATCTAAAGAACGATGATAGGCTATTGCTATTATTGCGTGCGGTTGCCCTACCCCCATTACAAGATCAAACAATAAGGGGCGTCTCATCCCTTTGGCCCCTTCTCTGCTCTGTTGTGGACAATGAATCTAATAATTAGGGCTTGTTCCTCCTTGCGAGGGCCGCTTCCTACACCTAAAAAAGGTCACCTGTCAGAAAGATTCAAAAAAAGTCAATCTTTGTTTTCAAACACCTGCGCACACAGACGGTTTCTTCGATCAGCAAAGGTTATTTTAAGAGACGATTCGTCTACCCTCTGCGCAATGATGTAGCTCTGCCATGCTGCTTACCCGGCTAGACCAAGGCTCAAAGGGGGTTTGATCCAACTCATTGGAGGCCACGCTACAACAATAATATTTAAAAATATTTAATCACAGCAGCTGCCTTTTCAATTGACAAGGCTACCTACCATCATCCTCCTCCTCCTCGTCCCTCATTCCCAAAAGGTATTTAATAGGACTCTTCGATTAGCCTTTTGGACAACAACATCAAATTTATTATTTATTCACACAACATGTTTATAACAACAACAAAAAAATCAATATTATTTATATCAACTGTCATTGTATTGTTGGGATGTCTAAATGGTGCCCTTGCTGGGTACGTTTGGAGTACCAATGGACATATGTACGATGTTGGTTCTACCGGTGCCACATCTTCTGAATTAGCTAGAAGAGTATGTAGTACTAAATGATCATCATTATAATTAATTAAATACTAATTATTTTATTTTTTTGATATTTATTTTATTTACTATAGGCTTGCCAAAACAATTATTGGGATGATAGTAATGGAAATAGACTATGGGGTTACTTGGCTACTATCACAACAAAGGCTGAAATGGACTTTTTGGTCGCTAGAAGTTTAGTTTCAAATGTTTGGGTTAGTGGTTCAGATGATAAAGGTAATAATTGAATCTATTATTATTATTATTTGTTTATTAATTATTATTCATTTTATTTTTTTTTAGAACAAGGAATATGGAGATACTCCTCAGGACCGGAATCAGGAGAGGTCATGTATGATGTCTTTAATGAAAAGTGTTATACTTATTGCCCATTAAGTAGTGCCTTTTCATTTGCTGATGGAAATGGTTTATTGGCTTCATCTGCAGGTACCTATACCAATGAACCAGCTGCCTCTACCGTCTATGGTGTATTATGCGAGTATGGAGGACTTGAAACTAAATTAGGTTCACCACGTATGGTACCATTGACAGTTCCAACTGAAGGAGGATTTGTTAAATTGCTTGGTCTTGCCACTGGGTACCTTATCGACAGTGTAGTTGTATCGGTTGCAACACCTGGATTCGCCACCTACAATGCAAAATGTAACAGAGTTACTTCAGTTTCCACTGAATGTTATATCAACCCTGGCAATGGAGGTGCCATCACCATCGCCACTATTGGAGATACAGGAAGTGGGTCCATCGCAACTGCCTATGAACCACCACAAGTCAGTGCCGTCTACCCAGCCTATACAAGTGGGTCATTGATCACACTAGTTGGTTCCAACTTTGGTACTAGTGCTTCTCTCATCTCTGTCACCATCGGATCGACCAACATTGCCTGTAACACTGTTACCATGTTAGAGGCACACAATGTCATCAGATGTACTCTTGCCTCTAACCTAGGTTCAAACAAATTCCTTCCCATCACTGTCACTTTGAATGGACAAACTAGAAAGTTCTTCCATCCTGCTACTTGTAAGTCAAATCAATCAACAAACACAAAACACACACATATATTAATTATATTTTTTAATTTAGACTTTGCAAGTGCAAACATTTTCCTTAAAGGATTTACCATTCCAATGATCTCTGATTATGCATTCAAACGTTTAGAGAACAAGTTCCAATTGTTTGGACAAACTGGTGGCATTGCAACTGTATTTTCAGCTGATATGCAAACCCATCTCATCAACACTCTTCCCACCCCCTCGTCTGCCTACAAACTCTGGCAAAATTACTACTCGGTGAATAATGGTCTTGTCCACCTTGTTGGTAATGTGCTCGGTGCCGTTCCACAACTCTACTCTTCCAGTAGTATTCCACAAGGATCCTCCTATCTTCGTTATCTATTCACTCTTTCCAATGGACAAGTAGATAATGTCTCTCCAGATTCTCTTGGTTATGCAGTTTTAGGTTTCAGTGAAAGTATGTTGAACATTAATCAAAAACAAAAAGAACAATAGTATTAATTTGTCTTTCCTTTTTATTTAATTTTTTTTGTTTAGACTTTGAATTTATTAAAAATGATAAATTACATCCATATGATGACCAATCGTATGTATGTCCAACCACTGGATGCTCGATTAATTTCTTGGCCAAAAACTATGGGTTGTGGAATAGTGCCTTGGTGTTTAATGCAATGGGTGTAGATACCACAAACTTTGATAGAAATCAAAACAGTATCATGCTTACTTTGCCAGCTGGCTATGGTACCAATCTACCAATCAAAGCATATGTTGATGGAAAATCGTCTTACAACACCCTCTTGTACAGCTATGCTGCTCCAATCATCAACAGTGTTGTTGTCAGTAATGGTTATGTTACTATTACCGGTACCAACTTTTACACTCTCAACTCTATCATTTCAGTCACTGTCGGTTCAGTTTCCTGTGCCTCTCCAACTCTGATTTCTCTACACACTGTCGTCCGTTGTATTGCCCCAGCTGATGCCACCCAAGCCACTAGACTTACCATTGCTGGTAATGAAGGTGCTATTCAATCCAACCTTGTTATTCCAACACTCGGTAACCCAAGAGTCACCTCGGTCTCGGCTGCCTCTGTATTTGGTGGTGTTATTTCCATCAATGGTTACAACTATTTCTCTACAGTAGCTGATATTTCAGTCACTGTTGGTGGTGTAGCTTGTCCATCGGTTGCTATTGTCACAGCCAACACTCAAATCACCTGTGTTGCTCCAGCTTCAGCTGGATCCAAGGTTGTTGTGGTCACTGTCTCTACCCGTGTCTCCAACTCTGATATCTCGGTTGTTTTCCAATCTCCAACCATCACATCGGTCACTCAAACCGCGTCCAATGCCATTTCCATTGTCGGTAATGGATTTGGTACCAACGCAGCTGTTCTCACCATCACTCTTGGAGCCTCGTCCATTTCATCGGCCCTTTGCACTGCTGCTGGCTCCTCCCTCACCTGCACTGGTCTCCCGACCAATCTCGTCAATGGATTAGTATCAGTATCAGGATCAAACACCATCCCATTCAAGTTTAACCCAACTATTACCAGTACCACCCTCTCTGCATCTCCTCAATCCCAGGTCACCATTATTGGCAACCACTTTGACTCTGGTGTCGTCCCAACCTTTGGTGGAGCAGCCATTCCATGTACCGGTACCTACACCCAATTAGTCTGCATCTTTGTAGCTGACTCTGTTTCAGGTTCATTGTTTGTCACTCCATCAGTCTCTACTCCAATCGTGTTTGACCCATTCTTTACTGCCATGAATCCAACCACCGATGTTCCAACTGCAGGATCGACTGTCATTGTCCAAGGTGGTCACTTTGAAAACCACTCTGGTTACACTCTCTCTGTCTTGTTGCAAGGAACCGTTCCAATGACCTTTACCAAACTCGGACTTGGATTCTTGTCAGTGGTCATCCCAGCAGGATCTGGCAACAACAAGTACTTTGTCGTCAAAGTCAACAGCAAGACAACCGCCAACATTGCATTCAACTATGCCGGACCATCCATCACGTCGACCAAGACATCAGGCGAACAACTCGCAATCATTGGTGATAACTTTGGACTATCCCCAACCGTCACTATTGGCGGTACCTCGGCATCTGTCTTGTCCGCCACCTCCAACACTATTCTTGTTACCATTCCAGCCAATGCTGGTCAAACCGACCTGATCGTGGTATCCTCCAACGGTCAATCGGCATCCTACACTGGATTGACCCTCCATCCATTGATTACCAGTGTCTCACCGCTAAGAGCTGGAGGTAGTAGCGTTGTAACTGTCACTTCAGCCTATGCACCTCCATCTGCAAGTCCATCCATTTACATTTCCTCTGCACCACCCGTCCCACTCACCATTGTTTCGGCAACCTCACCCTACAAATACTCTTTCAATGCTCCATCAAGTTGTTTCACAGGTCGACTTGTTTCATTGTCACTTGGATCAAGCTCGATCTCTTCGGTTGGAATCATCAACTCCTTGCAGCCATCCATCACATCAGTATCCAATCCACCCTTCCAGATCATTTCCCCCATCACAATCACTGGTGTCAATCTACCAGCAAGTGGTATATCATTAATCTATGTATCCGACACAAGATACAAGTGTAACGACATTCAATACATTAGTGATACAACCATTACCTGCTCCTTTGATGGATTAAACTTACATCATCCCTACCAAACTATTAGTCCAGTTTACGGTGACCCACCCTTGACCATATATATGGAAGGACCATGTACGACCATCTCTGCCAATGTTTTCAAGTATCAACCTATTTCCATTACCAATGTCATTCCAATGTACAACTCTATCGAAATCAAAGGTACTGGATTCATTTTCAAGGTTACTGGACCAGTTGTCACAATTGACGATCCAACCTCTACACCATTGCCTGATTGCTCCTACACCACCACCACTGTTACATGTCCAATGACCTATCAATTAATGACCCCTTATGTAATCTACCTTGAAGGTGGTCCATACAGAGCTATTTATGAATAATCCAACTTTATCCAGACTTAAAACTTTTAGTCCAGATCATTCACCATCCCATCATCACTTTTTAAAAAGAGTAATAAATAAATAAATTAAATAAAAATTTAAAAGAATCTATATAGTGATTATCTATCACATAGGAAACTACTTTTATTTGTTTTTGACTAATCATCAAATGTGACAATATCATTGGCATTATTGATAGGTGCAGACAATGAAGCAAGTCTCTCTTTACTTTGTAATTTTGCTTTCCAAGAAGGATGTAATTTTTCTTCGTTTTGTTCTCCTTCCTTATTAGTATTATTATTGTTACTCTTATTATTATTATTATTATCATTATTATTATTATTTTCTTGTTGTTTCCATTTTGCATTATCACCAAATAATTTTTCAGCCAACTGTCTTCTTGCAGCTTGTCCCATTCTCTTTTTCTTGACCACCTTTTTCTCTGGTTCCTCTACTTGGGCATTCAACGATCCAATAAATACAGATTCCATTTTATTTTTCTTCTTGTCAATTTCATCTTCAATCTGTTTCATATTCTTTACTTCTTTGATATTTGATCTTCTTTTCATATATTCTAATCTTTGATCATTTGTCATATCTTCAATTTTTGATGGTAATTTAATTTGTTGTTTCTTATTATTATTATTGGTATTCTTTGTATTCTTTGAATTATCATCAGAATCATCATTATCAGAGTCGTTATCATCATCTGATCCTTCTGATTTTTCCATCTTTCTTTTCTTGATTCTATTTTTTAATCTCTTTAAATTCTTTGATTTCTTTTTACTGTCTGTTACTTTCTTTTGGACTGTAGGTTTAATTTCTTCCTTTTCTTCTTCTTCTTCTTCTTCTTCTTGATCACTTTCTTCATTGATCTCCTCTTCTACTTCCTCTTCCTCTTGTTTTCTTTTTAATATTTTAGTTTCTTGTTTTTGTTGTTGTTGTTGTTTTTGTTGTTGTTGTACTATTGGTTTTGTTATCTTTTCTTTTGTTTGTTGTTGTTTCTTCTTTTCAACAACGGGAACAACATTGGCTACCGCAGTAGGAGTAGTAGTAGTCTTTCCAGTTGTAAATTTTGCATTCTTTCCTCCACTCTTTCCATTGACCATATTTTCATATTCTTGTACATATTTGTTTAATTCATCAGTATAGTCTTTTGATCTATCAAATAGTATATCTTCTTCATCTTCATCGTCATCTGAAAATTGGTAATCTTCATCCAAATCAACTCCAACCAATTTATAAGGTGATGAGTATTTAGCAGTAGTACTGATCTTCTTGTTGGTGTTGTTACTCTTGCTGTTATTCTTTACTTTAGAAGATAATGTTTCTTCTTGTTGATCATAATCTTCACTGTTGAATGAATCTTCATCACCATCGTTATCAAAATCTTCGCTATCAAAGTCTTCACTATTGAAGCTGTCGTCGTTGTCACTTTGATCTAATGATTCATCTTTTACAACCTCTTTTGTTTTCTTATTATTCTTTGTTGGTGGTACTACTATTGTTGTTGTTGTTGTTGGTTTCGTCTTATTCAAAACAACTCCAGTAGTAGTCTTGTTATTCTTTCGATTCATTCTCTTTGATAACTAAATCTAAAATAGAAATAATGAAATTAAGCTCTTTTTGTCGATTCGTTCGTTTTTTTTCAAAAGATAATAATCAATAAATAAATTAATTTATTTATTATCAAGTCAAGTCAATAATATACACACTTTAATATTTAGGGGGGAAGTAATAATATATATAAATATATTATTATTATTAAAGGGGATTTATTGATTAGAAAGAAATAAAGCAAGATGTTCAAGAGATGCTTGAATGTAGAAAATAAATGGTACTTTATTTCTCCTTAACTATACCATTTGACGCTATAATTATTATACTCGAGCTTTATCATATATTGCTACATATTTCATGGTGCATGGCGACGATAAGGGTGGCTGGGATTGGCACCAAACCAATTGCTTCTAGTGATTTGATCCTTGGTTGAGCTTTGTTTCCAACAATGACAGAAGATATGATATTATTACTTAGTTTCCAGTCTGCATAGACGGTGGTAGGATGTGGTTTCTTTGATATGGAAAGTTTGTTGGAAAAGGATTGCATTGATATCGAGGTGGTGACAATTGGTTGAAAGTATACAAAGGTGTGAATGTTGTGATCCCAGTCGTATCGGATCTTATAGTCGCTCGATGGATGTGACCACACCCAGCTCTTGTTGTTCCATAGCACAGTACCATACGTTTGATTGGAAAAGACACCCTCTGAAAATACCCAGTGTACAGGTGTCGCATGGTCATCGAGTAGTGACAATACATTGCCTTCGAATCCCCATTTTACAATATCGAGTGATTTGTTGTAGTTGTTATCGTTGTCATCGTCAGCTGAAGCGGCACCATTTTGTTGTTGGTCGTCGGTCTTTTGTTGTTGTTGTTGGAAAGGGGTTGCTAGTACGGTTCCTTCAGTACCATCAGCAAAAACAATCGAGTGACGTGATGGCACCCGTGAAAAGAGGTCAATGTGTTGTTGGAACGTTTGTTTCTGCTCGAGGTACTTGTCGACGTGTTTGACCTGTTTGTGGCACTCGCGCATGTACAGGTTGTAGCTGTCGATCAGAATGATCATGTTTCGTATGTGACTGATAATATCTTCAAAGTCTTCTTTAAAGAATCGAGTCTCGTCGTATGTGTGTATTTCGTCGATAGTCTTTTTAATAAACTCTGCCCAATTGTCTAGCACCAACTCTTCGCATCGAATCATCGCCAGACGGGGACCCTCTGAACTGACAAACCAGTCCAAATAGCTTTTTGTGTTGCCAAAACACAATTCTGAAAATTGTTCCACCTTCATCAAATAAGGTTCCCATTCTCTATATGCCTCATAATAATCTTTCATCTCTACTATCCATTTTGTTGCTAAATCTGGTTTTACTCTATCTGGTAATTTCACTTAGAGAGAAAGAAAAAAAAATAGATTATTAATTTCTACAGTTTGTTTGTTTGTTGTCTTTTGATGATTTCATTTCATACTTGTTCTTGGTAGTAGAGTTGATATTGTTTTTAATTTTTCGTCTATATTTCCTAAACTTTGTATAGTGATGGAGCAGAGTGATTTGATCCTTGGACGGACCAACTGTAAAAATTGTTCGATTGTTCGTTCATCCTTTCCTTTGATGAGATAGGACCGTCCGATTTTCGTTGATATTTGAAATGTCAATGGCGTGATTTTATAAAGAGTTTTTGTTTCGTCTAATATACATTCTCCAAGATTAATATATCCTTGAGGTTCTTGTGTTTCTTCTGGTTTTCCATCAGTTTTCTAAAAAAAAAAAAAAAAAAAAGAAAAGTGAGCAAGTATGAACTCAAATTCAAATTATTATTGTCTGTTGTATGTATGTATCCGTCCTTACACCTGGTTTATAATAGAGAACATAATTTCGATGAATAACAAAATATCTATCTAAAAATCCTTTTCCATTGCCACCAGTCTTTTTCATTAATATTGAATATGAAATATCATTTTTAATTCTACCATATTGAAACCATTTCTAGAAATAAATAATTAATTAATTAATAATTATTTTTTTTAAAAAAGTATGATTTAATATTTATATCTTACCAATAATTCTTTTTTTCTTTCAACTTTGACCATTTTTCAAATAATATTATTTGATGTGATGTTATGTTGTTATGTGATTGTACAATTTAAATAAATAGTTTGGATGGGGATGTTCTATAGAATGTTTTATCGCATGGGAAATCTACAATGGGAAAAAAAAAAAGAATGGTTTCAAATATTCTCTTTAAATAACCAATAAAATAAAATAAGTGGTATCTAAATAAATAAATAAATAATAATAATAATAAATAAATAATAAGAGGTTAATTAATTAATCTTGTAAATTCCAAACAAATGTAGTAGCAGAAGTGTAGAAAAGAAGGAGTAAAAAGTCAAAGATGGAGTTGATTTTAAAAAGGGTCTGTCCGTGAGGTGGTGTTCACATATTTCACAAAAATCAAGTTTGATTGAATCTATCAATCAATCTGCTTGTTTACTCGTTATTGTGGATGGCTGGCTTTCTCCTGTGCCAAACTTTTGATAATTTCTTTTCTGATTTAATCGATCCATATTATATTATGATAATCTCCCCACGTTAACCTGTTGCTGCTGCTGCTATTGTGTTGTTGGTATCGCACTCGTAGCAACCACACCACACCATAGATCAATAAGATTGATTGATTGATAGATGGTTGAATGTATTCAACCCTTCATTTATCCTTACCACTACACCCTTTCCCTATCCCCTACCTACTTGTTGTTGTTGTTTTTGGTTGGGTTGAAATGACATTGACTTGCTTGGTTGGGTTTATATATTATTATTGAATTGTGTCACAATTCCGATGGGAAATTCTACTGAACATAATCGATGTGGGTGAGTGAATCGATGTGCGATTGTGAGGGGTGGGGTTGGGCTCTAAATCAAAGAAAGTGATCATTCGGTCGAGTCGGTGTGTTGTTGTTGTTGTCGTGAGTGATTGAGTGTGTATGTGCTCCAAAAGAAAAGAGAAATGCAACAAATAACATCATCATCAATCCGATTCGATTTGTTGATAGTTGCTAGATGGATCGCGAGAAGCATACAATTAAAGAAAACAACAATCTGCTTTTAGCTGATCGAGACCCTAAAAGAGAGTTCTTTTCTTCTTCTTTCCAAATTACCTTTAAAATTATTGGTGATGCGATAGTTGTTTATAGACTAGCTTAGCCAAGTCGACTCTCTCTCTCTACTATGTGTTATTGTAATGATGGATCAAGTCAACCTGTTGTGACATTAGTTAATATAAACGCTAAAGTTGTTAAAACCCCAACTACTTTTGATTCATGATGATGATGATGATGATGATGGAAGATGGAAGATGAAAGATGAAGAAGATGTTACGGTACAAGGTATTAATTACACACAAGTCGAATTTAGTTTTCCTCATCCAGTCAACAATAACAACAACAAGTGAGAACCAACTAACAACCTTCTTGGTTGCAATTAATTACTGGCAAGAAGTGATAAAAGTGACACAACTATTGGCAATGCAGATGCAGTAAAGAGAGAGAAAGAGAGAGAAGACAAGACCAACCAACCTCTCTCACTTTTCTACCTTTAAAATCGATTTGCTGTGTCGACCCACCCACTAGCTGGTTGATTGATATTATTTTTGTGATGTGGTGGGTGGGGGTGGGATGGTGCGTGTGTGAAGGGAGCTAACCTCCTTCCTCTCCGCTGATTGATTGATATTAATAAAATACTCACTTTCTTGTCTGTGTGTATGTGTATGTATAAGGTATGTATGCGTTGGTGGGAGAAGTTCAACTTTTAATCTAACTAACTAGTTTCTGAGACAAGATGCACTTGTTTGTAGTAGGACTGGACTGCTCTGCTCTGTTCTGTTCTATTCTGTTCTATCTATCCTTTCTACTGTGTTGTTGTTGTTGTTAGGTAGGTTGGATCGATTTTGTCTTGAACAATAAGAAAGAGAGAGAGAGAGAGGGGAGAAGCTGACCTGTAAATTTAATTATATATATATATATTTATAGATATATCTTGGCTATACAAGTAATAAGTGAGTTGAAGCAAAGAAAGATTGTTTGATTCAAGACTCGAAACGTTAAAATTTTAGTTTGGCACAAAAAATCTTGGTCAAAGCATAAAACAAAATTGAAGCAGCCGAAGTGTTTTTAAAATCGAAACAGAGCACCAAAAGAGGAAACCCTACCCACCCGAGTTTCAAGGCCAACCCTCCACGAAAATAATATCGCCGGCGAATAGCCCGACCATATTAATTAAGCGATCACACCCCTAATAATAGAATAGACAAACGGATAGATAGATAGAGAGAGTACATACATTAATGATAAATAAATATTTATTTTATTTGTTTGTTACATAATATATTATTAGGAGGAGGATGGGAAGAGGAAGGATACAAGAGATCGATCAAAAAGTATCGTTGGGGCACGATGGATGGTGGATGCCCCTTCAACTAATGATCAAGATCGATTAGATAGATTAGATTGGGATTGTTGTTGTGTTATTGTTTACAATTTATAATAAATTAATTAATGGATGGACGGGATATTTATAAAAGAAAAGATATTTCTCTTTTAATTATTCCAATTGATTGTGTTCCAATTGCCACCAGCAGCACCACCACCACTGGCAGAAGGTACAGGGGCAGACGACGCTTTACTTTGACTGGCTCCACAGAAATCCATATCGGTAAAGATACGGTCAGAATGTGTAATAATCTCAAACGACTGTGCGACGATTCTGTAGAGTTCCAATATCTTGCCATCCAACTCTTTAGTATCATCGTCTTCAGATGATGAAGCACGTACTGAAATATTGATCTTTAACTGAAGTGATGATGACTTGCATTTACTAACTGCCTCTAAAAAGTTAAACTTTGCTTTTCCTTCAGGGATACTTGATGCTATATTATTACTTTCTTGCAACTAAAATGTAATGATTGTTGATTAGTATACCAGTATATTTAACTCATTCTTTGATGTCATTCATACCAATTGAGTAATAAGATCAGCTACAGTTCTGATGGTAAGGATCATACCAGATTTGGCTAGATTGTCAAGCGCGGTGGTCAGATCATTGATACTCTTTACTATTTTCTGCAAGAGGACAACATATTTTTCTTTGATAGAGTTTGATGTAAGAGGTATGAGTATCGGTGACATGGTGGTGTTGTCATGATCCTCTTCCGACACATTGACGTCGATGCAATACAATAGAGCGTCCATCATCTGCTTTGTCAATTCTTTGATTTCACCGATACAATGTAATTTCGTTGCCATCCTTAAATATATATTTTCTTCTTCTTTTAACTATATCTGTATATAATACTAGTACTAGTATAACCTCTCTATCACAACACTTTACTTTTAAACTTTTAATAAGCATAAACTTTTCAAAAATGCAAACAAACCACCAAAGGCAACTCCAACACAGTCGGACAAATAATTGGATGGGATCTGGTCAGATGACTTTATCTGTTTGTGTGTCGGCCCGATCGATTGATTGCCATGTTTCAAATCACATTGAGAGTTGAACCCAACCAAACCTGTTCATATTGTCGAATTTCAAACAAACAATAATTACAGCAAATTAAATTATTTTTATTTTAAAAAGCAAAGAGGAACAGTCAATGCACAAATTTAATATTGCTATTAATATATAGTTAGTTCATAAGATAAGAAAGAGATACATACAACATACATGCATAAATATATATATATAGATAAAAGATTATGTAGAGTGAGATAGTAGTAATGAAGAGATTCGTGTTCAAGGGATACAATGACGATGATGACAATGGAGTTACTCAAACGGAGATTGATTTAACAACACCACCGGTTGTGGCAGTGTCAATGTATCAAGATCATCACCATTTACTTTTAAAGGACAACAATGCTACCAACAACAACAACAACAACAACAACGATTGTACAGTCAATCCAACAATACAGAGAATACAAAGATTAAAAGAATCTCTGTTAAAGTCTCAACAACAAGCTTCCAAGGAGGAGGATGTGAAAAAGAAGAAGAGTAAACAAATCAGTAACAGTAACTTGGAGCAAGAGAACGAATTGAAACAAAAAGATGATGATGATAAAGGTGACAATCACAACCATATTAATAATACCAATACCTCATCTTCCTCTTCATCATTTTATTGTGAATATTGTGAAAGAGAGATAATGGATTGTAAAGTCAAATACCATAATACTACAACAGCTCATTTATTGGCAATGAAAACAATACAAAGCAAGAAACATTACCATCTTCCTCCAACCAACCGTGGCTACATGATGATGAAAGAACATATGGGATGGGAAGAGGAAATTGGTCTTGGGGCCAATGGACAAGGGCAATTGGACCCTGTCAAGACTAGACAATTGGCAGGTAGAGGTGGAATTGGTAATCCTAAATTTAAAGATGACCATCGAAACCAACCCAAACAACCTATTGATAGAATAGTACCAAGGAACAAGAAAAATAATAGAAACAAATTGAAAATTGAACAACATAAAAGAGAAAGATTAAAGGAATTGGTATTTAATATTAATAGTCAAAATGGTTAATTAAATAAATAAACATTATTATTATTATTAGTGATAAATCAATACGTTTTATAAAAACCCAACAAATCATTATGATGGTCAAAAAAGGAAGGAAGGAGAAGTGATAGTTTTTTTTGAAGACCACTGCTGACTTTACACTTTTTATTTTATTAATTAATTTAGTTTGTTCAACAGATAGAGAAAGAGATGGCTACTACAAAGTATCTCTTATCTTCTTCTTTGACAAGATTGAATAGTATACTACCTGTTGGAGCAAGTAGTGGTATAGGAAAGATAGCAGCACTTGCATTCAAACCAACTACATTAACACCACCATCATCATCATCGTTGTTTAGATCATCATCATCAGTGTCATCATCATACTATAAAAACAATTCATTGTGGTCAAGTGTACAACAACAACAACAACAATCGACATCATCATTGCTAAAGAGGGATATCTCTACATCGACTAGAAGTAGTTCCTATGCACCTCCACTATGGGAGAAGCCTGCTGAACAACAGAAATTAAATACTGTCACCACTCCAAGTGAAGAGGAACCAAAAGTATGTTATTTTAAAGATTCATTCATCATTACTCAATCAAGTCAGTCAAACTAACATTACTTTTTCTTCTTCAAAGGAATATAAAGAAGGAATATTATGGATTAATAATTTATACCCAATCAAGATTAGTAGACTTGATTTTAGATCATTACTATTTCACATTCCAATCACTGAACGATTGAAAGCAATCTTTCCAAAGGACGTGGAGATTTTATCGATTGAAAAGAGATTCAAAGAGGGTGGTGCATACGTCTACTTTAGATCATCGAGTAAGGAAGAGTCTGTGGAGGATATTGCCAATAGAATCGAAGAATTATTTAATGCACACAAGAAACATTTCCATTTCTCTGGTGCACATGCCCGCAGTACATTGGTCAAGGGTAAACCATTTGTAGACGATATTGATGTTCGTCTTCCATCATACACACTTAAATTAACATTTAAAGGTGCTGAATTACAAATTGACGATGTTTTTAGATTATTACGTCCATATGGTCATATTAGACATATGTATATCCCTGATAATATTCCAAAAGGTAAGAAAGAAAGAAGAAGAAGAAGAAGAACAAGAGGATTTAAAATACTAAATCATATTTCTTTTTATTTTTAGATCAACCAAAATATGCAATTATAACATTTAGAAGAATGGAAGGAGCTATTGCAGCAAGAAATTGTTTACATAATGAATATTTACCAGAGTTTGGAACTACTTTGTATTTTGACTACGAGTTGATGATGAGAATCAACAAATTAAAAGATCAATTCTCAAAACATCCAAAGATTATGGTAAGTCAAATGGAAGAATTCATTTTTGAATATATAAATATTAATATTAATATTAATTTTAATATTTATTATTTTATCTGCTTAATATTTAGATCCCATTAGCAGGTATTTTAGCAACATTATTAACTATATTATTATTTAATCCATTGAGAGAATATTTTATGGATCGGGAATTGGACAAGATATTGACATTTGAAGATATAGATGATGATTGGCAAACGAGAATCGAAGAAAAGATGTTGAATTCACATTTTAATTATCGTCCCAATTCCATTATTATGATCTCTGCTCCAAAGGGATCTGGAAAGTCTAGTCTTATTGACAAGATTATCGAAGGACGTCCTAATACATTATTGGTCGATTGCACACAAGAGGTCAATGCCAACGACGAAGAGTTTATCGAGAATCTTAGTAAAGCTATTGGATTCTTCCCATCGTTTGGTGTGTATGGTAGTCTACTTGGATGGGTTGATATGATCATCCCCACTGGAAAGGGTATCTTTCACTCATCTACCAACAATCAACTTCAAACTATTTTCAAGTTGCTCGACAATGTCTTGGAACGTCGTGCCGACAAGGAATTCCCAGTCGATCAACACCAACCCTACCCATACCCATTGATTGTCATTGACGGTTTCTTTGGTATGATTGCTGCCATGGAAAACAAGGAAAAGGCAAATCTTATTCAAGACTCTATCATTCAATGGGCAATTACCTCTACCATTAAAGGAAATGCTCATGTAGTATTTATTAGTTCTGATCCATTTGCTGGTGATACAATTAAGAAACGTATGTAAAATCAAAACAAAAAACAAAACAAATAATATTTATTTAATTTTTTTTTTTTTAGATTTAACAAATAGAGGTGGAGGTATTGTAAATACAATTCATTTGGGTGATGTTCCACCCGTTTCAGCACAGGAATATATAAGAAATAAATTGGGCAAGTCATTATCAAACGATGACTTTGAAAACATTGCAAGTTTGTTGGGTGGTCGTTACTCGGATCTCAACATGTTGGCACAAAAGGTCATGTCTGGTGATTCCGTTCCAATGGCACTCAATGGAATGGTCAACAAGGCTGTTGGAGAAATCAGAGCAGATGGTTTTGGTCTTTCCAAACGTAGTGATTCAAAAAAAGATAAAGAAAGCATGAAATGGACTAGACCTCAGTATGTCAAATCAAATCAAATCAAATCTAAAAAAGAAATATATATTTATTTATATTAATATTTTATTTATTATTATTTTAGAATTTGGGAGACTATAAAAAGAATTGCAGAATCAAATTATGTATCATATGATGATTTATTATTTAGTGTATTTATAGGTGACGAGACATCGTTGAATAATTTAATTTTAAGTGGGTTGCTTAGATTCCAGTCCATCAACAATGAGCGTATGGTCACTGCCTATTCACCACTCTACCGTTCGGCGTTCAAGGCAATGGTAGATGATCTCGAATTCTGTGTTGGTATGGACATTTTTGCACAAAAGTCGAGAATTGAAGAAGAGTTGAACAAGTTGAGCAAGGTCGAAGACGAACTCCTCAAACTCAAGAATCTCTCTGCCAACGAATGGTTTGAAAGTGCTGCTTTTAAAAAGAGAAGAGTCTTGCTTGAAGACAAGATGAAAGAACATGTATCAAAGATTGACACTCGTGAAAAGATCCTAAAGACCCATTTGGATTTCCAAAAGTTTATTCAACAATCAAGAAAAGACAATGAATACAAACTCAAAATGAGAAAACAAGAAGAAGAAGCTGTCAGAAGATCTATTCACCAAGAACAACAACATCAACAACAATATGAACAACAACAATCAGAAACTTTGTAAATCATCTCAAAAACGAATAAACATAAATAATTAAATTTATTTATATATTAAAGAACAAAATAAAATGTTCAGTCATTCAATCATGATTACACAGTGTGATTCATACATGACCCCAAAGAAAGTATGAATGAAATTGATTGTCGTTGTCGCTATGTGTTGTCATGCATGCTCTCCAGAGTTGTGACACAGTGAGAGCCCATGTTGGGGTTCAACACAAAAAATAGTCAGCCTGCAGTCTGTATGCGTATACTTACCCCACCACTCTACTTTCTTGTCTTCACAATGTTGTGTGATCAATTTGGTTATTGGTTGCTTTTTTTTAAACACTTACTCCTTGAATAAACCATCCATGGTGACTGACTTGCAAAAAATGTGTGGTGGAAACAAAAAAGAATGACAGTGTAAACATACAACCAATCCAGAATTCAATATGATTGGTTGACATCTGGAATCATATGTGAAGTTGAAGGGTGTTGTTGTATAGTTAACAAGGTGATGGCGAAACATCTGTTACACTCGACTGTGCTGCTCTGAGAAAAGCGAGCTTTCACATGAACATTCTGGAGCATATATATTTTAGAAAGTGTGTGTTAAAATATAATATTATATAATATACTATATAATTTCCATTTTAAATTAATTTTAATTCGAAACATCCCAAATTTATAAATTAATCCCCAAGAAGAGATAATTATTTAAACTGTCCAATTATAAAATTTATTTATATTCACAAATTCAATTCAATACACTATTTATTTATTTCATTCATTCAATTTCATTATATTATTTATTTCTTTGAATCCTATTTATTCACCACCAAACATAAAATATAGTAGTAAACATTAAATATATATATAAATTTAAATATGAAAATGATAATATCATTATTGTTAATTGGAATGATTTCCATTAGCTCTGTTTTAGGTGGATGTAATCAAGACTATGAATGTGGTAATCAACCATTTTCAATTTGTCGAAATCGCTTTCACCTATTCCCAGGTATTGGTTTGACTTCGTCTGGTAGTATACTGGTCATGGGAAAATACAATAATAGTGCCGGTCAACAAGTTGGAAAGACCTACATTGCTTCTGTAGGTAGTGGCTCGGTGTCACCACAATATCCAATTAACTCCGATGTCCCTTCCTATCCAGGCTACACACAATCATTTGAATTGTATGATGTAGTTGGTTCTACTCCATACATTAATGCTTATCAAGTTGGTTTCCCATCAGTCGGTCCATATAATGATCAATCTGGTACTTTTAGTATGTTCAAACTAACCCAAACCAATCCAAACCAAACCAAAACTAATCCAACCTTATTTCTTTTTCTTTCTTTTCTTTTTTCTTTTCTTTTTTTTTTAGCACCAATTTGGACAGTAGCAAGATATATTCTTGGATTATATTTTGATCAACCAACATCAAAGACTTATTATTGTGATGTAGGTGTTTATCGTATTGACAAGATTGCCAGTACCAGAGCAGACAAGGAGACAGCCACCAAGTTGTATGCCGACCAAAGATGTAATTATCTAGCTACCGTAGGCTCTGATCTCTACATCTTGGTCAACGAATACTCGTTGGTCACCAACCATTCCATCTACCGTGGCAGTGTAAACTGTCAAAACTGCCAACCCACCAACCTCATCAAGCTTGCTTCGTTCCCAGGAGCAGCCAGTGGCTTCTTTATTCGAAATGGTAATTTCTTTGTCTCGGCCACCAATGAATACACCAACGTACCAGGTATCTTCCGTATGCAAATCTCCAACCCAACATCTAGAACTGCCTTGACTTCTGATTCAGTCGGTGATGTAGTTGCAGACGGTAATTTCGCATACTACCAAACCTGGGCAGGATATCAATTCAGACCAACCATCAAGAAGGTCACTTTGTGGTCAACTACCGTAACAACACTCTATGACGAGGATACTGCTGGCACTGGATCATCTGGTACATGTTCATGTTTGGATGGATTCTCTGGAGCCAATTGTCAAACGTGTAGTGGTGGTACCACCAGATGGACCAATAACGGAACACCAACATGTGTCAAACTACTTGCCAGTGGTCAACCAGAGACATGTAGCAATGGATGGGAATGTCAAAACTATCCATACACCCAATGTGTCAGTGGAGCTTGTAGATGTAGTGAAGGTTTCACTGGAGACAGATGTGATAAGTGTTCAGGTGCCGTACAATGGGACAACGGTTTTCCAACTTGCAAACTTTAAAAAAGTAGAGAGCATTCAACCTTTTACTCTCTCTTTCTCCTAACCTATTAATTCATTATATAAATAATAAATGAATTAATCATTATAATATGTATTTAATTTATCTATCCAACATATATATATATATATATACCTAATTCTTTGTTTGTTTGGAAAAAATAAAAATAATGATGATCATTTGAGGAGCAGATGATTGTCGAGTTTTCATGAATAATATTTATTATTTATTATTTATTAATAAGTCGATTATAGGTTAGACGAGAATAAAGAGATATAGTATTAGTAGTCGTAAAGAATAATAGATATATATAATCATCAATGCCCAAATACTATTGCGAATATTGTGATAAGTATCTTACACATGACTCTCCATCAGTCAGAAGATCACATATCATCGGTAAGGTGCATCAACAAGCTGTTAGATTATACTATCAACAATTTGAAGCAGACTATCACAAGAGTATAACAGAACAAAGAATAAAAGAAATGATCAAACGTATGTAGTAGTATACAGGTAGTAGTAGTGTGTTATTGTTGCATATACTAACTTACACTTCTTTTGTCATTGAATGAATGTATGATGATCACATATATATTTATATAGCCGGAACAGTACCTCTTCCACAAGGACCTCCAATGTTCCCACAAGCACCTCCACATGGAATGATGATGGGACCTTCACCTTATGGTATGGGAGGTATGGGTATGGTAGGACCACCAGGTATGGGAAGAGGCGGTATGCCAATGCCTCCACATAATATGATGATGGCTCAAGGTCCTCCTCCACCATACGGTGGTCAACCAGACTTTAATCAACCACCTCCACCCTTCCCATTCATCCCTAAACAATCATTTAATCCATTCCCACCTCAATAACAACAAATTATCAAGTACTACAACGATCAATGCAATATATTAAAAAACAGGATGGTATACACAAGATATATGTATAATCACCTATCAATCAATCAATCAACCAATCTCCCCATCGAAACACGAATGAACGAACCAATCAATACTTTATAATCAATTCAAATAGAATCTGCATTATATTGCATGATACCAACCAACCAACCAACCAATCAAATCAATACCATCATCCATTGTAAAGAAATAATAACAATAAACTTAATTAAAAAGTAACATACAAAGAATAATAAGATATCTATCTAATCTTTCATTAACAGATATTATTGTAATTTATTATTATTTTTAGTATTACTTGATTTGCTTGATTTTGTTTGTGGTCTTGGAAAAATTTACAAGTTCATTACAAAGATAGTTGTACTCCCGAATCTATCTCTATCTATTATATCTGTCTATCTCTTTGTATATATAAGTGTCTGAGAGAGAGAGAAATGGATATAGATACACCTACAACAGTGGTAGTAGTACCAAATACAACTACAATGACAATGACAACTATAGTACCACAAGTAAAGACAAGTACAATAGTAGAAGAGAAAGTAATGGATGAAGAAAGAGAAACAATGAGGGGGAATAGATGGAGTATACCTACTTTGAAATCAAATGCACTATATGTTTTAAAGAATACATGCTACCATAGAGGTCTCAAACCAAAGGGAAACAAGGATGCTATTGTCGATATACTCATCAAAGATATTATACGAGAGAATGGAGAAGACCATTTCAAAAAGATTGAAGCATTGGATACGTATGGTCATCCCGAGCTTGGCAAGTTCCACACGGCCAAAGATATGCGTGCCGCTGCTGAAAGGTCGGGTGTAGCGGTGACCTATCTAGACACACGATCACAGTTGTACGACAAGATGCTTGGCAAGTTGATCACACCGTTTGCCAATATACAAGACCCATTTAAATTGATCCCAAAGTATATGCTTGGCGTGTCATTTGGGTTGCCTCAACAGGCACTCGTACGTATCTTTGACTATCTAGTGTTGGACCGCGTACTCAATACCGATCCTGCGCTAGAGACGTATTGGATGCGTTGGAAGTTGTCTCTGGCGACCGTCTCGAAATGGGTGTACACGTTGGTACGTGAACATCTCAACGAATGGTCGTTCTCTCGTCACAAGCTACTCAGCAACGGGCCGGAACAATGGAGTCTGCCACTCTACCACCACTTCCTTAACCCGTACTCGTTGTTTAAGAATATCCGCAAGATGGATGTCTACACGATCGATCTCATCACTCTGATGATGCCGTGTCCGAGTGGGTTCACCCGCACAACCGAGCCGCAGCGTTTGATGTTTGCCAACCTCGAGTCACTGACCGTCAACCCGTTCCCAACTACCATTCCAACCATCCCGCGAAACTACAATACCTCTGTAGACACTTTACCCAAACTCCGCACCATTCGATTGAATGCGGGGTCTGGCAAGACCAACGAAATACACCAAGCGTGTCCACCGCTCATCTATGCCAAGGCTACCAAACTCGACCTCCGCATCAGTCCAGCCGTCACACACAAGCTAGACAATCCCAACATCGAGTCGGTCTATCTCGGCCCCATCTCTGAAAACCAACACAATCTGTACGTGTCCCTCTCTGCATGGGCCGCTTCCCCCAAGTTTAGACGATTCGGGTTGTCTCGAACCCCATACAACGCATCTGGCTACCGTTTTACAATGACCGTTGTCTCTTATCGAGGTAAAACATCTCCCCTAAACAGCGATGTCACCCTCATGACCGCAATCAAAGAAGACCTCAAAAACAAACCTGAAGATCTTAAAAGAGTTCTTGATTTAATTAATCAATTAGAGAAATATGTGTATGTAAAATATATAGAATATATATTAAATATTATATCATATATTATAAAAGTAACTAATCTGTATTTGTATTGTATTTTATTTATATTTTATAGTATTCAAGTATGTAAAAAAATGACACATTTAAAAAAAGATGAAGATGAACCTGCCAAGGTAATACTTCGAGAGATCTTTACAAAGGTGACAACATGGAGAAAGTATTTTATTATTAGACATTTGGAACAATTCTTTTCAACACCAAGAAACCATAATTCCAATTTCGACTACATTTATAGTTTTTTGATCGAAACCAACAAGGTACAACACTTGACACTTTCAAATCACAGTGATCATACTTTTGAGATGATGTCCAAGATCTTATCGCTCAATACATTTGAACTTTACAGTTTGTTGTCATCTTGGGATCAGAATGTTGAGGATTTGATTGACCGTGTCTCTAAAATCAAAAACATCAAATATCTAATCATCTATATCGACAACAAACACAACCTCCAACAATTAGAATCAAATCTTCCATTCCATTCATTCTATATTGAAAAGAAAAAACTTAAACTTCGAAGTTTTGATTTTAAACAAAGTGTCTACAAGATTACACTTGTTAGAGACCAAGATAGAATCAATTTGAAACCACCAACAATCATTCAACTTGCACCAATCAAAATTACTTGTAAATATGTTAATCCACCTATTCAAATTAATGAAAATCAAAATAATCAAAATAATCAAAATAATAATCAAAATAATCAAAATAATGATGATAATAATAATAATAATGATAATGGTAAACTTTTAAATGTTGATATTGGTAAATTATTCCCAACAACATCAACAACAAGTAAAGTGGATAGTTTAATAACTAGTTTTACCAATTTATCAGTGATTGGAAGTGAATGTTATGATAAGAATGCTAGAGCACATTGGTATTGGTCAGACCAAGAATCACATTGGAATGAATTCACCAAAGAAGAATCCAAGAGAATTGAAAAAGGATTCCTACTCGACAAAATGAGAAAACAATTAGATGATTGTCGTTGGATTGATTACAATCGTAGAGTTCAAAGAGTTTATGATGATGAATCACTTGTATTCCCAATTAAAAGAACTATTTCAAAATAATTATAAATAATAATTAAATTAAATAAATAAATAATTTTAATAAATATTTACACGAATCTGCAGAGTGTTTTTTTTGGATTATCACCCTTTTGAAGTCAACAACAATCTCTATCTGTATAACTTATCTCTCCCTACTCTTATTAAAGAGTAATCTATTATACTATCTATATATACATAAATATTAACATCAATATATATATTGTATACTCTAGCAAGAGTATATAAAATCAGATATATTAAGAGATGGATAGGATGGATGCAAGAACAAGACAGTTTATATTGATGGCTCAACAATTGGGTCTGTTTCAAAGAGCAAGAGATGAAGATGACGATAGTGATGATGATGATGATAGTGACGAAGACGATTATTCCTATGATGATAGTTCCGAAGACGGTGGATACTATTATGATAGTGATGATAGTGACGACCCCTATGGTAACGGTGGTATCTGTGCGTGTTGTCACCACCACCACTATGATGACGATGACTCTAGCTCTGATTCAGAGTCGTATGGTAATTATAGATCCACATCGACGTTGTCGGATCCTCGAAGAGAGTTGTACGGCACCTATTCATTCCACTATAGTTTGGGTCACGAAGGCTTCTTTTATCATCCCAAAGAAGACTATCTCGCCGAAGATGAGGGTGACTTGAAGATCGTTGCCGACGACCATATGGCCATGTTCAAGGCGCAACTCGGTACAGAGGTATGTTCGGCGTACCAAGGGGCTATGGGTGTGGTGGATACGTTTGAAAGGTCAAAGACCCAAAACATGCCACAGGTCAATCTGTCGGCAAGCCGTGCACGTCTCTTGAAAGAGGCAAATGCTCCCGATGCAACACTCGACTCGGTTGCCATGACGACCGATGCATTGTCTAAATTGAAACTACCCGATCTCAAGAAACTGTGTCGTCGTCTGGGTTGCACGATTGGTGGCAAGAAAGAGGCAGTGGTCGATCGAATCATCAAGCAGGCCGAGGTAAATGCAAAGGCACCGAAAAAGGCCGATCTTGTCGTCGAGCAACACACAGCGTCCAAGTTGCACCAAATGACCGTGACGCAGCTGCGTCGTGTCATGGAAAAGTACGGTATCGACTTTACGGCCAAGACGGTCAAACGCGAGATGATCCAAATGATCGAGCGCTGCGACTTGACCGCGCTCGACCACCGCGTGTCGGCCGCCCAGATGGACGACTATTTCAGAGGACAGGTGCAGTACACTCTGCCACCCAGTGTCGTCTTGCAAATCTTCCACAATGCGTTTGTCGGCTCGTTGCAGTCTGACGCGACGTCTCCCAAGACTTGGATGCGTTGGAAATTGTCGTTGGGGCTCATCAACAAATGGGCATTCAAGAATGTGTCGCAGTGGTTCACAAGTGTATCACTCACCAAGCTCAGAACTTGGAATGCATATCAAAAGAATCCCGAGGAGGTGGTATTGTACCGTCACTTTATCAATCCATTCTGTCTGCTCAAAAACATCACCAAGTTGTCAATCTATGATTATGACCTCGAAGTGATGTCGTTGATTCGCGGCACCAAACCCACTCTGACACCTGCCATGACATCAATGTTTGGCAACCTCGAGTCGTTTACAGTGTCACACTCTGTCTTTCACAAATGCTCTAATCATCTCACCGTACCACCTTTCCCTAAACTGAGATCGGTCACTATACACGAAAGCACTTATGTCTCTATCGAGACAACGTCCGTCGACACTGTCACCAAGATTGACGCACGTTACCTTCACACTGGACTCGTTGCCACCAACATGCAGTCAATGTACTCGCAATCTATTCACGGCAACCCCGACACGCTCGAGAGTCTCTCCAAACTCACCACATTGCGTCGTGTCGGTATCTTCTGTACCTGGTCGGCCTCCCTCACGACCGTCACCTCGTACCGTGAGGACAAACTCCATCTCTCTGCTAAATTGTTGAACTTTATTCGCAGTGATGTCACCTATCATGTCACCAAAACCAAAAAGAACAATCATCTCGTCAACTCTCCAATAGTACCAGTGGCGGTATCAAAAAAGATCAAGAACAAATTGAAAAAGATATTGCAAAGGAAATTAATGATAAAGTTGCTATAATAGTTCAATTATTAAAGGATATTGATACTCAAACTGCGTAAGTGATAAATAAGAAGATAGTCTGACTATATTATAATAATATTTATCTAACCCTTCTAACTCTCTCTCAATCTACATAGTTCACAAAAACAAACAAGAGCACATAATACAGTTATAATGAGAGAATCATTGGATCAAATTCCTTTCCTTTTACATACATGGAGAAGGTAAATCTAAAAAAAACCAAAATGTAAATGCAAGAGACAATTCCTAATATTTAATTTAATTTAATTTTAGAGCATATATTTTATTCTCAATTAATGACAAGATACCAAATTCATATCATTATGATTTGAGAAATTCTGGATCAACTAGTATATTCACAGAATGGATGGCAGAGAATTATACTCTTGAACATTTAGCTTTGGACAACTATGATCCAGCCATTGTAAAGGCAATTGAGAATTGCTCGACTCTTCACACTCTTGAATTATGTGAAGGTAATGCTGACCCCGAAAATATATTCCGCCAATTGGCCAGCGAAGCACCTCCCATCAAAACTCTTATCTTTTATGTATCTGATACCACAAATATCGAAAAAGTCTCTCAGTTGGCCACCAAAATGATTTCATTCAAGGTCGATTCTCATCGTTATTATGCCAATAATGGTCATTTCGATGGTCCAACCTATAAACTTGTATTGAAAAGGGTATCACCTACTACAAGTACAGTAGTTTAATCAAATGTAAATAATAATAAAAATAAAAAAGAGTATCTGAATAAATATATATATAGATAATATTAAACAAATTATTTGAACATCATCATAAGAAAAGATATTTTTACGTCGGAACTTTTAATGAATCCCTGCAACAGTAAATCGAAGTTTCCGAAAAAAAAAAACTTTGTACAACCGTTGCAAACAAACGAAAGGATTGAGCAGCCACCTCTGTTGAAAAGCCCAAAAAGCCTTTTATCTATTTTTTATATTCGTAGAAACAAGACACATACACAGAGACCGAGATATATAAATATCATATCACATCAGATATTTCATTATACATCTGAGATATATATATTTGATTTATCAACTCATTATATTGATTGATAAATCAAATCACTCTCTCTCTCTCTTTTTTATATTTATTTATAATCTATTTATATCTCTCTACTTTTTATATATATTTATAAATAACAATGAAAAAGATAGTAGCATCATTTATTTTATTCTTTTTCATTGTAAACACAGTCGTGGTCAATGCAACATTTAATTTAGAGGGTGTGGCATATGTTGACTCACTTTTCAACGGTCAGTTTGATGGTCAAGCACCGATACTAGAGAATACTCTTATAGACTATGGAGAAAAGGTGTCTATCTATATCGAGTTGGTAACTGACGCATCGGTAAACTTTGAACAGAGAACCAATAGCTCTAGCGCATTCAACTTTGAACAAATCGACGATGGATGCTACACGTTGACTGTCATCCCACCAGCCGACGATTTACGTTGGGAGTTTCTACCTGTCTTTAGTCATTACACTGTTTGTGGTAGTGGTAGTGGTGGTAGCAGCAATATTGAACCTGCATCTAGATCAACTACATCTTCATCTCCTTCATCTTCATCATCCTCCTCATCGGACAATACTTTATCATCATCACAATCTTCACAAGACGGGTCAGTAGAATCTACTGTATCTGATACTATCGTATCTGAAACTACCGATACTACTACTACTCTGACTCCTACTACACAGTCAGTAGCAGAAACAACGGCAGTTGGAACATCAACCATTACAACTATACGACAAGATGTTGGATTCTCAATCAACAGTTTTATGGGATGTGTTGGTAACATTACAAATGACAAGACTGGACAATCAATGAACTTGCAATTTGGAACTTATAATCTAAGATATTATGGTTGGTGTGTCAATACAAATAATAATACAAATAATAATAATAATAATGCAAATTGTATCAACTCTACAAAGATTGTATTCCCAGAAGACTGTCAATTGGTAGCTCAATCAATGTATCAAGTGACTGTTCAGTATAGGGGACAGATTAAAGTATCATTTAATCGTAACATGGCATTTAGTGTAACTGGGTCTGACCCAAATACCACACCCATTGCAAATATCAATGTTACACTATCGTATATTTACAATGGTGTTATTACACATTCAACCATGACAACAACCACACTTGACAACCCAACATTCAGCGTTCCACTAGTCGAAGTATCAGTAGCTGTCACAACAGACAACATCACTCAAATAGTACTGTTAAATAATATTACCAACACACCAACAATCGGTCAACCCAACTTTGACATTGTATTCTCACTCTATGAATTACCACCAATCAAAGACAGACATTATATCCCAGTCACACTCTTTTCACAAAGTAATCGTATGGGACTCTCCATCACACTGCCACCAGGTATCTACAACAAAGCATTCCTAGCTTCACTTGGGTTCTCTAATCTATCTGTATTGTCGTTTAGTTCAACCTACAAATACCGTGTATTCCTATCAGTCTCTACTTCACCTTCATCAACCATTAGTGATATTCCATTGAATGGTTATTTTGTTGAATCTTATAATACTGGTACAATCGTTCAAATTCAAATTACTGGCAATTGTAAGTCATCCCAACACCCAACCCTAATAATGATCAATATCACTAAACTTGTATTCTTTCTTTTCTAGATGAATTTTCCAATAATCCATTACCAATATTTGGAGGATATGTTAAAGTATTAAATGTTTATCATCCAATTTTCAAACCAAGTTATTTCTTGGCAGAGACACCATTTGTTAAAACTGAAACCTATCTTGCATTGAATTGTACCGATGCTCCCTATATGGGTTACCATAATTGTACTGTCCCATCTCGTGTAGGTCCAAGATACATTAAAACTCAATTAAATAATGAGAAATTCCTATCATATGCTGAATTGGTTTATTATCCAGGTAAATGTCAAATATATATATATATTATATAAATCCCGGAAATAACTATTTACTTTGTTTTATTTTTACATTTCTTTAGATTATTATTCAGCAAGATCAATGGATTCAAGAATATTTAAACCACAAACAAGTGGAAGATTGAATTTATCAGCAATAGTTGATTTAAGTTATAGTTGGAAAAGTTCATTTACTCCGGGATTGGAAGGAACTACTAGAATCAATACTTATAATGGTGGATTTAACATTACAGTTGCTGGAAAGACTATTGCTGTCTATAATTATACCAATTTGGATGCTATCAACTTTTTGGCATTTGAAACTGATGGTAGACTCAGTTATTACAATGGATCTGTAAGGTTGGCTGTCATCTCTGGAAAGATTGAAGTCGGTGTTGTAGACTCTCTTCTTATGAATCGCGAAGGTATCACTATCATGGCATTCAATGAAGCCACTTGGGGTATATATGCATTCCCCGATCAGTACTGGAGATACAAGCGTATCCATCCAGCTGCATTTATTATGTCTAGTCGGTACTTGGATGCATTGGACGACAAGAGAAATAGTTTGATTGCCAAATCATCGATTTCAAACGGTCTCTATTATGCAGTTGTGAATCAGTCGCAGTTGGTACTCACTATGCAACCGGCACTGTACGCGACATCCAGCTCGAGCTACTTTATTGTGATTCGTGAAGATGGATCGTTGTGTTGGTCGCCGACCACCACCACCTCGACCGTCACCAACCCACCTTCATCGTTGTGTCTGGCGAGTGGTGGACTTGGCGGTCGATACCTCGTCGTTGCACCACAGGTCATGACATGGTCGCAATGGGCACTCCATATACTAGACGAGCGCGGTCGTTTGGTATGGGCAATCAACAGTACTGAAAAGACCGACTATAACAACGTGCCGATGGATTACGGGTCATACCTCTTCCGCACCGACTCTATCCTATCGACAGATACCCGCAACTTTATAACCAATGGTAAACAGTATGTTGAGGTGCGTGCAGACGGCAACCTCATTATTTACGAGAACAATATCTATGTCGACCATGAAGTGTTGGCGTTGACGGAAATTGAGGTGTCGGAAGACGCACCCTACGCATTGAACGTGCATGATAATGGTGTGTCGCTCACATCTGCGTCGTATCCTGACGAACCTTACTTTAACATTCCCGCAGTCCCCGGCTCTGCACCCATCCAGGCGTTCTACATGTACCCGCAAGCAGGCGATGCCAACAACCCATACTATGCCAACCGATTATCATGGGGTGTTTTAATGGTCGACGCCAACGGCAAGGTGTCGGGAGGACTCCTCGGTGCACAAGATAACCGTCCCAACTACACCAACACAGTCACTACCTCATCTACAATCGACCGACTCTCCCTATCACCCACAACCAACCTCACCAACCAATTCCTCAATCTCCGATGGAATAACCAAACGGGAGTCATTGACGTTGTCCAAGTTGACATTAACCAAGTTGTATGGTCGTCCCCCGAGCCACCCGTAGACACTCCCACCTCTCTATCCGGTGAATTCCACGCAGGCTTTATCTGTATCGATCCTACCGACCCCCTCCAAATCCTCCAATTTTGTGTTGCCACCTGCACCCAACTTTCTGCAAGCGATGCATGTCAAGCGTACAGTCCTGTCTGGCAGCCACTGCAAAGCGGCAGCACAACCACCCCGCCCGAACAACAACAATGGTTTGGTCTAGTCATTGGTTTCCCCGAGCTTGTTCTAGTCAACACGCAAGGTCGTATGACTTGGTCTGCAAGAATTGCAAATATCATTCTACGTGACTATTAAAAATTTAAATTAAAATTTAATAAAAACAACTCAACTATAATACAATAAAACGACCGTCAAACAAAAAATCCACTTTTGAGTGACGGATTTTCATTCCTCCTTTCCTTGAAACCCCTCCCAAGCCATAAAATTCATTTTCACAAAAAAAATACCAACCCACAAAAATTTTCATGGTGATGATCAGCTTGGCTCCAAAACAAAAATCAATAATCAGTTTTTACTTTTTTGCAAAGAAGTAGTAGTAGTTAAGTATTAGTAGTAGTATTTAGTTAGGTAATAGTTAGGTTCATAGTCAAAGTAGTACCCAAGTTATATCTAATCAAGATCCACCCCCCATAACAACACAACACTATACATACTACTTGTGTATTTTTATATAATCTTTATTTATTTATTTATTTATTTCAATCAATCAATTCACCTGTATTACTATTCATATATATAACAAACAAACAAAAAAATGACATCAAAGAAACCAGAATGGAATAACGCGATGAAAAATGAAGGGTTGGATGATATGACCCTTCTCTCTAAAGTTACAAATGATCAAATTTTAGAGAACCTCAAAAAGAGATTTGAAAAGGATATCATTTACACCAACATTGGTGATGTACTCATCTCTGTCAATCCCTTCAAACCAATCCCAATCTACACTGACGAGATTCTTCATGAATATGTTGGAAAGTCACGTATCGAGCTTCCACCACACGTCTTTTCCATTGCTGAACAAACCTATCGTTCCATGATCAATGATAAAGAAAATCAATGTGTCATTATTTCTGGTGAATCTGGTGCTGGAAAGGTATATATATAAAAAAAAAAAAAGATAATATAATATAATATAAAGTGTTTATTTATAATCTAATTCATCTTTTATTTTCTCTCATATATATTAGACTGAAGCAGCCAAAAAGATTATGCAATATATTGCAGCAGTCAGTGGTGAAAGTGGAAGTACAAGTAATAAAAAGGTAGAACATGTCAAATCGATCATTTTGGAAACCAATCCATTATTGGAAGCTTTTGGTAATGCAAAGACTCTACGTAATAATAATTCCAGTCGTTTTGGAAAATATTTTGAAATTCAATTTAATAAGAATAATGAACCAGGTAAAGAAATGAAAAAGAAAAGAAAAAAGACAATATTTATATTATTTATTAATCACATTTGATTTAATTTTAATTTTAATTTTTTTTTAGAGGGAGGAAAGATTACCAATTATTTGTTGGAAAAATCAAGAGTTGTATATCAATTAAATGGTGAACGTAATTTCCATATTTTCTATCAATTCTGTAGAGGAGCAACCAAAAAGGAACAAGAGGAGTTTGGTATTTATGGTCCAGAGAGCTTTGCCTATCTTACCAAGGGCAATACATTGGACATTGATGGTGTCGATGACTTTGAAGAGTTTGGATTGACACGTAACGCCATGAATGTCATTGGTATCACTGCACAAGAGCAACACAATATATTCAAGTTGATTGCAGCCATTCTCTGGCTCGGTAACATTGAATTCAAGGAACAAGCCGGTGACAAGGCTGTCGTCGTCGACCAAAGTGTCCTTGATTTTGCAGCTCAATTGTTGGACGTGCCATCCAACTTTTTAAAGACAACACTCGAATTCCGTCAATTAGAGACAAAGAGAGGCAACCAACGTGGTACCCAATACAACGTGCCACTCAACAAGACACAGGCCATCTCTGGTCGTGATGCCTTGGCCAAGGCCATCTATGACCGTTTGTTCAACTGGTTGGTCGAGCGTGTCAACAAGGCCATGGAAAACAATGCTCAAGGTTTGATGATTGGTGTATTGGATATCTATGGTTTCGAAGTGTTTGATCGTAACGGTTTCGAACAATTCTGTATCAACTATGTCAATGAGAAGCTACAACAAATCTTTATCGAATTCACTCTCAAAAACGAACAAAATGAATACGTCAGCGAAGGTATCAAATGGGAACCAATTCCATTCTTTGATAACAAAATTGTTTGTGAACTCATTGAAGGAAAGAATCCTCCCGGTCTCTTTTCTATTCTTGATGATGTTTGTCGTGCTGTTCATGCTGAATCTGGTAAACTATTAGAAATAATAATAATAATAATAATATTAATATTAAAAAGTATACTAATTAAAAAATTTTAATTCTTTTTCTATTTTAATTTTTTTAGAGGGAGCTGATAAATCACTTTTACAACGTATTGCAGTTTGTAAATCAAATCCACATTTTGATCCAAGAGGTAATGCTTTTTGTATTAAACATTATGCAGGTGATGTAATTTATGAAGGTGCTGGTATGATTGAAAAGAACAAGGATACATTGTTAAAGGATCATTTGGAACTGTTACAAATCTCTGCCAACAAGTTTGTCAGTGTACTCTTCCCAGACGTCATTGACACTGACTCTAAAAAGCTTCCAACCACTGCCGGTTTCAAGATCAAGTCACAAGCCAACGACCTCGTCCAAACTTTGATAAAGTCGACCCCACATTACATCCGTTGTCTAAAGTCCAACGATATCAAGAAACCCAATGTGTTTGATGGTCCACGTGTACTCCATCAGATCAAGTATCTCGGTCTCTTGGATAACATCAAGGTGCGTCGTGCCGGTTTTGCCTATCGTACACTTTTTAGTAAGTTCCTCGAGCGTTACTACTTGCTCTCGGACAAGACATGTTATGCTGCCAACAACATCTGGAAGAGTGACCCATTGTCGGGTTGCAAGGCCATCTTGCAATCGCAAAACGTCGAGTCGTCGCAGTTCCAGGTCGGTAAGACCAAGATCTTTATTCGTTATCCAGAGATGCTCTTTGCACTCGAAGAGACAAGAGAACGTTACTGGCACGACATGGCCTCGCGTATCAAGAACGCCTACCGTAACTACAAGTCCTTCCAGTACGAGTGTTCCAACCGTATCAAGAACGCCTTCCGTAACTACAAAAACTACCGTACTCGTTGTGCTCAGACTATCCAAGGCTACTACCGTGCCTGGAAGCAAGCATCACCATTCTTTGACTTGCGTCAACAAACTGAACAACTCGTAAATGGTCGCAAGGAGCGTCAAAGATTCTCCATGTTGTCGGTACGTAAGTTCTACGGTGACTACTTGGACGTGCGTTCACAAAACTATTTGCTCGACGCTATGGCCGAAGGTCGTGGTGAAGAGGTTATCTTCTCGGCCAAGTGCCAGATTGTAGTGCATCCACTGTTGTCGGCCAACAAGATGTCGCCACGTTTCTTGATTGTCACCAAACAGGCCATCTACCTCATCAAATTAAAGCAAAACAAGAATCTTGCTCAATACTTGTTGGACCGTCGTCTCCCAATCAGCGAGGTGGCGTCATTCTCCATGTCATCGCTTGGAGACAACTACCTCTTTGTTCATGCACCCATGGACTTTGACATTGCACTCTGTTGCGATCTCAAGACCGAAATGATGGCACACATCAACAAACAAAAGGGAACACAGTTGCCTGTCAACTTTGGCGTTGAAATTGAATACCAAAAGAAGAAAAAGAGTAACAACAAGGTTCACTTTGTCAAAGAAGAGATGCACAAGGAACCACTCTTTAAGAAAAATACCATTCACATTGCATCTGGTCTTGCAGCTGGCTCGACCATCAACAAGGTCCGCAAGAATCCATCGCGTAATCTCTCAAGTGGTGGTGGCTCGGGCGGTGGTGTGCCTATGCGTATGCCCGCTTCGACCGGCGGTGGTCCCAAGCCAATGGCCAGCAAGCCAATGGCCAAGCCCGCACCTGCCAAGCCTATGGCCAAACCCGCACCACCCACTCCAGGTGGTCACCCAGGCAGCAAGCCAATGCCAAATCCAGCCGGCGCCAAACCACTCCCACAACCAGGTGCTGGCCCCTCCAAACCAATGCCAAATCCAGCCGGTGCCAAACCACTCCCACAACCAGGTGCTGGCCCATCCAAGCCAATGGGTATGGGTCCCAAACCACCAGCTGCTGCTGGAGGTGCTCCAGGCCGTGGTGGTCCACTCCCACAACCAGGTGCCATGAAGCAACCTGCCGGTGCTGCTGGAGGTGCTCCAGGTCGTGGTGGTCCACTCCCACAACCAGGTGCCATGAAGCAACCAGCCAAACCAGCTGCCAAACCAGCCTCTGCCGCTCCATTATACAAAGCACTCTACGACTATGATGCCATGCAACCAGATGAATTAACATTCAAAGAAAACGATACCATCACCTTAATTAAAAAGGTTGACGCAGATTGGTGGATGGGATCCCATGGATCTCAAAAAGGAATGTTCCCTTCAAATTATGTTGAGATTCTAAAAAAGTAGTAATCAAATAATCAAATAAAAAAAATGCCATTCATAATTTTAAAATATATACGTTTAGTAAATTTGGTAGTTGAAAGATGTGAAATTGTGTATTAGGTAATGAACAAAAAATAATAATGGCAATATTGATGATAAAGCGTTAAATAAAATAATGACAAATGTCGTACTTTACACAATTAAATCATAGATTTTGTTGAAGGTGGTTTGGGGATTGGGTTGGTTGAAGAGGTCGATGTTGTAGAGGTCGATAAAGTTTTTTGGATCCTAACATATCTGTTTGCCATCCTCTTTGGCAGATTGGGGATGGGATCCCATGGATCTCAAAAAGGAATGTTCCCTTCAAATTATGTTGAGATTCTAAAAAAGTAGTAAAATAACAAAATAATCATATAAAAAAAATAATGCATAAATAAATTTATGATTTTGTTCCATACATTTAGTGGTTTACGTCCCAATTCTTTGTTGGATATCAATCAATGTTCAAATCATGTATTTGAAGTCTATACAAATGGTGATTGACAACCAACGCACATATATGTCTTGATTGAAAAAAAAGATGAAGATTGGCGTGGCGTTGTGAACAATAACTAAAATAAGGATGAAAGCAAAGAATTAAAAAAAAATGTATTTAATTTATTTAATTTATATTAAGCAGCATATTGTGGTGGAGGTGGAGCAGATGGTTCACCAGAAGAATATTGAGGTGGTGGTGGAGCTTGTGGAAGTAAAGCTTGTTGTTCGGCCATCCATGGATAGACAGCAATGTATTGGGCATAGTAAGCTCTGAGAGCCTCTTGGTAAGAGGCAAGCATTTGCTTGGCACTTTGGTATTTAACACCACCTTGACTGGCGATTGGGTAACATTCGTCGCAAACCTTGACGGGCTTGGGGTAGGCCAATTTGGTGATGGGAGTGGCCTTTTCAGTGCACTTGGAGCAGAAGATCTTCATGCAGTGACGACAGTGATGCTTGCGGTTGAATAGAGAGAAATTGCACTTGCACTTGTTGCAGTGGTTGACATTGTCGTCGTTTTCCCATGGGTGACGGTAGGCAACATCGGGTGGGAGTGGAGCTCCAGGTGGTTGACTTGGGATGGCCGAGTAGAGGAATTGTGGGGCATAGAGGGTCAATGGGAGGTCGACCGAGAGATCAATGGCACCCGGGAGATCAAACTCGACGGAAATAATATAACTGGATTTGACGTGGTCACCGAGCGACGAAGATGGTTTGAGGTCGACTGGGATAAAGAAGGGGAGGTAACGCTTGCCATAGAAACATGGTTGGAACCCTGGATACTCTTGCTTGTGGACAGTGTGCGTGATGGTACGGTGGTAGAGGTGGGCACGGAGCTCCATACGGTGGTGCACCTTGATCGAGACCTTGCGAGTTTGCTTGGTCGAGGTGTTGTTGGCCTTGATCTTGGAGACGAGTGTCTCACCTGGGAAGTAGGCGTTCTTGTTCAACCAGCACTTGACGACCAACTTGCCCTTGGTCAAGAGGAACGACTTGCGGTTCTCGCCGTAGCTTGGCTTGACGAGGTCACCACAACGCTCGTTGACGACGAGCTTGGTGGTGAACTTGAGGTCGTGCTTGTGAGCTACATCGACGGTAGCCTTGACCTTGTACAAGATCTTGGCGGCGTAGGCGCCCATGGCGTCCTTACCCTCCTCGCAAAAAGTGCCTGGGAGAGTTGGTGGCAATTGGTATGAGAAGGGGAAGCTGTAATGGCCTGGGTTGACGCTACCTTGGTGTGGGTAGACACAGATGGTCGACTTGAAGAACTCCTTGTTTTCCTTGTGGTCGATGGTCTTGTGTACGGTACGCTTGTCATTGCCAGTTCCCTCAGTTTCGGTACGATGCTCCTGGAGGAAGACACGCTCGAAACCCTTAAACTTGATCAAAACACCCTTGGCAAAGAATGGAACGATGCAGTCCATCTCGACGGTACCAGCAACAATGTCGCCACCAACGTACGATGGTTGGTTGAGTGTCACCCAGATCTTGTTACGTGTGTCAATTGGGATAAAGGTAATGTCAGACACGGCATGGGCTACCTTGACAGCCATCTTGGTAGCATCGTGCATCATGTGACCCATATCGTGAACCATCGAGCCCATAGCTCCCATACCTCCCATCATATCATTTGAAAGTCCAGCTGCTAATGCTGGGTCTCCCTTTACTGTTACATGAAATGACATTCTTCTATTATTATTAAAATACTATTATTCGTTAAATATTATTTGTTAAATATTATATTGATGAGATCGAAAAAATGTATCTGATGATTGATTGATTGATTATTAGTAATAGAGAGAGATAAAGAAGAATAATAATAATAAACAACAAACAACAATCACAACAATGATATTATCGTCATTAAAAACAAATGCCGCAACGGCCCAAGGCAGAGGCAATGAATAAAAAAAAAAACGAACTTTGCCCACTATAAAAAATCTTGCGAGGTTTCACCAAGCTCTCTATTTGTAAAACACGTCACGTGTTTTTGGTTTAAAGTCGTATTCGTTTTTCGACCCAGGTGATTTATTTAAATTATTTATTTATTTATTTATATATATATATTCCTTTACAGTACTTTATTTTATTTAAAAAAGAGTTTTTTAAATATTGATGATTGTTGTGGTGGTGATGTGGTTGAAGAATCTTTTTGTTGATGTGAAACATGTAGACCAGAGGCTGGGTAGAGTTTTAATACTCCTGCATCCTTGTCTTTGCACAATTGGTCGATAATGACTTGGTTTTGTGTTGGCATGTATTTGAGGCTTCGAATATGAGATGTTGGGAAATGATGTACAAGGAATCTTAATATAAGCTCATCGTGATGCGAAAAGGAATAGACTGTTGGAAGTAAATTTGGAAACATTTCAACAATATATTCAAGTATTTCAACTGATCTAGATGCAGATGCACAATCAACTAAATCTTCTGCTTCTGTATGTATATTATTATTTACTAAAAATTGTAAAACTAGAAAAAAAAAATCAAATTAATAATTAATAATAATTTAATTAATTGTCTTATATATTATATATATATTTACCTTCATAACGTTGACTTGATATAACAGATTTAATAATACTTTTTGTTGAACCTTCTGTTCTATTTGCATAGATCCATTGACATACTTCTAAATATCCACTTTTTCCCGAACTATCCATAGCCAAGGTTGTGCAACCTTCAGTTCGATTGAGATGTAGGAATTTAACTACTTTTAGTGCACCAACTTCACCTGCATAGTTGAACATTTGTTGAGTAAAACTATTGGGGATGGCGTGATCGTGAAAGAATTGCAATACTTTGATGTTTTGGTCATAGACTGTTCTCTGTAGATAAAAGGACCAATTTCGTTGGAATGCTCGTGGACAGTGGTCCATGACATATTGTAATACTCTTTCACCACCTTTGATGTTTGAATAGGTGATGAAATGTGTGAATCGGTCAATATCCAATGACTTGGGGTCGAATTGTTCGATGATCCACATTTTGAATGTTACACTAGCTGCCGACTCGAAATGTTTCCAAAAAGGATGAGACGCCACATTTGGCTCAATACCAACACCAAGATGGAAGAAATCGACCAAAAAGATGTACAAGTCGAGATTGTCCCTGAGACAAGTCCACATCATAATTTGAGTAAAGTCACTTGACTCTAGGTTATTGAGTGGACTCTTTTTAGTGAATGGTGTAATCCTATTCTCTAAAATATATTTGATCGACTCTGCATAATCACCAGTTCCATTTTGACAAGCTGTGGCCACTGTATTTGCACCATTACAAAGTTCCGTTCTATTTTTATGAAGAAACTTTACAACCTCTAAACTTCCCGATGCTACAGCATTATGCATTGCATCTTTTGTTGCTCCCTCTGTTCTATTAACATGAAGAAATTGTACTATATCTAAAAACCCTCCTGCTGCTGCCTAAGAAATTATAAAAGTATATTAATATAACAATTTCTAAAAAAGATGGTACTATACTATTATTATTATTATTATTATTATTATTATTATTATTATTATTATTATTATTTACCTTATTGATTGCACTTTCAGTACAACCTTCAACACGATTTTCATGTAAGAATCTTATAATGGAATAATGGCCATTTTTTGCGGCAAAGTTCATGGCGTCGGTAGTGGCGGGTGCACCGGCTGTTTGGTCTAGCCACAATACAATGTCTAGGAACCCAAGTTCAGCTGAATTGTCTAGTGCTCGAGTAGTTAGTCCACGTCTTCCAAAATGCTTGAAATAAAGTTGAACCATTTCAAGTGACCCTGAAGTGACTGATAGGTCGACCAAATTACGCTCGATGAGTTGTTCTTCTGTGTGTCCGACAAGACGTTCTCCACGCATCTCGAGTAACAGTCTTGCAACGTCAACACACTTTGTTCGTGATGCATTGACTAGTGCCCGAGCAGTATACTTTTCCGTCCGATTGTACAATAGAAACTCTATAATATCCAAATGAGAGTTATTTGCAGCCAACTCGAATGCACGGTCTGTACATTGTAGTTGAGGATAATTCTCGTGTAGAAAGTGTAGTATACCAAGTTTACCGTGTTCACATGCCATGTCGATAGTGTTTTCTGTTGGTTGGATACCAATCGTTTCGATACCGTACACTAGACATGGTATACTACCCGATGCAGCGATATTGTCAACTACCCAACTAGGTGAATTGGCACATTTACCTAGTGTCTTGCCGATGTAGACGTCTTTGCCGTGTCTACTGACAATCTCCCTAAACGCATGTCCAAAGTAATGCGAGTAGAGTGTATGTAGTCGTTGGAGTACCAACACATTGGTACAGTTGTTTAGTATGATTGGCATGGCTCGATAGTAGGCGATAAAGTTTGGATCACACTCTAACTTTGCTTGAAACAACAGTCCGTTGTTAGAGTACCGATGAAACGATACATTCTTACTAGTCATATCTTTAAACTTGCATGGTTTCTTTTCTTCCAAACGTTCATGTATCTCTTCAACCAATGATAGTATATATCTTAACAATACACTTGATTTAAATACACTTGATATAATTGTAGAAGATTGTGACAGCGAAGACATTCTCTCTCAATCTCTCCTCTTTTTACTCTACTCTCTACTCTACTCTACTCTACTCTACTCTACTCTAATCTACTCTATTATAATTGATTGACAATCAATAATGAATGGTTCGTAGAGATGACTCACTCATAGTATCAATGAGAATAAACGGAATAGTCAGTTTGACTCTCAGTGTTGATTAAAAAAAAAAAAACTAAATTAAATGAATATTTATTTTCTTTGGGGGTTTTGAAAATTTTTGGTTGGGAGTACCGCCTCAGAATCTATTTATTTGTAAAACTTATTTCTCTCTATGGTCTTCTTTATTTTTAATTATTCTTTTACCAATCGATAGATCTTTTCATTATCTATCAAATGGTTGACAAAAAAATTTGCGAGAGGTTCACCCTTCTAAAAAGTACTTTCCGTAAAGTCGCCATTAGCCATGGGCTAAGATGAGGTCTAGAAAGCATTGTTTGGAAAAACAAATGATATAAACAGAAAGAGCACAAAAAGTTGTATCTATTGGTGATATTGGATCGTCGTTTCAAAGATTATTCAAATAAAAAAAATGCTATTCTTCAAAGCCTATCTCATATAGTAAACATGCAACCATATAAAACTACGTGCTACATGGATCGGATCACGATTAATCAAATAAAAAGACAAGCGCCAACGCAAGAGGTGTAGGCGCCTTGAATCTTCAACATTATATGCACTGGTGTCGGCAGTGTTCAATGCATGCCACATCCAGCAACGCTAGACAAGATGGTTAGTATATTTGGAATGGTCAATCTCAAAACAATTGTGAATGCTCAAGAGTAATGGTAGCTTAATCTATATCGATATCATGGTTATTTATTTGGTACATACTAGTATTATTGTAATTAGCTCTTTTAAAACCCATCAAGGCTAGTGGTCATGGACAATTTCGCATTCGGTCTATCAAAACCATCCATTCTAAAAGATAATAAATAATAATTAGTAAACAGTATTTATGACAGTAATTTTACAAGATACATATCTTTACAGTTTTTTTAAAAATGGACCAACTCGTCTCTAATCAATTGATTCTATATTTAAAGTATAATATGGCATGAATATGATTAGTTGAGGGTTTGATAGTTGTATTGTGATGAATTTACTTAACTTTGTATTCTAATTCAGGTGGGTAGAGTTGATGACCAAACAACCACCTTTGTTGCTATAATACAAGACTATCAGCTATAGTATGAACCGATTTGTTGACTAGTCTCATTAAACAGATATCTGATAGATTGGAATTGTTAGTTTAGTTTTGAAATTAATTTATGTTATGAATACATAACTTTAATAGATCGGCGGTTGATTAAGAAGAAGATCAATCGGTTCTAAAAATAGTAAGGATGACCTATGTTAAAAATATGTATTAGTAATTGAGTGGTGGTTGTAGTATATATACTACTACTATGTTGAAGTCTACATGATACTTAAACTTTATCATTTATGGATAGGTACCATATATGGATGGATGTATTGTTTGATTAAATATTGAACTATAAAGCTGTAAGGGATAAATAAAAAGAGGAAAAGAAATATGAGTAGAATCAATAGAGCTACCATTACTCTTGTCTCAATCTCACAATGTTTCTCATTCTAAAAAAAAACACCAACAATATATAGATAATAAATAAAATATTAGTATCCAGACCCAAGCCTGGAGCTGCAAGCAAATGCCCATTGTGAACCAAATGACAAGTTGAACTCCGTTGGCTATGCCGTAGAGTAGTCCTTTTGAGTCAAATGAACAATGTACTTGCAGCTCCCAATTCTGAAATGATTTAAAATAGGGGAAAATTGTATATATATAGAGGGGGGGGGAAAGAGGGATAGAGGGTAGAATTCATAAGTTTCCCACGCCGAAGCATGACCATTTGGAAGACACTAGAACATCCTCCCACCAACCAAAAGGAGTTGTAGTGTCTTTTTAAATAATAATAATAATATAACCACAAGTGTAATCTATAATTATAAAAAAGAGGTTTATTTCTATTGTCTTTAAACAATAGAATAATGGTTAGTGATGTATAATATTTCATAGTAGTGTATAGTCTTACTTTAATTTATATTATATATTTATAAAAGATTTTGTTCTTTGTCAAAGGATCCTTGAATAAAGACAGAGTGATTGTTGGTCTACGTCATGTCCTCTAAAGGCGTCATTCCCATTGTTGATTGACTGATTGATGATTGTTTAAAATATCTTGATGAATCTAATCGATCGATGGTTATTGTTGTTGGTGTCATGATGAAAATTCTCCCTCCAAAATTAATTACTTCTCTTCATGACATGATAGTGCTGTGCTGTACTGTGTTCTCGCGCAGTACAAGACAAGTAGTAAATATAAATACATCTAGATTTATGAATTCATAACCCATCCTAAAGTTGAATTCATTCATTCATTCATTCGAGACAGACATCCATCAAATGACGATGATGATTGAGATTTAATTTAACTTGTTACCCTATACTACTTGTGTTGATGATCAATATTCACATCATCATCATCAACATGATCATCATCATGACTTTTATATCTCTAAGTATTGTATTGTAATTGTATTGTTCTTATTCTTATGACTCTGTGATGATCATGATGTTTGTTGGCGTTTGTGAATGCTCCATTTGCAAATTTGAACCCAAAATCTCTTAGTTGCTTACTAGTATGAAAAGGTGACACTGATGATAATATTCTTTTGAAGAAAGGAATTAGTATACATCAACAACTACTACTAGTTAATTTCTTATATGCAACTTATTGTGTAGAATTATTATAATAATTCTTTTTTCCATCTTTTGCTTCCTTGTGCATCTTTCTAATGATGTTGATACAACTAAAATCTCTTGGTGACATAAAAACTGTACCATCTTCGTTGATCTTTTCTCCTTTGGGGTCGAGAGTTGTCTTGATACCTCTTCCATGTTTAGACATGCTCAAACTTCTTAGAACCTCTGCTTGTAGTACTTCGTCGCCATTTGTATGTCTTCTCAACAGGAATGACGTTTTATTTCTAATGCGTTGCACTTGTCTTAATGAGAATGTTGGTTTAAAACGGTCGCCAATTAATCGTTGGTAGACTGTTGGAGGTGTCGTTGTTGTTGTTGTTGCTGCTGCTGGTGATGCAGAGATTGTTGTTATTGGTACTAATGCTACTGATACTGATGATGCTGCTGATGCAGTGATAGTTTGGGCTGCTGTACTCATGATTAATATGCTTAAAATAAAGATAAAAATATATCTATAATATTGATAAT